CGTGCAATGCCAATGACGACGAAAACATTTCCTGTTGCGGGCTCCGGTGAGTCATTCAATCAAATCGAGTTCTAGTCCCAGTCCCCGAAACGCCCAAGGTGCTATGCATCCGATGATAAAACAAGAAAAAGTACAAGGTGAAACATGTCCACAAAGAGCCGCCGTGGGAGATAAAAAAAAACAAAACAAAACAAACGCCAAATGAGGTAAAATGATATCGGGAAGGGATCAGGGTGGATGGGAGGCCGGTGATATCGACAAATGTTGAAGAGTAGGTGGTTCCGTGGTAGAATTGATACTTGATATTTTTGGTGTTGCTCAACCGTGAATCGTACGGCGGATGATCATGGAAGACACCGCCAAGTTTCAGGTGGCGGACCACTTGACGAACCCGAGGTATGCAATGATGTCACGGACTATCCTTTACCCCCCTTGAGTAAATAAGCACTTCTGACGACCGTCATAGTTCGACGGTTACCTTCCGGTGCACAAGGAGGAGTCGGTGAGTTGGCTTGGACGAGTGAAAGATGTGATGTGGCTACTCGAGCCGGTCGGGTAGCCGAGAGAAAGAGAGAGAAGTGTAGAAGTGGCGACAACCGTTCGCCCTCTAACCGATACGAGGCTCTAGCGGTATCGTTTCAGACCCGGTTTCAGACCCGGTCCTTCCGGTAGTCTGGACAAACGTTGTCATCGGAGTCCGATCCATTACGGTGGACAAAAAAGACCGGGTGTATGACGGCGGGGCGGTTGTCGTAGGTGAGAAGAGAATCAAGAATCATCGGCATAGGTCGCGACCGGCGGCTCCCAAGCTGCTATTGTAGTCAAGTCGCAGGACCGGAGCAACACCTCCCGCCGTCCTGCGACGTCCATCCCTGCGAGGAGGGCGGAGCTATTTCTGCGCTTTCCGAGCCTTGGTACTGCGAGTCATTTCGCTCTTGGTCATATTGCGTGTGAGGCCACCGATGTAGTCCTGGAGGATCTTGTTCTCGTTTTCCAACTTGTCGTGATCCGACTTGACCGCGTCAATGCGCTCGGCGAGGGCCTGGAGAGAGGATTGGAGAGCCTTGGCTTGCCTGTTTGATCTCAACGTTAGCGGAATCTGGAGAACATGCAGTCAGGACGAGACTCACTCTTGAAGAGTCTGGCGGGCCTCCTTGCCCAATCGCTCCAAATCAGCAGAATTACGACGCGGACTCATGGCGCGGGCGTCGTCGGGAGGAAACTCCTCCTCCTCGATTTCAATTTCGGGGTGGTCCCGGGGGACAAGTATTGATGCGGAAGGTTTGCGGCTCGCCATACGCGGGCGTTCGGAGCGACCCCGGCGTTCAGTTTCGGCGTCGGATATGGATGAAGATGAGGACAGGGATGACATATGCATGCGGCCACCGTCGTTGGGTTGCGGCAGGGTAGGCACGGGTGAAGCTTCATTCATCTCTGTATCAGAGGCCATAAGGGTGGTTCGCCAAAGACACGGTCGAAAAGGGAGGATTTGGCGAGGTCCAGCGTGGCGGCGTGTACGATTCCTCTTTATGATATTTTTTGGACGTGATCGGAAACGAACGATGAACGACCACGGTCTACCCCTAGCGATGGACCCCAGACGAGAAATCTGTGTTACGCTTGAGGTAGCTACCGGGGTCGGGTGGGGGACTCGAAAGATGAAATGGGACGTGGAAATCGGGACCACAGGCGTGCAGTGGTTGGGGCGACACGAGATACAAGCTGTGGGTTCGTTATGCAGGTAAGAGAGCGTGGGAGGGTTGGAGGTCGAATGGTGGTGTTAGATTGACGAAGACGGTGAAGGTGAAAGAGAAGAATTCGAGCCGGAGAGAAAGCGGAAGGGTGCTCGATAAGGGAAGAAGGGGGCGTGGTGTATTCGATGTTACACGTACTGACGGTACGGTAGAGTGGACTAGGGAGGAGGGGGGGGGGGGGGCCACGCGGTAATGTATCCAGGCACTGCTGGGTATTGTAAACTCCAGCGGTACCGGTACCGGTACCTACACTCTGATCTCTACACCTTTTGAGTAGGTGGAGAGGCCCTTTGTCCCTTGGGTGTGAGGTGATCGTCCCCCTCCAAGTTGGAGAATTCGGTGAGAATCAATTTCTGATTTCTGATTTTTGATTCATTTGTTTTTTCGACCGAGGGCAAGCGATAGGCAGTTTAGTTCACGGGGTTTAGGACTGGCGTCTTCCCTCTCGTTGCCCCTTTCCCTACCCAGGGAAAGAGGAAGAGAAGAGTACTCCGTACAGTACACCGCTCGTCCCACCGCAATCGGGTCCGTCGCCCTGTTCTTAACTGGCTGCGGGCTCCGCTCCCACTTGCCCAATCGTAGATGGCCCCGATGGGTCCACATCGGTGGCAGAAACCGACTGAGTTTTTCCCGAACTTTGATGAACACGTATTCACCTGCCCCTTTACGTTTACCCGGCTATTTCTCGTCGTCTACTTTCATCACGGACACGATGAAATGCAATCCGATTCGAGATTCACGGAAACGCAGTACAACCGACTACTCCGTCCAAGGGGTTGGTGGTATGGGGAAGCTCCCATCATTTCAGGGGAGGGGGCCGCGCTATGCAATGTCGATCGAGCCGCAAAGGGTGGGGATGACGCCATTTGACTGGCTTTCTTCACGGCGTGTACGAAGGGTTCGCTATAGGGGCGGGATACTCCGATGACATCGGTGGTATGGGAGTGGCAAAGCACTCAAGGGATAACGCCTGGAGATATCACACCGATCTTCCGCATGTTCTGTGTCCTCGCGACCCTCGGGGAATACACGATACATTTCCGTAAATCACATTCTGTCCTCGGCTGCCAAACACGGCGATTAGTACAGTTAGTAGAGTTAGTGCAGTTAGTACGGTTAGTACAGTAGTATGCTGCCTACCGACAGTATACAGACTACAACGACAGACACCACTCTCTCGCCATTCTCCGCAGCTGGACTCCATACGGCATGATGCTCCCTACTCGGTTACGGTTACGACGTCCCCATGATCCTGTTGCCGACAGGACTAATAACCAATGTCCGCCCGGTACGGAGTAGACGCTGGGACGATCTCCATTCCCGTGGGCCGCGGGTTCGACGGGCTATCATTTGACGGGCCGGGTTCCGACAAAAAGGAGGTGAAACCACGCAAGGTCAACGCAGCCGCCGATCTCCGTGGGCGCGAGTCGCTTCACTGTCGGGTGAAAAGTCTCGAGAGCCGTGGAAGATGCTCGGAGTAATGGCAGGACCGGTAGGGTTTGTACAGATCTCAAATCTACCTACCCAGATAGGCAAACAGTATAGTGACGGGTCCCAAGTTCAGACTAGTCTCAATTCACCCGTCGCCTCAAACTCCTCTCCCAAGACTCACCAGGGCCGGGTTTAACCCAAGGGACCGGACCCGACGACGAGTGCCATGGGTCCCGTACCGGCTGTGGCTTGTCGGAGCCCAAAGTGGCTGCACTACCTCGAATCAGAACTGCCGGCGGCACTCCATCATTTGCACACCTGTTCCGGGGAGCGCGGTCCGACGTCCACGTTTCGCGTTTCGCGTGGCTGTTTGCTTTTTCGAACAGGGTGACGAGGAAGTTGTATCGAAAATGTCGGATCCGAAAGACCGACGAAATATCGACTGGGACCCAACGAACCAGTGTCGTTCCTGGAAAAACCCCCCCGGGAGTCAGATGCGTTGAACGCTCGGACGCCCGGAGGGGCGTGTGACTGCGATTTCCTTCGGTCTGCACTTTGGGTTCCACCTTACAATCCACCCGGAGTCCCTCATGGGAGCTTTGATAATGGCACCCTGTCGATCTGCAACGTTGATTCGCTTGCAACCCCTTTCGGTACGAACGCGTTTCCGTTACAGCGGGCTAACGCAGGCGGATGGCGCGCGAGGGTTGGGTTAGTGCGGGTGGGTTTGTGTTGCTCACTGGCTGCATTTTTCTGGCGCGGGTTTATTTCCCGTTACGAACCAATCGGTGATCGTGCAATTGTTCGTTGCTTTCTGGGAAGTGGGACTCAACCACACATTACCCTTGTCGATATTTCTACATATTGCCCTCGAAACGGTCCTAACGTCCAATAGCGCGATGGACGTCCGATAGGCGATCTCGTTAGCTTGTTTTTTTGGGTGCTGTGCTGCCTGATTTGGTCCACCGTAGAGTGTAGTGGACAGAAGTACCTTTCTCGGTACCTTGCGGGTGTTTCCTCGGTGGTAACAGCGTGGGCATCTGAAATCCCAACGCATGCGGTCCGCTGTCCCGCACGTTTGCGGGAAATATCGTTTACTTTTACTTTACCTCCACGTCGCAGCTGTCAATGTCATCCTCGTTTCAGGTTGTAGATGATCAAGGATCTTGGGCCGCCCTGTTGGAGTCTAACATGCGTAGATCGTTTGCATAGATTGGGTCTGACAAGTCACTGACTGAATGCTCAATCCTAAGTGAACGTTACCCGGTAGTCATGTCACTTGATAAATCAATTTCAGAGTTCGGTTCAATCTTGACCCTGTCTCTCGGGGTTTTGTTAAACGAAAGCCGATCACGACAGACAATGCCTTGGACGGCGATCACTATCTCACCCGCAGATCCACGGGGCAATCCTGTTCGACTGATCTTGTTTTTTTCGGCTTGGTTCCCTGCTTTGGCGATTCCATAGCTTCTGTGGAGCGAGAAACTTTCTGACGGGGTTTGGCTCCGCTGGGGTCGATCCATGTCCGATGTGAAACTAGGGCCGATGGTGTCTCCATGCACGGGCGGTGGTGGGCAGGGTGGATAGGAGGTTATTTTCTGTGGTGCCGCGGTTTTGTTCTGGGGTCTACGATCAGAAAATGGGCAAGGGTACGAGGCACGGAAATTGTACGAACAGGTGTCCTAGGCACTTCTTAACGGTGGCACGCCCGTAATGATCATGTCCAATGATTTGGTTGTATACTGTACAAATGCTTTAAGACGCTAATGATAAACAAAAATCCGAATCCCAGAACCCAGTACACCAACGTCAATTTCATAAGAGTTCATCATAGGTTTGCCACTGCAGCAGAGCTCTCAGCACGGCAACACCGCCAGACTGCGTCTCGACGGTACGGCCACGCCCACGGTCATTGAAATCCCGGGGCACAACTGGGCCCGAGGCGTCAACATCCACATCCACAGTGGGCTCATCGTTAATATAGTCGACAGCACCATCAGGGAGAGTGCTGCTATTCACAATCTCATCCGAGACCGGTGCCCGGTTGAAAGGAAGTCCCCACCACATGCCGAACTTGCCCTTGTCGTCACGGGTAATAAGCGCCGCCTGCGCATTGTGCTTGATCCAAGGCCCATAGGCATGGCATCTCTTGAGATGCTGACTGTACACTTCATCCCAGTCACCGACAACATCTGGCGCTTTTTCGCCGCCGAGGAACGACTCCTCCTGCGGCTGCAACGGCCGACAAAATTCCGTCAGGTGGTGGAAAAAGATGCCCTTGAAGGTTTGTCCATCCTGCGAGCAGCTCGCGTGGGAATCGCATGTGTCTTCCATCACTCCGCCACGTCCCAGGCCGGTCCACTTGTTCGACGAGACCTGCGGCCATCCCGTGGCGCGCAGGATCCTTCCGATCAGTTCATGACCGTCGTCTAGGTAGGCCTGTGAGCCAATGGCTAGCCAGAGTCCTCTCAGCCCGCTGAGAACGACTCCCTGGTTGTAGGTGAAGATCATCTTGTTGAGCACATCGCATTTGCGCGATCCAGGGTTCGAGGACCCTTGCCAGCCGCTGATATGAAAGCCGTCGGCGTAGAGTCCGTAAATACCAGTCATGTTCGAGTTCTTTAGCCATGCATATGCATCAACGGCTGCCTTCAAATGCGTCGTGTTGTGCGGTTTCTCCTTCTTGGGTGCAGTGCCTGCCGAATTGGAGACGAACGGCGCGTCAATGGGGTCACCTGGGAAATACAGGTACATCGCAATGCTCGCGGAGATGTACAGCTCGTTTGTGATGGCGTTTTTGTACGGAACCAGAGTCGGGTTCCAAATCATCCCGCCGTTGCAGAGAGTCTTGTCCCACCCAGCCGAGGCGAGCTCCCAGAAGATGCGTGCTCGGTGTGCAGCCGAGTTACGGAACTGCGTGCCGTACCATCCTTCGCCCGAGGTCTTGTTGGACGAGTTGGCAGAAGCATAATGCAGATCCGAGTGCAGGTCTTGAAACTTGATGTTCTCCAGCCAGTCCAACACGACCCAAAGCATATCGTCGTAGGCCTGATTCCTGAGACTGAAAGCATCCTCGCCAAAGTAGAAGGTTGTAGTATGACTGAAGAAGTAATTGACAGTGTTCTCAAACGCAGCAAAAGATGCCTCGTGTGATTGGTCTCCCTTGTCGAGTCCAAATGGGCTGGAGGTAAAGGAAGATAGTGTCGCGGCGACATGCGTTCCCAAGACAGCGGCGGTCCAATCGATGCTGGTCGGCCATGTGCCCATCCATAGTACGAAATACTCGTCTTGCATCACCCGCAACGCAGTGAGCAGGTGCTGTTGCGTCTCAAAGGCCGAGGACCAGGTCAAGGGCTCAGGCGCATAGCTCTCTCCGACTTCGTCATCGTTTGAGAAATCAATCAAAGCGCTTAGAGGACTCTTAACAGCAGAGGCATCCTCTCGGATAGGTTGCTGGGGCGGGTACACCAGCGCGTTGCTCATGGGCGCAAAGAGAAGGAAGAATAGAGAAAGAACGATATATCGACGCAGGGACAACCCTGCAAGGGCCCCGGACGTGGATTGGGAAGCCATCCTGTTCATCCTGCCGGAACTTTGGAAATTCAGCGCTGAGCCCCTCCTCCTCTATAAGAATACAACAACACCAGGGGCACAAGGAACGAGAGCACGAGACTGGGGATGCGCCCCGATGCGGGGAAACGTTTGGCTGGGGCCGAGTCTTGGCTTAGTCACCCCCAGACCCCACCGGGACAGTTGGAGATATTCCATGGGGATGAGAGGTACTTGCTGAGGGCACGCGAGCAAATGCTCAACAGATGGCTTCGTAAACCAAACTCGGTGTGCATCACGAGTAATGGTGCGTTGGCAACCGCACGCCACATGGGAGGCGCGTGATGCACTCCGTAAGGGTTCCAGGACTACGCTCGGACAGACCTAAGCTTATTTCGGTACACATTAGCCTCCTACAGATTTCAGAACATAAGAGGATGTAACAATGTGTTTCGACAGATAGTATGCCCTCCATTTACCAAAAGGTGTGTAACAGGAAAAGTAGGGCGGCTCCAACCACGGAGGACCTAGAGTCTCCTTGACCTTTTAGGCTTCGTCGATCTATATCCCCAACTTATGCAAGCTAGTTGGCAGATCAAAAATGGCTACGCCACCGAAATCTGGCATTCTTATGTACTTCATGGTCTTTTCGCATTTTCAGTATAGATTTGTGCTAGCTGAACCATCAGATTTCGTTAGGCTAAATGGCAGATTCGTTGAAAAGAACGGCCTTCTCCAAGGCCATAATCTATTTCATAAGCATTCTTTTGTTCTGGATCCAAGTCAGTAAATGAAAGGACACCCGCCAAGTCAGAACACCATACCCATCAGGACAATGTATCATGACGCCGGCACAAACCTCTCCACGGGTATACCTTCGCCCCGCTCACAGAGCACAGACCGGGGCATTCGAAGAGGCAGCAAGTGCCGGCGGATTCATGGACGCCCATTCTCGTTTGTCATCCACCAAGAAAGTCGTATGGGTATGCGGGAGTAATCGAGAAAAGCACTGCGGCGGAAAGAGGTCGACAAAATGCGCAATCCAGGTATCAAAAGAAAGAGGACGAGTGAGACGCCCCCGTCAAAAGTTCATCCTTCGCCAAAAGTCGAAATTTACTTCCGGTCACCCTCAGGGCTGCGACTCCGATCCGGGCTGCGGCTGCGACCCCGGCCGCCGCCGCCGCCGCCGCCGCCGCCGCCACCCTTAGCTCCACCCTTGCCCTTGCTGGACGGAGGTGGGCGAACAAAAGCGTAGTCGACTTGGATGGTTTGGTCGAGAAGTTTAGCTCCGTTGAGGTTCTTGATGGCCTCAGTAGCCTCGGGAAGGGTCGAGTATTCGATCAACGCGTATCCCTAGAGCGGCGAGATGTTAGCTTCAAGTGCCCTCAATGTCCTCAGGACGCGGTAACCCCATCACTGGCCGGATGCACAAGCTGCGATTGCAGCTGCCAACGATGGCGACAAGCGCAAATAGTAGTTCGCACGCACCTTGACATAACCCGTCCGCCGGTCCAGGTTCAAGTTGAAGTTCTTGATCTCGCCGTAATCCGCAAACATCTCCGTGACGTCCTCCTCTGAAGCTTCCTCGTGAATGTTGGACACAATCACAATCCACCCCTCGATACTGCGCACCGCGACGGAGTTGGACTGAGTCCGCGGCTCGAAGCCATCGCCTTGCGGTGCGTCGTCCTGCGTGACGGGCTGGTCGACTTCCATTTCGGTCGACATTTTTAAGGGCTGAAGATAAGGTAGAGGTTGGAGGTGTTCAGAGAATGAATTGGTGTGCTGGTGGTGTCCAATGAAGCGACGAGGGGTTGCGGTCTGACGTGTGAGTGAAAGTCGAGCGCGGAGCGGGAAAAGCTTTGGCCTCCCATTCGGGGTTAGCGCTCCGCCTTTGTCTTCACGTTGATCGTTCCTTTGCCAGTGCTATGTCGTCTCTTGTGCTATTTTCCTTTTTGATAACTGGCAGACCTTGAAAAAAAACCTCTAGATTGATCCAGTACACTATGGACCGTCCAGATGAAGATTTTAAAATCGATTGTGGAAATCACGGGGAAATCTGCAGATATGCAAGAACTATGAACCATTTAGGGCATTCGCATTAAAAAAGAAGAAGAAAAGAAAAACAGGGTTTAAAATCTCGCATCCTGGATACAATTTCTCGCCTTCTCATGATTTGCTTTTCGTCCTCACCGTTTTGGGATGCCTTCTAAATCCTCGGCTCCCTCTACCACCACGGTTTCCGATTACTGGTCTTGCTATATTAGGGTCTAACTACCAACCCCTTTATGTAATTTAGTACACTCGCAGATGAGTCAAATTGGCAAAACCAAAACAATAATCGGCAATCAATAGGAATTCGCTAGGGCTCGAGATTTTACCCGACTGTGAACCTGTAACGGGGTTCTTGGGACGGACGCAGCTTAGAGACATGAGAGTATTGTGGAATCATGACTCGACAGAATGGTATACAGAGAGAAGCTGAAATGCCTTCTGCACAAAAAAAGGCCCATAATACAGGTTTAATATGCCTAGAGAACGTTTACACAAGAAACTTTAAGGGAAGGGCTTTTGAGGCTGCCCGCAGTACATGGGAGATATGAAGCGAGAGAATGAAAGAAAACAGACAACTCTCCGGAAATACCCTCAGTATAGAGCCTCTCTGGGCCTTGACACTCGAGGTTGGGGATTCGAGATTCGTCGCTTCAGCACGCTTTCCCTCTCAAGAAACCCCACCCACCTACCCAAGACGAGATACTCTCTCTCGCTCCCCTTGAGCAAAATGGGACAAGGGAGATTCCATTACACAGACAGCGAGCCAGAAGCAGGGGAAGAAACCCCTCCAGAATGGTGGCGCTGGTAAGTTCTGAGAGAGTTTTCGAACCAACTGGGACGAACATGACAACCGACGTACCTAATACTGCACAGCAACGACCCCCTGTGCACTTGCCAGAAAGCACCAGAGGTACCTCCTAAGGAGGCTCTCGGGCTGCTCATGTACGATGCAGAACCGGGAAAGATGAATCAGCTCCATGGACCAACCACCCAACTCGACGTTACATTTGACATCATCCTCGGTATCATGCGTCTGAAGCAAAAGCTTCGTGATCCAAAAACATGGCCAGAAGTACAGAGCGTGGTGACAGTGGAAGCCAACACAATGAACAGCGCCTTCGTCAACCTGGAGGGTCTTGCCGATAACTCTCTTCTGTTTACTTTCAAGCTCCTTTCGGCTGATCCTGCAAAAACCAAAGCCAACCCCAAGACTAATGGAATGAATACGAACGGAACAAACACCAACGGAATGAAGACCAATGGAAAGCAGAAGAAGCATAATCTACGACCAAAGCTAACACAAGAGATCTTGGGATTCTTTCCTGACGACCAGACGGCCGAATGCCCACTCTTCAAAGCCGTGAATGAGAACACCCACAACGAAAAGACCCTGCAACTTCATCTTCCAGAAAACCGCATAGACTCATGGCTGACTGCTGCCTTGATCCTGCTCACGTACAGGGAGATCAACCCCACGATCTGGTACCGCGTCACCACCAAACAGAAAGAAAAGGGCATTGCAGGACTCAACTGGGTTCAGATCCGAGAGAAGACGGCACCGATTCAGACAACACTGAGTGACGAGGCAAGGGAAAAGTGCCGACTCGCCTTTACTGAGGAGCTGGCAAGGTGGGCTGCTATTGAACAACAGGCTATTCGCCTTGGATTGCAGGGCAACCCTACGCAGGGATATGTTGGGTTCTCGGCCATGATGGATCCGACCAAGCATTCCCAATTGCGTGCGGGGGATCTGGGATTCAGAGGCTGATATGTTTCATACTTGTGGGTTGAATTGGGCTTTTCGGGGGCGAATGATGGACTTGTGCCAGTCACCGGATATGAATACTAGGAATCGTTCTACTGGGGGCTACTAATAGCTCTGGACATGATTTGACGACATAACGGCTACGAGGTCGATAGCAGAATAAGGTGTTTCAAAGTTGATTTTGTAGTGCTCTTCTTATAAACATATGTCAAGGAGTGGAGATTGTACTCCCCGTTCGCAGACTTGAGAAGAGTGTTGATCTCAGGAAATAAAGCAAGGTTATTCGTTAAAAGTACAGGTCAGGTAGATGATAGAAGAAATGCAACCGTATTAACGCCATGGTATCTAAGATGGCTTACTTCCGGTTGTTGCTGCGCATGCCCAGAATCTGGACCATGCGAACAAAGATGTTGATGAAGTCCAGCTCAAGGCTGACACTCTCGCTGACAACATCACGCTTCATGTAGCCGCGCTCGGCCAGGCGGGCGTGGTGTAGGATCTTCTGAACATCGTACAGGGTGAAGCCACCGAAGACAGCCAGACCACCGTACAGCCAGATGCGCTCAGACCACATCAAAGTGCGAGCGGCGGTGGCGGGCAGAACCATGGGGGCGAGACCGGAGAGAGCAACGAGGGTAACACCAGCAAGGAGGGGACCTCCGAGGTACAGGTACTTCTCCTGCTTGGCAGTGGCACCGACGAAGGCAATGGAGCCCATCAGACCAACGGTGTACAATCCAGCGCGAGCGAGCAGAGCAGGGTTGTAGAACATCAGAGGGGAGAGGAGCGCAGCTTGGGTAAGGTTGAACAAGGTCCAGCAGCCGTACTTCATGACGTAGCTGATTGGAAGTTAGCACTGTCATTCTCTATCTTAAATGATGGATTTCCAATGATGACGACTTACTTATCCGGGGAGGTGTAGAAAGTTCCATACATCGCGCCAATGCTGCCGACCAGGCCGACACCGAGGACAAGCCACGGGTTCATGGCCATGAGACGGTACGACCATCCGTTCATGTGAAGAGCGCGAGCAGCAACGCCAATGATACCAATACCAAGTCCAGTGTGCATGAAAGTCTCGTTCAGGAAGCTACGCTCGTAAGCGGGCATTCCGCCGTCCTCGCGGGTCTCACGGTTGAAGACTAGGTTGGTTGCCAGGATGGTACCACCGACGATGGCGCCGCCGTACAGCAGCTTCTGGGTGAAGCTACCCGTATTAGCATTGAAAGACTGCTGCATGTAGGTGCGACGGAAGGCATTCTGGAAGGTCTGGCGAGACTTGGCGAAGATGGCGGACGAAGCCCCGGAAGGCTTTGCGGCCTGAGTGGGCTTGATCGGGGAGTTGTGGATGAAGCGAGCGGTGTTCGAAAGCTTGGGTACCTGGCGAAGTGCCGAAGGCACCGCGAAGGGGCGCCGGAGGAAGAAAGCCATGACGATGATGTCGAGAGTGAATGGCAAGAGGGAGGTTTATATCCGGCGGGCGCCCCGATGATGGCTGATTACGCACCGGGCAATCGGCTGCTCTTAAGTCCGAAGCTTCTGGAAGCGCACGTGACAGAGTGGGATGGCAGTTTTTGGATATTCAAAATACGTCATGTTCTGATCGTAGCCCTACTTTAAGGCACTCACTGTTCACCATGGCACAGCTGGAGACTATCGACATCCCTCACCTGCCCTTGTCACTTCCGGTGCATGTGGCGCTGTACCGCAATGTCGAAAATGCGGAGTTACTGAAGCAGGAACTGCTTGCCGGCAACTCGGAGTTTGAATATGCCTTGATCGATGCTAGCATGGTATGTGCACAGCCACTTTTGAATAATATTGATGATTAATTCTGATGCAAATAGGTTCTATCGCGAGCCCACGCGATCACAGCCATCTTCAGGGCTGTCAATGACTACATGAATGACCGGCTCAAGTCCCGCAATGTGCACTCGGAGATTGTGTTCTCATTCAGCTCAACAAACAATGTATGCTGCACTCTGCAAACTGCTACCTTCCAAGAAACTAATGTGCATAGATTGCGGATTCTTTCCGCAAGTTCGGCATTGCCGACTCCACTAAAGATCTGCTGGTGGTCAAAGTCTCTGTGACCCCGGAGATAACCCATGACTCCGTAGCAGCGCACCTGGAAGCTTCTATTAAGGGAACACCAGTGCCGTTTGATGATGAGACATTGTCGCAGATCTCTGACGTCGCAAAGATCAAGAAGTTCTACAAGCTTGGTGCCCTGCCGGACCCCAAAGCCACTGGTCAGGCTAATGGCACCCACGCTGATGATGCCAAACGTCGACTGGAGCTCTCGTTGCTAGGTGCTATTGCCTTGAGGGGATCATGATAGAATGCTCCATACTGGACGGTCTCCATACGAGCGAGGCTGCTGCTTGCGCAGATCCCATCATAACCACCGCCAGACCCTCGGGTGTGGATTTATCGATCCTCGGCTCCAACACTTGCTGCCCGGAGTACTCGAACGTGGGGTCATTCTCAAAATTGTTCTTGAAGACGGCTTTTTGCCCAACGTATTGTCAAAGGCGCAAGAACAGTCCTCGACGACCCGGATTCAACATGCCAAGTGGCATTGGTCCGTAACTGGCACCGATACCCCTGAAAAGCTCATTCAAACCCGACGCATGTATCAGGTTAGTATTGACCGATGAGACAATGAAACGATACTACGAGATCTATGAATCATTTTAAATCTACTGCGCCTTGAATGCTTCTAATGCTTCGAAGAATGGGCTCATATTGGGTTTTCAAGTTGAGCCATGCCATTCGTCGTTGAATCGTAGAAAGAGCTAGATACAACTACAAGATTTTCCTTACTTGACTTCAAGGCAGGGTAGTTGCTAAATAAAGCAAGATTTATTGTAACGAGGGTCCAAAATGCCGAGCGTTGCCCTGCCCAACTAGTTGTTCTTCCCAAAACGGCAGTCCAGTTACTTGCCAAGACTTGCGATCGCCGCCGCCCCAGCGCATCTTAAACGCGACATCCTCAAATCTCTCGACGCGCACATGAACGATTTAGCGGCCATTTTGTTGGCCTCGGTTATGGCAACCGCATGCGCAAGTCGGATGTGACACTTTAGAGCTTTAGACGCGCCCAGATCTGGCCTTCATCATCTTCAACGCGCCGCTCGCCACGATGACGAACTCTGCGGATGTTATTGTCCTGTCCTCTTCTCCAATCCTTCTTCCGCAGACTCACACGAAGACTGCAGTCGATTTGGAGAAGACACATGGCATATCACCACGAATTGAAACGCCACCGTCCCTGCCCTCGCCCTCGGAACTGTTCTCATTGCCTTCGCGCTCGCGATTCTTCCCCCAGCCAAAGGTCACGGACGACACGCCTAAGACGAAGCGCCTGACGATGAATAAATCTGTCACCTCGGATCCTAATGACAAGGATGCGTCGATCAAGCTACGACGGAAAGCAAAGAAAGCAACGAAGGAGCCAAAGTCGAGCCGCCTGGGCGACATAGAACCGGACTCCCTTGATTTGCCGGACAACGTTGCCAAAAAAGTCACGGGACTACCGAAAAGTCGTCCACGGAAGAGCACGAAGGCCGCGAAGAGCAAAGAGTCGGGTAATATGACTCTAGCCGGCAAGGTAACCAAGACGAGCAGTGAACCTCAGGCAAAGAAATCGAGCAAGACTGGGAAGAAAACTGCTGAAATGACGTTATCCCCCGGTGAATTTCCTGAACAGTCTGGCTTTAAAGCGTCAAGTGCTCGGGAGAAGGATGAGGAATTGTATTTGGACAAGGCCTTGAGAAGAAGAGTGGATTGGACACCACCAAAAGAGACCGCTACGGGAGAGACTCTCGTGGTGGAAAGTGATGACCAGCTTGATGAAAACCCACTAAAATGTACAACGAGTGGACTCGGAAAGCTCTTCTCGGACTATAATTACTCTGGGTCAAGATCGGAGACACGCGAAATTCGTTCAAGTTTAATCGGCGGTGGACTGACCAAGCGAAGGCGTATAGAGGTATGAGATGCATGGCTCCCAAGGCCTATGTTGAGGATGTTGGCTAATATATTCCAGTTGGTGGACCCCCAAGTTTACCCACCGACCAACAGAGTCCTATTGAATGATGAGTCTTCAGTCCAGGAGGAAGACTCAACGTCGTCCGGTTCTAAACCCAAGAAGAAGCCAAAGAGCCGGAAGCGTTTCACGACTTTGACGGCCCGAATGACGGCGCAATATGCAGCCAATGATGCCGAAGAGGATATGATGGATGATATTATCCCAGATATCGGAAAGGCAAAGTCTCGAAGAGGCAAAGCCAAGTCGGCGGATAAAGATCCTATCTTTACTGTTCTTTCTCCCGAAGCTGCTGCCAAGTCCTTGGAAAACCAGGATCTCATGTTTGGGACCTGCAGTCAGTTGGAAAGGGAAGACTCTCCTCAAACCCTCAGGGAAATGCAGCAGGCCATTCGTGAATCAGAGGGTCTTGTTCCTAGGGAAGGAGAACGGAACACTGCCTCGGATGTCGTATCTCGACGAAGTGGCACACGGAACCTATGGTCTGTTGCTTCTCGAGACACAGAAGGGTCTTTGGTACAGACGGAGCTTCTGGACATGATAGATCTCACAGACGCATCCGAAGTCCCCAAGAAGAAAGAAAATACCGCGGCCATTGCAAAACTTCGTACTTCGGGAACTCGGCAGGAGGATGATTGGCTCGACCTTGACTTTGAGAAGCTTGATTCATCTTCCAAGCAGAAATCGCAGTCCGAGAAACGTTCCAAATCCGCGGCGAAGCCGAAACCTGCAGCCAGTTCAGAACCAGTGGCATCCGGTCATGACATTCAAGCGAATGTTGCCAGTAGTCAACGAGCAGGCTCTCAGCAGCCTTCAATGCCGCATTATAGTGGATTCACAGATGCCGAGCTGTCCAGTCAAGTTGCTTCCTTTGGATTCAAGTCCGTGAGAGGCCGCAAGAAGATGATTGAGCTGCTTCAAAAGTGCTGGGTATCCAAGCAGGGAAGTTCGGCACCGGTGATTTCCAGTCAAAAACAGCACGTTCCCGCCTCTGCCCAGACCGCGTCTGAAACAACAACGGCCAAAGCAAAAGGGAAGGCGAAGTCCAAGCAGAGTACCACAGTGTCCACACCAAAAAAGAGCACACAGAGAGCCTCGAAGGTCGGGAAAACTGCACAGCCATCATTCATGGACGTGGAAGAAATCCAGGATTCCGAAGAGGAAATCTTTCTCTCCCCAAGTCAAGTGCAAAAACGATACACCGAACTATTTTCCAACAATACCAGCTCAACCCTTGAGCCTTCTCTCGAAATCTTGACAAAGCAGTCACAACACCCGAGCCCAGCGAACCGGGAAATCACTACTGTCAAATCCTCACGCACTGCAAAGAAAGTGACATCCTCAGTTGCTTCCAAAACCGACAACACAGACCCTTCCAAGTGGAGCAGTCTGCCAGATCTATCCATGCAGATCACCAAGGCTGTACGACATCAGTCCCAGTCCTCCCATCCGTCAACCCACGCCGGCCGAATTCTCCCGAAATGGCAAGAGAAGATCGTCATGTACGACCCGATCATTTTGGAAGACCTGACAACTTGGTTGAACGTGGAAGGTCTCGGTATGGTCGGAGAAGACCGTGAAGTCAACACTGGGATTGTGCGGAAGTGGTGCGAAAGCAGGGGGATCTGCTGCTGCTGGAGGAAGAATGCAAGTTGATGAGAGCCGCATCGGCCTGGACATTATTGGAGGTTATTTTGCAGTCGTTTGGGTCTGATATGCGGAATTTGATACCCCGAAGACTTGGCCAGGGCCTCAAGAGATAAAGATAATTGATTATACTGCTGCATGGAAACAGCCTCTACTTCATCTACGTCTTTACGCATAACTCTACAAAGCAGCAACCAGAATAGAAACACAAATACCCTTAGCCTAGGTATTTCACAAGAAAACAAGAAAACCCCGAAAAGGAGAAGAACAAAGTCCCGCAAAGAAAAAAAAAAAACAAGATCGGTTCACGGGACTCAAAACCCCCCAGCGTATTGTGCAGACACCCGAACCACAACTCCGTGAGATAGAAAGTTCATGCAAAGGCAAAACAGCAATGACCTAAGTCATTGTACCACATAATAAGGGAAGCGGCTGCACCAAGTCTGAGGGACGAATTCAGGAGCGTCTAATGGGTAGACCCGCCAGAACCGTGGACAGGACAGTACTCAGGAGCATAATTCTGGCAGGTGCAGCCAAGGAGGTTGGACTGGCCATCCTCGTAGAGGAATGGCTGCTTTGGCTGGTCAATCTCCAGCACCTGGAAAAAGAAAAAGAAAACAATCAGAATCAATAACAAACGAAAACAATGAAACTCATGAAGAGTGATTGTAATGAAAGAATTTGAAAGGGAGACTGTGAGTTGGTTAAAGGGGCAAAGACAAGGCAGTAGTAAGAGTTAGGGTTCGGGCTCGGGCTCGGGCTCGGGCTCAGAATCGCGACGACATACCCCGCTGTTCAGCTTTACCAAACCCCGATCTGAGTTGTTGGACTGAACAGGGGGATGTCTTACCTGGAAAGGCTCCTGGAATAGCTGAAGCTGTTGCTGGTAGTTGTTCAGCTGGATATGCAGATGCTCGTTCTCCTTGGACAGCCGGATGTTCTCCTTATCCAATGCCTTGACCTTCTCTTCCAGCTCATTGACGGTTTCCTTGAGACGGCCAGCCTCGCCACGAACGCAGGTCTCGCCGGTGACTACGTCAGTCACCTGGCAGGGCAAGTTGGCCGCTCGGCAGGACAGGCAGCCTTGGATATCACTGTCGCAGCGAAGTCGGCGAACCTATTTCCGGGTCAGTGTATATGAGTAGATATCTCCATGAACGTCGAGAGAAAAAGAAGTCACCGGAGTTAGATATTTACACGTACCTTGCAGCGGTCACAGGCCTGTCGAGTGCGCTTGGTCTTGCTACTCAAGGCTTCCTCACGAGCACGCTCAGAGTATTGCTCCGGGTCTTCATCGGCGCTTTTGCGGCGGCGCTTTCGGGGAGTTTCTGGACTATTGACGGGGCTCCCTTCCACTTGCTGGGGCTGCTGGTGCTCTTGCTTGACCCGACGTTGACAATAATCGCTTGTCGAGAGAGCTGCGGAGTCGTTGGAGGCAAATTTGTTCGGCGGGGTCTTGGGGGGCTCCCGCTCATCCAGCAAGCGCTGGAGGTCAGCGAGGTCATCGCTGGAAAACTCCTTGGGATTCACCCAGCCAGACATACTGAAGTATGCAACGGGCTGGTGAAGGGCAGAAGCTACTAGGAAAATAAAGACCAGGGTTAGTTGGGGCAAATATGTCCTGAAAGGGCACTGAAGAAGCTTCTTGAGATATTTGATATCTCTAGTGGTTCGAGTATAGATGATGGACCGTTCACATACCTGCTATTGATGTTTGTGGATATCACAAGATCTTGTAGATTGTATTCAAAGACACAAAAGGAAGCAGGGCAGAGGGGAGGTAGAAGGGGGAGGGAATATCAAAAGCGCGTCGTGCAGTAAACAGCTCAAGAACACCGGAGATGGACCACGACGCGTCAATACTAGCGTGCATTTAATGGCCTCAAGTTGATACCTTGCCAGCACAAGTTCTTGTCTGGTATAATATTAGTATTCAGTTCCGAAAACTGCCTTTCGCCTTTCCTATCATCGGGTGCTTTCTTACTAAAGAGCCCGGCGTCAATAAAAATAGTATCCATAGTTTCAGCTTCATCTTCAGGAGGACTCTCATTATTCAGGTGTCCGGGTAAATAATACCTTTATTTGGACTTGAACTTGCTGCACCAAAATGCTCCATGAGAGTACGCAGTTGAAGATTCTGCTTTCTGCGTTTGCCTTTCAGAACTATACACGGGCCATTGGGGATAGGCTATGTTCGACCTATCCCAAACTTCCATTGAATCAATAAAGGACCCTGTCTATTCCCAAGCGCTTTCAGGATTTCTCTATCAATTGACAGAATCATTCATCAACGATGAACAAGAAAACCGTCTAAAAAGATTACCTACTGGAAAGACTCCCAAAACCATAATGATCATAGCACACAATAATAAAGTATATTGTCCAGGTATTTCAGAAACAGATATTCAGTATCAGAATATTTAGAGTACAGTGACCCCAAAGACACAACCAAAGAAAGACATAGGCGGATGCAGCATTATTTCATTAATGGCAACCAATAAAGCGTTGAAAGGCCATTCAGCATAATTAAAACATCGAAACTGAAACCAAGAGAAGCAGATGCTGTCAGACTTTAAACTCCTGCCATGCTCGCCCAGCCCAATAACCAGAGAATCCGAGAATCGAATCGGAGAAACGCAAAAGCCCGAATCGTGAGCCCACTCTATACGGGTAGCCAAGAGAATGATGTGTTTCCAAGTACCCTAGAAAGCGCTGTACTCCCAAGTAAGACAGGTTGGAATATGAATAAGTTCAAGAAATCGAAAATGAAGAAATATAAGGCGCAATAGTGACAGTATTAAATGGTGGTACGATGTGGTGATGAGTCTCATCGGGAGTGTCTGTTATTCGCGGCGACTGTTTCGAACTCGATGCGCGATTGATACCGCTTGGCACTGCCATCTTCGAGCCAAGATGTGAGGTTCTTGCATTGGCTCACGTCGAAGGTCCGAAGTTGGTGGCAGCCCTCGGCAACAGCCTCAACGCCAACACCAGTGACACGGACGCAGCCACGCACGGACAGATATTCCAGGGACAGCAAGTGGAGGCCTATGCTCCGTAGAGAAGGGTCGGAGATCGCGGAACCGCAGAATGACATGTTCAGATGTTTAAGATTTGAACATTGGAGGGCGAGAACTTCAGTTGCCGTGTCGGAAAGTGCACAACAGAAAGACTAAATTTTTTGGGGTTAGTGACTTGTAAAGTGATGTTAAAAGTTGTTGCTGAGTTCATACCAGATCCAGCTCTTGCAGCTGCTTCGCGGCATTGGTCAGATGCACGATGGCGTTATCTGTCAAGTATGTGCAGTCCGCAAGGCAGAGTTTCCGTAAGTTGGTGAATCGAGCGTTGCCCCAATACTGGAACCCCTGGTCCGTGATCGTGGTGCAACGAGTCAAGTCCATTTCCTCAAGTCGTCCTGCGGCGTGCGAGGCAATGTGGTGCATCGACCGATCCGTGACGTGTTTGCAATACGATAGCGTGAGCTTTTTCAACTGCGGACAGCCATAAACGGTGCAATCTGCTGTTTGTATGGTGGGCTTGATGGATGCGCTTTTGCCTTCAATCTTTTGATTGCTAGGGACAACCCAACCAATGATCCGGGCCATGAGTGTATCACCCACCTTCCGGCAGTTGCTCAAATCTACCTCCTGCAGGCCAGTAGCTTTACAGGACATCTCAAGAATAGCGGAGGCCGTGACATCCCAAACACTCTTCATCTTCCATGAGGTGGAATTTGGTGCACAGGTCCTCGCCAAGGCATTGAAGCCCTCATCGGTGACATGGAAGCAATTGTTGATATTCACAGAGCGAGGGCGATTTCCAACAAAGGGGCAGACGATCTTGACGAGGACATTGTCGGTGAGCTGGCGATTATACATGCTCAGGTCCAAGTCGCGAGCCACATCTGGTGATTGAGTCAAGATCTCTGACCAATGGGATGATACGCCGCGGAGTCGAAGTAGATGGTGAAGTTCCAAAAACTGGAAAATATTCAAGAGCACGCTATCGGGAAATATTCCACGATAAGCATCACCAAAGGAGCGGGAATTTTGGCGTTTGGAGAATCCCGCGTTCTCTGGAAGGGTGAAAGAGGAAGACCTAGCGGAGCGTGGTTCTGAGGGAGGAGAGGGTCGAGGTTTAGGTTTTTCACCCGAGACTTCGTCTGGCGTCAATGGTGCAACTGATCCGCGTCGACTTCGAAGCCGAACCTTGTCTAGCCCCAGGCTGAGATAAGGATCGGGATCGGAAGGCCGTAAGACCGCCTCATCCTGGTCTTCCACCGGAGAGGATTGGTGCGGGCCATCCAACTCCGTTTCAGTTAAAGTCAACAAGGGCATTGAACGTCTCCTAGACGATCTTATTTTCAGTTGATCATCGATATTCAGATCGCCCATCGGTGATGGCTCATCAGCTGCATCCGACATGACCACATCACCATCAGCAGCTGCCTGAAGCCTCTCTTGAGCGGTGCGTTCGACCTGCTCGCGAATCTCACGGGGACACATTTCCCAGAATTTGGCTAGTACATTTCCACTGAGCATGAGGCACTCGACTGCTGTGACGGAGCGAACGGTTGCTGTTCTCCGAGGTGCGAGTGATAGACTGACCACTTCCCCGAAGTATTGGCCTTGTTTAAGTCGAGCTTTTATTTCGACCGAATGGTGGCGAGTTCCATTTGGCTGATTGTTTTTATGTTTGGAATCGTTCCTTTCAGTCACCACCTCGACTTCACCACGGACGATAAAGTATAATTCACGACCATGGGAGTCTTGCTGGATGATGTCGGTGAATGGAGGAAACGAAGCTGGCTGAGCTTCAAGACCCAGGAAATGAAGGATGTCCGCTGGAAGCCCAGAGAAGAGAGGTAGCTCTTTAAGCAAAAGGCGAACATTCACCACCCCGTTTGCTAGAGCACTGGATGCATCTCGGCGGCCCGGGCTCGGTGACTTCCGCTTCTTATATACCGACTTGAGTGTCAACTCCTCTTCGTCTTCGGTGATCATCAAGTCTTTGGAAGAACCTTCTCTCAACCGTTTAGAGCCTCGTCGCACCGGGCTGGGAGTCGGATCGTCCACCACTGGTGCAGAGGTCTCTTTCTTCTTCTTCTCTAGAATCATCAGTCGTTCCTGGGCTTCTTCCATAATCGCCTGCTCCACCTCCGGGAAACGCGGCAAGATGTTTCTGAAATCCTCTTTGGAGAGCACGACCAGCATGCATCGAGTGCGAGCGACGATGGTCGCGGTGCGCGGCCGATCCATCAGCACGCCGATCTCTCCAAAAAAGGCACCCGGCTTCAACTCGGCATATACGCTCTCGCCATCACGCGACGTGACCGACACGGCACCCCGCACCAACCAATATATCGCTTTCGCATCGTCGCCTTCGGTCAAGATGTAATCGTTCGGGGCGTGGAGCTGCGGGCGTAAATGTTGCCCGACCTCAATCAAGAAGGATTCCGGGGTCGCCTGGAAGAGGGGGAACGAGCGCAGCCGGTCGACGAGTTCTAGCGGCAACTCTTTGATTTGGGAGGAGGCTAAAGGCGAAGGCCGCACCGGCCGGTTCGGGTTCATGACGGAATCGAAGGAATGGATGAGGGAGACGGCGTCGGACATGGGGACGGCCTTGGTAGGCCCCCCGCTGGACCTTCCATGGCGACGCATGATCGATCACAGCTATATGAGAGATCAAATGGAAGCTCCGGTAGGCGACAAGGGAGGTAGGCCCTTTTTGAGGGCGTCAATATAGCGATGACGTCGACGAAAGGAGCGCAGGTGTCGAGCTTGCCGTCGGCATTCTTCCACGCCCAATGGGTAGAGACGTGGTGCTAGCAGACCGGCATCAGCAGAGGGGAGAATGGAAGTGGAAGTAGGAGCTTTCGCTGCAGGGAAGATCCAAAACGAAGAGTGTCAGAGCTCACGGACGGGGTCAGGCAAAAAGGTGGGGGGTTTCCGACTCAGCGACGTCAAATGCGGTTGAGCTCCACCGATCATCTGAAATCCTTTGGAAACTCTACTCTGAGCTCCACTCTGTCTACAGTGAGTTGTGATAGATAGGATAGATAGAGCCAGGCCAAAGTAACGCAAGACCGATCGAGATGATTCTTTTACGAACACCTCCCTGGTGGGGAAACAAAGCGATCAACTCTGCGCAGATCGCCGCATCCTTCGGTGCCTGCAGAGAGCCACCGGCGATCTATGCTGGCTTTACACAGGGATGGATTTATCCGGATGCTTCATTTTTGGGCGATGACATTCGAAATTGAAGGTTTAGCGATACGGTGATGATTTTCATCGGCAAAAAGACTTCCACGGGACGCTAAAAGCAGTAGTCCAAATCCGGGCTTCCCCCGAGCCCCTCCAAACATGCATAACAGCTCTTGCCTTCCAGTAGTCCTGTGCTTTCGGTTGCAAATGTGCCTGAACCTCTACGGTTATAACCCAGTCACGTGCTCCATCCACGTAAGGATGCGTTAGAGAAAAGTAGAGAATTTCAATAGATTGGCTCTGGGTATCAAATGCAATAATAACACAAGGACAAAGTGATGCACAACGGAAGAGTGCCAAGTCGCTCAGCATTAGAAGCCTGTACACTTCAGGGGGATGGGTCCTCTAGAAACCCTGAGGCTCCTTGCCTGCCATGACACATGACTGAGGCTGCTGTGCTCGGGGGAAATCCGGCTATACCGGGACTATGCTGCATTGAACCACTCAAACAACACGTCCGGTGCCTTGTTCATGTCCTCGCTCGCTTCACAGAAAACAAGCGGAAGCAAGTCTTCGGGCTTGATGGGGCGCTGTGGGTTTCGACCGGCAATAATGGTAGACTCCATATATGCAGAGAACTCGGGCGCAGAGCAGCCCAAGGTATATATGACCCATGCTAAATCAGATGGATCCTTCGCTACTAGCTTTGGACCGACGGTTACCCATGAGGAAATCCACGTATGTAGGTCGGTTCCCTTTCATCGACTCCAAAGCATCTTGACACAATCCATACACGAGGCTCAACTTCAAACCAAGCTTCGCAGTGCGTGCAGCAGTGTAAACATCGTGGCGAGCTACAAACCGACACGAGTCAGTATTGTTCTTTACTATTCAGGAAATCCGGAACTCCCTTACCTAGTAAACTGTATATTCCGGAGAATGACAGTCCCGCCGTTACAGTTGACAAGAAGTCTCTCTCTTCATGCCGGGCATAATCCACCGTCTCTTCGAACAGACAGAATGCAAGCGCACCAGCACCGAGCTTGGAGCCCATTTTTATGGCATCCTTCACGCCGCCCACCACCGAGATGTAGTTCTTGGTCTTGTGATACTGGAACCACCCGGCAGATGTCGTAGGGAATCGATGGGCATTTTCTGCACGGAACCGGAGACCGGCCTTCTTGCTGCCATGATAATATCCGAGTACCGCGCCCGACGTGAACGCGGACATGGTTGCATAGGGAATGCGCTTCTCGACATCGATGCCTAACCGGGGAGGGGTGTCGGATTCGAAGAGCTTGTGCCAGTAGATAAGCTTAAGGAGGATTGAATCATCCCGCGAGGAGTCGGGTGGTGGGTGTTGGGTCTCCATGCTGGAGCTTGTGTGAGCAGATGAGCGTTCGACGTGGGTGCAGCACAGCAGAAATTCAAAGGCGGCAGTCGGAGACCCGCCACGCCCTCTTCTCCGCCTCCGTCACTCGGTCAAAACGAGTTCACTCGAGAACTTCTACATATTTCACCGAATCTGCACAATGGTACGTGCTGAGTTGCTCCAGCTTTCTAGTTTTTACATTCGGGGCCCCCGATTTACTAATTCTTGACGGAGCAGCCGCCAAAGCAGGCAAAGCCAGACCCGCGCTCTTCCACGATCCTCTTTAAGAAGCACAAGACCACAGTCCTTCTCTCGCTTCAGTCCCATGAATCTGTCACATCGGCCAAGGAGAAGCTTCTCCAAGCCCTGAAATCACGGCATCTCAGCGACATCAATGGCGACGCGGTTCCCGACAACCCTGCGCAGATAGAGCTCGGCGTGCCCGTGGACCGGAGCGACCTAGAGAAAGGCTGGATGGGCTTAACAACGGACATTCCGGGTGAAGAAGACGGCTCAAAAAAGAACGGAGGAAAAAAGAATGCGTCAGATACTCTGCAGACTGCAGGACTCCAGAATGGTCACTCAGTCGCATTCCGCTTCCGCAAAACGGGCGCAGGTGATGAGCTCGACACGGACATGGAACTCAATGACCCTGGCTGGGACGTAATCATCCCGAGCTTCGATGACGAGGAAGAGGCATAGGGGCAACGCGTTACGATTCATAGACAAAACGACATCGGGCTCATGGTGGTCCAAGGCGCTGGCGGATAGGAGGATTACTCGCTTCAACTACTTCTATATGGTGTTTGATTAGGCTTTGGCATTGCAATTATGAATGAACACGTTGGTCATAGTACCTTGAATATACCACGGGCTACGTCAAAGGCACAATATTTAAGGGTGCTATGGTCCATTCGCAACCGATGATCTCTGTGTACATCGATCATTAATCTGAAATAATTCATACAGTAAGGGGTCGGGATCGTGTCTAAGCTTTCTTAGCAGACGCAATGTACATAACGGTCTGCTGTCATCGTAGGTGATTCCCCACAGCCCGTGACAGCTGTGAGACGTATGAGCGCGTGGAATAACGGGGATCTGAGCGTGGCTCATACCTGAAACGCATTGTTACCCCCAGACGATAACCCGGCTAGCTTAAATGCCACACACTGATCGCGTCTATCGCCACTATAAAACGGTTGCTCGGAGCAACCAGGAGGGACACCGCGCACCCGCATCAACAAATGAAATCACGGCCAGGAGTCTTTTCGGAGAATACTGCATCCCATACTCCATACGCCTTTAGATCCACACATTCTTCGTCTTCACATCATAACCTTCGACACAACAGTCCCCTGGCCCTGCCGACCCCAGGGTCCGCATCGACACACCGGTCCCGTAACACCGCGACGAAGGGGGGGGAACGACACTAATCCGATACGACACCATGGCCGCCTCCGATGGCGCTTCCTCTATTTCCGTCACGGTTCGAGTTCGACCTTTCACCATCCGAGAGGCCGCTCAAATCTCCAAGTGCGACGATGGCCCGCTCTTCCTGGGCGATGGGTCGCTGGCCGGCAAGCCAGCCCCGAAGCTTAACCAGAAGGGGATTCGATCCATTGTCAAGGTCATTGACGACCGTTGCCTGTGAGCCCGGATGCAGGACCTGCAATGTGACAAAGTGCTGACTCGACTGCCAGAGTATTCGACCCTCCCGAAGACAACCCCGTCCAGAAGTTCTCGAGGAGCGTGATTCCAAATGGCAAACGCGTCAAGGATCAAACATTCGCTTTCGATCGGATCTTCGACCAAAATGCCTCCCAAGGCGAGGTGTACGAGTCGACTACTCGCAGCCTTCTCGACAGCGTTCTCGACGGTTACAATGCGACTGTTTTCGCCTATGGTGCAACGGGGTGCGGAAAGACCCATACCATCACCGGTACAGCTCAACAACCGGGTATCATCTTTCTTACGATGCAGGAGCTGTTTGAGCGGATCGACGAGAGATCGGCTGAAAAATCTACTGAGGTCTCGCTTTCCTACCTGGAAATCTACAACGAAACTATTCGTGACTTGCTTGTCCCCGGCGGCAGCAAGGGCGGTCTCATGCTCCGAGAGGACACCAATCAGTCTGTCTCGGTGGCTGGTCTGTCAAGTCACCACCCGCAAAATGTTGAGCAAGTCATGGATATGATCATGCGAGGCAACGAGTGCCGCACCATGTCCCCAACCGAAGCAAATGCAACCTCCTCCCGATCCCACGCTGTCCTTCAAATCAATATCGCCCAGAAAGATCGGAATGCCGACGTTAATGAACCTCACACGATGGCAACCTTGAGCATTATCGATCTTGCCGGTAGCGAGCGAGCCAGCGCGACAAAGAACCGAGGCGAGCGGCTATTCGAGGGTGCCAACATCAACAAGTCTCTGTTGGCATTGGGAAGCTGCATCAACGCCCTCTGCGACCCTCGGAAGCGCAACCATATTCCCTACCGTAACTCCAAGCTCACCCGGCTGCTGAAGTTTGCCCTTGGCGGAAACTGCAAGACTGTCATGATTGTCTGTGTCAGTCCATCCAGTCAACACTTCGACGAGACCCAGAACACTCTCCGATATGCGAACCGAGCAAAGAATATTCAGACCAAGGTTACTCGCAACGTATTCAATGTCAACCGTCACGTCAAAGACTTCTTGGTTAAGATTGACGAGCAAATGAATCTGATCAACGAACTCAAGGCCCAGCAGAAGGATTCTGAGAATATCGCCTTTGCCAAGTTCAAGAAGCAAACCGAGAAGAAGGATGCCGTTGTACGCGAAGGTGTCGCTCGCATTCGCAATGCCTATGAGCACACGCTGCCCGAAAGACAGGATAAGACTAATAACATGCTCAAGCTGAGACAAATTAGTCGCCGGATTGGCATTTTGTCCTCCTGGATCGCCGCTTTCGACAACGTATTGGCCTCGCGCGATGATGAGGAGGGCCTGGCGAGTCTGTGGGCGATCCGCAAGACGGCTCAGGGCATTCTTCTCGAACTCGAAGGCAGCAGACACCATTACAACCAACGATTATCGAAGAGCACTTGGGACCGCGCCGTGAACTCAGCGGTCGAGAACGCAATCAAGCAGCTCCAGGAATTCGACATTAGTGATAATAGCGACTACGCCAATCTGAACAGGGAGGCCGACCTTCTTCGATCGAATGCGGAGCGTGAAGCTCTGGCTGCAGTGGTAGATCAAGACAAGGCTGGAGAAGCCGCAGCCGTTCAATTGTTGTTGCAAGCTCAGTTCGAGATGATGGCCTCGATGGAGGACATTATGCAGCTCAATGCTTCCGAGGCTATTCAGAAGGGACGTGTCATGATTACAAAGATGCTGGACAACTGCTCAGACACGGCATCCAATCTCGTTAAGCCGGACGGTAGTTTGCCTGCACTTCCCACTCTGCAGAGCCCGGTCAAGGCAGCCAGTCCTCCCAAGCCAAAGAAGCGATTCAGCATGGTCAGCATGCCACCGCCACGGACGAGTCTCACTCCTGCTGTCCAATTTACCCCAGTGGCTCCTCCATCTCCCACGAAAGCCTCGCCCCGTCGTCGCAAGGTTGCTGCAGGCCGGAAAAGCGTGAGCTTTACACCCAAGAAGAGCCAGGCCAAGGCCGCCAAGAGATCTGTCCGCTGGAAGGATGACGAGGACGACGGTCCTCTGACCGAGTTCCAAAAGACACCTCAAAAGGCTGCTGAGTCTGTCGATTCTAATGACGAGGCCAGCTCTGAAGAGCCTACGTTGCCTCGGGCATCATCTCCCATTCCTCGAAACATCCCACGGGTAGTCAGTCCATCCGGCGCCATCTCTCCAGCGCCGGTCCCAGCCGAGTCGACTCTAAATGTCCAGAAGAACAACAGCCGGTTCAAGGCTGGCTTCCTGTCCAAGAGAGTCGGTAGCTCCCCTCTGGCGCCACCGCCCACGACCAGCCTCCCGCTTTCTGATAGCGAAAATTCTCCCCTTCGCGACATAGAGGGCAGCAGCTTTTTGAACCGTGCTTCGACAGAGCGGCCATCCCGAATTGCAGTCCGCAGCCCGAGCGGAAACTTTTCTAGTAGCCCGGTGTCCGATAGCAAGTCCGAGAACAAAGGCAACTGGAAGGATGACAAAGAGGAGGCGATCAAGATCAATTCCGCTATGCGCCGCATCTCTAGTGGCCAATTTGGCCCAGCTTCCGGCGGTGGCTCCCTCCGTGTCCACCGGCGCCGCAGCCCTAGCTCCAACACCTACGGCAGCCCCCCCAGCGACGGCAACATGTTCACCGCATCTCAGGCCCGGCGCATGGTCAAGAGCGAGAAGGAGCTCGATGCTAAGCCTCGCGTGCTGAGCCCTCATACTCTGCCTGTGATGAAGAATACCGCGCGGCGGACAACTCTGGGCGGCGATATCCGGCCTCGTCATTCCAGTCTTTCCACTCGGGATGCCATGCGCCTCAGCGCGATGGCCACGCCCATTGTTGACCGCAACTTGCGGTAGATATTTTGATTTGATGACTCTTTCAAGGTTTATGGGAACGGTGTACTGGTACACGGCATACGGCGTTGGCGTACGGGATACCAATTTATTTTTTTCACTGCTCTCCACCCTCACCTATGGATTTCATGACGACTTTGTTTTGTCTTTTCCAAGGTTATTTCTCTCGTGTCGTGACTACGCTCGACTGCGCTCATGCGTCAGTCGATGTTTTCTTTTCTTTTCACTTGACATAGTCTTCCTCCATGTGTACATTAACGATGTTGCTCTGTTTATTACAACGTTTCGCCATGATGGCTCGTACACTTTTTCCACATTCTAGATCTACAGAGTTCAACTGCCAAGTGTATAGGGCTCAAACAGACCGCGGGAACCCTAATCTCGAAAGGCAAGGTACAGTAGTACTGTACGACGATCTCCCAGGTATTTCCGCGCTGCTTTGTCAGAATGAATGACGCCACTGGGCAGAGCTCTAGAACATTTGCTAGCTACTGTCGACCTCTCGTTAATTCCAAATCATTTCTATACTTAAACACTTACGTTCTTCCACTTTCAACCAGAACCACGTCGCGTCAGCTCCTGCTTCCCCACTTCCCTTGTACCTTCCCCACCAGAAATTCTTCAGATGTCCTTCGCCGCACCGGCCTCAACTTTCTTCTCACGACTTCTGCGCCCATTCTCCACGAGCTCGCCAATCCACTCCCTGAACCCGGAATTGCAAGCGCGCAATATGTCCTCCACCGAGCAAGCCACCGTCGCCGCCGGCTGCTTCTGGGGCGTCGAGCACCTGTTCCGCAAGACTTTCGGTAACGGCAAGGGCTTGCTGGACGCGAAGGTCGGCTACAGCGGTGGCAACACCTCCTCGCCTTCCTACCGCGCCGTGTGCGGCGGTGATACCGGCCGTAAGTGCCCTGCATATCGTTTACCCGGAATCTGCGGTCTTGGGCGCTTTCCCAGCTAACCGCGCTTTTTTGTTACCGCAGACGCCGAGGCTCTCCAGATGACCTTTGATCCCTCCGTCGTGACCTACCGCCAGCTTCTCGAGTTCTTCTACCGCATGCACGATGCTACTGCGTTGAACCGCCAGGGTCCGGATGTCGGCACACAGTACCGCAGTGTGATCTTCACCCACGGCGACGAGCAGCAGAAGATTGCGAAGGATATTACGGATAAGGTTAGCAAGGAGTGGTTTAAGAAGCCTGTTTCTACTCAGGTTGTACCTGCGGGTCAGTGGTGGGATGCCGAGGATTACCACCAGCTTTATCTGAACAAGAACCCGTCCGGTTATGAGTGCCCTGCCCAGTACGTGAATACCTTGATATGCGTCAGTTTTGATTGGAGTACTAATTTGCTTTCTACAGCTTTGTGCGCAACTTCCCTCCTCTTTCGGAGTGACTCGGCTCTAGACTTTGATGGTTGGGTTTTATGGGGGAAAATTTGAATACCATGACAGAAGGCAGAACAGGTTATGGCATGTGAAACGACACTTGAATGCCCTCTGCAATAGGGCAAACGTTCATTGATGTATAGTTGACTTGGATTGTGAACATCGCCTTGAAGTTAATGCATCCATTGTTTGTATTTAATGGTCTATGTTATCTGATCAGATAAGTTGTCTTGACTTGGCAGACCGATGTCTGTTAATATCTAAATATTGAGTGGGAAGGGAAGTCTAGAGGGTATAAAACCAAATCGTGATCTCATCCGCGAACGACGAGACCATAAAACGACACCGCCGATGGAATCACTATCCCCCAAAATATGGCCTGGTAAATGCTGCGATCATCCCACCCAGCCATATGGGCCGCCATTCTCGCCGCCGTACCACCAACAATACCCATCCACACAACAAAGAAGCCTAGATCATTCCACCGCTTCCAAGCCTGTCCACGCCTCGACAGTTCCGAAGTCGAGCGCATGGACGTTCCCCACCCGTCTTGGAAAACTGTCATCAAACTCCAGAGATGAATCATCGGCAAAGGAATATTGTAGAATAGGAGACCAGGCACAATCCACAGCCATGAATTACTCGGTCCCCGGTCTGGGTTGCGGGTGTAGTTGTACATGAGCGTGTAGGCGATGCGGATGCCCACGTCGTACCAGTTGAAGTAAGCGAAGCAACGACCGGTGAACAGGTAGTATAGAATGTATAGGAAGCCGAGAAGAGGACCGAATTCTCGCTTGATAGCGGCCCAGAAGAAGAGCGGGTTGGTTAGGAGGTAGAGTTTTGGTTGTTGGAAGGATTCAATGTGGCCTGCTCGGCTCCAGCGGACCTTTTGGATGTGTCAGTTATGTTCAATTACCAGTGGAAGAAGGTCTTACCTGTTGCATGATCCACCGGCTCAGAGTTGTTGGGGTATCTGTTGCAGCTAGCGTGTCGGATACATAGGTGACAGTCCAGCCGCGCATGAGTAGGTTGGTGGTGAGATGGCGGTCCTCGTTAACCACCATTCGGTGGCTCAGCACGGTCTGAGTATACCAGGGATATAACACAGCTGGGAGAGCGGATACCCGAAAGGCGGAACTAGGGCCACTTTGGCAATCACTGGTGCCAGAAGACGTCGAGGTCGAGCGTGTGAGATATAACTCCGACCAGTAGACCACACTGCCGAGCTTAGTAGTCGTGGTATCATTTTCGTTGTGTACGATCAATCCGCAACTGGCCCCTCCAACGTGGGCATCTCCCGCAATGGTTTCAATGGTGCTGCGAAGAGAATCACGCATGATAAGGGTGTCAGAGTCGGACGACCAAAGATATTCAATACCCAGCATCTCGGAGATAACGATTGAAAAGATGAAAGAGGTGAACATAATGCCCTTCTTGTGAAGATGAGGCTGGAACAAGCATAGCTTTGTGATACCGTCGGCCTGCCCCAGTTTCAGGTCGTGCTCGGCCAGGACCTCACGAGCCAACTGGCAGCAGTGCGCGATGGTTGTCTCCATATAGGCCTCAGGAGCTTGAAAATTCCCGTCAATAATCGACATCTTCTCGAAATTCTGCATGGCAACTTCGCCAAAGGGCTCGTCGATTTGAATTACAGCCGAGTCGTTAGGAAAGACCTGTTCATCATGTTTAGCTTGGTGTTTACAGATATTTTGTTGCGAGATTCATACGTTTTGGAAAACCCGAACCATCTCCATGTCGGGTACATCGTCCCCATCGATGCCCACAAGGATGAAACGGCACTCCGCCGCAAGCTTGTAGCTATCCAAAGCACGGGCGAACAACTCTGGGTCCTCGCGGTATCCCACTATAGCGGCCATGCATTCGGTGACTCGATCAGGACTCGCGGATAAATAGCTGGCTTTCTCGGGATCTTGAACGGTCCGCGAAGGTCCCTGTAATTTTCGGCGGCGGGTCTCATTTGTGAAACGATTGTACTCGGCAGCAAAGATAGTCAACAGAACGTCTAGCGTCAACGGGTGACGGGTATATGCGGTGATGACAGAGTAGATAGGGAGCACAATAATGCATCCCATGAAATTAAGAAACTGGCGAAAACGAGAGACGTCCGGTCCCCGTTGCTGGAACATGGAGAACCGGCTGGGAGTAGATACCTTCTCACTGAAAGTATCCATGGTGACACTCACAGAGAACAATAGGGATTAAACAATAGGATAGAATAGTTATCAAAAGGAACAAAATTAACGAGAGTAAATAGTGAACAAGCGAGTGTTGATTGAACTGGATAAAAGACGCCGGTTTTCTTCAAGGCTCCTCTCCACCTTTTTCCAAGTCCACTCCAAGCCCCAAAGGGCCACCCGCTGAGGCGGGCCATTGTTCAGGTCAGACCGAGTCAGGGTAGTATCCACTAGTTCATGTTAGTCAACGGTTCCAGGGAATGTTCAGAAGGGGTTTTCCCGGGTACGCAGGCAGACGAGACATTTTTTCGTATTGTTCCGCGACAAAGCCAATAGAAGTTGCGGAAAAGGAGCCGCATGTCAGCGCTAGCGCCCATAGTGATCTAGGGCCCGGACTAATTCAACCGAACTTCATCTAATTATGGGCCAGGTGTGAAAACCCTGAAGAGCGGGTGAGATAGTGGGTCGTTAGTGGAGTTACATCGCATTCAACTATCTGATGAGCCCCATTTGGCTGCCTTGGCGTGTTGAAGATGCTAACAGAAAAAGGAGTCGCGATGGGTCATGAGAGCTTTTGCAGTCTTCAAGTATGCAGCACGCATTCTACAAGGACAACCGTATAGTCCCCTTGGGGATTATGCTGTTGACTTTCTTCATCTTCGTCTATCATTTCGAACTTGATCGTCAGGGCCCATTGGGCGAGATCCCCGCCTCGGCCGTGCCCGCTACGTTCGTCGTTGAGTCTTCGCGACAGGACGATCCGGTGCCATATGTGGAATATTTGGAAGATGAGAACGACCCCGTTCACCATGTCGCTCCTTCGGCAGTCCCTTCAGCCGCCCCATCGGGTAAACAGAAGGTCTCGTCGAGCAGTTCTAGTTCTCTACATAAGCAAAAAGGCTTGACTGCAGATGATGTTGTGCTGATGTTCAAGACCGGCGCCACGGTCTTGTGGAAGCGTGTTCCCATACATCTGGCGACTTCTCTCTCACCAAACCGCATCAACCCCGACAACATCCTCCTCTACTCCGATTACCCCGAGACAATTGGCTCATGGGACATCATCGACATTTTGGAAAACACCACAGAGAAAGTGCGCAGCTCTGAAAGTTTCCAGCCGTACCTTCAACAAGAAGACTACGAGTCGCGCCAGAACTATGCCGAAATGTCCAACGTGCCCGGCGACGCTGCTGGTCCCCCGGGCGGCTGGAAGCTTGACAAGTACAAGTTCCTTCCAATCGTTCAACACGCAGGGCGCAACAAGCCCGATGCTAAGTGGTATATTTTCATGGAAGATGACTCCTACATCTTTCTCCCCAATCTTCTGCCCCATCTGGAGAAGTTCGACCATCGCGAGCCGTGGTACCTTGGCAGCTTGGCCTGGATCCATGGCGACTTTTTTGCCCACGGTGGCTCCGGATTTGCACTGTCTCGAGGCGCGTGGGAGAAGAGCTTTGGAAAAGATCAGCGTATTGTAGAGCGTTTCGAAGAGTTCACGGAAGCCCACGGTTGTGGAGATCACATCCTGGGCCATGTGCTGAAAGAGTATGGAGTGCAGTTCGGTGAGACCGCTGGTGATAGTCGCTTCCGCTATGGATTCAACCCCGAAGCACACTGGTCGACCTGGTACGAGCCGGCCAATTGGTGCAAGCCGGTATATAGCTGGCATCACACTCACGGCAAGGACGTAGCGAGATTCTACAATCTAGAACAGGAGTGGGACTTTGAGAAGGTTCGTCATCCTGGAATCCAATTGAGCTACCAGAACGCTAATACACAACAGGGTCCCTTGAGATATCGCGACATTTTCAAGGCGTTGGTCGCCCCTTACCTGCGCTCCCGGGTGGAGTGGTGGGATAACTGGTCCTCCAAGTATGAAATCACGTCCAATGTCGCAAAGGATGCCCAACCACCCGCCTCGGTCAAGTCCACCGAGGTCTGGCGCGGTGCCTGGGGATCCGTCGATGCCTGCGAAGCCGCCTGCACGGCCTGGGCCGAGTGTGTGCAGTGGTCTTTCTACGAAGACCGGTGCAAGATGGATAGTATGATGCTGCTGGGGAACGGAATCCCGCAAGGTGACTCACGACGCCAAACGAGTCTGCCTTGGGTCAGTGGCTGGCTACCTCGACGAGTCGAGGCCTGGGATTGCCAAGAATAGATTAACGCAGTGTACATAGAGTAGGACGATCATAATATGCTTATTGTTAGGCCTTTGAATCACGGATCCCGCAAGCCTCCACAGCCATAAATTGCTTAAGAACTCCAGTAGGAGGAACACGTCCATAGATCTTCCTATATCCATCCGTCGACCTAGTAGGGATTAGCCCTGTGGGTCATTCGTGGATGCTCAGGGCCCACGCATAATCGACCGGGGGGCGCCTGGGTCCACTGAGACAGCGCTAAACCGATTTATGTCCAAATCTTTTAGCTTACTGCTACCCTCTTTTTCTTTTCTACCTTTAGCCTCACCGTGAGCCATGGACCGTACCACCTGGCTCGATGGCCTCCGCGGTATTGCAGCGGCCATTGTCGCGACAGATCACTACTTCATGGGCGGCGTCTTAGACTATGCTTTCAACTCCTTCTGGGCTGATCCGCCAGAAGAGAACAGACGGCTGCTGCAGCTGCCTCCGATCCGCCTCCTTTTCGCCGCTCATGCTATGGTGCCGATGTTCCTGGTGATCTCGGGCTATGCGATCTCTATCAACCTTCTTCGACTGCGGAATAACAACACCGCTGATTTCGTGCGCCGGCTTTCGTCTGCTGTGACACGCCGTATCTTCCGTATTTACTTGCCGGTTTTCGTTATCGCGGCCATCTCGCAGTTCCTTTACTTCTGTAATATCTACCAGTGGAGCTTTGGTGACGAGGTCGTCTGGGGCCGGAAACCTTGGACGGCGCCATGGCTGCACGTTACTTTTGTCTTCCGCTATATGCTGGACATTATGAACATCATTAATTTCCAGGGAAATCCTGGACTTAATGGTCAGCTGTGGACCATGCCACTCGAATTCAGGGGATCGTACGTGGTCTACCTCGCCGTCTTGGGACTGGCATTTTGGAGACCGCATCTCCGGCGGTTGGCATTAGCAGCGCTGATGGCGTATTGGTTCTACTTTGGACTGTGGGACATCTTTGCCTTTTTAACCGGTCTCTATCTCGCGGAAATGCGGCTTTTGTCCGATGTCAGCGCGGAAGACAGTGAGCCGAAATTGCCCTATTACTCATGGACACCGAGTATCAGGTCCGTCGACTTTTCCACTATTCGCACCGCTTCCTGCTTCATTCTCGGTGTTTACCTGGTCTGTCTTGGCGACGACGGGCAACTCCCCCCTGGGTATCAGTTCCTGAAACTCGCGGAATCCTCACGCTGGGAGAACGACTGGGCGGTTCTGAGCAAGTGCTGGAAAACAGTGGGCTCAGTGCTCGTCGTCTATGCGATCAGCCAATCGCCTCGTCTTCAGCGTCCACTGAATTCTGGCCCCATGCAGTATTTGGGCAGAATTTCATTTTCGCTGTACCTGGTTCATCAATCTATTTACCATCTCGTACGAGATCCGGTCAGGAACTTTTTGTGGTACGTTGCTACCAGAGAGACATACCCCGGCACGCAGGCAGCAAGTGAGTTCACGGTTCCGTTTGCATTTGTGTGGCTTGTTGGGTATGTGATTATGTCTGCGATAAACATTTATGTTGCAGATCTGTATACGCGATTCGTTGACGAGCGATGTGTACAAATTGCGAAGAGGATCGATAGATGGTTTACTCGGAAGTATTTTTAAGGTTTTGCATTGCATACCGTGAATGGACATTCCAATTCGTCTTCGGAATTTTTTTGGCTTCGTTTGGATTGAAAGATAGAGCGATCCATTGCAAGTTCGAAGATCCATTTACGTCTCTGGCTATCTTGCTGGAAACCTTAGCGTAGTTGGGTCTCAGGTGACTGCCTATGAAAATGCACTGCGGACTCATAGCCACGTAGATATGCTTTTGTTTGGAATTCACCACGTGGACTTGTGGAATTGCCCGTCAATTGCAACTGCCTCGTCAGATGCCAGCATGAGATCGACCATTCTCTTGGGCACGCTGAAATACCCCAATGCCACAACAAGGGGTTCGTTCACGTCATTGACTTCTTCTCCTGGTGGACAATTTGACATCACTGGTTCAGCACCTACTCTCCAAGCTTTCACATCTTCCCAATTCTCGAATCCGACACACCACGAGAAAAAAATAATAATCAAAATGATGAATCGTCCGGATCCGAACATTTTCGACGTGATCGCATTCGGCCCACTACCGATCAATCTACGAGGCTTTTCGGTGTCCAGCGCTTTGAATCTATTTCCAGACAGGAACTGAACCCCGTCGATTGCCGCTAACCCGAAAAGGCAATAGGGCTCGGTCCCTACGCAATCCCTTTGGAGACAAAGGTTGTGCACACACGAACGAGTACCTGCGCCGCCAAGCATTAAAAGGAGAAAACATATATTATGCATACAGATTACATGTGGATAAAGGTCATCGTGAGCCAAATATCGAGTCTATGCCAAAACAACCACGTCAGCCTCCCCTTGCTGGGGGATGACACATTGTTGGGCTGCTAGCCTAGGAAACAATAGGTAAACAGATCTCCGAACGATCATCCTCACATTCTTTCTGGAAGAATAGCTGCGGTTGCTTCGACAAAGGATCCTTGGCAGTGACCCCTGATTGCTAGCTTTCCCCGTGGCCCGATGATCAGCAGAGCAGCTCCCGTAGCTCTCCCAGGTGGATGCCCATCAAGGCGCCCGGAGTGGCCAGGGCGGCCCTGAACAAGGTTCCCTTGTACTGGATCGACAGCTCCTCGTTCCTGGCGTCAAATTGCTGCTGTTTCCCGGCAGCGCAGGTACATGTATTAGGATTCAGGGGCAGCTTCATGGGATGTGTATTTTATTTCCGAGGCTCTTGGTGTTGGTGTGCTTGGTGCCGAGCCCCGGCGCCACTTTTTAGCACTTTTCGTTATTAGCGCCCAGGCCTCGAGGGGGGCTTGTTAAATGAAATGACTTGGGTCGTTCTCACTGCAGCCTGATCGGCTAATGCCGGTTGTCCTTATTTGGAGGGGGCTAACCGTGGTGAACTCGGTCTGGCGTACCAGTCCAGTCTAACGTAGCCGAGGAAGCGAGTACGTAGCCAACCATAATTTAAAATTCCGGCGTGGGGGATCACACGAGAGACGAAGCCAGGTGCACGATCGTGCCGGGTTCGTGTAATGGTCAGAATTGGAGTCCTTTGCCCCTTATCGATGCAAACGCCTGGGGCAAATGTCTCAGGTCATCCAACGGCGAGGGCCGCTACGCTGGCCCTAAGTTCACTAGATAATTTTAGTACCGCTACCAAACCTTGGAAATCGGTCTCGCGTGACGGTGGAAATGAGAGCACGGAACGATCTTGATTTCCCTGGCAAAAAGACTGCACCATCACACCACCCGTCGTGAATCGGAGGAGACCTAAAAATGGGCAAATGGGAAGGTGTAAAATACACGTACGGATAAAATACTCGGGTGCACAGACCGGAACAGGGTCCCACCCGCACGCCCGATAAGAGCGGAAACCAGGACTTTTGACGGGGTTGAAGGGGCACACTGGGACTCCGCCGGGCCCAAGCCTGCCACATCCGGTTAGCACCGCCCGCTCAGTCCCTGGTTGTTTACCCTGCTGGTAATCGCATTACCTTTACTTAGTCCCCCGGTTCCCTCGCTTCCCCCCCCCCCCCCAATTTCCATTTCTCATCGCCCATAGCAGTGACTTTTGGCTTCACTTGCTGCCCTTCGTTGACTTTTTATCCTTCTTAATTATTCCACAGTTCACTCGTTTCATCTGTGGCCCATTTTCAAACGCCTTCGTTGTACATTCGGTTTGATTCTCGCACATACCCCCCCCCCCCCCCCCCGGTACATAATCTCCACGATGGTCCGTTTCGTGACTTCGCTCCTGGCCCTGTCGGCCACCGCTTTCGCGACTCAAACCTGCACCGCCAGCAGCCAGTGCCCGGAGGACAAGCCCTGCTGCTCCCGTGAGTGAACTTCCGAGATATGCGACCCGACAATTGCTGACCTGACCAAAGAGTATGGCGAGTGCGGTACTGGCGCATACTGCCTCGGCGGTTGCGACCCCCAGGCTTCTTTCTCCCTCGATTCGTGCGCTCCCATGCCCATCTGTGAGAGCAAGTCATACACCTGGGAGAACCTGGACAACTGCGCCCTGAACACCAAGTATCTCGGCGATGCCAGCAAGTCCGACTGGACCTACTCCGGTTTCCCCAAGACCGAGGATAACAACCTGCTCATGACCATGCCCAAGGACTCTGTCGGTACCCTGTTCGCCAACAACCACTACATCTGGTACGGCAAGGTTTCCGGCAAAATCAAGTCTAGCCGTGGTCAGGGTGTTGTCACTGCTTTCATTCTGCTGTCTGACGTCAAGGACGAGATCGACTACGAGTTCGTCGGTGCCGACCTGGCTGCCGTGCAGACCAACTACTACTGGCAGGGTGTTCTCGACTGTGAGTTGACCCCACCCCAATCAGACCGGAGACGGCCAACACTGACTGAATTGAACAGGGCACAACGGCGGCAACGCTTCCGTAGATGGTGGTGATACCTTTGATGACTGGCACACCTACGAGATCGACTGGACCCCCGAGCAGGTGCAGTGGATCGTCGACGGTGAGGTCAAGCGCACCCTGCTGAAGTCCGACACCTTCAACGAGACCGCCAACCGCTACCAGTTCCCCCAGACTCCCTCTCGTCTGCAGATGTCGATCTGGCCCGCCGGCCAGGCCAGCAACGCCAAGGGTACCATCGACTGGGCTGGTGGTTTGATCAACTGGGACAGCCAGGACATCCAGGAGAAGGGCTACTACTACGCCACTATCGGCCAGGTCGACATCGAGTGCTACACTCCTCCTGCCGGCACCACCCAGACCGGCAACACCTCCTACCTCTACACCAGCGAGGCCGCCATGCAGGCCAACGTTGAGATTGTCGGCAACTCTACCGTCCTGGGCTCCATGGGTGCCACCGGTCTGGACATGACCCTCGGTGCCAACAGCAGCAGCAACGCCACCTCCACCGGCTCCGACAGCGTTCCTACCAACGGCAGCGGCGCCATCGGCGGTGCTGCCAGCAACTCTTCTTCGTCTACTTCCTCCGGTACCTCCTCTACTGAGAGTGGCTCCTCCGGCACCAGCACCGGCTTCACCCAGACCCCCAGTGCCAGCAAGGACAACGGCGCCCCCAACCAGAACGAGCGTGTTCTGCGTGGCTCGCTCTTCGCCGTCCTGGTGGCTGTTGTCGTTTTGGTGACGCTGTAAATGTATTGAATGGGTGTTTTGTTTTCTGATTTGGAGACATTGTTATTCCCGTTGCTCATCCTCGAGTACATTTGTCTACCTGTTGCGTTTTCACTTCTCCTCTGTCTCTGATTGAAATCCTTGAACAAACCTAATGAACACCGTCTTTTGGCCTTTGTACTTTTTGCGACCCTTGTGTCTTGCACACCCTTTCTCCCGTTTGAGCGATTTCATCAACGCTCGTGCCTTTGATTTCTCGCTCCCGTTTATACTTGTATCCGTACTCTATCACCGCTAGGGGTTTCCTGCACATGTTCAGCAAATATGCTTTCCTGGACAAACTCGCGTCTGGTTTAACTCTGTAATGATGGGCGGTCTCTTTCAAACTCAACTTTCAAATTTCAATTCCAAGTCCATTTGGTTCCACCATACACTTTTTGTAGATCGTTATGTCGTTGAAAAAGTGGTAGGGATGTACCGTACACCCACGCTCCGCTGTCATAATGCAGGGGTTTCCAAGCTTTTGGCCCTTGTGGGTTTCTGCGCTGCACGGAACACCTGGTTGGATGTTAAATCGCGGCCCCTGTAGGAAACCCTAGATCCACTGTTTCACCTTTCACCTTTGTTCCCACGTGGGCGCATAGGACTTGGGAAACTTTGGAATGTACCTTTGTACTTTGGATCTTGTGAATAACTGTAGATCTAAGTTTGTGGCGCCGCTGCATAGTTCCGTTTTGGAGGTTTGCCTTTTCGGTAACCCTGGTTTAGAGCACATGGTGTTTGCCATGGCCGTTTATCGAATGCTTTCAACCTCTAACAAGTGCCCTAGTAGAGCTAATTGAACACGATGAAACTTTCTCCCAATGTCGTAGAGCATTCCCAAGGTCCCTTTATCTAGCCTGCTATTTAACCATATTCAAATACTAGAATATCTCGTTCTCTTTCTTTCCGTCCTCCACCACCATCCTTGCTTTCCGACTTTCTAAATCTTCTTTTCGTTTACTTCCTTTGTCTGGCAACCTTCTACTTTTAATAAAAGCCGATGCTAGGCTTACAACCCTCGCTGGCGTGATCTGTACTTTGGCAATTTTCATTGGGGTCCTTACATTGACATAAGTTTATATCTTGGGTCTATCTTTTCGAGCTCCGCAAGGTCCTATTGCCTTGGTATCTCTTATACCAACTCTCTCAACAGTATTGTCAACGCGATTTAATCCTCTTAGTTGGACATTACTTAGCCCTTAGTAGTGGAAGCAAAATTGGTGATATGCCTATTCACTAGCCTATATGAATCCTAGGCTCGGCAAACGCGCCGCCGTTGATCGTTTAGAGGCTTATAAAACGATATACTTCTTTCAACGGATGTATAGTGCCGCTTGGTTGTTATTCCACAGCGTTCAGAATATTTTGCAAACAACAATGTTCTTCTTCATCCCCCATATCACTGAGCTCTTCTCATCTTTGGTAATAGTATCAAAAGCCTAGCTGACTTAGAACGCCCACATCATCAACACAAGCCAGAATCTACCCTCACGGCCAGGTACTGCTCCACATCTTTGTGCTCCTTTCCCTCCTCTTCCTATCGCTCCTCCTCTCCTCCTCAGTCCACTCCATCTCCTGCCCCATCAGCCCCCAAAAATGTGTCTCTACCGAGGCATCTACTACCACGAGTGCGGCCACAGCCGTTTCCTCCTCCACACCTTCTGCGACCGCCTCCTCAACCAGCTCCAGCGCATCAACGACCCCGAAGAACGCCAAAGACACGCTATCCCATTCCACGGATCAGGCTGCGAGCCACGCGTTAAACTAAAGGAAGACCGCTCGGTAGACATTACGACCAGGGATCTGGTCAAGGAATGGTCGAATGTGGTGAGGTGGGAACATAATATGGTTGAGGTCTGCCGCGATTGTGGTGCTATGGGGTTCGATGGCATTTCGGAGATTGGGCAGTTGATACCCTGACTTCACTGCAAATCAAGGCCGCCGTTCGATGGACTACCCCAGGATGCTCGAGGATACGGTTTTTGGAGTCTGTGGTTTCATTCAACGCTTTCGAAACATGAGTCTTTCGTCAACTACTATCTCTCCATTAGATTGCGGATGCTATTTCACGTCTGGTTCAGCATAGGTCCGCTTATATAGTTAAGACCTTAAGACCTTGTAGTGCTCTTGACAGGTCAAGGTAAAGTAGGTGGCCCTGAGACAAACGATCACTTTGTGGGGTTTTCAACGTTTTTGGGGGTGATAAAGGGGCGTGGAGCGAAGGACTAAGAAGGATGAAGGGGCGACTATCCAAACGTGAAGAGTGGCTAATGCGATGGGAGTATGATGTGCGGCTTGTAGAAGAACAGTAGATTGTATATCAAGATCAAATAAAGTAAGCCCAACCCCTAGATAAAACGCCAGATTTCCAGGAATTCGAACAAAGTGTCATGTCGATATGCCATGAGCAAAATCCCAGAATAAATGCAAATGTATTGCTTAGTGGAGCCCGCCACATCCACATTCATCGATGGATCGCTTCCTGAAGTCGCCATGGTAGGTGTCCAGGCCCTCGGTCCGGACCTTCGAGCCCAGCGGATCACCCAGCCAGCTGTATTTTTCCTGGTCGACGGCCTCCTCGCCGGAGGCCGTCCAGTAGGATGAGGACTGGAGGCGCTTGGTCACTGCGGCGACGTCGAGATCCAGATAATCGGCGAGGAAGTGGCCTATTTCTATGTTCTCATGGTTGCCCATCAGCGGCCAGGCATCCTGGGATGAGGATGCGTAGATATTGACGTCGACGGCTAGAATTGTTCCTGTTAGCATGTATATGGAGAGTAGTGACTTTTGATGGTCCTTACCGGAGTGGCCGTGAGTGGACCAGCCGATCTGTGCTCGGCGGCTGAGCATATCAGCAAAGACATGGTCGGACGAGACTTGAGGGTCAGGGTGGAGAAGGATTTCCACCTCGTCATCCGTAGCGTCTGTGATGCCCAGATCCTCTTCCAGCAAGGTTTTGCGGATGTAGGCGCGTTGCTTCGACTCATGGTCGTCCTTGCCCGCTCCAGAGATGTATTCCTTCAACTTGGCATAGGCGTATTCGCTGGAGTGTTTAGCCTTGCCCAATTCACCGGGCAGCCAGAGGTACTCGGGGTAGCTCTTGTGCAGCTGTCTCGCAGCAGACAGTCCACCGGTCTCGTGGTCAGAAGTGCTCACAACCACACCGGGGGTCGAGTCCTTCTCCAGGAATTCCAGCACGGCAGCGAAAGCCCTGTCGTACGCTATCACCTCATGCACCTGTGCAACAGGGTCGTTGCCGTGACCGGCGTGGTCGATGCGCGATCCTTCGATCATGATGAAGAATCCTTGCTCACTGTCCCGAGTCGCTTCGCTCAAGGTAGTCAAAGCAGTGCGAGTCATCTCCTCCAGGGAGGGGTACTTGTCATTCTGCGAGCGGCGGTCGACCTCGTAAGGAATGTCCCCGCCAGCAAAGAGACCCAGCAGAGGCAGCTTGGCCTCAGAGCCGCCTTTGAGAGAATCGAAGCCAGCCCGGTCCTGCAGATAGTTGAAGCCGTTCTTCGATGCAACTTCAACGAGATCGCGGTCGTCGCCACGGCAGCTACCGTCCGTGGTATTAGGCAGGAAATGGCATCGTCCACCGCCCATCATGAGGTCAACCACCCGACCCAGAGGGTGTTCACCAGCTTCCTGCTCTGCAATGCTATCCTCGTACCGTCGCAGGTTGGCGTGCGCGACAAAGCAAGCCGGGGTTGCATCTGTCAAGCGGGTCGTGACGACCAGTCCTGTTTTGTAGCCTGCCAACGAAGCAGCCTCGAGAACAGTTCCGCAAGGTGAATGATCGGGGAGAACTGAAATTGCTTCGTTGTAGCTCTTAAACCCGCACGAGAAGGCCGTCGCACCAGCTGCCGAGTCCGTTACCAGACTGTTGCTGGAGCGTGTCCGCGAGGTGCCAATATGGTGTTGATCCAAGATCAACGTGTCATCGATAGGAAGGCCCTCCGTGTGTTGGCGGAAGCTCCTCGTCATGGAGAGACTGGTCGGGCCCATTCCATCGGAGACCATAAAGATCAGATTACGTTTGCCGGTCGGCTTGCCGCCCGGGCCCCAGTTGTTTCGTGAATCATGATGACCCTTGGCAGACTCGTGCTGGTAGACCACAGCCAAGACAATAACGATAATTGTGGCGATGATAGCCCATGCGAAGGCCCCAACTTCTCTCCAAAAGCCCCAGCCCCGTCGTGATTCACGGCGGGGCGTCCGCTCGCCGGTCAAAAGGGCATCTTCTTCTTCCGCGTATCGAATCGAGGACCGTTCGGAGGATGGCCGTGGAGCCAGGAGTGGCTCTTCAAGCGCCATGGCTTCGATATTATGTGGCTGAGTGGTGCTCATATAAGGTACATGTACTGTGTAGAGGACCTCTCCGAAAAGAGGTTTAGGCGGAGCGAATCCGGAGAGGAGACCAAGATAAGATAGGAGCTCACGTGTCATGTGACCCGGTGACTGCGCTTACACTCACTGTTGGACAAACGTGAAAAGATACATGAATAACTAGATTCGAAACAGCGTGCCGATACACTTTACGATCGCCCTTTCCATCCGATAGGGATCAGCGCTGCCGCAATGTCATTGATCCCGCGCTCCGTAGCCAGCATGTTAAACTGCGCCGCCGCATTCCGGGTATCCTGGACTTCAACGCGAATACCCAGTGAGTTGATATGACGTTTCGTCTCAGGCGAAAGTGGATACATCGAGGCACCCAGGCCGAGAATAAGCATATCTGTCCGACAAGTCAGCGACCCGTGTCTGCAGAATATCCCGCAAACTCTCCCAAGTATCACAATGGCCGTGCGACCCATTCCAGATGACACATGACCATCGAAAAAAGTAAACCATTACGTACCTGGTCGCGGATAGACTGCGCTCAACAGTCCCCAAACCTGTTCGTCGACCTCGAACTGGCCCTTAGCATTAATCATAGCCGCTTTGGCCTCGCGGTCGTTCGCTGCGCCCTGAACCGTCTTCCACGGCCGCCACGCAAATGCCTCTCCGCCCACGAGAATCACGGCGTCGCCACCGCTAATTTTGACGCCGCTGTTGAGATGAAATCCGGAGTCGAGGGTGGCGTCAACCGCAGTCGAGGGGGCGGGCATGTTGCCCAGCACATCCAGCGCGGCAAAGTCCGTCTGGGTGGATTCGTCGGACTCCGGGCCTCGGTCATGACTGACGGGCTTGTGTGAATGAGAGCGCGGGATCATTCGAGACGGGCGGATCGAGCTGCCATTGTGGCGGCGCGTCGATGGGAGCGGAGCACAAGGTGAGACATCGAAGGCGCGAGGCAACCGAGAGGCGTTGGCGCGGATATTGAAGGAGCGCGGTGAGCTGGTGAGTGAAGTGCGCAAGGCACGGAGCAGTTGAGACGATGGGGAATGCATTGGATGTGAGAGAGTTCGTAGATGCTCTGGCTCGATGTTGGTGGAACTGTCGCCAGGTTGCGGGAAAAGAAACTCGGAGCTGCTGCTGGCCGGACTTGGCGGCCACAACTACATCATCAAAGCCTACATCTACACAGCTACATCTACACTCCACAAGCTCTCTTTTGCACCGCCGAATTATCGAATGTCCTTTATATTAATATATCCTTCTCGGCGATCCTAGTGATTATTCTAGTTTTATTTCCAGGTGTCCCAACCGTGACCGTGGTGCCCGGGTTGATATGAAACAAGGACAAGGAGAAATGACAATGTCGTACGCGTCGTGAAGCCCCAAACGCCACAAGAAGCGCAATGAAGAATCAAAAATCAAAAATCCTGGCACCAAAAAGAAGGACGCGAAAGGAGAAGATAAACGGGGGAAAGAATGCAAAAACAACCCCAGACTCATTCCTTGCTGTCTCCGAGCACATTACTTCCTCCAGACTTTTAGTGGCCTCGGACAAAGAATATGAAAAGCATATGCACACATCGAAAGATAAACAAGGGAAATAGGGTGTCGCGGGACCTGTACATGTATTTGATGCTATTTAGTGGGCGGGTCGAGCGGCGTTGTTTCGATCCTCGTCCGATTGACTGGAGCTGTCATCGCTGTTAGTGGCATTGCGAATCCGCTCTGCTCGGTCTTGTAGAACCTGAGCTTCGGCTGCGGCCTTCTGTGCCCGGATTTGCTTCCGCCACATGCTGGCATAGCGACCCTTCATGGCCAGGAGTTCCTCGTGGGTGCCACTCTCGGCCACTTGTCCTTCGTTCAAGACTAGGATACGATCCGCTGTCGTGATCGTACTGAGTCGGTGGGCAATCACCAGCATCGTACGGCCATGGGAAAGCGTGGAGAGGGCTCTTTGAATGTGCTCTTCCGTGTCGGTGTCGAGTGCCGCGGTAGCCTCGTCCAGAAGGATGATGCGAGGATTTTTCAAGATGGTCCGGGCAATCGCCACCCGCTGCTTCTCACCACCGCTGAGTCGAAGACCACGCTCTCCGACCTTGGTATTGTAACCATCAGGGAAGCCCATAATCTTGTCATGAATGCTAGCGGCGCGGCAGGCCTCAAAGACATCTTCGTCGCTGGCGTCCTGGTTCGCATACTTCAGGTTATACATCAACGTCTCATTAAAGAGAACGGTGTCTTGCGGGACCACGCCGATGTGCTTGCGAAGAGAGTCAATAGTAAGATCCTGCACGTCGTGTCCATCAACGAGCAGACGGCCCTTCTCGGAGTTATAGAATCGGAACAGCAGCCGGAAGACTGTTGATTTGCCTCCACCTGACTCACCGACCAAGGCGGTGGTGGTGCCTGGTTCACAGCGGAATGTAAGCCCATTCAAGGCGGGTTTCCGCGAGTCGTAGGAGAACTCGACGTTTTGGAACCGGATGTCACCCTTGCACATGGATAGCGCTGTCGCGCGAGGGCTATCTACCACGGTGGGTTGCTCTCGGAACAATTCCAACATACGCTCAGCATTGATCAAGGCCGACTGAATAGAACGGTAGAAGGTGCCAAAGAAGTTCAAGGGTCCCTGGAGCTGAGCCATGTAGGTCAACAGGGAAACGAACGAACCCACGTCACGCTGCCCGATGGAGACCTGGTACGCAGAGATAAAGCATGTGGTAAGGAGACCCATCATAAAGACGGTGTTTTGGCAGGTGTTGAGCATCGTCAGTGAAAACAGCACGTGGTATTCGGCCTTTTGGAAGTCGCCCACGGCGTCACGGTAGCGGTTAAATTCGTATTGCTCCGCATTGAAATACTTGACCGTCTCGTACGAGACCATTGAGTCGTTCCTGAGGAGGCAGACGCGTCAGTATATCCGTCGCAATCTAGTCAGAAATTTGGGACAACTTACTTGACAGCATCTTCTTGTCTCGATGCGTTGACCATCTGTCTTCGGATTTCTGCTCTCCATTGGGCCATGCGGATGGTGACATAGAGATAACCAAAGGTCGAGATACCGACCACAAGGGCGTAATATGCATCGTACGCGATCAAGAAGTATCCGATGGCGATACAAAGATCAACAAGCATCGGGACGACTTGAAAGGTGACCTGCTCTAAGAAGGTATTGATTGAGCTGCCCTTGCTCAGCGCCGAAAGCACTTCACCCGTTTTCTTACCCAGGTGGAAGTCCAGACTCAGGCCATGAACGTGCTCGAAGGCGGCAGTGCTTAGCTCCATGTACGAATACTGGCTGACCGGGATCCAAAGCGTGGAGCGCATCGAGCTGAGCAAACCCTGACCACCCTGGAGCCACCTGAACACGACATACAAGAAAATGTGGAACCAAGGGACGTGGAACGAGTTGCCCTCCCCCTTGGCCAGTTCCGTGACGATTACAGCCACCTGCATAGGCACCAGTACGTTGACAATTCGCTGGGCAACGAGTAGGATAAAGCATAGCATCACAACAATCTGCAGGCGTCGTGATTTGGAGGGCCAAAGGTAAGGGAAGAAGAGCGAGTAGCCACTGAGATACTCCCACCAACTGGTGGATGGCATGGTCGTCGGGCGTACCCAAGGATCTTCCGGCTTAGAAGCATTGGGACGCGGAGGACCATTGGTTGATCCATAGGAATGGCCATTGGCGTTACCGTTGCCATTACCATTACCGTTCTCGGAGCCAGAAGGATCCAGCAATCCAGTGGACTCGCTGACACCATTGAGACGGCGTGCCTTCTGTTCATGGCTCTTGGCAATGATGGCATTGCTGGCATAGAGGAGGACGAGGATAAATAGGATCAGGATACGGACGCTGCTGGAGACAATTTCCAGGCATTCCCAAGGCGTGATGGTCCTGCGGAGCTTGCCACCCTCGGGGTCTCCAACGACGGGCTCATGATGAGCCGAGGTGTAGAGAGTTATGGATGTACTAAGAATAACCAGCTCGATGGGGACAGCGACAGACCAACACACAAATTGGGCGAGTGTTGGAGACGGGGTGGTATCGAGCAGGGAAATGAGTAAGACCGCGTAGTCGAAAAAGGAGCCGACGATGTAAATCTGCATGCCCATTAGTTAGCCATGACTGCACCTTTGGCGGGCAAATTTGACCGGAACCCGGCCCAAGACGTACCACAACGGACTGACCACGCCACCAATGCTCCGAGCGAGCGACCATCACATGAGTGATATAAATGGTCGCGTCCGCGAGATAAGTCACGAGCACTGCGACGGAAAGCCAGTTGAAGACCCGCTTGACGGTCTTAGAAAACCCCTGCGTCTTGCGGAAGGCATCTGAGCGGGAGCGTTTGGGAAGTGGACGACCACCGGGGCCCATTCGCGGCGACTCATTCTGGCTGGAGGTGTTCGCCGTGAGGAAGGTGTTGGCCACGAAGGCCACGACGAAGAGAAGCAGGAGGAAGATCGGATAGCATGTGCGCAGGTACTCCAGCAGCTCGAGAGCTGCGTGGGGATCCATGATGACCGACTCCTCCCACAGATGTAGAGAACGAGAGAAAAAAGAGGGTTCAGAAGGTTTCCATAACACAGTGTCCCCGACGATCCGGATAAGGGTGGATTTTGGGAGAAGGACGGGTTCGGATGGCGAGAGCGAAGGATCGACGCGAGGAATGCCGTGCGGACGGACGCGGGGAGGGAAGTGCGTGATCTCGTCAAACTTGATCTTTGAATTTCTCACGTTAGATCTAAACTCTCGTAGATCCGACTGCCAGTTCGTCGGTTTTTCTTTTTTTTCTTTTTCTTTTGCTATTTCTGGACGAGACCCGAGAGAATGGGGAATTGGAATATGGTTCGTTCCAGGAGGAATCAGGAGGGTTCCCAAGAGTCACGAGGTGAAGCGTGGCAAAAATCTCACAGCAACTTTCAGCTCGAACCGTTTGCCACGAGGAATGGACGGAAAAGAAAGGGAAGGTCTAGAGGAGAGGGGAATGACGGTGTGGATGCGCAGGTGCTGCAGCTAAAAATGGGGCTCCACTCGTTTACAAGAACTCGACTCACCTTTCGAGTCCTCTTTATAAGGAACGCTCCTCGGTTGCTTGTTTGTCTCCGAACGTCGGAACCCAAATTGAATCCCAGCCTCGATCAAATGCCTTCGAGAATGGTTTCCTGCCCGACAGTCTGGGTTTGAACGGACCAAACAACCTGGACCTTGACGACCGGGGTCCACGGGTCTGACTGCACTGGTGACGGAGAAGAAATTGAGGCCCGAGACGTTCGTGGAAATGATGCCTTGGAGCTGCCTAGGGAGTTGGATTTATATAAAAATCCCCGATCCCCCGAAATCTCAGCGGCGATCAGATCGCAAAATGCCAGGACCGCGATCTAGATTCCTGGGATGTGCGACCACCGGGCGTCTTAGCCATCTGAGCTCTCGATCGGATTCAGCTGATTAGCTGCTGCTTCCCCCCCCCCTTGTCCACCTCTTTAGCTTTGTGGCCACCATGAGATTTTCACTCTATGATTCATATCTTGATGTACTTTGTGTCTATTGGCCTCCCGAACCCCCGGACAAATGTGAGACATTCGTCGATTCGTAATTTGCTTTGCGATACTATGTTATTTTTATACTGTATCTTCTACTGCATCGACTCGGAAAGCCCGGGTTTCCTGCAGTCGATGATACCAGATTCAAATCTCGATCTTTTGCTTCACTATGTGCTGGCGGCTAGACCGCTCCATGTGCGAATGCCTAAATTCGACCCGAATATACCTGATACCGTGAGGCTTTCGGGCCTACAGGCTTTCGAACATGGTCAGTCAGTACGGGGGCCGTTCCTGAGGCACCTGCTACCCACCTCAAGCTTCACCGCTTGCGCAACCCCAAACTCTCAGGTTCCCACCATCCCCATCACCCGCATCACCCTCCACATCCATTCCGGTCAACTGGTCGTGTGCCCCCCATGGACGTGTGAGCCATGTCGGAGACTGGGTCACGCTCTCCGGTCCCTCCTCCTCCACCGCCACCGACCCAGAAGTACTCGCATCGGGCTGCCAACGCGCTCGCCCGTTTCGCGCCCTTCTTCGGGTCGAGACCCCCCAGTCCGCAGAACAGCCGCGTCGATGGTCCCCGGTCAACCAGGTCGAAATCGCTGTACGTGTTGCATGCCTCTTCACACCGCTTTGACAGTCTAAATTGTCCCTGGCCCTGCTCCCTTCTTCACTCCCGATCGGTACTTTTGTTAGATCGGACACATCCAATTCTAACATCATCAGGCCGGGCGAACCGCAGACCGTCACTCACCGTACGGGCATCCCCATCGTCGCCCTAGATATCTCACCGGAGCGCACCCACGCCGTCATTGGCGGCAAGGATATCCTCAAAACTATCCGCGTCTCGCCTGATCACTCGTCGGAGGAATTTAATATTCGCAATGCGGTTATCAGTTATGCATCCACCCACCATGATGCGGGCGTGTCGATGCCACACAAGGACCAGTTGAATGTCAGAGACGTCAAGTGGTCTCATGGCAATTATGACCGGACAATCGCAACTGCGGTCGCCAATGGTCGGATTGTCGTCTACGACTTGCAGCGGCCCGGCCTCCAATTATGTCGCTTCCAGGGCCACAACCGCCAGGTTCACAGACTCGCCTTCAACCCCCATCTCGCCTCTTGGCTACTCTCCGGCAGCCAAGATGGTACCATTCGAATGTGGGATCTGCGATCCGCCTCTGCGAATCGGGGCCTTTCCACGTGCGGCAGCAAGCATGTGTACCATGGCAATAGCGATGCCATCCGGGACGTCCGATGGTCTCCCACTGACGGTGTCGTGTTTGCGACCGCCTCGGACAGCGGCGCCATTCAGATGTGGGATTCGCGCAAGACCAACGCCCCGTTGATGAGGATTGCGGCTCACGATCGCCCTTGTTTCGCGGTCGACTGGCACCCCGATGGGAAACACGTCGTTAGTGGTGGCACGGACCGGCAGGTCAAGGTCTGGGATTTCTCATCGTCTGCGGAACGACGGCAGAAACCTGCGTTTCAGTTCCGAACCCCCCAGGCCGTGACGAACGTGCGGTGGCGACCGCCATCGTGGGTAGGCGACTCGCCCTCATCAGGGGAGTGGCAGTCATCCCAGGTCGTGACCTCCTATGACAAGGATGATCCGCGAATTCACCTATGGGACCTCCACCGTCCACACGTGCCTTTCCGTGAGTTTGATCGCTACGACTCCCCGGCCACCGATCTGCTGTGGCACTCCAAAGACCTGCTGTGGACGGTCGGCGAGGTAGGGGCTTTTACCCAGGCCGATCTCCGCTATGCCCCGACTGTAATCAAGCGCAGGCCGATGTGTTCAGTCGCATGGAGCCCAAATGGTGACTTTGTAGCGTTCGCCCAACCGCGACCGAGGCGACGTCCACTGGGTGTCAGTGCCTCCGAATTCCTTCACCATGATGACGACAGGGCCAGCACCGGTGAACGATCTTTAAGTCATAGTCCGGCGGAGGACATTCTTGATGATGTTGCTCTGGCTTCGTCGCTTCGGTATCCTCAGGCCAAGCCCACCACGGTCCGACCATCAAAGTCTTTGGGCAACACCCCTCCAGGTGGAATAGACATCATTCCAGTCCTTCCCCTGGAACAAGCTTTGGCCAAGAGCTCGACCTTATTTCCCAGTCAGTTGGGGGCTATTGGAAGCATTCCCGGTGCGACAAACGATGCATCCCTGTTCCGGTTCTTGGCAGGCCACTATTCGCCGCTGATGGACGAGCGCCTCGGTAGGCGAAGCTATGTCGATATTTTGAACTCTTTGATGGAGTCACTCGATCATAATGCTGAGCGTGCGGATGATGTGTCGCTGGCAAAGCTGGCTCAGACCTGGCGGATTGTCAAATTTGCCATCCTACAAGAGCTCCAACGCAAGTCGAGGGAGCAGCTCTCGGGAAAAGGTGGTGTGAAGGGCAAGTCATCCAAGGATGGGTTACTGTCCGATAAGTCACGAGCAGCAGACGAAACCCGCCAGGGGAAGGTGAAAAGTCGACTGTTCAAGGGAGTCATGGAGACAGAAGGTCCAAAAAGTCGAATGCCAGAAGCAGAGAGCACGTCAAACATGACCACGCCGCTTGCACAGCCATTGCCTGACTCCCCAGATGATTCCTGGACAAGTTCCGATTCTCAAATTCCTTCATTAGTTGAGAATGCCCTCGACCTTGATCCTCTTCCACCATCGGTCTTGAGCTCTCATAATGGCTGGGGCATGTCAGGCCCTGATGCTAGTCGGGTCTCATCTTTGCCACAAGAGCAATTGGTATCTAGTCATGATACACACGCCTTCGCGGAGGCCGTCCCAGGCCTTTTACGGGAACCATTGCAGTCAGACCCGGACAGCGACCAAAGGTCTGCACCTCGGGCCATCGCCGGCAGGGCGGACTGGCGCATTCGCGGTCATCTAGATCACCCTCGCGAAGGCTCCGAGGACGATTACGACCAGAAATTGGAGGATAAGCGAGCCGCGATTCGTGACTTTAAACAATATCCCAAGAAACCCTTGACCCTTGACACCCCAATGGAATCCAACCGCCCTCCCACACTGGAGCGCTACCACAGACATGACTCGTCAGAGAGCTTCCCAATGTTCTCAGCATCCACTGATAGCTCGCATCCATCCAAATCCATCGGCGCATCGTATTCCTCCAATGGAAGATTTCCCGATCGCTCGCCCTCGGATGCTAGTCAGGCGGGTGGTCGACCTAGTGCCGCGACAAGAAGGGAATCAAATCTGGAACCCGCCGCAGAAGAGCCTGAAGATGGCATCGAATTCGATGAGTCTGTTATTGAAAACGATCGAGTTCATCTCGAACGACCGTCGAGCCCTCCACAATTGCTGACAGAATCGACACCGCTTGAACATCCGGGCTCAAAGGACACATTTCCGCCTGAGAATATAGTTCCTGTATCTGTATGTGTCTCTGCTTATCCAGCGATGGCAGGGATTTATGAAGATCTGTCCCAAGTCAAGATTCCTCTCACTCCCGATACATCAGACTTCAAGCCATGGAGCATCGAGGCGATTTTGAAGGAGGCAGTCCGCTATTATCACAGCAGCAGCAGTTCTGTTGATATTCAAACTGCGGCTCATCTGCTGCAGAAGTTTCATGTCCTCTTCCAGGATTGTGAGAAAATCCTTCCGTATGAAGAATGCGAGATGATTTTCAAGTCCTACAACGAATGCCTTATTCGGCATTCAATGGATCTGGAAGCTGCGGAACTTCGTCTGTCCTGCGTGCCGACCTACCCTGGCGTCTACGAATATGCCCAGGCTGACACTTTCATCAATGTCTTCTGCTATACCTGCCAGAGACCATTCGAAAACCCAATACGTGACAATACTCGTTGCCACCGTTGCAACACCCCGCAAGCACCTTGCTCCATTTGTATGAGCGTCGACCCTCCTGCTGAATGGGTCGCAGCCCAGATGCAGCGGCAGGCTGAATCAAATGGTAGTGCGAGCCCCGACCCAGAAGCCGAAACTATTTCCCACCTCTCCTCCCATTCCTCAGCCCCCACCGAGCCAGTCCCCTCCTTGGAGCTTGAAGGTCTCAACCCGTTCACCGCTTCTCGCCCCAAAGGCTCTGCCCTTTGGACCTGGTGTCAGGGATGCGGCCATGGCGGCCACATGGCCTGCATCACCACCTGGCTGGGCGATCTCTCCATCAGTGAAGGAGGATGCGCCACGCCAGGCTGCTTGCATGACTGCGGGCCCGGTCCGCGCCGCGAATTCAATCGCCAGGCCCTACTCACCGAGTCTAAACGCCGTGACTCGGCCAGTCGCGCTTCCGGCGGTGGTCTCGTGAAGCGCGATCCGTGGACCAAGGGCGAGAGCAAGGCTGTGGAGAAGGTTCGCGGTATGCTCGGAGCTGCCGGTGTTGCTGCCGCGACTGGTGGTAGCGGTACCGGGTCCAACACTTCCCCTGGGAGCTCTGTAGGTGGCCAGGGCCAGGTTTCTCCCGGGGCAGTCTCGCCTAAGAAGGTGAGGTTGGTTACGCCAGGCGAGCAGGGCCAACGTAAGGGCCCAACTAGCCGGTCGAACATTGCACCGCAGGAATAGAAGCTAGAATGAACCTTGTTCCTTGTGTTTAAGTGGTTTTAGATACCCGAGATTTGTGCTTTATTCATGATATCCCTTTGCGATACCAGGACAGTTGGCGATTGTTTAATATTCACCATTTGATTGCTGGAAAGCATTTGATGAAGTTTACGTAGATTATTCAGATTGTTCTCCGGCTATGTCATGTCAATAGACGAGTCTAATAGAGGGTATAATCAAACTTGATTCAATCACCGGCACCAATATTCAAAACCTCCGTTTCTTCTTCGTAGGAGCTTGGCTCTGCTCCGCGAGCTGCCGTTTCAATTCTTCGCGTTTGCGATCAGCTCTCTCCGCCTCCGTCATGGGCGTCACTTCTGGGGCCGCACTAGCTTCTGCTCTTGGCGATGCCTCCTTTTGCGGCTGCTTTTGTGCTGAGGCTGTTTCTGGTGATTTTGGACCGTCATCTCTGTCCATTGTAGATGTAGGACGTGCACGGTGTGGAGAACGAAAAGGGCCCGGCTGAGCAGAAGATGTTTCGTTCGGCCCTGATGTCTTGTCTTTCCTCTTGCCGCCTATCATACCAAGTTTCGTGGGTCGTTTGGTCTGTGGGGGAAGTGGTTGAGGTGGTTCACTGGTCTGAGCTGGTTTCGGAGGTGAAGCTGGGTGCTGCGGATCCGGTTCCTCTCCTTTCTTCTTTCTCCCTCCGATAATGCCCAGGCCTCCCTTTGCCTTCTTTGGGGGCACTTTGGGTTTTTGTGGTGGTGGTGTCGTATGCTTCGATGGAGAAGAGATATCTGGCGTGCGTTTATCGCGTGGCGCAGGTTCGGGCTCGCAGTCGAGGTCTGGCTCTGACTCTGACGCAGTAGCTTCATCCGCCCTAGATTCTGGGGGCGGTGGAGAAGGACTCTTCTTTTTTGTCTTTGGCCCTGGCGGTGAGATTGCGGATTTGGCTTCGTGGGTTTTGAGTTGAGGAGGAGTCGCTTGTCGCTAAAAGTAATCAGCATCATGTCAGTTATTGAGATGGGTGTTTACAACGTACCTGGAATTCGTCGTCTTCGCTCTCTGCAGTAGCATCACCGTCTAGATCCAAGTCTAGCTGTGAAGATCTGACTGGTACATCTTTCTGCGATACGGACTGAACTTCAGGCTCATACTCTTGGGGACAAGATATTTCAGGGCGCCTTTGGAGCGCATTCCACCATTTGTTCTGCGGCGGACGAAGTTCATCAAGACCACGGCTGTTATTAGATCCAAGCAATTCATGAGCTATATTTACGGCTATGCCTGGGGTAGCAGATGAAGACGACCCGAACTCAGCAAGCCATGCCTGCTCATCAAACGGTGCAACGCCTTTGATAAACCTAGCTGCTTCGGATCGTGTGCTACCTTTGCGGGCCGATCGCAGCCCAGCAGCAGCAGGAAATACCGTTCCAAGGTCAATTTGTAGGGCCTCAGCCTTGTCGAACAGTTTTCCAAGGACCCAGTCCTTCTGTTTCAGTTGATCCAAGAGAGTTCGCTGGCGAGACTCCCAACTGGTCTCGTCTCTCAGCAATGGAAGAAGTAACCGGCTGGTAAAGGCGGACGGAGGCTCTTTCAATAGGGATATAGTCCACTTTAACGGCTTCAGTGGAGCTGGTAGCTTCGTACTTGTCGTGAGCTCGAGCGAATCGGCCTGGGATCCGCTGTGTAGAGTTGCGTTGCCCCCATCTCCTCGTAGAGCTTCCCCGATTTTTGATAAAAAGACTTCGAGTTGCCCGTTACCCTCGCTAGGATCAATAGTTGTAGCACTCTCTTCCGCTCGTTTCACGATCGCCTCATGTGGCAGCTTTTCGGACCAGAGCGAGGTGAGGTCCGTCACGTAGAGCTCGTAGCCTTTGCGGGTCCAAGAGTATTGAAAGAGTAGTGGAGGCAAACCCCCGGCTAAATGTAGCCTGCACCACTCCGAAGACATAGCTTCAGCTCTTCGGACCTTTAAATCAGGTCTGTGATGGCTTCCATGAAGATGTACGAAGTGTTTCGCGAAGTGCGGAGCTACAGCTGCCTGGGGCCGCTGGGAAAGTTAGCCGCACGCTTGACCTTCCGCCGATCTCCCGCTTCACTTTTCAACCTCACGCTCTCACGCGTTCTTTGCTTCCTTGCTTTCTCCGACTGAATATCCTCAGACAGTAATTCTCAAATTCTACAAAATGTCCTCGCGACTCCCCGATCGGTCGGGCTTGAGGCGCAGCCGATCACGATCCCCATCATCCTGGCGTCAGCCCCAGAAGCATCCCCGCAACGACGATAGAGAATGGCGCGACCGACAGGACGACCGGAGACCCCAGCAGCCTCGCAATATACGCGACCAAGTGCGGCTTAACCAGCTTCAAGAGGATGAGCAAGCGCGGGAGTGGGTTTCGCAGGAGGATGTTTTCGTGCTGAAGCAGGCCAAGAAGAAGGCTGAGATCCGAGTGAAGGAAGGACGCGCAAAGCCAATCGACTGGCTGACGGTGACTTTGCGCGTGATCGATCCCACACGCAACCCTCTGGACGATGAAATCGCGGATTCCGAGCTCGATGTGGTGGACCCGGATGGTGTCTTCGAGGGACTGTCGCAGTCCCAGCTGCAGGATCTGGAGAGCGAGATCGAAACTTTTGTTAGCTTGGAGACAAATCCGCAAAACCGGGACTTTTGGCAGGTATGATCTACACCTTCACTTGGTTCCACTCTAGTAGCTTGCTAACCATGTCTCTGCTGCAGACCATGAAGATCATCTGTCGAGACCGCCAGAAAACCTCTGCACCTGAAGGCCGCGCCCTTAGCTCCGTCGCCGCTGATATCAACAGACTCTTGGGCCCGAAAACATACGAACAACTTCAGACTCTGGAGGTCCAGGTCAAGAGAAAACTGAGTTCCAACGAGCCTATTGATACGGACTATTGGGAGGAGCTACTGCGCAGCTTGACGGTGTGGAAAGCGCGCGCGAGGCTACGCAATGTCTACCAGGCCGTTATCGATGAACGAGTTGGTGATCTCAGAAAGCAACAAAGAGAAGAGGCGGAGGCGATCCGGGAAAAGTTGGCTCCTCTGGCACCGCTTATTACTGGTGATGAGCAGCAGCTCAATTCTATAGACTCTGGGGAGCTCAAGGGGCTAGACCCCGATCCTTTGCTTCAGGTTCGACCTGAAGATAAAGGGTTGGAGATTATGGACGAGTCCGCATTTCTTCGTCAAGTTGTACGTACCCCCGACTGACTAGGGCCTAAGGTCCAATTGCTAACCAAATTCACAGGCTCGCGAGCGCCAGAAGATCCTCCGTATGGGCTACGTTCCTCTGCGACAGCGAGCAGCCGAAAAACCAACCACGGCCATTATCAACTCAGCCTCAAGCAGCTCCGCTACTCCGGCCGTGTCCAGTCGATTCTCTTCTCTGCCTAACGATGACTTCTCACAGGCGACCAAGGCATTGTATGAAAGAGAATTAGCCAAGGGCGTCAGCGAGAACGAAGAGATCTTTACCGGCGAGGAGGCCGTGAGCACGCCTTCGCAAGCCCAGTGGGCTAGCAAATATCGCCCCCGTAAACCGCGGTACTTCAATCGGGTGCAAATGGGCTACGAATGGAACAAGTACAACCAGACCCACTACGATCATGATAACCCACCGCCGAAGGTCGTGCAGGGTTACAAGTTCAACATCTTCTATCCCGATCTGATTGATAAGACCAAGGCCCCTACGTATCGCATCGAGCGAGAAGGCGGTCGCAAGCGTGGACAGTCCTTTGCCGCCGCCGGGGAAGAGGATACCTGTCTGATTCGGTTTATGGCAGGGGCACCGTACGAGGACATTGCCTTCCGGATTGTCGACAAGGAATGGGACTATAGTGCGAAGCGTGAGCGCGGATTCAAGAGCACATTCGACAAGGTATTTCCCATAATGGCATTCATACCCCGCATAAAAGGAGACGTTCTGACGTGATGGTTTTACAGGGAATTCTGCAGCTCCACTTCCAATTCAAGAGGGTAAGTTCAAGACTTCGAAGAGAATGCAAAGAACACGACTGACAAGTTGTCTCAGATCTATTACCGGAAGTAACACATGCGTGACTCGTCATTCCCACATGGGCGTTATATCGGGATGGGGGTTGGATTTGTGTGGTGTATGCAGGCAAGGACGGTCGGGGTGTATTTTCCAGACAGCTCACACCACTGATTGGGCTGGAAATATTTCCCCCTCCGTCTTTATGGATCTCGCAGAGCCCATGAACTCTCAGCACAGTCCACGTGTGGAGCGCCAATGGTTCGAATGAGCAATGTTAAATGCTTAATCCGACTGCCGATATTCGGGAACTCTCGCCGCATCGTGGCTTGGCCTTCTACCATGAAGATGCTCCGCGGAGCAAGACTCACAACGTCCCCGGAACAGCACTTCGACCCTACGTGCCCAGTGACGGGGATCAGCATGGGCTTTGCGGAACGGCGGACGTTGAAGTCTGTTCTGGTGACACACGCTGGCCTGCAGCTTGCAGATAATTCATCGCTTCCGGCTGGCTGGACGCAGTCCAGCAAGAGGATGGTCGGCTGAAGAACCTATTGACCTCCTGTCGACCTCGTCAACTTCCAGAAGGTCCACTTCACGACGGCGAGTGGTGAACTGGATCTGCAGGCGGCCGCCTCCAGCCGTCCACCGTCCACCATCCACTCCAGGGCCTCCAAGGGAGTGGGTTGAGTGAATGGAAGGTCCCTCAGGCCCTCTCGGGACTGCTGTAGTACCAGATCGAGCCGCCTGGACCGCCTGGACCGCCTTGTGAGATCATTGGCCGACGTTTGTACTATAGGTTTCCGTTCCACAAACGCTTCTTAATAGGTGGCGCTAGAGCTGTAGCCCCGGTATCTTTCTCTCCATCTCTCTCTCTGTCTCCAGCGCCTTTTTTTGTATCCGTGGGCTTTGGCCCGCACCGACGCACACGCGCGGTTTGCCTGCATGGGTTCTGGTGGCTGATTGCAGCAGATGGACCATGTGCCTTACTTGTGTGCTGGCCCCAAAAATTATAGAGAAAAAAAAAGTGTACAGCTCCAATTTTGTGGATGGGGACGGTCATGACGGTCACCCCGGTTACTTCTACTTTGACCCTGCCTCTCATGACTTCCACCTGCGACTACTCCTCTCCTATTTCTCCTTCAATCCAAGTGCATGCCTAAGCTTCTCACGGTTCAATCCTTGCTTTCGAGAATGGAGAGAACTCATAATTTCAAGATGGAGTCTTCGTTTCCATCTGATTACTTTAATCTGGCTCAAATTCCAACTGGCCAGCGGGAGAACGGGTATCACTCGGTCCAAACGCGGTCTTTCAATCTTGAGAGCTATCCCCAGATGAGTTCCTCACAGCCATACGACCCCTGGTCCAGTGAGAACTGGGCGGTATTGAGATCTACCCCGGTGTCAGAATCCATGACACCCCTTCATCATCCCGGCTATTGCCCATGGAGCGCCACTTCGCTGGAACCACACGAACGCAACGCCAGCTCGCGCCCCATTGTGCCTGAAACACCCCAATTTCCTTCTTCTTCTTCTTCTTCTTCTTCAACCCCTCATCATTCAACTCCTTCCATAGGCCTCTTGCAAGACAGCATGGCCCAGTCAAATCTTCGCGCGACCAAACCCCACCATGGTCACGATGTCCTGGATTGGCAGTGTGATCCAGTTACATCTTCATTTTATGCCCGTGATTTCTATTACCGCCACCCAGCGCAGTTGGAAACCTCCGAAGGAAATTCCCTAGGAAATTTCCTGGCCTTGCGAGGGACCCCACCATCACCACCAATTTCAATCTCCTCTCAGCAGTCATCATCAATATCCGTTAACAGCATGGGTCACACTGACCCCAATACGTTGCCTGACAGCAACTCGCCCCGAACTAGCCTTGGGGATCACAACGAGGGAGATTACAACACAGATCTGCCATACTCGAAACTCATCTATAGGGCCCTGAAAGAGGCCGACGGCCACAAGCTGTCCCTTCAGCAAATCTACGAATGGTTCACCAAAAACACGAACAAGGGCAGGGACAACACAAAAGGCTGGCAGAATAGCATCCGCCATAATTTGTCTATGAATAAAGTACGATCCCCACTTCCACACCCCATAACCCGTTACCGGTTTCATGATTGAGAAATCGGTTCCCCTCCTTTCCTCCTTTCCAATTATACTGGTGTCCTTGACTGATAGCAATCTCCGTTTTAGGGATTTACGGCCGACAAAGTCGAGGGAAGCACGGGGAGGAAGCCACAAAATTTGTGGGCTCTGACTCAAGATGCTATCGACCGGGGCTACGTGGAGTCCACCACTCGCTATCGCAAGACAAATGGCCGCAAGGCGAGCCCGAACATTCCAGTCCTTAGGCGTCAGCGGTCAGGGTCTAGGGGGGGAAAGGCTGCGAAAAATGCGACCAAGATGCGCCACCCCACGCAGAATGAGCGATCCGAAAGGCACTATCCTTTCACGTACAATCAACCCCAGCAGCCTCAGCATCAGCCTCAGCGCGCGGTCGATGGGCACTACCTGCCTACACCGCCGCTGCTTGTAGGCGTGCCGCACTATCAGGTGCAGCAGGTCTTCAATGGGCTGCCCATGGATACCAGGGATAGCTCGCTCCAACGGGAATACGAATATTCCGACGTGATTGGCTGCACAAGCCCCCTACTCGGCGATAATGCGGTGTTCTGTGATGTGGCGGAGCCGGAGCCTAATTCCAGCCCGACGCTCGATATGGGACATATGGGTTGCTGGTACGAGCTCCGGGACCCAATAATGAGTTGATGGCAAGCCCCGACAGGCCATCAGATTTTCAACCTAGCGTGCGCAGAGGAAGACAAAGGCAGAGCTAAGAAAAAAGGGTGGGGAGGAGAGCCATGGGTTTCGAGGTAGAAAAATGCCGGATTGCTGACATGCATAATGATGTTGTTGTTATTTCCCCTTATTGCCGGTTCTATTTTTCTGGTTTCTTTTTTCTTTTTTCTGGGTGATTTTTTGTATTCTGATTTTTGGCCAAGGGATGTTTCTAGTGAGTGATCTAGAGAGGCAAAGCCTGCATGACTCTTGCATTTGGACTTGGGAAATGGTGTTCCAACAGGAGTGGCATGAAGTCGTGAGCGACCTGCTTTGTGTATTGCTTTTTGTACTGTTTCTTTAATGCAAATTTGAGTGTATCATAGAGCAACAATCTGATGTCCCAACCTTAGGCCTATCATCTAGGGGACTATCATCTGCACTGTCATATTCACTAAGTTTCGGATCTTCACATTGTCAGGATCCTCACGTTCTCGGTTGGGCACGAGGGACCACTCGTCAGCCTCATACTTGCAAATCTACCATGCCGGTAGTTCGGAAGGATTACCAAATGCAGCTGTTCTTTGCCAACCAGTACAGCATGTCCTGCACGTTCGCGCGAAGCGGGGTCCGGCCAGTGCAGCCTACCATAGCAGCAATAATTGATATTCTTTTCTTTCCTCATCTCACTCGTCCCCAGCCTAAGCCCCAGAGAAGCCACTCCTGAACCATTCGAGCGATAGCCTGCAGCTTTAGTCCAGCTGACGCGGACCGAGACTTGGCGTTGTCTCCAGGGCTGCAGTGTGTCATAGTACTTTCATCATCTCGCTTTCCCCGCTTATTGCCTTCTGTCAAGATGTCTCGGTTCCGAATATTCGCTGGTAGGAAGATGGCTGATTGGATCTATCAAAGATGATCTACGCCTTCCCGCTTCCCCGTGGATGCAGGTTCGGGATGATCGTGATGCTGATTAGCGCCATGACAGCCTCGCGTGATCGGGATCTACAGTTGCAGGCGGTACGGCACTTGGAATCCACACTCGATTACATATCGTGACGAATTAAGAGGCTAAAATGGAGTGGACTTCTCAGGTAAATGACATCGAAGCTCCGTAGCAGATCCACTCCCCCTTCCCAGCTCTTCCGTGACTCGTTTATTCGGTCTCCGTACGTAGATTTCCGTACCTCCGTAAACCTACTTGGGGATTTGCTATCTCCGCGGAGTGGGATTGGCACGTATCTGTACACCGTTACTCCGTACATATCACAAAGTTCGCAACCACTGCGTGTACATACCCGGTTCTGCTTCTCTACGCAGGCCTGCCAAAAATCTCGGGTCTGCAGGCTTGATTAAATAAACTAAAACTTTCTCTTGATGCAAATTAAGACTCACGAGTATCTCCATACGTTGCTATTGGCTGCTTATGCCGGTTCATTCATTCCTATAAAGCTCTGGCTGACTACATTCCCAAAACAATCTTGTTTATTTAGGGGGTCCGCCGTTTCGCAAATGACTTAGTCTTGGTCTGTACCACATTCTGCGAGGAATGAATATTTTCGGGCATCTAGCCGATGCGTAAATCACCTAGGTGGCCATGGGAAGCCACCGTACCATAGTATGGAAGACCCTAAATTGATCAGTGTTATAGCCATTTCACTTGGGGAACATCTATTCCAGTTTTGGAACGCCATTTTCTTTCGGCCGGTCAAAGCAATACAGGATCACGAGTGATGCATTTCAATGCACTTTTTTTTTTGGCTTCCTTTGTTCTATTCCTGGCCGATGCCGGTAATCTTGCTCTTTGTCGGCTCCAATGACCCGGTCCCGCTTGGCTAGGATCCCATGCAGGGCACCGGCTTCCGGTATCGATAGTCTGTTCACCAGCCCCCCGTCAGGAACCCGGCACCGCCTAATCCATCGTGTTGCATTTTACCAACCTGGTGGATTCCAGAACTGTCGACATATCACTTTTATATAGCAGAAGAAAATACCGACGTTTCTTTATCACAACTGAGTGATCCGGAGCCTCAGGTGAAACCCGCAACGGAAGTTCTCGCATGCTGGCTCGCTAGTCATAATACTTCGTACTCGATGAAGATGCAGCCAGACTCAGCCCATCGGGGTAAGGACTGCCGTCACCATCTCCGCTGTTTTTTGTGAATGATATTCAGGTATCTCTGTAGGATGATGAAACAGGATGTCTGATCCCATTGTATTGTTCGGATCCCCTATCCTTTCACGTTGACTTGAGCATTGGCCACAACGGTTCAGATCCTGATCCGTTTCCGTTCGGTGCTTGTGGAATGAAACGGGCCGGCTTGACAGCTGTCAATAGTGATTGTGTCTCCCAGACTGCCGTACAGAGCAAGCGGTATATACGGCAAAATAGACGAGAATGGGGGCACGTCCGGCCCATAGACTGTTATGCTCTGACCCTTCCTCGGCATGGTCAGCGAGAACGACAGCTTGGGGTGGGGGCAGCCTGTAATAACAAAAGCAAAACGTTGAGAAGGAGACATCAGACGGAAACGATGTCGATCCAGGCCGCCATCTCGATCTATTGGACGCCAGTCAGTGTCTACAGGGGTTAGCGGGTAGTGACGGGTGAATAAGAAGGTTCATCGGCTGCGACGTAGGTAGATAGACATGGCCGGCGTACATTAGTTTAATGGATGTGGAGGGAGCACTCGTATCTGCTTTGCGGACGACGCTTTTGGGGAGGGGAGCTCACAGAGCTAGTCAGGTGGCACAAAATGAAGCCCTTGACGATTTCTATCATACATCATCAATTTTCCTTCGCTGGTGAGAGGCTTGTACTCCACTTAGCACGTATTTTCTCCGAATGTTGTCACGTTCATACAAATTGGGTTTTGATGCCAGAGATCGAGCCCGATGTCATAACCTTAAAAGTGAAAATAGACTTGACATGCGCAGGAGATTCATCTTAGCATTCAGCCCCTTTTAACCGTTTCATTTTGATTTTATTTTTCGCCGCAGATCGGTTCTTCGGTTCTGTTATGGACATCTGCAGGCCAATGCGCCAAGGATTGAGACTCCTGCCTGAAAGGGCATTCCGGCGACTAACGACGCGATTAGTTCATCGGGTCAGGCCAGAATTGATTTTTTCACCTGGTAGCAGAGAAACTTCGTATTTCTGCAGCTAATTAGTTGCCTGGTTGATGGGGTGCATTGATGCCTGCTTTCCTTCCGGTCCCACTCCGTCCACGATATACATTTAGGAATCGTCTCCGCTTTGACATTTCCGAATGGAGTACACTGTAGATAGGTTCATGTCCGATCCCCAGATGAGATCTCCTGACCTCGTTCAAGGGTGACACTGACCTTACGGGGCTTACCCCGCGAAGAAAATATGTGTCTACCCAATCTCGGCAATTCCAAAGTCTTGGATAGCAGGGTATCTTCGAGACCCTCTAAATGAATCTACACAATCATGCATGATGCAAGACCACGGTTCATCCAAGACGTTTCCCGTCACTCAGCAAATGAAAAATGCCGTGGTGACGTGCCTAAAGTCAGACCTCAGGTTTCTTAAGCGAGCTTCCCATCTAGTATCCTGAGATATTCAAACTGCCGAAGTTCCCAACCCCAAGAAAATGAAGCAGCGCCGGGGGGCTGTTTCCAGAAGAGCTACTGTAGTCCGGATTTCAATCCGGTGAAGCTCGAGAAAGGGTCACCGGACCGAATAATGATTCCTGTCACTCATTGAAGCTGCTGCCCTGGTAAATAATAGGGTGCTATATACCCTCCCCGGGGCGGGAATCGTCTAGCTGCGACCGTCGGAGTTTCGTGACATGGCGGTCTGGCGATGAAGTTGAACCTGGTGTGCTGGCTGATTCTCGACGATGTCATAAGACAAGGAAGGCTATTGTGCGGCCCTAGTCGCGGACGAAACTATTGGTAGTACTGCTTCACATGGCCTGGTCGTTGACGTGATGAGGATACTGTTGGGTCGAAGTCTAGACTAGGAAGGACATCATGCGGTGTGGATGCCACCTTTTGATGATCCTCGTGGATGGCATTGAAACAATGAGGATTACCCAACAGGGCCGAGATTACCACATGAGCTGCAGCTACGTTCTATGGACTGTGATATTCGGCAACGAGGTCTACATTTCGCTGCATCATCACAAAAGTCTTTGCGATAGCCGCAAGCGTTGACGACGGAGCAAAAGAAAATGTCAAAAAGATACTCGAGTCAAACCCAAGAATTTTGTGGGAATCTCATGAAGATAGTAAATTTGGGTTTCATTTGCATAGCCACGATCCATCATGGATTCGCGTGCTAGCGGTTCCTGATCATCCTTTTTTTAGATTCTGAAGAACCGTTCCCACCGTTTTTCCGTAACGTTCGCTCCCCAAAAAGACCAACACCGACGAAACAGACTTTGCTTAGCGCTTGCCAGCAGCCTTCTCCTGGGACTCCTTGAGGACCTTCTTGACGATCTTCTGCTCCTCAATCAGGAAGGCGCGGACAATGCGGTCCTTGACGCAACCGGCGCAGCGCGAGCCACCGTAGGCACGGCTGACGTTCTTCTTGGGGCGGGAGATCTGAGCATACTCGCGGGGGCGGAGAGCGGGAATCTGTGCGATCACCGTTGTTAGTTCGATTGTGACTTTTTTTAACTGCGACGGAGGATGTGCAATGGTTGTGTTCGGTTTTGGTTGACTCGCGGGATCACATCGGTCCATCCAGGGCGGTTTTCGAATTTTTCGTGGCCCTTCAGTGTGCCCACCCCACGATCGCCATGTCCGCACACAACGCACACACAACTCCAAAAAATTCATCTTAGGGGGCACTCACGCCAGGGAGCTTGATGCCACAGTCACCGCACTTGGGAGCAGTGCCCTTCTTCTTCAGGTGAAGGTACCGGAGCTCGCCACCGGGGGTCTTGATGATGCGAACCTTGTTGGACCGCGTGTTGTACCTATCCAGAAGAACCGTCAATATGTCGTTCGAAAAATAATAATGCTCATCTCATCCGATCGTATTCAATGTCGAATCAAGCGTAGAGGAGGCATTGTTGAAGGGAAGGGAATTTTTTTCAACGTACGGGTTCCGGCGGCGCTGCAGAGAAGGGTCAGCATTCAGCTTTTTCAATGGTAATAGAGATTGTAGGCAATAGCACTCACGTATTGCAGTCTGTTGTTCGCCATTTTGCCTGTGGTTCAACCTCGGTGGTGAAGGGCGTTGTCGTCGTCGGGTTGTGAACGGTAAAATGTTCAGGTTGCGCGGGTTTGTGTGGGTTTCGCTCTAGCGCGGATTTGGCGAGGTGCCGCTAGTCCCGATCGGGACTAGTTCGAATAATGGAGCCGCCACCTCAAAGTTCGGCGTCGCAGGAGTCGTCTTTGCGTGTCGAAGTGTCCGGTGTTGGTGACCCTTTTCCATCACTTAGCACGCTCAATCTCCCGCGTGTATACCACCCGCTATCCTTCTATTCCTTACAACCACGTCCACCCAACGAGTCGATGGTTCTTGACGTGATTCGGACGCGACTCTGAGCCCAACTCACGTCTAGGGAGGGTGGGTGATACCCCCATCAACTACCACCACCATGGCATCTTTGCCTCCTCCTCCTCCCCCGGGATGGGGCGCAGCTCCCCCGTCCATGCCGATGGCGCCGCCGCCGCCTGGCTACCAGCCGCCCGCCGACCCGAACGTTGCAAAATTTGCGCAGAAAAAGCATGAATGGCTGCGCACGCAGCGCAGTCGATTCGGCGAGAAGCGCAAGGGTGGATTTGTCGAGACTCAGAAGGCAGACATGCCACCGGAGCATCTAAGAAAGATTGTGAAGGATATTGGCGATGTCTCGCAGAAGAAGTTCACCAACGAGAAGCGCAGCTATCTCGGCGCCTTGAAGTTTATGCCGCACGCAGTCCTCAAGCTCTTGGAGAACATGCCCATGCCCTGGGAGTCCGCGAGAGAAGTGAAGGTGTTGTACCACGTTAACGGATGCTTGACCCTCGTCAACGAGACCCCCCGCGTTATCGAGCCGGTCTTCCACGCCCAGTGGGCCACGATGTGGATGTGCATGCGTCGCGAGAAGAGTGACCGAAGGCATTTCAAGCGCATGCGCTTCCCTCCGTTCGATGATGAGGAACCCCCTCTTTCGTGGTCGGAAAATATTGAGGACGTCGAGCCGCTGGAGCCCATCCAAATGGAGCTGGACGAGGAGGAAGATGCGGCAGTCTACGAATGGTTCTACGACCACCGGCCCCTGCTAGATACCCCTCATGTTAATGGGCCGAGTTACAAGAGCTGGAACCTGTCGTTGCCGCAGATGGCCACCCTCCACCGTCTCAGCCATCAGCTCCTCAGCGACGTGGTCGATCAGAACTATCATCACATGTTCGACCTCGACAGTTTCTTTACTGCAAAGGCCCTCAACGTTGCGATCCCTGGTGGTCCCCGCTTCGAGCCGTTGTACAAGGATATCGACCCCAACGACGAGGACTTCAGCGAGTTCAACGCGATCGATCGCATCATCTTCCGTGCCCCGATTCGGACCGAATACCGGGTCACCTTCCCCCACTTGTATAATACCCTTCCCCGCAGCGTGAAGCTTGCCTGGTACTCCCACCCTCAGGTGGTTTACGTCCGCACCGAGGACCCCAACCTTCCCGCTTTCTATTTCGACCCTGTCATTAATCCGATTTCCTCTCGTTCCGTCGCACCGAAGAACATCACCGTCAGCCATGAGGATGAGATTTTTGGGCCTGATAACGAGGACGACTTTGAGCTACCTGGAGAGGTTGAGCCTTTCTTTGATGACGAGGAGCTTTACACTCAGGACACTGCTTCTGCCATCGCTCTGTGGTGGGCCCCTCACCCCTTCGACAAGCGATCCGGGAAGATGGTTCGCGCTCAGGATGTGCCGCTCGTGAAGCAGTGGTATCTGGAGCACTGCCCGCAGGGTCAGCCTGTCAAGGTCCGGGTGTCCTACCAGAAATTGCTCAAGACATATGTGCTCAACGAGTTGCACAAGAGCAAATCAAAGGCCCAGAGCAAGCAGAACCTGTTGAGAACTCTGAAGACAACCAAGTTCTTCCAGCAGACTACTATTGACTGGGTGGAGGCCGGTTTGCAGGTCTGCCGTCAGGGTTTCAACATGCTGAACCTGTTGATTCACCGAAAGAATTTGACCTACCTGCACCTCGACTACAACTTCAACTTGAAGCCGGTTAAGACCCTGACTACCAAGGAGCGGAAGAAGTCCCGCTTTGGAAATGCTTTCCACCTGATGCGTGAAATCTTGCGCCTCACCAAGTTGATCGTCGACGCCCAGGTCCAATATCGCCTGGGTAACATCGATGCCTTCCAATTGGCTGATGGCATTATGTATGCCTTCAATCACGTTGGTCAGCTTACCGGTATGTACCGTTACAAGTACAAGCTGATGCACCAGATTCGCTCGTGCAAGGATCTCAAGCATCTTATCTACTACCGGTTCAACTCTGGCCCCGTCGGTAAGGGTCCTGGCTGTGGTTTCTGGGCCCCTGCCTGGCGAGTATGGCTGTTTTTCATGCGCGGTATCATTCCTCTGCTTGAGAGATGGCTTGGAAACTTGCTCTCTCGTCAATTCGAAGGACGTCACAGCAAGGGTGTCGCGAAGACGGTCACCAAGCAGCGTGTGGAGTCTCACTTCGATCTGGAACTCCGCGCTTCGGTTATGGCCGATCTGATGGATATGATGCCCGAGGGTATCAAGCAGAACAAGGTCAATGTTGTCCTGCAGCATTTGTCCGAGGCATGGAGATGCTGGAAGAGTAACATTCCCTGGAAAGTTCCTGGTCTGCCGGCGCCTATCGAAAACATCATTCTTCGGTACGTTAAGAGTAAGGCCGATTGGTGGATTTCTGTTGCCCACTACAACCGAGAGCGAATCCGTCGTGGCGCAACTGTGGACAAGACCGTGGCTAAGAAGAACTTGGGTCGTCTCACTCGTCTCTGGCTCAAGTCGGAGCAAGAACGGCAACACAACTATCTCAAGGATGGTCCTTATGTCTCCTCCGAGGAAGCCGTCGCCATCTACACGACCATGGTCCACTGGCTGGAGTCTCGCAAGTTTTCGCCTATTCCTTTCCCGAGTGTGTCGTACAAGCATGACACCAAGATTCTTATCCTGGCTCTCGAGCGTCTCCGCGAGTCTTACTCCGTGAAGGGCCGTTTGAACCAGAGTCAGCGAGAAGAACTTGCTCTCATCGAGCAGGCTTATGACTCTCCTGGGACAACTCTAGCAAGAATCAAGCGTTTCCTTCTGACTCAGCGTGCTTTCAAGGAAGTCGGGATCGACATGAACGACAACTACAACAACATCAATCCCGTCTACGACATCGAGCCCATCGAGAAGATCACCGACGCCTACCTGGATCAGTACCTCTGGTATCAGGCTGAGCAGCGTCACCTGTTCCCTGCTTGGATCAAGCCCTCCGATTCCGAAGTGCCGCCGCTTTTGACTTACAAGTGGACCCAGGGTATCAACAACCTGTCCAACGTTTGGGAAACGGCCGATGGCGAGACCAATGTCATGATAGAGACCGAGCTGTCTAAGGTCTATGAGAAGATGGATCTTACTCTGTTGAACCGCATGTTGCGCCTCATTATGGACCACAACTTAGCCGACTACATCACCTCCAAGAACAACGTCCAGCTCAGCTACAAGGACATGAACCACACCAATAGTTATGGACTGATCCGAGGCCTTCAGTTCTCTGGCTTCGTGTTCCAGTACTATGGCTTGATGATCGATCTGCTGCTCCTCGGCTTGCAGCGAGCTAGCGAAATGGCTGGACCGCCCGCGAGCCCCAATGACTTCTTGCAGTTCAGGGACCGAGCTACTGAGACTAGACACCCCATCCGTCTCTACACTCGCTACGTCGACAAGATTTGGGTGTTTTACCGTTTCCAGGCCGACGAATCCCGAGATCTGATCCAGCGATTTTTGACAGAGAACCCAGATCCCAACTTCGAGAATGTCATCGGCTACAAGAATAAGAAGTGCTGGCCTCGCGACTGCCGAATGCGCTTGATGCGCCACGATGTCAATCTTGGTCGTGCTGTGTTCTGGGATATGAAGAACCGTCTCCCTCGGTCCATCACCACCATCGAGTGGGACGACACGTTCGCTAGCGTGTACAGCAAGGACAACCCGAACCTGCTCTTTTCCATGAGTGGGTTTGAAGTCCGCATTCTTCCCAAGATTCGCAACCAGAACGAGGAGTTCTCCGTCAAGGATAGCGTTTGGTCTCTGGTTGACAACTCGTCGAAGGAGCGTACCGCTCATGCCTTCCTCCAGGTCACTGAGGAGGACATCCAAAAGTTCAACAACCGAATTCGACAAATTCTCATGTCTTCTGGATCAACCACATTCACGAAAATCGCCAACAAGTGGAACACTGCGCTGATTGCTCTTTTCACTTACTACCGCGAAGCCGCCGTGTCGACCGTCAACCTCCTCGACACCATTGTCAAGTGTGAGACTAAGATCCAGACCCGTGTCAAGATTGGTTTGAACTCCAAGATGCCGTCCCGTTTCCCTCCAGCTGTCTTCTACACTCCGAAGGAGCTTGGAGGTCTTGGTATGATCTCAGGATCCCACATCCTCATTCCCACCAGTGACAAGCGCTGGTCGAAGCAGACGGACACCGGCATCACCCACTTCCGAGCGGGTATGTCTCACGATGAGGAGACCCTGATCCCGAACATCTTCCGATACATCATTCCCTGGGAGGCCGAGTTCATCGACTCTCAGCGTGTGTGGATGGAATATTCCCAGAAGCGCATGGAGGCTCAGCAGCAGAACCGCCGCCTAACCCTGGAGGATCTCGAGGACAGCTGGGACCGTGGTCTTCCGCGTATCAACACCCTCTTCCAAAAGGATCGCAGTACCCTCAGCTTCGACAAGGGCTTCCGTCTTCGTGCTGAGTTCAAGCAGTACCAGCTGATGAAGAGCAATCCCTTCTGGTGGACTAGTCAGCGCCATGATGGTAAATTGTGGAACCTGAACGCTTACCGGACGGATGTCATCCAAGCCCTGGGTGGTGTTGAAACTATTCTGGAACACACCCTGTTCAAGGCGACAGCTTTCCCATCCTGGGAGGGTCTCTTCTGGGAGAGAGCTAGCGGGTTCGTTCTCCTTTTATCCCCTACTTATTCCCGTCTTGAAAGCTAACGTTTTTCTCTCAAAACAGATTCGAAGAGTCAATGAAGTTCAAGAAGCTCACAAACGCTCAGCGGTCCGGTTTGAATCAGATTCCTAACCGTCGATTTACCCTTTGGTGGTCCCCGACAATCAACCGTGCCAACGTTTACGTTGGTTTCCAGGTGCAGCTGGATCTGACTGGTATCTTCTTGCACGGCAAGATCCCCACTCTGAAGATTTCCCTGATTCAGATCTTCCGTGCCCACTTGTGGCAGAAGATTCACGAGTCTGTGGTCATGGACTTGTGTCAGGTGTTTGACCAGGAACTGGAGCAGCTTGGCATCGAGGCTGTTCAGAAGGAGACAATTCACCCTCGTAAGTCGTACAAGATGAACAGTTCTTGTGCAGACATTCTTCTTTTCGCTACCAACAAGTGGAACGTTACTCGACCTTCTCTGCTGTTCGACACCAAGGATACTTACGAGCCTACCACGACCAACAAGTTCTGGCTCGATGTGCAATTGAGATACGGTGATTACGATTCTCACGACATTGAACGTTATGTTCGTGCCAAGTACCTCGATTACACCACGGACAGCATGAGTATCTACCCCTCGGCAACGGGTTTAATGATCGGTATCGATCTTTCATACAACCTGTACTCTTCCTACGGTCAATACTTCCCGGGTCTGAAGACTCTGGTCCAGCAGGCCATGGCCAAGATTATGAAGGCCAACCCTGCCTTGTACGTCTTGCGTGAGCGTATTCGCAAGGGTCTGCAACTGTACGCCTCCGAGAGCAACCAGGAGTTCCTCAACTCGCAGAACTACTCCGAGCTTTTCAGTCCGCAGATTCAGCTGTTCATCGATGATACCAATGTCTACCGTGTGACCATCCACAAGACATTTGAGGGTAACTTGACCACCAAGCCCATCAACGGTGCCATCTTCATCTTCAACCCCCGCACTGGACAGCTGTTCCTGAAGATTATCCACACCAGCGTCTGGGCTGGTCAGAAGCGTTTGGGTCAGTTGGCCAAGTGGAAGACAGCCGAAGAAGTTGCAGCCCTCATTCGGTCTCTGCCTGTGGAAGAGCAACCGAAGCAGCTTATTGTCACTCGCAAGGGTCTTCTTGATCCTCTCGAGGTCCATCTGCTTGACTTCCCCAATATCTCTATTCGTGCTTCCGAGCTTCAGCTGCCCTTCCAAGCTGCCATGAAGGTCGAGAAGCTTGCGGATATGATTCTCCGTGCCACCGAGCCTCAGATGGTTCTCTTCAACCTGTACGACGAGTGGTTGAAGTCCATCTCCCCATATACTGCCTTCTCTCGTCTGATCCTGATCCTCCGTGCTCTCCATGTCAACATTGACAAGGCTAAGATCATTCTCCGGCCCGACAAGACCGTGATCACCCAGGAGCATCACATCTGGCCATCTCTCTCTGACGAAGACTGGATCAAGGTTGAAGTGCAACTGCGTGATCTGATCTTGAATGACTACGGCAAGAAGAACAACGTCAATGTGCAGAGTTTGACCAGCAGTGAAGTGCGAGATATCATTCTGGGTATGGAGATCAGTGCACCCTCGCTGCAGCGACAGCAGGCGGCCGAGATCGAGAAGCAGCAGGAGGAGCAGAAGCAGCTCACTGCCGTTACCACCAAGACTCAGAATGTGCGAGGAGAGGATATCATCGTCACGACAACGTCGCAGTACGAGCAGCAGTCGTTTGCATCGAAGACCGAGTGGCGTACTCGGGCGATTGCCACCTCGAACTTGCGGACGAGATCCAACAACATCTATGTTTCTTCGGATGATGTCCGCGACGAAGGGTTCACCTACGTCATGCCGAAGAACGTCCTGAAGCGATTCATCACCATCGCTGATCTTCGTGTTCAGGTTTCGGGGTATCTCTACGGTAGCTCCCCGCCGGACAACGACCAGGTCAAGGAGGTTCGCACCATCGTCATGGTTCCGCAGGTCGGTAACACTCGGGATGTCCAGCTGCCGCATCAGCTGCCTCAGCATGACTACCTGAACAACCTAGAGCCGCTGGGTGTCATCCACACGGTCTCGGGCAACGAGCCGCCCTACATGTCGGCGGCAGATGTCACGCAGCATGCTCGTCTCATGAACGCACACCCGTCGTGGGACAAGAAGACCGTGACCATGACCGTCTCCTTTACTCCTGGATCCGTGTCGCTTGCCGCTTGGGGCCTGACCCCGGACGGGTATAAATGGGGCGCTGAGAACAAGGACATGTCCTCTGACCAGCCCCAAGGCTTCTCTACCAGCATGGGTGTGAAGTGTCAGCTGCTGCTCAGTGACCGTGTGCGCGGCTACTTCTTGGTTCCCGAGGACAACCTTTGGAACTATAGTTTCATGGGTAGCTCCTTCGGCAGCGTTGAGAAGAGGCCTATCTACGTCAAGATCGATACCCCGCTTCGATTCTACGATGACCAGCACCGCCCCCTGCACTTCCAGAACTTTGCCGAGTTGGAGGATATCTGGGTTGATCGGTCGGATAACTTTGAGTAAGGGAAAGTGGGCGTTTTGCAAAGCCATACTTCGGTGTTCTCTCTCCGGGCGTCTTGTATTCTTATGTTATTTTTACTCCCTTTCTCTTGTATCACGACAATCATAATTTCATGTATTGAAGCGAGGACCGAGTTCGGAAAAGCAGTGCGTTATTGGATGTTAGCACTTGTTCTTTGTATTTAGTATGGCCTATTTCCTCATCTTTCTTAGGCCGAATGCATTACATTGGTTTTCAAGGATGATTTCAGATTCAGCCGATCTGCGAAGTCACAGATCGCCTTAACCATGGTTCAAGGTTATCGACGAGAACGAGGAAGGTTCCTTGACTTCCGAAGACACCACGGTGACCTGATTGCGCGCTTTTAACAGGGATGAAACGGAGGTCATCGGCCATACGCCACGGAGGCCCGACCCTCGAGCTTGGTATGCGTTGACCGTCTCGAAAAGGGCCATGGAGGGGCAACGTCAACGTCGCCATGCATCCTGTCACCCGTGTCCCAACCAGACTATTGAATCCTGCCCGAGATTAGGCTGCTTTTGATCCCTTGTCAATCCGGTCATCACTAACATGCGGGACAAAGCCGTATGCACCTAAACAAACCCGGCAATTTCTTCATCCTCAATCTCCCTTTCACACCCCCACTTGCCTTTGGATGAAACACACCATTTTACTCGGGTGATGTGTCGAGGGACGCATTAGTTCCCGAATTGCCAGGGTTCATGACTTGGATCCCAGCACACTATCCGAAAGGAAGCCCAGTGAAAATAAACGCCATGATGTGGTTGGATCCTGAGCTCCACTGCGACGAACGCTGCTGTCAAGGAAAGTCGAGTCAGGAAAGAAGCCTGTGCGCCACGTGCAAGTGACATTGATTGTTTCAATCCCCGCCATCGGGGTTCTCTGGTGCATTTGTGATTGCTTCTCGCATCTCCTTGGCATTCGGTCGATCGGGCGATAGTTGACCTGATTGCTTCTTTGCCTAACCCTGGAGGGAAGCCATTGCCCGAGGGGCCAGACGGAGACCTTGCACCCGACGTATAAACCCCCCTGTCAGTGCGTCCGCATGTCCCCGATGCCAATCTGACGGGCGTTTCTCGGTTCCTGCCGGGGAGTCTTCCGATACTCGCTTCGTCTGTGGCCTGTTGCTCTCTGCTTTTTCATCAAGTTGGGAATCACGGTAGGTGGGGATCCCTTCCTTATAGTACCACGGTTTTATTAGGGCGATGGAATCAGTTATTGGTAGAAAGACGCAAAAGCGCGCGCTTTGGGGACGATGTACTGAAAGGACTACGACGGCCAATCAATCCCCTATTCGCAGCAATCAGTCGTCTCCCTCTCCACTTGAATCCCGCGAAACCATCCCTGGCGATGCACGATCCAGCTGATGAGCTTCGGCACAGACTCCCTTTCACACGGGCTGATGCAAACCTCCGGACGAAGATGGTCCTCGGTGAGGAACTTATAGAGGGCCATCTCCGCGGCTGCGTCTCTTCGCTTGTGTGACGAGATCTGAACTTTGCCCCCTTGTATGCTACCTTATGCTATTATTTTTCCATTGGGCTCCCAGTCACTACGCCCCTTTGACCTCGGGAATACCTTGTTCTTTGCCCCCTCCATTTGATCTTGCTCAGTTCGGTTTGCCTCTGTTTTCCCTCGAAACCTTGTCGTATATTGCCATTCTTATGTGACAGTGGAATCCCGAGCTGCCGTTGGTCCCAATTTCGGGAGCGATACCTTGCTCTTCGGTTTCGGGTCGTCCTCTTTTAGCAGAACAGCCAGCCGGGGCTTTCCTGGCCGTGTCAATGCATGTCCGTGATACTCTCAGATCCGTATCGAGGCTTTGCAATTCACTATACTTCTCCGGAAAAGCCTGATGATCATGATTTGATTGTGTTCGGTTCGCCTCAGTCGCAGCTGCGCTCCAAGCTGATGAGCGGGCCTCCCTTTCCCACTGCAAACACTCTTCTTTCTTTTGGCACACACCCGCTGGCGGTACTGCCTCGTACTGTCTCTCAGGTGGGGGGCCACAATGACCCTCAATCGGGCTATGTCACCGCGCATCAGATGCTCCCGCATCAGCTACCACCGCACTATGGCTACAAGATAGCGACTCCGCAAGCAAGCAGGAAACGGTCCCGATCCGGAAACGAAGAAGATATTGGCAGTGACATCGATCGCAATGTTGGAATCCGCCAATCTCTGCCTCCATTGTCTGCTGGTGGCTCCTCCGTTTCTGCAGTAGAACCTCCAAAGATTTTATACCCGGTGCACAGCGAGTCCTCGGTTCGTCACCCGTCTTCGGGTCACGAGTTCCCTTCGCCTATTTCTCTGCCCATTCCACAGAGCCATCACCACCACGGTCTCCCTCCACAGGCCCTCCTGCAGACAGGCGGCCATGGCCTGGATCCCAACTCGCCCCCATTGTCAGGACCACCCAGCGTCGTGGGTCAACCTGGAATGCCCGAACCAGCGCCGAGGCCCCGCGGTCCGAAGCTCAAGTTTACTCCAGAGGAAGATGCATTGCTGTTGGACCTCAAGGAGGACAAGAACTTGACCTGGAAACAGATCGCGGACTTCTTCCCGGGCAGGACAAGTGGTACTCTGCAAGTCCGATACTGCACAAAGTTGAAGGCCAAGGATGTGGTATGGACGGATGAAATGGTGAGCTACCCCATTTCTTGCTCACATCTACTGAGATTCGTTCTACCCTAACCGATGACCAGGTGCACCGGCTTCATCGCGCAATGGAGGAGTATGAGACTGATCGATGGCGCATCATTTCCGGAAAGGTTGGCAACGGGTTCACTCCAGCGGCGTGTAAAGAGCAGGCGAGCCATTTTGAATGAGTTCTTTTGTATTTATGACTTAGTGTGAGATTAGATACCCTCGTTATACATCTCCTAGACTTTCTATACTTCCAAGGCAAGCCCTGAACCCTATATTCCGAATGCGGCCCTGCATATTTGGTCTGAACGGTCCGCCGAAGTCCGGAGCCAATCGGAGCCGAGTCATTCCTTACACGGACAGCTTGTTGCTTCCTCGTTTCTCAGGCATCAAAAGCCCGGTCCACCGGCTTCAAACTCACCCAACCTTCATCTCAGAATCTCTCCCCATCCCCAAACCCCCTCCACCACATTTCACCAGCTCTACCTGGACAATGTTCCTACAGCGTACCGCCTCCGCCTTCGCGCGGCGCTCTCCTGCCCGCGCTTTCACTCTTGCTCAGCGCCCGTTCTCCTCGTCCATCGTGCGCAGTATGTTCCCCCCAGTGGCCTGATCCGACCTCCTCCGACCTTCGCCAACCCACGTCCCACCCGACTCAATTGGCATTTGGCACTGTTTATCCGGCAAACAGACATCGGATTATCTTCTATGACCAGCAGCTAACGAGATATGTCGCTCAATAGGCAACGAGAAGAAGTGGGCCCCCAAGGATGAAGGCAAGACCTTGTCCTTCGACGGTTAGTACACCTTGTCCGCCACCCACGACCAATCGCTCCGTCTGTGCTCTCGGTGGAAGGGGAAGACCCATTGAATCTACTGTCATCTGCATCATGTGTAATTGGACCGCATACGATGTCAGGCACATGGATCGTGGGCCCACCCGAGTCGAGTCACAACACGCGCGAGTCGATCATAAATTCCTATCCGAAGAGTGCAGCGCTGATTCTTCTGTCTTCCATGACCGCAGAGATCAAGAATGAGGACGACCTGATTCCCCCGGGTGCCAAGCCCGGTACCGTTCCTACCGACTACATCCAGGCCACCGGTCTCGAACGTCTCGAGCTTATCGGAAAGATGCAGGGTATCGACATCTTCGACATGCGTCCCCTGGATGCCTCCCGCAAGGGTATGTTGGCTTTATCTTCGTTGCGCGCACTCCCCACGTGCTGTCAGCACTAGCGCGGCAGTAATTGAAGGCCGAGAGCTAATGGATGATTTCTTATAGGAACCCTCGAGAACCCCATCATTGTCAGCGGTGCCGGTGATGAGCAGTACGCCGGTTGCACTGGCTACCCCGTAGACTCCCACCAGGTTAACTGGCTGACGGTACGTCGCACCGATGCTCCAATCGAGAATCGCAAATGCTAATTTGATGAACCAGGTATCCCGCGAGCGCCCCATTGAGCGCTGCAACGAGTGCGGCAACGTCGTCAAGCTGAACTACGTTGGACCCGAGGAGGACCCTAACTCCCGTATGTTTTAAATTCCCATTTATTATGAGGTGATGTCGAACTAACATCTTATTAAAGACGACCACGACCACGGTCACCACCACCCCCCTCACGAGGAGCCCAAGACCTTCGCCGACTACGTCAAGCCTGATTACTGGTACCGGTAAATCTGTGGCTCCGAAGATTCCCGATACAGTATAAACGGCCCTTTGGCGTGCAAGTCCGTGTATCTGTAGCTGTTCTTGTCTCTGTCTGTCTCTTTTGTAGAATAGTTCTCTAGTGGATGAAAATGAGAGTGCTGGGGGTGTACTTTTGATCATAATTCTATTCCAAGGTTCGAGCATTTTGATGATGGCGTGATACCATGACCAGGTAATTGTAAGCATCTTCGTCTGGAAATTCCGACGAAGTCTAGGCGATGAAAGATATTCGAAGCTTCTCTGCGTTGGTTCCAGGCTCGGATACCTCGGTTATGATCAGCACGACTAGGTAGACGATATCTCGTCAAAAGCAGATCTTGTTATACTTCTTGCTGGCAATGGAGGAAGCAATGTTCATGCAATTAACTTTTTCAAATATCTATTAACCGCTTGTATGCAATTAAGCAACTAATCTTGACCAGGGACCTCGGAAGCAATATTCCCCCCCCGCGAATAAGACGTCATGTTGAATATAAGCCAGAGAGTAACGGACCTGCCAGATAAGCAGAGCAGACTGCAATTCAGACATAAGACTGCACTAGCGGCCCACGAAGCGCAGCTCCAAGTACCTCAAGGGAGGGTAGAAAACCGCAGCCCAGGAGAAACCAACATAGTTGCCCATCTAGAGAAGAAAAACGTCAGTCTGCCATCCACAAACACAGGGTTGTAATGAGAAAACTCTTACATCAGCACCATACGCGCCAACCATCTTCGCAAACGGACCGATATACCACACCTGAGCCATGCACATGATAGCACCAACCCAGCCAATAACAAACGCAATAAAAGCAGCGATACCAATAGGCAGCTTAGACGGATCGCGCCACGCAGTCCAGTTATACCCACTACGCCAACGGAAGATACCAAACTCCTCAATGATGATAGCAAACCAGATAGCAACCCAGTAGCCCATCAAAGCGAGGAAATTAGTAAAGATCTCAGAGAGATGGCTGCGGCCGACAAGGGCACAGACGGTGAAAATAATCACGCCCACTGTATTCCAGATAACGCGGGGGACTTTTTCTGCGTAGCGGCCTAGGATCTGGAAGTCAACACCGGAGGAGTAGGTTGGTGCCACTGTGTTGGCAATGAGGCCAAGGGCGACAATGACAGAGCAGAATTTGCCGAAGCCGTGGAGGGGTCCGAAGCCTTCGACGATGAGGGCGCCTTGGCCAACGGCATAGGCCGCAGCGTACTCGGGGTATGCGGATATGCCGGAGGCGAGCCCGATGCCGCAGATTATAGCCATGGTGAAGGACAAGACGAGGCCGAGTAGGGTGAGGCTGAAGATTGTGAGGCGGGATGTGTGCTCTGGGTAGTAGACGAAAAAGTCTGCGGCTAGAGGGGCATAGGTGATTGCTGCGCTGAGGCAGATGGAGAAGAATGATAGCCTAAAGATGTGTTAGGGGTATACTCGAGTGACTTTCTTTCTGGGAGACTGACCTGTTACCGGCTACCGTGCGAGGGTCACCTAGGGAGACTGTCTGTAGGTCGAATTTCGTTGACGATACACCGAACAGGATGCAGACGACGATCAGCTGGGGGACGAATGCAAATCTATAGAGGTGTTAGGGGCAGAAATTCTTGATGATAAGGCATATACTGACCGTTCGTAGTAGTGGAAAACTTGGATGCCAAAGGTGGCCACTACCCAACTTATGACTGCGATGATCACGATGCCTGTCGATATATGGTCAGCGACAATCCACCATTCCTGCGATTTGCATTTGTCACATACCCACGGCAACGGACATGCCTCCTGGCGAGACTGCAGAGAGGATTTGTCCGCCTACGACGCAGTCAATCAAGCAGTATCCAATCATCTGAATAAGATTCAGCAGGACAATAATCTTGCTGGGCCACCAGCCCATCGAATAGCGACCAAATGCCTTAACACTCGTCAGCTTGGATACCTCCAAATCCATCTCAATATGACACTCACCATAGTCCGGATACCCGAAACAGGTCCCCAGGTAGCCATCCACGAAGCAACCAGAGAACCAATAAAGCAACCAAAAACAGCACAGATCGACGCGTCCTTAAAGCTGAGGCTATACACAGCAGGACCCAGCATCCCGAGTGTAATATTGTTGGCCGCAAGATTGATCGACACCCAGAGCAAAAACGCCTGCAGATACGACACCCAGGACAAACGCTTCATGCGCTCATCCGCAGCAACTCGCTCAATGCCTCGCGCCTCCAGATTATACTCGATGAGCTGCTGCTCGAAAGCCCTAAGCAGCGAACCCACGCGCGAACCAATCGGGTTCCGACGATTCTTGGTCTCGGGTGGGTAGGTAGCGTCATTTTTATTCTCGTATACAACGTGTTGGTCGGGTTGTGGTTGAGACTCGTCTTTCTCGGTGCGCACCGCTATGGTGGCGAATTCATTTTCCGGAGCCATTCTGCGTGGCCTGTAAATATGTGAGATTGTATGGCAAGATAAAATGGGGGAAGAGCGCATAAGTCCTTTCGCTGGAATTATCCAGATCAAGTTTAACCGTATGATCTCAGAACGGCGGGCAGCCGAACACCGGTCTTCATGCAGCTCAATTGAGGTGTACCTTGATCGTTAGACAATACCGCACTACTTGTCTTCATGGTAGCCCTGGGAGGTGCGGGGTCTGTACTTGAGCTTTTTCAGGGCCGCTGTAGAAGTCTGCGTCCCTAGATGAGTCACTATGAAGCAACCAGTGTGAGCAACGGCGATGGTGGTGGGAGATGGAAGATCGCAAGTACCTGGACAATGAGCTAGTTGAAGCGAGTCTCTGGCCAAGGCAGGCCTTTAGTATGAAGGCGTTGGTTTTGCAATTGCAAAGTTTGATAAGGTGTGGAGAGAATAGATGGCAAAGTCTCCGCGGGGAAAAAAATGATGGCCCGCCTTATCGGCGGTTTTCCGCCTCCGCGCCGTCGGCGATTCGCCGTTTTATACTTACTGTGCAGTAATCACGATCTGTGCGACTGAGTTACTGGAATGGGAATCATGTAATATTGATTGAATAAAAAAAAAAAGCCCATATCACTGGCTCCTGAGAGGCAAAACGCCCACGTACGAAAACAATGAACCGGGTCGCGTAACATCAGAGGTAGTCGGTCGAGAAAGAAAAGTCCAAGAAAACAAAAGAAACCAGATCACCAACTCCATCTGCCTTGTAAAACCAAGGGCCCCCGTCGGCCATTGATGACACTTGCATCGCTATGGAATTGCAGAATCCGGGAGGAAAATGCCAAATTCGTGAAAAGATGCGTGGGAATTCATCACTTCATCAACGGTCATCAGATCTTCAAAGATTCTTGAAGTGCTCTTTGGCATATTGTTCACAGGCCTGCCAGAGTTAGAACGGGAGTCTTCAAGTATGTAGAGTCGGAACTCACCTTAGCCGGCTTGCCAACTTTCTGGCCGATGACCTTCCACTTATTCGCCTCGTACTCCTTGATCGCATCACGAAGCTTTATGGACTGTGCGCGAGTCAGTCAGCATTAGACTTCAAGTTCGGACTGCGCGGAGATCATACCTCTTCTTCGCCAAACTCAGCGTAATGCATGTCCTAATGGGTAGGTAAGTAAATGTTCATAGTCCCTATAGAGTAAACCAGGATATACCTTGTACCAGTGCTTCTTCACACTGCCCTCGGTGCGCGTGGGGAAAGTCTGCGACGCGTCAAGAGAGACACGGGTCAGCCACAATACAGCGACGCGGGGCGAATCAACAAGTCGCGCTCACCTTTGCGATCTCGCTCCAGCTACGGCCGGCATCGCGCATGGTCTTAAGCCTTTGCTCCTCCTCTGCAGTCCATGGGGTATTGGTGCGACCCTTCTTTTTGGGTGTGGCTTCGACGGTGGGCGGCATGGCACTGGGGTCACCTTCGATCGTGCCCGGAGTGGGCATCGGAGCGGCCATCATCGTGGAGGATCCCACCGTAGGGGACGAGGGACGTTTGCGCGACGTTGAGGAAGTCTGCTGGGGTTGCTGTTGGGGGATGGGTGCGGTAGGAATCGGGATGCCTTCAAAGGTCGGCACCCGATGAAAAGGATTGATCTGCTGTTGTTGAGCAAGCAGATGAGACGGGGCACTCGTTGAGGCCGAAGTCTTGATCCGCTTGGATGTGGGAGGGGAGCTAGAAAGAGAAAGGTGAGGCTGTCAGCATGAGAGATCAAGTCAAAGGCTGAAATGAACGAAACGCGACGCAAAGTGCCGATGCCGAAGTCTCCCTCCCCCTGGAAGATCATAGACGAGGGACTTACGACATGGTGAAAGAGGCACACAATCACACGTCGATTCATCTGTACATACACACAGGTCACGTAGGGGGTTAGCAGATCTGCTACAGGCGCGCCTTGGTCAACTTCTAAGAAAGTGGGCTTCGTTACACCGAGAGACGATGACACAGGCGCATCCTAGGCAGAGGTATTGGGGGCAAGGGGAAGGATCAGGAGAGGTAAGAGGAACCAAAGAGATCAGATGGACCAGCGCGCAGGGTCGAGGCGACCGGAGTGTTTAGCTCCTATGGGGGGTGGGGACGGTCTGGGAGAGGGAGTTGGGCTCACAGATCAAAATCGCATGGTCGAAGAGTCGAATCGGGGACCTCGAATTCTTCCGAATACGGGGAGAACATGAGGCTGGAAGAGAGAGACGAGGGGGTTGACAACGGTGGAACTGGAGGGACGAAGGTTACAAGAGAAGGAAAAGAGGAGGAAGGGAAGGAAAGTGAGCGGGGATGGAGTCACCTCATATCACAACGTCGGCAGGTAATAATAGCACACGCTTTTTCGGGGGCGCTATCTACGCGTGGCCGCCTTTTGTTTTGTTTCGATGTCTATTCGTTGGTAGTTTTATTCTGTTTTGAACGATAAATATCAGATAAATATCGGGATGATCGATGGGGATGTGGAGAGAGCCCTCTCCCATCGCGCGTTGGTTCTAGACCGTCAACCTTTCATTCTCACATTTCACCTTGCACCTCCCCAATCATTTCTATACGATACTATATACCACGTACCATCGTCAGCCGGACTCTCACTCCATTGTCTCCGGTGTATTCCATTTCGTCCTTGATCCCAGGTCTAGGAACCGATGGGCGGGAGCCCTGTCACGAATGGCTCGTGCTGAACGCCAATTCGGCCGGCGACGAGGTATGCACAAGCATGATGGGCAGGTCCGGCAGCTTCCATGAGACATTTGGGCCGACCACGCCCGCGAGTGGCCTGTTCTAGAATCCGATGACCCGCGAACTCTCACAACCCGTACGAGGATGACAACGAAACGCCCAATACCCGGCGAATGAGGCCCCGGAGAACTTGATCGTTGCGAAATCGTATCCGATGGCGCGAGCCGCACCCTTCATTCAACTTCAATCTCCAGAGATCACTTCACCCTCTCCGTCCAACCCGAGACCTGGCGGACTAAATCAAGCTACGGGTTGAGCATGTAGCCACTGCTCCAGAACCCCAACCCCTCTCTCCTCTCGAAACAATACGTGCCTTTGTATCGCGTGGGCGTCATGATCCCAGCCCCGGGCCCTAAGGCTAAGTTCAATGGGCGGGGTAGCAGCTCGTGTATATTCAAGAGATAAGGCTGTCCCCGCTATGGCCTCCCGCACAATGGCCGAATGAGATCTATCGTCAAGGAGGGGATATAGAACAGTGAAAGCGATAGTTCTCGTCAAATTGCCAATTGATGGTGGGTGGCTGGAGCCATCATATCCACTCGTTCGGATGATTCCAGGCTCTTGCATTCTGTCAAGCCAATATGGCCGGCAGCGTCTGCAGGATGATGGAGGGACTCACGAGCATCACAGGCGCCGCCGGGATGGATCATACATATTTATCCTCATGATCCATCGTATCAATCAATTCAGATACGGCCGGGGTCGTGTGTTCGAGTGGGAGCTCTAAATCGAACCCTGTACAGATCTGTCTATGACATGAAACGAGCTCTATGGGCCAGTGGCTCTGGTCTTTCTCTAATTTAACTTCGAGCACTAATCTGCACATTCGACATGTGGGGTATTCCCACCGGACCTGGTCACCCCACGTGCTGTAGCAAGTAGGTGCTTGATCAGCCTCGGACGCGCGTTGCCTTTTGGCGATAGAATCAAGGACTACTAGAGCTTAATACGATAGCCGTTGAACTATGATCACAGCTCTGAAGGATTACGAAGTTCTGAGTCGTACAATGTTATGATCGACATACGTCATGATGAACCTTAGATCCAATCGCCACAAGGGACATCATGATCTTAAAAGGCTCAACGTCTCGACTCTTGTATCGTGAAATTGTCAATTAGACACCTGTAACTCTTATTCTCGGATGATTGTATTCTGAATAATGAGCTCAAATCAGTCTCTCTTTGCAATGCGAGTCTCCACCGCCTGGATATGTATCTAGATGCCTTGCAACTAGTCAACAGTACTTGCTCCCCACTGCGGGATAGGGATACGACTCTCGATAGCGCAAGGGCAAAAGGACCTATAACATCATTAGGCACCCATGAGAATTACCACTCAAAAATTAAAGTTCCCCCCATCGATCGACGAATACACTCTCCCCGGACGGGCTACCCCGGCTGACGTCAGACCTCACGTGAGGACACGCGGCCCAAGCTTGTGCTGATAATAGAGCTCCCTTTGCTTCCCGAGCTCAGAGTCACAGCTCAGACGTCAAGGGTTGGAGCCGACGCCACTATCTCACTTGTGATCTCAATGCCGCTGGACCTGCACTGAGCACTGGCTGATCGACCTCGGATCAGTCCCGACATTTATCTTTCCCGCAAGCTCGACCCGCCACTCACTTCTGCCATGACATTTAACCTCTTTCGCGTTCTGGGCGATGTGTCCCATCTCGCTTCGATATGTGTCCTGATCTGGGCGATGCATAGAAACAAGAGCGCCGAGGGTAAGTTCTAATATCAGACTGGTCTGAGTCTTGAGGTAGCTATGGCTAATACGCTGCTCTCTGTAGGTGTTTCGCTCCTCACGCAGCTGCTTTATGGAGTTGTATTCATATTTCGCTACTTGGATCTACTTGAGTGGCGCTCTTGGGATATCAAACATGGAGGCTTTGGCGCGCTATGGAACCTCAGCTTCAAGTTCTTTTACCTGACCTCTTCCTTCTATCTTGTGTTCATCATGATGAAGATCTACCCGCGGACCCGAGAGAGGGAGAGAGCATGGAAGTTTGGAATCTACTCAGTGATTGGGTCCCTTGTAATGGCACCGCTCATGATGACCATCACAAAGGACTGGCCGACTCACTGGTTCCTGGAGGTACGGGCAATCGACCGTCATTTCAGAGCTTTGCTAATCGACCTTTAGATCTGCTGGGCCTTCTCAATCATCCTCGAATCCGTGTGCGTGCTGCCACAGCTACTGCTTCTTCGTCAGACCACCGTTCCTACCGTGATCGACTCCTACTACCTTCTGACCTTGGGCTCCTACCGAGCATTCTACATTCTGAACTGGTTGGTGCGCGGCTTTGGCAGTGAACACTTTTGGGATCCGATCGCCTTTATCTTCGGTATCGTACAAACCGCCTTTTACCTGGACTTTGCCTGGGTGTACTACTCCCGTCAGCGGGTGAAGCTGCGTAACGGCGGCGTCGTGGACTCGGAGGATTTCAGCAAGAGCTGGCTGGTGAACCGCGTAGTGAACTTCCGTGCCCGACGCACCTCGGCCGACGAGGAGCAGAACCTGCGCGATGACGAAGAAGGCGTGGACGGCCGCCCGAGCAACAACCGGTGGGGGCCCCGAGGCATTTCAATCGCGGCCGATGATACCCTGGACCACCAGGACCAGCACCACGATGCCGACGAACTCGAAAGTGATCGGGAAGCTAGATGAGGACTATTTGGCGCGCGCGATGGCCGTACAGTTGGGTGATTGACGACGCATAACCCCACAGGAAATGGAGGTGTTCGGCGAAGAAAACCCCGAAAGGTCGGACAGGTGCGCAATGGAATCCATTTCAGAGAGAAGAGCGCATGAACAGACAATCGGTGTGGATCCTGGACGATCCACAGATTGTCAAGTTGTTATACTTTCAAACATGTCATGAAGAGCATGTATGTGATTAGCCAACGTGAACCAGTCCAAGGGATTAGATCTCCACTAGCATCTCAACGTAGCGTCGTACACAAGAGATCGCATGGCATTGCCGTCACCGGACTCGGTGCCTCTGCACCAGTAGACTGGATCTCCTACACCTGCCGACTTCCGTATCTTACTTGATTCTTTGGCCCAATCACCATGCCTGAACGGGACAACTATTTACCAAATGGGTCGATGTGGGACTACGCGAATCTCCAGACACGACGACGATCAACCATGAACCATGGTTACCCGCCGCACCGACAGCCTCTGGACCAGACTTTCGCTCGATCTCGACAATAAGCACATGGGCCGGGCTCTTACGGGAACATGAAGATTTCCTAGAGGCGCTTATAAAGCGACACGTAGGACAAAAGGATGCGATGTGGGGTCGCAGAGGGTGCGACAACCGACCTGATCCCAGAACATCGCCCTAAGAGGATGAGAGAACAACGGTGAGCAGCGTGGGATGATGGCTCAGCTTTGGTCCTTCCCAAACAAGGAAGTCTGCGACGCCTTGCGGCTATACGGCTGTGCATTTCTCTATTCGGCATAGAACATGCAGGGAAGTGGGTGACAACCCTGTCGGCGCTTAACCAGCGGTCGTGAATTCCCCGGAGGAAAAGCCACGGCGCCGCGCGGGTAGCCTCATTCAGCCTCACCCCATTCGGTGAATGCTGCGTTCTTCCTGTCCAGTCAAGAGCCGCCAGCGATAGAGAGCCTGCAGGTGAGAAGGGAGGTGTGATAGAGACCATCGGACTCGGTGATTTAAAATTCCCCCTCATTTCTGTTTTCTCTCGGGAAACATGCAATTCTTAAAAGTTGGGGCCGATGCAGTGACAAATTCCAGGTAGGAAACCTACATAGGGTATATTCCCACTTCGGGGTGTCGAGGTACCGATACTTTCACAGTTCATCGCAGATCGAGGGGCATTGCAGAAGATCCACTTGAACACCGGATGGGAGGTAAATGTAAGATCAATGTTTTCCCGACTATTGTATACGAGTAGACAAATTTTGTACATGGTCTAGCGCCATGAATCCTTAATCATCCCGTGTTATCAGATGCCGTCCTTTTGGCCCCTATTCGGCCTTCCCGACTTCTAGAACCGTTGGCACAGTTGGCACAGTTCCCCAAGGCGTTTTTTGCACCCGGAGAAACGGTGGGCCTGCGATTTATCACCGGGATGCAGAGTCTGTGCCCCCATTCCCGAGGCGTAGATGAAGATGGGGGCCAATATCAGGGAAACTAGACTATTGATTCCGCAGGCGCTTAAATATAGGCCCTCGTCGAGTCTACGCTCCTCTCCCGAGCGGTCCAGTGCAGCACGGCGGTACTGGTCTGCCCTTCTAGTGCACTCTGAGCCTATGGTTCCTGGCTTTCTTTTAAGCCTGAGCTGCTTGTTCGTCCTGCCTTGCGAGGCATTCCGGTGCGGGCTGTGATATCACTTAATTTGCAGTTTAGAAGGGGCATTCGATCTATATCTTATTGCTTGCTCCCCCACCTGGCTCTATTGCATCTTTCGTCTATAAGAATCGTCTTGCGGATTGTTTCGTCACTTGGGATTCATCTACTCTTCATAATCCCATAACGCCTTATTTGATATTACGGTACACTAGCCGCCCTGTATAACCTCCTTTCTTCCTCAACCGCCGCCTCTGACACCCAGATTGCACGGAGCTGTCAGGAGTGTTTCATCTTTTACCCCCTGGCGCCTGCTCCAATCAAGTGCTCCGTAGACAGTGATCTGTCAGGCGGGGTTCCATGGTACTACCCATATACCGCGTCAATACCATGTCTCTCCGTCCAGATATCACCTCCGAGGAGGAGATATCGGGATTCTACGAGACACTCGCGGTCGGATGGACTGGGGCTGAAACGGTATGCCGCTCCCTCGACCCCCGGAAAAAAGAACATTTTATACTAATCGAGCATTAGCCTGGCTTCCCGGCCAACTTCATGGGCGTGAACCCTTCGTACTGTACAGAGCCCATGGTGCCGCCCGCCATCTTAACCCCAATTAGCCTCCCAGACAATTCATTCCACCCAAGCCCAGCACTGGGACACCACTCGCGAGAGTATGGCTCCCAAGAGTACCGCTACGGCGTTAGCGATCCAGTGCCACAAGGATTGGGAATTTCTGCACCATTTCCTAGCGAGTACCCTCGAACAAGCGCCCCAAATGCCAATTATATCTATGCACCGGATAACATGCCATACGGCATGGGTCACACGCCCAACATGTCGCCGGTGGGCCCACCCTCCAAGCGCATGAAACGCGATTCCTCCAATCCATCCCGCGATACACCAATCAACATCCTCCCAAATCCAGAAGGAATCCAGCGCATGGAGCGTGCTCCTCCTCCCACGCCAACGGTGTTACCCAAAAGTCGTGGTTCGGCCAGGGCTCGACGGGATCCGCAAGCGGAGGAAGAAGATGCGTTTGTAGAGAACCTGCGCCAGCAGAACGTTGCTTGGAAGGTTGTTCGCGATGAATTTCAGAAGACGTTCAATAAAGAGACTTCGGAGGCGCGTCTGCAGATGCGGCTGCTTCGGAAGCGCAAGGAGCGGTTAGCACGCTGGGATGAAAATGATGTAAGTACGTAAACCGGAACACAGCATGTCCCAAGGTGCTGTGCATGAATTATCGGGGTTTGGGGGTCCGATGCTGATTGCGGATTCCTCTACAGATTCAGCTCCTTGTCAGCGCTCACGAGTTCTGGGAAAATGAGAAGTTTCGTTTTATCTCGGACAAGGTAAGCTCTTGAAAGCCTTGTCCTCGCAGTGGACTTGAATCAGAAGTTAACAATCTACCAGATGAGAGAAATGGGCTCAACGAAAGAATTCACCCCCGAGCAATGCAAAGCACAACTACGACTTCTTGAGACTAAACAAAGCCTTCGAGAATCGGGAAGCAACTCTCCTTCAGCCATGTCCGACCCGCCACACACGCCTTCTATGCCATTGATATCTCGCAAGCGGGCTCGGCCCCAATCATGGAACGAAGACAATGCATAAACCGGGCCTTTGACTATCTTCATTTCGTTCTATCTTTCTTTCCATCTTCTCTATTTAGAAACCGTGTTTTCCAGGACACATTTTCTTGCCACTGCTAATGTCATAGCAGCTCTGGCGTACGGTGATTTGGATTTTATACTATCGCATTATATCAACTTTGATTCTGGACATGTACATTTGAAGCAGCTTCTATCAAAAATTCTAGATACCACGTTTTTTCACGGCCCTCGGAGCCACATAACTACTTCAAAGAGCTATTCGAGACTTGTCCAAATTAGAGAGCTCGGGCAAGTCACAGATATTTATGAAAGATACCCGCCCAGATGCACGTCCAAGGGTGATAATGCATCTTTCACCGCAAAACAACGACCTCGATATGCATGCGGCTCCAGAACGGCTCGCCAGAATGACCCACTGACTCTCCTCGATGATGATTTTGTCGCTTAGCTGTACAATACTTGGCGCTTCGTGGTTCTCCAAGGGATGTATTAATGTATTGCAAGAACCCCAATGTTGCCGTTCAAACACAAATCGTCTTCTGAAGAGGCCAAAGTTGTCTGTGGCTACTCCTCCTGTCGTCGTTCTCTGCTTCAGATCGTCTTTCTGTCACCTTTATTACAGCATAATAGGAGTTGTTTCTGGTAGTGAATTCTATTCATCGGTCGTATATTCATTATTGACACAGTGCTAAATGCTAGCGAAACCAACACTAGTCGGCAGCCGCCTACTCGTCATCAGAGTCCAATTCTTCCTCAACGACAGGGAAGGTCAAAAGCGCCGCAATACCACCAAGACCCTCAAGACGCTTCCCACTCTCATGGTCAGAACTGAGAATCCGTACGTCACCACCCTCCACATCTCGCACTCGGTCCACGAGCGCCACCCATCGTTTCCGCTCGGCAACGTCTTGAGACCGGAAGAGACGGTTCGACATGATGAGCACACCGCCGCCTCGGCCAACTGCGCCCTGGTCAACTGCTGACTCAACTTCTCGCGGACCGTACGTGGCTTTGTTCGTCTCCCTGCGCAGCTGGTCCAGAAAATCGTCCATCAACCTGGTCTCACGCGCATATTTGGTGTCGGCAAGGAGGGTCTTGACTGCCGGAGATTGGAGAACCTCGGCGAGGGAGTTCAGGTATCCCGAAGCGGAATGTACGACCACAATGCTGGGGAGCAATCGCTTCAATCCGGGTGTTGTTGTTGATGCTTCAGATTGGATGTACTTGTGGAAGCCGGCAGCGACAAAGCCAGGCGAAGCAAGTAGAACTGGACGCACAGACTCGTTGTTCGAGCCGGATGTGATGCTGGTGTTGAATTCTATCTGCCGAAGAAGGGTATCCAGAGTCGTGCGGAAGAATTTGTTCATTCCCTGATTGAAGTCGTATATTAGCGAGTGATAAACACAGCCATTGGCATAGAAACTCACTTTATCATGATCGCTTCCACCCTGCCGTTTCCGCGGCACCGACATTTCAACCTTCTGCTTCATTATCGTCTGGAATTGACCGATAAAGCAAATATGTGCCAAGCCTTCTTGCATGACGACGGCGACAGCCTCAGCACGACGTTTTCCACCCTCATCCACGGCATCCTTGAGCTGCTCTACGGCAATACTGTCCCACCCGACACCTTCGCCATCCGCACCGATCTTCTTTTCTAATGTGAAGTTGCGGTTCAATTCCAAGTCGAGGGTGTGAAATTGGCCGATCTTGGTGTGGGCTGTCTCGTTGATGATTTGTCCGGACACATGGAGCTGGGAGCTTTGCGGGTCGAAGTCGAGGCTCTTGACACGGATCTCGAGGGTGAGGTGGACGCGGATAGAAGACGTTGAGCCTGTGTCTTGGGTTGAGGTGACACGGCGAATGGCACTGGCGCGGACGATATCACCCGGGCGGATAAGATTGTACGCGTGCCACTAGATTTTGGTTTGTGTGAGATGGGTGTTTGACTTTTCGATATGAAACGGTATGGATAGGCTCACCATGTCCTCGGGCTCCTCGGGGCATAATGTGACCGTCCCTGAGCCACCATGCTCGATTTTGTTCTTGATGAGGCGCATTATCCAGTTGTGGGCTTCACCTAGACCGCATGAAGTCGACGATGCGGAGAGAATTGTCGTGGTTTATACGACCTTTATAGGTGTCGCCTTGGCTTTTTGATAGAAACGCCGCTTCCATGCAGTGAGATTCAAAGGGAAGGAAAGCCTTTCAATAACCCAGGCGGTCTCTCGAGATGTCACGAAGGATCAGAGGATTGAAATGAATGAATTGAAGCTTGCCCTGAAAAGCCACGTCCAATTGCCCCGCACAATTTCTGCCGGCAACGACCGCTCTTTCCTGCTAACAATGACATCAGTAACTCTGCTCTGCTCTATCACCTGCGCCATTTACGGTGTCCTCCATAATTTGACCCTGCCTGTCCTTTTATGGGATGGTTCAATCGCATGATACGAACCTTTATTGTTCTTGTATATCCTTTTCCCTCTTATAGGAGCGCCCAGGCATATACTATACGCTAGTCTTAATCAAGAAATATCAAAAATTCGAAAAGCAATGACTCATTTAGGCCAAAGGGTCCCTGGGCCCGGTTGACTTGGCCATTAATAATATGAAATGGAATTCGCTGGAAGGTCCAACCTGAGCAAATGTGCCCGGCGGCTTATCGATAACGTGCGCCACTGGAATTCTGCAACACGCCACGAAGTACACCCGTCGAGGATGACCGCTGTAGTCATAAGATTATCTAGATAACTATGGGAGACATGTACCGTCTAAATCAAAAACCCTAAAAAGTCTCTGATGTATTCAACCACACCGTAGTAGCCCCACGTTTCATGGATCAACCAACGATCGGCCCAGCCCGCAAGCTCCCCCCACTTCGAATGGCCGCAAGAGGCCTTGCCAAAGATGAGGACGCGACGGAATAATCAAAAACCGGAAGTGATCCGTGGCGTTATCAATCACAGCTATTTAATAAAGTTGTCGTCTGATCCAGTGGGCCTTGTCCTTAGATTCTTCATTTGCTCTCCCCTCCATTACATCCCGAACTGTATTGCCACACCCGCAACCATGACTCTTTCGCTTCAGTCTACTTACAAGCTCGTTTCGGGATATGAGATCCCGGTGGTTGGGTTCGGTGTATGTCTTCCAGTTGAAATGGGGTCCTCAGAGCTTCTCTAACGATTCTTCGTCGCATAGGTTTACCAGACGTGTGTCATCTCGATCGGTGTAGGGAGACATTCACTAATCCTTGCTTGAAATAGACCCTCTGATGTCACGGAGAAGGTGACCCTCAAGGCCCTCGAGCTGGGCTACCGCCATGTAAGCCGAACTGCACAGCTTGATGGACCGGAAAATTGACCATATTGCTCCAGGTGGACTGCGCCAAGGTCTACGGAAACGAGAAAGAGAGCGGCGCAGCCATCCGCAAGTCTGGCATTCCCCGGTCGCAGATCTTCTATACCAGCAAGGTCCCCAGCTCCAGTATGGGATACGAGGAGGCGAAGAAGGCCATCGAAGAGAGCATTGCGGCGGCCAATCTCGGATACATTGACCTGTATGGGCTATTCCGCTTGAGGCATCTGAAGATGTACTGATTCTGAGTCTTCTAGCATGTTGATCCACGCTCCCTACGGCGGCAAGGAAGCCCGCCGGGGCACCTGGAAGGCGCTGGTCGAGGCCCAAAAGGCAGGCAAGATTCGGTCCCTGGGTGTGTCTAACTTTGGCATCAAGCAACTTGAAGAGTTGGAGGCCTACATCCAGAGTGGAGGCGGTGGCCAGATCGCTGTCGGCCAATATGAAATCCACCCTTGGTGCCCGCGCGAGGATATTGCCGAGTGGCTGCGCAAGCGCAACGTCATTGTTGAGGCGTACTCGCCTCTCGTGCAGGCGACCCGTATGAAGGAGCCGGTTCTGCAGACCCTTTCTCAGAAGCACGGCAAGACCCCCGCTCAGATTCTCGTCCGCTGGAGCTTGCAGAAGGTATGTAATTCTCGCTCCGGTTTAAGTCCCGGGAGAGTCTAATATCCATTGTTTAGGGATATGTGCCGCTGCCGAAGTCGGTGACTGACTCCCGCATCTTGGAGAACTCGCAAGTCTTCGATTTCATGCTGTCCGAAGAGGACATGGCCAGTCTGAAACTCAACGAGTATGCGCCCGTGTGCTGGGACCCGGTTCAGGACTGCAAGATCTAGAAAAGATTTAGGAGATAAAACTTAGGAAGTGGTGGATTATACATCGTAGCAATCGAATTTGTATAAGTGACGAATCAATACAAGATGAAGGCTCCGCCCAATTGGGCAGTATGTTGATCTTCGGCACAACGTATCGCCGTCAACAAAGCCGCCGCTGGCCAACATCGTCAACAATACCAGTCTATGAAACTCAGTCCCCCATGATCGGGGAATCGGCAGGTAGTGGCCGTGACGGTTGCCCCCACCATGTCCGACGACCCCCCGCGACGCATCATCCTTGAAAAATCGAGCACGGTCCGACGCCGGTACCAGCGCAGCAACAAGCGGTTCCAGTTCACCCCAGCGCAACTGGCCCAGATCGAACGCGAAGAGAAAGCCAACGCCCGGGCTAAGAATCTGCGTGAAAAGGAAAAACAACGGGTCGCAAAGAGGAAGCAAAAGGCCGAGAAGGAGGCCAAGGCTCGCGAGGAGCGCAAACGACTTGGTCTGCCCGATCCCAACGCCCCGAAGGTCCCGTCGAGCCAACCGTTGCTCTCAAATTTCTTATGCAGAAAACCGCCCGCTCAAGAACCTACCAAGGAAGAAACCCCTGAGACCGATCCCGATCCTACGACTACGGAAACAGACGAACATAACGATGGCGGCGACACTGAGGTAGACTCGGAGTTGGATGACTTGGACGAAGAAATGGAGAAGGAATTCTCCAATCTCGACGATGCACGCCCTCTGGGAGATCTCGGAACCCATGATGCCAACGATACTAGCAAAGAGAGCTTGCTTTCTGGGCACAACGATGATGACGACGAGTTCTCCGACTGCTCCGCATTCGACGACGAATATATCATGAAAGAGGCTGAGGCAGTTGCGGCCATGCGATCAACACACCGGATCTCTTTCACCAATAACCGCTCTATAACCAACCCTGCACTTTTGCAGCCACCGAGCATCCCCCATAAAGCAGCTACCCCGATAGCTTCATTTGGAGACTCCTTCCGCGACGACACCGCAGACTATCTTGAAGAAGTCTTTGCGCGCGGCTGCGGTGATTCATTTGGCGAGCTTGTTGGACTCTAGGGATATTCCTTCTAGAAACATCTCATACAAATGAGCCCATTTTTTGGCACCTTTGGGCGGTCTTGGCACTCTGGGGAGAAGTTCGGCTGGGAGCCGACGGTCGGATCCGTACAGTTCGGATACCACTTGCGCCCCTCGCGCCCCTCATCGGCTTGGAGTTCGGGGTCTCAGGCGCATTAGTACTGGTTTCGTTAATTCCGACGGATAAAGCACAGTCTCTGCACAGCTTCTTTTGTAAGCGGGACAGATGTTCTCTTATCGGGGCATGATGCCACTTCCCATCTGAACATACAGACCGGCCTCCGATACTTGTACTTTTCCATATCTACAATTCAAACTCATTTTCTACTCTTCATCTCTTTTTCATCACAATGCCATTCCTTCAAGCTAAAAACCACCGCCTGTACTATGCCGACTCCCACCCCGACGGCCCGCCACGAGGCTTGACCTTCATCTTCATCCACGGCCTGGGCTCGTCGCAGAACTACTACTTCCCCGTCATCCCCCACCTCACCAAAGAGCACCGCTGCATCACCATTGATACATACGGCGCTGCCCGCTCCCCATACACCAATGACTCGATCTCAATCCCCAGCATCGCAGAGGACGTCATCGGCGCGCTGGACGCGCTGAACATCCCCAAGGCCGTCGTAGTCGGCCACTCAATGGGCGGACTCGTCGTGACAGAGCTGGGCGCACGGTACCCAGACCGCATGGCCGGCGTCGTGGCAATTGGACCGACGCACCCATCCGAGATGCTGGTATCGGTTATGAACAAGAGGGCCGACACTGTACTGGAGTGTACGTACCTTCCCATCTTGCTTTCATGCAAATTCACTAACTCGCACCAGTTGGAATGGAACCAATGGCCAACACCATCCCCTCCGCCGCCGTCGGCTCCCGAAGCACCCCGCTCCAGAAGGCGTTTATCCGGGAACTTTTGCTTGGTCAGGATCCTAAGGGTTATGCGGCGCTCTGTCGCGCTATTGCTACTGCGCAGCCGGCGGATTACGCGGCCGTCAAGGCGCCGTTTATGCTGATTGCTGGCAAAGAGGATAAATCTGCGTCTATGGAGGGATGTAAGCATATCTACGACCATGTGTCTAGCCAGAAGAAGTCGCTTGAGGTTTTGGAGGGGGTTGGACATTGGCATTGTATTGAGGCTGCTGATGAGGTTGGTGGTTTGCTTGCGCAGTTTGCGAGTGAGATTTCTTAGGTTAGACATGCCATGCATAATGATCAGAAGTTATTTCCGACAATATCGTATCTTCTTCACCGCGAGGTCTTTAGAACAACTGATAGCAAAGGACTGTTGGTAGTGACTTTGGCTAGATGAACGAAGAGCCTAAGCCTCAAGCATACACGAGTTATTCTTGGACTTAAACACAATGTAGATCCTATCTCAGCAGTGCCCACGAATGCCCTTTTCTATGTATCGGCATAGAAATTCGGTGGTACTCTAACCGCCCGACGAAAGTAATTACAAGTCCAACAATCATAAACAAATAACCGAATTGCCAAGCACCGACTAGTCCCCACGGTCGTAATCCGATCTCTATGACAGCTATATCCTTGTATCGATTAGAAGTCAATATATGCATGGGTTTTCACTAATTCAAGGTTAAGGTATGTACGGAGAACGCTATTCATAAATAACATAATAGAAGAAAAGGAGATATGCAATGCCACCACCACTCAGGCCGGGAAAGTCGCCAGCTTCACGTCATAGTTAAGCTCAAGCCCAGCTTGAGGGTCGTCCTTGCGCTCGACAAAGTCCACAACCAAGGAGTCCTTAACCGCGAACACGGAGTCATTGTCCAAGTACTTGTCCCTGCGGTCGAAAATCTGGGTAGTCAAGGGACGATAGCCTTCATGGGTAGCCTTGAAAGAAACGTTAGCTTTAGACGTCATCTATATTAGAGATCAACTCACAAGGATGTGGATGTGGGCAGGGCGGAAGGGGTGGCGGTCCATTAGCTGGAGCATCTTGCCCGCAGGACCATCATCAGGAACAGGGTATGGCGTGGGTCGCAAGCAGTAGAAGTAGTAGCGACCATCGGCATCCGTCTTGAACTTGCCGCGCAGGTTGAACTCGATCTGCTCGGGATCCTGCTGCTCGTACAGACCGTTCGTTGACGCTTGCCATACCTCGACCGTCGCACCGACAAGCGGCTTCTTGGTCGTAAAGTCTATTACGCGGCCGTGCATGTAGACCATCTCGCCGTCCTTGGGCTTGGTGACCACGATGTCGGCGCCGTTGTCGCGGTAGGGCGTATCGGCGCGGAAGAACGGACCTAGAATGGCGGTTGCAGTGGGTGCGTCCTTGGCTTCTTCGGCGAGCTTAAAAGTGATTTCATCCACGAGCCTGTTGCATGTTAATATCTATGCCGTACCGCTTGGGATGTGCTTCGGAGAAGATATAGAGCACTTACGACTCGAGTCCGATCACGTCGCAGACCAGTTGCCCCTCATTGCGCTTATCGTCGCTCATCTGTCCAGCCCAATTGAGCAGCTTAACACCCTCCATCCACTCATCGACAGTTAGCTCATTCTCGCGCGCGAAATCGTGGACATGACGGATCAACCCGGCCATGAGCTGGCGCAGACGCGGCGAGGTCTTAGGACCCATGGCGTTGACGACATTGTCGGTGAAGTTGGGATCGAATCTGTGAGTCGCCATGGTATATTGTTCGCAATGTTTTTTGCGCTAAGTGACGTTACAGAGTTAAAAAAGTGAATCTGGGGTGAGGGGAGAGTCGCGCAGGAGCTTATATAGCGCGGCACTGGTCCGACGGGACTCGGTGGCCGGTAAGAACCGAATTCTATGGACGAGCTCCTCAAGCCTCCAGACTGTGACCAACGAGGCGAGGCTTATTCGAGGGCGACCCCGCAAAACGGCGGAGTTGTGGCATGATTGGGTCCGGGCGGCGTCGGATGGAGGCTGTTACTCGGCGTGTCGGATCGGACGCTGTTGCTTGTGCTTCCGAATCCCCACAGTGTCGGATGTGACTAAGTGGGGACGTTTAAGGTACTCGGAGATCGAACTAGACCACTTACTGATTCGGTATTCCGTTGTGCTATATAGAATGCTCGTGCTATTGTTTATTCCCCTTGGGATTTCCCTTTGGAGTCCCCCGACTCGTTAACTTCGCCGGCAGCTCCTGCAAAACTTCGCCGCGCTCCCAGATCTTGCCGAGTCCAACCTTCTTCTCAACAACCACATCGAAGAAATCCACTGACACAACCTTCTGTGCATCACTACCAGTGTTGTCTTTCCCCTTGAGCACAGGAAGTCCCTCGCTGAGAATGACTCCATTCTCACTACGCCAGAATGGACACCCGGCCGCCAGAGCTTTCCGAAGGTCGACGTAAATCAAAACCTGTGCATCTTTGCGCATTCCTGAGATGACCTGGTCCTTCTTGTTGGTGTTCTTCTGCGCATCTTCCTTTTGAGCCGCCAACACAGACTCCATGGACGGACCCGTCGCGAAATGGACGTGATTGCGGCCCATGCACCGCAGTCCGCCCGATCGTAAAATAGCTGGCCATGCCCCGTGGAAAGTGCCGTGGACAACAGTATCTGGCAACTCAGACTCATTGGAGAGCGAAAGAGGTTCGAGGAAGGATGCTGCGTCCACGGTCTTAATGCTGTGACCCTGTGTAGCGCGGATCAGAAAATTCGATGGCTCAGCATCTGTGACAGAGAGTGCCTGTGTCGTAGCACTCTGCTGGTCCTCAGGTGAGACGGGAGCCTCCACTACCGAGGTGGATGGCTGGTCCTCCTCCGCTGCAGCTGTGGTAGCATTTTCCACGCCTTCTGACCCGGATGTAGTGACGGGCAATGTAGTGCCCTTGGTTGTAGACTCGTTTGGTTGTGCAGAGGGGATATGGAGGAGGGCAAATCGCTTCTTGTCGGAAGAATCGACGGCATGGCGGACTTCATCGAAGGTGACTTTCAGGGACTTAAGCTTCCGCCATTGTAGCTGGGAATGTCTTGTTAGAAAAGACCAAGGTGAACAAAACCTTGAAGGGCACTTACCACGTCTGCGACACTCGCGTAGCCTTGGGCATTCATCTTCAGGCCTTCCTTTTCGGCTGCGTGTCGCAAAAGCAGGCTCAGGGCCTTGGATATTTGTACATCGCGACTCGAGCCCCCCGGGCCATGACCACGGCCACGACTCCGCTTGTCTTTGCCATCTTTGGGGTCGTTGCCCATTTTGGGTGTCTGCGCGGAACTTGTCTTGGGGTTTGCGACGCGTAGGAGGGGCAGTCGCGAAGCTCGGAGCTTTAAAGAAGCTGGTGGGGAAGGTGCGTCAGACCTGCCAGATGGAGACCCCGACACTCGACAAGGGCCAGTGACTCACCAATTACGAGACGGAAATTACCTGGACCGGGCAATCATACAGATACATGCAGAGACCGTTTTTTTTTCCTTCCGTGGAGAGATAATCGATAAGCAGGTGGGGGATATGACTTCATCGTCCGATTGGACGACATGATCCACTCTATACAAACTATGGACTCCGGGGGTGGAAATGGGTATAAAATATCAAGCCAGACTCCTTCGTGCACCTTGGTATGATCCATCACCGATCGCAGATACAGCTGCACTCTGCAACTGGACACACTTTGTGTCGCGTGAACCAGTCCCGCGCGTGGTGTGCGTGGAAGCCGTGGTTGCAATGGATACAAAAGACCACGAATCGTCGCATCACTTCAGCTTCAGTTACCGTGCGAGGGTTAGGCTCCGCGTCAGCTGCGATACCAGAGCGCGACATCGGGTCTGGCGTACCCAGCCACATTGTGCAGACGCCGCACCGAGGCATGTGGCGACCGCAGCGAGGGCAGACAGTGCCGGACATGATCGAGGATCCCAGTGGGTTGCCCATGGTCGGATGGACGACTTCGGAAGAGGCCAAGGGAGAGACTTCGGATGAGGCGTCGTGCTGGGTGAGTGGACGTGTGCAGTAGTTGCAGGTCAGACTGACCTGCTGTGGTGGTGCAGGGATGAGTTTGCGCCCGTCCACGGTCACTGCGAAGCGGCGGGAGCCGACGTCGAAACGGGCTCTTTCAAGTTGAAGCTTCCATGAGTTCATCTGTCGGCGGTAGGTCTCGCGCCAAGCTTCAAATTGGGCGATGGATGTTAAACTGCTGACGATTCGGGGGACGGTGTAGCTCATGGCTAGCACCGGTGTCTGTACGTCATTGAATTTGTCGATGTATGACTGGAATAGGCCCATGGCCAAATGACCCAGACCTGTGAGTACTACTCCTTCGATATCGCCTTGGCGTATAGCCTCCGACGTGGCATTTTTGAGGTACTCGGTTAGCTCTTTGTCCGGAAACCAGCGCAGTGCAACCTCAACCCGGTACTTCAAGGGTAGCGTGGTCTCCCTAATTACTGAGTTCCAGTCACCCTTGCTCACGAGGGCGAGGATCGCCCGCGAGTACGGGTCTGTGAGTTCTTTGGAAATCTCCGCGCAGGTCTCTTCCCAGTCAGAACTGTTATCACCCTTTGCAGCACCGGCAATGGCCATAGCCAAGAGCTTGTGGGCTTGTGTGGGCTTGTTGCTCCGAAGACCGAGATAAGCCAGCTTGGGTTCATCCTGGAAGACAGCCAATGCAGCGGCTTTGGTGTGCTGGTTTTCACCGGAGAGATTTTTAACCAGCTCCTCCAATTCCCGGTGTGATTGTGCCGCACCGCAGAGACGGAGACAGAATCGGCGATGCTCGGGGTATGCAGTCTCACAGCCCTTCCACCCCGGTAGATTCAAATGTTCGGCAAGATGGCCAATGGCTTCGGCTGCACTCTTTGGGCTATCCGCCTTTGTGCTGATGCGTCGTTTCTCGGCGCCGTGGCCTGTGTCAATTATCAGTTGTGGCATTCTATCGCAGATGGTAGCTCGTGACGAACCCAAATCGTTGTTCCACACGCTGCTCACACCCATATAGTTCATATCTAGCCCGTCAACCACCATGGTCATCCCTGAAGAATCGGCCCTAGCACCTAGAAAGATGTCAGATTTAGCTACATCAAAAAGACAACACACACACGACTTACGTTCAACCCAGCCCCAGAAATCCTGAAGGGCAGCATCATCCGACACAATTTTTCTGTTCCGAGCCTCGTCGAATAGATAACCCTCCTTGCATCGAAATTGGCCAATTGTGGACAATGTCAAGGCTTCCTTCGCACTTAACAGAGCCCCAAGTGTTCCAAGGGAGAGTGCGCGCTCTCGACCTTCTCGACTCGGAACGGGGTCAGAAGTAAGTAGCCTGGATTCGGATGACTGTCTGTCTGACTTCGCACTGGGGTCTTTCGAGCTTGATAGAATGCGCGTTCTAATGTTCCCAATGAGCTCAGACACCGGCGATATATGCTCGGACAGAGGATGAATGGTCCTGACATCCGAATCCCTTAATGCAACGCCACAAGCCAAGACACCTTGGGAAGAGACGTCAACAGGAGCGCACGGTGGTCGCACAGTGACTATCTGCGGTTGCCCATTCCCGTCCAGGGCAACGGCACTGGGTTGAGCAGAAATATTGAGGTTCAAGAAATCAAACGCCACAATCCTTTCACGCTCGCCACACCCGCGCGTTGGATGGTCGAATGGAGCACGTACATCCCGCACATACTTCGTGTACACGGGCTCCGCGTAGTTTCTGAACGAGCCTGGGCCGAGGGTGTCGTCGATAGAAGCACGATATTCTTCTGACAGATGATCCTTGGCAATGTCAAAGGTTTTGAAGTGGCCCGTTTTAGCGAGTGCACCCAAGTAGCCGCGGTTGGTTTTGGAGAATCGCAAGCTGCAGATCGACGTTTTAGGGCTGAACACGTTCTTGAACTGCAGGGCGGCTGCGGCTTGGTTGGACTCTGGATTGCTGACGGATGATCCAACCGATGGCGATGTCAAACTGGATCCTACACGTCGATCCCAGACGCAGATGGTGCTTTCATTGGATGTTGCACCAGAGGCGATATAGTTCTCATCGAGCCAGTCGATCGCTAAATTGTGAACACAACGGGTTGGGAATTGTAGAGATGGATTGCCAGGGCCCTCTATATGACGAGAAATATATTAGCATGGCCAAGGGCATTCATTGTAATGACCAAGAGAGAACACACCTCTGAGATCATAAATCCTGACAAATTGGCCCTTGACTCCCGTGACCAACGTATCTGGTTGGTCTCGGAAGAACTTGATACTCGTGATAGGCTCAGAGCTGGCCAACTTTCTCAAAGGTTCTGGAAAGCCTTTGCTACCCCCGGCAGGACCAAGCCGCTGGTTCACATCCCAGATGTTGAGGCAAAAGTCATTGCGCACACGATCAAGACCTGACGCCACCAGTCCATGTGTGCTAAACGCAACAGCGTTACAGTATCGCTGGTTGCGGACCGGGAACGAGAGGGACCCCTTCGCGTCGGCGTCTAATCGTAGAATGGTGGCCTCGCCGGACGATTGGCCTACGGCGATCAGGTTCTCGTTGGAGGTAGACCAGTCGAATGCGCGAAAGAGAGGAACGTCCGTCAGGGTGGAGAGCACTTCGTGCCGGAGATTTTGACCATCAAATCCAGTGACCTTGCATAGACGAAACGACTTGCCGGTGACGTCGACTGAGAGGAAGCGCTGTTCGGCGGCTGTCGAGCTCGGCGACCAGCGAATGGCGGATTCCATTGTGCTGTGGGCCTCCAGGGCACGTTCGAGCTTTGAATCAGAGGCCGCAGCCTCGAGTCGATCAACTTGTAGCCAATTGGCAAAGAATGATAGTGACAAGAGCAGTAACAGAGAGATGAGAGACGCGCTGCTATCGTCATGCGATCGGCTGCGTGTTCATTGGCTGCGCGGATCTGGGGACGGGCCGATGATGAGCCGACGTTTCTTTTTTGCTGCGACACTTTTTTACTTCCAACTGTCAACCAGCCATGCCGGACTCCAAGCCTGATCGCGTTTCAAAGCGCAAGAGCCGTGACGGAGACGAGGTTCCTCGCAAAAAGCAGCACCGCGGCCCGCCCGCGGACGACGTCCAATTCGAGGACTACGGTAGCGGCGACAATGTCCCAGCCAAGTCGAGCCGCAAGTACAAGGATAAATTTGCTCCACGGCCTGAGAGGCAATATCCCTCGGTTAATGAGCTGAAGAAACGGATCCGCGATGTCAAGCGTCTCCTCCAGAAACCGAGCTTGCCTGCAGATGCTCGAATCCTGCAGGAACGTGCCCTCGCTGGGTACGAGCAGGATCTTTCTGAAGAGAATACGCGCCGAGATCGTTCACAGATGATCAGTAAATACCATTTCGTCCGGTTCCTGGGTATGTCTTTGAATCTCCCCCTCTTCAGATTCCGTTGCTAATCATTTCGCTCTGTGACCAGACCGCAAGAATGCAACCAAGCAATTGAATCGCCTCGAGCGCCGTCAAAAAGAGCAGAGCCTCGACTCCGAGCAGAAGAAACAGCTCGAAAGCAAGATCCACGCTACCCGCGTCAACCTCAACTACACCATCTACTACCCTCTCACCGAGAAATACATTGCACTCTATCCCAAGTCGAAGGCCTCAGACAAGGACGGTGCGGAGTCAGGATCCGAACCGGAGCCGGAAACAAAGACGCAAGGCGACGAGACAAAACCACCGCTTTGGTCTGTCGTTGAAAAGTGCATGGAAGAGGGCACCCTTGACAAACTTCGTGATGGCAAATTGAACATTGGGGCCGACGGTAAACAGATTGCGGCTCCCGCCGCAAAGGCAAGCGGAGACACGGACATCAAGAAAAGCAAGACGAAGAAGTCGAAAGAGCCCGAGGCCCCCAGAAAGAGCCAGCCGACTCGCACAGATACGGACAAGAGCAAATACGAAAACTTCAACAGGAGGGATCGTCGCCGGGAGCAGGCCAAGGCAGCCCCTGTTCCTGTCCAAGCCGATGGAGATGACAGCGACGGTGGTTTCTTCGAGTAAACGATGCTCAGGAGCAAGGCAAGATGGTGTCTGGTGTCTGTATTATGTGTATCTCCAGCCTGATATCCCTATTAGCATTGCATATAATCCCGCTGAACTCTGATTTGGTAGTTGATAACCTTTCTCACAATAAGGATCTGAGATGCAATGTCACCCTGGTCATTAATCTGAAGCGATGGAAGACTTGAGTTTGGAAGTTTCCATTCTTTACCGGACTTCTACATCTCTACTCTTTTCTCTCCTTTAGCAACGCTCTCTATCCACTTACCTCGCACTGACGTATCTCCGAGATATTACTATTCTCAAAGCCAGGCATCTATCTTGAGCCTCTTCCTTTCCTGCTTGTCCCCTCCAACCTCTTCCTTTCCAATTCGCGCCCTCATTGAGACTTCCCGACCTCATTTCACCCCTCTATCTAATCAGTTCCTCCTCCTCAGTCCATCCTATCTTACTCAACATATCCTCCCACATCCCCTTTTCGTCTTGAACCGTCTTCCCATCAGACCCCTCTGGACCGTTCTTTTAATCCTCTGACCGGTTATCCAATCCTCCAACTTTCCACCAACCTTCGAATCTTCCAATCTTTCGACACCCTGAACACTTTTGGGTATTACCTTCACTGGGAAGCCATCAGTCTACATCGTTTTCCCCGTAACGAATCTGGGCCTCGTTTTTCACATTTCTCACTTAACTCGCACCTCTTCGTTAACGCGAACTCACCCATTTTCTATTGATCTCCACGAAGACGATTGAACTCAGGAAATGCGTCTCAAAGACGCACCTGCAGCCTGTGAGGCCAAGGATCATGAGGCCTTCGTGCTTGCTCTGAAAGCAAACAGAGTGCAGTGTATCCGCCAGGTGGAAATCCACGAACATCGAACACCAGACTTATTTTGGCGTACTGGTGACCCTGCAGGTCGACCACCCCGATCCGAAAAAGACAAGGCTCGAATGAAGCTCGTGGCCACTGTCTCGTACAAGAATGACAAGCCCGTTTTCCCGCCAGCATTCACTCGTCTGAGCGATGAGCTGGTCTACCTTGCTACCAAGTTCCTGACAGTAGCCACTCGCGGCAAACACTACCCCTATGACTTCATGAAAAACGGCGATATTCGACTTGAGCGTGTCCCATCCGGAGTCAGCCCGATCATATGGGCTCATGGATTGCCTCACTTCCCCGTATACAAGGGTTATTACATTCTTTGCGGCCGGAAGCATGCAAAATGGATTGGATGGTGGCTGAATACCCCCAACTGGCTCACCAAGAAAAATTACCCCATGTGGACAATTGGAGCTGTGGTAGCTCCTGCTTCTGCGCTTGGACTCCCTCGCGTTGTAGAGCGGCAACTGCGGGTTCACAAGCCTAGTGCTACCCGGGATGTCGAAACGGGTTCTGAAAAGTATGCAGGTGCCCATGATGTCGTCCAAAAGGTCCACTATGATCACTCTATCGTACCGAAGAACTCGTCAGGTGGATATCGTGTTATTCCCATTTGTCAAACTCAAGGCTACCAAATCCAGGTTGGACCAAACTGGCCCAATGGACGTCTAGCAGATGTGGTCCACCAGGGGATGTTCTCGGCCAATGGATTGGAACACTTTGACTACAATGAGGCTCTGAAGAAGCCCTATGTTAATGAGAAGTGTCCCCAGGCTGAAAAGGACGCGCTGTGTGCAAGCGACGAAGAGGCCGATGACGAAGAGCTCGAGACCAGAGAAATTAAAGACGAGGACGAAGAGATCAGTGAAGCTGGGGATTACCTGGATTACACGAATGCAGCAGACTCCGACTATCAATATGATGAGACACCTGAAGACGACGACCTCACTGACGACTCGGAACGTGACAACGCTGTGATTAATCCACTCCACAAACTGTCATTGCAAGATGCTAAAAAGGACAAAAAGGTTGATACTATGGGTGGGTATTTTGTCACTACCAACAAGGTTGTGAAAACAACCAACAAATCCACCAAAGTTGCAAAAGCAAACATTGCGAAGGCCGTTCCAAAGCCCTTCAAGGTTAGCAAGAAAGTCGCAAAGGCTAAAGGAGATTCAAAAAGCACCTCGGGGCCGACGACATCCGCTGAAATTACGAGGGGCAGAGGAAACCTCACAAGTCTGCCCGACAAGAAAGTCATCAAGACTGAACCCAAGCAGCCGATCCAGCAATCTACCACAGAAACCCTGGACGACACTAGGGTGGATACTGCCTCGAGTGGATCCATGAAGAAATTGACTGAAGACGAAATGATCAAGAAAGCCACATGCCTCAGTGAGCTTGCATTCGATGCGGTCAAAAACAGAAATGCCTCTACGGCCGAACTCGATCTTGAGGGAATTCTCGAGAAAGCTGCTGCGTACTCTACTCTCGTCCACGCAGCGGCTAGAGATCTACAAAAAGATAAATCGTGAAGACAAACAACAAACAATCATGGCGAGGAGAATGAGAAAGGGGAAGAACTAAAGAGGGAAAGAATGCATAGCTTTTCCATCAAAGAGCAATTCGGTTAACTTACTTAAAAACTCCCGCAATGATAAATCATCCCAAGCTTTGTATCCAATGTATGCTGCCTTATACATGGCGACTAGACTTGGGTAGACCGTAGGAACCTCCTGCTGAAGTCTTGGGAAGTTCCCAAATGCTGAACGAACTAGCATTCATTGGCCTTTTGCAATTGATATGGAAACAGTGCACTCCGGATGTTAATCGCCATATCCTCGGATAAATCGATTTAGTAGCGGAGTCGAAGGCGGGGCCATTCGGCACCGATGGATATACAGCCGGACCAAAGTTCTCGGCTCGGTGAAAGTAGATCGTCCCCGATCGAGTCGAGGTGCCTGCCAAGATGTGTTCGGCATCGAATCGAGGTCGACGCCAACGGCCCGGAAGTCCCTCATTGAAACCCCACCGATTCTCCGAGATCGTTTGCCCTGCTATTTAGTAGTTAAAAGTGGAGTCAGTAACATGATATAAGTTGTTCAGATCTGGATTCGGTTTTGGAAGGAAAAAAGCCACTGGCGATGGTGTTCACGGTAGTCATTTCCCGCCAACCGGTCTGTAGATAGATCCCAGGCATGTTTGAGTGGTGACACAAAATCTACAGAAGAGCGGAAATAATTTGACATCCTTTGATTTAGTGACGAACAAATATCAAAGCTGAGAGGCATATCAATTCCAAAAGAACCCCTCGTAAAGCTTACAGCCAAGAAAATAGAACCAAAAAAGGAGATCAAAACTCCAGTCCTCGCCACGACCTTTCTAGATATGCTAAGCGGGGCATTGAAATGGCATTCTGGCAAAAGAAAAGGCAGGCCAAGATTGATGATATGAGACGATGGAAATGCAGGTCGGATTGGTCTCGTCCTGACGCCGATGATGAGAGCAAGGAAATGGGAAAAGAATGCAGGTTAGCATAGAGAATGATGGTGTGCTGTGTTCGTTGGAGACGGGCTGTTCATCTAGGATCGTGTCGTTCATATATCGTGGTATGGAATTCAAATGGTGCAATATCAGCGAGCCGGCGCTGCATATTGGAACGGGAAAAGAGCAGAAGAGGCTTCACATAACGAGGCAGCCGCTTTGAGCACGCCGCCGCCTGCCTCCGAGGGCAGAAAAGGTACCAACACCGTAGGCATCATCTTCGTCATCTTCGTCGGCATTGTAGAGCCGTTCCGCTTCGCGAGCACGGCGTCTCCTGCGCCGGGCACCTGCACCTGTAGCGCCCGCTTCCTCGTTGGCCATCATGTAGTCGGCCCATTTGCGATCAAGGCGACTAGCGCCTATCAGATCACCTCGTATGACGCGCTTAGTGTGCTCGTCGACGGTCATCTGCCACCCATAGAAGCACTTGAGCTGGATGATCTCCTTGGGATAGGTGGGTGATGGGGAGGGGGTTGAAGCTGGGGTGACATAAGTCGTTGTCGTTGGGGAGTCGGAGTCCGATGCTTGGGTGACGGTCACAATTGTGGATACTGGCTTGCGAGAGCGGGGAATAAAGCAGTTGCTAGATAGGACTTCCTTCACGCCTGCCCAGGTTACGTTGGCACAGTCGAAAACAACCAATCGGAGACCGAATTTGGGGTGTTCCTCGCCGTAGCCGCGCTTGCGCACCCGGTAGCTCGCTTCCATGAGGGTCAAGTCCGACACGCGGGTATTGTCCATTTCGATGGATCGCAGCTTCGGGCAGCTCTTAACAACTTGCAGCATTCCCGTGTCCCCCAGGTTTTCGCAGTAGCTGACATTGAGGTGCTCAAGGGTTTGGGAACATGGAGACTTTGCAATTTCAATGAGAGTGGCGTTTGTCAAATTCTCCAGGTCTTCAATTTCGAGATGGGAGAGGTACGAGGTAGTGCGAATGACATCGATGACGGAGTCGTCGGTCAAATCCGAGCATTGCGAAACTTGTAGGCCTTCCAGGTCAGGAACGTTCCCGGCCAAACTCTTCAAGCCATCGTCGCTGACGTCCGGGCATTGATGCAAATCCAAATGTCGGAGTCGTCGAGGTGGCACAATCGGTCGGTCGGTCAGCACATCCAAAGGCGGGTCGACGCCGTGCATCAAAATCTTCAGGCTTTGGTTAGATAGGTCGGTGCGACTCATGATCAATCGCTCCAGGGTGTTTCGCTCGTAAAGGGCCAAGGCAAAGTCCTCGTTGGCAAATCCCCGAATTTCGCTGGCGCGAAGATCCTTTAACAGATGACAAGCATTAACCACCTTGAGAAGACCGTGGGCAGTGACATGGTTGCACCAAGAGATGTTCAAAGTCTCAAGCTGGGGGCAAGACTGTGCGATGATCTTCATTGCCGAGTTCGTGATACTGGACAAGCCAGACACGTTGATGTATTCCAAGCGAGGGTTCCGAAGCAGGAAATAGTGAATGGTCGTCTTGTCGATGCGACAGCCTTCAAGCGAGAAGTTGACCACATTGCGGCACAAATCAGAGATACGCTCTCCATCCGAGGACCACTTGTCGCGAAGTTGAATACAGCCTCTGAGATTGAGATCGCGCACGAAGGCCCCACCAGACGTAATGAGTTTCACCAAAACGTCACTAGGAATCTTGTTATAGTACTCCGTCGTATCGACCATGGACCATAACTGGCCATCATAGCACATCTCATTCCAGAGCTTTGACACAGCCGCACAGCGAATAATTTCGAGGGGAGTCAGATACCGAAAAATCTCCATCTTGAGCTCTCTGGGCATATCACCCCAAAAGTCAAGATTCCTAGCAGGCCGCGCATCCGGCAGCGTATCCGGCAGTGTATCCGGCAGCGTAATTTCCGTATCCACCACTTCACCCTCCGTAGAAGTACTGAGAGGTGAACCGCGAGAGGCCGGTCTCAAGTCAAAGGGCAAGGGTACCGTGCGCGGCTGCGAGCTGGGCGACTCCGTGCCCACCAGCCGAATACGATTGCTGATTCCGCGAGCCTCAGCGGGCGCACCGGAACAGCCCGGTGTGGCCGGTCGGGGTCCATTCAGGCCACCATAAAGTTGCGAGGAGCTTCCGTTTCCCACGCATGGGGAGTATGGAGACGATAACGAGACACACGATAAGGAGGCTTTGTGGTCCCGGCGATACCCGGTGGATGCAGATCGGCCGCGGCGGGTCAACGACTGGCTAGACTGCCGGCGCGGCAGACCCGGAAATAGCCTTCGACGACTCTTGATTTTCGGCGGCTGGTCGAGAGGGATTTGACCTGTGGAAGAGGCCGGGCTGGCCGGGGACACTTCGAGCGGCGGGACGATCTCGTCGGTAATTGGGGTGGCCATGGTGGTGTGAAGGGCGGGGATGTTTAGTAAAGTATGGGATGGGGTGCAGGGATGGGTATGGCACCACCGAGGAGTCGATGGGCGCGACAGAGCACCGCGAGGCACCTAAATGACCATAATGTTGCAGAAGGTTCTTTGCCCAAGTCAGAATCGATGAAGAGGAAAAGTCGAAAAGAAGGTCGAAATGTTAGGGGAGCGGGGGACGTTCAGAAAGACGCTTATTGTTCGGGGGCCCACGGGCAGTGAACCGTGGCACTCGGTGATGTCGACCGTCGGGACTGGTTCAAAGTGACGTTCATAGAACCGAGCGGCCCGAAGAATTCGATAATAGGAAGAAAGTGAGAGAAGAGAGAGAGGGAGGGGGGGGGAGCGAGAGAGAGACAGAGAGAGAGAGAAAAAGAAAAAGTAAAGGTGAAAGAATGCGATACGTCTAACCAACGCAACTGTTGGAATGCAGTACACCACACAACGGTGCACACACAGCCAAAGTCCAAGTACCCAGTACTTGGTTCTTATCACCCCACTCAGTCAGAACGTGGCACAGACTGGAGACCCACGCGACTCGTCGGCTGACGACGCCTTGACAGTGGAAGGGCATGCGATCCTCTTATCCACTCCAGTCAGGCACAATTCGCTCGTTCCTGGCGATAAATGTTACTGGATCGGGCACGCCTTCGGTGACCGTTTGGCTGTTGCGAGCGGGGCGCGGGGAGGGGAGACCACGGATGGGAGACCACGGATGGGATTGCGGAGCAGTGTACTGCCCGGTGGAGTCGAAGGCGAATGGCCGAGGACTACTGTATGTCTTAGGTGCGCCATAATTCTAGACCTGACATCTATCTACCGACCCGTACTAAGTCCAAGTGGTACTAAGTCCGATCATATGAGATCCACTCCGACTAGTCCGGTTTTGCCAAGGACGGAAGCCGATCCGATCAAAATTCTTCGATTCACCTTCCAATCGTATATAAATTCTTTCATGCCATGCTGATGGTCTTGTGTCTCTAGATACACGGGAAAAGAGCAAAATAAAAAAGGTATCACAGTCCCCAAATGTGCGAGCAAAAGCCATGTCAATGTCATGCAGAAGTGCATATGATTTGTTTTGTCCAGGTCATTCCCCAACGGACCGTAGAAAAGTTAAATCCCCCATCCGCGTCCATCAATCAAAACATAAAAAAAAAACGTCATGGGGTATCGTGTCTTTTTTTTTTCTGGGTCATAAAATATGCGTTGGTGTACGGGGCCTTCAGTTCTCTGCCATCCACGAGTGCTCGAGCACTTCCGTGATGGTGAGTCGGTTGTCGACGTCGCGGTCCAGCATCTTCCGAATCAGGTCGATACAGGCTTCCGAGAAGGGGAGGAAGGGGATGCGGAGTGGGTGATCGAGGATTTCGTCGACGTTGTAAAACGGGTTCTCTTTGTAGACGATTGTATAGAGCAAAATGCCCAGGGCCCAGATATCCTGTTCTTTGCCCCGGTAGGACTTGCCTTGCAGGACTTCGGGAGCGGCGTAATCTACAAAAGATGTTAGCATGTCCGCAACTCATGCATCCAGCCGAAACACAGTCTTACCGATCGTGCCGACAAAGACATCAAACGGCCCGTTCTTGATGTAGGCCGCACTGCCGAAGTCGATCAACTTGATCCGCCCCTCTCCATCCAACACCACGTTCTCATCCTTGATGTCGCGGTGTACCACGAGGGCCTTGGTGTGCAGGTGGTAAATAGCACTTACGACCTGCTTAAAGATGTTGCGACATTCCGACTCGTCCATGTTGGCCTTCAGCTCAATGTAGTCGAAGAGGTCCATCCCCGGCAGTCCGTGTGGGATCATCTCGATGTAGTAATTGATGTCGTCCTCAAAGAACCCTTCCATCTCCACGATGTTCGGGTGCTTGTACCCGTCTCGGCGAAGGAAGTCCAAAACGTGGATCTCCAAAGGTACCGTGCCGAGCCGTCTGTCGCGTGTCCACGTGTCCACCAGGATCCGTTTCTTCGTCACGTATTTCAACACCATCTTCTGTTGAGGGTTCTTCTTCACACGGGCCAGCTTGACCTGCCCGTAGGCACCTTGTCCCATTTCCTCCACGATGACATAGTCGTGAATGGTCCGCTTCTGCGGAGACTGTCCTTTGGCGGTGACTTCGGGGACTGGCTGCACCGGTCGATCCGTGAGAGGCTCCGAGGCAGCTTCGCTGAGCTGCTGGCTGAGGGTTGAGCTCGAAGCTCTAATTTCCAGCGAAGGACGGCCGGCGCCAGAAGTCTGCTCACTAGGCGTGGCGGTAGCTGAGCGATCCGATGTGGGGGCAGGAACAGGAGAAGTCGGCTTGGAAGTAGTCAGGGAGGATGACGAAATGTTGGCCACTGGTCCAGCAGCGTGAATATGCCTGGAGTAGGTGATCCACAAAGCATAAACCAGCTCTGTCACCGCAATAGTGTCGTCACTGTCCTCTGAATCGCTGGCGCGTTCTTCCAATCTCTGCGCCTGTTCCTTGGTGAAAAAAGTGCCGCTCTTGACCACTCGTAACTGGACATCCACCACGATAGTGGAGCCGTCTCGGTGTTTAGCCAGCAAGCCACTAGGTTCGGTGAAGACGGAGGCGGCGTTCGCTTTGCCGTCCCGAAGAATGGACAGGGTTCGGGCTCGACGGAAGCTATGTTCAGGGATCACGATACCGTCGACCAACGGCACGTTGTCCTCCTCTGTTAGCACATCCAAGATCTCGTCGAATCCTGGCACCAATTCCGTAATGTGCCGTCCCTCTGGGCGTTCTTGACCGAATAGGGCTGACGAAAACACAGAGTTCGAGCTGATAACGTTCAAACTCGCAGAGGATATAACCATCATGCCTGCGACGTGCGGGAAACTCGACACCTGCAAAGTGCGAGCTCCACCCGCCTTGCCTACCTTCACTGGGATGCACACGCCGGCAGCGGTGAGAGCGGCGAAGTGCTTCAATTCGGCGATCTTGGCCAGTCCCTTCTCGGGGGAAGTTGCGAGGGATTCCGGCGGCAAGCGAGGTAGAAGCTCGGTGATCGGCTGACCGGAACGAACTACGGATGGTCCCCAAATCTTGTCCACATCTCCTTCGGTTTCCATGACATTCCAGGATTCGTCACAACGGACAGAGGCGATGTTCTCCGTGATCTCCTCCAATACCCAGATCAGACCGCCACGTTTCTCCATGACCCAAACACTAGCCGATCCCTTGGTGCCGTTGCGCTTCTGAATCGGCACGACATCGCCGCACAGCAACACGCCCCGTGACTTGTTTCCGGGATGGTTGTTGTTGCGAGGATTTCTTGTGCTAGAGCCGTATCCATCATCAGTCTGCGCACGCCGGGACGCCTTTTCCCGCGAAGACGGTTTACTGAGCAACTGTGCCGTCACTCCATTTCCCAGACCTCGAAATTTGGGGTTTACCGCTTGAATGTTGGGCCTATTCTGCGGGACTGGCGCGCGGGCAGTGGCATCGGTGCTGGGGTCCCGAAGCTTGGCTTCGAGCCACTGCCTATGCTCTTTCTGTACAACCTCTAGGATACTGAGCCGACGAACCTCGGATTGAGCGACTCCAAATATGAGACACGAGAGATCGTTGGCCGCAAAAATGGTCCATGGTGCTTTGGCTTCGGTGCGAAACACGGCCTGGGAAACCGGGGTCCACTTGCTGCTGTGGGTGTGCAGGGCAGGCATGGGGAATCCCAATCCAGCGGTAGATGAAGAGAGGGAGGCGAAGGGATCCGTGGAGGCGTATGGTTGCGCTAGAGTCTCCATCAGCTTGCTTTTGAGGGAGGCAGTGTTGAGGTCCGTATATGTACGTTTTAAGCTTACGCGCCTAGACGATGGTGCCGATAGCAGGTCCCTCCGAGATTGCGGTATACGATCATTGGATGAAAGGGGACTGAGCAGTTGCGAACTGTCCGATGTGGCCTGGGATCCTGGTGCCGATTCCTGGGGCGCATGCCGAGGGCTGATGGGAGAGCCGCGTTCCGAAAAGGCTCTCTCGAAAATGTTGTCCCCGTTCACATCTGCAGGTCCAGTGATGGGTCCTTGTGTCCGGTTGGCATGATCCTCACCCAAAACGTGGGCCCGCGTCAAGAGGTCCATCATATTTTGAATATCAGAGTCGCCCGTCACATTCGCCTGGGCGTTCGCGAGTCCAGCATTACTGGCCGCCCATCCCATGCGATCGCGCATGAAATCAATCGACCTCTTGAGAAGGTTCTGCCGATTGTGCAGTAGCTCTTCGGATTGCTGTGCGAAAGAAAATGAGTGTAAAGATTCCAAAGGAAACCTATGGAGGTCCTCCAGATCACCGAAGGCGCTCAGTGACATGCGGCCGGTAGGAGCCCGCGAGGAAGAAGCGGAGCGTGGCGTCGGCGACGGACGTATGGATGAGGCTGTCATCGGGAGCAGTGACGACGTCGACTGGTTGGGAAGCGTCAAAAGGCGCGACGGTTGATGCTGGCGTATACGGTCCAGCCCAGTCGGACCGATTCCATGTTCGCTTTCGAATAATGGAGATCTGTGAAGATGGGGTAAATGTGTCAAAAATTTTCAACTCTATTAACTGCCCAGGCGGAAGAGAAGAAGCGTTTGGGCACCGACCTTGAAAGGTTGTCATATCCCGAGGAGAGACTGTCCACCGAGCCTCTCAAGGGCTGGTCTGTCTGCAAGGAAAGATTTTGAAACCCCGACTCAGACTCGGGCGACTCGGAAAGGGGACCCAACGGAGACGACAAGGGACTCGGTTGGCCTATAAATGAACGATCAGCATGCTACACCAGCAACTCAATCGGCGCGTGTCAAAGGTCCCATTCCTCAGAATTCGGCGTGATTGCCTCAAGTGATGGAACGGGATGGTGGATCCTCCGCGGTCAGATGCGTGAACACAGATCCGCTTGTTTCTTTTTTTTTTTTTTTGGCTCCGAACCGGAAAGAAGCCGTGTCGCAAATGCGATCCTTCCGGACCATTCTCTTTTTGAACACCTCCTCGCTCCCCGTGTTCACAGCTCTCCCCCGCGGGAACGTCCCCGCAAGTGGACAAGTTGAAATGACATGTGAAACAGGAGCATGTGCGCATGACTTACCATCGGGATTGTATGCCGACCCCATTCTTTATCGGGCCTGAGTTTTAATCGACTCCCAGCCGGGAGAGGAAAGGCTGAGGCTGAGGCTCAAGAGCGTCGAATCGAAGGAACGAAAGGTCATTCGCGGTTGTCAGCGGGCAGCGACCGGGAGAGGGAGAGGGCAGCTGCCTCGTAGAGCGCCCGGCATATGTGGCGTCCGAGGGCACGCGTGTGTGCAGGTGATGGTGATTTATAAGGGAGGAGGTGAAAGAAGAGAAAAGAGAGAATCAGCGGGGTGCGTAGTCCGTAGTCCGTAGTGGGGAATTAAGAAAACGAGAAGCCCGCAAAGCGTAAAGCGTCAAGGGGCGGGGTGATGTAATGGGCGTTCCCCTAGGCCGGGATCTTGGATCTCGGAAGTATGTTGCTTTGACTGTTCCTAAGCCAGAATAGAGATGGAAAGTCAAAGGTGCCCAGGTGGTCTGATCGGCAGTGGAATGTCCAATGTCTACCTCGAGTTCCTTCTCTCTCGCCAGATGATCCTATCCCGTCTGGGATGTTAGCACGATGCTAGTATTAATTATGGACTACCGGTTCTAGTCCACCAACTACGTAGCAGGAAGTGCACACTCCCCCTCCGCTGGTTTCCCTCCTCCTTCTACCGTTCGAATGCAAAGTGGTTCTCGTTCTCGTACGAAAGTTTCCCCTGGCCGACACATCCGGGCCCGGTGTACTGCATCCCCACCGCTATCTCCGTCGCGTACCCAATGACAGCACTACCTATTGCCCTTACGGGAGGCATTGGAATACGTGCTGCCGCAAGCAGGTACTTCTGGAAATCTTGACGTGTCCTGTTGTTCCCTGCGAGCGCGAGCCGCTCCGAGATCTCGATCTATCTTCCTAGCTACATTTCCATAGTTCACCGTCCACAGCTGCACCCCCTTACAGCGGGCCCCGAGCCCCGTGGAGACTGTGCAGTGCCAGTTCATCATGCTCGGCTTCGGTCCCTGGGTTCTCTTCTCTGCCATTGCCGAATAGTGGACTACCTCTGTCTTTGCTTCGGGGCGATTCTTGATGCCGCGTCTGCTCCGGTGGTACCGATGCCGAACTGACAAAGGTTGACAGGTTCCGACTGCCTTCCAGCATCCAGGAAAACCCTGAGTCCGACAGGGATGGCCGGACAAGATTTTGCTGCGACCTCTCTCGGCCTGCTTCGGCCTGCCCGTCAGGGTTCTTGCTGTTTGTGGCGGTGCTGACATTCCTGGAAATACCACCTTCGGCGCGTGGCGCCGTAGCATCCGCGCAAGGCTGAGGCGCACTTTGCCGATCCTTCTGCGCCACATCTTCAGAAGTGTTGACGGCGGATGAGACCGGCGGTGATGGAGGTAAAGGTACCGAGCCAGCGATCTCCCCGTCTACTTTAGGGTTTTGCGGGGCAGAGGCTACTGGCAGTGACAGTGATGAATCCTCGAGACATTCCCGGACGAACCCAGCTCGAGCCAATGTCTGCATCACCGCATTGTTGGCATTCGGGTCAAGATCCTTCGTGGTGGCGAGTTGTGAACGAAGGTCTTCCAGGGCCTTGCCCAACGCACTCGCCAACTCCCTGTTCCTTTCCTCAAGAAGAGTCAACTTCTTTGCTAGTCCAAGCTCGGTGGGCGTTGGCTTCTTCGGCACTGCGTTTGGTACTATTGTAGAAGAAGGTCTGCGAAGTGAGGGGCCAGTGCGAGGCCCTGGCTCGTAATGCATAGTTTGCATGTTTCTTCTGGCTTCCGTCACGGCCCCGCGAACGGCTTTGGCTACACCCCACGACTCAGTGCGACGCTGAATTCCATGAGAGACATCTTGAAGAAGCGTCTCAAAACCCTTGGGACCAATTCTAGTAGGTGACGAGGTGGACGAGTTGCTGCTGCTGCGGTTGCGGAATTCTTCCCAGAGATGTGCCGTTCGCGCGGGTCTCACACGGGATTGGTTAGGGCGCTTTGACTCGGGCTCTTTGCCAGAGTATTTTGAAATGATAAAGCTGCCTCGCTCCGCAGTTGGGTTTTGTTCTAGGTAGAGCGCATCGTACACGAAAGTTTGGGGTGTATGTGGTTGAGGAGATGGGTATCGTAACAGCATCGACAATGCACCCGAGTAGTCTGCTTTAAGCACTGGAGATGCGTTAGTGATGCATGCACAAGGAAGCTCTCGGGCCATTTATCTTACATTGCCAGCGAATCCGGAGCAGCATCGCGATGCAGGTAAAATCCACAAGATCAGACCGAAGTCCATGGGCAAACAATAGATCCCACATCATGAGGACATCATCGAAGGGGAACTCTCGTCCAAATAGTAGGCGCATCCAGCGACTTGGTATGGAATCAGCACAGCCAGGGGTCACAGACATCAAGATACTCACGTCAGGAAGATCTGAGGTAGTACATCCACAGCGTGCAGATGTTCCGCTAATTCGTGGTCTATAATCATTAGGGCCTCGTTGTGAAGGTACTGGCACCGGTTCACAATCGGAATGACATCTATTTCGCCATTGGCTGACCGAGTCTCGCTGTGTTCGTAATATATGCGAGCTGTCTGCATGACACAAAGGAACAACGTGAACGAATCGTGTTCCACAAACTTGGGGTCGAGGAGGTCCAGCATTGAGGCATCTTCCTTGTTGTCGGTCGACTGTTGTGGTTCCGGTTGAACAGAATCTCGATCAACCACCCAGAGAATTGGGGCCAGCAGCTCGTGCATGCCTTGTCGATACCCTACATCGGGGTTCAGTTTCGAGTAAACAAACAAGACATCCGTCAGTTTCTTCTTTGTCGCTGGCTCCTGGAAGAAAAAATTCTCTTGCATGCATCGGTCGACATCTTGCAAAATCTCGGCGCGCAGTTTCTCGTCGTTGCGGAGCGTTTGCCAAGGAGACTAATCATTTGGGGGATTTGGTCAGATAAACAAGCCCAGTTTGAGCAGTACAGCACAGGTCAAATAGCAGCTTACCTCTTCGTCGTCCGCCAGCGGATCAACAGTAGACTCTACATCATCGGGATGCTCGACAAATTTCAGGAAATGGTCGCGAAGCGCCTTGTATGCCTCTCGTGACTCTCCGAGCTTCTGTGACCACTCCTCCCGCTCGAGGCCCTCAAAGAGCAGAAACACCTAGAGGATAAATGAGTGCTAACTTCAAGGCCGTGTCGCATTATGTCCACGGACCTTCCAGCAAATCGATCTCAGCCCATCGTTGCACAGCTTTCCTTCCTGTTCCGCTCGGAGGGCGGCCCGCAGATCAGAAGGTGTGTCATTGTCGGCGAACAGGATCTCCCATCTCTTTCTGCCACGAGTCAGCACTGGCGTCTCTGTTTCGGTGCCCTGAGTAGCTACCTGGTCTCCTCAATAGTTCTCATGTCATGCAGTGGTGGCTTGGGGCTGTGGAGGAGAGAGGAACCTGTGGTGAGGGGAAGCGATAATGTTAATCCGCACCTCTTATCGTGCCGCTACGATTCGGAGACACTGAACGTCTCCGAATCACATACTAGTCCCGACTACAGTCGAAAGCGCGGTAACCTTAACGACTTCCCGACGGCGGTCTCATTTCCATGCAACCATTCACCTCTTTATGATCTGCGAATTCAATGTCGGCAGACTTGTTGGCTGAGTTTGGCCAGGGCTCTGGCTCTGCGCCGAGGTCCGGCCAACCCCAGAACACAGAGCTACAAACAGACTCATTGATCTCTGGGTTTGATCAATCCGACGATATATTCTTTGGCGGGTCGCAACACAAAACCAATTCCCATCTTTCCGATCCAAGAGCGCCGTCAACTCAGTATGCGCCTTCAGCTCCCAAGCAGCCTCCCGCATTTCAGGCATTCGATTTGCCTAGACAACATGATAGCGACATTCTATTCGATGCTACCGAGGACACACCTGCGAGCGAGGAGGATGATGACTGGGGTGAATTCGAAGGTCCAGAAGCTAGTAGAGAACGAGACCAGCCGACCACCTCCACGGCCATGACACAAGAAGCAAAAGCTCCAGCAACCAGACCTCAGCCTCAAGTCCCGAAAGCCCCGAAAGCCCATGCAACAGTCGACTTATTAGATTCTCTTTCCTTGGATGACACATCACCAGCTACCCGTCAGCTTCCCAAGCCGAGCCTCCAGAAAACCCCCCAAGCCAGGTACCCTCCACCTGAACCATCATGGGATGACGACTCATTCGGTGATTGGGGAGATTTTACCGATGGTCCTTCTACCAAACCAGTTCCATCAAATCTCAACCCAAAGAAGGCTCTGCAAGCCATAAAATCCACACCTCCACAACCAGGTTGGGATGACACCTTCGAGGACTGGGGTGACTTCACCGACGGCCCAAGCACAGTGCCAGCACCCCCAAAACCAACCCCCAAACTAGCCTCACAACCCTCAACCACAAGTCCACCATCACGAAGCTTCATGTCCTCAACACCAACATCCCCCCCAACCGTCCGACCAACCAATATCCCCCCACCATCCGTCCTCCTCGAACTACTAGTGGACCTATTCAACAACCTCCAAAAAGAAGCAGCCACCGCAAAGCGTCAAACACAGTCAGGTGTTACAACAGCAACCACAATCCACAACACACTCGAAACAGCATCTCGCATCATAGCCGGCCGCACGTTGCGCTGGAAACGTGACACCATCCTCAGCCAAAGCATGCGGATCGGACCCGCAGGTAAACCAGGTGGAATGAAACTAAGCGCGGTGAACAAGCACGAAGATGTAAAGGAAGAACAGGACGCCGTGGATGTATTGTCCTTATGGCGTGAGCGCGCTGCTCTGTTCAATGCGGTTATCCAAGCTGCGGGGCTACGGCCTATCCCGCCTATTCCGAGTCCCAGTGCATTGAAGGTTATTACAGCGAAGCCGGAGCAGGGGGGTATCAAGGCGAGTCATGCTTGTGCGCTTTGCGCGCTGAAGAGAGATGAGCGTGTGCTCAAGGTTGATGAGGATGTGCAGGATAGTTTTGGGGAGTGGTGGACAGAGCATTGGGGACATACGTGGTGTCGGATGTTTTGGGAGAGGAATTACGGGCTGCTTGGGCAGCGATGAATATGATCATGCCATTACGATTAAAAGAAAAGGTGGATTACATGTGGCCAAGGGGAAGTTACGGAGATCAGAAGAATAGCAAATTACTTGTCACCACGCAGGTGAGCATGAGTGAATCAGGACACGAGAAGATATCCCGCAAAACACCGGTTCCTTAAAAGAAGAGAGTAGATACATGAGAATATTAGGATCAGAGCCAGAATCGGCCAGAGCCAATCGTACAGGAACTGCCCTGCGGCGTGGCTATGGGCGAGCCAGACCAGGCTAGCTGGAGGTGCACCGCGGCAAATGGTGAGGGCCACAGGGAACACGATACATGAGATGTAGAGTCAATCCCATGCCTCTTCGTGCAGGCATCTCTGGTCACCATGGGATCCATGTGGGCGTGCGCTGGAGATGTTTTTCTTGCCCACGCGAATTGTTCATGGACAATCGGTGCTCTTGACGAACACCGGGATCCCAGTGGGATTCGGCATTGAGCCATGCTCCAGCGATGGAAAGGCTTTCAAAGCGGCTGACGGAGTGAAGATCGGGTCAATTTCAGATGGTGACTGCAGCCGCAATTGGAACAATGGCGAAATGCAGAGGCCAAGAGGGACAGGTACTCGAAAGTCATCAATTTTAGAAACTTTGGGCTGAAGGGGCCGCAGGCTGTGGAGACATGATCGTCAGCGTCTGAAGTGGCAGAGAGTGTATGGGGTCTTGGCATCGTGGTACAACGCAAAGGCACTTGGCACAAGATAAGAAGCACTCGCAAGAGGGGTCTTCCGACTTACAGGACTGTTCAGAATACTGTTTCGCTTATTGCGTCCCTTCTTGATGTGACTCTTCAGGGCAGCTGAATCCAGTGGCTTCAACAGTTCGAAACTACACAAGAGCTCGCCGGAGACGGACATAATAGCACCCCAGTTGTCGAATTCACCACAATACTGCGAAATAATCAGCAATTGCCCTGGAAGAAATCATGCAGAGAAAAAGAAACTTACATTAGGCGCAGAGAATACCGTCACCAGGATCCGGTCCTGGTAGAACTCATAACCATCCTCAACCACCATGTGTGCGCGGCACACTAAATCAAAGTCGTGACGCTGCAAGAAGTTCATGATAACCTTCTTGCCGAAACAATAACTCACACCACGTTCGTTCGGCTCCCAGTCTTCCTCCATATCTGCCGGGTCACTCCACAGAAGATCGTTCAGCAGCCCATAATCGGGAACATCGGTAGGCCGGGCAATACCGCGAATATCGTCCATGTGTGACAGGCTGGGCGAGAGACCGCCGTGAACGCAGAAAATCTTACCTGCAACGATCGAAGCAATTGGAAGGCAGTTGAAAGTGTCGATGAAGGTCTTCCAAATCTTGATGTTGCAACGCCGTTTGCACTCGTCATAGAATCCATACACCCGAGTGACGTTGGCGCACTCGTGGTTTCCTCGAAGAAGGAAGAAGTTTTCCGGGTATTTGAGTTTATAACACAGCAACAAGAGAATCGTTTCCAAACTCTGTTTTCCTCGGTCGACATAGTCGCCTAGGAAGAGGTAGTTCGAAGCTGGCGGGAATCCACACATCTCAAAGAGTCGAATCAGATCGGTATATTGGCCGTGAACATCGCCGACGATTTTAACGGGAGCAGACAACTCCAACAACGCAGGCTGGGAGAGGAAGAGCTCCCGCGCAGCTCCACAGATGGCGGTAATTTCCGCATTCTTCAGACACACGGTCTTCGTGACCTTCGTGGAATATCCCGCATCCAACAGTCTAGTGATCATGTCGTCCAGGTCGATCGACTTCAGAGCGCCCATACCCATCCCGGGAGACCCGGAAGTCTCGATGGCGGGGTTGAGGATGAAATCCAAAATTGGGTTCAGCTGGTTCTCCCGCTTGATCAAGATTGACTCTCCTGCGGCCTGAGAAGTTCCGGCGGGAGGTCCGCTCGATGGAGGAGCATCCGACACGTGGTCTACCTCACCACTCTGCTTCATGGCATTCGAATCCTTATGGCCTCGCTTTAGACTGGTCGACAGCGACGGAGACGGCGGGGGGTCGGGAGAGGCCGGTCGGGAGGTGCCGTCAGATCCGATGGACTGGGTAGAGAGACCGGCATTGGAGCCAGGTCGGCTGTTGGAAGATTTGACGGAGCCCGCATCAGACCTGTCATTCTGGCTATCGGTCTTGGAGAGGGCCGTAGTCGATCCCCGAGGACTGTCGGTGCTTCGAGCTCCAGGGATTTTGGAGCGAATGGAGCCGCGGAAGGAGCGGAGGGATTCTTTGGTATCGGATTTCGAAAAGGACGGGTACGACTGCAACGGGTCGCCCCCGTCGGCATTGCTCTTGGAATGCGACTGACCCATTACTGCAAGGCTGGGGTATCTGCCAAGCTTGGACTGGTGGGATCGCGCGAAGGGCGTTCAAACCGCTACGCCGAGAAGTTCCCCTGGCGGTTGGAATGTCTTGGCTTCCGGCTTCTGATCGATTCCACGAGTATATTAAGCTTGCAGATTCTCAGTGCAAGGGCTGAAGCGTTAGGTTGAAGGGAAGTTTCTGGACGGAGCGGACACCGGTAGGCTTTGTTTCCCCGGTGTGCGAGAGGCGAGGCTGAGGCCGGGTGGAAAAGAACGGATTAGGAGAGTGGATCGAGCGACCTCTGTGTAATGGTGGAATGGCGACCGACTAGGCTTGAGGCGGTTACAAAGGGGTAAAAGGGCAGGTCGAAAAAGCTGGGTAGTGTTGGCAGGCGGAGCTCCGAGGCACGGGCTGAAGCCTCCTGCACGCGGGATCAGTACAGGCGCAACTGATACGGAGTGAGGCGACAGGGCTGAAACTCCACACGAGTTCAACGGGCTATGTGGAGGTGTTAGGGCAAAGCAAGGGAGGAAAAATGGGGGAGAGATGGAAGTCAAGTGGATTTGCGGGAGGAGGAATGCGTCATTATGTAGTGTGATTTGGGGGGAGGTATTTATTCCACGGGCATGCCGCGGGGGATTCATGGACGAGGAAGGAGGCAGCCGGATTCAATAACACTTACTGTCAATAAAGGATGAGAGGAAGGGAGAGAAAAGAAGGAGGGGGAAGCGAAGATTTAGTGTCTATCTCTGTTCAACAAGTACTCCGCCACCGCCGGGACGTGTGAGGGTACATTCCCAGGTTTCTAAGGTTTCTCAGCTCAGTTGCCTTGCCCGGTTCTGGCCACAGCTCGATTCGGGGATATCATTATCTAAGCCGTCGGATCATCCCCGGGCCGAGCCACTTTTTGTGTTCTGGGCCCTTAGTATAGAGAGAGTCTAGGTCTATTTTTGTTCCGGTAGCTTGAATTAGCCTTTTGAATGTGTGCACGACTCTTGATGTGAGTCGAACTACTTTTTAAGCTTGGCACGATGTGGCAAACACGGAATCAACTTGAAACCTCCCTCAACCCCAGCGACAGGCGATAAGAACGACGCATCATCCATCAACATTTAAATTCAGCCCGACTGCCTGGGCTTGTGCGAATGGGCATACCCGGCTAGCCTAGTTGCTTTCACCGAGCCCACCCGGCCAACACAGGCGAGCTTAGACCTCCGGTCAGGGCTCCTATCAGAGGCGGGATCGGGCTGAAGCGCCCCTCCGGACGCCACTGATCGCTACAAAGAACAAGGTAGATATGTATCATAGACACGCTTATCCTGCAGCTAGAAGGGGTGATATTTCCTAAGCCATAAGTAAAAAGGAAGTCAGTGACAGAGACTTCCTGGCCTTGTTGCAGATTGGGTGGACTGGAGCCGCACAAGCGCTTGATCCTGCACGGAAGGCACACCACTGCACACTGCTGCATGCCAAGGTATCTCCGTGGCGGAGACACCGCCCTTTCCCCTCCACCCACATCATAGGAGGCCAAAGGACATCGAATGAATTGCCCCGCTGGACAGGCTATCAATCATGAGACCTGCTGGCCAAGTCGAGAAGGCCCTGCGAGGCAGCTGCAGCACTCCCCATGCCACGTTGATTGCATAGCCGGAAGTAATGACCCGCCTAAGCACCGCCCTTGGCAGCCCCGCCTTTCACCCCTCGTGTTAGCGGAAGTAAGGACTAAGGTAGTGCGGAGGGCGTAGGGCAGAAACCGGGTTGTCAAGATCAAGGCGGGATTTGAGAACCAGTGGGCTTGGCCCGCCTGAGCCAGTCATATTGGGGTCGGTTCTCATTGGAAGGGTGTAGGATGAAGTAATGTCTCGTGAACACCGCCATCGTCCATTCCAAGGATCTATTCCAGCTCAATCTTCGTAATGTGTCTTCCGGGGATCACAATGAGTCCAATGAGGCGGCTGGTCATGTTGACTTTGACGGTTGTGCTGTTGTTTTCTGAGGTCTTATCCCACGACTCAGTCTCCTTTGCTGCAGCGGCTTCTATGGCAGAGGGCGTCGGGAAACGGTACTCGAAGGAGTTGGCGAGGATGACATTTCGCTCCTGGGATACGAAAAATATCATGTCAGCACAGCCCAAAAGCCCAAAAGACACAGTTGGGATCGAGGGATCTCCAAGCTTGATCACAAGGAACTGCTTACCGAGTCGGTACATTTGAAGATGCCCACGAACATGCGACTGTCGGTGGTGTGTATGCGCAGTTGGCGACCGAGAAGGCCATCCAGGTATTGAACAGCCTGTTCAGTGTCCATTGTCTAGGCCTGGTGATTGAGACGGAGTGACGGAGTTCCGGTGGTTGTCACGATCAAGGCTGAAAGTGACCAAAGGGAAGAAGGCAGCTGTTGTGGTGCCTGAGGCCACAGATTTGGTGAGGTGCGACGGTACTCGCCGTTACTCAGAACCACATACCTAGAGCTTTATGTACTGTACGAGACGAAATAAAAATAACGAGCTATATTATTTTGAAGATTCTCGCAGCTCTTTCCCTCAATCTAGAGATCCCTTGGAAGAATCTTGGATTTTGCAAGATTGATGCTTTAATTGCACACGTGCCTAACAGCCTCATCAGGTACGCATCCAACTTTGGACCTCAACATTGCAAGCCCCTGCAACTCTTGGCTCAACAACTGCAACGATAGGAATGATTCGACGCCTGTGTGGCTAAGTATGTTCATTCAAATGTTATTACTTTCATCGCCTATCCAAATACTTCCAGCGATACTCAACGCCATTATCATGAAACGCCAGGTCCTCACCGAGGACCAACCTAGAGAAAAGGCCATAAACCCCTTGCTTGAACAGCTCAAAGGTAACACGGGAAGAACAAGTGGTGCCTCCACATACAGCGACCTGCGCCTAGTGGACAACACGAGTCATAGATGGAGAATCACATCCATCCCACCACGCCCATATTTGACGCTGAGCTCGAACCTTCACTGCTTTGGTCGGTGTCCATGTCGATATCCATGTCCATGTCCATCTGGTTAAACCCGGGGCTCATCGTTTCGCTTCCGCTCGAGCCACCCGCCGTGCCCATGAAGGCTTGACGTCGGAGCATATCATCGCGGTCAATAGCAGTCTCGTTGGCTCGGGGCGCCAGCGCTTCGCGCGATGGTCGGAAAGGCGATGACGCCTGAGGTCGTGGTTGGAAGAAGCGCAGAAGTGTTTGCTGTCGCGGATCCACGATCTCTGGGGAGGGAAGGGTTGGCTCCAAGTCCATGGCCTCATCGGTTGCACCATTCGACGCGCCATTCTTTTGCTGCTGTTGTTGGGCGGAGAAGATCCAGCGGAGGGTTTTCTCTGGTGCCGGTCAGCACTGGTCTCAAGCTTACATTGCGCAAGCGAGCAAGCTTGAAGAGCTGCCTCAGAATGCGATCAAGGAATGTTAATTTAGTACTCACGGTACACCACCTCATCGCTTGGACGTCCATCTCGGAAACGCTTTCGGGTTCGGCTGTGAAGGTGCTGGGAGCTATCGGCCATGGCCCATTCCCCGGGCGCGGGAGCTGAGGGCGCGGACGGCATCGCCGAGAAAGATGCCTTGCGCTTGAGAGACATTTTGGCAGCAGTTATCGTTCAATTCAAGATGATGCCTGAGAGCTCCCCTGGCACAATTGCGTGTTATAAACCCGGTTCTGCAGTGGAAGAAGAGCAGAGTTGCATCCGAAGGGCGAGAAAGGCTGGATGGGCCTGGGGAATGCGCGCCAGATTCGCGTCCGGAACACGCTAGTCCATTTCGAGCTAAATTGGATTCTGGTCATCGCCGCTTTTACTTCTACACCAAGATAACTACGAGAGAGCTTTATGTCTTCATCGTCCAAAGTATCCAGTAAGTAATTGACAGAAAGGCAATTGTGCCCCAGGTGCTGGTTCATGGGTATATGAGTAAAGTGGTGCATACCACATCATAAGTATACATAAATACTCAACAAGGCAGTGGTCATCATTGACAAACGAAACACAAAAGTATTCTCATCCACCCATTTCGAAACACCTATAAAATAAAACTTAGAGCTACTGAGCAGCTACAATGCCACCATATGCCTTATTTACTTCGGTGTGCCGTAGGCCACGGCAGTCGGTGTCCCGCAGCCTTGCTCCACTAGAACGGCCGTCTCCCCCCGCTCCTCCTTACTCGGAGATGATCCCATCTACACTTCCGCGCTCGACAACATTGAACCTCAATACAAGAATTCTCACAACCATGCCTTCCCGAGAGGCTTCTCACGCTGGGTCCTGGTACTCAGATAGTACGCGGACCCTAACTCGCCAGCTGGATGACTGGCTCGCGCAGGTCCCGGACAGAATGGACAACGTCGGGTCCCTCCCAGTCCCCGGAGCGCGAGTCATCATCGCACCGTATGTCTTCTAGCAGCACATTTGATTGAACCTATGGCATGGACACTGATCAACTAGACATGCGGGATACTCTTACTCGGGGCCCTGCGCGGCCTACGCATATAAAGCACTTGATTTGACCAAGGCGTGAGCTTACCTTGCAAGCCTCCCACTGAGATATCTCTAATTGCAGCTTCCAGGAAACGAATCTTTATCCTGGGACCTTCGCACCATTGCCCGCTCTCGACGTGCGCCCTGCCTCAAGTCACCTCCTACTATACCCCGCTCTCGGACGAGCCGCTTCCGCTGGACACGGAGCTAATCGCCAAGCTCCGGGGAACGCAAGCGATCAAGCCAAATGGAAGCACGGTCAGCTTTACCACAATGACCAAGTCCGTCGATGAGGACGAGCACAGCATCGAGATGCACCTACCTTACATCCACCGTCTCTTGCAACTACAGCACCCGAATACCCCAACTGCACAATATCCACCGTTGGTCCCAATAATGGTGGGCAGCACATCAGCTGGAACAGAACAAGCTTTTGGTACTTTACTAGCGCCATATCTAGCTGATCCCTCGAACGTCTTCATCATCAGCTCAGACTTCTGCCACTGGGGTCTCCGCTTCCGCTACACGTACTATGTACCGCAAGCCCCCAAGCCGGGACCCAAGCTACCCATGTCTAGTGAGATTCTCCCACAGCCAGGAATGGACTCCTATGATGTACTAGAGAGCATTGACGCAGTCTCGGCCGGGCACGCTTTGCAGCGGCGAGACCGCATTTCAAATCAGGAACCCGCCATTCACGAGAGTATTTCGGCATTCGATATCGCCACCATGACTGCAATCACGACCGGGTCGGCAAGGATCTTCCTCGATACTATTGACCGCACAGGGAACACCGTCTGCGGCCGCCATCCGATTGGCGTGATCATGGCGGCACTCGAGGTTGTCACGGCCGATAAGCCGGTAGGCAAGCAGGGCCAATTCCATTTCCTGCGGTATGAACGTAGCTCCGACGCGGTGGATGTGAATGACAGCTCTGTGAGCTACGTCTCTGCATTGGCTGTTCTTTAATTTGCCTCCGATGGCATTGTTTCTTTCCTTTACACTACGACCTCAAGAGGGGGCCGTAACCTCATAGTGGCAAGATGCCCAATGAAACCTAATTTCGGAATACATGGTTTCAACGAACGGGCTTTACTTTTGTAATAGACTCGCCTACATTTATCACGAGAAGTTCACATGTAGAACCAACTACTCACTTGTCAATTGGAACATCAATTCCCCATTTCCCCGGTTCCCGGATTTTCATGTCAGCTGGCGAACAAGAGTTGTTTCTCACTCTGTCCTATCGTTGGTCTCCCAAAGCCATGATGTGTGTCATAGGTCCGGCGTATATCCGACATTCGGCAGGTCCATCCTGGCTCAGTATTCAGCGGGAGAAGTCCATCACAAGATCAACGCTCAGCACATTCTCTCTGGGGTTATGTCGTACGGCCGAATACAGAAAATCGGCATATACAGCCGATGCCAGGTCTACTTCAGGAACGGATTCCTGAAACAAGCGGACGTAGACTTGAAGTAGGAGTAATGATGTATCCAAGAGGAAAAACTTGCCAATCAGTAGACATCCAGATTAAAGTTAAGGCATGCCCCTAGGGTTTGAACCGCTGACAACTATGCTTAGCCCAGTGGGTTGCACAGTGGGCTTTGTGTACCCGGACTCATCATCCACACATCCCCAGTATGCAGGGCCGAGTCTGAAGCATGACAAGCGTGGCCAACCCCGTGTCAAGCAGAAACAGATGGGGGGTTCTTAGCGTTATCAGAATTTCGGTAGATGAAACTCGTAGATTGATGGGAACAAGGGCGCGATCTGATCGGTCTCTGAATCAGGGCCCAGGGGTCCGGTCAAATCAATCTGCGACCCTTCCTCAGCCACCGGCATCATCGAAGGTTTTCATGGAACTTGCAGATCCTTAGTTTAGCCCCCGGCGCTAGTGGTGGCTGATCGCGATGGCGATCCGGTATTCATGTCACATCGGGCCGCTGCTTGAACGTCGCCTGCCTTGCTACCTTCTTGAATTCACTTCCTTTTTTTTTTGCTGCTGATAGCAAGGATCGTGAGTGGATGGGGAACATCCCTTACTGTTCACCGCTCACTGTTCACCCCGCAAGTCCTTAGCGCCGAGAATCACGGTCTGACACGGTGATACTGTAGCAGCCATGTAATCCCCCGTGACGGGGTTGATGTGTCTTCTAAGCGCTCTTTGGTTGATGGCTAAATTTCTAGGGGTAGTAGGATAAGGTTACAGGCTCGAAGGGTTGGAGAATGGCATAAAAGAAAACTCCATTTGTTGCTGCCCTTCCCTTATTTTATTTACATCGTCACTCTCCTTCAATTCTTGTAAACATTCACTCCTTCATCTCGAATCTAGCATTTCATATCTGGCATTTCGCATCACGGAACTCAAGCCCCACCTGTCTCACAACACGAAGTAACGCGAACCATGCTGTATCCACTCCTTCTCCCAACCCTGATAGGGCTCCTAGCGCCATTTACCAACTCCCTGGCATGCCCTGCACCCTCCCCCACGACTATCACTACCGTTACGACCATGGAATCTTTGGCAGCCCCGTCTTCGACTTCGACTGGAACCACTGACAGACTGGTGTTTTGCCACTTCATGGTGAGTACCTTGTACCGGGAACAGAATCCCTCGCACCCCCGATAACGAACACCGATATTAAACATGGATCTAGATTGGTATCACCAGCAACCGCCAGAGCTCAGCAGATTACGACGATGATATGAAACGCGCCAAAGACATGGGCATTGACGCCTTTGCCTTAAACATTGGAACTGATCCCTACACTGACACCCAGCTCGGCTTTGCCTACGATTCCGCCGCTCGGAATGGAATGAACGTATTCCTGTCCTTCGACTTTAACTGGTGGCATATCGACCAGGCCAGCGCCGTCGGCGCCAAGATCAGCCAGTATGCCGACCACTCTGCTCAGCTCAAGGTCGATGGCAAGACTTTTGTTTCTTCCTTTTCGGGTGACGGCATTGATGTTCCTGCTATGACTTCTGCGGCGGGACAAGATCTCTTCTTCGCGCCTAATTTCCATCCTGGCCAGGGGGACTTCGACGCTATTCAGGGGGCGTTGAATTGGATGGCTTGGCCTAATAATGGCGATAATAAGGCTCCCTCGGGGGGCAAAGATGTCACCGTGGCCGATGGCGACAAAGCCTATATCGCTGCCTTGAACGGCAAGCCCTACATTGCCCGTAAGTCTTCAGTGACTGAGACTGGATGTTCATTTTACTGATTGTGTAGCTGCCTCGGCGTGGTTCTCGACTCATTATGGACAAGAGGTCTCGTACAGCAAGAACTGGGTATTCCCCTCCGACCTTCTTTGGTACAACCGCTGGCGAGAGATTCTGGAACTCGGTCCTCGTTTTGTAGAGATCATCACTTGGAATGACTACGGAGAATCGCATTACACTGGACCTCTCTCGTCGCCTCATACGGACGACGGCGCATCCAAGTGGGTGATGGACATGTCAGTATTGCCCTGAGAAAATCCCACGTGCAGACTGTTAACCATAACAAAAGGCCTCACGACGGTTGGCTCGAGATGTCAAAGCCGTTCATCGCAGCCTACAAAGCCGGTGTCACCACCGCCCTGGACTACATCACCGAGGAAAAGCTAGTCTACTGGTACCGACCCACGCCAAAACACGTAAATTGTGATGCCACGGACAACACGATGCAAGGCAACCCCAACAACTCCAGCGGTAACTTCTTCCGTGGCCGACCCAACGGATGGGAAAGCATGAAGGACGAAGTCTTCGTCGTCGCACTCCTCAAATCCCCCGCCCAAGTACTCGTGCAGTCGGGTGACCAGAGTCAATCCATCCAGGCGCCTGTGGGAATCAGCGCACACTCGGTACCTATGGGCGTAGGCCAGCAGAAGTTTGCTGTCACTCGCGACGGGCAGACGGTGCTGTCGGGGACCAGCCTGAAGGACATCGTGGACACCTGCATTTGCGGGATCTACAACTTCAACGCGTACGTGGGGACACTGCCAGCACCATCCACCATTGACCGACTTCAGCCGGCCGGGCTGGCGATGCTGTCACAGGGGCTGAAGGTTGCGTGCCCGACGAATACTTTGGGGGCGAGTGCGGTCAGCGGCGGGGTTGCAGTCGAGACTGGAGCTGCGTGAAAGGTTAAAACATTGAGGGTCGGGGAGACTTGAAGAATAATGAATGTACACTAGGATCAGTCGCTACAAAATGAGAAATGTACTCTCTCGAATACGGGAAAGTCTCAAAGTGGGACCGGATGTGTTGTCTCCGCAATCTCCTTATCTCATTCGATCCGAGGATCATCACACCGACTCTCTCCCGAAGTCGGGGCTTTGTCTCTGCTTCGGAACAAATGGAACTGTTTTCAGGCCGTGCCTGGCTAGATCACCGGGTCTTAGGTGTCAGCAGATCCTGTATAAAAGCATTGAATCTCCTCGGCTCCACCAAATAAACTATGGCCCGCTTCAAACAGGGTGTTTTCTCGTGGGAGGACGTGCTCGTCCAGCGATACCAGAGTAAGTGATTAAGTGATCTCACGGCTCATTGGGGTGTCACTTTTGCTCACGCGACAGGCAACAAACCTCCTCCTCTACCACGAACCCGCTGCCGCACTCTATCAACATGGCAACCACAGCCCCGATGTCATCTACTATCCCGTCTATCACCCGAGCTCCGGCTCATGATCTGGGAATACGTCCTGGGTAACCAGCGCCTACACATAATCCAGCGCAGTGGCCAAAAACTCGGACACATGGTATGTCCGCTCAGTGAAAACCCAACATCAGATAAGGCGCGGCGACGGATCCACGCCAACTTCTGTGAGATCTGCACCGGGGCTGGAATAGCACAACCCGTGAAAGACGTCGATCTGCGCCACCGAGACATGCTACTAGGCCTCGCATTGACGAGTCGACAATTGTATGAACCGAAACACTGGAAGCATTGCGCTTCCCCCCGGGTGACCGTTCTAACCCGCATTCAATATTAGACACCACGAGTCCATTCACCTCCTCTACACCCTCAACACCTTCGAGTTTAGCAACCCCTGGACCCTATCTTACCTGCGCCCGACTCTGCCCTCGGATCACTGGGACTGTATCCGAAACGTCGAGCTTCGCTGGTCCTTTCCAGGTCACTGGCTTCCGAGCAAAGACCCCGTGCGCGCGGTATACGTATCTGCAGGACGCGCGCAGTGGCTGGAAAGCTGTCGCATGCTAAACATACTCCCTGGTCTGCAGTCGTTCGTGCTGGTTCTGGACAGCAGCTGGTTCTGCGAGCCCGTGGAGAAACTGCCATTGTTTCTCGAGCCCTTGAGCGGACTACGCGTGAACTGTCCGCGGGGACTTATTCGGCGGACTGTGGTGCTGGACCCCGGATTGTTGGAGATTAGCTCCGATGAAGAGTCTACTTCAAGCTCCGTCTCCAGTTCCAGCTCGGCTTCGAGTGGTGCGAGTCCGCGGCCGGTACTTCCTTCGCACGTCTGCTCCGGTTCTCAGTTTGCGTTGGCTGGGATTGCGGATTCGAAATCACTTGCCCTGCCAACCAAGGGAGACTTGGCGCTTGCGTCGTGGGAACTCAGACTGCAGGGCCAGTCGTACTATGTGCACGAGCTGGACCGGATCGGCGAAGACTTGCACCGGAGGGGTATCGACTGTTGCATCACGACACCGTGAGGGAGGTGGAGAAGCTGCACGAGCAGCAGGAAAATTGTCGCCGAATCTAATATGACCGCTCGCATATTTTCCTGCCTATGGCTAGATTACCGAGCGTGTCGCGTGATGATGGAGATAAACGTAACCCAGTAGGTATTGCTATACATCTATTACGTCCCGGACACTAGTAAATAAGCAAAAATATGGAAATCCGCAGAACTACTGAACGGAATACAGACTGGGAGAGGCCATAACTGGGAATCTAATGACGACACTGAAGAGAGTGCTGGAAGCACGTTATAATACAGGACATTCCCGGTGTCTAGGATCTCGGCATTAGTCTGTATCACCACGTGCGCCTCGGGAAATTGGAAATCACGAGGTGTTATGTTGATGGTCGCCGTCATAGCCGGGCTGTTGCGACTTGCATTGTTCCTGAGGGAGGCTGGCCTCGTGTCTCGACTGTTTATACTTTTCCTTGTGCGTCATGCGCTGATCTGCATAACTCTTAAGCATACTCTGCCGGCTGAATAGAGCAGCATAATTAGTTTTGACGGTATCCTCGGCCCAGTAATAGAGAGTTTGTGTGCCAAAGACGTGGGAGAATCTCGGGTCAGGGATTGCTTCTTGTATTTGGCGATTGAGGCCAATCTGCCTGAGCGCTTCTCTGGGGCTCATATTGTCGTAGCGTGATAACTTTAGAGAGGTGATATAACCACAGGCATATGCCATAAGATCATCCGGATTTCGGTCAGGCTCGGGGCGGTTGAGATATCTGTCGTAGATGAGGCGCGCAGCGCCTGCCACAAATCCAATGAACTCAAGGGCTTCGACGCTCTCTTCCGCCATCGGAATGTCGAAGGTCTGGATGGCATTGGATTGGAAACCCCAAGTCTCCATGGACGCTGATAAGGTGGAGGAGCTTGACATAGACCTCGGCGGACTAAATGCTGCTGAAACCTTTCTCTTCCTGTTGGGGAATTGTGTCCGTGACAGAGGCTGGGGCTGGGGCAGGGGCAGGAATATTGCATCCTCCTCAATGCACCTGATTTGGTCCTGCGTAAAGACGCCTGGACCAGGAGGAAGGTCCCAGGAAGGTCCTAGAGGGACCTCCAGAAAGGACATAATAGTAGGGAGATGGAAGTAGATAGAAGTGTTAGAGAGCTAAGAAAATGGAAGTATAATAAAGACAAGAGGAGAATAGAAGAGGAAGAAGAGGATGAATGTGGAATAGAAAGGATTATGAAGTGAAAGTGAGATAAGAGTAAGATGAAAGTGAGACAAGAGTAAGATGAAAGTGAGATAAAAGAGAGGTAAAAGTCAGATGAAAGTGAGATAAAAGTGAGAGGAGAGAGAGAAGAGGATAGAAGTAGAAGAGGGAACGTATTAAGAAAAGAAAGAATGTTCATTCAAACTAGGCCATTTTAAACCAAGTCATTTTGGTTGGCTATGAAGCCTAGTACAAAAAAGGTATACTTAAACCCATGGTTTGAAGGCATAGAGCACTACAAGGAGATAAGAGCGGCAACAGGCAGGCGGTTGAGGGTGGCTAAAATGACTTTAAGTGAATGAAGCTGAAATGCTTCATTATTCAGAAATATATGTCACTAGGGTCTTGGTTATATCTTGTCTATCACCATCCAAGCAGAATTAGAGTCATAGTTTAAGATACAAGGCCACATATTTAACATTTAAACTGTCTGTTTACTCCACTCGCCCCGCGCACGGATCCGTTTGCCCCAAGTAAAGAAAAGAAATGGCACGGGAATCAGCACGGCCGCGACACAACCGAAGACAGTACTGCCCCAATCCACACCCAATTTATGATACATGGGAAGAATGAATAGGGGAAACGCACCCGCCGTCATTGACCGCAGAAAGGTATTCGCGGCTATAGCACTGGCGCTGAAGCGAGTAAAGGTATCAACCAAATAGTTGATAGTTGCCTGGAAGATGGTCGTAAATCCTAGACCAATAAAGCCGATGCCAATTAAAGAAGGCCAATAATTGATGTTTGGGGAGGAAGTCCCTGCTCTCCAGTTAGATTGACGATATTCGTCGGGTGAAGCTGAGCTTACATCCAAAGATAAAAAGGCCGGCCGTGAAAGCGAAGCCACCAATCATCATCGGTGGCAGTCGGGCTTCTGGAACAGGCCTGTTGTTATTGGCGCGAAATTGTTTAAAATAGAACTTGTTGTTGTAGATATTCACGGCAGCGGCGCAAAAGACACCGATGAGTAGAGCGATGAATGGGAGACTTCCCACTACTGGATCCCAGCCGCGAACCTCTTGGTAGGCGATAGGGAAACTTTCAAGATTAGCATACAAGATTCCTATACAAATTTAGCATGTTAGCAAAAATCAAAATTCAGGACTACGGACGCTTGATACGTACCATACACAAAGGCGGCATAGATACTCATCAGCAGACAGATTGGTGTTCTCAACATCTGGACGGGACGGATCAAGTATTTATGTGACAGTTCCTTCAAGGAGATGTCCCACTCCTCGTGCTAAAACAATGCCTTAGAAGTAGTTCAGACAGCCATAGCTCGGATGCCTATCATTACCTTGGCATGCAATGCCCAATTTTTGCCTTCGAATCGGAGTTTCCGGGCTTTGTATGATAGTAATACCGGAGCGTAGCTTTCGTCCAAGACCAGGATATCCAAGACCACCTGCGCCATCATAACAATGCCCGTCAGGTACTCGATCCAACGCCAACCCAGATAACTCGTGGTTATGGCGGCCCCGATGAGCGGTCCAAGCAAAGGCCCTCCGACCAAGGTGACAGCGTACCCAACCACGGCGATTCCGCGCTGCTCAGGTGGCCAAATATCTGCCATTACACCTCCCGTGTTGCTAACCGGTGCACTGCCGAACAGGCCAGCGAAGAATCTTGTGATGAGGATGGTTTGGATATCCTTGGCAGTCGCAGTTCCAAATGCGAAAATACCGCCTATGAAGTAAGGCTAGCCAGCAGTCAGTAAACGAGTTGTTCGAAAAACACCTAGATACTACCGCAAACCTACCACGATAACGACCCATTTCCGCCCGAACACTTCACTCAAAGGGGCCCATATCAACGAGCCGATTCCGAAGCCGAAAACAATCAGACTCACGCCCGAAGCCGCAACTTCCGGTGTGGTATTGAAATCCTCCGCGATTCGTTCAATTGCTGCTGAGTAAATGGCCGATGCGAACGTTATCCAACACGTAGTGAGACCATATAGAAACGTCGTGATCACCTTCTTCCGGAAAGGCCAATTTAGTGGATGATAAGGGTCATCTTTGCCGGCAAAGTCCACCAGCATGGCTGGCGGTGTCGCCTCGTAGAGATGGGGGTGTGCTAAACGCTTGCCATCCGATGTACCTTGACTTTCCCTTCTTTTACGAGCTGTTAGTGACCCATTATCACCGGCATTTGTCGCCTTCTGGGGTGCGGCCAGCTGATCTGGCGGTTGGTTCGACATGGTCAATATGGATTCCCGCTCCAACGTAGTCGTAGTCGGGGCTGCCTCAGATGGCTGTTTAGTAAACGTCGCAGAGACTTCTGGCTCCTCTCGTGCAATAGTTCTGCCCCTGAACTACGACATGCGTTGGTATCCCGGCCCTGAAGGTCTCTTATGGCGTCGACACTTGTGGCGAATTAGTGCTCGTTGCCCTCCCCTCCCCTCCCCTCCGCTCTCCTCCCGTATGGAGTCGGGGTCCGGTCAAGGCCGAATGTATTTGAAATACGAACTACACTACAACGCAAATTCCCCGCACACAATTAAAGCTGAGTTTAGCTTATCCAAACGATAATAGTGTCTTCATCTGCAGAGATTCCTGGGCTTTGTAATCTCCTTATGTCGAGTTGAAAATCTGGTAAATCACCACTGTCGGGCTTATTTAGTTTGTATGGTAACCACGGGAATCACGGAAGTACGGTGCCGTAACGCACTATAGTTGTCTGAGGTCTCTCTATCAATAGATCTCATCCTCATCTGTGAAATGGGATATTTTTGTACGTCGTCTGCCTAGGGAGCCCGACACTTTATCTAGATTTTTGTTCCATTCTATCTTCTGGGCTTCATATCAAAACACAAGCGTGGATTTAGGACTTTACTGAACTATATCTCGTCATTGTTACAGCGAATCGAATACATTTGGTCCAGAATTCGCATTAGAAGAACCTTCCAGCCTATTTTGCAAGGTGATCGGCATTGAGTAGAAGATCTGTAATGCCCGTGGCTTTACCAAATCACGACTGTCGATCCTCGAGTCACCACGGGAAACTGACCGGAACACTCGCGCATCCAGAATTAACCAACCCATCCGGTGATCCCGGCTGTGGTTCCGCAAGACTCGCTCCTTCGTCTGTAGCTCGTTTGTCTCCTCTGGTCCCTCAGAGGGAGGAAGCACATCAACAGTGCAAGCGACTTTCCGCAGTAGTACACACTAGCTGATTCTGTCTCGCTGGACGGCCATGATAGTCCAGAACTAGCGATCGAGCGACCGTGCGGTATCGCCGTGTCGCATCCTCGTGATACAGGATACACCAACCGCTATGGGGAATTAATAACGGCCGCATGATAAGCGACCATCCCAATAAGTACCGAGCCGATTTTTGATAAAGCCCCTGATTTGTACATATATCCCTGCCCCTGTGCGTACGTATGCAGATTTCATCTCTAACCTCGGTACTTTTACGCATCAACCGTAAGGTACAACCTTGGGAATAAAGCCGAGATGCATAACGCACGGAATTCGGAGTGACGATGCCTCCGGATACTGGATTCTGGGCCCAGGAATCCAGATTTTGCAAGTCTGGATTCCTGCGTTGGCGTGATCGGCCCTCCTCGCATCGTGTCTGCAACCGGGTCCAGTTTATTTAATCCACAGCCAACGAGATGGGCCCGGCCAACACATCGGCAAGATAACTACCAAACAATCCACGTACCCTAGCCTAGGCGTCGTTCACCAAGTACAGTACGCAGATACCAAGTCCATCTCCGCCCCTTTTGCCGTAGTGAGACCCTGGACCCACTCGGCTCCGTTGCTCTAAAAATATCCACGGACCTGGCGCTACGCCTTATGTCTCCACCGGACTGAATGCCGGAGTGAGTGTTATTCACGAGTTCGCGTTTGTGTTTACATAGAGCATACAAGGAAATCGTGGTAGATAGCAGTTAAACTATGTGGCGAGTAGGACTTGATTACTGGAGGACTCGGCAGGCCGCGGATTTTGCGTCCAGGGGTCCACGATGCTCCACTTGCAGGGTGGGTCGCCGCTAGGAAAGCCATCGCGGGGGATAATCGCACATCACAATCAAAGGGGTATTTTTGGGGTACGGATTACTCCGAATTTACTAGCTTACTATTTACTTGATGGACTGGTATTGAGGTTGAGAAATAATTAAGAATTGGTATTGAATAGGGTTGGCAGAATTATAGAAGAGTGAAAAGATCGAGGTCGCTGGCCCAATATCAGGGGGAAGCGAAGACAGGCGAAGGAAAAGAAGTGGCTGCAAAACCGTGTCTCGTAGTAAAACATGTGCCGTCAGGTTGATATAAAGCAAAATTCAAAAGAAATCAAAGTCGTCACCATTGGCGCCGTGCAGAACCATGCCCAAGCCAAATGCCATGATGCGAAAGTGTAGAAAACCGGAAATCCGTAGTCCAGGCAAGGCATTTAAAAGCTCTTACTATATCATGTGGTATAACGATGAGAGTTGGATATGAAAAGAGAAAGATGTATCGTATCGATAATTTTGGTCGGTCGTATGTGGGAGGTGATGGTCCGCGATTGATGTGGGCCACCGTATCCAGCATCACCAGCCTTGCTGGTGTGCGGGTCAAACAAGGGAGTGTTCCGAGTTAGTTTGCGGTCGCGCTCTGGTATGACCAGGATGGGAGACCCGGTAGAGCCAGCGGTCGCTGGAAATTCCAGCCACGTGAGTAGTGCGCTCATCTTGGCTCCGGTCGGAGGCGAATCCGCGTTACCGCAAGGATTCAGTCGAGGGCGCCCGGTCCTCTTATCAGCTCAGGGCTGGAGGATCAACGAGTCGCTCGAGGGTTCGACAGAAACAGGGAACCCAAATAGGGCTTTGGAAAGCCGTGAAGAAAGAGAAGGTAGAGTTGTCCTGAGGATTTACCGTCCACCGCCCGACCGATCAGGGCCGGAGTGGCCGTGACGTGCATTTGCGCGTTGGGCCTCAGCCTCACGGCGCGCATCGGCGTGCTTCTGCTCGTCGGGGCGACCAACCAGGCTGCGCGGCAAGAGGTTGTTGATCTCAGCAGCGAGAGCAGAGGCAGTGTAGCCTCGAAGCTCCCTCTCCTCGCGCTCGTCCTCCTTGACTAGGCGAGGCAAATCAGTCTTGCCCATGTTCTCACGACGCTTTCGTCGGATTTCGTGAATGGACCAGAGAACGACTTCTTCGGGTGCACGAGTGCGAGGGCTGCCGTGCTTGGGAAAGTTGCGAACGTAGCGGCGGGTCACGTCGGTCGCACCGTCGATCGAGAAGGCGATGCAGTAGGAGATCTTTCGGCCCCAGCCTTCGGCGTAGAGACGGGGCTGGTCCCAGGCCTCCTCGCACGCATCCACATGCACCCATCGTTTCTGGTGCTCCGAGTACACCTCCGTCCAGACGTAGTCCTCCGAGTTCCATACCCAGCGGACCCGTGCTCCGACCGCGCGGCAGAGCATGCTGAAGCAGTTGGCCCATTCGCCAACACGGCCTCGGCGCGATCGCAGCAATTGCCAGACATCCGAATATCGGGGGAATCGCTCATATGCGCCGCACGAGTTTCCGGAACAGCGGTACAACTCGACACGGGAGGCGCCACGGGCGGCCTCCTCGGCAGTCGGTGGCGTCATGCCCTGTGCGATCGTGGGCATGCAGCACTGGGCGCACGGGGGGTTGTTGACGAATTGGAAGAAGGATCGCTTGAACCACCTGGCAAACAAGGGATGTTAGTAACGCTGGGGCTCGGGATCCACGCAGGGTCTCGACCAACCTCAACAATGCCCGAATAACACAATCCTGATAGCCCCATTCCGGCTTTCCGTCCACGCTGGCGGCCTGGGCCTGCATGATCTGGCTTTCCTCCTCGGCTTCCGAATACAGACGGTCCAAGGGAATGACGCACAGGGCCTCGTCGAGCAGGCCGGGATTCTCGTATTTGGTCGGTGTCACCGACAATCCCTTGAGCAGATTGAAGAACTTGAGCGAGGCGGGATCCTGCGGAGGCGATGGCATGATGGGCAGGCCCCGGAGAGCGGGTGAAGATGGCGGTTGAGGCTGCGTGGCCGGGCGGGAATCGGCGCCAAACGAGGGGGGCGGCGGAGGCGCTCTGGACGGGGGCGGAATGGAACCGGAACGAGGAGCAGGCGACCGAGAGGCTGTTCGTGATCGAGAGTGTTCCTGGAGCTGGTTGAAGCGCTTGGTACGCATCAACTGTTCGAACTCGCGGGTGAGTGAGACCGCATCATAATCGGTCGTGGCGGGTTGGGACTGCGCCCGGTGATGAGGTCTGCCGTCCGCCATGGTCGGGGGAAAGTCAACCTCGGCGGCAGACTAGTCGAAAGGACTCCAGATTGAGTCGGGGTGAAAGGACGCTGAAGAGCTGGGGAAAAGAAGGAAGGAAGTTAAGGGGAGAAGGTAAAGAGGAAGTGTGGGCAGCGTACAACAAAGCTGCGTACGGTGTATTACGAGCGTCGTCAGCGTCTTGCCCCAATCACGGGCCCCGCGCCCAAAGCCGCGTGTGCGAAACGGAGCCAAGAAAAAAGACCCTTTTTTTCCTGTAACTTTGCTTTCCCTTGCACACGTAATGACTTGGGCTGGCCGCGCACGGGGTTGTACGAGGGCGTCGTACGCAGCCCTATACTCTCCAGTCTCCTCTCTCTTTCTCTACTCTGCCTCTACTCGTCTATTGCGGATGCATTGGAACTCTCATCCATCTCGGCGTAGAGGTGTCCAAGTATACGGTATCCGTAACCGTATGCGGCCCCCTACAGTAATTACGGTAGCATAGCCCGGACAGGACCCTGCCTGAGGGCAAGTATGTATAGCGTCAAGATGAGGGCATGGGTTGGCTTGGGACGAAGATCTCGATGATCGTCCCGTGTCTCGACGTGTACCCTATAACGCGTTCGACGCCCAAGGGAGGACCAGCGACCGGTGGCGGAGACGCGCAAGCGTCCGTCTTGGCAGAAGGCACGATCGGGCTAGAGCCTCGCTGGGGTCCATGCCGCTAAACCGGATCTGGGAGTGCTGACACGGTTCTTCGATCAAGACTTCTTGACCAAGAGATAGACCCTGGGCAGGGGGCTTGGCATCTGCCGTCGCAGTCCAGAATGTCCTGCCTGGTATGACTCGATGTTCCTGTCGATCCGATGCAACCACGCTGTTGGTCCATCCATCCTTGGAATTCTTGCTCGATGGTCGGCGAGTGCGAGGTCCGTTCTAGACTTCTTTTGGTCCCCCGGAGCCGTATCTGATGACGGGCACTCTAAATGGAGGTGTTACGCACTCCCTCTCGGATCGCCAATCACCGCCCGTGGAAATCCTCCGGTGAGAGACCCAAAAGGGAAGATTATAAATCTTAAATCCTCAAAAATAAATAAATAAAAAAATAAAAAGGGTCGGCCCCATCAAACAGCTGTCTCGATTCGCACACACTTGCGCTGCCGACATCTCCACCGAACACACACGTCTTCCACCTGCGCATTTGCCTGGGAAGATATTTTTCAAATCACCCGATCAGATCTGGGACCCCCACGGATATGGATATCAGTGACCGTTCATGACTGCCCCGTAATGTCGGTCAGACTGCACCTTACCACCATGACGCGTAGCCCCGGCAGCCCCGTTTCAATAGGTCTTCGTGTCTGACGCGGCCACTGGGTAAAATCCCCGTGTCAACCACCTCACAGCCCCCATCCTAGCCTCCATCCTTCGTGGCTGTGCTGTGCTGGACTCGGTCACTATATGATACAAAACCACACCCACTTCAATCGGGGTCCCGGTCGGTATTATTTCGCGATGCTATTCACAAGAGGGCCGAGGTGAAATTACGGGACCGATGGCGCAACGGCTGACTCATTTCACGCAAAACGCCGGGTTGTTTCCGGGCACCACTCCTGGCCCACCGTCCGTGCAGCCTTTTCAGCCTTTATCAGCCTCTTGAACTCAAATCCACGGCACGTTGACGTCGGCTACGAGACAATAGTACTGTCGGTCACTAGCGGATTCGTCTGCAATACGCAAGGCGTCCATTCTTCACGGAGAACAGTCCAAGTCCCGGCTCCTCGTACCGAGAAAACGAACCAATTCGAATGCTTACCTCCCCACGCCAAGAGCCAAGAGCCGTCATCGTGCCCACTGGCCAAACCCATGCTAAGAATGCTAAGCCTGGAAGCTAAGAACACTGCTTATCCTGCTCTTGGGACGTACCATAGGTTTACGTCCTGGCGTATTCGCGTCCCCAAGCTCCCCACTCCGTGCCCCAAGCACGATCCCTTGGCATGGCTTCCAACGTCGGAGACTGAGGCAGATTGGAGCAGACACTGGGCATTGCGACAGCGCCGGCGTCGCCTCTCCTTGATCTGATTTTTGCCATCGGCCAAGACACACATCGGCGCAATGTAGCGGAGATGGTGTGCAGAACCAGCAGCGTCATGGAAACTCGCGGCACTCAAAACATTCGGAAATTTTTCAGTCACCCGGTCCACCATCGCGCGCGCTACTGTACGTTAGCTCTGCGCTTCCGCGTCACCCACCGCGGAGCCTGTCACCTTACGTTGGCCTGATTTGACCGACTTTTTCAGAGAGTTTTCATAACTGAATCAGCTTCTGTGCGCTGCAGTCGTTTCCCCCCTCCTTTCCGCGCAACTCACGATCCACGATGATATCTTGCGGGTCTGCTACGCTGACAAGGGAGAGTGATGTCAAATGTACGGCATTTGTCTTTCCCGGTGCAGACGTCTGAGTCTTTTCAGTGCTCGGTCCTCTTCGGAAACTCTACCGAGCGCTAAGGTCGACGCCTGAGCATAACCGAAGGCATTCCGATATACCTTTCGGGAATGACCGCTTACGAGTCATGTGGCTGTTTGGATGAATCTTGCGCCCAGCTGCTTAGGAACTCGTCATTTTAACATACGCGGGTACGCAAGTGTACTTTTGCGCTAATGGTATGTACTCCATTTCTTTCCCCCTGCTCCGTGGTTCACTATCGCTATTATTTTTGCTAGCCATCCTGCGTCCGACCGCGAGCTGACCCTAGCTTCTCCGAGCGTTCTATTCCAACCCCATCTGTAGGTTAAGTAGAACTATTGGTCGATTACTCTATTCAGCCGAAAAGCCCGTTAGGAATGATCCCTGATAGGAGGAGTCTATGTATTCCACCGAGCCCGGTGCCGGCGCCGACTCGGGTGGGAAACTTTCTAGAATATAAGCTTGAATTTTCAGCCACTGAACCCATGAACTATCTATGCCAGATATACAGAGAGCCCGGGAATTACGGGATTGGAAGAAGAAAAAGGCTAAATCTAGGCTGTGACTATGGGACCGTCTCCGAGAATTCAACACGTATACAACCTTGGAATTTCAAATGTAATAACCAAAGAAAATGAGTTTTTTGGTCCGGAGGAGACGTCTAGAGAGGTCCATCAATGCAAGAGACCGTTCGTGGGTATAGCGGGGTGAGGTATATGCACCTGCGCAGCGTCGGGCAGACAACGTCCAAGCTCCTTCCAGTATACAACGCTGAGACTGTGACCTCGGTCAAGCTTAAGCCCCTCTCAGCTGACTTGGACATTTCGAAAAGCTTCAACTCCCAACCCCGATCTCTGCCTCGATCACGAATGAACTCTGCCACTAACCTTCACGCCAGGACTACTCGTCTGCCGCGATGACGGTTTTTTTTGCTGCTCTGTAAGTACCGAGTACCTCTCAAAACCCAGCAACAACCGACTGACCACGACCAGCTTCCTCCCCTATACCATCGACTTTAAAACCACCGGCCAAAAGAATGGGCACCGCAAATCATCACCTAGCTATGCTGTCGATGGATCCGGCTCAGGTCCCATCGTCGGGCGTCTACCTCGTTTGAGATCCACCAGTCTTGAACTGACCCCCGGTGCCACGACGGAAGACGAAAAGATTTTCAAGGCCTACGCCTCGCAATCTGCAGGCGAGATTCCTGGCGCCGACGATCCCAACGGGCCTGGTCCCAGTGAGCCTCGCGCTGTGCCCTGGGGCCGGAGTCGCAAGTTCAATCAGCCCCGGTCCAAGGCAACGACTCACCCAGAGCCGTCCATTCTTAGCCGCCCAGGCTCGCGACGGGAGTCCAAGGACTCTTTTATGAATGGCGCACCGAGCCGGTTGGGCTCGGATCAGCAGGGAAGCCCTCGAACACTGTTCTCGGCTGTGGACTGGGTTGTCAAAGCTGCTGAACAGGGTCATGGCGGTCTTCAAAATGCCGTTCACGCTGCCGAGGATGCGGGAATTCTGCAGAACAAGATGTGGGTAGGGACTTTGGGCATGCCAACCGATTCTCTAACAGAGAGAACCCGGGATCTCATCAATGACACTCTTCGTGACGACTACGATTCCCTGACCGTGTTTGTTGGGGACAGTGAATTTGAGGGCCATTATGCTCACTTCTGCCGCTCGGTACTGTGGCCTGCCCTGCATTATCAAATGCAGGAGAGTCCCCGGCATACTGAATATGATGATTACTCCTGGAAGCAGTATCTCAAGGTGAACAAGGCCTTCGCGGACACCATCGCTAGTCACTGGAAGCCCGGAGACTGTATCTGGGTTCATGACTATCATCTCCTTGCCTTACCGGCTCTGTTGAGAAAGAGGCTTCCCCAAGCGGAGATCGGCTTCTTCCTGCACACGGCATTTCCCTCGTCTGAGATTTTTCGCTGCTTGAATCCTCGGGAAGCTTTGCTGGATGGTCTTCTGGGTGCAGACTTGATCGAATTCCAGACGGAAGAGTACTGTCACCATTTTCTCCACTCTTGCAGTCGGCTGCGAAGGCTCGAAGTCTCAGTCGATGGTGTTCAAGTCGATGATCGCTTCGTTCATGTCAAGAACCACCCTCTGGGTATCGACTACAAGTCTCTCAACCTGTTACGTCAATCAGCCGAGGTCAGGGATTGGATCTCCAATATTTCCGAGAGATACCAGGGTAAACACCTGGTCGTGGCTAGAGATCGACTCGATGCACCGGGCGGTATAAAGCAGAAGCTCCTAGCATATGAGCTTTTCCTGGGGAGCTATCCCAAATGGCGAGAAAATGTACGTTGAGAGATGGCTTGAGCCTTGGGAGTACCGAACACTAATGGATCATAGGTCGTCCTTATTCAAGTGGCATCGTCAGGGTCGGACCTCCCAGAACTAGCAGCCCAAGTCTCCAAGATCGCAATGAGGATCAACTCTATTTACTCGACTCTAACCCATCAACCCCTGGTCCTGCTGCAGCAGGACATCAGCTATTCCCAATTTCTCGCCCTTCTGAGCGTTGCTGAGGTATTCATGGCCACAAATCTCCGTGAGGGTATGAATCTGACCAGTCACGACTTCATCCATTGTCAAGATGGCGAGCTCGCCACCCAGCAGTATGGGTCCCTCATCTTGAGCGAGTTCACGGGCAGTGCACGCATCTTCCATGGCCATCCGCTCCTCGTGAACCCGTGGGACTATAAACAATGCGCAGATGCAATCAACACCGCACTAGAAATGCCCACAGATCAGAAGAAGCGCAACTGGGAATTCCTCCTGGAGCGCAAATCCCCACACACCGCACTGGCTTGGTACTCGTCCCTGCAGTCCGCCCTCAAGGAAGCTCACAGCATGGAGAAGTCCCACGACACACACACCATCTCCCCACTAGACACCGACGCCCTCCGGGAATCATATAGCGCTGCAAAAACTCGCCTCTTCTTCCTTGAAGACGGCGCAACTTTCAGCCCAGCGCCATTCCTCCCCTCTCCCTCCGCAACTGACACTCTCCAAGCCCTAGCCCGGGACCCAAGAAACACAATCTACCTAACCAGCAACCGTAGCCCCGACCAACTCAATATCCTCTCACAATCCCTTCCCGCACAAATCGGCCTTATCGCCGAGAACGGCTGTTTCATAAGAACAAAATCAGACCCAGACAAATGGGAAGCCCTCGTCGACGTTGACGGCACCCGCGACTGGCGGGCCGGCATCAGAAAGGTAATCGAGTACTTCCACGAACGCACAGAGGGCAGCGTCATCGAAGAGCGCCGCTGCTCGCTAACATTCCGTTACGATGCCGCCCTCGACGCCGACACGGCCGCGCACCAGGCTTCCGAGCTAGCTGATCAAATCAACGGTGCGCGCGGTAGCGAGGCCATCCGTGTTGTTCGCGACGCTACGGCAGTCAGCGTTGAGCCTATACATGTCTCCAAGGCCACTGCTGCATTAAAGATCATGGATCGTATGACTGAGAAGTCTCCGGACTTTGTTTTTGTGTCTGGTGGTGCGAGAAGCGATGAGGCTTTGTTTCGTTGGGCTAATCGGTTGGATCTGCCGAGCCCGAGCGGAAGTTTTTCGCTTGCTGTTGCGGTTACTACTCTTACTGCTGGGACGCATCCTACTGAGGCAAGAGCTCGTTTGCCGACTGGTCTTTCTTTGCTGGATTTGCTGGGACTTCTTGTGCCAGACAAGGCTGCCCGGGGTGAGAGTTCGATGTTGACGGATGAGTAGAGATTGAGTAGAATGTTGGCGCTGGTGTCTTGAGGATTTCTCTATATTCTTTACTGACCCTTTTCATTAATCATTGTCTGGTTGACTCGGGCAGTATTGTCTATCCTTGTCCAAGAAGGCACCTCACGCAGACACGAAGTCAGGTATGGCCTGAACACAATATACACTTGTGCAAGGCGAATATTTTTAGATTCCCCTAGCTTAGCTATCCACTATGGTGATCTTTCCAAAGTGCTCTTACCTCCAATCTACATCATTAGGATCGTCATTATTGAATTCATTTCAAGTGTTTTTCATTTTCATTGCAATCTCAATCTCAATCACCTCCCACACTGCAACTACCACCTGGGATGAAAAAGAAAAGAACCCCTGAAAGTACATGAATCATCGACCAACCATGCCGAGTACGTCCGCTCGAGCATAGAAATGAACAGATACATAAAGATAACTCCAACAAGACAAGCAAATAAAGAAACTAGGAATAATAAACGCACCACGTTCAAAGCAATCAGAAAAGGCAACCCAGGGTATTTGAATTACCCGGACATTTATCTCAGGAAAACAACCCATGGAAGATGCATTGCAAACACAGTTCAGAATACAGGTAAAAATTCCATTCCAGAGTCGTGGGAATTGTAAGGGGGAATAAAGAAGAAACATGAGTCGTGAGGAGTCCATGGCTGCGAATGACTTTCGGTTTATTTGCGGCCTGTCTAGAATCCGAGAATAGTGGACGTGAGAAGGTGAATGGGAATATGGGAGGAAATGAGGGACTCCTTTATGAGCTAGCGCCTGCATTGCCAGGGTGGTGCGAGGAGGGCGAATCGGTGCCGGCTGAGATAAGAGTTGGCGCAATCCGACGCTTCTTTGGTTGCTGGGTCGGTGTGGTTTCCGGACCCTTGCTTCCTTCCTTTTCGGACTCGCTGGTGGTTCGCGCATCGCGTTTGCCAAGTACGCTGGCGGTTGTGCCTGCACCGCCCTGCGAGACTGTTGACAATGGGGTTTGCGGCGGTGTGGTTAGTGGGAGTGCCGAGGGCTGTGCGGAGTGTGTTGCTGTTACCAGCGGTACAGAGCCGAGAGTTGGCGTTGGATTGTTCACAACGCTTTGTTGGTTTGACGACTGGGTCATGACAGAGGAGGCGGAGTTGGAGCGTGCCGGGCTGGCCGGCGGCGCCTGGGATGAGCTAGGTGCTGAGCCACCGCTGTTTGTTGGAGCATGGGTCGATTTAACGGGGGACGGAGGAACTTGTGTCGGTGTCGGGAGAGGGGTAGCGATTGTCGAATTGGCCAAGCCAGCCATGCTGGTAGGTCCAGTCGGTCCTGTGTAGGGCTGTCCCAGCTCGCCGGGAGCGAAGGAAAGCGTAGAGCAGAATCCGTCCGAGGAGCTCATGACCAATGTCAAGCCATCGTTGGACCTACGTGGGGTTAGAAATAGTTGAGTTCATTTGGAAGGAGGCCTTACCAAGACAAGTCGGTGAATGTAGCGAAATGTAAGTTGCTCACGACACATAGAGGGGTCTGTTGCTGTGTGTCATAGACCAGTACGGCATCCTGCGTGGCCACACCATAGACAATTCGATAAGGAAGCGCGAAGACAGGCGGTGCTGAGCTCTGAGCATCGCTAGCATTATCAACAGTCTTCGGAGATGCCTGAGGCTTCGAAGAGTCGCCTGTTGGGGTAGAAGAAGGCGGCACCATAGGTGGCTGGCTTGCAGATGAGGCATTTGACACCACGGGGTCCGGCAAAGGAGGGAACATCTCCCCTGCAGAGGATGTATCAAGAGTTATGTGCTTCGCAGGCTGGTCACCCTGCTTGAGTGTGTAGAAGACCGGAGAGCACTTGACAGCTACCGATGGTTTCTTATGGCCCGGAAGGTGGGAGATTGGTGGTTTGTTGAAGCCTGCCCGAGTATACACGTAGACCGTGTTGATGATTTCGTCTGTGGTCTTCAAAGGATCAGTAGCAGAGACGTTGGTGGTCTTGAATTGACCGGCGGGCGTGAACAACAGGCTTCCATCAGGTGCAAACGTCAGTCGTCGGAAGAAGGACGTGAAGGTCTCGTTAGCGTAGATGCTGGCATTCTTCACTCCCAGTCCACCAAGGACGCTCGGCGACGAAATTTCCAGGGGCTTCACTGCGGGCAATGGCAATGATGGAGCGGGGGATGCAGAGCGTCGAATAGATGGAGATGAGCCGAACGACGAGCGTCGGCTGTGAGAGACTGGAGGAGGGTCCATTGGCAGGTTGGATGCCATTGGGGTACCCGGAGTTGAAGGGGCAGGCGAGGCAATTGCCATTGAATTGCTTGCGCTGTGTTGCGGTCTGTTAATGGGTTCTGGGGGAGCAGGACTGCTGGAGGCTATACGTCTCGCTGGCAGATCCATCTTAAGGACCTTGCCATGCGGCGTCAAGGTGAACTGGCCATCCTTGGTCTTCAAGCTATAAATGTGAACCGATCGATCGGACGACTGAGTAGCGACAAACTCATTGAGCGGATCCCACGCTACGCCTTGGACGTAGTGAGAGTGCTCTGCGATCTGTCGCACCATTTGCCCTACGGACTCGAGTGTCAGCTACTATATTGTGAGCGGGTAGCAGCGAAGTAACCAACCGGTTTGAGCATTGTAGATCCGTGCGATATTGTCCATGCTCCCTGTCATGATGAAGACCCCATCGGGGGACCAGGCCAAGTCGTAGATCTCCGCACCGGACGAGCGGCACATGTGCTTCACGCGCCAGGTCTCTTGATCGTCCGACCGGTCCTCTCCCAGGCCGGGTTGTATTTGCAGCTCGGATGGCACCCAAAGCAAGACATTGCCGTCATCTCCAGCAGATGCCAGCATCTCACCTGCACCACGTCAGCTCATTGTCTGCGGTCGTTTGGACGGAGGCCATACCTTTTGGACTGAACCGGACCACATTGACAGCCTGTGTATGCTTCACCAGTGTACTCAGGTAGTTGACCTTGCGTTCTTCGCCAGTGGATTCGACTCTCCATAGCTGTAGGGTGTGTCAGACGGGGTTTCTTGGGTAGGACAACGGGAACTGAGCCATACTCGGACGTTGTTATCACTAGTAATTAGATGTTAGTAGAGAATTCCATGGTTGCGAAGGTGTGTACACTCACTTTCCAGCCGTCGCTAGGCGACCCTTGCCATTGGGGTCGAAATGCACAGAATATATGGGGGCATTGTCGTTATGCCATGAGATGAGCAGCGGCGAGGCCTTCATTGTGAGCACCGCAGCTCAGTGAGCTGTTCCCAAAGGCCACCCTTACCAGGAGAAATGGGTCTTCGGTGGATTCCGCCGTAGTCTTTGCAGGTTTGAACGAGGTTCCTCCCGTCTCGGTGGGCTGATGGGGGTAGTCTGCGAAGCTTGAGTGGGGAACGAGAGCGACGAGAGCGACGAGAGCGACGAGAGAGGACAAAGAAAGAAGGCTTTAAAGGCAGCAATGAGAAGAGGCGGAGGAGAGGAGGATAGCCAAAAAGGGAGGTAGGGTAAGGTTAAGGTGCAGTGATGATGCTTCGAGTTGTTTGCGCGGGAACGCGACCGAGACACGAGGAGACCCGATTAGAGAGACCACTGACCGTCGCCCGATTTCTACCCACTTCAAGATCTCCGCGGACATGCGAATACTGGCTTGTTTTGCACTCGAAACTAATACTACGTGTGTTCTCTCTCTATGGCTACCTTCTTTGCTTTGTAATTTCTATTTTTGTCAGAGCTATCCCTCAGACACTTGGAGTATATATAGTCGGCTATTCCAGAACGCCTGCCTTTTCCCATTGATCCTTAATGATACACAAAGAACGGAATATGTTAGAACACAGTGTCTTCCTACGAAACCCACTTGCCAATCGTCTCGCCAAACCAACTCACGGCCTTCTCCTGCCGTTTCGTCCGAGTATCTTCCTGAGCCTTCACGAACGGACTGGCCTCCTCGAAATAGAGCTTCTGTTGGTCCAAGTGAGCATTGTGAGCTCGAATCTCTAGTTCCCTCTGGTGTGGTGTGAGTTGCCACAGTGGCTTGGACGGCTTGAAACCTTCTGGGATGGGCTCGTCCCCAGGGATCACAACCTTGGACTTGCTGCCTTCGGGCCCTTGACCTTGAGACGGGGGCTGTGGCCCCTTCTCGGGCTGGAAGAGGGATGTAACGGGTGGAACTTCCGTGCCGGCAGCCTTGGCCTCCTCCACTCGCTTCTCGTAGTCCAGCATCTGATGGTAGAGCTTGTCGGCGTGCATCTGGATCCGCTCCTCCTTGGTGCGATCATAGTCGAAGGACGAGGCGTAGCCCAGGGCCTGGAGGAATTTCTTCTCGAGCATCAGTACATTCCCATGCTCAATCATATAGCAGACATTGTAGGAGACTCACGCTCTGGGTTGTAAAGCATCGTGAGAAGGTGGCATTCTCTGCCGAGCACATGGTCAATCGAGACTCGATCTGCTTGCGCCAGTTCCCTGTTTGGAAGCAAAATGTCAGGGCCTCGTGCTCCAGCGCACAGTTTTCCATCGCCGCTCGCTGCACCGTGTCGCCGCGCTCTTTGTGATGCTCGATCACTCGCTCCGCCCCGCGGGCTCCGGATTGTCCATCGATATTGGTTGGCGGCTTGTAGGTCTTCCACAGGTCTGCATAGCGGCCATCTTGGTACAGCGATGCAGATGGGACCGCGGGCTTCGATGGATCGGCTTGCTCTTGTGGTTGGGGTGCCTGCGTGGGTGTAGATGTTGGCTGCTTCGCATCGCTTGCCGGCACGTATTTATTGGGTGTCTCCTGTTCAAGATATTCACGAAGACCCGGCTCAAGCTTCTTGACCGGGTCATTTTTGTCGTCACCCCAAAACCAACCCATCTTGAATGCGAAAGGAAGGTGAGGGCGTTGATTTCAGAGCGTTGCAGAGAAGTCGGGACAAAAATGGATCGGCCCCGATTGACTTGCGCCCGACCGCCGTTGTCGTCTTTGCTCCTCTAACATCAACACGACGCGTCTTTCTCGGCGCCGTTCCTCCACCATGACTTCCTGTATGTGCTCAATGATGTTTGGGAAATAGACTTTGGTAACTAACTATTTAACAGCGCGAGAGGAGCGGCTACAAATGCGACAGCGCGGAGCTGGGTACGCGCCTCTACCCCGCGAAACCATAACATGGACATCTTGAGCTAATTGATGGTATAGCACGCGCGAAATTAAGGCAGTTGACTTCGGATTCTCATTCGGAGGACCAGCGCTGGGCCCATCAGAGCCTGCGCCACTGTCCATTGTGCCAGAACCAGCTGCGCCGACTACCTCAACACCGCCGACGCTGAAAGTTTCACAACAATCCGAGTCGCAAAGGGAAGAGAAGAACGGGCGCACCCCAGGAAGCGCACGTAATTCCCTCCCACAGCGTCCCTCGACATACGACATACCTTCGGACGATGTACCTGCACAGCCGCGAAGCATTAAAAGGAGAAAACCCAGTGCGTGGCGGACCATACAACACCCTTTGACCTGATCTTGTCGTACTAATGCACTCGAAGATCCTCCTAATACCACATTCGACACCCCTTCTCGTCAAAATGCCCCACAACCTCAGAATGGCGACTCCGTGCTGAATGGAAATGGCGAGACGGGTCATACAGAAGTACCATCAACTCACGCATCCGAAGCTCCTGTCGCAGACCCGCCTCAACCGATGGTCGTTGATATCCCGCCTGAGTCTCAACCATTACCCCTTCCAGAATCCACTATCACCGATCCAAGACCGACAGACAAGCCCCCGGAAGCTACTGGCGGAGAGATAACGACTTCTACTACATCTAAAGAGCAACCACCCCGCAGACCAGGAGCTTCGTCCGATCGCGCCCGGTCGTCCAAACTACGTGAAACCCAATCAGTTGCCGAACAAAATCAACCTAGGCCATCGAGCACGGGGCAGCGAAAGAGTGTATCCCCTCGACCCAGCAATCCGGCGCAGGTGAATCAAGAAGAGCAGGCGAAGCGACCCACGCGAAAGTCTACATCTCCAATTTTTGAGGAGACAGAAATCGCAAAAACGATAACCGAGGCTTCTTCGAAACCAAAGCGCCCGCGCGGGAGGCCATCCCTTACCAGAAAGACGACAGAAGTTGAAGACCGCCCACAGAACCAAGCTGAGCCTACGAAGCCCACCAAGCGTCCAAGAGGGAGGCCCTCGCTCGCCAAAAAGACAGTCGAGGTCGCAGGAGCTGAAAATATACCACCAGATGAGGCTACAAAGACCACGACTGGAGCGCCGTCGAAACCCAAGCGTCCTCGTGGGAGACCGTCCGTGGCAAAAACAGCTGCCGAAACAACAGATGTTGAAGATCAGCCAAGTAGTCCAATTGAGCCCATACAGGCCACGGGTGAATCTTCAAGCACAGCCACGCATCGGGGCCATAAGAAGGCAAAGACACGACCTGAACCGCTTCCTGCGGAAGTGGAAGAGCCTCAAGCACAAGAACAGGAGTCGCCAAAGGCTCGCCGTGGCCGACCTGCAAAGAAAGCTAAGCCTACTGCAGCGCCAGAGACAGAGGCAGGGGGGGAAGAAGTTGAAGTTGAAGTGCAGGAAGCGGAACCTGCACCATCCAAACCTCGTCGTGGCCGACCCGGGAAGAAAACCAAACGTCCAACAGAAGCGGAGGAGCAGGAGCAAGGAGTGCAATCAGAAGAGGAGGCCCTGCAAGAGACACGCCGGAAAACAAGAGAGCGAGAGCCTCGAGGAGAAACCGTTCCTGTTACAGTTCATCGTCTTACCAATGCTTCTGCATTGGGCTCGATGTACGCAGATGAGTCTGGCGGCCGAGAAGAGGAGTCGGCGGACGAGCTTTCGTCTCGTCAAAAGACCAAGCTGCCCAGCCGTGGTGGTGTCAACCCCGCCGACGTCCTGAGCCAGATTTGTCGCGAGACCCTGGAGAAGACGCTCGCAACGCTCAAAAACGGCATCGCAAACGAGTCGAATCCCACACGGCGTGCAGAATGGACGCGCAAGCGAAAGGCCGTCGAGTCATTCGGCTCCGAACTGGATGGCCGGCTTCTTGACCTGAGCGAGATGCTCGACAGCAACTTTGTGCTGGGCGTGCAGCTCAAAAACTCAAAGCGAGAGATGATGGATCTGCGAAGCCATCTATACAAGGTACGGCGGGAACGCGAGAGTATAGCTCTGCATATGGATGCGGTGCGCGCGAAGCACATGGAAGAGGAGAATGAGAAGACAGTAAGATTGCCCTCGGGGTTTATGAATGTTTCACTGAACTAACAATATCAAGGGACGCGCCACCATCAACAATTCCCTCCACAGCCTCGAGCTTGCGCTTGATCGCAGCCAGCATCGTCCTTCTACAGAGCCCTCTTCTGCCGACGTCGAGTTTATGCTTCGCACCGTCGCCGACGTGAGTAGTCGGACTCCTGGAGCACAGGGAGGCCTGTTGAATCGAATCCGCGCCTTCAATGCACAGCTGGAAAGTACGGCGCAACGCCTAGAAAGAAAGTAACGGGAGTCATTTGGAGCCATGTTTGTCATTCGTGATACCAATTTGTTGGGAGAGCATACCTTAGGATATCCCGAGGCAGGTCCCGGGATTAGGCGCGGCAAGGGAACCGGGTACTATACGTCATAAACTCTCTGATGGAAATCAATTAGCGAGTCAGAATTTAGTTGAGGCCCGATTATGGAATCCACCCGGAAGCTGAACCTGAAGATTGATGCCGGAATCCCGAACGTAGTCTCCTTTTGATTTGTCAGTCCCGCAATCAGAAATTGGACCGACTCGGAGACTTCTAAAGTTCTGATTTCTCCACGAGTCTAACCAGTTCGACGGGATTTGCTCCATGCTTGGAAATCACTCGGTGGGTCTCCCATTCGAACATAAAGGACACATATTCTGTACCTACTCATGGATACAATAAATTGAATTACATTTGCGTCTGCATTCTCGTATCTCATTGTATCCTCTTGCATCCCTCGCTTAGATCTATATAATCTTCAAAACACACAAAACAACCATGACGAAACTCTTTACCCCCATCCACGTCGGTCGCCTGGACCTTTCCAGCCGCATCGTCATGGCCCCAATGACTCGCTTCCGCGCCGACGACAACCATACCCCGCTACCAATGGTCGCCGAATACTACGCCCAGCGAGCCTCAACACCAGGAACGCTCCTAATCACCGAAGCCACCTTCATCACACCCCAAGCGGGTGGTGCACCAAACATCCCAGGAATCTGGAACGACGCCCAGATCGCCGCCTGGAAGGAGGTCACTTCCGCCGTGCACGCCAAGGGCTCCTACATCTACCTCCAACTATGGGCTCTAGGCCGCGTCGCAAACGCCGACCAACTCAAATCCGAAGGCGGCTTCCCCGTCGTCTCTAGCAGCCCGAACCCTGTCACTCCCGACGCTCCAGTCCCACATGCACTCACGGAATCCGAGATCCAAGACTGGATCAAGGACTACGCCCAAGCCGCTCGCAACGCCGTCGCAGCAGGCTTCGACGGCGTCGAGATCCACGCTGCCAACGGCTACCTCATTGACCAGTTCACTCAGGACACCGTGAACACCCGCACGGATCGCTGGGGCGGCAGCGTCGAGAACCGCGCCCGTTTCGCAGTCGAAGTAACTCGCGCCGTGGTCTCCGCCGTCGGCGCAGACCGCACGGGTATCCGCTTCAGCCCCTTCAGCCCCTTCCAGGGAATGCGCATGGCCGACCCAATTCCGCAGTTCAGCTACCTGGCGCGCGCAATGGCCGAGTTCAAACTTGCATACGTGCACGTCGTCGAGTCGCGGATTGCGGGTAACGCCGACGTCGAAGCGACGGATCAATTGGATTTCTTCCTCGAGGCGTATGGGAAGACTAGCCCCGTTATTATTGCGGGCGGTTACAAACCCGATTCGGCGCGCGACGCGGTTGATAACAAGTACAAGGATTACGACGCGATTATTGGGTTCGGACGGCCGTTTATTTCGAACCCGGATTTGCCGTTTAGGGTTCTGAAGGGCTTGCCGCTTCATCCTTATGAGAGAGATACTTTCTATCTGCCCAAGGACCCGAAGGGATACGTTGATTATGAGTTCAGTGCGGAGTTTAAGACTGCGCAGGCGGCGGCTTAGTGGTCGATTTGATTTGATTGCATTGCGTGGTTAGAGTGTATATAGATGGTTTTTGATATAGAGTTCTATAGAAACTGCTTTAAATGAGATGTACAATCTGTGGTGGACGGTCACGAACAGTTCACAAGTCCTTACCACTCCCCACGTCCAATTACAAAGAATACTAAAAGCAAGTCAGCGTCAAAACCCAACACAACATAGAACCATCACTCACTCTAAACTCGCGATTCTCCCGATCCGTCATATCCAAGAACTCTGAATTCTCGCGATGTTCCTGGCCTTCATGATTCTTATCACGCCGACGATTCTCCCAGGTATAGTAAAAGCGAAGTAAGAACGCAAAGACAATCGCCACCGCAATCGTCACCACAATTGCAATCTTGGCTGGAATGTAATCGGGTTGATCCTCTGTACGAAACGTAAGCGGACCCAGGATATTGCCCAGGCAGAAAGACATGAGCAGGATCGCGTTCATAGTGACTTTTTTCGTGTGGCCCGCGACATTGGCACCGGCCAACGAATACATGATTGGGAGTGCCGAGCCGGTCACTTGTGTCAGGTAGTTTCCCGCTAGTTGGGCACCTTTCATATCGTGGGGTGAAAAGGCGAGTAGACAGCCGCCCAGCAAGCCACAGACGAGCGAGGCGGCGACGCAGAGACAGCGTTGATTATAGCGGCCGGCGCAGTACGTTGAAACTAGGATACTGATAATTGAGATGGCGCCGTTGGGAATATTCAGAAGCTCGGTTTGCTTGGTTGTGAACCCGATGTTCTTGATAATCAGCGATGTGAAGCTGCTGATCGCCGCGTTGGGGACGTCCATCGCTGTCACGATCACGGCGATGAGATACGTCTGCGGATCGCGGAAGACTTCCACGGCCTGCCGCCATTTGAAGTGCTTATTCTCGATACCGGTTTGGTTCTCGCGGAGTCGCTCGATGGCTAGGACTTTCTCGGCGTGTGTTAGGCGCGAGCTCATGGGGTTGTCGGGAAGGAAGACAAAGATGCAGGTGCCCACGACGATAGTCACGAGTCCGAAGATTAAGAACATTATTTGCCAGGATTTGAACTGGTCGTCGGTGTAAAAGAGGAGGCCGTATGCGACGAGGGCGCCCATTATCGAGGCGGTGCCCGTGCCGAGATACCAAATGCCCATGCGTTTTGGTTGTTCTATAGAGGAATTAGGAGGCGTCGGAGGATGTGAATTGGATTAACGGACCATTTTTCTTGTACCACATTGACGTTATAAGGATAAGTCTAGCGCTGGTTAGCTGGTTTCTGGTATAGATCTAGAGATGCTACTCACGCCGGCGCAATTGCACTTTCGAAGCAACCCAACAAGACACGTAGAGTCATCAAGCCACCAAAGTTCTTCGCCGTGCAGTTCAAAGTTGTCATGAGACCCCATATGGTGACTAGTCTGTGTTAGTACAATTCTTTCCTGCAGATGGCTCAACCGCGATTTACCGTTGAATCCCAAATACTTCGCTGTGGGCAAGCGTTGCATGAGATAGCCTGTCGGCAGCTCAAAGAAGAGATACGTCACGTAGAAAGCCAGCGTCAGATCAGAAAACTGATTAGTTTGCATTTTGGTATCACTGAGCAAGCCCATCACGGAAGCATAGTTGACTTGAAGCAGCATCAGCAATGGTTCTATACGATAGTAGCGCGCACGACCTACTGAGCACTTTGTCTAGGTATTGCAGATTGTACGCCGCCCACATCAGCGGCATGATCATCCAGTCAATCTTGCGCACCAAAGCCTTTTCATTAACTTCTGTCGCGACCGCCGTATCTTCGTCGCGCAGGAACTCGAGTGCTGCATCTGCCTTGCCTGCGGGCAGGCCATTCTTAACATCGATATCGACCGACTGGCCGCGCTCGTCTTCTGGACGTCCCATGCTTCAATTTTGATCCGTTCGATCTTAAAATGACCGATCTAGTCGGTTCTTCAGGCGCAAATTTCACAGTTCTCCCCGCGAAGTCACAATAGGCCATTCCCCTCTTAAATACATGCTGCAGTTGCCTCTTGTTCCACCTCCTCAGCCGGGTACTGAACCCTCGCGACTGATAACACGAGCCGCGATGCCTTTTCAAGAAGCTTGTTCCCGGATGTGTCTGTTATCGCGTGCGGAGGTGCGGCCTATTCCGCCGTAGATAGCGGTGCACAGACAGAGCGGCAGGTAGGACGGCGCATGGTTGGCTGCGGTTATGTCTCCGCGCCGGAGAAGAAGGTCCAAACATCTCGAAAGAGAACGTAGCTACCCCTACGGTAGGTTTTCAGGACATCCTGACAGGCTCGTCGGCTAAGCTGTTAGACCTGATCAGGAAGGTGTTCAGATAGCGACAGAGATAGCAGCTGCAGACCCCGCACATCAGTCATGACAGAGGCACCATATAGGCTTTCTGGGATAGATAAAGGGTGCAGCGCACCCAAGACTGGCCGCATCTCTTTGGCTCTTCGGTGGTGAATCGCTGTTGCGCTGATAGGCGGTGGTCACTATTTTGAGCTCCCTGCAAAAGAGGTCTAGGGCCGCCCTTGCCCATAATGGTTTGTTGACCCCAACCCCCGCATATAACTTTCCGATCGTACTCCGTACACTCGGTACCTCATCCCATCAACATTGGGATCAACCTGGTACCCGAAGACGAGAACCAGAAGAGGATATCAACGTACAAGTCTATGCCGAGGGTATAGTCGTTGGAACTCCGCTCCGCCGAACCGAATGCGGCAGAACCTGAGTATTGGGGTAGTATGGTTCGTTCCTGTGGGGATCTGGGGTCAACTCCAAGTACATACGTCACTACTGTGCAGATCCCCGCGGAAGACTTCAGCTCCAACTCAACACAAGCTCAGTACGTAGCCTAGGATCCGAATCCACCGGTTCGGTGCTGGCAACACCAGGTGTCGTCGGGACCGGGATGTACACATGCGGGGGTAACCGGGCGGATCCCCGCATCATCGAGTCATGCGAACAGCACTCGGGGGGAAAGAACCCCTGATCCGTTGTTGGATCTGAGATCGTGCCTGCGTAGACCAATCCAACTTCCAATCGACGTTCGATCTTCATCCATGGCGCCGGTTCCTATGGCGCCGGTTCCTATGGCGCCGGTTCCTCTCCAGGCCTTCTCCAAAGCCGAGACCTTCCCCGCACAGGACATCAGTGCTTCCGGACAAACGGAACTGGAGTGAAACATGGTTGGGTATGATGGTACGAATCATGGTTCAAGAAGCCACCTCTTGAACTGGCTGATCTGACCTGTAGCGAGTCGCTAGCCGTTCTAAACGCGCGTGGCGTGTCGGTCAAGGGTCAGCCGTGGTCAGCCATATTGGATTATGAATACTGTGAAAAATTACGGTTTTGAGTTTAGATCCATCACCTCTTCACAATCATAGTTTTATATGACGAACCCTTATGACGAATTCTGTTCACACGTGGAGAGTTGTGATGGAACTGGCGTTATATGACGAGCTTTAGCTGGTGATCAGATCTTCAAGATCTTCTTCACCGTAATTTCTACAGAGCCAGTTAGCTCTCTAGGTAAGTAGTTTGCCTTCTAGCTAAGCTCGAACATCAAAAAAGCTCAAATATCGGTGCCTGAATCTTGCAACAGTCAGATCGAATCCAAAGAATTCACGATCCTGCCGTCCGTAGATTGCGACTACTAGGATCAAGACGGGCCAAACAGGCCTAGAGCAGGCAGTTGGCTAGATACCACAAATGTGAGATTTTAACCTACTGCAATAAGGTATTGCGAGTCAGCCGGTAAAAATCTCGAATCCTTGGCTGCAGATGAAACCCGTACAGATATTGGAGCAAACAAATTATTGTCTGTTTACATTTCTCCGCGCGCCACTACCCCCAGGGTTAATTAGCATTCTAAACAAAAGAAGAAAAGAATTAGTTACTCCATAGCACTAGCTTGCGCGCAGGCTACAGGGAAAAAAGACGCCACGAGCTGCAGGTCGAAGGAAGCGGGAAAGGTCGCAAAATTCCGTCAATCAGCAGTGGATCAGCTGCAGCATGAAAGGGATCTGGGACCAATGAAGAGACCACAAGACTTACAGCCTTGCACTTGGTGCAACTCGGTTGCAGCGCTGTGGATTTCATCTGCACATCAGATTTTTCCTCGTAGGCTAATGAGACGATGCCCCTGCCGGTGAGACCCTCGACATAGGAATACGAGCCGTGTCTCTCCTGTCATGTCGTGTCATCCTCGGGAGGGCCGCTGTTGCGACAGGGAAGTACGGAGTGAGTCGATCTGATACGTGGACGGAGTCGAAATGGAGTCAGACGGGCCGAATCAGAAGCTTGGATAGTTGGTCCACAGATACCATGTGTTTTTTTCTGTTTTTTTTTTGTGGAGTTGGCTACATATTCCACTGTAGTGTACGGAGTAGGGAGGGTAATGGGGCGGGCGTCTTGAGTACTGTATTCCTCATGTGGACAATGGCTTGGTCTCGATCCACACGTTCCTCGGCAAAACGTCAGAATCGGACGCATGGCCTGTCACGGTCTAGCGGCGGTTGGGGAACAGGGCTTTTCCTCGTGCGACGTTGGACACAAGTCTATTGAGGAATAGGTTGGGGTGCATCTCAATCAAAGCTCGGCTCTTCTGAGCTTGAAACACCCCTGACGTTCTCGGGATGGACGGGAGTTTGATGAGGATAAACTGGGATCGGCTCGCAGCGACGTTTAGGGGCTCCACACGGTGTCGGCAGAAGATGTCTGGTGTTGATTTGTATTTAGCAAGCGATTTATGGTGCTAGTGGTGCACCGTGCCATCCTGACCCGACTCGAAAAAGGGGCAGGCTTGTGCCTCAGTCCACAACACAGCCTACATACTGCAAAGCAGTCCACCTGGAATACCGAGCGATCATTGGCGGGTAATTGTGACGCCAAGGACCATCTTAGCCGGTTGATCGTTTGTTTTGATCTCCACGTTTTTGATTAGTAAGTAATTCGTAATCCGTAATCCCAGGTTGCATGGCGCCATGGTGCTGACGCAGTCGACTTGAGCCTGTCTCCGGGGGCTGTGGCTTGTAAGTCCTACGCGTCGTGACTCCGCCAGATAGATCATTAAGCATTTTCTCCCCGTCGGAATATGCTGAGATGTGTGACTCTTCGCCATGATCTTCCGGCCCCCCGACGCTCCAGTAAAAATTCGTATTGGATGGGTCCGAATGGGGTTAACGGGGTCTTCGGGGAGAATTGACAAAATACCGGCCGTAGGGGAATCACGAGGACGGATCCTTGGCCCCAGTGGAAAATTACAACCGGTTCTTTCAAGCCAACGATGATCGGGGAGAAGTCAAGCCACGGCCATGCGATTCACGGCAGGTCAGGATCGGCTTCTTCAGCGACGCCATTGGCTCCGTTGGGTCCTCTCCAACTCCACTACCGCCTTCCCCGGTCTCCTATGTCCATCCTTAGCTCCGTGTTCTGTCATTAACCCGTCTCGGTACGGAGTCGTCCTCCTGTGCCGTCCCGACTCGTCGTTCTAGCCTGAGTCCATGTAGCCAAGGGGATCCAGGGATGAAATTCAACACAAGCGAAGTGTCGTATATGAACCGGGCTTCTTCCCAGGGTCGCACGAGGTAAAGAGGTGTTGACCTGGTTGTTCCTCATCTCTCCATTTTCGGCTTCCTCGGCTTCCTGTCAACTTCCAGTCCTATTTCCTTCACCCCCATTCCACCCTGAAACTCAAAACCTTGGCACCTCCTCAAGGTGCCCACTTTTCTTTCCCAATTAACTTCCGTTAGCGTCGTGGAGACTGCTCTGCGACTGCACATCAGTGCAATTTATTGAAACAGCTCTGGAAGCCTGCCGCGGGTAAGTTTTTGTCTCCACAATCTTCCATTCGTCCTCCCAAGCTGCGTTCGTGCCCTTGTGAACCTTTGGGTCTTAGCGCGTCTACTTCTCAAATCACCAAGAAAAATCATATATTAGCTCTCGCGGCACTTCTCCGTGCTCCCTTCCTGTTCTCCATCTCTATCAATCTTGCCCAGCAGTGCTGTCCGGCTCTTGATCTGATCGCCTTTTTTTTTTTTTCCCCTGCCCTCTGAATAACTGTGTTATTTTTCCGGGTCTTTCTAGCTCAGCGAGCTGGACATTAATATTTCCTGTTTTCACGAAATTCTGCCACGAACAAAAAACCATAATACTAAAAAAAACATCATCAGCAAATCCTAAAGGTTCGCTATGTCTTCTGAACCTGTGAACAACGCCGCCATCGACAAGGACGTCGGCCTCGGCCCCCAGTCCGGCAACGGTGCCACTGTCCACCCCCAGATGTCCGTCGAGGAGCACGACGTCGCACGCGCGGCAGCTCGCTTCGGATACGGCCCTCTGGCTCAGGTCAACACCGCCGAGGCTCGTCTTCCTCCCTTCGGTGGTGAGTTCCAGCCCGGTCTGTACAAGCCGGTCGAGGGCCGCAAGTTCGCCAACCCGGCTCCTCTCGGCCTGTGCGCTTTCGCCCTCACCACTTTCGTGCTGAGCGCTATCAACATGGGCGCCGATGGCCTCACGACCCCCAGCATTGTCATTGGCGCTGCCTTCGGCTATGGTGGTCTCGTCCAGCTGCTTGCTGGCATGTGGTATGTTGGCCAATTCCTTTTCCGAGAGCCTCGCATTGGATTATTAACTTGTGTTTTCCAGGGAAATGGCTGTCGGTAACACTTTCGGTGCTACTGCTCTGTCCTCGTACGGTGGTTTCTGGATCGCTGTCGCCATCATCCTGACTCCTGGCGGCTTCGCGATCGAGTCAACTCTTGGTGACCAGTTCCTTGCTTCGTTCGGTCTGTTCCTGATGGTAAGCTCTCCCCTTGACGTCAATTGTCTCTCGTCGCGATCTCTAACTCTAAACAGGGCTGGTTCATCTTCACCTTTATCCTGGTCATCTGCACCCTGAAGTCGACAGTCGCTTTCTTCCTTCTGTTCTTCTTCCTGGACTTGACCTTCCTGCTTCTGGGTCTCGCCTACCTGTTGCCCACGGACGGCAGTCCCAATTCCAAGCTCCTGAAGGCTGGTGGCCTCTTTGGTTTCCTCTCCGCCTTCGCCGCTTGGTACAACGCTCTTGCCGGTATCGCCGATACCAGCAACAGCTTCTTCATCATCCCTGTCGCCCACTTCCCCTGGTCACCTACCGGCCGTAGCCGCCGTGAGAAGACCGACCGTGAGATGGCGTAAATATCGTCACCCGGTAATGGAAATATGCGCTTGTAATGTTGATATATACCCATGCGTTTGTACCCGGTCGCAGTCGATCGTAGCTTATAAGCGTGGGCAATTGGCCTGAGGCGTTGAATCGTCGGGCACGTTGGTTGCGCCTTGGAAGCTTCATTGGCTGTGGCTTTGTATCTGTGCACATATTCTCGTGGACGAGGTCAAGCGTTCGGTTCGCGGGTTTGTGCAGTTGCTCAAAATCCCATCCTCGTTAGACACCTTTGCGTTGAGTGCGGGTTTATATCGTGCGAATCGTATTGTGCGGCTCGCCATGTTCCTTTTTTGTTTATGTTCTCCTTGTCTGTTATTTAGTATTTTAGTAATAATTCATTGACGTTATCATGATATATTTCTTGTTCCTGGTAGACGTACCTCCTTTTTGTTTCGGCCTGGACTGTTGGCTGTCGATCCGAGCCGGGGTCGAGTGCTCGGAACCGCTGTCTAAGCCAGACTGGTCATTAATCTCCGATGCCCCTGTTTGATGTGCATGGGTCAGTGCAGTGCATACGCAGTTGCGGCTGGTGAACTCGAGGTTGAGGGTTGTAGTATGAAAAGGCGGCCTGCACTTAATTATCTTGGGGACTTTCGTAGCAGTGCTGTCTCTGAGGACTTGTCACTCAAATCTCGGAAAGGACCTGAATGGCCAGTGAACAAAAAGCTTTGTATAGTGTCGTTAGTATCAATCATTGCAAGATAACCCGGAGGGTATAGTTCTTGAAGGCATTCCCGAATGGACAGTCCGAAGGACCCAAAGCACCCGAAGTATCAGGCAGAGCAAAAGACCCAGAAGCAAAAGCAAAGTGGGATGCCGCCATAATATGGAGACCAAAACAGCGGGAGTATAATATACCCCTGTCCTCTCCCACAAATATGGGACATTATGAATCAGGGCAAGTCAGTTCAGGCAAGACAGAGACCCTAAAAAAAATAAAAAATGCAAAGCCAAAAGTAGATTAGTTGGTCGGCATTCGCTTGGAAAAAGCCAGCTACTATGGGTGGGATATTAGCAAACTGGCTGTATTCTCAGTCGAACGGAGAAGGGGAGACAAACCTGTTCTCTGCGAAATCTCTGCAAGATTAGGGTGTATAGAGTAAGAAACTGAGTATGAAGTAGAAGAAAGAAAAAAGAATGCAGGGTGTATTTAGTTCGGCGAAACTTCTACCTGGAATAGGGCCCGAACTACGCCCGACATTCACCCGGGTCAAGCTCGGATTCCTCTCGGCTTCAGGGGCCGCGGCTATCGTTCTGAGTGCCGGGTGGATCGAGGTTCAGGCTAGGCTTTTAAGTGTCTGACGTGGATTTGCAGGTCCTATAAGGATTCTTGATCCGTGCTTGGTTGGTCTGGGCTGAGAACTATCCGGGAACTCCGTGCCATGGCGGTGATTGTTCGGAGAGCGACCGAGTATTTAAACGCGCAATGTGTTTTACTCTACATAACCTTGTTTTGGACTGATGAGCTCATAGTTTCCTGATTGGGGAGATTATTGGGTTCTTGATGATGTAGAATTGATAAGAGGCTCGGGATGGTGGTTTACTGACCTTGGTAGTCCTACCTATTCAAGGTTTACCTATTCGGGTAAGATAGCTCGAAACGTCTTCCGAGTCTAGGATCGTCAAATAATTGTGGAGGCCCGTGATATGTAACATCTCGGCCGAGCTTAGAAACCCAATACCTTCTTCGATGGCGATCTCAGATGATGTAGTTAAATTTCATTCGTGATTCGTTAAGCTGGCCTATTGCATTGTAATGTATGTACCCGATACTGATTTTACACCTCGTCCCAAAGAGAAAAGGAAAATGAATAATTACATTATACGGAGGGGATGTGGAAGGGGAAAAATCACGCACCCGGCTCCACCTGCAGCTGCACTTCCTGCCACACCTGTCGCAGCATAGAAAGGTGGACACGATCGGCATAGAAAAATCCGAGCAGGATCGAACGGGCCTCTTGCCAGGAGCTGATACCGTGTAAATGAGATGCTGTCGCTAGCTCGGACACAAAATATGCACGCTCCGTCGGCAAGGATTGGCTGCATACAGCGCCGATGAAGAGGAGCCAGATCAGCAGGTCACGGCAGAGCGCGAAAAGCCCAGACGGGATAGTCACTTCGAGGGCGGCGCGAAGGGCGAGAATGGGCTTGGGTAGGAGGGGCGCGATCATGGGGTAGAAACTCCAGATGGCGCTGTTGTGGAAACACAGACAGGCGAGGCGGCAGCAGCCCTCGATCGAGTTATCGCCCTTGACTTGGCCGGTTGGTGTGTACCGGTCTGAGTGTAGGGAGTACTCTACATAGAGCACCTCAAAGTTGAAGTAATCTTCCGTCTCGTCGTTGAACTCCTTGTACCCTGTGTTACCCTTGATCCATTCTGCGTACCAGGATAGTTCGAGAAGATCGTAGATAGTTTTTGAGAATGAGTCGCTGAATATGCCGGGGATTTTGATCAAAGGGATCAGACGCGTCGCCATGAGAGCGACATCTTCGGTGGGCGGGAGGAGAGACAAGCCTGCTGGGCGGGGGGACCGGACAAAAGTGAAGATAGGTTTGGCAAGTGCCATGCAAGCGACCCGAATATCCGTCCTGTTGTGCCATTAGCGGAGTCTTGCGTGGGTCGCTGGATATGACTGACCATGAAATCTGGAATCGGACATCGGGAGGGACATCGGCGAAGTTCTTGCGCAGCCCAATCATCTGTCGCAAACCAGCCAGATGAATCTTCAGATAATCGGGGTTGCCCGATGCGATCTGCAATGGTGAGCTAAGTTCGTATACATCTGACACCCTATCCACAACTTACCTCGATGGTCAACAAGGTAGACACCGCAGCAATCAACTCATCACTGGATGCCTTGACCGGATCCGACAAGCCCTCATTCACCAAACGAATAGTCTCACCACGGTGGTGAAAAGTATCAACCACGAGCGCGCTGCGTTTCTGATTCGGATCTCGGATCGGTAATTCGCCCCGTTGCATAGCCGCGTTAGAAGTGGACATGCAGATCGTCGCGTGGAGAATAGCCGGATCACGCTGAATAAGAGCAGCCCAATGCGCCTGCAGCTTAGGCTTATACCGCGTCTGCAACGGGTGCGCTTCCTGCGTCAGATCGAAAAGGACTATTCAAGGTTAGCAATTCATCCGTGAAACCATGTAGGAAATACTCACAATTCTGAAGGTGGCGCATCATCCGATCTGTGAGCTGCGTATGTCCCGTGTTAAATGGGTCATGCGCGCCTGATCCTATATACGTCCACAGAGACGGCGTCGGCGCCGGCTGTCTGGCCTGATAGCCTACCACTCCGTCGAAGTTACCATCATCCCACGACTCATCCCACGTCTCATCCCACGCCTCCACCGAGCCGCCAGGGTGGTAGTCTACAGTCACAGCCGAGGTCGCGGGGACCAGATCTTGGTTGGTATTGATCTGCTCAACGTGGGGACTGTTCCGACTACTAGACGAGGACGACGAAGACGATGAGGCTACCGGCGGAGGCCGGGGCGACTCAGATGTCACCGGAACAGTCTCAGGCGGCTGGAAAGCCAGGTGCTTGAAGGACTTGCTCTTATACCGTTTTGTATTTTCCAGTCGCTTCTTGCGATTATGCTCAGACATTACGTGGGAGCGGATTCGCTTCAGCGTTTCCTCTTTTGTCCCGCCTGACGCCGACTGCGAATCTGTATTCACCCAGAACAATGTCGACTTCCCTGCCGCCGCATTAGCGGACTTCCGGGACTTGCGGACCTTGGTGGGTGCATTCCGCTCGGTGTTTGTGACCAGCGTAGGTTTCGGGGCTTGGTCCTGAGGGGCTGGTGGTGGTGGTCCAGCGGCGTCGATTGGGGTCATCTGCGGGGCGAGCGCGTCGGGGGGAGAAATGGTATAGGGGTCGGAGACGGGACTTTGGTCGGTAGCAGGCCACGGCGCCGCCGGTGGAGGTCGAGACAGCACGGGCAAGGTGCTCTGCTCGTAACCACCGGGGAATTGCTCCGTGTAATGCCCGTTGGGGTCCATGCGAACGAGAGCTTCACAGCTTCAGCGGATCAGGAAGGGAAAAGAGCATTTCAAGGTCCCCGGGGGACCGGCGGGTAGTTAAAAAGAGGACGAGTCTCGGTTATTTCAGTGAGATTCTTCACGTTTATGATAGCATCGTCAGACGAATCAAGGCCCCCCGCTAAGCGGCTAGTGGGATGCGAGGCTGCGCCCGGCGGGCTTTGAAGGAATTGGGATTTGCAAAGAGATTATGCGAGATTCCAGACCCGGTAGAAAGCGAAAACCCTAAAGCTGGAGGGTCTGTTCTCAACTTTGTTTGATACAAGCTACACGAAGCAACTTGGAGCCCCAAACCTCTTCTCTTTTCTGGGCCCCTCAAGTTGTGCCCCACCGTCTCCATTGAGCCCGATTCCCGAAAGCTCTACACAGTATCTAAACCGTGGCCCGGGATGGTGGCGTCTCGCTAAGAATATTGAGATGAGTAATCATGCGGACATGTCTTCATGGCGTCGAGGGAGCTTACACGTCGTCAAGGTATTTAGCAGTAGTCAGTAGCAGGACAAAGTACTCGAGTAGAGCGCCACGGAGCGGGCCCAAGTTGGCCCCTCACCAAGTCCGCGCTAAACAACGCCCAACTATTCTGCATTTATATTGACTACGTACTTCCTACGGAGTATACTGTCCCACCAAGAACAAGCATTACCAAAATCCCCATTATGTTACTTTTTTTCGCTGCATTACGACGAGAGCTGACGAAAATCTCCCAACGGCTTGGGCCAACGTTGCGTGACTCGGCATCAAGCCGATCGATCGTCCTGTATGCCAACGCCCAGATGGATCTAATATCAGCACTAGCAGAAGCCGAAATTACGATGTATATCCGACCCAAGATCTTTATTGTATCCATCATTGGTTCTTTAGACATTGCGAATCATTTAAGTTCCAAGGTGCAATCGCCTCCGGAAGGGTCACACAGATCCATATTCCCCACGCTGAGAGCAGATGCGGACGAAAAGCAGGCAATATGCTTGGGGAAAGATTGGAATTCAGCAATGATAATGAAGAACAAGTACGCTGCACTAATAAGAACATCCTCAGATTCAGGCGTCCTATCCTAGGTCATGCCCGGCCGCGGGAAGACGGGCACCGTCTCCAGCTGTTCTAAGCCGCCCATGGTGCCATGCTGTCCACTCTGCTGCCACCCTTGCCCGGTCTGCTGATTGATAAACTGGCTCTGACGGAATGGGTTCGTACTCCCCGTGGGATTGGGTCGGAGAGGTTGAAGCCCCGTGTTCTGTGGAGGCGGGACGGAAGATGCCCGAGCGAATGGATTGGTACCTGTGCGCTGCGGTTGAAGCGCTAGCGGTTGCGCCTGCGCTTGGGGTTGCATTTGAGGTTGTGACTGGGGAAGCGGCGGGACCTGGGGAACTGGTTCGGGAGCTCCAGTGTTAAACTGTGCCATGGAAAGACGCTTGGCAAACGGGTTGGTGTTCTGCCGTTGCAGGGGAGCAGCCGCTGGCGCAGCGCCGCCAGTGGGGTTATTTACCAGCATAGACTGCCGGAAGGGGTTCGTTGGTGTGGAGGGTGGCTGCTGTTGATTTTGCATGGGGGGCTGCTGCTGAGAGAACGAGGGAGCCCCGTCCTGTGGGATAGGCGCAAGCTGCGATTGATATCCGTATTGCTGTGGCTGTGGCCCATATCCTCCAAATCCAGCACCGGTTGGCTGAGCTTGGAGTTGCTGCGCTTGCAACTGTCCGAATGGGTTGCCGGTGTTCTCCTGTTGCTGAGGGAATGCTCCACCGTATGGGTTCGTCTGGCTATATCCCGTCGCCTGAGGCTGCTGCATCAAGCCCGTGGGCTGCTGCTGGAATCCCGTCTGCTGCTGGAATCCCGTTTGCTGAGGGTAGAACGATTGCTGCGGCTGTTGCTGGAAGGCTTGTTGGTAGCCAGTTTGCTGGTGCTGCATTGAGGGCTGCTGAGCCATCAGCTGTTGGTTCTGCTCAATCGACTCAAAGAAGTCAATCAGATCCGGGGGTGGGGCCTTCTTCTGTTCCGGAGCCTTGGGCGGGTTTGGTGTGGATTGGGTTTGACTGCTCGCGGGAAGGGCGTCGAAGGTGGGCGGCACTTTCTGCTTGATTCCTTTCCCGGCCAGGTATTCTCGGCGACGGAGATCAAAGTCCGGATCGTTGAGGTCATCTTCGAGGAGGCGCGCCAAGTCTGTGGAAGCATGCTTGAGTTTCGGGATTTCCAACCGGGTGGCAGACTGGAAATGTCTCGCGACTCCCAGGAACTGCACCACTTCTTCCGTCTGCTTCGTAAACATCTTGTAGATTGCCAAAGCGCGTTCACTATCCGGCCGTGACATCTCGAAATAGTGCTCTGTTGATGTCCCTTGTCAGACATGGTCCAAACTAGGGGAGAAAGGTGACCTACCCAAGACATTGATTGTGCCCTCGTTCATGACCGAATACAATACTAAAAGATCGAGCGTCAGGAGGCGAAATGCAGTCAAACTGATTTCGTTCTCGGGTTCATCCGTCAAGAGCTGTGCAGTGTGTCAGCCAGGGAATATCCATCGATGCAATCCCACTCACATCACATCGCAACAATGCGCGAATCTGTTTCTGTACAAATTCCGTCTCTCTCAATAGGCCCTTGTCCACACTGAGCCGCTTCAAGCGGCCCGGTCCGCTTCGCACGTAGTCCGTCTTCGTGGCATCGAATGCTTTTGCGCGCGCGATCAGGTATTCGGCATACCGCCGGATGTTATGTCCTTGGGATTGTGCTACAAGGACCGTCAGTACTCTGCTCCAGGGTTTTGTCAGATCGTAGATCGCACCTTCGGAAAAGTTACTGGGCGCGATCTTCTTCGGGTTATCGGAGAGGAAGGTCAAGGCCGAATCCAGCTGGCCCTCGCGGATCATGAGGTGGACCACGATAAGCGCTTTGAACACAATAGTCCATGCCGAATCGCGTAGTCGATGTTGAAGGGTTCGGAAGATTTCTGCGACGCCCGCTTCGCCAGTATGGGTCGCCACCAGGATGGTTTCAACGTATTTAGATTTCGGGGCCGCGAGCTGCGCACATATGAGTGTTAGCGCTTGCGTAGGGTGCACGATTTCCCATCACCATGACTGACCTTGAGCTTGGTGGCCCCCTTTACCGCCTTCTCAAACCCCGTCATTGTGTTTGGGGAGGCAGGTCAGATCCCGCCCCTCGGTTCGAATAGATGCAGAATGATAAGAAAATAAGATTGGGTGGGTTTCGTAGAGAGACTGAAGTGCCCGCTTCAGATGTTAATGCCTTTGTCGTGTCTATACAGATCCTCAATCATCACCGTCGCCCTGGAGATGCCTCATTTGGTCATAGCGGGTGCCTGGGATTAACTGCAGGGGAGGGGAAGGAGGCAATGGGAAGAACCGGAGTAGCAATTGACAATCAGGTAGGGCCCACGATGGCGGCAAGAGAGATGCGAGGATAAGGATAGGGTCGTGAGGGCAGAGTCCAAGGGTCAAGTTGGGCGTGTCCAAGTGGGCGGAGCTTCACGTCCGAAGGCCGGGTTCCCAGTGGCCCGATCGGGTATAGCGTGTTTTGGTGCACGAGCTGTCGTTTTATACTCTTCGATGTGCATGAACCTAGCCATTTTAGTCTTGTATCCTGTTGATCTGGGGAATTTGGACCACGAGGGAGTCACGGGTTTGTTAGATGTTATCTGGCCTTGCCTAAGTACCTAGGCCTTCTGTTGGAACTGCCATCCGGTGGACTTAGGAATGGTGGCCGGTCTGGCGATATATATGTACCCCCGAGCACTTGGGTAGACGAGCAACAATTATCTCAAGTATCGGCATTGGCGTCAAGCGGTGACTCCTGGGCATGATATTTATCCCCGAGGCCAAGCTACGTAGTAAAATAGCAAACTCGCGACTGAGATGTTTGTCAGTATGGTCAGTATGGTCACTACGGTCACTACGGTCAGACAACTAGTCCATGTCAATCCCCAGGTCCTCCAGGGCTATAAATGAGACCTCGTTTCACTCCCTCTCTTCTGTCTCTTCACTCTCCCTCAATGCATCTCCTTTCCTCCTTCATCACTCCCCATCAAAACCTCTTAGCACCCGTCGAGCGTCTCGACACCCTTGAGAATCTCGCTTTCCATTTCTCATCTACTGACTTCGCTTCGCATCTTCGCATCGTCAACCAGCTTTCCAAAGCAGTATCCTCCATTGATATCTCGGTTGTGATCATCGTCTATTCAAGATGACAGGCTTCAAAAACCCCCTCGACCCCCTCGACCCCCAAAAAGACACCCCAGAAATCCCCAAAGAGGATCACCTTCCAGTGGGATGACTACCGTCGACAGGTTCTGTGCTGTCTGTACAGATTCTACAACTGTGAGCATGATGATCTTCAGAAGATATTTTCTGACATCTTCAAAAATCATCTCCTCGAACGTGGCTTTCCGAGCGGGCAAATCCCATACAGGGCCCTCAACGCCCAGTGGTCTTGGATGAGGCGGAGTGACAACCCCGCCTGGTTGTTCGTCCATAAAGAGACGGTCTTCAGGAAAGACCGAGAGTGGAAAGATATCATCCAGCAAATCAACCACGCGGCGAACAAACTGCAGATCCTTCTCATTGAGAAAGAATTTGATACCGAAAACGCCGAACCTGAGCGCGAAGGCATTGATAATCAGTCTCAATCCACCTTGACCCTCTCTACCATGTGCCACTCTGTCCAAGCATCGGTTCTTACCGACACCGAGCATTCATCCATCGGTGATTGTATGTTTTGGGAAACACCTTGTTATTGGTGTTACAAATATGGACCACTCCCACTGGTAGGGGGAACTCAACAGACAATGTGCCAATCGGCTGTTCATGATACCCAGGTTGTCATGTCAGGCCTCTCCTCAAGTTCTGATGAAGAGCTCCCTTCAGTCATACCGCCACTCATAGATGCAACGCTTCTGACAGCCGACGTGAATTTGTACGGACATACTTCCCCAGAGGATCTACCACCAGTACTCTACAGGTGGTCAAATAACAATTCCGCGGGAATTAATGGCCCTACATTGATTCGAGCTGGTCTCTTCGCAGATATGGACAGGGGGTCTGGGACCTTTCTTCCGGAGCACATATCAGAGGAATCGTTTCTCGAGTACTTCAGGCTCCATGTGACAAAAGCCCAAAGCTTATCACCATTTGTTTCTTTTTTCAAAAGCCCGTTATCACCAATTCACCGGGGGCTTCATAACAGAAACGAAGCGAGTGTTTTCATCGTTGATACCTCGAAGCTGACGAACAAGTCATTCAAATCTACGCCTCTCATGGAGCGAACAGGCACCGTTACACGGGGCTGGAAAGGATACGGCGAATACTTGATCTGGAACGAAGTCCCCGCAGCTGCGATTGCCTGTACCTTCACTATTACTGATCTGGAAAAAATTGCCTCCAACCACTTAGACATCGGTGCGTTTTTACAGCTCCCATCGATACAGGAGCGATGGAGCTGCCGGGCATCTTTGTACAGTGACTTGGCAAAGCATATACCAGAGTCCGACGATGGATATGCTTGTCTTTTGGAGAGATTCACTGAATTGATTGGAGTACCGGAGTCACTCAGAGAAGCAGTCGCAAGTGATTTCAGAGAGGCATGGACCGAAAAGTTCAAGGGACTCGAGTACCAACCACCGGGAGTTGAAGCCTCGGACTTCCACGGTGGAGATGAGTCGCTCGCGGCTCACGTGTGCTTCACGACTACCGCACCTAGTCTGGCTGCGCCGTCGGAGTCTTCATATGCACCGGCCGATAATAATGACGGCGACAGCGATAACTCGTGTGCGTCTTCTGGTAGTGGGAGTCGAGAAATCGAAGAGGCTGAAGAACGTTGCCGGGGACGTGATACCTCAAGTTCTGGATATTCAGTGCAGGATTTCTCCGGTGATGACATAGAAGAGAGGTCGCTTACGGACCCTTTCGTGGACGAAGCCGATCCCATGGACACGGTTGACGAAGATGCAGCGGCCCCTGATGAAGAATACTGCGTTGACCAGCTAATCAGATGGCCAGCTCGGATGTTTGCACGCGGAAGAATAGGAATGTGGACTGCAGACGGCATGTAAAGAAGCAGATAGGATTTGTTGAAAGATATCTAGACAGCCACCAACGGCAGACCTTGAGCGTTCAGCAAATACGTTCCGTAAATTCCATCATGCCCAAAACGACAACCACCTGGTAATCATAGGAACTCGAACCAACTAAAGCGTTCGAGGTTGATGGCTACCAGGAGACAGAGTACCCGCAGCACCTGCGACCAAGTATCCCTACCGTGAAAAAGGGACCAAATTTTTAGGAGAACAGATTAAATCTGGAAAATGCAGTATCAAAACAGATCCCAGCCCATGCTCCAGGATATGCCTGTCGCTAGGGCGGGTGTACGGTTTCTATGGCAGGAGGATGGATGAAATATTTTTGCTTTTTGTGTGGATACACATTGTTCAGCAAGGTATCTGGGACATGGAAACTCGTAAACTATCCCGACCCCCAATGAATTCCTTTATATCCAGTTCAAACCGCTTCCTTCGCCGAATTGTCCATTCCGAGCACCCAACTCTTTAAACGCTTAGAACTTGGAGAAAGCCTTGACGGCCTTGCCGGTGCGGGGCAGGACGCGCAGGGTGTTGAAGCGGACCTGTAGAGATAAAAGATCAGATATGTTTCAAGAGTAGAATTAGCATGTGGCGTGCGACGGGCGAGCCATTCTTTCATAGGGACCATGAAACAAGCCGACACCACCCTAGTTCGCCGCGCCACACCTCAGGGTCAAGATAGAACGTACGGTCTTGGAGAGGGGACGGCACTGGCCAACGGTAACCCAGTCACCCTCCTGGACACGGAAAGCGGGGGAAACGTGAGCAGCCAGGTTCTTGTGGCGCTTCTCGTAACGGTTGTACTTGGGGACGTAGTGGAGGTATTCACGGCGGATGACGAGGGTACGGTGCATCTTGGTGGACACAACACGACCGGTCAGGATACGGCCACGGATGGAGACGAGACCGACGAAGGGGCACTTCTTGTCTGTGGAAACTGTTAGTGACTTGTGCGGGATTGTGTGGCGACCGGAGATTTTCGATGTCTGGTCTTTTTTCGAGGTTGGAGAAAAGGAATGTCAAGGAGACTGGGAATAATCGTGTCGCTTCCCAGAAAGACGCCGTCGTTTGTGCCTTTTCCATTCGAATTGTCGGATCGCAAAATTCCTTCCATGACCAGCCCTTTGGCTGCATCCCAACTCCACCCTCGAAAAAAGACCATGAAAATCGTATATCTCGTCATGTCGCCGGGTGAACTTCATCGTGGATCGTGCATACCGATGTAGGAGCCCTCAATGGCGGTCTTGGGGGTACGGAAACCCAGACCGACATCCTTGTACCAGCGGCGGGCCTGGCCAACCTTCTTGGACTTAGCCTTGGACTTGGAGTTCAAGAAGATGTGAGGCTGCTTCTGGTAAGCGCGCTCAGACTGGACGGTCAACTCGGTCGCCATGGTTGTGGTGTTGTCGACGAGGAAGCGAAGTCGAGCTGGATGTGAAAAGTCGGTGGTCGGAGGTTCACGAATGGGTCGTCGAGAATGGAAAGATTCGCTAAAGGCGCGCTGTTCTTGTGTGTGTTCCGCTAGTCCGGATTGGGACTAGCGCCACTGTGGATTAGGGCTTGCGCTTTGTTTACTGTCACGTGACCCAGACGCGTCCGTGAGGGGAATGCGATAGTCGAACATGCATAGTTAGCTGCTATCTACCTCCATTATACACTCGACAACCCCTCGGGCGGACCATGCTTGGCTGATTGCGTCCGTCGCTTCTTGCCATCATGTCGACTCGACAGGATTCCGCGGCGCGTGTGCGCTCGCGTCGCTCCATCGCCCATGTACCTCGATCCAAGATGACGTCCGGCTTGGATAAGGAGAATGCGACGACTGACATTGGAGCTGTGCCGCCTTTTGGAAACAACGCGAAAGCAGCGGCTAAGGATAAGAAGTCCCGTAGTAAGAGCTTGGGACCTGGCGGACTTGACGCTCTACAAAACTCCAACGGTAATCGGCGCAAGGTAAGCTATTATCCGAATATCTCCCCGCGCGCATTGATCACACCGCCTGACTCCCGCGCTTTGCAGTCTACGGCTTCCTTTCCCCTCAAATCAATCCTCAAGCCTACAGTCCCCGTCTCACCGGTACGGAACATCCCGTCGTTCGAGGAAACGCGTCGGCGCACCCCGGCCCGCGATGCGCGGAACCAGAATGCCAACACCGGTAGCAATGGAAAAGAAGGACTTTTAATCGACTTCGCAACCCCATCCCAACCTCCTGTTTCAGGATCTGAGAAATTGGCCAACCCTTTCGACACATTCAATGCGACATCCGCCATTCGTGATGAAATGGCTGCAACGAAAGAACGGGATGATAAAGAGCGCCGGGAGCGCGAACGACAAACAATTATGGAGAAGCGCGAGGCACGACGGAAATCAATGGGTTTGTGTCCACTCGATTTGGAGTAGAGCAATGGCAATGACACTAACACAAGGCGTTAACAGCGAATCGCCGCGTATCGTTTGCCCCCGAGGCCACACTGCATACTTGGAACGTGGTGGAGATCCCGGATGACTCGACCGCATCATCAGCCTCGAATTCTACCAGACGTGCATCGTCTATAACCAACTCTCAGGCCCAGGAACAGGCACCCACACCAGCCCAGGAGGCACCCGCCTCCCCCGAGGGCGACGCCGAGTCCGACTTCGGCTTTTCACCAGTCCGCCAACAAGATTTAGAGCTGATGAGAGAGCGATCGGCATCAACAGAAGGCCCCACAGATCTGTCTTCAAGCCCATTCAGTGGAAGCTCGACATCCGGTGGCGAAGACACCAGTGCGCACAGCGTGGTGGCTGAAGAGGAGGACGATCATTCTTTGGGATCTGATGATGGCTTCGATGCTGAAAGCACTGCTATGAGCATGGACGATATGACTGCTCACTCTGCCGTCTCCATGCAGTCAGATGCATCTTCCAGTTCTAGTTCCAGTGCCCGACTCAACCAAGCACTGCGCCAGGCTGCAAAGGAGGCCGGAACCGAAGCAATGGATGAAGAAGATGGAGAAATGTCGATGGAAATTGCGGACCAAGAAATCACCGGTGCATTTCAGCCCTGGATCAAAAAGGGCCAGCGCCAAAGCTTCGACTGGGAAGATATCAGCGCTCGTCATGACCAAGAGAATGTTGAACCTTCTAAAGCTGCCTCCGCGAACGTCCCAGAGTCGGATGGCGTCGACGAGGACGAAGATCTTAGTATGGATGTGACAAAAGCAGTCGGACGCATTCTTGGAAAGTCTCCTGGGCGACGGAAGAGTGCTGTTCCTCGCAAGTCAATTGGCCAAGAAACCAATTATGGCGACGAAACCATGGAGATGACCAACATGATTGGAGGTATTTCGGGAATGAGCTCTGTTGAAGCACCGAATGACGGCGATAACGAGGACGAAGAGATGACTATGGAGTTCACGTCAGTTGTTGGCGGTCTCTTGAGGCCTCAGCGGCAGGAAGCGAACACCAGTGCTGAGCAGGAGAAAACTACCCCGAAGTCCGATCGAATGGATTACAATCGCGATAATGAGTCGGATGGGGATATGGACATGGAAATAACCGGCGCCCTTGGTGGAATTCTACCATCGGGGCTAGAAACCCAGGACAGGGCCCAAGCCAAGATGGTGATGGAACTTGAGGGTGACTCGGGGCAATTGGCCAGCTCGCCTTTCCAGGAGAGCGTCCGTCAATCGCCTGCCAAGTCTCCAGCGAAATCGCCTCTCGGCCTCCACGTTGCTGCTGTGGCCTCCGAGGACGGAAGTCCTAGTCTGGCAAGCATCAGATCTAGACGGACAAGCCGTGGCTCTAAGGGCCCGTCGAGCACTCCGCAATCAGCTACTCGACAGCGATCGGCTTCACAGAAGCCATCGACACCTCCCAAACAGTCAACACCTCAAGCGAAACCAACCACACCCAGCAAAACTCCCCCATCTGCCAATGTCTCCTTCCGGACCGCCTCCCCGAAGAAGCTCTTCAAGCCTGAGCTCCAGCTGTCAGCAGGAAGGCGCAAGTCCCCTCGGCGGAGCATCTTCGAGCAGGATACGGCTACCGGACAATCAACACCTCGCATAGTCTTGCAACCTCGCGAAAGGCGTCGCTCTTCCGGACTTGGAATTGACAGGGAAGGTCTTGGGTCACCCCGTGTTGCTGCTATGCTCGACAAACGCTTGTCTCTGGGCGAAAGCACTCCGCAGTTTGCCCCCAAGGAGCGAGGCGGCGGTGGCGTTCGATTCGAAGACCCGTTGAAGCTACAGGCGGAGGAAGAGCGGGACCGCGAACAAGAAGAACTCAGAGAGGATGGCCATATCCCATCTGTCAACCCCGATGAGCGGGATGTCACTTCCAACCTGAAGGATATGATTTCAAATCTCAGTCCAAAGAAGGTCAAGGGCCGAAAAAGTCTTCATGTGGGTGCTGCCCGGGGTATCCTCGGCAAGCGCCCCATAGAACTTGACATCGAAGAAGAGGAGGCCGAGAACTCACCAAAGCGACTGCGCGGGCACGATGTGAGCCCCGTCAAGGGTGTCAAGCTGCAAGCCCCAACGCCCCAGAACAGGCCGCGTAGATCGATCCGTTCTCCGACGCGTAGGGCTGCCACCTCTTCTCCTCTTAAGAACAGTACTACTCCCACCCAGGAACCACGCAGTGCTTCCAAAACGGGTGCCACTCCCCTGAAGGACGGTATTGATACCTTGCACATTGCTTCTGACAACCAGCAACCGGACGCAGAAGAGGCAGAGGATATTTCCACTCAAGAACAGGCCGCTGACACGGAGCCTATTCAACTGCAAGAGTTCCTGAACATGACTAACATCCATTTCATGGAACTTACCACGACCAAGAGACGGCACACGACTGCCCCTGGAAGTGCCACCAAGAAGCGCAGTCGCCGATCAAGTGAGATGCCCAAGCCCGGATCCATCACTTTCGATGACTGCGTGGCTGCCGGTTTCTGTACAGTGCCTATGTTGGAGCTGTATCAACATGTGAGTTTGACTGAACACAGCTTCAATGTTTCATATTACTGACCTATCTAGTCCTGCCGCGAGTTGAAGTCTTACATCTCGGAAGGCCGACAGGTAATCCGATCCATCGAGGCTGAAACATACGAAGATAACCCTCCTCTGTTCCGTGAGTATGTTACGGCACCGCCAGATATCCGAATCATTATGGACAACCAGTTCCGAAACGTCAAGACACATGCCCGCCTGCTCAGCAAGGCTACATGGTATGAGTGGCGTATGAAGCTCCTCGAGGGTTTGAAAGAAGGCCTTCACCGAAATGTGAAGGACATGAAAGCCGATGACGAAGTGCTTTCCAAACGCGAGGAGCTTCTCAACAGTGCTGTGCCTGTTCTCGTGGAGAAACACGCCTCTTTGGAACAGGAAGCAAACAACCTACAGCAGCTAGTAGAGGAGATGGAGAGCTGTGATCAAGATGAGTTGCGCGGCGCTCGTGCAACGCTTTCTAGTGTTGAGGATGAGATTGAGGCCAAGAAACGAGAGCTCGAACTGCTGCAGGAAGAGGCCCAAGAGAGGATCAATGCCATTGAGGCTGGAACGGAGATGCGTGATGAATTTATGGCCCAGATCCAGCAGGCGGAGCGCGCCAAGGAAGAATGCCGTGGGTGGAGTGCTCGAGATATCAACGAGCTTAAGGGTGAGTTTCTTTTGTTAATTCTCCACCATTTTCATGTCTAATCAGGAAATAGCTTCTGTCCAGCGCATCGAGCGCCAAACTGGCTGGTCAATTACATCTGCATCAGCGTCTGACGAAGAGGCCACCGATCCTTTGATGACCATGTCGTACCGAAGCCAGCTGCAAATCAAGTTCCACCCTGGAGCGTTCGCTACCAAGAGACCCAATGCCGACAAAACGAATCAGCACCTCGAATTGAGCTTCGTCAACGGAAAATCGACCTCTCCAATCGCATCTCTCGTCCTTCAATCACTGCAGAGCCACCTAGCCGCAATCCAGCAATCTAAGATTGCCCCCAAAGAACTTCTCCACTTCATCTCATCTGCATGGGACCGCACCCTCGGCCTCGAGAACGAGGCGCGCATGCTCGAATTCTGCGGTGTCACCCGTCTCAGCCTCTCCGAGCCCGCTGAAACCTCTCTCTTCCTCCGCGCGCGCTGCACACTCCTTGGCAAGGCCGCCGTATCATCTACGGCGGGCCATAAAGGTGCAGCAGCGAAGAATAACAACACTAAGCGGATCGATGTCGACTTTACCGTCCGTACCCGTATCGTGCCCGATGGCTCGATGACAATTGGGTCTCTGGACTTCGATATTGATGTCCTCGCAACTAAAGTCTACGGCTTCGGATCCGGCAACAAGTCCGGACTATCTGGCACGGAAATGCAAAGTATCCTGGGCAAGGGACTTCAGCGCCAGGACGGCGATGCCCAGCTTGGAAATGGTGTTTGGTGTAAGGCTGTCAGGATGTTAACCGGGTCTGTGTTTTAATTTCGAGTTACGATATCCCCCTACTTCTTTTCAAGGCGCCGCGTGGTATTGGGGCTGGATGGATACGGTGCACGGCGTTTATGCGGTCAGGGATCTGACCTTTTCTTTGAACTAGCTGGATATGAGCGATTTATTCACTCTTCTTCTTGATTGCAATTCATTTCATTCATTGTATACCATTAACTATCAAAGATGCATTGTCATTTCATTCATGTCAACAGAGACGCAGACCCAGTCAAAGTAAAAGCAGGGCCAGGACATTTTCGTAATCGCCATGCTGCCGAACCCTTCGATGCGAGAACATATGAAAAAAGAGCAATGAAGCTCACAAACAAAAGTGCCCAAATCTAACCTAAGCTAGAAAAGCCCCAAAAACCCATTCGGCCAACTGGACTCCGCCTGTGACGGATCTTGATTCGGATCTTGCCCGGCCGTGAAATTATACGGATTCCCCGCACCAGCAGTAGCAAAATTACGCTCTATCTCAGCATCGGGCTCCGTGCCAGGCGGCATACTGAGGAAAGACTCAGCGGACAGAATGGGGAAGTACATGTCCGGTGCCCGTGCAGATGCGGCAATGCTTTCGCTGGGGAAGAGACCTGACCAGAGATTGTCGCCGAATTCCCAGTCTGCGGTCAGTGGCACTTGCCATGATTCAGGAATCATGTTGCCTGTTACTGTACTGGTGCTGCTGTCTTGGGAATAGGGAGATCGGACGTTGTCTAGTGGGGACGAGGTGGTGGCGGAGTGATCTTGCGCGAGTTGCCAGGACGGGAGACCCATGTCGCTGGCGCTTGCGCCGTTGAGGTCTAAACCTAGACCTGTGACGTAGTTGTTTGTGGTCGTGGGTTGTTGAGGCATTGGTGTGTAGGCATTGGCGCTTGGGCTTAGGGGTACGACGTAGCCGGAGGAGTTGACGGGTGGCAATCCCTCTAGGGCTTCAGGGATGCTGAGGTCGGGCATTTGGGAGCGGGTGGTTGAAGGGTGAGGTATCGGACGTGCTGTGGCCATGCTATGTCCACTAGAGCCTAAGATGTCGGGGGTCATCGATACCCGCAGAGTCGTAGGTCGATGATGAGGTTTTGAATGTGATCCCGAGGTGGTTCGAGAACTTTGCCGTTTCGCGCCGGATGGCTGGTGCTCCCGGTCTGCTCCACCTGACTCTCGGATCCGTTTTTCGTCTTTGTCGACAACCGATCTGGCGATGCGCTCTAGGTTGGCGCTCATGTGAGTCATGAATCCTGCGTAGTTGGTTGGCCCATCACCCGGGACGAGTGTTGCGAAGAAGGTCGCAGCCATGTTGAGAGTTGCGAGATCTTCACGAACTTTCGGGTTGCGAGTATCGCGAATGATGTTTGAAAAGATCGTTGCTGCCGCCAGAAATACATAGTATAGGAGGGACCTGAGAGGGGTTGTCAGTGATACAAAGAACCAGTAACAATTAGCCTCGCACTGACCATATCCATGCAATGTCTCCCCACGGCATATTATTAACCATCTTCAGCGTGTCCCGCGCAGCCTGTACGCAGATGGCTCCGGATTTTGAAGCTTGAGTTATGCTTATCGATTTGAGCTCTGGAGTTTCATCTCGGGAGGATATTAGAAAGTGGAGCAGGAGCGGTATGCGGTGGATCATGATCTGGGCATTATAATAGACAAAATGGAGTCCAATAGATGCAAATCCGAATAAGAACTCGGTTTCATCAACTTTGAATTTAGGTTCGTCGTCGAGGGGGTAATCCTTTTCCCAGTTCTCAAGCTCTGCGTGCAGCTCTTTGACTGTTTGGTAGATCTCGTGCGGCGGTTTGAGCATTGCCTTAGCCGAGTAGAGACGGCAGAAGATGCGACTTTTGATCACGGACATGCGACAGAGTTGTCGGAAGAATGGGATATTGCTTGGGGATCCGGGCTTTCTGTCATCTTCTATTTCTTCGGGAAGAGGGACGTCGAAGTCATCTGGATGCTGGGATGGGGCGTTTCCAGCTCGTAAGCAGGTACTAGCGGATAAGAGTTAGAATCCAGTATAGCAGTTTACTCGTAATTGATTGCATACCTCTGGTCAATAAAAAAGGCAACCCAGAACACACGTCGCCTCTGTTCTTGCTGTGCGGGGCTCAGGTCCGGTCTTGGGATGTTACGGTGGAGTCCCATCCGCTGGCATGACCGCATGGCGGCTGTGATAAGAGGCAATGAAAACTGCGTGCCCGAGTTTCCACGAAGGAAAAATGCCATGCTCAGCAAGGCCTGGACGCTCAGAAGATCGGTGCGTCGCAAAGCCAGGTCCGTGAAAACCGACATGGCATTCTTGAAGTAGAAACGGGACTTTTCTCGGTCCTTTTCCGTCTTTGCACTGTTTGAAATTCGGTATTCGTAAGCCAGACAGATAATCATATTGATGCTGGCCCATCGGGCAGCGTCATCGCAGGTTTGCTGTGTGTACTGCCACTCGACCATCCGCATAAAGGATGCTTCGTGGTAGATCGGGAACAGCCGGTTCGCTGTTTGGAAAAAGTCTTTCATGAGAGAAAATACCTCTGACCGGGGAGGAAGAGGCTTGAAGACTTGGGAAGCAAAAAGGTCGTGAAAGACATCGGGTCGCCATTGACTCCAGGGACTGTCGTGGATGGAATCGGGAGATAAAATACTCAAGAAGCTGACATCGCCAGTCTTACTCTTGATCCATTCGATTCCACCCCGGGAGAGAATCGACAATGAGCATGATCGTCCTGTTTCCCCGTTTCCGTTAGCCAATCTCGATTTATCAGAAACGCAGGAGACGGACCGAAATAACGCGAGTCATCTTGCTCATGCTGCCTGAAAATCGAAGCCGCTTCGATATCGCCACCACCGGCATAATTTTCAATATCATGGCCCCAGGATTCCTGGGTCGTGGACGAACGATTTGATGACATGTCGGATGATTCTGGTCGCTGGTGGCGAGCATCCCATCTCTCATCCAGGCCTTCCACCTCATCGTCCGAAAGGTCATCAGTAGTCATTTCGTCCTCATGTAGAATGCCTGCCGTTTTGAGCAGGGACTCTACTCTTTCCAAGCGATCCTTCAAAGACCTCACGTATTCATCACTGCAGGAATCGCATTAGCGACAGAACCAAAACACCCCAAAAAAGGATGACAATACCTTTTAGTGTCATCGCCATTCTCAGGCCCGGAGAAGGTGCATTTGATACCGCGACGAGCACACTGGACACAGACCATGCCAGACCCTTCGACTTCGCACTTGGTCTTCTTCCTGTAGCAGCTTTCACATGCCTGGGACCCAGTCAGCGACCGCCCAGGGAGATCCATCAATCTACGTACTCGTTGGCTTCTCCGCCTAGAGGCACTGCCAAAAGCCATCTTGGGGGCGGGGGTGGAGGATTGGTTCATAGCATAATCGATTGTCGCATTGCGTTGCGCATTTCCCGCGAACGGAGTCATCCGCGCCTGTTCATGCCAAGACTTTTTGCCCTGTCTGCAACTGTCTGTGGGGAAGGGCTCTTAGCGTGAGATTCTTAGGGGCGATCAGATTCATGCAATACAGGATGGAGAGATGGCGTGGATTTTTCGAAGGCGAAGAACATGCAGGAGGGTGATTTAAGGTCGGGAAGTCGGCCCACCTCGGTTCCCGATGCTTGCTGCTTCAACGCTGGGTGCGATGAACCCCGCTGCCATATTACACACCTATGAACTGGGATGCCTAGGCTTTTTGGGAGAGCACTTTGAAGTTCTAGTTGTACGCTTATTACTGCTACTTTTGATATCGATCGCTATCAAGTGCGTGTTCATACTCGGGGCAAAATTGCATCATCACTCGCGCACCACATCACTATACACCAGGCACGACCGGCCAAAGGCTTAAAACCACGAGACACACGTCTTAGCACCAGTAGCACAGACCGAGATAGTCAAGCATATCTAAGCTTAAACAGATAATAGTTAACGTAATTCACGGCCAACCCGTTAACACGGCCAACCCGTTAGTCCACCTCCATTACCAATTTTCTATTCAAGATAACTCCACCAAGAAAGTATAAATTCATCTCAAACTAGCGCTTCTTACAACGATTAATCTTATGCCCTAACTCCCCACACCCGCTACACCTTGGCGGAGCCCTCTTGCGTGGCAAATCTGCCTGACTAGCTGATTCGCCTGCCTCACGCGATACCACCGGGCTATCTTCAACTGGCTGGTCTGGCTGCTGAGCTAGCAGTTGGCCCTCTGCGATAGATAGGCCTCCTTCATGTGCTATTTGTCGATTCGACCGTGTACGTTTCTGGCGTTTCTTCTCGTTTGCTCTACGTAGACTAGCGTTCTCCTGCGCTAGTATCGCAGCGTTATACATCGATAAATAAGCACCTTTGATAATCTGATCCACAGCAGTTTTTGAGGGTGACGGAGGGCTATTTGACCGCTGTCTCAATAGATTCTTGAGTAAGGTAGCCTGCTTTTGTAGCTGAATCACTGTTTTAGGCGTTTTTGGTGTGAATTGGCTAGATCTACTGCTTGGTCGGCTTCCTGGCGGTGTTGGCGTTCGGAGCGAGATATTGAGCTTAGAAAGCACACGCTCTGGGTCAAACGGTGTAAGACCAGTAGCAGCGAAGCTAGTCTGGATAGTCTGCGGTTGAAACGCCTCGATACGCGCCCGAGGGTAATCTGCGAGAAAGTCGAGCTTATCGATGTGGTTATAGCCATATCGGGCGAGGTCGCTCACGAAGCGACCGTATGCGCGCTTCAACGGAGCAAAACACGCAACATCAAGCGGTTGGAGTAAATGCGAAGAATGCGAAGGCATACAGAGCGGTATAATATTATTCTCAGCGCAGATTCGGTCGAATTGAGGTGTAAGGTGGCTACCGTGGCCATCAAGAATTAATAGCCGATATCGACCTCGTACGCGCGAATTCGTATATGGAATGAAGTGCTTCTGTAGCTAGCGAAGGCCTATCTCATCGGTAGTCCAGCCGTTATTCGAGACCTCAATCCGCTAATCGCTAGGTAGATTTGATTCGAACCAGCCAGCAATATAAACCTTGCCTTGAAATATCACATATGGCGGTAGTGCGTAGCCATCGGCGCATATAGCCTCGATAGCAGTAACCCATTCGCGGTTTCCTGGCTGTAAGATAGAGCGCCGACCGTAGTATTCAGCTCGCGTAACCACCTTCTGTGACGATATAAGGCCCATCGCAAAGCCCGTCTCATCAAAGTTATAAATATCCTCTAGTTGTATCCCATTCTCATCGACCACGCGCTTTACGGTATTAAACCACTCTCGTATCGACTTCGGATCTTCATTCAGGGCGCGCTGGTAATCGTAGCGTCTCGAGAAGCGCGAGCGGATCTCTTCGCGGCGTTTAACGAAGGATGATGTCCAATTCACGCCTACAGTAGGCGGAGGGTGAATCCCACGAGTGGCCAGTAGGATATTAGCCATCTCTCTCACAGTAGAGGGCCTAGGTGCTGCACCACGCGAATCCATAGAGATGATCCACTCAGTAAGCGAATCCTCTTCTAATTGTGTCATTTTATGGCTATGCCAGCGTTTATCGACGCGTGGAGACGTTCCGGTAGCGCGGTCGTGGAGGGTAGTGTAGGGCATATCGTATAGCTTCGCTGCGGCGTAGAGAGATTTAATTTGGCCCTTTTGCACCGCCTGAAGGGCTAATAGGATCCTGCCCTCCTGCTCAGCAGATTTATGCCAGGATTCAGAGCGATTTGGTGGCATGGTGGGTAGTTGAAGATGGTAGGTAGGACTGGACGCGCGATTTCTGGTGGGGCTAACGGGTTGGCCGTGTTAACGGGTTGGCCGTGAATTACGTTACCGGTGTCCAGACACGTCACCAGCTGACAAATTCGTCCCCCTAACTAACTAAGTCCCCCGCACGGAGATGTTACCTTACTGTAAAGATGACCTGACAGAGCCCGTGACTCTAGACATCACTCTATACAGAAACTGGACATGCGTGCCACCACCGTTGGGATCGTCTCCATCGGAGACATGGGCTTGGGCATGGCGAATCTGCTCAAGGGCCATGATTACCGGGTAGTCACCGTCGCGGAGGGGAGAAGGTGGGAAGGTACATTCCTACAACTACAACAGCCCGGTTGACGGATCCAACAGTGAACACACGCTGGCGCGAATCCACGCGGCTGGCATCGAGGCACTGTCTTCAGATCAGGAGCTCGTGATCCAGGCGGACTACATCTTATCCATCCTGCCTCCGCGGAATGCTCTCGCGACGGCGGAGCGCATTGCGGGGGCCTACAGGCAGCCCGATACAGCAAGTAGACGGCAGGAGTTGGAGGACGTTAACCATCGGCCGAACCGAAGCGATCTCTTCTACCTCGACCTCAATGCAAAGCCAGCCCGATGGGCCCAGCAGATGGCAGCGCTGTATGAGCCCACCTCAATCGGGTCATTGGCCGGGAGCCACTTCCTCGATGGCGGGATCATTGGGGGCCCGCCAAAGCTTACAGACGGAAAGTGGAAGAAGCCCAGCGTGGTGCTGTCGGGCGCGGTGAACTGCCCCCCACGTTTACAGCACTGGCCGACACGTTGAACATGAAGCTCGTTTCGCCGCGGGTTGGCGCGGCGTCCACACTCAAGATGTCCTTTGCGGCACTCACCAAGGGCCTCACTGCGCTGTCGATTCTGTCCTTCTCCACCGCTCAGCGGGAATCGCTTCTCCCGGAGCTGCTGGAGCATCTCGACACTTTCTCCCCACACACGGGCTCGTTGGCTCGCGCTGGCGTCATAGGGATGAGTCCCAAGGCGTACCGATGGGTGGACGAGATGCGCGGCATCGGTGAAACGTTCGATTCAGAGGGTGGATGGGATGGAGTCGGGGCCAGTATCTATGGCGGAATTGCCGAGGTCTACCGCGCCGTAGCGGAGGATACAATCCTAGGTCAAGAACGTGTCGAGCAGCGACGACGTGGGACCAGCGTGGAGGATGCAGCCGGCATCATTGCTCAGCGAGGAACGGAGCACGATATCGGAAATTCTATGTCATAGGGAGGGGCCGATCGCATCGGTGTGGCTTTTTGATGCATCTTCTAGACTTAGGACTGCCAAGCCTCCGTGTTACGCCCAAATTTCGTAACGGCCGAGTCCGCGTCATCGCCAAGTGGGGATCCGCGGCCCAATTTCAGACTTTCCGTCCGAGCGGAGATGGATTGAAGAGCCCCTTTTCTTCCTGTACACCATTCGCGCCTAAATCAACCTGGAAATCTGGGGATCTATAGACATCTAGACTCGCATCCCTCGCTATATATACCTAGGGACTATAACCGTATCACAAGCGAACAACCCGGCGGTGAAGCAAACCCCTGGGCCGACGAGCGAACCAGAGTGCGCGATCACGACATTTCTCCATTCTATCAGATCATCCACGGGGCGATCTCCTGCTGAGGCTTGCTCTTCCTCAATCAACTTCCCCTCCTCTCTACTACTCTCCCACGGACGTGCCAACCCCCCCCTTTTTTTGGCTTTTCTGCCTCGTTCTGATTCGTGGTCGACGTGGCTCGTTATGCGATTCCACCGTGTACCCGTGTACTTTGTGTAAAAGGTCATCGCGGCCAAACGTCCACAATATCCAATCCTCTTAGTCACTTATTTGCTTGTTTCCGAGATCATCCCCCCTCCTCTGATCTGGGGTTACCGTGGTGAAAAAACAACTGGTTTTGGTCTTCTGCACACTTCCCACTTCTGTTACCACCACATCTTACATCTGGTTTGCAACGAGGAACCCCTCTCGGAGGAGCCCTAGACGCAAGAGGCCAGCCAACCTTGGACCGCCCCCGGCTCTCATTTTCTCTTTCCCTACTTCTTCCTTCCTTCAACCAAATGTCGGAGGAACACGCCTCGCGACCACCTGAGGCCTTCGACAAGCTCGAAAACTTCAACTTCTTGCTGTCTCGCACCGATCCGGCGGCTGCAGCCAGGAACCGACAGTATTCCTTCGACGCTGATACCGGGCTGGTCCCGTTTACCAACGTGAACATGGAATACGATCAAACCGAGGGCATGGGCGGGCTTTCCGTCAGCTCCTACGACAGTATAGATAGTGATCGTTCTCTCGATCTCCGGGGATATCCCTATCACGGTACGTGAAGCTTTGACTTGTTGTCAGATGTTGCATCTCTTGCGCCATCGAGGCTTATGGTTCGTGTTTGATTGCTGGGGCTTGACCTCGCAGTAATCCTGGACCTGAATGCATTTGCCTGAAATCCCGTATCCTCCCAATGCGTATGCGTTGTTATGCCACTTGTTCAGTTTTCATCCCCTACACCTCCCCCAATCACCATCAAATTCCCCGGACTGGCAAGCTCTCCTATTTTGGGGTTCAGAGCTTTTGCTACACAAAGGCCCTCGGCAAGACTTGGCCGGACATGATCTATCTCATTGTGGGATGAGATCACCACCTGTGATAAAATAGCGAGCACGCAATCCCGCGCGCAGATGACATCGCGAGCCTACCCTGCTGTCCTTTGAACATCTTCCCCTCACTATGTGAACGCTTCCTCCCCCCAAATTTATTTGCAAGAATGATCGTGTGTATATCACGCGCGCCTCTCATGGGGTTGCGAACGTCGTTCTATCCTCCTGTCTTTCCTCCCTAATGGATTCATCAACTTCCCTTCGAATCGATCGCTTACTCCATCCCCCAGGCCATCCGGGAGACAAGTCGATCAACTATTCGATTCCCGACCACATCATGCCGTATTCGGCTCAGTCCATCTACCAGCCTGTGCCATTTGCGCCCGACGAGCTCGGCCACGCTCCGGGGGCTCTGACTCCCTCTGATGTCTCGTCATCCATCTCTCCACCAAACGGCCAGATGGGCAACATCAAGTACTCCACCTCCATTCCCGGAGACCGCATTGCCGCGGCCTTGGGTCAGGAGGAGGGTGTGCGAGTTGCTGCCGAAGAGGACCGGCGCCGGCGGAATACGGCCGCCAGTGCTCGCTTCCGCATGAAGAAGAAGCAGCGCGAGCAGGTCCTCGAGCGCACCGTTCGTGAGACTACCGAGAAGAACGCTTCTCTCGAAGCTCGCGTTGCCCAGCTCGAGATGGAGAACCGCTGGTTGAAGAACCTTCTCACTGAAAAGCACGAGGCTACTTCCACCCGTATGCCTCCGCCTAAAGATGGGTCGGCTCTCGAATCAAAGGCTGGCGGTAGTCGCTCAGGCCAACAGCATATTCAGCCCAAAAAGAAGGGCGTCGGCACTGATGAGTAGGAGCTGAAATCCAAGTTTTGCTTTTTTTTTTGGGATGTTTTGGCCTGCGTTCGTGTATCATCTCCCTTCTGCGGTCCCCCAGTCCGTTTCTCGGTGTTTGATTCATTTCCTGCTCTTTGGAGTTGTTGATCTTCTTTATCTCGTTTTCCCTATATCATACAATAGGAAGAACTGAGACTGAGGGAACACTCCATGACGATGTCACGACCTTTCTCTCTAATTCTCGTTCTCCACTTCGGGGCTCCCTCGACCGTGGTTTCTGCGATTCTAAGGGATGGTCCGCATTGCTGTCGGACCCCGACGATATTTTTCCTGCCTTGGTTTATGGATTTGGTTACCTATTTCCATCTCCCTTCCCCTGGGCTCTATATCCCCCCCTCCCCTGCCCAGGCCCTCGATATCTCTCTATATCCTATCTGCTTTCATGCTGTTTCTTTCAGGTATAATCTGAATGTGGTTACTGTTCCCGTTACCTAGTGCAGGGTCGGGAACGACATTCGATGTGGTGTGGTGGTGTGGTGTTGTCGCAAATGCACGTGAGGTTTTTCCTGTTCGGATGGGTCTCCTTTTGTTTTGCTATGGGATTCATTAAGTTCTCCGGTTTGGATTTACTTGCATTATACATAACAGACCTTGTTTGCTCGGACTGCAACCGAGTCCATTGGTGTTTTTCACTTCCAAACTTATCTTGAACCTCGTAGCTCCTGCTACTTCCGTCTCTAGTTGCTGCATCACTGCATCACTATGCATAACTTTGGTAGCCTGCATTGTACTACTGACTCGTATACTGACTCGTATACTGACTCGGATACTGACTCAGATAATCATATTAAAACTTCATTAACTCTTAGTGGATTACCGTGCCCAACTATCCTATCCTATCTCCACCTCCGACGACGCACAAGATAAAACCTCAAATCAAAAACAAAAGCCCTGCACAAGATGGTATTACATTAAGGAAAACAAGACAAGACCATACAAAACAAGCCAAAAGGAAGCTCGTGTCTGTGTTCCTCGGCCGTGTTCGCAACTCCGCAGCTTCGGATGGTCGACGATGGTAAATCGAGATGGTCCCTTCGACCCATCTCAACCATACAAAGGAACTGGGGCGCCACGAGCACGTCCCATGGGTATTGTATCACGACATTCGAGCATGTGAATTGGGTGAAAGAGCGTATGGGGTTTAAAAGGACAGCCACTGCGTGATTGGCGCCATGGAGCCGAGAAAGTACCGATGCCGACATTGTGAGAGTATGTCTACATGTACCGATCGCGCCATTTAGGCAGCTGTGACGCGGACAAAGAGCGTGGGGAAGAGCTGCTTCGAGGGGATTTGGGGAACGTGACCCCCTCGAACAGCTTCAAAGGCGCAAGAAAACAACGAAGCCGTCAGATTCGTGATTGGAGGTGAGCTGGCTTATGCGCCCATGGGCTCCCGTTCCTCTTCACGGCCGCGCGCCTCGCCTTCCATAGTGCTGCCGTCTTCGACGTCCTCGTAGTTGGGGTGCTGGTCGGCGGGCAGCCACGAGTCCCGGTCGCCTTCCAGGGCCTGGTCCTGACCGGACAGGTCGACGCCGTCGCGGTTCTTGATGGCGTTGGCGCGGCGCTGAGACAGGGTGCGAGTGCGCGTGGACAGTCCGGACTTGACGACAGCCTTGGAGGAAACCCAGTTGGTGAGTGCGTCCTCGCAGTCCTGAATGATGGCCTTGCTGGCGTCGTAGCCGTCGTATGCGTGGCGGGTCTCACCGGGGGTCACGGGGGTGTCGTCGATCAAGTCGATCAGGTGCTTGCCGTAGCCGGCGATGATGGCAACCTTCTCGCAGTGCTCGCGCAGAGCGTCGAACTGGTATTGGAAAGCGGCCTTGACCTTTTCGCGCGTGATGTTCGACAGCTGCGCCTCGGCGACCAGGGACTCGGCCTCGGCGCGCACCAGCTCCTGCTCGAGGACGACGATGCGCGGCGATTGAGGGTCCTTGTACTTGAGCTTGGCGATCTCGTCGGTGATTTTCTGCTTGCCTGTTGGGGAGAGTCAGTCAATGGCTATGAATTGTGATCACGTCGGGGTCTTACGGTCTCGGCTGGGTTGCACGGAGGCCTCAATGTTTCGGATGCTCTTGATGGTGACGCGGTACTGGTCGTAGCGGTCGACGAATTGATCCTCCAGCTCACCGATCTCGTAAATAAGGACGCCGAGCTTGTCCGTGACATCCGACACGTCCTCGTCGCAGGCCTCGCCCCACAGGGACAGTTGTTGCTACAAGAACACACCGTTAGCTTTGCGGCTCAGTTCAATGGGTTCAATGGGGACGGTCGGATATGTGACATACAGCGACATCCATGCGTTCCCGAGCGACGAGCTCCATGCTGCGCATTACGTTCTTCTCCATCTTGACGAGCTGCGACAGCTTTCGCGCGAGGTCGGGGCCGAAGGCACCGGCGGTATTTTTACGAAACGCATGTCCTGAGCAACCCGTTAGCGATTGTTCTATCGTAGATCTTGGTTGAGTTCGCGATCCCGTAGTTTTCCCTGGACGGAGGCGGATCCCCGATCGGGCAGCACCAGGTTCCTCGGGTGTGTACGAGATGCACACACGGGCCAGCGACCAACTCAGACCAGACCGGAACTCTCAAAGCTCAACACTCACCGATGCCACCCTTTCCTAGCCATCGGTTGGACTTGGTCGTAGACAATGGCGGCGGGGGGTTCTCGATCTGCGCGGCGGTCGGGGCGCGCGACTGGCGCATAGAATAGGTGCGATGCATGGCGGCAGGTGTAGATTAACGAAGAGAAAGGGGAAGGGAGGCAGAAGGTAGATAATCGAGTCGGAAAAAGGTACCTTGCAGGAGTCAGGAAAAGGAGCCAGGGAAAAAGTAGTGCCTTGCGCAGTAGTGACGTGAGCTAAAAAGAGGGGGAGCTCGTTGGGAGGAGCACTTGCTCTTTTTCTTAACGGGATGCGACGGAACTCTGCAACCGGAGAAGTCAGGGCACTCTTTGGTTTAAAGTTTTCTCCAGTCTTTTAATAAAATGCGAGCTGAAGACTTTCGAGGTGACGTCGACAATTCGGCCGGGACACTTGACCCGTTTCGGTGGTAACGAAGGAAGCTGCGATATCAGACACCCCGGCAACCAGCTACGAACTCCCGGAAAGTCTCATTAATGAGCCCGGGCACCTGCGGATCTACTGCGCCTCGTCTCGACCCGCACTAGCGTCCCCTTTTCCCTGCTCAATGGAGTACGAAGAAGGTCGATCCAATAGTACCGATTTCACGATCGCCGACGTCATCGGTTTCGACTCGGTTGATGTCATTGGCGTCCGCCACTTTTTTGACCGAGTGTGCACCATGTCATGATTCCGCAGAGTTACATTGCAAGTTCTGAGAAGACCAGGAGTCTGGGACAGAATGGTCCCTGAAGGAGTCATTGACGATCGTCAGTGGGGACGGTATGCCAGGACACTGCTTATCTCGTGGATCGGTGGGGGTTTGACTGTTTGGTACGCTAGGAGGTTCGGGACTGGTTGATCATAGATTAATATCATCGACTATCATCCTATCTAGATACATTAACATACTACCCAGAATCAGCCTCTTGGGTTCGGTTCAGTTCGTCTTGCGTTTCTTGCTCGTGCCAGCCTTAGCGCTCGCTTTCTTGGATACCCCTCGTTTACCCCTCGACCCCGAACCTTCTCCATCGGCCCTGGGTGACGTATCTTCCCCTTGAGCTTGTTGCTGCAGTCGGTTGAACGCCTTCTCCATGCGGCTGGGCCCGCTGCCGCGGACTCGGGGCGCAAAGGCCCCGGCGCCTTGCGGTCCCTGCATGTACTGCGTAATGTTCGACTGTGTGCCTTCCTGCTCGCGCCGGTTCATATCTCGGATGACCGGTACCAAGATCTCGTCGGTCCGTTCCTGACTCCAGCCGATCGTCGCCATGAGGAAATGTCTCAGACCGTTCAGGTCTGGGATGCCCCATTGGAACTGCGACGGGTCGGAGTCGACCTCGGGCTCGAGGTAGGCCTCGTCTACTCGAGTGTCGGGGAATGAAGTACTCAGGAAGATCTTCGAGGCCTTTTTCCGAAACTTCTTCCAAAAGGCCTGGTGGACGTCGTCCGGCTTGACCACACCCATTTGGACTTCTCCCCACCAGTCACGAAACTCTTCCAGACTTGAGAACTCGGTGATGATCTCCAGCGCTGTGACCGGACCGATTCCGGGGATGCCTTCCGTGTAATCACTGCCTAGGAGATGCGCAAAGCTAATGAGCTTGCGCCGGTGGAGGGCATACTCCTTCTCAAAGTCGGACGTAAGGTAACATTCTACGAACTTGCTCTGATTGAACATGTTCTTGTAGACTCGAGTGCCTCCAAAGAGGAAGATATCACTATCATCCGTGACGATACCGTCCACGAGGCCCAATGAAACGAGCTCGGCGCACTGCGCTTCGGCTTCCATGGGTGCAGTAATGTATGGCAACCCGAAGAGTGTGAGCAGCTGCTGGCACTCGTTGATCATGATCTGAGTCACCTCATCTGCATCACGCCGGTCTTTTCGCTGCTGGTTTCGGAGCTGTTTCAGCTCTTGTTCGTAGTCAAAGGCATCCTGAATGGGTACTGCCGAGTTGAGGGTCTGCGCAAATCGGGCGTGTTCTTCTCCTTCGGCGGCAAGCTGTTGCAAAAGATCTTCGTCTTCCGGATCGCTGAACTCGCCGTCGTCTTCGACATATAGTTCAGGTTGGATAGGTTCATCTTGCGGCTTGGGATGCTGATCGGAGACCACTGTGATTTCTGGAGCTTGGGCTGGCGGTTGGGCTAGGACATCTTCAAAATCTGGTTCAGGAGAGAGTTCAGCGGGAGAAGGTTGTTCCTGGACGCTGGACTCTTCCGTCTGGTCCGGAGTAGGCTTGTGTTGATCAGCTACTATCGAAGTTTCAGGATCCGGAGCTGGTGCCTGGCCCACAACGTCTTCAAACTCGGGTTCCGGGGAAGGCTCAGTATGGGGAGGCGGTAGTCGAACATTGAGCTCTTCTTCCTTGTTGGATGTAGATGTAAATTCAGTACGGAGTTCCTCGGTGGGAGCTTTCTTTCCAACCGGCTTCTCCAAAGGCTCAGCCTCGACAAATTCATGCTTCATCTGTTGCACATCTGGAATGTTTTTATCATGAGCCTTGGTCTCCCTTTCCCTTTCCTCTGGCTCTTCTAGATCAACGATCTCTTTTGTGTCTGGCATGCCATCGACATCAATGATCTCTGGTGATCGGCGATTCGTAAAAACCACATGATCATGATCTGTGGCATCATCCCGATCGTCGAAGGGTTTATCCACGATGAATTCCTCATTCACTCGCTCGCCAACAAACCATGGAGGAAGCGGATCGGTTTTCTTCTTTTTTGTAGGCTCCTTAATGAAACCTCCAGCATTCTCATCAATCTCAGGAGCAGGCTCGGCGGCTTTAGTGGTCTTGTTGAGTTTGATGGATTCGAAGGGAAGAGGACCACTGAATGGATTCTGAGTGCGCGGCTTCTTTGAGACCTTTGTCTGTGCAATCGCAGCTGAAAAGTCCATTCCATCGTCATCGCTCTCGGAGGACAGATCTGCCACAGGCTCAGGAGGCATTGCCATGTCTGCCGGTCGATTGATGTTGATGTCGGGCATATCTTCGTCATGCCCTTCATTCGGGTGCATTGAGAGAGCAATCGCTTTTTCAAGATCGTCATCTCCATCATCGTTGAAGAAGTCTTCGGTGTGATTTTCATCTTGGACGAAAAGTGCGTCATCATCAGTATTTGCGATAGAGCCTCGTTTGCCTTGGCGAGACTCAAAGAGTGCTCTTTGCATGTCTGCATCTTCCTGCGCTTGATGGAGGGACTGATCGAAAACGCCTTCTTTCAGAAATGGGAGTTTCGGCAGCCTGTTGAGTCCCTCGATCGGAACATCCTCAAATTCTTCTTCATCTGACGCGTCCTCTGACCCCGACAAGACCTCGGGCATACCGTATTGATCCACATCAATAGGTTTGTCCTCTTGCCCTGCTTCCTTGTTTCCAACAACACCCAACACCCAGCCGCCCTCATGTTCTCTATCTTTGACCAGGACATATTCCCTGCCACGCTCGCCAGCGATTCGTTGACCGGAGTTGAAAAAAGCCTCTTCGCCATTCATGCCGTTGATGTTCATTAGTCGTTGCGTCAGGTCATTTCGCTCTTTCACACGCTCGATTTGAAATCTCGAAAAGTCCATACGATTTGGAAACATGGTATCCAGCTGTTCCTTGGAATAACCCATTCTCAGGCGACTCCTGAGCCTCGCGGCATTTAAGATATTATATCGATCTGTCGCAGGCAGACTCAGGAAGAAAGGACTGTCAAAGTCTATCTTGGAAAAATCGTAGAGGTTAATATCTTGTCCCTGGTGGAACTGCCGCGCATATTCTTCCAGTTCGTCTTGAGACATGATACGTGGGTCATTCGGAGCGCCCATCTCTTCCAGAGAAACATCCATGGTGGGTAAGTGATAAGCGTCCTTCTTCTTGAATTTGCGGGTTTGCTGTTTCTCCTGTTCGGTCATGAGAGCCTCATCCGCATAGACAGGTGCATCGGGGACGGCCTCCTCAGGTTCCTGCGCGCGTTTCCGATTTCGACGGCGTTCTGCGGCTTCTTCTTCAGCAGTCCGTTGCATCTGCACTGCAAGTAGCTTTCCCGCCGTCTTTACAGCATCTTCTCTACGGCCCTCGCGTCTCTTCTTGCGACTTGCGATCGTCTGTCGCTTGAGAACTGGTGCGCCGCCATCGAAGACAAAGACAGGTCGAATTCCGAAATACAGCAGCTTGCATATCCGGCGGAAGAATCCCACAACGTGGGAGTTGCGCAGTGCATTGCCCTCTTTATCGCGTACGGCTTTTAGGAACTGATAGATCCAGATGGACGCGTCGACAGCTAGCCGTTTCTTGTTGAGGGTTTCGAGTTTGATAGGCCGAGCACAGGGCTGAACCACTGTCCAGAGCCCGGTGACACCCATGGCGACACTGAGTGAGATGCCACTCGAGTGAGTTTGAACATCGAATCATGCCTTGGCAGAGAGAAGGCTGATGACATGGGCTCCACGTTGATCACGCGAAGTCACCTGATCAATATCGCCACTTTAGGACTAGTGCTGTTATTAGTAAGCGTTCTGGCAGAAGCAGGCGCAATTTTGATATTCCTCAGATGAGAGTCAAGATAGACGCTGCAATTGATTGGGTTGGTTAAAGCGGTGATGCTTCTCAATGCGTGGGGGAGCCTGTGGAAATGTCACCATCTCTTGAGGTCTGTGTCCATGCGAAATACCCTGTTCATCCAATGCCCCGCTGACTCAAAACTTCAGTTTGTGGATGCTTGTCTTCCCATAACAGCATTAAAGACGCTTGACTGGAACACGAGAAACTTTATCTTGCAAGGCCAAGGTCCGTTCTTCCGAGTGATTGACGACCGAACTGGCCATGTGGCTGCTCAAGTTCAAATCTTCAGACGGAACAATGTCCATGGATTCATCATCCTCCCTCAACAAGATCATGACGATGGGAAAGATATTTTGCAAATTATAGCCTGGGGCGGAAAGTCCCTACGTGCTATTGATCTCGTCTTGGGGTCCAACAATGTAGTAACATTGTCCGTGTCCAGTGCCGAATTCCTCGCTCCAGACTGGATCATGAACGGGTGTGCTGCTGTCCTTGAGCAGCCAGATACAACATATCTGGTCACAGCGAACAACGCATTGTTGAGCTTGAAGCTTTCACCCTCCGCGTCATCAAAATATCACTTCTCAATCAGCATCTATCAACTGACAACGAGCGTCAAGTGTATCTTGTACGCCGCAGACCTCATTGCACTCTCCCACTCTCACATCCTGATCACTGCAGGTACGGTATTCGGTGAAATCATTGTTTGGTCTTGCTTCATCGATGGAAATGAGCCATCTAAAGCCAGCTGCGTTGGCTCAATTCATCATTACTTCACTGGTCATGACGGTTCAATATTCGGCGTGCGCATCTCACCCAATATTTCATCCTTGAACGGTGGAAAATCTGGTCGGCTATTGGCGAGCTGCAGTGATGATCGAACCGTGCGCATATGGGACATCTCCGACTGTGAAAACAAGTCATCCCGGGATCCTTCCGCATACTCTACGGATGGCTTCGAGCTTCGAAGCACTGGATTTGGGGCCACTCTGGACAATCCGGGTATTGATGCGGAATCGTGCGTTGCGAAGGCTTTTGGGCACGTTTCTCGCATTTGGAGCGTGAACTTCCGGCCCCTCAGAGAGAGCCAGCCCAACAAGATGGGTCTGGTGTCGCGGGCCGAGGATGCTACTTGCGTCGTTTGGGATTTGACCTGGGACCCAGACCCTTCTGGTACAACGATATATGAGCTATACGAGACCGCCTCATCTCATCTCCATTCCGGCAAGCATATTTGGTCTCTAGATCTTTGTAGCCGTGGCGAAGAGACTGCTGTTTACTCAGGAGGTGCTGATGGCGCCTTGAACAGCTTCCTTGTCAAAGAGACCGATGAGAATGATATTTCGCCATCAAACGACCTTGACGTTTCAACCAAAGGCCGTCCTTCGAAGATTGGCACAAAAGCCTTCGGCTTCGTTACTCCAGACACTTTCATTGCCTGCTCTGCGAACGCTGAGCTACAAATTGGGCATGTCGAGACAGGGGAAAAAGCGAGTATTACCTGGGAGACTCTGTGTACCGCAGAAGACCCTCGCTCGTTCCTGTTGATCGCTGGGGTTCCGCGAAAACGACTTGCATTGGTTGGTAGTGCGCAAGGCTCCATTCAACTTTACAAGCATGATACCAAATCACTGTCCCATCTTGTGGAGATGGGCGGAAGACCCATCGGACTCATTGCTCTTGAAAACACCTCGCAGCCGGAGACTCTCTCATTCCTTGCTTATTATCCAACCGAGAATACCGCGACCCTGGTGACCGTTATGGAATGGAATGTCGAATTTCCCAAGACTGAGGCTGTTACTTTCAGCTTACCAAAAGCGCCATTCGCTGTTTCTGCTGCATCACTGATATGCAACGGTCAGTATCTAATGATTGGATCTAAACTTGGTGGCCTGGCTGTGTATCGAATCTCAGGTATTGGTATGGACTCCCGGCCTCTGGTAGAGGATCGACGTGTCCATGGCCGTGCCTGCACCAACCATATCCAAGTGATTCCATCGGTGGCAGATTCGAGTGGCACCAGTCCGGAACATGTGTTGACCTGTGGAGGTGATGGATTCTTCTGTCTCCTCGACATAAAAACCAGCGAAAACGATCACAACGCTGTCTCGTTTGAAACAGTGCATAGGTCATATTCTGGTCTCGCTGGGAATATCGGAGGTGCCTACTTTGACGAGGCAAGTGGTGATCTGATGATTTACGGGTTCAGATCCCAATCCTTTGTTCTACGCAATGAGTCGAAACAAACGGACGTCATTTCCATTCCTTCGGGTGGCGCTCGCAGAGGTTGGGCCTTTCACCATGTAACTAGTGATAATGACGCTGTCTTCGTTTGGAAAGACGGCTCTCATATGTACACCCGCCTCATCCGTACCGATACCAACCGATGCCTCCGACCTGGAAGCCATGGGCGTGAAATCAAGTCTGTGGGCAGCGTCGACTCCGCTCAGGGCAGACAACCGCTCTTCGCTACCGGATCGGAAGATACTACAGTGCGCATATTTACACCGTCAAGCCCGGTCAATGCAAGTCCGTGGGGATCCTTTGAATGTATGCGTACTCTGGATACACACAGATCAGGTATTCAGCAAGTCAGCTGGTCAAAGGATGGACAGTACTTGTTCACGAGTTCTGCATATGAAGAGTTCTTCGTCTGGAAAGTGAAATCTGTTCCATCATTTGGTCTTGCAACAATACTTTTGGCCACCGGTCCGAAAGATGACCCGAACTCGGAGCGTCGAATAACCAGTTTCGACGTGGTGGAAGTCGGAGATTCTGGAGTTGGGCAGGAGTTCCTCCTGTGCTTGACCCTCTCCAACTCAACGATCAAGGTTAGTGGATTTCCATCAATTGATTTGCCTAAGAATAACTAACACAATTTAGATTCTCCACTTTTCTCCATCCGGTGCCAAATTCACCCTTTTGGGCAGGGGAACATACATGACGAACTGTTTGACTCAAGGCCATTTCTGGGTGAAGGACTCGTCAGTGAGCCTGATTACTGCCGCTACAGATGGATTCTTTACTCTTTGGGACCTAACCACCACGCTCGAGCCATTCTATACGATCGCTTCGTCTGCTTTGACTCCAAAGCCATCTCTTCGAAACTCTACCGTCTCACCCGAAGAGATCTCCTGTGAAAGCCGATATCAAATCCATTCGAACAGCATCAAAGCAATGGATCTCGTAACACTTTCCGACTCCGCCACCGTCATCGTGGCCGGAGGCGATGATAGCTCCATTTCTGCGTCTCTCTTGACGACGGGCTCAGACGGAAGCGTCCAGGTGGCTACAGTCTCGGTACCAGACGCCCATGCAGCTTCAACGACGACCGTCAAAATTCTCCACCAGAAAAGATCCCACGCCGTTAGGTCCGACACTGAACTCATCACACTCACAGTGGCTTCCTCGGGCAACGACCACCGAGTCAAGATCTGGTCCATCACGGTGGATCCTACGCAGCATGGTGCACAAGGAATCCGCGTTGAATTTCTGCTGGACCGGTACAGCGCTGTGGCTGACTTATCCTCTCTGGGGTTGATTAAGGTATCCGAAAATGAGGGAATGCTGCTAGTCTGCGGTGTTGGTATGGAAATGTTTCAGATCAAGTTGTAAAGAATTGATCTGCATAATGACGACGTGATGCACAAAAATGTACATAGGAAATGACACCTTGAACCAAGGGTGAAGAATCATGGCATAAAGGATTGAAATTAGACTTGCACTATCATTGGACATTGCCCAAATGGAGCAATGTGCTCCAATTTAAGATATCTACACGGCTGCTCGAAGCCAAGTGACTTCCTTCCGCCCGTCCTATAGCCGTGTTCAAAAGGGCTAGAGGGCGTTGCTAGAGGGAATTTAGCCCTGGAGTTTGTTCGAGACGCCAAGCAAACAGTGCGACAGCTAGCTCCCTTTAAGTATTATTCGAGGGTTTCATTTGTTCCAGGTGGGGCGATTGCCGGTCTTGGATATAGTGCTTGAAGTGGAGATGGGGCTTTCTCCAGATGCGGTGTCATCTATCTGCATCAGACATAATCTAGACGGGAATGCCATGCTCCACCCGGCCGGTGTTTTGCGTAATCTTTCTATTTTCGCAAGTGTCATCTATGGAGTCCGAACGTTATCTGGAGTAGATGTAAGTTGTGCGGGTGGAGTGGGAAGCGGTGAAGGCAGGTCCATGTATTGATCAGTATACGTGGAATGGACTATCGAGCGGTCGCAGTGATTTCCTTGATAGAGTAGGTAGTAGGCAACAGGTGATTGGAGCGGAAACCTTGTACATAGTACGTAGAGACGCAAGTGGCGATCGCGTTGGCTTTGGCGATAACGTATCGCCGGATGGCGTGTGGCTGAGGGACGCGCAAGATCTTCACCCAAAAAATAGAGACCTAGGAGCCACGAGGTGTACAGATAGAATAGGTTCGTCAAGCGAACCGACGCGAGTGCCGAATCCCCAGAAAAGCCTATTTTAAAAGATAATTATAGAAACTAGAGCCACAAGGGATAGGTGTCGGTGTGGAGGCAAGGCAGTGGGGCGGATAACGGCATCTGTGCCAAGTGGGAAACGAAGCAGCCTGGCCGAGATCAAATGCCAGATTACGCAGAGCTAGGGCTGTGAAGTGAGCAGTCAGGCAAAAATCCATCGGGGCCCACAAGGCTGGAGTGGAGGGATGACGAGGCTTGCACGGGGGTGGAAATGGTGATCGGCCTGATTGGGCCCGTTGGTATGACGATCCTGCGCTCGAACCACGGGAGGCCGACTGTATTTTAATTGAGTCCGGGAGGACGGGACGAGCTGGTGTAATGTGTTGGACGGGGGGATGTGACTTCATGTGTGCCCCCATGTTGTGTTCCCTGATCGATGGGCTGCTTGGGCTACTTGGATGTACCTCGACAGTCTCAGTCGGGTCTCGTCAGGGCAGCGAACCTTGCGCCCCAAAGAGGACTAGCGCAGCCATGAATAGAAACGTGGCGTGGGAGCGGGTCTGTTTACCCCGTGACTGGTCCCGTCCCTGCCCTGCGCCCCTTCGCAGGAGGCTGGTGTTCGACGAGGCTGTACATTTACACAGTAATTTGTTTCCGCCGATCATCCACGTTAAAAACCACCCGCTTCCCCCGTCTCCCTTTCTCCCTCACCATCATCCAATTTCCAACTTCCCCTTCCAGATCCAATCACTCATCATCATGGGGAAAGCCGGACGCGTCGCGTGTATCTTCACGCCTTATGTGCTTACGATCGCATCTCTGATCTGTATTATTATGGTCGGATTGGGCTGCACCAAGGCCAGCTCCAGCACATTGAATAACCTGTACTTCATTCGGGTATGTTTTGGCGCAACTTTCACTTTGCTTTCTTGTCTTTCACCACGAGTGCCCTGCTAACAATGGTTCGCTCTATAGCTCGACATCCAGAACATCAGCAGTGCCGGGTCCAAAACAACGACGGAAATCGAGAACATCCTCAGCGAGCATGGAATCACCAGCGTCACCGCGAACGATGTGTCGGACGTCCTGAGCAAGCTCCAGGATGACAGCACCCTGAAGGACTTCTACTCCATCGGTCTCTGGGGTCACTGCGATGGAGACATCTCGAACAACAAATACACCACCGACTCATGCTCCAAACCCAAGAGCGAGTACTACTTCGACCCGCTCCAGGTCTGGGGCCTGGACAACGACGCCGTAAAGGATGAGCTGCCCGACGACTACGCCAAGATCATGAATATCTACAAGGCCGTCTCCAAGTGGATGTTCATCGCCTACGTTCTCGCCTTCGTCACCACCATCGTGGAGATCCTGGTCGGCATCTTCGCCATCTGCAGTCGCTGGGGAAGCTGTGTCACCACCCTCTTCGCCGTCCTCGCCTTCCTGTTCATCACCGCCGCCTCCATCACCGCGACCGTCCTCTTCTCCATCGTGGACTCGACCGCCGGCGGCCTTCTTGACGCCTACGGCATTACCTTCTCCATGGGCAAGAACATGTACGCCGCCACCTGGCTCGCCGTCGTCTTCTCCCTCGCCGGTACCCTCTTCTGGCTCTTCAGCGTGTGCTGCTGCTCCGGCCGCTCGCCCTACAACCACAAGGGCCGTGAACGCCGCGGCGCGGGCATGGCCGCCGAGAAGGCTCCCTACACGTACGAGCCCCTCGGCGCCGGTGCCGTGCCCTACGGCCACCAGCACACCACCTCGTACCCGCCTCCCGCTGCGAACGAGTACCCCATGACCAACGCCAATCACAATGGTCACACCAACGCATACGAACCCTTCCGCCACGTCTGAGTGTCCTTGAAATTCCCTTTCATTGTACATCTCTTGAAGCGTTCTTAGACTGGAGATACCATGGCGTTTTTTTTTCGGTTCCATTACCGGCTCGGCTTTCTCTTTCCCTGCTTGTGCTTACGACTTTTTTTTTGACGACTCTGATGCTTGAAACCCAGCGAGAATTGTCGCCGAGGAATGCATTTACTGTATATGTGATTATCATGCCCCCGTCCTCTTTGAGGAAATGACTCTTTACTGCGAATCGCCTTGAATATAAAATATCAATATTTTTTAACCATGGAAAACCACTTTCATTCTTAAGTTGTAGAAACTTCCCAGCGGGAGCCAGGACATTATATTCTTCCGCTGAGATTCAAAAGACCCCAAATCTGTACCATTTAGTGTGGATCACCCTATCGTTGCCATTCGCGGGAATTGGTCGGGGTCGGGAGGCCTGATCTAAATCTTGTAAGCAAAACGACGAGGCTGACCGTCAGCAGTCGATCTCAATTTATGGTCCGTGTATACGTGTTTGGACTACTGCTGACAAGCTGATCTGCCATCAAGTGTCGTCAGCTTCAGCCGTCGAAGGATTGATGACAGATGGGGTATTGTAGATTTATTATCTGTAGACAACTGTGGTGAAAGATAACAGTATACATGGAAATAATGAAATGATAAGTAACAATTCAAGCATTGTTTTCTCTGCTTAAAGGAAATATTGGGGTATCTTTATCTTCGCCCCCACGGTCACCCGACGCCTGTAAACCAATGAAGACCGGGAAAATTCCGGAGAGGCGAGTCTGAATATGGGAAAAGGAGGGACGGGAATTCATCGCATCGATTCAATCACGGTGGATCGGACGGCGAATAACACCCTTGTCGTTAAGACGTATTTTGGCTCCTCCTCGCCGAAGACGCTCAGATCGTACGTTCTGCTCCGCCTCAACAAAGCGCTTGAAGGGTGTGTTGGGGTCGCCGGACCATACGGGACATTTTGGACGCATATGCCGTAGCGAGACGAACCAGTTTTCATCCTCGCTTTCTGCGTCGGGAGACGCTGCTGGGCTGCCATCTGCTCGAGAAGGGGAAACGGCCGGTGCGGCCGAGATGAAGCTCTCATCACCGAGCTCGACGCTGGCGGTTTCATGGTGGGTGTCATCTAGATCGGTTTCTTCGACTTCACCCATGCTGATATCATCGGCATCGTTTCGCACCTCGTGATGAGTAGTGTCTGGGGGTTGGTCAAGACTCGACTCGAGACTGGAGAGAGCGGGCTTGACGCCCGTTGAGTCATCGACATCAATGGACTTTGTTGAAATATATGCTGATTCATTGTAGTAGTCCTGGCCCGGTCCTTCCATCTTGATTGAGACAGAGGAGGCTCGGGAAGATGCAATGAAGCCAGGATCGCCCGCCCCAGGAAGACTGCTCTTAGCGAATTCGTTGATGGAGTGGGCGTGCAAGTTGAAGAGATTTTTCGCCAAACTTGTCGTCAACGAGGAATCCTTTGCTTCACCTTGAGGAGGCAGGTCTGGTTGGACTTGGCTGCTGGCGACTAAGGGTGCCAATTCAGCCGGCATGAATTGTGATGCCGCAAGCTCGATCCCGTGCGCCGTCAGGCTGCGTTTTCTGTAGATCGGGTGTGTGAAGTTTAAAAGGAAGTATTCCTCGTAGCTCAACGTCTCCATCTCCTGGGACGCACGCTCCTCAATGCGAGAAGGATATCGCTGGAGATGCATTATGATGAAATCGTCCCAAAGGAATGACCATTGAAGCTGGCCACTCGCCCGAATTGCCTGTAGCTTGGAGCACAACTCGATGAAGTGATCGAAGTCCCCAGCATAAACTGAATAATCGATGCAAAATCTCTTGTAAACTTCCTTGGCCTGAGCGACCTTCTCTGGATTCTTTATGTGGGAAAGACGTCGGGCCACAAGAGCAGCGCTTTGAGTGTTTTGCATGTTCATCGAACTTTCGCCGAACCCTTCGTTTTCACGTGGCAGGCCTTTTTGGCTTCTTAATGGAGTGTAGACCGGATCTGTGACTGCAGGGTTGGAATGCCCTGCCGGAGAGACCTGTGAAAAGCCCACGGGCCCATCTTGTGAAGGACATCCTTCCGTTGACCCCTGAGTTTGCTCATTGAACTGAGTCGAAGCTGGTTCTTGAGAGCTCGTAAACAACAGAGAAGAGTGCTCAGCTACCACTTGTTGATCTGACAGGGAGAAATTTTGGTGACGATGAGGTGAGCCCGAAGAATTGAGCACGATCTCTTGTGATTGAGTAGCATTCTGCGATGGAACACTCATGCTGCTGTTTTGCGGTTGGGTTCCCTCAACATCCACCCGAGGCGATACATCGTATGACGGATGAGAAGACGGACTTGGACCTTCGTTTGATGACTGGCTTTTCTCATAGCTTCCATGATAAGGATAAGTGTTGAGGACTCGTGATGGCGACGAAGTTTTGTTGGCCTGAGACGAAGGCAACTGCTTTTGGGAAGGGCTGAGTTCGGTTTCCTGTTTACTTAGCTTGCTGCCATGTAGCCGGCTATTGTGAGTTGCAGGAGTCTCCGCAACTTGGAAATGATTACCTTCCATCCCTGGAAGCGAAGACCCTGAACATGTCACAGTCACATCTTGCTCGACCTGAGTGCTTTGTGTCGGATCTGGCCAGCTTTCCCCGAGTCCCAAGGGCACAGAAGTGTCCATCATTGACTCGTCACTTTCGTCACCCGAATCATCCTCATCAGGTCCAAAGGCGGGTTTTGAGCCCCTGAAATGTGTGGGTGATTTCTGCGACAAATTTGATGCTTGTGATTCCAGGGGCTGAGGAAGATTTGATTTTTCCATATCCGCATCGCCATGTTTAAGAGAAGCTTGGGTTGGAGTTGTGAACTTGTCGGTACCGGCGTCTTCACAGTTCAGCGGCCGAGAGATTTCGGCTGCGGATACCTCAGGGGCACTTTGAGACGGCTCAGCACATCCAGTTTGAGGCTGAGATACATTGTCAAGTCTAGTTGCATCGCCCGAATCATCATGGCCCTTTGTCTGCCTAAGATTATGATTTCCAGCACTCGCGGCTTTCTTATTGCCGATAAAGCTTGGTTGCCTCACGGGGCTGCTGTCTGATGGAAGACGATTCTCAAAGCGACGTTGCTCGGGGGTTGGCGTCCAATCAATTGGGGTTCCTTCAGACCCAGAGTCCTCATGATCAGAAGACATTACGGTATCTTGCGTCGGAGTAGGAGGTTGTTCTGGTATAGCCTTGACTTCTTCTGCTCGTCGATGTCTTATCTCCACAATGTTGTTCCATTGCCTCAAGAGCGAAGGTGGTACATGCCCTCGAGGCATTTGTTCATTTGGCATAGGTGGTATCCAAAGTTTTTCTTCAAGCAGCTTTGTCTGGTCTTTTGAAATATAGACCTCACTCGATGGTATCATTCCAAGCCCCTCCCACGGGTTAGCCCTCATTGGTCGGGATGAGTGAAACGGAACGGGGTCTCCATAGAGGCTTTGTTCTTCCGCATGGGGCATGTCAAGTTTTCCTTCCGTTGGCTTTCCAGTATCGGACCATTCTTTCAGCGTTTCATGGGCAGCATCGATGCGTTGTCTTTTTTTCGACGGGGTCTCTCCTTTAGACTCTTTGCGGGAATCGTCATCACAAGCCGGCAGTGATTGAATTTCCACGCTCTCACGCTGCCGTTTTCGAGAGGGTGGTCTTTCCACCCCATGCGATGGTTCACTAGCGGTATGGTCTATGGCCAATGACTCTTCGGCAATCCGATTGGTTTCATGGACCGTTGGGTCACTAAAGCCAGCAGGAGGATTCTGGGATGACAGGGATTCTGTAATGTCACCATTGCTAGAAGCCGAGCCAGGTGGAACCTGCCGAGAGGAAACCTCCACCGGTACAGAGGTCTGACTCTCAAAGTTCGTGTATTCCTCATTCCCGTTTCTGAGATCATGTGGAAAAGAGATCCCTTGATGGCTACCATTTATCACCGGGGCTAATGGTGTGGGCTGCTGAGAATTATTTGCAACTCGACCACCGCCACTTGTCACCCAGGAGCCCTCGTCAGCAAAGACCTCGGTATGGTCTTGCCGTGGTAGAGAATCTCGTGGAATATCCCTGAGGGTCGGACGAAATGAAGGCATGAGACGCTGGAGAAGCTCAGCCGGGGCACGCAAGAGAGAGCGACCCGTCTTGGAAAAGCGGTCCGGTGTACTATGTTCATCCGTAGGAATCTGGGAGAACAATTGTTGCGAGCTCATAACATTCGCGGGACTGCTCTGGTATTCTTCTGACCGGTGTTGGTTATGGGCATCAGACCCGTTAAAGTTGGATACCGAGAACAATGCTCCGTTCGATTTGAGAATTTCCTTAGGCTTTACGGCCTTCTGGCGTGCTCTCTCCAGGACGGACTTAAGACTCTTCTCTTTCCTTAGCTTCTTTGCAGGTACATATTTGAGCGGTCCTTCGCTCCAGTCAATGCGAAAGCGGTTGACGTGAAGTCGTACATCGGCAGTTGAGTATTGGAAGACGAGGCGAAAGTCCAGAAGCTTCAAACGATGCTTTTTAGGCCCATCCATAGGTTGCAAGCCCTCCGATTCGATTTTGAACGCAGCAAGTGCATCCTGGGATATGGTCGCATCGATCTGATTGTTCGAATCCATCAAAACTGCGGTGTCAGATAGCGAGCCCATGCCCCACTAGGTACAGAAGGGTTAGTGATCTCCAGATCGAAAATTGGACCAGTGATCATATACCTCTGCCACAATAACCGCAGCGTTGAAATCTTTGACATTGAAGTGTAGGCTGGTCCCGTCATCCTCCACTTCAATAACGCTCTGCGGAGATTCGCCCAGGTAGAAGGACAGGCACACACCCACAACCTGCGCGATCCAGGCGGATATCGAGCTCATTGTAAAGGTCCTGCACAGTGCCAGATAAAAACAGTCTGTAAAGTCATTTTCCGGGAGAAGAGAACTGGGCAGCGATCGCAGCACCGACCTGTCAATCCCCCAAAGTCAAGAATCCTAGGAGTGAAAAGCGATAAACGATAAGAAGAAGACGCGCGACGCGCCCGCTGACTCAGCTCACCACGTCATTGCACAGAAGGTGCTTGTGTGGAGAAAGTGCAAGGGCGATCAACTCTTTCTCTTATCAACCTTTTCTTTTTAGCCTGAGACACTTCTGGGTGCCAAACCTCCCAGTCTGAGACTATTAGCTATCTCCACCGCGGATGACTCGGCTACCAGCAACACCCACGTCCTTTGTGGGGTTGATCTACAAGCTCTCGGCCTGACCGCAACATGTCCGGATACATGGACCAGAAGTCGCATGGAAGCTCGAGTCCCTCCGCGTCGTCCTCATTTCTTCCTCTTGGACGACGCGGGTCCAGGGCATCTCTAGCGACGACGCAGACCGATCGAGAAAACATGAATGCAGCTCTGGATCAGATTCACACTGCGGCCTATCGGTCCGATTCGCTAACGCATTTCAACGACTTCACCAGCCCCCCGGCCCCGGCGCCCGCATCAGATGACAAGTGCCTCTCGGAAGAGCTGCAGGGAGGACTCAGTGGACTGTATAGCCGTTTCAGAACCTCGGTAGGCGGGATGAGAGACATTGTCAGTGGTGGGGTAAAGTCAGCGGATAGAAGTGTTGCGGAGACTCCTGCTGTCAAGAGCCCACCACCGGAGCGCTCGATGACCAAGTCTGCGTCGGACCTGGCTGCTGGCTCCGCAGATCATCGCCATCTGCCATCGTATCCCAACTCGTCGCAAGGGTCAAGACTACATTCACCAGTTGTGGCGAATTTTCAACATGCTCAGGATGCCGTGGCGCAGCCAAACGCCGGGAAAGGCTCTAAAATATCTTCCAAGAGTGCTAGCATATCTTCCAAAGCTTCTGTTTCCCCTTCTCCAGGGATCAAATCCACCATCGCTCCACTCACAAAATCCACCGGTGCCTCTATCGCAGCCGATCCAGCGATCACCCAGCTTCACGTGAGCGCCGTGAATACCAGTCACCATTCTAGGAGCAACTCTATCAATGTCCCTGCCCCGGGCTTGAAGAGTGCCGACTCGGCCAGTATCAGCAGCAAGGATGGGCCGATGGACACATCCATGAGCCAAACATCTTCCGTGCCGAGCCAAAATTTATCCCATTCGCCGGTGTTGTCCACAAAGACCCATGAAAGTAATCATGGAGACCCTGGCTCACTGGAGGCTAGCGGATCACTCCCACCGGCGGATGGTTCGCTCTCCGAGAGTCGGCCCCGAAAACCGTCTTCTACAGAACAATCTAGACCTCCAGATAGCATGTCCCAGTCGGCAGTTTCACGAAGCTCAAAGCATACAGAGCCTCCCCAAGACTCGTCATCCCAGCACCGGGAAAGCAGATCGAATTCAAGGATGTCTTTCGCGCAAGATGAGTCTGCAGTGCCGACGGCTACGTCGACCAATCACCCAAAAGCAACTGCCAGTGAAGGAAGCCCATTCCCTACAAGCTCAAATGTTGAGAGTAAAGCTAAAGCCCCAGCTTCTCACAATAAACCAGAAAATAGTGAACTTTCAAAACTTTCTGCTTTGGCAACATCCTTTGATAAACCGCCCCCGTCGCCTACAAGAGGGCGATTTCCTGGCTATGTAACGTCCCGAGCATCCACTGCTGAGACGATGACATCGGTGTCTTCTTTGCCACCGGTGTATACAGCGGGTCCACGGGGAACTGGGCCTGTTCAGCTGGACAAGCAGCCCCCTGTGGCAACAGGCGAGAGTGGGGTTTCACAACTGCGAAGTAAATTGCTCAGCCGAGATTTCTGGATGCGTGATGAAAACGCTAAAGATTGCTTTCACTGCGGAGAGCCTTTCACTACATTTCGCCGAAAGCATCATTGCCGCACCTGTGGGCAAATCTTTGATTCTAGGTGCACGCTTCTCATACCAGGAACGCGATTTGGTCAGCCTGGCTCCATCCGCGTCTGCAAGCCGTGTGAGGCTATGATCAATGCACATGATGATGACTCTTCTGAATTCTCTGATAGCGAACAGAGTCCCGTTGCTATGAATTCCCGGCTATCAGAGCTCAGTTGGGGAAGCAATGGAGCTCGAATATCTCCGGATGATGACGATACCGCATCAGTCGTATCCCAGTCGATTGACCATGTTCTAAGGACCCCGACGATGGCCATTCCAGCCACTCGCCGCGCGGGCGAGGGGCACAATCGTCGATCGGCTGTCCTGGAAATCAACTCCGACCGCCCTTTGACTAGGCCTACTTCGTCGCGCTCTCTGAGATCATCACTGGGACCTAGGGCACACTCTATGAGCCACAAACGCCATGGTTCTCGCCAGCAGCAATATATTCGGAGCTTCAAGCCTTATCATGAAGATCGGGCACCCTTCCAGCGCCGCAATGCTGATGAGTTCAGCGTCGAATTCAGACTCCCTGCCTTTCACAGAGATAACATCATTGATCCAGACCTTGCTCAGTATCTTTCGGATGATGCATCAAGCGGTGATGAACAGCCTAGTCTCATGGCCGCGGTATCTGAGAACAACCTATCTAAAAGTGGCGGAGACCATGAAAGGGCCACTTTTGGTGGATTCCTGGCCGCCATGAAGAAAGGCAGATCTGCTTTCGGAGATCGAAGTACTCCGAGTATCAATCAACCTGGACGCGATGCAGACGAGGCCAGTCTCAGTAGCTCAAAGGCAGTGAACCTGCCCCGTTCCTCCCGCCGTCGGAATCTAAGTGTCGCCAGCAGCGTACATATTCGCCAGTCCCCGCGGGCCTCAAAAGAAAGCATGTTCCCCCATGATGTACCTTTCCCAGAGGCTCCCTTTCCTATGCGCTTGAAAGACAGTGGTTTCAAGATGACCAGAAGCTCATCGATGCAAGGGTCTGGTGCGCCGCCAGTCGAGCTCAATAAAGCCAGCTTGGAACATGTGCAAAGGCTTCTGCGACAGCTTCTAGCGGAGTCATCTGTACCACACGGCGAGAGTTGGGAAAATGCTCTCCTTCCAATCCTTTTGAAAGCGGCGGATGAGGTGAATCCGGATGTCCAGCACGGTGACGATATGGATGTTCGTCACTATGTTAAAATTAAGAAGATTCCAGGCGGCAAGCCCGGGGACACGTCGTACGTTTCGGGGTTGGTATTCACCAAGAATTTGGCTCTGAAAAGCATGCCGAGAAGTATTCCGCGACCCAACATCTTGATCATCACGTTTCCTCTTGAATATGCTCGCCAGCAACACCATTTTATGAGCCTTGAGCCTGTCATTCGACAAGAGCGGGAATTCCTGGAAAACCTCGTGACCCGAATCGCTGCTCTCCAACCAAATCTGTTGCTTGTCGAAAAACATGTCTCAGGGTTGGCTCTCCATCTTCTCGAAAAAGCCCGCATCGCAGTTGCGCATAACGTGAAACCATCTGTTCTTGAAGCCGTGTCAAGGTGTACCCATACTCGGATTGTCACGTCTATGGACAAACTTTTGAGCCCGGCTCCACATAGCGATTGCAGCAGCTTTGATGTGAAGACTTATGTGCATAATGGCCGCAGAAAGACATACATGTACATCTCTGGATGTCGGAAAGACCTCGGGTGCACAATCGTACTACGTGGTGGCAACGAAGATTCCCTTGGGAAGGTGAAGGAGATCACCGAATTCATGATCTATGTCGTGTACAGCCTGCGGCTCGAGACATGCCTGATGAGGGATGAATTTGCGAAGCTGCCTACAGCATCGACTGAGGGTTCGAAGACAGTGTCCTGCAATTTCGAGAATCAAATTGCAGTCAGCGAGAGCAATGGATGTCCCACAAACACAGAAAATCCAGAAGACAAGCCAACTCAGGATTCAACCGGTAAACCAGTGACCACCGATATCACTGAAATTCCCGATGATGTTCCCATGCCAACATACTTCGACGACATGGTGCAGGCTTATCAAACAAAGCTTCTCTCTGCGTCGCCTTTCGTGAAATTCGAACCACCATATCTTCTCATGCGCGTGAGAGAGATAGGCCGCAGACTGGCCTATTTGAAACGCCTCCGTGACCAAGATGGATTTTCCGAAGAAAGCATAGATGAGAAGGCCAAGCCGCAGAAGTTCACTCTCATTACTCCTGAAATGGTCCACCAATCTCCACACGATGCTTCACCCAAGGTTAAAGAGGTCCTTCGCGCAGCCCATGACGCCGAATACGACAGGACACTCTACCATTATCAAACGCAGAAACGGCAATGGGAGGCATACGTTGCTGGTAATCACGACATGTTTGATCCTTACGCTCACCAGAACATTGTCGTCCTCTACAGCCTTGTGTGCACTACGACGTCTATTCCATGCTCTGGTCCCGATATCTTCGCTCTCGAGTTTTACAACGAGCACGAGGACGATACGGTGTTTGAGTCGGATTGTCCCTTGGGACAGTATGTTCAGGAGCTTTGTGCTGGAGTGAACGATGTCTGTACCGCCAACGGCTGCGAAAAGCGGATGTTTGAGCATCACCGCCAATACGTTCATGGAGAGGCGCAGCTCAGCATTGTTGTTCAGCCCTACCCTTCCAAAATACGCGGGTTACAAGACGCGATGCTTATGTGGAGTTGTTGCAAGATTTGCGGCAATGAGACCCAAGTCACGCCAATGTCGGAGAATGCTTATAAGTACTCATTTGCGAAATACCTCGAGATTACTTTCTGGGGGAGGAATCTGCATGCCCGTGCGGGAGTTTGTCCTCATGATCTCCAGCGAGATCATCTCCGCTATTTTGGCTACAGGGATCATGCCGTTCGCATTCAGTATGACACGATACATCTTCTTGAAATTATCGTCCCACGGCCCCGAGTCACCTGGAAGGTTGATAATGATTTGAAGATGCGAAATGAAGTCTTCAAGCGCACCGAGTCACGCCTCAACAAGTTCATGCTTTCCGTCGTTGCGCGTTTGAAAAACATTAATGTCGAAAGTGTCATGCCCGAGCTCCTCGATAAATCCAAGAAAGAAATTGAATATTTGATCAAGAGAGCCAGCGAGGACCAGGCTGCTTTGATTCGCCAATTGCAGGAGAAGTACAGCAGCTCGCGCTACTGGGAGGTTATACCGCTAAACGAGGTTCTTCGTGCCGTTCAAGAGAAGGTGGTTGAATGGGACACCACCTTTGCCGAATTTGAACAGAATTTCTTCCCATCAGAGAAGGATATTAAACGGCTAGCAACTCTGCAACTGAAGAAAATTTTCCTTGACAAGGATACGACTGTGACAACGGATGATTCCCTACAAACTCCAACCGATGTAGAGGACGAAAACGCTCAGACAGCTGAAAAGCCGCGGATGTTGCGGCGCATGACCCTTTCTCCGGAAAAAGCAAAGGATGTTCTTGTGTCAGTTGTTGAAGAACACACTGGTAAAAAGCAACGAGAGAAAAAAGAGGAAGACAGTGCATTGCCACCATTGCCTACCTCTCCTACTGAAACGTCTCTGGCTGTCGATGCTGTAAACGGCAAACGATCCTCTCCGCAGGATGAAGTAGTTGCGCAGGAAGAGGTCCGACATCTTGATTTGGCAGTTCCTTCTGGTCAGTCTGAAACGACGTTCCTCGACTCAATCTCCCCGCCGACTCGATCATGGTCCAACATGGATGCACCGATGGCTTTTGATGTAGCCGGCGGCGAAATTGATCCACCGGAGTTGTCACCGAAGACGCCCGAGCCCTCAAAAAACATCGATTCAAAGGCGAGAGAATGGGGTGCCATCGAGATACCAACTACTCCTCCGAACCGACCTTCCGCGATTCCAAGACTGACTGAGGGGGCCTTCCGACGTTCCGGCAAGGCACGTTCTCCTCCACTGGTACGTGCACAGTCTCAGCCGGCGCATCTTCTTCGAGAAAGATCGCTTCCAGGCTTGAAACTCGGCCCATCACCTTCAAATGAGCCGGAGACTCCCCGGGGCGATTCGGCCAAGCCATCGGAAAAGAAATTAACAGAACGCATCGGATTGAGCGCTCTTAAGAATGGTCGATTTGCCCCAGGACATTCTCTCATCCCACGGTCTAGTCCCAGTAAACGTGGCAGTTCTCGCGTGTCCAATCTTGCTAGGCATTTTGAACAACTGAGCCGTGAATTTGAGAAGGAAAGACAACGTGAAAGACGTCAACGCGCTGCTCGAAGCACCCATTCGCGTGCATTCCCCCTGGCTTCTTCGAAACCCATAGTTGAGGTCTACCGGAATGTCAAAGAAGCTGTTGAAGAGCGAGAACCTCAGGTTGATGGAGAAGAGACTGTCCTTCGAGCGCCGCAGATTCCAACAGATGAATCAGGCAGAAGAAGTGACGAATTCGGCGACCGGACCGGACATCAACAATTGGAACCCTCACCCCCGGGAGCAACGGTGGATTGTTTTGAGCCAAGTCCAATTGTTCGATCTGACTCGCAGTTCATATCTGAAGGCGAAGCGGATGAAGGCCCCAGCGACGAAGAGCAAAACGCAGGGGAGGAGTTGCACCCAGTGGATTTGCAGGAAGAGGTCAAGTTACCCGAAGATGACTCAATTGAATTCAAGGATCTGGCAAAGCATGAACGTACATGGCTTCTGAACATTCTGAAAAACTTCTGGTCCGAACGGTCTGCCAGTGGATGGTCTGCTCTCGACTATCCTCTCAGTGTGAACGATCATGTCTTTGCGGACTGCGATATTATTGTGCGAGAGGACGAGCCTAGCTCTTTAATTGCGTTTGCGTTGGACTCGTCTGACTACAAAGAAAAGTTGGCAAGCATTCAACAACGATTTGATGAGACGGAGGAGCAGCTAGAAAAGCCTGGTTCCAACGCAGAAGATGCCAGAGAGGCTCGAGTCGAACATGCTCTCTTGCGGGAGACTGGCACACATCTTAAGTATCAATTCCAAGAGGGCCAGGCAAGAATGCTTTGCAAAGTATTCTACGCTGAGCAGTTTGACGCACTACGCATAAAATGTGGCGTTGCTGATCGAATCGTGGAATCGCTTTCCCGTTGCGCAAAGTGGGATTCCAAGGGTGGTAAAACAAGGTCGCTTTTCCTGAAGACACTGGACGATCGCTTTATCCTTAAGTCACTGTCCCCGGTCGAGACCCAAGCTTTCCTCAAATTCGCCCCGGCTTATTTCCAGATCATGTCGGAGGCCTTGTTCCACGAGCTGCCGTCTGCCATCGCCAAGATGTTTGGTTTCTACCAGGTCATCATCAAGAACCCGGCCACTGGGACTGAATTCAATTGGTTCCTGTTGCTGATGGAGAACCTCTTCTACGACCGAGTCCCGAACCGTATATTCGACCTGAAGGGCTCAATGCGCAACCGCAAGGTCGAAAGCACGGGCGAGCGTGACGAAGTCCTGCTGGACGAGAACATGGTGGACTTTATCTACGAGTCCCCTCTATTCGCACGAGAACATTCCAAGAAACTGCTCGGTCAAAGCGTGTGGAACGATACTCTTTTCCTGGCCCGTCAGGACGTGATGGATTACTCACTTATGATTGCCATTGACGAGAAGCGAAGCGAGCTCGTTGTGGGAATCATCGATTGCATTCGCACATACACCTGGGACAAGAAGCTTGAGTCATGGATCAAAGACCGCGGCTTTGCCGGCGGTGGTCGCAATCGCCCGACGGTGACCAGTCCCAGGGAGTACAAGAGTCGATTCCGTGAAGCGATGGCACGATATGTCCTTCAAGCCCCAAGGTCAGTCTACACCTCCCCTTTCCGGCTTTCCAAATAGATGCTTACCCCAGTAGTTGCTGGCACCAATTCCAGCCTATGTATCGATACGCCCAGGGCGAGCATCAGAACTCCCAAATCACAGATCTGGACGTTGATGATGGAGCTGCGGAGGCCTCTACTTCCCAGTAATGGAAACTGCGATTCATGACACGAAACACATAGAAGCACATATGATCGATCTTTTTATGTTTAATGAATGATGACTTGATGATACTGCATTGATGCCCCTGAATTGGACTATGGAGAGACCTGAGATGGTGCATACAAGAGAGATTATAACGACTGCATTCTGTCTCGGAACTTACTGAACGGTGTGAATGTCTAGCGAAGACATCTATTTCCTTATGTCTACTCCCATATTTTTCTACTTCAAGTGAGATTTCTATTCATTCACCACGTGCATCGGTTACTAGTTCAACACCAGCATATCTTACATGTAACCTAGAGAGTAGAACCACTCTAAATGCTTCAATACTTCTCTCCAAGAGTTCCCAGACAGAACAGCAATGCCTCAGGCTCAAACCCCGAGTTACAAGATCCCGACGACGCTGTCCCACTCATGGCCCAGAGATCCCGAACCCCTCGGTAGAAACCGGGAGCCGGCGGAATTGCCGTCGGGAATTGCGTTTAGCCAGGACTTTTCCGAAAAATAATTCAAGCTCTTTCCAATTCTCATCCGTGATGAGATTGTTATTTTCTATTTCACCCCTTGCGGTGCTCGCGTGCGGGCTGCAGAATGCGCAGGACGCGGGCCCGGACACATGGAGCCTCGGCCTCGGCGCGCGCGTTTTCGTGCCTCCCCGCAGTGTCTGATTTCTGTCCCGGCGGGTTTCCCCTCCTTTCTTTTTTCTTTCGCTACTCTTTGAGTACGTTGGATTTCCTAGTTGTGATTATGTGCCAACTAGATATCTATACTTGAGCATAAGACGCGCTACGCTGCGCGCGGACACTCGCACTCCAGGTCGAATGCGACAGAACTAACAACTCCACATGCTAACGAGATTGCAAAGACAGCATTTTAGGTCTATGATCTCCATTTTAGGGGACTAGGCTTTACTAATGCAGTTGACCGGAAGGCGTTAAATTCGTCTCATTTACATGAACAATGCATTAACTTCATCCAAGAGAGCGATGGTCCAGAGCAGGGAACAGAAGGGGCTTGGAAGAAACAGCAGAAGAACAAAAGGTATGTATCCCATCCTCGCACCAGCAATAACCAAATTAAAACAAATCAGAAGATGTCGGATGCTAAGTCCAGCTTTTTAGGGAAAGTTTACTCAATGGCCAGGCCGAGGTTCTCCTCAGCGGGCACCACACGCACGGTGTTGGTGTGGCCCATACCGCCACGCCAGCCCTGGACACAGACGATGGGGTCGCCCTTGTTGATGATGCCGAGCTTGAGACCGTGGTTGATGGCCCACTTGAGGCGGCGGTCGACGTCCTCCTGCCAGATCTTGATGTTGAAGTCGGGCTTCTTCTCGGGGAAGTAGAAGGGCCACACGCCGCGGTACAGATGGGAGTACCGGGAGGCGGTGTCGTTACGAGTGACCATCAGGATGGGGCACACGGGACGGTACTTGGACAGCAGACGGGCAGTCTTGCCGGAAGTGGTGAGCACCACGATGGCACCGGCGTTGAGCTCCAGACTGGCGCTGACGGCGGCCATGGCCATGGACTCGCAGGTCTCGGTGGGGCGGGGAGCCAGGTTGCGCAGCTCGTCAAAGATCTGGAAGTGGGGGATGGTGACCTCGGCCAGAAGGCAGGTCTCATGCATCATCTTGACGGCCTCACAGGGGTAGTTACCCTTGGCAGTCTCACCAGACAGCATGACACAGTCGGCACCGTCGAGGACGGCGTTGGCAACGTCGGATACCTCAGCGCGGGTGGGGCGGGGGTTGTATGTCATGGACTCCAGCATCTGAGTGGCACAGATGACGGGCTTGCCCTTGATGTTGCACTTGGCGATCATCATCTTCTGGGCCATAAAGACCTTGGGGGCGGGGATCTCGATACCGAGATCACCACGGGCGACCATGACACCGTCGGTGACCTCGAGGATCTCGTCAAAGTTGTTGACACCCTGCTGGTTCTCAATCTTGGCAATGATCTGAATCTCATGGCCCTCCTCGCCGAGGATATCACGGATGCTCTGGATGTCGCTACCGCGGCGGATAAAGGAAGCGAAGATCATGTCGACCTTGTTCTTGACACCGAACTTCAGATCGGCGATATCCTTCTCCGAAAGAGCGGGGAGGTCTACGTCGGTACCGGGCAGGTTGACACCCTTGCGGGAGGAGATGTTGCCGTTGTTCAAGCACTTGCAGCGCAGGTTATTCTCATCCACCACCTCGATGACCTCGAATGAGAGGATACCGTCGTCAACATAGATGAGCTTGCCGGGGGAAATCACCTTGGTGATGTTCTTATAGTCAAGGTACCTGCAAAACCGCCGTGCGTTAGCCCCAACCACAAGTACCGTGACACGACTCGGGTCGATAAGGACTTACATGTTCTTATCATCACTGGCAGTGGCATATTGATCATCAGTGGTGATGTTGATCTCCGCACCCATCTTGATGGGGAAGTCCTTGTCATCGACGGTGTTACCGGTACGGATCTCGGGGCCCTTGGTGTCGAGGGCAATGGCCAGAGGGCGGCCGGTCTGGGTGCGAGCAGCCTCACGGGCGTTGTCGATCACAGATTGGTGGTACTGGATGCCAACGGTCAACGACTATCCTCACCGCATATTTGCAGGCGAAGAGAATTACTCACCTCGTATGAACCGTGGGAGAAGTTCATACGGACAACGTTGAGACCAACTACAATCCCGTCAGTCTATTAATCAAAGAGCAATGCGAGTATTCGATCGGGGGCATTGCCATACCAGTGCGGAGAGCGTTGATCTTCTCGACGGAGTTGGTCTTGGGACCTGGACGCGACTAACGTTAGCACGGATTTTTTCCCCCCCGCGGCATTCATCACCATCTCCAGGCTCGAAGCCGAAGAGGGAAATGTAAGGTGAGATGCAACATACCAATGGTACCGATGATGGAGGTGCGGCGGAAGTTCTTCGCCGGCACCATCTCGGTGTTGAGCTTGGAGTGCCACTCCAGCTTCATCCGGTTGGACAGGTGGTCGAGGGAGCTAGTGGCCGCCATTGTGATCTGCAGACAAACTAATTGTGGTAGCAGAGAGAAGGTTGGAATAGGTGTGGGAGAGAAAAGGTTGGAGGGGGAGAAGAAAGAAGTTGGGTGAGGGGCGGGAGGGAAAATGTTGGTTGCCGATACCTTGCTATCTCCGCTATCCGGTCTCGTCGACCCCCCCCGTGGGTGAGTGCATTGGATTACCTTGGAAACATCCCAGTTCCTGTGATATAATGTTTTATTTTAATCTATTTATTTTATTTTCCTATCTTGCTTTATTTCTCGCCTCATCATTGTCCCCAATTCGCAACCAGGACCAAGGCTCTCGGTTGCGACGGCATCCGAAGCTATAGGCTAAAAAAATTTATACAAGCTCCCCCGCCTGGGTGCATGGGGGCGTGCTGGACCGCGCAGCGTACATTGGAGTCCTTTTATCGAGTAAACGTGACAAATAGAGACACCCAATTTGACGGCCGCCGGGTGACAGAAAAGGGATTTCGGTAGGCTCGGTGAGATGCCTTATCGATAGGTGCCTTGGTAACCTTATCGCCTCAGGTGTCACTAATCACCCAGCCACCGCCCCACGACATGTGAAAGTGACCCACGTGATACCTTCCCCGTCTGATTCCGCGCATCATCTGCAGCTGCTGCTCTGTACACTCCAAAGCACGATTCTATGCTCTTCTCGGCAGTAGCTCTTTACTTTATCCGCAAAATGGTATGATATCCCTGTCATCCAGTTTCAGAGCCCTTCAAAAACGAGCTGCGCAGCTGACCACTTGCCCCATAACAGCTCGGCCGCCTCACCCACTACGCATTCGATGCGGTCCTCTGTGAGTCCTTCCGGCCCACTCCCGCTGCGTATACCGAGTCAAAACTAATCGCTTGTTCTTTAAACAGTCTCCGCATTTCTGGCTGGCGTCAAGCGTTCCACGGGCCTGACGTAAATACGACCCTTCCCTAGCCTTTTCCCCCAAGCTCTCTCCGCACGAGAGCCCCAAGAAAAAGAAAACAGTCAAGCTAACTGAGTTGATCCCTCGCGCACCCCCTCGGTTCGGGTCGCGTGCGGGACCTTCATAGCCCCAGTCTCAAATCAGAACAGATCTCTGACAACAAAGAAATCAAGCGTTGGGTCGACAACTACCTCGGTGTCGGCGAGTGGGTCATGGACCAGTCCGTGGCTGTCATGGGTTCCTCCAGCTGGTTCGAGCGGAGACGGTGATTTGCTACACCAACCATCCCGAAGTGATCTATGATTCCTTTTTCAGCGATATGAGATTCACCTTCGACGCAGCATGATGTGCATTTACCGAGGAAGAACGATTGAAAAGTGTTTACGAAGAGGTGTGGGATGGAATTCTCGAATGGCTTCTGCTCCGGTCTCTTGGGCTTGGGTCTATTGTACAGAAGTGTTTGCTGTGTGATGCTTTCCATATTCCTTTCTGCCGCTGGTATGCACATCATGGCTGGATTGACGAGTGACGACCGACCCTTCTCTGCGCAACAAACTCCACTTCGACATTATGGTCATGTAAGGCGTCTTTGGCTTTTTCTATTTTATCCGATACCTTTTGCCTTTGTACCTGTTCCATACAACCGTCATACAATCAACTATGTCTTTTAAGGCCGTTGGAGAGTCGCACTAGATGTCTGTAGGAGTGTAGGGTAGTGCCATGGGATGGTGCTATCGTTTCTAGCCCAGTTCAAGATCGTGAATTTGTACATGGGCGAAAGGAAATGCCGGTTGCAGTGCGACGGATCGATTCGATACGAAGGTTAGAGTTTTCGAAGCTGCAAGTATTCCGTCAAAGAAACCATTTGCTATAGAAACAATCTGTGCAGTCCTCGCCGACGACTGTTTGAGACTGCAGTGGTATGATACTAGGAATCGGGATAGTAGTAGAGCTCAATCATGACTAGGTGGGAATCAAAGGGGTATAGATGCAAGGAAATTCATGAAAACATGGTTTAAAAAAGAGCGGCAACGCTTTTCAAATCTGCAAGAGAGCATCGATATCCACGCGGCGGTAATAGGAGACGTGTCCCATCTCCGCCCAGTAATGCGCTAGGCAATCCGTAGAGATGAGAATGAGCTGCGAGTCGATGAAAGAGTCTGTTGGAAACACAGAGATGTTAGAGATTGAACACTTGGCGGTTTTTGAGGTTACATACCATCACGGAAACCAAGACCAGCCACATGTCCCTTGGAACGCACGATTCGTGCACCCGTGAATGGCTGCGAGTCCGCGACACAGATAAGGCCGCCGGGGCCAATGTCGTCGGCAGAGAATGAGAGCTCACCTCGAGGAACATTCGGGTCACCGGTAAGCTTGACTGCCCGCAAACTGCCTTTCTGCACTACATCTTGGGAGGTAAGATTATGTTCATCCTCCCCCTCCTCCAAATCCGTTCGAGCTGGATCTTGCTGGAAGATCAGGAGAAATTCACACCCATGGGCAGAGTAATCCCCTACCCATATACCTTGGTATGGCTTCTCTTTTGTCGGCGTGTACAGACACGGGGCAAGCGTGGCGTAGGAGAAGATTGCTTCGTTATCACTAGCCAAGCCCGCTTGAAGTCCGAACCGAAAATGAGCCCATCTTCGAATCCTGAACCCTGCTTCTGAGACCTCGGATGCATGCTCAGGTAGCTTGAGAGGCTGGGTAACTCTGCTGATGCGGTTGTTGGTGGGTATTAGTTGGGGCGGCCATAGTCCTGCATCGGTCCCACCGGTTGCTTCAGTGTCATCGAGTGATTCAGTATTATCGATTGGTTCGGTACCATTCGGACACAGTATCAAAGAGTTGAAAAGATGCTGCGCTTCCGCCGGCATGGACATTCGACGCTCAGCCATCCAGGTTTGACAGGGCGCTACCCTAGCAGATGGATCCCTATCTTTGAGGAGCAGGACAGGATCATCCAGCCACAGGCTAACCTCAGGGTTGAACGCTTGAATCATAACCTCAGGGTGTGATTCCCAGAAATGGAATGCCGTCGCGCCCTTGTCTGCGATAATTCGGTACGCATCAATTACCCCACGTCGATTGTCATAGCGAGCCAGAATCAGATTCCCAGTATGGTTGTGGTCTGAGAACCAGATCTTGTACTGCGGGATAAACCAGTATGAGAGATGGGCGAGGTATAAACGACGAAAGGAGTCAAAGGACCCTGGGTCACTGATATGATGCGGTAGATGTGAGTTGACTAGCTTCGCCCACAGTATGTCCTTGGCGGTATGCTCGGTGAACTTGCGGCAGGTAGAGGCTAGGCGAGTGAGGTCGTGAGCGGACAGGTGGTATAGTATCAGGTCAAGGATTTCGTTGGGAAGTTTATCTATGCGGCATGACGATTGAATTATATCGGTCCATGGCGTGTCATGGAGAATCTCATCGATTTGTTGCCGGTGGCCATGGAGCTCGTGTTCGCTGGGATACTGCAGATGGTTAACTCAACTTGATTAGGGAGCTATCTCACATTCGGCGATGGTCGGTCTTACCTCATTATAGGAAGCGACGGTCTTCATATTGTCTTTGTTTCACGACGCTGTCAAGAGAAGGTTGTAAACTGCAGCTTCTCACTGCTCTATCCCCTGCAGCTCCGATGACATCACTGGCAAGTGTTGGGGGCAGGGTTGCAGGGCAAGCGCTCTGAGGGAAGAGGAGATAAGAGACCAAGCCACAGGCTTGTCTGCGTACAGGGCTCCAGGTGGGCTCTAATGTCGGAAGAGTAGACTGAAAAGACGTGAGAGTTCCCCGATAGTAGGTCGCTGATAAGAGATAACACGTAACTAGAGTAGACTCCGCACCTAGCGATCCATGGCGCCAAGCGTGCTTTTCTGACCGAAAACAGGGAATAACAGAAGATAGTAGGTGAAAAAGAAAATATGGGAGGATCAGGTTGACAATTCGCGTGTTAGGCGACTCTGTGTGGGAGCGTCTCTGTGCAGACAAGTTCCAAATCGGTACTTTTCGCCAAGTATCAAGCCCAAAGAAGGGTAGAACAGGAACAGGCCGGTCCACCCCCAGCTATTAGCTCAGTGAATTCTTCCATTCTTCCCCTCCTCCAGATCCGCTGTCAAGAGTAGGTCCCATGATATGTAAATGTCGCACAACTATGCGACTCCTTCTACCAAAAGACGCGTCTTGCACGCTCGACCTATGTTTAAACATGTGTATTTGTCATATTTGTCATCACTAGTATCTCCCAAGGCCCCGATCCATAGTTTCTCTAGCCAGTATTTCTGGTGGAGAGTTCTTGGGATTAACCCATGATTCTCTCGTATATGCCACAGGTATAGATTGTACTAAGGCTAGAGTTACGGACCGAGCCACAAGAAGTGGAAATATCTTTGAGGGCGAGGAATCAAAAGATAATGAAAGGCTCCTCTGAGCAAAAGAGAAATCTAGGATAGGACACTAAGTGTATCCAAAATGACACCTAATCAGGTGACCCGGCCAAAATGGGATGCTCCGTGGATGAAGGAGATAAACTGGCAACAACTCTGCCTGAAAGGCTGTTCAAACTTAATCTCCGCAACCTCATGCCCAAGCGAGTATTGTGCCTACAAACGTACCTGGTACGTTGAAATGATTGAGCTTGTGATGACACGTGACCACCAAAAGAAGAAGCATGTTTACATGTTCGAAATAGGAAATGTAATTGAGGCACGCGAAGGGCGCTTGCTGCCTACACGCGCCCCACTCTGTTTGTTTATGTTGTGATCTATAGAAATTCGCCTTAAAGGCGCCAATCGGACGGAGTTCGGTATCTTTGTTTATTTATCTGCACAACAATCTATTGTCCGGTCCAACCACCCCACAACATTAACGTGGCTCCGTTATAAAATTCCCAATTCAGCCACAGCCTCGAGTCTATTCATTATGGAGACTAGACAATCCGCGAGAAAGCGAAGGAATAGCTCCGTCTCGAATTCGAGGGGCGAACCTTCAACCGCTCAGCAAACAAAACACAGCGTGCCTTCTGGGTACACCGCGCCCCAAAGTACCTCCAGCACTCCGAGAAAAGCCAGGAAGCGAGTTAGGTTCTCCGACCCCGGCCCTCGGCTGCATGATGCTGGTTCCGGCTCTACCGGTTTAACACCCGCGATGAAACGCACTTCTTTCGGAGATCATAGCACCCGATTTCCGACTCCCGGAGACCGCTCACCGAGTAGAAAAGCGCGACGGACATCGGCTCCAGCACCGCGGTTTCAACGGTCGTTTGATCCGATCGAGCCATTTGATGAAACCTGCTCTGAGCGAATCGTGCAATTCACTCCCCTGCGTCAGATTCTGGACACACGCACCCAAAGGAGAATCCGACGGATCGGTCTGAGTGATGAAATCAATCATATCGAGCGCGAGAAGCGCCAGGCATCCGATTTCGAGAAAACCATAGAAAATTTGCGTCAAGAGCGAGACTCGTTGAAAAATGAGCTGAGCACTTTGAAGCAGAGGCATGCGATTCCAGAGGATGAGCTGCCTTCCTATGAGTCTTTCTGGATGTCGCCTCAAGTGCGTATCCAAGAACTGGAACATGAAACGTCTCGTCTGCGCGACGAAATTTCCGTGGCCTCTTTTAGAAGCCAGGGTGAGGCATCTCTGCCTGTCAGCAACGAAGGCGAAACATTCATGCTCAATGATAGCGCCATCATTGTTTCCAACTCTCCAGACTTCCGCGCGGTGCGCGATTGCCACTCACCCGTGCCGGATAGTCTGATGCTATTTGATCAGCAACATACCGACGTGTCAACCCAGACACAAGCGTTGGATAGCACCGAGGACCACGATATCCACAATCTCACTCTCGATCTGGAAGCGGCCAGGAATGAAAAGAAAGAGCTGTTCGATGCGTGTCGCTCGCATGTCAGCGCATTTGAAAACTCTGGAATGGGTGACATCTTTCGCCAATCATCTCCACCTCCAGATTTCTTTGATAACATGATTGCTATCCTGACGACCGCACTGTATCGCGCATCGGATGCTACTCAAGCTCTCGAAGGAATCAGCCAGGAGTGTTCCAGCTTAGGCTTCTCTGGTACGAATGCAGACGAAGTGATTTCAGACATGAAAACCCACTTCCGATCGGCTCGCCTTGAGCTAGAGCGGATCATTCCTGGCGAGACTCCCAACGGTCTCGAAGATGGAAAAGCAACACTGGGCGCGCTGATCAAGCGGGTCAGGTCACTAGCAAAAGACTTGAGGGAGGAACGCAAACAGCACTACGGCTCACTTGGCCGAGAAAAAGCCCTTCGTGGTCAATTCGACAACTTATTACATCGGTATGAGGCAGCCGCAAACAAAATTGGCAATCTCGAGGACTCGATCGCATCTTCGGCAGGCGATATGCTCCACACCAGAATGCGCATGCAAGACCTCGAGAACGAACACCAAGAGAAAAATATCGGGATTGACAGATTGAATGCCGCCCTGAACAAATACCATGAAGATGTGAAGAGCCTTGAAGAGCTGGTGGGCAGATTGGAGGATGAGAACCTGGCCACCAGGGAAGAACACGCCCAGCAGATCTCCAACCTTGAGAGGCAGGTAGCCAGTGAGCGGAAGCAACGTTCTGCCATTGAGACCACCGCGTCCGAATATGAATCTCGCATCCGCCAGCTGGAAGATACCGTCGAGCAGAATCGCATTCGTGCTTGCAACCTTATATCTGAGGTTGAGTCTCTCGAGAAAGAGCACAAACAAGCCATTGAGGCCCTCGAGCAAAATGCAAGCCAGCAATTACAACAATATGAGGAAGATGCAGGGACGCTCAATGTTCGTATCTCGGAACTCACTACATCGCTTGAGGAAACACGGTCGGAAGCTCAGCGTCTCCGTCAATTGAATGAAGGTCTGGAGGAGCAGCTCCGGGCGGAACTTGATGCCCGTGATGAGCTTCTGGACAGATGGGCCACTGAGCAAGCCCGCTCCTTTGCCTTCATGAAAGAGACTGTTGGCTCAGAGCGACGGCGAGCCAAGGTCCGCGCAGCCAACTGGGAGCTCAAATCGGACGATCTCATGTCTGACGGGACTACTGTCATGGGAAGCGAGCCTATCACCCCAGTCAGTATGACAAGGTTCGTTGATGTTGAGATGGGACGGGGGAAGAATCGCCGACGCATGGACAGCGGGATCGGGATCCTTACGGAAGATGAGCTCTTGGCGAGCGAGGATGTTTCGGATCTGCGGAGGGGATTGGACTCTGATATTGATTTGCCCACGTCTGATCTGATCGAATTTTAGATCCTCTACTTTCATTTCTCTCTTTTATCATTTCCTTTGTGGTGGCTTAGACCGTCTTTCTTTTCTGGGATTTCTTTTATATATTCATCTGCATATATATCTCGGTGTTGATTGAGCATATACTACATTTAAATACCTACATGAGATTGAGTTACGCTGTCTTAGTTGCTTGTCTGCTCAGATATCGGGGTGTTGTCAGTGTCGCCGGTTCTGGAGATACAATATGCCTTCTCGCATGGTGCAAGTTGAGGGTTCAAGTTCCTATTGCGATGCAGGTTACCGCGAGAATGTGCCGTGGTTACCATTCCAAGGTTGGAGTTACACCCGCCAGTGGATTCTTCACAATGAGGTTGACTGCGATCATTTATATCTTAAGGGGACCATCGCAAGAATCTACTGAGCTGTATATGAACTTCTCTTCAGGAGTCTAAAATCACCACTCACAACTGACAGGTCTCTTATCTACTTCTAAGGGTGTCACCAAAACGTCAGATGATCCTAACGAGAACACATGTAGTGGCAAGCAGATCCTGTTGCCTCAGACAGTCGATTAGATGTTTAACAACTTCAACGCGAGGTATCCTCGAGACTAGGCATTTCTTGGCTGCGTCCTGGAAGATGCCGCTTGGCCCCACGATAAGCTACGGAATTGCTGGATAGAAACAAGGTCTACGAACCACAATACAGCGTGTTTGGAATGACACCGCAGAGTGAAAAGCACGAGAACGCGGATGATCGGAAGACAGGTAGTTCAGCCTTATTACTAGTGCGATACATGAATGCGCATGAACCGCGTGGGCCCACCGGAGCCGATCTGATAGGGCTGACGGCGGCCGAGTCCACACCCGGGCAAATCCAAAGTTGTCAACCCCTCGTGCCGAGCGGATTCAATAAGCCCAGGCAGCAGAATTCAAAGAGTGGGTACACCAAACGATCCCCAAATATGTTGTCCTAAGAGAATGCAAGTCGATCAGCGGTAAGGCTCGGGCTTTGGATACGAAAGCCAACCCCAACGACCATAATCCCAAGTTTTATGGGGAACTATGGCGGAGAGATGATACATTCGGCCTTGGTGCCCCCTCGATCGCTCTCTGACCTAAGCGACAAGCGACTAGTCGTTGCGTGTCCCGCGTGCGCATGTCGTCACGCCGTTTTTTTCCCGTCTCAAACGGGTCTTTCCCCTCCTTGAGAATCCCATGGACAATTTCCCAGTCTCCGGCGAGTCGCTCCCGGTGAGAGCTAGGCATCTTGCAGAGACCTTTCGACGCAATGACCGCTCCGGTGAAGCTTCAGAAATGGAAAAGGCGATAGGGCCTGCCGACGCCGACGTTGCCGACGCCGCCGATGCTCACTCTGGTCCGACGCTCGAAACACTTAACCGACTCGGCACCTTGGTGAAATCCTTTTTGACCCGGGGCAAGTGGGCTGCTGCTGCCGACCTTGGAGCCTTGGTGCTGGATGTCCGCGAGTCTAGCTATGGAGAGGAGGACCTAGCAACAATGAGCGCTATGAACAATCTTGTTTCAGCGTATTGGGGCCAAGGCCAGTTCGACGATGCGGTCAAGCTTGGTGAGAGGGCCACGAATCTCAGAAAGCGGATACTTGGCGAGAAGAATCCGCAGACGTTGGTTTCAATGTCGAATCTCGCATCAGCCTATCGAGGCCAAGGGCGATGGGACGATGCGCAGAAGCTCGACTGCCGAGTTTTGGAGATCAAAGCAGAAACATCGGGCCGAGACCATCCCTCTACACTCGTGACCATGGCAAATCTCGCAACCTCTTATGCAAGCCAGGGGAGGTATGCAGAGGCAGAATCCATCGAACGGTCATTGGTGGAACAAGGAGAAAAGAGGTCCGGCGCAACAGAAACTTCCATCTTGACATGGAAATCGAACCTGGCATCCACGTATCGAGACCAAGGGCACCTTTCCCTCGCAGAAAGACTAGACCGCGAGGTCGTGGAGGCAAGACGAGAGACATTAGGATCAGAGCATCCTTTGACCCTCACATCCATTGCCAATCTAGCGTCAACCTATCGCATCCAGGGACGATGGGACGATGCAGAATCACTAGATCGCGAAGTAGTAGCAACTAGCGTGACAACTCTGGGCGAAAAGCATCCGCAGACGCTGATGTCAATCAGTAACCTTGCATCTACCTGCCGTAGCCAAGGGCAGCTAGAAGAAGCCAAATACCTGGGCGAGAAATCAGCAAAGGCTTTGAAGGAGGTTCTCGGAGAACGCCATCCTCACACGTTAACTGCCCAAGCAGACATGGCGGTGACATACTACGTCAACGGACAAACAAGTGATGCGATGAAATTGGGATCTCAAGTTTTGCATATGATGGAAGAGTCTCTGGGTGAAAAACATCCGCACACGTTGAGCGTCATGTCCAATCTCGGATTCATGTACCAATCAAAAGGCAAATGGGACCAGGCTGGAAAATTTGCAGAGACCGTTTATACTCGGAGGCAGAGTACACTGGGGGAGGGGCATCCTGACACCGTTGCAGCGTTGGAAGATTTGAGGCGGATTTCATGGGTAGAAGCGGCGGACCGCAATGCGGCACGGGCGATGTCTAAATAATATCACTTTAAGGTTTAAAGTTCAGCTGGGAGACCCTTAATATTGGTATGAAACGTCGGTAAACCATTGAACGGAGAAGAGATGGGGCCGTGGCTCCCCGTCTTGTTCTGCACAGCCTCCTTGCCAAGAAACGCCATTCTTGTATACCTCGATACGCGGTCGGACCGTGTCACGTATGAACAGGACTTCTGCCGGGGATTTGAAACTGCTTTTATGAATTGGAATCAACATTTTCCCGCGATGCATTTGTCTATCGTCTTGATACTCTGGTACGAGCACTACTCCTATCGGGTTTCGTGTAACGTGGCTCCCGGGAAATCGTGGGCGGAGTATTATTTGCCATTGATGATGGTACAAAAGTCTCTCAAATGAAGACGGTGGTATCTATGGGTAACATGCAAACAAAACCACGCAAATAACCAATAGTCAATCAAGCACTAGACAGAAGAGTGCTTCTCATTAGCAGTGGAAGCGCCTTCGCTCCAATCTTTGTCATGCCCGGGCTTCGCAAAGACCGATCCCAATAGCGACAAGGGACTATTAACCCGCGTGATCATACAATAAGCCAGCGTCAAGCTAGCTACCATAATCTCCTCCTGGAAAGCCCTGTCATGTGCCTTGGGGCCCATAAACTCGATCTTGCCAATCGTCTTCAGCGCCCATAGGTTAAGCGAGCACTTCGCTACGGGCAACTGGTTCTCGTCCACGCAGATAAAGTCCCACGTCTTGAAATCGCTATCACTCAGCCAGTGCATTGTGACGAGTTTGCCATCGTCTGACATTGCCTTTGAGCGGTGCGTGTACTCTGTGCACCAGCGTTTCTGTGCAACCAGTTTGTCGGATCGGCCGTGGACTTCGTAGTCGGCGTCGATGTGGACGATGCGGATTTTGCCTTTGCCGATGATGTCTGAGTTTGGCGCGTGGTCCTCTCCGGAATCATCTGTGATGTCGGATGTTTCTTCAGATGAGACTTTGTCGAGTGCGGCTGGATTTGAGACGCGCTTGAAGATGAGCTTTAGTCGTCCGAGAATGTTGTAGTTGAGCGTGTAGAGTGGGGTCCCGTTGACTGTGTCGCCCTCATAGATTATGGCTTTGAACTTTCGCCATGAGAAGTCGACTGTGAGCGCGGGCGTCTTGGGATTCTTCGTAGTCTGGGACAAGTGAGACGGCCCTTGGGAGGTTTCTTGAGATGGCTCCATGTCGGATGTGTGGGGTTCCATATTGATAGTGTAGACGTGGTTATTTAGATTGTTCGAGCTTTGGCTTGAACCGAGTCTTGTCCAACTTCGACCCCCTTTATATAACAACGATCATCGATCAAACTTTGCGATGCACCTATATCTGGGGCGCAATAGTCTTACCGCCCGTCGTTTTCCCGCATTGGGGGTCATGTAGCGCCGCGGCCAATCATCGCCCGTAGACGAGACTCAGCCCCTGCGGGCCCTGATGTCATGGCTTCATGGCCCCAATGGCCCCCGAACTGTATATGCCCGATTCTACTGTATTTCTCGAATCTCCGAATTCGGGATGGCTTTGGCTCGAATGAGTTTTTGCACTGAAGAACTGCGCAGCAACAGTCCTTCTTCGGGCGTGGGTCTTCAGGCTGTCAAAGCCACATTTGGCTGAAAGTTAATCGGCCGACTTGGTCATGATGAGACACCGACGTCAATCGGGCGCTAGCTCCAGCTAATTCTCGATTCAGGCTTCTTCACTATACACTCTCTTCTTACTGTTTGCATTTCCCCTTGTTGCATTCTACCTAGTATCTTCCCAGTAACAGCGATCGCAATATCTGCCACTGCAGCTGAAACTCCGCGAATATTGTCGGCTTATCAGCTCTTCACCAGACCAACTTTGTCTTCACCACCCTCCAATACCACATCCAATCCGGAGAGGCATCAAGATGGCCGAAGCAACCAAAGAACCAAAGCACCGCATAAAGGTGACAGCCGGGGGAGATTACGACCCCACCACGCACCAGACTGTCTCAGTCAACGGCAACACCCTACGAATCGAGAACGACCGCGTAACCCTAGATCTCGCCGTCCGCATCCAAGACTACCATGGTACTTTTCTAGCCATCTCCCAAAAACAAAGATGCTAACAATATCCCAGGATACCCCGACAACTCTCCCACAACAAGCACCTACTTCGAAGACCCCCTCCACACAGACGACCAATATTCCATCTCCATCTCATTCACCCCGAAAGAAGACATCAACGGCAATGACCTAATTTACGGCAATGACTTTGACCGACCGCTTCGCGATCGTCTACCAATGGGCTTTAACGCAGCCCTCCGTCTCGTTAAATGGACCCTCGATCCCTCCATCGACGGCGACGCTTATGCCGATAAGCCCTACTTGTACAGTCCTGCCTTGGCTACGTGGAATCAGTTCCGTATCGGAGGCAAGAAGTTTCAGGATATGACCGGGGATTATGTTGTCAAGGAAGGTGCTGATGGTGAGGGCGGGGAGCTTCGCGATCAGCTTCAGATTCCTGATACGCCGGATGCGCGCCGAAAGCATTTTCAGAAGGAGGGGAGTCGCCAAGGCTTTGTGTTTGAGGCCGGGAGGTCTTACATGGCTGATTTTGGCAATCGGTATTTGTGTTTTAGTGGTGAGTGCACCCGCTTTACACCGAACGTCTCTTGTTGGATGGTGTGCTAATGGGTGGGTTTAGATTTCTCTGTCCGCCTGCCTGGATTTCACATTCCCGTGGAAGGACTGGTTGATGCTGATCATAATGAGCTTCGATATGTTCTGAAAAACTCCAAGACTGGGACGGTATACCTTGTGGTTTCGTTTACTCTCCTTCCTAACCAGGAGACCTCGCCAACGGAAAATGTTGAAGGCGCGCAGGCCACATCCCAGGAAGATGTCGATTAAGGTAAGAAGAGGTGCTCAGGTGACTCGGCCAACCGAGAGTGAACCTCTATTGCATACAAGCTATAATAGAGCATAGATCTCTGATAGTCGAACAAGAACTCGGATAGATTTTTGTTTCCTTCGCCTGAAATATTCACTCACGGGGTCTATATACAGTCATTTCTTACAGTCTCTTCAGGACATCGTCGAGGACCTGCTGAGTAGTAGCCTTGCCGCCCATATCAGGGGACAGGAACTTAGCCTCATCCAGGTTGGCATCGACAGCAGTGTAAATCTTAGCAGCAGCGTTCTCCTCGCCCAGGAACTCGAGCATCAGAGCAACACTGCGCAGAGTAGCAATGGGGTTGGCAATCCCCTTGCCCTCGATGTCAGGAGCGGAACCGTGGCAAGGCTCACCGATAGCGAAGCCATCACCAACGTTGGCGCTAGGAACCAGACCCAGACTGCCGACCAGAGCAGCAGCACCGTCGGACAGGATGTCACCGTACAGGTTGGGGGCAACGATGACGTCGTAGTACTCAGGCTGACGGAAGAGCTTGTAAACCATGGAGTCGACGATCTGCTCCTCGACGAGGACGGAGGAGAACTTCTCGGCGGCGAGGGCGCGGCGCGCGGTCTCGCGGAACAGGCCGTCGGTCTGGGACAGCACGTTCGACTTGTGCGTGATAGTCACCATGGGCTCGGTGCGGGTGGAGGTGGCCGGGGCGGCGGCGCGGATCTTCTGGCGACGCAGGGCGATCTCGCCGGCGATGGTGGAGATGCGCATCGAGGCCCGCTCGGAGATGCGCTTGATGGCCTCGGCGACCTTGCCCTCGGGGGTCTCTCGGGTAGTCTCCTCCTTCACGTATAGGTCCTCGGTGTTCTCGCGCACGATCACCAAGTCGATCGGCTTGCCATTGCTGCTGCCGGCGGTGGTCTTGACGGGGCGCACGTTTGCGTAAAGGTCGAGCTTCTTGCGCAGAGCGACGATGGGCGACGAGTAGCCGGCGACCTTGGTGCTGGGAGAGCTGGAGTTTGACTCGAGTCAGTGGGATGCGAGGATCGGTCAATGGGATGAGGGTAAGCACTCACCTGACGGCACCGAACAGAGCACCGTCACACTCCTTCTTCAAGGTGTCAACGGTCTTGTCGGGCAGGGCGGTACCAGTGCGCTGGAAGGTATCGTAACCGGCTTCGAGGTCGACGAAGCTGAACTTGAGGTTCAGGGACGAAGGGAGGGACTCCAGGACACGGCGGCCAGCCTAGATTGCATCGGTCAATTTATCGGTCCTCGAATTGGTGGTTCGGTCTCCTCGTGCGAGAGCTACCTACCGGGATGACCTCCCGTCCGATGCCGTCTCCGGGGATGAGACCTATACGGCTCCAATTAGATTCAATTCACTCGAGCCACCACCAACGATGTCGTGGTTCGTACCAATGCGAAGAGTCCGAGCAGCAGCAGCCATTGTGATTATTGTTCGAGGGATGTTTCCTGGCTTCGAGGATACGCCGTCATCGGAGCTTTTCTTTTTGTATGCGGCGGGGGATTATCATTGATCCGGGTACACTCCGGGGTCCGGAGAAAAAGCACGCGATTCGGATGTCTGCTAGCTGGCGCATTATGTCGCGCATGTATCTTGTACTTGTATGTTCAAGGGATTTCCATGTTCGAAGGTCTCAAAACGGTCACAAGTGCCGAGGAGCAAGGGCTCAGCCACACAGAGAGGAGGCTCTAGGTGCATTACCCGAAATGGACAGATATCGCGAGCATATGTTCTACTGTAGTTATGGCGGATCCACTTAGGCATGCTTGTCGTCCGAATTTGCCTCTTGGCACAGACCTGGTCTTTCTCGTATCCTTCCTATCGGCTGGTCCGAACGTTTGGTTATCGTTCACCCGGTGAGTGTCCACGCTAAACCCGAAGTGGTCATTAACCGCGAATTGTATCCAGCCATTCTATACACGCCTGTTCATATGGTAAAAATCTAAAGTAAAAAAAAATGCCTGGTAGAATACTTAAGCAATGGGAATTCTGCTCTTCTAGTCGCTAGAATTATGCAATCTCCCGCATTGTCACTCACAACCAATATGTCAGCCTCAATCATCTCGCGTGCCGCAGATGCCTTGATCTCCCCTGGGAGGAGGGACATTGCTATCGCGGAGATCGTTCTGTTTTCTATCATTCATGTGACCCAAATTCCTCTGCGATACATGCAGGAATGGCGTTATTGGCACCATGATAAGAGACAGAGCCCTGGACGCTGCTACTTTTATTCCTGGTGGAGCATGGTTGGGCTCTTGGCACAGAGTATGTGGAAGTTCCCACTGAATATGCATTGAGAGAGCAACAACTAAATAACTACTATGACAGTCCGCATAGCGAGCTCTGCTATGATACTATCAACTTCGCACCCAAACAAGTCCATGTTTATTGCCGAGTCTGCCTTGCAAAACGTTGGACTTTCGCCTCTTTTATTCGAAGTTAGCCTTGTTCTTTTGGCATGGTATGAAACATCCTGAGACCCCACAACCATGTACCAAATCCAGTAATCTAACTCAGCGCAGTGGGCAATCAGGCGAGTTCGGACCTGGGAAATCGAAGTATTCAAAGCCATTGAGGTTCGCACTACATGGCTTCCGTTTCCCCATCGTCATCGCCATCGTTCTCGCCATCGTGGGTGGAATCATTGATAATCCCACTCTAGGAAAAGTGGGATCGGCCATTTTAATCGTCATATTTGTATTCGTGTGTGGTTTGGTTGTCTGGTTGGCCGTGAATTCGCGCTCAACTCTCCCAGTGGAAGGGCACCACGGGATTCTGATTGTCCTTCTCGCTCTCCCATTCCTGTTGATCAGGATTGTGTATTTCCTGCTGTTGGAATACGGATCTCCGAAGTTCAACCCTGCCACGGGTAGCGTGAGTGCCTTGGCGGGCATGGGCTTGTTGATGGAGATCTTCGTCGTCACGTTGCTTCTGACAGCGCGTGCTGTAGCGATGCCGATCTGTTTGGGCCATACGAAGCAACATATGGAGTCCGATGATGAGGACCAGGCAGTTAATACTGAGACCCCATACAATCAGTCACTGGCGTGATGATCGGGTGGGCGGTTCCTAGGGGATTGAGGTAATTTATTTGGAGGCAGAATTTAATCTTGGTGTTTTTGAATCACGGAATGGCCTCAAAATTCTTTGGTTGGGCGGCAGCGTACGTCTTTGAAAATCCCTCCAGTCGTGTTAGGATCCATGATCTTATCGGGCGGTCGCTGACTTCGTATGCCACCCGTAAGGGGAAGCCCAATCGGAATGGGCCGAGAACGCCAGCGCCGCTATACTCGACCGACTTGCAAATTTGATCGCAAAAGTAAACCACCATGGACGCTTGCGGACCGGGGCAGCCAAACGTTTTTAGGACCTCGTGGATTATCGCCATATATGAGCAGTAACCGCAATATACCGTTGCATGGATCATATCCTCGTATACCAGGACGGAAGGGTACAATTCGTCATCCGTCGGCGAGGGAATTTCGACTGGGGGTGGGGTAATTAGAGAGTATTGCTCATACCAGACAGCCAACTTGCTCTGCATATCAAGGGCTTGTGTGAGAGTAGCTGATATGGTCTGTTGTGCCTCTGGGGTTGACAAGTCTGCCTCTTTCAAGCTGTAGAACTTGTGCACGAGGCTAGGTGCGTAAGTGAAAAAGGCAAAAAATTGCTCTATGCTGTTGTGGAGATCGGTGGGCAGGTCTGCTGTGTATTGTTGTTGCATCATGTGGTGCCATTCTTCGGAAGCCAAAAAGCATGGTTCGCCAGAGAACATTGAATGCATGACCTACTATCTTGTTAGATAGGGGGAACAAAAGAATGGGATCACACGTGCTGTTTCCACATATAACATACCACCAATCCGCGAGAGGCCTTGAGTAATACAATATCGAGCTGATTGCGATATCGGTCGGGACCCCTGATCTTGATCAATTGGCCGAGTCCCTTTGCGTGTTTCATCCAAGTCTCCGGGTTCTCGTTATCTGTAAAGAGCTGCGATACAATTAGAAACTGACACTTGCACAGTTATCCTATGTTTGTGAAAAGTCTTACCTCGTATATGCAGAGGAGCACAACCGCACAGAAAATGTAGGTGGAAAAGGATTCTGAAGGGCTTGTCAGTGCCTTGCGAAGTCGACGCAGGGCTTCCCCGTATGCGGATCTTGCATAAACAACCATCTGGTCATCCTGGAAGGATTTGCCATAATGGTGTGCCACAAATGACCTGATGGTAGCATCCAACGTCCGATTCTGGCCGTAGATAGATGGAAGGAAGCGAAACCAATGGGAAACACTAAGTTGGTTGGTGGACATTGGCTGAGAAAAGTCCACAATGAGAGAGCCCAAACTCTGCAAGACATTCAGGTCCGCAGATATGAGTGTATATGGCAACTCTGTCTGAATGACTTCCTGACATGAGGATTGGTTGTCACTTCCTGCACTTGAACTCGTAGAGTCCGAGTGCTTTCCCTCTGTGCTGCCACTGCCATCGGGGCGGGCCCGCCGACTCCGGTATGGTTTGCCGGTGATGAATTTAAAGCCTCTGTCGTATCCCGGACATGGCTTTCCATATTTCTCACATTTGGCACAACCAGGAACTCTTTCATCACACTGTGGCACTATTAGGATCACTGCTCCTTTGTTCAACGGCAACACACTCACCTTGACCCGGCGTTTCACACAAGTAGTGCAGCCACTGCTGCGAGGCACACCAACCATCTTCAATCATCCATAAGCATGGCTTAAGTTAGAATCGTGCGATCATCCGCTGGAACCCCAGCTCGCCCCGCTGACATAATTCCGGCGATTAGTTGTGCCGCTCCGCGTGAAGGTGATAGCGATGGAGTATAGCAAGCTTGAAAGTGAGATGCATCTTCTACCATGTATCTACGTAGCATTTGCGATCATTTTGCACAGAACATCCGAGACAATATGCAACACGTGTGAGACGGCCCTGCAATGACAGCAATTCTGCGGGTAGGGCAACCAGTGATGCCGGACTCCACACCGTGACGGTATTAAACACCGAGTGGGGGGTCATAGACTGGCCCCTTTCTGGTAGTAAGCACCTAAGCACTAGCTCGGCTTCTAGAACGTGGTATAGTACCTAGACGCATGCCGAGGAAGATCAGTTGAAAGCCGTGTTGCTACTGCAAAGCATGAGGTACCCGACACGATCGGCTCCCCGGACCATGGAATTGAACGGATCGAAGTTCGGATCGGTGGTCCGCGTGTTTACGTGCAGCCTTAGGCTTCCTGCAAGGAGGTTTCTCTACAAACCGGACCCCTGCAATTCTGTACAATGCCGGTAAAGTCGCACAGACAACGGCGAAAAACGGAGATGAACAGGAGGTCAGGAGAAAGGCCAGGTATGAGATCACCAAGACACCGTTACGGACAGAGGAGCCGGAACCCCGTCTTTTGCGCCCCTGAATTACAGGGGGAACCCGGTGTAATCCTTACAATTATTGTAAGGTGCAGCTGTTTCACTCCATTGAAGGCGCTAATTCATTACTAGCGCCTTGGTTTCCTGATTGACCCTTGTTCACGCTTCTCTCCTTCCTCCGATACTCGTTTCAAAACACCGTGTTCACTTGTTTCTCTGAGGGGTCCAGTGGGATTCTATATTCACCATCTGCTCCCGTCCCAATCGCACCTCGCGCCCCTGTGCGCTCGACGCCTTCCGATCCTCCCAATACACCCCTGACCGCCTGAACTCTGCCTGTGATTGTTCTCGAACCATGGCAGACAACAACGCCCACCCCGGGGTCCGAAGCCTGCTGGCCAAGTTCGAGAATGGCGAGAGCCCCGTCACTTCCCCGCCGTCGCGTGGAAGGTCTCCTGTCGGCTCCGGTACCCCAGGATCGACCAGACAGCTTTCTAGGGTCCGTGCTAGCTTCGTCACTGTCGATGGTGTCATTCAATCGAACCCGGGTTCGCCGCTGAGGAAGACAAGTGGGCGCAGTGATAGCCCTGGCATTTTTGGCCCACAAATCAACGCAGACGAAGTTGAAGCGCGTCGGCAGAACGTGATCTCTCCAACTCCGGCTGGTAGTGTCGGCAATTCTCAGACCGGCGTTCTCGATCAGGCTATAATTGAACCCCGGTCAGAGCAAGCTCCAGCAAGAACAGCCGGACCGAAGGAGGACAGCAAAGCTGAGGCTACACGTCCCGCAGAGACTGCTGCCCCACCAAAGGAGCCGGCGTCTGTGAAGAAGGAGGAGACTGCTTCAAGTGCACCCAAGCCAAGGGGCTCTGGGGTTCCTGCGGAAAAACCAGCGCAGAAGACGGTCACCAAGCGACCCTCTAACATCCACGCTACGAAGTCTAATGCGACGACCAAGCCCGCAACTACGCCCTCAAAGTCACCTGCCAACACCACCACCGGTAAGCCTTCGGCCCGTGATGTGGCCAAGGAGCGATCCGATGCTCTTGCTCGCAAGCCGAGTCGCGCTTCTTTGAATCCCGCTGGGCGAACTGCGACCCGGACAACTCGTGGCGCAACCCCCTCTCAAGATACCCAGAAGACGTCTCCCACGGACTCCCAGGGAGGCAAGCCTCGAACGAAATCCCCCACCAGGCCCGTTCGACTACCCGCATCGGCAACAGCGCCGACTCAAGCATCTTCAGCCAAACTAGGGACTCAAGGCCCATCGAGCCCGGCTGGTCGAACCAGCACTGCTACCTCGACATTGACAAGGAAGCCTTCGACTCTCAAGAGCGCCACTGGCGCAGGCCAAACGCGGACAACCAATGGCACCACCGTGCGCCGCCAGTCTTCTCGTCCCTCCCTTCCCACACAGCCGGCGCAAGAGCGGCCTAGCTCTCGCACCAGCGATGCCGACTCCAAGCCAGCAGATGGATTCCTGGCTCGGATGATGCGACCTACTGAGAGTTCTAGGAGCAAGACCCATGATAGGCCTGAGGCCAAAGCTCCTCCGAAGGCCAGCACCACGACAGCCAAGGCACCTAGATCGTCAATGGGAAGAGCTCCGGAGCGCAGTGCAACCCAGGCTAAGGCCAAGGCTGCTCCTCTGCAGCCCCAGAAGGAAAAATCCCAAGCTCCCAGCAAGGAACCCAAGCCGCAAAAGGAAGAAGTAAAGCCTACCCAAACGGAGCAGGAGAGTGAAAAGGAGAACATTGAAGAATCCACTCCGACAATCCCTGAAGAGCCAGACGCCGAGGAGCCCAAGGAGACTGTTGTTGAACTACCAAAGCCCGAAGTCTCCGCTGCTGCGGTCAATGACCAGATTACCAACAAGCAGGTTGAGACAGCCAAGCCTGAAGTCGCCATTGAACTTACTCAGGAGTCAGTTGCCAAGCAGTCTGAGCCAGTTTCTGAGGAGACTGTCACCAAGGATGTTCCCAAGGCTCCATCCAAGCCCGTCGAAGAGGCAAAGGCAGTTGAAGACCCTGCTGAGCTGAAAGATGAAGCTCCCAAGGGGACACCCGTAGTGTCCGATGTGAAGAAGGTCAAGGATGCTCCGGCTGAAGATGTAGCGCAAGCCAATGACGTGAAGCTCTCTTCTGAGGCTCAAATTGAGGAGCCCAAGGAAGAGACTAAGGAAGCCCTCGTCGACACTGCTGTGGAGAAGGCCCCTATTGCCGGTCAGGAGACGCAGAAGTCCGAGCCGGAGGTACCAGAAATCTCAGAGCCATCCAAGTCACTGGAAAAGGTTTCTGATGAAGTTGCTCCCAAGGTTGCGGAAGATACCACCATCCCTGAAGCTTCTGCAAAGGCTTCCGAGGTTGCCAGAGACGTCACTGTTCCTGAACCCTCTGTCGAGTCCGAGGAGCCAGCCACCAAGGATTCTGTCCCAGCTGGGCAGACCACCACGCAGACCAAGTCAGACACCGTTGACATCGAATTTGCCACCCTGAACCTGAGCTAAATCAGCCATCGGCCTCTTGCATGATTAAACTCTTACCCACCATTTTAATCTTCTGTGCTTATACCTTGGCAATTTCACTTCACGGGATTCCGCTGTGCTTCCCCTTTGGCAAGTTATTTCAAGATTTCTGTCAAGCATTATTTACATTCTTATGAAGTGGGCTGTCTATTTTCAAACCCTCCAAGATGGCATCCTATGTCTATTGGTTGCATTTTTCGACGTGATTTCGTGAGCATGGTTTTATTGAGCGATTATCTGCATTCTTCGGGTTGAGCATATTACTTTTTTGTCATTTTCAAAGGGAATTCAGATTGTGATACAATGCTGGTTTCTCGGATTTTTGCTTTCTTATAGACCCAATACGTAGTTTCCACTGTAGTAATCCATCTCAACAGGGTCCAGGGTCCGGGCTATTATCTGGCAGGACAATATTGTTTTGAAGACCTACAATGGTCTTATTAACGATTGATTGAAGCTGTCCAGCAGCTGAGCACGCCGAATGACAGAACGCGCAATGCAAGGGTAAGGTAGATAGCTAAAATCAAACTGCAACCCGAGTTCTCCCAATTCATCACAGCTTTTTCTCAAGCTTCTTCAAAAACCTATTCACCCCACTCTCCAACTTTGCCGCACTATCCTCCAACTTCCTCGGTCGCTGCGCCGGGGCTTTCATAGCCCGCTGCGCATACTTTTGACCGTGCGATCCCACTTCCGCCTCAGTAGGTCGGTACACCTGGCTATGGATATCATATTCGGACGACCCAGGCTGATGACCCGCCGACGGCTGACTATACGAGTAATTCGAGTACCCTCCAATCGGCCCTTGCTGAGGTGGTGACTGCGGAGATCCGTACGCTTGCTGTGCATACAGGTGTGCGTTTGGATCTTGTGGCGACTGAGCGAAGGAAATTGCGCCTGGCGAGCCTGGCCATGCTTGGCCGGTCTGGAAGGCTTGCTGGTAGGATGGGAGACCGGGGCTTTGGACGGATTGTTGAAAAGGGAATGTGGCTGATCTTGGTAGACCGGCGCTGGGTGGAGGGGAGGCGTAGCCTGTTGGGGACATGGCTGGTGCGCCTGGGTATGGTGCTCCGGGTGTTGAAGTTTGTGGTTGTGCGAATGAGGGTGCGCCTCCGCCGACTTGGTGTGGGGGTGTATATGGGATGCCGTGGTCTGCGGCAACGGCTGCCATTAGCCCTGTGCCCTCTGTGCCATCCTCTGGTGGAGGGGTCTTCTCGCGGTGTTTGATCGGCTCTGGTGCTGCTGGGGCGGCGGGGTTATATGGAAGAGGGGCAAAATTCTCCGGCTCTTTCTTTTCCTCGGCAGGTGGCTGTTCAACATTCGCTTGTTGATCGGCCTGGGGGGCGCTTGGAGGAGGGGGGGGAAGCTCATAGACTGCGGGGTACCCTGAGAAGCTGGCGCTGAGATAGGAGTAGGTTCAGATCGAGAATTACGAGTCTGGCCATTTTGGTATGCAGGATCTGAGACCGCGATACTCTCTAATTGCTGAACCACGGAGCTCATCGGCTGTTCTGATTGTGTAATGTTGACCCTATCCGACTCGACCTGCGAAGTTGAGAGTACATGGCTGGCAGTATCCAAGAACTGGTTGGCATCGTCCAGAACCCAGAAGTAGATGTCCAGCGTGTGGAGGCGCAGGAGGCTATGCCGCTCATTGCGGGGGTCTCCGCTTGGCAGTCGCCATTCGTACTGAGATGTATGCTGGGGTTGAGGGGAATTGCTGACTCCATCCACGGTCAACGTGCAAAGAGTTGGGAATCGAGCCGAGTGACGGATATGTACGTTGTCCAAAGCACCGTGGAATGCATCTTGGTCTGCCGTTCCTGGATTATTGGCAATCTCGACTCGCGCCTTGTTTTGAGCGGCATCGTGGTAGATGTACAAGTAGGAACCCTTATCAAAGCGATGATGGAGAGGCTTTGGGGCCGGCGCAGTGAAGTAGTAATGGATGTCGGCAAAACTATGGCAGCTCGACAATCAGACACCATACATTCAAGGCAGTGCTTATTCTCCGAGGAAAGCCAGCGTTACTTACGCGGTCAAAAGGCGCTCCTCGCCTGGTAGCGGAGGCATGGTTGCCCGTAAGTATAGAAAAGAGGTATACGGACAAAACCAAAAGAGGGGACTTACGATAGCTTTATAGCTGCATGGTGGGGTCTAATCGCGCCAGCCTGTTAAATGTACTCTCGAGCCGCCCAGCTCAGGCGCGTAAAGTGTGATGTGACAGGGTAAGTAGCGAGTACTTGGCTGTCACACTCGGTGGCTGCGACGGAGCCAGGTACAAGCGACTTTCCCTCTTTTGGCACACACTGTGTTGTGGCCGGAAATACCGTTTCTCCGAAAATTTCTCCCCCGACTCGGCCTCGCGTTCACTAGCAGTTGTTCATCTCGACCCCAACTTTCCGCGCGATTGAGCTATTGCTCTCACCCTCCAATTGAAGCTTCACCTCGTGTGGAACTTCGCTTCCCCCTCCGACTCAGATCGGTCGCCCGCCGAGACTCCGCACCTTTCCTCCCTCCACCGGCCTCCCGAAGGGCCAATTGTCGCAACGACCGAAAAAGATGTCTCTCGTCAATCTCGCCTCGGTGTGCGCACACCTGAACAATGCCACCAAAGCCAGACTCGGCCTTACTTCAATTCCCAACACCAACTTGCACCTGAAGCTGTGTCAGGCCCTTAAGAACGATGGCTACCTCTCCACCGTCGTTCGCGGCGGCCCGACTCCTCCACCTGCGCACCCAATCCTCGGTTTCCCCGCCGCTAACGACGTTGAGCCTATCACTCGGGATAACGTCGCGTCAAGGCGCCTCTGGTTGGGCCTGAAATACTGGCGCAACGAGTCGGTTTTGGGGAAGGTCCAGCTGGTCAGCAAGCCGACACGACGAGTCCGGGTCACTGTTGAGGACCTGCGAAAAATTGTCCGTGGCGAAGAGTCCAATTACGTGGCTGGACTGCGCTCTCCGGGTGAGAGTCTCTACATCTCGACGGACCAGGGAATCCTGGAGGCTCGCCAATGTGTGGAAAAGAAGATCGGTGGCCAGGCGTTGTGCCGGGTTCTATAAGCTTGGAGACATCGGGTCTTAGTGTTTTGCATTTACGCTGGAGTTTTGCTCGGTTCAGTCGCAGCGGAATCTCCTCTTGAGATTCGTTCCTTTTTTGCGACTGGGATCATTTGCCTCGGTCGAGGATCTGTATATTAGATGCTTGGGTGTATCTCATTTCCTGGTCGCTCTCCCAAGGCGACGTGTATAGATTACAACTTGAAAACATGTTTAGATTTTCCTTTCCACCCATCTCTTACTTTGCGTGATATGAGGTATCTTAAGTCACGCGCATGGTCGATCCCTGGTTTGCCGCCCTGTGTGTCCCGCGTGTTTGGAATGGGACTCACCGCATTTCCTCATAATCATTATTTTGTGCAATGGCCGAGATAGTCGGATCCAAAAAGGTCCTGATATCTGGAGGCACCGGCTTTGTCGGATCCGCTACGGTACGCGCCCTGGCAGAGAAGCATCCCAGCTGCGCCATCACCGTCATCGATCGTAGCCCCCCACGGCCCCAGCATGACATCCCCGAGAAGGTTGAATGCCTGCAAGTCGATGTCACCAATGCACATGAAGTCAGCAAGGCATTCCAGGCTGTCAAGCCCAATGTGGCCATCCACACCGCGGGGATCGTGCCAGGTCTAGCCGATCGGTTCGCCCGAAGGCTGGAGCGCCAGGTGTGGAAGACCAATGTTGAAGGCACACGGAATATGCTGGATGCGGCGGCAGAAAATGGCACCGAAGCTTTCATCTATACCAGTACTTGCTGCGTAACGACTGATGATATGCGCATGCCTTATCCCAATATCAACGAGCGGTGGCCAACATCACCAAGCTCTCTCATTTACGGCGAGTCTAAGGTCGTGAGCTCATTTTTTCTATCATCCAACTTTTTTATTTCTTTGGAGCTTGCAAGGATAAATTAGTAGAGCGCTGACAAGAATCTCAGGCTGCAGCAGAGGCGCTTGTCCTGGAGGCGTCTTGCAGCAAGATGGCCACCTGCGCCCTTCGGCCATCGGTGCTGTGCGGACCGGGGGACTACCAGTTAGTACCGGCGATTCATGCATGCATAGCCAAATATGAGACTCCATTCATCATCGGAAACGGCCTCAATCTCTGGGACATCACCCACGTGAGTAACATTGCAGATGCTCACGTCCTCGCCGTGGAGAACTTGGTGACCTCTCGCACGGCTGCCGGAGAAGCTTTCTTCATCCAAAATAATGAGCCCATTGCCTTTCGTGATTTCTGTCTCGCTATTTGGCGGCAGTTCGGACACGTCCCACCCTTCGAGATCCTGGTCCCGGAGGGGTTGGCCTACCTTGCAGGGTTTGCGTGTGAGATGACGACCCGGTTGTTAGGGACTACCACCACCTTAAGCCGTGGCAGTGTTCGAGACGCGTGTGCTGTGCGGTATGCGAGCGGAGATAAAGCCAAGGCAATCCTAGGGTACAACGCTCGGATCGGCATCGAAGAGGCTATCCGGCAGAGCTGCGAGGTGAGCAGAGATTAAACTCTGACCTCGGGAGTCGAATGGACAGCTCACATGAGAGGTACAGGAATATGCCCGTCGTATAGGCGTGGAATTGCCGGCCCATGGGCCACAAGCGGCGGATCAGCAGATGTCCGCCAGATGGACATCGAGATAGACTTTCCGACTCCCATCAATGGCCGAGGGTTGATACCCTGCAAATAAACCCGATCATTATTGACTTCATCAACCCGAAGAACGCCTCTTACGCTCTTTCTAATTAATTGTCACCTGCTCCAACCTCGATATTGTCTGGACGTAGGGCCTGCGGGGAATGTAAGACATTGGGCCGTCCATTGGGCTGCAAGACCATCCCCAACTGGATCTCCAATCAGCTCCCCACCGAGTGTTGCATGGATACTGGCCGATCACGGTCGAGATATACTGTAAAGATGGCCCATGCGTTGATTGGGCCACAACAGCTCTGCATGCCCGATCGCGCATCAGGGGTGAACTGGAAGGAATCGAAGCCGCGTCTAAAGATTGATTATCACGGGATTTCGTGCTTCGCCTCCACCGTTAGGCTCAAACTGCTCAGCTCTCATTTTGTGCAGATCACTCCTGACGCATTCACGTCATCGGCCAACTAGAAGCCCGACTTGCCTCCGGTTCATGCCCTTCTACCCAACCGCTGCCTAAACGAATTTACTTTCATTGTGATTGTCGCACCATAATTCGGTGGCGTTGCGTACCGTTGGTCCTTCCCATCTCCTGGTACGGGAAGACCAACCCTCGGGATAGCAAACCACCCCCGTTCTCGATCGATGTGGATACAACTGCTCCCCAACCATCGTAGAGCCGCTCCGGCGGTGTCCTAGCCACGTCAAATCAGTGCGCCTTTGCGGAGCAGAGTCGAGCTTGATCGATCGAGATCTCCTCATAAATGCACGCTTTCTTCAGCACAAGGGAGCTGGGGTTTCTCCCCGTCTGTATTGTGCAATTGGCTCATACCGAGGAGCAACGCCCAGTGCCACGCGCTGCATCATTTGCCTTACCATCTCCACTTCTGGCTTGAAAGCTTCTAGCGCGGCTCTCCATCCACTTATGGAATTGGATTAGCCCTGATAGTTCCAGAAACGGGCGTCAGGCACACTTCCAGGAATACTTGAACCGGGTTTTCCTGGCCGTATAATACCTCGGTCGTGACCACCCAGCGCTTCGTAACGGCTCCAGGTTGCCCAACGATATTCTTGATCTTATTTTATTTTTTACCCCCTATTCCGCGTTGTCCTCTTCTCCCTTACTTTTTCTTCGTTGTGGACTGCCGCTAGTTTATATCTTGTCTTCATGGTGCCTCCCCCTTTGACGGCTGTCCCAGCGAATTTCCAGCCACTCTCTGCGAATCCATACAATTTTGGATCTCGAGCAGGCTCGGTCAGCACTAAACTGGATATTTTATCTCGCCCTAGGTCAGCACCAACACACATCGCCTCCTCTCCAATCATCTCCAAATCATAATTTTCCTTACTTGCCCACTCGACTCACACCTTGCAACAGCACAATGGCTCAACACTCCATGTATGCAACACCGGGAAACTTTCCCATCATCCACCGGCAAAGGTACTTCCATACCATGTATATTGGCTTTTTATCCCCACCCTCCCAACTTCGACGAAACGAGGTACTCCATTACTCTTGCTAAGCGGTCAAAGGGCACCGTCAGCGCCTCGGGCATACGACCTCAGTGACAACCGTCAAATTTTACTGGGCTCAATAGATTTTGAACCTCGACACAACTACCATGGACTCCGATCTCCTCTAGACAACCATGGACGTATGGTGAATCAGTCTCTGGGGCGGTTATCCTATCCTCCAGCTGGCCAGCCAATGACCCCAGTCCCCGTGTACCCAGAATGGAATCACCCTCAAATGCCAAGGGAGCCAATACGACCTGATGTTAGGCCATTTACTTCCTCGGAAAGCCCGGAATACATCGTGGAGAGGAACAGCCGTCGACCGGCTGATATAACCCGAGGAGGGCCACAATACGTTTCCCAGAGACGGACTTCTAACCGGGATGAATTTGATGGACCGCATCAGATCCTGGATCCACCTTCCGCACGGAACGTCTCATGTCGAGATGAGGAGCTGCCCCAGCTCCCTACTAATATCGATGCCGCAGAGCAGGACAGAATCCTGCACCAGGTCAATGACCGTCTCTCCCAATGCGGCTATGATTTCTTTGCCAGATACCAATTTCCCATTCCCTTGGAACAGGACAAGAGGCCAGTTCAACTCCCTTCGGACCGCGAGTGGAACGAATGGGTGCACCTTCTCAAGAGGCTAGCTACTCGACGTCGCATCCCTCGCCACGCTCTACACAACGGCCAAATCAAACAACTGATCACTGTTCTGGAAAACTCCCTGGAAATGCGCCACGCTGCCAAGCACAGCTCCCGACCCGTCAAGGATGACCGTAATGTGCTCCAGCTCATTTCCGCAGGAACGCAAGTTGCCAAGATCCTCAAGGACTCCGACGCAATGCAGTTCTTCGACCGTCTCTATGTTGACACGGAGAAACTGATCCATGAGCGATGCCGCCGCGTGAGATTCGCAAACACCTGAAAACTAGCCAAAGTATATGGCCACTTCCCCCTTTGAGGCCGATTGATGAATTTACTTCCGTGGATACGACCCCTTGGTCTTTTCCGTTTTTGCTTTTCCGTGCTGCGTTTATGGACCCCGTGGAATATTTGCTTTCGCCACTTGGGACACCGCGATGGATTAAATGCACGCCCCTGATCTGATGACCGACGGACCTTTGAATGCTAGCCCAGGACTCCCCAATAGCTCTCTGGATGCCCATGATAGCGCACTCAAGCCACGCTGGGCCTTTGGCTAGATGAATTACTGCCACAATGATGAAAGTACTGCGCAAGCTACGTTATTTACACCAAGTTTTCCTTCCTTTGGAATGGCAGCTTCTGAGATTCTCCATGTTATGCGTTAGCTAGGACCCAAACACTGAATGACTGCGCGACTCGGTTGGGTATCTTATGCCGCGTCTTTTCTTTTCGGGTTTCTGATCTTGGAGTTGAGTTTTGTTTTTATTCTGCTTTTGATTTTGTTCTTGTTGAATCGGTGGCTGTGTCGAATAAATGCTTTGTTCCTTACTCGCTTTTGATTTCATGTATCAACGTGACAGATGAATGGCTTGGATAAGAATGGCTTGGATAATGTTTGTCAATTATGTATGGTATAGTGCCAGCCTTCAATGTCCAGGGTGGCAACGAATTGCACTGATTGTTCTGACTGATCATTTTGCCCCTGCAAAGCGTGCTTCGGACGAACGGGTTATACTGCGAGGTCCACTTATTTCAAGGTGGATGGGAAGAATGCACCCGATGGTCTCTCTACAGCATCTCTTCAACCGGCCTCATAAGCCATTCGTCTGGTATAATTTCGTTTGACGTGGCTCTCACTTCCGGGTCCCAAGTCAAAATTTTCCGTATGAACCGCAAAAACTGGTCTTTCTCCTGTCCCGGTGGGATTGTTGTGACGAAGTCCTCGAGAGAGGTTTTTGGTACTGGCGGTTCGGAGACCCAATTCCCTGTGATAGATTTCAGTGAGGAATAGGGGTTGACAGGGGGGAAGTTTAAGGTGGGTGAGGCTTACCCTCTGCATCAAAGTAGGTTGAGAAAAGGGGGCTCTTCTGAATAATATTCAGTGGAGGGGGGGCCAAGATATCCGATGTATTGTGCTATGGCCAATGTAAGTACATATTGACCATGAACACGGTCAATCGGATCGAAGAGGTTTTTTCCTTTCAAAAGTTCGAGGGTCTGTATCATAGAACTCCAGTTAATGTTTTGATTGCATATAACCTACGATTATGTGATCAACTCAACTCACCATAACACCAATTGACCATATATCAACTGGGAATCCCCATGTTAGATGTAAGACCACCTCCGGGGCACGTTATAGATCAGACATCCACCAGTCTTGATTCACGCGTCCTTCGACCAGTCGCATTTGACCATAGCCCGTAAGAATAGGGTGGCCGGAGAGTTCTACCATTGTAGGTCTAGATTTGTAGACAATTGCCTGCATAGTTCCGTTAATTGTGGATGTTATCGGTAAACTTGGATCCTGGGATTCCTGGTCTTCAATATCTTGAAGGCTAGTGTCGTCATTAATTTCCATAAAGACATTCTGGGGTCAAATATCTATTCATCCGTAAGTAGATATTTAAGGAACATATTAGTGGACTTACCAGTGTGGGCAACACCGCAAGTTGCATGTAGCCAGTTCACAGAGAAGAATAGGCGGTGTATCAAAGATTTCACTAAAGGTTTAGGGATCATTGCATTTGGAAATGTTTCCTGTAATGTGCGGACACTGTTGCCTTGAGGCTTATATGCAATGCAGTAATGGCGACCAGAGAGACTTTCTGTTTCGAATATATGGCGCGCAAGCCTTGTAAAGTTAAGTCCAGGATGATCCTTATCAGCGAACTGCTTCAAATGCTGGAGCATGTTGATTTCGTTGCGAATGGAAAAGGGCTCGGCATTATCATTGTTAATCTGCACAGAGACTCTCAGCGAGGCATATTTATTCGCCCTAAATTTCAAGTCAGCAACAGACGCCAATATCAAAACAACTTTAGCGGTATAAGACCCCTCATCCCACGCAAGCCAAACGGTGGAGTAGGCGCCATAGCCAAGCTTCGCAATTATCCGATACCGATCATTGAAAACCTGGTTAATTTTGACCGGGTAATAATATTTTCGATGATAGAATGGGAGGGTCTGCTCTTCAATTGCTTGACTGTGTGCTGCCATCGTGTGAGTCAGTCGATGGTGCAGCGGAGATGCTCGAAAACAACGTGGTCGGATAATGAAAAAGAGCGAGGGCGATGAGGCTGTGAGGCGCATTCGCAGACCGGCCATCTTTCACCTCCTTCACTTCGCGACGTTGCGGTTGTCTTTGCTCATAAAGGTTGAGGTTGCTGTGGTCGGCTGCATGTGACTCTGTGTCGCGTTTCTATTTTTGCACACCAAACCTGGCGCCTGCTAAAACGCGAGCTTTGCATGCATTCCACTGCCAAACCCTTTCTGGCCAATTGCCCTGCTTGGTAACTGTTGCCATGGCTCCCGGATCTCTGATTACATTGAAGTTGGTCGAACGAAGCGTTTCGTTGCTTTTCTTCAGGGGCAAAAAGACGAAAAGCAAATTTCTACAGTTGCCCGGGGTTCTATTTTGCGAAGTATTTATGGGAGTCAGTGAACCCCTACTATATTGACGTCGATTTGTATCATTTGATTACCTGCTGAATACCAATTTCAACGATAGAAGAAACAATCGCCGACCTACGACGTCAGCTTGAGGAGGCGAGGCAGGCGCGAGAAGAAGCTGGTCCATGCCCGATTCCTATCTGGGAGCACTATTGAACAGAACCATTCTGTTAGGGTAAGTATGAAGTACCAAGTCAGCAAATGTATGGTTCCAAGCAAAATAACCTCTGAACAGCGCCTGATTCTCTTATCGAGTATTCATCGTGACGTTAGATTACGATCCTGCCCGATATAAAGATCAATTAATTTTTTCTACTCAACACTTTATTCCTTGTCTAGTCTAACACCACGGCTACCGCATAAAACTACGCATTTCTTTTGAGAGCCACCATGGTACCTCGGTCACGCCCATATCATGGAGTACCTAAGTCGCTCATACCTAGCACCTCTGGGGTCACTCCACCACCAACATGTCTTCTTTGCGGAATTGAACTTCCACAGTTCGTTCATAGCGGGATATCGAATATGCTCAAGCCCGAATTATTCAGAAAAGATCGATGGAAAAAGTATTGGAAACAGAGTCCAAAGCATGTGATGGTTCCATCTACAGAGTTAGAGGAGGCATACCTCAGCGATTTCCCTCTGCTAGGGTCATGCTTTTGTCGAGCCAGTGAGTCTGGGGACTTGGAAATTTGATCAAACTTACTAAGATTCCTTAACTATCACAGTAATGAAAGAGTCCGAAAGCAGCTACCACCTGACGGGAATTAATCAGATTTTGTATCGCCAGGATGAACCTCTCCACACTCCAAATGATCCAGCGATGGCGAGAATCGGTGGCAAGACAAATGCAAGATATGACAATCTCCATTTCACGTCATTCTATGCTGCGAATATTGGAAGACGGCCGGTTCAATTCCATGGCAAAAAGATTGGCTACATTGTCCATGCCTATTGCTGGGTGCTTTTTGAGCGGGTCCTAGAAACAAAACTGACCCAGCGCAATTTGGCAAGATTTGTACGAACTTCCCGGAAATATTGGCGCAATAACGAATTATGGGGGCTACGAGACGACCGTATTTCTGAGGTCGAGCCGAATCAGAATCTATCGAGTCCTGAGCTTGGCTATGATGATATTTACCAAAATCCCCTAGCTACACCCGCGGTTCAGAAAGCGATTGACATCGCTAAGGTCGAAGCCGAACGTTCCGACTATTGTTTGAGGAAGACCAGCTTTCCATTAGAAATTTCTGTTCTCATCGCTGAGTGGGTTTGCCCTCTCAATTATACCGAGAACGATATCAATAACACCAAGAATATGCTGTTGGCGTTTCAGTGGAAGCTCCCGGATTTCTTCTGGAGGGCAAGATTGAACGAATTCTTGTTTGTTGAGCTAGATGAGCTCAAGAAAGCTAAATTTCCAGTGGATTGGCAAGTGCTGCGTCTAGGCTTGATGAGACTTGTGTCAGATCGGAAATGGTACCTTGCCAGCGGTCTGGGAGATCGGGAACGGGTGCTTGGAATCATGGTTGACATTAAGAAGGCTTACTTGGAAAAGTCTTAGAATGATGAGGTTTTGCTTGAAAAAGAATTGCTACTTGAGTTGATTGATCTAGCCACCCTTCCTAAGGTCTAGGGATAGGGAAGCCTCTGACTTCGGGATAGGGAGGCCTCTGGCTTCTGTCAGATTGCTATCATAAATGCAGAACGTACGAGGCTAGTCTTTTGAGTTAAACACAATGATAAAGTGTCTTTCTGACAAAGTGGTAATTAAATATAGCGAGATAGAAGTACAAAATGATGAAGGCCTTTAAGATTTGTAGAATCATAGAGAAATATTTGTAAGGAACGAATGATACTTCTGCTGGATATTGAAAGTGGGTCTAAACTGGGTAGGGGCTTCGACGCTCTCGGGGCTGATTCATAGAGATGATTAGACGTATGCCTCAAAGATCAAACTTAAAAGAGGCCCTGAGAGAGAATAGACTAATGTAGAAAACCACATATAAAAAACGAAAAATCAATAAGGGCACTTATCAAGAATAAGAGGATAAAGTGCTTACGTAAATTCTGATAGTTCACCTACATTTGGTCCTTATCTGCACTATATATGACTAGTAATAGCTACCTCAGGACTCATTACACCTTAGAGGTCTGCCGATAGCTTCAACTGGATGGGTCCAGAACCTCAAGTCCGGAGGCCCGGCGTTTCCATGAGCTAGATTCCTGCGCGCTGTATCCTCTCACGAAGCTCTACCAACTTTTCATAAATTCCTCTACATTACACCATACAAGAATCTTACGGCCCTTCCATCATAGTGGAGCTTAAACCAATTTGAGGATTAACCATCGAATATCCGCGTATTCTAGATTGCTCGTGGATAATCCCCGGAATTCCACCACTTATCTCACATAAAGGCGGAAGAGCATCTCATGGCTATTCGCAGATTTCAAATTCATCTAAATTTGGTATTGAGTAGATTTCTCAAACATGCCACGTATGCAGAATTTCGGCATGCCCGGCACCGCAAGAGGCTCAACGATACACTCGTCCCAGAATTTGGACACACAATGGTCAGTGAGATCGTCGGTGGAATAGGTGGCAGTCTCGATAATACAGTAAACCGAATCATATCCATCACCTCGCATAAAAGGTAGAACGTTCACGATAAGGGAAACAACAAGCAGGACTTTGACGGCATGATATCAATCTGTGTTAGACATGCTTTAGGAGAAAAACAACTCCGGCAACACTTTAAACAGACGAGATGCCGTTTCCGGCTCAGGGTGGGGCCCCACATAGGCTGAAAGCTTATGTTAGATCAACCCCCACAAGCCATGCATCTGTAATGGGATCTTGTTCTACGCGTCATTATAGAGAGTTTTAACACATATATTTCTTCCTGATGATATGGACGGTGTTTTTAAATGGTATAATATCAATAGAAATAATAAAGTTACTGTCAATAAGGTAGGCAACTCGGATGAAGAGGAAGTTGTAGGTTAGGCCAGAGCTACCTAGAGATATCATGAAGCAGTAGAAGCCTGGTCATACTCTGTGCTCCATTTACTAATATAATGTCCTACTGGAAATGAAAGTTCCATGCAGTGCGCCTATTTTCAGGCTTCTATCTCTCGGTGCACTTTAGGTATTACGGCCCAGGATAATGCGTGGACTGGGCGATGCCTGGGTTTGGCTATTGTGAACCGGAGATAGCCAGCCATATGAATACATACAATATGCCGTAGGCTAGCAATTATCTACCTACAAGGCGCTACCTGATTAGGCAGTCGCTGGGTAGTGCTTGCCTTCATGAGATATTATTAAAACGCGTCCCTCTTCCCTCTTTCCTCTCTTCTTCTCTTCCTACCCTCGATCCATCAACACTCATCCATCATCCCTCGTCCATCATCATGGCCACAGCTATTCCAACAGTAAGTTACATCAAGCAAAAAGGCCCATATGGACATCCCTGACGGTGTTAGTATCGTCGTATCCACGCAATCGAGCAAGAAATGAAGCGTGTTCGGAAAGGAGACCATGAATCAACCATTTACGGAGTCTGGAACTCCATTCTTTCGCTGCAATTTCCCATCACACAGGGATACGTGACCCGCCCCCAAGACCGGCACACCAGCCAGGCTGGAGAACAGGGATTCTCTGACCTACATGTGTTCCACTATCCCAGCACGGCAACTACGGCAACGAAGTTTTTAATTGTGCAGTGCAAGAGAAAGGGGGACGAGGGCAAGGGGTCGGTCTGGATAGAGGCCATCAACCAGCTGGATCGGTATCTGTCCGCCACACATGGTCGGCGGCCTCCAGCCGCCCGTAGTCCTGTTTATGGGATTGCCTGTGTTGGCCTGACGATGCGCGTTTACAAGTACGATGATATCAACCAGCGAGTACTCGACTGGGCGCCATTTGGTTGGCTCAGGGGCTCTGATTATAGCCTGAAGAAAAACCACGACAAAGTCCAGCAAATCTTGGACTTCATTCTCAACAATCACTAGTCTCGGTCTTTGTGGGGAGAGTTCGGGGTTCATTTCTATCTTCACTGCCGTGTAATTATCGTAGTTATGGAGAAACACCCAGACTCTCGTTGATCGCCTTCAACGTTTGAATTAAATCCTCCTTTTTCGCAATCATATCCTGTAGCCGCATAAGTTCCTTCTCCTCTGCTAGGATCAGATTTCCGATTTTCTCGGCGATCTCAATGTTTCGAGCCTCTGTATCTTGGCCGACTCGCTCAGTCCCTTGTAACGGACTGTTTCTCTCTCTTTCTGGGTTGTTTTCCTTCACTCCCGAGGATGTCGCGGGCCGCAAGCTGCACCGGCCTTGTTGCCGCCCATGGTGACAGTTTGCACAATGGTATTGACCAGGGACTCTGACACATACGGTGTAGAGACCATCTCCAGCCAAGCAGTTGGTGCATGCTGCCTGACCCTCGAGAACCTCATCGGCAACTACCTGGGCATACAAAGCCTCGGTATTTTGAGGCTTTTGATTGATGAGCTCAAACAAATCTCGCCCGTTCATGGGCCAAATCCTTTTGTGGCGGTTTGGAGCCCGCAATGTAGGCTCTCTTCTAGCAGGGAGGTCTCTCATGCTATACAGAAGCGTTCCTGGTGTCCGAATAGCTCGCCTCCCAAATCTTAAATCACATCCTTTGGCCATCTGGGCCCAGTATCCAGGCGGGAGACTGACTGCGCTGATGATCGGGGTGTCGAATGTGGGAGACTGCTTGGACGGGATACTGTTATTTTCAGAGTACAGATCTTCCATCTTTAGGACGGGGATGCGGTCATCTTCAACTTTGGGTTCTTCCATCTGTAAACAATAAGGTCAGGTCAGCTTGTCATAGGTAAATGAGTGTAGGTCACCTTGGTGGAGGCTGCGGCAGAGAAACGATGGAAACAGCAAGTTGATATTGATGGTGGATATAGCAATGACTGTGTCGGGGGATGGACTTGGTAGAAATATTCGAGGGTGGCGTGCGGTGCTGAGTGACTGATGACTCCGTTCCCTGGCCCAGAGGAGAAGATTGCCGGTTGGCCTTTGTCAACAGAAACCTCACTATTTATCTATGTTACTGTTTCTGGCTACAGCAAAATGTCCTTGAAGACGTATTTACTATTTCATAATATGTTGCGAGAGACTGAGCGACGTAACTGCATTTTCAGTCGCTTTGGGCCAGACAGGCCTAGGCTGATGTTATCTGAACGAATAAAATTTGTAGGTCTATCTGAAGAAGACATCGTGATATGGAAAGGCCGAGGGACGTAGATGACAGAGGACAAATTGGGGTTCGCAGAAACTGCAAACCTTATGTCAAACAAAGGTCGATCCAAGGAAGGCCACACCATGGATTTCATAGCTGAAGCTTGGCACACTCAACATCCCAAGGGCTTTACATTACCCAATCTATCGTCATTCATGCATTCCCGAGTCATAGCTCGATATCTTCATCCGTTCACCCCCACCTCCTCCTTCATCTAACTCATCAAGATGCCCAACCTTTTCGGCACCCTACCCACTCGTGCGCGCCAACGGGCCGTATTACATGACCAAGCCCGCAGCCAGGCCATGAAGAACCTCAACGACATTTACAAGCGAGTGGAGCGGTACGACAACACACATATCCACCCTCAATCATACGCATCTTTGGACATTAAGTGTGGAACTTTCTTGCTCGACAGGGATGGAAAATCATTGGACGCAAAAGAAAATTGCTCCTTGCCCTTTTTTGAACCCCGGGGCGCCTCTTGGATTCCCAATCTCAACATAACAGATGCTCGTATGCGCGAGACATTTCAAGTCTTCAACGATAACTGGGATGCAGTTTTGACAAGTGGTCTCATGCGGGAGAGACCGAAGACCCAGGCATATTCTGTTTGTTCCTGGCTGGAGCACATGTTTTCTTATTTCACTCGTGAAAGTAGCCATCCCAATGTTGCCTCGCTGTCCAAGTGGAGACACAGGTTTGTGATCCAGCTCCTTCGCGATACCATTTACTGACTACTCTGGATATTGTAAAGTGGCAAGTTAATCCCCGAGATCTTTGCCGAAAGGTTTTACCTTGCCGCTTTCCCTTACAATAGATATTCTACGTACGCAGTGTACGCGTCAAAGAAGCAGCTCTCATCTACCAAAACAACAGCCCCACATACCCTCATTACCATTGCGATCGGCGAAGAGCCGAGTGAAGACCTTTTCAAAGCAGAGGCTATGATCATTGCTGCGGCCATGATCTCACGCCTAGAGGGCGATGAGTGCAAGGCGTATAGCGTCATTCCAGTGAGGAACCATCATGAAGCACGCCATAATGTGCCTAAAGCTGACATTTTCACTCTCTCTAGATAACGCTAGTCACAGCAATGGGTGGAATGCAAGCTCGTGTCATTCAAGCGCATTCTAGCGGGCAATCCCTTGTCCTGAGCAAGACCAAAGTCTTTGATTTTGCGACAAATCAGATGGCAACAGCGAACATCGACATTCTCCTAGGCCTTATGGGCTCTGACCAGGTCGGAGATCCAGCAGACCCCGACCACATTCTGAAGGTTGAAGTACAACAAGTCGTGACCCAGCAAGGCTCGGACCATAAAAGATTCCAAAGTATTCGCAAATTCTTCCGGCCTGCGCGTGAAACTTCAGCAGCTTCATGGGAGAGCCGAAAATGCTCTACACCACGGCCTCAGATCCCTCAACCTTGGCGTTTGTAGTCTCAAGAAGACTTATTGACAGGGAGACTGCATGTATGGCTCGGTCATTGCGGTTCGCTAGGGGGAGTTGTGGTTATGCCTGTGTCTACCTCTTTCATGACCAGCGAATGACGAATATTCGCCTAGGTTCAAGTGAGCTGGCAAGTCCCGCATTTGAGAGCGCATATCGATACATTGGTCGTCGGCTTCAGATCGAAGGGCTCGACGATCCTGGAGCAGATGTCAAAACGCTTGTCAAAAAAGCTCTTAGCGAGAGTCCGGATAACTGTTTGCTGATCATCGATAATGCTGATGATATCGAGCTTTTCTTTGACCGAAAAGTAAGGCTATCAAGCTATTTTCCGTCCAGTCCAAGAGGCTCAATACTTTTCACGACCCGTCGATCATATTTTGCAATCAAATGCTATATTCCCGGGAAACATATCATCAGTGAACGTCCAATGTTCAGTAATGAAGCTTTGGAGCTATTCCTCAAAGCATTGGATGATAAGCAAGATGATATCGAGTCTATCATGAAGATACTCAATTTGCTCAAGTATCTCCCCTTGGCAGTCAAGCAGGCATCTGCATACGTTGCCATGACCAGATTATCTGTCAAAAAGTATCTGGGATATTGTCAGTCCAGTGAAGAAGCCCTTCTCAAGCTGCTGACCAAGGACTTTGAAGATACAACTCGTTACGAAGATTCGAACAGTCCCGTGGCAATGGCCTGGATGATATCGTTCAAGCAGATCTCACAGGGGAGTCCGCTTGCTGCAGGGATTTTACAGGTCATGTGTTTCCTAGCGGAGAGAGATATTCCAATCGATCTTGTCTTACATTACAGCGACCCAATTGAGACGGATGAAGCAATCGGCTTGTTGCTGGGATACGCATTCGTGACGAGACAGGAAGGCTCGAACTTGCTGCAGATTCATCGTCTGGTTCGTCTGGCGATGCAAAATTGGCCCAGACAGCAAGGCAAGCGACGTCGGGCTTTTTCTGACGCCGTCGCACAACTCACCAAGTGGCTCAGCAGGACAAACCCGAAAGGCCTGAAGTTTGCTATGATAGTCATATCTCATGTTCGCACCGTTTTGGCAGGACCGGAGCCCATCGTATGGTTTCTCCTTGGAAATCTTCTTGCTAACTCGACCAATTGCTGGAAAGTCCTAGGATATGATCATGCGCGGTACAAATTTCTGGAGCAAAGGTTCAAGTTGCTAGCACAACTCCTGGGCCTATATCATAGGAAAGTTCAAGGAGCCTGCTTCAACGCAAGTGAACCGCAATGTGATGCTTATTTTCAGTTAAGGCGCAGGCCTCGCCCCGCTGCAACATCCATGAGATTTATCACAGAGAATGAGCCGTTGATAGGCCCTTTCGAAGAAGGGGGCGTCTTTGACGACCGAGGACCACTGGATGCAAACAGGAGCCTTCCAGATAAATTAACAGTAGTTCACTTCTTCTGCAACTCGTTATACGAGGGGCTCAAAATGGAAGCGACAGCGCTCTTTGACAGGAGCATTACATTGCCCGAGAAAGAGGAATATCAAGAGATAATAGCTCGACAGATATCTTGTGAGGCCCTCGCTATCTGCGAACCATGCCTTAGTGCCGAGCATGACGATTTCCGGTGGCTTGAAGAAAGCTTCAAGGCACAAATGTCCCCGGTCGAAGAGCAAATGCCCGAGCAATTCTTACAGCATATTCTAGAAGTTTTCAAACAGTGGAAGGATGCCTGAGGTGCCACTGATATGAGTTCCCTCAAACTTTTGGAACATTCCGCGAAAACGCATTGCTTGGAGGGCAAGCTTGAACCAGCCGTGGAGATTTACCATGAGCTTTTAAATGGTGAACAAGGAAGCCTCGGAGTTAAGCATCACAAGACAATCCAGACACAGCAAACTCTCGCGGATGTGCTCATAAGGCTCGGCAGGGACACAGATGCGGAGCCGGTTGTTCGCCAGCTTCTTCAGCTCAGAAAAAAGATTTATGGCCCTAAGAGCTCCAATACACTGGATACTATGGTCCAGTTGGCACAATTGGTCAAGCCTGGTGAGAAACAGGAGCTTCTTAGCGAATTGTATCCGCCCAAAGCTGAGGTAGCGCTTGACCTATCGACCCACCACAAAATTGGCCTCCTGCTCGAGGAATAAAATGATTATGATGCCGCCGAACAGACCTATCGAAAAATCCTTCAGGTCCCTTTAGATAAAAATCCGCTTAACAGGTTTTCTATGTCTCGTCTGTGTACCGTGCTGGTTCACGAGGGAAGACTCGAGGAAGCCGAACGGTCTTATCAAATCCTTGTCAACTTTTTACAGAAAGAGCTAGGAGAAACCCATGAGGACTCAATTGATGCACTTTTTTTCTCTTGCTGACATGCTGAGACAGCAGGATAAGTCGAAGGAAGCCAAATATGCCTATCGGAAGCTTGTCAGGCTATGCAAGAGAGCACTGGGCTTTCAGAATCAACAAACGATCTGCGCCTTTTTGCATTTGAGCACGGTACTCGAGGATTTGAAGGACCCCTAAGCCAATTATGTGCATATTCAAGCCGGCAAACTACTCGAGCATTATGATTTTTCCGGTCTAATACCACTGGAAATTTCCCCTCGGTTTAGACTTGGTCTCCAGTTCTTTATAAAAGAGAGATACATTGTATCTGAGCAACTATTCCCTGGAATCTTGCCTGCCGGAGGAAGTACAACAAAGAAATTGGACATTTGGCTTCTTCTGGCAAAGTCGCTCTATTTCCAGGAAAACCATACCGCGGCCGAGCAAGAGTTTCGCAGTTGCTTGAAGCTAAGTGAGGAAACCTCAGGTGCTGAGGCCCCTGCTGCATTAAACTCAATGATGTGGGTGGCGAATTGCTTGAAGAATCAGAAGAAGTACCCAGAAGCCGAGGCGATCTATGGCAGGCTTTTGAAATTGGAAAAGCAAGGTTTCCGCGTCCGTGGCTCTAAGGTGCTCTCTATGGCAGATTGCCTGGTTTTAGTGCTGGCTGAGCAGCAAAAGACATCGGAGGCAGTCGTCCTTTGGATAAAAGAAATCAAGAAGAGGCCGATAGAGGCCTTTTTCGTACAGTTCTGTCATTATCTTACCCCTTTGATGTTTGTCGATCAGCTATGTCTACCTCCAAGTTTATCTGACAAGTGACTATCACCTTTGGCATGCTGACTTTTCGCGAAGCCCTCCCGTCTCGAGCGGGCGATAATGGTTTATAACTGGCTCTGTTACATTGGGATTTTCGTCTTTGTCATGGTCCGCCTCCTACTCTGGGTGATAAGTGAACCAGATAGATAAATGAGCCGGGCACTTGTCTTCTAATCACACTTGCTTACCTTTTAACTTACCATGACTACACACCATAAAATGGATCATCCTTCAAATGAAAGACAAATACAACTTTTTTTTCAAGCAATTCGCTCGGGCCAAAATTTAAGCATTAGAATGGCAGCAAAGGTCTATGGCATCCAAAGTCTACATTGTATGATCGCGTCCACGGTCGCATCGTACGAGGATACAAAAATTTGCCACATCTCAAGCGCAATGGTGGCAGCTATGGGGTTACCGGGCCTGGTCGAGCGAAAAAGCAGCGCCGATTGCACTCAGATCGCGAAGGAGCTGACGAGTCGAGCCAGGGACAACGTGGGTGGCTGACATGGTGAATTACATCAATAGCAATAATGCCTCAGTAGCAGAGGACGGACGAAAACGAGGAGAAAAAAGAAACGAGCAGGCGAATAAGAGCGTGAAGTTGAAGGGGGGTGGGGTTCTTTATAGAACGACGCACAGCGACAGTGCAAAAAAAGCTGACCAGACTGGGGCTCGATCCCAGGACCTTATCGGTGTTAACGATACGTGATAACCAACTACACCATCCGGCCGCTGATTGGTTGATTGAGAGGAATGTGAATACATGGAACGATGCAGCAAATGTATGAATACAGTCGTGAAAGGCCTATTCATATAAGCCATGTCTACCTTCTATTACCTCACTCATTAATTCTTTCTTAGAGATTTCAGTCTTAATAAGGAAATCTACGCATGGTGCTGTAAATACGAAGTGGAGCAAAGGAGTTTTTTTTAACAAGATTCCTTGCATTATCTAGTTGGCACATTCCGTATTCTAGCACCACATGTTTTCCATTTTAGCAGTAAATTGAATCAAATGGCATATGGGACGATTGTTAAACCAAATGATTGGACTCAATGGCACCGAAACCAACGAGGAATGTCGGGGTCACATCGTACCCGCTTTCATGCCACTCTTTACCAACTACGAACTAGAGGCGGGCAACGTCGGGAAACACGAATCCCCATTCGAGTATCTATTCTGCTAACATCTATCCAAATTAGTACACGTAAGATTAGTCCATTTTGAATGATTACGCCACACCCGTCACAGTTATAAAACCAAGATTTAGAATGATCATTCGATCGGGATTGCCAAGCACCGAAAATTTCGCCGGGTTCGGCAACGCCCGCCAGAACTTAGAGCCAACCCGGCACGGCGCAGGCGGTCAAAGTTTCCCGGGATCCACCCTAACCCCAGGGCACTTTCAAATTTTTTCTTGGCTTGGGGTAGATTTGCAGACATTTCTGACTGGTATTTGAATCTGTGACTCAGTCAATGCTGGCATAATCGTGTCGACTTGTTTTTTCTCGGTTTGCCAGAAATTCTCGACCTAACGAAGCGCCAAGCAGAAGCAAAGTTGCCCACTATGAGTGACGAAGAGTCATATGCAGTTGATGCCAAAGGGCCCATTGACGGGCCCCTCAAGGATGGTGAAAAGCCATTTGCTGCAAAGGATTTGGAACCATTTGGCAATGAAGAGACGGCTGAGGTGAAGTATCGGACCATGAAGTGGTGGTAAGTCAATTGCTTTTCCTGTTCTGATATATTTCTGTAACTGGAAGATGAAGAACGCTAATTACAAGTAATTAGGCACTGTGGAATGCGTTAGTACCCAATTCATAATATCAGGCACCCTCTAAGCTTCCTCTAACAATATCTCAAGTCATGATTGCGGAGAATGTCTCTGTTGGAATTCTCTCTCTCCCATCTGCAGTGGCCACCCTTGGCATGGCTCCGTATGTATCATTCTTTCGAGAGCTCCCCCATAAGCATCTTAGCTAACATTTCAACTCAGTGCTGCGATCATGATTTTGTTCATCTCTGCTCTTTCATGGTACACAGGTTATGAAATTGGCCAATTCAAGCTTCGTCATCCCGAGATTCACAGCATGGGAGACGCTGGCGAGCTTCTGATGGGCCGGATTGGCCGTGAAGTACTGGGAATCGGCCAGCTTCTGCTGTTGATTTTCCTCATGGCCAGTAACATCTTGACATTCAATATCCTGATGAACGTCTTGACGGACCACGGCACCTGCACCTTGGTCTTTGGTGTAGTTGGGCTGGTCATCTGCTTCCTCGGTGCCTTGCCACGTACGATGGAGAAGGTCTACTGGATGTCTTGTATTTGTGGGTACAGCCCAATCAGTGCATTTATAGCGGCTCGACTGACCTTTATTAAGCATTTTTGAGTGTTTTCGTTGCCGTGATGGTGACCATGGTCACTGCGGGAGTCGAGAGCAAGAGTCATGTCGCGAATCTTGCCACCACGGACGTGAGCTTCCGCGATGGTTTCCTGGCGGTGACTAATATTATTTTCGCCTACCGTAAGTTCACACCAAATTGCAATAAAAATTATGTTGCAGAGGTAGACCGAGCTAATCAATTGCAGTCGCCCATATTGCTTACTTTGGCTTCATGTCTGAGATGGAGGACCCACGAACCTTTAACAAGTCGCTCGCAATGCTTCAAATTATTGACACGGTCTTGTACCTGGTTAGCGCGCTTATCATCTACCACTACGTGGGACCCGATGTCGAGTCTCCTGCCATCTTGTCTCTGAGTCCCTTGATGGGTAAGATCGCCTGGGGCCTTGCAATTCCGACGGTAAGACTATCTTTTTCATTTTACTCATTCCATGGGTCTCATCCAGAATTTAATACTGATTTGATATAGGTCATCCTTTCCGGCGTTGTCTTGGGTCACGTCGCGTGCAAGTACATTTACGTGCGCCTTTTCCGCGGATCCGACAAGATGCACAGCCGGAGCTTCCTGTCGATCGGATCCTGGGTTGCTATTTGTATCGGCGTTTGGGTCGTATCATGGGTTGTGGCGGAATCGATTCCCGTGTTTAATGACCTGCTCAGTCTCATTGTAAGTCTTGGATCATACTGCACCTTGTCTAGGAAATTATGCTAACACAGAAGTTACTTATAGAGTGCGCTATTCGGAAGTTGGTTCAGCTGTACGTTGGGACCCCCCTTGGCAATATTGAGGTTTCCCATTTACTAACATGACACAGTCGGTCTTCCTGCCATTTTCTGGTTCTACATGAACCGGGGTCAATACTTCCGGAACTATAAGAAAGTAATTTTGACTATCGTTAATGTCCTGGTCTTCGCCATTGCCGTTTCTATGGTGAGTGACCACTTTCCTCAATTTGTTCCCCTTCCTTTGTACCGCTTGATCAATAACTGACTTTTCTCCAGTGCGGTCTGGGTCTATACGTGTCTGGTGTGGCGATTCACAGTGACTCTAGCTCCAGCAGTTGGTCTTGCGCTAACAATGTATGATCATGATTAGAAAGGATTCCAGCAGGAATAGTGCTTGCTTTCTATTGGAAACCCTCGATACTATAAATTTAGTGAGGTTGACCTATTGGGGAAAATTTGACTTGTACATATACCATACCTTGTACATGAACCACGAGCCCTGGAGACTTTGTCGAAGTTTATCGGAACTTCTATGATCTCCAGCGCATGGTCCTATGGCTGAGGCTGAGCCTTATTGTTGATTATACCTTGTAGACTGATTTACCGAACTGTCGAGTTTCTCTTTACAATTAAATAAATTTACACGCCAGTACCTGGTATAAGTAGCTGTGGCTTCATTCAAAAAGGTAATTTGAGGAAAACATTAGATATCGCCTGGAATTATCAGTTTAATTGAGGATACTTGGGTGGTAGGTATCCGCCAATCAAGAATCCACGCTAGACCCACCAGTCACCAAAAAAAAAATTGTGTTCACTTGGACAAAAGTGAAAAAAGTTGATCAGACTGGGGCTCGATCCCAGGACCTTATCGGTGTTAACGATACGTGATAACTCGGGGGTGACTGTGAAAAGGCCACGGTTGTGCGTGGCGTTGTGTCACAAAACCGTGGCATTCCTACTTGAGAACCGTGGTGTTTCCACTGTAGACGAGTATAACCCCCCCCACCCTAAAAGGCTCAGGTACCTCACCCACCCAATTAGATCTTCTTCTCAGGTGCAGACCTTAAGTACCACCACCCCTGTGGCGGCTCTATCATGAGTCGTGGAAGACATAAAGGTGCCTAGCATCCCTTGGCTGATTGCTCCAGCCATTTTTTCAAGCGACCTCGCTACCAAAATGTCGCCTAAGCAAAAGGCTAAGCAAAAAAGAGACTGGGAAGCCTTCTTTCGCGCACTAGAGAGAGAACTCAAAGAGGGCTGGGTACAATCGACCCAGCGGAAAGTGGAAGATGTGAAGAAACTCTAGGTCTTATTAGCATTCATGAAATACTTAGCCATCAAAAATGAGCGGTCTCTATATCTCTCAACACCGCCGCAATCTACTCAGTGTGATCTATTTCAGGTGCCGTACAAACTATGAATTCTCGCGCCTTCTATCGCGTGGTCCGGTTGTTATCTAGGAAACTGTTAGAATCATCCGCTCTTAGTGCCCTATCCGCAAGCTACCGCGTCTGAAACAGTTAGCGCTAGGCCGTAAAATTGATCTAGGACTGATCTGGACCCATAATTTGTCATAGTCTGCTGGCGCCCGAATAGTTAGGTACCGTTTTCTCAAGTGCCCGAGTACAGCGGTTGCTGATGAAGTAAACCATCAAACCGCAGAAGCGAAAGAAAAGCCACTAGTCACCAAGCATGAATCCATCCAGAACTTCGTGCTTCGATCTTGAAATAGATAACAGAAAGTGCCTGAATTCTTCCTCTTTCCTCAGCCACCAATCACGCTAAGAAAAGACGGCCGGGGATCAGATGCCAAATTTCTCCGAGATTGCCGCTTTTACAGAACTCAGAGCGCCTTTCATGACAAAAGGACAAATTATTCTAGACCCAAACATTTATTGGGCGCTCAGATCATGCGCATGACTTCGCTCTCTTTTGCGACAGGGGTAGGAATGCAGCTAGGCTGCTAGCTCATGGGGGCCAAAAGGATTCATGGGGCTGGCACAGCTTCTACATCTCTCTTTTCATTCAAGGTAACCCATAGCTTATGCACAACATTCTGGATCGGTGGTATACATATGATGAAATTCAGACCGAGCCGATCAAGGTCCAATATGAGGAACTACTTTGGCGTATGCAGGCGCCACGAGTGTAGTTGAAAGGCAGCGCTAATGGAACCCGTAACCCGCAGCACGATGGCGTGATACACTGCCCCACCGCAGATCCACTCAGAGTTGTGGCTGGTCGACCATACCGGGGCATTTGGATTAATATAAATATTCACGGGGATTCGCTTCTGACTGTAGACTCGAACCACTCTCTTCGATACCTGCCACACGGCAGACACCGCATGATGGAAGTGCCATCTCCAGACTTCAACTTCTCGTTTAGATCACAATCCAAAGTGGTATTGGCCCCTGCATTTTTATCTCGAGTCAGTCACGAAAGAGGTTCTACGCTCAATCCACAAACCCCGAGATCGACTCCTCTCTTCCAAGACTTGAGCCTCAACGATTCCCCAGGCTCGATGCTTTCACCTCAAGCTCGGTCATCGAACATTTCGCCAAGACCTGGTAGCTCTCCTGCCACTTATGCCCAGCAGCATAATGCTTCCCCGAGTCCGAGTCCAAGGCCTGCGCCAGGGCCTTCATCTCATGGCGGCCGACAGGCTGACAGGAGTCGCTCGATCTTTTCTACTTCAACCCGAGCAACTCCGCTAATCCCAGGTGCTTTTCCCGAGTCGAGTATCGGCGAGGATACTCGCCCTTCCGGAAGGCATGCCACAGAAAATGAGGAAGTCTCAGACAGTGATCAAGGTAGTGACATTGAAGAAATGCCCAACGCCAGACCTAGCGATCTCCGTGAAGAGGAACTTCCTCCTGCCCCGGTTTATAAAAGTCGACTTCAGGATAGCCTGAAGGATGTTAAACGCGAATTGGGCATTCTTGCCGACATGATGGGAATCTCTCGGCTGAGCGAAGAGCATTCTTCAGATCTACATGCCTTATATAGGGATACCAAGAAAATGAGCATGTTCAAGTACCCAGACACTCGGACTGTGGGTTTTATCGGCGACTCTGGTGTTGGTATGGCATTCCAACGACCTTACGCGTCATTTTTGATTCTGATTCTCGACCAGGGAAAAGTTCTTTGATAAACTCGTTGCTTGATCAGCGGAGCCTATCACTCTCAGTATGTGTCATTTCATTAGTTATTTCTCCAGTCAAAAACGCGGGTATATTGATAAGTATATACAGAGCAGCGGAGGTACAGCTTGTACCTGCGTGGTGACTGAATTTCGACATGTTGATGAAGATCACACCGGACCGTTTACAGTTGAAGCACAGTTTATGACCTCGGAAGAAATGAAAGAGCTCCTGAACGAACTTCTTACAATGTTCCGCCAATTTTATGTCGATCGATTCTTCCGAGACCTACATTCGCACGAGGAAAAGCAAAAGTGTCGAGGGGAGGCTGTGCGGGCCTGGGAAACTTTTGAATCTTTGTTTAACAACCAACCGGCGTTGACAAAGGAGCACCTTTCCAAGGACTATGATGGGGCTCATTCGGATATTCTCGCGCAGTTGGAACGATGGGCCTCTGCTGGTCTAGTATTGCGACCAGGTGGACTCGATGCGCTTGGGTATTCTGCGATTGCAGGTGATATTGAGGAGTGTAGAGATATTCTCGACATGCTAACTGCCACTAATATTGGTAATAGCAAACCTGCAATTTGGCCATTCATTAAACTGATCAGGTTAGTGAAGCTCTCATGATAAAGAAACCGTTTTCTGATAATCTCGCAGGGTATATCTCAAATCACCGATTTTAAAGAACGGCCTAGTGCTCGCTGATCTACCTGGTATGCTCTAAGAATATTATCGCCGCACTTAATACAGTTAGGCTTTAGACTAACCCTAAACTAGGCTTCAGTGATCTAAATTTCGCTAGAATTCGAGCTACCGAGCGGTATCTTTCTCATAGCTGTGATGAAGTCTTCGTTGTGGCGGACATTGCCCGAGCTTGTACAAACGCGTCAGTTCGAGACATTTTGCGAAGATGCAAACCAAATCAGCCAAAAAGGATTATCTGCACGAAATCGGAGGTATTGGTAGAGGTCACTTATGCGGAGGAGTGGTTACTAATCTCTCTTCTTAGGATATTTCAGCTGAAGAATCTGCTCGTGGTGATAGTTCGCATGCTCTTCAAGTCAAAGGGATGAATAAAGAAATTAAGGCTATCCAAAAAAAGGTTGAATCAACCGAGTCCAAGGCACAGAAAGCGTCGTCCGCAAGACAATCGGAACTGGCAGTCCAATTATTGACGCTACGGTAAGTCCTTGGTCTCAAGATGTGGCAATCCCATTCGCTGACTTTATACTAGTGCTAAGGAAAAGGAGTTGAATCTCAGGTAAGTCACTTATATTTTAGGCTCGGTCTATATCGGCATACTAAATAATTGCTAGTTTGACAAAATTTCTCATCAGTCAGCGAAATTGCCTGGTATCGCAAAATCTCATCAAAACATACCCCGAAGTCAAGGTGTTTTGTGTCAGTAACACACTCTACTCTAAGTACCGCTTCAGCCAAAAGAGCGAAGAAGAGGCATACGTTGATCTTACGGGTATTCGGGAGCTGCGCCGGTACTGTCACTTAGTACCCGCTGAGGCTCTTATGCACTCAGCATCCGTATTCTTGAATATCGAAGTGCCAAGACAGCTAGCCTCTCTACGTCAGTGGACTTTGTCCGGAACAGATTCGGTGACAGGTGGAAACGCCGCTAGGCTTCGAGAAGTTCTGGAAAATGCACAGAATGGTTTGAACCGGGTATTTTTGACCTAGATGGACCTATTAGGCCATGGCCAGCGTCTTGAATGATCTGGAGTTTCTGATAGCCAATAGGAACTCATTTCCAACCAGGGGCTGGCTCATCAAGCGCGCGTGGGCTTAGCCAGTCTATTTGAGGAGCATATTACCAACATGATTCGTGAGTTTTTTTTGAATTCGATGTATTTGCATCCTGGTCTTATAAAACTTCAGGGCAAAATCAAACTCGCTGGACGGTCGCAAGTATTGAGATTAGCCGGGGATGGTTAGGAGTAGGTTTTCTTAAACCGTTTTCTGACTGTACAATTCAGCTCTAACATCGCTTACAGCTGGCCTCGCAAACCTATGCTGCCTTTTGTCGTAACTTTGGCGACCACACAACTGATGCTGTGCCTCAGGGTCGCTGTTGGAATGACGAGTTACTCCAGCCAGCAAGAGACCAGCTAATTCTCAATTGGGAGACCTTAAGGAATTGGCTGCATACACAAGAAGGAAGCATGGCGAGAGATACTCGCACGATATTTGATAGATGGAGTGGGGAAATTGGTGGTAAGTCACTCCTTTTGGGAAAAGAAGCTTCGTTACCAAGGGCTGCGGTGGCATGCTCATTTCATGGCTTTTTATAGCGCATATTCATCTTGCACCATGCGCCCTCGAAAATCTTCACCGAACCATGGAATTGAGAAGAAAATGCATCCAAGAACATATTTTGAATTCTTTGCAGAAGATGACGCAGATCTCAGAGTACAGATCTCAGTGCATGTATCATCGAAACAGTGTGCTAACTCGCTCATTAGAAACACCAAGCGAGATATGGCTTATGGTCATGCCAGCTCTTACATATCAGGGCTGATGCAACCTACTTATACCCAGATGAACCTAGAAGGGGGTTAGTCAAATCAACCTTTCAACTCCGGCTTGCATTTCAAATCAGCTTATTGATTAATTATACAGGGAAAGGAAGTGACCAGCGCCGGAAGAAAATTATGAATGACTACCTGACGCATTCGATGCTCTTTGCCAGGTTTTCGAATGTAGCTGGCAGAGAATACACAGGGGCCCTGAATGAGTGTTTTGATGATCTGCAGAGAAAAGTGACCGAGGAGGTAGAGAGTATGGCGAGAGATTTCAATGTGGTGATTGCAGCCGAAGGTCAACGTTCAGAGGCGGAAGAGGCACCCGCAGTGGTAGATGCCCTCAGATCTCGATTTGAGGGCACAGAGGCAATCCTGGAAAGGGCCCAAGTGGTCGTGCAAGAACTCAATCGGGAGACTACCCGCGATGTTGTCTAAATTGTATTCTCTATGTTATTTCTTTCATAACTCAGCCAATTTGAATCAACCAAGCCATTTTCGAGCGCAGGTGGATTAGGTATCGTCATAAACGAAATTGAAAATGAACAAAAAGACACGTCGAAGACGCCCAGGAAATCCGTTGGAAAGATGTTTTAATGATTTTTATTGGCTAGATAATAACAGCGTTATCACCCCTCACAATGGATGGTCCAGATCTTACCTTTGGTTTTGTTTTGTGGCAGGAGTTCATGGAAAAGTGGAAGATGATTATCACTCTGCAAGATCCACGGTCAAAGTCTGGTCAATATCTCCTTGCGCATATTGCTGCACTATCAGATTGGTGCAGCCAATTGGAATATCCAATGGGATGGACGAATCTCCCTCCTAATGACGGAGACGCTTGATACTTCAACAGTCTTATAAGTCCCTTTTATTCGCTTTCGCTCTCTGTGTTTTCTCGCTTGGTCCCACCCCTTTTGGTGTCTTTCTGCCCTCTCCATTTATTGAGCCGTCGCAGCTGATTCTTGAGATTCGAGCACCTTCCGATGACGTTCAAGGAGAGCCAGACTTTGCGAAATCCACGGCCATCTTCATAACTATTCACTTTTTCTTTTCGTTGCCACAATCTGTGAGAGGATGATGGATTGTAAATTAAATCTTCTATTTTCATCAAATAATATCTTTTGTTTCCTAACTATCTACCTAAGTGAACCTGTTTAGATAGCCGGAATCGACTGTGCGATAATTGGTAAAAATCGTGGCTGCGGAACCTAGTTGGGAAGAGCCCCGAAGGAACTAAACAAGACACGTCTGCCAATGCTCTGGATAGCAGGCAGACCAGCAGATTACTACGCGGACGAACAGCCCAGCCGTCCAAATGACCCAATTTCCTCTACCAAATCCAGGCTATGTTCGTCAGGTTGCTCTACCAGCGGTTTACATAGGCACTTGATTGCCAGTCGTTCTCCGGTATTAAGATTTCCACCAACCATTCATGTTGCATTAGCAGAGGTAAAATCTCACCGGCAGTCTCGATATGGTATTTACGAACGTTAGTGAGCGAACGAGTAGCCACGTCGTCGACAGGATCCGTCACCTATTACTAAGTTCTGGATATTTTAAGGAGCGGACTCTCAAACATCGCTAGTGTTATACTACATCTAGTGTTATTATAACGATGTATCCTGTCGAGTCTAATTAAATAGGTTGTACTTAACAAAGGGGAAGGAGTAGCCGGGGAAGTCTACATGGTTTATACCCTTGGGCATCAACCCTAATCTAGCTATTTACATCATGTAGAATCACAGTGAATTCTCCCGTGTCTGAATTGTGCTCCAAAAAGTCATTCATAATCAATGTTGAGGAAGATAGAGAAAAAAAATTTGACCAGACTGGGGCTCGATCCCAGGACCTTATCGGTGTTAACGATACGTGATAACCAACTACACCATCCGGCCGACGATATATAAGACGTACATTTTTAACTTTATGAACCATGATGACATGATTGAGGACTCCCCAATTCCAAATATCCATGATCTCCATTATCGTTCTATTTTAACGTCCATAGTAACTTCATAGTGCTCTTATGAATCATAAGAGCCTTGCCTTTAGGTCTAATCTGCTTCGAATGAGTGTATCAGAATATTTTACAAACATTTGAAGGGCCCAGGTGCGCAATGCAAATATATATTTTGGAATCGGTCATGCTATAAGCTGACTGTAAATTTGCATCCTCGATTGGAATCCATCCGTGGGTTAAAATGTAATAACATCTTTTCTTCGATATTGGTACTGTATCGGCATTCAATCGCAAGTTTCATCTAACAATTACGAAAAATTTCCACTATTCGCGTCGTAATGGTGTCGATTTCGTGTGCCTGGATGTGGGTGGACGGGGTCGGCTGGTTAGGCCGTCAAACTCGTTTTCTTTATTGGTGCGGCTTCGTTCCCGATCTGCACCAGCCTCATATCAAAAAATTCACTCTCAGGGTCGATCTACTGGCAAGGCGATACTGAAATCGTAAAAACACTCAGAAGCTCGTGGGAAAATAAAGTGGAAAGAGCCTCTGCGCTTTCACGCATTCTACCTCCGAGTCTCCGAGGCTTCGATCCCCAAGGAACTACAACGGACATAGGTCCCAAGGGTTTGGTGAGATCGTTGACGTCCTGCTCCTTGGTGGGAACGTATTGAAGACCGATCTCCCCCTCATTCAGCACCGCTCGATGGTAATGGAATTTCACGTTGAAGTGCTTGGCTAGACACGCAACCGAGATCGACGCATTTTCTCGGCGATCGGGCCGAGTTTATCGTCCAAGAACCAATGCGCAGAAGTCACCGAGAAACCAGGTCTCGGAGAAATGAGTTGCGCCGCAGTCAGCGAAAAGCCTGATTCCGGTGGAACCCAATTCAACGATCAGCCCCAGGTGTGGCCCGATCGCCATGAATAATCCGCCCCGATGCCTCGGCTTCTGGTTTGTGGATACACTGGAAATTTTGTAGCTCGAGGCTATCGTTGCCGTACCAGCCGGACCAAGGAGAAATCCTGGCCCACCATTTCGCCACTTAATTCTGCCGGTTTTATCTGACATAATCTGACATCTCTAACTAGTATTTTGTAGAATAACCATATCTCTCAATGACCTCAATGCATCTGCTTTTGCATAGACTCCACTAGGATCTGTAGATACCATTCTGGCACAGCTTCCTATGCTTTATTTATAATGACGCGTAGCATTTGTAGCCTAATATCATTATAGTTATATCGAGACGCAATCCAGTCTTTCATGCAGTTCTATATATTTTTAATTAGAGTAAGGTTAGAAGAATAGGGTGGCTATCATATACGGAAAATATCATAAATGTCTAGTTTGCTACGCGTCTCCTGGGATTAGTGAAAGGACGCGCTATCCTCTATTAATATAGGATAGAAGCCAAATAATTGGCGTAGCTGATAACTTTGGCTTTCGACCTGATTTATGCTTTAGTGTAGCTTGCTGGCTAACTGCGCATGTATGGTGAGCCTTGTCCCATAACATCCCTAAGCGACGTGAGATAGCTGCATAGGTCTAGCCATACTCTCGGTATTTTAGCACAATTAAGCGTTGGTCATGGCTAAGATAGGGCGTACTTTTAGTAGGTGTCCGCGACTGGGATGCAGGAACCAGAGGGAATCCTTGGTTTATGGTCGTAGGTATATTGGTACGTCAACCCCTATGCAGGATATATTTGAACAGCGCCTATAGATATAACGAATGTATTGATGATCCTACAGTTGTTGTCTAAGTAGACAGGCGGTCAGATAGGCGGTGGAAGGTGGGCCGTAGTGGGCCAGGAGAAAATCCTTGGTCCGGCTGGTACGGAGATTATTCACAAACCACCCGTGTAGATTTTGCTGGAAAACCCTTAATGACGTCCCGACCCGCCAAGAAAATGTCCCTGATGAATCTGTTCTGGGCATCAGCCCCGGCACATCAATGACGACACGGCACAACTCCAGGACAGATTTCCGAGATAGGCAGTATGGCCGTGGGACCGGAAGTTGTATAAAGGCAGTGTAAATTCTCAATTGTTCGTAGCTCTATTCCCATCAGAAAGTCTACCAAACTCAGGTGTTTGATCTTTTCCAAGCATACTACCACAATGAGCATCACGTTCGAAGTTTTCCGGGGATCGAAGGATGGAAAGATCATTGCGGATAAGACTACCCGCACTCTGGAACACAACGAGGTCTATATTGAGACCACTCACTCCGGTCTTTGTGGTACAGATGAGCACTTCCTGAAATCTGGACAAGTCCTGGGGCATGAGGGCGTTGGTGTGATCCGTCAGATCGGCCGTGATGTCACCAATGTGAAGGTCGGTGAGCGGGTTGGGTTTGGATACACCCACTATGTGTGTGGAACCTGTGAAAGGTGCTTAACAGGTATTTTAAACAGCTTTTCAGAAAATTAACAACATGAGGCTGACTTGGATTGAATAGGATGGGATCAGTACTGTGAGAACAAGAAGGAATATGGTAGCCACGATCACGACTTGGGATCCTTCAGCGAGGGTGTCGTCTGGGATGCCAGCTGTGTTGTTCCTATCCCCGATGGATATGAGTCTGCTGATGCTGCGCCTTTGATGTGCGCCGGTGGAACCGTCTGGACCGTTTTGTCTGAATACGGTGTCCGATCGACAGACCGTGTGGGCATTATGGGCGTCGGTGGTCTCGGCCATCTGGCTATCAAGCTGGCGGCTGCCATGGGATGCCATGTGGTTGTCTTCTCCAGCTCTGAGGCTAAGCGCGAGGAGGCTTTTAGCTTCGGTGCCTCCGAATATCACGTTTTCAAGGCTGGCCAGAAGTTGACTGACTTCAAGCCGGTCAAGCATCTCCTTCTCTGTGGCAGCGCCAACGTCGACTATTCTTCGTAAGTCCCTGCTGCCTTTTGTCCAGAATCAACCTATGCTGACAAGTGCTTGCAGCCTGTTCCCTCTGATGGACATTCACGGATCGATCTATCCATTGACCGTGGACTTTGCGCCCTCGCCGGTTCCGATGCTGACCATGAACACGAAGGGTGCTCGGATCCAGGGTTCTCTCGTCGCTTCTCGCCACAGCCTTCGGACCCTGGTTCAATTTGCTGCTGAGAAGAAGATTGTCCCAACCACTATGAAGTTCTCCATGGATAGTGAGGGCATTGAGGAAGCGATGCAGACACTTCGCGACGGCAAGATGCGATATCGCGGTGTCCTGGTGCGTCAGTAAAATCAGCATGAACGGCGTTGGAAGTTGGAATAGGATTTTGGACTTTACACCATTGTATGATAGACTGCATGATATTGGCGATAGAGAAAATATTAATACGTGTACAATTGAATCTTCAAGACTGCCGGATGTCGGACTGAGAGTCGAGGGGTGAGAGATGATCAGGACAAACCTGCCTTCTTTTCTCAACCACGCGCATTCATCACCTCGTTCACCACCTCCTTCGCCACCTGTTTCATCAAATTACTCACAATCCCTCATCGACTTATTTTTCTCTATTCACCCGTTCTTTTCCGGATTCTTGTTCATGATCAAGATAGGTATCTTCAGTTCGTGGTGCTAACCCGGAACCTTTTTCTTACTCGCTACAAAGGGAGTCAATCTACTCACCTCAACCAGTTGCCCTGGGCTGGGCCCCGTTTCAGCCTGCCCAGAGGCAGAAGTGGACACCATGTCGAATGCCCAACCAGACACCAACAACCGCGACTGGACCGAGTTGCCAGAAAATGAAGCGGTGGACCAGGCTGTCGACCTCCCAGAGACAACTGGGATGGTACTGGATAAGACGGCAAGGTTTCTGGAAAACAAAGGGGATTTTGACGCGTGGCTGAACTCTGCCTTCCTGATCTTGGGGGCTCGTGGTCTCGAGAAACTCATCGACATCAGTATCCCAAGGCCCAGAAGAGACGACCCCAATGCACCACGATGGTTAAAACATTCGAGACAAGTGCAACAATGGCTAGCGGGAAATATGTCAGACACCATCTTCCGGAACATCAAAGCTCAGGGAAAGCGTGTCGAACTTGCCGATGAATTCGTGGACCTCGCAAAACGTGTGCTCCGGGACTACGGCCCGTACGCGGACATCGAGACAATTTCGACTTTCCTTTCCATGAATCGCTCAGACCATGCCACCACAAGGCAATTTGTGGCGGTTTTCGAAACACAATACACTCGTTTGGAAAGCCACGTTGACATCGCACCCTACCTGGCTATGTGTATACTTCTGAGCAAATTGAACACGGAAGAGAACAAAGAAATCGTGGCTTTTGCAGTCCGAGAGATGAAAAAATCTCCAACCGGTGGAAATCTACGGCGTGATTTCACCCTTCCGGATTTTCGAAAAACCTGTTTTGATATCAGATTAAAGCTTGAGAACAAAGCTATTGCGAAGAATCATCAGAAAGATCAACCTCGGTTAGTCCGGCCTCGGGTGGTGCAACCTGAGCCAGCTTCTCAGCGGAAAGTGCGTCCAGCTGATCGAGGAAGAAAAGCGCCGCCCCCAGATGTTGACGCTTATGAATATGCAAAAGCCTGGCGCAATTTGCCAACACAGAAGACTGGAACCGGTGAATGTACTTATTGCGAAGTTTTGCGCCACAAAACGTCAAATTGCTGGTACATCAACCATGTTCGCCGGCCCCGAGACTGGAAGCCGACTCTGAATCTTTGGGTCTATGAGCCATTCTCAAATACTGGAAAGGAGACAAGGGAAGATAGCTCGAAGGTGGAGAAGGGAGATCAGAATTCAAAAGATGGACCCAATGCCCTGGCTGCATCTTTTCTGACCGGTCACATTGTCAGTACCACAAGTGCCTCAGTCACAGAGGAGCCGTCCAAATCTGTGATGCCGCACGGTATCGACCTTGGTGCCCCGTATTCGTTTTTACTGAGCCCTGGCAGATGGATTGTTGACACGAGCATTTCTCAACACATTTGCGCTGACAGAACATCATTCATCGATTACCACGAATATGACCATGTTGACACTCCTTTTGAGTGGGTCAACCCAGCAGGAAAAAGGTCTAGAGCCCACGGCACCGGAAAGGTTATCATAGGCCTGTTGCTTGCGAATGGGCGCATCAATGATTTTATTATTGAATGTGTCTATCATCCCGACTGCCGACTTAGCCGATTCTCTCCAACCATGGCCAAGAAGGATTTAAACATCGGATACAATGGCAAGACGTTGACGTTGCATGATCTGGTGCATGATAATAAGGTCGTTGGCCATGTGATCAGGGAGAACGGGATCCCAGTTCTTCGCACGTCATCCTGTCTTGTCAAGAGAGAGCCACCCGAGAGCGCTGTTGCGAGTAGCCTTGATAGGCAGACCAGCTCCCAGAAGGATAACACCTTGCTTGGCAGTGCAGTGACAAGGACATCTGATGCGAAACCCCTGTCCGGCTTGATCAGCTCCCACCGCGCTGCGTGAGACGATGAGCTTGATTTCGGGGATAATCGACTCTGAGTCCTGTTCTAAACCTAGTGATGGTTGAGTTACCTGTTCATCCACGCTTTAATGATGTATCCTTTAATTTTATTATTTTTCGAATGCATGAATATCACTCCAATTGAGCAACAAATGATACAAACCCATTGCCAGCTGCCATCGTACATAGAAACATTTCAAGCAAGACAATCCTTCCGAGGTTTATTCTGCTCGTTTTGTCGTCTTCAAGTATATGGATCCCAGAAGCACAGCATCATCCAATTTCCTCGCGCAGGCGTCACCACTATCCAAGCCAAAATGCCGTGCCGGGCAGACAATGGCAGCCTACAATGCAGCACGGAATGACATTCCAGTCCCAACCAACGCTTTCAGCTCCCCGTGGAGACTCTCATCATGAACAGCATGCGCCATTGGACGGTCGTTAGAGTCAATATCCGTAAAATAGTGTGACTCTGGTCCTAAACGACGCTCAACGGAGACACAGCGTTTGAGTAATTGTAGTTCGGTCAGATTTTGATGTTGCAAAGAGACTCTTCGATTGTGAATGCCGACATGGATACTATACTCGCAGCTTTTATGACTATGATCATACTCAGACGAGCTTTGAGCGTAATTATGAAGGCAGCAGTTCTAGCACATTGGAGGGCGGCCACTCTGGGGGCTGGCTGAGTGTTCTATTGAGGCTTTGCATCAATTCAGCCCCCCAGCAACTGCAGCCGACCGCGGCTGTCAACCCCCACTTGCTGAGCGATTTGAGACAGTTTGTGTCATTTACACCTTTAAAATCATTAAATTAGACGCTGATCTACAGTCAAGACGCAAAAAAGTGCCCATCACGAATGGACTGATGATGGTGTTCTGAAGTTCAAGTCTCCGAGTCTCTCTTTCTAAAGTGAGATACGGGCAACAGTGCCGTTCTCGGCTTAACTTGCAAACCATAAATATCTCGAAGCGATTACCTTTGATAAGGCCGGATCATGAACTGGGGTGAGACATGCCCTGTAACGACACCCACAGTATTCTTGATCTCGCGGGTGCGGAACTGAGCAAGAGCCTGTCTCATTCGAGGCTCGCCGATTTCGAGCTGCTCCAAGATCTCAGCAACCGCGGAGTACAGAATGTCGATATTTCCATCCTCAATTTTCACAGCAATGCCTAGCGCACCATTTGATCCTAGCCTTTTGGTCTGTGCCGATGCTCGGACTCCGATCCCGTAACAGCCATCGGCACCAAGTTTGCCTATGAGCATTCCTTCAAATGCCGTCATAAGGATTGTGCAGAACCGCTGGTCACCGGCGACGAACTCTGAATTACGTGACATGGCATGAAAGACTCGACCAAGTGCCCGTACCCTCGAGTCTGTGGAGCCACTCGATGCATCTTCGCTTGCCCCGGCAGCAAAAGTAGCATACATGCGACTCAGAGAATGCAGTGGAAAGGCAGGCGCAGGAAGGTTGCACCCATCAAGTCCCCATTTCGAATTGCCCTCATCGAGACCGCAGACCTGATCAACAGTTTCTCTCACTCGAACTTGCATGGGGTGCGTGGGCAAATGATAAGTCTGCACATCTGCGCCGAGAGCCTTGGTTCCAGCAATCATGCCCGCATGCTTGCCAGAACAGTTACTGCAGATCGCAGTCGGGTTGAAGTCTGCTTTGATCCAAGCGCGGCCCACATCTTTTGAGAGCGGAACATGTCCACCACACTGGAGTTCTTCTTCATGAGCGCCGATTTTAGCGAGGATGTTTCGCGCCCGAGAAATGTGTCGCTCTTCGCTGCTGTGAGATGCACAGATCAAGGCGAGGTCTGCATTGTCGAGATCGAATTTCTCCAGTGCGCCCGTTTCAACAATCGCGAGTGCTTGAGCGGGCTTGGCTGCAGACCGGGCGAGTGTGAGTCGTGAGGGATCACCGACGGTGTGTAAGAGACGGCCGCTTGAATCAACGACGGCGGCATGTACGCCATGTCGGTTTTCAATGACGCCCCCTCGGTCTGTGACCACATAGTCGGTGGAAATGACGGTCCGCATGGTTGTATAATGACCTTTAAAGAGTATGAGTGACAGACTTCCTTTAGCTGTAATTTTTAATTTTGTGCGCTATCCCCGATGTGTGGTGATTGCGATCGACAGGTTCCGACGGTTGACGGATATCGGCTTGGATTCTCTCTGGAACATATCTTTATTTTCGCGGTTACTAGTATTCAAGGCACCCCGAAAAGGTTGAGAATAAAGAAAACGGAAAATGAACAGCTAAATATAAACAGAAAAGCATGAGTCATTATCCGTGATCATCGGGGCAGTTTTAAGCTTCGGCGTTCGATCCGTGTACTACATGGGCTCGGCCTTGCCGACTGCGCTCAGGCCGCCAATCTGCCGATGTAAGCCGGTGCCTTAAAGAGAACTCTCGGTAGGCTCCTTGAACCTCTCGATTCTCTCTTTACTAATCTGGAAGCATTCGGGAAGACCGGTATCGTGCCAGGGTTTGCCAAAGATGAGCTTGACCAAGCCGGGCGCGCACCTGAAGATACCCGCCATCCCTGTAAGAAAGATTAAGATGTCAGCCCTCAGATGGTGAAGTTCAATTTTATTCAAGGCTTACCGTGACCGTTGAAGGCAGCACATATCCACTGACCCTCGAGACCCTCGATGGGACCGACCAAAGGTACACTGTCGGGGGTCATTCCAATAATTCCGGTCCAGACATGATCTAAACCTTCACCGTGTCGTAGGGGAACGGCTTGTGGCTCCCGAGATAGGTCATTAAACTCCCTTTTCGCATTCTCTGCAATCAGCTCACTATATGTGGTATCATCAAAGGTATTCATGAACCCAGATGGTCCTTCAGGATTCTCAGAAAGACTCCTGATCCCCGTCCCACCGAATATGATGGTACCATTGCGCAATGGGTTCACAGAGAAGAAACTTCCAACGTCGTATCTGAGAGCCATTGTGCTTTTCAACGTGTTTTCTCCAGAAAGAGAATGCCGCGGGATGAACGCGTGAGACTGGGCGCGATTTGGTGTGATGAAATGGCTTAATTCCGGTACCAGGTAGGCTGCGTATGCATTTGTGCAATGGATGACGGTCTCAGTTGCGACAATTCCACGGGGAGTGTGGACGTCCCATCGGAACTGATCTCCAGTGCTCCGGTGCTTGACCACTTTCGTCACTGGGCAATGGGTCCATAGTTTGACACCTTTGCTGATGGCGTCGTTCAAAATCCATTGAACCAATTTGCCTGGATGATTGGATGCAGCAGTCCACTCGTAGGCGCATAACGTGCCTGCAACTCGGGTTCTCGCTTTCGCTTCATCGCCTTTGTAGAATTTTACCTGGGTCACATCCCCGCCGGCGCGCTTATATGCTTCTAGGGCGTCGGCTGCTTCAGTGACAAATTTTTCGGAAAAGCAAACCTCAAAGGTCGTTGTCAGATTGAAATCACAGTCGATATTGTGGACATGCACAAATTCTTTAATATCGTCCAACACCCCTCTCTCGTTCTCCAGGATCTTCCGAGCCTGTTCTGGTCCATGAAACGCAGTGTAGCCGGGGAAACCACGGAAAGCATCTAGAAGAGTGTTAAAAATTACACAATTCTGGATTTAGTGAGAAGGCGGTCTCTTACCGGGTCGAATGTGACCGGCATTCCTTGCACTGGCGCCCGAAACAGCTTCTCGAGCCTCAATGATCAAGATATCATCGCCCTTGATCCCGCTCTCAACGAGATTCCAGGCAGTCAAGACACCTGAAATACCAGAACCGATAATCAGGTATTTGGCAGAAGCTGGGACATCGGCGAGATGATTCGAATGGAGGTATGGGAATGATCGTGTTGTGCGATGCCAAATGGAGAGGGTGGAGAAGTCATATGGAAGTGACGGCTTCATTTTGATGTGGGCATGGATTCGAAAATAAATTGCCGAGTAAGTGAAAGATGCGACGTTGACCCGATATTTAAGGCTGCCAGAAAGAAACTATTGCCAATTCTCGGTCAGTTATCATTTGGTTCAACGCGACCTAGGTTCTCACCTAAGCTGCTTTGGGAGTCAATTCGGCTAAGCGTGCCTTTCGTCTCCTCTAACGCCAGCGCAGTGACCGAGTGATCAGAGCGGGGGTTCAATTATAGGAGGATCTTTCCCAGTCAGGATCAGCGGGGTGTACAGGTGTGCTTATCAGGCGGCATTTCCCGCCCTGAACCCCAGTGCGGTTTTCTCCGCTCGCGGGCGCGGAGTCTCTCCGGTTGAGGCGGGGTTTATTATCGAATATTCAAAGACTCCCCTGAGATGGAAAATGTTTCCCCGGCTGGAATTGCCATCATGTTCAGTTATACTCGGTTTATTTTAAATGCGTGCACATATGACATTCAGTTCTTGAGACGCTGATTCACCTATGATACGTATGCTCATCCGTTCTTTGGGAAAGTATTGAGCATTTCCTTGCGTACGGAGAGAAGCGGGGTGCATTGATCTGGCGGCTTCGAGAGTTTTTCTTATTTGCGCCTGGTGTTGAAACAGGAGAAATATCGCCACAGGATATTGAGGATCGGGGTGTACCTAGTGAGGCTCAATTCATAGGTCAAAGTATAGGTGGAAATCCTAGTTCCCTTGCGGCAAGCGATCAGCCGAGGGAAGCGGATTGGTCACTAAAACCCCCGGCACTGGCAATGTCTACGGCTAATAAAATTGGACAACGTCCCGTGTATGAAAGTGAATACCGCTCTCACACCGTCATGAACAGTTCTCCATCTCAGAATTCGATAATGATCTGGCATTCTATCTTGGATGCTCCAAATGTACATAGAAATTAGGCAGATATGATATTCAGGGAAAGGCAGACGTGTTCTAGCTTAATGCTTCTGCTAGTTCTCATAAAGCCTCAAAAATTGACCAGCTGAGGATCTGCCTTGAGAAGTTTCTCCACCAAAGGATATCTCTTGGTGGAAGTGGTGAAATCACACCAGAACCCACCATTTGCCTTGCACATAATCTGTGCATTGTATCTCGTTGGAAAACTGCGCTGTAGCGAGTGTCCCAGAACAAGAGGAGCAGCCGTAACACATCCATCAGCATCCTCCTTCGATACCACGGCTGGAGCGAAGTCGATATTGCGCCACGCACCACACCAATTGGTACATGAATAGCTCAATTGATCCGCCTCAACGATATGGTGCGACTGCCTCGGTTTAAAAATCTCCTTCCTGGCTGCCAAGCTCCTCTCAATATTCTCCAACCGCAGTGCTTCGATCACCGCAAGACGGTGCTTGTACGCCAGCTCTGCGAGGGGTACTTGATCCGGATTAGGCATGTGAAAAACAGAGTAGATTCCCGCGTTGTGAAGGTACGGCTTGTCGGCAGGAAGTGCAGGGTGTCTTCCACGGCAATTCACAGCCGAGGAGATGGCCACAATTCTGGAACTTTTCCGTCCAAGAAAAGCTAATTTCACCAAAATTGCAGTTATGATATCGCCGCTTGTCAATGGTGGGGTCTCTTCTCCGTACTTTGCTTTCAGAGTCTGTGAATGACGGTCGCGCAGGCTTTCAACTAGCTTGACAGGCAAAATCAATAATCACCGAACCTCCTTTGGGTAGAGGATGAGCTCTGGCACGTGGTTCAGTAATGCCTTGAATCTCTCCGATTTACGCATTACGCGGAAATCATTTTTCTTCCGCAACAGTTCCTCCGAAGGGTTCTTCAGACCATCCAAAGCGCCAGGCTCCAGCTGAAGAAACTCAGCCGGTGTCTCACCCTTGACAACCTGCATCCAAGCAGTGATCAGACTCCCAACGCCCATCTGATCGGTGACCGAATGTGGTATATTCAGCGCAACAACAGTGGCGTCCGCAAATTTAGTGACATGCACGAGAAGAAACGGCATATCGGGACCCTCAAATTTCCACTCTGTAGGCCATGTGGAGGGTGTCCATACTCCTTCCAGTTCTGGGATAGAGCATGGCCCGTGCAAGATATCACAATCTCCCTGTGACACGTCGGGCAGCAACTGGGCCTTCGCGAGCGAAGATTCAACAGTGCGAGTTGACCACTGAAACAGACGATAGTCGAGTGGAAAGGTTTTCGGTAGGCGATACGCCAGATCCTTATTTTTGGAAACATCGAGGCGAGCTCCGAGAATTGGTAGGTGGTTTCTGATGAGTCGATCTAGCGCGGCACGCATTGCTTCTCCGTCGAGGATCTCATGGACGACTAGGAAGACGAATGTGCGGATCTTGTCGATCGGTGTCCATTGGTCTACGGGTTCTAGGGGGATGACCTTGTATTCCCCGTTGGACCCATTTGTCGCGATGTCGGATTCGTTTGTAGCTGCCATTTGGTGCGACTCAAGGACTGAGAGTATTTCAGACCTTTCCCAAGGTATTAAAGGTGAGACATTAAGCAGAACATGGTGTCAGCCGCAGACTTCCAGCTCCTCCATCGCTTCGGACCGGAACAGCAAGCCATACAGATGATCATTACCTTATTGGGTATCCAAATCAAGAGCATTACCCGAGAACGCTCAAATTTCTGTTATGACAGACACAAGCAACTGCCTCGAGCTCGTATTCCTGCATCCACCATGGCGCCGCTAAAGCATCCGAGCCCCTTGTTTCTGCCGCTTTTCTGCCGGTCCAAAATTGGCAATCGTCGACTAATACTTCATAAAGTAACAATTGGGCTCCGAAACAAGGTTCGGAAAATCTTCTTAGAAAGAGGATTGTCATTACAGATCCAAGAATCCTACGTAACACCCCTAGGGTGGCTTTTTGGAATATTCTCAACGCCCCGGTAGGGTAGACGGTATGGACGGTTAAAAGGGCGATGTGTTAGGGAGTCAGATACTGTGGCGGCGCCACAGTATCTGTCAGACGTAAGCGTTCAAATACCAATTTCGGCCAAGATTAAATGTTGTCAGGAACCCGGACATTGACAATGTTCTATTGTTGTATGATTCTATGATTCATCCTCTATGTATGCTGGATGGGGAGGAACTCGAAGGTTCAAATGCCCCGATCGTTGGAGAGCAGCTGTAAACGTTATCTCAGAATCGCTCATAAATACCCCGAAATACCCGGAAAATCGCCGTTTAAAATATGCACACAAGAACGCTAAATGAGATGCCCATAGATGGCAAAAGAAAATGAACAACAAATGTAGAAGGAATGTATGTTCAAACATGAGGAAAAAGAGATCTGTCGTTTAAAAGCTGAACAGACCAGTCCGCTTCTTGCCGTAAGGGTAGACGACGAGGGCGGCGATGAACAGGCCGACCGTAATGCCGATGGCGACCTGGATCATGCCGAAACCGAGACTAGCGACCGATGTTTCGGAAAGCTCGCTAGTGGAACTGCTGTTGCCGGAGGTCTCGAGGTTGTGTCGGACCTCATTGGCGTATTGCAGCCCGGATATTAAGGACCCACTGGAGGCAAGACCGGAGGGAACGAGTACAAAGATACCCGGGAGGATAGCAGTGGCGGCATGACCGTGCCATAGACGACTGTATAGGTTGCCCAGGACACCGATGGTGAAGGCGCCCACGGTGTTGGCGACTTCGGACTGGGAGCCCAGCTTCAATTGGCTGAAGTAGTTGGTGATGTAGCCGCAGACGGCGATGACGACCATGACCGGCATCTGTTTCCATTTGCCGTGATTGACGATCGCGAGGAAAACAGCGTAGACAGCAACGAAGGGAAATTCGCGAGTGTATACTGATCCCCAGACCTGCAGGTTGGAACATGAGGAAGCATTGGTTGCATTGCCATCCATAAGGCCGTAAACGGTGGTACCGACAGTGATGCCGTAGCCGAGGAAAAGAGAGTAGATAATTGCGTATACCATTCGAATGGAACCCGCAATTATTTGGTGCGATTGCAGTTCCAGACTGCTACAGAGCACCATGAACCCCGGGAGAATAAGAGCGATTGACGATTGTGCTAGAGCCGAGAAGCAGAAGATTGGCTCACCGTTCATACGAATACTGCCGAGGGCGCGAGCGAGGAAGGAGGTCAGAACGGCGGCCGTGACTTCGAAGACGTTCGAGTAGAGGACGGAGCGTGGCGCTAAGACATGCTGCATGAAACCAACCAAGCAACCGAGGAAGAATATAACTGGCATGTCGATCGGCCGGGCTTCGAAAGCAAAAGGGCCGACAGAAGCACTAGCGAAGCCGTACATAAGGACGATGATCCACTTGTTGAAGCGCGGCTTGCGAGACATGATCTCGTCGAGCTCGTGAGTTGCCTCTTCGACACCGATCAGGTCGTGCACGACATTCTTGTAAACGTTGTGGGTGTCGGCAAGCCGCCCGAGGTCAACGCCTTGCACCATGCGGACGAGTTTCACTTCGGCGGTGCGAGTTGTTGGGTCGTCGAAAGACATGATCATACAGCCTGGGAGGTACAGGAACTGACCCGACACCTCGAGGACGCGAGCAGTCATCTGCATGTACTCCTCCAGACGGTGAGTGGGAGCACCATAGCGCATCAGTGCACGACACAGCTGCATAATGTAACGTTGGCGAGCGAGAATCTCGGCAATGTGAACAGTGACACGGATCTCGTCCTCCAGACGAGTCTTGCGCTTGTTCTTCCTGCGTCTCTTGCCCCCCTGGACAGCTTCGGCCGCGGCTGGGAGACTGGCACCGCTCAGGTTCATGGAAGCATCGACCAGCGATGAGGTGGAGAGGTGGGCAGATTTCTTGTACCACTTGAGCTTTTCCTTGCGAGGGGTGACGGCTCCAGAAGTGGGCAGGGAAGGAGACAATGAACCCTTTTTTGGAGTTGTCGCACCGGACGAGACTTGAGTGTCGCTGTCCGAGTCATCGGTGATAACACTCTCGGGACGAGAGCTCGAAGTCTGGGCCGCATGCAACTTCAGCAGCTGGGACAAAATGCCACTGCCTCCAGCAAACCCGCTGGATCGACGGCGGGTAGCGAAGTCTCGGATGGCTCCCTCCGGTGTGGTAGTTCCAGATCGCTGGTAAGCACTTTGAGGCTTGCGCTTCAGCTTCTCCTGGACCTGGGTCATGCTGCGCACCAGACGATGAGCCTCGGCACTGACCGGAGGTTCGACGAGGGTCTCGCCGGTTTCGATCGCTTGCAATCGGTCTGCGTCGCGGCGAGCTCGCCGTGCTTGGAGCTCCTCCATGGGGATCCCTCCTTCAACGTCATCAGGGAGAACCGACGCATTGAGAGGCTCTCCTTCATCTTCAGGCCGACCGAGCCGCTCGCCTAGCCGGTGAGTCTTCTGTCGGAGGAGCTGACCAGCAGCAAGAAATCGATTGCGGGCGGAGGTGGTCCGCTCCATAAAACCCTGGTGTCCATTCTTTTCGGAGTCGGCACCGGCACCAGCAGGCCATTCTTCGGGCGTGCCGCTAGTTGCGAGGCCGCTGCGGGAGTATGCGGGGGCCGGCGGGGTGATGGTTCCGGAGCCGGATAACGGGATTTCGCTTAGCTCCGTGGGCGGCAGCAGAGGGCGTGACGATGCGTCAGACTGATCAGAAATGTCGCGGCGATTCGCATGATCAGGATGGTATCTGTTGCTTATTGAACGCCTGATCGACTCGAAGCGAACACGAGGCGATCGAATTTGATGCTCGACTGGCGGCTCGGTCGCGGGCTGGTGTAGCCCCGCCTCGTATTGGCGCGAATCTGCTGTGGATTCACGTTCGAGGCTCTGCCTGCTGCTAGGGTTTGCCGGGGGTGTTATAATAGTAGGAAGAGGGAGTTCATCGAATTCTTCGGTCGGGCTGGGGTGTGGATTGGGAATTGAGTCTGCCATTGAGTGCGAGAGTCCGAGACTCCAAACGTGGAATGCTCGTCTCGGCAGGTGAGTACAAAACGCAACAAGTGTCAGGTAATGAAGTCAACAATGCTGCGCAGAAAAAAGAAAGAGAGAATCGAGAGGCAAAATGCCATAGAAAAACAAACAGCTTTTTAGCCAAGTGAACTCGGGCCAGCCGAACGGGGAGAAAAAGGACCACGGATCCAGCAAAGCTAGCTTTTTCGCCGAATCCGGGAGTCTAGACATGCGATCGCCATATGATCCACATGAAATCATCGATAAGAGAAGGCGCCTCCATCTGCATGACACAAGGTCCGTGTGTAACTGGCTGAGCTTTTTTTCTGGCTGGCTTAGAATTTTATTTTCCGGTTCCTTGTGCCTCTTCAAGCCACCGTGCCCCAATTCAGTAACCGGCAGGGGACGCGCCAACGCCTTTCGCAATCCCTCCCCTCCAAGCCACGGGTTCGTGCTCTGCTATAGGGGGATAATCACAACGTGTCGAGTGTTCTAGACTGGACTACGTACCACTTTGTACATCATCCCGGGTCGGTGGGTCACGGTGGCGATCCAACTTGACAGTGGCGCCGGGCGGTCGTTCGTACCGTAGTTCACCGGTTCTTAGTGCTCGAGGGTCTCGCCAAACCCCGAGCTAAAAAAATAATCTAACCGTCCACCTGACACCCTTTAGATTGCCCTACTGTGCGGTTATCTTGAATGTGTGCCCTTATCTGCCATGCTTCCGTGGGTTTCGTGGAGTCCGTGCAAGCCACCTCCTGAGCTCCCTGTGGTCCCCTTTCGCAAGGGGAAATAGGAGCGTTGGTAGGGAGCATTGACAGCATAATGATCCACAGTGATGGGATCAACGCCCATACTTTGATGCCTGAAGGGGGAAAAGGGAAGAGTGGGGACAAAGGACAAAGGACAAAGGACAAAGAACAAAGGGACCATGAACCTGTTGCTGCCATTATAGACAGAAACAAAGCCCCACCATAAGCCACACGAGGGCTCGAAATACATTACCAACCTCCGAGAGGTGACATCCCGGTGCGCCACCTGCAGGAAGTGGGGCGCTGATACATTATTCTCCTAACGCCTGGGCAATTCTCATCTCAAATCCTGGAACGACCGATAGCCACCACTTTGATCCACACCAGCTACCGATCCACCATCGTGAAATTCAATTTCCTACTCCGAGCGCTTCTTTCCTGAGAGAGTCCAGCCATTCAGATACCCGGTGCCGGCATTGAGATAGCAGGCATATCCCAACCACGCATAATAGGGAGTCATCAGCCAGAAGGCCGTACGATCCGCCGACCACCAGTTGGCCAGCAACAGGCTCACGTTCCCGATTAATAATGCCATATCACCAAGGGCCGCGGCTGGCCTCCCCACCCCGAAGAACAATGGCATCCACATGAAATTTAGCGCCAGCTGGGTGGTGTACAGGGTCTGGGCGGTCGCGTTAGCATCGCGCACAGCCAACGAGAGGGACTCGTGCGCGACCGTCGTTGCGTGATGAGAAGCATATCCCATCAGTCCGTACAGGACGGTCCATGCCGGCCCGAAGAGCCAACCGGGTGGGCTAAAAGGGGGTTGCCGCAGTTGGCGATAGGTGTCCCGAGTCGAGTTCCCTGCAGACCGACTTCGAGTCAGCTCTTTCTCTCATATTATAGGTCCATCAAATAACGCTGGGTTACGTACGGTTGGTGAGGAGCGCGACGGCAGTTCCTCCCACGATAGGAGTCCCGACCGCAAGCAGCGGTGAGGCGAAAACAGCCTGCGGAAGAGCGAAAGACCACGGCATCTTGAAGTCTTGTGTGAACGTGAACGGAGCTGATTCCTTATTTGCGAAGAGGATTGCGATCTTAAATGCAGGTGTGAATTTATTCTCCTGGTCCCCGGCGATCGCGATCTGGTCTAAGTTCGCGTGAGCTACGTCATCGCTCGTCCAGATCGGTGCTGGAGTTCAGGTGAGACACTTCGCTCAGAGATGTTGCCAGCTTTCTACTACTGAGATCGGTAGTGATTCTAGTGAGAAGTCAATTTGACAAAGATCTTATTACTAGCCTTATTAGAGCAATTGTAGAGATCATGCGCCCGTCTGATTGAGTACCTGGAAAGTAGCCGAAGCGCATCTAAAATCTAAGCTTCTTTTTAAATTCTCAATTGAAATCTTTATTTTTATTTCTCATTCTTGTTCCAGATTCATTCTGAAACCATCAACTGCTTTGTATCTATTGCAATTTTCCAGCAAAAAAAAAAAAAAAAATTTCCCAGAGACCAGCCAAAGTAATCGCCTTCGTAGGGGTTTTACGATGCGCAACATATACCTACCAAGTAGTAAGCGTGCCAAGGTCCCAGGTTCCCGCACATATGTGCAACCCCTTCTCAAATCCTATGAAAAGAACAGGATCATTTACCATGCACGGTGACTTTTTTTGGAACTGGACACCTCGGTACACTAAGTGTCCGGCTTACCTAGGAGCGGGTTGAAAGGGTCGAAGTAGGTAGATATAAAATGAGCGGACAGGCGTGGCCACCGAGCTTAAAAGTACGGGAGCTTGACACAGAGACCTAAGAATTGGAACCCAGGATATCGCCGGTGGCTTTTCATTTCCAAACTCCACGAGATGCCATTGCGGCTTTTGTGTCTCCATGGCTGGGGAACGAGCGAAAGGGTCAGTATCTGTGAAAGATATGATATATCAGACTAACAGATAGTAGATCCTGCGGTCCCAATTAAGTACAGAAATCTGCACAGCACAAAACAAGACCCATTCTAATGGCGAACAGGCGGGCTTATCGGGGATCTGCAACGGGATAATACAGTGACATTCCACTTTCTCGAAGGCGAGGTCGACTCCGACGCCGGGCCGGGCATTGCAGGCTACTACAACGGTCCGTATTACAGCTACTATAGGTTTCCAAGAACGTTTTCTGCCGAAGACGACAACGACTCTGAAATTATCGAGGCATACGACCTACTGTACGAGACGATTTCCCTCCACGGTCCCTTCGACGGGGTCCTGGGATTCTCACATGGAGGAACCTTGGCCGCCGGGTTTCTCATTCACCACGCCAAAATTTCGCCGCACGAGCCGCCTCTTTTTCGGTGTGCTATCTTTGTCAACTCTTTGCCACCCTTCCGTATGCACCCGGGCGAATATCCCGTCATAGATGAAGGGCTCGAGGGGTACATCAAAATTCCCTGTGTAAATGTTGCGGGGGCTAAAGATCCTTTGTTTGAATGCTCACTTGCCCTTCATCGAATTTGTGACCCACAGGGGTCAACCTTCGTGGTGCATGGAAAGGGTCATGGTATTCCCACCGATCGAATGAATGTTGCCATCATGGCCACTGCCATTCGAAATTTGTCAATTAAGATGTCGGGAATGTGATCATACTGGGCGTAGGCATGACATGGGCCAAATTTGATTCAAAGTCACGCGATAACTCGTTAAGGAAGGAGCCCGGGAGTATACTGTTTGTCTTCTTCTAGGCAATGCTTTGCTGAGTCTTGTACTACCTTATCTCAGGTCTCAACCGGCCTTTTTCTTTGCCATGCCTGGATGTGAGGAATTATACTTTATTCAGAAAATGAACCGAGAGAAGTAAGCAGCGTCCGATGAGCCGTTCATGGGCTATTGTACTTCCTTAAACCTGTTATTCTAGCAAATCTTTCCATTCTTCACTAATCAGTCCAACTGAACACTAACTGATCAAGCTGGCTTGAGTGCTAGCGTTTGGAACATGCAAGACATCCCAATAACCATCGAAGCGAGCAGCTCGGAATCATTCTCAGAATGCATTGCAACCCAAGATCCGGACGATCTTGGTGATGATTTGTCGATCCTTGCTGCAGACGCGAGTATGCCAATAGCAGTTGTGGGAATGGGCTTCCGAGGACCGGGCGATGCAACGAACGTTGAAAATCTATGGAAAATGATAATTGAGCAGCGAGAGGGGTGGAAACCTATCCCGAAGAAACGCTGGAATAACAAAGCATTCTATCATCCAGATCATGCCCGCCATGGGATGGTAAGTCTCCGAGTAAAGAAGGCGATGAACCGGGATACTCATGGCGGCTATGCAGATTAATGTGGAAGGAGGACACTTCCTGGAAGAGGATGTATCTCTGTTTGATGCGCCATTTTTCAACATGACCAGCGACGAGGCTGCTGTACGTATCATCAGAAACGCAATTCCATCACATCTCTAATAGCGCATTCTAGGCCATGGATCCTCAACAGAGGCTCTTGCTTGAAATAACTTACGAGGGGCTGGAAAATGGTATTCTTCTCAATCAAAACCACCACTCACTCACTGACTGTAAAAAGCCGGAATTCCCCTGTCGCAATTCATGGGAAGCAAAACTTCGTGTTTTGTCGGATCCTTCAGTGCAGACTACACCGACATTCTTCTTCGTGACCCGGAGTGCGTACCAATGTACCAGTGTACAAACGCCGGGCAGTCTCGGGCCATGGTTGCCAATCGTATTTCTTACTTCTACGACCTGAAAGGTCCCAGTGTCACAGTAGACACTGCATGCTCCGGTAGTCTTGTCGCGCTACACCTAGCATGCCAGAGCCTTCAAACCGGTGACGCGTCCATGGCAGTCGCAGCTGGTTTCAATCTGATTCTCAGTCACGAATTCATGTCGACGATGAGCATGATGAGGTCAGTACCCCACAACAATCCCGATTGACTTCAGGCTGATTTGCTCATGCCAGGTTTCTTTCCTCGGATGGACGTTGTTACACCTTTGACGAGCAAGCAAATGGCTATGCCCGAGGTGAGGCTGTCGATTGCCTCATACTCAAGCCACTAGCCGATGCCCTCCGTGACCAAAACACAATACGCGCTGTCATCCGAGGAACTGGATCAAATCAGGATGGCCGAACGACGGGAATCACACTGCCGAGCGGTACCGCACAGGAAACTTTGATCCGCGATGTGTATCGACGGGTGGGTCTAGACCCGAAGGAAACCGAAGTTGTTGAGGCCCATGGTACCGGCACACAGGCAGGCGATCCAATAGAAACGGGCGTGATTTCTCGAGTGTTTGGATCCGACCGAGGCCCTGGGCAAGCGATTAGAATTGGTTCCATCAAAACAAACGTTGGACACCTCGAAGGTGCGAGTGGGGTGGCGGGTGTCATCAAGGCAGTCCTCATGTTGGAGAATCGTATGATTCTACCAAGTCGTAATTTCAAGACACCAAATCCACGGATACCGTTGGAGAAATGGAATCTCAAAGTCTGTCCCTTTCCGGGTTTTCTATATTTACATGCCCTGACATCATTAGGTCCAATTAACCCCAGAACCATGGGAAGCACCCGGGCCCCATCGGGTATCTGTCAACAGCTTCGGATACGGAGGAAGCAATGCTCATGTCATCATGGAGGATGCTTTCGGGTATCTTGCAAGTCGTGGTCTCGAGCGATGGTTCCTGGGGCCATCAAATCTGTTTCAAAATGTGCACGTCGACGTACCACAGCCCAGGCGGCCATCACAAAAGCACAGAATGTTCATGGTATCTGGATTTGACGAATGGGCATGCCACGAGCAGATCAGAAGACTTCACAATTATCTTTCGACCAAGCAGACATTTATGGGTGATGACTTCTTGGATGATCTCGCCTTCACACTCAACGAACGCCGATCTCAATTTATGTGGAAAACCGGGGTCATCGGGACTTCAGTCCCTAACTTGATTGATTCACTATCTGGTACCATCAAAATAAGAAGCTCTGTTCGAATCCCGACTTTGGCATTCGTATTCACAGGCCAAGGAGCACAGTGGGCTGGCATGGGAAGGGAGCTACTTCAGGCCTATCCGGTATTCCGGGAGTCAATATCGAAAATTGACACCTTTCTGGGGACGGTTCGAGCTTCATTCAGGGTCTACGGTATGTGATTCTACATAAGGTAAATCTGATGGAACGATGAAGCTAAGAAATTCTAGATGAAATGATCACGACTTCAGAAGATTCACACCTGAGACATCCTTTGCTCAGCCAGACCATATGTTCAGCTTTACAAATCGCCCTTGTTGACCTTCTGGCGTCATGGAGTGTGTATCCAGCTTCAGTTGCAGGCCACTCCAGTGGCGAAATTGCCGCAGCATATGCAAGTGGCGCCTTGAGCATGGAAGACGCGATGAGTATAGCGTTCTACCGCGGCATGGCTGCCTGCCAATTACTGACAGCCCAAGTACACGGTGGCATGATGGCAATCGGAATGTCCCCCGAGGAAATTCAGCCCTACTTGACAAGGTTAGAGTCTGGAAAAGCCGTAGTTGCCTGCATCAACAGTCCCTCCAGTGTGACTGTTTCCGGGGATACAGATGCGATCGATGAATTGACCGAGGCCCTCAAGGACAATCCAGCTTTTAGCCGTCGCTTAAATGTGGATGTTGCTTATCATTCTCATCACATGGAGCTTGTCGCCAATGAGTACTTGCATTCAATAAATCACATTGCACCGAGGAAGCCTCAGAACCCCGACAATCAAATTTCCTTTTTCTCTTCTGTCACTGGTACGGAGATTCAACCGGATGCGCTTGGGCCTCCATACTGGGTGTCGAATTTACTTGGCCAGGTCAAGTTCGCCGAGTCGGTGAAGAAACTTTGTTTTGAAACTAACACTCGGCATACCGGAATCGGAATCTCTGCCGGCAGGCGGGTAAAAAGACTGGGCGCTGCTCAGAAACCCATCGTTGATCTTATCCTCGAAATTGGCCCGCATTCGGCTCTATCTGCTCCGGTGAAGCAAATAATTCAGGCAGATGTGAAGCTAAAAGCAGCCGATATTGAGTATGCGAGCGTCCTGGTGCGAAAACAAGATGCCGTATCGGTCGCACTCAACGCCATGGCAAAAATGGCATCCCTGAACTACTCATTACGCTTTGAATCAATCAATCGTCAAGCAACGAGTGAGAAACGAATCCCACGACTTCTAGTGGATCTACCCCAATATTCATGGAACCATACTAGATCATACTGGGTCGAGCCCCGCCTAAGTAAAATGTTCAGGAACCGAGAGTTTCCACGAACAGATCTCCTCGGAGCACCGGATAACATGGCCTGCCCATTCGAACCACGTTGGCGAAACTACTTACGCGCCTCGGAGATACCGTGGCTCATGGACCATAAAGTTCAATCTGATATCGTTTTCCCTGCTGCAGGATACATATGCATTGCCATCGAAGCGGCTATGCAATTGGCCACAGATATCGGTGAAGTTGCGGCGTTTGCTTTGCGGGATATTTCAATACGATCGGCATTGATTATCCCTGAAACCATTGGCATTGAGATCATGACATCGTTGCGCCCTCTTAGTGAAGAAAAGCCCGATCGATTGGAGCGGAGGTACAGATTTCATGTATACTCGGTGTCGAATGATAACCGATGGACCGAGCACTGTACCGGGGTTGTCGGGGTGGAGATAAAGCACGACGATACTGATGAAGCGAACCCCACCGACCTTGTTGGTTCCGCGATGCTCCCTGCGAGTGCGTCGGCGAGCATTTCAATAATCGATGTGGGTCAACTTTATGAAAGGCTACGACATGTTGGCCTGGACTATGGTCCTTGTTTTGCCAATTTGGCCGTGGCGCATACAACGGAGAATGGTGCATGTTTTGCAGAAATCACACTTCCCAATATTGCAGCTGCAATGCCGATGCAGTTCAACCATCCACTACTGATCCACCCATGCACCTTGGATAGTATGTTCCATGCGATTTTTGCCACGCTGGCAGATGGTGCGTCTCTTGAGAGAGGGCCCCTGATACCTGTTTCCATTGAGAGTATGCGAGTGGCAACCTGCATAGTCTCATGTGTTGGTGAAGTAATAAGCACGTGTACACATGTTCAAACAAGTCCAGATGATTCGGTCTTGGCATCCATTGTCGCGGCGGACAGCAATAATCAATTATGCAGCTCGAAGCCTAAGATATTCGTGAACGGGCTCCGATGTAAACGACTTGACATTGGGCCGAATGATTTCAAACGGTCAAAATATGTTCCGCTTGTCTATGGCATTGAGTGGCAGCCCGATCCTGCTTTCTTGCTCGGCTACGCCTTTGCTGGTCAGATTTTGGAACGGCATGGAAATGCGGAATCGGTGAAGCGATCCCCACTGCGAGAGGAATGTGAGGACTACACGTCTTCTCTCGTGAATGACATCCTCACGAGATCCAATCAACATGATCGGAACAGAAGCGATATTGTTGTAAACAAGTATAGATCCAGTCTCGCAGAGCTCCTTCAGAGAGGCGATGCTCACCAAGGAATAGTGAACACCGCAAAGATAGACGAAATCAAAGAAAGACAAACTCCCCAGTCCATGGCCAGACTACTCCGCGCCATCAGAGCGCATATATCTTCAATATTCGAAGACGACGAAAAAGATAATCAAGAAAGCAGAGCCGAACTATGGAATGCGCACTGGGAGGTCCTCTCCACCGACCATACATACAATTGTGCGTCCCGATATCTCGACTTAATTGGTAATAAAAAGCCAGATATCTCAGTTCTTGAGATCAGCGAGGGAACGGGCCAGCCATGTAGAATGTTCTCACAGCGCCTCGTGGCAGGATTAGAAAGTCAAAATCGGACACCACGCTGCATTAAATACACGATCACATACAAAGACAATTCAGAGCTTGACAAAATCAAGTCGAGCCTAGCGCCTTGGTCGGAACTAACAAGCTTCACGAAGCTCGATATTGAGCGCGATATCTCTGAACAAGGACTCGAGAGCCAGCTCTACGATGTGATAATTGCCCCACATGGCTTTCACTCAGTGCGTTCCATTCAACGTGTCCTAGCTAATCTTCGGTCAATGTTAAAGCCATCGAGCTATCTTTTGATTATGGATTATTTCAACCCAGAGGGAAGCATTCTGGATGCGTTGATGATTAGTACACTGTACTTGTGGCCGGCAGAGATCCTCCATTCTCCCTTCAAGGACAACATGGAAAGGAACGAGTTAGGTCAGGCGCTCCAAGACGCAGAGTTTACGACATACAATCTTGGAGAATCTGGTCCTGCAACTAGCAGCGACAGATTTACTGTCTCACGCCCGCGGAGGGATATGGAATCCAGGAAGAAACGATTTACGATTATTTCTGAGAAGGGTCATGATGAGCCTGTCGTCGAGTCTCTGCAAGGCAATCTCGAAAAGCTTGGATGCAAACTCACTCTGACGAATATTGCGAACGTCCAAGCCAAAGACGAGATCTGCGTGGTATTAAGTGACATGCAAACACAAATATTCGGGAGCATGCAGTTTGACACATTGGAAAAAGTGAAAGATATATTTCTTCACAGCGCCGGAGTCCTCTGGGTCACTCGTGGTGGAACTGTTGACTCTAGCTGTCCAGAAGCAGGGCTTGCCTCTGGATTTTCTAGAACGGCTCGCTCAGAATCAGGCGCTGGACCCATTATCACGCTGGATTTGGATTCATTGAATCCTCTTCCAGATTGTCGTGCTGCCGAGGTTATACTCGGAGTGATTGAAGCACATTTCATCCAAAGAGGAAGCACTGCTGAGGATACAGAGTACGTGGAGAGGGATGGTGTTGTTTTGATTCCCCGAGTGATTGAACGAGAAGAATTCAAGTCGGATATCAAGCAAGCCGAGCGAGAAGAGAAATATTCCGAGCAATCATTCCGACAGAAAGTCTGTCCAGCTAGGCTATCCAGCGCAGATGGGAATCAACCACAACCGTATTTCACAAAGGATTGCGAAATGGCCGAGATTCCCGCCGGGCATATCGGGATCGAAGTGCGGGCCTTTGGACTGAACGAATTTGACATCTTCCATGAATCGAAACTGATAAACACTGGCAGTACCCTGGGACTAGAGTGTAGTGGAAAAATCTGCGCACTGGGACAAGACGTTGAAGGCTTCTCGATGGGAGATCGGGTTGCCTGCTTGGGGGTGGGAACAGCAAGGACTTTTTATCAGAGCGAGGCATCCGCCTTCCAAAAGATAAACGACAACACGTCCTACGAACTTGCAGCGGCATTGCCCGTCGTCTATACAACAGCATACTATGTCGTTCACTACCTGGCCCGAATCCGACCACACGACACCGTCTTAATACAAGATGCTGCCTGCTGGTATGGTCAGGCAATAATTGAATTATGCTGCATGCGAAGCGCTGCAATTATAGCAACGGTAGAAAGCAAGATCCAAAAAGAGATATTGTCAAATCGCTTCCGAATCCCCCCCCATCGTGTGCTTATTGATGAGGGAAACATTCCTAGGAGGATTTTGGAGATCACTAATGGTCAGAAGGCAAACGTTGCCATTACATTCTCTGCAACCGAATCCTCTAGCTTACAAGGGGTCTGGAAATGCGTTGCTTCTTTTGGACGTTTGATCCAACTTCGGACCCGCGATATCCAAAAGGAAGATGAACACAATTTGTTCTGTCCGGTAAGAAACGTCATGTTCTCGACGTTCAATATATATCAATTTCAAAAAGAAAGATCGGATATCACACGTCACGTATTTGGAAAAATAGTTCGGTTTTTACATGAGGGGAGAATCTGCGGGCCATCGTCGTTCATGGTGCAGAAAGTGGGAGCAATAGAGGAGGCTTTCAATGCAATACCTTCTGAGAAACATGTTGTGGTTACAACAGAAGGTAATGATGATCTGGTCAAAGTAAGTCTATGGTGTACAACTAACTTAGAACGAGTCTAAACATACCTCCACAGATACTGCTTCCAAAGGACAAAAGCGACTTGTTCCGAGGAGACGCATCATACATTCTTGTTGGTGGCCTTGGGGGGATCGGGCGTGCAATTGCTCTGTGGATGTCAGATCATGGTGCAAAACATCTGATACTCGTTAACCGAAGTGGGCTGTCAGGAGAGGCAGCAAAAACAACAGTAAGAAATCTTCAAACCAAACACATCACGGTCACGGTGCACGCTTGCGATATCACCAACGAAGCCGAAGTTGCCCAAATGTTCGTCGCTGTATCCGAGACCCAACCCCCTATTCGCGGATTGATACACGGAGCCATGGTGTTAAAGGTACCCGAGACCCGTGCAAGCCATTCCAGAAAACATAATGTTCTAACGGCCCCAGGACGTCCACATCGAAAAAATGACCACCGAAGACTACAATACCGTCCTGCGACCCCGATACAACGGAACTTGGAACCTACATAGACACTTACCAACAGATGTAGATTTCTTCCTCATGCTCTCATCCATCAGCGGCATCATAGGAAACGCAACTCAATCCGCCTACGCCGCAGGCTCCGCATTCATGGACGCCTTCGCAGCATACCGGAACGCGATGGGCCTTCCGGGAGTCTCATTGGATCTCGGCACGGTCACCGATGTGGGATATCTGGCTGCGAATAAGGAACTTGCTACCAGGATGCAGAATCAAGGGTTTAAGGGGACTGATACGGCGACTTTGTTGTCGCTTGTTGAATTTGCTATCTCGCAGCCTCCTACAGGTGGCATGTCACAAATCGTGACGGGGTTGGGGGAATGGAAAGATGGTGATTCCCTGGGTAATTTCGACGCGCCGCTTTTTGCACATTTTAGGCGCCGATTCCAGGGCTTTGAGAGTGGCGACTCGGAGGATGCCATTGGGGCATTGAGGGATATGTTACGGGCGTGCAAAACGAAGGAAGAGGCTATTCCAATTGTCTTTGATGCGGTTTGTGGGAAGATTGCCGCACAACTTGATATCTCTGTGGACAGGATCGATCCACTGACTCCGCTTTCCGAGTTCGGGGCCGACTCGCATGTGGCTGTTGAGCTGCGAAATTGGATATCGAAAACCTTGGAAAGCACCGTGTCTATTCTTGAGATTCTGGCTAGTGTCTCAGTGCTTCACCTGGCAGGGCAGATTTCTGACCGGTCACGACTGGTCAGTGCGGAGAATAATGAGCAGTGAGACTAAAGGCAGTGTGGATTGAACATGGTTGGGAGCTCCGTTGAGTGATGATTATTCGTTATATTTTGTGGCCATAGCCAATCTAAACTGAAATGTATATGTACGCATGTAAAAAGCAAAAATCCCCAAAACGCCTATCTAAAGGTCTATCCATTTATCTTCATCCAATCACTCGGCCTTCTTCGAGGCTTTTGTCCGCAGTTTCATCAACAAGTAAACCAAAGCATACGAGCTGAGAGCGAAAATTGCAACAATACCAATATCGCGCCAGCCGTAGTAGTACTTTTTCAGATTGAGGGTGTAGAGGTAGTCGCTCCCATAAGTGTATTCGCAGACCTTGCAAGACTCGGTCGCGAGGGGATTGACCAGGTTCATGCGAACACCGATGGTGTCCATGAAAGTGCTCAGGTAGTCACCGCAAGAGGTTCCATTGGGAGGGTTGAAGATGGCAAACTCGCTCTCCTTGCACTTGATGTCGGTGTCCCAGATATTGAAGACAAGAAGACCACCCATAAGGTAGTTGAATGGATTCATCCAGTAGATCCAGTATCTCCAGAACTCTTGGATCTGGGCGTAGGGAACAAGGACACCACAGAATGAGACCAGGGTACCGATGATCAGGGGGTTGACCAGAGCGGCGAATGTCGCGTTGGGGGCATAGGCGGCAACGAATTGACCGATACCAGTGTAGACAAACTCATAAAGCAGCATCATGAAGAAGGTTGGGCCTGATTTATCGGCAGCGGTGACCCCGCCGATGGTCCAGTACCAGCACACGAAGTACAACACGGCGCAGATGCAGAGGTATGGGATCTCGGACACGACGAGAGCAGTCACGAAGGCCCACCACGAGTACATCTTGGACTTCTTCTCACGCTGCTCGTAGATGGCTCGGCGTTCCAAGAACAGGGGCTGCAGCTGGTTAATGACACCAGGAGCAACGAAAATGAAGTTGAAAATTGTGAAGAGGCGCAGTTGCATGCTGCCGATGCTGTTTCCAATCATCCAGAAAGAGAAACCATTGAACAGGGCAGATCCAATGTGCAGAGCGAACTTGTTGTTGACGTAGTCGGTGTTACGGAAGAGAGCAGTGCTCATGCGAAGAGTCACAAGCTTGGTTTGTTCCCAGATAGAGGTGGCAAACTCGCGACCGTCATCGAAAGTACCAGGCGGGTTGGATGCAGCGGTGCTAATGATTCCGTCAAGTTCCTTGAGTGCCTTAGAGTTCTCAGGCGACTCGAGCCAGACCTGGTTCCAGTCCTTGCCCTGGCTAAGGTGTCCGGAGACCACGTCAATCATGTGTTCAGCAGGGTTGGTGTTGCTGGGGCAAGGAGCGCCATAGCGGTCGAAGTAATTCTTGACGGTCTGACCGTTGTCACCGATATCACCGAAGTAGACGGTCTTTCCACCCTTGGTGAGCAAGAGCAGAGTGTCAAATTCGGCAAACAATTGAGCAGAGGGCTGGTGAATGGTAACTAAGACGGCCTGACCAACATCGGCGAGCTTTCGCAAGAATCGAACGGTGTTGTAAGCAGACTGTCCATCGAGACCAGAGGTGGGCTCGTCCAAGAAAATCAGAATGCTGGGCTTGGACACAAGCTCGACACCGATGGTGACACGCTTGCGCTGCTCAACGCTCAAACCAGCACCGACGTAACCGATCAAAGTATCTGCTATATCGTGCAGCTCCAGAAGATCGATGATAGTGTCGACGTATTTCAGCTTCTCCTCGCGTGGAGTATCCCGAGCCTGGCGGAGCAGAGCCGAGAATTCCAAAGATTCGCGGACGGTCGCAAACGGCTCAAGAACATCGAGCTGCTCACAATATCCAGCAGAACGCTGGAATGAAACGGGAAGCTCGCGACCGTCAACCAGGATGGAACCACGGATAGTACCATCAGTCTTCCGTTGCGCCAGAACATCGAGCAGAGTAGTCTTGCCCGCACCGGAGGAGCCCATCAGTGCACCCAGCATACCGGGCTTCACCCATCCATAAACGTTATCAAGGAGAACCCGGTCCCCAGTAGGCGTCTTCACAGTGTATTGCAAGTCCTTCCAGGTAAAGACCGACGTGTTGCGAACGAGCTGCTTGTTAATATCGTCTTCGCTAACGGTGCCGGAATCGGACGGCTTCTTGGACTTTTCCTGGACTTGAGACTCCTCATCGGACTTGACAACTTGGCGGTGCTGCTCGAGGCGCTCACGAGGGATAACGAGACAGCTTCCGCTGTCGCCAGGGGACTGCCATCTGGAAGTAGCGATGATGGTGACAACGACAAACAGCACCCACCATGCCCAATTGATACCGAAGTTTCGCCACAAGTGGGAGTGGCTGTAAGAGAGTGAGTGGAGGTACTGGTCACCGGTGACATAGGTGTTGCCCTGAATGGCTCCGCCAACACCAGCGCAGGACTGGTGGGCGGAATCCGTGTAGCCAGGACCTTGAGGAATGAGATTGTTGCCAACACAAGGGATAGTCTTGCCGTGGAATTCGTTGGACAGAAGGGCCTCGAATCCGTAGGCCAATGGGTCGATCCAGAAAATCCAGCCCAGCCAAGGGTGCATCTGCGGCTTATGAATCATGTAACCGGTATACATAATCAGCGCGGAGATAAGGAATCCAGACACCTTCGAAGCTCCGTCGAATGTGGAGAAGAGAGCACCAATGGCTCGGAAGAGAGCAGTCATACACTGTGGAAAATTAGCTAGTTTCTATAAATCTAGGACGGAAGCTCAATCTTACCATCGTTGTCGCAAACACCATGATCCAGTACGTGAAGAACGCGCCAGCCGACATTGACAGGCCAACCATAAAGTAAACCACGAGCGAGAACATGCTGATTTGGAACAGCAGCACGGGGATATCGGCAGCGATTTGAGCAATGCAGAAAGCCGCAGGATGGAAGTAAGCAAAGCCCTTGTGCTTGATCAAGACAGGACGACCGTGGAACGAGTCTGTAACTTCAGACATGGCGAGCAAGCTGTTGTACAGCAACGAGAAGAATAGAGCACCAGATTTGACAAAAAGACCAGAAGAGTTGTCAGGAGCACTGTAGAACAGGGATCCCGCAATCAAGGCCTGCATCAGTGTCGCAACTTGCTTGATGATGAAAGTAGCCTTGTCTCCCCAGATAATCTGGTACTGACGAGACACACAAGCCTTGACCTGCTCGGTAAAGCTTACAGTCAGAGGGCTGTTCTTCGGGAGTTGGTTGGATGTCTCAAAGGCGACACCGTCCTTGAAGTCCTGGGTTCGGTCGCGTGCATCCTCGGTGTTCGGGTAGTCGTATTCAACAGTCATCTGCTCATAGATGGGAGACTTTTCATATGCCTCGCGCAGGGCTTCCTTGTTACGGGGGAAGCGGTTTTCATAGCCGTCGCGAATGCGGCGTTCCGTGGGCACAGTGATACCAGTGAGGAAGTCAGCAACGTTGGATCCTTCACGGCAGACAAATCCAGCCTCTTCCATGAACGGCCGAGCCTGGGCCCGGGGACCGTAGTAGATCTGCTCGCCCTCGTCGAGAACAAGCACCTTGTCGAAGAGCTCGTAAATTCCATTACCGGCTTGGTACAGAGTGACGATTGTCGAGAGACCCAGAGTATCGGTCATGGCACGAACAGCCTTGGTCCATTCCAGAGCAGTGCTGGCATCCAGACCACGAGTGGAGTTGTCCCAGCAGAAGACGGATCCTCGAGTGGCGAGACATTCGACGATGGAGACACGCTTGCGCTCACCACCGGAGACACCACGGACATATTCGTTGCCGACCTTGGTGTCCTCGGTGTGTGAGATACCCATGGACTCGAGCAGGAACTTCTTGTTATCTTCACGATAAGCCTCGGCGGACTCAACGCCGTTCGGAAGCTTGAAGGGAACCTTGAGGCGAGTTGCAAAGTCCATGGTCTGGCCAACGGTCAGGGTTGGGAAAAATAGTTCCTCCTCTGTGTTCATGACGATCTGGCCGCGGTACTTGGTGGCCTCATCCGAGGTTAGCGAGCCGAACCGCACATCTCCCTCCACTGCCTTGAAGCCACCGCGGCGGTTTGCGAGCATCTTGAGCAGGGTTGTGCAACCCGAGCCTGGACGACCCAGGACTAAGAGCATCTCACCCGGCTTGACGCAGCCATGGCTGTTTTTCAGGATAGTTCGCAGCGGGGGCTTGTTCCGAGATTCCTTGATGTGCTTGGGAATATTGAATTGAGACAAAACATTCTCATTAACGGCAGCTTCCGAGCTGATGACATCGACATTGAGGTTTTGCCAAGTGACGCCCAATTCCTGTCGCTTGAACCCGGAGGCCAAGTCTCGTTCGTGTTGTTGTTGAATCCGAGAAAGCAAGCTCCAGTCATTGTGTTGACTGGAACCAGGGCTGCTGTCCTTGCGAGGGGTCTCATCACCCATGATCGTCGCCGCACTCTCAGACTCATATTTAATATCGATCGACCCTCTTCGGGACGATGAGGGCTGGGTCGGATCCTCCATGTTGGAATGAGTTGGAGATAGCTTGTCAGCGACCATCCATCCGCGGGAGCCCGGATGTTTTATACTGGGCTAATAATACTCGAATGGACCCAGTGGGGCCTCCAACATACTATGATAGTACAGCAGGATCACCCCGAGTGTGCGGGCCCAATCGGAGTTAGCCATGACAAGGGAACCTCCGAGTTGATCGGGTTTCATCCACATGGCGGAACGGATCATTTTCGTTTTGGAGCCCCCTATTCAGGTTAATGACTTGTCCGACGTGCATGATGACCGACGTACCGGACCAAAGTCTCGGCGAACCAACAGCTGTGGAGCCTCCGAGGAAAACGGAGGATAAGCGAACTTCCTTCCGCTGACACATCACCACGCAAAATGTGATGTTTTATCGATTGATGTGTTCTCCCAAATGCATGCACTTGATACGAGCAGACCACTCTTCTAGAAACCCGGCATACCTTCTCAATGCACCCTTCCGGAGGCCGCCAAACGATCATAAGAACTGCATCGGCATCGGCACTCGCGTTGCCAAGACTGCGAGGGACAAAAGCCGACGAGCTGTCGGGCTCTGCACATTGCCGCTGAGTCAGCGGCCCCGGGGGCAGGCCAGACTGCGTCGAAAGTTGCAAGGGGGGTTTTAAAACGGGTCTAGTGAAAGGTAACACTGGAGTGACGGTGATCGTAGAGTAATTTGATGCAAAAAGTAAATACGGGAAGCTTCAGAATGGGTGAGGACACTCTGTTAGGCTTTTCTAGCCAAAGTTTCCAGTGCTGGTGGTATTGCAAGAGAATAATTTCAAAACGCAAATCAAAGTCATGTCCTCATCTAAAATAGGGTTTCAAGAGACATCAAGGGTATCTCACTTTACATCTCCTTGATCTGCTGAAAACACTTAGATCGTGCCCTTTCCCCTTTCCTACTACTTCTTTCCAACTCAGAAACAGCTAGCTCAAGTGTCCTCATATCCCAAATTTCGGCATCCGACATATCGTCCGCCCCGGGAAGAAGCGGCAACGGTTGTATACCGGCTCTTTGTAGAAGGTCGAGTCGATGTAGTAGGTCTTTGTGCGCATGACGTTGCATGGAGTTGCATGCAACCACATGTCTCAAATTAGGCTCATGGGATCGCGCCTCCTTTTGCATTTTTTGTAAGGAGAGTTCGCAAAGGCGAAATGCGAGTTCGTCGGAGTCTGGGGACGGGTTGTATGATGGTTGAGGTTTGATTGGGGTAGTATTCACGACGCGAAAGCGGCTGCGGCCTCGATGAGGTAACGTTGGAGTGATGTTTCTCATGATAATTCTGCTGCTGCACTGCATGGTGGAGGAAGTGATTCACTCTGGGATTCGGATGGTGGTTATACGTTCTTCATAGGTCAACATGGCAAGACCGATAATATACTAGATTTACGGGCACCTGACAGCTCAGAAAATTTTTAGGGTTGATTTGTGGTGAGGTAATTCCACTATGGAAGTGTCACACCACTGTTGCTGGTTGAAAGGGAAAAGTCGGGATCTTGCTTCGGGGTTTCGCCACCCGATCATACCACCGCGGGGATGCACAATGCACCATGACCACCCACTTGTGAGATCTTGTCAGAAAGCATTAAGGAATACATAAATTAGAAGATAAAATTTCTCTCTTATGTACATGACAAAATAATTCCATTGGGAATTATTTGATTGCGATGGCCACTGACATGACCTCGGGTACTCACTCCGGTGCTAGGTATAACATCAAGAATATCCATTATTTAATGACTGGCGAAGGTTTTGGACCTCAATTGCTATGACCTTCATGCAACGATTATGACTTGTCTTTCCAGTGGGCGTTCATCAAAGTGAAGCGCTCTGAAATGGTCGAGGATATTCAAGGCGGCCATGCCATTCCCACATGACCTCACTACAAACAATCAAATACCAATGGAGTCTGTCCTCACGGAATGACTTTGAGATTTTAAGATTCGATGGCGCACTGATCTTGTATCTCTTAGATCGACGCGGTCTCCAAACGTACTAGTGTCCATTTGAGTGCGGGGCAGTTGAGGGCAACTTCTCCACCCTGATATAGTTGCAACACTTATGTACTCCGGAGCTCACCCTTGATTTAAGTTCCAATTGTCACCATCGGCTAGCTCAATGTTAATATTGACAGCCAGAGCCTTGAATTGAGCAGACATGAAACCAAGTCTACTCCTCCGTCAGCTTTGAAAGGATCGGATGGCCCTCCCGACGCTAGCACAACCCTCGCGAATGATATCCAACCTGGGAAGCAAATCCCAAATCCCCACTCCACGACTGCATCTGTTCCTCGAACCCCCCGGTCCGCAGCCCAAGATATTTCCTACCAATCGCAATACGCCCGTATAACACATCTTTATCAATGAGTCACCGAAACCCGGGACATCGGCATCGAAGCCGCTGAGGAGATAACTCCAACCTACGTTTCCACCATGAACGAGGATGTATTGTCTATCAACCAGAACAACATGGCCACCGAGGGAAAGTCCAGCACCTTATTATCAGGACAGCCATGCACCGTTCCAGATTACCCAGACGTGTCCGGCCTAAGCAGCGCCCACACCTCCCGAGCAAGTCTCCATCACCACGATGAAAGACCACGCCCAGTCTTCGAAATAATCGAACCCCCAGCCCAGCTCTCCGCCATAACCACACACACCACCCATATCCGCGAACCCGGCATCGACGACACATTCCCAGACGGCGGAACTCGCTCCTGGCTCGTCGTCGCAGGATGTTTCTTCGTGTTAATGGCCACCTACGGAATGATGAATTCCACGGGCGTTCTCCAAAGCTATTTCGCAACCCACCAATTGTCAAATTACTCCACCAGTGCCGTCGGGTGGATTCCGGGTCTATTCACTTTCTTCGGGCTAGTTCTAAGCCTTCAGATCGGTCCTATGTTTGACCGGTACGGTCCGACGGGGATTCTTATCGCCGGTACTGTGTGTTATGTCGCCGGACTGCTTCTTCTGGCGGAGTGTAAGCTCTATTGGCATTTCGTTTTAACGCTTGGTGTTCTCACTGGGACGGGTGCTGCGCTGCTAAGTACGGCTGCGCTGGCTGCTGTGCCGCATTGGTTTGATCGGAAGGTTGGGATGGCGATGGGGACTGCGATGGCCGGGGGAGGGCTTGGTGGTGTGACTTTCCCGCTTGTTTTGAGGGCGGCGTTTACGAGCTTCGGATACCAGTGGGCTATCCGGTTGCTGGCTCTTATGGTCGCGGTTATGTGTGGGTTGGGGATTGCGCTGGTTAGGTCGAGGCTGCCCAAGGGGAGGAGCAGGTCGACTATCAATCTGAATGCCTTTAAGGATACGAGATTTACTTGGTTGACGTTGGGGACATTCAGTGAGTCTGCTTGACGTTTTGTAAATTGGTGAATTAGGCGGCTGACTCACTTGGTAGGTCTGGAGCTGGAAGTTTTCGCTGGTCTGGGTTTATACCCGACATACGTGGTCATGCAAGGATATAGTACTTCCACTAGTGTCATTCTCCTGTCAACTTTGAATGTGTATGAGACGTCTTTAATTTCGCAGACTCGTGGCATCAATACTGACGGCAACAGATTCTCCACCCTCGGCCGACTCGTAGCCGGAGGCATCGCCGACAAATACGGACGAATCAACACACAAACAGGCCTTATATGTCTCGGGGTAATCGCAATATTCGCAATCTGGTTACCGTTCGGAAACACGTTGCCGGGGTTATACATGTACAGCTCGGTATTTGGACTGGCGTCGGGCTCCTTTTTGAGTCTAGCGCCGGCCTGCATCGGGCAGATATCCAAGGCCAGTGAGGTCGGTGGACGGTTTGGGATTTGCTATTCCATTGTGAGCTTTGCGTAAGTTATTCCATTTCTTTTATATGGGTTGAGTGGACCTGTTCTAATGCATGTTGTAGAACCCTCATTTGTATCCCGGTTGGGGGTGAGATGCTCGAGAAAGTTGGTAAGCAGGCCATGGTGGCATATCTAGGTAGCGTTTTGGTCGTCGCGTTGGGGATGTTCCTCATGGCGCGGTGGGCCTGTTTGAGCTACCGATGGCGATGGCAGGCTAAGATCTAATGTCGAGGGTCGTCGTCAAAAAAAAAGGGCACGTGCTCGGGTGCAAAGCTTCAAATTGGCATTGTTTTCAAAATGTGGTATCGCATACATGAATAAAGACCGGCAAATTATACACAAAAGGCATTGGAAAGTTCATAACCTATGTCGCATGCCTGGTTAACCATCCCAGCCTAGGGGTCGTTGAGGACCCACATCGCCGCAAACAAGAGGTAGAGTAGGTGGGATCAGTTTTGCTCGCCTCCCTGGCTCTTCGAGTATTCCTCCCTGTTAAAGCTGTCAGTATCCATAATACAAGAGCATTGTTTCCGCTACAGCGAGTGGGGAATTGGTCATGTGCTTACAGGTACTTATCGAGCTCCTCCATATGATTTTGTGACTGCTTCAGCTTTGCCCGGAGGATCTTGAGTCTGTCGAAGCATTAGCACTATGACAAAATGATACCTGGAAGCATGTGTACTTCTCCATCTCCTGTGCCCGAATGTACAAGGCTTCCTGGGCCGCCTCGCGCCTCGTAAATTGATCCTTCCTAACGCCCAGGTTAGTGTAGTGACGTCACTTATCGATGGGATGGACTTACTCCGCCAGGAAGCCCCGCGGCTTAGGCGAGCCGGTATCACCTGCTCCCATGATGGAGTGTGAAACGGAGATCGATCGTATGAAAACTGGGCTCAGGGTAGCTCTTGCGACAGGTCGTGAGAGAGCGTACATGGTGGAACCTCGAGTGTGGGGTAGTTGTGGAGAGAGGCAGGCGGTCAGTGTCTTCAGTGAATGCACGTTGTGGACACTGGCACTGGTGCAAATCAATCGTGTGTTCCGGGATTCCGAACAGGGGTCGACGTTTACAAAGGTGAAAGTGGTCGCGTGGGAAGGCTCATTTTATGATTGAAGGCAGCCGTGATGTGGGTGGGTGCTTCTTCCCCGGTTGCATTGGCCCCGCTCGGGTCTGGCCATGGGCTCGCCACTTGAAGGATCATGAGTTCCCCACACCGGCGGGAAACATCTGCGATACTCTGCATGAGGTTTGACTCAGCTTTGAAGATAGCCAGCTCTATTTTCGTCTTTGTGCTGCGTTCTAGACTTCAGACGTTGGCCTTCGTCCTGCAACATTTATTGTTCATGGATCTACGCGGCAATATATCGGGAAATGAGCTGACACGTATGGCCATAAGTTCATATTGTAGCAAAAGTCTCAGGACTGCAAGGTCGATCACCCTACAGTACAAAGCGGAATCCCTTCTGCAACCGCCGTGCAGCGGCAATGTCGATGCCCTCGGTGTCTGCCGTAAGCTGCAATCGCCGAAGCTCCTTCTCTGACAGCTGAACATCCTCGTTCTCCAGGCGCTCCTGCCTCTTGTTGAGCATGCGCAGGTTGAAGTACATGAAGACACCGCAAAGCAGACCGAGGATCTGTAGACCACTGCAGACACCCAGGGCGGTGTAGTACTTGGGCTCCTCGCTTTGAAGATAAGTATAGGGAGTCCAAATACTGGCCGAGTTACCGAACGAGTTGATAAAAGCATAGGCGGCAGCACGCTTGGCGGGTGGACGAGGCAGCGCGTTGGCGATCCAGGAATAGAGGGTACCGTTCTGGGCGAAGACGAAGACCATCAAGAACAGGGAGAAATAGCGCGGACCGAAGCCATCCGTCGTCATGAAGATAACGAAACCGATGATAGTAAGGACGACCGGATAGGCGAAGAACCAGAATCGAACTTCCAGTCTATCCGAGACCCACGAATGAGTCAGACTGTAGATGACCATGAAAACATACGGCGGGGCGCACAGTAGTAGGGAAATGGTGTCGTCGTAGCCGAGCGTCTTCGTGAGGGTTGGGAAGAAGTTCTGGAACCCGGCGGCACCCGTGATACACATATATCCAAGGGCGAGAATGTAGGTTTTAATATCGGTCATCGCAAGCTTCAAGCCCTGGATCTGGCTCATACCGCCCTTATCATCCACATCGGCTTCCGCGGCATCAATGGCAAGGCGCCGCTCGGCAACCTTTCGCATCTCCGGGGACAGGAGCTTCCATGTCTCTGGGAAGTCGGGCAGCACAAAGCAGATAACAATCCCAACGAAGACAGTGATGCTGCCCTCAATGATATAAAGCCACTGCCAGGCACCCATGCCGCGCTTTCCCGCCAATCCATGCAGAATGCCGGCTGCAATGAGGTTTCCGAACGCACCGCTGACCAGGGAACCGGAGTAGAAAATACTCATACGGAAGGCCAATTCCTTCTTGGTGTACCATTTCGAGAGGTAGAAGAGGACGCCGGCGAAGAAAGGGGCCTCTGAAATTGCGAATTAGTGAATTTGCTCGGGCACCACGTGTCCAATGGTCACCTACCGACGAAACCGAGGAAAAACCGACAAGCCACAATACCACTGACGGACTTTGCCTGAGAGGTTACAGCAGAGACCAAGCCCCAGATGGTCACGAAGAAACCCAGGTAGAGCGATGGGCGTCCGATGTAATTCAACATCAGATTACTCGGGACTTGCATGAGGATATATGCCACGAAGAGAACCGAAAGACCAGTTTGATACTCGGTGTCGGTCAAATTGAGATCTTCCGTGAGACCTTGGAGTTTAGCCGCGGCGTAGTTGTTGCTGTCGAGCGAACAAATCAGTCTCGGGTTCGATGAACCAAGTAAACTTTGAACTCACCGATCGATATAGTTCAGCAAGTAAACGAGCACCACCAGAGGCATAATCAATGTATCAATGCGACGGCGCAACTTCTTCTCAACCATTTTCTCCTCCTCTGTCAGCTCTGTAAGTTGCACGACCTCCTCGTGCGACATATCCGCCTTCTCCCCCATCATGTCCGTGTCCGCGATGGCATACTTGTCGTCCGCCATAGCGCAGGTAGGGACAAAATCACAGCAATGAGTAGGTTGAGACAAAGTGTGTGGAATCTGAAGTCCGCAGAAGGGACAGGATAGGGCGGGGTCAACGCGTTTATGTTCTATGGCGCCAAGAGAGGAGCACAACGGATTGGGCAGGCCATTTTATAAGTTCTACATGGCGACTAGGACCGACATGGGGTTATCCCCCAGATGCTTCCGGCGATCGTATTTACTCCGATCGGCTTTGGGGTAGAGCGTGGGGGATGCTCGGGTGATGCTCACCAGTAAGATACAAAGACCAGTGCAGAATATGGAGAGATACGAGGCTTGACGGAGTCATGAGTCGCCATTCGGGACGGTGATAGGTAGCGTCGACCTGGACGACCTCCATCGTGGGGGCGGCACGGTTCCAGCAGGCGTGGGCCTCGACCACTAAATCCGGGGTGAAAGGGGCCCTTCTGGGAATCCCCTCTTCGGCAGCCAAATCTATTTCCCCGGGAATCTCACAGGCCACCGTATTGAGTAGTCCGCGCGATCATCTTTCTGAGTCGGACTAAGTCCGCGTGGCTAATCGATCTGCCGTAGAACTCTGAGTTTGACCTGGAACTTTGACTTTGTCCCCCACGCGTGGCTCCTTTTTACTCTGGCGCCCCGAGCCTTTTCTGCGCCAGGCTTGGAATGCACCACAGGACACCAGTCCCCGAGTAGTGGCACTCCCTTAATGTCGCCCTTTGTGTTCACCGCCCCTTGCTCGGCAGTCGACCCCATTCCTCAGACTCGTTGATGGCAGGATGCGCTGCCACATTTGAATAGCGGAGAGGGTTACAGTCAAAAAGGGCTAGGCGCTGGACCTTCTAACCTGCTTTTTTGTGCCCAAAGCTCCGCTACCCCGGACTTGCCCCGGTCTCGGACCGAATAGCAACCGCCACGATCCACAGCCCGGCCGCACCTTCCTGATACTTGAACCCAAGATACGCCAATAACAAGGCCTCTTTTTTAGTCTCGCACCATCTCCGCGTGAAGACTCGACCATGCAAGTCGGTCTTACTCCTTGTCTTGACTTTTATATGGCCCACTGTCCATGACTGGAACCTTATATCTCGGTCATTTATCGGTAACACATTTAGCCAGAACAATCTCCCGTGGGGGATGCCGACCGGCTCGGGTATTCTTGCCGGCCCCGATAGTGAGTTACTCAATAGACACAATGGGAATGTTGAAAGATTTTCGGCCCAGACTCCCATATCATACGGCTTCCAAGATTAGCAGTTGCGTTCGAGATGGTCCGCCCTTGGATATGGGATGGTGTAGTCACCGCACCAAAAGAAACGTCTCACATTCCAACCCCCTTGACTGTTTCTTGGGTGATATTTCCTGCGGCGGTTTCACATTCTCAAGACTTCAATGAAACCCAAAATAATGCCTTAAACCCCCTTTTTCATGGTCGCACATGCTTGAGCATTCTCCAGAAATCGTGGCAAGGTAGCGTTAATTCAACCTTGTGCGAACGAGGACAAACAACACAAGAGGGAATGGGGCTTTTAGAAATCCCCCGCAGCAAAGGGCTGAACACTCCCGGACGCTACATTAAATACTACCCCTAAGGAGAAGATTAGCCACGTAGGGGGAAACGTTCGCTCTGTGACCTAATCACATGGTATAGTCTTGGGGCTGTAAGCCAGTTGGAGGAGGATTGTCTGTTCATATGCTTCTTTGTCCGTTTATTTTCTAGAATGATCTTTGGACAGGAAGCTTCCGGAGAAGTGCCGTTTGTAGCAAGAAAGGTCAAAAGAGCCCTCTTGCCCTGCCTTTTCTCTCTTTTCTTTCCTCTTCAACTTGATGTTCTAGTTCTTTAGGACCTAATCGAGACTTCCTCTTTTCAGATTGCGTGCCGGTAACAAGTTCCCCCGGTCGGAGATCCGTATATCGGTATCTGGGCGTTCTTTTCCGCTTGAAATTCGTGCCCGGCGTCTTTGCGGTCGGATGGGAGTAAACCCATCGACATAGCCCCCATCAGTATTTAGATTCAATCCCATATCCTATAGTATCCGTACCGGTTTTCTGGAACCCTTCTGGAACACGGGCAATCTAAAAACCGCCACCTGTGGCTGAGGACTTGCGCGTTTGCAGCTAGATTCGCCGGATCTCCACACGGTGGGGCCGTACTCTCCCAACCGTCATCAGCTCCGATGACACCCTGAGTTTGGTGATTAGGTTACTGAGTTGATTAAATTATATTAAAGAGCTCATTACATTAAGGCACGAGCTCAGGTACGAACTCAGGTACGAACCGTCAATGGTGATTTCCGGTAGCTCAGCCTTGAACTGTTCTGGACCGAGGCCAAGAAGGTCTGGGACAAGAATCCTCCCAAGTTTATAGAAATGACGCAATGGCCATAAAAGACAGTACGTACCAATTTGCTGTCAAAGAAGTATTGATCACCAATTATTGATTTATTGTTTTGAAAATATCTACTTTGTAGAAGAGGGGATTGAATGGCGCCACTTGTCCATTGAAACAGTGACGCAACATGGTCCGACGAGCGGTGTATGAAAGGTGTGCTGTTAGAACTCAGGGTTGAAGCGAGTGACGGTACGTACCTCAGTGGCGTGCTGAATATGACTGCTTACCGGTCATACGAGGTTCAGGGCGAAGCGAGTTATGACCCAATGTTGCCTACACTGGCTCAGATGGCCTGATGGTTACAGCATCGACGATTGGTTTGCGTCGTCATCCGTATCATCCAAATATAGTAAGAGTATCATTGCCTGGTAGCTCCTGGTTCCATGGGAGTGATAAATGAAGATCGACATTGGCAGTACTTTCGAGTTGTGTGGCTGTTGTCTTGTTCTACTGTAGGTGACTACCGGGATGACGCAAAGAGGACATCAGCCGAGAATCATCCTAGTCAGTTTCACAATAGCTCTAGCCACACATGTTCAACTTTCTGGACTGTTCTATCTTCGATCCAATTCCTTGCATAAGGCTGATGTTGATCTACACGCAGTGGCGCTGTCCCGAATCCGGTTTTGGCGTGCCGCGATGTCATCGGAAGCCGTTTCCCTGCCAAAGTTAGCTCCATCCCCACAATTTGAAACACGGGTCGTTCTCCGGAACCACTGACATGCTGTCAAGAAATTAAAAAAGATCGACATGATGATTATCTTGTTACCATCGATCTACACTTCTACTATGGCTAACGTCATTTCTTTGTTCAATGTCTCACGAGGTCACGATGTAGATAGCGTTACTGTCCTGCTCAGCATTATAAAAGCCTGGCCAATTGCTGAATTATCAGTCTTTCAATAACAAAACATTTCAATCTACAAATCTTCGAACCCTCTTGAGCTCTCTTCATCTCTTCAGCTTCGACCCTTTAAATCTATCCACACATCTCCATCACACTCCATTACAATGTCTGGCATCATCAACAAGGTCAAGGACGCCGTCGCCCATCACGGTGACAAGTCCAATGACAACGAGCACCACCAGACCGGCACTTCCCACAACTCCAATGCCTACGACTACGGTCCTCACTCCAGCAATGTAGCCAACGCTGCTGATCCCCGCGTGGATAGCGACCGCTCTGCCCACAACACGTCTTCCACTGGCCATTCTACTGCTCAGCCTCACTCTGCTACTGGTATGACCGGTGCTGGTACAACCGGTGCTGGTACGGCTGGCACTGGTATGGCTGGTGCTGGTACGACTGGTGCTAGCCATAATGCCTACGATTCTAGCCGCTCCTCCAACTACGGCCCTCACGGCAGCAACATCGCGAACACTGCCGACCCTCGTGTTGACAGCGATCGTAGCAGCCACGCTGCCTACAACACTACCTCTACTGGCCCTACCTCCACTCTCGCATCAGGCACTGGTCACAACACCTCTACCCACAACTCGTCTGCACCTCTCGCTACCGGCGCTGGTGCAGGTATGGCCGGTACTGCCATGGGCGGTCCTGGCATCGCCGGTGCAGGCATGGCAGGTCCTCACCAGGACATCAACGACTCTAGCCGCTCTTCCAACTACGGTCCTCACAACAGCAACGTAGCCAACGCTGCTGATCCTCGCATTGACAGCGACCGATCTGCCCACCACACCTCGACTACTCCTGCCCACCATACCTCCACTACTCATCACTCGGGTGCGCCTGTCGCCGCCAGCGCTGGTATGGCTGGAGCTGGTGTCGCTGCTGCTCAACATGACTCCCACCGATCCTCCAACTATGCCCCCTACGACAGCAATGTCGCGAACACCGCCGATCCCCGCATTGACAGCCACCACGCCAGCACCGGCGGTGTTTCGAACCCTTCGACGGACTCTTATGCCACCGGCCCTGCCTCTTCCACTGCCGGACCTCACACGAGCAACCTGGCCAACAAGGCCGACCCCCGTGTCAATAGTGATCTGAGCAAGCAAAACACCCACTCCAGCGTTGGCAACGCAGGCGTGATGCCGATTTCCGGTGGCAGTGATAACACTACCACCAAGACCTTCGAGCAGGCCCAGGAGACTAGCGGTGCCGCTGGTAGCAGCTACAACCACCCCGGTTCCACCCACCACAAGAGCACTGCTGGTCCTCACGACAGCAGCGTCGGTAACAAGGTGGATCCTCGAGTGGACTCTGATCTTGATAACTCTGCGACCCTTGGCTCTCAGCGTATTTAATTAGATATTGTACGATAGTTATGCTATGATGAGTACACGATTAATTCAATTAATTTGATTATTGATATGTTTTATTACCTACCGGATTTTCCGGCCACTTCTTGGCTTCCGTTTTAGTACTTCCCACCCGCCGCTTTTTGCTCCCCGAGTAGACTTGGAACACACGCGTCCCATGAATTCCCGATCCATGGTAAGGGACTTTTTATGACACTCGAGATAATTATTACTTGTGACGCAATGAAAGCTATAAAAGTATAGACAATCTAATCCTTGAAGCGAGACTTGATCCAAACCGGATTTTCCGGCAGATGTGCGGGGCAAATTGGGGAAACTAGAGACCGATAAGGACCGATTAAGGTTCCCACAAAAAGAATCGCGAAGGAGCCACGATCCGTGTCTTGCAGCTTCTCCGTTGAGCCTATTTCTTGATTCGCCGACATCGCCGATCACCAAATCTTGTACCGAGAATAAGGATCTTCAATACCTCCCATCTGTGCAATTCGATCATACCATCTTCTCCAAAGAGCCATCCAAGCAGTCCCACGTTAACCATGGCCACCACCGGTACCGCGCTGGGCTCATCCAGCAGCTTCACAACCCGCATTTCACTCCGATGGGTCCCCGAAGCTCCAGAGGAAACGACCGATACAATCGTGATTTCCGTGGGAGAATGGTTCCTGGACCTGCGCATGGACAAGAAATCCGGCGCAATTGACTGGGCAATGGCCGGTACCAGAATCGAGGAGAACCCAAACCAAACACCGCGTCCGTGGCCCTTTCCCTACAATCCCCTGGAATTGGATGGATTAGATACTAACGTTTCATAGTCAAGGTGCTTTTCACCCGCGAGCTAGACTCCCTCGATGAGATTGGGATTGTCGACGTGGGCAACTTCAGCCCCCTTCCCAATGGCGACGAGCTTGAGAGAGGCGAGATGCCTCATCCCGAACTTCCCGGTGCGCCCATGACTACGTTTGAGGAGGTCTGGCGCGAGTTGCCGTTTAGGGAAGGCCCCGAGGGCGCGAAGGAGGGCATGTCGTGGATTCTCGAGTCGGAGCACGGTGACCTGAGTGAGAATGAGGGCGAGGTTACCGTGACCAAGACGTTCTTGGGTCGGATTTGGGGAACATATTTGGCGTTCCAGCAGACTCAGACTCACTCCAGACAGAAGGATGAGGCTGGGGCCTGGTCCGTGAAGAGGACTGGGGCTGAGGTTAGTGTGAGAAGGGAGGAATGGAGCGGAGCGTGGGAGGAGAAGTATGTTGTGGGGCCTGCTGGGAGTGATGTGCCCTCAATGAAGACCGGGTTTGATGGCGAGGGCAAGGGATCTTGGAGGGTTCCCGGGGAGAAGGTGCTTATCCAAGGAAAGCCGTTCACTGTGCGGGCATTTGAGGAGATTCAATAGCCATTTTCCCGCCAAGTGCCGTGACTGAGCAGTATCGACTTCATAAAAAGAAAAGCCTTTGGTAGAATAGAATTTTCTGATTTGTTTTTGACCGTCATTCCACGATGGGCACAATTGATGTTATAGTCTGAGGCCTGTGTTGTGAACTTGGTCTCCGTGAGGGGTGGCTTGACAAGCTCAGTATGACCTGATTCGTGGCTATATCATACATTTCTCTTTATACGAATTTCGACTTTGGAAGAGATAGGAAGATTTCCTCATCGTCACTAGCTCCATCCCCACACGATATGTCAACAGACCAAGTGCTTCACTACCAACCCCGAATTCTTCAGCATTGGCCGCCGTTAGTTGAGTTGTCTAGTCGCTGTCCTAGAGAGAAGCTGCGAGTTCACGGGCTGGCTTGAGAATCCGCCCTCTAAAGTGGTCTGTACTCCAGACGGAGTTCCTCAACAATCGCCAACTGCATGTCTCCGGGCAAACAACGCCCCGGTGATCCCCGGAAAGTCTTTATCTTTTACAATAATTGTTGTAGTTGGATTTCCTTGAAAATTGCACTCCAAGCGCATCTCAACGCCTGGATGCCATATTGAAAGTCGAGGTATGGACGCTGCCTGGATGTAAGGGGAAGTTCAGATCCGGAATATCTCTCCCGGTATCTGCAGGCGCAAGTATAGTTGTGTCCTCAATTAAGTACCAAATGCCAATTGCATGCAGCTTTTATTGTGATATTGTTTGACTAGTTTGGGATTCGTGCTGACTGCGAAAACGTTGTATCTCGGTCCAATTGGCGACTCCACTCCAACAAACGTTCCATTCTCCATCTTACCACCTCTCCATGGCCGATTCAGGTCTCAACCGTCTCGTCTGCCCCTCATTACCATTTCGAGCGACAGACAGACGAGCTTCAATTACTAGGATGCCGTAGGCCAATAGCCATGCCGTATGGCAGGTCCGGTCGCAACGAGCGGAGCTGGATCCGCCGATCCAGAGCCTATCAGAGACCCCAAAAGTGGAAGCTCCAAGCGCCCAAACCTGCGCCCTAAGTGAGGGGTCCATCGCTCTAGACCGGACTCCGAGCAGGAGATCTCGGACGCCCGCGCGGGAAATCTGGCTCCCCTAAATCCCGCAGCGCCGTTGGTCCATGGTATTTTCTCCCCTCCTTTCCACACCCCCTCCCATCCACAGCACGACCCGATGGGCGGTGATACGCGACCACCTGCTACAGACTTGCGAGCTAGGAAGCCGCCTAGCCGCCAGTCACGCTCTTGTAAGGTCTGCCGGCTCCGGAAAGTCAAGGTACGGTGCTCAGATCCCTCCGGGAGGAACCGTTCTTCCCGTTCCCAGTCCCATTCATTACGTCCCACTGATTTGAGGCATCCAACGGAGCTAATGGCGATCCGTCCAGTGCGACCGAGTCAAGCCTTGCCACGCCTGCTGCGCCCATGGGTATCCCTCGAAATGCTTCTACGAGAGGATTCCCGATGAGGACGCCCAGCCTATTAGCCAGGCGGAGGAAATTCGGAAATTGAGGGCCGAGATTCGCGATCTGAGGGCGCGTATAGATGAGAGGCAGGATGGTATGTACAGACTGGGTCCTGTCGGACCCCCGGAGCCTTGGAATGTCCGCTAACGGATTTTTACTGCAGGATCTCGGACCCAAGATCTCCAGCGGCTGGACCAGCTCGAGAGTTTATTTGAGTCTATTCGCTCGGCCCCGCCTCGCGTGGTCGACTCGCTCGTTCGGGACATCCGAGCAGTACATGGGGTCCTGAAAAACGACCTGACGGTTGTAGGGCCGTGGGAGGGTCATGAAGGTAAGGAGACGATGTTTGTGAACGTGTTGTGCATTGTCTTACTTGGATCTACCTGCAGCATATGAAAATTATGGCAGACAGTCGCGTGGCTCTTCCGTATCCACTCTTCCGGTCCGCAAGCGCATTTCTAACGCGGAGACCGAAGTCAATTTCAACGATCCAGTTGAACTCGATGACGACGATGATGAATTGTTGGACAGCGGGTCGGAGTCCACATCGTCATCCGGCACAATTACCGTAATGAGCATGCAGCGGCCTGTGATCGATGCCTTCGTTGAGCGGTTTGTTGATGCATTCGCTCCGGAGGTTGACATTAAATCTGGCCGTGCGGGTGCACTGCGGGCGGCAGCGGGGATTCGAATGTTCTCGCCTTTGATTTCAGACGCGTATGAAGCAGTCTCCGTTGCCTTTTTTGGTAGATCCATTCAGAGTAAGCAGATCGAGGCGTCGGGCTTCCGGTTGTATCCTCGTGTGCTACGTAGCTTGCAGGATGCTCTGAATGACCCCGAACGCTGCAAGGCCGAATCAACGCTGGTAACGGTGGTTCTTCTGCTTGCATTTGAGAGTGTGGAGCGCACGACACAAAGTGGTGTCTCGGCTCATGTTCGGGGCGCAGTGCGCCTTATTGAGCACCGTGGACCGGAGAACCATATGTACGGAGTCGAGCATCTCATGTTCACGGAGCTACGGCCGTACTGGGTATGTTTTTGATAGCTCTTCCTTCTTCAAACAATTGGTACTAACGAGTCAGATTGGTGGAGCAATCGCAGCTAGGAAGCCATCATTCTTTGCCCGAGAGGAGTGGAAGACTATTCCATGGTCGGCCGGCACAACCACCAAAGATATCTTGCATCACCTTCTCGACCTTGCCGCAGATATTCCTGGCCTACTGGCCCAGTCTGACTCATTCCTAGAAAAGCACAAGGTCTCGGTGATGGGCGCACAGGAAATGGCCGTGAAGCAGGCGACCCTGTGGAACGGCATCACCGAGCTCACGGGCAAATTCCATCAATGGGTCATTGATTGGGTCGAGTCCTATCCGGACGGAGCTCCTAGAGAAGAGGAGCAGACCGAAGACCAAGGTTTCCCCATCTTCCAACGGCGGGACCTACGCACCGGTGCCACCTTCATTCCCACAAAACTCTCCTATCCTAACCTTCTGCTTGCACAAACCATGTGCCTCTACTACGCATTCCGACTTATTCTCTCCTCCGTTGATAAGCGCCCGGTAGACCGGGTCACCCCTATGGAGCAGTACGATTTGGGATGCGGTATCTGTCGGTCCTTGGAATGGTATATTCTTACCGCTCCAGGCAACATGATCAACCGCCTGGCCTTCCCAACACGTGTAGCTTGGGAAGCATTTCCAGATGGCGGCCCGGAGCGAGCGTTCCTGGTCGAGGTACTTCAGCTTGTCGAGAAACGGCATGCCCTTGGTCTTTGGGGTAGTGCCATGCCGGAGCTCTCGGTTCGTGAGAATTCCCCGATGAACAACGAATGATCCGTGATCTGTCTTGACTTTTTTCCGGCTACCCATTTTTCGGCACGACTAGCATTAAATGACTGTACGAGCGATATCCCTAGCAGCGAATTATTCAAAAGCATTTCAATGTCACAGTTGCGCTGATGCATGTCTCATCCCCCGCAAACTGAATTTACAGCTTCCTGAACGCCACACGTATGTGGAGGTGATAGATCACCGAACTCTGACAGGAACCATCCCTCTCCTTGACTGTCATTGGAGAAGGACACAACTCACCCCACTTGTTCGGCATGAAAGCTAAGCCCGATCGGCGGTCGGACCCGCCCATTCCGCCATTCACAGCGTCGTATTCTCCGTCAACAATCAATAGTCTCAGGAACCGAGGCTGATCAGGGAAATGAGGGGATGAGAATAGGAGATCGAGGCCGGCGACCCGCTTAGGCTTGCTCATAAATCCCACCGCGCCCCATTTCCCGGAGCTATCCAGCTTCAACCTTGGAACCATGCTTTCTCTCCGTTCATTATTCGCGACAGCCCTATTGGGCGCGTCTGTGGTGCACGCAGGCTTTGAAATCAATGATTTCTCCTGCACAAGTGACTCGAACCCGGTCGTGCTCCTGCACGGCCTGGGCGCCACTTACTATGAAGATCTGAACTTCTTGCAGTACTGGCTGCAGAACCAGGGTTATTGCACCTACTCCCTGACATACGGAGCCTACGAGGGTTTCCCATTCGTTGGCGGCCTCAAGCACATCGCAGACTCCGCGCCCCAGATCGCGGCCTACATCAAGGAAGTCGTGCAAAAGACCGGCAAGAGCAAGGTCGACCTTGTCGGCCACTCCGAGGGCGCCTTCCAGTCTCTCTATGTGCCCAAGTTCGAGGGTGTGTCCGACCTCATCGACAAGATCGCCTCTATTGCGCCGCCCACGCACGGGACCACTTTCGCCGGCCTCTACGATCTGGCCTACCTGTTCGGTAACGCGAGCCGTAAGGCCGTCGCTGACGTGCTTGATACCTTTGGCTGTGGTGCCTGTGACGATCTTGGTCCCGGTGGCGCTGCTATCGCGCGACTCAATGACGGAACCCCTATTGTCCAACCGGGTAACACGGTTACTATCATCGCGTCCAAGTTTGACGAGCTGGTCACCCCGCCTTCGACTGCCTTTGTTCATCAGGATGGTGTTACCAACCGTTACATCCAGGAAACTTGTCCTCTCGACCCCGTTGGCCATATCGGTGAGGCCTATGACCTCAATGTGTGGAACTTGGTCAAGAACGTGTTGGACTCGACACCCAACCGCAAGTTTCTGTGTTTGATTGGGTCTCCTGGCAAAGTATAATTTCGATATAGGTCCCTGGTTTTGGGCTTCCAACTTGCACATAATAGCTAATATATCAATGGCCTTCTCGTGTCCATCATTGCCCATCCATTCCTAGTATCCGGGACGCTCTATACTAAATGATGGTCACAGGGGGATTGCTGCGTAAGGAAATATTGACGGATACGATTCACACGTTGTTCGTGACCAACGTATATCTCTCTCCCTGGGGCCCCTCCTTCCCTAACCGATGTTTAGGATATTCAAAAATAAAAGACAAACGATCTATTGACTCCGATAGGGGGAATCGAACCCCCGGCTGCCGTGTGAGAGACGGCGATGTTAGCCACTACACCATATCGGACCGATACGGTGGAGGACCGTACATTTAGGCTTAGTTTTGGCCCTTTCGGTTTAGCGCCGCCGGTTCCTGTGCGTCCCCGCGCGTGGCTCTATATAGCCTCCGGTTCCCCGTCCCTACCTAATAGCCCAGATTATTTTCCTTTTTCTTTCGCCGTCCTCTTCTCCCCTGGCCTTTGTAGGTGAGGCATTTTTGCTATTGATCCGGATTACCAAGCGCCTGAGCTGCGCCACCCCCTATTCCCCGTTTGTGACCTGTCGACTCCTCTGCGATCCCGCGACTGCAATCTGCCCTGCCCTGCCTCGTCCGGCACTATTTCCTTTAGCTCCGACTAAGGTGCTCGAGATAAGACACCCCTTTCTCCTAGTCTGGGACACCAGTCTGCAGGCTCAAACTGCGCGAGAGCCTTGTCGATCTAGGTTATAGGCGCCCGCTGCAACTCGGAACCGAAGATGACCATAATCGGATACTGTCCCTATTTGATTCAAGAAGTCATGTAGAAGAGAACGCTTTGTTGCTCTAGAAAACCACTCGTGGCAAGCTATAGCCAGTATGTGCCCCGCAGCAAAATGTGGGAGATCTCCGAATATAGTTGCCCCTCTCACCGGTTTAGCAGTAGACATCTATGCATACTTTCTATACCTTCTAAAGCCCTCACCGAAATCATCTCTACGCCAGAGATTTAGCTAGGCGTAGGGAGTGGCATTCATATCGACTCACCAACAAGGGCCTAGATTTGGATTTAGAAGCTATCTAGGCTACGCCGCCGGGGCATCTAGGCTCCGAGAAAGCCCCGATACTCGGCTAGGCATCCCTAGGGACACTAATGGATAGAGACAGAACGGATGCTGTTGTGTCGACTTTACATGAAAGCCATGCGGAGGAACGCCTTACTAAACAACGGACTTCACCCGTGATTTCGGATGCAGTTTCTGCAGGCCAGGTTCCGCTTCCGACTTGTTCCAGTGAAGGGCAGTCTCAGACGTTTGCTCAGTCGTCACATGAGAAGTCCCAGATAGGAGGCGCTGACGAGACTCCGAACAAAAACAAAATTCCTTGTGATCTTGATAAGCCTCCAGGGCGATCTTGAGTGGATTTCACTGATATACCAAGACATTGATTTATTGTGCCATCCCAGATCCTTCGCGTGCATAAATTGTTTCGATTATCTTATTTGCCGTGTTGAAAGCATGAAAACAGGTCTTCCCTGAGCACAACTCGTAGGTGATTCCCTTAGGCGACTGCGCTGCTTCTTTCTCTCACTCAAAATTAAACTCTGACGAGATTTATATCGAATTTTTGAAAAGACATCGACTGAACGAGACTTGCCGCTTGATTTGTGCTCTTCTTCAATACCTTGACCCAGAAAATACTATCCTGCTTCGAGGAAAAGCAATTGTCGTGATGCTGTGGAAACGATGGATGCAAGGTTTCTTCTTTCCTGAGCCAAGCAACTGCAGTCTCCAGTAAATAGATATTCTGACATGCTGCTGGAGTTCCGCTGCACTCAATATCGGCCGTCTCAACACATTTCAGCCTTTTCCTTCATCATTGCAGGGTTTATAGAGTCCAGGTCACGCTTCCACCATACTTTACACCTATAACCGTTTGCCGTCACCCATTTTACGGCGAGGAGAAAAGGTGTCTTGGCCACATTATTGAGGAATGTGAAGAGGGCACTGACGAAAGACACCCACATCGCGACGGAAGAAACGGACGACGGCGGGCAAGTAGCGGGAGGCGGGGCTGGCAAACCCATGACCCTCAGAGTTTGTAATGTTCCTATTCCTTCTAACTATAACAGAATCGTTTACTAACTATAATAGTATCCCGCCCACCCCACACCGTGCTGAAGTGGGGCTGCCAGCCACTATTCCCTCGGCGTTGGTCGGGACGGTCGAAGAAGACCCAAGAGAATGGGCGCTGCTAGTTATGAAGATGAATTTCAAATTCGCGAGAGCTGGGATCATGCTGAAGACAAACAACCTCAAACTCCTTCACGGCCGGTCACACCTACGTGAGCTGACCTTACAAGTCACCAATAGGTCACCCAAGAAGCTTACAACCATATAGACATCATCATGAAGTGAGGATAGACCTAATAACAAAGTTTATTTAGGTTTGTAGGAAGAGAAAGCATAGTAAATATTTAAGTGAGAGATAGGTGAAAGATAGGTGAGGAATAGGTGAGAGATAGGTGAGAGATAGATATCTAAGATTATCTTCTATAATATGCTGAATACTATTAGAGCCCTAGATGAGCTATAGATAAAGTGTCTGTTTAGTTAAATCGCTTAGCGTATCAGAGGTAGCTATAACGTTAGCGGGCTCAAGCTATGCTATTAATACATAAGTCAAAATATCTATACGGGACGTATTAGAAACGAAAACAAACGAAGCATCGCATATTAGGAGTGTAAGGCTTCCAAGGCTAACGTAACCTAGTTAATGGCTTCCTTCAACTTGGCTTTGAGACCAACAAGTTGTAGCCACTCGTCGTGTGTCGTTAGGACTGCAAATCCTTCAATGTTTCCACCCTGAAAAGCACTTAGCCCCTTCTTTGATCGACTTAGAGGTTGGGAAACCATTCATAACGGGTGTCGTTGGCGACTTCGGGGTTCGGGATAGCTAAGGTCGTGAGAGAGTGGTTGTTAGAGGTACTGCCCAAACCGCAGTGCGAAACTAACCCACCATGCCGGGCACGACGAGCTAATGTATGCTTAATAGCACAAGCGCCACGACTCGAACATGAAATGAACCCCTCCCAGGGGGCCCCTGCTGTGGGGGCGGGAAAAATGGGGTGGAAATTGGCTTAAGACGGTAAGATCTCGTACAAAGTTCCCACTTGAATTGCAGCCTCTACGACCCAATCCTACTTTGTTGAAACCACAATTTAAATTCGGCGTAGACCTGGGATACCGAGCTTTGCAGAAATCGTGCGCATTTGCAGAACAAAACTAACTGGCCATCTGATATCTTTTCAGCAATACGTCTATTAATTAGAGTTGGCCGTTGGAAAACTCTCAGAGTATGTTGAACTGTCCTGAGCATATTGGTGCATATTGATGTATCTTATGCCTCAATCAGCTACACTTTGGCAATGCTTCTTTACCAACACAGATGCCACTCTCGCTTACGTGCCTTTTTTTGCTTTTGACACAAGCAGGGAATGGAGAATCAACCGATTCTCGACTACGTTGGAAGAAATGATGATTACGTTTGTGATCAACAAGGAAGTATATGCGCATTCTGATCACCTGTCAATATGCACGACACTGAATGTGACGACGTCAACTATATGAGCTCTTCTACCTTACCCTGGCCAAAAAGCCGACAAAAAGAGTCTGAACTCGCCGATATATCCTGCGGGCTGGGCTGTTGCGGCCGAGATGAATAGTCGAGTATTCTGACTTAAGTATTCCACGGGGCGTAAGCAGTCCCTGGAGAAACACCTAGGTACGGGTCCTTGAGGGCAGCGGTGCTTGGGTGGAGACACCACGGTTTCTGGAAAAAGACCAAGCACAAAAGTGGTATTTACCCCCCCCCCCCCCCCCCCCAACTTACACCATATTGGATTAATGAGTAATGCTTCGACAGAGGGATAGTTGTATCACCCATGCTACTGAATCCGCATCCATTGTGGTTTAGTGCTGGTCCCTCGTAGCCCGCGTGGGATAGCTTTCGGGGATCGCCGATTCTTCAATGCGAGATGGTTTTTTTGGAAGTTGCGGTGAGTCTGCACCACAGTGCAGAGAGATGTGTGCTGATCTTAAGCTATATCAAGACACTAATATTAAGATCTAGCCAAAATGTACACTAGCAAAAAGTTGCGGTGAGCTCTTATTCGGGCTTCTCTCGTGGGAGCCATGAGTCCATTCATTTCAGGACCAAAAATCAATTACCCATTGTTTCACGTTCCTCAATCTAGAATTGAATTTGACACTCTGCATGAAGACATCGGATCGCTTAAATTGTAGCACCACGCACATGCAATGCACGATCGGCCTTGCAGTCCAATGCGGAACCAAGCCGCGTTTGTGGCGAAGCCACCGCCGTAGCATCCATGGATCATGACGAGGACAGCACAGCCACACTCGTAAGCCGTGACCAAATTGCAGGGTCGTAACCAGCTGGGGACCTGAAACATTTCATGTCTGTACTATTCATAGATGCTCATTTAGGCAGACTAATTCGTGTTAATTGGCGCCACATGAAACACAGCCTCGCCAATGCCACACCTCCCCCCGCACGAGTGTGGCGTCACCTCATCCAATGCCCCTCGTTTCTAGCGTCATGCCAGCTGAAAGCGCCCTAGTATCTCGGCCACTAGGGTTCTTCAAACCCAATTGCTTGCCGTTGCACGTTGTTAATTATGGTTCGCGCGGGGTGCGGGAACACTGGTGCGGCCGGCGATTATCCGACCTCGGATTTGGGAGATTTGCGAGGTTTTCCCGAATTGGGCGATTTGCCTGAATTGCCTATTGGCTTTGCCAAGGGTGGACAGGGAAGCTTGACCAGCTGGTCCAATCATTGCCACGATCCGCTTCCGAATCGAGTTAGCGAGTCACGATTTGTTACCGCGCCATTCTGGATCGAGATCGAATTACACAGCCAAGCTAGCTAAGGATGCGCTAACCCGTACGTATCCGATGGGGATCTCTCGCTCAACCAGGGGTTTGTCTGGAGGGGCCCAGCTGATGCGGCGGAGGGGCTATAAGTACCCTCACCTCACTCTTCTTCCTTTTCTTCCATCATCTCTCTCTACATCACACCTCTATTCTTACCACTTCAAATACACATACTTCACAATGGGTTGGTTCGACGGTTAGTGACACCACTCTTTACTATGAAAACTCACCTAGCTGACTCCAGCTCTTCACAGACGATTCCCAGGAGGCTATGCACTACCAGGATTTCCAGAACACCCCCCAGCATCTGCACGAGGCTAAGTTCTCCCACGAGCTGATCGGCGGTGCCGCTGCCTTCGAGGCCATGAAGGCCTACGAGGATCACGAGGCCCGCAACGGTACGTCCATCATCATCTCTCTAAATAACTTGAATCACCCACTAACGTAGACTCTGACTGTAGGCCAGATCGAGAACCACGCCCGGGCCAAGGAGGTCGTCGCCGGCCTCATCGGTGCCTTCGTTGACCGTGAGGTCGAGACCAAGGGTCTGGACTTCGTCGACCGCGAGAAGGTCAAGCACCACGCCCAGCGCCGTGCTGAGCGCCAGATGGAGCAGTCCGGCCGCTGGTAGATCGCTTGACGATTGAGAGCAGCCCGGAAGCCGTCAGGCAGCTACGGGATACTCACGTTTTTATTGATATCAACGACGACGAACTATCATGGATTTAATCGAAACCATCAATGAATGATCGCGACCAAGAATGTGTCTGTTTTGTAGAAAGTAGAATTTGGGCAATCGTAAACATTTCCCACCATTCACCGCCTTCCCGTTCCTGACCGGCCTGAATCCGAGGTGTGGTTTTCCTAATTTGCCGGCAGAAACAGCTCAGCAGATCAAAAATTTGGAGCTGTCATCTACAGCCTCAACCCATATCCTTGAATTCTCGTTGCTGAAATTTTTGACATTCCTCCTTGGCGCTCGGCCACCGAAACCCTCCGATCCCACAGACCATGCCTGTCATCAAATGCCAAAATGTCCAGTGAGCTGGAAAACAGACGATCCGTCCACGCACGACCAAGAGTACGACAGTCAAAATGAACAGCAAGACGAGCAGCAACATGAGCAGCCCTCCTTCCTCAAACGCAAAAAGTGAAGACTTGAGAAAATGGAGGCTTGTATGGACCTGCAGACGGAGTACCTCTGAAAGCTCAGGAACGACTTGAAATTGCGACTTTCCAGGCCCCGACTTGCCTTGTGGCCGTGATAACGACCGCTTCCATTCCATATACAGCGACCGCAGTGACTCGAGTGTTGCAGGGGGAACAACAAGCAACGCGACTCGAAGCAGCCCACGACCGTTGCGACCACCCAGCCAGGCCCAGCAGGCCACACGCCGGATGTCGGCAGTATCTCCAGAACCAAATATCTAGATCCGCGGGACAGCAGCATGGTGGGACATACGGAACTCCATGGTCTGTTTGAAAACTCTTTCTTCAAAATACCAAGCAACCGCAACGAAAGACCGCAGAGTGGCTAGAGTGCACATTTGCAGAGATTTTGAAAATCATCTTTCATTCAGAGACCCGTCCTGCCTTTCCGAACTTACTCCCTTCCCTCATCAGTGGACAAAATACCCTCAAAGCTTCGCAATCATGGCGGTGATCATCGTCACCCCCTGCGAATCCACTCCCTGATCTTGCTCGCCATTCTCCAGAGACTTCATCTGCAGCGTGCTCCTTTTCTTCGATAAGCGTCGACGATGAATCGGTTGTCCCTCAGCGAGATCGGTCAAGAATGAGTCGTGGGTATTGATCTCAGTTCTGCGTCTCTCTGTCGAGATCGCATCAACCTGCCAGTAAAGATGGTCTATGATATCACCCACGCGGATGAACCCCTCATCGTGAAGCGGCTGTTGTTTTTTAAGCACGAAATCCTCGTAACAGAATTCGTAACATTCTATGAAATCTTCCAGCCAGGCGCCTCCTCCAAAGCTAGGGTGGTGAATCTCGATATCTTCCTTGCGTGTGCTTGAGAAGGTGAACCCTGATGTAAAAATGACAGAAAATTGAAGCTGACGAGCTCTAAATCCGTAGGTCAGGGTCAAAAGCGCTGATCAAAGCGTCAGTGAGCGTGTGGTAAGCTAAGATCATGAGGTTCCTGTCTTAGAAATAGAGACTTCGGTAACAGACTCAGAAAAAGCAAAAGGGTGTGTTTCTGCTCGCCTTTAGACTCGTCATCAAAGCACCGTCATCGACGGCTCCGGTAGATCCATCGCTAGCCATAAGGTCTGCAAGACTGCACGACGAAAGAATCATCACCAGAGAATACGGAGCATAAGGGATTCCAGTATACTATCGCTTCATATATAGAATTCAGCCGAAGTGTCCATGCTTTTACTAACGAGTAGCACGGACCCGAGCCAGAAACAGAAATGCACACCTGCAGACCCTGCGCCGAAGCCAACCCATCAGAAAGCACCGATTTATCAGCGGAGTCTATGCTTTCTTTTCCCTGCACGCCCCACCAAACTCAAGGCCAGCTCGTCCCAATGAGATCGTCCAGCTGGTCGTATCGTGAGCGATCAACACCGCCACATTGGCGGCCCACGATAGACCAGAGATCCCAGGTGTTCCCCACTCGCTGGTCCCTTCGATCAGCCATGGTTCAGCGCCGTCTTCCCGTGTTCCCTTATCTGATTCCCTTCGGGCGGATTTGATCTTTGATGTTTACTCCTACACTGCACCTATTGTAGCGTCTTCAGTTGGGTGTTTTTGTAAGGGTTCCTTGTGGATCGCTGGGACGCGTGAACCATGGACTGGAAGTCGATCGACCGACGCCCGCTCCCGAGCCGTCAGACATCCCCGCCACGGCGAAGTATCGCAAGTATCGCACGACGATGGGTGGTTGCTGCTCTCGTTGCGGTGACTTATTTTTGGTTCGTGGCTCTTAGGCCTCCTCTTAGCCATCCGGTGGTCGTGGAGGCGTCAGTGTTCAACTGGGAGGACACTCCCTCATCGGAGTCGCTGCAGTACCACGACTGCGGTGATGGGTTCCAATGTGCTCGGCTGGAGGTGCCGATGGACTACAACCGCACCGATAGCGAGAGTCGAAAATTCACTTTAGCTGTTGTTCGATTACCAGCGAAAGTGCCCGTTGGAGACCCCCGCTACGGAGGCGCCGTCCTGATCAACCCAGGTATGTCGATTTGTGGCCGCAGAAAATAGATCCTAACCCACATTGTCAGGTGGCCCTGGTGGCCCTGGAACTTTGCAGGCCTTTCTGTCTGGTCGCAACTTGCAGACAATTGTGGATGCAGAGACTGATCCTATTTTCCCTGCACCTGAAAACACCGATAAGTATTTTGACATTATTGGATTCGATCCTCGCGGTGTTGGCTCCACGACGCCGGCAGTGACCTGCTTTCCAGATCATGTTTCGCAGCGAAACTGGGAGTTGCAGGTCGCGGCGGAAGGCATGCTTGGAAGCGGCCCGGATGCTCTGCTCAGAAACTGGCAGCGCACCCAGGCACTGAACTCCGGATGTTCGGTCTGGGAGATGACAAACTTGTACCACGGAAATGATTCCATGATGGAGTATGTTAGCACTCCCTTGGTCGCACGAGACATGATCACAATCATTGAGCGCCACGGCGAATGGCGTGAGAAAGAGGGCCTCAAGGCACAGGTTGCCTACGATCAGAGTCATGGCCCCGATGAATCGCGTGCGATCTTGAGACGTACGCAATGGTTCGTCAATCAAGAGCCGCTCTTGTACTGGGGCAGGTCATATGGCACTGTTCTCGGCACAACCTTCGCAGCCCTCTTTCCCGATCGGGTCCAACGGGTTGTTCTTGATGGCGTTGTCAACATGGACAAGTACTATGGAGGCAGAGGTGAAAATCCGGTAGTGGATGCCGATGAAATCTTCCGCCGATTCGGTCAATACTGTGCCGCCGTTGGGCCCAATGACTGTCCTTTCTTTGCCGAAGGAGGGCCGGAAGCCATTCTGGATGCTTACTGGACACTTGAGGATCAGGTTTTGAACATGTCAATTCCGGTGATGGCATCGACCACTCGAGGACCCGAGGTCGTGACGTGGACAGATATGAAAGCGATTCTCCGCGTGGCGGTTTATCAACCTTTGCTTGCGTTCCATGTTCTGGCATACCATATGGGCGAGCTGGCGAAGGGGAATCCTGTGACGATGGCAGATTTCAAGCACCGCGGTCATTTTGCGGCTTGTCCATCCAGTGAATGCAGTATCGCCGGTCCGTGGTCGGCCGAATGCTCGCGCGGACAGGATAATAGTCTCTACGCGAGCGCCGCTATTCTCTGCACTGATGCTGAATACATGGCCCAGTTGGGTATAGAGGAGTTTCAGGACACGTGGAATAGACTCAAGACCGACAGTGCGGCGCTCGGGGATTACTGGGCCCAGATTCAGCTGTCCTGTATTGGTTGGAAAGCCAAGGCTAAATATAAGTTCACAGGTATGTTACTATGTGAGCCAACTACCACGATGATGCTAATCTTATGCCTAAGGCCCCTGGGGTGGCGTTACTGCCCATCCGATGTTGTTTGTATCGAATACCCTCGATCCAGTGACACCTCTGAACAGGTAGGCACCACTGCTCTTCAATCGGCTATATGACGGAATCGCACTAACTCCAAGCCTCATAGTGCACAGCATATGTCGCAGCAATTTCCTGGTTCCGGATTGCTCCAACAGGACTCCGAAGGGGTGAGCTCACTCCGTTGATGCTTCATGCACAGCATTGTATTGGGACTGATGTCAATCAAATCCAGCACACCACCGTTGCCGCACCGTCGGTATGCACTGCCAAATCCATTCGCAACTACTTCCAGACCGGCCATCTTCCTGAAGCCGGTATTCTCTGCGAAGCGGATCTGAAGCCGCTGGTCGGCGCACCTCATAAATCTACGACCCTTCGTCACAACGTGGATGCTGCCGACAGCAGGCTCTTCGATGCTCTGATGGCAGAGACCAACTTAGGTCATTGGTCCGGTCTTCCCTTATAGACGTTTATAAGGAGTTTCTCATGTTCTGATTTGGTTAACATGATCCTCAAGGTGTCACAACATGGGATCGATAATTCTTTGTATTTCTTTTCTTATTCTGCGTCTGCACAGAGGGTGTACGTTTCGGGATACTTTGCATCTACAATAGTTAAATGACATGAATTGTGAACAAAACTAGTTCTTGTGTTACGATCCTCGGTGTATTACGCCGGGCATCCGCTCCAAACTTTGGCCACAGTGTGGAGAAGCGGAGAAGGCAACGCAACCTCGGCTGGCCAACATCCGGATAATCCTATCACGGATGGAACATTAGCAACCCCGCTTCATTACTTATCTGAGATCATTGAAATACAACCTCGCAGTCCATCTATCAAGTCAGTATCCCAAAGTACCAACCCATAATGGCCTCCTCAACCGCTACCGAGACCATCCCCACACCCATGCCGGCAAAGGGCCCGCAGTCGACGCAGGCGGCCGGTGCGGAATCAGCCAAAGTCAAAATCCAGATGCCCACGATGCCAAATTTCGAGACAAAACTCGAAGAACGCGAGTATCTCAAGGGCCGCCTCGCCGCCGCGTTCCGCATATTCGGCAAATACGGCTATGATGAAGGTATGGCGAACCCTATGAACCCCCACACTCACGAGAACGAACACTCAAGTCTGCAGGTGTCGCCGGCCACATCACTCTCCGAGACCCCGTTGATCCCAAGACCTTCTGGGTAAACCCGTTCGGTCGTGCATTCTCTCTGATAACGAAGTCGGACCTGATCCAGGTCGATCACCACGGCAAGGTCATTGACGGTGGTCCGAACCGTATGCTCAATGCCGCGGCGTTCATGATCCACTCTGCGATTCATGACGCTAGGCCTGACGTGATTTGCGCTGCGCATAGTCACAGTCTGCATGGGCGTGCATTTTGTTCGTTGGGACGGCCGCTTGATATTATTACGCAGGATTCCTGCGCGTTTCACAATGTGAGTACCATTCCCTCTTCGTTGTCAAGGTCATCATTAACGGGCGTTCAGGATCACGTCGTTTACAAACAATTCAACGGCGTCGTGCTGGCCGAGGAGGAAGGTAAGCATATCGCCGAGGCGCTGGGTAACAAGAAAGCGGCGCTTTTGCAGAACCACGGTCTTCTTACCGTCGGAGGGACTGTCGAAGAGGCCGTCTTCTGGTTTGTCAGCTTGGAAAAGTCCTGCTATGCACAGCTGCTAGCAGATGCGGCGGCAAGCGGTCGCGGTGGAGAGACGGTGAAAATTGACGAGGCCGACGCGGCTTTCACCTACAAAACGGTTGGAACTCCGCTTGCTGGATGGTTCAGTGCGAAGCCGATGTTTGATGTTATTCATGAAGAAAGCAAGGGGCAGTATCTGGAGTGAACATGCCATCTTGAGCGATGTCTTTAAATTGAATCTACTTGGTTGGCGTCTCCACGCATCCTTAATCTTACGGGACCCTGAATAAGATAAATTAAATCCAGCGGGATTCAACCTCGTAAGCACTCAAGACAATGTTCAGAACACGGGCTGCAGTAAAATTCATTCGTGTAATTTTCTATTGGTGTTTGGTTGAAGTTAACATTAATGCATCAATCTGGGAGCAGCACGAAAAGGGCAATGCGCGCCTGTCTGTTGCTAGGCCCAACCAAGTCAACATTTATAGAACATTCGAAGAAAGAGATTCGTGTATAAAATAAAAAAGTTACCTTGAATTGGAGATCTGTGCTGCAAGCAGTCCTCCCCAAAAAAGAACAGGCACCGTAAACTCCGAGTATGCATCCCACCTATCCGTTAACCATTACCCTTGGTAGTCAATATCGACCACCAACCTCACAGGCCCAGGCGACGCAGCCCCGCCAATCCCGTCGTGATGGCGCTTAGACTCGGTGTAAGCATCAACGACCTTCTTAGCCTGGGGCGTAATACTAGAACATCCCCTCCCATCAGCCATACAGATGCGCATACCCTGGACATAGTGATGTGCGAGCTGAGCCTGAATAGCCGAGACATCCCACCCAGACCAGCCGCTATTTTCACCATCCCCGAAACTGAATTCGCCCCAGGTAGATGTATACCCGCCCCAGCTATCTTTTGGGAGGCCCTTCGTGCCCGGCGCTGCACCCCATGCTCCCTCAGAGTCCTCGTCGAAGGCAACGTAGTGAGTCTCGCCGGGTTTGAGAACAAATGTCAGTGCGGAGTGTCCGTACCAGCCATCGATTTTGTCGTCGGGGCCGACTTTGTTCCAGATTGTCACCGTCCAGGGCTTGGTGTTTGAGCCGGTAAATTTGGCTACGTACTTGTAGCGGTGGGCCTCAGCGGGGCTGACGGAGATGATGTTGCTGCCCCAGGGTTTGCCAACATTCCCCTTATAGTGGATTTCGCTTCCGGACGATGAGCTCTGGCCGCCAAACCCTTTGGCAGAGAAGTGTCCTTTGGGGACGGCAGTCCAGTCTAGGTTTGAGGGGACTGCTTGGCCGCCGGGATAGAGGACTTGGCCTAGGTTGGGGAGCTGAGGTACTGGGACCACGGTTGCTTCTCCGGGAAGAATCTGCATCAGATCTCCTGGCAGCTGACCTGGCAGATTTTCGAGGGTCGGGATAATGTTGGGTGCGTTGTCTGTCTTCGTGGCATCTGGAATCGGTTGTCCTTCGACTGATGTGCCGGTTGAGGATGTGGCAGTGACATCGGGACTAACTTTGACGGCCGGCGCGGTGGCAGTGACAGTAGTCGTTACGGTTTTTGTCTTGCGAATATGAATGGTGGTAATTTCGTCAGAAGCCGTGGGTTGAGGCTCCTTGATTTCAGAATGAGTGGGAGGAGCTTTTGTGTTTTGAGAGTGTGTAGGCGCTGGCATCACTGGCTCTGGCTTCGGTGGCTTTGATTGGGTTGGCTCAGGAGTAAAGCTGTCCAGAATCTTCGTGGTCAAGCCAGTGTTTGTGTTATGAGAGTGTGTAGGCTCTGGCATCATCGGCTCTGGAATCACCGGCTCTGGCTTCGGTGGCTTTGATTGGGTTGGCTCAGGAGTAAAGCTGTCCAGAATCTTCGTGGTCAAGCCAGTGTTTGTGTTTTGAGAGTGTGTAGGCGCTGGCATCACTGGCTCTGGCTTCGGTGGCTTTGATTGGGTTGGCTCAGGAACAAAGCTGTCCAGAACCTTCGTGGTCAAGCCAGTGTTTGTCGGCACACACTTTTCAAACACGGTCTTGATGATAGTTTGGACCTTGGTATGCACCTTTATGGGCAAGGGTGCATCTGCCCCGGCTAAATTCCGTGGCTCCATCATGTCAACAACAGGCTTGATGTAGTTACGCGCGCGATGGCGGTGCGCATGGTGTCGGCCATGGGATCCCATCGCGTAGTCGGCGCTTGCCAAGAGGAGAAGTAGAGATGTGTTCCACAGCATGATGAACGAATGCAAAATGAACGTGTGCGAGTGTCAATGATAGAGTTTGCGAGTTGGACTGTTTCAAAAGATGGAATGAAAACAGATGAAACGATCGTGAGATTCTGTAAGAATCTTTTAATGAATGAAAGCACCCGTGTTTACAGGAACAGGGTCGCGGTTGTCGGTTTCATGTTGTTGCTGTTGTTGTCGTCGTCGTCGTCGTCGTCGATGGATCCGAAGACGCCGCGCGCCAGCGGGCACGACGGGGATTTATACGGAGACGCGACGATTCTGGCTCATTTCAGATCTGGAATGCTACTTCGTTTGGATCTTGAAAGGGGAATCTGTTATGGACCGTAGCAGCCCCGAATTCCACCCTTCCTTGGCCATATCACCCCTTTGGCCACCGCGGCAAAGCACCAAAGAAGAGGACATGAATACATGTCAATTGTATCTAGAAACATCTTCTCATTCATCGTACTTAAAATGAATGCGGAGTTGAGAGAAAGACCTGGAATCGAGGCGCGGGCCCTGGCAATCCAGGGCTGGAATGTCCCTTGCGAGGGGCCATTCTATCAGCATAAACTACACATAGAGTGCACAGGAAGGATTTATTGCACTTAATGCCTTGCTAGGCAAACATGGAAGTTCTATCTCCTATGCTCGGACCCCTATGTTGTGCAAGGCGATGCGCCACCCAACTCTGCCAAGTCGATGATTATTCACGATGCGGTAATCTCCGCACTCTGTCCACCATCGATTTCCAGGCTATCAGGATCACGCCCACCATACCATGTGCATATCGTTCCTCACAGTTCAGATAGCTCTATCTGTAAGCAGCCTCTCTCTCCAATCAGTTTGACCCACCGCCACCAATCAATGAGCAGCTCGCATCTGCCGTTATCAATTTTTCCATGACGCTAAACTGCTTCGAGGCAAAGATGCGCCCAGGTCATTAAGGTTGGCCAACCATGGCGGAATCCCTGCTTGGTCGAAAGTTTTACTTGAAAGGGATCAGGTACCGCCGGGGGTGGGGAACACTTATAAATCCTCGACTTGTCCGCTTCGTCTATCCGGTATCATATTGATTCCTACACAATGGCTAGCCTACATCCATTTGACCCCATCACCCCTGGGGAAATCCAGCTGGCAGTGCGGATCCTCGAGTCCGCCTTCCCGGGTGTCAAGTTGCGGTATAAGCGCATCGATCTTCAGGAACCCACCAAGCATGAGGTCGTCCCTTACCTTGAGGCTGAACGCCGTGGAGAGCCACGCCCTCCCAAGCCCGCTCGTCTGTTGATGACGCTGTTCCACCGCATGGACAACGGGTCCTTCTTCAAGGCCTTGTTGAACGCTGACTCCAAGTCCGTCGTGTCGGCCAAGGAACTCCCCAAGGATGTTCAAGGCCCCTTGGATGTGGATGAGATGATGGAGATAGAGCAGATGTACCTCGACCATCCGGCCGTCAAAGCAGAGATTGAGAAACTGAAGTTGCCCCAAGGCATGACCGTCTGCTTGGACCCGTGGATCTACGGCACCGACGACGCTAAGGAATCCCGACGCTTGTTCCAGTGCTATATGTACATTGTGGCCGTCGACCATCCTCAAAACAACCAGTACTCTCTTCCCTGCAAATTCTCCCCTGTCTTCGATGGCATCACCCGCAAGCTGGTGCGCATGGATTACCTCCCCGAAGGTGCAGGCACCCAGAGCACAGACACGCAGCCGTGGAAGCAGGTGCCTGCTATTCAATACGCGCACGAGTTGCTGGACGAGCCGCTGCGCACTGATGTGAAGCCTTATATTGTGCAGCAGCCTGAGGGTGCTTCGTTTAATGTTATCGGAAACGCCGTTTCATGGCAGAAGTGGCGTTTCCGTGTCGGCTTCAACAACCGTGAGGGCTTAGTGTTGCACAATATTACCTATGACGGTCGTAGCACTTTTTACCGTCTGTCATTCTCTGAGATGACTGTTCCTTACGGAGGTATGTTCCCAGCTTGCCCCGGATTACCCCTGCTGTAGCGTCGGATACTAATTCTACTAGATCCCCGTGCCCCCTACCATCGCAAGCAGGCTTTCGACGTCGGTGACGTTGGATTCGGCATCACAGCAAACCAACTGGCCCTGGGCTGCGACTGCCTCGGGCACATTAAATATTTCGACGGTTATCGTACCGATGCCAAGGGCGAGCCCATCCAGCTCAAGAACGTCATTTGCATGCACGAGCAGGACAACGGCCTGCAACACAAGCACACAAACTACCGCACCGGCGCCGCGACTGTCGTCCGCAACCGCCAGCTCGTGGTCCAGATGATCTGCACCGTCGCCAACTACGAATACATCTTCGCATTCATCCTCGACCAAGCAGCAAACATCGAGCTCGAGGTTCGCGCCACCGGTATCCTTTCCACCGTGCCCTTCGACAATGAAAACGGTCAGACCGTACCGTGGGGTACAAACGTCGGCCCAGGCGTGATGGCGCCATTCCACCAGCATTTGTTCTCATTGCGTATTGATCCCGCGCTGGACGGATACAAGAACACTGTCTATTACGAAGACAGTGTGCCCATGCCCGAGGATGACAATAACCCCTACCTGGTCGGATACACCACCGATCAGAAGGTCATCAAGACTAGTGGCAGTGAATCGACCAGCGTGGAGAAGCACCGCGTGTTCAAGATCCGCAACGACCACATCATCAACCCGATCACGCACCACCCGATCGCGTACAAGTTGATGACCTCGCCCAGCCAAATGCTCCTAGCCCACCCAAAGTCCTACGGCCTGAAGCGCGCACAGTTTGCAACCCGCCCAATTTGGGTGACCAAGTACCGAGACGACGAGCTCTTCGCCGCAGGCGAATTCACGAACCAAAGCAAGGAATCGCAAGGGGTGGAGAAGTGGGCTGCGAGAAATGACGCAGTTGAGGACGAGGACGTTGTTCTCTGGCATAGTAAGTGTTCCCAGTGTTTTTCTGTTTTTTTCAATTTCGCTGACGGTTTGTATAGCTTTCGGTCTTACCCACAACCCGCGTATCGAGGACTTCCCCGTTATGCCGATGGAGCGTGTTAGTGTCATGCTTAAGCCGGATGGGTTCTTTACTAAGAACCCGGCGCTGGATGTGCCGCAGTCGGATCAGTCGTTTAACAAGTCTACTCTGCACCCTGAGCCGTCTTGCTGCGCTGGGCCTCAGGATCGCAGCCAGGTGAAGTTGTAAAGTGCATGTCTCAAATGACGGCTAATATTGGCTGCATGATGATAAATATAAATGAGTACATGGAAGTTCTGCATTATAAGTATATAGCATCATGAATCATGGTAAATCATTTCAATGTATTGCGATGAATTTAATTCCACTTCAACTTCCGTATGGAAGGCCCTGAATTTCCTCTCAGGAAGCATGCCGGTAATCCAGCTGTCCATTTCTGCTCCCTTCCCGGTCGCTGTATATCCCATCCTGCACATATGGGCTCCGACACAATTATGCACATCTGAGGTCTGAGAATGGGCATGTAAAATGGTCGAAGCAGCTCCAAGCTCCCAGGCATTATATTCTTTGGATAAATATTTCGAACGTTTCTCATTTTTTGTTACTACGCTGCCTACTTGGATAATTAAGCTTTTGGAGTTTTTTGCCTGTGCCTGGTGAGAGAACGTCGGCGCCTAGTGTAGTGATATATGTATCTATCGATGGAGATACCATGGCAGCTTACCCCACCGACCCAATAAACTTCTCCGATCATCTCCACTCGGTCGCGACGATGAATGAAGTGTGAAAATATTCAAATTATTTATTTCCCAGGTACTCGAACAGCACAGAGCTTATGTAAGGGGTGATTACGTCGACGCGTGGACACCCCAACTTTCCTTGCCGCCGTTCCTCATGTCGACAAGGATCTTAAGGGCTGAGTTTCCCACTTTATTCTTATGGACCGACCCACCTGAGCCCAAGCCTATCCCCGACAACCATGGCGCAGGCGCCGGTTCCTCTCACGCATGGCACATACGGTGAGCATCCCCGAACCCAACCCAGGAACAGTTCCTGACAGCGATAAGACAAGCTGGACCCCGTCGCGCGCTTGAACGGCCGCGTATTCGACAGTGACCCCATCATCGCGTACATGCTCCTGAATATGACCCGAAAGCAGCGATTGGAATACCTTCCAAGCTACTGGTCCAAACTTGCCAAGTCGGCACTGATGAACAATGCGCTCATCACCGAGGCCGATGGGTGGAAGGCCGCTTCGATCGTCATCCCGCCTGGGAGGTACATTGACAACGTCTGGACTCTCGTCTACTCTGGCTTCATCTGCGTTCTGTGGAAAATCGGATTTTCGGGTCTGAAGGTATGTGTCTCCATGCAAAGACGACCGAACCAGCGCTCACATTCCACAGCGGCTGTTGACCGAATTCTCGGGCATGACCGACAAGGCTAAGAGGAAGGGCCTCGGAGGCCAGAAGCGCTACTACTACGTCTTTAGTATCGGGACCGAGTACGAGCATCGCGGAAAAGGTGAGGACTGCCAAGTCAACCAAACAAGTCGCCCAGCTTGCTGATCATCGCTGATCATCAAACAGGACTCGCCAAGACGATCATGCGCTATCACCAGGAAAAGGCGCAGTCGGAGAACCTCCCGATTTGGCTCGAGGCCACAACTGAAAGTTCGCGGTATCTTTACCTCTCGATAGGTTTCCAAGAAGTCGAAAAAATTACTCTCGGGAGGGGCAAGGTTGCTGCAGATGCTGCACTTCAGCCGAATGGTCCGGGGGTGACTCTTTATGCGATGGTATGGTGGCCGAAGTCTACAAACCATGATTCGGAGCCTGCGTCAAGCTCCGCCACTCCTTGAGATTCTGTTCTTCCAGTATCCGTTTTTGAATTATCCTTTCGTTTTCTCTAAGCTTTCCCTTGCAACCGTGGCGAGATTTGAGTGTTGGATATAGACGTCACTGAACGGTATTGATTTGAGCCCAAATAAATACACTATACAAATTCCAGATGGCATCCAGTCGATGTTGACTTGGCACCCAAGAAATGTATTGAAACTGATAAAAATACAACCCTGCGTATACTGGCAACCATGGCTGCCTAGTATATAACGCATTCGATAGCCACAATCTAGTTGGATCGGCCCAGATCTATCTCCGATGGTGTCCGAGTTCTATGTCCGTCTAAGTTTACTCAAACAAATACCTAAAAGTTCTTGGGGAGCTCGATGGGTTTTATCTGTTTCAAAATGATAATCAAGCAAACAGACTTCCGGCGACGCATATAAAGGTCTCTGCAACTGATGACCACAGCACGATTCCTTATCCAAATCTACTCGTTGGGCATCTCAAGTCCACATTCTTGCCATAGTATCTTCTGTCTCTCCTTGTCCCAACCCCAACCTGAAGTGCAGGCCTTGACATCCTTCCAAAATTCATACCCCGGGGTATAATCCACCATATACTTGCGCAGCAACTTTTTCCACTGCGAATCCGCCTCGCTAAGTCCTATCCCAGCGCAGCTAAACTCCCACCATACCGGGTAGTACCCAGATGCCTCCCAGTCAATGATCCCAGAGAGCTTGTTTGTCTTTGGGTCGACCATGATGTTGCAAAAGGCCAGATCTCCATGGGTGAATGTCCACGGCTCCGGCGATGGCATTCGCTGTCTAATGAGCGCGCAAACCTTCGAGGGGATCTCCTTCAATTGCCCAGACATTTCGGTCCACAGTTCTTCGGCCGAGGATAAAGGTCCGTGCGGGGTGTTGCTGCCTCCTGAGAAGAGGAAAGCGACATGTAGTGGCTGGCCATGTATGCTCTGCATCTTGGGTGAATGGAGTTGGCGGAGTTGTGCCAGGTATTCCGCGGTCTCCTTCGCCAGTTGCTCTCTGTCGGCCTCGGTCATGTTTGGCCAATGCTCTTCCAGAGTGAGGCCTGGAACTCGCTCCGCAATCAGGAAGTGGCGATTGTTATCTTCTGTCCATTCTTGTACCACTGCGGGGGTAGGGATGGTGGTGTTTTCTCTAACGAAGCGCGTGTTGAATCCTTCGTAGATTGGTGGGTTTGTTCCTCGTTCTTTGAGGATGAACTTGGTCCCTAATGACCATGCCCCACGGTCGCCGGCACCGTAGAAAAGCTTCACATTGCTTTTGTATGAACAATGATCTTGACTGTTTTTGGTCCAGCTGCAAGCCGAACAGGGTAGGTCATTTGCAGCGATTTCCATCTTCGATGGGTCTCGCGTTCGAGTATATGAGGACCACAGGAATGGACCAAAAGATGAAAATGGATGTTTGAGGGATACAGAGGGGATGCAGTATTGGTTGAGGACCAGCGCGAGTATTGCGAAAGAGACTAGCAGAAGCAGCTATGCGGCTCTGCAGCCTTGCAATTTAGCGGTGAAGCACATCCTCGATGCCTATAGTTCGTGACGGGTGTCATATGTTCTATTCCGCGAAGTGAGCGATAGAAGGAACCAGCTGCCATGACGGGGCAGGCAGCTTCATCGAGAAGGGCCTTCTTGATTACAATCTTCACTTTCCATCATTCACTTTCCATCCTTCCCTCCTCTATCATCAACATATCGCAATATTGCCACTTCATCTCGACTCACAAATTCATCAAGGTATGTCAACAAGCCTTGACAACGCATCAGACGTCGTACTAACTCTACACACAGCAACAATGGACCCTCCAAGCGAACTCCCTCCAGTAATGCTTTGGATCCGCGAAAAACGCCTCAAAGACTTCCTCGCAAATCCCGACTACGACCACCAGCGCGCCAACCTCGGGACCGTCCTGCGTATGTTCCAGTCAGGCGAGATCGCGCCTCTGTGGGCCGGCCACCAGTTGTACTTCTGCAACGGCGAACTCCTGGGCTCCGAGCTCCCCTCCGACACCCGCTCCCTGTCCGGTCCCATTTGGCACGAAGCCGAGTGCGGTCTTGCCCATGAGGCTGCTGCGTACGAGCCGGCTCGCCTGGCAAACGTCGCCCCTCAGATCTGGGCTGGAAATTGCCAGAGTTAGTGTCCATGCTGACGGTCGTTTTATCTCATCGCGTACTGACGTGTCTCAGATCAACATGGGAAGAATAGCGGTAACAACTCCCGTGGCAGTGGCTCTCAGCACAGCCAGGGCCGCGGAGCTGGCAACAGAAATTACAAGAACTGGGGCCGACACACTGGGGGCGCTGCCTAGGTGTCGTCACCTCGACAAGGATGTTGCAATAAGCAATATCTGGGAGATTGGAACGCTTGCACCGATCCTTCCAATAGACAGGATCAAATGATGATTTCATGGCTCTTAGACCCCCGATACCATGTACAACTAGTTTCTTTCAAATCGAATCTCCATCTGACATCAGAACCAAACCTGCAAGGATCATCATCACGCGTTTATGGACAACGGCACCCTATTCGGTCAAGAGCTGTCTCTAAGCACCAATCAAAGCATGTCTCGCTCCCACGGAAAGACGAAAAAAGAAAGCAAAAGTTGGGGTTAGATCGCAAGGTGGGGAACCATGAGCACGGTCGATAGATAACCAAGATCGACACGGCCCGCGGTGATTTCTCGGCCGGCCGAGTCCCACCGTACACGGGACAGCAAACACAAGCTGACCTATGCGAATGAAATTTCGCTGGCGGATCCCCCCGGGTAGTCTTTTTTTTCGCTGCTAGTTTTAGCGATGGGCTATATATGTACGCTGCTGTTCCCTCCGGGGAGATGATTTACTTGAAACTTGAATCTGGGCGACTCCACGACTTCGGTTTTCGAGGCGTGAAGAGATAAATATCTCATTTGCAGTGTGATGAAATAAGTTACATGCTCCAGGGTCAGAAACTTGCATACGAACTTCCATACGACTTGGAAAAAATCAGGTCGAAAACGGGCTAATATGTTACAGAGTGTGTATTATGGTGTATAGACCGCACTGCCTGGCCAGTACCATGGAGAGTCCTATATACAGAGAGTAGAATCTCGACTTCTCTCCACCCAAAGCAACTCCGGCGCTTTGCGACAAGATGGGATCATTCTCACATTCCGGGGACTGGGCGTTCGCTCATACTTGGGAACAGCATGACATCCGAGACCCGGCCTAAGATATTCCGCATACTCCAATCATCGAATGGCAGCATCGAGCTATCAGCAGTCGCCATGGTCACCGATACCTCGGGACTGTCAACTGACGGCGGGGACGGCAGGTTAAGTGGTGAGGATACAGCCTGCCCGGCTCTGTGCGCACGGAATGCCTCGCGGATCTCCCGCAGCGCACGGAGCGACGAGGACAGGTGCTTCGCGGAGTCGGTGCGGTTGTTGTGTCTGACGTCTCCATCTTCATAGACGTGGGCGGCCAGGACCCGCTCCAGTCGGTCGATGAGCTCCCACTTTTGCGCGCCGTCGTCATTGGCAATTAACAGGAAGGCCGATGCGATGGATCTCTGTAAACTGATCCATGACCGAGAGCAGTGGGAGTTGATTTCGTGCAGTTCGACAAATGCGTCAATCGTGTCGCCCAAGCTATTGATACAGTCTTCACGGATCAGGGCTCGACGCGTGTCATCCAAATGCGAGAGTGGGTCTAATGATACACGGCCCAGCACTGAAAGGAGGTAAGAGGAGTGCAAGCGCAGTTCAGTTCTCTCAATGTGCTCGGCTAGCGTTCGGCATCGCTCGCGGTGGCGCAGATGGGGTGTGGCTTCTGCGAGCATGCGATGTACGCGCTGCTTGTACTCCCGAATGTCGTGGAATCGTGGTTGTGGCGAGCTTGGGTCCATACGCGAGCGCAGTACTTCCAAGGAGAGAGACACGACGCGGCACAGAGTCTCAAAGTAGGTCCGATGGCCCGGCATGGACTTGGGTTCAAAGGGTATTTCGGGTTGGCTGACCATTGTGATAGATGGTCGATCATAGGCGAGCGAGAAATGGCTGTTCTGAAAGGCCATCGCCCACCAGACGCGCCTTCTAATAGCCTGTTCTGCAAGTGAAAGTCCGGTGGATTCAACATGGAGTCCGAGAACGAGACACATTCGCTCCGTCATACCTGCGGTGTGGGTTAACAGGGGTTTCGGTGGCAGAGCTTCCCCAAACTTACCAAGCAAGGTATATGATGCACCGGCATTCATGTTATATGAAAGGACATTGCTAATGATGAGAAGGATCTGGATGACCTCGACGGTGGGTTGCGAGACATAGTTCAACATCCGCAAACACTGGTATGCACAAGAGACTGGGCGAGGAGTCAGCATGATGTTTTGAATCTGCCGCAGACGACATACCGTATATCCACGACGTCAATTCGCGGTCTTTTTCTGGAATATCCGACAACTGGCACCCCGAGGCAAGCACCGCAAAGTACAGACTGAAAAAAGGCAAATCTATGCCGAACGGCTTGACTAATCCGTTAATATCTGGTTTATAGACACCTCCAGCCCGTCGCCTCCCCTCCAGTAAACGGTTCGCCTTTCGCTCAAGCTGGTCGAGATCCGGTAATACCGGATACAACACGGCGCCTATTTCTTTATAGAATCCCAGAAACCTAAGCCGTCATCAGCATACACCGCCTCGTTTCAAATAATCCGTGCTTACTGTTGGCATTGTCCATCCTCCGGGAGCACTGAACACACTCCGGCAATATTAAACGTGTAGGGATCAGAGGACCAAAGATCAACGAACGGGTACGCGGCCGACTCGTTACCGAGAGCGAGTTCAGCAAGCAGATCCTCCTGGGGCAGCGCCTGCGCTGTGTCCTCCGATCCCTTGGATTGATTTAAGATGTCCACCAGAGCTGACCGTGACCCTAGATGGACGGCACCGGTTTTCAACATATTCGAGCCATAGACACCTTCTGACCGTGTGGAATCTTTCCGATCCGCGGCCTGGTCATATCGTTTGCGGGAAGAATGCGAGTTAAAGAGCGAATGGAGACTGCCGAGGATCTGCTCCATAGCGACCATCTTGTTATTGATATCATCCCACTCGCTCTGCGAGATGTCGATGACCTCGGGTAAATCTGAGTTGGGGCTGGCCGTAGACGGCCCGTTGGCAGCGTCATCGGTATCGCGCGGGGGCGGGTAGTAGGCCGGGGGGATCGCCGTGGAGACAAAAGAAGATTGCGGCGTGGAGGAAGCGGTTATCGAGGCTGAGGATATAGGATGTTTCGAGGACGGCGGGCGACCGTAAGAACAGGTGAAGTTGCGCTTAACGCAATTGGTGCAGGGGACGTTGCGGTCGCAGCGAACTTTGCTGGCGCGACAGGGCAGACAGGTCTTGCACTCGCGCGGTCGGCGGCGAACGGGATACGTGGGCATTTTTTTCAGCGCTTCACCCCGCGAAAGCTGGGAATGGGTCGGAGAGGAACTGAGGCATAGGAAGATCGGCGCTGCAGGAGACCGTTGACAACGGAGTCAAGTCGATTAGGACGGTAGGTCGAGTTCTAAGCGAGCTGCGTGGCGTATGAGTTTATCAGCGGTCCGTGAACTCGAGTCTGGGGAACGATCTGAGATCTCGGTGCCGGCTTGGAATCAATGCGCCGATCACGTCGTGGGATCCTGTAAGGTTTGGTTTTCAACGGTCAACGGAAGCTCCGTAAGGTTCGAAAATGGATGATCTCATCCGACACCGGCGTTCCCTGGTTCACGCGCCAGAAGCGGTCGCTGTTGTGTGTGCGGAGACCCTGGCCTGATCCTGTCAACGGACTTTCTCCACTCTCGTGCACTAATCATAGACTCCGTTTAAGATATTGCGGTTTCTTCACCTCTAGTCTCGGCACATAAGGGGATCCTTGGAATACCTGACTGGGGAGAGGAGAAACTCCATGCAATTGTCCACCTAGGGAGGAGGATACTAGATACTAGATTCTGGATATACCTAGTCCTGATGCATAAAACCCGTCACGAGTCCTTTTTCTTCTCGGAAACCTGTGGCACGATCCACCAGTCATGCCAGTGCGTCTTCGAGCCGATCTCCGGGATCGTCACCTGCAGCTTCTCTGCCGACGAGTCCCCCGCGATCACCCTTTTCACCGTCTCAATAGCAATGCTTGCCCCGATGCATGCACGCATCGTGTCTTTGATGTCGCGCTTCCAATCCTCCTCAATGGCATTTGGCGCGCTTCCGTTAACTGTGGAAGGGCCCTCAATAAAAGCACCGTGGGTCAGCGTCGCTTCCCAAGCTTTGCGTGCCTCCGTGATCGCCTTCGAGGCGCGATCGAGGATGGTCGCATCGGTGTCTCCTTCCAAGGTAGCTTCGCGCTGGTACTCCTCGTAAGGAACAAGCTCGGGCAGAGAGATCGGGATGAATGGTTTCATTCGGAGTTCATAACGAAGCTTATCCGTAGAGTATGCCTCCGGACCCGAGGCAGACGGCAGCACCTTGTGCCGGGCCAGCAACACGTACAATGAGTGTAGGGCGATCGCAAAGGCATCGACCGCAATGAGGTGAGTGGTCAGTCGCTCCAGAATGCGGAATGATTTGTGGAAGGCGACCGATTTTTCGGTGGCATTGCTCTCGCGGTTGTTGGTCATCACGAGATCTCGCTTTCGAGCCGCCACGATGAACGTTCGGATTCGATCCACATGGCCAAGGTGTGCGGAGCAGATGTGAGACAGATACCAGTACATGCCTGGGAGTTCTTCGGGGGAGTAGATCGAAAGCTCGAACCCCATCTGGAGGATCTGCCGAAGTTGGGTGAGTTTCTGGTGATAGGCCCAACTACTCAGCGGGAAAGAAAAGGTAGGTTCTTCGCCCTGGACCTGCAGTCCTGGCTCTCTGCTCAGGGGTTGAATTTGGAGATCGATATCCTCAGCCTGCACAGGTCAGCTTGTCATCTTTATTATGATGGTTGTGTCTGTCGTACCTCCATTTGCAGGTTGTCCCACTCAACAACGGCGTGACAGAGAATTCTACGGACGCGGCATCGGTTCAAGCAAGCCGATCGCACCGTGTCGACAAATGGCTGGGCGAATCGTCTCACGAAAGCATCCATCTGCTGGGCAATTTGGAACCGAGGGTCCGTCGGCAACTCCACATCGTCTGTGTTCGCGGCAAGCAACAAGTTCGCGGGCAATACAAGCTCCGCAAGGTCGTCGTAAAGAAATTGCTTGACGGATACCGCTCCCAAGATGGTCATATCGCTCACTATCAGCGCCTGAAGCAAACATCGAATATAGACCGAGGGCTGAGGCTTTCGGGACAACAGGGTCCAGATGGCAGTCTGAATTCAAAATTAGTAAGACTGCACACGGTGGAATTTCAATCAACCTACCTTGAAGTTACTCGGACCCGTGTAGTCCAGGATCTGCTGCATATCGATGGCGTCTTGGCAGAGTCGTTTCATATGAGCGAGTGCATCCTTGGAGCTGATATTGACAATCGGTCGAGGCGGCACGGTGCTGGCAAGCTTCCGCTGAATCTTCATACTGAATGCCTCTGGCACTTCCTTTCCAAGAGACACGGACTCGGTCAGAGCAGCCAGGTGGGACAAGCACGATGAGAAATTGTCTGTTGATCTGGTATCGAGGACCTCAAGATCCTGGTCCAAGGCGGACAAAAACTCGCGGCGAAACAATAGCCTGCACCGAATGCCGTCTCGCAGGCCTTGATCCATCTCCGTTTCAGCATCCACCCAAGCGATCGCCTGGTCCAGCAGGCGGTAGAAGTGAGATGATTCGAATAGAGATAGCAGATTGCGGTTGTATAATTGACCGACAAAGTCCTCCTCCTGCGCAACAAATGCCGTTAGTAGGGTCCAACCACCACGCAGATCCAACATACCTCGTAAAAGTACTCGGTCACAATCCGAGCATGAACATAGTCACAAGCCTTGATTAACCCAAGACAATACGCCCGGAGAACAATGCTGATGAGGGGGTTGTCACTTGGCGCGCGATCAAACCGGGCGTCCTCGATGGTCCTTGGCACCGGCCACAACAATTTGTCGATGTATATCGAGGTAAAGAGGGTTTGTGAGAGAGGGTGGCCCATATGCCATGCCATCTGTAGGCCTATCAGCAAACGTTCCTATCACAGGGGCATTAAGCACGCGCCTCATGGCAAAGCAGCTGATCCATCAAGCCCAGCACCTGCTCGGGTGTCAAGTCTCGTCGCACATCGTAATCGTCCTCCAGCGCCTGCGCATGGTTCTCGCCCGGGGCAATGTAGCCACTGTCCATCTTGGAGTCCATAATCTACCATAATTCACACCATCGTCAGCTTCCGCATGATTCGCATCCCGGTGTGACATGGTCGTACCTCCAATGCACCCACGCTCTCGAACAGCGTGAAGTATTCATCCTTGACAAGCTGACCGGTGCGTAATTCTACCAGCGGGAAAGAACGGTTAGATCGGAATCAATAGTTGAGAATGGCGAAGCTTACTCGAAGCGGCCGCCGTGAACTCGGCGGTGATGTTGCGCGGGGCGGACTGTGCAGCCCGCGGAGGGGGCACGCGAACCTCGTTATTCGGCAGCATCGCACAGAGATTTGAGGCTCTGCAATCTGCTGCCGGGTCTTCTCATGGAACAAAATACGTCGAATCGAAGCAACTCGGTCGAGGTTGAGGAGTGACGGGGATCGAGGGGTGGGCCGGGGACAGGGCGGAAAAAGCACTTGCGGGCTGGGCTAGCACAACGGGCCCTCTGACGTGTGGCTGCCACCGAACTTCTACTTCATTACGGACATTCGCGATATTCACAGCTTGTTTGTAATACGAAAGACGAGTGCGATTTCTGAGGTCTGTCCGTTCCAGACAGACCTGTATTGCTACACATGTACAAAAAGTTCAATGCTTCCCCGGGAGGTCCAAATCCTCGCTCGTGTCCGTTCCACGCCCGGGTCCGTCACATCTCCCAACATGATTCGTTCATGTTGACTGCATCGCTCGGGGTATGGCGCTTTTCGTCTATTTCTCGGCCTGGGCAGCAATGGCTTCGGTGTTGGCCTTGGCGAGCGACTGAACGTCACCCTGCTTGCCGTCCTATGATCACAATGTTTCATCAGTCTCCATCGGCCCAATCTTGGTGTTCAAGCTCTTTCACTCACAGTCCACTTGGCGAAACGGAGGTCCATCTGACCGCGGCGCTCGGCGTTCAGGCGGGGAGTCTCCTTGAGAGACCGGCGCACGGCACGGGCGGCAATGGCCAAGTAGCGGTTGTAGCTAGTTCGGGGTGAGCAATTATCGAGTTAAATGAGCGGTGACAACGTACGTCAAACCGGCGGCTTTCCAGGCGGCAGTCATTGTGAAAGGTGGTGGGTAGAGGTGGTTCGATTGAAGGGGGTGAAAACGGCTCGGGTGAGTTTGGAAGCATTCGAGCCGGAGAGTCGGGATGTTGAGTCACGTGATGAAGATTTGATTTGGTCAGGTGACTTGATCGCCCTCCTGTCACCTGACAGAGCTTGGGAGGTTAATCGTCCTTGCACTTGCCCACCAAATTTCGACAGCCCACCTTGTCGGAAATATTTTTGCATCATTACAAATCACGCAATCAAGGTCAGATGGAAGCGTCCTGTCTCATCCCCAGCTTCACGAACTTCCTGATATTTCTAGTCTTAGCTAGGAATGGAATCGCAGAACGCGTGCGGGCACTGGCAGGCAGCGCAACTCTAGAAGTTAATGGGATCGGGGCCTGGTTTGATCATATCAATCCTATCAATCCTATGATCTTAATATTGTGGCGTACTGTAGCTCACAATGGACAGGGGTGCATTTATGCAACCTTATTTTACCCGGGCAGACGCAGCTCGCGTACTACTCGGAGTCGCTGCAAAATGATAGGGGCATCCAGTGAATTGTCACGAAAAAGTATTCACTAGATGGCTTGAGAATCTTATTTCTGGTATCAGACAATCCTATAGGGCACTGTCCATGTGAAACTAATTTGGTATGGGGAAGGCTAACGGCCTTCTATTTCCTCCGTCGTAGGGTCACCTGCATTAGGCCATCTCCAAGGCTTCCTTTTGAAACTGTCAAGGCAGTCGAAGTCGAAATCAATCGGGTCAGTCGCATGTCCATTTTTGCTTGGGTTAGAGCCTTGGTGGGATGTACCGGCCTTCTTGAGTTCCATCTTCCACTTCCATTTCCAACCCTTCCTCTTTCCCATCCTCTGGCTTTTGCAATTTCCGTCTTCTGTGCCTGTGGGCCAATAATTATCATTGTGAGTACCACTGATTCCATCTGTGGCAGGTGTCTTTTTGTTTCCATCACTTCTTCTGTGTCTGGGGCTTCCGGAAGAGAACAGGCGTGCGTTTGGGGCGACGATTCTGTAACATCTGCACCAAAGCCCGCATAGTCGTGCTTGGACAGGCCCGCTCTTCTCTTCTCAAGAACTTTATACTCCGGCTTGATCAAAATCCTCTCTGACGGAAGCGGTGCAGACAGTGTCGTCGCGACCTCGCGGTGTTGTCGTCCCAAGTGCAAGACTTCCTTTCCCTCACTTTTTTCTTTACCCGTGTTATTTCCAAGCCCGAGACTGACAACTAAAGCTTCCTCCATGCTATATCTTGTAAGCCAAGGATGGATTCATGTCCAGAACCATTCCACGGCCTGGCCCCGAGTCTGCGGACTATCGCTGCCAGAACTAATACCAGGGCAATGTCGAGGAACATTTTACTGACCATTTTACCAGAGCAACACCTAGTACCGTGCCTACCCGTCACAATGGATGGCAGGCGCAGTATCGATGCCAACATGACTGGACAATTCAAGCCTAAAGGGAGAAAGGGATCGAGTTCCAAAGGCCGGAAGCTTGTCCGATGGGATGGTAAGGTCAAAATCAATCCAGTACTGGGGTAGAGATCTGAGATGCACCCAGTCGTATTTCGTCTTGGATTGTATCACATTCCTCTGTTCCCGATCGCGATCCCATGCTGGCCAATGCTAATTGCAATTAACAGCTGATCTCGATGTTCAGCTCTTGTTGACTGTGCAGGCTGCGTGCAACAAGGCTGGAGTCAAGATTCCTTGGGAGAGGGTCGCTACCATGATGGGCGAAAAGTTCACCGAGGGGGCCATCGTACAGCACCTGACCAAGCTACGCCTCCGTCGCATTACCGAGAAGAAGGCTGTTCCACCTCCCCTGCGTCGGTCTACAAACAATAAAACCAACAAAAAGCGCAAGGCCGCAGATGATGACGATTCGGATTTGTTCGTTTCTCAGAGTGATACTGATGATGCGGAATATGGCACTCTGAGGGCTCCCAAGAGGGCGAAGCAGACCAGATTTTCCCATGATAAAAATGGGATCAATACTGCTCGCAAAATTGGGAAGGGTGAAGGCTTTGCTGACAGTGACGTCCAGTGCGCTGGTGCCGATTTCCTCAGTTTTGGACATGAGCAAGATGCTTACTCCCGTAGGTCCGCTTCCGATGGTTCTGACTCTGATTCATTCGTTTCTCTTCGGAAGGCTCGCTATAGCGGCAAGAAAGATTACATCCAGAAGAGGACGTGCATCGTTCGATTTCAGGTCAAGAAGTCCTTTCTTCTTGGACTCAAACTTCAGGATGCCAAAATGGAAGAGGCCGTGCAGGAAGATGCCCAGTCTATCATTTCCTATGCCCTTGGTGATTCTGCGAATCCGAAATATCCTCCTCCTCCACCTGCCTGGCAGCGGCCAGCTCAAATGGGCATGTCACACCCGGCTCAGCACCCCGGCCAGCCAGGCACACGCATTCTCTCTTACCCTACCGTCAAGTCCGAAACCCGTCTCAGCCCCGAGGGCATGACTCGCCTCGAGATTTACACCCAGAATTGGGCGCAGCCGCCCTCCCCTCATCTAGGAGGCTCTGAAAACATGTCTCCTAATGAGGCATACATACAAGGCTGGCAGCAGCAGCAGCAGCTCTCTCCTCGTCACACTGGATCTGAAGGTACGGCTCATCGTGATACGCTTGTGCGGAGTCGGCAGCAGACTCTCCGCAATCTTCTTCTCGATAAAAGCCCGTTCGTGGATGTGAATACTCAGATGCCGAGCACCCCGCTTCATAGCAGCCCGGTCCCGAGCAGATCGATCCAGAACAGAGGGCACCGGAATAGCCCGTTCGACTTCGAGGCGCCGAGATCAGAATTCCAGACACGTCGGCCGCGGGAATCCCAGTCTCGGGCATCTCAGCTAGAGGAAACTCGCCGGCAGTATATTGACCCCAAGATATTCATGGGCTCGATGGGACTTCACAGCCCGAGCCAATACGTTGAGCGGTCCTCGGACATGGAAATGTCCGATGACTTCATGGACGAGTTTCTGGAAGACCCTGAGGGGTTATTAGAAATGAAAGGCACGCTTTCGGAGGACATCTATCAATACCTCAATGAAGACGGCGGTGAGCAGTGATGTGAATGCAATTAGGCGACTCGTCGTGGGGTCATTTTCCAGTGACTGCCCTCAGCTGGCCCACGACCTTCTTGTTCCGTTACTTCAACGTCACTCGTGCGTCTTCTCAACTTTGAGATTCTGATCTGTGAAATTTTCAGATCTCCCTTCAATTCCTTCTGGACAGCAGTGATGTAGATGCAATGAGGCAACTCTTCGTGGGGTCATGTTACAATGACTGCCCTCAACTGGCCCACGACCTGTTGTATCGTTAATTTCAGCCTCGCTCGTGTGTCTTTCCATTTTGCAATTTGAATTTGAAATAGGCAGGTCCAGGTCTTCCTTCGATTTCTTCTAATCCCATGGACATTTTTCTCTTGCATATCTGCATGTTTCGGACGACGCTTACCAGGTGACTCGACCGACGATGACACTAGGAAGCTGATGCCAATCGTGCATGCGCATAGCGCATAGCGCATAAATAATGAAATACAAAGTGATTATTCAAAAGTTAAATATGTGTGTTTGACTTGTAAGCTTTCATCGCACGCCAAACGTCTCGTGATGAATCCCTTTTTCTCCTAACTTTTGACGCTGGTTTGGGGACAAAACTGCCAAGGTACTTTCGCCGTTAAAAAGACACTGTCCGGCATGTCTGACCCACTCTTCTGGGACTTGTGGGCCACAAGAAGTCAATTGGGTGTCGGGTCTCCTGTCTCGGTGGTCACTTATCGGGGACCCAATACGGAAACTACATGTCGGCTAATACCGACACTCACTTGAAATTTAATTTTACAAGTCCCTCCCTCCAGCTCCCCGCGAGTCACGAATCCGAGAAAATTTTATTCTGCTACTATGGCCTCACAAGCTCAAAATATCTACGATGACTCTGCCTTTTTTTCCGCTTACGGAACCCTTCCTCGTTCGCAACACGGTCTGTCAGCGGCGCCAGAATGGCCTGAGCTTCGACACATGGTTCTCGGCGGCAAATTGCCTTTGAGCAACTCAGTTCGGGCCCTCGAAGGACATCGTGTTCTTGATCTAGGCTGCGGGTATGGATGGTTCGCGCGATGGGCCCGGGACAACGGCGCTGCCTACGTCCAAGCAGTGGATATTTCCCAAAACATGATTTGTCGAGCAAAGCAATTCGAAACCGATATCAAAGACAGTCAATCTCATCTCAACTCGAGCTCTATTACGGAAATCGTTTTTGAAACAGGAGACATCGAGTCAATTTCCTTCAGCGACAACCGAGGAAGAGGGTCATTTAACCTTGTCTATAGTTCTCTGACATTCCATTACGTTGAGGATTTGGCAAGGCTCTATCGAGAAATCCATTCTTCTCTTGAAAAAGGTGGAAAATTGGTATTCTCGGTCGAGCACCCTATTTATTCGGCGCCTATTCGCCCAGGACCAAGCTGGAAAACTCTTGAAGATGGTGACCAGGAACGGACGATATGGCCCTTGAATTGCTACAGTGATGAAGGGTGGCGGAAGACTAGCTGGCTTGGAGTTGACGGTATCAAGAAATACCATCGAACTGTGGAAACATACGTGAATCTTCTCTTGGAGAGCGGCTTCACTTTGACGGGTTTCAAAGATTGGGCTCCCTCGCTAGAGGATGTGGCTGAGCATCCCGAGTGGATGGACGAGAGACATCGCCCTTATTTCTTGCTTATTTCTGCCGAGAAAAACTAAAATATGCCAAGAATATCGATCTTGTTAAGAGAGATACCTACCCTCCGCCCTCAGAGTAGCCTAGTACCATGGTAGCATATGAAGCCTCAATCAACATAAATCACAAAGCAGGCATGAACAAATTGATCATGTTTACTGGCCAAGGGAATAATATACCAGCTATTGTGAGAGAAAAACAGCTCTTTGAAGCTAATGTCAATATCAATCTACTCTGTCCATCTCTGAGCTCTGTAAAATACATTGCCTTCAAAGAGCCGACGCGCCGTCCTGAAAACCGCGACTTTGCTAACATATACAAAACCATCTCTTTTTATTCCCAACACTGTTCTGGTGTGAATGACGCTCACCGGGTCTCTAATCTTGACCAGCAAAGGAGCCGCGGTGTCTTGTCCTCCAATTTCCATTCCGTGTTTTGGCATTCTACCCGCCATTCCTCTACCAGACAGCTCCCAGGCAACTGTGCCATGGATTGACATGGCCGTGCTTATGCATACTGCCCCTGTTAGCTGGAAACTAGTATGCAGCTTGCCCATGGTGAATGACAGGATTTGCAGATCCTCGTCCCGCCCTTCATCGCCTGGAGACAAGAAGGCCATTTTTGGAGTTCCCCTGACTCGCGCTGCGTCCTCCACGTCCTGAGATAGTTCAAAGCGTACTGCACCCTCTCTTCCGATATCTTCTGCCCTGGAGGTGAAACCCGGATGGCTTGAGTCCTCCAAAGAAGCCCGGCCTTTCATCTTCAAAGAACGAGAATTGACTAAGACGAATGGCTTCGCGGCATCCACAAGGCTCACTCGTACATGGAACTCTCCCAACATCTGGGATCGAACATGAAGAATGCCTTGTGCTGCACCGCTAGGGAACATGCTTCCAGTCATACTCCCTCCAGTGTTGAGAAATGCCACTTTGATCGGGCTCGATGTACCGTCGATACCAGGAATGTGACCCGTTGAAAACGCAGATATCCATCTATATGCACCGGTTCTGCAGCCTGCCCGAAAACATAAGACAGATAGACCTAGAGTCCTATAAGACAGTTAGAGTTAACATAATTTGATAGAACGACATGGATTAAAAAACAGAATTGTAACGAGTGAAGTCTCGTTAAGGAAAAGAAAAAGAAAGGAATCTAAACAAGTTATAGATCCTGAAATTGAACCTGTGAGCTTCAAAACAAGGAGAAAGTATGTATCGTTTTCGCTCTAAAGCAATTTATTTCGGAATTGAAAGTATTAGAACAGGATTCGAAGAACTCTCTAGAGGAATTTGTATTAATCTTCTTCCGCCCTGTGTAATATTTGCATCCAATATGCATCCAATATACGAACCAAATCTTGACACCTGAAGATTGGAAGTAGAAACTTAATTCAGTCTAGGTGAATGTTGAATGAGAATTCATTACTGGGAGGGGAGCCATTACGCTTCACTGCATAACGCATCCTGGTCGATTTAGCTTTGTTTAGCTTTTGCCTCCTTGAGATTTGTTTATTTTCGCCGAGCAGGATTTACCCTCGCTTATTAGAGACAGATTCAACGACAGGTGCGTCAGGTAGATGTTTTATCCGGGGCAAATAAACGAGACTCGGCTCAAATCCGCTCTGGGCGTCAGCAGATTCTTGCGAAGTCCACTCCGTTCTTTCGAACTGCGAATTAAGCTGACGGGGCTTGTCAGTCCGGTCTTAACTTCCGGTGCCCGTCTAATTAAGGGCTTACGCGGCCGCCAGGCGCATTTTCGGGGCAAACAAGAAAACCCAATAGGTCAAATCAGAGTCTTGCTTTCGCTTCGACTCTCCTAAGTGTGTGCCGGTCGGCCAAAACTGGGCCGGGACCTTCTCGCGGTCGGCACTTTTGCATCAAATCCTATATGGACTATTGGCGCTAGGACCGCCACTCAGGTACACTAACCAGCTCTAGATCTCCCCACAATTTTCGCCACCAAGCTTAACCCTCTGCTTTCCCGGAGACGCCGCGAACCTGTTTTCACGGGTAGTTCATGGCAATACCAAGCGATCGGCTTTTGTGCCTTTTGGTTTCCTGATCATGGTATATAAATCTGGCGGGGGATTGCTCAAAGGATGTTCATCACCCATTCCACAAACATAAAGCAGCCATCATGCTTGTTACTGTCATTCCATTCTTTGTTGCTTTGCTAGGTCTAGCAGATGCTGCACCGAAGAAGGTGAATCAGCCCAATCGCGAGACTCAGCACCATACATCGACCAAAGTTTCATACCAAACGAGCTTTGGTCGCCAGGTCTACCATGGACACGTTCCGACCTCAACTGTGCGGAACACATGGTTCAATCCTCTGCCGGTTATTATTTTCTCAACCACTCATCCCACTACCACAGTAACCCCTCCTGTGGTTACCGTGACCGAGACCGACTATGTGACCTCTATCGTCTCTGTTACTGCTGCGGCCAGTACCGATGTTGTCTCGATCACCTCGACCGAGATCGACACCGAAACAACAACCACTACTTTGGATCCTGTCACTAGTACCATTTCTACTGACACTACCACAACTCTGACATCTACCTCGACCATCCCGACGCCAGACGGGTTCACCCCGTTGGTCGATACTTTCGCAACACCCACAACGCTTAAGCGCGATCTCTCGTTACTCGAGGATCGTTCGCAGAAGTTTGATATCGCCGACTTCAAGTACACCCATTCCCTCAGATGCACGCATGAAATTGTCATTGAAGTCATTATCATCGACCTTGTCGTTGGCAAGCCGATCACAAAGACGCTGCGTCCCCAAATGACCACTGAACATACTACCAGTACCATCACTTCCACCTCGACCATTGTCCCCGCTGATGTTTCCACGACCGTTACCGAGTCAGTGACTTCTACGATTTCCAGTACTGTGACGGCGCCCGCTGTGACAACTACGACTACTAGCACATATACTGTGACAGTCTCGACCTCCACCACGTTCTACGACGCCTGCGCGACCAACAATGTTGCCCCTAGCCCTCTTACATCGGACTATGGCAGCTTCGAGGGTCAATACATTGAATCCGTTTCGAGCGCCCAAGGCTCTATCAGGTCAGGTAATGGCAACTCGGCGTACGACTGCTGTGTCTCTTGTATACAAGATAGCAACTGTGGAATTTCCATCTACTGGGCAAGCGGAACATGTTATATTCTCGATAGCGCCACCTGCTCTCCAACTTCAATTATTGGAACCGTCGACACTTCCACAGGATACGCTGGAGGTTCGGTATCTAATGGTCTCTGTGGACGTGCCGTGGGTGGTTCTTCTAATAATTGAAACGTTTCATCCTTGCGATATAGCAAATAATACTATAATTTGTTTGATATTATATATTTGTTTCTTCTGTACTGGGAAAGGATCTGTTTTTTTTTTTTCAGAATAATCTATCATTGTGAATGATCCCCGTACCTAAACGGTTGTCGTGAATAGCCGGCCGCCCGATGCCCTCGGGATGTCACGTGAGCTTCTAGCTGCTTCTGCCGCCAAGCTCTGGGGATGGAGAAGCGCCTGGAAAATTTTCGAGACTTTGGCTTCATCTCCAACTTCCTCTACTTGCCATCTTCCTCCCCCAACCCATTTTCCATCCCCGGGTTGTCTTTCTCCTTTTTAATTCTTTAATTCCGTTTCCGTTTTCCTTGTTTTCACAGTCATGCAGCGCGCTCTGTCTTCCCGGACTAACGTCCTCTCGGCCGCCGCGAAGCGTGCCCCTTTCTCCCGCTCCACCGGCTTGAACCTCCAGCAGCAGCGTTTCGCTCACAAGGTGCGTGATACCAATCCCATGCCATTGACCGTGGCATGATGCGCCCGATGCCCGTCGACTGCGTCTTCCGTCGATTCCGGAGTTCTCCATGCTAACCCGACTGGTCGCAAACAGGAGCTCAAGTTCGGCGTTGAGGCTCGTGCCAGCCTCCTCAAGGGTGTTGACACTCTCGCCAAGGCCGTGACCTCTACTCTCGGCCCCAAGGGTCGCAACGTTCTGATCGACTCCCCCTACGGCTCCCCCAAGATCACCAAGGGTAGGTACTGTTTGGCGATTGTTCGGCAGGACAGCGATTGACTAACTATCGATAGACGGTGTCACTGTCGCCAAGGCTATTCAGCTGCAGGACAAGTTCGAGAACCTCGGTGCCCGGCTCCTCCAGGATGTCGCTTCCAAGACCAACGAGCTTGCCGGTGATGGTACCACCACCGCTACCGTTCTGGCCCGTGCCATCTTCTCCGAGACCGTGAAGAACGTTGCCGCCGGCTGCAACCCTATGGATCTGCGCCGCGGTATCCAAGCTGCCGTTGATGCCGTTGTTGAGTACCTGGAGCAGAACAAGCGCCCCATCACTACCGGCGAGGAGATCGCCCAGGTTGCTACCATCTCCGCCAACGGCGACACCCACGTCGGCAAGCTCATCTCCACCGCTATGGAACGCGTCGGCAAGGAGGGTGTCATCACCGTCAAGGAGGGCAAGACCCTGGAGGACGAGCTCGAAGTCACCGAGGGTATGCGCTTCGACCGTGGCTACACCTCCCCCTACTTCATCACCGACCCCAAGTCCCAGAAGGTCGAGTTTGAGAAGCCTTTGATCCTTCTGTCCGAGAAGAAGATCTCCGCCGTCCAGGACATCATCCCCGCCCTTGAGGCCTCCACCACCCTCCGCCGCCCCCTGGTCATCATCGCCGAGGACATTGAGGGTGAGGCTCTCGCTGTCTGCATCTTGAACAAGCTGCGTGGTCAGCTCCAGGTCGCCGCCGTCAAGGCCCCCGGTTTCGGTGACAACCGCAAGAGCATCCTGGGTGACCTGGCTGTTCTCACCAACGGCACCGTCTTCACCGACGAGCTCGATATCAAGCTCGAGAAGCTCACCCCCGAGATGCTCGGCTCCACTGGCTCCATCACCATCACCAAGGAGGACACCATCATCCTCAACGGTGAGGGCACCAAGGACATGATCGCCCAGCGCTGCGAGCAGATCCGCGGCGTCATGGCTGATCCCACCACCTCCGAGTACGAGAAGGAGAAGCTTCAGGAGCGTCTTGCGAAGCTCTCCGGCGGTGTTGCCGTCATCAAGGTCGGCGGTTCCTCCGAGGTTGAGGTCGGCGAGAAGAAGGACCGTGTTGTCGACGCTCTGAACGCCACCCGCGCTGCCGTCGAGCAGGGTATCCTGCCCGGTGGTGGTACCGCTCTGCTGAAGGCCTCCGCCAACGGCCTGGACAACGTTAAGCCCGCCAACTTCGACCAGCAGCTCGGTGTCAGCATCATCAAGAGCGCCATTACCCGCCCCGCTCGCACCATCGTCGAGAACGCTGGTTTGGAGGGCAGCGTCATCGTCGGCAAGCTCACCGACGAGTACGCCAAGGACTTCAACCGCGGCTACGACAGCGCCAAGAGCGAGTACGTCGACATGATCGCCAGCGGTATCGTTGACCCCCTCAAGGTTGTCCGCACTGCCCTGGTTGACGCCAGCGGTGTCGCCTCCCTGCTCGGTACCACCGAGGTTGCTATCGTCGAGGCCCCCGAGGAGAAGGGCCCTGCCGGTCCCCCCGGCGGCATGGGTGGTATGGGCGGTATGGGTGGCATGGGCGGCGGCATGTTCTAAACGCCTCCCACGTCTCTCACTCTCACGCGTCCTGATCCTCCGTGATGATTTTCTCGCGCATCTTTTGCATCGTCCGTTCCTAAACGCGGCCCTGGATTTTTTGTAATGTTTTGTTGTTGCTTCCTATACCTGTATTCTTCCGTGTTTTTTGACTCTCCACTCTCCTGGGGCTCGAAAAAGGTTCCGGCGCAAACCTGTATCATATTTTCCTCTCCATCTACCTTGTGGTTCTTTGATAATGCATTGATCGAATGCAATCTCTTCCATTGTAGCTACGTAATAGTGGTGTACTATTGGACGGGGGATAATCTGCGGGGTCGGGGTCGATCGACAAGCAGTATATGCGGGACCGAGATCGACCCGCACCGATCTGCACCTAGATAAGACGCTGGGACTTTAAACTCTACGTAACTCTGCCTAATTCTACCTGTAACCTTGTAACTTTGCACTTTTTAACCTGAAACACGAGAAGAAAACCGGAACCCTCAGGTCGAAGACCCGCGTGCCTCGGCCATTGGCTGTCTCGTCGGGTATCCGGTCGTTTTTTGGGCCGTGCAGGCTCCATTGGCGGTCTAGACTTGCCACTCGTTTCTCCTCTGCGCTGCCCGGCTTTCCTCTCCTGTGACCCCAGGTTTTCCCCTCCCTTCACTAGTGCACACCTTCACTCTCTGAGAGAAAGGGTCTGATCTGACTGCGGGGATTTTAACGTTGTGGGGAGTCGGTAATGTATACGAGCGCCTTCGGCAACTTCCTGTGCTGCTGCACCTGTACTCCCCCAGGGGATAACTGCCTACACGGTGAGCTCAGGCCTCCTTCTCTGCTATCTTCATTGCTGACTTCCTCAGTGTGAGCACGCGGAGAGATTTATTTCGGTCGGCCAAGCTATTGTCAACCATGACCGCGCTGGTGGACCCGGGCCGGTTGGCCTTGGTCAGCGACGCAGATCTCCACCAGGCCCATGTAGCCCTCCAGCATCAGCAGAGCTCGGAAGTTTCAGTACCACGAGTGTTCATTTCTCACATCGTCGAGGAACTCATCTATCGCCGCGAACAGCACACCTCCATCGCGGAGATCGAACATGAGTGTAGCCATCTCCGCAAAGAGCTCCGCAAACACACCCACATCAATGAAGCATTTCAGAAGGAGCTGCGTGAGATCGGAGAGATCATCACGCAAGTGGCTCATGGAGACCTTTCGCAACGCGCCCGTATGCATCCCCTGGAGATGTCGCCTGACATTGCGACCTTTAAGCAGACCATCAACACCATGATGGACCAGCTGCAGGTGTTTAGTCAGGAGGTCTCGAAAGTCGCTCGCGAAGTCGGCACTGAGGGCGTTCTCGGAGGCCAGGCGAAGATTGAAGGCATCCAGGGCATCTGGCACGAGCTGACGGTCAACGTCAACGCTATGGCCAATAACCTCACGACCCAAGTCCGTGACATCACCACTGTCACTACTGCAGTAGCCAAAGGCGACTTGACGCGTAAAGTACAGGCGGACTGCAAGGGCGAGATCCTCCTGCTGAAGAATATCATCAACTCGATGGTCGATCAGCTACGGGAATTCGCTTTCGAGGTCAGCCGGGTGGCCCGGGAGGTTGGATCGGACGGCACACTGGGTGGCCAAGCCGTCGTCCATGGCGTGGAGGGCACTTGGAAGAACCTAACCGACAATGTCAATCGCATGGCATCCAATCTTACCCAGCAAGTCCGCGAGATAGCGCAAGTGACGACTGCTGTTGCACGAGGCGACCTCACGATGAAAGTGACCGCCGACGTTAAGGGCGAGATCCTGGATCTGAAGCTTACGATCAACGCCATGGTCGACCGACTCAATCAATTCGCTTTCGAGGTTAGCCGAGTGGCCCGGGAAGTCGGAACCGACGGCACGTTGGGTGGACAAGCACAGGTGGAAAACGTCGAGGGTCGTTGGCGTGATCTGACGGACAATGTCAACACCATGGCGCAGAACCTGACGATGCAGGTCCGGCAGATATCCAACGTGACCCAAGCAATTGCACAGGGTGACCTCAGCACTAAGATTGAGGTTCATGCACAAGGCGAGATCTTGACTCTGAAAGAAACGATAAACAGCATGGTCGATGGCCTTGGACACTTTGCCAGTCAGTTGAAAAGCGTGGCAAGGGATGTGGGTGTCCGAGGTGTACTCGGTGGGCAGGCAAACGTTGACGGGTCTCTCGGCATCTGGCGTTCAATCAGTGAAGATGTCAACACCATGGCCGAGAACCTGACGTCCCAGGTTCGAGCCTTTGGAGAGATCACAGAGGCAGCAATGAGCGGCGACTTTAGCAAATTGATTACCGTGTCGGCATCAGGTGAGATGGATGACTTGAAACAAAAGATCAATAAAATGATCTGGGGCCTGCGAGATAGCATCCAGCGCAATACCGCCGCGCGCGAAGCTGCGGAGCTGGCCAACCGTAGCAAGTCCGAGTTTCTTGCCAACATGAGGTAAGGAGTCACCCTGAATACTTTGAGTCAAGCATAGGCTAATGAAGATAATTAATCAGTCATGAAATTCGAACGCCGATGAATGGAATTATCGGTCTTTCGAGTTTGTCTCTCGATACTGACGACCTCCCTCCGCACGTGCGAGAGACACTGAACATGGTCCATAACCTTGCAATCAGTCTTCTTACCATCATCGACGACATTCTCGACATTTCCAAGATCGAGGCAAACCACTTGAAGATAGAAAAGACGCCATTCAGTCTCGGGGTGACGGTATTTAGTGTTTTGAAAGCCCTGGCCGTGGAAACCAACGAGAAGGCCTTGAATCTGGTCTATACGGTCGACGGAAAAGTACCTGATTACCTAGTCGGTGATGCCTATCGCTTACGGCAAGTGATGCTGAATCTAGTGGGAAATGCGATCAAATTCACCGAGAATGGCGAAATCCAGGTGGCCATCAAGCGCGCTAGAAACGTTCAGTGCGAGCCAGATGAAGCAATGTTTGAGTTTTCGGTGTCAGATCCGGGTATTGGAATCGAGGAGAGCAAGCAAAGTCTCATTTTTGACAAATTCCAGCAAGCAGATGGGTCAATGACGCGCCGGTTTGGCGGAACTGGATTGGGTCTTGCCATTTCAAAACGCCTCGTGGCTCTCATGGGCGGTGACATCTGGGTGTCATCGCAGCCTGGCCATGGCAGCACATTCGCTTTTACCTGTCGGGTGAAACTTGCCGAAGCTCCCCTAGGATTCGCGGAGCAACTGTCCCCTCAGCGCGGTCGTCGAATTCTGATAATCGATGAAGGCCATATAGCAGGATTCCCGGCCGCTCAGATGTTGGTTGAACTAGGACTAGAACCTCTGGTCGTGACCAGTGAACAGCTTGCTTCCGGCCCATGCCAGACTGAATGGAGCTACGCCATTGCCGCAATTCTGGTCTCTTCAATGGAGACTGCCGAGAAGCTGCGGGCTTATGGTGATTTTAGTACCATCCCAATGGTACTCATGGCGCCCATAGTGTACCTCACAATCAAATCGGCCGGCGAGGTCGGTCTCATGTCCTATATCGCAACCCCATGCCGCCCGGTCGACTTGTGGAACGGCCTTCTGCCCGCCCTGGGTAACCGCTCCAATCACGCGCCATCAGGGTATACCCGATCACTAGCCATTCTGTTGGCAGAAGACAACGGCGTCAACCAGAAGGTAGCTGTTCGCATGCTTGAAAAGTTTAACCATAACGTCACCGTGGTAGAGAACGGGCTGCAGTCCGTGAACGAGGTGAAAAGAAACCGATACGACGTCATCCTCATGGACGTTCAGATGCCCGTAATGGGTGGCTTTGAGGCAACTGCCAAGATCAGAAACTACGAAAAGATCAACGGGTTACCGCGAACTCCCATAGTGGCTCTCACCGCTCATGCGATGCTCGGGGACCGCGAAAAATGTCTTTCTGCTGGCATGGATGACTATCTTCCTAAACCACTGGACCCGAACAGAATGATGCAGACGATTCAGAAGTGGTCTCTACAATCCGCCACGCCTTGAAGTTTCCATGCGCTGGACAAGCATTGGAATAGAGATCCTAAGTGTAGACTGATTTCTATGTTTTCTCATGACGATTCATACTCACTCCAGACAAAGAATTCGTTACTTTCTTATGCAAGGTGGACTCGGTGTTTTTACTGCTCTTATGATATCATTAACTCAAAAATCTTGGTTTCCATGGGCTGCTTTTGAGGCGTCGGAGATCACTCATATTTCGTCTGCGTTCCTGGTCTCACATGTTCTCTGCCACCCTGGGCGTCCATGGCTGTTGTCTCATCATTTCTGTCTTGTTAATTATCCAGCTCTATTTCTTACTGAACACGATACCACAGTTGAAGGCCTCTTGTGCCAATTACAAATAACACAATAAATTACACAGCACGTTGGAGTCCTAATGTGAAGTATCTAAGTCTAAAAACTGGCTATTCAAGAACCGCTGCTTACTGGTATCGGTTCAACTTGCTGTTATTAAAAGTGAATTATGTAAATTATCGTGCCTTTCGTCAATTGTTCTGCCAAATGAAGTCGTTTTCACCGGGCATCCGGCTCGGCGTGTGCAATTAATTGGTTGAAACAACCCAGCATTTGCCTGTCCCTGATTACCTATCTTTCATTATCATTGCACCCTATCCATATGAGGTGCATTTCTGCGTCTTTGATTCGAAATGTGGTCTGCTTGGCAGAAGGCTACATCGTTAATGCAATGTGTTAAGTTGTTTACTACCTTTAAGATCTAGAGTAAGAGCGAGGCATAAAACCACTATTAATTGGTTGCCATCCAGAGAGCCAGACTACGAATGAGGGATACTATCAACTTCAAAAAGAGTAGCGTGTAGTCAGGACTTGTGGCAGTGTTAGAGCACCTATATCTATATTATTGGGTCGTGATCCTCAGAACTTCTAGATAATACAACCGTCCTACACATAATGCAAGAACCTGACAGCGTATGGGGGCGCTGGCTCAAGACAGGTAAAGCCAACCGGGATGGAAATCCACAGGTCCTCGGTGTCCAAATCAAACATCAAATCTACGTGTGCCCCTCCTTACCTTCTCCTCAAGCGATTCACGATTTCCCCGAGCCCTCGACTTCTTCCTTGCCTTACGCTCAAGCTCTGCAAGTGGACTCATCTCATGCTCCCTTCTCTGCCAGAAGTCTTCATAATGCTGCTTGCTATGGGTCTCATACCCAAGATAATGGTTGAATCTTATGCGCATCGCTGAATCGTCCGATACGACCGTTGACGGGAATTGGTTCGCCAGCGTATCCAAGTGGAGGAGCCTTTCGATTGGTAAGAGAATGAAGTCTTTGAGTAGCCCGAAGCCGATTTTGTTGTATGTGGTTGCTGCTTGGCGGAGATTTTCGCTGAATGCTAGGAGCAGGGAGAGGAAGATTATGGCGAACGATGCCGGTGCTAAACGCATGTTAGTATTGAAAAACGTAGATGTAGGACACGATGCTTGTTCCTTACCGGCTATCTCTATCATCTCGACTAGCGTGGGGTTTTCTTGTACACCGCTCCATTCTCTGGCGTTCATGCCGAACAGGGAGGTGAAAAATGATAGGGGTAGAAAGCTGATATGATTAAAATGATGCTTGAAATTTCGAAAATGGGACCATGTACATTACTGTGAATATGGTGAATACCATCACCGATCGCGACTGGTTCTGGGTTGCTTCAGCTTGCCAGCGCGCAATCTTAGCTTCGTCGACATTTGCCTGTTTTTGCTTGAGATCAAGCAGGGTCTCCACTGCTTTTTGGGTGAGGTGACTGTTCTCTTTCATTTCATTGATTTGGATGCGATACTCGTCGATTCGCAACTGAGCTGCATCGAGAAAGACTCTCCCACAGCCTTTGATTTCGAAGTATTTTATCATACTCTTAATTACTCCGTCTTGCTGGTCGAGAAGCTTCAGAATGGTGGCGAGTTCGTCTTCGATATCTCGGAGTTCAAGAAGAACAGACAAGTCGTCACGATTTCTTCGTGCCATTTTCTGGTCTCGTTCGTTGCGCTGGGTGGCTGTCATTGGTCTTCCCTCGGTTGTGAGATTGTAGTCCGCCGGGCCGTTGCTGAAGCCGCGGTTGCGGAAACGTTTGAATGATTTGGTGACAGATTCGGTCTAAATAGTCAGTTACTAAGACTCTAGTGGATTAGTTGACGTGGGCTTACCAGAATGCTTATAGACTCTTCAAAGATTCGCAAGACTTGGAGGTCGTGATGTAAAGTCTTGTCAAGAAGAACAGTCACAGCATGCAGCATAATAAGCGCAGCAAGGTCCCCCGCCGTCTCAAATCGACGCGCCAGATCGCCGTTCAACTCATTATAAATAGTGCTGTGCAGATTCGTCTGTTCGAACAGTTTCCCTTCAGAGGTTGTAGCCTCTTGATTTGGAAAGAATGTCACAACGGTCTTCTGATCGACAATCCAGAGCCAGAGCTGGTCAACCATGAGCACATTCCCATCCATGAATACGGTGCGTTCTGGATCACTGGGCTCGCCATCGGTAGCTTCCATATAGCTCCGAAGCTGATCGTCAAGATCGACAGCTTTGCGTGTACGCTTCCATAACATCTGGTCGTCATCGCGAGCGACGGTCGAACGTAGGTTGGGGTACCCGTATTGGTCTAGGGTACGACGGAAGTGAATTGGTGGTTCGCATCCCAAGTACTGCCATATTAACTGTGCTTCTAGGCTGGATTCTGAAATCCTGCTTGGGACTGGTCGTGATCGGCCTTGTCGAAGTCTGTCCTCGACCACCTTCCGCCGTTCGACCAGGTTTCGGTAGGTGTCCCAATGGAGCTGGATCAGATTAGTAGAGGCAAACGTAGTGTTTACTCGTCGAACTTACATAGGGGGTCTAATGAATGATTAGTTAGATTTCAGACCTGGAAGATACGAGGGCTTACATAGAGAGCCAACTGGGGATCCTCAGAAGTGCCAGGCTTGGGGGGTTGTGGAGAACCCATCTGCCGAGAATGGATACACATCGGCTTGACAAAGCGTGCATGTGGCTCCAGATGTCGTGCTCTGTTCAGGTTCAGATACCAATTTTCGTCGTTGATAAATTTCCGTAGACTGGATAACAGCGTTAGTTTTGAGGAGAAATATTCTAGGGGCTACTTGTCCATACAAATTTGGTTCATGGCGGTCGTGACATGCGCGTCGAATGACTTGCGACACCCATCCGGTGTGGGTATATGGAACATGGATCCAAAGTAGTTTTTCAGTGTCAGGCTCTGGCCGGTCAAAGCGAGGTACCGAGCGAGGGATATCCCGCGTTTCCGTAGCTTCGTTTATACGGTCGTGAGTGGTCGATGGGATGGTCAGGAACCGTGACTGTCGCTGTGGAGACCCGGAGCTCCTATACGTCATGGTCAGGGTAGAATTCAGGGATATCAAATTAGGGTCTCTTACGACGGGCGCGAACCACTTGTGTGGGAGCTCCCATCAGAGGTACTTCGTCGGTGGGACCTCAACGTGCTTAGTCCTAAAGTCTGGGCAATAGAATTCCTTCGAAAACGCTCAACAGGTGGTGGAGGACTTTCACTTTGAGGCTCGAAATATTCGTCATGTTGTACAGTGATGTGAACGGTCGGCGATTGCTGCGCTGGCTCCACGAGGCTTTGAATACGTTGCAGGATCGGCCTTGAGGGTCGGACTTCGTCCTCATGATCAGTATTATTCAGATCATGATCTTCTTCGGTCACAAGCTCTTCCGGGCCTGGGATGACGTGTGGGAAGGAGTGTCGAGGGCTGTCGAAACTACTCAAAGAAGAATCGTCCAGTCCAACGGGCTGAGTACGGCCCAATCGTTCCCGAAGACAAGCCAAAGGGCCTTTCGCAAGATAGGTTTCCAAAGAAACACAAGCAGACCACAACTTTAATGGGGACTCATCGCTGACACCCAATGCAGTATCTTCAAAGAATCCGTTGACTTGTACCATGACTTCCGATTCCACGTTGACGGGAGTGTCCATATGCTTGGACAGCTTCACTGCCTCGGTCACAGATTGGCTTAATTCCGCGAGGAACTTGTCCAGGGTTGAATATTGGCCTTGAAAGCAAGCTGTGCCAGCATGGTCAGTAGCCATAGGGAATTCGATCTCATGTTCGATGCCGAGTAGTCCGGACCGAATGGAAGTTATGGGCGCATGGAATTCCACGATATTCCGTGTTTCCAAGTCCAAAACATGTAGATTCGAGTCTACAGTCTCTAGAAAGGACCAAACCTTCATATCTGCCGAAAGGGCCTTGAACTGGTTGGACAAATGCCATAGTCGCTCCTGCCGGGGTCGGAACTGTTTTCTGAGCGCGGGTGATATCTCCTGCTCTAAATGCAGCAAATGGCGTATACTCGAGGTATACTCCTCCGCGGACAGATAACTGGAGCCCTGGTGAGGAGTCGCAAAAAAGGCGATGCCGTAACAACTGGTCAGGACGACCTGCTGGTTCGGCTCGGCCCGTGAGGCTAAAGCGAGACATGCTTTGGCCACCAGGCCTCCAGTACTATGGCAGATGAAGAATAGAGGCCGTCGAATGCTCTGCGATTGTCTCTCGTGCAGTAGATGGTTCAGTAGTCGCTGACCAAAATCTTCAATCTTATTGTGCTCATGCAGCGGTCCATGGTTATATAGCAGCACGCGTGCCCTGGGCATGCGCTTGAGTAGTTCCGTTTCTAGCCAGGGTGACCTTGATCCCTGCTCCGTCCATGTCTTTTGATGATGTGCACCGATAGGTGGGACTCCGACGATGCTAACGAATTTTGAGGTTAGCTGTTGGTTGTCAGCGACTTGCGGGGAAGACCCACGTACTCCACGTTCGTGTCTTTGGCGGCCATTATATGCTCGAAGCCCGCCGAGCGCGGTGCAGTCACCGTTGGCGGTGGCATCTTTCCTACGTACTCGAGTCGCACATTTAGAAGCAAAACCACGGAATCGGGGGTGAATTATGTGCAGGATGGGGGCCATCTTTAAGGGGAATTTCAGCCTCCTGCGATCATCTGCCACCTGCCTGCGCCCGGGCGACTCTGGTTCGCCCCGAGTCGGCAGTGTCTGCCGATCATGAGTCAATGCACGCGGGTGATGAATACGAGTGGCTCTACGGTGATGCTTTTCGCAGGGATCGCTAGGACTCCAGAACAAGCGGGCATCCACTGCACCCGGGCACCGGAGTATTTCTGAGCGGACCCTCTACCTCGGCTTTCCTGGTACAATTATGTGATGTATGCTTTGTATTTTCCAGACAGTCCACAAACTTCATATGTACAGCGGATGGTGTGTTTTCGTCCCATAAAACCACTCCAGAATGCCCTCAGAATAAATGCACACTCTATGATTCGCCAGGTGCGGTATCATCGTTAACATCAACGCCAGAAAAGAGACAAGACAAAGAGAGTTGGGATAGGGCGGTCGAGGGTCGATCGCATGCATTGTAAAAGTACAGAGAGAGAGGAGGAAATAGATCAAGAGTTCTCTAGGTGTCGTCGTTCGTTCACATCCCGCGCCATACGCTTTCCGAGTTCATAGGTTGAAATCATGATGGCACAGGCGGGCGCAACCTTTAGGCAGCGCGCGGCCCAGCCACGGAAGAGACCATTTATACCTTCTTCGCGGAAAATATGAAGCAGAAATCTCGGGAGAGACAGCTGTTCGGGAACGACGGCTTTGGGAGGATGAGCGGGACGCGGTGTCGAACTTGGGACTTGATCGTCCATATGCCGGAAGACTTGCTGACGAGTTTTGCCCACATCGAACGGTGTTGTCACCAAAGCTGCAACTGCGCCCGAGGTTGCACCGGAGATGAAGCTATCAAGGAACGCCGTGGCGGAGGAGGTTGTCTCCAGATCAGAGCCGGAAAGATGCGGCGCATGCTGCCGCGCTGATACAAGACCCTTCTTCACCTCTTCGTAGCCCCACCAGTAAAGTCCCGAAAAGGGTACATCACGCCACATCGTGAGCGACAATCCTCGCCAGAGGGAGGTGTACCCCCTCGCCTGCGTCATCTGATAAAGCCCCTCCAAGGTCGCCTTGAAGTGACCAGCGCCCGTTCCCGGAGTCGCCTGGAGACGCGTCCTGAACATCTCGACCGGACTTGTCGCCGATGCGGCAGCTGTCCGTGCTATCGAGCCTGCCACGACCGGCGCATACATATCCGACACTCCCTGTTTGATCGGACTCCGGTCATCTGTGCGCAACCAGTCGTAGCCGGCAAAGTAAATAATGTTGGCGGGAATGCCCATCATGAGAGTTGGGCTCAGGCCACGCCATAATGTCGTGAATCCTTCATTCCTCGCAATCTTCCTTAATCCGTCAAATGTCGATGTGAACGTCCGCCGTTGCGATTCTTCAACCGCACAGTCGATCCCTGGGTGTGCCTGTGGTCCAATAGCGGCGGCATTTGGACCCAACATACACATCTGCGCATTGTCTCCGACCCAAAACACTTCACGGCAGCAAGCTGTAATCCCAATGTTCGGAGGAAGGTTTTTCAGAGTCTGAGTGGTGTGCGAGGTATACGGCGAGAGGTTGACGACTTGGGATTGAGATTGCAAACGAACTCGAACGACATCTAAAGGGGTGACTGCAAAGAGTTAGCGACATATTTTTCGTCCAGCGATCGATATTCGAAGCTCACCGAGGAGTCCCGTCAAAATGTTTCCAAACGTCGCAGATATCATTCGTTGCCCGACGGAAATATCGTCTATTTGTGGAGGAGGCGTGGGAGATGGGTTAGAACCCGTTCCTGTCGTGGCTGTCATGGTTGCCACTGTTTTGGTGTCGTCAAAATGTGACGTCCATGACGCTTCGGAGGAGTCGATCTCGGTCCCGAATGCGCTACCAGGAGCGCCCGGATGGTTCGAAGCTGCAGAGAGATCCAGCCCGATCGTCATTCAGTCGGCAGCCACCGACCGTGAGATAAATTAAGCGCGAAGCCGGGCTAGCGACGCTGAGGTTGAGGAGTGACGGAACGGTTCGTCACCGGCAGGGAAGATTTCCTGGAAGTTCGGGGTTCGGGTGGCGGCAACGGCGTCCGGCGGAGATAAGCAACCTCCATCAACCACTTTTCTTGAAAACAACTCTCCAATGGCGACTGTTGATCTTGGGTAACTTGCCGGGCTTTTATTTCACTAATCCGTGCTTCTCGGTGGACCTTGAAGCAGGGCTTATCAGATTTGATCGCATCTCCGACACCGGACATCGGGTCCCCGCCATGCAAGACAACGCCGAGCTTGAATCATTCCGCCGGGAATGGCGCGAGGAGGTGGCTCGTCGATCGAAGCCCAGGTCTACCCAGGCTGCCCCTCAAGCTGCCGCTGCCCCGCCACTAACGCGACTACCACCGACTCACCATGCCGCTGCAGACCGCAAGGACCTTGAGGAGGAGGGGCCCCCGCCTGCCTCCTTCGACCCCGAGGAGCTGGCCCAACGGGTCGGGGAGCTGAGCGTACAGCCAGAGAAGGAAGCAGACGAGGATGAGTTTACTCGTCGCGATGTGACAGAGCCCAACACTGCGTTGGAGCACTTTGAACGGGCGGTCGAGAAAGAGGCCGCTGGCAAACTGGGTGACAGTCTTCAGCACTATCGTAAAGCTTATCGGGTAAGTGTATGATTTCATTTGATGGCAGGCGTATGTATTAACGCCGAATAGCTTGATGATGCCGTTGATAAGAAATTCCGAAACAAGCACTACGCCCATGTATGGAAGAAGCCCGCGCAACCGATTCCCGACCAACCGTCTACCACGTCCGCGACTGTTCCAGCACCCGTTGAAGCAGAGATACTTCCCATATCCGAATTGATTGCGTCGTTTGCCCATCTGCCCATCCCGCCGGCGGATCCGGTCGTTGAGAACACTCCTCCTCCGCCGTGCCCAATCTCCAAAGTTCCGTCCGAGGTGATAGTGGAGATCTTACACTATGTGGCACTGCGAGACCCGGCAGCTTTTGGTCGGATGGCACTGGTATGCAAGCGGTTCGCGTACCATTTTGCGCATGAGCAGCAACTATGGAGGCGAATCTGCCAGTCACCAGAATTTGGATTCAAGGGCATGCACTACACTTTTGCCTGTGATCTCCATGGACGTCCCATATACACACTCGGCGATCGATACACTCCATTCCCAACAGATGTGCCTCTGGAAATCCCTAAACCCTTGTCTTCATGGAGCGAAGTATTCCAGTCATACCCACGGATCCGTTTCACTGGGATCTATATCAGCACTGTCAACTATACGCGAGCCGGTGCCGCGTCCACCTTCCAGACCGTGTCGTGGAACAGTCCCATTCATATTGTCACTTACTACCGCTATCTACGGTTCTACCCAGACGGGTCCGTGGTGTCATTATTGACTACGACTGAGCCCGTCGACGTAGTACCATACATCAGCAAAGAAAACATTATGGCCGCCCGAGCCACTTCACACAAGGGCCACCAGCGTCAAGTCTCCGATATAGGCAAGTCGTTATCCGGGGCAGCGGACCCGGTCCCGCCAGTTGCCCAAGCCGCATTGAAGTACGGCTCCCGCGGACGCTGGCATCTAACCTCACCCGACCCTCTTCCTGAGTCCGAAGACCAGCCCGAACCAACACCAACCCCAGGCGAGCCCTCCACCGATCCTCGCGATCTCATAATAGAGACGGAGGGCGTGGATCCCAAATATGTGTACACAATGCACCTGTCCCTGCGGTCTCCATCTTCATCCAAGTCGCATATGAACCCTTCGAAGAACACCAAGCTTGTCTGGCGCGGCTTCTGGAGCTATAACAAGCTTACTGATGACTGGGGCGAGTTCGGTCTCCGAAATGACCGTGCTTACGTCTTCCGCCGTGTGCGGGGATGGGGCCTTGCATAAAAAGATGATTGATGATTTTGATGTCCCTATCTAAACATAAATACATAGAGACGACTGTGATTAAGTCAAATATAAGACCCTTTTTGTTCAAATCCAAAGCTCACCTACGTATTTACATAGATTTAAAGCTTCCGTATTTGCTTACACCTGAGCATGGGATATGGAATAACGCGCAGGGTACTAAACCTCTACCACCTGTGGGCTGTGCATGTGTTATTTCCAAGTGTTGAATGGAGCACCGAGCCCAAGAATAATGACTATATTCTAGGCGACACCCGGGTAGAGCGGTATGTGGGACAGAAGCCCGAACTGAGAGGCTCGTGGGCCCGCCATTTAGGCTGCCTGGGCGCTAAGCGTGCACGGAGCCTTCACATGAACGAATTTGATTCCTTGTACCATCTTGAACTATGAAAATATCACCCGGGTGCCTACGGTAGCCTAAAAAGACACTCGCTGTACAAAAAACTGAGATTTGATGTTTAGGGTCTTGGGATGGATATAAATACCCTGTTCTCCCTCATGAAGGTCTCCATAAACAGCATCTCAGAGATTCAATTCAATCTCATTTCATCAAATTAACACCTCTGAATTCATAATGGCTCTCCTTCTCGCTGGGATTTCCCTGCTAGCTGCTGTTCAGGCATGCACCGTGACCCCAGTCGAAGTCCCTGGGGGATGCACCAGTCTCCCGTCATACGATTCTTCGTCCGGCATCGCAGGACCTTGGATCGTCGAGATGAACCAGTGCGTGAACACAACAGCACCGGACAAGGCCTGCAGCATTGAAGGATTCGGCAGCGAGGCCGTATACCTTCTCCAGCAAGGGGACACCAGTGTGCAGCGCGGATATGTACTATCTCCCATCCACATATCTAAGACAAGTTAACATCTAACGAAACACAGATCGCAATTGTCTCTGAAAATGATCTCGCCAAGAGTCCTCTCCGCTGCAACGACGCAACTGACTCGTTCGAGTCGTACGTCCCATCGGGCGTGAGTGGTTATGAGTGGAAATCTGTCAATATCACCGATATGCCCTATTCTGCGCAGCTCATGTGGGGTTTGGGACAGTATAGTTTGCCCATTCAGGCGTATTACCACTACCTTGATGGTGTCAAGCAGGATGGTATCTTTCTCGGCGCTCACAATGTGACTAGCTGGGCTGTCCAGCTCCAGGATGGCTCTGCGGGTAGTGGTGGCAAACCGTACTGGCTGGTTAGGTTGCTTGGCCCCGGTAGTGCGGACCCGGTGACTGGTGCCGAGTTGGAGCATGGGGAATATAAGACTTTTATTCGGATTTATGGAAGTTGAGTGCATTACATGGGATATTTCTGATCAGACTCGTGATGGATGTGTTCTATTCCGGCGAGATGTAAGGAATACACGGGGGATATAAGAAGGAATGGTTATATACAGTGTTCTGGCGATAGTACAGATAGTTCGATTAGTTCCTCCAATTGATCACCTGTTCTTCATCGTCATCCACAATTACTACCATCCACACACCGACTTGTCCGTTACTGGCGTACAGTGGTGTGCAGTGGACATAGCGGTTGCGGCCTTCGGTGTTGAATCGCGTTACCCATTTTATGCGTGCTGTTACGCCGCGGCCGTCCATCATTGCTTGGAGGAATTCTTCTCGGACGGAGGTGGAGCTGCCAATTCGGGAAAGGAATGACGATTGCAACATGCCCGGGATTTGAAGGGATGGAGATGTGAAAAGAATTTTGAGAGATGGGTAGGGGCGAACGAGGAGGTACTTTTCCATGTTAGTGTTTGGTAATTGAAAAGGAAAGAGGGGAGACATACGTTCTCATAGACGCCGGCCAGAGCTCCTCGTAACATGGGCGACTTGAGATCTCGTAGTCGAATAGCTTCGGCTTCGCTGTCCACGGACCTTCCGCGCTGGAGCCAGGTTCGGTGGCCATTGCGAGTGCTGCTTCTAGCGGTCATTGGTTGGAACAGATCACCTCCGTTCTCTGAAACGGATGCCAGCTCGCGAGGGCTAAACAATTCGCAGAGTTCTTGGAACTCTTCCTTATGCTTGTGTTCGGGCATTTCAGCAATGCTTTCTTCATCGGGGTCTCGGTATCGAGATTGGAGCTCGATCAGTGATTCCATCTGGGCGCCATCGAGTGCCAGTCCAGATACATCAATTTGTGCCCCGATAAAGTACTTAACCCGGCCTTGGCTGTCACATAGGGGTGAACATTGAAGAAGGTTCATGAAGGGGGAGCCGTCACGGCGACTGTGCATGTTGGTATCACTTCACGGCATGGCGGTGGACGAGACATACTAGTTGAGGAACAGTTCGGAATGGTGACGACATTCCTTGATGGCTTCGCGGATTCGACGTACACTGTTCTGGTTTGTCTTGGGGCCTTGAAGGAAACGACAGTTACGTCCCAGCACGTAATCCATACCATACTGTGTTGTGCGATGGAATTCTACTGCAGTGAGCCCTATGCGAAGACGGATCAGGTTCACGAGACATACCTTCAGATGCAAAGATGATCGGGTTATCCGGTCGAGACGGATCGGTTAAACAAAAGACTTCGGCCAACGCATTTGACGTGTCGCGAAATTTGAAAGGCAGAGTGCCACGGACACGTTCTTCAACAATCTTGCTCGTAATCGTGATGCACCTTGATGTAATGAATGCGGGCAGCTCCTCCGCTGTCAACGCCCTAAGACCATCTTCCACCCTTTGCTCCAGTACCTTATTAGTGGTGATTCCGACAGGGTTATTTCCTGCTTGGAGGACCTGGACTGCAGGCGGCGGAACATCGGTTGACAAGCGCACTAGTGCATTGGCATATTGAAGTGCTTTCAATGCTTTGGCAGCGTTAAGATAGTATGTAAGCGTAGAAATCGAACGAGGTCTCTCTTCGTAGAGATATTCGCGAAACCGAGCTAGGTATCGCGGGGTGGTGAGGATATGTAACATATGCTCCGTTCCAAACATCACATCTGAGAGGCGCTCCAGCTTATGCAAAGGCGCCTCGACACCATCGAACGGCGCGATCAAGTCATAAGACACGCCCTGTTCATTCTCATTCATAGGGTGAAATTCCTCCGCATTCTCGTACGGGTTCATCTCCTGGAGCAGAGGCAGCTCGTTGGTGGTGACATTGCGACGCATGTTTTTCACGGAGGCCCGGGGAGTGGGATAACCCCCTTCCTCCTCGATCGCATCGAGGTTGTTAGCCCGGCTGGGTGGGTGAGGGAAATCATCGAGGACTTGGTCAGTTCTAGGCAGATCCGATCAGCGCGAACTCTCGATCTGAACTGGTTCCCGATCCGTCCACTTACCGCGATGTTCGGCCCGATTCAGAAATCCAGTCGTGATAGTCGTCCGGTTGGGTCGTCGCGAACGATCGCACTGATTCTGTGTCCGGATTGGCAAAGCCCTCATTCAAATCTGTGCGAGACATGGTCTTCACAATGAGGAAATTATTCCGCAGCAGACTACAAATTATACAGGAGTGTCATCTTTCTTTAATAGCTCTACCTGGTATACGCCAAATTGGCATAGGGATGATGCATCAATTGATCGTCTATATCCACAGTTCGACTTTTTGGTGCAAAATCCGTGCGAACCAGAGTTGCCGTGGTAAGAGAAGACGTGAACGCGAATTCCAGTTGCCAGGTCACAATTAATCGGAGCGCGATCGATCGATGCGCCGGAGAACCCCACGGGATCGGGATCAATTTCGAGGCGATGATGCAACGGCGCAGTGGAGGTTCTGTCAGGACTACGTTAATGCGAAGAACGTTCTGTGATCGTCCTCGGCAGCTGAGTCTTGATTTTTGCCTTTTCGTACTCGGACCGTGATCTAGTGCCCCGTCGGTGTTGATTGGCCTGATCAAGTTGGATACGTCCGTTGCGCATTTGACAGCCCAAACTTTGGATAATCTGGGGTTTGATAGACTGGATAAAGAGTTTTAAAGCCGGTTAATTGTTTACTCGTGACAGATTTTAGAATTTGAGTTACATTTGACATGACTCGATTCCACCGCAGGAGTTTGTAAACTGGGACTCAGACCCTCCGCTCGTCCCCTGGGGATTTTCCCTGATCTTCCAGCTCGGCAGAAGACACTGTCTGAGCACCGACGCAATTTTTGCTGGCGGTCTAGACTGCAACTTCGGGACTTTTGTCTCGCATCCTGCTCGCTCTCATTTCCTTTTTACCGCCCTAGTGAAGAGTAAATCCTCCATCTACGTGGATCTTTGAGTGTCTGAGCGGTACGAACCTGCGTAAGCACCGTTTCCAGGACCGAACAAAAGGGAGGGCCTCCATATCTAGTTGCTATTGCATTGCAGTGAATATCGACCAGGGCGATATTTCCCTTCAACTCGATAACGGCGGATTTAGACATACAGTCTCCTGCCGCGAGAGGCCAGTCACTATCACTGACCGCCGAATTTCGAGTAAAACTATGAACGGTATCTTTCCAGTCCTACCAACCGCATACTTGAGGGTTCTGGCAGCCAATGCGGCATTGCGGGGATTGTCATAGAGGAGACAACCACGAGCTAGATAGTTGACATTCAGCCACCTCCCAATCTGTACAGTCTCGGGGGGCATGAAAGAGGTCGTGTCCGCTTCGCTCGTGAGGTGGTACAAACCCCACAACTTCGCAAGCGGGACGGAAGGCAGGGATACGGGTGCAAAAGTACCCATTGGATTGTGCTCAAAATTGGGGATCACACTTATGGTGATTCACTACTTGCCTGATTCCCGATGTGAATGCCGGCGATTCGCATGTGCTTAGGATGTTTGTAGTTGATTCTTGTTGTCGTCTATGGAATTGAAGGAAGATCTATAGTGGTTTGGATAGCGTCCTAGGTGAAGGGTCGGCGGTAGCATTCTTAATTCAAAACAAGATACAGACTTAAGTCTTTTGATAAATGCTACTACTCAATCATACTTGATGAAGACATGAAACAGCCCTGTAATATTTTGAGTGGTTGGTTTACCGCCAGTGTATACTGGCACCAGGGCTGCTCTTATCGATAAGGCGATAAGGCGATAAGCGAAAATTTTTGGGAGATCGCGGCGAAGTTAAACTTCGCGATCTTCCCATTAACGCCATTCACAATGCCCGAGAAGGTGCACACACACTTTGGTGACTCGGACGGAGAGTCCTCAAAGCAGGCACCGAAACCTATATCAGATGCAGTTCCTGCCGAGGACGGCGCCTGGAAGAAGAGGCGCAGCAAGAAGCGGAAGCGCGACGAGCCCGCCGACAACTCCCAGCCGCGCAATGGCGAACCAATCCAGGCCCCAAAGCCTTCTCCAGTCGTCGAGCCAGTAACACAAGAACCAAAGCCGGACACGAAGCCCGATGATACTCCCCAACCTCCGCCCAACAAGACCCAAGTCGCAAAACACAAGAACAACTTCAAGCCGAAGTCCTTCTCCGACACCAAGACAAACTTCGCACCCCTACGAGAAAAAGCAAATGCCCTTTACGAGCTCCGGAAGAAGCTTCCTATTTTTGGACACGCCGATGAAATCCGCCAGAAGCTCCGCGAGCAAGATGTGATGCTCCTGGTCGGTGAAACTGGTAGCGGAAAGAGTACGCAGATCCCGCAGTTTCTGGTGAATGAATTCTGGTGCCGACCGACACCCGCCCAAATACCCAAGGAAGATGGCTCAACAAGATCTGCCTCGGTGGGAGGATGTATCGCCATTACGCAACCGCGTCGAGTCGCTGCCATTACGCTGGCTCGCCGTGTAGCTGAGGAAATGGGTACACCGCTTGGATCTTCTTCGCCCGCTAGTAAGGTTGGCTACTCGGTTCGATTTGATACGTCTGTGTCGCCGAGCACCCGAGTCAAGTTCTTGACGGAGGGAATGTTGTTGCAAGAAATGCTGCACGATCCTTGGTTGACCAAGTACAGCGCTGTCGTGGTTGATGAAGTGCATGAGCGTGGTATCAATGTTGATCTAACTGTTGGGTTCCTGCGCAACTTGGTTTCAGGGAAGAAGGAGGGTCGTGGTGGTGTGCCTCTCAAAGTGGTGGTTATGAGTGCCACGGCGGATATGGAAAGTCTAATGGGTTTTTTCCAGGAGGGATTCAAGATCCAGGAGGAAGAACAGAAGCATCTTTCTAATGGAAATTCTGGCGAGAAAAAAGAGACTGTCAAAGAGATCACGGCCTGCCATATCAAGGGCCGACAGTTTCCCGTCAAAACCATCTACTCGCCTGCACCTGTGCACGACTTTGTGGACGCAGCTCTGAAGGTCATCTTCCAGATTCACTACAAAGAGCCAATGCCCGGTGATATCCTGGTTTTCCTGACTGGTCAGGAGACCGTGGAAGCCCTGGAGCAGCTGGTTAATGAATACGCCACTGGGATGGATCCCTCTCTGCCTCGGATATTGGTCCTGCCTCTGTTCGCGGCTTTGCCTCAAGCAGCCCAACAGCGCGTCTTCCAACCTGCACCACCACGCACCCGAAAAGTAATTTTAGCGACTAACATTGCTGAAACATCCGTGACCGTGTCTGGCGTCCGATACGTGGTGGATTGCGGCAAGGCAAAGGTCAAGCAATTCCGTACACGCCTTGGCCTAGACTCGCTGCTTGTCAAGCCCATCTCCAAGTCTGCTGCCATTCAAAGGAAGGGTCGAGCCGGTCGTGAGGCAGCAGGACAGTGCTTCCGTCTATACACTGAAAAGGATTACCTGACCTTGGATGAAACGAATACTCCCGAGATCCTCCGATGCGATTTGAGCCAGGCACTTCTGAATATGAAAGCGCGTGGTGTGGACGATATCGTCAGATTCCCATTCTTGACGCGCCCACCGCGGGAGGCGCTGGAGAAAGCCCTGCTTCAGCTTCTCAACATCGACGCCTTGCAAGACTCCGGGAAGATTAGCGACGTCGGCCTGCAAATCGCCAAGCTTCCTCTCACGCCAACACTAGGACGAGTACTATTAGCAGCTGCGGAAAATGGCGCTGATTGTTTGATCGACGTGATCGACATCATCTCCTGCCTCAGCGTCGAGAATATATTCCTCAATACGACCTCCGAGGAGAAGAAGGAAGCTGCCGAGACGGCCCGCCGGGATCTGTTTCGGCGTGAAGGCGATCATCTGACGATGTTAGCAACGGTACGGGCTTACGCATCCGAGAACGCCGACCGAAAGGCATGGGCTGAGCGACACTTGGTATCGCATCGGGCCATGCAGTCAGTAATGGTATGTTTTGTTGTCGCTCCGTGGATATTGATTCCGATCTAACCCCTAACTCTTAGGACGTCCGCAAACAACTCCGAAGTCAGTGCCGTCAAGCCAAACTCCTTCCGAGAGATGACGGCAGAGATCATACGTCTGATCCCGCACCGGTTCTCATCCTGCAGAGCTTCCTGTGTGGATTCGGGAACAATACCGCCCGCCTGGTACCAGATGGGAGCTATCGCACGGTGGTTGGGAACCAAATCGTCGCTATTCATCCATCGAGTGTACTCTATGGCAAGAAGGTGGAGGCGATCATGTACAACGAGTTCGTTTTTACAAATCGCAGCTATGCGCGCGGGGTTAGTGCGGTGCAGATGGACTGGGTCGGTGAGGCCTTGGCTGGTTAGAACACTCGGGCTATCTCTTTGTCGAGCATGGTATATACCCCTGATTATACGAGCTTATTACAAACACATTTCACTGTACATGGTACCCCGGTCCCAGCACCGTAGACTACTGTGGAGGGTGTATTGTAAACAGTTTGGCCGAATGGGGTGATCACCGCATCCTTACGTCCGCCATCCGCTAGGAATAAGCGGGTAATCTGTTGATCGCTTTTGCCACAAGCCTCCACGTCAGACCTGTTTTGGCTGTATGTAAAATAAGGAAAACAGGGGAGAAACAGGGGCCGCCAGGGATGTTGGGCAATCACACGCGAGCAGTCACATTTGGGCCTGTCGCAGATGACGGGACTTCGCTGTTCCTATCTTTGTTCTGTTTTCCAGGACTACTTATCTCAAGGTGTTTGTCCTCTATTCCTCTGCTTGTATAATTTCTCCGAGCCCTCATTCCCATGTTCTAGGGCCGTTTACACGACCGAGTGGTCCGATACCGCCAGTTGCATCATCCGGGACTCCACCCGTTCTTATCACCTGTTCCTGTTATCAACGCATCATCAACCCCAACAGCTTCCTGACTCTTTTAACCCTCCCCTGATACCCCCACTGTCTTGAAACACTCCTCGAGTCCTCCCCGACTGATCTTTCACACCTGGCCGCATCAGCGGTCTCTTCTCGCGGGGAAGATTTACCTTCTCTCTCCATCCGCTTATCTCTCTCCGCCGCATTCGATCGTCATGGCCTTGCGTGTACCAGCACAGGCTCCCCGCCCCAAAACTTCGTACTCGGCCCCCCAAATACCTCCCTCGATCGATATCCCTCCTTCTCCCACCGAGCAGCGCGAAGATGACACCGCACAATGGGTCCTGTTTTCCCCCACCGCCCACACTCACACGACCTCGACAGATCGCACTGCGGGAGCCTCACGACTGAGCGATTTTGGCTCCTTCGGCACTGCTACTCGCTCCGCCGCTGGTCCGGACGGCGAAGTGGAAGACGAGGAAGCCCTGGATGACCAGCTTGACGAGGATGGTACCGAGCTAGATAGTCTGGATGATGGCTTGCATGCTTTCCGTGCTCCGTCGCTCTCCCCCGCAAGTGCGGACCACGGGCCACCGGCGATGTTACCGGCTCATGACGGACTAGGAAGCTTCCAAGCTTCCAGTCAGCAGGTTCAGGACCAGCTCTGGCAACATGAGCAATATAATCCTCAACGGCGTCCGTATGGCTACTCCCAGCATCGCCGGCATTCTAGTGTCCAAAGACACCTGGATACAGTTGATGAGGGAGAGGCGAACGTCGAAAGGGACCGGTGGCAGCGGATAGAACAATGGCGCATGGACCAAAGTGTCGCGTTGATGCAGGAAATCGAACGTGAGACTCGTCGGAGGTCCAGCCGTGCAAGTCAATCAACCATTCCCCGATCTATTGATTATACCTCACCGGCTAGTGTCGCAGATCTTTCTCTGGAGAAAGAGGCTTCACCGGAAGGAGGTGCGGAGACTGAGGAAACATTCTGGAGACGCATAACGCGAAAGGTCATTCGCGATTTGATCGGCATCGACGATTCCTTGTTGTGCGTTATCTTTGGCGAGTCTCTGCCGCCGGACGGGCAACTTCCTGAAGATAATTCCGAAGAGCTCAGCATGGAAACTGTGCTGGCGCACGAACCGGAGCCGGAGCATACGGAGCCACCGATATGGCAGTCCCGTGTACTTCAGCGAATTGCCCACGAATTGGGTATTCTGGTACATCAGATCTGCGAGCATCCCGGTGCATTCTCCACATATTACCAAATGACCAAGGACATCTCGAGTGAATATGCCGGCATGTCGCTCAACCGCCTAGCAGAAAGTAAAACCCTGCAAGAATCCCAAGAGTCTACACCTCAAACATCGGCGGACACAACAGATTCCATGCCATCTCCACACTTCATGCCCACACTCCGTGACCCCAACCGCGACCACGAGGCGCAATGGGGCATCGAGGAAGACGACGTACCTGGCCCCGAGTCTACTCGCGCCCAACAAGAACAAGAGTATTGGGAACGCGGCCTAGACGTCATGATGGTCTTCCGCTACCTGCGCACGCGCTTCAGCCGCCGCGGGTACATGTCGAACGATCGACTCACCTCCAACCCTTCACCCCGTCACACTCAAGATCCCTCACGTCGTGCCGCTATCATCCGTCAACACCATCCCCTCGTCGCTCGAGCACACTCTCGTTCCCAAACACAATCTCGTCGCGTATCCCATGTTTCGGGTCCTGTTGGTGTCTCCTCGCCTCTATCACGGTCCCACCTCCGACGACCCAGCTCCAGCTGCGCGAGTCAGAGCAAGTTGTCGGCTATCTCGAGTCGTCGGACGCTGACGGGATCTAGTCGGAACTACTGGGATATTGGTGGGAGTGTGGAGAGTAGCAGTGTGATTGGTGTTGGTGTCGGAGCTGGGCTCGGCGCTTGGGGCGGGGTTTGATCTATTATATGTTTGTCTGGAGAAATGCCATTTTGGAGTTTTTGCTTGGTCGTATATACAATGGAGAGAAACTACATCTTGATGGCGATGATGGGGTTGGGGTTGGCCTTTTGATTTTTCTGAAGTTGGCTGGCGTTTTGGATATTTTCGGGTTTTTATATATGTCTACTCTCATCTACTGCATATACGCATCCATCTATGGAACCATCTATGGAATATTTACTGGATCGTTTCTGGCACGTATTGGCTTTCAGCCTCTATCATCTAGGAACAGCGTTAGGTGAAAATCCTTATTTGTCAAAATAAGGCTGTTTGAATACGAAGTGGCTGATGCGATTCCGCGGAGAATCTATTTTCAACTGGCTCTGACGAGCTTAATTAACAATCCATCCTCCTCAACCTCCAAAGACAACCCGGACAGTACTGCAAAAGGTAGAACCAAAGCCCTGTTCTGAAGATGGAGCCGTTGAAGATATACTCTTTAGCTAAGTCTTCGCTTTCGAAACCTAGTACAGTATACACCAACTCCATCCAAGGCACCTAGATATACACCCAAAATAGCTACCCAAGGAAATTAGTTCCCAACCGCTGCACCCCAAGCAAGCTTACTATCAAACTTCGGCTGGTCCTTACTCTCGGGAACATTCTCATCAAAATCGAAACGATCGGGAACCTCCAATCCAGCCGAAAGATGATGTCTCACCAAGAGCATAGAAACACCATCACGGTACAGCCACGGATCCTCAGTCCGACGCTGCCACACTTCAGTAGCAGCTCTCATCTCATCCAGAACCTGCTGGTACTCAGGATCCTTGGCCAGGTTCTTGACCTCATTAGGATCCGCCTGGATATCATACAACTCCTCGGCAGGGCGGAAGAAGTAGTCCTTCAGAGGGCGGGAGCCGATCATCTTGGGACTAGCGTCGGAGTTCCGGATATCCTCCCAGGTTAGGGAGCCGTAGATGTCAGCCGCGAAGGGGAAGTCGAGCCTCCAGGCGATGTTGCGGTGGTACTTGAAGCGGCGGTTGCGCATGAAGCGGGTTGGCCAGTAGTTGGTGATTTCGTGGAACGTGTGTGAGCCGAACACGCGGCTCCATGCGTCTAACTGCGATGATTCGGAGAGGATTGGGAGTAGAGAGCGGCCGATGCGCGCGGGATGGTTGGGGCTAGGGTGCTTGGCCCAATCGAGGAGGGTGGGTAAGATGTCGATGTAGGAGACCATGTTGGGGTTCACCACGCCGGAGTCGGTGCCTGGACATTTAATGAGTAGTGGGAGGCAGACGCCGGCGTCGTAGAGGGTGGTCTTGGAGTTGATGAAGGGAGGTCCGTTGTCACTCATGAAGATCACCAGGGTGTCGTCGCTCAGTCCGCTCTTCTTCAGTCCATCCAGGACCATTCCAACGCCCTGGTCGAGTCGAGAAATAGACTGGTAGTATTCGGAGAATTCGAACCGCACGCCCGGGAGGTCGTTGACGAAGGGCTCGACCTGGACGTCCTCTGGCTTGTATTCGATGTTCTGCACGCGCGGGTCGTATTTCTCGGCATTTCCAAATCCAGAGCGAGTAAGGTCTCGGTGGGGATCGATGAATCCGATGGTTAAGAAGAAGGGCTGGTCCTTGGTTTTGGAGCTATCAAAGAAAGCGGAGGCCTGGTCTGCAACGGAGGCAACATCACGGCTGTCGCTCTCGGCGCGCATGTCCCATGGATATATTTGAGAAGGGCCAACGTGCACCTTTCCAATCAACCCAGTGTAGTAGCCCTGCTTCGAGAACAGCGCCGGTACCGTCTCGACATGGTCATAGGTGGTGAAATGATGGTGACCATTGTGCAGACCGTACTGTCCGTTTTGGTGGGTATGAAGACCCGTATAGATGACCGAGCGACTGGCACTGCAGGATGCGGTACTTGTGAAGGCCTGGTCAAACTTGGTGCCTTCAGAAGCGAGCTGGTCCAGATTGGGTGTTTGAATCTTGGTATTTCCATAACAGCCCAGTTGCTTGCCGAGATCATCGGCGACCATCAACAGAATGTTTTTCTTCGCCATGGTAAGATTTGCTTCGAGGTGATGGTGATCCCAAATACCTTCGAACAAAATTCCCCGCTTGCAAATACCCTCCCTATACTTCTTATCTGCGAGCTGTCACGGATCTCGGTTAGTGTGAGCGGGGCAAATATGCGGATCTCGCTTCGGGTGTCGCTTTTCTAGAATGGATTGCGGAGTCAAAATGGTTGTTTGCGAAATATTGTCAATGGATTTGATAATATTAGCATTTGTCAAGAAGTGGAATAGTGGGTAGGACATACAACATTCCAAGGTTGCTGGTGGGGAAAGGTGGGTTTCTTCATTTCTATAGCCGGATGCCAGCTAGTCCATGCGGGGATGATCTGGGAATCCTTAGTGCTCGCCAGGACACACTCGTGAAGCAAAAGGGAATCAAGGTTTTTACAAAAGTCGTCAGGTGTAGTATGAACATTATTTGATAGAAGGAAAGCCCATAATATATATAGTATTTAACGTATAGATACTAGAGTAATAAACCTTGCGTAAATAAAGTTAATACGGGTCTAACGTAGCTATATAGATTATAGCATAATATAGTGCTAAGCCTTATAAAAGAGGCTAGTATTTCTAATCGCTAGTCTTATAGAAAGGTAAGTTATGTGATGGTGTCTTCCTGTCGAAGATCTGACCGCTGGACTAAAAATGCCAAAGGCACTTTTCAGTACCATACTAGTCACACAATCTCAGTTCTGACACCTCCAAAGGGGCCCACACACCCCCGGTTTATTCTGGCCCCTCCTCTCTTAAATAACTGAAGCCTGGACAGAAAGAATATTGGAATTCTCTCTCTCAAACTTTTTGTGCATCATTCACCAAGAATACGAGGCAAGAATGCAATCTCAAATGTGCCCTGACGACATGGCTTGGGAACAAGCCGAGGAGACATCAGACATGTGGCTCGTTCAATTCCTTGAACTTGACATTTTGAGACCGATCGCAGATTTCATGCTCAATCACAACAGAGGCATTGCTACCGAGTTTGCCATACTCAGGAAGGGCTCTTATAACATCTCCTTGCGGTTGAAGTACCGAAATGGTTCCACCGTGATCCGGCTGTCACAGCCTGGCGCAGTTCTTTTCCCCGAGGAGAAAGTCGTGAATGAGGTTGCCGTAATGCGGTTTCTCACGGACCAGACATCGATACCTATCCCTTTTGTTCTGCAATCGGGTACAAAGAAAGAGAGCCCCCTCGAACTCAGCCCATTTATTATAATGGATTATGTCGAACATGAAACCAAAATGTACAATGCTCTCAACACACCGGGATGTCTGACAGAGGAACGTGGAATTTTGGATCCGAACATCGATGAACGCAGACTTGAATTGTTGTATAGGCAGCTGGCGGATATTCTGCTTCAGCTCTCTACACCCTCTTTGCCTCGCATAGGATCTCTCAGCCAGATCGATGACTTGACTTGGAAAGTAGCACGCCGACCTTTGTCAATGAACATGAATGAACTTGTGCGCCTGGGAGGCTTGCCGCGGTCAAAACTTCCCGATCTATATACTACATTCAACACATCTTCTTCGTATATCGAAGCCCTCGCGGATCTCAACATTGAGCATTTGATCCACCAAAGAAACGATTCAGTGCAGTCCGCAGATGACTGTCGGCGAAAATTTGTGGCGCGGCAGCTTTTTCGTAAGCTCGCCAAGGGCAAGAGACTCACAAACCCATGTTTCGAGCAAGGGCCTTTCAAAATTTGGTGTGATGATTTACGGCCGGCCAATGTGCTCCTCAATGAGAATATGCAGATTGCCGGCGTGGTAGATTGGGAATTCACATACGCAGTTCCCGCTGAATTTTCCTATGCGCCACCTTGGTGGTTGCTTATTGAGAAGCCTGAGCTCTGGTCAAAGGGCCTTGAAGACTGGACAAGTGTGTTCGATAATCGTCTGAAGACATTCCTCAAGGTGATGAAGGATTGTGAAGACACAGCAATTCATCAAGGTCGGTTGGGACAAGACCAGCGACTCTCCGGTCTTATGCATGAGAGCTGGGAGAGCGGGGATTTCTGGATCATGTATGCAACGTTGCACAGCTTTGCCTTTGATGCAATATACTGGCAAAAGATTGACCCACGCTTTTTTGGGCCCATCGAAAATCCCGAGGAAGCGTGGAAAGAGAGACTCAATCTGTTGGATGAGAATGAAAGGGATGAGATGGAACGGTTGGTAGCTCGGAAGCTGAACGAGATGAATACCAGGGTTCTAGCGTGGGACCCAGATGATTATACCGTGGCTTTTCGCCAGCAACTGAAGGGAGAAAAGACAAACGAAGAGAACTCAATAACAGGTTGAAGGGAGGTCATGGGCAACAAGACCGAGGTCGACGCTGGCAAGACTATGAAGAGTACCACTTTTGCGAAATTGGCACGATTATTCCGAGTACAAATTTTGGATATGATATTTTGGTACAAACTGTATTTGTCCTAGATCGAGAAAGATTCAATTTTACAAAATGATTGATATACACAATGGATAAATTTCAGACTTTGCTTCCTTCAAAATACAACTCTAAGCGAGGCCTTACTTATGTTGCTCTGGGTCCGTGATCAAGACTGAGCACAAATTATCTTCGCCTTAGTGACTTGGCTAAGTGGGATAGATATCTTCCCATCACAGACAAATTTTCATAGTGGGAGATTACTTTGCTTCAACGTGGCTCACGCCGACCTTGCCCACGCCGATGTCCTCCTTCGCCTGCTCGATATCGGCAGCCAACCGACTGGGCTCCTGTCTGACTTTGAAGGCCCAAACGCTTTGGGTCTCGAATATTTCGTCAACTTCCTCCAAAGTCTTACCAACGGTTTCCTGGAAAAGGAAGAAGACGTGAATCGCGGCAACTATACAGAGGGTTCCGAAGACACAGTAAATCTGCCGAGGGTTAAAATCTTTGTAATGAAGAATAGAAAGAGTGATCTTACTTTCCACTGAATGTTCTGGAATCCAGGGGGGGTGAAGAACGTCAGGGCGAAGTTGCACGCCCAATTGAAGAAAGTTGCAAGAGACACCGCTTTACTCCGGATGTACAACGGAATAATCTCGGGCGGATAAGCCCTTTAGTGATAACAGTCAATTACCATTAGATGAATACTGGCCAAATTTGGAGATACTTACCAGCCAAGCGGTCCCCATGTCGGTGCGTAGGTTGCGATAAACAGATACGAGCATGCAATAAGTGCCCTGGAGGCCTTCGGGTTGGTCACCTTCCATGTCACGGTGGGAGAGCCATTAAGGCCACCTGGAACGGCATGTCCGTAGGTAGCCATGAGACCTGCTTGGGTAAATTGGAAAACACCCATCCCAAGTGCCCCGAAAATAAAGAGCTTGCGCCGAGGAAGGCGGTCGATGAAGATCAGTGCAGGGAGAGTCATAACCACGTTGATGATGTACTGAATGGAAGCAGAGATGAGCGTATTGTTACCACTCAAGCCAGCCATCTGAAAAGAATTAGTCTATGTCAGGATTTCGAAACTTCAAACACATACCTCGAAAATGTAGACAATGTAATACATCATGGCATTGGTTCCGCTCATCTGAGACCAAATGTGTGTGAAGATAGCACAGTGGACACGGATAATATTGCGAGAGTTGAAAAGCTCGAGCCACGACACGCTGTGGTACTGCCGTTCTTGCCTTCACACCAATTTGTCAATACATGCTCGGGTGTATAGTTCACAGACAGTTGATTATTTCCCCACTTACTCAATCTTGCCGCGAATCTCCTGTGTTTGAGCGACCACAATGGGATCGAGTGTTTCCTTTGGCGTGAAGCCGCGAAAGAACTTCAGTGGCCTCTTCCCATCTGTCCTTCGAAGCGAGCCAGCGGGGCGAACGGGGCATCATCGGTAAACACGTCATGAGAATAATCGCAGGAATCATCTGGATTCCCCAGGGAAGACGGAAGACACCGTTGTTGCCCATAAACGAAGCACCGTAGCTGATGAAGTACATGATCAGGATCTTCCTAGGCGTCAGTCACATATATGGGTTCGGCAGGAATGAGTTCACATACACCCCAGGTAATCATCCATTGCTGTAGAGAAAGGAGGCGACCGCGTTGGTGAGGCAAGCTGATTTCCGCGATCAAAATTGGCCTGATAGACAGAATATAGTTAGCAAAGCACATAAGGCTTGGCGTGATTTCCATACCCTTGACTGGTCAACATCCCGACAGCGAATCCATTCACAATTCGCGAAACAATCAGCATCGCGACATCCTGCACGGCACACATCAATGTCGACCCGACTAGCCAAATGATGCATGCTATGAAAAGCGAATCGCGACGACCAAACCGATCACTGGTCCAAGATGAGAAAAGCGACCCGAGAAGGGAACCTCCCGCCATACTCGCAGTAATACCACCTTGGAGAACTGGATCAGGCTTGTTGAAATATGTTTTGTACTGATCCGTGCCAATGATTGCGGACATGCTCGACACATCGAAGCCTTGAATCAAGCCACCGACGGTCGTTAAACCGCTGATCAGGTATACATTGCTGAGGCCAGGAAGCTTCCCCATGGCGACGAGGATCTGGACTTGGACACAAAAAACCAGCTGCAAGCTGCCTCATTTTGAGCTTGAAGGTCTGGGGCCCCGGATTTTTATGTAACTCCACTCGCCCGACCTGGTTAAATTACAACCTATCGTGGAGTTCGTATAGGCGACACCCGATAATTACCGAGAGCCGTGCAGTCATATCTGAGATTGCCATTCGTCAACGAGGGGCATAATGGTGCCATCTGGAGCACGGCCCACAGCACTGCACTAACTTGAGTGATTCGAATGCCTTAAAGAGGAGCTGAGAAGTCTAGTGAGCACGTGGCGGCGAGAAAAGGCGGGTTTTGCTACGGATCACCGCAATTGCCGAGTGCCGCCACGCGAGAGCCGCGCTCTTCCACCTTGACACTCTTCCGACACCCGGCATCATGTCGTTGAGTGGAGACGGCAGTCAGCCTGCTGCTATACAGGGGACTGCATCTGGGCCGCGGAGATCTCGATCAGGTTAGATTGACATGCATGGCTCGTGCTTTCTGCATTATCAAACTGACTTGCGAAATCTAGGCTGTACTCTGTGCCGAGCGAGGAAAGTGAAGTGCGATGAAACATGGCCGATGTGTTTGCATTGCCAGCGTCTCAAACTAGATTGTCCAGGCCCTCCAGGACAGGAATCAGCTACTCGGCCGAAGGCTCATAGATCGAGTGACCGAGACACGGAATTCACTCAGGCAGGTACTCTACGCCAGCGAGTATCCAAATCCTGTCAGCCGTGCCGTGCTGCAAAGGCAAGATGCTCGGGAGGGCCGACTTGTTCACGCTGCTCTAGAAGAGGTGTAAAATGTGCTTACACTCCGGAACCGAGATCGGATAGAAGAAAGCCTCCGCGGCGCACTAGTACTTCGACTGATGCTGGGCTCGGCATCTCAGTCGGAAGATATTCGGAACAATACCCTCAATCGGTATTGTCTCCACACTTTGGAAGCGCCGCTAGCTCGGTATCATGGCTTTATGCTCCAGAGCTACCGAGAGGAGAAAGACTTTGGACACTGATTGAGGAATATTTTGCCCATATACACCCTCTACGATGTTTTGGCTTCGTGCATAAACCGTCTTTCATGCAGCGACTGGACGAAGACGCGGAGACATGTCGCAACAGTGAATCACTTCTTCACGTTATTTGTGCATTTGGAGCAAAGTACGTTGGTATGGCTTGCTATTGAAGGACTATATTGATGACTGCACAGGTTTCTTGCTCTCAACTATACCTCCCAGTTATCTTGCGATGCCATTCTGTCGGCTGGGAATCAGTGGGCCAAAACGGCGAAAGCGCGCATATTTGTGGACCTGGATGATCTGTCTATGGAAAAGTTGATGGTACGACATGTCTTTGACCCAAAGTACTGGATGACATCCGAAATTAACACTGTCCTAAGACCGCAATTCTGCTCTATGATCATGACCTTCGAATTGGAAGTTATGCTAGTGCGTTCATGTTGAGCGGCATGACCGCAAGAATGTCCCAAGCATTGCAATTGAACCTGGAGAACTCTGCCGATGTACTTTGTACCAAAGCAGAATCATCCCCACTCGACAACGAAGCCAGACGAAGGTCAATGTGGAGTTGTTATGTAATGGACAGCTGGGTTGGTAGTGGTGTCAATCAGCTTACACTGCTGGAAGATAAGGATCTCAAGATTCAGCTTCCCTGCTACGGCCACAACTTCTCCTTGGGTATTCCCTGCATTACAGAGACCTTGGATGAAGGAAAGGTTTTGGGGTTCGTGTCAAGAGACGATATCCCGCCATTTCCTGCTCAAAACATGGGAATAGAAGCCTACTTCATCCGTCTTGTGAGTAGCAGGAAGAAAGTCCTTCGGTTCGTGCCTTTTCCACATTTTCAACATTTTGAGCACTTGACTAACACTGAAGTAGTTACGTCAAGCAGCTCGACAATTCAAAACCGCCCTGGCAGCCAGATTCCGAATTTCTTCAGTTGGCTATGGAATTTGATCATTGGAAACATTCTCTTCCCCAAAGTTTACTATGGAACCCCGGTTCGATTTATGCTCGCAAAGAATCATCTCAGCTTGGTGCTTTGACACTGCTCTGGTGCACGTATCACCAGACACTAGTCGACCTTTACCGTATCGGAATGCCAGTCTTGTTTCGCATCCAGAGAAACATCGACTTCCCGCCAGATCAGCAAGAGTTTCTTGATAATTGTCGCAGAGCATGCTTTGAAAATGCTAGCGAGGTATCAAGCATCATTTCAGAGGCATTGAGACATGGAATAAAGGTTCTGGCAGATACCTGGCTATGCATCATCGCCCATGATAGCACGAAGGTCATGCTCTACTTTTTGAAGTTGAATCGGCAATCAAAAAATAGCCTAAGTCAGAATGAAGTAGACGCGACAGTTGCTTTGGTGCAAAGAAACCTTGAAGCCCTCCTTCAGATGAGATCACTGGTTGCTACAGCCGAACATTGTTACCTCTCCGTCATTAAGGTTATGGCAGCCGCAGGTATTCAACCTCAGATACCCTATGGCACAGCAGTTAACGTGAGGGCGTCTCACGACAGTGGAGAAATGGCCTCTGCCCCAGGATCCCCGGTTCAAGAATCCCCCGAAAATGTGCTCAACCCGCTTGCGATTTACCGCATGGCCCGCACCGCACTTCATGAAAAGGACCAAATATCCGCGTCTAATTCTCCCTCAACAAATAATCCGACTTCTCCCGCGACAGAACGTGCTAGAGCCCTGGCGGTTGCGGCCACTCCACAAAACCATCACCAAGACCAGCAACATCTCAGCACGTCTTTCCAGGCTCCAAATGAGCTTCCTGAAATGAATCATGGCTATCTTGCTCCAAACAATGCCAGAGAAGATTCTTTCATTGCAATGAGTGGTCTGATGCCGATTGCAGCTTCGGGCTTTGGTGGCTCGTGGGACCCGGCAGATCTGGCAGTCATGGATTTGTTGGACGGTGGAATCGCCCCGTGGACACAGGAATATCTCACCGATGGTCAATCCGGGGTCGACCCATTCTTGTTCCCATTCTAATTGAGTGTATATGATGTTTACTTTATGAAACAAATGGTAGATGAAGTACTGTTGCTTCGTTCCCGTCCCATCGAGATATTGATGCACGGCTAAAATCTGAATAAAAGTTTCCACCAGTACCGGCTTGTAGGTGAAGGCGTGGCTGGTAGGTTCGATCTCCGCTTGAGTAAATATTGTGCCGTGTGACTACAGAGGCTCTTCTCTATATTGGAGTTAAATGAGTCCATTTTGTTCCCATGATTTTGGGTCAACTAGAAGGTATACTAAATTAAAGAAGAGTATACTTGAAGATTCAGAAGGCAGGGACGTCGTCCTTGTTGACTTACCTTCCTATCCCGCCTATCCTAACCCCCAAAATACCCAGGCAAAATGAACCTATATTCTCATTGCAAAGGAAATGCCATGTTCGGACAAGTCCTTCCTATCTCAAATGCGTTCGATCTTTTGGGAAAGCCTAGCCGTCACGTGAAGCAGCGCGGGGAAGGACCGAGATAACAAAAAAATACACGAAACATGAAGCAAGTTTCGCCGATCCTTTCTTGTCTATTTGCTACTTCCAATTATCATGCGCACGATGCGTGGCAAGTTCGATCTATGGTCGTGGTCTATAAAGACCTGGACTAGACATCCAGGTCCGATCCAACATATCGTTTACCCTTGAACAAATCGCCATGGGCTCAATTCAAGTCGAGAACTACGATGCCATCATCATTGGCGCCGGTCTATCCGGCATATGCAGTCTATACCACCTGCGCCAGCGCTCCCCAACCTGGCGCATCCGAGTCATCGAAGCCGCTGAAAGCGTCGGTGGCACCTGGTACTGGAACCGTTATCCCGGTGCTCGAGTCGACTCCGAGTCCCTGTCCTATGCCTTCTCCTTTGACAAGGAGTTAGTGAACGAATGGCATTGGAAGGATTCGTTTGCGACGCAATCGGACATCCTCCGGTATATCGAATACATCTTCGAAAAGCACGATCTGGCCAAAAATATCCAGTTCCAAACACGTATCAAGTCTGCCCGCTGGCAGGACAGTACCCGAACTTGGCTTCTCACAGATGAAACTGGCGCGCAATACCAGAGTCGATTTCTTATCAGTTGTATGGGATTCCTGTCCTCGCCTTCTCTGCCCAAGATTATGTTGAAGCAAAAGCCTATTCGCTCCGTTATCGATGGCAGGCCACCTCAGCGAGGGTCGATCGTCAACTTCTCTTCTATTCAGGGCTTGGTTGGAATCCTCTTGTCGACGGCGTACACAACTACCAAGCATGCGGTTATCGGTCTGACGCGCACTGCATCGGAGGACTATGCGAAGAATGGGCTACGCATTAATGCGATCTGCCCGGGATATACGGAGACGCCGCTCACCACCAAGTCGCCGGAGATCTTGAAGGCGATGATGGAGCGTGTGGATACTGCGGTGCCTATGGAGAGGATGGGGAGGCCGGAAGAGATTGCCGACGGTGTGTTGTATCTGTGTGGAGGTCGAAGTTCATTTGTGACCGGAACCGCGTTGAGTGTGGATGGTGGTTATGTGCAACGGCAGATTGGCGCTGTAAATAGGCCTAACCCTTCGAGAGTCATGCAAATTTTGAAGGAAAGCACTGGTTACGGTCATAAGTTCAAGCGCCTGCCACCTTGGTAAGGTGTATCTGAACGGTCTATTTACCTCGGAACTAGACAAACAAATAGTATTACTGAAAAGGGAAGGACCAAAGACCGAATCTGCGGGGCCGCAGATCCCGCATGCGGGTCTGACCTCATCTGCGAGTGCATCATCGACTCTCTTCATTCGCAGATAAGCTTTCACCGCATGTCAGGAATGTTGACCAATCATGGTCTTCTTAAAGTGAGCATTGTTCCTCTTGTGCTTCTCTCTTAAGCTCCAGAGTCACTCTCCTCGACGTGGCATAACCATGAGCAGAGTTGGACCGCCCGTGGCCACCCTCGGTACCTCAATTCGAGCTCGGATCTATCCTACCGTTCGAATTACTGCTAGCAGCCAAATATCACTGTCCACATTCAACAGAAGTGCCCGGCAATCATACTCAACTCAGGAGCGGGGTCGGCCATTATTATCCCGCATCCCTTGCCAGAGACATCTCCAATTGCCTAGAGCCAACATGAGCAGTCAGCGTGTACCGATCGAGGCTCAACGCGTCGATGCACCTCTAACTAAATGTGCAACATTCCTCGTCGTGACGGTCACCAAAAAGCCCGATTCGATTAAAACAGTCCGCTCAACCCTCGCAGGTCTCGATAGCTTAGCCAAAAATGTCTCAATCCGAGATCTCAGCTCCCAATTCGCCTGCACGGTAGGCATCGGCAGCGAGATATGGGACGATTTAACAGGTCTCCCACGCCCATCAGAGCTCCATCCCTTCCGCGAGGTGAAAGGCGACAAGCACACGGCCGTTTCTACCGCGGGAGATCTACTCTTCCACATCCGCGCCGAACGCCGGGATATCTGCTTCGAATTCGAGCGCCAGTTGATGGATCAGCTTGGTGATGCAGTCTCCCTCGTCGATGAAACAGTCGGGTTCCGCTACTTCGACGTGCGCGATCTTCTTGGTTTCGTCGATGGCACGGCCAACCCCGTCGGTCCCGCAGTTCCTTCTTCCGTGCTTGTCGCGGAAGAGGATACTTCTGCCCAGGGCGGTAGCTACGTAGTTGTTCAGAAATACACGCATGATCTGCCGGGATGGAGATCTCTTTCTACGGAGCAGCAGGAGAAGATCATTGGCCGGACGAAACTGGATAACGTCGAACTCGACGATGCTGAGTCTGGGCAGCGCTCGCATAAGACGCTTAACACGATTGAGGATGACCAAGGAAACGAGCATGATATCCTGCGCGATAATATGCCTTTCGGATCTCCCGGCTCGGGCGAGTTTGGCACCTACTTTATCGGATACACGCGCCGCCTGTGGGTTATTGAGAAGATGCTGGAGCGGATGTTTGTTGGAGACCCGCCTGGCTTGCATGATCGCATTCTTGACTTTTCCAAGCCATTGACTGGTGTCACATTCTTTGCTCCTTCGGCGAGCTTCTTAGCGAGTTTGGATGATGATTGAGTGGTCTACCGAGCAGCTGAGCAAAAGAGTTATTCGCATATATCACATTTTCATGCTAAATGACCTGAACCGATTCAAAAAAGGAACCATAGTATTATCAAGCCAGCATACGTGATTGTACTACCACTAGTTAAACAAGACCTTGTCTGGATTGGTCGCGGCATAGTTACGCGCTTGTAGAACATGTTGCTAAGTCTTCAAACGGGCCACAGAATGCTTGAACCATTTCTAACCTGTATCTGATTTCGGATTTAATCGGTATGTGCAGACTTACTGCAGATAGTACACAGGTTACAGGGGTCTTTTCAGAAAATCGTAATGAATCAAAGGCTACCCAGGTATCAAGCTGAGGTGTTCTAGAAGGTCCAATCCGCAGATCCGGTTCACAAAATATCTCCGATTTCTAAAATAGGAGAGCGCAGACGCTGGAAGTAATATCCATAGCCATTAGACCTGTTTTCTTGCCCTCCCAGGTGCTATTTCCCGCTATCCGAACCGATTGCCTAGGGCTGCATTCCTGAGATTCCATGGCGCGGATCACCTGGTTGGCGCGTCAAGGAATGTAGGCTCGGACAGGATCTCCATTATATAATATCCCTTTGAGAGCACCTCACCCTGTGCAAACCATAGCTACCTTTTACTGTCTATCAATATGAAGCTTTCCACCCTTGCCCCCCTGGCAGCCCTGCTGTCCTTTGCAGTTGCTGATTTCCCTGACGAGGACATTAGCGAGTGTCTGGTATGCAATATGCAATCACGGTTGTTTTGAGCAAGTCATAATAATCAAACTTGCTTTCAATAGATCATGTGCCTGTCTATAGGCGCTGGAGTGGCGGGTTGCGCCTCGTACGTGGACACCCGGTGCACTTGTCACAGCATCGCTTTCAAGGATGCTGTTGGGAAGTGTCTACAGAAATCTTGTATCAAGGAAGACATCGATAGTAAGTTTTATTTCTGATCCAGTTCCATAGGGCAACAGTTCGCGGGACTTGGTAAGGTAGTCGTTGCTAACCTGTTCTTGTACAGCCGCGGCGAAATTGCACCAGAAAGTTTGTGGGCATTATGAGTGAGGGGACCATGTTCAGTTTCTGTGAGATAGGATGAAGCTACGATGCCAAATGCCTTTTTTTATAACGAAGATGTAATTCATTTCGCTATGCGTAAAGCAAATTTCAAGAAAGACACATGTGCTCCGAAACTCGAAACTCGGTACTAAAATGGATTGACCGATCCTTCTCTCCGCAGGCTTGCTGAGGATTAGGACTAAGCGCGTCGATGGTCTGGTTCACCGACAGCTTTTCTCCCAAAGTAGCATCGTTGTATCAAGTAAAGTGGATGCTGATGGCAGATGCAGCGGGTCCGAGCTTGTACTACCACATACGCTACTGCATCTACCTCATATCGACATCACTCTACATTTGCTACTCAGACCACTACGATCATGGAAACAGGTTAGACCCATGGAAGAACTCCACTGCGATTTGTACGCGAGATATCAAGCTTTATGGAAGACAGTTAAGAGAACATCGAAATAGTTTTTTCGTTCTTGCATTCGTATTCTGAATCACACAACAACCGTCTAAGCCTGAGAAGCGTTCTCGTAGGCGTCGGGGAAGCGCTTCATGTTCTCGGCGATGAGACCGTGGCCACGCAGGAACTGGACGTAGGCACCGTCCTGCTTGAGCTTGCCCTCCTGGCGCATCTGGACGTACTCCTCGCGGCGTACGGGGGTGAAACCCCAGTTCTTGGAGACAATGATCTTTTGGCGGCCGGGGAACTTGTACATGGAGCGGCGGAGAGCCTCGATGGCGGTAGCGCGGTGGACGTCACGAGTGCGGACGGACAGGAGAACCTGGCCGATGTTCACACGGGCAACGAGACCCTGGGGCTTACCGAAGGCACCACGCATACCGGTCTGAAGACGATCGGCACCAGCGCACGACAACATCTTGTTGATACGGACGACGTGGAAGGGGTGCACACGGACGCGCAGGTGGAAACCTTCCTTACCGGCGATCTTCACGAGGTACCTATTGGGAAAGGGTTAGATACTGAACGGGCGAGTCGGGAGCGACAGAATATCAGGGCTGACGTACTTGTTGGCACAAATACGGGCAGCCTCGAGGGCCTCGGAGGACAGCTGCTCATACTCGTTGGAGACGAGGTGGACACAGGTGGGGAAGTCGTCAACGTTGGCCTTCTTGCGACCGAGGTCGAAGATGCGGATCTTGGCGTCGGGGACACCACGGTTGAACCGGGACTTGGGGTAGGGCTGTGAGGCGCAAAAGTGTCAGTCTGGGATGTTTCCTTGAATTTCAAATTTTCCACCAAAAAAGGCACAACTGTTGCAAGAATCCGAGCGGGAAAAATGCGCATTCAGCGACCAGGCCATCTACGAGTGCATCGTAGATGGTTGTGATCCGTGGTGCCTCATGCGTTCCCCCACAACCGAGCTCCCGCACACAAAAATCCCACGAGACGAATGTCGGCGACGCACCTTGTTCTTGCAGTAGCGGTAGCAGCGGGCGGGACGGCGGGCCATGGTGAGTGCTAGAAATGGGCGGACGGCACTTCCTGCGAACTGGGTGTTGGATGTCGGTCGTTGGCGAAAGGTCGAAGGAAAGAAAAGAAAAGGGCGGCGAGTCACGGGATACTTTGATTTCCAAGCAGCAAAGTGGTATGTAGCCCTAACCCTAATATGTCCCCGAATCAGCGTGTCTGCCGAGCCCCACTTTGGCCCAATCGGGGTTGTCGATACAATTACAATACTCGGAGACTTGGGATTTATGACTCTGAGAATACGAGATTACAAATTCTACCGTATTACTCATTACTGATATCATAGGAAAGCGGTTTGGTAGTGTAGACGCTGGCTTTTTTTGCGGAGTTCGTAGTTCGTCACTATTTCATATGCACCGTGACTCCTTCATAAAGAGATCACTGTACATTCCTCCAACCTGACATCTGCATCACCATCTCCCCTTCACGGAACCCATTTACTGGGTGTCGTTGAGGATGTCCGAGTCACCGGCATCGAGGATGGCCATGGTGGCGCAGCGGAAGAGCTTACCGCAGGCGGTACCAAGCTCGATCTGTAATCTTCGTTAGCCATTGTCCCCCCTTGTATAATTCCATATCCAAGATGACTCACGTTGTTGCCCGAGAAGTGGTGGACGGGGGTCTTGGCGAGCATGGCGTAGTACTCGAGCTCAGACTTGCGGAGAGGGGGAGTGTTGGCAGCGATGATAACCAGCTTGGCCTTGCCGGAGCGCAGAGTCTTCATGGTAGACTTAGCACCCAGGGTGACCTTACCGGACTTCATCACCAGGGCGAGCCTGGAGTTGATCTGGACGACCATGTTAGTTGACCGCTCGGGACAAATTTTTGTTCAATGGTTTCGGGGCAGCACTCACGTTGTCGGAACCCTTCTTGGACTTCTTGGTGGGGGCCATCTCTGCGCTTGGAAGTTCTTGACTTCGGATAGGTTTTGAGGAGTGGATAGATATAGGATGCGCTCCGGCCTGCTTGGATAAAGATTGGATGCAGAGGTCGAGATGAAGCGAAACCGTGATTGTGCGGGCGGAAAATCGTGTTCTTCCGTTCCGTGGGTCTTTCCGTGCTTATGTCATTCAGTATCACATGACCTCGCTCCTGAAACTCCGGCTTTGCGGCCTCAGGCACCAGTCACCCTTTATTTCGCCCCGTTGAATGAAACACGCGCTGTTGTCCTCGATCTAAAAGGAGATACGAGTCTCAGCGGGCCTTTCCCTTCTTTCTTCTTACTTTGTCCTATATATGGCCCTTTCTTGTGGTTCCTTACCTCGTAACCCAGCCTCCAATAGCCGTTACTGCGGTATCTAAAAATACCAGCAAGGGAGATCCCGCATTCCTCACCCAAATAAGGGTTTCGACTCCGGATTGCAATCAGCAACCTTTTTCCATTCCTCTCTTCCATTCCACGCTGCACTCGGCAGACGATGTCCCGTCTTCGATGATTCTTCGGGTTCCAACCATGTGGCATGCACTCGATCTCTGACAGCCCTCATTACATTTTTGGTCCCCAAAACCATACACGGGCTCTCCACCGGGGGCGGTCCACTCGCTTTTTGACCGCTTCCTCATTACCACCACGTTTCAACCCCGACTACTCCTCTTTGTCGCAGTCTATTTCTAGAGACTGCAAGAACCAATTTCTCCTTATACCTTGCCGAGTGTCCCACGGGCCTAGGGACCCTGCAAGATGTCAGCAACGCCTCGCAAACCTGGAACGCCCGTCAGTTCCAGCAAATCATCGGCCGCAGATCCGCCTTCGACCAACGGGTCCACCACACGAGGGCATGCACGCTCGCCCAGCACCGCGACAAACGGTCTCAATCGCTCCCCCTCCCTAAGAGGTTCCACACCAGTCTCCGCGCGCGCCGCTGCAAGAACTCGCGGCCGGTCCAATCTCAGCATGTCGAACGTACCTCGAATCAATAACGACCCCTCCGAAGAGGAAGCGAAGGCGCAGAATGCTGCTCTAATCGAGGAGCTGCGGGAGCAGCTGCAGAAAGCCGAGACCGCCTCAGAACAATATCAGAAACAACTTGGTGTCCTCCAAATGCGCCTAGACGAAGCCGTTAGCGAACAGAGCAAGTTGGAAGACCAAGCACATGAGCGAGACACTCGAATCGAAATACTGAGTGGCGAAGTCCGAGACCAATCTCGCCAGCTCCGGGATCTTGAGCAGAATCACGAGTCGGAGCGAAATGCGATGCTGCAAGAGAAAGAGCAGCAGACCAGCCGGGAGGAGGAGTTGCAGGCGACTATCCAACGGTTGAAGGAGTCCGTGGCGCAGAAGAGCATGCCCGTCAACGCTGAGGGTGAGCGCCAAATTTCCCGATCTTGTATGTTCTTTCTCTTTGGATTCCTCCAAAATATCAAAGCTAACACCATTCACAGCCAGTTTCCGTAACCGAGCATCGCCGGACGTCGAGGGCCAATTCGCTCCGTCATCGCAAATCGAGCGCAGCCCTTCTCGCAACAACTCCAACCTCCTCCTTCAGAAAGATAAGCTCATCGAGTCTTTGCGCCTCGAATTGGCCGAGTCGCAAATTAAGCTTGTCGAAATGGAGAACAAAGGTGGCGGTCGACAGCGCGATTTGGAGAAGGAGCTATTGGACGCCCGTGTTGCGAATGCTCGCCTCATGGAAGACAACGAAAGCTACCAACTTCTTCTCAGCGAGAAGACCCTCACTGGTGACTTCACTAAAGGTGACTTCATGCAGCATGCTCACCCTGAGAAAGACTCTAGAAGTGGGCTCGGTTCTCTGGCGGACGAGCTCGAGTCTGTAGATGAAGGACCCGAGACCGATGCGAATCGCAAGCCTGAGGGAGGAGAGCTCAAGGCTCTCAAAGATCAAAACAAGGCCTTGACTCTCTACATCGAGCGCATCATTAGCCGTGTTCTCCAGCATGACGGGTTCGAACATGTTTTGGATCGCAATGATGATGAAGGCAGGACTGGGTCCAAGGGCGGTAGTGAGAAAGACCTACCTCCCACTCCTCCAGAGAAGGATGATGCGCCAACTCAATCACTCCTGCAACGGGCCAAGTCGGTGGTCGCAGGCCCACAAACTCGCTCTATCCCCAGATCCCGCCCGGCCAGCATGATGCCACCGCCCGCAGTTCCCCAGCCCTCTGCCAACGAGAACCCGGAGACTGCACCCAGCATTCCGTTCAATCGGGCCCAGTCAGTGAGAGCCACTCATCGCCGTGCACGCTCTGAACAGGTGGATCCAGCAGCCGCTTCTGTTGTCACTCAAATGTACCGCGGGCGCAACAGCGGCGGACCCATCAGCCCAACCGCCATGGGCCCCGGATCCCGCCAGAGTATGTTCTCGGGGGCAGCTAGCTACTTTTCTGGCACGAGTCGCGCACCTTCTATGTCCAGTCAACCCGACCGTACTGGACGGAGCAGCTCGCCCAGTGTTACGAGTGATGTGCCCGGTGACACTGCCTCTATAGGAGCAACCTCCAGCCCACCTCGATCGAGCAGCGGCATGAACAACTACACAGGAGCCGTGATGACACAGAGCAAGCTACGTCCTCTGCGCCTGGTGAGTGATGCTGCTAAGCTCGAAGAGGAAGAGGCTGCGCGGAAGAAAGCGAACCGCGCGAGCTGGATCCCGGGGTGGTTCAACCGCCCTACCTCGGATGAGCAACAGCAACCGCCGCCGCCACAGTCCTAGCTGTGTCTGGCGCCCAGGTTGGATGATTTGATGTAATTTCGAATTTACCTTTTAATCATACCCCTTTTGTGATGCACATAACGCGGTCATGTCATGGAATGTATGGCTCGGAATTGAGCGAGGTTATTGACTTGGTCCATTGCACTATGTGAATTTCTTTGTTTATTTTATTTACACTCTCATGGTTACGTATCTTTTCTTGAAATTTTTTTTCCCCCTTCTCTTCTCTGAATCTCCCCTTCAAACCAGTGTGTTGGTCGACAGCCATGACTTCCCAGTTAACATGTAGATAACCTTATACCCATCCCTTTCCACCATGCTAGCTTTATTCCATGAATCAATTACGATAGAAACAAATCATTCATCAAGATAGAATCTTTGAATGATCGGAGAATAATCTTTGCTGAGAATCGGTTCTTAAGATAACTTTGGTGCGCATTCTGTAGGCAGCGGAACAACATTAGTGCGACTCCGCCAGCGGCCAGACTGTCTCCTGCGCGCATCAACAATCGGGTTTCTTCCGCCAATTGCTCCAACAAACTGAAAAAACAACTTCATCATGCCTGGCCCTCTGTCCCTCTTCTCCGTGAATGCGGTCCTCATCATGTCAGCCGACGACGGATCTCGCATCTTCGCCAAATACTACTCGGCACCGCATCCCCCCGCCGGCACTGCACCCAACTCAACCAATTACCCCGGCGCCAACCCCTACCCTACCGTCAAGGAGCAGCGGTCATTCGAGAAGGGTCTGCTCGATAAGACCAATAAGTCGACCAGCGATGTGATTCTGTACGACAACCGCATCGTGGTGTTCAAGATGGAGAGCGATGTCATGCTATACGTGGTGGGAAGCGCTGAGGAGAACGAGGTCTTGCTGTACAACGTGGTCCTATCGATGCGGGATGCTATGGGAATCTTGTTCAAGTATGTCTGATATCTTAGGTCTGTGGGAGTTTGGAATTTTGAGCTAACAAGCATGTTCAACAGGGGCGCCACCGACAAGCGAACCATCGTCGAGAACTACGACCTTGTCTCCCTCACCATCGACGAGATCATCGACGACGGGATCATCCTCGAAACGGACCCGGTCATGATCGCCTCTCGGGTCAGCCATGCCCCCGCCGCCGATGCGCCCAATATGAAGAACATCGACCTCTCCGAGCAGGGCCTGATGAATGCATGGGAGTTTGGCAAGCGCCGTCTGGCCGAGGGCTTGCGGCAGATGTAAAGAACGAATTGCGTTGTCTTGTAGGGGATTGGAGGCCTGCATTGTGATTCTTGCCTTCGTTTGGAGTATTCCATCTGCTGTCTTTTACGTTTCGTTCTTCCTGGCTGGTCCTGGCGTGATATGGTTTTCTTTTCTTTTGTTTGGTCCGACCTCGCTATTACAGGGATTGAGGACATAGATATATGCGTGCTTCTCTTTCTGCATCCTGCAAAAAGCGCCTTGCCCGTACTGTCTCGGGACGTGTGTCTCGTGCTAATATTCCCATAGCTGAAACGCTGATGACTGCAATGAAAAAGACGAATGTCGATAACAAGACTTGAGTATATTTGGCCTGTAGCGCATTCTATACCCCAAGGTAGTCTAGTTAGTTTACACCGGCGGTGGGTAAGCGGATTCCTGAACGAGAGCCCGACTCGGTTCCTGCCCCGCATACGTCACGCTCGAAAATTCCTTTCTCCTACAACTTCTCTGCCCACGATGAAGCAGAGATTCTCGTCGCTAGACGTCAAGGTAATACCCAGAAAATCGCTCAGAAGAAAATAAGACACTCACCGGCCTCAGGTCATCACCCAGGAGCTGGCCGCGGAGCTGGTCAACCTCCGGGTGTCTAACATCTACGACTTGTCATCGGTACGTTCAATTCCCACTATACAGAAAAGATTAGCTCCTTCTAACTGCCACTTCTAGCGAATCTTCTTATTCAAGCTTTCCAAGCCAGACCACCGCCGACAACTCATCGTCGACTCCGGCTTCCGCGCTCACGTCACCCAATACTCCCGCTCGGCCGCGACTGCCCCTTCGCCTTTCGTGACACGCCTGCGCAAGTTCATAAAGTCGCGTCGCATCACGGGCATACAGCAAATTGGTACGGACCGTATCATCGACATTTCATTCAGCGATGGTGCCTACCACTTGTTCCTCGAGTTCTTCGCCGGCGGCAACATCATCCTCACCGATCGCGAGTACACCATCATTGCGCTATTCCGACAGGTTTCGGTCAACGAGGGCGAGGAGGCCAAGCTTGGGCTGAAGTACAATGTGACGAATAAGCAGAATTACAACGGCGTTCCTGAGATCACCGTGGACCGCGTGAAGGAGACTTTGGAAAAGGCGCAAGCATTGTTTTCCCAGGAGGGCAATGCGCCTAAGAAATCCAAGAAGAAGAACACCGACGTTTTGCGGAAGGCTCTGTCGCAGGGATTTCCTGAGTATCCTCCGCTTTTGCTGGATCATGCCTTTGCAGTTAAAGAGCTTGATCCGGCAACGCCGTTGGACCAGGTTTTGGGCAGTGATTCTGCGCTGCAGCAGGTAATTGGGACGCTGGAGGAGGCTCAGCGAGTTTCGAACAGTTTCAATACCAGCGATAGTCACCCAGGCTATATCGTTGCAAAGGCAGACACGCGAGCTCCCGCTGAGGGCGAGGGTGCTTCCAAAACCCCCGGCCTTCTGTATGAAGACTTCCATCCGTTCAGGCCTCGTCAATTTGAAGGCAAACCCGGAATTACGATTCTGGAGTTTGAGCGCTTCAATGCGACAGTCGACGAGTATTTCTCGTCTTTGGAGTCCCAGCGCCTTGAGTCAAGACTTACTGAGCGCGAGGAGACAGCTAAGCGCAAATTGGACGCTGTGCGAGAGGAGCATAGGAAGCGAATTGATGCACTTAAAGATGCACAAGAGCTCCATATTCAAAAAGCCGGAGCCATCCAGGACAACGTGTATCGTGTTCAGGAAGCCATGGATGCCGTGAACGGTCTTGTCGCTCAGGGAATGGACTGGGGCGAGATTGATCGCCTTATTGAGATGGAGCAGGGCCGTGGAAACCCCGTCGCCCAAATCATTAAGCTCCCTCTTAAGCTACATGAAAACACCGTTACCCTTCTTCTCGGAGAAGCTGGTGATGAAGAGGACGACGAGGAAGAGACGGACTCCAGCGACGAATCTGACTCCGACTCTGAAAACGAAGAGCGGGAGCGCCAGCAATGTGCCGATGCTAATTCCCGGATGCTCTCGATCGATATCGATCTCAGTCTTACGCCTTGGGCTAATGCGACTCAATATTATGAGCAGAAGAAGACCGCTTCGGACAAGCAGCAGAGGACAGTCCAGTCTTCCGAAAAGGCGCTTAAGAGCCACGAGAAGAAGGTCACGGCAGACCTCAAGAAGGGTCTGAAGCAGGAGAAACAAGTTCTACGCCAGGCTCGCGAGCCGTTCTGGTTCGAAAAATTCATCTTTTTCATCTCTTCCGAGGGCTACCTTGTTCTTGGGTATGTATTTCACTTTGGCCTCGTAGTTAGCTTATCTAACTTCATTCTCTAGTGCTCGCGATGCCATGCAGGGTGAATTGCTCTACCGGCGGTACCTTAACAAGGGCGATGTCTTCATCCACGCCGATCTGAAGGGAGCTTTGCCCATCGTCGTCAAGAACCGATCAGCAGATGCCCCCATTCCGCCAAGCACTCTTTCCCAAGCAGGTAATCTCTGCGTCGCGACTTCAACTGCTTGGGACTCCAAGGCGGTCATGTCCGCATATTGGGTGCATCCGAACCAGGTGTCCAAGATCGCCGAAGTCGGTGGCGGAATTCTTCCTACTGGAGATTTCCAGATCAAGGGTGAGAAGAACTTCTTGGCGCCATCGCAACTTGTCCTTGGATTCGCTGTCCTCTTCCAGATTAGCCAGGAGAGCGTCAAGAACCACAAACAGCACTTTGAGATCCCCGATGTATCTGCGGAGACTTCTGCCACGGAGCCTGTGGATCAGCCCCCTACTGAACAGGAGGCTACAGATCTAGCTCCTGAAAGTGCAGCAGAGACCGCGGAAGAGGTTCAACAAGACAATGAATCCGGAGAAGAGGAGGAAGATGAAGATGAGGATAAGACTCCTGCCAGGAACCCCCTTCAAAGAGACGAGTCCGAGCTGCCAGAACGTGAAGAGGCCTCGCCTCATGTTTCTAAGTCGGAGTCGGAGGAAGAAGAAGACACGAAGGAGGAGGATCCCCTGCTTGAGGATGTGGTAGAAGAGGACGGAGCTGTGGATGATGGAGAACCTACCACTAGTCAAGATGCTGCCACTCCGCAAGAAGAACAGAAACTCTCAGCACGAGAGCGACGCACTTTGCGTCAAGGCAAGCCCCTCAACCGCCCGTCGGAGCCAGCTGCTCCTCGCATCGCCCCGACCCGGGGCAAGAAAGCGAAGGAGAAGCGTGCCGCCGCGAAGTACGCTCAACAGGATGACGAGGACCGTGAACTCGCCCTTCGACTCATTGGTAACAACAAGGGCAAAGCCAAGGCTGCTCAGGCTGCTGAAGCCAAAGCTCAACAGGACCGCGAGATCGAGGCAAACAGGCAGCGGCGCCGCGCACAGCATGAGCGTGCCGCAGCAGCTGAGCAGAAACGTCAGGCCCAGTTCACCGAGCATGGCACCGACGATTACGATCCCGAAACCGCTGCCGCCGAGGCCGCTGACCTGAGTTGGATCCCTGCGCTGGTCGGTACTCCGACGCCGAATGACGAGATCCTCGGCGCTATGGCTGTCTGCGCGCCGTGGGGTGCTCTTGGTCGGTACAAGTACAAGGTTAAGCTACAACCTGGTGCAGTCAAGAAGGGCAAGGCCGTGAAGGAGATCATCGGCCGCTGGGTCCATGAAACTACTACCGGCAAGGTCAAGAAGGATCATGCTGAGGATGCTGGTATCCCTCGTGCAGACGCAGAGAAACTGCGCGCACGGGAAGGTGAGCTCATCAAGGGCTGGAAGGATACTGAGATTATCAACACTATGCCTGTGGGTAAGGTGCGCATCATGACTCCAGGTAGTGCTGGTGGAGGTGCCGGTGGCGGTGATAAGGGCAAGGGCAAGGGCGGCGGTAAAGGTGGCGGTGGTGGACGAGGTGGAAAGGGTAGTAAGAAGAAATGATCGGCTTGTATAACATAAGATAGAAGAAATAGAGATTTCTCGATTCTATTTTTACGATTTTAATTTTTGAGTTTCAATAAGTGGTGCCAAGCTCAAGTATATACCTCTTCCATTCTTCGCCGTATATATCGCCAACATTTTCCTCCAGTGCTACAATAAGTCCGCAAAACGCTCAATTATTCATAAGAGCACGTAGGTACGCCTTGCATAGATTCGAATGATACATGTATACTCGACAAGCGCCACTAGAAATATCGTCAGGCAGACCCAACCCCCTCCTGGCGCACGCGTGGCAGGGCTGAGGATCCCCCGGTAACATCGGCAACGTGTGACGAGGCGCAACCCCGCAGTATCAGACCGAAGTCTTATTCCAAGGCTCTCTCCAAACCTTTCCCATCTTCTATACCAGGGTCATCCATCTAGATATCTTCCCTCTGATCTCATGCCGCAGATGTTCGTGCCCAACCTGCTGAGTCATCCGACGTCATGGGCGGAGTGGGCGATCCCACGTTTTTTTCGTCTCCGATAAGACGCCCAGGCTGCATCGGATAGGATCTCATGAAATGATCGTCGACCGCATGCCCTAAAAATCTTAACGGACATACATCTGCCAAAAAGAAGCAATCAGCGACCCAACCGGTAGTGACTCGGGCCCCTCCATTGACTTCGCCCCCTCCTGTCCCTGATCCTCGATAGCGTGTGCGTGTGCGTGCGGGCGACTGCGTCATTGATCTGGCCTTCTCATATCAAATTGCAGTTCCCCCGCGTATTTGCGGGCCGCAGTCAGGGCAGACTTGCTAGAGTATTCACCACGATGACCGGCAGCGATACACGGGTTGTCTCCGTCCAGCGACTCAACCAGGGACCGGGAGACCGGTCTCTGGCTGAGTGGTGGGCGGACGAGCGCAAGGACCAAACGCCTGAATCTAAGGCTATCGAAGAAGCTGCCCAGATCCTTCGCTCTAGTGATGTCCCTGTCGCTTTCCCCACGGAGACGGTGTATGGACTCGGTGCCGACGCTACTCGCAGCGTCGCCGTTCAGGGCATCTATCGAACAAAGCAGCGGCCCTCTGACAACCCGTTGATCGTTCACGTTGATTCTCTGGAGATGCTGGATCGTCTTTTGAACCCCGAAAACCCTTCAAGCCCTAGCGCAACCAAGACAGCGCGTGCCTCTATCCCTGCGATTTACAAGCCGCTTATCGATCGTTTCTGGCCCGGCCCTCTGACCATCATTCTTCCCAACCCTTCTGGATCCCAGCTGGCTCCCGAGGTCACCTCGAACCTAACGACCTTTGGCGCACGCATGCCGTCTTTTCCTTTAGCTCGTTTGCTCATCCACGCAACGAATCGTCCACTCGCCGCGCCGTCGGCTAATGCATCGACCAAGCCCTCTCCTACAACGGCGCAGCATGTTTATCATGATTTGCACGGACGCATTGGATTAGTCCTTGACGGCGGCCCATCCGGCGTCGGCGTCGAGAGCACCGTCGTAGACGGACTGTGCGGCACACCAGCCATTTTGCGCCCCGGCGGCATCGGCATTGAAGAGTTGCGACAGTGCGCCGGCTGGGAAAACGTCACATTAGCCTACAACGACGGAACCTTCGATGTGAAGGAGATCCCGCGTGCCCCGGGCATGAAGTACCGACACTACTCCCCGAAAGCCCGTGTCGTGCTCTTCGAAGCGGGGTCCAGCCCGGCAGGGGTGGCTCGTCATGTCCAGAGAGACCTGCACGACACTGCCATTCACGCGCACAACATCGGCATAGTGCGTACCCGGCATTGGAAGCAGGGACTGGATCTTGCCCCGGATAGCGTCCTCGCAAAGAGTCTCCAGCCCGTCGACGCCGCCATCGAAAACCTGTTCAGCTTCCCTCTGCCCGTGCAGGAGACTGGTAGCCCCAACAGGCGCACCAAGCTAGCCTACGACTACCACCTTGGCTCCGATACTGTCTCAATTGCACATGGGCTATTTGCCGCGCTGCGCGCGATCGATGAGTGCGATGTTGATGTGATCTACGTGGAGGGGATATCGGACAAGGACGGCGACTTGGCTGCGGCAGTCATGAACCGGCTACGGAAGGCTGCCGGCGCGGAAATGAAGGCGTAGATTTGAAATGATATTACGTATTTCCTTGCTTCATTTGGCAATGCGGGGGAGTTGCGAATAGAGTTTGAAGGCTGTCAATAATTCATGATGATTCGCGCGAGCGTCCAGGGTTCACAGAGAATTCAAAATAAGCACGCATCACTAAATCTGCTGGACTTTCCATTTAATCTTTAGTTTACTCTGGTGGTAGCGTAGGCTGGTTCCATTGTTCGGAGACCTCCGATCCACGGATAAACTTTATCGACGTTCCTGACCAGCCAATTTTTCACAACGTGCGCGATAAGACGGGGAAATCAGAGCCACTGCCCCGCTCAATCAGGAAAAGCTACCCTCAACCTCGGGCACGGAGATGCCATAGATTTGGACCCCGGTGGGACAGCCCCATTTTGCCTCCCTGTATATGTAGTCTCGTCGCCTTCTCTACCGCAAGCTTTGCACATACTCCCCACTCCCGATTCCACCATGTGTCAATCCGATCTGCACGACTTCCTCCACGGCCTGCCCAAGTGCGAACATCATGTCCATCTCGAAGGCTGCATGAGCCCCGAGCTCATCTTCGAGCTCGCTCAGCGTAATGGAATTGAACTTCCCGCCGCGACAAACCCGGCGTATGCTTCCATCGCTGCCCTGTCGGCCCGCTACGAACACTTTACCTCGCTGGATGACTTCCTCTCCTTCTACTTCCAGGGAATGGATGTCCTGTGTAATCAAGCCGACTTCGCCGATCTGGCGTGGTGGTATTTCCAAAAGGCGCACGCTGACGGCGTCCACCACGCCGAGGTCTTCTTCGATCCCCAAGTTCACCAAGACCGCGGCATTCCCTACGAGACCATCGTCGCTGGATTCTCGGAGGGCTGCAAGCGCGCCGAGCGCGAATTGGGTATAAGCACCCGGCTTATTCTTTGCTTCGTTCGCCATCTGCCCGTTGACTCGGCGCAGAAGGTCTACGAGAGGTTCCTCGCCAGCGGCCACTTCGAGGCCGGTGTCGTCCATGGTCTCGGCTGGTCCTCTACCGAGGTCGGCCCGCCCAAGGATATGTACCGCGCCCAGTACACTGATGCTAAGACGAAGGGTATCCCGCTCACTGCGCACGCCGGTGAGGAAGGTGACCCCTCTCATATTAGTGTTGCGCTTGAGCTGGGTGCTCAGCGTATTGATCACGGCATCCGACTTATTGAGGACCCGGAATTGATGAAGCGCATTGCGAAAGAGGGTATTCTCCTGACTGTCTGCCCGCTATCGAATGTGCGGTTACGCTGCGTCAAGAAGGTGGAAGAGGTCCCGATTCGCCGGTTCCTGGAGGCTGGCATCAAGTTCTCTATCAACAGTGATGACCCCGCCTACTTTGGTGGATACATTCTCGACAACTACTGCGCTGTCCAGGATGCGCACAAGCTATCGGTGTTGGAGTGGCGTATCATTGCGGAGAACAGTGTGCAGGAGAGCTGGATTCCGAATGAGCGCAAGGCGGAGTTGTTGGACCACATTGAGACTCATGTGAAGAAGTACATGCCCGTGGCTGTATAAATAGGTGATCTGGAGTGTGGTGGTGCTTGGTGTATGTCTGATACCCTGTGATTCAACATTTTGTGTATATATCTTTCTCAACTTTCGACACAATGGATATAGGGAAGGTGCTGTCCACTGTTCCCGGTCTACTTTGCTCGGTTTGCGGATGCTCAGGTGTCATTTGATACCTGAGGAATCCGGCACCAATGATGTTAACGCGCGCCGACTTTACTGAGTAACTTAATAGACGACTTTGGAGACCCTTGCAACGTTGAAACCCCAAAAGTCACGTCGACCCGCGAACCGGATGCCACGATCGATCATTTCTAGTGCCTGGGTAGCTGCAAGGTCGACTACACCCCAGCAACGGACCGTCGGCCGAGTAGCCTGTTACAACCTCCGCCCCTCATCCTGGGAAGCCGTAAGGACCTACAGCTGCGCACTCCATCCAACCCAGAGGCCACATCGTCTTCATCCAAAGCAGTCCATCACATATATACCCAACTATCAAACCATGTCTACGGCATCTAATGCACCCGACCGCTACAAGCTTGTCTTCTTTGTCCCGACCGAGAACGCCGAGTCCTGCAAAGAAGCCATCTTTGCAGTGGGTGCAGGCTCCTTCCCTGGTGGAAAATACACCAAGTGCTGCTTCCAGACCCCTGGAATTGGCCAGTTTCTTCCTAACGAGGGCGCAAATCCCGCGATCGGCGCTGTCGGGGAGGTCGAGCGGTGCGAGGAGCTCAGAGTCGAGGTTATGTGCCTCGGGCGCGATATTATGCTGCAGGCAGTGGATGAGTTGATACGGGCGCATCCGTATGAGGAGGTTGCGTACGAGGTTTATCGAATGGAGAATGTGTAGCTGGTTGATTAATGGACAGGGCATCGGCTGGATGATAATGGGAGTTCAGCGGGATATTCATGGCGGCGCGGTCATTCTGAGTTATGAGCTGATCATATTCGAGAGCTGCAGTAGCCAGTAGCTTATTCCATAACGACGGTCGAATGGCATTTGATGAAGTTGCGATGCATGGAGAAGAATGTTTTGTAAGGCGGGAGTAATCTGTCGCCTCTGATTGGCCGACCACCCGCAAAACGCCTCGCCAACTCGATCCGTCATTCTCCTCTCCAACTTCACACCGTCTGCGATATCCTCCTCCAGCCATGGCGTCGAAGCTCTCTTCCGTTACGCGGGCCAGCCGAGTGCTGCGCCAATTGCCCATCTCCCAATACAGACCCTTCTCCGCCGCCCCTCAACGGCTCAGCGACTCGCTCAACGTGGTATGCATCCTTTGAACCCCCGTCAACCGATGGCCTCGACAATGCGACCAGATGGCGGAAACAAGGCCAATTGACTGACTAGTATGGCTCCAATAGCACCGCAATAAGCCTTCCAACAACCCGACCCTCCCGTTCAAGTTCACCGAGCAGAACCTCACCCTCGCCGATGAGATCCTCAAGCGCTACCCTCCCCAGTACAAAAAGGCCGCCGTCATGCCCCTGCTCGACCTTGGCCAGCGCCAGCACGGCTACACTAGCATAAGCGTCATGAACGAGGTTGCCCGCATGCTCGAGATGCCCCCGATGCGTGTTTACGAAGTCGCGACCTTCTACACCATGTACAACCGCGAGCCGGTCGGCAAATACTTTCTTCAGATTTGCACTACAGTAAGTCACCTGCTTCGAGAATCATCCAGCAACGTTCTCTGACCACCTATATTTATTTAGACCCCCTGCCAGCTCGGCGGCTGCGGCTCCGACTCCATCGTCAAGGCCATCAACGAGCACCTCGGAATCACCCCCGGCCACACCACCGAGGACGGCCTTTTCACTTATATCGAGGTCGAGTGCCTGGGTGCCTGCGTCAACGCCCCCATGGTCCAGATCAACGACGACTACTACGAGGACTTGACCCCCGAGTCCATCAAGACCCTTCTCACTGCTTTGAAGGACTCTGCCAGCGCAACTGGCTCCGGTGCCACCACCAAGGTTCCCGCCCCCGGTCCGCTGAGCGGCCGTGACACTTGCGAGAACAGCGCTGGCCTGACCAACCTTAAGGACGTCCCCGTGTGGAACCCCGAGATCATGATGCGCAAGGACGGTGCTCTGGATGAGAAGGCCCAACAATAGAGGGGTGTCAATGACTCGCATGTGTTCTTTTCAGAAATGGTGAATTCCATCCGGTTCTTGGAGGGAACAGGGGCAGTCAAGAAAAAATAGAGATGCTTGGCACCCCCCATGATGATCAATTAGGGTGTCTTTATTTTCTTGTCTACCATGTACAGTACGTGGCTCCTAGCTTTGTCAACGGAGCATCAAGCACATCAGGCCGAGTTAGTATCGGTATCAATATCAAATTTCTTCGGTTCTTTTTTTTTGCAAGGTTCCTCGATCTGTTTAATTCCGTCTTCTTTGGTTCTGTATTCGTTTTTGATCCCATCCTCGGCTACGCCTCCGACTTGGCTTCGACTCCTTAAGTGTTGAATTCGTCCTCGAATGGTAAAGACTAGACTGCAAACAACCTTTCAGCCTCTCATCAGCCTAGTGCTTAGCGTAATCAATCATTGATTTTCTCAAGGGTCCTGGATGCAGACAGCCACGAAGCCAGGTCTATGCTTGTAAAGCCGAGACACAACACAACAAACGACCTGAAGACTCAAAGAGCACAAAACTAAAAGAGGGATGGAACACTCACAGCTCTTAACAGGTAACGTTGTTCACCGAGAAGAGACTTACCAGTAGCGCGATGAGCCCTTGTATCCGTTACTCATGAGACAATCATTGATAATATCCAAGTCTAAGTGGCACATGGAAGGCTTCTGTAGAAGCTAGATTTCGTCAGAAGCAGGTCTGAACTCTCACGTAGGTACGGATAAGAACGCTGAATGATGGTAATACTCTTGTCGGATGGGGTATCAGTCGGCCAAATGCAACGAAATCGTCAACCAGTGTACCAGAGTACACGTAATAACTGTACCATTGAGCTTCTAGAGGGTCGCGATTGCTTCAAGACGCATTGGCCTCAATGCACAAAACCTATAAGCGGTTCCTTATACAGGGCCATGAAAAGCCAATCAACCCTCATAATCATAAGCCCTCAATTAAAAGGTCAGACATTTAATTCACATAAAAACCATGTTCAAGGCAGGGTAGGGGAGGTATGGAAAAAGAAGATAGGGCTAGGTGCGTGGAGAAATGACATTTCCGTGTTTATTACAGAACACGCATTAGGGCCGTGCTCCGAGCTGGCGCGCATGCGCTCCACGACGTGGCATTTCACGCCATCGCCCCCATTTTCCCATCCCCTTTCCCCACCATGCATACTGACAAGCATTATGATACCTCATGGGGGCTTTCTTGGTGTCCCTCTGGATCAATTAGAGTTTCTCCAAGCATACCTGGTACTTCTTGAAGACGCCAAAACATGACGATATGAGGATATGGAGATGACCAGAGCTGATATGGAGATCCTTCTGAGGATCGCAACCCTTGGCTCTGGTTCTGAACAATATAGATTGACTTCAATGCTTTGGCAAATGCTACGGCTTCAGTGCTCTGGTGCTGAGTTCTGTATTTGATCTCCCACGAAGTGACTGGCCTATGACCCGCGTCTGAATGCTGAAACTCATTCACTAGGAACAAAATTCCGCTGACCAAATCTACTTGCAATGAGCTAACCACAGATCTTTTTTAACGCCATCCTATGCCGCGGACTGGTACGAGTATCAGTCGTCAATGGCCCAGGAAATCGGCCGAGGCCATCATAAGGCTACCCTACCCATTGTGCAGCTTCGTTAAACGAAGGCTCCCGAGGTCATGGTGCACATGAAGGTACGGGATAAGAACTGATAAGATGCACATTGATTCATTAACATTATAGCTCAACAGATTCGAGCTCCTGGTATTCACTATTCATACGAATCCATCACATCACCCTGGTCAATTTCATACTCCCAATCAGGAGGACTGCTGTCCACGATGTCCTCATCCGTGTACCCTACCGCGGCCTCGGCTGCTTCGGTGACAACTTCCTCAAGCAAATCATCAACCACCTCGTTGATTATCGCTTCATCTTCTTCGCGGTCTTTCATCTTTGAATTCGACTCGGCAGTATCAAGACCGTCACCCATCCCAAAGTTAAGATCGGGCCCTCTCAGCAGCAAAATAGAATCTGGACGTTGATCCAGATACTTTTTGTCCACGATGAAGGCTTTGGAGCCACGCCAGACAACGGATCCCTGATTGCGAGCCTGGAAGACAGTCACATCTGCGGTGTTCATGGAAAGCAGGTGGTAAATGTGCACATGCTTCTCCTGCCCATAACGAACGGCCCGGCCGATTGCCTGGGTCATTGATGCCTGATACTCGTACCAGTCTGCGGCATTGTATGGTGACAGAAAAATCACATGGTTGGCGCATTGAAGATTCCTGTGAACGTTCAGACGGTCAGTAAATTGTCATGGCAAAGATACTATATGAAGAGTTGACTGACAATCCAGAGGACACGACCTGTCCAAGTTGAAGTATGAGGACTTTAGGCCGCGGCTTTTGTCCCTGGCCCTCTGTTTTCTCCTTATCCTCTTTCTTCTTCCAGCCCCACTTTTTGGGGCCATCCAAAGGGCCCGGTGGGGTGAATAGCTTCACATCAGTCGCAGTTTTCGCCCATATGAAATCGATATCTGCGGATAACAAAGCACGTTTCGCTTTGTCAATCAGGTCCTCCCATTGGATAAAAAGCAGAACTTGGTCGTCAGGTGGAGTACCCTTGATTATGCGTATCATTCTGGTCAATTTGCGGCTAGTATCATCCGTATCGTTGAGAGTGCGGCCATGGATGCGCTTCCCTGGCTGGGTTGAGCCATTGCATTTCTCTAATGGACATGTTCGCTCCGCCTTCGTAACAGTTCGTTCTTTTGCATCAGAACCCTCAATGTCGGTTTGCTCTTCTGCCTTTGAAGCCACGGTGGAGATCTGTTCTGCCGAGTCACAAGCCTCGATGCAGTTTTCGCAGAGGATGTGCCCGCAAGATCTGAGTACGACAACATCGGACATTGACGCGAAAATGTTGTTGCAGGAATCGCAGCGTTGCTCCGCGGCGGTTTGAAGGGTTATCATGGCCTTGAAGAATCGAACTCGTTGAAAGGTCTCGCAAACTGTGCGCAAGGCTGCAACGGTGTCAATATGAAGTTTCTTGGCGACACCCTGCTCTCTGGCGCCCCGGGTTATCATCAATTCTTTATCAGCAGATACAAGGGACATCTTTGCTTTCTTCAAGGGCGGTGTCTTCTTTTTCTTCTTCCTATTGCCATTATGCGCGTTGCCACCCTTGGAATCACTTCCAAGGCTATTTGAAGATGCTGTATCCCCGTCATCGATATCTGTGGCGGATAAATTGGTGGCTTCTTCAACGGCGGCTTGTTCAGCGGTGGCTTTTTCAGCAGCAGCCCGGGAAGCCTTGGTTTCGGTTTTCTTTTTGAACCGCTCGGTGACTTGATTGATGACATCTGATATCTCCTTGGATTCAACCCCGACCCAGGTCTCATACAACGCCGAAATATTCGTCATCCGGCGGCGGGCCTCGATCATTGCTTCATGATCACCAAACCGGGAAGCGAAAACATTCGTCAAGAAATCAGCCCAGACTGACGAGCGGACAGCCCATTGGCTTTTTGCAAGGACCGTTTGCTTGGTCAGGAATTCCAAATTTTTCCAGCACTTATCGAGGGCGTTCTGCTGTTTCTGAAGCTTGGACCGACACTTTTCCACACTCCAAGCAAAGCCGCGAAGGTCAGACACCGTTGCACATTTCAACAAGGAAGAATGAGAAGGGTTGTGACCCTTCTCGTAAAGGAACTCATTCATTCTCTCGACCTGCAGGTCATTCTGGGTGTTCCGCATTATGCGCAATTGGCCATGTTCCTTTTTCAGGTGACAATGCAGAGCATAATAAATTTTCCAATCCGCAGGGAACTGCTTGCACAGAATTGGGTGGTTTGTCACCTTGATGTGGCTGATCAGGGCTGGATTTTTTCGTGCGAATACATCGAGGAAGCCCTGAGCATGGTCCCGTCGGTGCTCATACCACGCCTGGCTACGAGGCACCTGGAACAGTTGCAAGGATTCGAGACCCGATAGGCACTTGCGGGCTTGGTTTAGCCGGGCATTCTCCGTCGGGTGGTTGCCGTCATCGTCGATGCCTAGGTAGATACCCAAATATCGCGCGATGCTCTTGACATCGGCGAACTCACCCGTCGCGGGTGTGCCGGAGAGCACCCACTTTGACCACGCACGCAGAGAGACAAGTGAGCATTGTTTATCCTCCTTGGTGTACGTATATTCGTCGACGACGAGCCGAGCGAAGCTGAAAGCGTGGATCGGAAGGCCTTTCATCATCCACATGTCGGGTTGAATATTGAAGCGCTTCTTGATGGCTGCAGCTTCACGCTTCAATTTTTCTTCGTCGGTCAGAGGACCCTTGACATTGGGCTTGCCTTCAAAATCAGTACGCTTTCGCTTTTGGCCCGCGGTAGTGCCGCCTTTCTCACCAAAGGTCTTACTTCGTGCAGCGGGCTCGACGTCGTCACCCATATATTTTCCATCATCCTCGATATCCATCTCATCCGGCCAGGAATCTTGGACTTCGACACGCTGGCTCTGTTCCCGAGTTGCCGTACTCGTTGCCCGTGTGAGCGTACTACCCATACGCTCAAACACACTGGCGTGACGCGAGCCGCTTGCTGAACGGAACCCTTCAGAGGGCCGAGGGTGATCTGGCAGAGATACTTCCGTCTGTGATCTACTGGTGTCGGCATCCTCTTCCGATTTCTGCTGAGCAAGTGCGAAGGCTTTTCCGCGCAGCCGTTTTGAGGGGCAATAGGTTGATTCAGCCTGGTCTTCTAGCACTTGCTTATAACGAGCCAGTGCTTCTTGGGAGAAGATCTCGGGACCGCCTTCAGGAACCTCTTGTTGGAGCGTCGGCACGAGTTCTCGCAAGGAACGCTCGGCCTTCATAAACCAGTTGTCGAAAATCCGTTCTCCGCCACGCTCGGGGACTGCAGGGCTGCCAGTGAACGACCTCATCCGCTGGTAATAGGTGAGATTATTGAGTAAATCCCACGTTACCAGAACAATGTTGGCCTCCATGAATTCCCCAACCGTGGCCTGGGCCAGGTCGCTGATGTTGTACATCGAGAGCACACTACAACGCCGTCCAAGGAACTTGGGGATTTCGGCCTTCCACTGGTTAAAGAGATGCTCAGGCACGACAATGAGGGTTGCACTAGTCGCGATAAATCCTGCACTCTGGGAAGGTTTGTCGGGAATCTCCATGTCATTTTGGCGCTGTGTTGCGATGAGACCGAGGATGATGGCGGTTTTCCCATATCCCACATCATCGGCAAGTATGCCCCCACGGATAGTTTTAGGCATGGAGACTCTTACTTCTGCTCGCCATGACATTAATGGTAAAGTTGCCTCCTCCGTTTCTTCCTCAAAGAACGGTTTGATGTCATCTGACTCCTGCGCGACCATCCAGGTCAGGGACCGTAGCTGGTCCCGGCGCAATGAGAGCCGCATAACGGGCTGAGCAGAGCAAAGTTCTTCATTGTTGCCGGCAATATCCATCCTCTGGCACCTTGTCCTGACCAATTCCGTAACATTGGAAAGAAGGCGCCAGCGGAAGCGGGTGTTCTTGCTGATTTCGGGACATTTGGGATCTATAAGATTCCCGAAGGCCTGGTGGGCCATGGACTGGACATTCAGCGCAAATCTCAGTTCCCCAATTCCGATAGTGTCAACATGGCTGAACACCATAAACGCCGGCGGTTTTGTCTTAATGGCGCGCTCAAACTCAGCTGCGCCTTTGGGGTCTTCGAGAGGAACAACACTCTTGCCATCCCGCCCAAGGCACCAGATAGTGCCTGGAGGCATGGGGACGCAGTGGCCACAGATGGCAGCTTGACTACTGGGCATAAGCTTGTTCCAATCGATTTGCATCCAGTCTAGGGAGCCAGCTACAGCTGCAACTCCCTGAATGGCCCATGACAGGTCCTTCAGAGCTATCGATATATCAGAGCTCAGTGCTTGCCAGGGAGAGGATCTCTCTGGGAGATTAAGCATGGTCGCTTGAGCAGTCAATGAAGCCAAAGTGATAAATGACTGAGAGCAAGATGTCTCATCAACTGAGGTATTCGGGTGGGCTACGCGCAAGCGCTCCACCACCTCGGTGTTCACAATTTGCTTCAAATATGCATTTGCGACCGTTCGCCAGGCCCGAACGAATGCGGTGATTGACGCCGGAGTGCTCTGGACGTGTACTGCTCGCCAGCTAGGTGATAATTCGGCAATCGTCATGCGTGGAGCATAGCCAGGAATACGACCATGCTCGAGTGAAAAGACGCATGAGTCAAGACAAACAGCACCATTTTTGCTGGGGTCGAGAAACAGGTACACGCTGGGTGATAATGTGGTGGCCTCCTTTGTATACAGGGAGCCCAAGGCCGTACCACAGTCGGGAAGGAACTGATATTCGCCGCGCACATCGACGTCCAGGCTCACAACGTCTTTATCCTCAGCAGAGACACGAATCTGGGTCCAGACCTTGGAGTTGACAAAGTCTTCTCGTACCAAGCCACACTCGGCCTCGTACGATCTGACCTGCTCTCCAAAGCCCGAAATTGACAAGCAGAATCCGGTGCTGATCGGTGCGCACACTTCCCATTCACCCTTGAGCAAAGAACCCTGGGTCACCGTCATCCTTGCGATTGGTTTCTTCATAATCTCTCTCAGCAAGCACCGTGCTGCTGATGATGATGGAGGTTTGCCGTACACAAACCATCGGATCTCCTTCTCGGTGATTGAAAGGCGAAGGGAAGAGTTGTCACCTTCGTACATCACGGTCCATTGCTCGCTACGACGAATGTCGAAAAATCGGACCTCGTCACGTAGTGCAGCGCTAACGGCCCCGAGATATTTCTCGAACTCGCGCGATGGTGGAGCTGTCGTGTCACCAGGGAACAAGCTGCGGTACTCCTGGAAGGCTTTAACGGGAAGATCTTCGAGCACAAGACGCATGGGCAAGATTCCCTTGAGAAGCTTCTTGAAATCTGATGGGTTAGTACGACGAACCTTGAGTTTCAGTTCTTTATAAGAGTGTGTTGGGCTTCCAGCACAGGCCATGCAAGCCGTATGTCCGCATTGAGTGCATTGGACAAGGTCGTTTTTGCTTCCAGACTGCTTTTCGCACTGGCAGTAGGCCACAGTGCGGGCAGCAACGGCAAGAAGAGCGTCGAGACCCCAGGGCCCGCTCTCCGCAATCTTGGGGATGGGTAGGAGCTTGTCACCATCCTTCAATGCAAACTCAACTTTCGGCTGAACAACGGCTTGCGCCCTGGATTCTGCGCCGTCCTTCAACACCTCCTTGAACGTTATAAGTGCCGCCAGAATTATAGCACAGACCACCGTGGAAGTCATAGCATTGCCGGCGAGGTCTTGAAGTTCCTTCGGTTTCTCCTTCGCGAGGATCATCCGGTCGATTGGCAAGCCCTGGAGGGCAAGCGCTTCGAGTCCGGACATCGGTCCCCCACGAGTTGACATGAACGGCACGCCGTTTGGAGTTAGGCATCCCGCCACGCCGAAGTTCTTTCCACTCTCGTTGCCCCGGTCAACACCCTGAGAAACATCCACCCAGCGCCTATTTAATCGTCAACTATCGGTCATTTATATCTCAGATCAGGTTCACATACTCCTTGAAGTTCATGTCAGCCCCCTTGAGCAGGTTGACAAGGAACTTGAGGTCGAGGGTTTCCCAGACCCGCTCGACCTGCGCTTTGAAAAATGGTGGCCAGTAGAAATCTGGCGGCATGGAAACCGTCCCCCCTGGTAGGGACCTGCTGATAGGTCGTCGGTCACCCAATTCCATGTCTATACGGTATCTCTTGTGCCGTTCCTGGTAACGACTCCAATCGACTTCGCGGTTGGACTCCGCGCGACCAGAATCCCTGGATATCTGCTCCAGTCGATGGTCGTCTTCATTCAGGAGGAACATGCCGGCCGGAGAGCTAGCCTGTCGCTTCATTGACTTGACCAGGTTGTCCCAGTCAGCGCCGAAGGACTCTTTGCCAGCATCTTCCAGCCGCCGTTCATTGTCGACACATACCATATAGCCTCGGATGCGGGTCTGCGGGACATAATAATGTTTCGAGTCAACGATGCTGTGGAAAGCATCGTACCCGATCCCGGTCCAGTGATCCGCAAATCTCTTCCAGGGGGCTCCTCGGACGTTCTCCATGATGACGATCCGTGGTCGATTCTTCGTCGCGTACTCGATAAGGGCCAAGAAAGTCTTGCCTGACTCACCGCCATCGTCAAGGCCCTTCTGCTGAGTATTGAGCGGGGAAAAATCGACACACGCAGTGCCGGCGATCAAGATGTCTAGTTCGCTGGGCACATCCGCCAACGAACCATAGGCCGTTCGGCTATAATATCATTTTCAGCAATTATCACTTGTGAGGATAATATTGAACACTTACGCTTCAGTTCCTCCGAGCTCTGTCAGATCTCGGAAGATGATTTTGGGCCCGAAGTTCCGTTCAATATACGCTTGCTTGAATGGAACAATCTCACAGCTGAACAGATGTGAGATACGAAATCGCCGTTCTGAAGGTAAAACTGCAACGGGGTAACAGGTTAACAACATTTTACCTCGCACGTTGGACAAGAAAAGTTACACACCCTTTTCGATCATCTCAAGTGCCAACAGCGGGCTTTCTGTGCCCGAACACACGGTCGCCACTTTCAGCGGCCGATCTCCCAAAATATCAAGAACGTTTTGCAATCCGAGGCGCAACGCATTCGAGGCCAAATCTTGGAAAATATCTTCCAGCTTATGCATTGGCGGGAGGCTCTGGTCCAGATACGACTTATCCCCCACCTGAGACCGCGCGTACTCGGGGATCTTGAGGTTGGATGAGGGAGTAGAAGCATCGGCGACGTCACCAACCACACCCTGCTGCTGAGCAGCCATCTTCTTCTTCTGTTCAGGAGACTTGCGCGGAGCGCGAGGAGCCATTGCCGAGAGGGGCTATCGAAGTCAAGTCAGCAACACGACCACAGGCGCCACCGGATACGTGCAAAGAGAGAGGCATGATATGGGACAAATACGTGAGAACTCACTGAATGAAGAAATAGGGAAGGCTCCGTGAAACTCAACCCGAAAGTCCTGCTTGGTAGCCTAGGCACGGTTGATGTGCAATGGGGTGAGAGGCTATTAGCGTGTCAGCAACTTGATACATGAAGTAAGCGTCATGACGGACGAGTGGTCAGATGGATGCGCACTTACTGGACGAATGCCCGAAACGACGGAGCGCAGCAGAATCTCTTCACGAACAGGGCACGAGGATGTGCCGGCGGCAGAGGGAAACAAGTGTAGTATCCAGCTGAAGAAAGCCGGAGAGTTTGAAGATGCGTGAAATCTGGAAACTTTCCTGGAGAGATAGAGAAGGGTAAAAGCAGAAGGGAAATCAAAACGACCTTTATGCGCATCGTGGCCCGCATGTTTGCGCTTACGGACGACCCTACGTTGCGCGCGACTCATAATTTCCCAAACGAGACGTATTAGGGCAACATCTCACTTGGACAGCCATACTCCACATAAATTAGCCCTGAATACTTTTTCTTGTGACGACTACCTGATACGCAGTGTCATATAGATCTTTCGGCATCCCGATGTAGTTCGGCATGCCGCTACCCCCGGGAAAACTAACGCCCTCTCCCCCATAAAAACTGACCATCCATAAACCCCATAGCAAGGTATAAAATATATCATGGATTCTGCTTGCCGCTGGGTTAGGTGTGTATCCTGCGGTTCAAAGTAGAGTCCTCTGTTTGTTCATGGCATGTCTGGTCCCGTGTGCGGCAACATGCAGGCACGTAGTTCAAACCCAAGATCAATGCTCATCTCACATGGCTCACCTGAGACTTCAAGCTACCGTGGTAATTGCGACTACGCTAAAAAGCAAGACATCAACCATACCTCAAGAGATGGCCCGACAAGTTTACGAAATCAAGCATGACGGGAAATGAAATAATTCACCGCCAACTAAGTTGCTCCATAGATAATCTGCAATAATATACATTGAGACATGTTTTAATCACAATTATGGGCTGTCAGGCGAGCTAGTCGAAATGTAGTTGAGAGGTCGTTAAATGAAGTTAGGGCTGGGCCGCGTGCCGGCGGCTAAACTCGGCTATTTGGGCTGGGTGTCTCGAATGCGCTTGCAACAATCGGGGATTGCGGCAGCGCTTAGAAACCCTGGTAGGCGATTACAGACACGGGAATTTACTGGCCGGGCCGCCTATTCAATCTACATAATGGAACCCCCTCCAATCATGTCCCCATCCGAGATACGTTCCTCCATCGATGTACCTGCTCAATACTATTGTCACGGAAACCAGAAACCAGTATATAGTTAAAGCGCGAGAGTCATCATCTTCTGTAGCTTCAAATCCTTGGCTTTTGTAGAGCATGGAGACCGGCTCTACCGATACCATCTCTCCACGTGCGGTGCATCTCCTCGACTTGACCGAGGCTCGTCTGCTCTGGCAGTAGCTGTCACTAACGTAGCGCAGAAAAATGGGGTCGTTTTGGATGATGTCTCTAGCTGTGTTATCTTTTCAGCTGGGCCCGGGCATGGCCCGAAGAGTCAAGTCAAGTCATGGATACCTAAGGTCCCCTCCCTTGTTCGACATATGATAAATGATTAGAGCCCTTGAGGTGGGAACTACAAGTGCCTAGGTGGGAGTGCGACAAAAAAATTGGGGAAAAAATATGGATTATCCTAGTTCTAGAATACAGCTGGATTCCACCCTTAAAGCTGGTATGCAAAATGAAAACGAGTAAATCACTCCAGTTGCGCCATCCTTCGCCATAAAAAAGTATGAAACAAAATGGGAGCTGCAATGCCGTGCCAGATGAAGTTCTTGGAGGAGCAGGACGCAAGATTAGACCGCAAGGTCAAGGACACAGCAAGAGGTAGACATCATAACTACCGCATGCCGCCCTGCATAAGCTGCTGACGGAGCAGCATGATCTGGCTGCGCTCCATTGGAGGCAAAGCATCGATAGTTGCTTGGGGCATGCTCAACACTTGCTGGAGGAGCTCATCTTGATTGGGTACTCCTTGTGGTGCGGCAGGCTGAGCGGGGGGAGGGGCGAATGGCGTTCCTGAGACAGGCGGGGTGCCGATTTGACCAGGTACACCGTAGGGCTGGAATTGCTGCGCAGGTTGCTGGACTGGTGCTGGTTGGGCTGCTTGTTCAACGATGGATCCGAGTAGCTGGTACTCCACCAGGTTCATGAGCAGAAGCGCTTGGAAAATCGCGTACGCGAGCTGGGGAGCTTGACGCAGGAGCTCAGTCGCGCGGGCGGGGTCGGCCACGGCGAGAGATTTCATTTGTGTAAGTACGTCGAGGAGCTGGTTGGGAGGAAGAGAGGCGAGGGTGTGAGAGATGGCGTTGGGGCAGTCGAGATGAGGAGGCACTTCAACGCCCGGAGGGAGAGGAGGCAGCGGCGCAGATCCCGGGATCTGCTGAAGCTGAGGTGTCGGGTCTTGAGCCACAGGCTGTGATTCCTGAGAATAGTCCGTCGGCACAGAATCTTTTTCGTTGTTGTGAGGCCAATCGACGCGGATTTTACGGCCCATGATCTCGTAGTCGTTTAGGTTGCGCACCGCTGAAGCTGCCGCGTCAGCATCCGCAAAATCCGCGAATCCATAGCCTTTGGGTTTGCCGGTCTCGGGGTTCATCATCAGCCGGAACTTGGTGACGGTGCCAGCCGTGCTGAGAATGTCTTTGACTTGCTCCTCCGTGAGATCTGCGGGTGGTCAGTATTGCGCGAGCGAGACCAATGAAATATGTAACAAAAGGGGACATACTGTAGGGGATGTTCCCCAGAAACACACTCTTTCCCGTACGGTCGGGCGCCATAGCTGCGATGAGGAATGATGGCGTTGCAAGGACGAAAGTCGAGTGAAGCGCAAAGAGACATTCGACATTCTGCCGGACTTTATCCTCACCGCCCAACATCTCACCTTCTCTTGACGTCCCGTCTTCATCCAACCATCTTTTCGATCCATCATCACGCTCACATCATGTCTCAGAATCAACGGGAGGCCTGGGAGCGCGTGCAGCTCATGCTGCAGAAGCGCAAGGGTAACTTTGGCGGCTTCCCCGGCGGGGGTGGCCGCGGCGGTATGGGTCTGGCCGGCACTCTGATCATTCTCGGTATCGGCACCTGGGCAGCCTCAAATGCGCTTTTCAACGGTATGAATGACCCCTATCTTGGTCTTGCAAGTTACTTACAAGCTACATAGTGGACGGTGGTCACCGCGCTATCAAGTACTCGAGACTGAGTGGTGTGCGCAAGGAAATCTACAGTGAAGGTAAAACATCTTCCTAGGAGCTGGAATGAGCTAGTAATAATATCTTGGAACAAATGCAGGTACTCATATTCGCATTCCCTGGTTCGAGACCCCCATTATCTACGATGTCCGCGCCAAACCACGCAACATTGCCTCCTTGACCGGCACCAAGGATTTGCAGATGGTCAACATCACTTGCCGTGTTCTGTCGAGACCCCGCGTCGATGCTCTGCCTCAGATCTACCGTACCCTCGGTCAAGACTTTGACGAGCGTGTGCTTCCCTCGATCGTGAATGAGGTCTTGAAGAGCGTTGTGGCTCAGTTCAACGCCAGCCAGCTCATCACTCAGCGTGAGAACGTTGCCCGTCTGGTCCGTGAGAACCTGGCCCGCCGCGCCGCGCGCTTCAACATCGCTCTGGACGATGTCTCTTTGACTGTAAGTGCTACTTTTGGACCATTCGAAATGTGCCCCGCTAACTCCGGCCTTCTCCGCAGCATCTGACCTTCTCTCCCCGAATTTACCGCCGCCGTCGAGGCCAAGCAAGTCGCTCAGCAGGATGCGCAGCGTGCTGCTTTCCTGGTAGACAAGGCCCGCCAAGAGAAGCAAGCCTTCATTGTTCGCGCACAGGGTGAGGCCCGTTCAGCCCAGCTCATTGGTGACGCGATCAAGAAGAGCAAGAGTTACATCGAGCTGCGCAAGATTGAGAATGCCAGACAGATTGCCACTATTCTCCAGGAGAGCGGCGGCAGGAACAAGCTGTACCTTGACAACCAGGGTCTAGGCTTGAATGTCCACGCATCGACCGAGGATGGCAACTAAGTTACATTAATCAGGCGCAGGTTGTGGAATCATGTACAAATAGCTTTCTAGGAGCATCCGAATGCGGTCTCTTCTCTTTTCGTTCTGCTGAACTTCATTTTGAGATTGTCCCGGTAGATTTTTGAAGGTTGTAGACCAATTGTGTAGCAAGTTTAGGGTACCCATCACCCGGAACTCACTTAGGTAGTATCATGGTGATTATCCGATTAGGTGGATGAGATGGTAGGACCTTGGAAGAGCATTTAATGCATATCCAATATACACCTGAAGTATCTGCGCGATGTTTGGACTAGCTGATCACTTGATCGTAGTCTAATGTCATCGTCCACCGCGATATATTTTGACGCGGGGGCGAAGGCGGCGAGCGGGACTCCACCGCAACTTTTTTTTATTGCCCGCCACTTTTTGAGGTTAACAACGACAAGGACAAACAGCGTTTGTAAGTATTCGATTAGCTCCAATAGGATCAATAGTCCTTTACTTATACGCAGCAGCTAACAATTAAACCAGAAAACCTGTCACCATGGCCGACCCCACCACCGAAGAACCCCAAATCACCTTCACCCAGATCGACGTTGACCTCGACGTACAAGAGATCCTACTCGCTGCCTCCCAACACGACCTTGCGAAGCTGCGCCGACTCGTGCGGACCCAATCGCAGCTCCCTGACGCAGCCAATGTCAAGGACCCGGAAACAGGCTATTCGCCTCTGCACTCCGCAATCGCTGCCTGCGAACCCGAAACAGACGACAAGGCGAACGGCGCGACCAGCACTATTGATCCCGAGGTGTTGAAATCCGGCGTTGAAACAGTCAAGCTCCTCCTCCAGGAGGGCGCAATCTGGAATGACCTCGACAAGAACAACGAGACACCAGGCTGTCTCGCCCGGCGCATCGGCGCAATGGAGCTGTACGATCTGATCGTCGACGCCGGTGTGCGTGCTGAGATGCTTATGAACCGATTGGACGGATACGAAGAACTTTCCGACGAGGACGAAGACGAAGAGAAAGAGGAGGGTGAAGGCGACGAAGAGTCCAGGATAGCACCACAGCTAGTCGACGCCTCCGCAGAGCAAGCAAGCACCTCAACAGACGCACCGGCAAACCCAGAAGTCACTAACCGGGGCTACCTCGACTCGAACCTAACTATCCAAAAAGACCGGATTCTCGATTCAGACCAGAACGGCGTCATGATGGAGTGGGAAAGTGAGATTATGCGCAAATCCGCAGAAAAGCTCCTTCCTACCCCAGGCCTGAAGGTTTTGAACATCGGTCATGGAATGGGTATCGTGGACGGGTTCTTGCAGGAGAAGGCACCCGCATCGCACCACATCATCGAAGCGCATGCGGAGGTTGTGGCTGAGATGAAACGGCGTGGCTGGGATAGCAAGCCTGGTGTTGTGATTCATGAGGGCCGCTGGCAGGATATCCTGCCTGTTCTTGTAGGCAATGGGGAGACGTTTGATGCGATCTACTACGATACGTTTGCGGAGTCGTATGCCGATTTCCGGGACTTTTTCTCGGAACAGGTTATTGGACTGTTGGAGCAAGATGGCAAATGGGGATTCTTTAATGGGATGGGAGCTGATCGCCAGATCTCCTATGATGTCTATCAGAAGGTTTCGGAGATGGATATCTTTGAGGCGGGCTTCGACGTTGAGTGGGAGGATATTCCGGTGCCCAAACTGGAGGGCGAGTGGGAGGGCGTGAGGAGAGCTTACTGGGTGGTTGATAACTATCGCCTGCCGCTGTGTCAGTTTATGGATTAAGATGAGATATGGGACATCAAATATATAAGAAGCAACGGGATACACCCTCCCCCTTCTTTTGCTGGGGAAAATGATTCGCTTTATGATACAGAGATATGCGACGCCCAGAAAAATGCTATGCAGGGGAATACAAACAACGCTCATAATATGTATCGATCATAATTGAATCAAGTCCACCTCTGAGAAATCCGGTGGACTGCGACTGAATATAGTCCGACATTTACCGTCCAGCGCTTGGTACTCGTTACTGACCCAGATGTGCTTGCTGAACCGCTGTATCCGGTAGATCTCGTCGTCACTGACCCCTAAATCATCACGAGGGATCCAGATGACGGGCCGCTTGGCGCGGAGTGCTTGGTGTTGGAAAGCACGCTGCACCAGTTGGTCACGTTCATCGGGCGTTAGATCCTCTAATTCGTCATGGATGCCTGCGAATAAGGCATGGCCACCCTTGGCGGATGGCCCTTGGGCCTCCACATCCTGTGCCATCTTTTCGCGCAAGGATTTAAGAGTCGGGTTGGAATTGCCTGAATTGACACCAAAGAACTTGGACTTTCGGTTTGGAGAGCGATCGGCCCACGATGGTCGCTTGGTAGCACTTCTTGGCGTCGAAAGTAGGCCACTCGAGTTGTTTCGATGCAGCTGAGCCTTTCGATCGGCCTCAAAGTTGTCCAACTCAATATCTCGTCCGCTCTGATCCTGGTCACGTTCGTGTTGTTCCTGTTCAGCAAGCTGCCTCTCGAGATGCTCATCCTCTTCTTCGCCATCGTCGACGCCGAGTCCAAGCCGGGCGTGTTGAGCACGTTCGAACTCTGCATCGCGACGGACGGCTTCGTCTTCCAAAGTGATGGGCAGATACCGAATCAAGGGCCCGAAAGCGTCGCTCAGAAGGATTTGGTATCCGAGAGTCAAGACCGTGATGACAATCATACAGATGCCCTGGCCTTGACAGGCCACTTTGCCCTGCTCATCTCGAACCAAAAAGAACAGGCCGATCAAACACAGTTCCATCACATACAACCCGGTGAAGAGCTGATTTATGGCACGAGGAAACAGCAGACCGCCGGTGTCGAAGCGGAATTTTGTCACGTATAGCGTGTTGTAGCGATAAACGAACCAGAACAGGCTGAACGTAATGATATTGAACACGAGAATAAGAGGCGCAACCACGCAGTAGATCAACCCTATCAGAATGTTAGAAAGCCCGGTTTCTAAAAGAAGAGTTAGAGGTTGTACATACCGATAGAGGCCAGCGTCGTGTAGACGGGGAAGAAAGTACCCCACTGCATCTGATTGAGGTTGGTCGTCCGAGCCCACTTCTTTCGAGCAGTTGAGTCTAAGATAGGAGCGAGAACGAACCAGCTGAGCAGACCGAAAATTTGCACAAGCGCACCGGCACTCACAGACATTGCCTGTAGAATCATGTACGAAAAAAAGTAGTTACTTGACTTTGGAATGTTGTTCGCCAACATTTCCGGCCAACTGGTCACGTTAGCGACATTGTCGATGACCGTACTGAAACTGGAGGCAATTGTTACAACCAGGAACAGCTGGACGAACAGGAACGCAAAATAGTAGTTCTGGACAGTCAGCTCAATGGCCATGCCCGTGTGGAGGCCCTGTGTCCGGCTCAAGAAGCGGAGAATCAAGGGCAGGAGGGCCATAAGGATGGCCAAACAGGTTGCGGGCAAAATACCCTGGACAGCAGATATAAACCAGTCCGGCAACTTGCCGATCCAAGCCAGCCATGGAAATGCGCCCTCCAAGTATATCATTTGGGAAAGCAGTCCGGTAAAGGCAACGGGGAATGCCCACCCGACAACCATGGCACAGACCAGGGTAATGATACCAATGGTACGCAGATAGCGTTCCCACCATTTCATAGACATGTTGTCCCAGATTACATCGTCAGGAGAGATTTCCACGATGCGGGGTGCCATTTGCTTAGGCAGATGATGGGCAACGGACTGGCATGCCATGTGCGCCGCAACCTGGTGGTTGAATTGGATGAATGCTGAGTTCATCAGCGGGAATCGTTCTGGGTGCTGCTGATCGACCTCGATCTCCAGGTTTAACCGAGCAATTTCCTTCCGACAGTAGTCAATCGTATCGACCTTTTTCCCGATGAGCCAAAGCGAAGGCATCCACTTCCAACCAAAGATAGGAAGGCGGTACGTATCCCGGTCTTTTTGGCGAATGTATCTCTGCCACATCGGCTCTCCGTAGTCTTCGTTGTCAAAATCCTCATTGTAGGCGACAGGATATTCCTCTCCTTCCACCTTGTCACCCTCTTTGAGATTTTTCCAATTTTCCTTCTTCTCATCGACCTTTTCAGAAGACTTAGCTGACTCACGACGGGGTGCAGCATCGACAGGCGTATCGGGGCCAGTTAGAGGATATTCATCAGGGTCTGGTGCAGAATGTTTAGATGTATGAGAGGACAGTCGCTGTTTCCAAGATGGTCGCTTCGGTGGCGGCTGCGGATCACGACATACGGAGCTTGCGATTGGGGGCTCGGGGGTAGGGAGTTTGGTGGCGGAGGAAACAGGGCCAAGAGAAAACTCGTTGGTAGGGGAGTCCTCTTCATTGGCCGTCGGATTACTTGTTCGAGAAGGCACGCTTTCCTCTGTAGTATCGACATAGCCGCCCGTTCGTGACAACTTGCCGTCAAAGCCAACTTCGACCTTCTTGAAGCCGCCCAGTACTGACTTGCCTAGTCTGCCGACTCCTTGGCCAGCTGCGCCCGCTGCTGCGAGAGGAATTGCGAGAGCTGGGTCTAGTACACCGGTCCTCAATCCCTCAGCTGTGCTTCGCTTGTGGTTTTCTGATTGTTGGTGAAGGATGTCATGCAGCGTGTGCGCCTGATGTGGATCACCGGAACTGACACCGGGTCCCATCGCAATTTGCGCCGCACGCTCATCGGTGGCCACCTTTTCTCGATCTTCGGCTTTAACTTTGCTCTTCCCAGATTTCTTTGCCTCGGCTTTCAGTTTCTTCAGCGCGGCCTTTTTACATTTGACGATGAGGTCCGTCTCGGCGGATTCAAGCTTGAGCGCAAGTTCGTTCCGCTCCTTCACCTTTTCGTTCAAGTCGTCGAAGTTCCGATTGATCCAAATATTTCGAACACCGCCCGGGAAGACGTCGAAGAGAGAGTCGAGAGAATCAACGTCCAGCCAGCTTGGCGGAATAGCCGTAACCAGCACGGTGGTCGCGGAGGCACGAAGTCGATGTTGAGGGGAGGTCATATAGGCCTGGCGTAGGCGTATATATCCTCGTAATTCGTCGAAGAAGATGGCGCAGACATAAAAAACGACTATGACCGCCATGACAAGGTGAGCCCAATACCGACTGGTGTTCTCAGGTTTGACATTTCCCCAAGCCAGCTGGTCCAAACCAGTGACTTTCCACGTTGAGGACGAGTTTGTGCCATTTTGGTGAGTTGTACCCTTTCCACCGATACGGTTAATTGGAAGCAGGATGGGTAAAATCAAGATTCCGAGAGGGAAGAAGATCTTGAGCAGCATACGCAAATATCGTAGGAAGAAGTATGCATCTAGTCCACATTTTTGAATGAATTCCGAGTTGGACGTTCGAAACACCGGGCCAATCCAGCGGAGGAGCCCCGGTGGTGATGGTTTCGTTCGTTCTCGATCCGAGACTAAGTAAGTTCGTGGTTGACTGTAGGCAAGGAACGGTCAACTTCGCTCCTCGACGCCTGGGTGTAAAGCAACAAAATGGACTTACTATATGCGGGTCAATTTACCCTTGAGTAGCAGAAAAAGCAGAAATTCGACCACGAAAACAGTGATAGCCGTTGTCAGCGAGGCCACAAATGTCTTGACTGAGACACCCGAGGCGGTTTTGCCGTGGCCGGCCGTGTGCTCCAGTGCATTCTCCAACCCCGTCATGGTGCTTAGCGGAGGAGCACGATGTGAAAGTTAAAAGGCAGCAAGGTCCCTCAGATGTCGGATTAGGGATCTTCAAACCACAAGCATCCCGCGATTTCGCCTGCACGTGTCACCGACTCAAGTGCTGCTCCAAAGGATGGGAGAGTCGAACATGACCCAGCACAGGGGGGGGGAGGGGAGAAGTAGGTAGGAGGACAGAAAAAGAAAGTTCAAAGACGCCTGATCAGCGGTGGAGCGATAAACACTGCCTGTGACCTATCCACAATGACACCAGTGGCTGGTGTTTGGGCTGCCGCTCAGGGCTTCGGTAGGTCCCCCACTAAATCAGGAATCGTGGGGATGATTGGAGGGATCGCGGAACGCGGATCGGGCTGTAGAATGACATCAAGCGCCTGGTGAAACAGCCAAGGAGAATCCGGCGGCTCAGGGAAATGAAAGACCATCGACGCTCCTTGGTTGGTCTCCTCCTGTACGCTGCAAGGCTTTTCAAACAAAGCAAGACAAAAGTAGCGATGACTGGGTCCTACTATATTCAGGTGTTAGCTCCCGGTATAAACAAGTTTAAGGGGAAACCGTGCTGATTGGCTCGAGATCGGTTGTGGCGATGGTTAAAGCCTGAGGCATGAACGATAGTGTCTGATCACGTGCTGTAGCTCAACACGCGCGTCCCAAAAGGGAAACCACTTTACGCGTGAGGCGCGTCCGAGCGCGTCCCGGCAGAGCTTTTGCTCTCCCTTCTTTGGACCTCCTCAACACCACCAACAACATCAACCACCCGCCCTCCTTATTCCTCCCCAACCCACAACATGTCTTCTCCGGCAAGTCGGAGGACTCGTGCCTCCAAACAATCAACGGCATCGCCCGCCTCATCGGCTCGAACAGCTCGCGAGCCACCCAGCAGCCCGACTCGCCAAGCCACTCCCCGCGCCGCCCGACGCCTGGCAGCTGAAGGAAATGTTCCATCGTCCTCTCCGATGAACTTCCAGTCTTCCTCGCCTACAAGAGGACACAGAGATGCAGAGACCCCCGATGTTCGCATGGGCGAAGCCAGCTCTCAAGCCGATGATGGTGATAGAACCCCTCGGGCTGCCGAAGCCGGTATTCGAGGTATGTTATTCAGCCGGATGGATTCAATGCGCCCAATTACGATCAATGGAATCTAAATTTGCGATAGACTCGTCTCCTATCAACTATATCCCCAGTTCTAGCCCCAGCAGGGGGTTCGCCCGAACAGACTTCCGTTCCGATCTCCGCTCCGACGCCCTGAGTGAAAGCAGTGGGCTATTCGTATCGCCGAGCCAGGGCCGCCGGTCTGCCCCTCGTCGAAGTGATCTCCACTCAAATGGATTTGGATCAACTCCCGCTCGCCGCAACCGAGTGTTTGTCGGCGCCGATGGCATGCCCTCCGAAGGCAATGCCCCTCGCTCCGATGCTACATTCGAAAACATCAACCCCGATACCTCCGAGGCTGAGGCTATGGCCGGTAACTCATCACGTGTTATCTGGGGCACTAATATTTCGATCCAGGATTCCATGTCCGCTTTCAAACAGTTCCTGTATTCGTTTGCTTCAAAATACCGTCTTTGGGCCGACGGTGCTTCCGAAGATGAGACACGCATCATGGGCGAGGCAGCTGATAGGCGCGAATACATTCAAATGCTTAACGACATGCGCCGCCTCGGCATGACAACTTTCAACCTGGATGCCCGGAACCTGAAAGCATATCCCCCAACCCTCAAGCTTTGGCACCAGCTGTCCGCATACCCCCAAGAAATCATTCCGTTGATGGATCAGACTGTGAAGGATGTGATGGTTGAACTGGCTATCAATGAGATGGATGCTCTGCGGAAATCCCGCACTCCTCGCGGCCAGTCCATCCTCACTTCCGATGGCGTCGTTCAGCCAACTGATGAGCCTGATCTGATCGGCGAGGTCGAGGCCGTGTCGTACAAGGTGCTCCCGTTCGGCCTCGATGAGACTGTGAACATGAGAGATCTTGATCCAGCTGATATGGACAAGCTGGTCAGCATCAAGGGTCTGGTTATCCGGACTACTCCTATCATTCCCGACATGAAGGAGGCGTTCTTCCGTTGCAACGTTTGCAGCTTCGGCGTCCAGGTCGACATTGACCGTGGTCGTATTGCGGAGCCCACTTCCTGTCCCCGTGGTGGCTGCGAGTCAAAGAACTCGATGCAGCTTATTCACAACCGATGCTCATTCTCGGACAAGCAGGTTATCAAGCTTCAGGAAACCCCCGACAATGTCCCTGATGGCCAGACCCCTCACTCCGTTTCTCTTTGCGTGTACGATGAACTGGTGGACGTGTGCAAGGCGGGTGATCGTGTCGAGGTGACCGGTATATTCCGCTGTAATCCGATGCGCGTGAGTGCTCGCCAGCGCTCCCAGAAGGCCCTATTTAAAACATACATCGATGTTCTCCACGTTCAGAAAGTCGACCGCAAGAAAATGGGTATCGACGTGTCCACAGTGGAGCAGGAGATGTCTGAGCAAGCCGCTGAAGCCGATCAGGCACGTAAGATCTCCGCTGAAGAGGAGGAGAAAATCAAGCGCACTGCCTCTCGTCCGGATGTCTACGAGCTGCTGGCCCGCTCCTTAGCTCCTAGCGTCTATGAGATGGATGACGTGAAGAAGGGTATTCTGCTGCAGCTGTTTGGTGGTACCAACAAGACCTTCCAGAAGGGTGGTAACCCCCGCTACCGTGGAGATATCAACATTCTCCTCTGCGGTGACCCTTCGACCTCCAAGTCGCAGCTGCTGCGCTACGTCCACAAGATTGCCCCTCGTGGTGTTTACACCAGCGGTAAGGGTTCTTCGGCTGTCGGTCTGACTGCCTATGTGACTCGCGACCCGGAAACTCGTCAGATGGTCCTCGAGTCTGGTGCCCTGGTTTTGTCTGACGGCGGTACTTGCTGCATTGACGAGTTTGACAAGATGAACGAGGCGACCCGTTCCGTCCTCCACGAAGTGATGGAACAGCAGACCGTCTCCATTGCCAAGGCGGGTATTATTACGACTCTTAACGCCCGCACTTCTATCCTGGCATCCGCCAACCCCATTGGCAGTCGCTACAACCCTCGACTGCCCGTTCCTCAAAACATTGATCTTCCTCCGACCCTGCTCTCCCGTTTCGACCTGGTGTACCTGGTGCTGGATCGCGTGGACGAGACGGAGGATCGCCGTCTAGCAAAGCACTTAGTCGGCATGTACCTAGAGGATACTCCGGAGAATGCTAGCTCCGAGGAGATTCTGGTAAGACCACACACCCATTGACATTTCGCCTCTGTTGCTAATACCATTCCAGCCCATTGAATTCCTAACGGCCTACATCACCTACGCCAAGACTCAGATCAATCCCATCCTGACCCCAGAGGCCGGAAAGGCTCTCACCGACGCCTATGTGGCCATGCGCCAGCTTGGGGACGACATTCGGGCCCAGGAACGCCGCATTACGGCCACCACACGACAGCTGGAGTCCATGATTCGACTCTCCGAGGCTCATGCCCGTATGCGCCTGTCTACCGAGGTTACGGCGGCCGATGTTGAAGAAGCCGTGCGTCTGATTCGCTCGGCGATCAAGCAGGCCGCGACAGACTCGCGCACAGGTCTGATTGACATGGGTCTGTTGACCGAGGGAACCAGTGCGAGCGAGCGCCGTCTGCGCGAGGACCTGAAGCGCGCAGTGCTAGCCCGTCTTGATGAGCGAGGGGGCGTTAGCGGCACTGCCGTCCGCTGGACAGATTTGTTCCGGGACATGAGCGAGCAGAGTGATATGCCGCTGGACCACAACCAGTTCGGCGACGCGGTTCGCTCTCTGGAGGCAGAGGGTGCCGTGCACATCTTGGGTGAGGGTGCCCGACGAAGTATCCGTCGGGCCGCGCTCGGCATGTCGTGATTACATCGACTCATGTCTACTATTTACTCCACGATGCGATGATCCGAGGATGCATGTCCTTGCTTCCCCGCCTGGATTTGCAGGTGTTTTTTGGTGTTGGGAGGGCTGCATTATGTATTATTTTTTTCAGACTTCGAGTGAATCATATGAGTTCCGACATGTCGCGTGAGGTATTTCCCTTTCGGGCCTGTAGAGTATGGCAGCTACATAAAGTATCAAACTTATTTAACGGCCTTGAAACAAGAAATCACATTAAATAATTCTCGGCCGCTTTCTTCCCGCCAGCTCGGCTTTCCCATCGGCTTGGTCGGCCCCTGGACCGATAATCGCGGCTCCAGTATCTCCCTAGGAGGATCTCGGGAGATAAAATATGCCATGTGCCGGCGCCTTCCCTTGCTGGACACTTGCTTAAGGTTATTTAAGCAAGCCCCATATATATTTTCCGTCTAGATTTTGGGTACCCAGGGATCTACTCCGTATAGGGATCGCATAAAATTTTCCTCGTAGACTTGCGAGGACCGGTCCAGAAGCAGCCGCCTGTCAGGTCCACAGGTTCCCGTTGATACCCACTACACCCGCGTCAATCTTGTAGCGAGACACCAATGCCAAGAGAGATCTTCGATGATCTGTCTCTTCACAGAGCGGCCACGCAAGGACGGAACCCTCATATTGCATGCGGCAAAGCATGAACCATAAATTCACGTTCAGAAAAAGCTGCCTAGTTAGCCTCTTCTCATGAGGTCGGAGGATAACGCGGGCCACGTTAATTAATTGACCAAACTAAGTGTATCGTACCAACGTTAGCGCATGCGTTAGCGTCGCACGTGCCGCAGCGACTGGTCGCAGACGTCAGTGGGTCTGGATGACTCAGCACAATGAAGCAACAGCTGCATCGGGCAGGCCAATCAGGGCGCGTCGTGTGCAGGGATGCGCAGTTGTATGGGAGAAAAGATGCGTCGCACGTTGTACCACGGGGTATTTTCGGTGTATATAGCTCTATAACTCTAATTTTGGCGTGCGTTTTAATATGCGACCGTGCTAGTCACTAACACTGCCTACAATTCCACGCTGTGTACTGAGCGGGCCTCCGGAGGCGAACTAGCCGTTCTCGGGCGCCGACCGATAAAGCATCGAGCCTTTCTCTCACTTTTCTTTCTCAACGCGCACCATTGACTTGCTCGAGTTTTCTCCTGTCTCCCTCCTCGAGTCTCCTTGCCCATCATGAGGTAATTGCCCTACATTCCCGCCCAAACTCTCCCTCCTCCCTCCACGGCGACTCTTAAGAATGTACTCTTCCCCGCATGCTGACCCAGCCACCAGGTTCGGCGAGCACCTCCGTTCCTCTATGATCAGAGAGTACGACCCTCATTATATTGCATATGACGAGCTCAAGAAGGCACTCAAGACCGACTTTGTCACCGAACCCACTCCCGATAATGCGAAGCCCGACCGCCTCGAATGGTCCGAAGACGACGAGAGGCACTTTGTGACCCTGCTGGAGAGTGAGCTGGAGAAGGTCTTCCTTTTCCAGAAGCGCAAGAGTGAGGAGATCGTCGACCGCATCAAGGCTAGCGAGTTCGACGTATATGACGTGGTCTCGCGTCTCGAAGACTCCATCCGTCAAAGCGGCCGTTCGTCTCGGCCCACGCCCACCGATGAGGACTTCTTGCTACTCGAGCAGGTGCTCAGTGACATTATTGCGGATGTCCATGATCTTGCCAAGTTCACTCAATTGAACTATACGGGTTTCCAGAAGATTATCAAGAAGCATGATGTAAGTTCATTTTGTTTTGTCCCGAGTCCCTCTTAGATAGCTAACTCCGGAACAGAAAGAGACAAATTGGTTCCTGAGGCCTGTTTTCGCCGCTCGTCTTAACGCCAAGCCGTTTTTTAAGGATAACTACGATGCTTTCGTCGTGAAGCTCTCCAAGCTATATGATCTGGTCCGGACCAAGGGTAACCCTGTTAAGGGTGATTCATCCGCCGGTGGCACCCAGCAGAATTTCGTCCGCCAGACTACCAAGTACTGGGTACACCGCGACAACATCACTGAGCTGAAGCTGGTCATTCTCAAGCATCTTCCTGTCCTGGTCTTCAACGCTAGCAAGGAGTTCGAGGAAAAGGATACCGCTATCTCCTCCATCTACTATGACAACACCGATACCTGGGAGCTGTACCAGGGTCGACTGAAGAAGACCGAGGGTGCAGAGGCCATTCGTCTCCGCTGGTACGGCGGTATGGAGAGTGATCAGATCTTCGTGGAGCGAAAGACTCACCGCGAGGACTGGACTGGAGAAAAGTCCGTCAAGGCTCGCTTCTCGCTGAAAGAGAAGAACGTCAATGCGTACCTCAATGGCAGCATGACCGTGGAGCAGATTTTTGAAAAGATGCGCAAGGAGGGCAAGAAGAGCCAGGCCGAGATCGACGACCTGGAGCAGCTGGCCCGTGAGATTCAGTACCGCGTTATCACCCGCCGCCTGGTGCCCGTCACCCGCACTTTCTACCACCGAACCGCATTCCAACTTCCTGGTGATGCTCGTGTGCGTATCTCACTGGACACGGAGTTGACTATGATTCGGGAGGACAACCTCGATGGTCGGCGTCGCGCTGGTAACAACTGGCGCCGCATGGACATCGGTGTCGATTTCCCATTCTCCCAGTTGCCCCCGGAAGACATTGATCGATTCCCCTACGCCGTGTTGGAGGTGAAGCTGCAGACCCAGGCTGGCCAGGAGCCGCCCCAGTGGATCCGTGACTTGACTGCCAGTCACTTGGTCGAGGCTGTGCCCAAGTTCAGCAAGTTCATCCACGGTACTGCCACGCTTTTCCCCAGCCGCATCAACCTTCTCCCATTCTGGTACCCCCAGATGGACACCGATATCCGCAAGCCCGTCAACCGTCACTACGGCATCCAACGGCCTTTGGCCAGCACATCGATTTCCGCGAACGAGGAGGACTCGGACGACGATGACACACCAGAGTCCGAGCACGGTCCGCAGAACGGCTACTACTCGGAATATCAACATGATGGTGGTCTCTTCACAGAGACCAACGGCAATGAGCTGGATATTGAGGAGCGCATCGCCGCGCAGCCTCTGGCCGGTGATGAGGACTACCCTCTGTACGATTCCGACGACGAAACCTTCGGCTCTGACGAGCTTGAGGAAGCCCGTCGCGTCGGTGGTGCCTACTATGCCGAACAGCTCGTCAAGTACTACGCGTACCGCACCGGGAAAGCAGTACTTAATGGTCTCCTCGCCATCGTCCCTCGCCCAACACCAACCTCCCTCCCACCCCCCGAACAGCGTGGAATCGCTGTGCTGCAGGGTACCCAGCGCTCTCTTCGGCGATTCCAGGCTCCTCCAGGAAAGCGTAAGCGCCTCTTTAACCCCACTTTAACGCACCCAACACTAACCACCAAACCAGGAATCTTCGTCCCAGTCCGCGTCGAACCCAAGGTCTACTTCGCTGCCGAGCGAACTTTTCTCTCTTGGCTTGAATTCTCCATCATCCTCGGTGGTATCGCCGCCACCCTCCTCAACTTCGGTGTCGACAGCGTCTCCCTCGCCTCGTCCTGGGCATTCACCGTTCTCGCCGCCGGTGCCCTTGTCTACAGTCTGGTTCTGTACATCTGGCGCGTAGATAAGATCCGCAAGCGCCGCGATGTGAAGCGTGTGTACTATGAAAAGTGGGGACCCACGGTCGTTAGCGTGGGTCTCGTTGTCGTTGTGCTGGTTAACTTTGGCCTGCGTGTGCGTGCTGGTGGCTTCATGGCTGGAGATGGGAAGCCTGGCCGTCATGGTGATGAGCTGTAGGTTTTCGGCTTGCATATATTGATGTATGATGGCCTCAGGGCACTTTGTACCTATCGGCGTTTTGGTTGGTAGCCTGGGCGCTTGGATGTAAATTTTCTAGAGCGACAATGAATATAGTCGATCGTTGCATCAACCTCTTCCTCGTTAAAAGTTATTCTCTCCTCAACATCCAACCTTTGACCGACCTTTACAAAACTCTTCATCCCCCTCTCCCCCGCTCCTCCTCTCCTCTTTGATCATCCACCCCCAGCCAACATGGTTGTAGCAGCGCATGAAAATCCCAAGGTGATCCGACAGCGAGAGGCTGCTCTCAACGCTCGTGATGCCATAACCAATCAGTACGCAACTTCTACGAAGAAGGAAACCAAAACCCCCTCGACCAAAAAATCCAGCATCGACGTCCGTCCTCCTCTACCCTTGAGGAAGGCTCCCGGATCTGCAAAGCGCAACTTCATCGTTGTCTCCTCGGACGACGAAAATCAACCCCCTCCCAAGCGTCAGACCCCCCATACTCCTGCATTCCAGGACAACGCTCCACGGCAGTAAGCATAAACCCCAATCTACTTGCAAAGCAGACCCTGACTTCATCTCCTTTTTAGGCAGAATGCCACGGCCAACGAGACTGTATCGCGAGCTGAATTCTTACAGCTGCGAAGCGTCGTGACCAAGCTCGTGACTGAATCCTGTGGTGAAAAAAACACTGATCAGGAGATGAACAACGTGATAACTAGAATCAAGGAGTCGGTTGTTGAGCTTGCGAAGGTTGTCGAAGGTTACGAGAGCACTAGTCAGAAGGTGCAAATCGAGGCTCTCGAGATACTGCTTATGGCTGAGCGGCTGAGGACTCGATACACTCGACTTGTGGAAAATGCGGAGGAGATGAACCGTGAGTAGATGGCGCCACTTGCGCTGGGTCTGAGATACTCGATTACCGGGGATCACATAGGTAGATGAAGAGGCTCTAACGGAGTACATGAACTGACATTCATAACAATACTTCCCGGACGTAAAGTAAAGTGCCCATATGAGGCACGTAGCGACGAGTATGAATTGGTCATTCCGAATGGTATAGATCGAAGCCTTGATCTGTGAGCCACCACTACATCTTGGACTGACACTCTCTGATCCTCTCAAAACAACACCCTATCCCTCGAAATAAGCCTCTCCATCCCCCAGAACCTTCCACATCTCCTTTATCCAGTTCAATCCTTCTCTTATCCCTAACATCCACCATGTCAACTCCTCGCACTCGAAGCACTCGACGCATCATGCCTGTCCGGGGTTCGGAGCCTAGTCTCATCAAACGGTCTGAATCCGTCATGAGCTACGAGACAACCTCCTCTGATCAGCCCGAAGCCAGGCTCCAAGACCTGCCGATCACACCCTCCGACACAAACATCAACATGGGTCCTCCCACCATCCATGAGAATTTCCACGATGAAGGCCCAACCCGCAAACGCATTCGGTCATCTCCGTTGAACAGCCCGTTGGGCAGCGCGGACTTTGACTACCGTTCCATGAAGTCTCTATCCCAAGACAAATCTGGCACTGGGCCCAGGTTCATCGAGTTGACAACCCCTCCTGTACAGTACGTCTATTGTCAATCTATTCATATACTGGCCATCCGCTCATGTTACCTACCAGGAACCAAGCCCAGAAGCCCGGCAATCTCCAAGGAGATTTCGAGATTGTGAAGGTCCGAGCCGAGCTTTCCCAGCTGAGACTCGATCTCGACGTCGAGAAACAGCAGAATGAAATCCTGCGCTCGCAGTTCGAGGTCGAGAGATGTCTGAATGAGTTTCTGCGGGGACAGACCATCGCAGAGCAATGCGTTAACAAGACGCTGACTGCCAAAGTCACGGCTCTGGAGGAAAGAATGAATCTCCAAGAACCTACTTTTGTTACCTTGCAGGATCTGAAGCAGGTTCTCTTGACCTGGCTGCGGGATTACCTGGTTAACAACAGGACCGGGGAGCAGTCGCGATCCCAGCAGTGATCTTTGGGGGCTCAGCTTGGTGGAATGTTTACATCTTGGAGTTGGAGACTGGAGGCTGGGGAAATGGCACAAAACACTTTGCAGATATGCACACAGGTGGAACGGAGCCGCGGCACTGGTATCTAAGCAATCATTCAGCCTACAAAAACGAGCATGTAATTCAAGAATCTTCATTCAGATAATGATGCTATCAACACTAGCGAGTGCTTCCATTCTTCAAATTCATATCACACTCCCAAGTAACGAGAGACAAGTAGATCAGAACTCAAAGAACACAAATCGCAAGTTTTGAAGCCAAAAAAGCAAAAGTCGAACCAGAGGCCGATATCGAAAAACTTGATATCTAGAGATGCAAGTCCTCAATATCCGAAATGTCCTCGGGGGCGCGATCATAGTGACTCATAAGACACAGCATCGGGTCATCCACGCTATGAAACTCAATCGCTCTCAGGAAGCACGAATGCTTCCGGATCTCAGGAGAGACACTGACGAAAATAATCGAGATAGCCACATCAACCATTCGCTCATACCACACGTACAGCTCGTGGTCTTTGTCAAGGGGCTTAATCCGGCTGTTGTCTTGATAGTAAGTGCAAGCTTCGAAAAGATACCACACCTGGTGCATGCGGAGCCGCAGCTCCACGTTGGCGCGCCACTCGCGGAAGTTGGTGTGGTCTTTCAGCTTGATGGATGGGAGGGAGATGATGTGCTTGTCATGCTGGTTGTCGAGGAAGGCTTTGACGTAGCGGACTGTTCTTTCGGTTTCTTGTTCTTTGGTGGGCTTGGTGGGCTTGGTCTTTGGCTTGGGGGCTGGAACGGTCTCATTCAGGGACTCTTGATGCTCGGGTTCCTTGTCTGTATTCATGAAGTAGGTGTAAGTGGTTGGCTGGGGGGAGGTGGAGGATGAGTTTTGGGTTGAGTGCATACAGTTCTCTTTCTTGGAAGACTCTGAACCGGTCGGCTGAGACACATCCTTGGGAGGAGGAGATGGCTTGACATCTGTAGGGCCCGAAGCAGAAGGGCTTCCTTCCTTTGAGACCTTGGGAGTAGCAGTCTTTTGAAGCGAGGCACTTGGCGGGTGCGGCGAAATCTTCTTACGAGAGGGAGAAGACATGTTGTGCAGTAAAAGCAAGATGCAGACTTGAGGGTTGATAGATGGAGTGGATAAAGGATGAAGAAACAAGATTGGGGAAGTGGGGGAAAGATGAAGAAGAGTGAGAGATGAAGGGTTGGCCAGTATTTATGCTTACTGTTAGTCAAGCAGGATACAGCAAACACATTCACTGACAACTAGGGACGTAGCCTGTAATTTGGAAAATGATATAGTTGGTGGGACATTTTGACACGCATAAAAGAATGACGGCGTACGGATTCATTGTGTGAGTATATACACTCTAAGACAACAGCACGTATTTACCAACAAAGACAATGAAGCCTGGCCACGCTCAGGGGTTGTAATCCACCACCGGCACAATTGTATCATCCAGACTCACGGCATTGGGGTTACTGGCCCCGATCCCAGAGTACTTGTTGATCCACCCTAGCACTTGCTGATGCCAAACCAAGCTGTTTTCCTGGTTCGTGACCCTATAAAAAAGTCAGATTTGGAACTGAGACTTTGCTCTCTAGTAATCAAATACTCACCAATGATTCTCATCGGGGAAGTTGAGCAGTCTGCTTGGGACGCCACGCATTTGCAGGACATTGAATAGACTGAGACCTTCTGAGATGGGCAGGCGGAAATCCAAGTCACTGTGGATGATCAACTGCGGCGTATCCATTTGCAAGATGTGTTCAGGGGCAGAGGGATCCCAACGACGATAGTTGTCTCGGTTGGCCCAGAAGGTGCCGTTGAACTAAAAACGTCAGTGATACTTTCAAGAGTCAAAGTTCAAGATACATACATCATGTTCAATAAACCAGAGCTCTTCTGTCGAAATCTTGGCGTCGGCAACGAATGTTCCATCATGGCTGACCAGCGCTTTGAACTTTCGACCCAGAGGATTACCCTGAATCCAATTGATCATGAAACCGCCGTAGCTGGCGCCAGCAGCAACGCCGTTGTCTGTATCAATGAAGTCGAAGTTGTCACGGACAAACTCCCAGCCCTTCACCAGGTCATCGTATGGATAGCTCCCTGTTCAATGTTACAATCTCCATGAAGCAAAGCTCACATCGCTTGACATACCCCAGTTATTAGTGATCATGTCGGTGAGCTTATCGCCGAAGCCAGTGCTGCCAGTCGGGTTCGGGGCAACCACCACATAACCCTGATCCGCCCACACCTTGTAGTTCCAACGGGTGCTCCAGGAATCGGCCGATGAACCTTGAGGCCCACCATGGATATAGAACAGGAGCGGGTAGGTCTTGGACTTGTCGAAGTTTGCAGGATAGATAATCCAAGAGTGGATCTAGAGAGATCAGTACTGCACACGAAAGACGAGGGGTAAAGCATACATCAGTCCAGTTTCCTTCGTAGTAGAACTCATCGACATCCGCGGGACTGATCCCCTTGAGACCGGGATCAACCTCATTTGCAGAGAAGATTACGTTGGTAACGCCCTTTTCCGGGGTCGCAGTGTATATCGTCCGACTAGTCCAGATAGCCGAGCCGGAAACCAAGATCTCGCCATTAGGAAGGTTGTAGTAAGAGGCAACAGAGCCACCATCGGTGAAGTTACGAGGCTTGAATTCATCGTCTGCATCAGCAGGCAAGATAAATAGCCGGTTGCGAGCTCGATCCTCGGTGTTGATAATGAGGTTTTTACCATCGGCCGTCCACTTTGCTGCACTTGGTGAGCGGTCCCAGTCCTTTGCCAAGACGGAGATTGTCTGTTTGGATCCAATTGTGTAGACGTAGAGGGTGCGACGATCGGCCTCGTAGGCGACATCTGTCATCTGCAAGTATGCAAGGCGCTCACTATCCGGTGAAAATGCAGGGCCGCTGGAGTCTCCTTTGACACCATCCGGCGTGCCTGGACTATCAGGGCCATTGATTGCTCCGGGATTCTGAGAGCCATCGTGCGGAACAAGGTAAATATACGAAGCGGTGTTGTTCGCCCTGGGCAGCTCGGGGGCCTTGCTCTTGAAAGCGACCCATTTCCCATCTGGTGAGATGTCGTAATCGGATGAGTCTCCGTAGGGAGGATAGGGTGACTCGAGGTTTTTGACACTGGAGACAAGATTCTTCAAAGAACCCTTGGAAATATAGCGGGACGTAGCCCATTGTCCGCTTTTCTTCTCTTCGAGGGTCCCCGAAAAGACAGCATTGAAGGTGGTTGTGAGCCATGTATCCCAGTGACGCACGTAGATGCTGTCATAAATGCGGGCGGTGCTGAACGGTTTCATTGCCAACTCTTTGTTGTAGGCGGTCCCATTACCGTAGGACTGGCCGTACACGAGGAAGTTGATATCACCGGACTCGGTGATGGCAGTCTTCAAACCTGAAAAGGAAGCCGGCAGTGAGGCTGCCTTATATCGACTGAAAGAAATGTCAGTGAGTTCACAGAAGCCTGGAATGGTACATACGATTTCTCAAAGTCAGTTGTGTTAGAAACCCATAGTTCAACACCGCCAGGGATATCGGCGTTGGTGCTGTTGATGTACAACAACCCCGAGTCACTCGATCCCAACCAGACAATCTCAGCCACATTGCTATCATTTGTAAGTTGAGAGATCTTCCCGCTCTTGAGATCGATCAGATCCCAGACTGTTGATGATTCATGGCTTTCAAAAGAATACTGTCCAGTAGAGAACAACGCGGCCTCCTATACATCATCAACACCAATTTTATCTACTTTCGTCCCTTTATCAAAGAAAACACTCACGCCCGACGGATTAGGTACAGCATCACTGCGACGCGGAGCCGTAATCAACTGCCTAAGTCGGGATTAGCAATAAATGAGGGCGATCAGACAATCCTAACTAACTCTGGCGTCAGAGCAACCGCAGGAAGCACCACCGATCCGATGGCAAGCAATTGGAATGTGCGCATGTTCACAAAGAGATACGCACACACGCTGCCAAATATGAACGCGCTGAGCACCAGATTGACGAACAAGCCGAGTGTATTTAAGCGCTTCTGCGGGGACATCGGGGTGGCAGCTTCCCCAAGGGAGAAATGCTACATTCCTCTGCGCCAAGAGAGATAAACAGGGAGCGGAGGAGCTGGGCAGACCATTGCTGCAGCTCTATATGGCCCGCTGGACTACGCTAGCTCGAGTTGAGGAAACAAAGAACTCGCTACCGTCTTGGGTTTCAGCGCCATAAGCGCCAAGCAGCGCCATATGCGCCAAGCAGCGCGTCTCTTATCTCCCGGTGATAGCCGGTATCAATTGCCGGAGCTAGTGTTACAAGGGTTGTTTGGAGCGGGGAAGTGATGAAATGATTGAGTGATGCCATTCGCATGTTTTAAGATGTCATTCATAACAACGGAGATTATTCCATGGATGGTGTATACTAACTAGGTCGTGAATGGTGTGATGCTCGACAAAATAACCCAGGAAACCCAATATTCAATGGGCCCATTTGCAAAAAGTTCAGAAGGATCTTAATACTCGAAATCATCGTCAACGCCCTTTTTGCCGGATTTCTCCTGGGAAACCGCCTCCTGCTTGCGGTACATTTCCGCAACGGCACGAGTTGTGGTCGCTTGCTCGGGCTTCTTGTCATCGCGCGATTTGATGAACCGAGGGAAGCGGAGAGAGACACCCTTTCCACCTCCTGTAGTTCCTTCGAATTCGTCTGCAGCAGCCTTGTACCGCGGACTCAGTGTCAGATCAGCGGTCTTGACCTCCCACACAAGCTGTGGTTCAAACCACACATCAGGCTGGTCTTTGGGCACATTCGAGTGAGTATAAAAGGGCTTGGGTCGGTCAATGACCAAGGGAGTCAGCGCTTTGTGGAACTCTTCAAGAATTGCCTCAGAAAACCCAGTGCCAATGTTGCAGATGGTTTCGTATGTGTCGTTATTGGGGTTGTGAGCAGCCAACAAGAAAGCCCCATACACCGATGTGCGTTTTCCGCGACCATAATAAGCACCCAGAACGACTAGATCAAGCGAGTCTCCCACGCCGGCGAGATAGTCTTTCTTGACCTAATGAAGGAGTTAGCACGTTTAAGTCAGACCTCAGAAGTCCGTCATACCTTGAGCCAGTTACGACTCCGCTTGCTCGGTTCGTAGCCACTTTCGTGGGTGTCGAGCATCTTAACCATGAGACCCTCGCATGAGGCCTTGACACTGTCCTCCAGTAGATTCTGGATTTCATCGAGTACATTGGTGTCACCGAACTGTGCAAACTGGAATTCGCCCTCCGTAGGCCGGAATGAATTATGCAGCAGTTCCCGACGCTCCCGAAGGGACTTCTTTACACAAGGCTATGAACTTGATTAGCTGTGGAGAGATAGACAGTTCGTAGCAGATGGCTTACCTCGTCGTTGAAAAACAGCAGGTCAAAAGCGAAGACGCAGACCTTGACCGTGACTTCATCGGCCTTCACATCCTTCCGCTTACGGGTCATCAGTTGCTGGAACGGCAACACTTTCTTATTGACTGTATCCCAAGCGACCGTTTCACAGTCCAGGACGAAGCTCTTCACATCGTCCTTTACCCAGCTGCCAAGTTTGGCGAGAATATCTGGGTACTTTTTGGAAAGATCCTCGGAGTTTCGAGAGAAGATTGCGGCGTAACCCTTGCTATCCTTTTGCAGGGTGGCAGTAGATTCCGGATACTTGTGAATATTATCTGGCGCCACAAAGTGGATCTGAGCTCGCTCTCCATCGTACTTGTATTCGCAGGTAAACTCCTTTCCTTCGAAGCGGTCAAGGACCTCCGTGATGGACTTTGTAGGATTGGCAAGCATGGGCTTCAGAGGAATACCCGGCTGTAACTTGCATACATCCCGTAGGTTGAACAAGCCATGTTCCAGCATGGCTGGAATAATCACCTCGTAGGAAGGCAGCTCGCTGTATACCTGCTTGAGAATAGCTTCGCCTTCGGCCATTCTCTCGAGAGACAGATCTTTCTTGCCGTCTACTGCAGCTTCGTGGCGGATAATTGCTTGTGCAAGGGCCACAAGCACGGTTTTTTCTGCAAGTCCCAGTCTCAGTTTGCCCTCCAGGAAGCGGACAATGAATTTGGCTTCACTGGGGCCACCTTTGTCTTTGGTGATGTCGACTCCCTTGCTGCCCTTTCCAGCAGTTGCAGCGTCGGCCGCAGACAAAAGCTTCTTGATGCCGGAGATCTTCTTGTCCTGGGACCCGTGGCCTTGGACCTTAGCAATGCCCAGCAAACCTTCATGCACACCTCGCACAGTCAAAGCCTTGGGCTTGAACATGGTAGGTTGATTGGATCGACTCTTGGCAGCAACCAGTCCCAGGTCACCAATCTCGTGCTGGTCAGTTTTGATGACAGCCAGACTGCGGCCCGTACACTCTCCAATGGCTTTCATGATCAGTGACTCTCCGATACCAAGTTCTATACCCGCATAATCGGCGGCCAATTTGTTGATCATGAGTTGGACGGTCGGGAGAAGATCATTGGGGGTCAGACGCAGAACTTGTTGGAGGAAGAGAGAGCAATGTGCCAAGATTTCCAGGCGCTTGGTAGTCATCTCGATCTTGGAGAAAGTGGTGCAGAGCGCGGCATACGGCACGGGATCCCCGGCTTTCCAGTCCGGATACGGGTCCTTGCCGTTAGCTTTCAAGGTCGCCTGAACCTTTGCAATGGTTTTCTTCTTGGCCTCAGGTTTCGCTTCTTCCTCTTCCTCACTTGCAGATTGTGCTTCCTCCTCGTCATGCTCTGACGGCCTCTTCTCTTCAGGTACTTCCTTGATGACAGGTTTGGGTGAGGGTGATTTAATCTTCCTGGGTTTAGGGGAGGCGGATTTCTTGGGTGTGGTCGATCGTTTCGTCGGGGTGGCGGAAGCATCCTTCGACGCCTTGCGCCGACGCTTGGATACGGGCTGGACATCAGAGTCGTCGCTTTCCTCAACCTCTTCCACCTTCTCACGTTTCAAGCTTTTCGATTGATTGGCTCCATTTCCGTCATTCATGTCACCCGATTCAGTTTTAACTGGGGCGACGTCGGTAGATTTGTCTTCAGCATCGCTGCTAGCTATTGACCTCTTTCCACCAAATGACAACGTAGTCTGCTTCTTTGGGGCTTGGTTGCCATTGGAATTGGAGCCGAAGAATCTCCTGCGGCGCATGAAAGAAGGGTGTTAGCAAGTCTGTGGCAATCATTGCAACTGATTGAAGCATATCGAGGCCGACAGGTGCCGCCCGTGTTGAGACAAGATGGACGCACCCTATCGTCATCTGAGAATCGCGAACATACCCCAGTGTAGCCTGCTTTCCGCTCTTATCATCTGCCATTGTTCGAGAAGCCGAGCGTAATGCCGGCGATCTTGCGTCAAATAAGTGCTGCTTTGCTGATAAATCAAGAACCGAGCTGTGGGAGAAACGTCGAGATAGGTCTGCGGTCCAGCAAAGATATGATGCAGCAGAGTGTCCCACTCCAGTGCTGACGGGTCGGGAGCGCGAGAGAGACGAAGGCGCGACTGCAATTCGCAAGGCGCGCATAGGCAAGTGGTTCACTTTACCAGAGATAAAAACCAGGGCGAAGCTGGAATAAATAGGCGCAATTAGACCACGATGCGACCAGGCAGAACACTCTCAAACGCCAGGCAACCTTCGGGAAGTTGAGGCTCCAAGATCCACGCGACGTGACGCGAAAGTCACGTGCAAATAATCTTGCCCGATAAGGACGTGATTCACCGCCAGTTTGAAGGTGCAGAATACAAAGCGGTGTACCGCTGTTTGTCTAGACGAGGACTCCGTCACGACGAGCTCACAAATCACAGCAAAAATGGACAGCTTACATTGCATTTGATCTGATTGCAGACTTTGCATCTGTATATGGCTGAGAACGGAATCCCTCTGCTGCGCTCGATAATCTGCATTGGCCGCAATGGACAATCAGCGGCAGGAATCCTTCAAGCGGGTATGCCACTCTCGCCGCGAGAGCTATAGAATGCTCAGTTTCTGACAGTCAATACAGCTGCGCACACCATGTGTGGAGCTTAGCTCGATAGGTCTACGATTCCGCGGCAATCAAGCTTCATCAGCTGAAGTAATCCAAGCCCTTGAACCTGTTCACAATGCCCTGGTGGATTTGGCGGGGAAAAAGGTCCTCGACGAGAAGCTTGCCGAATATGCCTTCTTCCCCCTCTCGCACATCTTCAACGAGTCACAGAGACTACCAGCACGCTGCCTCGAACTGGCGGTGCACTGCCTACGGATATTGGTTGCGGAAGGATGGCGACAGCGATTGTCGCCCGCCATGGGCAAACAGTTGATCATCCTGCTGACGCTGATCGTGGCAGGGTCACCGGGCAAGGCCGAAGAGAAAGACTTGCCTACCCCGAAGGTTTCGGAAGAGCTTGCTATCGCAGGCTTCGATTGCCTTCGTACGATCTTCGACGTGTTAGAGGGCCCGGTAGCGGAGAAGACCATCTTTCATGAGATCGGCACAGCCACTGTTGTCGATCAGACCGTCTATATTTTGCTGGAGGGAATCGTGGACGAGAGATCCGATGAGCTCTGTCTAGCGGCTGCGAAGGCTATGCAAGCCCTCTATGTTCGGATCACCGATCGTGTCGTCCTAGCAAGCATCATGCCTCGGACTGTGTCTGCATTGACCAAAGTAGTGAGGCCTACAACACAAGCTCGTCGGTCATACAAGTTATTGCAGACCTCGTTGCATATATTGACATATCTTCTCCGCACCGTCATAAGTGACCGTGTTGCCACCAACACTGAGAAGCCTGCCTTGGTCGAGTCCAAAAATGATACCCTGGCGCTTGATGCTTCCTGGCTGAAGGCAACGTGCACACAGGTTAAGCTTGCACTGGCAAATGTCATTCAGATTCGGCGCCACCAGCGGATAGAGGTTCAATCAGCTCTGCTGGAGCTCTGCGTGATGGTGGTTGAGGAATGCCAGACTACCCTCAATGATGCTATCTCTATGATGGTGGAAACCATTGTCGTCCTAGGAGACAAGGAAGAGGAGGCCTCCAATATGGCCTACAATACGGTCCTTCATCTTGCCACTGCCTATCCGATCGTGCTGGAATCTCTCAAAGAGTCGCTCCATACGTGGCTTACATCATTCCCTCGCATCATGCAAAACAACGACGAGACCGCAAAACAGTGGGGGATCCGTCAAATTTCAACTGTCTTCCAAGTCCTTTCCCAAGTTCAATCTCAATCAGATCTTCTCACGGGCAGTTTGGCGTCTGGGCTATGTGATAGTGTCAGTGCAGTTGTTAAGACTAGCACCAGTGCTCTGCAGCCTCTGGGCTCTACTGGGGCCGGTGATTTAAGCTGGGATGTATTTCGTTCTGCCTCTGACTCGATGAGCTTTCCACCCGTGTTGCTGGAGCATCGAAGTCAGCAGCAGACTTTGAAAGACCTGCAGTCTATGATTAGAAGGTTGAATATGTCCGAATCAGGCAACGCAATTACTCGATTGGTCGTCAACCGTCTCCATGCCACGTCGGATGGCTCTGTTGTCGCGCCCTTTTGGTTGGCATTATCTTCTCTTCGTGACCAATCGCAAGTCGGGGCTAGCTTCGACGACTTCATCGCCGATGACATCGTGGAGCAGCCTTTGTCAAGATCCAAAAGGACTGGCATGATCGAAGAATTGTACTATGTATCGTTGACGATCTTGAACGATGTTCCCACCGATGGCTCGGGTGACTGGCGAACGTCAGCACTTGCGCTGGAGGCGGTGGCTCTTCAAGCCCAACAGCTCGGTGAAGCTTTCCGGCCCGAGCTTTTGGATGCCTTGTACCCGACGCTGCAACTTGTTGCTTCAAATAATCCGAGCCTCCAGCGACACGCTATGACATGCCTGAACATCCTTACCTCGGCATGTAATTACCCGGATACAAGTTCCATGGTCATCGACAACGTGGACTACCTGGTGAACTCGGTGGCACTCAAGTTGAACACCTTCGATGTATCACCATACCCTCCACAGGTTCTGTTCATGATGGTCAAGCTGTGTGGTGCACGGCTAATTCCGTACCTGGATGACCTCGTCGACTCTGTCTTTGGTATTTTGGACTTGTACCACGGCTACCCAAAGCTCGTAGAAATCATGTTCAAAACCCTTGCAGCTATCGTCGAGGAGGGGGCCAAGAAGTCATCGCTTTTGACGATCGATAGTGGTCAAGAAAGCGGCCCGCGCGAGAATCGCAAATCTCAAAATCAACATCTTTCGATTGCGATCATTGCTGCGGATATTGCAAACCGCAAGTCGAAGCGCGACAAAACGGTTGAAGAAGATGCAGATATTGATGGAAGTGTTTCCCACCCAAAGAAACCTTGGTCTGAGACCTATCAAAAACCGCCGAAAGAGCCGGAGACTATCGAAGAGATGCTGAATCAAGCTGAATCCGATGAGCCACTTCCTCCACCGAAAGAGCCGAACGACAGTGAAATGCCTCTGAGCAAAACCCATTCCCTACTGGTACACATCGTCAAGTCGATCCCATCCCACCTCTCCTCACCATCCCCATACCTGCGGCGCTCCTTGCTCTCTATTCTTATTGAAGTGCTACCAGCACTCTCTCGGAATGAAAATAGCTTCCTGCCATTGATCAATGATCTCTGGTCTCCAGTAGCATCGAGAATCATCTTCCCCTCGTCACTTGGGAACGAACCATCCTCATCAAGATCTCTGATGACCGGATCCTCTACTGAGCCCGACAGTGGCCCCAATCGGTCTGATACCCACAGTTTCCAAGAAGAAACCTTTGTCATGATCACTGCCTGCCAAGCCATTGAAGCTATGTGCAAGGGCGCGGGCGACTTCATGGCATCGCGCATCGACGCCGAGTTCCCACGTTGGGAGCGTCTCTACCGCCGTGTATGGAGTAAGGTGCGACAAGATGCAGAGGCAGCTAACCAGCGACGCGCTCGGCAGCATCGACAGGAGGAAGCTTCTTCTGCCCAGATCACCGACCTTAGCCTGGCACTATCTTCTTCTCTCACCCTCTCCCCAGCCGCACTTGGTTCCCGGGCATTTACGCCGCACCATACTCTATGGCGTGGTCTCGTCTCCCTCTTTTTGACCGTACTTGCAAATGTCAGGTTACCCCTGGAGGTGGGCGATCAGATTTGTGAGAACCTTGCCTCATGGATCGCGCTCTTTGTTGGCCCGGAGTATTACTTCCGCTATTCAAGACGCACTACTGATCCTGTGACACCGGATGAGGCCCAACAAAGTGTGCTTGAGTCGGCTGAGGATGCGATTCGGGCCATGGAGACATGGAATGCGGATCTTACTTGGTTCTTGTTTGTACGTGAAAGAATGAAAATTACAGATCCGGCCCAAAGACCCATTTCTGGGCCTTTGACTACGGAAGTCTTTGGAGAGACAATGCAGTTGGCCCGGGTCGCATTCGAATAGTCTATAATTAATTGTATAGAAAGAGTCATGAATCTTTATCTCCACGCGTTCACATTCCAAACGGTTTTCGTTTCTCTCCAGCAATCTCTTCCTACTTGGCCAATAATTAATGAGTAAGAGGCTCTGTCTGCAAGCCACTTATGCACAGCCGTACTGAGGCTGTGCTATAGCTAGACAATTCTGTTCTGACTCAGATCGGTTTCGGGCACCGATTTGAGCAAAAAGCGTCAGCCTCATTGCATGACCACTAGCGCCTTGGCATTGTGATGACATCCAAGTGCGGAGCCCGCTTTCCTATATAAACGCGCTGCCCTATTTTGTTGATGTTTAAATTTCCTTGTCGCTTCGAGGTATCCAGTCTACCCCGTCTTCGTCGCTGCACCTTCCAAAGGTCAGTGACCCTGGACTGGGTAGGTCATGCCGCTCTTCCTCGATTTACCACTTGAGCTTCTCCTCGAGATATGGGATACCCTAGATCCTACAAGCGACGAGGGAGCCAGGAATGCGCTCGTCAGGACATGCCATTTTGTTTATTCTAATTTCAACTCTCTTCTCTACCGGGGCACCGTGAAATCGACAGCGCCCGGGGTCCGCGCATTAGAATGGGCTGCGGAACGTGGTCAAATGCGAACCATCCACAAGCTGCTCAACGCCGGTGTCAGTCCTGCTGATGATACGATGGCGCTTCTCGCGGCGGCAAAGGCCGGCCACCAAGACGTTATACAGACTCTTCTCTGGCATGACTTTGATCCTAACGGGACGGGCTGGTGTGGCTTTTGCAGACCAATACACCGTGCCGCTGCACATGGCCATGTGGAAATTGTGAAGGATCTTCTTGATTCCGGGGCAGATATCGACTCACTAGATCATGATAATTATACTGCCTTTGAAAAGGCAGTTCTTGAGGGTCGCGCGAATGTGGTATCTGTCTTTCTTGAGAGAGGTACCTCCAAAGATACTATTATCCGTGGAAGAGGATCTTCATTAGCATGGGCAGCACGATCTGGGAAGGAAGAGGTCATGAAAACCCTCCTGGAGGCTGGTGCGAATATTGAGGCCATCACCGATGATGGAGCAACCGTCCTGCACTGGGCAGTAAAAGGGGAATATCCAAAGGCCGTGGCGCTTCTACTTGAAAAAGGCGCCGCACCTGACATCCCAGATCGGCGCGGTCAAACACCATTGCACTGCGCATGTCTCGCTCGAGGTCCTTCTGAACATAGCATCACATTTCTTTTACAGCACAATGTCGAGGTCGATCGGCGACTGAGTGATGGCAGAACGCCACTAGCTATTGCTGCCTCTGTCGGCTTTGTGGCCGCTATCAAACCTCTATTGGAAAAAGGCGCCGATCCAACTATAAAAGATGCCGATGGCTGCACTGCACTCGCACTCGCGGCTCGATTCGGTCACGCTGATTCTGCCCTGGCGATGCTGGACGGAGATGCAGACACTCGCAAGCAGTTTATCGACACACCGGATGAATGCGGTCGCACACCTCTCTTCTTAGCGACTCTATACGGACACGAACAAATCGTTCGAATACTCCTCACCAAGGGCAGTCTAGCAAGAAAGAAAACAACTAGCGCCGGTCGGAGTCCATTGTCGTTTGCCAACGACCACCAGGAAGGCAAAAAGAACCTTCGATCTGTTTGGGAGTGGCTCGCCTGTCCATACTATGCCAACATCGATACCGTGGCTACAAAGAAGGCGTCCCACAAGGCACGCCGTTCAGCCGTAGACGCCAGATGTGATCAGTGCCAATTTGCTCTTTCCGTTTACGATACCCATTTTCATTGCGTAATTTGTCACAACGATAACTTTGATATTTGTATGGAGTGCTTTGGAAGTGGTTATACCTGTTTGGATCCATCACATGTTTTGCAGAAATTTGCTTGGGTGGAGGACAGTTGGGTGCCCGTCCCTGATGAACCCGTTCATCAAAACACCCTGACTGTAACTCTGAGATAGTTTTCTCACATACTACGACTACGAAATTATGGTTTCCCCGTACTTATTACATGAGTGACTTAGAAAACAATAAGCGGTGATAAAATGTTGAACTATGATGTCATGACATTTCCAGGGTCTCAAGGTACAACCCAATGAAAAACATGATTTTGGGAGCAATGCACACCAGCTCCAGTTTACATCCACATAATTGACGCACGGATGACGGAGAGAGCCACAGTAGCTACGTCTCCCTTTTTAAAGCCTACATAAATATATAGTGAGGAATGACGATTTAGCACCCTCTCCTCACTCGACTTAGGATCGATTTTGAAAGACAAAAAACTTCAAATAGAATTACCGTTGCAAAATGTCGGGTCAAAAAGGACAGGCCACTTTTGAGCCGCCCCAGGCAAGCCAGAGCCAACCAAAGCCTGGGTAAGACCGAATCATTCTCATCATTCAACATTTATACTAACCGACATTGGCCCTTAGCTTGGAACAGAAGATGGCACCGCCTAGTGAAGTCACAAAACTCGATACAAGTGAAGGACTCGTTGAATATGTCGGTGCAAATAAGCTCAAGGGCAAGAAAGTCCTCATCACTGGTGGCGAGTATGTCATTTAATACCCCTTCAGTCCTGGATTTGTGCTCACATACAAAAGCTCCGGCATTGGTCGTTCAGTAGCAGTCCTGATGGCCAGAGAAGGCGCCGACATCTCAATTGTCTATCTACCAGTGGAGCAAAGCGATGCAGAAGATACGAAAAAAATGGTCGAGGCAGAAAACAGCACTTGTCTGCTTATTCCTGGAGATCTCAGGAAATATGACTTCTGTCGCCGCGCAGTTGAGGAACATGTCAAGCAGTACGTGTTGTCACTCACTGCACGCCAGGAAAGGTATTAACCTTCGCACAGATTCGGGACCCTCAATGTACTTGTCAACAACGCCTCCAAGCAATACTCCTGCAAAGACCTTGCCGAAATCGACATGGAGAAAGTCGAGGATACCTTTCAATCGAATATCCTGCAGATGATTGCCATTACGAAATACGCCCTTCCGCATATGTCTAAAGGTGACTCGTATGCATTCCCGTCATAATTTGTGGCACGCTTTACCAGGTGACTAACTGCTCGTCAGGATCATCAATAATACTTCGGTGGTTGCGTTCCGCGGCACGGCCGGTATGGTGGACTACGCTGCCACGAAAGGAGCCATTGTTGGCTTTACACGATCCCTGGCACAACAGCTCATGCCTAAGGGTATTCGCGTCAATGCTGTTGCGTGAGTGTCTTACACGAATTTATCCGTTTTGGGTGGATTTATGCTAATGAAATAAAGTCCCGGTGTGATCTATACTCCTATTCAGGCCGATACTCGCGACCCCCAGGGGATGGAAAATTTGGGCGCGAACAAAGGTCTTGGTCGCCCTGGTCAGGCTAGTGAAGTTGCTACTAGCTTTGTCTTCTTGGCTAGCAACGATGCCTCTTTTTACTGTATGTGTTAGACTTTTGACTCGATCTATAATCTGTGCTGATGCTAATGATGAGAACAATAGATGGGCAGATCATGCACTGCTATCCGTTGGGAGATTAGGTCTTCTACTGATTTACGACACTTGAGTATGGAAAAAGACAGAACAGAGACCCGGGTACAATAACGTATTCCCCAGGCGAGTGACGCACCGAAAACACCATATTAAATGCCACTTCCTGTAGGTACAAATTTCAACAAGTTCATATTATTTTGACTTACTACAACTACTTCTTGATATTCCAAATAGCATATATACTCAGTCGTAAAGGGACAAATATTATTTTGCACTAATTGCACACCGAAAAGGGAATTGATACGATCAACCTCTCGCCGCGTGAATTTCGGCCAGATTCTTTTGTGCCGAAGGAATACAGCCCATTTTCTAAGGTGTCTATTTTCTGCAGCCGAAGAGATTTTGAATTCCCGGTTTCTTTAGAATAAGCATGTTCTGTACGCGGATTTGTACGCAGATTAATAGCGACGCTCCTTTACAAACGATTAAGCCGTTTTCCAATCATAGGAGGTGATATATTTATTAAGCTAGTCCTCATTTAGAGCGTGGTGGCCCAAATGTTGGCGGGAAAGGGGCTGCACTGTGGCATCAAATCAGGCCTCGCTGAGCTGGCTCGTATCGATCTCATCTGCGAATACGGATACCCCGCCCGCCACTGACACCTGTGGCGTCACACTAGCCTGAGGAGTGGATCACGAGGCTGAGTTGGGGCCGTTGGCCCTAGGTAGCAGTCGATACGATAGGGTCGTATATAGCACCCGACGTGGCCTTTGCAGATGTGCCTGTTCCACTCGTAGTCGTTTTCGCATTCCCGAGCGCCGATGCGACCGTGGCGGAACCAAACATTAGTATACATAGTAGAAAAAGAAATCGACCACTTTGGACAATGCTTATGCCTTGTACATTTTATATGCTGTGTCCGTCCTATATACAATATACATTCGTATCTCTTTTAGCAGCCAAGTTAAAACTTGGGCTTGGGCCAGCCATCAATGTCTCCAAACCAGCGTGAACGATAGATCTCATCGCCGATGTTGATCTTGCGTCGCTTTCCATTAACCACCAAACTGGTATGGAACCCACGGAACTTGGTCCACAGAGACTGCACGTAGATGAAGCTTCCATCGGGTGCGAGGTTGAAACTCTTCAGGTCGGACTGCGGCAACTCCTCCCACTCTCCGTCGCTATTATAGCCGTGGCGATCGTTGGTGGTGCACTCGAATCCTTGCATATATTTATCGGTCACGTTCTCGTAGTGCTCGGTGAATCGACCGAGCTCGATATCGAACGCGTGAAGCCCGCGATCCTCCGACACCAAGAACTTGCGCTGGTTGGGAACCGGCACGAGATCGTGTAACCCGGCCCACCAGGGATAGCCTTGACCCCATTCGGTCATGATATCGTATGCCTCTGGCAGTTTATAGGTATAGCGATCTTCCTTGCTCAGCAGGCCGGTCGTGGCGTTCCATGGATAGCCGACGATGGTCCCGTACGCAGGGATATGATCGGAGCCGTCCGCGGCGGCGTCCGTCCCGGCAGCCCATAACATCTGGCCCTCTTCGTCCCAGATCATGCCGTGGATGGCACGCAGTCCGGTGACATTTTGGACGATGGGAGGGTTGTCGGTGAGGGGATTGGCGGCGCTAGCATTGTACACGATGATGTCGTCCCAGGGTCGTTGGCCGGTAGTCGCGACAGCGAGTAGTTGCCCCGGCAAGGGCTCCACCGTATGCGCATTCCAAAAGAACTCATTATCTCGGCAGAGCGCGAAAGTGATCAATTTGTCGGTTTCCGGGTTATCCGGGGTGTAGTTGACGACGAGGGCCAGGTCGCTGTAGATAGCGCCGACGCTGGTACCATTATTCATCCATTTCAGTTCGGTCGCGTCGTTCGCATTGCTATAGAGACACCTCTGCAGGCCCGGGGGCAGACTCTGGGTGACGTCCTTGCGTGTAAAGCTCCATTTCACGTCCCCGTCACGGTTATGGATCTTCAAGAGGGGGGGGACGCCGTATAAACCGGTGACGATGTCCTGCCACGGTCGGTTCTCGGGCCTCAAGCGCTCCTGCGGTTGAATTGAAGGAATATAGGTGTCTTGAAGACCGAAAAGCAAGGGAATCCATCCCAGAAACCGACCCAACATGGCGATGGGAGTGAATGGAGAATTCCCCCGCCTCCCTCTCCTCTTAGTCGTCTACTGTGGAGACGGTAAAGGGGCCAAGACCTGTCGGAACCGCCGTTACGCAACCCAGACTCGGACCCTTTGGCTCTCATACCCGCTGAACGAGTCAATCACACTCGGCTCTTGGCTCTTGGCAATTGGAGACACTTGTCGCACACTTTTTTTCTCTTAACACGCCACTTGCGACGCGGTCTTCCGATCTTTTGGAATCATGGTGAAGTTTTCTAGATCGCCATGAAGGGTGCCAGGACACTCCTTTTCTCGTTAGGCCAGGGGCTCGCAGACGTCTACCGGTCAGACCCTGGATGCCTTCTCCAACTTCGCTCGCTGCTACTTCTACGCGCTCGCTTTCTGGTCCGTCATTTCCGCCAAGTTATTACATCTCTACGCCCACCTATACTCTCTCCCGGCCAGCCAGTTGATCGTCTGGAGCGTCACCTTCTTTCAAGATGTCGTGGTGCTCCTGTTGTTGCGGATCATTGCCCAGCGAGGGCGCACACGGCCCCTTGCTGCATTGGGGGCGCTCGTTCTTATCCCGTTTAGGTAAGTGCCCTCGTGGCTCAATATTTTCGACATCTACTCACGACCAGGTAGTTTAATCGTCTCGGGAATGGCTGCGGCCAATTTCTCCGTCTATATTTTCACCGGTGCCGAAATTCACTGGAAACAGGCCAAGTCCTTCACCAACGACGCCGCCGCCATTCGAACTCTACTCACGGGACTGACCGGGTTCCTTGTCGGCGAAGCAATTATTGTCGCCGCTGCCATTTTAACCGGTCGCTTCGTCCACCGGGTTGCCGGCGGTCTCTTGCACGTTTTGGCGTGGCCCCTTCGTTGGCTTTTCGCTCGTGTGAGTTCTTGTCTGAGCCCTCTGCGCCAGCGACTACACATCTTCCCGATCCGGAACCAGTACAAAGACCTTCCCGATCCGGAAGTCTATGAACGAATCGCCCTCGAGGACGACTACCTTAATGATTCACCCGATGACGAGTCTGACTATGCATATGACGACCACCATTCCCCAAGGTGACAGTAGGCCGATAACCGATCGACCCCTACCGCGAGCACTCATTGTGGGCGCCTTCTCCCTCTTCCTCTTGTTGCGACTGCTCCGCCCTCCGGACTCAGTACTACTGTTCCTTTCCGGAACTCTGCCTTTGACCACCGTCTTTCAGGGTGGTCACCGGGATTCGCCTATCGATCTCACCGGCGTTCCGCTCGGGTACAGTTACCTCGACGGGGCGGAAACTCTCCAGCCGCCGCCCAAATGGTCATGGATGCCCAAGGATCCAGGTCCCGGATTCACTGACTGGAAACCCGATAATCACGATCTCCATTATGATAATGCCAAGAACCCGATCCATATCTCTAATTTGCAGGAGCCGCTATTGGAGCCGGTACAAAAAGCGGTGGCGGACAACAACCTCAAAATTAAACATGTGGTTTTGTTGAAGCTCGAGAGCGCGCGGGCTGATATCTTTCCTCTGAGGAACGATTCATTCATGCGCAATCGCATTGCTAGGTCTTACAAGGATAATCAGATCCCCGAGGACGTACTGGACCGCATCGGAGACCTCACGCCCACCGCCGAATATTTGACCGGTTTCTCTACTGGGTTTGGTCAGGACAATGGTATTCAGCGCAGTCGCAAGGCGTACGGTGGACTTAGTGCGAGAAACGCCTACACGACTTCCACCTACACGCTCAAGAGTCTCGAGGGCACCCTGTGCGGCGTTTCGCCGCTGGTTGCCGATTTGAACCGCGAGTTCGAGCACCACATTTATCAGCCATGCTCGTCCCAGGTTTTCGACATGCTGACCCGGCAGGCCGAGATCACCAACCAGACCGACAACTTCACCCTATGGCCGTGGCATTCCATCTGGATGCAGTTCGTGACCGAGACCTATGACAATCAGGACAAACTGATGCCGAAGTTGGGCTACTTTGACAAGCAAACCAAGGAGACCATTGAGGACCCGGACGCCAAGCACTTCCCGTTGAAGACCGAAGAAGTCAACTACTATGGCTACGCAGACACTGAGCTCAAGGAGTACATCCGGGATGCCATCGACGACGCGGAGAGCAACCACGAGCGTCTCTTCTTGACCCATCTGACTGGAACCACGCACCACCCATGGGGACTGCCAAACAATACATATGAGCAGATCATGGGCTCGAACAAGGGACACAACGAGGACCTGAACCGATACCTGAACACAATCGGATTCGTGGACGGCTGGCTCCAGACAATCCTGGATATCTTGGAGGAGAAAGGTGTAGCTGATGAAACCCTCCTCGTCATGGCCGGTGATCACGGCCTCTCTCTCCCCAACGACGGCGGCATCACACCCTACGACAACCCACACGTCGGCAACTTCGAAGTGCCCATCGTCTTCGCGCACCCGAAACTCCCGCCCATCGAAGTCAAAGCCCCAGTCTCCAGCATCCAGATCGTACCCAGCATCATCGACCTCCTCATCGAATCCAGATCCCTACCAAAAGACAGCATCAGCGTTGCCAGTGATATCCGCTCCCTCTACGAAGGCCAATCCTTAATCTGGCCATTAATTCAAGAGCGCGACAGCAAACAAGACTGGCAATTCACCGTCATGAACACCGGCGGAACCTGGCTCAGCGTGCGCTCTGCAGCACGGCCGCGGTTTCGACTCGTAATCCCGCTCATCAACGATGTCGAGTGGCGCTTCACCGATCTCACCAAAGATCCGAACGAAGATAAGCCCATTATGCGGTTCAACCTGGCTGATTTGGCACACACGATCAGGAAGGAGTATGATAATGAACTTCTTCACTGGCTCTTCGATGCTGTGTATGTGTCTAATTGGTGGGTGAAGGAAAACTGGAATCGGTATGGGTATAGTCCAGCTCCGAAGAACGTTGGCAGATGATCTGAGAGAATTTCTTGTTTATTTCCATGCTACATAGTGCATTGTTTGTTCTTTTTTTCATATACTGTATATATATAGAGCTTTACGGCTTGGGTTATGTTTTCCCAAACATCATGAGGCGTTTTGGGTTGAGACATTGCAATTCTCTGACCTATGGAGAATACGGGCTTTTTGGATATATTGATGTACATTCTCAATATCATACATACTTTTTCACATACTTTAAAGATCATCATCGCATTCCGGCTGTGTCATACCATATCAAGTCAAGTGCCATGTTCATACGCACTCCTCGCGCGCAACCTCGGACCAAACCAATAAAACAGCCAAGGAATAGGCGCCATAATCAATGCTGCCAATCCCAGAGTACTCGTTGCCCAACCCACGCCCAACCCCTCGTACATTTGAGTAACGAAAAGTGGAAACGCTGCCGACATCGTGTACCTCGACAACGAGGACGCACCACTCGCCGAGGCCCCATATCTCGAGCCATACACATCAAGCATGTAGAAGTTACATGGCACATAGATGAGTATACTCCCAAGAAGGGCCGTTCCTTGCGCGATAATAGGACTGATCCAGTGAATCGAAGGCCTGGCAGTCCAGCCGAACCAGAAGAGTGCGATTGGAAGAGTCAAGCTTCCGTATAACGCCGTGTATAGCTTTCTCTCCGGATTGTAGATTCCATCTCGCTGATCTGGTTTATATCGAAGTAGAACCCGATCCACCGTAATCAAAATCACGGGAGCCACCATGCAACCCACCACAAGGCCGAGGAACGACAGACCCTGCGCACCGAGCGAGAAGCCATAGACCGTCTTGAACACCCACGGACTCGCCACGACGAACGTGTAGAGCAGAGCAAACTGGAAGCCCGTGTATAGACACAGGAAACCAACCAAAGGCTCCGTCAAGAGCATGTGCAAAGGCCTGACAACCGTCGAAGTAACCAACATCCGTAACTTGTGCGCCGCAGAACTCGTCTCCGTTTTCACACCCGCTTTCCTCGCTCTCCGCTGAAGTATTATTGTCTTATACGACTCCTTCAAAAACAAAGCACACGGATGAAACACCGCCGCCATCATCAGTACAACCCAAGCCGTCCACCTCCACCCCTTCTCCTCAACAACGAATCCACCAATAAAGGGCCCAATCGCACTCCCAACAAACGGGATGGAATAGTACATCGCAAGGGGAACAACCCGCTGGCTCGGCTCCGTGAAGTCCGAGATCGTAGCCGCAGCAACAGAAACACCCGGGGCAGCGAAAAGCCCGGCGAAAAAGCGGCAGATAATTAGAGATGCGATGCTGCGCGAGAGGCCGGATCCCATCATGAAGATGTCGAATAAGGGGAGAGTGAGCAGGTAGACGAATTTGCGGCCAAATGTCTCGGAACATGGGGATGAGATCATAGGGCCGAAGGCGAGTCCTAAGGAGTATGCTGAGAGGGGAAGGAGGGATACGGTGGTTGAGGTTTTAAATTCATGTTGGACTTGAGTGTGTCCTGGGGAGTAAATTGAGGCGGCGAGGGTTGTTGTGAAGCCGATTGCGCAGATTATTAGAGTTGATGTGGTTTTGCGGAGGAGAGTCCAGTTGCGCGGGTTGGTTTGGTCGTTGGTCCAGTCCGTGGGGTTGGTTACGTTGGAGGGGTCTTTTTCATGGCGCGTGTGCATTATATCATTGTGAATGTTTTATGAGGGCGAGGCAGTGGTTTACTGCCATCGGATGTTCTTAAATCTTGAAGAAAGTATCTTGCATTTAACCGTTGAAAAGTACCGACGTCGACCAGGTCGGCGGTAGATCCTAGCGCCCGAAGCCTCGGAGTCCTTGGCCGAGGCGAATTGATCGCCGATGAAATCAGATCCATAAAGCTTCTAGTTGGCTACAGAGAACAGAGAAGTAGAGAATATATGATTTCATGTCCAATTGAAAATAATCAAGCTGAAAACACATCAGATCGACGAAGAGTATGTCACAAGACCCCCGAAGAATAGCACGGCTATAAGATCGGAGGAGAAGGATAAAAGGTACAAAGTTACAACGCTACCAACATTTTTGGTACCCATGCAAGGCGAATGCAGAAGAGTCAATTCAATCATAATGCCTGAGTTCTGGAACTGGCCATCTCACCGTACCGGCCACGACCCTGGGTGGTATCGTAGGCGTTCAAGACACGCATTTGGCCGCCATCGTCGGCTTGAGAGAAGGCGTAGCCGCGCTGCTTGCGCATGCGCTGGACCTGCCGAACCTTCCGGATAGCTTTCTGGAACTGTTCCATTCGAGGACGGTAGTCCTGCACGTTGAATTTCTGGATCTCCTGGACGTGGTGGTAATGCTGAGGGTAGTACATGCGCTTGGCGTACTTCCAAGCATAATCACGCATTAAGCAGATACAGGGTAGGACGACGGCCATCAGGTAGAAGATGGGTGTTTTGAAGAGCACTGGGATGGTACCGTAGTATTCATGGGAGAATCCAATGGCGGGAGCAGCGAAACCGTAGGCCGGAAGGAAGATCAGCCAGATGATCATGGAACCGGGGATGGCGATAAAGGTGTATTTTGTCCAAAGGTTGGTAATCAGAGCCGCCTTTCCGAGGACGGTAGCGAGGACGGCAGTGTACAAGGCCTCGCCCCAGACCCAGTGACCGGCAGTCTTGCCGTCGGCCATGGGGAGATCCCAGAAGAAAATGAGCTCGGAGACGAGATAGAGAATCAGGGAATGGAAAAATCCGTTCAACACCCAAGCCCAAAAGCTGTGTTTCTTGAAGAAAACACCCTTCTGGCCTAGCTGGTAGAGTTGAGGGTAGCGATCAAGCAACCGAGCGGAGATGTACTGGTCGAAGATTCCCATGGCGAATGGAGGCAAGACGGTGAAGAGGACGTTGTAGAAGGAGAGGGTCCAGGATTCGTAGATGACTTCTCCGGAGAAGGCGTTCTGGAAGGAATACTAAAGAAAAGGTTAGACAACAGAAAAAGCGTTGAAACGACCAATCTGCAGAACTTACCCAGAATTGGGTCATATACAATGTAATGTTCTTATAGAACGAGTACAGAATGACTCGACTGATGCGAGAGTAACTCCAAGCTCCGTGGACCAAAAGCAGTTTCCGAAGGAAACGGAATTGACCGATCGCCACGTCGGCAGATCGAGCAGCCTGGAGACCTTCCATGCCACTGATACCCACACCGACATGGGCAGCTTGGATCATGGACACGTCGTTCGCACCGTCACCGATAGCCAGAAGCAAAGACTTCAAGTGCCTCTTGACAAGCTTGACAACCAGTGCCTTCTGGAGAGGAGACACACGGCAGCAGACAACCGCCTTGCACTGAACAGCTAGATCCAAAAACAGCTTTTCCATGTCCTTTTCCAAGGCATAGGTCAAGGATTTTCCATCGATGATCAAAGCCAGGGCCTCGATGTCACCGGATCCAGCTTGGCTCTTGACTGCATCCATCTTCTTTTGCAAATTGGCGCGCGTAGCCTCGGATGACTCCTCGTTAATGATAAGAAGGGTCATGTCCTCAGAGATGAGCTTGCAAGACATGCCGATGTTGATGGCCGTTTCCTGCCGATCACCAGTCAGGACCCAGACCTTGATTCCAGCTGTTTGAAGCGTGTGAATGGTATCTGGGACGCCATCCTGCAGTCGATCCTCAATAGCGGTAGCACCGAGAAGATAGAAATCCTTCTCAATCAGCTCAGCAGCTTTGTCAAGCTCATCAGCGCGATTACCGCTAACGGTGGTGGCAGCCTTGTCAAAGACATGCCACCACTGCTGGAACTCTTCTTCCGGGACCTCGCGCATTGCGAGACACAGCGTTCGCAGACCCTCCGAGGCATACTCTTCAAGATGTTGGAGCGTGGTTTCCACGGTCGGGTTGTCAGGGTGCAATCGCTCGAGGATAACCGTGTCAGCGCCCTTGCAGTAGACCCGGATCTTGCCATCTGGGCACCTGAAGATTGTCGACATTCGCTTCCGTGTCGAGTTGAACTCACAAACAGCGAGCAACTCATATTCGAATTCTTCTCCGCCAGCCTCGAATATCACCGAGCGTGGTTTGCGGTTGGTGAAACGATATCCCAGGGAAGCGGCGCCATCTACCAAGGCGCCCTCGTCGGGTGAGGCAGCCTGGTATTTGATTTGAGTCGGATCTTTGGCATTGCGTTCAGGAATAACCGTGTGACAGGTAGCCAGAAGCGTAAGGAACTGCTGAATAGCGTTCTGTGACGGATGCGATTGCAGGTTCTGTCGTAGTGTCTTGAAGTCGTAAACACCAAACTCACCATCATCGTCCCCGGTAGCGCGCCGATCTTCGGAAACATCATCACCATACTGGACACCGGCAATGCTGCACTGCTTGAACTCCATCATGTTACACGTGAGTGTACCTGTCTTGTCGGAGAAGATGTACTCAATCTGGCCAAGCTCTTCCACCAAGGAGGATGTACGGCAGGTCGCGGGAGTGTCGGTTTTGTCGTAATAGATGTCCAGGTCGGAGTTGATGAGGAATGCTTGGAAATACTTGACGATTTCAATAGTGACGAAGAGAGAGATCGGAACCAAGTTGGAATAGAGCACCCAGTAGGTGAATATATCCATGAAGAACTGCTTGACAGGGTTGACATGTCCGTAGTCGAGGTAGGCCAACGTGTTGGATGCTGTCTGACGAATAATAAGATCGCCGACAGAACTGATGATGCTCAGAGCAATAAGAATACCCACGAGCATCAAAATTTGAACGTTGACCTGCCGCTCCACAGCAGTCCGCTTGATAGGCGTGGCCGTTGCATTTCGCATCAACTTAGTCTCGTGGCCTGTAAAGACGACAATACCATGAATCCAAGGTGTGTTCCGCAAAGTCGCACCACGCAACAGGAGCTGATCGGGCTGGAGAGACAATTCCTTCTCGCCGCCTCCAGCATTCATAGTAACCGTAGCCTCATAGGTATACAGACTGCTGTTGGGTTGTTCCGATCGGACACGCCCGCTCAAACGGCTCAGGTCACTGGGACTAACAAGATGCGCGGTTTCGGGGATGGCCTGTTTGATCTTCAAGTTTGTCTCGCCATCCAGGTTCGCGGTTTCAATATAGCAGAGACCCTCGGGTTCGGACGATGCCAGGAGAACCAAATCCGCGGGAAAAGGCTCCTCCGATTCGACTCGAACCACGTCGCCTACTGAAACATCCACCCACTTCGTTTCGTGGAATGAGGAGCCCTTGAGCACTTGCGTTTTTGAGTAGTTCAATCCCCTGTCTGACATTCGTCGCTTGTAATCCTCCACCAACTCCTTGATGGCCGATACAGTCAGCACAATGGCGAGCGGTACGATTGTCGTGTACCTATTTGTCGGGGACACATTGGGGATTTGTTGAAGAACGGCGGTGAACAGGAAGAACAGGTTGGCGTATTTGGAGAATTGTTCGAAGAGGAATTTGGGGATGAAGGTGATGATGTTGTACTTGGCGGTCGACACGTAGTTGCTGACGAACTTGTGCGCCGCGTTGGCGGGCGAGTTGTTGATCTGGATCATACGAGGGCCCAGGGTCGAGGGGTCGGGCTTGCGCCTAAAGAAAGACTTGAGACCAGAGCCGCCGGACTTCTTGCGTTGCTTGGGAGCTAACGGCGCGTCAGTGCTATCCACTGTAGCTCTCCTTGCACCGGCCTCTGTCAATGGAAGATCCATTTCAGAGTAGTCATGCGGCCCCATGCCAAACATGTATTTGGCCTTTCCCATCAACCCGCCACCCAATCCCAGGATACTATTCCGCTCGTTCGCCTTCTGGACATGGTGCGCGTTCGCTATACGGTCGTCATCTGCATCGAGATCGTAATATCCGGAGTGTGAATCCTCCAGTTCGTCAAAGGAGTAGCGGTTGTAGTTGTCGAGCCCGGAGGTCTGCGAGTAGGAACGATTCATGGAACCGTCGGAGTAGGGATCGTTTGGGTAAGGGCGGAGGTGTCCCGCATGCGCCGGGCCAGGTGCTGCATATTGATGAGTCCCAGCATGCTGCGCCTTGCTGCCGACAAACTGATCGTAGGATACGGAAGGGCGCGGCTGCGCGTGGGGCTCATCGGAGTCATCGATGTTGAACCGTTGCAATAAGTGTTCATCATTCACTGGCGGGGGCTGACCGGAGTTATACATCGAACCGGAGTCCAGTAGCAGGTCATCATCGTGGCCAGCAGGCTGATGCGACCCGGGAGGCCTACCGCTGGCCATGCTACCGCGGAGGAAGCTGACACCCTCACTGAGCGAAGCGATGATGCCCCTGAGGCATTGATTGGAACAAGGACGGAGTCGAAAGGGAGAGCGCGGCTGAATCTACAGGGGAAGTCGTCAAGCAAGGGCGGGTTATCAGAAACCGGAGAAAATGAAATGTGAGAGCGTAGATAGAAAAAGTGCAAAGGCAAGAGAGAGTGAGGTCGCTTAGCGGGTGAAGGCAGCAAGTTCGCCTGTGTTGACGATCGTCCCGCTTTTTTCGGATTCGGGCGGTAAACCACCTCCTTTAAATTAGGAACAATCAATAAATTAAACAGATTAACCACTTTTAAAGTTGAGCAATCAGATTGGTTTTCGATGTGTTCCAGGAGAGTTGGCTCCATTTCTTTTGGCTGTGATCGACCTGAAACGTCGTGGGCTAAGAATAGGCGCATTCTTGGCGCCGTGGTCGGAAATATAGTGGTGGCACCGTACATTCCATTCCTGGCCACCGTTCCAAGCTCGGGCGATATATCTCCCGAAATAAGGTTATCGTTCATATTTTGCGACTGTGACCAAGGAGTACGTAGTCGCGGTTTTCACAGACGGTCTCTAATTTCATTAACAGTCTGGCATCATTGGTAATCGAACTACGTATATATTTCTGCCCGGTGTACTGGGCTCCTGCATACGATGAAAAAGGTGTTGAGAAATCAAGGGGTAACTGATCAGACGAAAAGAAGATAGACAGGTAATTAATACAGTCAACTTCCAGTATTGACATCAAGCCCTCCGTTGCAGAGAAAACGTATGTTATGAGTGAATTATGTAAAATATGAATGATGACATAATGCAAATTTAGATAGCCCTAAGCCCTTATTACCTTTTTTAGGAAGCTATCTAATGTCGTCTGTTTCCCCTCATCCACCTGTAATCTTTTGAAATCCTTTATTAATGCATCAACCCGACGAATATGCTCTGATGTGCCCTTTTCTTTGCTCTGAACCCATAATGTAAAGTCATCAAAAGCAGCAAAAATACTAGCATCAGATGGAACCTCTGGCGATGGCTCATATATATGATCATCATCATCATCATCATCATCATCAGCACACGTAGTTTCATCTGATATATGAAGCATTATATTAAGAGCTTCCAATTCAACATGGAAGTTCCTGTTGAAGTTCCCGTTCTGTCATCTCTCACCGCCTTTATCTGATCTCCTAGTTATCTCTTACTTTTCTTTTACTTCAGTATTTACTATGCTTTCTATCTACGTCAGCCTAGTTATTAGGCCTACCCCTCACTTTATGACGTCTATATCCTTACTTTATGACATCTCTATCCTCGGGCAATCAGCACACTCTGTTTATGTGAACTGAATATTTTTGTCTATAAATATGGCTCAAAACCCAGACTGAATAAAACAAGAGCTTTCATCTGAATTTTCCTCTCACTACCCTTTCTCTCTATAAGGGCAGACCAGAGAGGCCTTTATCCTCTATCTTTATTTTTATCCACCTTCTTGGGGTAAGCTACTACGCCGCAGTAGTAGCCTACCTCTACGGGAGGGTAGTATTTCTCTCTACGAGTATTTGTCCTAAGGACAGCCCTGCCGCATAGGGACCCTTAGGCATATATTCATCTCTTTTATCTTATATACTACCACTTCCGAGAATATCGTACCAGGACGACCCCGGGGGACTGACCTAACAGGGAGGGTGGCAAAAATTTTATTACGCTGAATGTGAATTGTGCTTTGTTGGGCCCTCATCAGCGCGAGCGGTGAGGGCTCGACCTTTAATCGGTGGGTATTATAGTATCAGTCAGGCAGACTTGTCACCGCCCATCCACGTACGCGGGTCCGTTTCATTGCCCGCAAAAGGGCCAAGCCAGAGATGATCGTGTAGACAGGAGCTACATAAACCAAACAGACCCACATCACCCTAGGCTCCCGTTCAACTCCGTCCCGATGTTCTTTTCCTTAGACTCAAAAACACCTTCAATTTCAGCAATCCCTATCCCAAGCCCTGCCCAGTCTACAGAGCCTTCTAGGGTTCACAATGGACTCAAAACAGCCCCCCGATCGCTCTCCAGTATTGGCCCAAACAAAGGCCGCGAAGGATGACCCTCTCCCTTGGCTGGAGCGCTCATGGCTGGGACGCTCATGGCTGGGACGCTCATGGCTGGAGTGCTCATGGCTGGAGCGCTTTTTGACAAGGGTTGGGTTCTTTGAGTACAAGTACAATGCCATGTACGAGCCCCTTACAACTCTAACTTTGCATTATGGAGCACTAATTCTGTACTGTCTAGGTACATGCTCTGTCTTGGCTTATGTCCTTTTCTATTCGATTACCTCGTCTGTCGTCGATACTATGATATAGAGGATTGCCGTTTTTACCGCGACACCGCGTCGCGTTGTACAGATGTCCTGATGGTTCTTTACTATCTCCGCCTTCGGTACCTAGCGTGGTCTTGGAACAGGCAACAAGCAATCAGAAAGGCAAGTGCTACATCCAGCTAGTCAAGTATATAACTAGTGGAAAGGTAATATAAAGTCTATTAAAGATTACCAGTGTATAATATCTAAGTATTTTATACGTGCCAAGACCTAGGGTTTTATGTAAATTCGGGTTAAGATGGGTTATTTGCGGGTTTTTAAATCTAGATTTATAACCCGCTGGGTTGGGTTCGGGTTATAATCTATAACCTATGACCCGCGCGGGTTCGGGTTCGGGTTGAAGATCGTAACCCGCCTGCGGGTTTTGGCGCAGTCTAGTCTCTTAGGAGTGAGGTAAACTAGGCGAGTATCCGGTGTCTATAGTTTAGATAACCGGGTTTATAATCTATTAAGAAATTAAGGGGTAAATAATTAGACGAAAAGAAGATAGATAGGTAATTAATAGTAAATTCCGATAAATATTTTCTACTCGTTCTTAGGGGGATATTTATACCTTTTTCCTAAGAACTATTTTCCAAGGGAAATATATACAAAAATATTCTCCTACACCGCTACCTAGTGTCTATGAGAGAACTTCCCCTAGGAAGAAACAAAGAAGGTGATATAGATAAGGAACCTACATATACGGGCGCCTAATTTCAATAACCTTATGGGCTTAGCTGACCAATCAGCAGCCGTCGGGGTGTAGAGAGATGCCGACCGATGTTGGCGCCTTGGGATGAGGGCTCCAATTTCCAACAGAAGGTCCATAGGATCTGTCATTTCATTTCCCTCGAGATAATACACAATTTCACTACAACCTTCAAATGCTGGACGGTTCGAATAAAGCGCACTTTACGGCATCTAGGTATATACTACGCAGATGAAAGAAAACGCAAATTAATCACAATGCTATGGAATTTCTGATAAAAGCAATGCGGAACTCCCATCCCAGGATCGTAAAGGTTTTAGTCATACAATATGGGCATGAATTTGGATCACCTGTCATTCTCTGCCCGTGATTCATCTGCCATTCCCAACTTTGCCCGCCGAGCAAGGTCAACTTGCATTATCTTGTCAACCTTGGCATTGATTTCCTTGACCTTCTCCAGGGCAACATCGGACTTGGTCACCACCTCCATCGCATCTAGTGGCGCACCCGAGAATTTGGAGAGGAAGCAAACATCACCTCCATTGTTGATACCAATCACGAGTTCTCCTTCAGATGCCTGTTCTTCCTTGCGAGTCGCATCGACGATGATATTGTTGCCCTCGTTGAAGGCATTGAATGTGACGGAAAGTGGATTGTGGGTGATGTTCAGCGCGACGGGAACCCGATCTTCCACACCATAGACGATGACCTGCCCGTCTCTCACCACAGCATCCGGCCGGCGGAAGTGTCGAAGTCCGGTCATGATCGCAATGCAGGCCGCATCGGTCAGGTTGCCGTCGTAGTCGAGAATATGTACATCGGCGCGGATACTCCAGCAGCTGACACCTTTAAGGATGCAAAGGGACTCGGTATCAAGGGCATTCGAGCGGCGGATGACGCTGTCGAGAACGTGGGTAACGTAGGCTTCCAGATCGTTAGAGCTGTACAGAACCGCCAATTAATTAGCTGAGAGGTCCCTCGACAGAAAGAAATCAATTGGAACGTACCGTCCATTCTCCCAAGCTGGTGAGCCCATTGCGGACAATTCGAGATTGATGTTAAATAGGCCGTCAAAGGGACGGTCGTCGCGGGGTTTTGTGACCTCAGCGGAGATGCGGACAACAATGCTGGCACAAAACTTTAGTAAAGGCAACTTATATCATGGCCATTGATATAGGAACACACCTAGTCTTGCCCACCTGAAGCTTCACATGTCCGTATTCATCACCGAACGACAGGTTCAGAGGACGGAACTGGTCAGGCCCGCGGCCATCGAGACGCACATTCTCACGGAGCGCCTCAAGAATGAAGTCGCGCTCTGCAACTGAGAGCTGTGCTTCCTTTGACATTTTTCCAAACAGGGCCAGTGAAGGAGAGCCAAGTGCAAGAGCTCCGCGGGGATCAAACGTGCTTTTTTTGGGCGGCCGCGGCCATTTTGCCGTTACTGGCCGCATTGTTGCTGCTGTGCGCCAATAGAAAGCGCGGGATGGGTTGGCGGTGAGAGGAGACGGGGGCGTGCATCAGAAGCCTCTTCGATCATCGCCAGCGGACTCTTCAACTTTCACTTCACCTCTCAAAATGACTACAGGTATGCTTGTAAAAGTCTTCACGGACCTCCTTTCCAGGCACTAATCTATGCATTATAGCTCATCGTCCCACCTTCGATCCGGTATGGCCACTTCTGACTACGTTCTCGACGCCTCATGAGCGCAAGACTAATTCGAGCAGGCACAAGGGAAAGAAGCCCTCCGTGGTCCGGCTTACCACCAGCGACTTCTCTCAGCATACACACATCTGAAAGTCCGGTACGAGAGCCCTTCATTTGGGAGGATTGTTCGGCGAGTGCTAACAGTCACCCAGACAACCTGGACAGGGTGGTGATGCCGATAACGACGTCCGCGACCTGCGCGCAGAGCTCCTCCAGGCCGAGGCTGCCCACTTCGCGAAGAAGAACGGTGTCCCCGTCGATGGACAAGCTGCCGCCGAGCCGAATGCCCCGAAGCGACAACTTGAATCTGCGCCCGCGGATGGCGATGAAGGCGGCGAGGCAGAAGATCCCGAAGCGAAACGAAGGCGGATTCTAGAAGAGACACGCGATATAGATGCGGACTCTGACGGGTCAGAAGAAGAGAGCAGCGACGAGGAAAGTGACGATGAGGACGAGTCAGCCGAGTTAATGCGCGAGCTGGAGAAGATCAAGAAGGAGCGACAGGCACAGAGAGAGAAAGAGGTATGCACTGTCAATGGGGCAGAAGTCCAGCACAAATGCTAAACCGTTGCAGGAACAAGAGCGGGCCGCGGAGGAGGAAGAACAACGCGTAGTCGATATCGCCCGGGGCAACCCTTTGCTTAACTCGCAAGATTTCAGCATGAAGCGACGATGGGACGACGATGTCGTTTTCAAGAACCAGGCTCGGGGCACCGAGAAGAAGGATGGCAAAGAGTTTGTCAACGTGAGTCCACTTTGAGTCTTGGGCATTATCGACAATGAAGCTAATATTTTCCCAGGACTTGCTGCGCTCTGATTTCCACAAGAGATTCATGGTATGTACAATGGTCTGATGCCATTTTGAAATGTTCTTGCTAACTCGATCTTAGTCGAAATACGTTCGCTAAACGTGTCAATCTGAAACACCCACTATGTCAAATCGAAGCTACACGGTAGCGTGAGCCATCGGCTCAATCAATCGGCTCAAGATACCCATGGCGCAGAAGGCGCTTCCATGTCAATCAGAGGGCACTGCTAAAGAGACCTTAGCAAGACAGCACGATGCGTCTAATAGTTGTTACCGCCTGGCGTTCCCTAAAGACACATTGTTGTAATCATAAATAGCCAATTTACATGCGAGAATTCGATTCAAATAATCTGAGATTGGATAATGTTCCCTTTATTCGTTCCAGAACCTTTTTAGATCTCGAAGTCAATGAGTGCTTTCCCGGATCGCCGTCCCCACACGCATTCACCGCCCCCACACGCATTCACCGCCCACCCGCAGCTTATCGATGCGATATGGCAGACCCCAAGCTTTCAGACTTCAAACCCCTCGAGATGGAGTCCCAACCAACTGCGAAGGCGCTGCATAGTATGTCACACCAGATGATAATCTCGGGAGATTGATCCTAAGACCCTTGTCCTCGAATCGTTCTGCTAACACGAGGCCATTCATCAGATCGCATCAACACCGATATTTCGCAATTGCTACAGCGGTTCGAGAATATCATGGCCACCGCAACGGTAAGCCTTTGACCCGGACCGTGCCCTTTGCTCTGAGCATTTACTGATCTGTTAAACCGCAGGTCGAGAACCCCAGTTACACTGCGACTGCTGTGGAGACGTATCAACTGGACGTGGAGTCGACTGCACTGGTAAGCTTTACTGCAATTCCACCAAACTCCCAGCCACCAAGAGATATCGCCCACCGAGTGATCTTTTCTTGATTGAAACGCGGTCATCTGACATTATGGCTTGCAGATTCGTGCCGCGGAGGACATTCTCGCCTTGACCCGGACAATGAAAGAGACCTGGCTCTTCGGCAAACTCGACACCCTCGGTGAAGATGACCGTGATATCCAGCGCCGCGAGAAGCTGGAGAAGGACGTGCTTGCAGTACAGAATGCCATTGAAGAGGGAGGGCTGTTGAAGGTGTCCCCTGAGAAATAGAGTGTTGAGTCGGTCTATCAGCATTTGCATGGGTCTTGGTACCTCAGCGGCGTTTACGGGAGAGAAGCTCGATATATTCTTGAGTCTGGCGTTGGGAATCTTGTATTAATTGTTCAGGGGAGTAAGAGTAATGTGAAACAGAGTCTAAGTTTCTCTGTTCATGGTATAATCAGAAGCCATCAAGCCCAATGACGTTGAGACATCTATACAGTGACACAGCAAAAGTATTAACACCCCCTAGACCCACCCCCCCCTTATTACCTAATATTCTGCCGGCCTAAAACTCCATGAATTTCTATCTAGTAGGGCGTATACCAGCCCTGGCTCTCAATAATAGCTTCCACCCGGTGCGGCATCGTCTCAGATAGATGCGTTAGGTGCTGTATTTCTAGTTCTTCCCATGCTATCTGTGCTGTCTCCACTAGAATAGCGTAGGACGCGCTATTATTACGCATATCAATAAGATCCGGCCGTAACTCATAGATTTTAGCCTTCAAGAGCGCCCATAGGTTCTCAATAGGGTTTAAATCAGGCGAATGAGGCGGCCATTCCATTACCTCAATTCCTAGCTCGCGTAGAGTATCGCGGACAACGTGTGCAGTATGTGTAGGCGCATTATCATGCTGAAAGATACCACCCTCATGATTCATTAATGTAGGCAGCATTCGGAGATATAAATCTCGAATAATAAAGCGATCAACGCCTCCGCGAGGTGCTTCAGGGTTTCCCAATAGAGGGATAAGGCCAGTGCGTCGTGTGCTGCCAGAAAAAGCCCCCCAAAACATCTGCTTAACTTGGTTTCCTTTTATAGGAAGACCTTGACATTGTCTCTCCTTAGGCTGATCTCGAGGGCGAATAAAAGTCCATTCACGACGAACACTAATACCGCGCTCAATTGTACATTCGTCAGACCAATAGACACGAGCCCAATCTTCAGCAATAAAGTGTCGATAGCGATGCGCCCATTGAAGCCGTTTTAGCGCATTTTGTTCGGTCAAATAGGGCCGCCAGCTACAGCGCCACTTTCGCATATTCTCGGCGTTTAAAAGGCGTCGGATCGAGTCATATTTAACCAAAAATTTAGGTCAGTAAGCATTTAAAACTAAAGGAATATAGCTAACCTTATTCGACACATTTGCAAGCAAATCAACGCGGGTAATCTTAGGATTTTCCTCAATAGCGTTTAACAAACGCTCACGATCAGCTTCATCAAGCTTCCGTGGGCGTCCAGAGCGTGGTTTAGAGACACCATCGAGTCGTTCGCGGTCCTTTTTAATAGTATAGCGTATACTAGAAAGAGAGACCCAAGGATAGCGCTTTTGAATACGTTTATAGCCCCATCCCGCAGCTTGGGACAGCTCACATATACGCTCACGTAGCGCAGGTGTCAATTCAGACCGCGGTGCCATAATAGATAGCAAAATAAGGAGATTCAGGAGGTATAAACAGAATAACGCGCAAAAACGCGAGATTATTGAGCTACTACTAGCGTGTTCCTAGGTAGGCGGTGAGAGGGCGGTGTAGGCGTGGGTCCAGGGGGGTGTTAATACTTTTGCTGCGTCACTGTATGACCCCGGGCCATGAAATCATTTTCTATACCAGGTCCGCCCCAACCACAGCTCATCGATAGGGCACATTGAGCCCGATTTTTGACCATCTTGGCTGATAGAGGAGCTTTTCACCAAGAAAAGAACGATAATTGGAGAAAGGGTCCTGGGAATCCCACAGAGATGGTGAGGGCGGTGCCTATTATTATGACTAGCCTGTACGAGACCCACGGTTAGAGCCGCATCCTAGATTTAGTCTAGACCTCTTGAATAGTTTGTGTTTGAGAACTAATCTAACATTGATAGCTCTCTCAATTGTTTGGATCACTTTTATGCAGAGAAAAAAGATCTCTATCGTTGCAGTGCTGCAATGAAGTAAGTAGATTAGACATCGTATAGAAAGGCCTTCCGGGCCGGCGATAAACTATCACAAATCACACGCGATAAAACACGTCTACACGTCCCAGCTTCCACAACCCACCACCCCTCTACTCTTCTCCTCTTTCAATAGCCCAATTTAAACTCCCATTGAAAAAAAAACGCGAAATCAACAGAAATGCCGCCCCCGGCCAACCATTCCCTCCCGCACTCCCTCCCCCTCACCCTAATCGTCGCAACGACCCCAATCCGCGTCGCGTCCTCCACACCCCTCAAACTGCAAGACCCAAATGACACACCAACAACGCGCCTGGGAATCGGCCTCAAGGGAACCCTCCCCTGGCCTCGCATCAAAGCCGACATGAGCTTCTTCGCGCGCGTGACATCCCGCCCCCCAACACCAGGCACCACGAACGCGATCATAATGGGCCGCAAGACGTACGACTCCGTCCCGAAGCATCTACGCCCGCTAGCGAAGCGGATAAGCGTTGTGATTACGCGCGACCAGACGGGCGCTGTGAAGGAGGGCGTTCTGCAGGAACTCCAGGCGCGGAAGGCGAAGATGGCTGCGACTGCTAAGGCGAAGGCTGAGACGGATGTGGAGAAGAGTCTTGATGCGCCCGCGGATGTGGTGCCGGAGCCGATTACGGATGCCATTGTTACGCCGAGTCTGGATGCGGCGATTGGTGAGCTTGATTCTGTGTATGGGAAGGAAGGGAAGCTTGGGAAGATTTGGCTTATTGGTGGGGCTGAGATCTACGGCGCTGCGTTGCGGATGGATGCGAAGGAGGGCTCGGAGGCGCTGCAGAGGAGGCCGGTTAGGGTTGTTATGACGAATGTGCTGCGGAAGGGTGCTGAGGGTGAGGCGTCGTTTGAATGTGATACGTTTTTCCCGTTGGATGGGATGACGGCCCAGAATGGGTGGCGGAGTGCTAGTCCAGAGGAGGTTTCGGAGTGGGTTGGGGAAGAGGTTTCAGGGGAGTGGAAGAAGGAGGGGGATGTTGAGGTTCAGATGGTTGGGTATGAGCGGTTACATTGAGGTTGTAGAACCCATTATGTATAGATAAAAATGCATCCCGATGTCGGCTTCAATGATTCAGTCTGAGCTAGGAGAGATATGACGTTTACTTGGAGTTGTTGGGTATAGAATGTCTGTAGTTGTATTTGCTGTACAATTAAACAGCCTGGAAAATGAAGTGTACATCAAAAGGCTCTATATAAGATGCCATCCCGTTTGCAGCTGTGCAAAGCCGAGGGGAAATGCAAATGAGATCATATGCAATGCAATACGAATAGTCCATGGACGAATGAATGTCGAGAAAACCCAAACCGTTGAATACTCCAGTCGATGCGGTTAAGAACTCAGGTATGCAAAGTGCGCAGTGTCTCTTTCGAGTCCGCCTATTCGTTCTCTTTCATGAACTTTACAAAGGCCTTCTTATGCACAAGGCCAGTGTAATGTCCATTCGAGACGACACAAATGTAGCGCAAGCCCAGCTTTGCGAAGCACTGGTAGACGAGGTCCATCGGCGAATGGACATCCAGAGCCATTGGAGCCTAGTCGTGGGTTAGTGGTGGAGCCACAAAGCCAGAAAACGGTTGACTTACTGGGTCAATAAAACGAGTGAAGTCCTCCTGGATGGCATCGTCGTTATCGCTGTCGTAAACCGCAATGGATGAGTCCATTGCCATTAGACACAACGTATTATCTTCGTCCTCGCCAAGCTCATCCAGCCCGAACTCCAGGTCCGGTGCCGGGATCAGGCCCTTCAGGATACCGTCGCGCAGAATCGGAAGGCCGCTGTCAAGTTCTCCGGCCATCAAGAGAGTTTCAAGTTTGGCACGAAGCTCCGTGGCAGGCACGAAGGGCGAATGTGAGATATCGATGATGCGATCCTTGCGGGCCGGGCGAACGATGTCGCCAAGCTCTGCGTCGGAGAGCGGTTGTAGTTTGTTGTCCAGGAAGGGATACGAGTTCATGTCCGTCAAGAAGTCCTGGGAATGGTTAGCATTTGCTAAGCATAGTGGGAGATAAGCATGAGCTTACATAGATACTGCGAGGCTCAATGGCATCTGCAGTCCATTTGGCACAGAGAACCGCCAGTGAGAAGGGCAGTACGTGATCGAGACTCCCCGTTAACTCAAAGAGAATAACGGCGAGGGTCACCGACAACCGAGTGACACCGCACATAGTGGCACCAGCAGCAACCATCGCATAGATACCCGGGGTTATACAAGACTCCATACCCGCAATGTTGGGGCACGAGTCAAATAGGAAGAAGGTCGGATACCTGATCGTCCAGTATTGCACCGTGTGCCCGACAATCCGTCCCATCAGACCGCCGACAACCATGGACGGCACGTAGATACCGGCTGGCACCTTGATGCCGAATGTCACAACAGTCAAGAGACTTTTGATGACGAAGGCAACAAGGAGTAATCGGATGACATCCAGAATACCATCTTCTTGAGGGCATAATCCCGTGCTTTCGAACGAGACTCGCTCGCAAGGACTTGCAAGCTCTAACAAGAGTTCTGTGACAGGCAACTTTGTGTACCGGTTCCAGAAGCTGACGATACCGGTCAGGAATGCGACGAGGAATACCTCCAGCATCGGCCAGCGCTTAATGATTGGAATACGGCGGAATGAACGAGCCCACCAGCTGGATGCTTTGATGAACAGGGCGCCCAGTGCGCCACCGAGCACACCGAGAAAGATGAACAAGAAGATCTCAAAAATCGCCCAGTCGGTTAGATAACGAACAGAGAAGAGGACGATCTTTCCGGTTCCGTACGGATTGAGGAATTTCAGGGACAGCGCAGCCGCGATGCAGCAGAAGAACGTCCGAAACAGGGTCTTTGGAGGGAAATAGTAGCTGACTTCTTCCAAACTGAACAGAACACCGCCGATGGGGGCACCGAAGGCAACGGCAACACCGCTGGCAGCACTGGCACTCAAGACCTCTCGTCGCTTGCCGTCGTTCTGATTATATTTGGCAAAAAGTCTGCAGCAAATATTGCCGACGCAGGTGGCGATGTGCACATACGGGCCTTCTTTGCCCAGACTAAGGCCAGAAGAAACGCTGAAAATGAGAGCGATCGTCTTGACAACCAGGGTCTTCACACCCAAATATCCGTGAAGTACGAACCCGCTGTTGATGACCTTCACTTCTGCCACACCACTGCCGGCGGCGGAATAATAAACCATGGCTGGGCGTGAGGGAGCGTTGGGAAACGTACCATGGGGACTCGTCATAGACGAAGGAGACCCAAACCCAGGAGTGTCAGTGTTTTGTTTGGCGCCGCGGTTGTCTGCACCAAGGTTCTCGTCAAGTGTAGTTAAGGAGATGGATGATGGGACAACAGTCTTGGTAAGGAGAGTCAAGGCACAAGAGATCATGGCTAGAGCAACCACCCACAGGATGAACATGGCGTAATTGACCCATTGATGGTCCACACCGGAAGGCCAGAAGATTTGCGCCCAAGAAAGGAACTCGGGACAACTGTGCAGCCCGTCGCAACATTTCTCCCGCCCCGCAAAGTAATTTGTCGAGCAGAAGCCGAGTTTCATATCGAATATCGCATCCTCCGTAACGTCGACAAAGTAGGCGATTGCGGCCGTGATGCATCCAATGAGAGCCACCAGAACCCACCCCTGCGCGCCGTCGAACCATGCGAGCATTCGACCGCGGAAGTCCTTGCGACGCCGAAGCTTGCGGAGACGTTCGCCATCGGCAATGCTATCGTGGACCCAGTCTGTCGAGGTGAACTGGTCGTACCACATCCGCTCGTCCAGGAACGACGAGGCGGTCAAACCGTCCTTCGCAGATGGCGGTAAGCTAGCGGGTCTGCTCTCATCTCCACTACTCCCTCGTCGACTGAATTGTCGAGCCTGTGAGTTTCGTCGGCTGTGATTGCGAGTCCTGCGCAAACTTCCGGCGGTCAAGAGATAGCGGAGCGAGTCCGGGCCTGAGATACCCGACGTGCTGGTATAGGAGCGCCGCGGGGCTCTGCGCTGGCTCTCTGGGCCTAATAGACTGGTTGTTTCGCCGATTTCTAAGTGTGATTCGAGTGACTGGTATCCCGTATGCGGTTCGGAGAGGTAGCTCTGAGATCGACGGTACGCTGTTGGGGATGGTGGAGCTGTGCGAGCACCGGAGTTGCCGCCCTCGTCCGGCTCATTGTGCGAAGCAGAGATGAACGGGGGAACGGAGCGAGGCATGGCGCTGTGAATGAAGCGTCTACGCTTCGGAGGAGGGAATGTCGGGCCTGCTGCAGTTTGTCAGTTCTGTCGAAGGGACCGGCCCACAATGACGCAGGGCAAAGAGACCTGGTCATGTCCAGAGGGTATAACAGCCACGGTAGAAAGGACGAGAGGGTAGTCTTACCGACGAGACATCTCAGAACTAAAAAGAAAAGTTAAGGCAGAAAGGTGGAAAGAGGGAGGCGGATGATCTACTAGACGAGTCAGGTGAAAGAGCCCCGGTTCCCGTGTAATCAGCGGATCCACTTGATCGATTCGTTCACGCTGCAGCGGTTTCATCCATTTCCACTTCCCCTTCGCATTCCAGTGCGGAGGGGAAGTCTATCTTTTGCCTCTTTACACCCCGCGCTTCCCGCTGATCTTCTCCGTGACTCGTCGCTCATGCGTCCATGCCAGACGGAAGGGATATCCGCCCTCCAACGTTGTGGCCTAATCACCTCATTCGCCGGTATGCACCTGGGGCAGTCAGCCACGCCGAGCACGAAGCGGTCCGGTCGCTCAGATGAGTCGGTCTCAGGATGCGTACGGAGGTCCATCCCAAAAGTCTTTGCATATTTGCTTTTTTCAATATTTTTGTTTATTACTAACTAGTGCTGTTTTGGGCTATACACATCTCCTTTCATCCTTACCCCCCCTTTTCCTACCTTTTCCTACCAAACCTACCTACCAAGCCTACCTACTAAACCTACACGATGGTTAAGTACGATATCGCTATGCGTACTCTTGTTATTACAATGAAAGCGCTTAGTATAGTGCCTCTCACTATCTCTGCTATGACCGATATGCCTACCCGAACAATCAATACTATTTGGGATCGTGCTATTGAGCGAGGATTTGACCCTCTGTGGCGGCCTTTAGTAATTACTGATGCCTATATCGCTGGTACCTCTCGTTCTGGTCGCCCGAAGAAGCAAACGCCTAAGCTAGAAGCTACAGTTCTTGCTAAGGTTCGACGTGATCGCTATGGGCGTGAGAAAACCTGCGCTGATATTGCTGGCGAGCTATCCAATATCTCGGCTATGACTGTATAGCGTGTCCTACGAAATGCTGGTCTAAAAATGACTAAACCAACGCGAAAACCTAGTTTGATAGCTCGAATGCGAGCTGAGCGATTAGCTTAGTGTCTTGAGCATCGACACTGGACGATAGAAGACTGGAAACATGTAATCTGGACTGATGAAACCTCTACGATCCTATTACATCGTCGTGGAAGCTATCGCTTATAGCGTATAATAGATGAGGCTTTTGTTCGAAGCTATATTCGTGAGCGCTGGAAAGGAAGCTCCGAATTTATGTTTTGGGGTAGTTTTTCTTATGATAAGAAAGGCCCCTATCATTGCTGGACCCCTGAAACTGCTGCTGAACGCTGAGTTTCCGAGGCTTTAATTGAGGCTTGGAATGCTGAAATAGAGCCTGCGCTTCGTCGAATCTAGGAGCTAGAGACTCGGCTTCGACGTGTTTACTTACGACGTCAAACGCCTAGTAAACGACTTATTTAGCGCTTTAATTCAACGACGGGGAAGCTACACCGAAGCAAAGCTAAAGGTGGGATTGATTGGTATCGCTATAATACTATAATCCTTGTTCCGAAGCTTTTACCTTGTGCCTAAGCCTACATGATTAATAGGCCTAGAACATTAGTTCAGGAAGATAAAGCCCCTACGTATGCGCATCAGTTCCAGCAGCGCGTGTTTAATATATCTGGCGTACAGCGACTGCTATAGCTAGGTAATTCGCCTAATTTAAATGCTATTGAGCCTGCGTGGCCCAGAAAACCCATGTTACCGGTGCTTGGGATCGGACTAGGTAGGAGTAGTCGATAGCCAGTTGTGATTTCCTTTTTGTTATTAGCACTAGTTCGCGTACTGGTTGCTCTACCCTAACCCGACACCGCCAAGGCCAACAAGCGCAATCCTTGACCCTAGGACCAAGCTTTTATCGCGAATCTGGTCTATTAGATTGTCGCGATTGACAAAGTCTGGATCGCGTGGGAATAGGATAGTTGTCAAAGGGCTCGGCGGAGTTTCCGGTCGCTCTAGGGCGGGAAGTAGTGGTTAGTCGATCCTGACCTTGTGGAGGCAGATGGAAGTTTGCTGTGCCATAATTGATTCCCACCTAGACTCCATAGTTGGCACTGCGATATCTTATTTCATTACCGTAAATACAGTGAAAGTCGGAACAGATTCCCCGAAGGACACTCGCGTTGTTTGTCGGCACGTATCTGAAGCCACCCTTATCCATATTTCGCTTAGCGGTAAATAATCATTTCTCAAATCTACTTGTCTTTTATTTAACTTATAGAACGACTTGATGACGTGAGATGCTGGTTATTACCGGAAATGCAGATACATCCTCGGTCTTCGCCCCGCTTTTGCCATCGTTTGCTATTTTGTGGCATCGAGATCCCAACCAGAAACAATGCCAAGTCATACTGAGGAATGTCTCAAATATGGACCTGCAACCAAAAAATGTCTAGATACTCCAGAAATCTTGGACATGATTCTGGCTCGGGTGGATATACGCACGCTTCTCACGTCTGCTCAGCGCGTCTCCCGTAGCTGGTCAGACATGATCAGCAACTCGCCGTCCATCCAAAAGACCCTTTTCTTCACTCCGATTAGGAACTCCGAATGGGGAATGAATAGAAAATTTTTCAACCCGCTGTTGATTGAGGTTTTCACATCATTCTTTCCTGCCAGAGACGGACGGCCGGGCAGCTGGCAACCCTTGTGTAACTTGCCTATGATTGAAGACGCCTCATTGATGGCTCGACTCGTACGAAAGGACGCAAGCTGGCGTAAGATGCTAGTCCGACAGCCTCCAATCTTCGAGATTGGAATTTTCAAGATATCCAGCTCAAGGGCAGGCGATGGTGCCAGAAGCTCTAGTATCCCGGTCAGTTTCCAACTACCACCATGATCTGATTTCAAAGTCTTGAGAGACTAACATGTGGGATATAGGCAGATTTAAAGATGCAAGAATCCGGACACGATGGAATACGGATGGAAAGGCTCTTCGAGGTTTTTCTCTTGACTCACTGGTCCACCCAGAAGGTTTATTGGGCCACGGAAAAATCGACCGGGTTTCACCACAGCTCCCAGGATATCACCGATGAGTTCTACCGGAATCTGAACGAGTTCGGCTTGGTTCTGTGTGAAAGCAAGGTCGAACAATGCACCGTAGGCTGGCGTTCTCCAAGTCCTGTGCAAATAATCAGGGAGATAATAATCGATGAGTATAGAGAATGCGTTTTGGATGTTGATATCAGGAGCAAGGATATTAAAGAATCGGAGTTAAACGGGGGTGAGCCGGTATTTTGCTACCGCACAGGTAGATAGACAACCCCGCATATCCTAGGAACCTCCTGTCAAATAAAAAACAATTACTTGTCCGGAAGTGTTGCCTGGTTCGAGGGAACACGAGATTGGACCAGCGCTTCGAGGATAGTTTAGTTGAGAATGTAAACCATCACTAGGGATTCCAGTTTATTCGAACCGTATACAAATGTGTGCAGCGTTGAACGCATCCCAAGGTCCAAGCCGACCACGCGACAATTGGTGGATAAACACGGGGCGATAAGCTCGTGCAACCGCAGCTACGATCGAGATCCACTTCCCTTTTGTCCACGGAGTCCACTCCACCACGTTCCTCTTGAAATACCTGGGGATATCCACAATATTGGAAGAACAGACATTCCATAGATCACGAAAATCGCGCTTGGGATTCATCTTCAAGCGCTGGCCATGATGACTGACATCACAGCTCACCACGAAAGCGAGGATGCGTGCAAGCCATACGACCAGTTCATTCTCTTCGGGGACTCCATCACCCAGATGTCCTGCAATCAAGCCCTTGGTTTTGCCTTTGCCGCGGAGCTGCAAGAAGGTGAGATCATAGCCCACGTCCACCTCAGTCCTCGTGCTAATCCTGTATTCAGCCTACAGTCGCAAGCTGGATGTAATCAACCGAGGCTTCTCGTAAGTGATATTGGCGAGATCCTTTGATGTCCGGACTGTTTCTAATGTAATGGGATACAGAGGCTATACCACTGCGCACGCCGTCAAAGTCTTCCCAAAGTTCTTCCCGTCTCCCCAAATCGCCAATGTGCGATTCATGGTAAGCTGTCCTTGCAACTTCATTGCCCAATTTCAGAGTACTAAAGTGGCAACAGACCATCTTTTTCGGTGCCAATGATGCATGTGTTCCAAGTCATGTTCAGCACGTTCCTCTGGAGCAGTACAAGGAGAACCTGAGAAGCATCATCCAGCACCCCGCCACACGCGCTCAGAATCCATACATCATTATCATCACTCCGCCACCGATCAATGAGTACCAGCTCGAGGGATTCGATAATGAGAAAAACACACCGCATCCCAGTCGGACAGCGGCTTTTTCCAAAATGTACTCGGAGGCAGCCCGTGAGGTTGGGGCATCGCTCAAGGTCCCAGTGGCGGATATCTGGACCGCATTTATGGCAAGGGCTGGTTGGCAAGAGGGCCAACCTCTAGTCGGATCGCGGGACTTACCTAATAATGAGGAGTTTTGCAGCTTTTTTACCGATGGTATGTGTGGCATGCTCAACCCGGTCAATGCCCTTCATACTAACCCCCTGTTTACAGGATTGCATCTGGCCCCAGCTGGATACCGAATTGTCTATGATGAGGTATTGGAGGTCATTCGAACCAGTTGGCCTGAGCAGGACCCTGAGAAACTCCCGATGGTTTTCCCTGCGTGGATTGATGCTCCAAAATAAGTTTTGTATAGATTGCGTTGGGAAACGTGTAAAGTTCCCGCGCTTCGGGCAAGTGAATTAGCGATCGGTTAGACAAGGCCAATTCAGGACATCCGTTTCCAGTGAGTAGACGACCGTAAAGAATCAATCCTTCTACTATAAGGAGAATGTGATCCTCAATCGTTAATAGTTGGTGTCGGGGAGCCATATTGGTGGAGCACGGGCGGTCTAGATCAACTTCTCCCCTCCTGCATGACGCCCTCCTCTCCACCCCCAATCTTTGATGCCGGTGCAGCGACACTGCTCGCGTTCACATCAACTCCAGAAATTATCGTCGCGAGATTTTCTCCACCTTTCCTATTGCCAAACCTCACTTGCTTAAATCCCTCACCTGGGCACTTTTCGAACCACCGCTGCCTGCCCTCCCTTCAACTCGGTCCACATACAAAGAGGCAGCACCCAGCTCCCTCCACGTCGAAGACAACATCACGCTTCCCCGTTAGCTTCGAATCGCGAGCAAGCCTACTTATCCCTGCCTCACTTCGGTAACCGATACGCATACCCAATTCACTCCGTTTTGCCCGCTTCACGTTCCCATATGCCCATACTTTGACTTGAACCACAAGACCGTGCAATTCACAGCCTGGTGGACGGCCCCGGGGGCCGTCGCACAGATTGAAGGAGGGAGGAATAAGTCGGTGGATGAGGAGAGTTGAGACGCCGGGTGGTGATCATACCTGGAACTTTCGTCCTAAGTGCTGAATGACCAGGTCAACGTATCGAGTGGAATGCACGGCACGTTACCTCGTGGAACCTTGATTATCTCGTTGTCTTTTACTCTCGGTGGTGATGGATGCACAGTATCCCTTTGCCTCGCGCGACGATATCTGGCGTGTCCTCGATGAGCTCAAGGAGCTCCAGGTCGCCCAGTACGAGCAGGGCGAGAGGCTCGCACGACTGGAACGTCGTCGTGACGATGATGCCAGGTTGAGAAGTCTCTGGGGTCCTTCGTCGCCTTTCCCGACTTTGGTGGCGAGCTCTATTCCTGCCGGTAAGTATTTTGACTCTCCGTCTCTATCGCTCTTGACTGAACATTTTGTTGCAGAAACCACCTTCAATTCTCCCCCTGACCCTTTCAAGGGCTTTGACGAAGGACACCATCACGGTATGGCTGCCTCCACAGTTGGCCTCGACGGAGAGGAGGAGCCCCGACGTGGAACCTCACGAGCGAACAGCGTACGATTTGACGAGAGCGCGAATCATGGATACTACGGACAGGCGAATCGTTCAAGCACGGACCTACCTGTGAGAACTGGCAGTGGGATGGGAAGCCACCCGCTGACCGAGAGGTCCTTGTCCCACCGATCTGACGGTAGGATGAGCTCCTCCGGATTCTCGCATCAGTCGGCCCGGACCAATAGTCTAGGTCTGGAAAGCAGAGGTCTGTCAGGCTCTTCGCTAGAAGTGTCTCCTATCACTCCGCCCCCTGGATTGTTCTTGATAGGGCCCGTACCGTCTATCATTCGCTGCTGGCTGACGGAAACCTTCTCGAACGAAGCGCTTCTGTACGCGGCTGTTTGTTCAGGCTCTTACGTGTCATCGCTGGGCACAACAACAATCACCAAGCTTGGACTTGAAGAGTCTATCATGCACAATGAAGAGCGGCCTTACATCAAGCTTCCTCTGTATCTTACCGAAGCTAGAGTTCAAACGCCATCATCACGTCCGGCCAGCCCCCAACCCCAGCTTCCATCGTTGAAGGTCAAATTTCTGGTACGCGAAACAGGACCCGAAGACGATTCAATCCAGATTATCATTGGAAGTGATGTGCTCCGCTCTTGCAATGCCGAAATCTCCTTTGTCCAGGACAGGATGACAATAGTAGACGATGAGGGAAGCCGGGTTTCCATTCCGCTGGTGCGCCCCGAGAAGGACTCAGTATTTAAACACTTGTGTACGGGCCCCGATACCACGGCCCGGGATTTCCGGCCCTCGCGCATGAATGGAAAGCCTACCGTGGGATTTATTGGCGAACACGCTCCAGCTGCGCAATCAACCTCGGCGCCTGCGTCGACTCTTGTATCCATGGGCGAGTCTGATGAAGCCCACAAGCTTCATCTGCAAGAGTCGGGCGAGTCACCCACCTGTTCATCTACTTTCTCTACTTCGGCTACAGCTACCGATTCAGCGCATGCCTCAGCTGCCAAATCAGAAGGAGCTGGTGTGTGGGGGCCTTGGCGCCGTGAGTCCAAGCCGGACAATGCCGCCGCCAACAAAGCGTCCACCGCACGAGCTCGCACAATGAAAGTGCTTCGACCCGCCAAGTCCAGCAGCCGTGTGGCCTCTGCTTCGACTCCTTCTAGCGCTACATCCGAACACGTTGAGTTCCAGAACAGTCAGTCAGAGAATACCGCGCCTGCGCAACCTGTAGGTCGCAGGTTTTCCGATGAGAATCGATCCGGCAAAGCACCGGCATCTAACCCCATTGGAGGCGCATCTGCATTTGGATGGCTCAACTCGAGCTCGTCTGGCAACAACCTCACTCGTCAGTCCTAGATGAAACAAACTAGGACTGGACGTTCTCTGTGATGACCAGACATCTGGTTTCGGCACTACGGATCATCCAGCACGAGCGATGTGGTTTCAGGGATAAGAAGGAGCCGGCACCTTGAAGCTCCCTCGACGTTGAACTCTTTGAGTTTGTAGTGCCTCAAAATGGACTTAATGACACGACAGGAAATCAAATGATCACTAAACTACACATCCAACCGTAATCCAAAGTATCATTCTATATCACATTCCCTATATACCTTCATCCACCTTTCCCAACCCATAAAACACTAAATCTTTGAGAAAGCCCCAAGCGCACCCTTAGTATCCTCTTTCGTCTCCTTGACCAACCCACTAACAGCACGGAACTGCTCATGATTCGCATCCCGAAGAATCTCAAAAAGCACACTCTCACTACTCGTCACGATCGCCCCCGCATCCCGCAGCCTAGACAGCGCAATCCCCCTCTCCTCAGGATTCATACTACTAACACCATCAGCAAGGATATAGACCCTATGCCCACGAGCCAGAAGATCAAGCGTCGTCTGCGTAACGCAGATATGGGTCTCAATGCCCACGATGATAACGTCGAGATCGGAGGGGAGTTTGGCCTCGATCTCGGGGGTGATCATTGAGAAGAGCGTTTTGTCGATGTCGGCGCGGATGTGGGGGCCGACCAGATGAGGTTGCAGCTCAGAGACGGTGTTGCCAAGTTTGGCGCGGTTTTGGGTCGTTATGTAGACTGGCATTTGGAGGTTGGATGCTGCGCGGAGCATTTTGGAGGTTGTTGAAATACTGGTGGTTTGTTAGGTTACTGTTACTCGTGGGGTGTTGTTTCGGGTATTTGTGCGAGGGCGTACAGCTTGGGGAATTCATAGATGCCACGGAACTTCTCTTGGATGTCGCATATGCTGTTTAGGATTTGTTAGTTGCTGGGCTGGGTGACTCTTTTGGGTTGGGATATTGCGACGCACAACAATGCGGGGTTCCCTATTTCTTGTTTAGCTTGGTTCAGTGAATTGGATGGGATACTTACGGATTCGACTCGCACGGGAGAGGGCAGCCATGATGTAGATTGTATTCCTGCTAGTAGATGGAGGGACAGGTAGAGAGGTGTGAAGAAGTGAAGAAGTGAAGAACAGAGCGGCGGGGAACTTTCGGAGATGCGGGGAAGCGGCCGAGGGGAAACCGCGGGAGCCATTACTACTACGCGCGATCGATCTAGACACCTGGAACATATCGTGAAATGTCACTTTTGGCTTTCATTTCCATAATGCAAGCTTTTAATCTAAAGTTTGACTTCATGCACCTTTGCCCGACCAACAAACCAGCTGTCATCGCCTTTAGCCGCGGCTGTCCGGATGGCGTATAGTTCGTCGAGGAAGGCGGGAACGAAACTGCCGGGCCCGCGGACGTACTCCTTAGATGCAGCATTCTCGGCCGCGATCTCGTACATCAGAAGGCCCGACAGAACGGCAAGCAGCTTGTCGGAACGGTGAGCAGATAGGAAACAGCCTGAAATGGTACCGATGGCGCAGCCGGTCTAATGTTATGCGGAGTTAGTTATCGGTTGCCCAGTGCGGCTGTGATATCTTTTGAAATACGTACTCCCGTCACTTGTCCCAGATAGTGGTGCCCGTTCTCGACGGCAATTACGCGCTCGCCGTCGCTGAGATAGTCAACAGCGCCGGTCATCAGCACAACATTGCCTGCAACCAATTAGTAAAAGAAGCCATGGAGAAGAGGAACAGACTTACGCTCTCTCCGCGCCAGATCGCGAGCCAGACGAGCCTTTTGTGGGCCATCGAGCGTACTCGGCCCGCTATCGACACCGCGCTGTTGCACGGCGCTGCTACCCCAGACCTGCCGAATCTCACCCTCGTTACCCTTAACAAGATCGAAGTAGCCTCCAGCCATAAGGGTGGAGACCGCGTTACGGCGGATCTCAGTTGCAGCTGCGCCGACTGGGTCGTAGACAACCGGTGCACCACGCTGGTTATAAGCCTTGAGGGCTTTCAGGTAGTTGGATACACTCTCGCCGTTCAAAGTGCCCATGTTGATGAGAAGAGATCCATCCAACTTGGCCAGGTCTGTAGCCTCGTCGCCGTGGGGAGCCATGATAGGTGATGCGCCGCTGTGTTGGTGGTCAGCAAAACGAATGGTATACATCAATGAAGTACGCACATCGAGAGAGCCACATTCGCGACAAAGTTGACTACCACAAAATTAATCATGTTGTGGACCAACGGGCGCACCTCGACCATCTTGCGAACAATCTGAGGTACCTCTTGGATCAATGCCTCGGCCTCGTTGGCCCGCGGAGGTCTCGGCGTCAGCGCAAATGAGGGAAGAGACTTGATCAGTCTGGCCAATTCCTCGGTGGATGCCTTAGGGTCGTCTGCTGCCATGATAGCGCTGATAATGGCTACCCCGTCCAGTTTCTTCTTCGGGGACTGGGACTGATACATGACTCGCTGCACGTTGGAGTGGTTGATACCGCCAATGGAGACGGTGCCCACGTTGGTAGCATCGCTGATGGCATTCAAGATCGCCTGGGTTCCTACCGTCCCGATAATGGACTTGGTGTTGGTCTTTCTGGGAGGGTGTTAGTCTGCTGCCGTCGTGCGGCGACAATCCGCCGGACTTACGTCGGAGTGGCAAACATCGCCCCAATCCCAAGGTAGTCGGCCCCGTCGGCAATGGCCTTCTGGGCCTGCTCGATGGAGGACGCGCTAATGCCGATAATGGCATTCTTGGGTAAAAGCCTCTTAGCTTCCTCGAATTCTGGAACAATGGTCAGGCCCTTCTTGGAAACAGTAAGGACGAGAAGACAAACTCATATCATCTTGACCCAGGTGAACGCCCTCAACGCCAACGGCAACGGCGACATCCACTCGGTCGTTGATCAACAGGGGAACTCCGTAGGCCTGGCAAAGTTTATGCAACTTCCTGGCCGTCTCGACCAAGACCCCGGTATCGCTGGTTTTGTCCCGGTATTGCACGACCGTGACACCTAGCGCCGCATTAGTGACTTCTTCTCCGAGGTTGCATTACACGTACCTCCTTTGAGAGCCTCCTCTACAACCGTGCACAGGTCTCGACCCTTAAGAATGGCGGGGGTCGAGTCCGTGACCAGATAAAGGGAAAGGTCCACCATGGCTGTTTGTTAGACACCCAGTCAATGCCCGATGTCAAGGAAAGACGCTTATATTTTAGCGCGGGGTTACACTGAAGAGAGTATGTAACACGCACAGTGAGATTACGAGGCACGTCTGGCTATCACGAACCAGGGCGATCCCGGTCGCCGTTGGGGTTTTAGTGGGGCCGAGGAGAATTGACCTCATGCAGCGCAAGACGCATTTTGATTTTTTCTTTACTGAACAAAGTACTAGACTGAGGACCATACGACTAGGGTGAACCTAAGACCGAAAAAGAGGGAAACTAATCAGGTTATTCTTAGAGACACGAGGAGAAGTGTTTCTCAACGGAGGGTTTAACTCCGAGACCACGTGCCGAGCTGAATAAGCAGGACCGCAAAAATCCTCTCCGTTGTTATTCTCCCACTTCTCCCACTTCTCACCCATCACTCATCGGCTTTGACACCCCAGTGAAGCCCTTTTCTGCGTCAACTGTTCCACACAGTTTACGCTTTTCTGTCCATCACTGATTGATATCGGTATCGCCATCATCACTTTCTTCAGTCCCCAAAACCCGGGTCTCCGGCCTTTGATTCGGATTCCCAAAAGAACAACTTCGGTCGTTCTCGCCCCCAAGAGAAAACCGCCCAAGACGTCCACTGCGAACTCGTCTATGTATTCGTCCTCCGTGCAACATTTCGAACATCACCTGCCGCTCAAGCTGCAAACGTTTCGCGCGTCGAAACCTTGCAGTATACACCTCAGATCTTGTGGCTGAGCCCTTTGGTCTGCCCGTTTCCGCTGTGAACCCGTGAGAAATCGCGTTGTTTCGTCAACAGAACCACCCAAAAATTCAAAAAAATTCTACTCGACACGCATGTCTTGTTCCGCCAACAAGATTTCCGGTCCAGATTCCCTCCCGCTACCTTTCCCCGTTCCATTCTCGTGAGCACCAAGTTTAAACAAATCCAACCGCCAACATGGCTACCGTCAACATTCGCCGGGATATCACCGATCCCTTCTATCGCTACAAGATGGAGAAAATCCAGTCCAAGATCGAGGGCAAGGGCAACGGTATCAAGACCGTCATTGTCAACCTCAACTCGGTGGCCCAGTCTTTGAGCCGTCCTCCTGCCTATGTCATCAAATACTTTGGCTTTGAGCTCGGTGCTCAGGCCAACGCCAAGCCAACCGATGAACGTTGGATCATCAACGGTGCCCACGATGCCACCAAGCTCCAGGACTATCTCGATGGGTTCATTTCCAAGTTTGTGCTTTGCAAGAAGTGCAAGAACCCCGAGACCGACGTCAGCATCAAAGACGACAAGATTATCCTGGATTGCAAGGCCTGCGGTCAGCGCTCCGATGTCGACCCCCGCCTCAAGCTGAGCACCTTCATCGTCCGTAATAACCCCAAGGGAGGCAAAAAGGAAAAGAAGGACAAGAAGGCTCGCCGTGAGGCCAAGAAGGCCCAAGCCAACGGAGACCACGATGCTAGCCCCGGTGACAGCAATGGTTCGGAACACGATGACGAGAACGGCGATGACGCTCTTGAGGCTGGAAGCGATGATGAGGTGACCCGCCAGGCCCAGGCCATCGAGGCGGAAGTCGAGATCAAGGACGACGACTGGGCCGTCGATGTCTCCGAGGAGGCCGTAAAGGCTCGCGCCAAGGATCTCCCCTCGGACCTCAAGCGCTCTCTTGTTCTTGAGGATGCTGACGACAACGAGGCCGATGGCCCCTCGTCGTACGAGCAACTCGGTAGCTGGATTGTCGAGACTGCTGCCGAGAAGGGCGGCGTGGCCAACGTTGACGACATCGACATCTACAAGAAGGCCAAGGAGTTCGGTATCGAGTCCAAGCACAAGACCTGCGCCGTCCTGGCTCAGAGCATCTTTGACGACAAGATTGTCAAGCAGATCGGGGCCCGTGCTGGTCTCCTCAAGACGCTCATCACCTCTGAGCGCCACGAGAAGGCTTTCCTCGGCGGTACCGAACGTTTCGTCGGTCAGGACCACCCGGCTCTGATTGCCCAGATCCCTGCCATTCTCCTTGGCTACTACCAGAATGATCTCGTGAGTGAGGAGACCCTCAAGGCATGGGGTTCCAAGACGAGCAAAAAATACGTCGATATCTCTACCAGCAAGAAGATTCACAAGGCTGCCCAGCCCTTCCTGGAGTGGCTGGAGACTGCGGAGAGTGACGACGACGAGGAGAGCGAGGACGACGAGTAGGTGATGGACATTGACTGTGCACCTTCATTGATTTCTCGTCTTTTTGGCTTCTTGCTTAATATGGACGCTCCTTTTGCTGGTTTGTCGCTTTGGTTACCTTTCTGATATTGTTCGTTTCGAATGGGACGCAGTCTGTGATAATTTTACATCTTAGCTCACCGAAAGTCACTCCTTTTTATTGCAAACCGTCTTGTACAAATCTTGTAATGCTATATGTATTTTGTAGGCTTAGACCTGCCGGCATGCTTTGATTGTTACATAGGTTCTGTTCTAGCCAACCTCTTGATTTATCGGGCGAAGAGCTATACCCGGATTCCCCGGAAGTATTAGAGCAAGCTCGGACGAGTCGACGCAAGGCGCCCAGCACACAGATGGAAGATACGGACCAATCACATGGGGTATGAAATGAATCCGGAGTTGTCCCTTGAGTATATGTTATTGCCAATAATTATCTCCAAAATTTAAATCCTGATCCTGAGAGAAACATAGTGAGCACGTGCCGCCATGTGGTAGCGCCGGATGTTGGTTCGGGAGGCGCAACTAGAGTCTTAGCTCCTTACTATGATGGCGCAAACCTATTTCGAGAAGAATGATCAAACGCAGCCGCTAAAGATCACAAATGGGTGAGATTACCTGCACATATGAGCACAACAGATTGGAGTTTGTATCTAGACCGATTGCTTTGCATTAGGAATCATCTTGCTGGCCCCGGCTGCTCGACAATGTGCATTCATCTACCAAAAGGGAATGAAAAAAGTGTGTAAGGCTTGAAGTGTATCAAAGAACCATCCAAAGCGACTCCAGATCCGGCACAATAGGCATTTGAATGGACTGTACTATTCATGGACTTGGCTGGGATATATCAATCAGATAAGCAAGATCAGAATCTTGACCCTGAGCCACCATGGTTGGGCGCGTTATACGACATTGATTTACGTTGCCCCCGTCGGAATTCACCGGGAGCATGGGTTCACCCCAATTCTCACATTAGCACTGTCTGGGACGGATATCCCATCACGGTTTATAATCAATCTGATAACCTTCTAGGGAAGTTGGCAGCGGCTCATCCCGCAGGGGTCAGAGAGCGCATGAGAAAAACGCCAACTCCAGGTGGTACGAGAACGAATTTCACAAGAAAAAAGACTTAGAACCGAATGTAGCATCAAAAGATCGCGTATTTGATTTTGATGCCGCCAAATGGACACTTTTCAAGGGTCTCAAAAGCTAACAGGCTTTCTTCTCCTGTTCCTGCGACCCGAGGTCGGACGGAGGTCTGAGACCAAGCCAAAGTTTTGTGGCGTCCAGTGATTGGCGGCCAAAGGATCAGATTTTAATAATCTGATTCCGCGGTCTCCCGAGCAGGGTCGCGCGCATTGAAATCGCACGAGTGGAAGAGGAATTTGTGGACCCTGAGAGGGGCCGGGCTAACTAAGCGCGGCTTGGGGACGCCATTTCCAAGTTTCGGACCCTCTTTACCATCTTGTTCGGGTTAGAAAAATCAATGTCGCCCATTATTTCTGTTTGATTAGTCCTTTCAGCTATCGCTTCATCTCTTCCAGCGCGCATTGCGCTCTCAAACCCGCAGGCGAAATCGGGGAACTAGCGGATCGCCGGTGTGGGAACAATTCCACCATGGGTGTTTTCGACAGCATCAGGCGGCGCGATGAGAACAGCCGAATTGTGAAGGTTTCAGGGTCATCTGCAGAGGAAAGCGACGAAGTCAGTGAAGTCCCTGCTCAGACCAGCTCTCTGGAGTGGCAGGACGAGACGGAAATCAAGCAGCACCCCGATGAGGTCAATGCGAATGCTTCTGTCGGGTTGCAGAAAGCTGAGGCTGCTGCGTTAGTCTACAGCAAGAAGTCACTCATTGGAATCTATGCATGGTGAGTTTAACTAGCAGGGTTAACTTGTAGGATGTCTTCAGAGTACTAATGGCCTGATTCGCCAGGATATGGGTCTGCTTTTTCGTCTTATCCTTCCACGAGACGATGTTGACCAACCTCACGAACTATGTTTTCGCCGGATTCTCGTCTGCGCCTCAGGTGACTACTTCTTATATTGCCTCGACCATCATCGGCGGTGTGATGAAGCTCCCTCTGGGTAAGACTCTGAACCTTTGGGGCCGTGCCGAGGGTCTGTTGGCCTCGCTGCTAGTCTATATACTTGGTATCATTATCCTGGCTGCCTGTGATGGTCCCAACGCGTATTGCGCAGGCTATATCTTTTACTGGATCGGTTACGACTGTCTCTATCTCACCCTGCAGATATTCGTTGCCGATACCACTGGGTTACGCAACCGAGCTTGGGCTTTTGCTTTCGTTCAAACGCCTTTTATCTGTACCGCTTTTACGGCGCCTTTGGCCGTGACTTCTTTCATTAACACATCGGGCTGGCGCTGGGCATTTGGTGTTTTCGCCATTGTTCAGCCTTTTGTCTTCGCCCCTTTAGCGTTGGGTTTCAAATACTACGAGAAGCAGGCCGAGAAAAAGGGTATCCTCAGAAGAGAGCGGAGCGGACGCTCTGTTGGGCAGTCGATAGTTCATTACCTTCATGAATTCGATGGTGAGTCTATTCTGCCGGTGATTCTTTGGCGCGAGTTAATTTAGAAACCATAGTTATCGGTGCATTCATTATCATGGCCGCTTTTATCTTGTTCCTTCTTCCCTTTAGCATCACTTCCAACGGCGTATCTCAATATTCCAGCGCTACATTCATTGCGATGATTGTTGTCGGAATCTGCCTCTTCCCAGTCTTCGCGATCTGGGAGAAGTGGTTCGCTCGCATCCACTTTATTCGATGGGAATTATTCAAAAATCGCTCTGTCGCCGGCGCCTGCTTACTATCTGCCGTTGTCTTCTTCAGCTTCGACCTTTGGAACACATATTTCCAGAACTTCCTCCTCGTTATTTACAACCTTGACTACACGACGGCTGGATACTTGATGTCGACTTATAACGTCGGCTCCTGCTTCTGGTCGGTTGTTGTCGGAATTTATGTCTACAAGACCAAGCACTTCAAGTATCTTTGTCTGTTCTTTGGGCTTCCGCTTATGATTCTCGGGTCCGGTCTTATGATCTACTTCCGAGGCAGCGAGCATGGAATCGGTTATGTGGTCATGTGTCAAATCTTCATTGCCTTCGCCGGAGGTACCCTGGTCATCGGTGAAGACATGGCTGTGATGGCGGGCGGTGACCGTGAAGGCATTCCCATGGCTCTGTCCCTTATTAGCTTGTTTTCAAGTGTGGGCTCGTCGATCGGATACGCCGTGTGCGCTGCTATCGTGAACAACGTCTGGCTGCCGGCCATCCGGAGTCGTCTCCCTGCGGACATGAAGTCTCAAGCCATGGCGATTTATCTAGGTGGAGTCACCAAGCAGCAGGGCTTTGCACTTGGTTCTCCAGAGCGCGAGGCTGCCGCCTATGCTTGGAGCTGGTCTCAGCGGCAGAACTGCATTGCTTCCACTTGTATTCTGGTTTTGGGCATCCCTGCGATCATGTTGTGGAAAAACTTCAACGTCGACAAGAAGCAGAACAAGGGCACAGTTATTTAATGTTTCATGTGATATGAGAAGCTAAATCCTAAGCCCCGAGGTGGATAATGATCGACTTGTAAACCAAAGCTAAACCTGCACCGCAGAAGATTATAGCTACCACGGATCACCCATACAGTTACCAAGCACGGTCAATGTAATGCCGTACGATACTGTAAAGGTGATTGCAGTAAAACTGTTATTCCGAAGCCATTCTTTGATGGACATGTAGATATTCGCATTACTACTCGGGAAATAATCAACGGGTGTTGGTGACACCGGTAGAAATGCCACGTTGTCTATCGTGTACATCGCTCCCACGGAGGCCTCCACCCAACTCCCAACCGCTCCATGACCAGTCTCTCCCTTTCCTCCCACGTCTCCCCTCCATGCTCCAAATCCACCACCTGCCCACCAGCAGTACGCTTCCGCACCCCACTAGAATCAAACTTCCAATCATGCGCTTTCTTCGCATATCGCCTCAGATCTCGCTGAAAAGTCGTATCTCCAGACCATCCGAGCACTGCACAGCCCACGGTGCGCCACGGTGATATGATGATGTCCACCCGACGATGAGGATTCGGATTTCGTTTCCGCCGATCCACGTCGCTCGCCTCCGTAGCATCAAAGATAGGATCTTGCCATACGGCCAGCGCCTTATCGAGCGAATCAAAATTCTTTCCTGTTTCATCGCCTCGAAATGGAAGAGTCGCCTGCTCGCGCAGTGTCGAGGTGAGATGTAAGGAGAGGGTGTGTGTGATATACGCCTCCTTCTCTAGACTAGCCACCACGTCCACGATCAGGTTTCGCGTGACCGATTCGTCGCGGTGTGTCAGTATGATATCCACGTCACCACATATTTCCTTTCCACGACGGTAGCCGCCGACAATAATGCAATCGATATTGTCCGCATCCGGGCGCACGCGCTGAGCATGATGCCGTACAATGTCGGCAATGACCTCCGACTCCCTGCGCGAAATACCAGCCTCGAACTCATCGAAGAACTTGACTCCGATCTGCTGTACCCGCGACAGTGAGTCCCATCCATACTCGACAACATCATCCAGATCCCTCCATCCCTTGTGGTAGAACTCTCTGGCCGTCTTTGCGCCCACGCCCCAGATCTTATTAAACGTGTTTAGCACGCGCAGCACAGGGTCCGTATCCAATGCATCTGCCGCAGCGATGTTCCCATCATCGTCGGTGTGGTTGCAGCCACCATGTTGCTGGAACTCGGAGAAGAGGTTTGCAATCTTCACGTCGCAGCCGGGTAGTGTGAGGACTTCACTTGGCCGTTTGAGTACATAGGGGTACGCTGCTAAAGATGCTATTGATGTGCTATATGCTCGAACGCCGATCTCGTCGAGTGTGAGTTCGCGGATACGGCGGATTTTCATGAGCTGGGCTATGAAATCTGCATTTGGTGGGTGCAGCGGTGCTGAGCGCATGCATGCGTATAGAACGTGGTCGCGAACCCAATCTGGTTGCGTTGGCAGGGTAGCGGTTTCGTCGTTCTCGGATGTGGTTGTTCGGTATAGGGTTGGTGGCCGCTGACTGGAAGGACCATCATGTGGTTCTTTTGAGCGCCGAGAGTGGAATCGATTGGCGGGTATTGGTGGAGGTTGCGACGCGGCATCGATTTTGGCGCGTTCGAGGATTCGGGTGGAGAGCTTCTCTGAGGATAATTTTGTAGGGGCCTCGTTCCCAGGCACTTGGGTCTTTCGCCCTTTGTATACCATAAACGAATCGTAGGAGAGGGCCTTCTCAGCTAGGATGGAACTGTCTAGCCACTCTAACTTGAGGACGGTGATAGTGCCTGGCGGATCTTTGACTTGTACCAAACGTTGGGATTGACCATGTCGGTTTGTCACCCCATCTTCCTCACTTTCGGACTCAGTGCTGAGGTCAATTATCTCTGATTTTTCAGCAGTGACAGCTGAAATGCTTCGTTCAGCCTTCCTGCATTTCAACGGAGGTTCCTTATCCTCCGAGAATACCGTCTGAGTCGGTATAGAGAAAGACGGAGACTCCTCTGTCCAGAATCCCCGGGAACGAAGCTCTAATGCCGCACGTTTCTTTTGGCCAATCTTCCCCAAAACCAAACCGGCCTCGGAAATGTCATAAGTGATTTTCCCACCATGTTCAACGAGACGACTCTCCGTCTCGTGTAGTTGATCAAGGGTCAAATGGGTGGGCAGAATGAAGGTCGGTGGTTGCGATGAGAATATCGTCTGGCCACTCTCGGCTGGCTCCACGGGAGACGAACTTCCGAATAGAGGATTTGAATCCATCTTGATGATAAATATTTATGCTCATGTAAGAAATACTATATTGATTCCAGCCGCATATGCATACTGTCGAGGAATATGCAATGGCAACCCGAGTGCGCCTGCCCCTGTCATGAACCAAGTCGCGAGGGCCGGCATGATTTTCAAACCATCTTAGGAAAGGAGGGCAGCACCAGAACCATATGGCAGTGGAGGATCAAGTACAGTTGATCATAATGCAATCATTACGTTGGCAAGACGTTGTTTGTATCTTGGGAAATGGATATAAGGCACAATGGAATTCTGTCGGAACGAACAGCCTATGGAGACCGGATTAAAGGATGATCCGAAGTAATATCTCCTTATACAAGCAGAAGAAACCCTGACGTAATGCACCGCCGAACTAACCGGTCCCAGCCACGTGCGGGAGATGAGTGGGACCCATGATTAGTCATGATTTCTCTGGGTCCCAGCCTAACTCTATCTGGGACCCAGTCAGCTGGCCCCCGTAGTTATCCTGTCCCTGTTTATCTTCTGCATAACTCCCCCTTCTTTCCCAAAACACGCGACCGTGTTCGTGTTGCCTTCTCCATATATGACACCTTGGCTTATACCTCGCCTCTTGCTCCCCGAATTTACATGGCCTGACGACACTCGTCCAATCGCAAACGAACAAATACAAATACCACCGACGCCTCGACCAACAAATCCCCTACTCCGTCGTTTTTGGGGTTTCTTGCATAAACATATACGACGATTCTCTCGATCATATTGCGGCTGGGTTGGCATCCCTTACGACAATCAGATTGCTCAGCTTCCGTTTGGGCTTATCTTGAAATGGTCGGATGGCACGCGAATAGAGGAAGTTCTCTCTATGCAAGTCGCAAGAAAGGCCGGTTTTCCGGTACCGCGAGTAATATGCTATGGAGAGCATCCCAATACACCGCATGCACCGGTTTCGATTTTAATGACTCGTATTCCTGGTCGAGAACTAGGCCAGGCTTACGAGTCATTAAGTGTCGAGGAAAGGAAGTCGATTTTAGAAGAGCTTAAAGGCTACTTAGTGGTAATGCGTAGGTGGTCAAATCCATGGGGCAAGACTAGGATTTGCTCATTACTAGGTACTGCTATCAGAAGCATTCGCGTTCCTAACCACCTTATCGGCCTATTTGAGTCTGAGGAAGAACTCAACGAATACCTTATACAGCCTGCTTGGTCGGGTGGTTTTGAATCCGATTCCGCATATCACCAAGCTTACGACGTTGCTAGGGACATAAAGAAATTGCCGCACCGTATTCTTTTTACCCACGGCGATCTTAAACCCCATAATATTATGATAATGGGGGGTCGGATCACAGGTTTTCTTGACTGGGAATCAGCAGGCTGGTATCCTGAATACTGGGACTTTACTACAGCATTGCGGTTCACACGAGAGGATTTCTGGTGGTATAACTTCGTTATCGACCTTGGGGGTGGCGCGTATTTGGCCGAACTGAAATGTGAACGCGCACTGACCGCCTTGACAAGCTCTTCGTATTACTGGTGATGCTGGTTTCTCTGTTCAATTGTACTCATTCTCAAAAAAACTTTTATCTAAATTGGGCTCACTCTAGGTCAACAATTCTTCTGTAATAAAAAGTTGTGCCACGCATTGTTCAATACGATAAGGATAGATAGTCGATATCCCTAAATGAGAGCTTCATTCAGGGTGGTGTTTTCAACAGAGCTGTGTTTTCGCTAGGGAAATCCAATGATATAGCGCTAAACGCATGGAACGCGAATATCAAAGCCCTGTATTTTCCCAGATGTATGCACAGAAGACGCAAGTATCGGGAAGACCGAGTACTCTTTATTCGCACATTGAATCAAAGAATTACACTTCCTGTCTAGTAACATGCAATCGCTCCACAACTCCTGAATATGTCAGGCACAGTTGGCTTTTAACAAACGTCTTCCGAGCTCTAACACCCCTCGTAAAACAATATATCATCGCTTAATAAGGACTTTGAAGGATTTTCACGCCTCGACGAAGCTCGAAAATACCACGTCTTATCTGAGAAGCTGCGTGACGCCGCCACATTATGAAGCACTGGCCAATATCAGAGGTCTAAATGTGGTTACGACCACCCTCAAAATGTACGATATTCAAGCTTCTGACGTCACATGTTTCTGCCTGAGCCAAAAGCGAAATATAGTTGCGAGCAACGCTAACTCACATGAACGCTGTTTATGAATCGTATATCTATGCAAATCTTGAATTAGGGAGAAACCCACGCCACAGTACCATCTAAAAAATCTCTTCCTCGACCCGGGGCTCATCAGTTGCCTTCACTGCAACCCGCGAGCCCCCCTTCCCAACCACCTCGGTCTGCCCACGCTCGACACTGCTCCCAGACTCGTGGACCACAATGCCAGTGTCATCATCAGATTCCCGAGGATCATCCCGATAACGCTCCTCGTCATTAATCACACTCTGCCCATGGCGCCTCGCCATCCACCTACGCCACGGCTTATACAGCAGCACGCTCAGCCCACCAACGATGATAAAGCATCCGCAGATCGATCCACCGATCACATCGTAGTAGTCACCGGCTGTCTGCACACCATCCCAGAACCTGCCCGTAGCATTGGTCACACTCAGAACCATGGTGAGCAATTGGATGACGCCGATCACAATGGCGACGATCACCGTCAATGTGGTCAGCACAATGGAGTAGTACAGGAAGGCGATCGGGTCACGGTGGTTGTCTCGTGATTGGGGCAGTTCGTCGTCTGGTGTGTCAGATGCATTATCGGAGACTGTGCTGTCCCTTTTCGGGGGGAGGAAGTTGGCGGAGGGTTGGATGTAGAGCGAAAACATGAGGGCGCCGTCGGTGGTGTCTAGGAGACACATGCCCGCTGTGAAGAGCGCGGGGAGGATTAGAATTACCCAGAAAGAGGTCCCCTTTGCTGCTTCGACGGAAGAAATTCCCAGAAGGGCTACCTCGGACGAGGTGTCGAAGCCCAGTCCGAAGAGGATTCCGAGTGGATACATCTTCCATGGTCTTTCGTGAGTTAGCTAAAGGTTTATTTTTGATGTTGAAGATTTCTCAGCGCACCGGTCAATAAGTTTAAACATCTTCTTCAGAACGGAGAAGAGAATCCCGCCGCCTTCAATCTTCCAGGCTTCATCGGCTTGATCCTCGGCCAAGTTGAACACCTTTTGCATTTGCTTGATCAGCTTGTAGAGAATGTAGGCATTCATGATACCCAGTAGGATCAAAAATGTGGCACTGACAGAGCTGCCAATGATTCCGCCGATGGTGCTGAAGCTGTCAAATCGTGAGGAAATGGCTGCTGCAGTTGCTGCGACGACAATTGAGGTGATGATGACGACACTAGCAGTTGATCAGTTTATGTATAAAAACATCGGGGGCCTACGGACTCACGTCGAGTGGCCTAGTGAGAAGAATGTTCCCACCGTGACTGGCCTCTGCCCAGTAGCGAGTAGTCGTCGAGTCATTAAATCGATGGCCTATAGTTGCATCAGAACTTGTGATCTTCGAGCTTGCATACAAAGCACGTACAGAGATGTGATCAGCATCGAATGCATGTCTCAAGCCGAGAGTATAAGCGAGCACAGCAGTAGACACCAACGTTCTGTTTTTGGTCAGTTCGAATCATTCTGTCAGATGTGCAAGGACAGTCTCATACGGGTGATAACGCTAGGAGATATCAGCACATATCCAAACACAATGATTATTCCCAAGTTGGCTTCGACTTACCAATACAATTGCGGCAGCAATCCATACAAGGACATTCAAAAATGCAACAAACAAGATGATACCGATCGCTCGAAGAGGAATTTTGCGAATGCCAGGCATCTTGCTATGCGAGCGCTGAGCATGGCGCAGAAGCGGCTTTAAGATCCAGGTCCTCTCGCTATCCACGCTCCGCGCATCCGTGGGCGTGTCATCAACAAAAGAAGTCATTTTTGGGCACTCTTCCTATCGCGTTCCAAAATGCCTTCTTCGTCAGCCCTGTGACACCTAGGGTGGGGCGACGGATAAATTTTCCTGACAGTTGTCGAGAGAAAACAAACGGTTGGAACGGTCAAAAGCGAGAGGGGTTGGATTATAACCTGCAACGCAAGCTCGCCGATCTTAAACACGTGAGTGAATTTCCCACTAGGCTTATCGGTCGTCTGGCCGTGTCGCCAAGCTCGACAATGTACTTTAGATCCGCTTGGCAGTGAAGTAGTCGGCGTACGGAGAACTCCTTGCGATCGGACGGGAGAAAAGGAGGGTTGCACCCGCAATGGCCGAGCAAGCCCTACACCATTTCCGACTTCTCCACACTTCTTGAATGAACTTTTGACTACCTCAAATCGTGCTTTAGTGCTTGACCATGGAGTGAACTGGTAATCGGGATTGCACGTGATGTGGCGGGGTTACGGCGAGGCCCGATGCGTTCGTTGATAATTACTCAACTCGATCGTTCTGATAAGATAATGTATCCACTTTTTGCAATCGGGGTTCCCACGCTCGGCCTGTGAAGAACGCCGTGCGGCCTAGTTTGGCGATGATCGGGGCCTGTCTTTCTCGTTGGTGGCCGCTCGGCCGTGTCGGGCGTCAAGAATGAGCTAGCTATGGAAGAACTGGATACCTAGGTAAATAGCCTACTGGATATCTTATGGCAAGGTGAAACGGAGGTTATAGAATTCGCTTTTGCTTTTCATAACGTCGTAACAGTATGATACATTTTCGAGACTGAAGGTCTCTTAATCAATCCCATCCATTCACATATCTGGACTTGGGTCCATCGCTTGGTTCCCATAAAAGCTGCACTAATAATTGCATGACTATAATGCGGTGGCTCCCAGCCGAGTGAAAGACAGTGGAGGCTCGCGAGGTCAAATTATTGCGCTAAATATTCTGAAGGGACATCGAAGCAGTTACCAATTGAGTTTGGTAGTAACTTGTGTCTCTTTTGCAAGGCCTGGGACAATTTGTTAGACGTATGTTCTCGAAAAAGTCTTCCATTGGGAGAACAACTGACCAAGCACTCTTGTGGGGCCCGTGGCTGCCCTTTTCGGCAGATTTCCGAGACAGCCTCAATAAAATTGAAGTGATTGATAGAAAATTCAAGTTTCACTTGACATTAGAACTTATTCACGCAACAGCATAGACAGTGGGTGATGGAGTCCACTTGGTGACAGTCGGCTGCAAGCGAATATCCTGGCTGACAAGGATATTCCACTCATTTCTAGTGATTGGAGTCACATCTGACGCCGAGAGGGGGAGTCTTGGGCCCTCGCTTCGCCGGAGCGCCTATTCTCTGGATGCTGCACTTAGCAGGCTGAGCCGGACGTTTAACTCGCACGGCCTTGGGGGCCTGCTTCTGAGCGACAGACTTCTGAGCGACGGACTTCTGAGTGACGGGCTTCCGAACAGCGGGCTTCTGAATCGCTGGCTTCTGTTGCTCAGCCTTAGGTTGCGGAGGCAGGATGATCGCATCCAACTTGTGCGCGCTTTTGTAAGCAGCTGCAATAGCAGTGAGAAGGTCGTCGCGCACATTGAGCTGCTCATATACGCGGTGAAAGAATGCCTTGCTGAATGGACGGCCTTGGAAATCGTCGATGAGGCGGTGGAGAAGCTTCACGCACGAGGCCATGGACTGGTCGTCTGTGCGCGAGAAAGGTCGATTGGAGAGAATGCACAGTCGGCGTTTGAAGGTGTAGATGCGGTCCATGTTTAGCAGGGTCAGACCCTCTTGGCTGAAGACGACCTCGTTTTGTAAAATTGATTGCTGGACCAAGTACTCATTTGCATGGCGTTCGTACTGGCTGCGGTTCAATGCATCAGACCAACTCTGGCCCAGGGAGAATTTCTTCGCGGCTTTGGCGATAGCTCGCTCGAGAATACGCCATCCTAGGGCATCGAGAGATGTAATGGGAATGATCATCAGGTCGGAGGGTTCGCCGGTCGGATAGGGCTTGCCCCGGCCGACAAGCAAGGTGACGTGCATCATTCGTTGTTGGAGTTTGGTGGAGATGTATTCAAGAGCGGGCAACGTGGAGGGAGTTATGGTTTCGGCATCGAAATTGAAGTCCGATGAAAGCGGAGGAGAGATCATATCGTTGGTGAGGCGTGTAGGAGAATTAGGTACATAGATGCCCGTGGGGCGTGGGAAGCGGATGACGCCCATTGTAAATTATGTTATGAGCGTAGGATTTGAATAGATTGGAGTCCACCAAGAGATCTTTAGGGACCCTTTCTGGAGAAGCCCAGGTTGACAGAATCCAGGTACAACCGACGGGGGCCTTGATATAGATAGAGAATGAGCCAGGGGCAGAACCAACACTACCAACATCAGTTCCCCGCACTCCGGCATCTTAACATAGAAAGCTCCCAAATTACCCCTATTTTAGCTGCATAATTGTTGCTAATGATAGTAAAAGCCACCAACAATTGACCAATCACAGATGCAGGTGTGACAACCGGTTGTTTGGTGGAGCACACGACAGCCAATCGATACGCGCAAGGATCGGCGCCCTATAAATAAACGAAGCAAATCACAGTCCAAATGAACTAAAATCACCCGTAGCCGCCGAGGCGTTCGTCCACCAACCACCATCTCGTGTTGGTCGTGTTCTCAATGGAGCTTCTGCATTCCATCACACACCAACACAGGAACCTAGCACCCGGACCGGGGCCTTGGTACGCAATCACCAACTGTTGGTGGCCAGTGCAGTTGACCCCCGCTCAAGCTGACTGTGAAGATAACTCCCACCACCAGGGATTATGTAGCTCGGGCTCTTATCGACAGGTTGTTATTGTTTCTTCTTTCCGGTCCCTAAATGCTTAGTTGCTTGGTCCCGGCGCGGATGACGATGAGCATTTTTACTTTCCATTTCCTAGGGGTCTGTTGGCAAACGTGCATCTCGGAGATTATCTTGTATGCATTGAGCGGATGACAGCTTGTACTTCCCCCTGTATGCGGCCTGATCTGGTCACGCAATTGCAGTAGATGGGTCATTAACCAGCTCTCAAATCTACTTGTCAGGGATTCTTGTTCGTGTCGGAAGTACAGCTTCAATGAATGGCCAGGATTCAGTAAATGTGCTTCTTCTCAACATCCTTACGGCTCACAGTTCCTTTTTCCTTTTCGATCCTTCAAGCCTTATGGCTGTAGACTCACCCAGCCGTATGTACAGACTACGCGGCATTTAATTGCTTCTCTTGTCATCACTAGCCAATACCCTGCTGCCACTGACGAATAGTAGAGTACGGAGGCTCGTGTCCGTATCACTGCGTCAGTCAGCCTCGTCAAATGCCGGGTTTCTATAGCGGCAGTCTCCATTCTAAATCCTCGACCTCCTGTAAAAGCATGCAGGGCTTACGTGGACTATTCCTCGTGGCGCACGAGTCTTCCAATTGTCGGGTCTGACGCGGGAAGTTCGTTGGGGGCCGAAAGTGAGCGTTAAAGTGCGGAGCATATTTACCGGATTTATGTCACTAAGCATAATTAACGGGCCATCAGCTTAGGAACGACTTTGATTGACTTAAAACCGATCCCGGGTATAGGCTAAAGTGGAGTAAGTATATCAGTGGGGGTCGCTGAGCATTCATTGACCATGAGTTCGTGTTGAGATATGCCCAGTGCAATGCTCCGTGTGCCTGAGTGCTCTAATAAGGTGGCAACTAAACAAGAAAATTCTGACAGGGAAGATCTGGTACGTTTAAGTGCAACTACGTCTCGATTGTGTTGATTTCTTGTCATGACCAAAAAACTTTGTATGTTGTCTCTCAAATTCTATCAAACGAAATAAATTCTACTTCACCAAACCCTCAGATCCCGGAGCTCCTTCGCCTGCGCATTTAGCGGGAGAAAGTGTGGGGAGTGGGGAGCTTGACGGGGGCATTCTTGCGGGGAGTGCTCTGGATCAGGTGATCGAACGAGGCAGCATTCTCAACACGGGGGTTAAAAGGCTCGAAGTTCCAGAGATAGCCAAGAGTGCGGAGCAGGGAGGCAGCCGAGTAAGACACAGTCTGGCCCCGGTAGTTGGTACCATTCTGCTCAACGTAGCCCTGGCTGACCCAAGGAGAGATCAGGAGAGTGGGAACACGGCCACCCAGACGGTTGAAGTCGAGGGTGTACTCCTGGCCATTGGGAGCCTTCTCAGTGTAGGTCAGGTTATCGGGACGAGGAGCCAGAGGCGGGGGAACGTGGTCATGGAAGCCACCGCTCTCGTCAAAGGTCAGGACGAAGAGAGTCTCCTCCCACTGTGGGCTAGCACGGAGAGACTCGTAAACCTTCTTGATGAAGGCCTCGCCGTCGGAGATAAGACCGCTGTCGTGCATAGAGGTGGTACCAACGCCGCAGCAGGAGGGGTTCAGATAGGAGAACTCAGGCAGAGAGCCGCTGGCGGCATCAGTATAGAATTGGTCCATGGGGACAACCTTGTTCTGGTTGCCGGTGGCCTTGGTCCAGGCAAACCAATGGGCCTCGGGGCCGGTGCCACCAGCGGTGTCCCAGTAGTTGAGCCAAGTGTGGTTGGTCTCGCCCAGCTGCTGGAAGATGGAGCGCTGGGTGAACGCATAGGTACCAAAGGTATCATCGTTGGTACCGTGGCCGCCGGAGGTACCAGCAACGACAGCAAAACGGTTAGGGTCAGTAGGCTAAAATCAGACTCAGTATATGGATCTCGAAATATAAGTATGATAATGTCACTTACACCGGGGACATCAGAGTGCCAGTGGTTGAAGGTAAGGAAGTTCTGAACCAGAGCGGTCATAACAGGAGTCTGGTCCTCGGTATAGTAGTTCATCACCTGCTTGGCCAGCATAGCCTTCACAGTCTCGTTGGCAGATTCGCCATAGTTATAGATCTGCTCGTGGATGAAACCGTTGTTGTTGGGAACCAACTTGCCATCGGCAATCGCGGCATTGTCGGGGGTCCACTGGCTGAAGAACTCCATCGTGTTACCAGTGACAGCGTGACTGGGGTCATCAGTCACGGAGTCGTAATCCTTGGCAACGGCGCAGTGGTAACCCTGAGAAGGATCGGTCACGTTGTAGGGGTTGCAGAAAGGACCGCTGTTGATGGGGTTCTCCAGACCGGGATGGGTCTGACCACCCAGGAGGTTGTCTAGAGAGCGGTTCTCCATAACGAGAACAACAACATTCTTGACGTGGGACTTCAAGTTCTCAAGGGAAGAAGTCGAGTGACCAGCGCGAGGCTTGTGGGGAACAGCCGTCGCGGCGGCGGCGAAGGCCAAAAGGCCGACAAGAGCACTAGGATGCATTTTCGCAGACTATCTTTCTTGATTCTCCTGAAGAAGTTACAATCTGCCGTTACAAAAATGGACGAGTCTTCAGCAGCGACGGGCCTGGGTGCCTTTATACTTGAGATTTGGATGGAAGCCATGATGGAAGTTGGTTTCTTCAGCCCACGTGGGTATTATGGATGCCCAACGACTCAAGCCTGCATCAGAAATGCTTGTACACGAGAGCCTGGCCTGGAACTGGGGCTCGGATAATTCCCCCGAGAGATCCGATGGGGAATTTTAAACATCGTCTCCAATAAGATCAATTTAAGCAGCCACGAGCCGTGGGATCAGCTTCGATCAAATATCGGGTAAAACGAGACCCAAGTGCTAGCGTCTATCAACGTTGCATGCATACTCTTGCGCGGCCGATATGCTGATCATTTTCCTCTTCCATCCACGTAGACATGCCGTTGGAAGAGTTGTACCGGAACAGATCTGCGTGAAACATAAATCAACAAATGCCAAGAATGGGAATAACGGCCTCGACCGCGACACTAACACTAACGTGGAACTTGATCGACGTCAAGGTCCGGAATTTGATTGATCAAATGTCTTTAGTTGCCTCGTGTAATTCTGCAGCAAAATAATTGGCCAATTCTTTCCAGTCGCTGCGAAATAACCATACATTGACTGGCCTAGTCCATGCGAATATGCTCCAGAACATCAATTTCGGGGCTACGTACCGCGCCCGTGCGGTGCGGGGGGTGATATTCGGCACGAGTCCAACCAAGATTAATTTCCTAGGATATTATGAATGTTGCTCCAATCGCTGTTTCTTCTGCCTCCCCGTGAAGAATATTCTACAAGCTTTCCGCTCCGGGGGCGCCTTCGGAACACAGACGTCGCCCGAAATCCGAGTGCCGATACCTGGCCGAGGCCGGCAGTCTTTCCATTAATATTACCAAGCTTGCGGCGTTCTTGCCGAGAATCGTCAGAACTGGCTTTTTGATGTAGTACAAACAAGGAAGAGAAGCGGGGATATTCTTTAACTCATGTGTTTATCTACCAGGAAACCAGTAAGTAGCCAAAAAAAAAAAAAAAAAAAAAGAAGCTCAGCGTCTGCCGATGCGTGTATGGCACTATGTTTTGCTCTAATATCTTTACATCTTCTAATTCGGGACCCCAGAGAGTTCCTGACTCGAGAATGAGGGCTTCGGCTTCCAATTCCAGCTCGAGCCTGTCTATCGGTCTATGCCCGGCATTTGTGCAATACCAGCGAGTGAGAGGGAATTAGTGTAAAAACTTCGCTCACATTTGAATTTATAGGCAAGAGTAACATTTGAAACTTGATTTCTTCAACAGACTGGATATTAACTTAATCAATTACCGAGATTAGATATTTTCTTGCATAGCCCGTACGTAAGTCATTTTCACATTCTCATATTCCTCGATCCACGCAAATGCCAAGTAGGGATGCAAGGGAACGGCATACTCATTCTTCTCATCCGAAGGCTAAAGCTTCTCAGTAAGAGCAGCAGTCTCGGATACAACCTCGAAATTATTCGAGCGGAACGGAGTAACCTCAAACTCTGAGAACTTGCGAGCTGAAATCTTCTTCTCAAACAGAATATCGAGCTCAGTGGGGGTGCGACCCCTGGGCTCCGGCAGGCGGAAGAACGACCACAGAAAGCAGATCAGACAGAGAGGTGCCCAGACAAAGCCTCCTTTGCCCTTTAGATTCCAGGCGGTGGGGTTGAGAATAGGAGGATTCAGGAAGTTGGCACAGATACTAGCGATGTTGTAGCAGTTACGAGCGAGGACTGCACTCTTGATCCGAAGGCGGGTAGACGGAATCTCTGCGATGAGACAATAAGTGACGGGGCCGACGGTAAGATCGTAGGTAAACATGAAGATAAGGAGGAAAGCGGCGGACGAATAGCTCAGTCCGGGAGATGTGTGGCTCGGAATACCCAGGAAACCCACCAGCATCAGCACCGTGAACATGATACCCAGACCAGTGACAAACAACTTTCGTCGACCAACCCGCTGCATAACGAACTAAGAGCAGACGGTACCGCACCAGCCGATCGCGTTGACACCGAGACCAAAATCAAAGGCTTGGGTATTGCTGAAGCTGATTTGCTGGAGGAAATAGACAATGTTACCACCGTACCAGATACCACAGAAAACTTGGCACATCCAGACGCAGCAGACAATTTCAGTGCGTCGACGATCGACTCCCTTCAGACAGTCCCAGTAGGACACTCCTTCTCGGGTCAGCTTCTCATGAGTGTTGGTGATGATCATCAGTGCTACGGCATCTTCGGTGTCGTAATACGAGACACCCGGACGAGACAACCCACTGAGTGACTTCTTTGCCTCTTCGACCTTGCCGTGGCGAACCAGCCACCACGGGGATTCTGGTGCACAAAGAACACCGATGATGATCGGCACAGGCCAGATCCATTGAATGGCATAGGGAATTCGCCAGCCCCATTGATCGGTACGGCCCAAGAGACCTCGCAAAACTCCTGTAGAGATGAACTGTCCAGTAACCCAGCACAGGTTGACGTATGTGGTCAGGTACGGGCGGAGAACGACGGGGCTAACCTCAGCGGCATATGTAGTGGTCAAACTCTGGAAAGTACCCCAAGGAATACCGCAGAAAACCTCACCAGCAAAGAGCATTCCGATGTTGTTGGCGAAGAACATCAGGAAAAGAAAGGCGATCAGAGAGATCAAAGCGCCAAGCATAGTCCTCTTGTAGCCCCAGCGATCCGCGATAAGACCAGCGACAAGAAGACCCAGGATCTGACCGACGTTCGTTCCATTCTGTAAGCCAGTTTGCCAGTTTGAAGTGACCTGGTAGCCCCCTCCCTTCACCGGAACTCCAAATCGCTCCTGGAATGTCGGGTAGGCATAGAAAGAGCCGAGCAGTGAAGTGTCGTATCCCTCCATTATGATTGCCAGGGACAAAATAAAAGAGAAAAGAATTGCTTTCGGGAATACTTTGAAGGCCTCTCGGTTGGTGAGATTGTGTTCAAAATTGGAAGCGCGACGAGCTCTTTCGACCAGACTAGCAAACTCGGGGATTTGCTCGGACATTTGCAGGAGGACTTCATCGTCGATTCCGATGGTATTCGCATCCGGTGCTTGCGCTGGAACTGCGAGCTGATGCTGGATATGGTCGGTAGGTTTGGTGTCTTCCATGACTCCTGCGCTCTTGAAGTTCTACCAAGCTGCTGGATGGAGGAAATGGTGGAAGAAGATCGGACTCAGATCGACGTGCCTTGGTGAAACATGGGCTCCGGGTGGTGTAACTGAAGGTGGGTTCACATGGTGGTTATGTCGACTACTCAAGGAAGTACTTGTAGTCGGTATGCGCTCCTGCAGTAAACAAATGCTTGAGCAGGGGCCACTCCATTCGGTCGCTCTAATTTTTGCGGGGTGATTGTGGGGAAATACGGTTGACAATTGACCTTTCCTCCATCGTGTACGAAAATGGCGACTGCACGGGTATCGTGTAACTAGGTTCGATTGGATATAATGAGGTGGAAGTAGCAGAGACCGTGATTGGGTCGTTGCGGCCTGTGTTTCGCTGTGTTTTTAGGTGCGACCTAGTGCCGCGGCTGGTGGGCTGGTGCCAATTCTGGAGTAACCTTGTTAAATTGGCGAGTCGCAATGCTGTCTCCCTTGTCTTTGCAGGTTACTTCAGCATTCGGAACTAGAGATAGGCTTTGTAGCTAAGACATTTTGGAATCAAACCCCCACAATTTGTCACATTTTCTGGAGGCTGTTGTGGGGTTTTTGTGCCTTGGTTGTAGAATTTAAGATTGCCGTCCCTAGATATAATAGAAAGTATATAAATCACGGTGAAATAGTCCAACTTTGAACGTGAGAAGGAATGCTACTTGTACTGGAACTATGAGGTTATGGGGATACCTTGAAGAAGGCGAACGAGTAGTCAACATGAGCAAGGACCATCATTCTGGTGCGATACTATTGTGAACCTTGGAATCGTTCAAGAATCATACAAAAAAAAACCAGAATGGCAAGTTTGTGGAAAATCATACCCCAATCTCTATTGTAGGCACCTAGCTAGGACCGATTAACTTCATTTACCTCCTGGCAAAAAGCCCTTGACACTGTTTAGACTTCCCGCGGCAACATTCTGAGCAGACTCAGCGCCTTTGGCCAAACCTGATCCCACATTGCTAGCTCTCTCCTTGCCAGCATCAAGGTAACTTGCAGCGGGTCCTGCTTTAGACCCTGATTTATCTTTGCCGTTCCTCTCGGCTCGGTTGATCCCCTCCTTTGAACCGAATTGCCCAACTGGAGCGAAGTCCCTTGTCCCCGACTTGGTTTCCGACGATATTCGCAGTATCATCTTGGACTTGATCTACTTGATCTATGCCAGTAACTTTTGTTTTCGATAGGGTATCTTATTCACTCAGTGTCAACGTTGAGCATGAGACTTTCACGATGCCTGTCAACTTACCTTTTGTTGCGTAGGAAGATTTGTTGTCGCCCTTTCCGAACCATTTGAGGTATTGATCCTCTACCCATGGCATCCATTTCTCATATTGGTCATTGTATATTTCTTTCGTCCACTCAGAGTATGTTTGTTTCTTTTGAGACTGTTCGTTGCACGTGGGCTCGTTTTTCGGGTTATTTGGAGTGGCCATGATGCCAATGTTTGCGATATTCAACCGGGGGTCGATAAAAGAGGCGGATGCCGATGAAAAGTGCTCGATGCTTACCGGTATCAGGTCTTACGGTCTCGATTTATGTGAATGATTTTACAAGAAATTCCTACCCGATGACATCAACGGCCGTCGTCATAGAATTCGACCCTGGAGTGTCAAAGCACCTCTGATGATTACTTTTCATGAAAAAACACAAGATCTGGGCACATATGACGTGGCGCCCGGTGGCTTGACGCATGGTGGCTCAAGCCACCGGAGGCTGCCCACTTTTCAATATATTAAACTACCAGTCCAATGGTCAAGGGCGGGGAGAAAGACCCACTTGTCCAGGATCCACATGAGACTGCAATCGTGATGTGGTGAGGAAAGCACATCGGGCAGCGCTACAATTTATTTATATTTCTTTTACCCACATTAGAAGAAACCACGGACCGTCGAGGATGCCGTGAAATGCAAAAGGTCGGGGTTGACAAGCTAAAAATAATCTAACATAGTCGTAGAGGACTCTTCAGTTGCCCCTCCGCAAGTAGTGGCTGGCAACAGGTATTTGGGCATGATATGCAGCAGACCTGTCCAGTGTGGATTCCGATTTTTTAAATGGCACCACTCTTACCACGATGTTTAGGGTCAAGCTTTCTCAATCCAGTTAAATACAGGCTTGGCAATCGCACGGGGCAGCGAAGAGCCATGTTTCATAATTCCCCAACCCAGAACTCCCACAACCGGGATGCAGACCGTGGCAAATCTGATCATCGCCCTGGTGAGCATGGGGTTCACAAGCCCCTGAACGAGGGCCTGGAATTTCTCTGGCTCGTTGCGGTCGGGGTATTCCTGGTCCGGGATGGGTACACCCAGGAAAGGGCAAATTTGCTCCCAGCCTAGCCCCTCTTCGAGCCTGATATGACAGAGACGATCGGCCGGAATCACCCTTTTAACCATCGAAATACTACTATTGTTAGAATTTTAATAAGGTGTGAAGAGGGAAAACATACTATTCTGTATAGTTCCTCTGCAAAGCAACCTCGTTACCAGGCCCACCGGGGTGGGTGCTGTCGGCTAAAACATTGTAAACAAGCACTGTTTGACTCAAAAACACGTTCAACGGATGGTCGAAGTATTTCAGAATATTGAGAGGGAAACTCTTGGTTTTCTTGACAATAGGACCCGCGGTATTGTTGATAGAAGCGACCCATTTCTCAGGCTCTCGTTCCGTGAGGAGGAACTTCACATCAGGATCGGTCGCATAAGCCTCAATGACCGAAGGGCCTAGCATAGCTGGGACTTCCACCAAGGTCTCATTGAGGTCAGCTGATCAGGCTACAAATGAGTATGCGGGCTGTTAAACTAGCAACTTACGTCGTACTCTGCGAACCACTTGTCAAACTCATTCCTGGAATATCGTGTAATGCCAGAGAGTCTGTTATGCTGGGCTAAGACAGCCTCTTGCAGGACTTCGATATGGGGCACGCCGTGTACCATTACGCATTCAAACATGTGATATGGCTTGAAATCCAAGATCTGCAATGCCCGGTAGAGTCCTAGAGTGCCTGTTCTAGAACAAAGTTAACTCTTGTGGGGTACCCACATGCGATGGCATTAGTCTCACCGACTGGGGCTAGCGACGATCAGTTTGATTGGCTGTCTATTGCCGGGCTCAGGTAGGTTGTCGATTTTTCTAGACATAGTGCAATTGAAAAGAAGCTGCTATCTCCTTACACAACTCGGATAGCGAATGTTTAGAATGCATGGAGAATACGGGTTTAAAAAGGAGCTTCTCTGGCTCACGTCATCCAAGGTGGGGGCCACTCAGCCTCACAAACACGAGCCCAGCCTCGGTTACATCCAGACCTGGGTTCGCGCCGCGCTCCCGTATCTCCTAGTCCATGAAGAGACAGGTCGATCACGCTTTTGTTCGAACCCTCGGCAAGGATTCCTGTGACCCAATTGCCGCTCGCTTCATCAGGCTACCCTTTTGGCGTGATTATCGTGACTTCTCCCTGGCAATGCTGACTGAAAGAATTGACGGGAACTGTGTTGCAGTTACGGGCTGGCTGCGAAATTGCTTGGTCGAGAGTTTCCCTGCTCTTGCTGGGAGTTCGCTTAGCCATCACGATGGTTTCGAATTCATGAGCCAGAAGGCAATCTAATAGCATGAACGGCAACTCGGCCAAGAAAGGCCTTGACGAGGCTCTAGCCTCCTCCTTAGGAAACTGTGCACTTCACATGTACGTACACGGATACATCGGATCGCGCCCTGACTTGGTGACCTGATGGGCTAATCCCCTGATCCATCTAGTTGTATTAGCCTGCGTATCGCTTAGCGAAGGGCCAGGGTAAATGATATCATCAGTCAATCCCTCGGATGTAGCGGCTTGTAATTGAAAGATCTAACAATGATGATTAGAGTAAATGATGTGGGCTTACTTGGGAACATACATACACAGAGGGTCCTAAAACCCGCGCGACGAACGGAACAGCAGGGCAAATTCATCATTCGCGAAAGGGGAAATGCGGGCAAGTCTTGGAGTACCCTGAATACTGTTCACGACATAAAAAGTGACCCCAAATCCGGGTATACTGGATTCTTTCAACCTTTCTTTTTTTGAATTATCCCACAAGATGGGCAAGTATCCTGAAGGCACGTTGCTCCTAGTCGGTAACCTCCCACCATCAAACTCCTCCACGACAAACATTTTCACCTGGCGGTCCGCAGACCATGGCGATACCTGGGAGGCCGTAGGAAAATGGCAAAATGGTGGTCAAGCCCATTCAGAAATTTGGAAACCTTTTCTTTATATGGACAACAAAGGCAGACTCGTAGCGGTCTTTTCCGACGAGCGACAACACAAGACCCACAGTCAGACGCTGGTCTATATCGTTTCCGAGGGTTGCGGCGATACCTGGGGAGATGTCGTAAAGGCCGTAGCCAGTCCCAGGGCCAAATCAATCAATCAATCAATCAAAGTTCTATTAACCTGATGGAGCCTAACTAGGTGCGTCGAGGCTATGCAGGCGCTTCGTCCAAATCCGAAGCAGAACTCGGTGTCCTTAACTCCAGACTCGCGGCTTGCAATAAACAGTCGTACAAAGGAAAACCAGCCTCTCGCAGGAGGCTGGCACAGTAGAGAGTGTCCCAAATCCAAATCCCGCACATAATAAAGCCCATATAAAGTCAAACCCAAAGCAACAAAGCCCACGATAAATCACTCCTTCTGCATCCCCTCGTCCCCGTGTCATGCTTCCGCCTCTCTTTCGTTAGTTCTCTTCCCCGGGCCTAGGGAACTCCCAGCGCTTCAGATTCTCAATTGGTTACGCGGTGCGTAGTGAATCAGTGCTTGTTAAATATCCTAGCCATTCTCGGTGGCCTAGTCTTAGTGTTTATTGGTGAATGCACAGCGTCTTCACAACCTACCCCATAGCCGCGAGGCCGATTTGTTCGTGGTCGTCGTCTGGTTCCGGCTCAACGTTCCGGAATTAGCCTAGGAGACCCGTTTGATGCATCATCGCAGCGGCGTAGCGGGCCGCGCGCGGGTGTGATACGATTGCGTCGTATTCCGTGGTGCTACCAAGATCGGTGCGAGCGATCTTATCTAGCATAGTTCGCCGTAGACCGTTGTACAGCGGGCACTGGAGTAGGATATATCTCGGTGTCTGAGATCCCTGGTCATAGCTACAATGGCCTGTTTCCCTTTCTTTAATTTTGTATAAGAAATGCCCCAAGCCGATGCGCTTAGACCTCATTTGAATAAGAATTGATGCGTACGGCTTAGACAGTCCCTCATATAGCTCTAAGGCCTTGCGGCTTAGTGCCTTAATTAGGCACCTTGTCGGTTTGGCCGTCTTCTCTTTCTCCCACTGCTTCTTCCATCTCTCCTTGATGCGCTTGCGCGTGTTTCGCTTCGCGGTGGAGGCGAGCCAGACAAAGTGTTTCTCCGAGCCCGCGCCCGCACCTTCTAGAGAATCTCCCGCTCCCCACAAAGCGGCTAATTTTGCAGCCTCGTCTGCAGTTTCATTGCCAGCAACCCCCACATAGGCTAGAATCCACCGAAGGGTGATCCCTGTGGGTGTTTCACGCGACCGGATAGCCCTTACGTGGTTGTAAATGGTCTTTAGCACGTATTGGCCGGACGGTCGTCGCGGGTTCTGCGATGATTTAATCGCAGCCTAGCTGTCAGAGAAGATCACCAGTTCTCTGACCTTGTCCTTAGTTGGATGGTTCGGTCGATTTGCCAGTTGTTCCAGGGCCATTTTAATGCCCGAGAGTTCTGCAACGTACACATTGGATTGGTCCAGCGATCCAAGGTGTCGTTGCTTCCAGTCCGTGCTTGTTGGATCCACCGCGGATGCACCCACGAGTCCTGCGTATCCACTGCCATCAGTGAAGGTACGTTGGATCGCTCCGTCGGCGAGTGCGGCGTCCAGTTCGATGCCATCGTGGGTCTGGATGGCGATTTCCGCAGTCTCTATGACGCACTTGATCCGTGTCTCCCATGGGGGGAGCACGAATGCAGATCTTGATTCCCACTGCACATTTTGCCCTTGTACTTGTAGCGGTGCCAACGGGCCGTGTATCTTCCATTTCAATGCTTCGAGTGGCGTGATCCCTCCGAGCTTTGTCTCCAAATACCGGCCCGGGATGGCTACGGTGGCGAAGATGGACAATGCGGAGTATGGGAAATCCATACCCTCCAAAACAAAGCTTTCCAGAGCTGATTGCATCGGTTCATTTCTATGGAAACTCTGCAACAATCTGATTGCCAGAGAGGAAGAGAGCGAAATGATTCCTTATTATCTACATACAGGGATCAGCATTTTCCATATTCCCCCGCCTCTTGTTGAGTGATCACCAGGCCGTGAAGCGCTCGCTTGATTATCCACGAGTCGACTGTTGATTGCAAGAAGAGCATCATTTGCTATCCAGTCAACAACCAGTAAGGGATCATTGATAGAGCGCAAGAAATTGCCAAAAGTGCGGGCATCACCATGGCCCGCTGGGCGGCAAAACTTGAAAATGGGGTAGTGACCAAAGTCCTGGTTCTAGAGTCTGCTTGTGGTCCTCGAAACTTTGGTTCTTTCAATTGACTGGCCTTGTACTATGCTAGGTTGCATTGGACCCCCTGTAGATTGACAATGGTCTCGAGCGTGAGGAGATCGGGGATGTCTGCGAAGTAAAACCTACACGATATATGTGGGGCCAGTATGTGGAGTTGAAGTCTAACACCAAATCCTCAGTGCGGTAATTCTCCTGGAATATGACAGGTATTTGAGGTCGACACGGGATGATCACAACTGGCTCAAATGTTGTTGGTAGGAAACGACAATGCATATTCATGTAATATAGACCCAATTTTTGATATTGACGAGAAGACAATGCTATCACTTTGTCAATATTCAATTGAATTTGGTTTCTTTGTATCTGCTACTTGGAGACCGGGGAATGACCCGAAAGTAAGATTTCCCCGCACCGGGAGATTCGCGTCCTTCCCCACACAGTCTGGGGGATCTGCATATTCCAGACCAAGAACACTTCATCAATTGCCACGTACAAGTGCTATCCAGAGCTTGGCCAAATAGCGTGTTTTCCCCTCCAATTATTGGATCTAGATACCAGTGATGTGGTCAGTGTTTAGCTTTTATTTTGAATCCGCTAACGCTCGGAGTACCCATTACGGAAGTAAACAGCCGAAAAAAGCGTTCTAGGGAAAGCGATCAGAGTTTCACCTCCCTAGCTCATAATTGAATGACTGCGTTGAATGCAATGGTAATATTACGATCTATTAGTAGACAGAAAGCGGGGAATCTTTCGCTAGGCACTACTCTGGAGATACCATGATTTCCTATATCCGCGCCTTGAATCAGGCAAAATTGCTCTTGGAGAAGTGGGGCTGATGTATATACTATGTACCTCACATAATGTAGGTGTATAGTTAACAGGGAGCTAAGAAGCAATCATTTCTGCTCATATGTGTCGCAGAATTAGGCCTCTGTGGCCTGTGGAAGTTGTAGCTCATTAAGCAACACAATCTCTCATGTTCTCGTGATTTGAGAGACCAGCTGATCACCCATGGAATAAAAACAATACCAATTAATTTATTTTTCCTAATTATAGCCATATGGCATGATACAAGTGAGCCCGCTACCACGGGGTACTGGGAATATTCCAAATAAATGCGTGGGGCTCGGGAATGTGAGAACAGACCAAGTAGTGTAAAGCCCTTGTAACACATCGCGTTTCTGATCTTACCACCAGATTGGCCCAACCTCCGCATGCGGGGTCAAACCCTGCAAGAGGTGCAGCTTCATGCGGACCTGTACAATATCCAATAACTAGCTTTGCTCTCGTGAGGGGCTTCAAGCAGAGGCAGTGAGAGCTATATAAAGGTACGAGCAACCTGACCCCCAGACTTGAATCCCGCCAATTTGCGCCTTCGATTCAAAATATATTGAACCCAAAGACAATCTTGAAAAACATTCATAGCTATGACTATCCCGGAAGAAGTTGACATCATCATTTGTGGAGGTGGTAGCTCAGGATGTGTCCCTGCAGGCCGTCTGGCAAACCTTGACCATAATCTCTCTGTTTTGCTGATCGAGGCGGGAGAGAACAATCTTAATAATCCATGGTACGAGTTTATCATCAAATCTAAATCATAGGGCTGTGTACTCACGTAATGCTAGGGTCTATCGTCCTGGCATCTACCCCATTAACATGAAGCTTGATTCGAAAACTGCATCTTTCTATCATTCTCGCCCTTCGGAGCATCTGGATGGCCGACAGGCCATTGTCCCCTGTGCAAATATTCTCGGGGGAGGGAGCTCAATCAACTTCATGGTATGTCATTCTACCTCTACAATATAAGTGTGCTCAAAAGCTGAATTCGACAAAGATGTATACGAGGGCGTCTGCCTCGGATTATGATGACTTTCAAGCCGAAGGTTGGAAGACAAAAGACCTGATTCCTCTGATGAAAAAGCATGAGACCTACCAGCGTGCTTGCAATAACCCCGACCTGCATGGATTTGAGGGCCCTATCAAGGTGTCTTTCGGCAACCATACCTATCCTATCGCGCAGGATTTCCTCCGTGCCGCTGAATCCCAAGGAATTCCAACTACCGACGATCTTCAAGATTTAAAAACCGCGTAAGAAGCACACATACCGCTGTAAGTAAAACTCTACTAACGGTTATTGCACGATAGTCATGGAGCTGAGCACTGGCTCAAGTGGATCAATCGGGACACCGGTAAGCTGATCATGTGCAATCTTCATTACCGGTTGCTTCTAACCTCTCACAATAGGAAGACGAAGTGATGCTGCCCATGCGTATGTGCATAGTACTAGGTCAAAGCACTCTAACCTCCACTTGCAATGCAATACCAAAGTGGACAAGGTGATCATCGAGGATGGTCGTGCAGTTGGGGTCGTGACAGTCCCCACAAAGCCTCTTAATGGCGGGGAGCCAGTTCGCAAGATATTCCGAGCACGCAAGCAAATCATCATTAGTGGTGGTACACTCAGCTCCCCACTAATTCTGCAGCGGTCGGGAGTGGGTGACCCAGAAAAGCTGCGCCGCGCAGGCGTTGAGCCCTTGGTGGACTTGCCAGGAGTGGGGCGTAACTTCCAGGATCATTATCTCACCTTCTCCGTTTTTAGAGCAAAGCCAGATGTGGAGACCTTCGATGATTTCATCCGAGGAGATCCGAAAGTCCAAGAAAATGCGTTCCAAGAATGGAATATCAAGGGCACCGGTCCATTGGCAACCAACGGCATCGATGCTGGAGTCAAGATTCGACCCACGGAAGAGGAACTTGAGGATATGAAGAAATGGCCAACCCCGGAGTTTGAGAGTGGGTGGGATTCTTACTTCAAGAACAAACCAGACAAGCCAGTGATGCACTATTCGGTCATATCTGGGTAAGTAGAGTAGGTTCATTCGCATGGAAGTATCTAACACATATTCAGCTGGTTCGGAGACCATATGCTCATGCCACCGGGCAAGTTCTTTACTATGTTCCATTTCCTGGTGAGTTACTTCAACTTTCCAAAGGGCCTTGCTGCCCCCAAGTCTTTTCTAACAACTACAAAAGGAGTATCCGTTTTCTCGTGGCTCGACCCATATCCAATCGGCTGATCCATATGAGGTACCCGACTTCGATGCGGGCTTTATGAATGACAAACGAGACATGGCACCCATGGTCTGGGCCTATATAAAGTCCCGTGAGACTGCTCGACGAATGGGATCATATGCCGGAGAAGTGACAGGAATGCACCCTCAATTCGCCTTTAACTCGCCAGCTAGTGCGCGGGATCTTGATCTTGCAACGACGAAAGCCTACGCTGGTCCAAATCATATTTCTGCAGGCATCCAACACGGTAAGGGCTCCTCTTGACCATTGAGGCAATTTGTCAGCAAAGGCTAATACTATCATAGGCTCTTGGTCGCAACCCTTGAAGCCTGGGAAGCAGCCAGCATCCTCTATTCTTAGCTCTAACAGACATGAAGCCCACAATACCCTTGAATATACCAAGGAAGATATTGCGCATATTGAGAAATGGGGTAAGCCTTGGGTAGCTTCATCTGCCTTTGGGAATCAACGGCTAACCGTGTGCAGTTCAACGTCATGTCGAGACAACATGGCATTCATTGGGAACATGTAGCATGGCCCCGCGGGAAGGAAGCTCCATTGCGCCACATGGCGGTGTTCTAGATGAGCGCCTGAATGTCCACGGAGTGAAAGGACTGAAGGTCTGTGACCTGTCGATTTGCCCTGACAATGTGGGCTGCAATACTTTCAGCGTAAGTACTTGTTCCTTTTTATTACAAGACCGCAAGGCTAATATAGTAACTTTCAGACGGCTCTTCTTATCGGTGAGAAATGTGCTGTTTTGACTGCGGAAGATCTCGGCTATTCAGGAGAAGCTTTGAAGATGGATGTGCCGATCTATCATGCCCCCGGAGAGTTTGTCAATCTCACGAGGCTTTAATCGGCAGTGCTAAGGAATTGCGTTTCTCCGTTTCTCAGTTATCTTTTAGGACATCTAGCACATAACACCAGAATGACAAGAACTTTTCCTATCAAGAGACCTTGCAAACTGTAGCTACTTTGAATCTGTACTTGTCTGTACCTATGGACACTAAACGCAGTAGGATTGATGATACAATGGGTGATAACAATTTTCGGGGGCGCATCTTTCATACTAACTCAATCAGACGAACTACAATACACCATAATTAGATTATCGCCATCCAAATTGGAGTTCAATGAGTTTTCCTTTAATGTTCTTGACCACCTTTCAGGATAGAATAGATGATAGGATTCGTTGCTCCATTCCTTTTAGTATTACCACGCAACCTTTTCACTCTCATTCTATCTTCTGATCCTGGTTCTCCACACTATCTCCAACTCGGTGTGAAGTTTGATCAGCTTTTCAAAGCAAATGAGGATGAACCACACTGCAGCAAAGACAAGTGGAATCTGCCAAGCCAACTTAAGAGTATCATGTTACACACTGACGTCTTCGTCTCAAACTAAGCGAGAAAAGGACTTGATGAACGTTGCCGATACATGAGAGACTAGGTTTAAAAAATGAAATAGTGCGCATGCCTATCCCACAGTGGGGGATGATCCATAAACATCGCAACTTATGACGCGTGTCGTCCTGCTCGGGACTAGCTCGCGCTGTGTCAATTAATTCTTAACACTGCTGCTCTGTAGTAGAATCACCCAACATCTCCTCTTCTGGATATTCCAGCCTAGGGGGCGTTATAATTGAAGAAGGCATTTGCGACAGGCGCTGCTGCAACACGTAAAGTCGGTCTGACTTGACCCCTCCGATCTGAGACAACAATTGCCCAATCGCAATAACAGTATCTAATGGCCCAAAGTGAGAGGTCTGATGGCTAAGGAGGTTCGGCATGCAAAATAAAACGTCGAGGGCAGAATTCGCGACTTGAAGAAGTTTGATTTCCTGCCCATTTAAATCGTTGTCAGCGCCACGTTCCTTTGCACGTATACTCAGGAATAAGGTGAATGATTCACTTACCATGCCATATCCATGGCTCCGCAGCGATTCAATAGAGACATTTGAAAGGGATTCCAAATAATCCTTAGCAATTGCTAGCGGATAGTCAAATGACAAAGGCTCGACGGACGTGGATGAAGAAAGCATAAAGCGAGAAGCAGAGTATTGCCATAGCAAAGAGCGAACCCAGGCAGATGTGGTCAATATATCCACGTATTGAATTTCAGAAATGAGATCGAGCCCCGGTCGGTCCACTTGAATGCGTTGTTGAATGTCCGATATATTACTTTTCGAGTATATCTCCGGCGTCCCAATATCCTTGCCACTACGAATGGGTAGAATAAAAGGGCGTTGAACATGTAGGAAGAGTTTGACAAGTGCACAAAACCCTGTATATAAATTACCTTGTGATGTATCTCGTTCCATCTCGGGGAGGTTGGGCGTTCTGTGGAGTGTGATAGGAAGGTCGTGTTGGATGCAAAACGTCCTAGATGACGATCAGAAGATATTAAAAGGACCCAGGTTCCTTTTCTCATTTCACTCACCTTTCGGTAATGAACAGAATCCAGTAGCATCGAAGCTCCATTTGCCACTGTTTTGATGGTGTGGAACTAGACTGAGGGGTGTGACACAGATGCATCAAGTCCGCATAGGTGATCGCCTCCCGCAGCGATATGGTAGCTGGTGTGATCTGGTCTCGATTCGCATAGTACATATGAAGAAATATAGATGTCACGAGCACCTGAAGCGACGGCTCTTGGTGATGGTAGTTTTCCAATCGAATACGTAGGCACTCCTTAACAAAGTCCTCTGCTGTGACGGAAAGGTCCTCAGGGCATGGAGCCGGTGTGAGCCATAAGCGTATCTGCGCCAACGTCGCGGCACACAAGGCTGCCACCAAGACATAGGTAGTAGGATCATTGTCTTGACTTCTTAGCTGCGATTTCATATGCTCGACATCAACAATGGGCCAAATATCGTAAAGACGACTCCGAAATATATCGAGCACTGTGCAGTAACTCGTGATAGAAATCCGAGAATTCGGAGCATACGATATCAAGCTTTGCTCTTGTAGAGCTACCATTTCGGGCGCCGCTGCCGCTCCTCCTCGGAGCTCTTCGATCTTGCGATTAGTAGCTGATCGGGGTCCCTTTGGACCCGGCTTTTTGCGCACCCTCAAATAAGTACATGATTGGGATCTGGTCAGACAGGTTTGACAGGGACGCTGCCGATCACACCTAACTCGCCGAACAAAACATCCATCGCAGGGACTATCCATGATTCTCGGTGATTCTCCGGTGCATATCGACGAAGCCGGGAATTAGAGCGATAACTAAATCATGGAGTCTGTTTAGTGCCGTTCCCCGCCTTCGCCACGTTTATCTGGTGACGTCCATGCGGGGTGTGCCTCAAGAGACAAAAGCCACGAATACGAGCGACCGAGTGATGGCACCTCGCGACTTTTCCAGCGAGAGTTCCGCCGAGTTTCATTTCTGCGGGGATTATCCCTCCCACCGAGACATGGATGGAAAGAGAAACCATGGTTTACCTGGCCGCTACATATCACCCAGCACTTCTGCAACAACAAAGAAAAGAACCGTTCCAGAGAAGTGAATAACTTCGCATTTCCCACCCTTAGACGTCGTCATGCATCGCTATTGCTTCCCGCACACGCCCGTCGCTAATCCGGAGGCGATCATTGGCGGTGACAAACCGATTCACCGTTCTCACCGACGGTCCTTTGCGTTACGAATGGTCCGAGGACGACGAACCATTTGAAGACCGCGCCTCAACCTTTGCCATCAACCGTCGGCTGCCTGTGCCAGAATTCCGAGTCAAACAGGACGCGAACAGTCTCCAGATCATTACCGCTCGATTCCATCTCACATACAACAAGCAAGTCTTTTCTTCAAACGGTCTCAGTGCCGCGATCAAGGGACACCATGGGCCTCATAGCAGCCTCTGGCGCTATGGAGTGCAGGCCTCGAATCCGGGTGGCACAACTCGGACTCTAGATGAGGCTGATGGAAGGGTCCCCCTTGAGCCAGGAGTGATTTCCAGGCAAGGATTTGCGACCTTTGACGACTCCAAGTCGATGCTTTTCGATGATCGTCAATGGGTAGCGACAAGATCGCCCGGAAACAGGGTGGATGGTTACCTATTTGCCTATGGGCACGATTATCGAGAAGCCATCCAGGCATTTTATCTCCTGTCTGGGCCTCAGCCACTTCTTCCTCGATGGGCACTGGGCAACTGGTGGAGTCGATACTATGCCTACACTGCGGAAGAATACCTGGCGCTCATGAGTCGGTTTCACGAAAGCGAGATTCCACTTTCCGTCGCTGTCTTGGATATGGATTGGCATATTGTCAATGATGATCGAGTCAAGAAGACTGGGGTCACTGGTTGGACTGGATACTCCTGGAACAGACAACTGTTCCCGGATCCGAAGGCCTTCCTCGACGAACTCCACAATCGTGGTCTACGTGTTGCTCTAAATGATCATCCCGCCGATGGAGTTCAGAGCTACGAAGATCCTTACGAAGAAATGGCAGCTGCACTGAATCAAGACACCTCGATGGGCGACCCCATCCATTTCGACATCACCAACCAGGCATTCGTCGATGCTTTCTTCGACGTGCTGCACCGACGATTTGAGAAAGAAGGAATTGACATGTGGTGGGTAGACTGGCAGCAAGGAAAGCATTCCCGGATTCCCGGCATCGATCCACTTTGGGTCCTGAACCACTTCCACTTCTTGGACAGCGCCCTCGATAACAAGAGACCCCTCACCTTTTCCCGATATGCAGGCCCTGGCAGTCACAGATACCCCATCGGCTTCTCGGGAGATACCGTTGTCTCATGGAACTCGCTTCACTTCCAGCCAGAGTTCACCGCGACGGCATCTAACATTGGCTATGGATGGTGGAGCCATGATATCGGCGGCCATTTCCACGGCGAAAAGAGCGACGAAATGCTCATCCGTTGGGTGCAGTTCGGTGCATTTTCACCAATTCTGCGTCTGCATTCGTCGAATAATATTTTCAGCATTAAGGAACCGTGGAATCTTGACGCTCCATATGATCAGATTATGACAGAATACCTACAGTTCCGCCACCGCCTAGTTCCATACCTCTACACTATGAACGTCCGTGCGGCAGTCGATGGACTGCCACTTATCCAGCCTATGTATTGGGGATATCCTGAGAGCGATGAAGCCTACAACGTTCCGAACCAATACTTCTTCGGTTCCGAACTCATTGTAGCTCCGATTAACGCTCCCCAGGATCCGAAAACCCGCCGATCCCAAGTCCTTGCCTGGCTTCCTCCTGGCAAACATGTGGATATCTTCACCGGCGTTGTCTACGACGGCGACCGTCGAATCTGGATTAATCGGCGATTGAACGACTACCCGGTATTCGCTTCGGAGGGAGCTATCATTCCACTTGATTCAACACCAATACTCGAGAATGGCTGTCGAGATTCGACCATGATTGAACTTATGGTCGTTGTCGGACTGGATGGAACTTTTGAGCTTGTAGAAGACGACGGACAGGGCCAGTATACGGAGAAAATCAATTTCCGTCGTACGCGCATCTCCTTCCATCAACAGGCTGGCGAATTACACATTGGGCCGACAAGTGGCGGGGATCTCTCTCCCCATACCCGCAAGTGGAACGTACGATTTCTCGGGTATTCCTCATCTGAGCACATCCAAGTTATTGCCGACGGAGAAAAAAAGATTATAAATGGAGAGAAGGCTAGCAATGGCCTTCTTGTGAACTTGGGATCTCATCCGGACAATTTCCGAGTTGTGGTCAAGTTGAAGGGCTATCCTGCTTTGAATGTGAATCAACCTTCGGTTCAAATTGTCGAGTTCTTGCACGGTGCCCAGATTGAAATGGATTTAAAAAGCGCTATCCGGGGGATCGTTGGAAGCTCTAACTCCATATTGCTGCAAATTGGTGATTTGCACACTCTCGGGCTACGTGATGCCGTGTTGAATCCCGTCCTCGAATTTCTCTTGGCTGACTCTCGCATCCTATCGGCCAAAGACAACTAAGAGACAGGATTCGTGATCATTGATAGGTAGTTATAGTGGATCATTGACTTGAGAAGTTAGACTTGACAATTTGAATGACTACTATGTGGTCATGACTCCCGCTATTCTTCCGAGAGTCATTTCTAAAATGCAACATTCACAACGAACATTTTCGTACTCGTTCAACCAGGTCACACGAGCATGATACCTCATTTTGTAATTGGTCGTTCTTTCACATCGCGCATTGACGTTGACTAAGGAGTACCTGAGGAGAGGACATTTACTCTCATCCCGTGCCATGGTATGGGCGATGGACCAGAATGTTAACTCTAGCCGTGGGGTATACAGGCAACCCGCCCACAGGACATTTAAGCGGCAGAAGCCTTGGACGCGAGGTTTTGGTTACTACCGAGGCAATGGATCTATCTAATCGGCAATTAAATCTCTCTATCGAGAGGAATGGAAACCTTGATGACTTTTGGTTCTTTAGGAAGAGGAGAAGAGGAGAAATTAGGCCAAAGTGAATTATAGACTACGTTATCTAAATAACGACCATTTGAGTAGTCCAAATTCCAATTTATGCGACAAACTATTGAATCAATTTCATTTTTCATGCGGCATCGGAGGAATTGGTGGTCACTTCAACATGATCAATATGAGCGGAATCAATCCTCTTGTCATTGAACTCGGTGAGAGCCTCGCCATGAGCCATGTCGCGTTTGAAAATGGCGCCCACTTTGCGGGCCTGTCGATCGCGGAATACCCAAACAGTCCGACTCTTGTCAAATAGGAAATCCACTTCTTCGAGAGACTTCTGGGCAGTTTCCTGTTTGAAGTCAATATTGTCTTTTGTCTTGAAAACAGTATTTTGGCACCCACCGGATAAAAAAGGAACACCGCGATAGCCATGGTGAAGCAGAGAGTCATGAAAACCATGTACAGTTTCCAGCTGATGAAGTCAGAACATCGGCAAATTCCAAGGGAGTTCAAAAACTTACGAAATCTTATTCATCGCGGTGGGGATGTAGAGAGCGAACCAAAAATTCTGATGGGAATTAGTACTAGTCAATTCCATTATCGGGCGGTTGAACCTACCACAAACCAGTTTGTCGCCGAGGTCATGGATGTTCCACGTCCACGGGAGCCTGTCGTGAATAGCTCTGGAGGATAAACCCAAGCGACACAGGCCCACGTCAGAGCAAAGGTCATGACATAGATATACACGAAAGCAATCGTAGCATTTGACGCGGATTTGTTGCTGAAGTGGAAATTGGTCTTTTTCGTGAGCGAATCGTACACCGGACTACCTAATGTTTGCGTAAGTTCAAGTTCAAGCAATACCAGGGTTAATAATTTACCTGTCGTCTTCATAAGGGTTCCAATCAACATCATGGAGATGCCCATGCCAATACCACCAATCACCATGGGCGTCCGACGACCCCACTTGTCCATGTAGAACATACTGGGCCAGGTAAAGACGTTGAGCACGACTCCCTGGATACCATTGGCCAGAAGCGAGCCTTGCGTTTTTTGGATACCGGCTTGTTGGAATAGGAAAACAGCGTAGTACATGATGCTGTTTGATCGTATCAGCTATCTGTCGCACATTCATATCTAGAGGGGGAACTTACACATTGATACCCGTGACTTGTTGCCAGAATTGCTGCAAGATCGGTCAGAGCCGAATTCATCTCCTTCAGGAACGTATACGTACCACTCCAATTCCCAGCCACGTACGACGGCGGTCCCATCCAAACAGCATCTCGAGATACCCCGGTGGCGGGTTCTCCCGCTCCCACTGAATCTTGGCCTCGATCTCAGTCAACTCTGCCAGGACAAATGGATCGTTGACGTCGCCATTCGCATGCAACCGAGCCAATACCTTCAACGCCTTCTCGTGCTCATCTCGCTGGGCCAGCCAACGAGGTGATTCGGGCATAAACCACATCGTAATATGAAGGGAAACCGTCGGGACCATTTGGAGACCTATTGCTAGTCGCCATGACGCGTCACCGGGAAGATAACTTGATCCATATTGGATCCAAAAAGCGACAAGGATACCCAAGTTGATACAACATTGTTGGAGAGACACGATGCGACCGCGGATTCTGTGGGTGGTTCATTAATTAGCTCATTCGCGGATCAGTGATGGATGCCGGGACTTACTGAGAAGGGGCAATTTCACTCTGGTATAGTGGGACCTGCAAGAGAATGCTGTTAGTCCGGAATACTGAAACTCAATCATCCCGTCCTTTTTTTCAGGGCATACCATCATCGCCAGGCATCCGTTACCCAATCCGTTAATCACACGTCCAGCCACAAGTTGAACGACACCGTTAGAAGCGCACGAGATGGCCACGCCGATGGTGAAAATCAAAGAGCCCAAGAGGAGGGTCTTGCGACGGCCCAGTCGATCCGCCAGGAACGCGCCCGTGAGAAGCGATCCGGCAAAAGAACCAGCCTGGATGGAAGCGGTGATTCCACCCTGGAGGAAGTTTCCCGGGTAATTCATATAGCTGAGGAATTGAGGCATCGTTAGGATACCGCCTAAAACTGGTCAGTGCATGGAGTCCGGGACTATTTCCTTCTTCCGACTCACTCATCGAGCCCGTATCCTGCAAGGGTCAGTACTTTGATCATTTGTTCGGCTTTGGGGACTCACATAGCCAAACGCCACGCCGCCAGTGCATGGCGCGATGCCGTAAAGGTACATTTTCTGGAGGTATTAGCGACGATCATGATGCCTCGCGGTGTAGTAGCTTACCCATGAGGCATGCATCTTGAAGGTGACACGATAGTGCAAGGGTGGATATCCAGCTTGGCAGCTATGCCCAGGTGGGGAGCTTCCCATTTATTTATTTCAAAAGGGTGACGGGTAATTAACCCGTTACAGCGTGTGGGGGAAGCTGCAAATATCCGGGGCCCCGGGTCCACTTTCCGTGCAGCTTGGGTGGCTCGCCATCCGGAGCACGGATATTCTACCGTATATTCGGCGGAGTTTATCTGATTTGCGAAAATTGGCCGGTGTTTGGACTGTACTATGGTAGATAGTGGCTCTTTTATTGTGCAGGTATCTGGTGTCTGGTGTCTACAGCGGAGCTAGCCCCCGATCTCCATTCAGAATTCCTTTGGCTGCCTCACTTCTCCACCAACTCTTCGGCCCTCCGGGGAAACTGAATTCCTCTAGGCTTTCCGGCTTCATCTGAACACTGTATCCAGGTGCTCGTGGGGTAACATAATGTCCCGCCTCGGTCTGAGCAGGCTCGAGGAAGTGTTCGTGGAGGTGATCCACGTACTCGAGAATACTCTTCTCCCCACTAATCACCAGGTAATCGATGGTGCTGAGGTGCTGAGTGTACTCTGGAAGACCGACACCCCCGGAGTGAGGGACAATTGGGACCTTGAACTTGTGCGCAAGTAGCAGGATAGCCAAAACTTCATTGACACCGCCCACGCGACAGGCGTCGGGTTGCAAGACGTCGATAGCTCCGGCCTGCAACAACTGCTTGAACACAATGCGGTTCTGCACCATCTCACCCGTCGCAACGCCCACCTTGCCTTTGAGGCCTTTTCTGATTGCAGCATGTCCCAGGATATCGTCAGGCGACGTCGGCTCCTCGATAAACCAGGGCTTAAATTCAGCCAGCTCGGTCATATACTCGATTGCTTCGGGCACAGACCAGACCTGGTTGGCATCAACCATCAACACGTTTCCCTGGTCGTAACCGATCACCTCCCGAGCGAGGCTCAATCGTTCTTTATCCTCTTCGAGAGACCCCCCGACCTTCAATTTAAAGTGTTTGAATCCCTCCGCCAGAGTCTGCTTCAACAACGCGCGCATCTTATCTTTTCCATACCCCAGCCAGCCAGCACTGGTCGTATAGGCAGATACTGCACGATTCTGCTGAACCTTTTCCATCCGCTCAGCCTTTCCGACCCGTGTCTCGCGCAGTAGTTCGAGAGCTTCGTCCGGGGTGAGAGCATCAGTGAGGTAGCGGAAATCGATACATCGTACCACCTCCTCGGGCGTCATATCTGCTATCAACTTCCACACGGGCTTTCCCTCGACCTTACCCCATAAATCCCAGATTGCATTGACGACGGCCCCCAGTGCCATGTGAACGACGCCTTTCTCCGGTCCTACCCATCGCAACTGGGAATCGGATGTGAGGTATCGCCAGGTTTGCGCCCAGTTTCGCACCAAATCATCCAACTTTCGGCTGACTACCAATGGAGCGATTAAATCGATAGCATTGCATACAAGGTCGTTGCCGCGGCCGATTGTGAATGTCTGTATTAGATACTTTCTTAACATCAGCTTGTCAGGGTCCGGGCGTCGGGGCTTACCATGCCATGGCCGCTGTGCTCTGAGTTCGTCTGTAAGATGCAATAGGCTGCAGAATAATCAGGGCCTCTGTTCATGCCATCCGAGCCAGTTTTGTCCAAAGAAGTCTGGCAAATTTTATTCCATTTAGTTCCAAGGTTTTTGTCAAAATGTATATTTGGCAGGTTTTACTCACCGGAAATCGGACATCGTGAGAAGTGAAGCTAGTGATAGTCGTCATTGTGCTCGAGTCCACGGTAGATCTGTCTGAGTACGATCGTGCAGTTTGAAGGACTTGGATGTTATTTTCAAATTGCGAATTAAGGATATTTGGAGCTGCAGGTACAACGTCATCGGGTATTTGGGCGGAGATGGCAACGATCGTCTCTCCCGCAATCCAATCAGCAATTTTCCGACGGGTATTTAAATCGGGGAATTCCAACTCAAGCTCTATGTTTTCCTTGGCTTGGCCATTAGTAGACCAGTCTGTGTTTCCACCCGTAGTAGGCTGTAGTGGGCTGTCGTGGGAATGGCCATGATAAGCGCAGGTCTGCTTTTCGAGCGGATTAAAGGGTTTTCCCTCCCTCCCTTATCTTGCAATTCAGTTCTCTCAACATTGCAGCCTCCTTCACAATGACCACCTTCCGGACCACGACGCCTTTGTCGCGTCTGTTACCTCCGCTTGTTCTGGGCGGTGCTGGGTTCTCCTACCAGATAATTTCGAACCCGAGCTCGACCCAGGCACTCCAAGTCCTCAAGCGCGCTTTTGAACTCGGACTGCGTGCTATCGACACTTCTTCTTATTATCACCCCTCGGAAGTGCTTCTCGGCGAAGCACTTTCTCATCCGGACATCGCCAGCAATTACACTCGCGACCAGTACATCTTGATGACCAAGGTAGGGCGCATCACCGCTACCCAATTCGACTATTCGCCAGCCTGGGTTCGACAATCAGTCACGCGCTCACTTGAACGGCTGCGCACATGCTACCTGGACGTGGTATTCTGCCACGACGTGGAATTCGTCCCTGAGGACGAAGTGCTCGAAGCCGTGGGCGCTCTGTTCGAGATGGTTGGCCAAGGGCATATCAAATACGTTGGAATATCGGGATATCGTATCGACGTTCTCGCCCACATCGCTCGACGCGTCCAAGAAATATACTCCCGGCCGCTTGATATAGTCCAGAATTGGGCTCAATTAACTTTGCAGAACGATCGCCTGGCCCGCGAGGGCTTAGAGGCTTTCAGAGAGGCTGGCGTTTCTTGTGTCTGCAGTTCTAGTCCACTTGCAATAGGACTGTTGCGGTCCAATGGCGTGCCGGTTGGTGACCTGGGTGACTTCCACCCGGCACCTCAGGGGTTGCGACGCGCTGCAAAAGAAGCAGCGGACTATGTTGCTGCGCGGGGTGAGTCCCTTGCGACACTCGCGTTGAGATATTCTATCATCCGGGCACAATCTATATCCGATGCCGATTTCCGGGTGACCACCATCATGGGGATCACGTCAATCGCTGAGCTTGAAGACAACCTCGGTACGGCCCGGCAGGTTCTCCCGATGTCGGATGAGCCGCGATGGCTTTGGACTGCAGATGCTGGACCATCGGTCGAGTTAAGTCAGCGCAAGTTTGAGGAGGATGAGATGTTGTTTAAATCCGTGCAAAAAATACTGGGGCCGTGGAAAGACTATAGCTTTCCAAGTCCAGGCAATGGGTGGGACGTGGCGAGAAAGCGGCCTGCAGAGACCAGATTATAAGTAGAACCCGATAAGTGGTCGACAAACAAATAAGAAAATTTAGAGAGGATTATGATGTCACAGACGATGGAACGAAACCCATAAAGATTCTCTCATAGGGTACAGCTAGCATCTGGAAGGGCCCGTCCCTGCACTCCTGCACCAAACTGGGTTCTGCAACTGGGTTCTGCAACCGAGTCCCTGTCCCCATCCGCTCTCCCCGCATCTCCGCCTCCGCATCGCCGCCTCCCCACCATCTTGCTCCTTTTCCCACGCAGAGCATGGTACGTGATGCCGGGTAGCAACACGCATCATCGGAATCAGACTCGGGTGCTACGAGCTTGCGACTCTTGCACCCACTCGAAACAACGCTGTGATGGGCAGCATCCGTGGTAAGTTCCGTAGAAGATATGGGTCGAATTTCAAGCTAACAGCTGTCCGAAGCCGTCGATGTGCAGGTACTTAAAATTTGATTGCAAGGTTTCATCAAATCCCAGCTCTCTAACTGTGTGACTAGAACGTGAAGAGCTATGTAATTATACCAAAGCTGTTCGCAAGCGAGGTCGTCGACCGCGCTCGGATAGCACCCGGGACTTAAGGCGAGAGAGCCAAGTTCTCTTCGAGCATGGGTCGCCTCAAATCACAGCTGGGAGTCCTGTAGGCACAGTCATTTCAAGCAGTGCATCGACACATGAGACTTCCCATCCCTTGTCACCAACAGAACGTCGACACGAGCCAGCACTCATTAAGAGCCCAAATGGTTCGGAAGGTTTCGCATCTTCAAATCCGCCTTTTGGCAACTCAAAGAGCCCCTTGGGCGCTTTTCTTTCAGGCACTATGGGTGACGCTCAGTTGGAGACATCCCAAGCCGCGATCGCACCAGCTCATGTAAGTACATCCGTCTAGGGGAAACTCGCTATTCCCTGAACTTTTCTAGTGTACTGACCATCGTTTCGAAAGATCTCCATGGACCCGGGTGGCTCGTTACCATTTCATCAAGAGGTCTTTGATGACATCCCAAACACTCTACCAGAGCACAATGTCATCAATCAACCGTACCCCTGTCTTGACTCGGTGCTGCCTCATTTAGGAGACATTTTATCCCCAGTCGAGGCTTCGGAGATGCTCGAAGTTTATTTCAATGAAGAACATAATTCCGTGTTCAAGTCATCCTCGCCCTACATGCTGGCCCATGTCCTCCATCCGTCTTCCGTGCTCCATCCGACAGATCCTCGCCCAATATCACCAGCTCTGCTTGCGGTTATTTTATTTTGCGTTGCCCAGACTGCTGACATGAGGATATTTGATACCCCTGGGGCCAGGGAGCGTATGAGCGTGGATCTCTATCGTCTCTCGTTGAATCTTCTTGAGCGCGAAGATCCAGACAACTACTTTCGAACATCTGGTGCGTAGAGTGCATGCGGTACTGAGAATACTACCGATAGTTTGCTTATTTTTTCTCAGATGGATGGCAGTTTCACCATCCCCAACACGCCAGTGACTCTCCCAGTAACCCACCTTCGGCCCAGGATCGACAACCCAGTGGAAAGGGCCTACTGCCGAGACAACTCGGCTCCACGGATGTTATTCTGGCAGTGGCCATATTGACAATCGTAATATCGGGTGGTCATTACAAAGCAGATGCGTTGAAATGGCGCGACAAGTTGTTTCGGCTAATTCGAGCCAGTGGATTGACTATGGAAGATCAAGACATCGATCTCGGTCCTGTATTCTGCGGTCTCTATAACGGAGACTCGACTTTCAGGAGATGGTTTATTGCTAAAGAAGAGCGCAGGCGCCTATTTTGGCTCGCCTACTGCCTAGACCGCCATTTGGCTCTGTCCTTCAATATGCGTCTGATTATACCAGAAGGCACGTTTTGTGTGCGGACTCCTCTACCCGAGCGGTTGTGGCGGACACTTAATGCCGCCGATCTGAACTGCATTCCAGCTTGTCTACTGGGACCTCCGACACAAATATCAGGTACCGGTTTCTTCGAATATTTTCTCCCCCTCGCTCGGATCTTGGGACACATCATCGACTTACACCACATTCGCAACCACCCAACCTTAGGAGAATTCGTTTCTCAAGACGCGATTCGCCGACTCGAGGACATGATCTCCCGTCGCGAGCAAGAATTGACTGAGCTGGATAGTCAGCCCAGTTTAATGTTTCCTGGAGAATTAGCTGTCAAACTACCCCTGGTCAAAGCCTACAGCACTTATTTGTTACATGTCTTCTACATTCTGCTCCACGGCAAATGGGACCCGATCTCGATGATTGAAGACAAAGACGACTGGATCACATCAGAAAGCTTTCTGACATGTGCCTCCCATGCGTTAAGTGCGACCAGCATGGTATCGCAGATCCTCGCACTTGATCCGGAAATGGCCTTCATGCCGTATCTATTTGGTATTTATCTTCTCCAAGGGAGCTTCATCCTGCTCCTTTTCGTGGACCGCATGCCGGAACTTGGTCCAAATCGATCTGTCGAAGAGGTTTGCGAGACTATTATCCGGGCCCATGAAGTGAGCGTTGTCACTTTGGATACCACGTTTCAGGTAAGATTGGATCTTTTCGAGGACCTTCACAGTACTGATGAGGCTTCACCAGAAAAACTTCCGGAAAGTGTTCCGCTCCATGTTGTATGATGCTCAACAGGCTGGGCCTCATTCGTGGGATGAGCATAAAGCTCGACGAAGGGAACTGCTTTCACTCTACCGCTGGACACCCTTGACACAGGGGCTAGCTTACTAAACACGATGTGAATACATTAAAAAGGCGGTTGAACGAATAAACTCTACTATTGAGTCCAAGATATATAAACATAAGACGGATTCGTTCCTTCAATTGGCGACCGTCCTCCCCTTGATGTTGATCATTCGCAAAGGCTTGGTTCGCCCATGCAATGTTGCATCCTGAACAACCCCATCTGCATCCCATGAAAAATCTACGCTTCCTCCGCCACGCAGTTGAAATCCCTTTACAGAGCCTTGGCCCCATGTTGAAGGAATTGCAGGACCCAGTAGAACAGTATGCATACTCTGATCGTCGTGAACCTGGGGCAGATCGCGGATCAAGATCGCAGCCACAGCGGCAACCAATCCGAAATTGGCGTCAATCTGGAATGGCGCGTCATGCCCAGAATACTGCGAAAGGCCATTGGCAGCAATGTTCTCGCTGATACTGAAACGCAATTCAAAGTTCGCGCGCTCGGTGTCATTCAGCACAGCCCAGCATGCTGAGCGCCAAACCTTTTCCCAGCCGGCATCTGCGTCGCTGCCTTTTCCAATGCCGCGAGACCATAGCATAGTTTCGACTGCCGATGAAACACTTTGATTGTGTGCTTCCTTGGCGACGCTATACCCTGGGTACCAGCCGGTCAACCCGCTCAAGTGTCGATGCGTGTCATTCTTCACGTCGATATCGAGTTTCCATTCTTGCAGCTGTCCCCAGGACCCAATGTGGATTCCACGATCGAGGCGATTCAAAGTATGTTCCACCCTGCGGTAGAATTCCACGTCGGAATCCCCACTCTCCTCCCGAAACGCGAGGACTCGATCCAAAACTTCCCATATCTCCTGTTGATGGTTCGAGCAGCCAAAAGTAGTAGGCCCATGCTCAGGCGAGTTACAAGGATTGACAACCAAAGTCCCATCATTGAAATATCGATCTTCTTGAAGCTGGCTCAACCAAAATTGCACCGTTCCTTTGAGAATCACATATCCTTGACGGCGATACCAATCCTCGTCTCCGGAATAATCAAGCCACTCTGGGATCTGCAAAGCCATCCACGTTCCAGCAAGAGGATAGTCAGCCCAAGTTGCATCGTTCTTCATCCCAGTGTACCCGAAGATATTTATCTCATCATGAATAACCCACGACCCATTTGCTGCCCCGTACAATAGACGTGCCGTCTCCTGGCCGTATGGTATCCATGTTTGCTCCATGTAGTTCCAGAGAGCTTGCTGCAAGGACCCGAGTCCGACTTGCGGCGCTGCCCAGTAGTTCATTTGTAAGTTTATGTTGACGTGGTAGTCTGCACCCCATGCTGGGTACTGCAATGCTGCCCATCGGCCTTGGAGATTTGCGGGTAGGGAGTTGTCACGGGATGATGCTATCAGAAGGTAGCGGCCGTAATCGACTAAGAGGGATTCTACAAAGGGGTTTCCTTGATTGAGGTCGTAGGTAGAGATTAGATTGGCTGTTTCTATGGCGGTGGAATTTGACGAGTCCGGTAGGTTCAGGGAGAATCTGTTGAAAAGACTCTGGTGGTCTGCGATGTGGCTTGCTAATATCTCTTCGTATGATCTGGAGACCGCAGCGGAAATAGTCTTCTTCACCGAGGGCGTTGGATCTTCTCCACGGAATGAGAATCCAAATTGCTTGTTACCGTGGCCTTGGTCGTAGTTTGTTCCACCTCCGATTACAACTGCTGCATTGGTGGATTTTGCGTCGCTCGAGAAGACGAGGGAATTCCCTTCACATTGCATTGCGCTTGGTTGTATCGACTGCGCTATTCCCGTGAACTTCATCCCCGGTTGGGATAGTTGACCACTCATTTGCAGCTGACCATGGCAGCAGGTATAAGTTACCAGGGATTCATTCAAGAACTTGTTCTGAAACCCAAATTTAATAGTCGGCAATGGTGACTCCGATACGATGCGATAGACACAGACGTCATCAGGTTGAGAGCAAAAGATCGAAGTATTGAAGTGATTCTCTCCGCTTGAGAATGTGACCGTGTGTACTCCAGTATCGAGATCTAGACCCCTAAAGTAAGAAGAATAATCATCGGCGTCGTCAATCTCGACGGTCAAATTGGCAAGAGGCGTGTAGGAGCCGTGGGAATAAATTGGGCTGAGAAGAGCGTTGACATTGCCTGTTCCATTTCGGAAAATCTCGTCTCGAATTCCGGGCAAAAAATGAGATCGGTCCTCTGCTGGATTGCCACCGGAATAGCTTTGGTTCTCAAATGGCCCACCCGTCCATAGACTGTCTAGATTGATGTTGATGCTTTCGGATCCAGGCTTCCCGGCGGCCAAGAGGCCCATACGCCCATTGCCCAAGGGATATGCCTGTCTTTCGATGTCTGAGGTGCTGGCTGGAGAGCTCGACCAGAGCCATTTTGCGACTGCTAAGTCGCCAAGCCCAACAATGCAGAAAAGTAGAGAGACGATCATGTTGATACCCGCGGTGATAGACCCGGCCCGCAAGTCCACAACGCGGGGCCTTAACCTATTTATTTAAATTTTAGCTACTCAATTAACGGAAGAATGCAACCCTGTGCATTTATAGATTATCCGATATGCAAATATTGTATTTACCCGCGGCGAAGTGAGACTTGAAGCCCCACAATGGTGATAGTGCGGGGAAGAGACGAAACAAAAATCACCGGCAAGTCTCATCTCGCTTGCCATTCAGATTCTTCAAAGAGCCGAAAAGATACGATGCAGTCGAAGGAATTCAGCCAGATACACAGCCGTTAGTAATATAGAAAGTGGCGAGTCCGCGTACTACTCATATTCGGTATCTGGAATATGGATTATGGGCATGCATCTACCGAAGCAGAACAAACCCCCGGCTGACATGGTTCATCTCAGCAGCAGTCATATTTCTTTTTAGCCTTATTTGGGAACACGCAAAAGAGTCAACAAAGATGTCGCATTTTTCCACAATGCAAATGGCCTTGGGTCCGTTCCGCCTTTTATCGAAGGTAACATTTCGGGAAGCCCGAGTATCCGGATTTTCGTAGTCTTAGAAAATTGGTCTTATAAAAGGAAGCGCTCAGTCACGATATCAGTCCCGGTCTTGTCATATGCGATGAATCATACAACGAAGTCCCAAATAAAAGCGAAAAAATCCCTCACGTGGATATGGGCGGACTATGCCAAGATCCGATTTGGGTCTCTTGGCCGCCTACATGTACATTTGCTGCGGAACAACGGGGATCGGCATGAATGCTGGCCTCTTTGGCAACGCTACTTGTAGGCTTTTTCTGCTTTCTTGGCAGGCTAGACCTGCCGGTTCAACAGCCGGGCAGCGTCGTTGTGCATAGGAAATTCGCTATAGAGTGTTTTCAAACTCAGGTTTCCAAGGCCATAGCGATGATGACCGATTTTGCCAGGGTGGACTGTCCCCATTTTTGACAGCACCCAATCCCGTCCCTGTTAAGGCGGGTGGCGTCGAAAGGGGACTTCGTTTGACCGTTTGACGTAGCTTTTTGACGGCATCATCCGCCATTTGTCTTCCTCAATGCCTTGATCCTTGCTAAACCAAATTTTCGACGATCTAGAAGAGAGGGAAGCCTGGTTATCTTTTAGATAACCTGGAAATCCTCAGAACTCAGATCAAGGAAACGATATTACAAATTTCCCACTCGGTGGGCGCGACTGTGGGTTTGACCTAACAGTTACATAGCCCGAGTGTCCAGGGCTCGGGGCTCGGGTTCGGTAGGAGAACCACGTTTTTCCACACGGCTCCACTTGTCAAATGAATTGTGGTGCCCGATATGCTATTTCTATCAAATGTCTGGCCCGGACCACGGTCGACATTGCGATCGGCATTCGAGATACCAATCAGATTTCCCTTCAGAGGTGACAAATGACAAGACTGTAGGATTAGCCTGAGTCAGAAAGTGGATTTTCTCCGGCGCTGGGCGAAATCAAGATTTCGACCAGAAGGTCTGCGAAGATGACATTCGAAGTATTCTCGATGAGGGGCCAATCGCGCAGAGGGGTTCGAGCGGAGCCGCCATTCTCCGAGCGATCATAGTAATAAAGATGACACAAACGCATCAATTTATTTCAATTTATCATTTCGGGATGAACTACTATCGCTAAGGCTGGGAGATTCTGCAACTCTGGAGAACCCGGGTTAATTTCAAACCCCTGATCGAGGGCAGTGGAGGAAACAGAATCTGTCCGGAGAAGGCCGAGGCGGCGGAGACCGGCAAAATCTGTGCTGATCGCAATATCATGTCAAAATCAACTGAGATCGTTGGGGTTGGCCAAGAGAAGGGCCCAATAAAAACCGAATGGGATCCGTCCAAGGACCTAGACTTCCTAGACTTCCTTAGCCAGACTCTAACAGCGTCGTAGTGTCAGACTCGATCGGGTTTCTCGATCTGTACATAGATCCCGCGTGCCATAAACCGGCGAGGGGACTGTAAAAATGCGTAAGAATCAATTGACTGAACAAATCAATTCTTGATCTACGTTCTATAATTATAGATAGTTCCGAGCTTCCAGTCGAACGTGGCGGATCACCAGGAACATGACGTAGGAAGGCGTTTTCACCGTTGGTTGGACCCTTCTTCCCGAACCAGCTCGCCACGATGAGCTTCTGACTGGTTCAGATGTATTCGAGGATATCCACCGGTTCCTGCATCTCCTGGGGCTAAGTGGATTCCATGTGCGCCGCCGGATCCGTGGGTATCTCTGTTGTAGTTCATTTCCTTGCTGAGCTTCTGGTGGAGTTGCTGTCAGTGGTCTCTCGGCGGTCTTTTTAGGGCATCCTCACCCTCCGCTTTCTGCGTTCACCATCATCTACGACTTCAGTCTTCCTCTGCTTTCCACGGTTTCTGGTATCTCTCGTTTGACCTGAAATCCTCATCACTCGTTTCTTTTCTGCCAAGTCGCAGTTATATCACTCTCTATAAACGTTTGTGCAATTCTGCTCGTTCGCAGTAACTTATCACAATGAAGGTCACTTCCGCCATTGCTCTCGCGTCGATCCTGACTGCTTCTCAGGTTAGTATTGTCTTACGTCTTCTTCTCCAGTACCCTTGTGCTCACTACAGTAGGCATGGCACGTCAAGGCTCCCGCTGGTGTCCAGGCGCGCCACTTTGGGTCTTCGTCTCGCATTCCTCCCCCGGGAGCTATCACTTCTAGCACTCCCCTGGTTGCCCCGACTCGGTCGCCTGTGTCGTCGTCTACTCCCTGTGATGAGACTACTTCTACTACCGAGTCGTCCACTTCGGACTGCTCCAGCGACCTGATGACCCCGACCTCGTCGCCTGCTCATCAGACGGCTACTTCCAGCTCGATCTCGGTCTCCGTCCCGACTTCCAGCTCGACTGCTCCTGGTTCTTCGGTGCCTGTCTCTTCCCCGGCCACTTCGCCCGCCGGCAGCTCTACCGTCCCTGCTTCGTCTCAAATTACTAGCATGGTCTCGTCGAGCGCTACCACCCCCAAAATGACCACCTCCACTATCTACACCACTAGTGAGATCACCGTCACCAAATGTGCTCCTACTGTCACCAACTGCCCGGCGCACTCTACTTCCGTGATCACTTCGACTATCCCAGTTACCACCACCGTCTGTCCGGTGACCGAGACCTCGTCCACCACTCCTGCCCGGGAGTCGACCGTTACTGACACGACTTACGAGACCACCACTATCTGCCCCGTCACTGAGACCATGACCTCTGGTACCAACACCATGACCTCCACCTGGAGCTCCGTGTCCACCATGACTGTTACTGGCCCTGCTTCCTCTAGCCCTGCTGCTACTGGTGTTACCTCTGCTCCCTCGTCGCCTGCTGCCTCTTCTGCTCCTAGCAAATCGACCGTGACCGACACCACCTACGAGACCACCACTATTTGCCCCGTCACTGAAACCATGACTTCTGGCACCAACACTATGACCTCCACCTGGAGCTCCGTGTCCACCATGACGGTTACTGGCCCTGCTCCCTCGTCTCCCGCTGCCTCTTCTACTCCTTCCAAGGAGTCGACCGTGACCGACACCACCTACGAGACCACCACTATCTGCCCCGTCACTGAGACCATGACCTCCGGTACCCACACCATGACCTCCACTTGGAACTCTGTGTCTACCATGACCGTGACTGGCCCTGCCCCCAGCGCCACCGAGACTGAGAGCAGCTCTGTCGTTGTCCCTTCTATGGCGAGCACTGCTACTGTGTCCACTCCTGCCGCCACCATGCCCTCGGGCAGCATGAGCACCACCGTTGGCCCCGCTGCCTCTTCCACCACGATGAGCACCAGCCAGTCCGAGCCCACTACCGCCCCGGCGGCCAGCTCTACTCCCGCTTTCAACGCGGCCTCGCCTATGACTGTCTCTTCCGGCCTCGGCATGGCCTCGCTTGCGGCCCTCTTCGCCCTAGTCCTGTAAAATTGATCTCACGACCTGATCTGTTCTGAACTTATTTATGCTTGTTTATTTTTTTAATTTGCATCCGAATTGTTTTCGGTTTTGGTTGCTCTTCACTTCTACCTCCCCAGTCCTGGCAATGGGCTTTTTGTGTCTATCACTGCGTTAGAGTCTTACTCCCTGCACGTGAATGAGACTTTTTGCCTGTTTGTCTGGCAATTTTTTATATTCCAAAATTTGTTTTCTATTATTAATACGATAGATTTCGCGTTTGTGACTACTTAGTTTATTGAATTGTGATCCATGTTCTCTTAATCACAGTACCAGCTGCCCCTATTCTGGTCCTTTCCTAACATTTGACATAGAACTCAAGGTAAACGTCTTTTATGATGTATACTACCAGCAGAAAGTCCCAGTCTGACAGTTTCCTTAAACGTCTCAAGTTTCGCGAAAGCGTTACGGAAGGTAAGCTACAGAATCTGAATGAAGTTGTTCCTGTGATGAAATGAGGATTTCTACGTGTTCGTTGGCAACCAAAATGTGTCTGCTAAATTTAGGAACAGCTAAAGCATCCAATGATTGCCCTGGTCCGCTCTGATATTTAACAGTAATGTGCAATTCCATAGCCTGGAACCATTCCCATGATTTAGCTCTCGACATCAGCGAGGAACGATCATCCCACCATTATTAAGAAATTTCCATTTCTCTAGGAAAAATGACTTTGCCTTGTTTTCTACGTGCGAAATTATACCGGGGAGAAACCTGGAAGACGCATAGATTAAGCTATTTAAACATAAGGCTAGGTCGTAAATTGCAACATAATAGAAGGTATAGAGGTTGTGTAAATCAAGCACAATACGCTAGCAAACTCAAGCTTTTGCTAGTCACCTCCGCTTTCCTCCTAAAACGCAGATAATAGGCGGGAAAACATACTCGATAAGCACCAGAAAATTGCCCCGCCACCAAAATAAATTACTAAGAGGAACTTTGTAATAGCTTTAGGCGGAGATAGAAAATAGAAAAGTAATAGTTGGAGTTCAAAACAGCGAAATAAGCAAGACCAAAAAGATTTATGGCCACGCTAATAGCACAGTCACGTATATTTGATATCTCAGCCCTAGGTATGTTTTATTCAGGTAGCTATAGTCTAGGATATCATATTAACTTAGAAGGCCTATTTATATATGTCGAAAAGTATCCTATTACACTTTGGCTTGTAGTTATTGCTTTAAAGGTTGAACTGATTAGACTTTAGCGGCTTACTACACAGAAAAAGAAGCTATAAGGCCTCGGAGCCTAGTCGGGCAGAAACCTTGACCTCTCATTTTAGTATTCCGTGCACTACTGACTAACTTTTTTTCGATTGAAAATTTATTTAAATGACCCATAGGCTTCACATAGTACTATACAGTTATTCACGCAGTTTGGCCTTAGTCACAATTATTGATTAATGTGAAGTTTTGCTTATTGTTAGTGTCGATCTATACCACCAGAAGATTTAAAAGAACGGCCACGATGTTCAATTAGATATAATGCTATCACTCCGTTGCTACGCTTTTTAAATAGCTTCAGACTAGTCAAGTTTTAGATTCTCTACATTATCTAGATACGTATCGGCGTTCATATGATCGGCTTGCCACATTCGCGTAGTCTAGATACGCAACCCATATATACACGGTGACTTTAGTGCCAATGTATCGGGTATAATAGATTGTTTCAGCGAGTCCTGATTCACCGACCGCATTTCATTCTAATCTTGTCGAATATCTATAGAGATTACGGTCTCAAACATTAAACATAGGGCACTTACGCGCCGAGGCCGCTGATGGCAGCTCGACCGTTAAACGTTCTAGTGATACTATGTATCATGGATATCCAGTCAAGCAGCGGGTAGGTTCTTACATCAAGTTCAGCCAGCAGCAACAGTATCACTGTTGAATACACCGTTTAGAATCTACCCTCAAAAGTCTGACTGCACAGCTCCTGCAAAGATGGAAAGAATGGTCTACAGGTTGGTTGCTGTGAATGATTTCAGTCCTAGCTATAGTACAGTACACTCAATAATATCGATTCATCCACTGGCCGTGTTACCGTGACGGAAAGTCATTCCTTTTACGGTAGTAGTAGTAGTAGTAGTAGTAGTAGTAGTAGTAGTAGTAGTAGTAGTAGTAGTAGTCATGTTCATTTACCCCGATCGCTCGCAAAGCGATATATAGGCTATAGCAACAATATATATCTATATATTTCTCTTCGAATTCAAGAAGGCTAATATATAGCTAAAGAAGCGTAATTTCTAACGGCCATCAAAAAACCAGTGCTATAGTCAAAGACCATAATTCTAATAACTATTAGAATTCTCGACCTACCCTATATTAAATATTATAAATAAATATATAGAAAAGCTCCCTAAATCTATATAACTTATACTTAAACGAGTAAGTTACGTTTTCTACCTATTTATCCTGTTTGTGGACCTTATGGGTCACCTACGGGTCACCTAAGATGGGTCTGGCACCTTGAAGACCCAACCTTTCGGTCTAGAAGTCAGTCCCTTAGGTTCACCCGCGGGTGAGTGCCAGGTCTAGTGGGGCATATAGAATTCAGGGGCATAAAAGAACTACCTGTCTAGATAGGCCTAGATAGATTATATTATCAATTATATAGTGTTTTAGTTATTAAAAATAGGTTAGAACCTATTAGGTGGGGTTGGGTGCCTAGCTCGCTTCTGTGTCCAGCTCGCTTGTGGATTACATTATCTAATGGGGGGGGGGGAGGTTCGGATTAGCAATTCCCTACTTTTATATCAAGAATTTATGTGGCATTACGATTGATACGACCGCTGAAACTCCAAGGAGCTGTATCATCTTCCCAAGCTTCCTCTCTGCGCTTCCTTCCACCCACTTCGACTAGTTCTGTGTCTAGCAACAAATGGACGTTCTGGCATTAAGGACCAATGAAGCAGTCTTGCAAACCCAGCGTTACCGCGCCGCAAGCGTGGTGGCGGGAGATACGCATGTCGCATTTAGTGAGAATTAGGCACGCCTTCCATCCCGCCGAGCTCCTCGCCCAGTCGCTGCCCGTTTACCTCCACCTCCTCAGCATCAAGCAGGACATATACCATGCGCGCCCAGGCGTCACTGTGATTGATCCATTTATGCATCGTCCCCCTTTGAATAAGCACGTCGCCCTGGCACAGCGTCCGTGTCTCGCCCGAATCCAACAGACACTCCAGCTCGCCAAAGATCACGACAGCGTAGTCGCAGCTGACGGTGCGGTGCATAGGCGAGACTCCGCGAGGAGGGTAGTCGACGAAGCGTATCACTGAGCCCCCACACTTGACCAGACCGCTCTTCATCCGCCGCTCATGCTCCTTGGCGAACCCAGCCAGGTCCTTGTCGCCATTCAATTGGACGGTTACGGGTACGTATTAACGTTGAATGGCTGTGGTCAACGGAAGCTGATTTTGATCATGACATAGCAAATTCTTTACTTTGATTTCACCAAGCATGTGAACATGTGGACCTATGGCGACTTTGCGGGTAGTACGGTAAACAAGACCGTGCCCAGCGACCCGTGGAGTCAGACCGGTCGAAGAAATACTCCTTTTGACCAAGAGTTTTATCTTATCCTCAATGTGGCCGTTGGTGGCACAAACAACTATTTCCCGTAAGTGTCCCAACCTAATACTATTAATCCCGTCTAACAAAAGTGATGTTACAGCGATGAACTTGGTGGTAAACCCTGGGTTGATGCAAGCCCCAGTGCTATGAAGGAATTCTACCTGGCCCAAAGCTCCTGGCTTCCTACATGGGGTACCCCCGAAGAGCGCGGCATGATCGTCAAATCGGTGAAGATGTGGCAGCAAGGAGCTTGTGCATGAGCTAAATCTTCGAATTTTGAATTTTTCGTTTGTTTTTAGTAATGACAATTTCCTTGGATATGGCACGAATATGGAGAGATGGCTAGATTTCCCACGTTCAATGAATGAATTTAATTTTTGTGAATCATAGCTTCCACATTTGAATAGAGGCTTTCTTTGTTAGGAAGGTAAAGTGCATGGTATATTTAGAACCAGTTCTCTGGGTAAAAGGGTCGTCAGTCAGCAAGCTTAGTAGGCTTCCGCATACTTCTGGATCGACCGACGCAATGAGAGGTTTCTCCTTAGCGCCGAGAGGTCCATGTGGTCCTTAATCTGTCACTTCCTCCAACCGGCTTTACTAACACCACATCGCAAGGCAAACATGGCACCATCATGGTACTGGCTGGCTGTATTCACCAAGTTCCAGGTGCTCGGATGCGAAACTAGTCAGCCTCCACCTGACGGAGATGAACCCAAGCCATGAAGCCACTCGGTTATCCCATGCCATCTCTGGCAAGACCCCTGTCGGTCTTGGGGCTGGCGCTTTAACATAAACTATGTTCGAGATGCGATTGGTGATCAATCACCTATGTCATCTCTGTAGGGCTCAGTGATTGCGTACGCTTCCGCCAAGCTTTACACAGTACCTATGATCCTGACGCTCTCCGTCACACCGTGTATCTAAGAAAGCAGGAGATAGAAAGAATTTACTATTCGATAAAGATGATCCAGCGTTGGATGCAGAAGCTAAGAGTGAGTTAAAGGCTGCTGAAGAGACACAATGAAAGACATTGCAACGGTATCAACGATTGTACAACATAGCCATCAATGAGATTCACTGGATACTACTGATTGGAGGATAAACTCCTGGGGGGCTTCGATGGTTAGGTTTCCTGCAGGCGCTAGGGGGATCTGTGCTTTATAAAAATCGTCGGTGTACGGAAGCTTTATTCATGAACTCCGGGCAGTGGCGAAGGGCAGCCAACTCATCGCGCTAAAATACCGTGATCCTATCATGTTGCTAGATTCCATGTCGGTACTAAATTTAAAAGGCGGTATTACCCGTAAAGTCTGATTTACGAATGCCGAAGTTGCCAAGCCAGCCGATGAAATGTCAAATTTTTAGGTTATTAACCCCCACGGCAATCTAGAACTCCCAGTCTCGGATAGGAAAGTCATTTTGTGCCCTGCCAATTAAGCGGGGCAATGGGGCGTTCCTAGTGGTGCTTGGGCCTCCCAAACTGTTCCTGAAAAGCCATAGCGGCACGAACCCTCGCCATAAATTTGCCCATGGCCAGCAAACCCTTCTGTATCACGGCGAACTGCTTTGCTGGTCCACAAAGTACCCTTCAAATGGTGCTTCTCAGGGTCGGCTTGCGACACGCTAACTCTTCGGCGCATCCGAGCTTCGGCTGATAAAAAAAAAACCTAAGTACTCGAGTTGGACGAGCTGGATTACCCGAATAGTGCAGTAGCTCAATGCCGCCCACGGACCCGCCTAAGTCCAGAGGTGGCCGTGCCAGCCCTAGCCCATGCCCGCAATGGACCTACCTCTAGTTTCGAGCATTGGATGCCACTCTTCAGCTGTAGTAAGCACTCGAGCATCGGCTTTCCGAACCACTTTTCAATAGTGTTTAGTCGCCTCGACTATCTGTCGCATTGCAAATCACCATGCGCCGGCGATGGCCGTGCTAGTTCGCCGCCCTGTCCATAGCGAAGTCTGGACCGGCATTTTCTTTTCTTTGCTTATCAACTTATGTCGCGTTGTTTACCTTGGACTGCTGAGCTTTCATTCTTTTTAAGTATTTTGGGTCCTCCCAACTTCTATTTCAGGGATATAGCGGTCCCATAGATCTACTCCTCTTCGGGGACATCCATTCTTTCTCTCATGCGCAATTTGCATTACAATTATGGATACTACGCAAGCAGATGATTCCCTCACTAAGGAATTGACCAAGCCGGAAGAGTGGCCGCTCCCTTCCACTGAGAATCGTGCCCAGCATGAAGCTCTCGAGGTTTGCTACTTGCAATCGCGGGCGTCTACACCGCACCTTGACACGGCAGAGATTGCTCGAGTTCTCACGCCCGGCCCTGTGCATCCTGTAATCTCCATTCGTTCAAGGCGAGGCCCGCCTTCAGTTGCGCATTCTCTAGCCTCTCCGTCAATCTCTGAGTCGGGCGAAGGAGAAGATCCTAGCTCGGTGTGTTCCAAATTCCTTCCAACTTTCCTAACAGGGGTCACTAACATTTCCGCAGATGGCGAGATATCTCGCTCGACGGGCAACCCTTCTCGGCTGGTTTGACGGAAGCGAAGTTGACAATGGCCTCCGAAATTGGCCGTCGACCTGCGTCGCTGTTCGCCTTTCGGACGACGACTATTCTTTCTTTCCATATAATGTCAATCCTGCGTTGGGCGACGCCATCATCCGGCTTGGTGAGACAGCTGCAGTCGCCATGTCGTCTCGATTCACATCTGCTCTGATCGCTTCCATTATGCCTGGTCAAAAGAGCCTCATTATTGAGAGCACCAGCGCTCGTATCCCTATTGTCTACTGTTTGAACGATGTCAATTCTGAGATGGTTCATTTTGCACGAGCCTGTATTGTAGTTCAAGAGAAGGTTATCCTGGTCTGGTCTCATGATGCCGGCGCAATTCTCAACGTGGCCTTTGATGTTGAGAGACAGCTCGGCAAGAAGGTGAGTGCTCACACTGAGCGCCTAGTACATTTGTACTCCAACGACTAATTTTTCTTCTGTCTGCAGGGCCCTCGTATCTCAAATGCCACCACACCCCGCATTTCCGGATGCTCTTCTCCTTTTGACTTGGACACCGATGCGCAGGTCTCCACCACGGCCAACAGCACCACTACTCCCATTCGGGGAGCACTCGATGAGAAACACGAGGTCTACAGCAAGGCCGTCGCCTTGGAAGAGGGCGGTGACGAGGATGAGACTGCTGTTGATTTGGAGGGTAACTTGGCTCCCAGACCAGCCAACCGAGTCCATGCATTCAAGATCAGCTTTGCTATCATGCTGGTGATTCTGACGCAGTCGCTTGGAGTGTCTCGGGTGAGTTTGAACATCACTTCAGCTTTCCAACTCGGTCCAAGGCTAATCATTCTTTTTGCAGTTAATTAATGAATACGCATGGGACGGGGACTTCACTCGCTTTGCATTGGTGGGTTCTCTCATCTCTATGCAAATGGCCGCAACATCATACTAACGCGGAACAGGTTGTGACCATTCCACCGCTTGCCCTGTTCTCTTTGGTAAGCCTCCTCGGCGGCTTTTTGGAATACTACTAAGATGAATTAGTTCTTCTTCATTGTCCTTGTTACCAGCGCCTTCCAGCTTTTCCTCCCAGCCACTTTCTGCTTGAAGAACTCGAAGTTCCACTCAGGTTGGTTTTCTGCCCGAGTACTTGCTCACCAAAATGCTTATCCCACCATAGCCATCAAACCAAACCCAAAGTTCCACCGTGACTATGAACTGCCCCATATCACCATCCAAATGCCCGTGTACAAGGAGGGTCTCAAGGGGTATGTAACTATAGCGGTCTCTGAGACAGCAAGCTAATATTTCATAGTGTCATTGTCCCGACCATGATTAGTGTCCTCGCTGCGGTTCAGTACTACGAGGAGCGGGGGGGAACTGCATCTGTCTTCATCAACGATGATGGTATGCAGTGTATCCAGCCCGAGCTCGCTGAAGCCCGCAGGAAATACTACCGTGAAAACGGAATCGGCTACACAGCCCGTCTCCCCAATAAGAAGGCATCTCAGAAGAAGTCTTCAGGCTTCAACTGGCTCCGGAAGTCCAAATCAGTCGAAGAAGATACCGAATCCGAGAAGGAAGAAACCCCTACCACTCCCCAGGCTATAGTGAACAAGATTGGCTTCGAGCGCAAGGGAAAGTTCAAGAAGGCCAGTAACATGAACTACGGTCTCGCTTTCTCGAATCGGGTTGAAGATGAAATGGTTCGCTTGGCTGGGTTGGAGTGCCAACAACGCGGGTGTGCCAACGATGACTTGACTATCGAGGATGATGATCGGATTTACCGGCAGGGTCTCGCTAACATGCTCGCTGAAGACGAGGGTCGCACTTGTCAGTACTATTTCCCAATCGTCGCACCGAAATTGTTGCTAACGTTAGGCAGGGGCTGAAGGAAACATTCGTATCGGTGAACACATCCTTATGTATGTTGATCTTTGATAATCCTCCAGTAACAAGCTCTGACGACAAATAGTATCGACTGTGATACTCGAGTCCCCGTTGACTGCCTCCTCTACGGCGCATTGGAAATGCACGAGAGCCCCGAGGTCGCAATTATTCAACACGGCTCCGGTGTCATGCAAGTGGTTCACAACATGTTTGAGAATGGTAGTGCGTCGTCCCTTCCAAATCTTGCTTTATGAGTAACTGACTAACCCATCAAACTTAGTCGCTTATTTCACCGATGTGGTCTACACAGCTATTAAGTACGGTGTCGGCTGTGGCGATGTGTCTCCTTTTGTCGGCCACAACGCCTTTCTCCGATGGAAGGCTATCCAGAGCATTCAATTTGTGGATCCTTCGGATGGCCAGACGAAGTGGTGGTCTGATGCGCACGTCTCCGAGGACTTTGATATTAGTCTTCGATTGCAGATGCATGGCATGACTGTTCGTCTGGCTACATACCACAATCGCGACTTCAAGGAGGGCGTGTCGCTCACCTTGTACGATGAGTTGACGCGTTGGGAGAAGTATGCCTACGGCTGTAACGAGCTCGTATTTCATCCCTTGTGAGTAATTCTGTGATCTTTGAACAGTTTCCGCCTACTAATGCGCGAGCTAGCTATAAATGGCCTTACAAGGGCCCAGTGACGAGACTCTTCCTTCGTTTCTTATGGAGTAACATGCCTGTCACTAGTAAGGTAACCATCATTGCGTACATATTTACCTGTGAGTCTCTCTCGAGCCTTCATGACTACCTCACGGCCTAACATCAATAGACTATGCAATCGCCTCCGGTATGCTTTTGGCTACAGTCAACTACGTCATTGTCGGTCTCTTCAACTCTTCAATCGATCACATTTACCTGCGATCTTGGGGTATTTGGATTTCCTTGGTTGTTGTCTTCAACGGTGTTGCCTCGGTCGCATTCAGCATGGCCCGTCACCAGCTGAGGGAGATGGTTTTCTGGAAATCGCTTCTCAATTCCGTTATGTGGCTCCCATTCTTGATCATCTTCTTCGGCGGCATTAGTCTCAACTGTGCAAAGGCTATTTTGTGCCACGCGTTTAGCATCAACATCGAGTGGTCTTCGACCGCCAAAGAGCCCGGTCCATCTGGTTTCTTCATTGGTCTTGACAAAATGGTAAAGAAGTTCAAGTATACTTGGGCTATTTGCTTGTTCCTTGCAGTCGGTATGTTCTTCTGGCTGTCATTTGGAAAATATGGCTGACTAACTTGTTTTTTTTTCAGTGATGATTTATATGGCTCTCGGCACTCCCTGGGGCTGGCGAATTAAGCCTGGTGAATACTCAACCGCTAGCATTGCGATAGGTCCGCTCGCTATCCAGATTTGCAATGCGGCCATTCTCCCGCTGGTCTTGGGCTTGAACTGATCAAGCCCTGCCATTCTCCAGAACTACGACCAGATGATGGGTTTTCCTTAATTTTTGTTCTTTTTCTATCGAGGCAAAATACAAGGGGTACGCCCGAGTTTAATTCCGAGAGATATTAGGCTAGAGCTTATCCTCTCTTTACAGCGTTATCAGTTTCCTAGAGTATCTGAATTTTGAGCCCAGGTAATAAAATGCTTCACGCAAATGTAGCACCTTCAAATCTTTTGTACGGTTATAACAATCAAGTAGCCCAGAGACTGCCGCCAATAAGACTTCCAATCATTAGTATGCAAGAAAGCATAATACAGGCAAAAGCAACACTCAAATATAATTCTCTTGAACTCAAACCCATTTTTCTACTTGGTACTTCTGAGAAATGTGAAGTGAGAGTAAGCCTCGAAAGTGAACTATGCAATTTTCTTCCAAATTCTGCGAAACGCCGGAGCAAGAAATATGTACTTTTGTACTGTGAGATGGCCACGTCGGCTCAATTTGGCGATAGCCAATAATGTATAGAGGCATTCTCCTATTTGCTCAAGTCAGTCAAGCGCCTTGGCCACCAGGGCCATGATAGCCGACGAACCTCGTCTCCTAACCCGAATGATGTCTAGCGTGTTCAGGAGTAGAGAGGGTAATAATGAGTTCTAATGGATCTTCAGATACTTCTCAGCCAATATTCAAGCGTAACTATTGAGGGTTGATCTTGGTAGCTGAAAAGAAGGAACGGGAAAGGCACCGAAAGCGCGCAATTGGAGGGTTTGTGCTTGATAAACAGGGTTCTAAAAGAAACCTCCCGCTGCCAGGTTCGTGAGGAGAAGGCGAGACACGTTCCTCCACCGATGGCCAGTTTTATCTAGACCCAAGTTATTGTACTGGTGGGGTCAAGCTCAGTCTGTTCGAGGAGAAAACCAAGGTTCAAGGCCCAAACCTGAGACTTCCACCACTGGTCGACCTCCTTTCATTCCAAGGGCCATTCTACCAACTGGAAGAGCCCAAATTGCAAACAAGTAATACGAAGGATTCGGTTACCATACGGAACCCATACAGGCAAATACCCGATCCTTTAGGTGGGCCCTGTACTCGGCCTCGAACGGATTCCAGGATTCCAATGTTCCCTATTTCACCTATAGTCAGTGCCACGAGTCAGGAAACTGCAAGGTGGGCCTCGACCGATTGACGTATCACCGCAGGTCTATCAATTGAATTTTTCTTTTTACTTCGAGATGCAGGTCGACAGGTTGACTGCAAGCAATCATGTGACAAGTCACATTGGGACAATCCTGCAAACTGGCATTCAGTTGTGTCCTCCTTATCCGCGGATATAAATACCCACACACCCGGAAGCATTCAAAAAGCCCCCGGCCTTGTTATAGTGAGACAAGAGTTTGAATAATCATGGCTCCAGATGGTCATTTACGTTCTATCTCGGACCCAGAGTCAGGGTACCTTCACTTTGCTTACGGAAGCAACATGCACCTTAAGCAAATGGCACAAAGATGTCCAGAAAGTGTCATCTTTGCGAAAGGAGCACTTCGCAACTATAAATGGCAGACCAATAGCCGTGGCGGGGGAAACGTTCTACTGGGCAACGCTGACGACGTCGTGCACGGTATCGTCTTCAAGATTCCCTCGTGCGAAATTGAAGCGTTAAGGCGGTACGAAGGAGTCGACAAGCAATTCTTCGTGGAGCAAAAGCTTGTTATTGAGCTAGAGGCCATCTCGGACCCGGAGCTCAGCCGTCAGAAGACTGTTGATGTGGTTGAAGTGCTGGCAAAGCAGAATTCTGACCATGGACAACACGACATTTCAGCCACAATGAGGCCAGCCCGCTCAAATGAGATATGCCAGGCTGAAACTAGACTTCCAGGTACTCTCCCTTCAAAGAGATGGGATCTTGTAGACGTACTGACAGATCACACTTAATTAGGATCCCATGAAGCCCTGGTCTACATCAGCACCCCCATGTACAGCTCGCCCGGTACCATTAGGGACGAGTATAGGAGGAGGATGCAACTGGCAATAGCAGACGCGAGATTCTTTGGTCTGTCTGAGGATTATTTGACATGCTCATTAGGTCCCCTCATCTCCTGCAAGGATACAGATGCCTAGATCCCATAAAATCACTTGATTGGATTTAATAGTCTCTCCATAGCCCGAAATTTTGAATTAAGCTTCTATTCAGCACTTTCGTTAAGCGGCGCACATCCCCAATGTATTTGTGTCCCCAGCTGTCTTTCCCAATAATTTCTCTAGGGCCGATCTTCCAAGGCAATAGCCTTTTTCTATGTCTTTATAGCACCCATCATCGGTATTTTCAATTTCTTGCATGCAGCTGAACAAACTCTTTTCTTCCCTTTCGACGATCACCTTCAATGCAGCTTGAATTTCCTCGCTGAGCAACTCATGTGACCTAGCAACAGCCTCTTTCAATCCCAGGAATGCCAGTGCCAGACCAACAAGAAGCCCAAACTTTTCATCGGGGCGATTTGCCCATCGAAGCATATTATCAGATAGTTCGATGCTTTCCGCACTTTGTCCTTGTTTCCTAGCGAGAATAAACACATCTTTCAGACATGATGGGTTCGCATCCCTGATCCATTGACCGCTGGATATCAATTCGAGGCCGATGTCAACAAGACTATAGCCTGGTTGACGGCTTATCTCGGCCATGCCAGCTGGAATATGTGCTTCTATCGCAAAGCCAGCTTGGGCCCGTAGAGCAAGTAAGATACTTGAGTAAAGCGAGGTGGCAGTTCGAGCGGGTACATTGATCATATTTTCCAGGAGACCGATGTGGGCAAACCAGAGTGCCACGATATCCGGCAGTTGGGATTTGGAAGGTGGATTCAAAGGTAATTTTCCAGCTGGGCACTCTGCGTCCAAACGGCAATTTGGGAGCTCCTCCATGAATGCGCCGTTAATTGTCTCGTCCGCATTCCGAGCTGCCAGGGTTGGATGATGGCAAGCCGGATCCTGGAGGCCGCCTACAACATCTCTAGAGGCCACCGCTACTCGGAAGGTGAATCTGTAATACAACCAGGTGCTGTTTTCTGGGCCAAGGAGGTCAATCCATGCAATGAGAGCATCCAGTTCCTCGTTCGTGAAAGCCCCGAACATTCGTCCGCCCCAAGATAATTCCTGTACGAGCTTGCTCTCACTACCCATGCCTGGCTGAACCCATCTTTTTGACTGGGCAAGCGCCTCCAAAAGCTTCTATATGTTTCTGCTCATCCTCGTGCTTCCATAAGCTAGAGTCAAGCCATTCGGCCAGTGTGCGATTTCCGATCTTCACTTTGCTTTGGCAATGGTACTTGGGCGAGACGGTGGACTTGCTTTTGAAAATCTCAATAGTTTGACGAGACAGTGAATCAGTCGGTACTATTTGACTGACACATCGCGAGGCTTGAATGCCCGACTCGGAAAACCCGTTGCCGTCGCAAGGGGACACGGCCAATGTTTGGGATAATGTGTACCCGGCCTGAACGCGTCTCCAATGTTCCTCGAGAACGCTTGGTGATTTAGTCGCTTTTATAAATTCGAGATAATCAATCACATTTAGTAACGCCATTCCAGTGTGTCCAGAATCCGCGTTATCGATGCAGATGTGGAGGAGGAAGTAGGAAGGGTTGACGCCAAGTTCCTTCAACTCGCGGGCAGCCATTAGTGCTTCCAAGCTGATAAGTTCGTAATGCATGTTGAACCCGAGGATCTCAGGAAGAAACTCGTTGGGAAAGAGTGAGATGAGAAGTTGGGCAACGGCGCCTTTCCAGGAGCGCTGATCATCCATTGCTTTCAAATTGGATGATTTGATAAAGTCGTGGCTTTGAGGGTCTTGCAGGGGGCATCCAATCTCTTTCAGAAGCTGGTTATAAACCAAGTCATGGTTTCGGGTGACATCTCCGTCACCAAGCTCTTCGGACAATATCTGCCATGCGTCCTTGGTCACTCCGCGGAGTGCAAAAGGGGTGGTTATTTTGTGTATATGGCTCAGCCAAGCGCCGTCCACAATTTTTGCTGGAGCTCGTTGAGCGACCCAGGTCCTCGCTTCCGCGATGTTTCCAAAAAGTGTCGGTCCCACTCCCAGTTCCCTTCGATCATGGTATCTTGCCCATTCGTTCATTGTATTTTCGTGTTCATCGTGGATGAAGAATCGAAGTCGTTCGGCATCATAGCTTTCAACGCGGAGAATTCCTTTTTGGGGGTCCTCGAGGGCGAGGGAATCCCTTCTGCCATCATAGCTAAGAGCTCATCGCGAGCTGGTTCCAGCACGGTCGGATGCTGATCCAAATTGTGAATCTGGAAGTACATATCCTGGTACCATTGGATGGGCCTGGGAATTCTTCGTTCCAAAGTAGGCATTTTTAGAGCTTTAAATGCTTTGCGAGTGGAATTGAGGGAGCGCGAAGCTGACGTCGAAGGATGTTTTTTTGAATGGAAACGGCTAGAGAGCGTGACGAGGAATAAGAGCACGGCCAAGGCGACGAAAACGTACTCATTGGCCATAATAAGATGTCCCGGAAAGTTCATAAGAACTCCCATCTTGGATGATGACTCCTGGGTGAGAGAAGTATGCTGTAAACAGAAGGACTTGAACATTCGGACTGCTCAAACAAGGTTCTGAAATCCTAGCTCGTAGCGTTTCACTGCAGCGTTACGCTGGCCAGCGTATGCTCCTGTAATACCGTGAACTCCTACCCATTAGATGAACGGGATCGGCGATTTCAGCTCGCCACAATCTGCAAGCTGTTCACATCATAAGTCGCTAGCTCACCTTATGTATTGTGCAGTATGGACCCCCGTCGGCGCATTCAGTGTATTGAAGGGATACAGTACTGGAAATACATTTGTCTGGCAAGTATTTCTTGGCGACTAAGCCAAAAATACAGCTGCCAAGAGACCCTAGAGGGAATATACTTCGTGGGAAGTCGGGACTAAGGGTGTACTTTTGTCTTGGACCGAAAGTGGTCTGTGGGTGTATATACGTACGATTGAAACGGTCCTATATGTACGTAGCGTACGACACTCCCCACTGCCTGCGGAACTACACTCGCAGGGTCCACCAAATTCCAGGAGACCATAGCGTTGACTATCGTGAGAGCAAGCATAGCCGATAATGCCTTGAATAAGGATAGCTGGCCATGGTATGCCGAAGTGCAAGTTGAGAAGTTAGATTTGAAATTGACGTTGTGCAAGTTAAGTTCCCTGCCAGCGAGTCCTTGCGCTATGAACGATTCATGCCTATTAATTTTGAAGCGAGTCTGAGCTTTAGAGCACAGCTTCGAGGTTCTTTTAAAAGAATTTCCTCTCACAATCTGCATACAATACACCTTTTAAATTACGAGTTATTTTTATAATATTATACATGGCCTGAGCTCTCTTATGGGCTCCTTCTCAACCTTGAAAACGAGATTTCTCAACTACGTATCGTGTTGTAGCATATCCATGGATGGATCTGTCTCTCTTGCTACGCTACTTCATCCTGGATGTCCGACTCGGAGGCATGGTCTATGCCAAGGAAGCACATCACAAGAGTAGCAAGGACAATATATAAGGCGCCTGGGGTGAGTTTAGAATAATATATGTCCAGAGAGTCGAAGAGATAACTTACTCCAAGTGCAGCACATAAAGGTATACCCGCTATGCTGCGTGAGGAAGCCGCCAATTATCGGGCCTAAAACGGTGCCAAGCGATGCAGCAACGTCGTCAAGCGAGAACACTCGAGACATGCCCCCTTCAGGTCCAAATATACCAGGTGATTTCTCTTGATATTCTCTGACAATGGCTGTCGAGGGTTAACGGTATGCTCGAGAATCTAAATCAGGTACCACTCACAAGAAAGTTCGACAGGGCCTACATTCGCCGTAAATGGTCGCGCCGCACCAATGGCAAGAATGCACCCCGTGTACAAGGCTCCCCCTCCAGATTGAGCACTCGTCCAAGGGAGAAGATCAGTACCCGCAAGGCCCAATATCCCGAGCATCGCGGCTTGGAAAACAGCGGATATGCTGGCAGGGTACCGGACTCCGAAACAATCTCGTAGCCATCCGGCCACTGGACTAACTACAAGAGTCGGCATAATGAGACAAGCGAACAAGGAGCCGCTTTTTCCGGAACCCCAGCCAAATATTTCCTGTACATGAAGAGGGAGGGTAGCATGAAAACTGGTGCCAACCGTGTTTGCCGAAATGGCAACGAAGATAGCAATCAACGCCCGAACATCCGTAAGTATAATGCGCCAGAAGTTCTCCGCGGGGTAGCTTGTGGGAGTAACCTCGCGTGGAGATAGCAACGGCCTCGTGGCACCGTCCACTTTCGATGGTGTTTCTGACTCACTGCTAAAATTTTGCACCGCACGATTTTCAATCATGGCAAGACGGGCGATGAAGTCGAAAACAAGAAGCAAGAGCGGCACCGACCACGTCGGCCAATAGCCAACATACTCCAAAAGCCAACCAGCAATACACGGCCCACCTATCAGTCCACCGTATAGAAACGACATCATAATGCCCTCAACTTTGCCCATATTGTCTCCTCCCACAGTGCCAGCCACGGTTGCGAGGCCGATAATCCAGACCGAGGATCCAGCAATGCCTTGCATCACACGGCCGGTAAAAAGCACCGAAAGTGAAGTCGCGCCAGCGACCATGCCAGTACCGAAGATGCAGGCGAAAAGCGAAAAGAGTAGTGGGAGTTTTCGATTCGAGATTTTGTCAGCGAAGTGGCCGATGATGGGACCCGACACAACCGAGACGATTCCATGTACGGCGAGGACAAGTGAGGTCAGTTCCTGGATTCTGGCTTGGTCCAAGTGTAGTCGCTCTCGAAGCATGTATGGGAACAAGGGCACGAGGAAGCCATAGATGAAGGTTTCTATCGCTATCAGATACTTGCTGGATGAAGACCAAAGGCATACGAACCCGAGAATAAGGCGATCGCGATCGTCACTAGGATGAACCATTGTGAAGACCTCCAGCTTGTGCCCATCTTTTCACTCTTGAAATGGACATTCCCCATGTTGACTGAAGGTTTTAACCGGGCAGTGACAATCGAGGGGTTAAACTTGCTTCGTCATGAAAGTCTGGAGGGAAATCAGACATGCATTGAACGAAGGATTCGCGGTACAGGGATCCGCCACGATGGAATGCGATCTCAGCGCACGGGTAAGATACGATCAGTATTGTAATGTACCATGTACACCATTAAACCGGGCGGATATTCCTGGGGATTCCGAGCTGAGATTTGAGTTTCTTTTGCTTTTTTGTTTGAATCTTAGCGATATTATTTATTTTATTTTGATTTTAATTTCACGTCTCAATCTGTATTCACTCTAGCAGTATCCAATGATCTTAAGACACATGTCATATTCTGCATCCTCCCCGGCAAGGAGGTCAGGCTTGCCCCGGCTCCATGGCGTAGTAATTCGAATGTTGGCCGTACCCCGAAGCTATTGTCAAACCTCGGAAGAATTTCGCGTGCTTGTGCGTATATATTCATTGGGGAACGTTCGAAGTGACTATAAGTGCAAGTACATCTGTATTTGCATAGGATCCATACATGCCAATGTATGACGATTGTGTAGTATATACACTTCAATGTTAATGGTCGAAACAATTCCGGCATTCCAATGCCACGCCTGTCAACTTGAGGAGCTTCAAGTCAGAAATGCACATGCAGCCGAATTTGAGCACAGATGACACATGCAGTCATCGGTGTGCAGTGAATAGCGGATCTATGTCTGTGTTTTATCAATAAAATTGATGACTTTCCGTCCTGTACTACTCCTGACAAATCCCGCATAACTCGGTAGATATTTCAAATCGAACAACTCTTCATTGTTTTCAAACACCCAAAACAGCTTTCGTAGCTCCCGTGTCAATTCATCATTGCTAGTTGTGCCCGGTTCATTATGTCGCAGCACACGCAGCTCAAGAACAATGTCAAGATTGTTCTTGTCGCCTTCATTATACCGCCGAATGATCTGGTATTGCAAGATTCCCCATGACTCGGTTCGCATTGCATCCTGGATGACGGAGAATTCGAAGTACTCTCCGTACCAATCAAAGCTGATTCTTCGGTCGCGTCCATACAGACGCGCAACCTTGTAGTGAGCTACATCCTCCGGCGAGATGATGTTTATCATTGACGCCGGCAAAGGATGAAGCGAGCAGACATCACCGCAGACGTAACGGATGAGAGGATGACGCATTCTCTGGAGTGAGGTTTGGATAAGTAGTCCCTTCTCACCATCAGGAACAGGGTGAGCACTAGCAGCCCCTGGGCCTTCAGACTCTTCGATGTCGAAGGGGAATACCTCAAGATGCATCAGCCGCTGGTCATACACGAAATCGGCATAATTCTGTCCCTTTGAAGCCTCCGTCAGTTGTGCTGGTGAAGTGGCCCAAGGCCCGGCCTCTGCACTGCCAATCACCGAAGAGACAGCTACATTGGGGAAAACGGAGCTCAGAAATTTGCGCTGAGCTGGAGTCATCGGCTCCGAGGTGTATATAATTTTATTGATCAACAGTCGCTTTCTTGTCTCGTTTGGCAGGGTGCAGATGTATCTTGTTAGCTGCATGATTTGACCTGCATCCCCGGCAATGGCATTGACTCGGTATTCAAGCAGAGTCTCAACCATCTGGTCCTGTTCCATCATGCTACCAGCGCAAAGGACCGAGGCGCCGGACCCCTCGAAGGTTTCGGCCATGAGATCTAAAGCTCTATTCTCTTTGTTAACCAATTTTTCCGTCCTGCGTAACGTACACTAAGCATTACCTGTACAAGTGTCCCGAGACGTGCATTGTCATAACCCAGTCTCCGGGCCCCGTGACTCCACACGAGCGCAGGAGAGCTCCAATGGCTGCTCGTTGTTGACGAGTCTCTTGCGAATCCGTTGCAAAGACCATAGGGGAGCCTTTTCCGGATCCTCCTCCAGTCGTACTGATGTATGTTTGTTGCCGATAACCATTTCGAGGGTCTCGATCAGTGGTCAATCGAGCGATCTCCTTGTACCTAAGATATTCAGTTAGAGCCGAGGGAATTGAAGTGAGAAATCTTACAGAGCGTCTTTCCAGGTCAATGGAAACGAAGATAGCTTCAAATCTATTTCTGGACTCCATTGTTTCGCCAGCAAATTACACAAATCGTCCCTGTTCGGGGGATATTCAGTATCGGAGTAAAAAGGGTGGATGCTAGCAATGCGCAAAACATCGCTTAAGTTGAAACCGTTCGCCATATTGAGATTGGATAAAACCTTCTAAAATCGAGAGCTCATCCCTATAATCAAGTGTCGAGCGGAATTTAATGCTTTTAAATATTCGTGACGCCATATTCGAGATACATCGGTCACCGTGGATACCAGCGGGGCGCGGTATTCACTAGTTTCATCCACTAACGCGGTATTTCGGTACCAATCCTTGCCTTTGCCACTAGGCAAAGGATTACTTGCTCGAAAAGCAGATCACTCCTGAATGATCGGTCTTTCTGCAATGTTTCCAACTGCGGGTAATTGATACAACTAGCTGTATTTGGCCTGAAAGACTAGGATCGTGTATGTATCAAGGACTGCACTTAAGAAAGGTCGGTCCTTCGAACTCCATATCCGTAAAGACATTCTTAACATTCTTTGGTCACCACGCGCGCAATAATGAAGAAGCCAGTCGACAGTTTCAGCAGCATCTGCTTTCCTGAAAATAGTGACTATTTCTATCACCCAGGGGAGGTGGATCCTGAGACGCGATCTGCTTTGCTTGAACAGTATCATCGCGAGCTTGAGAAGTGTAGTCCTCGAGAGACGTGGGCTGGCGATGCGCACCAGAAATCGGCACCCTATCCAATTCTCGGTAGTGTGGGTCATCAGCGTCAGTTGGCAGACCTGAGCGAGGCATTAGTACTGGCAATCACCGATATTGTTCAAAGATGGTGGTCGGACGTCGATGCTCGCTTTCCTGAGCGAATGCCGATCGATCCCGTGGAGGAGAAGCTGCTGCAGGTGAGTCTAGATCTTCGACATGAGTGAGATAGATATTTGCTAATTACAGTGACTCAGTGGATGGAAGGGCTGGGAACCGATGTACTCCGCCCATACAGATTCGTGCAAGGCTCTTGGAGGCCAGACTTTCTGCTTGAATCCTCCGAGGATCCGGAGCAGATTGAGAACTATCGGATCTGTGAGATTAACGCTCGGTTCTTTCCAAATGGCTTTCTTTTTATCGCATTTGGCCAACAGGCTCTTATCAATATGGGCATTGAGAAACATGGTCTCAAGGGAGCTGCCGACCCTAAAAGGGTAAGATCTTCCGTGCCGTTGTACAAGACAAGCAAGTCTAACATAACGCAGGTTATCACCGGACTGAGTAAGCTTGTTGACCCTTCTCTCCCCTTACATGTGGCAAAGGGCGAGGAATACGGATTCGATATTCGCATGTGGGTTCCATATCTGCAAAAAAAATCTGGACATGGATGTCAAAGTCATACCACCCGAAAATCTTCGGCTGGTACCCGCAGCAGCTCCAGGGGGTTACAAGCTCTACTGTCTGTCTAGCACAGATAGCAAGCAACCACAAATAACCAATGTAGCTGGCGAGTGTTTAGAAGAATTCATCAGCTCGGACTGGAACTCCATCAACGAGAATTGCTTGCTATGAGCTATGAAATGCTCCAACAAATCAGTCTTCGCTGTTTCAACGACTTGCGGACTGTATCCCTCGTTCATGACAAGCGCATGCTAGGCCTCGTCCTCGAAGAACTGAATACCCTCGTCTCGCGCAACGTGATTTCATCGCGCCAAGCTAAGATCCTTAACAGGGGACTCGTCCACACGTTTATCCCCGGATCGACCAAGCTGAAGAACCTTATTACGACTTGCCAGTCCGATACCCTGTTCAAGGACAAGCATATGCTCAAGCCAGTCCGCAGCGGTAAGGGCAAGGGCATCTTATTCGGTGATCAAATCAGCCACGATGAGTGGCTGTCTATTCTTCAGAGTATGCGAGACCCGTTCCTGAAGGATGGGGAAACGACATACGTTGTTCAAACGCAAGTTCAGCAACGACGATATGATGTTCTGCTCGAGGAGGAGAAAGGTATTGGGAACTTTCCTCTCATTGGAACATTCCATATCACGCATGGTGTGTTCCTCGGTCTTGGACTTTGGCGCAGCGGCCCCGGTCGTATTTGTGCTTTAAGTCGTGGAGGATCTTGGGTGTGCACTGTGATCCAACAATAATGGCGCAAATCTTGTGTTCCTCTCGGTGGCCAGATTCTTAAGATGTTTCTAGCATCTTAGAAAAAATTCAATTTGATTCGCTACTAAGTTCATCTTGGTGTTTATTCGATCCTCTAGAGATTGTTTGTCTTCTTGAGGTGGAAAAGAGTAGGATTCACCTTCGCCAAGCTGCATCTAGCTACGCCGCTCCGTGCTTTGATGCCTGACGGTTTATGCCCCTGTTACACAGGCTGTTTTCAAGGCCGTCTCAGCATCCATCATGTAGTGATTTACTCTGAAGCTCTTAAGGAATTGCTAAGACCAGAATTACATCAACAAGCACCCCCTTTCACATCAAGTATGACCCGTAACGCATATACGTACGTGACCGTATCGGTACAGGCGACGTAACCCGAGCCTTTTCACTCAAGCACGGCCCGGTCCGGAGATCTGGGTTCATCTAAAAAGTAAAATCTCACCGCTCATCCGTACCTGGTGAACCTGATTTGATGGACCAAGATAAATAGCTTCTTGGCAATGAGGCGGGACGGGTAGATCTGATCCGCATTCAGACACTAAATGTGGACTCCAGCCTGAGAGCGCTGCAGAAAAATAATCCTGCCCGCAATGAAGTCATATGTACAGCCTGACTGTAGATGTAATTTAAACCCACATATCAGTTGTCTAGGTAGGCAGGCGGTCGGTAGGTACGGGTAGGTTTCAATTACATCTGCAGTCAGGCTGTAAGTCAAATTGATCGATCGAAATGCAGATGCGGCACCTGCATCCAAGGCAGGGCTCCATGTAGGGACCAAGGGGGTCCGAGCATACTCGGGCACAACCTTGAAAACTTCTCAAACCCAAGGTCCGCGGTGTATGGTCAACGGATTCCGGCCCGACTTGCTAGCGTCGTCAATACCAGTGGAGCTGAGCTACTGAACAAAGTACTGTGCAGTAGCGAGATTAACCTGAAAACCCAAATTAGGTAAATCCTGTCGAGTGGAAACCGAAACGTGACTGGCTAGACTGAAATAAAAGGAACAGGTCAAATTGTTACGTGATAGATTGGAAGAATGAGAAATTGGAACTGATGTAACTTCGCATAATCTGCTCCAGAGAAAGGAACAAATCACGTTCGCGAAATCTATACCTATAGCTAATCTAGCACAGACTGGCTCGGACGAGCTACTGAAGCTGAAGTCGCCCGCATAGGGTGCCTGATTGACAATTGAACCCCGCGGAGGAGCGTTCGAGAGTGGGCAAATAATTAACTTAGACATTATCAACATCCTGGAAACCAAAAAAAGTTTGCCATCCAGCTCTGCTAGTCATCATTATGGATTTCCAAGCTCCCAAAAAAAATCTGGCCTCTCTGCCCATCGTCAACTTCGAAGCTATCGCCAACAAGGATGCTGCCGAAATTCAAAAGCTCGTTCAAGCGGGCCGGACAGAGGGCATGTTTTATCTGAACCTCCAAGGCTCTCGGACGAGAGCAATCTTCGAAGATATCCCCATTCTATTCAAAACTGGGAACGACTTTTTCAGTCTCCCCGCTGATTGCGAGGAAAAGACCAAAGCCCTTCGAACGGGGGTAGAGCGAGGGTAAGAACCGATCCTGCCCAGCTTTTGGTTCATATTTGCTAATGAATTTTAGTTACCACCCCAGTAGAGGATTTGAGTATTATGAGGTGCGTATACCCATCAGGCACTACCGATAGACTGTCTCTGATCAACAAGCTCTAGATTCCTCGCGATGAGTACGCTGCTGGAAAGTGGGAGTTGCCCGCCACCCTGCAACCGGAACAAGAGCGCATCACCCGAACAATGAGAACCTTCCATGGCGCCGTGCAACAGTTCTCACCGAGCTGTGTGCCAGTGTCGGCATCAACATTCCCGAATTGAGCGACGACTTCTCAACTCCCAGCGACACCGCGCTCAAATTCGTCTACAAGTTCCCCATCCATGAGCCCGGAAAGGTGATTAACGACGCTCACACCGATTTTGGTCTTGCTACCTTGCTCTGGTATGACGAGGAAACTACACAAGTACCAGCCTACGATGAAAATGGGAAACAGACACAGGAATGGCTAACGATTCCCGTGGTGGAAGGCTCGGTCCTTGTGAATGTTGCTGATGAGCTGGCGGCTAGGTCTAATGGGTCTTTGCACTCCACTGTGCACCGTGTAGTTGCGCCACCGGGTGCTAAGCGAGTGAGGAACGGGGTTCTCTATCTTTTTCGGCCTCACAGAACTTGAGTGACAGTACTCGAGCTTCGATGCTCGAGTAAATTCGGCCCTACCATCTGAATCGCCAGAGCGAGTTACCCTTGAGCTCCGAACAAATGAAGGCGTCGTGAAAGCCAATATTGACGCTAGCTCAGTCGACGCATGAGTATGGGAAAAATTGAAGGGTCTCACTCCTGAATCTCTCATCCGTATCACCAATTATTTCTCGCCTAGTGCCGAAGCAGAATCCAAAAACGGTGTGGTAAATGGCAAAAGCCACAACGGCACAGCCGCCTCCGTGATCAACGTGACCGACTTGACAATAATCGCAGAGGGGTCTTCTGATCTGCCCCCATTCAACAGAAACGAGCTTGACCTTGGACGAAGACTCGATAATCGCCTCTTAGACCTGCGGAATGCGGGAAGCGGAGCCGTGTTAAAGCTTCATTCAGGAATGTGTCAGTTGATTGTGGAGTTTCTTGGCTCAAATGGCTTTCACTGGATTCATTCGCCCCGTATCATCAGCCATACAGTCGCAGGGGACAAAGAATACTTCCACCTGCCTTATTTTGGAGGTGATGCGTGGTTGGCGCAGAACGCGCAGTATCAGAATCAGATGGCTCTTTCTGCGGATATGGAACGTTTTTTCGATCTTGGTCCTGCTTTCCGGGCTGAGGTGAAGTCTCGTACGTCAGCGAGGCATCTGACCGAGGTGAGCAATTTTCCCCTGACTTATTTGTGTTTCGCATCATTGCATGTCTGTCATGAGACTTGTTGCTGATATTGTTTTTTTCCTAGTTTACTGTGCTAGGCACGGGTATGATCCTCGAGGAAAACTACTATGAAGTGATGGATTTGATGGACTCGATGATTATCTTTGTCTTCAAGGGCCTTCAAGAACGAAAAAAATATCAGGATCTCATCGAAACTGTTAAGAATCACTATCCCTCCTCGAAGGATTTTCGTATCGGTCTGGATGAGCACGGAAAAATTCCTCGGATCTCATTTAAGCAAGCAAAGCGGATGCTTCGGGATGAGCTCGGCTTCAAGACAGAGGATACAGATGATTTAAGGTGCGTAGCGACGCTATCCGTATTCTTGTTTGTCTTTATATCTTTTCCACGGCTAATGGAGCATCGGCCCTGTAGTGAAGAGGAGGAAGCCGCCCTGGGCCGGCATTTCCGCGAATCTCCTCACCTCGGCCAAACTGACCTTTTTACAATTGATCAATACCCGGCATTCTGTCGCCCTTTCAACACGCACCCAAATCCGGATGCTCCAGGATTCACGAATTCGTGGGATACCATTGTGCGAGGTCGCGAGATCTGCTCAGGCAGTCAGCGCATCCACAAATACGAGGAGGTCCGCAAGGCTAAGGCTTCTCGTAATATGGACCCAGATTGCAAGGAGTGGGAGCACTATGTGGCGGCTTTTAAGTCTGGTATGCCACCTCATGGTGGTCTGGGTTTGGGTCTCAATCGGCTGCTCCAGGGATTCCTTGGTCTGGATGATGTCCGTGAGACTACCCTGTTCCCAAGAGATGTGCATAGAACCGCTCCATAAAATAAACACCGAAAAATTTATACGCTGTATATTTCAGCTTGTATACCATTTCGCCTTCAATTCTTCAAATTGGATTCAAATGTTTATTTTTCCATGCTTTTATTAGGTGGACTACTTGCTGCTCATGTATGCACGCCCCCAAGTCTATACCGACGCTAAAGCACTTGTGTATGGCGGCGCTAATTCGAACTTCCATCATCCCAGAATAGATGAGTGACTACATCCTTTTGATGACCAAGGGGTTTTTATCGAATTTGGTGTACGACCATGGAAGTCAGACTACTTAGCGGCGTGCTTAATTCTACTCGGTGATTAAAAAGCGGCAAGGGGTGAGCACTAAAACGGAAAGGGAAAGCCAAGAGTGACCAGACATTATCCGGTACATATGTCTGCGATGGTAGCTGTTTGTTATGTTTAGAACCTCGGAACCGAAACAAGGCCGAAAATCATGGCCCATGCTTTGACCTCGCAACACTATTGGTCTGCTATATCATGACCTCGACTGCTGTAGGTGACACAGGACCGCTCGAAGCAGACTCGTTCTAGACCACTAGGTCCAAAATCAGGTAAACTTTGGAAGAAACAAGCTCCGGCTCATTATCTTGTTTCCAAGAAGGTTCACTCGGAGCCAGTGGTTCGAATCAGGCAGTAAGCAGTTGGTGAAACTTAGGTACAAACACAAGGGAGAGAAGGATGGAATGGATCAATCAATGATCTACGGCTGGGACAGTAGGCCCCCAACTGCCGTGCCCGGCGGATCCCAAAGAATTTTAATTCTTGGTACTTTATTTTGTGGGATGTGCGTATATGTGCGCACAGGGGAATGCAATAGAGTTTATGTCTCTGCCAGGGGATGCCGACCCTCGGGACTCCCAGTTCCGGGTTCGGGAGCTTGGGACTCGGGATCCCACCGACCGGTGGCTCAATCAAGTCCTGTTTCTTGAATTAATCGCTTTTCTGATTTCTCTGTAGCTCTGAAAGTCGTTCGTGCGACCAGTCGCCGCTCAGACATTACAAAGCTAACTTCGCCGCTCGGCAGACCTGCTCGAATTTTAAAGCGGGCCGAGAAGTGGAAAAACGGGCCGAGTGGACACACGGTATGCCAGCTGGAATGGCCGTGTGGGTCCGGATTGCTGATATTCTGATATGCAAATCGCCACCTGCACCAAAATTTTCCAGCTGGGGAGATAAGGGTTGCACAGGGCGGCTGTGGACGGAAACTGGTTCGTCGCCCTTTGGACAACCTTGTCCGGGTGGGTCATTTCTCTACTGAGTTTGTCTCCACTGCGGACGCTTAACGAGATCAGGTAAAGGTTTTAAAGATTTTTAAACAAATAGTATGTTCTGAGCTCGCGCCCCGGTAAATCGTTTGCGGACCAAGTGTCCATGCGCCACAAAAATCAGAAAGTCGTCCCATCATTATGTACCTGTATCCCAATTCCGTATCTATATTCTATCCGTGACAAAAATGCTGTATAGTAGAATGTTGAAGACAAATCAAATCAAATAGCAACGTCGTCTCCGCCGACTCTGTCCTTCGGGCCGATTCCTCTTCTTTGGACGGCAAAGCATCCGATTATGATGCCGAGTCCGGCAAGGCCAGTAGAGCACCAGAGACCGGTGGAGTATTGTTGGGCAAGGCCGTGTCCTTTCTTAATGTCGACTGCTTCGGTGGTTGCGGCAGAAATAGCCAGAGCGACACCAGAGCCAATTTGAAATGCAGTGTTGAGCATTCCACCGCACAAGCTCTTGACCTCGACGGGCACGCTGGTCAGGATGGTGGTGCTGGTTGTGACGAAGATGAAGGAAACGGCGGAAATGCTGATGAGCGAAGTTGCGAGGTTGTTCACCCAGAAGTTTGTTGTTCCAGTCGCGGTCAAGGCACTCGGGATTGGTGCCAGCACGGAGAGTATCAGGCCAACGAAAAGTGTGTACTTTCCGTTCATGTACTCGAGCAGCTTGCCCGTTCCCATGGAAGCGATGAAGCCGATTACACCCATGGGCAAGAAGCGAAGGGCGGTTTCGCCAGCCGAGAGCCCGTCGACTTGCTGTGCGATCAAGACGATGTAATAAATGACGTTCTGGTAGCTTCCGTAGCAAGTGAAACCTGCGATCCAGAGACCGGCAAAGTTGGGAAGCTTCCACAAAGACAAGGGCATCAAAGGGTTGCTGATGTACTTCTCCAAAAGGACGAATGCAACCAGGAGGGCAATGGACAAGACGAGGAGCACGATGACAAATGGGGTGCCCCAGCCATAAACACCGCCACTCGAAAGGACGAATTGAAGAAGGATCAGGCCAACGGTGGATAGGACGGCCCCGATGTAATCCATCTTGGGTCTCACTTCCTTGACGGAGCGATCGCTGGGCAGGACAATCAATCCCAGGGTACACAATGAGCCAGTCAGAATAACAACGATGTAGAAGATGTATCTCCAGCCCAGTGAAGTGGTGAGGAAGCCACCCAGGATAAGACCGGCGCAGAAGCCCAAGGTCCCTGAAGCAGCGTAAATCGACAGACTGCGAGTTCTATCAACACCTGTAAAGTAGGAGCTGATAATTCCAATCGCGGAAGGTACTGTCATTGCAGCTCCAATGCCCTGGATACCACGGAAGACCGTGAGCTGAATAAACGACTGGCCGAATCCGATAGCCAATGTCCAGATAGAAAGCCAGAAGAGGCCAAGACAGAGAATGAGCTTTCTCCCATAGCTAATATAGAAGTAAGCGATAATTCAATCAAATTCAAAAACAATGTCCTTACCGGTCGGACAAAGCTCCAGCCAAAAGAAGGAAGCCACCAAAGGTCAAGGTGTATGCCGAGATCATCCATTGCAAGTTGGTAGTCGACACATCGAACTCATCCTGAATCGACGCCAACGCCATGTTTGAACTAGTCATGAAAACATTGTCCAGAAACTGGGATCCTGAAGTAACCAGCAAAATCAAGGAACCTCTCCAAGAAGCAAGCCGACCGAACTCTTGAGGAAGCTTCTCCAGAGTCATGGCCTTTTCGTTGTCAGTCGGGGTACCGACTGCAGTAGAAGCAATTGAGCCAGAAGAAGACTCAGAAACAGAGATAACGGTAGTTTTAGGGTGTTTAGTTAAAGGAGTGACAGTGTCTCGCAAGCCATCCCCATTGTTCCATGTGGCGTGGCCACGAAGCCGATTAAACCAACCGATAATCGCCATTGTTTCGTGTCAGATGGAAATGAAGAATCTAGGACGCGATGCCTTACATTTATAGCTTCTCAATTAAAAAAGAAAATCCTTTCCAAAAAATCCGAACTATGGACCTGCGATGGATAAAAGCGGGTACAGTGGGTATTGCTCTCTTCAGGAGACATCCGTGTGGACCAGCACACGCAATGATCTGACTCCCGCGGCTTTTTACCAGCGAGTCATCGCTACTGTCCAGCTCATGTGGGACCTGATTTCTAAATTCTGGGAAACTCATTCACTAGTCACTATCATAATGCCTCACTGATACTCGAGTCCAGTCCCCAAGATTGACGAAATGGGGCATCGACGAAGCTTCTTTTTTCTTAATTCTTAATTCAACCCGAACTACTCTAAGATCTGCATGTTTTGTGGTCCATATCTTTCGACTACGGACATTCGCGGGATGTGTGGGAGATTAATGATCTGGACGATCTGTATGCTCAATCAGTGGCCGCAGTATGAAAATCGGAGACATGAGACACCTGTCCTCCTTTCCCCCCTTTCTTTGTCATTCCATAGCCATCTCGTTTGACGTACCACCATCCACTCTGAGATCGCTTGAAAATGTCATCTTTTGTTTTACATCATGAAAGTGGAGACTGAATACCTCTCGCACATCACAATATGCTCAGTCTGCTCAGTCGAAACACATGTGTCTCCGGAGGGTCCCGCATTCCCTAAGCTGGCTTGAAACGCATCTGGAGAAGATAGATCTCTAACATTGCACCCAAAGCCTACGTCACAGACGGTATCTTGGTAGGATCACTGCGTAGCTCATCTGGCAATGGTCTAGATAATGCCGACTGTTGAAATTAAAGTTCTCTTTTGCGCACTAGTTAAGCGTAAGACAACTTACCGCAACCTAATTCAGCTGATCTCGATCAACCAATTCTTAAATGATAACTAGCGGCTACGAAGTTTCCAACTGAACCAACAACTCTTATTCCAAAGTAAGAGACCATCAGCGAAAGCGTTACGCAATCGAGCGCTGTACAAGCATGTGAGTAAGGCGTGATCATGATTCCGATCGGACACTATCTCAGAGGTACCTTTTCAATGATCATCGTGAAAGTTGCGTCAAACGAGGGGGGGGAGGGGTTCTGCAGCAGGGAGTGCAAGTGTTGCGAGAAAGAAACCTCCCACGCCTCATGGGTGGTCGGAACAGGCATTGTCCCGAAAAATGTGGATGCCGATATGCTTTTTGGAAATTTCTACTAGACGCAGGAGATTAGAGCTTACGCCAGCTTTCAGCCAAGACATGTCGATAGTGAAAGTTCTTTAGCCGTCGGGAAACCCATGCTCATCACCCTAATATGGGGTGTTTGGTATCTTGGTAGTCGAGAATGTCCATATTCAGACTCTGGTTGACTTGATTCTTTATCTAGTGTGATCTTGATGAAATACCTAGACCCTGAATAGACCCTGAATAGACCCTGAGCAGACCCTGAGCAGATCCCCGCACGTTATCGGTCAGAAGCACCTGCTAAGCAACGAACTAGACCGGATAGTTTCGGCAATGAAGATCCTCAAAATTAAGGCCGTACCTCCGAAAGGGCCGGTAGTTTCATAAACTAAAGATTCGTCATATCCTCAACCATTCGCGTTATCCCCCCTTTTGGCCCTTGTGATGACGATCCGGCCTCCCGATAAGGATGATCTCCCTTTTCCATGATGATCGCCGACTAGTTTCCGCCCCTTATCTCAGTTCGAGAGCCAAGGTACAGTTGACGCGTCCACGATGATCGCCAAAGACCCTTGGTGGGTCTCCCATTTTGGAACAGTTGTCCCGGCTCCAAACTGCCACTAGAACCATTTGGGTTTAGAACTCCTGAGGACCAAGACCAGTGGCCCCGGACATGACCCTGATCGGCCGTCCTTGTTTTCTCCCATCAGATTACCGCCCCTTCCCTTGTACTGTAAATGTTCCCGGCTCTCTACCCATACGTCAATATCTGCACCGGGGCTCCGGTATCTCATCCCTGTCATCCACTCCGCAGATATTGCCCTTCCTTGATTTGCCCAATGAACTCCTGTTGAGCATAGCTTATCAGCTCGAGTCACTGGGTGGCGTCAGTACCCTGGCCAGCGTCAATCGCAGTTGTTACTCCGTGGTTGATTTCCATCTCTAATAGATATTCTTAAAATCGCGGATCACAAAAGGTATGGGTTATTATAGGCTGCCGAAAATGGCCGGCTACAGTAGCTGTTCGCAAATTTCTCCATCAACGGGCAGAAGTGAGGAATATAAATGTGATGGAAAGATTCCTCTTACTATTGCGGTATCTTGAGGATATGCAGAAGTCGTGCCGGGATTGCTTAAACCCGATCCTAACGTTTACCTGCGTGATGACCGTGAACATGCACAGTCCATTGCCTTAGAAAAGAGTCATGTCGCAGTGGCATGTCGCATGACTGTGAGAAGTTCGTCGAGTTTCTTCTGGAGAGAGGCTCAAATCTTGGGTCTCGAGATTCACTCCGTCGCTCCCTATTGCATCAAGCGGCTTTTCAGGTTTTCTCCTGAACGTTGGTTGAGTTGCTGCTGGCGGGAGGCGCCGATCGAGCAGCGAAGGATGTCTCCGGCCAAGCCCCATTGCACATGCCCGTGGGGTCCTGCCGGTTTCATTTAGCTGCTCAACACTTAATCTTATATGGATATGACCCGGATGCGAAGGATTTGCAGGGGGTCAGACTCCTCTACACCTAGCCGCACGGTCAGTTATTGATCATTCGGTTGAAATCTTGATTAAAGGACAGGCAGACGTGGACTCTAGGGATCTAAATGTAATGGTCCCGCTATTTTTGGCGGTGTAGAGAGATCATCCTAACGTGCTTTACTGGTGCGACATTTGTGCGAAGCTGGAGCTGATCCTAACTCTATAGACCAAGGCGGTGGGAGTCCGTTGGATTTGCGCAGACGGAGAGGTAATGAACAATTAATTAGGCTTTCGCTGAATAAGGCTTTTGAACCAGAGCGGTGTTCTCCCTGAGCGGGGTCGAAGGCGGGTGAGTTGTCTCGCTTCCCGGGGGCAAATTAGATGTATAGTGGCGAGCTTTGGCCCAGGCGCACGGGACCGTGCGGAGCTCGCGTGGCTCGGCTATTCCTGTCAATCTAGATCCTCTCGTCATAATCCGGGGTAGAACGCAGTAAAAGCCTTTGCTCTGCCCCCTTTAGGTCTTTTTTCTATCCAATCCCCACTTCGTCTATGATCGTCGTTGCGTTTCTCACCTAGTTTGTCTCCGCTAGGCGGCTTCGTCTGCAGTTCGAGATGAACAGCAAGCCTACCATGAACCGTGGCAACGGTGCCCTGGACATCAGCCTCGCTGCACCTCAGGGATGGAGCTATATCGCCGGTGACACCGTCATTGGCATGGTTTCTCGCCATGCACCAATAATCACATCAGAGGCTACCGTGAAACTCGCTTTGAAGGGACGGGTCAAGATCCAGGTCCCCAAGGGATTCGGCGCATCCCACGATCGCCCCGGGCCGGTCTATAAAGAACTTCTGATCCCCAAATGCCATACTCTGTTCCAGGGTCCTCTTCATATACCAGATATCAGTGACTCCGTCTATTGGCCTTTCGAGGTCGGGATATCGCCCTTCTCCCAGGACTCAGCATTTCAAGTCAACGGAGATTCACTTCCGAGCTGGGACGATATATGCAGCTCTCGACTACCTGGAACTTTCTATTCAGTCGGAAGCCACCCTTCCAGTTCTCTATCAGCGTGCTGGGTCGAGTATTATCTCGAAGCCGAGATGCGATATGTCCAGAAGGGCGAACAAAAAGTCCACACTTCAACATGTCCCATTCAAGTGAGACATACCCCGGAAACTATCTTCAGTGGGTTTGGCAAGCAACGGAGAACATTGAACCGAAGCATCCGAGGCCAGCATTTGCTCCCAGCGCACCAAGAGGATCGCTCGTTCGGACGAAGAACACGAGAGTTCTTCATCCATCCCTCGAATCACGCACCCGAGCTTCACTACAAAGTCGAAGTCTACGCACCAGCAACCGTCCAGCTCGGGAACCCGTCAAATATCCCATACAAACTGAAATTTGAGATCCTACCGCAGACAAGCACCGCACTCAGAGATGTCGAGTTAAAAGTCCTCTTCAACTCAGCCAAATTTATCCTAAGATCTGAGACCAAGGTGACCACAGGAACTGCACTTCATTCGCTCTCCAGTATACATGGCTCTCGTACAGACCTTGGAATAGAGCAGGCTTTCAAACAGCTCGATGCTTTTCCTTTGATGATTCCCTTGACCGAGAGAAGCCAGACTCTCAATATCGGCAAAATGCTTCAGCTTACTCTCCACACGACCGGTCTAAAGGCTGGTGAAAAAGAGCTATCGGCGACGGGACTCATTACGCCGAACTTTACTACTCATACCTTGCGGTATTTGAATACGCTGCAGGCGGAATTTTCGGTCACGGTCGCTGGAAACACCACATGGTTGTACGCAAGCACGCCCCTGACGATTATAGCGGAGATGTGAGTGCTCGCGTGTGGATCTAGGTGTTTATTGCTGTATATATTGAGCGATTTCATGATCATGTCTTTCATTTTCAAACATATTCAGTTGTGTTTGAAGCAAAACCTTGCCCACGTCACTGGATATATAGTGGACCCAATATATATCTCTATGAAGAAAAACTTCAACTTCGCCAAAACCGTGGGCAAGCACTTAAAATGCCTCGAAATCAATATTAAATCACCTAGGCACCTATAAGCTTGACACTAACAAAAGAAAAACCCATCCAACTATGGTTGCGACCGTGTGGACTTATACCAGAACAAGCCCTGTTGGGTGGAATGGGCAACCGAGGGAAGTGGCTCAAGAAGTGTAAAAAGCCGAAAACTTCCATCAGCCATCCAAGTGGTCGAGCAGTAACTCGGCTATCGCATCTTCCTTGGTCTAGTGGTCATGATTTCCGCTTGTCATTAACACCGATAAGCGCGGGAGACCGGGGTTCGATTCCCCGAGGGAGAGTTTATTTTTTGCAGTTTCCATGTTGATCAACTGCCAAGTGTGTGGTTTGAGCAATTTTTGATCACAACCTAGGAAAGATAAGTTCTTATTTTTTCTTCGCAAAGAACTATCGAATTAAAATCTCATCACTGGCTGACAGCTGCGAGAATGGACGCAGCGAGGAACATTACATTGGTCTTCAGTGGCACGAGAGTACACCTGGAAGCACAAGCATAGATAGGGTAGTGGAAGTAACGAACAAACGAGGAAATACACCAGGCTAAAGTCAAAATGCAAGTTCTTCAGAAAATTTCTGGACTGAGAGAAGTTTTAGTGGCTTCCCTGTGATCATCATGACTGCCAGAACAGGCAGGCACTGTCCGTTCCCTCGCACGACTTAGATGAGAACTTCGCTCGCCCATCTCTGAATATCCCCAGGTACTTCCATCTAGTCCATCTTCTGTTCAAATGAACTCGGCGTGATATCAGAACAGCTCCCACCCCCAAAGCGGTCTCGGCTGAAGGTGCAACACGAATCTAAACATGGCATTCTGGGTTGGCTGGGCACTGTGGGAGAAGTTGACTTTGGTATATCCATACCTCGCCCCCGAGAAATATGGCCATCCACTGACACCTCATCTTCGCAGGTTTTGGTGTTTCTGCTCGTGCGACAAGCCATCCTGTGATGGAGACTGGTGTACTGACAGATTTCTTAGGTACTCGTGCTCATTGCTGCCTCTCTCGTCCTGCAACTTCAGCAATGGAGGACGCGCAGATACGCAGCAGCCGAAGCTCACCAGAAAGTGGAGGATTCTGAGCGGTATCCCATGCTCGCACATGATGACATTCCCTTTGGAGCAAGAGCCCTTGAGAGAGGAGTGCAAATCGAAGGTATCTGGATCTCCAACCACAACACTCCAGTCCAAACCCCTCATCAGCCGGGAACTCCCATCGAAAGCCGCTCGCCCAGTCCTGCACCAAAATCAATCCCCTCGCACTCTGAAATGAAACTGGCATCACCGGTCTATGAGAACATTGCGATTACTCGTGCCTCTCTGCCGCCATTCGCCCCGGCTCCAATGCACTCCAACGCAGGCGTCTTAGCAGGGGACAGTTACACTCACGAATCACAACGACCCAGAGGAATGTATTCCTCCATGATGGCATCCAGCTTCCCGATTCCACCCAGCACCTCCCACCGCCGCAGTGATACCTTGGTCACTAGTGACAAGCGCGCCAGCTTCCACAGTCGAGTCTTCCGTGCAAGCCAACTGTCCGATACCAAGGGTCGCGCCAGTCCCAACGACCACGACGAGGCAGGGTTGGGTTCAGCTGGCAATGACGTCGGTGCTCGGCCGGGGGACGAGCAGCAGGCTTCACGGATGACTAGTAAGTGCCTATCCCGGTCATACTAGGAGACGGTTCCCAGGTACTAACACGGCTTTTATAGGACTTCTTCGAAGGCGGTCATCGGAGGAGTTCAGACGCAAGATGAGTGCGATCTTCAACGAGAGAATCCATATGAATACGCCGAGCGATCAAACCCAAGACCCCCCCACACTGCAACAAAAGCGACGCACTTTTCGGAAATCTCTCCTCGGGCCTTTTCGTTCTTAAATTCGCCATTTTGTGTTGATCGCAGTGCTTTGGTCTTCGAGTTGGAAGAGGTAGATAGTACTTTAAAGTGAAATGGCGGTTGTGATTCCCGTGAGACTGACGAGGATGGCAAATATCAATTCTCTTCATCTTTGAATAGATGCAGGAAATGTATCCTTTACGTCAAGGAAACATGGCCATGGCCATGTAAACTAAGGGAAGCCACGTAGATCGACAAGATAAACACTCGGCGAGGGGCATTATACTGTGTTTGGACGTTGCTGCCTGAGCCCAAATAGGAAGGATGAACACACACGTGACCGCGCGACGGCCTCGACGCGTCGAAAACGAAGGCGATTATTGACTCGTCGAGAGATCCCGGATTTCGCCACGAGCATTCCATTTCTTCGGCAGCGGCTGCCTGGTGACTCGGTTCTTCATCTGCGACTGTTTTCCCTTGACCTTCCGAGAGAGAAACCTGTCATTGCGCGACCAACCGTACCCTAAGACCGGACGCGTGTTTTCGTGTTGATCGAGCTTCAAACACCCGATTGAGACGTGCATACGGCTGCTACCGTCGGCTTGCCTCTCGAAAATGACCGCCGATAACATGGAGACTCAAGGCGAGATCGATGAGAATGGGTTGCCTGGCCCAGGTGCGCCTACCCCTCTTTCCGCACTGGAGGTAAGTGAATATTTTGGAGCCATCCTATTTAGCCGATTTGCGAGGTGTCTGACTCTTTTGATGTGCTAGGGACTTGCGGGCTTGACGGCCAGAGATATTAAGCTGTTTGTCGATGCTGGATACCACACTGTTGAGTCGATTGCCTATACGTACGCGTCCCGCCATACACTTGCCTGTCACAACGACTCGATGCCTGCAGGGTTCCTCTTTGATGGATGTGGGCTGACATGATGGGTTAATTGCAGACCAAAACGTTTGCTGGAGCAGATCAAGGGTATCTCAGAGCAAAAGGCGACCAAGGTCTTGGTGGAGGGTGAGTTTCGTTTTGCGTGGCAATGCCGCCCTATCTTGAGAGCGAGTTACTAACAAAACCATTCTAAACAGCTGCAAAACTCGTGCCGATGGGCTTCACAACGGCCACTGAAATGCATGCCCGACGAAGTGAGCTCATCTCAATTACCACCGGATCGAAGCGACTTGACACCCTGCTCGGAGGTGGCGTTGAAACTGGCTCAATTACGGAGATTTTTGGAGAATTCAGAACGGGAAAGAGTCAAATATGCCATACTCTCGCGGTGACCTGCCAACTTCCCTTCGATATGGGCGGAGGCGAAGGAAAGTGTTTGTACATCGACACCGAGGGAACCTTCCGGCCCGTCCGTCTCCTAGCAGTCGCTCAGAGGTTCGGACTTGTCGGAGAGGAAGTTCTCGACAATGTGGCATACGCACGCGCGTACAATTCAGACCATCAGCTGGAACTACTCAACCAGGCATCGCAGATGATGTGTGAAACCCGGTTCTCGCTTCTTATCGTCGACTCGGCGACTTCGCTATATCGAACGGATTTCAACGGCCGTGGTGAGCTCTCGTCACGACAGACGCATTTGGCCAAGTTCATGCGCACGCTGCTGCGCCTCGCCGATGTATTCGGAATCGCGGTTGTCATTACCAACCAGGTCGTGGCCCAGGTCGATGGTGGGCCGAGCGCCATGTTCAATCCTGATCCTAAAAAACCTATCGGAGGTAATATCATTGCTCACGCGAGTACGACTCGACTCAGTCTGAAGAAGGGCCGTGGTGAGACTCGTGTTTGCAAGATTTATGATAGCCCTTGTCTGCCTGAGAGTGATTGTCTCTTTGCAATCAATGAGGACGGCATCGGCGACCCCAATGAGAAGGATATGGAGAACGAATAAGTGCATGTTTGTTTATTGTTGACACGATGTTAGTGACTTGACGAGCCCTGAACCTTTTATTATCCAATATTTCCATATTCTCTCTGTAACTAGCGGCCGAAAAGAAGGTTCTGTGTATGATATTATAATATGGAATATAAGTTGCATTTTTGAATCAATGCTCCCAATTCCCATTGAAGTTCTCGGGGTCAATAGGGTATAAAGTGTAGACTCAGGTGGAGTGGGCGCAAAGAAGTTCCCGCGCCAAGACTTTGTTTTTTGGGAGCTCCAGCTTCCGCCCTGCAACCTTCTCCATCAGCCATGGAAGTCTGAGACCTGGCTCTTTTCATCATGGCCAAAATTTACAAAGATACGAGAGTCGACCTTCGGCCCTTTTCGCCGGCCACGGTTGCCACCATTAACGTCTCGCCCCAACAGAGCGCGCTCCGTCGCCCGCGCTTCTCAATCTCCTCTGGCTCTGCCTCCGACCCTGAACCCCCGATCGCTAAGGATGAAGACGAATTCGCCAGACGGTATCTTGCCACACAGGGCGCGGTATACTTTCGCAAACGCAGAACCTATCCGAGGACGTTCCTGTGGAGGGTCATTAATGACAACAAGGTGTTGGAGATTCAATGCGCGGACTTGACGAAGGGTGGCTTGGAACACTTCGAATACAATGTCACTCTCCGGCTCAATTTCAACGAGCAGATCATCCCTTCTGGCGTTGCATTGGCCGACCGCGAGGATCATGAGATTCTCACCGTGTTCGTGATCACCGCCTCTAAGCAGCTTCACACTCTGGCGCTTCGCCCTGAATTCTTCCGCAGACCGGAGTCAATCGACGAGAACGTGTCCGACTGGTGCAAGTCGTGTGTCCCTGCGCCTTTGTCTTTCTCTTATCCTCACCGACTACACGCGAGCAGCCCGCTGGAACTGTTCATCTCTCTCGACAGTGGCGCCCTTCTGCGCTTGACACGGAGGGCCGGTGATGATGGTAAGCCCCCTTGATCAGCTGTCTCCTGTCGCATGATCCCTCGAACTAGGAACTAATTAGGCCTGAACAGGTTCGCACTGGACTCCTCTTACCTTTGACGAACGGACATGGGGCGCTTCTATCCGCGGCCTTGTCAAATGGAACGCACCCTCCTCCCTCAAACACAATGGACGCAGCCTTGACCCGAATGTCGCCAATGCTATCGCTACCACCTCCGATGAGACGTACGTTTTCGCGATCTGCTTGAACCATACCTTGAAAATTTGGAATCTAGCGTCGAACAAACTGGCTGGGACAAAGGATCTTCTGGACCGCCCAATGGACTCTGATACTGTACCGTACACCTTGAACCCGGCAGAGACCTCGTTTATTCGGGTGTTCAACGCGGAGCGAGCATTGGATGGGAGCCATCGTTTCTACGTCGTCACATACTCCCCGCTCGAGGATGGACGCTTCAAGTTCTGGGCTGTCAAGGGAGGACTGACATCCGATCTCGTCATTGAAGACCTCTTTGCGGATGCTGTGTTCCGGCCGGAGGACCCAGATACCACAGGGAACATGTTCTGGAGCATCGCCGATTTCCAGGTCAAGTCTGTGGAGGAAGGAAAGGGCATGGAGTTGTGGGTGCTGTGGAGAAACCATGGTCTCTATCAACTTTACACCCTTCATTTTGATTTACAGACCCTGGTAACCGACTGGGAGACCAATTGGGTGTCGACGACATTCGAAACACATCGACAAGAGCCTTTACCTACACCGACACTAGATGATGTGGCGGACCCGACCGAGAGGTGGCTTGCCTACCTTTTGCATCCCAATAGGTACCTGCCCGAGGTTCTTGAGACCGCACTGGCGGTCTACCAGGAGGCCCTCAAGCCCTTGTCTGCAGCCTCATCTGGTGTATTGAAGAGAGACGTGCCACTTCCTGAGAGGCTTTGCTCGACTATCGCAGCGACTGTCTCTCTGCGCAAATACGCCGATGATGAGATGGACTACACTCGGTATCGAATGGATACAGATGCGAAGTGGCGTCAGTTCTGGCAAGTTGCGGATGACCTCAACAAGCGTCGATTCGAACCTATCTCTCTCGCCTACGATTCATACTTTGAGATGCCATGGCTGCTACTTTCGGACTCTTGTGCCGTGATTCGGGAATGCAACACTGCCGAGTTGCTCTTGAACAACCCTCCTTCAGAATTCCGCGATGATGTTCCCAAGATCGTGGACCGCTGGAGGCACCGCAACCTGAGTTCTGAACTTGGTAACTTGTTCGAAGAGGCCTCTTCGTTGATGAAGGTTGCTTCCGATTTCCGCAAGAGGTTCTCTGCTCAACTCGACGCCGCATGTCGTGCTGCTCTTGAGGCTGAGATCTTCAGTGAGCCATTTTCATCGATCACTGACCGCATGGATGTTTTCCGGGAGCGCTGCGAGTTTGACCAGATTACGAACAAGTCTTTTGACAGCCTCGTCGCGGCCTTGAATGACTATTTCGAGGCCGAGAACTTGTCCAGTGATGCCTTTTACGCCATTATTAACACCGCCCCTCTTGGATTCAACGGTAAAGATTCGGAACTTCGCTCGACTTGCTTCGGTTCACGAGTTATTGTCAGTGGTGCGCTTGAGAGTATTCTACTCACGCGCAAGATGCTCTATGACCTGTTAATCCTGGTTGTCTTTGTGGATGGCGAGATTGAGCAAGGAGAACGTTCCAACTTCGATGCTCCCGATCTCTTCTCCACGCTAATCGACCTTCTCCGTGAATATGAAATGATGTACTGGCTGAGCTCAAATGTCCGGAAATGCCCTGATCGGTCTGCCAGCACTGGTAGGGATTCGACCCAGGCATTCTCACTGAAGGGCAACAAGTCTCAAGACAAGCACCAGAGGAGTGCGACTATCCTCGAGGATCTGTTCGTTTCGGATATCAAGCCCCGGCCACCCATTAATCTGCCGCAAAGCTACACATTAACCCTGGGGATCAGGGATGTCTTGGCTTGGATCACCAGGCAAGGCGAAGTGGCGTATCCCAACGCTCTCACCTACATCCAGTGTGACCTTATCGCCAAGAATAACATTGACCTCGCCTGGGATTTCCTCCGTTTTCAAGCAAGCACACCCTGGGCAACTTATGTCAAGGGTCGCCTGCATGTGGCCATGGCCGAGTTTGACACTGCAGCCATCTACTTCCGGAAGGCAGCATACCTCCTTTGTAAGTTTATTCCTTCACTGACCATGGAACTTCAGTCAGCTAATTGATTACCTTTGTAGCTAGCGGGAAAGCCCTGGGCAACCTCCACGAGATGTCTTCGACACTTCTGGACCTTGTTTCTGTGAAGTCCTTCCATGACGGGATTCCGAAGTATTACCAGCATATCCTTTCAGTGTTCGAAAAAGTGCGCTCCTTCTCGCATGTCGCGGATTTTGCCAGCCTGGCGCTGCAGGCCCTCGACTCCGAAGTTTGGGCTGAACAAGCTGCGGAATACACAAGCATGCGGACCGACTTGCTCTCGCGGCTCTTCCATGCATCTCTGAAGACCTGCCAATTCGATCAAGCATATTCCGCCCTGTCCCGTTACCAGGATCTTGCGTTACAGAGATCTGCACTCAGCTCCCTCGTTTCCACCATCCTGATCGTTTCCGGACCAGGACCTGCCGGTCTCAAGCAGATCCTCCGCTTTCCCACCTCGCTCGTCCCCAACATCGCCTCTTACATCGACGAAATCCTCGTCTCCCTCGCGCGGAAACAGGGCACCTTCTCTTCATGGCTGGACATCGACAACAACGAGGCCAACATCTCCCCCGACTACCATCGTATCCTGCAAGCATACCGCATCGCACGCGGCGACTTCCGCGGCGCCGCCGAAATCGCCTACCGAAACGTCCAGCGTCTACGCCAAGCACGAGACGCCCCGTCCTCCGCTGTCGCCCTCAAATCAAAGAAGGAAAGTGAAGAAACGGGCGTGCCAGAAGATGACAGCGAGAGCAAGGAAATCCGCCACGAGCTCCTTTCGCTGATCAACCTTCTCGGCTCCGTCGACAAGAGCGAAGCCTACATCCTCGTCGAAACCGGGCCCCTCACCTCCTCCCAATGCCAAGAAAAGCGTCGTGGCTCCACAGACAACGACGGTAATGTCTTCATGGAAGACGCAGAGGGCTCAACAACACCATTCAACGCCCACCGCCGCTCCTCCAGCGCCGCATCCTTCGCATCCGGCCGTCGAGGAAGCCGCTCTTCCATTGGCGGCCTCAGCGTCTCGTCCAAGGCACCTATCGAGCCGCTCCAGGAGCGCGTCATCGTTACCCTTGAGCATCTGCGCCGCGAGTATCAGTCTGAACTTGACCGTGTTAGTCGTATTGAGCGTGGCGATTGGGAGTTTGGTCTTCTGGATGATGAGGACGAGGACAATAACGATGATACGATGGTTTTGTCGTAGTGAGGAGATTTGTGGTTTATCATCTCTTTTTCTTTTGTTCTCGTGATGCTGGAAGTTGTCATCGGAGGAGTTTCTAGCATGTTTCCATAGTATCTTTGTTTTCTTAGGGTAGTCTGGTGCTGCAAAATAGGACACGAGATGTTTTCTAGTTATGTTTCTGGGAGTTTCCAGCCATGGAACTTTTCGGTTTTGGGTAGTTTCCAAGATTTCCAGAACAAGTTTTTCCGACCGACCGCGCGCGCCGCGTACTAGCATCCGGGCAAAAACCCGAGGTTATGTAGCGGGTCTACGCCGGGCGAGTTCCATGATATCCATCGGAGTCTCCCTGAGTACTGGACATTTGAACTGAGTATTTAGAGGTGCTTTCAGGTGTTTGAGCTTAATAGAAGTAAATTGGTTTCCAAAGCTTTTCTGAGACCAAATGATTTCCAATGTTCTGACGATGAGGGTGAGTGGTGCGCAGCATGCAATCCAAATATATATTGAGCCAGAGTCAGGTTTACCACCTAACCATCACCAGTGCCACGTTTAGTTTTCATTATCCAGACTGGATAAAGGATAGGATGGGGTAATTTAAGCGATTAACATTTGAAAAGCACCACCTTCAAAAGTATTGCCATTCTTAAGATAGTGCCCCGATATGTGGGTCTGGTGTCGTAGAGACCGAAACTACATAAGGACATATAAAAACTTAACATTCAAGGTTGCGTTGAAAACGGGAACATACTTTTTACAAGATATTAAAAGACGAATTTTAAAATCGTTCCATTGATATTCAAGCTGCTCTTGATTATCATTAAGAGTAGACGGTAGGCCAAGTATAGATGTAAAGATACCCGCCAAACAAGATTATAGACATTCCACCCCAAGTATGGGAGGGCAAGGACGGTGAGGCCAGACCGGCCATAAACAAAATGCGAATGAATGAGAGTCAAGAGGAGTTTCAAAAAAAGCAAAACGCCCTGCAAACAACTCTGTACGTTGACGACGATATGTACCAAAGGGAAAAAGTCGAGCGCAACAACGCAATACAACTCGCCAGGTCACTTCAATCTGTGCAGTGCAAATGCAAAAGACTCCCAAAAAACAAAATCACGGTCAAAGTATCTACTCGTCGTCCTCGGCCGCCAGCGCATTCGAGTACAGCTTGCTGAAGTGCGACTTGGGTTCGCTTAGGAGTGCATATGGCTCGCCGGTCTCAACGATCCGCCCGGCGTCCAGCACCACTATCCGGTCGTAATCAAGGATCGTGTCGAGCTTGTGCGCTACCGAAAGAATGGTGTGCTTGCAGAACTTCTCGCGAATGACCCGCTGCATGATTTCATCTGTTTTGGTATCGATGCTGGAGTGGGTTAGCCTTGTTTGTCCTGCAAGGGGCCGATGAGTGGTGGTGCGACGCTTATAGATCCAATTGCCGCGCTCGGATCCAGCCGCATATGCAGGGGGCTGACAGGCGCCAGATGCAAAGAAAATCCAAAAATAAAGTAAAAAACAAAATCACAGAGTGGAGCACAAGGAAGCGAGGGAACAACGTCAGGGGCTGAGTCAATAATTCGGAATGTACTCACTTGCTGGTTGCCTCGTCCAGGATGAGGATGTTGCCCGGGCGAAGGAGCGCCCGCGCAAGACAGAAGAGCTGCTTCTGGCCGTGCGACAGGTGGATCTCGTCGATGTCGGTGTCCAAATCCCCCTTCTCTTCGATTGCAGGAAGGAGCTTTACGGACTTGAGTGCGTTCAGGATGTCTTGGTCACTGCGTGACCCCGCTGGGTCGGCGTTGACGCGCACGCTGCCCTTGAACAGGAGTGAGTCTTGTGAGACTCCGTTGATGCGTGAGCGAATTTCGCGTCGTGGAAGTCGGGTGATGTCAATGCCGTCCACGGTTATCGTGCCGCTCGTCATCTCGATCATGCGGAAGATGCTCATGATCATTGAGGTTTTGCCGCTGCGTGAGGTGTAAGCTTAGATCGTAGATTTGCATTGGGCTGTCTTACCTTCCTGTTCGCCCACAGATGCCCACTTTCTCTCCTGCTTTCACTGAAAGTGAGACTTCGTTGAGGACCGGCTCTTCGGGCCTGGTGATTAGAGTTAGTTTGTATTCCAAGAAACGTGGATGTGGGTGGCATACCTGTAGGCGGCGGAAATTGAGTGGAAGGTCACCGCGCCATTTTGTGGCCAGTTGGGAGGAACGTCGCCATCCTCTCCCGGCCGGTCTTCGGACTTGACATTCTGAGTGAATTGCTTGATGCGTAGAATCGAACCGATGTGGGTCTCCAGGTTGGTCCAGAAAGTCACCAGAAGCTTGATGCTCTGGCTGAACTGGATAACATTGAGAAGCGCAACACCCACGGAGCCAGCGCCGAGACTGGTTCCACGGAGAATAACAACCAGGACAATCAGGAGAATCGCAATGCCGGCGACAAGGAGATCAAGTGACAGGGTCAACCATCGCTGAATGGCAAACATGAAGTAGAAAGGTCTCTGAGACTGATCCAGGAGCTCGATGTTCTTCTTCTCCATGCCGTGTTGCCATCCGAAGGCGCGTAGGGTAACAAGTCCCTGAAGACAGTCGGTAAAGTGCGAGTAGAGCGGGGCCTTAGCCTCAAGATCCAGGAAACGGAGCTGGCGGGAAGTGCGCAAGTACAGCTTCTGGATGAGGAACAGGATACCGAGCACGAGAGGGAAAGAGATGGCTGCATATTCAGAGCCAACAGCAATCAGTACCATTTGAGCCAAGCAGAGGAAGAAAGTAGCGACAGTGTTGATGGCGGCAATGGGAAGCTCCATGTCGATTAGCTGTAAATCTTGACTGAATCGATTGAGGATAGCCCCACTGTCGGTAGTAGAGAAGAACAGCATCGGGGCACTGAGTACGGTAGTCAACAACTTGCGGTGGAAGGTCTCGCCGGACTTTGGAACCATGGTGATAATCATTTGCCAGCAGCCAAGGATGAGAGCAAGCATAGCGGCAACACCCAGCATCACGTAGATGCCCAAGTAGTAGCCGACGTGCTGCTTGGGCTCGGCCGTGTCAGATCGGGCCCACCACTTCAACCAAATACTAGGAAACGAGAGGCAGAAAACAAAGACGGCCATGGCAACAATGAATACCATTGCGGGACCCCAGCCGATAGCGTTGATGTAGTATGTGTAGATGGACAGGTCACCGCCAGTTTCACGATGCTCTGGCTCGGGAGCCAGAGGCTGTTTCTCCTTAAGCTGCGTCTCCTTGTCAACCGAGTCCAAGGTGCTGCTGCTGGGAGACTCGGAGAACCGCTTCGACTTGTACTCCCAATCGGGGCCACCGAGGCCGAAGCTCGACACGTATCCGCCAGTCTTGTTCAGAGCGCTGAAGCTGCCTTGCTCAATGATGCGACCGGTGGGGTCCAGAACCACAATGTGATCGGAGTATGGAAGGCGTTTCACGGATGAAGAGGCGATGATGATGGAAGTGCCAGTCTCTCGCAAAAGTCCAAAGTGACCAAACAGATAGTGGAAGATATGGCTCTCAGTGGTGGCATCAAGACCACTGAGAGCATCGTCCAAAATGATCATCTTTCTGCGGGCATACACAGCGCGGGCGAGAGCAATACGCTGGCTTTGACCACCGCTGAGAGCGATGCCTTTGCTTCCGATAATACTTGCGTCGCCCCGGGGGAATTGACCAAGATCTTCTTCGAGCGCACAGGCCTGAATCACCGTTGCGTACCACTTGGGGTCGTACTCCGACATGGCAACGATACTGTCCTTGATGGTGCCATTCATATGCCATGGGGTCTGATCACAGAACGCCACACTGGGGGAAGACAACGAAACCTTTCCTTCGGCACAAGGAATCTCTCCAAGAAGAGCCTTGAGTAGTGTAGACTTTCCGCAGCCAGAGGGTCCGATAAGCATAGTAAAACTGCCTCGAGGCACAGTAAGCGAGATGTCCTTGAGCACAGGCTCCTTAGAAATATCCCACGAGAAGCTTCCATTTTGGATGGTAGCCGCGTTGGACAACGTCGAAGAAGTAGATCCGCGCTTGAAGGACTCCACAGATCCGGAGTTGCTAGAGAGATCCAGGTCACCCGACTTCGAGAGATCTAGGTCGCCCGACTTGGAGAGAAGCTTAGCCTCGCCCAGGTCCTCAAGAGAAGGGATGCGAGGGACATCGCGTCTGTGATCAACGTGTTCTTCCTTGTCCAAGAACTCTTGAATACGGACGAATGAGCCGACCGAACCAAAGAACGACATCAGAGCCATCACCAAGCTCAGAAGAGGATCAGACAATAGAGAGAAGAGCGCAAGCGAGGTGAAGACTCTTGAGACAGTCAGTGAATTAGGGGAAATAGCGACGTAAACGCCGAAGGTGACAATCGGAGCAAAAATGCGAGTCAACCAGGCGAATCCCATGTTCCAGACAAGGAGGGTACGGAACTTCTTGGAGATGTCCAGTTCCTCAATACGCAGGCCGTGCACGAACTTCATGAAGGAGTCCTGTAGGCCCAGCATCTTAACGCCCTTGATGGATCCCAACATGCTTCCGGTGGATGAGATGCGTCGCTCAATGGCTTCAAGCCACTTGGCCTGACGCGACACAACGAAGGACAGTGCCACAAGAGAGCCAACCAAGGCCACTATAACTGTTAGTATCTTCGATTGATACATCCGGATAGGGACTTACCCAGTGCAACGCAAACGGGAACCACACAAGAAATGCCCAGCTGTCGCTCCAGCAGGAATATTGCCAATCCCATCTCGCAAGTATTACCCCAGATCTCATGCATAGTCTGCCAGCCATTGGTAATTCTCTCCACATCAGCGCTCATCAAAGTGAGTGAGTTGGCGGGATCAGCTTCATTGAGGCTCAGACTGCTGGCTTTCTTGTAGAGCATCGTGACCAGAATACCGCGCACCATAGTAATGCCACGGTAAGTCATGTGCTGGTACTGGCCCATTGCAATCTATCAGTGTTAGTGGGAATCGAATCTAATAATTATCCTTGTAACTTACTGCAAGACCGGTATAGACCAGGATGTAAGCTCCGATCAAGCCATAGCCAGTGTTATTAGTGGCGCTGTTCACTGGTTCGTCGAAGAAGTGAAGCGACCGCGTCAAAAGCAACGGCTGACAGAAGTTAAATGCCACGACGCAGGCTCTGGCAGGAACGGCAGCCAGAAGGGGCCATTTGGCAGCCTTGAAACACTGAAATTGCAAAGTGTTGGGCGATTTTGATTTTACTGGGAGAGTCAGTTTGGGTCCATTGGCAATGTAGCAGGGCGGTTTACCTTTGCTCCATCGCTCTTCGAACATGGCTAGAAGCCTCTCCGAGCTCAACACCCTATCCAAAACGAAGAGGTCTTTAATGGACAAGACATTTCTGTAACCAATGCGGAAGAGGGGATTCAACCACCAGAACAGTGCTCGGTTGTAGAATCCAGCTGTAGCCTCAGGAGGGTAACCAGCGAATTCGGTTTTCAGGATGTCTCTCTTCTCAACGGCTTCCAAAACAACCAGGAGCGTTTTGACGCCGATGGCAACTGTAGTAACAGCTGCAATGACTTCATTGTACGTGTTCGTGTACCGTAGCCACAGGGTTCTGACGTGCGCGACATCGAATAGCAGGCTGCAGAGAAGGTAGGCGTTTAGGATGAACGATGGCCGGACAGATCGCGTGTGCTCTGAATAAGAGAGCACAACCAGAAATAGTGTTCCAACACTCAAAACAGCACTGGACGCAACCGAAACCGAAGTTCTATCGGCATCGGGCATAGCCCAAAGGACAGTTTGAGCAATTTGAAGTCCGAGGAAAAAGAACCAAGCAGCCTATCAGTCGCAAAAGCAATGTTTGTTAGACCAATTCTCCGAATGGGAAAGTCACACAACTTCAACGTTATGCGCAATCTGGGCGGTGGTAACTCACCAGTTTGACAGGAAGCATCCATGAGCCGACAACTTTGCGCCGTTTTTGCGAAAGCTGCCAGACGCGAAAAGGAATAGTGATTAGGATTAATGAGATGGGCAGAATCCCCAAGATAGTTTCTTCGAACAAAAGCGAAAAGTCGAATCCTCCGCGGCAATTACCCATACCAACGCGGACAGTGTTGTCCATTTCACGGCACGAAGGCCCTGAACGCGAGATAGCCATGGCTACTCTCCAGGAACCATCCGTGATGAAGAATGGCAAGAGAGTTTGTCGAAACGGGCGCCACGAGTGTCGAGTGAGTCGGATTAGAGAGAGGTAGGAGAGATCATATTCTTAGGGGGGCGAAATGGGGAGTCTATGGTCTAGATCGGATTCATCCAAAAAGACTCAGGGTGAACTCCCTCTACTTTGCTAGGCGGCATCCCTCGGGGCAGGAGCTTACTTTTACTGCAGGAGAAGTACACTCCTGAGCTCCTATGGGACTGTTCACTGGGCCCCTGCAATAGAGTGGACTTTGCCAATGCAACCCTCTTACAATCTCATTACTGACAATGGCCTGTGAGCGCGTCAGAGCCCGGTCATTTTCGGTGCTCAGCTGTACTACTGCCGGTGTACTGGGTTATTTTTTTCTCGCTAGACTTTTCTTTGCAGGTAATCGGGCGTTTTGACCCAGTAATTCTTCTATTCTCCATAGATTTAGTCTTTTTTGGGTATGTCGGACGACTTGATTAGTCTTAGTGGACCCTGTTGGCCATGCTTTTTTTGCGAGATTTTCTTTTTTGCGAGATTTTCTTTTTTGCTCTATATTTTTGGATTTCCCCCTTGGGGATGTGGGGGATGCACAGGCGTCAATAGAGCTTAAGCCCCTGGAGTGAAATACGCCTGGTGAGGTTCAAAGCGGATAGATCTACGGGCCAACACGAGGGAAACGCGGTGCAACCTTGCAGGAACAGTTGTTCGGGGCCACAATGTGGATACTGAATTGTGCAGGTTGAAAGTTTCCCGGTCCCCTTGAGGTGGTGTCTACCGTCCCCGAGGGCAATAATATCGAGCATTATGCGAGGGCGCCTCTGTATGATGTATGATCCCTGCGATATTCCTGGAGACCACCGCTGACGCGCTTTGAGACAAGTAGAATTCCTAATAAGCCTTGACCGCAGAAGCTGAAAAAAAGTCCGCAAGTCAGACAATGATGCCCAAACTCACGAGACTTGTATGACGAGACTCGGTGTGAATGGCAATGCGTGTCAGGTGTCCGGGAACGACAGCCTCAGCCGCAAAGAGGATTCGTCATTGGCCGACGAGTCCATTCCAAGGGATATACAACGTGTCATTGCACCGATTAACTAGCGTTGGGGCCAAAGTGGGGGGAGACTTGCTCGGATAGTCTCCGTTTCCACTCTGAGCTCCAGGCCTGGGATTTGCTTTTCCCAGGCTCACTAGCGGCGGGAACGCAAGAAATCTGTTTTTCTCAGAGCGATCAGGCCCAATCGCCCCGACTTGCTGAGTGATGATCGGCCCCGGACCAATTGCGCTAGAAAAGTTGGCAGCAGGCAAAATTCGGGATGAGGTTCGACCTGGCCCATTTCGATGACGACATGGCGCCACGACGTGGGATTGCCCGTGGACTCCTTCTGCAGGCTCTGGACTGGTACCTACAGGTAGGGCCTGACGAGCAACCTGGTAAGCGAGATGCATGCAGAATGACCAGGATGATCCGGTTTCGTGGCAGTATGAAGCGTGGTTGATGGGTGGCAAAGACGGACTGCATGTACTTCGTACTTTTTACTTGCACTTCAACTTACCGCCAGGCTCTTGCTAGACCAACTACCTGGATGTACGTACAACTAGTCCAATCTGTCCCCAGTGCAAATCCCTCGGCCGTGTATTACGCATTAATGAATAAAGTGTCAGATAAAGGTTTCAGGGAGATCCGAAGCAACGGTGAAAACGGTGAAAACGGAGAAAATCCAGAGATCTGCTGAGGTGACCTGTCATGCTCTAGATTGCCGGGCGATCACAATTCATCACACCGATCCCACAATGCCGTACGGCTGACTGTTGTTGGGAAACTTTGTGAACTGCCTTCCGTCCGGGAACTACTGTAGTTTAGTTTCATCTGGTCGCTATTTATGGCCTCATCTAGTTAGTGGTACACGGCGGCGAGACCCGCGAGGTTCTATGGTTGGCGCTTCCCCTGTTCCACGATTCACCGCCAACCGGCTCTTCCGCCGCCCTCCGCCTTTAGTCTCCGTGGATATACGAGACGGCCAGGCGATCATCCGTTGCTAGGACCACCAAACTTGCGGGCACGGACTTCCGAACCGGAATCTGGTGCTAGCCTGGCGCCCGATCGGAAGGCGGATGAGGCTAAACCCTCTTCGTCGGAGCATCCTTAATCGGCACGGCATTCTAGAACGTCGTGTTTGCCCTGATTCGCAAAACCAAGGAAAAAACGAAATCGAAAACCGGCTGTCAAACCTGTCAAACGAGAACGAGCGAGAGAAATTTGCCACATGGACGGAGAAATTCGCATACAAGCTGACCCCGAACCATGCTTTTGTGCCGCATTCCAGGAATGCTATGTACGCGAGTCGCCCTTCCAGAGCGGGTTCAATGATCGCGTTTCCTATTTCGGGCGTGTGAATTGGATATCGGATAACAGCTTGATGGACACTTCCCCTCTCCCCTGCGCGGCTCTAATGTTGAATATATCTGTCTGATGTGCATTTCTAATAAGGCAGGGCCACAAGGGGAAAACAATAGTGAAGGGCTAGCGAAGTAATAGGTACAAAAAAAGGAGCCCGGCAGGCTGGGGGGGGGGGGGGTGGATGTGGGTCCCGGTAGTCGATAGGTCCAGGGTATCGGATCGATGTGGCCGCGATTATCCCTTTCAGCCCTTGCAGAGCCCGATGGGGAAAGGCCCAACGCTAGTGGACAGGGCGCCTTTTAGCCGTCTCTTGCTTCTGCGCCACGAACCCCACACCTGGATGTTCCCAGCACAACTGCGGTCTCTTCTGTGCTACACATCGTACTATTCCCTTGGACTTATGCTATGATGTCTTACTAACCGTATTCATTACGTATGTAGACGCTCCGTTCGTTCTTCCACTGCGAACCGGGCTACCTTCTCCGTAGTAATGTTCCGACTGGTCCAATCCCATAATATTGGAGGCATTTTAGAATCGTACATCACAGGGATGCAAATATTATCCATAGAAATCTCAACTAAGCCGCTGCAACAATCCCCACCGACTAAGGTTTTTGTAAACTAAAGTGAAATCCCTCAGACACGAAGGGGGAATGCGAGACAAGATGGAGTCGTCGTGATCCACGGAACTTCCAGCGCGGCAACTCTCGCGGTGAAGGTTCCTGAAATGATCATCCCGTCCCGGCTCAAACCTTGCTGAGCCTTAAGCTTCCTAGGCACAGACCGCGAGCCCTTAGCAATGGGTGGAGCTCGCCATGTGTGCATCTTACATCTTGCTCACCATCGGTGTAACTTGTTGAAATCGCCTCCAAGCGAGGTGTCTGGTGGGTCCAATGATGCATTGGACTGAGGACCCTACATGGATGCGATGGGGGTATCCCGGGTGTACCTGTTCACCAGACAAACCCTATGGACAATCGGAGCCTTCGTCATCAGCACACCACCTGACTTAAGCGCTTAGAAGAATCGATTCAGTAGGGCTTGTGAGAAAAATCCAGCGCCCTTCATGACTACTGTGGCGTGAGCCCAAAAGAATGATTCCCCTCCCGATGACGACCTGGCGTCCGCCTTGCTGAACCACGTTTGAGACCGCATACCGAGGGGTCTGATCGTGAATCGCAGCTGGATATGACTGGCCAAGATGATGGGAACAAATAAGAGAGAAGATTACTCAATCGGATAGGGGATTTAGAAAAAAAATAAAAAATCAGAAAATTAGAATATGTCAGTCGGGGGCAAGATCAAACCGGCACAGAAGGAGTAACCCTGATATGTTTCCTTTTTTGTTTTTCTTTTTTCTCACCAGAGACTTTTCCTACACCAAGTAGACCCCGGGCATAAAGAACCGAAGGGTGCTACGCTTGCAAGACTAAGAAAAGAATGTGGGTCGTAACCGTATTGGGAAGCCCAATCTGGGCTGTCTGAGCCTGACGCGGTTCCACAGGGGCCAAGTTGATCCACTCATGGCCGATGCGCTGTGGCGTCTCCAACCCTTCATCATCTCGATCCGAAGGTATGCAAGGAAGATACTTGGGGCATGCTGAAATTACCAGTGCCCTACTTGATGTCATTGGTGGCTGGGTCGTATTACTGTAATCTCGTACATAGGAGATGTTCGTAAACGAACTGGAGCATGGCCATGCAGCTTCTAGTCCAATGGTCCGATGGCGTAACGCATTTTGACCTGGGTGGGAAAAATAAAACCTCTTTAAAATAACTGAGACCATCCAACTGCGCGGGACACTGTGCGAGACCTTCACTTGGATTTTACTTCTTAATTTCTTACATCCCTAATACTCGAAGGCTCTCAGCACGCCCATCTTCATTCGACTTCACGCAGCGTACCGAACACCCCGTCCAATCTTACACAACATGGCCCAATCCTCCCACTGTTACCTTCCTCGCTTCGCCACTGCGGTCGACGGGCACAAACGCCCGGTTTCGATGAAGACGAGACCGACTCCTTCTCAACATGCGCAGTTATTAACCGCATGGCACGAAGGGAGACTCGAATCTGCCCTGCGGGCCACCTGGGCCTTGGTCCTGCACTATTATGTCCGTTCCGAGGATATCTGCTTCGGCTACCAACACATCGACGGCGACTCCATTTCCTCTCGACAGCCTGTACAGCGTTCGAGCGTCGCCAACTTGTCCATCGTCCGACTAGCGGTCGACGAGAACGACTCCATCAAGGCAATTGTAGATAAAGTGTACCGCGATGGAGAACCACAGCACGGTGAAAGGGTGGAGCACACCGAGGGATACTTGCCCTTCAACACCATCTTGATGCTGCGCACATACCGCAAGGCGAACGACCCGCCTTCTTCCTCCTCTCAACCAATCCTCGCATCCGCACTCCCAGACCAGGTACGCAGATAAAATACAAAATTTGGTTTCCGTGCGCAGCTAAAGAAATCACAGTGCCAAGTTCGTCTTCATGTCAAGGTGTTGCGCCGGGACATCAATGTCTTCCTCGAATGGCGAAACGGCGACATGTCTGGGGAGCAGATGAAGAGTGTTGCCCACATCTTTGAGCAAATGCTTGCCAAAGTGCTTTCTCCAGAGAACACCGCTATTAGCCAGCTTAATTTGTTTTCGGAGAATGACTGGCAACGCATCTGCAAGTGGAATAACCACGTCCCTCAGCTTTACGATCGCTGCATCCACGACGCTATCCGCGATAACGCCCTGAATGGCCCCGATAGGGAGGCCGTATGCGCCTGGGATGGTAACTTGACGTATCGTGAGCTGGATGAGTCGGCTGCGAAGCTTGCATGCCATCTGCGTATGCAGGGTGTGGGCCCCGAAGTGCGAGTGGCATTGTGCTTCGATAAGTCGGTAAGTCTCTCTGCTATATCCGTATTTAGTTGACAGAATGACTGAGAAGCGCAGAAATGGAACATTGTCGCAATGCTTGGTGTGATGAAGGCTGGGGGAGCTTTCGTCCCATTGGATCCAACACACCCAACTTCGCGTTTGCAACGTTTAATCGAGTCGGTCAAGGCGCAGGTCGTGTTATGTTCGCAGACTCGCGCAGAGGCCCTCCGGCCCATTGTAAAGACATTAATTCCTCTCTGCGCCGATACTCTGGAACGACTGTCGGACCCCGCCGAGGGTGTCGACCTTGTATCGGGTGTCACTAGCCAGAATGCGGCATATGTTCTGTTCACCTCCGGCTCCACGGGTGAGCCCAAGGTATGTTCCCATCGTGCAACCGGGTAGACTTTTGGGATTTAGGGCTGAGTTTTTTCTTCTTCTTGCAGGGCACCCTTTTGGAACACCGCGCATTCCTGTCGAGCTCGATGGTTCATGGACCTGGGCTGACTGTTTTCCGGGACTCTCGATGTCTGCAGTTTGCAGCTCACACGTTCGATGCAAGTTTGGCAGAGTCACTGACACCTTTGATTCACGGTGCCTGCGTCTGCATTCCAAGCGAGGAGGCCCGCTTAAATGACATTGTTCGCGCGATTAACGACATGCGGGTGACCCAAGCATGCTTTACCCCGTCATTCATCGGCTTTATTGACATCGACAGCGTGCCAGGGCTCAAGAGTCTCGTCCTGGCTGGAGAGGCAATGTCGCAGTCACAACTGGAAACCTGGTCCAGAATCCAACTGGTCAATGGCTACGGGCCTACCGAGGCCAGTGTTGCGTCTGTGCTTAACTCCAATGTCACACCGAACACCGACTGCAAGGACATCGGTCTGCCAATCGGTGTCAGAGCATGGCTGGTGAATCCTGAAAACCACGACGAGCTTGTCCCCGTCGGCTGCCCTGGAGAACTTCTACTGGAAGGCCCGTCTCTCGCTCGATGCTACGTCAACAATCCCCAGAAGACTAATGAATCCTTCATCTACGATCCTGCCTGGACCAAGTTAGATCCGGGAGAGGCCACATCTCGGAGATTCTACAAGACAGGGGATTTGGTGAGATACAACTCCGACAAGGGTTCGCTCAACTACGTCGGTCGCAAAGATACACAGGTGAAGGTTCACGGTCAGCGAATCGAGTTGGGCGAAATCGAGAATCAGTTGAGCACCGACTCTCACGTTACGCACTGTTCCGTCTTCTTCCCCAAGACCGGATTTTCCAAGGGCCGTTTGGCCGCTGTCATTTCTTCCACTGGTCTTCTGGCTGAGCAGTCCGAGTCTGAGCTGGAGCCCCTCCGGTTACTTTCCACCTTAGAGAAAGCGAAGATCGTCCCTGGAATTCGCGAGCGTCTGTCGGCCCGATTACCGACTTACATGGTTCCCGCGGTTTGGCTGTGTGTTGAAGCCCTGCCCCTACTCCCGTCCGGGAAACTGGATCGAAAGGGTATTGCTGGTTGGGTTGGTGGTATAGAACATGACCCAGACATTACAACTGCCAACACCGTATCTGTCTCAAAAGAACAGATGTCGCAGCCCGCAAACGAAAAGGAGGACGCTCTGGCTGCGGTTTACAGCCGTGTTCTGAATATTCCTCAGAGCCATGTCAGCTTGAATGAGAGCTTCCTTAGTCTGGGTGGTGACTCTATCGCTGCCATGACTTGTATCGGACTGTGCAAAAAGCGTGGTCTTGGTCTTTCTGTGCAGGAGCTTCTGCGGAGCAAGTCTATTCGGGAGCTTGCCACGCGTGCGAAGGCAATCGATCACGGCACTAGTTACCAGGAAGCAGTCGATGAGCCGTTCGAGCTTTCGCCCATTCAGATTCTTCACTTCGGTGTGCGGAAGGAGGGTCAAGGCCACTTCAACCAGGGTATTCTTACTCGCTTGAGCAAGCCTCTTGACGAGCAGACACTTCGCAAGGCAATTGAAACCCTTGTCTCGCGGCACTCGATGCTCCGTGCTCGCTTCGATGACACTGGGGTTGCGACAGCGTCCGCTCAGCGCGTCTCTCACGATGTGAAGGGCTCATACCGATGGAGGAGTCACAGCGTGTCCAATATGAGGAATATCAAGCCTCACGTGGCGAATAGCCAGTCCTCCATCAACTGCTTTACTGGGCCCCTGTTGGCTGTGGACTACTTCCGCGTCAAGGGGAAAGAGCAGGCTCATGTTTTGTCCATGACGGCCCATCACCTTGTCGTCGATATTGTCTCTTGGAGAATTATCCTTGAAGACCTGGAGGATGTGCTTTTGAATCCTCAGAAATCAGTTAGCGAGGATAGCTCCCTTCCTTTCCAGACTTGGTGCCGTCTACAAGCTGAGCATAGCAAGTCTTTGATCGAAGAGGGCAAAGCTTCAACTGACACATTGCCTGCCACGGACTACAGCTACTGGGGCCTGAAGAGTACTTCGACCACCTATGGTGATGTTGACTGTGCCTCTTTTGAGATTGATACTGCGCATAGCAATGCAATCCTGCTGGAATGCCACAAGGCCTTGAATACAGAGCCAATCGATTTGTTCCTCGCAGCAATGCTTCACTCGTTCGGTTGCTCGTTCACCGACCGCCCACTACCTGTGGTCTATAACGAAGGCCACGGACGGGAAGTATGGGACCCTTCCATCGACATCTCACACACAGTCGGCTGGTTCACCATCCTGCACCCGATCTTCGTTTCCGCCTTCAAGGCCGAGAGCCCAATAGCCACTATGGTGCAAGTCAAGGACTTGCGTCGCCGCGTTTCTGACAACGGCCGTGCTGATTTCGCCAGCCGTGTCCTTCCTGGGTCGGACAAGCAAAGCGGCACTCACCCACACCCATTCGAGATCTCCTTCAACTATGTCGGCCAGCACCGTGATCTGCAGAGACAAGATGGTCTCTTTCAACTGGTCGATCAAATGGCCGGAGAAGCAGGCCAGGGTGGTGGCGACGCCGACTTTGGTCAAGACACTCCTCGGTTTGGTCTGTTTGAGATCTCGGCAATGGTTGTGCATGGAAAGATTCGGTTCACATTCTCTTTCAACAAGTTTATGCAGCACCAAGATCGCATCCATACTTGGGTTTCAAACTGCCAGAAGCAGCTTATTTCCATGTCTGACCAGCTCATGACCATGTCGCCTCGCTTGACGCTGAGCTCCTTCCCCATGTTGTCTTTAACCTACGATAGCCTTGAGAAGCTACTCAGTCAAAAGCTGCCGGCTATTGGGATTAACTCGCCGGATATGATCGAGGATATTTATCCTTGCTCACGCATGCAGCAGGGTATTTTGCTTGGTCGTACTCGGGACAGCTCTTACTATGCTGTTCACGATACATTTGAGGTTTGCGCAACTGGATCGACCGAGCCAAACCTGGACCGACTCGTGAATGCGTGGAAACAGGTGGTTTCGCACCACGCTATGTTCCGAACCATTTTTGCGGAGAACCTGACTCCCCGGGATCCCTTCTGCCAGGTTGTGCTAAAGGAATATGATGCCACGCCCGTGCTTCTCCAATCCGCCAGTGAGAGTTATGTTCTGGCTACATTCGACGCGCAGGAACCCAAGGACTACAGTGAGATGCGCCCTGCCTACCGCTTCAGCATCTGTCAGACATTGAACGGAAGACTGTTCTGCCGAATCGAGCTGAGCCACGCTGCGATGGATGGTAACTCGATTTCCATTATCCTTCGCGATCTGCAACTAGCCTATGTCGGGAGGTTAGAAGAAAGCCCCCGGTCTTTGTTCAAGGACTACATCCAGTACCTCAAAGATGCCCCGCAAGAGGCTAGCATTAACTACTGGCGATCCTATCTTTCGGACGCTAAGCCATGCCTCTTCCCCGTCCTCACCGATGGCGAAAAGTCTCAGCAGAAGACCTTGCGCTCCATTCCCGTCAAGTTCACCCATCTGGCCCAGCTTCAAAGTGTTGTCGAAAAGAAGGGCATCACTTTGTCAAATGTCTTCAACGCCGCCTGGGGCCTCACTTTGCGCCTCTACTGTGGCTCGGAAGATGTTAGCTTCAGCTACATGGCGTCCCTGCGCGACGTTGCCGCCGACGGCGTGCAGCGGGTTGTTGGTCCAGTCATCAACTTGATGGTCTGCCGCATGAAGATCTCAGGCGATTCTTTACTCAGCGATGTTTTGACCCAGATCCAGAATGATTACATGGAGAGCCTTCCCTACCGCCACACCTCGCTCATTGACATCCAACATGCTTTGAGGCTGTCTGACGCCAATTTGTTCAACTCAGGTGTCTCTTACCGCCGTCTTCCAAGCGCCAAGGACGCGGTGAGCAGTGACATTGAGTGTGTGGAGGTTGGCTCCATTCATGATCCCGCTGAATTCCCTGTCTACATCAATATTGAGGCCCAAGACACGAAGGCCAATATTGATTTGAACTATTGGACCACCAACTTGTCGGATGCTCAAGCTGCCAATGTTGCCAATACCTATGTTCAGTGCCTGGAGAACATTCTAACCCATGCCGACACCGAGATCCGCCAGATCGATACTCTCAGTGAGCAGAATAAGACTGATATTCTCTCTTGGAACGACACCATCCCTCACGGTGTCCAGAAGTGTGCCCATCAGGTCGTTCAGGATATGGTCAAGAAGTCTCCCGATGCCTTGGCTGTAACTGCTTGGGATGGAAACCTAACATATTCCAAGCTGGATCTGTACTCCACGCGCCTCGCCAGCTACCTCGTCACATTTGGTGTTGGTCCTGGTACCATGATCCCGACCTGCTTCGAGAAGTCCGTGTGGAATACAGTTTCCATGTTGGCCATCATGAAGGCTGGTGGTGGCTGCATTCCCGTCGACAGCCCCCAGACAATGAGTCTCATCGAGAAGTGGGTGGTCGACAATGCCGTTCAAGTTGCGCTGGCGTCCCCCGAAAAGGCACAGGTTCTTGAGGAGACAATCCCCTATGTTATCCCTATCAGCGAGTCTCTCCTGGAGTATCTCAATGATGAGAGTCTCATCTCTACTGCCTCTCCGTCCGATCCAGCCTATGTTGCGTTCACTGCTGGAACCTCGGGACATGCTCGTGGTGTTGTTTTGGAGCATACCGCGATCGTGACTCGTGCCGAGGCTTTCGCGAATTCCATGAAGCTCTCCGATACCTCGAGAACTTTGCAGACTGCTGCCAATACTTCCGATCTGATTCTCCTGGAGACTTTCGGCACTTTCATGCGCGGTGGTTGTGTCTGCATTCCGGCCGATGTCGAACCTGTCAATCTGTTTGCGTCTATCAGTGTTCTCCATGCTAATGTTGCTTGCATTACTCCGATTGCAGCTACATTCATGTCCCCGAAGGATGTTCCAGGGCTGCACACTGTTGCGCTTCACGGAGAGGCTTCCCCGCAGGGTGTTATGAGAACCTGGGAGTCCGATAACCTCAAGCTTCACGTTATTTATGGTACTGCTGAATCCTCTTCTGCTGCTTTGCATTTCGCGGTCACCCAGGAGAGCCAAGAAGCTATCATCGGATCGGGTGCCTCATGTGTCTCATGGCTGGTTGATCCCACGAATGCCAACTCTCTTGTACCCGTTGGTGCGGTTGGTGAGTTGGTCCTTGAAGGCCCCCTTCTTGCTGGTGGTTATCTCGACGACGAGGAGAGTGGCCAGAACTTCCTGAATAACCCCACTTGGTCCTTGGAACTCACCGACAATATGGACGCGACTGGGCCCCGACGATTCTTCAAGACGGGTGACCTTGCCCGCTACAACTCCGATGGATCCCTCGTCTGGCTCGGTCAGAAGAACTCCCACGAAGCTTTCGTTCCATGCGCCGACCGCCTGCTTATCCAGAACTCTATTGATTCCTACTTTGGATCGAAGCGCAAGTCTGTTGTGGATATTATTTCCCTCAACGGGAACTCGCCATCCATCGTCACATTCATCGGCGCTGGGGATGGAATAACATCAACTTTTGTCGACCGAGTCATTCAGACCTCCGCTAAGGACATGAAGTCCACAATTGCTGCGCTGCACACGCACCTCAGCACCAAGCTTCTTGCTAGCAAGGTCCCGAGTACATACATCCCCATCTCCGCAGTCCCTCTAACCCCTCCTGGAAAGATTGACTACCAGGGCCTCAAATCTGAAATCGCCAGCCTGTCCAGCAGTATCGTCCAATCTTTCAACATCAAGCACTGGACTGCAGACAATTCTGGAACTCGCAGTTCCCGTGGATCCTCTTTGACCGGTACCACCCTGGAATTCTGGAAGAACTATCTCGAGGATATTGAACCTTGCAGTTTCCCCTCTATCTCCCTCCATGCCAATGGCAAGGGACGTTCGACCCGCACACTCAACAAGCAGACTGATAAGCTTCATGCATTCAGCAAGATGTCCGGTGTTTCTGTCGAAACCCTTTTCCAAGTTGCATGGGGTCTCGTGCTGCGATGCTACACCAGCAACAATGACGTCTGCTTTGGATTCTCCATGGGAGAAGACGACATTTCAGATCTTTCCATTTTCCGTATCTTGCTGAACAATGACCGTCCGCTTGATGAAGCTCTTCAGAAATCCAAGTCTCAATTTGACAAGAGCAGAGAAAACTTCGCTGAGCTTGCCGTTGTCAAGTGTCAACTGGGCCTCCAGGATACCGAGGTTTTCAACACACTTTTGACTTATCGCACCGCCTCTCATCTTCCTCAAGGAGATGTGCGCGATCCCACCTCAACCCATGTTTACAAGGTTGCCGTTGAGGCAGCAGTGTCCAGTTCTGTTGCTGAAATCCACTTCAGCTACTCCTCGGATACTCTCTCTTCCACCCAAATCACACATGTCATTGATGCATTCGATCACATATTGAATGACATTATGTCTTCCAGTCCTCGTCACCGTACAATTGGGGACCTTGATATCTTCCCTCAACGCTCCTGCCGCCAAATTCGTGACTGGAACGCCGGCCTTCCTCCTCGAGTTGAGAAGTGTGCGGATGAACTCATCCAGCAGCAAGCGCTGCTTCATCCTCGCGCCGAAGCTATCTGCTCTTGGGACAAGAACTTCACCTATGGCCAGCTTGAGATAGTCTCCAGCCGCCTTGCCAGATTCCTGACCAGCATGGGTGTGAAGCCCGAGGTCTTCGTTGTCCTCTCCTTCGAGAAGTCCTCTTGGGCCGTGGTTTCCCAACTGGCAGTTCTCAAGGCTGGCGGAGCCTTTGTCTCCATTGATCCTTCCCACCCCGACTCGCGACTCCAGATGCTAATAAATGAGATTGGTGCTGACTTGGTTCTCTGCTCATCTTCCCTTCAACCGAAGATGTCTAATCTCTGCAAGAAGGCATTTGCTGTCTGCCAAAGCTCCATCTCTCAGCTTCCTGACTCTCCTCTGGCCATGCCTGGTACCCGCCCCACTGCTGCAAATGCTGCATATGCTATCTTCACATCCGGTACCACTGGCAAGCCAAAGGCCACTGTTGTTGAACACACTGCTCTCAGCACAACCGCGATGGCAATGAATAATGCTCTGCATATGAACGCTGGAACTCGTGCCCTTCAATTCTCGAACTACACTTTCGATGTCAGTGTTCTGGAGATTATGATGACTCTGATGACTGGTGGTTGTGTGTGTATTCCCAGCGAAGAGGAGCGTATGAACAACTTGGGCGGTGCTATTCGTCGCATGGAGGCAAACTACATGTCTTCACCTCCCGCTATCGTCAACACTCTCGAGCCTAAGTCTGTCCCAACCCTGAAAACTATCATCACTGGCGGTGAGAAGATGCCCGCAAGCCACATTGACCGCTGGCATGATCGTTTCGTTATCAATGCCTATGGTCCTTCCGAAGCGACCGTTGTCGCTACTGTTGGTGTCAAGGTTGACTGGGACGGTAACCGCGTGAACGATGACCCAACCTGCATCGGTACATCGCCAAACTGCAGAGTCTGGATCGTCGACCCAAATAACTACAACCGTCTTCTCCCTGTCGGTGCTGTTGGCGAGTTGCTTCTCGAGGGTAGCAACATTGCTCGTGGATATCTTGCCAATCCCGAGAAGACTAAGGCTGCCTTTGTTGATGATCCTGTATGGAGCCACCACACCGGACTCCACGGCCTCTTCAAGCGCAAGGACCGCATGTACCGCACTGGTGATCTAGTCCGGTACAATAGCGACGGCACTCTTGCTTTTATCTCCCGCAAGGATACCCAGATCAAGTTCAACGGTCAGCGCATTGAGCTTGAGGAAATTGAGCACCAGTGCGTTCGCGCTCTTCCCGACGGCTCTCAGGTTGCTGTTGATGTTGTTGTTCCTCAAGAGCGAACGGTCGCTAAGGGGCTGGCGGCATTCTTTACAGTCTACGACCAGGACTCGTTCCAAGGTGGCAGCACGGATGACTTTGCTCCCACCGTTCCTGGTGCTGACCCTCTCCTGCTTCCTATCTCTGTGTCAAACATGGATGCGATCCAAAAGCTGAAGAGCTCGCTGCCTGATTTACTCCCACAGAGCATGATGCCGCGCCTCTTCTTCCCGCTGCGCAATTTGCCATTTACTTCTTCGGCCAAGATCGATCGTCGACGCCTTCGCTCAATGGTCGAGACTTTGTCCAAGGAAACTTTGAAGTCTTACATTACCTTCAACGCTGTCAACAAGAAGGAAGAGGCTTCTTCGGGTGGCGTCGATGCCAAGCTCCGTACTCTGTGGGAGAAGACGCTTGATTTGGAAGACGGTTCAGTGACGAATGACGACAGCTTCTTTGCTCTTGGTGGTGACTCCTTCTCTGCGATGAACCTTGTTGGAGCTGCTCAAGCTCAGGGCATTGCACTTAATGTCGCAATCATTTTCAAGACCCCCGTGTTGGCTGATATGGCCAAGACCTGCTCGGAATCCACGGAGGCGCCCGCTCCCAAGCGGGTCTCCCTCAAGCCTTTCTCAATTCTCCCCAATGGTGTAGACTTTGAGGGTTTGTTGGATGAAGTTACTGACAATTGTGGTGTGTCCAACGACATGGTCTCCGATGTTTACCCGTGCAGCGCCGTGCAAGAGGGTCTCTTGACTATGTCTGTCAAGCATCACGGAGCTTACGTTGCTCAGCCCGTTTTTCGCCTCGCTGACGGCACCGATGTTGACCAATTCAAGGCGGCGTGGCAACAGACTGTGTCGGATCTCGACATCCTCCGTACTCGCATTGTGCACACCGAAGCCATGAACTTCGCCCAGGTCGTCCTCAAGGAGTCTCCCATCCACTGGGTGCATGCCGAGTCCTTCGAGAAGTTGCCCGGTGACTCAATCGAGCTGCCCAAGCATAACGGTGCTCCATTAACAGGCTACGCAATTGTCCAACCTCATGGATCGCGCACTAGTTACTTCGTATGGTCCGTCCACCATGCCCTTTATGATGGATGGAGTATTCCTCTGGTTTACCGAAAGCTCGAGGAAAACTACAGTGCTGCGCAGAACAAGCAGCCTGCCACCCCCTATGGCCTCTTCATCGAATATCTCAACAAGAAGGACATGAACGAGTCCGATAGCTTCTGGAAGAACTACTTCGCGAGCTTCTCCAACATTCCCTTCCCACAGAACAAGAATGCCGTTGCTGATGCCATGCGTGCTGGAAACACTCAATACCATAGCATGGGTATTTCACGCCCTGCTGATAGCGTCGAATTTACTTTGCCTGTTCTTCTCCGTGCTGCGTGGGCCATCGTTGTCGCTACCCACACGGGATCCGGCGATGTTTGCTTCGGAGAGACCTTGTCTGGTCGCAATATCGATCTGCCAGGAGTCGGTGATATCGCTGGTCCTGTCCTGTCTACTGTGCCAACCCGCATCATTGTCGATAATGAGACATCTATCATTCAGTATCTCGATAAGATCCACCAGTCGACCACTGACATGATTCCCCATCTTCATACTGGTCTGCAGCGCATCCGCCAGCTGAACACCGACACGGCGGCTGGTTGCAACTTCCAGAATCTTTTGGTCATCCAGCCTACCGAGGGTGAGCTTAACAATAAGATCTGGATTGACGAGAAACAAGCTACCAGCGAAGACTTCTTCACTCATCCCCTTGTGCTCGAGTGTGGTATCTCCAAGACCCACATTCATTTCACTGTTCACCACGATGAGCTTGTCATCAATGGCTGGCAGTCGAAGCACCTTGCGGAGCAATTCAGCCATGTCCTCAAGCAGCTTATGTCTGTTCCCAAGACAAGCACTGGCAAGATTGTTGACCTGGAAGTTGTGAGTCCCGAGGATAAGATGGAGATCGCCCGCTGGAACGGTCGTGATCCGCTCGTTGTGGAACGCACTGTGCACGACTTTATTCTGGAGAAGTCCATCGAGACACCTAACGCTCCCGCCGTCTGCGCTTGGGATGGAGAACTGAACTACAGAGAGTTTTGGGAACTTGCCTCCTCCTTCGCCAACTACCTAGTTTCCCGTGGTGTTGGCCCCGAAGTATTTGTTCCAGTCTGCCTTGACAAGTCGGCTTGGGCGATGGTCACCCTCATCAGTATTCTAATTGCTGGCGGCGGCTACGTTCCTCTTGATCCCCACCACCCTGTCTCTCGACATGAAGAAATTCTCGCGGATGTTGGTGCCAACATGATTCTTTGCACGCCAAACTATACCAACCGCTACACTCGTGTCGTCAAGACCGTCATTCCCATCAGCAAAGATACCCTCAAGGCTTATGGTTCCCTCAATGTCTCCACTAAACACCGCAATGAGGCGACTCCCGCCAATATGGCCTATGCTTTGTTTACTTCTGGCAGCACTGGTCGAGCCAAGGGTATCATTGTTGAGCACCGCAACTGTGTCAGCAGTATCATGGCCTTTGCTCCATGGGTTCAGATGGGTGCTTCCTCTCGTGTTTTCCAATTTGCATCCTTGACCTTTGATGCAGCTATCATGGAGACTCTTGCCATCTTGATGCTTGGTGGCTGTATCTGTGTTCCCAGCGAAGATGACCGCCTCAATGATGTTGCTGGTGCCATCCGACGTCTGAATGTAAACTGGACTTTCCTCACGCCCTCCATCGCCAGCATCATTGAGCCCTCGTCGGTTCCATCGCTGGAGATCCTCGTCTGTGGTGGCGAGAAGATGTCTCGAGACGTCATCACCAAGTGGGCCAATGCCGTGAAGCTCATGAATGGATATGGGCCCACTGAGACTTGTGTCTTCGCCGTTATCGATACTGCTGTGGCTGCTAGCCGTGACCCTGCCCGTATTGGCTACGGTATCCCAAGTACCCTCACCTGGATTTTGGATCCCGACAACCATGATCGTCTGGTTCCACTTGGCGCTGTTGGTGAACTTGCCCTTGAAGGAGTTGCCTTAGCCCGAGAGTACCTTAAGAACCCCGAGAAGAATGCCGAGTGCTTCATCACCAACCCCGCCTGGATCAAGGATTTCAAGAAGTCATCTACCCTGCCTTCTCCACGTCGAATTTACAAGACTGGTGATCTTTGTTACTACAACCCCGATGGCTCGATCGAGTACATCAGCCGCAAGGATCACCAAGTCAAGCTGCACGGCCAGCGTATGGAACTTGGTGAAATTGAGCACCGACTCTACGAGGACCCACTTGTCCGCCACGCAGTTGTCATTCTGCCTAAGACAGGGCCCTTGAAGCAGCGTCTTGTTACTGTCATGTCATTGAACAAGATTGCGCAAGACAACAAGTTGATCTCAGACAAGGCTTGCGAGCTTGTTGATGAAGAGGACCTGTCTAGTCAAGGCCTGGCTGGCCTCGTCGAGGTCCAGAAGAACCTTGAAACCCAGCTTCCCATTTACATGGTCCCCCAAACCTGGGCTCTCATTAAGAAGCTTCCCATGCTTGTCTCCGGAAAGCTTGATCGGAAAAAGATCACGGCATGGATCGAGAACATCGACGACGCATCCTACGAGCGCATTATGGAAGATTACGACCGCATGAAGCGCGGTGACATCGAGAAGCCGCAGGAGAAAGAACAAGATGGCTCCCTCAAGATTATCCGTGAGATCTTCTCACAAGTCCTGAACATCTCACAGCAGAAGGTCAACATCGAACGTTCATTCGTCAGCTTGGGTGAGTTTCCAATAGACCTAGTCCCGATGCCAAATTCTAGTCCACTAACAAAATCATGCAGGCGGAGACAGTATCACCGGCATGGCAGTGATCTCTAGGGCACGTAAACAGGGCCTGGTTCTCACTCTCAATGATATCTTGCAGAGCCGTTCTGTCAAAGAATTGGCACAGACTGCCACTGCCAAGGCACCCGTCACTGCTCAACGTGAGGAAAAATCTGGAGAGGGCTTTGCTCTTTCCCCTGTGCAGAGACTCTACATCCAGTCGTCGGCCTCTTTCAAAGGTGTTGCTCGCTTCAACCAGAGTATTACTGTGCGGATCTCCCGGAGAGTCGAGGGTGAAGTCCTTCGACGTGCGATCAAGGCTGTTACCAGCCAGCACCCTATGTTCAGGGCTCGATTCAGCACTGTCAATGGAATTTGGCAGCAAAGGGCTGCTGCTGTATGTTCTCGCTCCACCCAAGAGAAAGATTTTACTGACAACATGTCGCAGGAGGTTGACGAGTCCTATCGCTTCCGAGTCCACTCGGTCAGCGATACCCGCGCAACAGTCCCCAAGGTTGCCGAAAGCCAGTCTTGCCTGGATCCGGTGAATGGACCTATATTCGCAGCTGATCTCTTCAATCTGCGCAGCGGTGGCCAGGTCTTGTTCCTGGTCGCTCACCACCTGTGTGTGGACATGGTGTCTTGGCGTATCATTCTCCAGGACCTTGAGGAGCTCGTCGTATCTGGCTCCCTGTCCGACGACAAGGCCCTCTCCTTCCAGAGCTGGTGTGCTATGCAACAGGAGAGAGCCAAGACCCATGACTCCGCCCTCACTCTCCCCTTCACTCCGGAGCGGGCCAATCTGCAGTACTGGGGAATGCATGAATCACCCAATGTGTACGGCGATATCAAGATGGAGTCGTTCTCTTTGAGTGAAGATGCTACCAAGTTCGTTCTTGATGGGTGCCATGATGTTTTCGGTACCGATACCGTTGATATCTTGCTTGCGTCTGTCATCCACTCTTTCCGCCAGGTTTTCAATGACCGGAAGGTACCGACAATCTACAATGAAGGACATGGTCGCGAGCCTTGGGATGCTAGTATTGACCTCTCGAGGACCGTTGGCTGGTTCACCACCATGGCTCCTCTGCTTGTTGAGGGCGAAGACGGTAGGTGTCTTGATTTTCCAATTTACTGGTGATCAGCGGCTAACATATAGCAGTTGGAATCATGGACACTATCAAGCGTGTCAAGGATACTCGTCGCAAGATCGCCGACAATGGACGGCCTTACTTCGCCAAGAGCATGCTTCAGACCGACCACCAAGATTTCCAGGTTCCTTTGGAAATTCTGTTCAACTATCTCGGTCGACTTCAGCAACTGGAGCGGGCTGACTCGCTCTTCCGCCATCAAGGCAATGTATTCGACAGCTCAGACTTCGCTGTCGCTGGCGACATGGGTCCTCAGACTATTCGCTTCGCCCTGTTCGAGGTTTCCGCCATCGTGGTCAAGGAGCGCCTGAACGTTGCATTCACGTACAACCGCAAGATGCAGCGTGAGGGCCAGATCCGCCGCTGGATCCTTCAGTGCAAGGGTGTATTGGAGCGGGATATGTCGGTGCTGAGGAAGGCCAGTCCGGAGCCTACCCTCAGCGACTATCCTCTGCTGCCCCTCAACTATCACGGCCTCCAAATTCTCACCAACAGCACATTCCGTAAACTTGGAATTCACAGCAAGACCGAGGTCGAAGATATTTACCCTTGCTCCCCTATGCAAGAGGGTCTTCTGCTCAGCCAGCTGCGTGACCCCAGCGCCTACATGTTCCACACTATCTTCGAGATAAAGGATGCCCGCAGCGGCAAGGTTGACCCCGAGAAGCTCTCCCGATCATGGCAGATGCTTGTTGATCGCCACCAAGTCCTCCGAACTGTTTTTATTGACAGCAACTACAGCGGAGGTTCTTTCGATCAACTCATCCTCGCCAAGCTTACGGACAAAGTCCTTCGGGTTGAATGCTCTGACTCCCAGGTTGAAGAGAAGCTGGCTGCAATTTCTCTCCGAGACCTCAACGCCATGCGTCCCGCCAAGCTCTCTCACCAGCTCACTGTCTGCCGGACAACAAGCGGCCGTGTTCTGGTGAAGCTTGAAATCAATCATGCTATCATCGATGGCGGTGGTGTTGATGTCCTCTTGCGCGACCTGACAATGGCCTACGATCGCCGTCTATCTGAGGGCGATGGCCCCAAGTTCAGTCAATATATCAAGTATATCCGAGCTCAAAGCCAGGGCGAGGCTTTGGAGCATTGGAAGGAGTACCTCGGTGGTGTTAGCCCTTGTCACCTCGCCCCCACTTCTGGGTCCCAAGCCAAGCGTGAGTTGAAGGGCATCCTGATGAACTTCCAGCGCTACCCCGAGCTGCTCGGCTTCTGTGAGCGGGCCTCGGTCACTTTAGCCAACCTCACTCTGTCTGCTTGGGCTATTGTTCTCAGACAATTCACTGGATCCGATGATGTGTGCTTTGGTTACCTGTCTGCTGGTCGCGATGCGCCTGTCAACGGTATCCAGGACATGGTCGGCATCTTCATCAACATGCTTTGCTGTCGTGTTCAGTTCTCTGGACAGCAGACTCTAGCCGATGTCTCCAAGCGTGTCAACAATGACTACATCCGCAGCATTCCCCACCAGAGCTGCTCTTTGGCAAGCATCCAGCACGACCTGTGCATGCAGGGCCAGCCTCTATTTAACACGACCCTGTCCATTCAGAATCACACTGTTGCTGGTGGTACCAAGGACAAGGGTTTATCCTTCGATCTGCAACATGCTCATGATCCTAGCGAGGTAAGTATTTCCGGAAACCTTGTGGTTATTCAGACCACTAACAAAGCTTCTAGTACGCTGTCACTGTCAATGTTGACATTTCTCGCGGAAATGAAGGAATCATGCTGCGATACTGGAATGATGTGGTTTCCGATGAGCACGCACAATGCCTGGTGGACACCATCGCGAAGGTGTTCACCGGCTTCATCGAGTCTCCCACTGCCACACTTTCCGCATCCAAGTTCGGTGAAAAGATTGAGGAGCAAGGATCTGATTGGGATAACCCACAGGCCACGTTCAACGAAAAAATGAAGCCTGCGTCGGAGGGTTTGGATGGCCCTGCTATTCAGAAGATGATTGACAACCGCGTGAACGAGATTATTGGACAGATGTTGAGGGATGGGAAGTTGATGGTACCGCAGGTGTCTCGCCTGCAGACTGGTTTGTCCGACTATGGTCATACTGATGATGGGGTGGATTCACCTTACCCATCGGACGTGATTCAAGGAGCGGATGATTCGGGTGTTTGTTCGGCGACTTCCCGCTCCAGCGAGGAGGGGATGTCGGCTGATGTGGAGAGGAAACTTTGGAGTCTTTGGAGTACTGCTCTCGGTCTTTCACCCAATGTGGTGAGACACCAGGACAGCTTCTTCAAGCTGGGCGGTGACAGTATCACCGCAATGAAGATGGTTAGTGCGGCCCGCGAGGAGGGCCTGGTTCTTACCGTTGCAGATGTCTTCAACAACCCTGTGTTTGAAGACATGCTTGCAACTGTGCGCGCTGCCAATGTGACGCAGCAGATGCTCAACGTTGATCTGCAGCCTGCGCACAAGGAGGTTGATTCCTTCACTGGCAGAAAGCTTACAACCCTTGCCCCGACGCCATCCTCTGAGAGCATCTCTGTCCTCAGACCCAGCCCGGCTGTCGACGATGCTTCGGTTCAAAATGGTATCTGCCCCAAGATCGGTGTTTTCAAGGGTGGCATCGCCGATGTCCTTCCTGTCACTGACTTCCAAGCCATGTCCTTGACTGCGACTCTGTTCAAGTCCCGATGGATGTTGAACTATTTCTTCTTGGAAGGCAATGGGCCTGTCGATCTTCGACGTCTCCGAGAGAGCTGTTTGAAGGTCGTTGATGCCTTTGATATTTTGAGGACTGTCTTTGTCTGCTTCCACGACCAATTCTTCCAGGTCGTCCTGCGCAAAATTCGTCCCAGCATCTTCGTCTACGAGACTGATCGTGCTCTGGATGAGTTTACCATGACACTGCAGCAGCGTGACCGCGAGTATGGGCCTCGCGAGGGTGAACAATATGTTCAGTTCTATGTTGTCAAGAAGAAGGGTAGCGACCAGCACCGGATCATGATCCGCCTGTCTCACACTCAGTACGACGGAGTGTGTTTGTCCAAAATCATGACCGCTCTCAAGCTTGGTTACGAGGGCAGCCCTCTGCCTCCGGTGACCCCTTATGCTAGCTACCTTCGCCAGCTTCCGGGAACAATTACTCCAGATCACTACAACCACTGGTCGAAGCTCCTTAAGGGCTCGCGCATGACACAGGTCGTTCGTCGCAAGGGTACTACCATGTTCCAGAACGTCGGTGCCTTCACCGAAATTCGCAAGACAATTGAGGTCCCTCCCACGGCCCTGGGCAACGTTACCGTCGCAACGGTGATGCAGGCTGCTTGGGCTCTCACTCTCGCCAAGCTGTCTGCCCAGTCGGATGTTGTCTTCGGTCTGACGATCAGCGGCCGCAATGCGACAGTTCCTGGCATTGAGACCACTGTCGGCCCCTGTGTCAATGTGGTTCCCGTCCGTGTCAAGTTCGACGAGAAGTGGACAGGCCTGGATCTCTTCCGGTTCCTCCAGGACCAGCAAGTCTCCAACATGCCCTTCGAGTCTCTCGGCTTCCGTGAAATCATCAAGAAGTGCACAGACTGGCCGGCCTGGACCTACTTCACCACGTCGGTTTTCCACCAGAACGTCGACTACGAAGGATCCCTGGAGCTCGACAGCACCACGTACCGCATGGGTGGCGCCGGCGTCAACGATAATCTCGCAGACCTGACTATGGTCTCACGCCCCACCGACGAGCGCAACCTCAGCGTGACTCTCGGTTACTCTGAGAAGGGACCTGTTCACCCAGCCTTTGCGGCCAAGGTTCTCGACATGGTCTGTGAGATGACGCAGTCCCTCGTCGCAAACCCATCCACTGCTCTGCCGTCCCCAACCATGCTGTGCTCTCTGCCATCCCAGACCATCGACGACCTACCCCGTTCTTCAGACGAGCATTTCCTCAGCGCCCACCTCAAGTCGCGCTCTATTGCCGAGCTCCTTGTCCACTCGGATATTCTTTCCCGCTCATGGCACCAGGTCCTACCTACCCGCGCATCTACCAACACTGGTGGCCTTGATGCCGGAGACAAGCCCTCTCATCCCCAAGCAGCTTTCCAGCTGGACTCGTCCTTCTTCGACCTTGGTGGTGACATCTTCAACATGGCCCAGCTCACCTGGCTCCTCGAACAAGAAGGCCTCAAGGTCCGCCTCGAAGACCTTCTGGAGCACCCCTCATTCCTGGGTCAGATGGCCGTCCTTGCCCTGCACAACTCCAAGCACCCGGACGAATACCCAGCCGAGTACACCACTGGCGCCGTATCATCTGATGTGGCTGATAGCAGCCCGGTCGAGAAGAAAAAGACATGGGAGAAGGCGATGACTCTCGCAAGGAAGTTGACTCGCCGCAACAACATGGTATCCAGCCGAGCCTGAGACTCCACCAAGGACCATGCGCGCAAAAAAAACCAAAAAAAAAGAAAAGAAGTTGTTGGTGTTTGCAAAAAGCAAACATTCGATTGTTGTTCTTTCCTTACTTGCCATGTGTTTCTAGTTTATAACGCTGCGACTGCAGCTCTCTCTCTCTCTCTCTCTTTTTTTCTTTAGTGTTTATTGTTTTGGGCTCTCTATAGATGCATCATGCGTTGGCCTTCGTCCTTTATTTCCTTACTTGTCTTGGTTTCACTTTCGTTCTCTCTCTCTTTACGTTCATCTCTACCTTCGCTTCTCTCTTACTTCTACCTTGGTTGTCTCTCTCTTTGTCATCTCCTAATATAATGGAAACTCGTCGCTATCCGAAAAGTTCTCGCGTAGATATCTCTAGTATTTTACCTCCGAGTAGCCTGAAAATCTAGGAGAACCGTAAGGGAAAGTGGTGTTCTCCGGAATGTTTGGGTACTAACAGGCCCACCCTGGTTGGGAATGGAATCCGAAGAAATAGAGGGAAGCAGGAACAGTAGACAACCGAATAAAGAACTCCTTACGGGAGTGAAACGGATAAAATACTGAATCATCTGCATTCATAAAACTGATGATGAGAAAGGAATCACAGCAAGGACCTCTCGCAAGAGCGATGAAGGATCAGTAGTCTAAGTATAGCACACGGCCCGAAACACCTCTAAGGACTCGGCGAGGTGGAAAGTCAACATGACAAAAAGTCTTCTTGAAGTTCACAAGCTTTTGGTATTAACCCATAGTATGTTCATAAGATTCAATCATATGTTCAGAATTCCACCGCTCTTCGTGGACAATCTCAGGTGTGATGCAAACAAAGGGTATCTATCTAGTATCCCAAGCCAACAGCAAATGTAAACTATGTACAATCTTCGTAACGTATTTCCCCTTTCATTTTATATTCTTTGTTCTTCCAACGTTCCTGCTCCCTCGATCGCAAGTGTATCTCCTCACAAACCAGTCACTCAACCGTCTCTTAGTGCGCTGCGGCCTGCTTGGCCGTGTCGTGGTGTCGTGGCCTCATTCCTACCCGCTTCCTCTGCTCGTTTTTCGCCGCCCCTTGGCTTCCCTCGATCCCAACAATGAAGCGTCCTCGGTCCCGACGGAATAGAAATCAGGGAAGCGACCGTGGCGAAGACGGTATCACTACCACCACCACCACTAGCAACTTGGACGAGCAGAGTGACGCTACCTATGAAACGGATTTGACAGAGCAGGACGATTACTTAAGCTCACGAAAACGTCTCCGGTCGGATGAGAACTGCTCTGCTTTGGAGCCAGGGCTCTCTAACGACTTGGGAGAATTCTACGATGATCCACTAGATAATGATGGAGTTGATCTCTCCGAGATCCCCGAGGATTTCGACAAGGCTCCTGGTACGCTTGAACGACGAGATCGGATTGAGGGCCGGTGGAAACGGTTAGTTATAGCCGAAATTCACCTTGTTTCTGTCTACTAATATATGCTTAGGTACTGTACCAGCCAACGGATAAACAAGCCCAATGAGCCAAAATGGCGGGAGCCTGAAGAGGCGCTACGCTAGGCGTCGAACAATGACATATATCGGTTCCTAGGCTGGTGTCTTAAACTCGAGCGCGGCAAGGAAGGTCGATGGTTAAAACGCACCCACAAAGCTAGCTCGTTGAATATGGACTGGAAAAACCTCCGCGGCTACTACCAAAAGCTTACCAAGATCAAAATCAACGATGCGGATGGCTTAGATGTACGGAGGGTCAGTAACATGAACCTAAATTCTTTCTAAATATGGTTGATCATCTTGCCTAACCACTGATTTATAGGGTATGAAGTACTTGGTCCAAGAGCATGGGTTAGACACACAACCGGGAAAGAAGACGCTGGTTTATATCGAGGATATCGGCCCATTTAATGAAACCATTTTGTCGACTCAGGAGAAGAAGTTCCACCTAGGATTCCAACGCATCCAGGTGTGCCTGTTTAACTCCCTCGCTCTATTCACCGTGCACCGGAGGAATGCCTTGTTAAGTCTGCAATTGAAGGACCTGCAGATCTCCCTTCAGAAGGATCCTCGTGGAGGGCCTCCCATTCCTATGATTGAACTTACTGCCGAGGGAACCAAAAAGTTCCTCGGGTTGACCAAATTGTACGGCCGCCGCAATTTCTTTGCCTCCCTTTGACTAGAACAAATTCGGAGTACTTGACAGTCTATATTTCTAGCTATGCAACTACGCCAACAACTGAGCTGAATGTATGTCTATTAAGATAGCAGAGACAACTCTGACTTACGCTTGCGCGATACCATCAGGGAAACGCTGGGGGTTACGGAAGAACTTTCCAGGTTCCTCAAGACCGCCAGGTCTCCAGTATTCGTACTCGATCCAAGCGTTCTCCTAAAGGCAGTGTTAGTCAAACACCTACAATCCTGTTTGCTCAACGGTCTGCTTACCTCCATCTGGTCCTCAGTAGCCTCGAGATAGGCGCCGAGCTCCGGGTGCAGCGGGATGATGCCGACCTCTTCGACATACTTATCCCAGTGCACCAGCAGCTCCTCGAGAATTTTGGGATATGACTCGGCTAGGTCGTGGATCTCGCCGGCGTCCTTGCTCAGGTCGTACAGCTGCCACTTATGCGGGCCCTTGGGCGCGGGGATGAAGACCGCTTTCCATTGTGCTCGGCGAATGGCTGCTCGTCCGCAGAACTCCCAGCCGTACACAAAGTCTGGAGGGTGCGTAGATGGTGCGTCGCCGCGGAGCCACGAACTCATGCTCTTGCCGCGCATAGGCGCGACCTGGCGGCCTTGGTATGTCGGCGCGGGGTGCTTCACTCCTGCCATGTCGAGCAGTGTCGGCGCGATGTCCATGACGGTGGCAAACTCGTGCCTGATGGCACCGTCTGTGCTGCTAGTGCACCCGGGTCCTTTAAGGATACAGGGCACCCTTATGCCGCCTTCGGTGGTGAACATCTTGTACAGCCTCGACGGCGCGGTCGATGCCTGCGCCCAGCGTGGGCCGTACCACACAAAGGAGTCGGCCGCACCGATGTTCTCGAGAGAATTGTTATAGTACTTGCGGATATGCCCCATCATCGAGTCCCTGACTAGTGGGTACGCCTCGTACGCGGCACCCTCGGCGCCATTGTCCGACAGGAACATGATAAAGGTGCTGTCCAGCTCGCCAATGCACTTGAGATGGTCCAGGACGCGTCCGACGTTGACGTCAATGGCCTCCACCATGCCGGCGAAGGCCTCCATGGCGCGGCTCGACATCTTGCGCTCAAAGTCGCTGAACTCCTCCCACGCTTCGGAGCGTCCGTCGTCTACCACCGGGTGTGGCTCCGTGTCCTTGTCGATGAGCCCCAACTCCACCAGCTTAGCCAGCCGCTTCTGCCGGAGCACCTCGGGACCCTTGTCGTAGACGCCACGGTAATGGTCGATGTACTCCTTGGGGGCCTGCAAGGGCCAGTGGGGCGCAGAGAAGGGGAGGTAGGCAAAGAAGGGCTGGTCTCGGTCTTCTTGTCCTTCCTTTTTGTTGCCCTCTTTCCACTCGGATAGGTATTCGATCAGCTTGTCGCCGTAGGTGTTGGACGAGTAAAAGTCTTTTGGCAGCTCGTCAAGCGGGATGTACTCGCCATCCTCGCTGTGAAGGCAGATCAGGCTGGTGTCGAGAATTTGGGGTGTGCCATTCTTGATTCTGCCACCCTTCGTCAGCAACTGCTCGCACAGAAAAACAATCAATGGCGGTAGGAGAAACTCACTCTCCCTCAGGCCGATAGTTATAGTGATTGGCACTGCCCGGAAGCATCGCGAAGGACCGGTCAAAGCCCCGAGAGTGCGGCGAGCGCTCGGGCTTGAGGCCGAGATGGCACTTCCCGGCCATCATAGTGCGGTACCCGCCGTCCCGTAGGCACTCGGCGAGAGTGACAACGTGCTCGTTGAGGTAACCTTCGTACCCCGGCATGCCCCGTTGCGGCTTCGTGTCGTAAGGCTTCCCACTCTCGGTAAGGGGCTCCCCGTCGAAACGCAACCAGCCGGTGTAGTTGGTGAACTCGATCAAGTTTCCCAGGCCCGCGATATGGTGGTCGGTGCCAGTCATGATCATAGCCCTGGTAGGTCTGTCATGTCAACCCAGCGTCAGCATTGTGCTTTCTTCTGAAATTGGGGTGATGGTAGCTCACGAGCATGCGGCCGCGGCGTGGAAGCCGGTGCATCGGACGCCTTGGCTGGCGAGCTTATCGATGTTAGGCGTCCTGATCTCGCTGCCGAAGCAGCCCACGTCTGAAAACCCCAAGTCATCTGCCACGATGATGAGGAAATTGGGGCGCTTGCCGGTAGGGGCCGCTATATTTGCTATCTATTCCCTTGTGGTGGGGGTGGGGTGGTAAAATCGATTTGATTGTAGAGCACTAGGATGCGAGAAGAAGGGCGAGTCTCGAAGAGTGGCACGTCCGAGCTGCAAGCAACGGAAATTGCTGTAGGCGATGTCCACTTCACACGCGATCTTTAACTCCGACAACCTGTCTGTTGGTCGTTATTACCAGTAGATAGCCTGCTCAGTGCTTAGCAAACTAACAAGTAACAAGCAGTGACTTATTATATATCAAGAGACGCCGGAGTGATGCCCGTACTTGGGAATCCTTTTCTACTTCTTGACCACTTACACTTCCCGCGATGTCCGCGAGTGGGCGAATTTACACGATTACCGCGACCTCCGCGATCTCCACGATCTCCTGTCCCTCGCAGCGCAACCAGCTCAATGGAATACAAGCCACCATTCCCATATTTGCACAGCAGATACAATGGCGAGAGAGGCATACCCGCAGTTAGGCATGGGATTAAATTGGATATTTACTCGGAAGGCCAATGTCAGCTACTTTACAAGCCATGATTGCCTCGCGTCCGCGATCCCCGCGACGAGCCCAGTCGCTGTATTGCTTCAAAGGAGAAACCTCGCCCCATTTCTCTTCTCCCTAAGATAATACTACCCTATATCATCAAGCTTGAAGCTACGTCCCGTTACGTCTTGTTCAAAATTCAAACGTCCACAACGCACTGCAACTCCGCCTAATCCGCCCCGATGGGTCCGACGGCAGAGTCCACGACCCAACAGGTCAATCCGATGACCACCTCGGAACGCCTCGGTTCAAAAACATACTCGATGAAGTATGTCTTCCGCAAGATGACGTGGCGGCTCTTCTGGGCTTGGATGGTGACGGCGCTTATCAATGTCATCTTCGGCTACGAGGTGACCAGCTTCGGCGGTGTGCAAAGCATTCCGGCATTTGCAAAGCAGTTTGGACAGAAGACTGCGTCGGGCAAGTATGAATTGTCGTCTGAGAGAGCCTCGTACACGGCTTCGCTAGCCTTTGTGGGTAAACTGGTTGGCAGTCTGGTAGGTTATCCTCGTCCTGTTCCACGGCCACAGCATCTAATACTAACGTTATCCGTGTCAGATGGCGCCCTTCGGCATCGAGCGCTTTGGACACCGCTGGACTATCTGGGCCCTCGTCGTCATCGTTTGGATAGGCGTTGTCATTGAGTCTACCTCTAAGGAGATTGCCCAGTTCATTATCGGCCGTATTGTTATTTACTTCAGGTGCTGCTACTCCCATGGTGTCCGGCCCCGGCATGATGCATCACATGGTACACAGCTGACGTTGTTGCTCCCAAAATCTAGCGTTGGCCTCGCCGAAGTCACTTCCACGTACGCTATCTGGCTCCCGCTGCGACACGACTTTTAAATAACCTCTTTCTTGCAGGAGCTACCAATCCGAGATCTCGCCTGCAGCCATGCGTGGTACCATCGTCGGATCACTTCAGCTATTTATCCAGATCGGTCAAATCTATGCTGCTGGTGTGAACCGCGCATACTCCACGTCCACACACCCAAGCGGGTATGTGCCCTAGCATGCCGTGGGCTCTCTCTCAGACCTCGGGGGCAGTGGCCCAGCACTGACACGTCTGTTTAGATGGATCATCCCCGTCGCAATCCAGGCGGGAGTCCCTTCTATCGTCTTCGTCTGTAACTTCTTCATTCGTAAGATTCCACAAGACCCTACCGCGTCTCTACCTCAGGATTTCAGTGCAAAACTCATCATATCTCCCAGCCGACTCCCCTCGATGGCTTATCAGCAAGGACCGGAAGGAAGATGCCGTCAAGGTGCTTGATATAGTGCGGCCTGCTGAGGACGTGCGGTCTGGTGTGAACCGCCTTGAGGTCGACGCTATCGAGGAGGCCGTTCGCAACGACCTTGAGAAGGCGCCTTGGATTGAACTGATTGTAAGTGGATGTACCTGGCAGATGTATGTCTCTTCGATCGTTCTCACAGAGTCGTGTCTTGCAGAGAGGGGTTAACCTACGCCGGACTCTAATTGGTAGTGGGCTCTTGGGCTTGCAGCAGTTCCTTGGACAAAACCTCGTCTCTGGATGTAAGTTCTAAGGGATTCTTTTCCCACCGACCAACGGTCAACTGGCCAATCATCGCCCAAGTGCGTAGGAACACAGTTGCCAAAGCTAACTTGGGCGATTCAGACTCGCCACGGTTTTATGCTACTGTCGGCCTCTCCAAGGAAGCCTTCAACTATAACATTGGGTCTGCCACCGTTGGCTGGGCCGGAAGTCTGCTGGGAATATTACTCAGCGACTTCCTCGGTCGTCGCGATGTCCTCATTTGGGGCGCCGTCATACAGTCTGCCTTCCTGTTCCTCATCACCGGCGTGGGACTCCAGAGCAACCCGACCACAACTGATGCGCGAGCTCTAGTGGCTGGCGTGATGCTCTACTTCTTCTTCTACTCTGGGTGAGTCTAGTCCTCGAGCGGCCGTCACATAAAGCTGCCTTGATATGCTGACAAGCCGACGTGACTCGTAGGACCTGGGGACCTCTACTCTTCACGGTATGTTAACACTACTGTTGTTATATTTACTATGCAAAAGAACCATCATCCCTGGACATAGCTCACAGACGAAACAAATAGGTCTGTTCGGAAGCGGGAAATCCAGCTTTGCGCGAGAAGACTCTGTCTCTGGGTGTCGCGCTCAAGTAAGTTCAACTTGAACTGTCTATTGTGCCCGGGAAGATGTGTCATCTGGTCTGTATCCTATACTTACTTTTCTGCGTTTTCTAGCGTTATCACCGCCTTTATTGTGAGCTTCTCCGTGCCATATATTCTCGACGCCATCGGATCCGCCATCGGAGCCGTCTTTGGAGGAATCGCATTCTTCTCCGCGATCCTCGTCTACTTTGTGCTGCCGGAGACAAAGGTAAGCAGTCCCTAAACTGACACTCACTACACCTACATCCAGAACGCAAGCTGACATGAATTACAGGATCGCTCTCTTGAGGTTGGCCTCTGCGTATTGTCCGATACTATGTTTGTAGTGGCTAACACGCTGCCTTACACCTGCAGGAACTGGACGAATTATTCAAGGTGAGTCAGGAGACAAGCGCCGCTATTGATTTTTACACGAAGCTGACGTGACTATAAGGCTCATGTTCCAGCGCGGAAGTTCAAGACCACCCGTACCTACGGGGCGGGAAGCCGGTATGTTACTCCCTCCAGCATCACTGCTCCGTTCGTAACCCGCATACTGAATATATGTGGTTCATCTCAGCGTCACGGATCTCGAAAACGCATCGTACAACGAAAAGCTCGATAGGCCCACGGTCGAACACGAGGAGCGCGTCGAGACGATCAACCTTCAAGATGTGTGACAGCGTAGAAGGTTTCGTGTGTCGAGTACCCGTCCTTCGAGTAATACAGTGTGGGGGACTGAATGGTTATCTTGCGCTTCCATCATCAGCTCCTTTTCGCTCGTTCTCGCGAGGAGAGTCTGTGTATGCTAGTGTGTTTCAAAGAAGTATACGTATACCGATCACTTTCTATATGTGTATCTTTAATGCGATTGGGAATACTTACCCTACGATCGTCGAAGTCTAGACTCACGTAGAGTCGTCGTACGCACTTGTAGTGTACCTCTTCGCAGTACATGCGCGCCACACGGCCCCAAAATCACCGCGTAGGTGGGCTGAGCTTCTGACACTACTGCATAGTAGGCTAGGTATGGAGTATGCGTACTCTCGCTAGGTCTAGTCGAGATATCCACGGCGTGGCCCTGCTAGCAAGCCTAGCAAGGCGCTGATAAGTAATTGGTCGCTTAAGCGGGGAAGGAGTTGGAAATAGCGTTCTTGTTCAAGGTTCAAGTTGGGGGTGGGCCACCGGCCCCGCGTCCCATTTAAACAGCGCAGGTCCCCAGTGGAACGGGTCCCAACAGCCGGATCCAAATCGGCGAGCCCAAATGGCGTCGCGGGATAGGCAATCGTCGTCGCTCACCAGAGCCACTCGCATCGCAGCTAGCGACGGCTCAGTCAAACAAAGATCAACTCACAGCCGGCTCGGCTGTGTTACCTGCAGGAAGCGAAAGGTACTATGCTGTCCCTATTACATCAGACATGTAAGTCTGGAGGCTTTATCTTACTGACGCTCCTTTTACACATATAGGTGCGCTGCGATGAGCGTCGCGACATATGCGGCAACTGCTCGCGCCTAGATCTGGCCTGCTCATGGTACATCAACTCCGAGTTCTCTCAGCGCTCGCGCGTGAACAATGCATGCGACAGATGCCGGAAGAAAAAAGTGCGGTCCATCTTTCAGGTGTGTGTGCTTATTTATTGGCGCATGTCGTTGATCGGGGCCTCAGATTCGCTGTAATTCCACATCCAACGCTGGACCTGCGAACCGTGCCAACACGCACTCACAAGATGCGTCAGTTTGAAGCAACAGCACCCCAAATGGAGTCAGAGCGGGGGCAGCAACACTTCAGGCCCGGCAGATCCAACTGGCAACGTTAGCACTCTCGGCGGGGTGCCTTCCAGGACGGAACTGCGACAGCTTCTCAGCCTCTACTTTGACGGTCCGCACTACTTCTGCTTCTACACCTTCCTCCACCGGCCAACCGTGGAGCAGATGTTCGACAACAGCACCGTCCTGAGCCCGCTCTTGCTGATTGTCATCGCCACCAGCTTGCACTTTGTCCAGCCGGACAATCCACTCCCAGACCATTGGGCGGATGAGTGCCGACGTCTGGTCATGGCCGACATCTTCTCGCCACCGTCGACAACCACCCTGCAGACTCTCCTGCTGCTACAGCGCTACGACTGGCACCGTGCCGACCACATCAGTGCCTGGTTCATCTCGGGCCTGGCCGTCCGCCTGGCCCACGGCCTAAAGCTGCACCGTGAGCTGTCCGACGAGGCCGGCACCGCCATAACGATGCGCGAGACCCGGCACCGCCTCCTGTGGAGCTGCTTCGTCATGGATTCAATGATAGACGGCGGCTGCAAGCCGCTGGGTAGTCTGAATGTGTCGTCCATCGACGTACCCCTTCCATGTAACGAGCGAGCATTTCACCTGGGCTTGGAGACCAACATGCAGACTCTAGGCCACTTGGTTGACCACCGCCGAGCCTCACTCTCGTCGACGTCCAGCCACCCCCACAACCCGCTTCTAGATGGTGACGACGCCGGACCGGGTATCTCAGCGTTCCTCGTCAATCTAGCCTCGCTACGGACGGAGATCCTGCAATATACGCTGCAATATCACCCCCACACTGGGAGCAGCACTCCGGCGATACATCCGTGGGATCCAGGGTCGCCCTTCCAGCAGTACGAGGAAAAGTTGGAGCAGTGGCAGCGTTGTCTTCCGGAGAGGCTGCGGTTCCAGCCGGAGGCGATCTACCGGCGGCAGCCGCACCTCGTCAATCTGGTGACGCTGCACTGCATTTTCCACGGCTGCTACTGCGACTTGTACTGGATCGCGTCGTACCTGGCGGCGTCGCGGCGGACTGGTGCGGCGGAAGAAGGCTGCGTGCCGCCCGCCGCGTTCCTGGAGGCCTGCCGACACGGCCGTCTGCGGCATGCGGCGGAGATCTGTAAAGTCGTCGCCGAGAGCACGCGGTACATGCTCAGTGCGAGCCACGACCCCGTCGTTACTATATGTTTCTCGCTCGCTCTGAGGGTGCTGGTCATCGAGAGGCAGCCGCAGGACAGCGGCGGGCTCGGGGTGACGGATGAGATGATCCATGCGAATCTCGACGTTGCGGTCGGGTGTGCGAAGGAGACTGCGAAACGGTCGGTCCCGATTCGAGACTTGGTGAGGCTTACCTTGTCCTAACTTCCCGGTTCTCTTTCACCCGGTTCCGTCAACTGAAAAGCTGACTTTGGTGTGAATAACCTCCTAGTTCTGTTCCGTGTGCAGACTAGCGATTCAGCATGGATATCAAATAGACCTCACTGATATACCACCGTAAGTGAACCGCCACCTTATGGACGCTGTTCAACACAGCTCTTCTGGAACCACAGTTGACTAACGCGTATCTCCCTAGGTCCCGCTCCACAACCTCGCGACAGCGTCACAGTCAGCTGGCGCCGACGCCCCCTCTCTCGCCGAGCCTGCGCACATACGGCACCTTCGGCCGGATCCAGAACTCGCTGGCCTCGCGACGGCACATCGACCCCGTAGCCCCGACCCCGATCGAGAAGGGGAGCAACCCGTTTAGCCACTCGTCCGCGACGCTGGCATACGGCCAGCCACTGTCGAAAGCCGTGGACACGGCGCAGCTGCCCCCGCCCCCGCCACCTCCGCCGCCGCTGCAGCAAGTGGCGGGCATCGGCGATGGCTGGGATCTCGACGTGGCATGTCTGGCTGGCCAGCCGTTCGGAGACGACGACGTGGAGATGCTTGCGTCTGGGTGGGGGGACGGGACGCTTACTTTCTCTATGGAGCCGGAGCAGATGGATTGGATTAACCAGAGTCTTCTGCTGGGGGTTTGAGGTGAAACTGATAGGGAGGAATCGAGTCTGGGGGATCAAATACATACCGTACTATCAGATGTTAATGCACCGCCAAAACCAGCGGGTTGGGGCTGCCAAAGTTAGCACCCAGCACATCAACCTAATATTATTCTTCATCGTTTACACTATAAACGCGTCCCCTCCCCCCCCCAATACAAAAAAGGTGGGTGCATTGTGGCAGTGCGAGGGTTAGAGTTAGACGAGGGTAAGCGAGGGCCAGGAGGGCTGGTCAGTGAGTGAATAATCCGTTATACGGGATTTTTAGCGAGTCATCCCCCTCCCTATCCCGTATCTCACTCAATCAATGGGGAGCATTATCCATATCTCTAGGACTAGAAGCTAATTTAATCAGAATATCTTCTATGGATCTAATGACAGATTATACTATCCTGATTCTGTTACCGTACTGACAATTGGGAGCTTTAGAAGTGCCCCTTGGCTGCAGCAGCAGCGAGATAGACTAAGGTTCTAGAATTTTTAATTAAGATGAAACTTTAAGTGAATATGCCTCTTAAGGATGATAATTTTGGTAATACACTCATAGCAGCAGCAGCTGAAGGGTGTACTAAGATTGTTAGGTTCCTGATTTAAAAGCAAGCTAAAATTAGTTAAGACTGAGTGTGAAGCTGCAACCAGACCGCGGCTTATTAGCTGACCTCCCAAGGACGTTTGCTATGGCTGATAGCTGTGTTCGAGGTCGCCAATTATGCTGATTCAAGATCTATACATGCAAGGAGATTATTGTCGACCCGAGGATTTGATTTCTTATGTCGCTATACTTCCACGTTGAACGAAAGACTGCCTTTTCTAAAGACGGGATTCTCTCCAGTAGCTTTTGGAAGTCGGCATCTTGCACCATAATCTCCACCTTCCACACAACATAGTCTCGCAACACACCTCGCATATTCTCTATGTGCTCACTGTCCTCGAAAAAGAATTGTAAAAGTTGCACGATATCCTTAGTTCCTTCTTCAAGCAGGGTGAAGTTCTCAAGCGACCGCATAAGCCAATAGAACGGAGAAGCCCACAGTGAAAGCCAGTCTATTCGGAAACCGAAACGATACATTTTAGCGTGACTCAATAATAAGTCGGCACAGCTATCTAGAGACTCGGTGTTCAAGTCTTCTTCGTCTTCCGATCGTGGAGCCTGGTCAAGCCTTTCTAGCAGAAGCGCATAGATACCGGGAAGCCTCGTTGGATGGAAGATTTTCCGATCTAAGGTTGAAGCCATTGTCCCACCCATTTCTGAAGATGTGGTTTTCTGGCACTGGGTTTCTTAGTAACGGAGTAATCGTCAGAGTACACAAACTCACAACAACAACCAAAGACCACCTCATCAATGTCCTCAATCATAGACGGCTGAAGGGCCTTGCTCGGGAACGAACATTCTAACACCCTATGAATTAAGAAACGCTTTCGGTCTTTCCCAGTGAAGACATGAAAGATACCGAATTGCAATATCCTTTCGAATTGTCAGCGATTAGAACTCTATGTGTATAATATCCGTATGATACCTAGGCCGCATTGGGGCGAAGATATTTAATAAGCTGATCTCCGACGCAGAAAAGTAGAACAAGTTATCAGATGTAGTGTGAGGGATATTCGAATCAAGGGTATGGCCACAGAAGCAACGAAGGCTTTGTACGGCCCGTCTTCAACTAATTTCCGCGGCTCTTTATAATAAGTGGCTTGCCCCTAGCTTGGTATTCAGTCGCAGTGTACTTTCCGCGAGGCATCCTCTCACTCACTGAGGTCCAATTGACGGCTAGTACGTATTCCACCGTAGTAGTGGGTCTTAATAAAGCCAATGGGATTGCTTCACACTGGGAGCGAGGCTTTAGATCCCCAAGACCGCTGTAGCCCTATTGCACCACCTGACTGATTGCAGCGTCCCATATCTCTATTTTGACTAGCTCAGAAAAGAGGAGACGCTCTGTGAACGTACTGACGGTGTTTCGCTCGTATAAATACGGTTGACGAATAGGGGAAGAATATTATGCGATGGGGTCTAGTCTGGTAGAAGGATATAACGACGAATACATGTGAAGCTTCCATGATCGATAAATATCAGTCGTGCGCTCCATCTGTATCATACTACCTACCAAATCTCAAAAGCTATCCGTGTTTACGAGAGCTTCTCCACGGCCCAGCAGTCAGTTCTTGGCTAATTTTCCACCTAAAAAAGACTTCCCGGTTGAGCCCGTGTTGCTTTGAGAGGTTGATTTTCTCCTCGGACGAGTCGAAGATCTTCTGGTGATGGTATAGCTTACCATTTGAGTGGCTTTATGCTGCGCTGCCAAGCACAATGCCTATGAGCTACGAAGTTGAATTATATCGGTCAACGGTTCATGATCGCCATCTTGTACTAGCGAGAGACATGGGAATATAGTGAGAAGATTAAGGTCTTGTCCTTTTGCCGGTGCATTATCACTAGGGAGAGGAAAGTGGCTCCATTTATCATCCTCGAGATCACATAGCTCAAAATCTGTCTCATATTTCTGTTGTGACCGCTGGATCGGTAGCCAAACTTCAACCGCGCTTTGCACTATTCTTTTGATGCTCGTGGAAAATACACCATGCTATGCTTCGGAGAGTAGTCCCCGCGCGTATGATGACATATTGCGGACCACAACTCGAATTTTGGCCTGGAGAGCCTCATCTTCGGCGTTGGGATCTATAGAGAGAAGTATTCGACGGCAGAAGGCTTCTTTCTCACCGTTAGTCTCTACAAGGTGAGCGAGGGCGTCACAAATTTGGGTAAATCCTGAAAGAAGGTATATCGGCTGAAATATCTGCCGGCGAATCTCTCCGGATAGAACCGCCAGGGTCATAGTAAAGCGCATCGTTTTGGCTCCCGGCGAGTTAGAAGGGATCAAAGAGAAGTTTGGTGGCAGCATTATATCGTCGGCTTTTCTAAGCTTCTCCCAAATCGGGTTTTCCTTATAGTATTGTGAGTGAAGAGCGGTACATAAGAGGTTGAGCACAAACCTTCAAGACTTCTGTTGCAACATCTTGCTCCAACAAAGCAGATAATTCGCTAGCAGCGAAGATCCAAATATCCTTAAACTTCATCGAGCTGTGTTTTGACGCAAAAGCAGTCAGCCCATAGAGGTCTGCGAATCCTTACGCTCGACTTATATGGATTTTTCGTCGATAGCTGAGTATTGGACACAGGAAGCTTCCAATCTTTAAAGTCGAGATTTGACTGCTTTCAGATCTTTGTTCATTAAGACATTGGCAACTTCCAGCTCTTCCTTTTTCCTCTGCTCCGATGAAAGCATTGATTTCAAGTTCGAGCCAGCGGTCTTAATTTTGTCAATCATCTTATCTTTTTCTTTTAAACTGTTCTGGAGTGTGCTGATGTCTGTAGCAGATTAGGAGATCTTAGCGACCTCTCGCGAGTGGGCTAATTTGAGATCCACTATCTGCTGTTCAGCACCCAGTAAATTTCTCGAGTACTCTGCAATCTTGTCTTCTCTTTCATTAATAGCGATTCTTTTTCTTTCCTTGATATCAAGAACCTCGTTTCGGACATTCTTTAGCTCTTCATCTCGGGTATGGATTTTCTCGCGCAGTTTAGAGATCTCGCTAAGCATCGCTAATGCAATCTAAGATTCAGAACTCGAAGCCAGCGCACTGATATACTTGAAAAAGCCTTCCAGGCTACCACTATTGACTGCAATTGGGGAGTCATGCTTTCCTGAATTCAAAGAACTTGACTCGATAGGAGATAATATTTCCAGGATATTATAAATTCAATTTCTTTACTCAAGAGGTTTTGCAAGGTCGAGTGTAGGCTCATGCCTAAAGAAGGTGTTAGAGAAGGTACGGTTTATTTATAAAAAGCTATCGGACGGAGATATTTAGTTCCCCTACAAAAATTAAGAAACCAGTTGGCTGAGCCTCATGGTGAGGGGAAAGAAGAGTGATGCTGTTTTAAGCATGCAAGTGTAGGGTACATAAGTATGCGACGTGTTCTCGGATGTGTGGCTTTAATGTATGCGAGTCATGGCATATATATGCCGAACGGCTAAACCCACACGTGTCGCTTAGATCACGGTCGCATCACTGGGGCTGCTGTAAGCAGCTGACGGAAACCATCTACCGGTGCCAATTTAATTGGCTACACCACCGAAGTTATTTTATTGTTCAGAAGATAGATAAGGCTCATACAAGTTCATCGCTAAGGCCTACGGCAAGGACCATCGAATAGCGGGCTACTACGGAGACCCACTCCTTCAGCAGATCAATCGGCCAACGGAATCCATCCTCACTGGGAGTAGGATTAGCTGCCTACAGCTAAGAACCGCCTGTCCCCAGCACCTGGTCACCTCCGTGGTTCTCTCATGACTGGGCTCAGCCGAAGATGATTGGATCAGGAGGCTATAGGTGCGAAGAGCCCCTTTATATAGCGTGTGGCTTACTGTGTCGCCTGTGCTCTCCAGTGGGCCGTACTATGTTCGATTTCCTCTCAAGACAATTTCTCTAAGAGGTGTCCGCTCCCAGGGGAGTACACCTGTTTCGAAATTTCCAAGTGACCCTAGCTCTTGAAATGAGCTAGCTAAAAATTCTTTTTTTTTTTCAACGTCCTCTCATGTTGCCACCTACAAGATGCTCTACATAGCTCCATTATAGATACAAGAGCAGTCTCTCATTCCAATACCACTTCTATTAGACTACCACTTCTATTAGACTACCACTTCTATTAGACTACCACTTCTATTAGACTACCACTTCTATTAGACTACCACTTCTATTAGACTTCTCTCGGGGCACCATACGTCTTGTCTATATTGTGCTCTTGTTTCAAGCAACATAGGTCTATGCATGATCTAAAAGAGGTATCTCATGATCGCCTAGGATCCCTTCCGTCTTAGACCGAGTATAAGACTCGAGATGCCATCCATAGAAGTTCTTTCTCCTTTACAAGTCGAACTTCTGCCGCAGGCTTCTTCTCTTCATGCTCGGAAACCACAAATAAGGCATTACTGCTATCAGCAGTCGCCGCGCGGCAGCATTGGGCCGGCCTGGGGTTGTGTAAATTCTTATCGTACAGTGAATAATCCTTCCATAAATACTTTTCCGCCACTCGTTCTACCGGCGATGGATCCGACTGATCCATGCGGAGACGATCAGACCGTCTCCACTCTCCTCGTTCAAGGGACCAGAGCTAGATCTCAATGTGATTTTGAGGGGTGCGCTCCTCGACCGTCCTTAAAGGCATATGATCGGCTACGGAGGATAGATGTTCTACCGCGGGTTCTGATGTTCCTGGGTGGAGAGGTTCTGCCGATGCCTCGTGGGTGATGGTGTCTGGAGCGGCTGCGGTATCTAAGGCTTCCCTGGGCACAGAATCCTTCGGTCGGTCTTCAGGGCTCGGCGATTGTACCTCTCGCAGACCAAAACGAACACCCAAACTTTTATGCAGCGTCTAAAGCGATTCAAGTGACCACTTCCCACGCGCTCGAATGCGTCGTCCGTACGTGTAGAACAGATACGGGATCGGAATCAGCGCAACAGAAACGAACCCTAACACACTCGCAGCCCAGGGCACGCCGAGGCCATGAAACATGGCGCTAGTGAAAAGCGGGAAACAGCCCGCAAAGACCGAGCGTAGGAACGTATTCGCCGCAACCGCACTGGCCGAGTACCGCTGGAAGGTATCAATGAGGTAGTTGAGGGCAGCTTGGAAAATAGTAAAGAAGCCGAAACCCATCATTACAGCACCGATGATCGGGCCAATCCAATGGATGTGTTTCGGGCTCGTCCAGCCAAAGACGAACAATCCCGCTGCGAAGAGGACCGAGCCTAGCATCATGGGAGGGAGACGGGCTTCGGGGACGGCGCGATTGTTGTTTGCTTTGAAGCGCTTGATGTAGAAGCGCTGGTTTCCGATATTGATTACGGCGCCGATGAGGATGCCGACGAGGTAGGCGAGGAAAGGGAGGGCTCCGACGACTTGGTTCCATCCGCGCACTTCTTGGAAGACGATTGGGAAGGCGGCCAGACTTAGGTAGAGGATGCCGTAGACGAAGGAGGCGTAGAGGGCGACGAGGAAGCAGATTGGGGTTGCGAGGAGCTGGAACGGACGAATAAGGTATTTGTTGCTCAGTTCTTTGAATGTTACGTCCCATTCTTCGTGACGGGCATGGAGGGCCCAGTTGCCGCTTTCGAAGCGCAGGCGCCGGGCTTTGTATACTAGTAGCACGGGTGGGTAGCTTTCGTCGATGAAGAGGAGGTCCATGACAAGGAAAAACATCATCATGATGCCGGTAAGCTGTATGAATGTCAGTATCGTTCTGAGAACTATTTTGGGAGTAGACGCACGTATTCAGTCCATCGCCAACGGAGGTAGCTTTGGACAATCGCACCACCGACAATAGGCCCCAGCACAGGTCCACCAACCACTGCCATGGCGTATCCAACAATTGCAGCACCGCGCTGTTCGGGGGGCCAGATATCACTCAGAACACCACCGGTATTGGTCACCGGCGCGGAACCGAAGAAGCCCGTGAAGAATCGGGTCAACATGATCGTCTGCAAATCCTTCGCCGTCGCGGTACCAAACGACATGATAGCGGCAATAAAGTACGGTGCCAGAACAGCAGGTTTGCGACCAAAGACCTCTGACAGCGGCGCCCAAACGAGAGGACCAAGTCCCAGCCCGAATAGAAGCAACGAAGTACCGAGTGTAGAAACCTCCGTCGAAACACCATATTGTTCACTGATCTGCGTCTGACCCGTCGAGTATCTAGTCTCCCATCAGTACTCCAAAGATCCCACGTAGGACGGGATAACTCACATAGAACTCGCCCAAGTAGCACCTATCCCCGCAAAGAAAACAAATTAGCACCACCGCATTCCCATTCCCCGCACGGGTTTCAGATCACATACCCATCGTAGTCAATCCATACAAAACGGTCGTAACAGCCTTCTTCTTAAAACTCCAATTCAGCGGCCTGTATGGATCATCCGGCCCCTCGAAATCAACAATAACATCCGGACTCGTTTTCGTATGCGTTAGCGGGTGTGTGAATTTCGCCGTCTGGCCCGGCTCGCGACTGCGCATTCGCGATACTACAGACTGTGCGCGCTGCTCGAAGACGGATAGCCCCGATGCGGCCGTGCTCTGCTTTTCTAGTCTGTCCGTAGCATCCTGGATGTTGTCGTCGTGCGACCCGGACTCGATGTCGTCCGTTGAGCTGCGGGAGGAGTGTTCATGTTCATGTCCATGTTCGCGTTCCGTTTGCGCCATGGCTTGGTGTCATGTAGGCATGCGCCGGGTATGAGTGGGAACGGGCGATAAGGGTATTTGGAGAAGAAAGATTTCCAAAGCTAGCGCCAGCTCAGGTCGAGCCTGCTAGCACAATCTCCAAGAAAAAAAGACCAGGGAATGGTGGTGGGAAAAGTTATAGCCCGGGCCTAAGCTCTTGGCTTGACAGGAACCGCGGAGCCGTTACGACGTCATGCCCGAAACGGAGAATATTTGCAATCTTCAAGGCTTGTTCGTTGGCGGTTGGAACCGTCCATTGCTTTTATCCAATTGCTGTCGGACGTCCGATGCCGAGCCGTGTTACCCGGGAGGCGCGAAGCTTGCTGCGGGGCGTTGGCGGAGGGAACCCGATTTCGGCTTCTTGGATTACTGGCCGAGATGAGGGTCTTTGGATAAATTGATGGCAGGGCATGGAAGAGGTCGGTCTGTACATCCTTCAACACGAGATTTGTGCCTTCAGCCTTATTGTGTGACGGTTTAGCGGTGGTCAACGGATCGGCATCAACTTCAACGGCCGATACAGTACGGAGAGGGACGAGTGGGTCTCCGAATGGGTCGCCACTGCTGATCCGAATGTATACTGTAGTCGGTGATGTTGAAAGCTTTGACAAGTAACGAGCGCCGATCGCGGTGAATTAAAGAGTGACATAATATCAAATTCCATGTTCGATGTTCTATAGAATGTCTACTTTCGTGCGTTTACTGGCTTTTATGGTACATCAACGGAAGGGCTATAGACAATGCAGGCCCGATATTGAAGGTTCAAACAAATCGCCAATCTATCATGAATGTGTGCTCTCCCACTTGTTCACTGCCTCCATAGCAGCCGTGACCTTCAGGCCGATACGAGCATCAAGCTCGTAGCTTTCCCACCGAGCAGCGTGGTCCAGGTAGTCCTTACACTCGCGGACCAACTCCTTCTCTCTGCCCGAGTGCTTTCCCTCGGAGCTTCCAGTTACAGTGGATGCTTTATCGGATAACCCGTGAAGCGCTTGGTAGGTCGGGCGCTCCATCCAGAGGTTGGCAGCCATTTCAAAGTGAGCAGCCGGGAGAACCCAATCGTCCTTCAGATGGCCTTTGAAGAGCGACTTATCATGGTTCAAGACACGGGTCTTGAGAATCTGCTGGGCCTCCTCGTAGTTGTGCAGGGACCGGTGAACCGCAGCTCGGATGAGTTCGAGAATCGCCTTCTCCTCGGGTCCCTCGCGAGACCACGTCTTGTTAGCGTCGCTCTCGCACCATGACAGTCGAGACAAAGATTCCTCCAGATGGCTTTGCGTCATGCGGCTATGCCCGTTCCAGAAAAAGATCATCTCCTCAATTGGATCCACGCCAATCGCATCCACGAGAGGAACCTTCCAGTCCTTGGCACGTGCTTCCCACTTGGCGATTTTGCGGGTCACGAAAACGTCGAATGGCAGTTGGCGCGCCATGAACTTCTTCTTCCCTGCCAGCGGCGGAGCTTTACGGATGTATTCGGCGGCTGTCGAGGCGTGCTTCTCGGCTTGCTTGGGATCTTTGTCGATGCAGTCGCGATAGAGCACGACGTGGCAGGATCCGGCGATGTAGTAGTACAAGGAACGAGACCAGGAATTGAGGTCCACACACTGCGCCAGTTAGTTTTCACTTGACTAGATGCAAATGACGAAGAAGTGAAGACGAAGTGATAAAGATGACAAGGAAACTCACCTCGATGAATGCATCAGAACACACATCGTACTTATGCAGGAACAAGGCATTCAGGCTCTTCTCAAATACACAGAGAGCCTCAACCTGCTTCAACGGACTCTTGTTATTCGAGCAAAGTAGCTCCAACGCGCCATCCAAGTCCTTATTAGCACCCTTCATCCGCGACTCTTCCAACAGCCAGAGCCGAGAGTTCGGGAATCGGGACCGCATCTCAGCCAACAGTGCAGCCAGTCTCTCCTGCGGGTAACCCTCGACATCATCCTCGCCGGGAGTGGGATCGGGCATGATATCACAGTATCGAACAAAGCCGTTGTAGTAGCCCAACAGCGCCAGCGCAGCCATGGCGCCGATCAGGTTGTGGAATTTACTGGCTTGCCAGAGCATGCGCAGACCCCGTTGCTTGTCGCCGTGGAAGCCGATGATGGAAAGGAGCTTGCTGAATGCTGGAGGAACCATGGAGATGAGAAGAAGGAGAATACCGAAGCAGAAGTTAGCGCCGGAGTGCACGAAGATGTCGACCCCGTTCTTGAAGATGTCCGAGTCCGGGTCGTGGTTGATGATGTTGGATCCATTGGGAGTGGAGGTTCCCGAGACATCTGAAGCGGGTTCATTGACGTTCAAGCCGGAGAGAGATTGAGTCAGATCCTTCTCGTCCGTCGCAATGGAATGAGCGGCCATAGAGGGGTCTTTGCCCAGTGACCGGTTAGATGAGTTCGACTTGGTTGCGCCGACCTTTGAAAGATCACTCGAGCTAGTAAGAAGCTCTCTACTGGGGTCTCTCAACTCCATAAACTTCTCTTCCATTTTCAGGATGGCATCCAGTGCGATATACGCCTTGCGCAGGCGGTAGAAAGCCTTGATACTTTCCGTCAAGCTCTCGTTCAGGACGCCGACAACGGCGCTCATCAATTGCGCGATGGCCTGAGATAGAGCGTATTCCGTTCCCGGTGCATATATCTCCGACCGAAAAGCATTGGGGGCGTTAGAGTTGTGTTGCGCGCGGTGCTGTGCGCTGGCGGCGGTCGTCTCGGCCTCATACAGCCGCTCGGACGCTGGTTGGGTGTCAGCACGGTCATCGCCACCGGATAATACAACGGACCTTGTCGCATTATTTCCTGCTCAAAGCCCAAGGTCGCGCGAACGAATGCCACGACACCTTTTCCCAACTGTCATGCCCGTCAGCATACTTCCAAGGTTGATTCGGGTGCTACGTCATAGAGCACACACATTGTGGAAAGTCGAGGTGCCTTGGGCGAGGCCAGCTTCAGCGCCGTCCACATCGTCATTGAGGATTAAGGTGGCCGCTATTTATTTTCTGTTAGGGTTGGTCAAAGACGCAAGTGGGAAAAACGGTACCTCTCATCGCATCATCCACTTCCCGCTCGAGACCGTCAGCATACAGTTCACCACGTGTGCCCCAAACGGCTCCTGGTAGCGCCATGATAGCCGGGGCTGGATCAGCAATACATACAGTCTTTCAGTTCGGACAGCGAGTCCAGTGACTGCGTGGAGCCATTGGCCGGCTTTTTGCCGTAAAACCAGGAGCCTACGCGCAGCATCGTGAAATAACCCCGAGATCTCCAAGACTCCAAGATCGCCAAGATCACCAGGGCCACCGAGATAAAAGAGAAGTGAAAATCCGAAGATCAAAGATCAAAGCACTACTTTCACGGCCCGAAACAAGAGCGACGGATCGGGAAGAATGTCAACGGTTCCATGCGATGCGGCACAGGCTTCCGAGAACATCGGGGATAAGAAGAGAGCGAGAGAGCGAGATGGTAAAGAGAGGAACAGTCGTGGGGTAGACTCACAGGCCAAATCTGGTGCATCGAATCAGCCGCCTTTTTCCACACTTTTGTGAGGCGCCGCGTCCCGGCGGCTCCGAGGGGCGAGTTATCTGTGCATAACTTGCACCGGAGGATGGGGCAGCTACTAGCTACTAGCTACTAGCTATACAGCACATGCCAGTAGACCACCTAGACATGAAATGAAGCATCAATTAACTATACTACTTACCCATAGCTACTGTTACTACTATAAAAACCGTCCTACGCCAAGTGCCCGATCTCACCTTTCACACAGATCTTATCGCTTATCGCTCTGACTAAGTCACCGACCTCCTCAAGCTCGAACCCTCCAGAACCCCATCTACGCATCCCATCGTCAACCCCATCCTCACGACTCTTCTACTCTCCGATTAGACCTCCCGGTCTACCGAACCTCTCCCACCACCTCAGATCCCACACAAACAACACACACTCGCCGCCCACCATGTCCAATTCCACCACCCAGAACAAGGCCGAGCCCTCCGACCAGCCCCAACAGCAAAAGAAGCCCCAGGTCTTGGAAGAAGACGACGAGTTTGAAGATTTCCCCGTTGAGGGTATGTCCATTCATCTCACCCATATGCCACAACCACAGCCACAACCTTGAATCCGCGCTGACAATGACGACAGACTGGCCCCAGGAAGAAGCGGAGCAGGCCGCCGGATCAGCAGCCAACGGTGGAAGCGAGCATCTGTGGGAGGAGAGCTGGGACGATGACGATGCCGCGGAGGACTTTTCTAAGCAGTTGAAGTACGTTGTTGTTCCCTTTCCAGCTCTGCCAACGAGTCCATCCCTAGCGCCAATATACCGTGAAGACAAAGGCTAATGCAGATGAACAGGGAGGAACTCAAGAAAGTCGAGGCATCGCACTAAGCTAGACGAAAGGCTAAAAAAAAAAGAACGAATCGAGCACCTCGCGCAATACACACTATACTATACCCCCCTTGTTTAGATTGATGGGAGAAAATGGGATCCAGCTACCAAGGCATGCATTTTGAGACTGCTTGATGAGACTGCGCCTAAGGGATCTTTGACCAGTCCGGGTGTACTGAGACGTGCTTGCTCGGGCAAGGTGGAGCTGGTCTGAGAGAACAAGGATGAATTAATGACGACCGGGGCCTGTTGCGCCTCTGCTACAATCAAGTGCATACCTTATGCTGTTCCTATTCCTACTTGGGTTTCGTATGGCTATTATTGCTATGTACAAAGCTACCTCGTATTCCCAGCCAAGTGATTACCAAGGTACTTAACTCGACTCCACGGTCCTCACAGGGCGATCCGTCACAACTTCGGTCTCGTATCTACCAGTCACAAGCAACTTAGTGACAGGCCATAAAAGAGCAGAGTGAATTTGAAAGAGAATTTTGATTTATAAAGCGATGTAGGCTGTGTACATTACAGTGTCGTGAAATGACCCAGGAGGCCCGGAAAACCCCGATTCAAATCTCAAGAAAGATTCAAACAGGATATCCTTATGCCATTTACTTACTGGACAGAGCAGCAACACCGGGCAGCTCCTTGCCCTCCAGGAGCTCGAGGGAGGCACCACCACCAGTAGAGACGTGGGAGAGCTTGTCCTCAACGCCGTACTTGGCAGCAACGGTGGCAGTGTCACCACCGCCGATGATAACGATGGAGCCGGACTGGGCGGCGTTGACGGCAGCGTCGAGGGTCTTCTCGGTGGCGTTGGCGAAGGGCTTCAGCTCGAAGACACCGGGGGGACCGTTCCAGAGGATAGTCTTAGCCTGGGCGATGGTCTTCTGGTACAGCTTGACGGACTCGGGGCCGACGTCCAGACCCATGAGGCCGTCAGCGATGCCGGTGGCATCGGTGGCAGTGCCGACGGTGGCGTCGGCGGAGAACTTGTCGGCGGTGACGTAGTCGACGGGCAGGACGATCTCGACATTGTACTTCTTGGCCTTCTCGACGATGTCGCCGACGATCTTGCTGCCAGCCTCGTCGAAGAGGGAGTTACCGATCTTGACGTTCTCGAGGGTCTTCTTGAAGGTGAAGGCCATGGCGCCGGTGATGATCAGGCTGTTCACCTTAGGCAGCAGGTTGTCGATCAGCTGAATCTTGTCGGACACCTTAGCGCCACCCAGGATGGCGAGGAAGGGACGCGCAGGGTTCTCGAGAGCCTTGGCGAAGTACTCGAGCTCTTTCTTCACAAGGAAACCGGCGGCCTTCTGGGGGAGCTCGACGCCGACCATGGAGCTGTGGGCGCGGTGGGCAGTGCCGAAAGCGTCGTCTGGAGGGAATAGTTAGCATATGGTTGGAAGTGAATTGGGTCGAGTGTGCACGTACTGACGTAGATGTCACCGAGAGCAGTGAGGCCCTTGCGGAACTCAGCAACCTTCTCCTTGTCGGCCTTGACCTTCTTGCCCTCGGCATCCTTGGAGCTGCCTTCCTCCTCGGCGTGGAAGCGCAGGTTCTCCAGGAGGATGACCTGGCCACCGGTGGCCTTGTTGACGGTCTCCTCAACCTGGGGTCCAACACAGTCATCAGTGAAGATGACGCTTTTGCCGAGCTGCTTCTCCAGGACGGGGACGACGGGCTTCAGGCTGTACTTCTGGTTCACCTTGCCGTCGGGGCGACCGAGGTGGGACATCAGGATGACGGCCTTGGCGCCGTTGTCGATGGCATACTTGATGGTGGGGAGAGCACCGACAATGCGCTGGGGGTTGGTGACGTTCTTGTTCTCGTCGAGAGGGACGTTGAAGTCGACCTGGGGAGTAATTATAAGCCATTGGATCCCAGGAAGAAGTTATGGGGCTCCGGGAACATACACGGATCAAGACACGCTTGTCCTTGAGGTCGACGTCGGTGATGGGGAGCTTGTTGGAGAGAGACATTGCGGGAAGAAGTCTGTGATGTCAGTGGGGTGTTTGAAGCTTCAAAGAGTGTGCAGGTAATACCTCGACAACGGACGGAATATACGGAGTAAAGAGAATAAGGAAGCCAGAAGGGAAGAGGGGATTTGGAATATAGGAAGGACTCTTAATCAGGTCACGGTGAGTCGCGCCAGGTAAAGGTTGGAGGGGCAGTTGTGGTGGGGCAGCCGGTGAAGGAGGCCGTCCGCAGCCAGCGTGGTAGCAACCACGGTACTTACCGATGATGTATTGGACCCGTGGTCGGTACTTGGATCGCGTATAGAGGTTTGTGTATACTTTCAGGTAGTCTATAAAGCGCCAGTACCGGGCTTCTAAGTAACCCGACATCGTCCGGCCTCATAGATCGGGCTGATGCGGGACTGATGTCAGAGATTCCCGTTGATGCGGAACAGCCCGGACACACTGGGGTCCTCGATAGCCTCGGAGTCCGGGACTTCTGGGGAGATCGCTGCGCTATTGATATTCGATTGGTCCGGCTGGAAGTGTCCATAGCCGCTACGGAGTATGACCGCGCCACGCTTGTGAAAGGCCCGAGGGTTTGAATAAAAAACAGCAATAGCCCTAAGGTACCTAGCGACGAGAAAAGTATCTCAAATGACCGCAATAAACAAGTGTACCCCGAATGATCACCCAATGCGCAAAAGAAGGCCTTTTGGATGCAACCGGTCCGCCCCGCGCGAGAATTTATACCCCTGTACACGAAGCCAGAAAGGCCGAAGCAACCGGAACGCCTGAACAAAGAATCCGTGGAGATGGAAGAGAGCAGTGTATGAGGATCGTGTTATCGTGACATTCGCCGAGGCGATCGTATTCAAGACGCCTCGGAGGAATTGGTGAGCGATAGATATGCGGTCCACGCGATACCAACGGACGAAACAAATGGCTGGTTCGTCTGTTAGTCCGGACACACCGATGGTACGAAAGCGACTTACAATCTGGAATTGGATGGGAATCACCCGGAAGTTGAGAATCTGTACCGCCGGCCACAGCACAAAATTGGCCTTCAGTGTCGGCAGGTACACATCTCGGAACTTTGCCGTCAACGCTCTCTTGCCTCCACCTTCGGCAATAGTCATGTAGGTGAAGAAGCAAGCCAGACCTATCCCGATCGCGTCAGTACAAACCTCGAGATTGCCGATACTACCACATACCGAAAGGCGCGAACATAAGCTGGTCAAAGGCCACGCGCTTGAAAACTGGGACGCTAGGGTTCATCTTGGTAAGAGGGAACGTCCTAGACAAGAAGCCGAACCACTGGAATTGCACCGGTGCCATGAAGAAACCATATGCCATGAATCGAGTGAGGCGTTCGAAGTCGAATGGTGGTGGCGAGGATCGAGCATATCCCAGCTCCCCGATAGCAGGGGGCTTCTGCTTGTCCAAATCATTGATTTCTATCGAAATGAAATCGTTATCTTCTTGTGTTCGTTGCTGCGAGCGGAATCGGAATGCCGTGATAAGTTGGGCAACGGTGTCGGCCACGCCACCAAGCACCTATAATCGTCTGCTTGTCAATAACCTTTCTCCATTTGCGACGGGATATGTTTGTCGAGGTCGGAGGAGGCTTACGGCGTTGGTGACCATGGTCGTGAGAACTAACAAAGCAGACACGTTAGTGAGCGGTCGCACCGGGGGCCGGATGGGGCGGGACGGCGGGGGAGAATGGCATACCTGGCTTTTCAGCATAGTAGGTGTTGAATTTGGCCGCGAGGCGAGTAGCTACAGCCATCTCGATGAGGAAGATGATCGTGTGCAGGAGGGGCTATAGCATAGGAGGCGACCGGGTCAGTCTGGGTTTGATCGGGCATCCCATAGAAGGAGAGAGTGCTCACCACGCGACCATGGATATATTTCCTGTTTAGCCCATCGAGGACTTTTCGCTTCATGGCTGTAATCATGGTGGGGAGGGAAGGGAGTGGGCGTGAACCGTTTTATGGAATGATGAGCGAAGGCAAAAGAATTCTGGCCGAATTTCTGGGCTGTCGCGCGCCAGTATGACGCAAATTTAGAACGAACCACTCAGAATGATTGGGGTGCACCACCGGTCGGCCTTTTTTTTCCCCCTGGAAAAGACGATGGTTAGCAAAAGGGATTTATTGAATCTTTTGTACGAGCAGTTTGGGAAGATCTACCCCAGATCGAAGGCGGAGGATGCGCGAGTCTCCGCTTATGACTAAACGTTCCATCACAGTCACCTGGCCAACTGCAGCCTTGGGCTCTTAAGCCCTAGATTAGAGGCATACGAACTTGCTCCTATTCTTACTGAAGTTTCATTTACTGCTCAATGTACATAGTTTAGTAATTCAGTGCTTCTTTTATGTAGATGCTCGAGGCTGATCGTCGGCGAGAATGTCCGGCAAGTCTCGAATATCGGTCGTTTCATTCGTGTTCACGTCCACAAGACGCACGGCCTCTAGGTGAAGAGGGCCGGTGGCCAAAGGAAGGAGTTTGATCTCAGTCGAGTGGCAGGTTCCTGGCAGGAGAGGACTACTTGTATATCAGCTTCCAAGGTTCGTTTGAATCAGTGGAAAGCGGAGACTGATCGACTTACCCGACGCGGATATCAGTACTCAAACTGATAAGCTCGGCCTCTTGTCCTGCCACATTTTTCTGCATCGCATGCACGATATTGTCGTCTGTCACGGCCTCGGCCACCTCGTTCTCCTTTCGGCTCGAGATGGACGAAGATGACGGTCGCGCAACATGGCCCCGAGGGTCGATACGTTTCCGCCGCGGAATGGCAATCAGTGCGAACTTCCGAGGGATGTTCGAGCGGTTCACAATGAACACGCCCCAAGCAAATGGTGACCCGACTTGCACGCGGCTCGGTCCGGAGAATGAAATAGTAACACCCACATCTGTGACAGAGTAGGCTCGCTCCCGTAATGAGCTACGGTTGTTCGGGGCCGCTCCCGGCTGGCTTGAGTTCATGGGTAGGCTGGTAGGTCGATTGGTTCTCTGCAGAGCTTGGCTGGGGCCGCCAAAAGTGGGATTAAGGGCCATGGAGAAATCAACATTGGTCCTCCATTCCATCGCAATGCGTGGCTTGCAGTCTTCGGATAGAAGGATGGCCGCTCCGAGAGAGATGTCCAGCGTGCTAATGATGGCAGTCGAGGATGGATTGGTTTCCGGTCCATACTCGGGGGTCAGCTTGTACATTAAGGTCACATCGTCTCGAGGGCGGCAGGTTAGAGGAAGGGTAAGGCCTGAAGTATTTGAAAGAGATTCAATGGTTCCCTCGGACAGGCGAATATCTGCTTTATCAAATGATACTTCGCAGCTTAAGAACGGTGTCACTTCAAAATCAAGACTGGCGATAGTCTGGGGAAGACCATTATAAGAGCTGAGTCGCGAATATCGAATCCTTGCACTTGCAGCAGGTACCACGCGGAATGGATGACCATGGCTCTGCTGGATATTGTATATAGGGTCCTCGTTGGAGGTTGTCGGTACCACGCGCAATAGTCTTGACGCGGGGAGAAAGGGCTCTTTATGGGAGAGGGATTTGTCGCCAGACAAGGGTTGCAACATATTTGTCGAGGCAGGAATGAGCGGAGGGAGGTAATCGTCTTCGGGTTCCTCGGGTCGGCAGGCCTCAGAAGGGTTCAAGCTGGCCGAGGCCATAAACAATAGCGACGGATGCTGAATGCGGTTCCGAGGTCGCTCTTTGATTTCGTTAGCAAGCTTTCCACCGCCAATCCCTCAAGTCTTAACTCACTGACAAAGGTTTCGATATTCCATATGAGGTATACATGGTTCCCCGTCCCATCGTCGCCCTCAAACTCATTGAACACCACCAACGGTTCCTCATCGGTATTCACCAAGCCAGAGAAGATAATCTCTCGGGTCGGAGTCGGATTCTCCGCGACAGACTCGGCAGGGTCGACCGCGAAAACATCAAGCTTGACTTCAAGACGAGGCAGGTAATGCTTTAGGGTAGACTCTGTGCAGTCGGAGAGTCTCAGAACAATGCGAACGGGAAGGAATTCGTCTACAAAGCTCTGGATTAGCAAGACATCGAACAATATGAGCTCGGATGACTACATACCGAAGAAGAGCAGGGATCGCTGCGGAATTGCAGAGAGAACTGAGGGGAGATCGTCGGCGCCGTCCTCCAGGGCTGAAGTTAGGGCACCCTCGATGTCGAGCGCGGGCGCATGAGGCACAACTGTGTCTAGCACAGCATGCCGCAGGAACTCGCCGGGAATCTCCAGGCCAGGCATTGCGACAGCTGTCGTCGCATACGTGAACAAACATTCGTCTAAAGGAGAGCGATACGGGGGATGATAACGCGGTAGTGCAAACGAGTGCAAACACCCCAAACCGAGCTTAATCCGCGCGCTCGCTCTTTTTCACTCGGCGCTACCCTTCGCCTTTCAGTGTCAACCATGAACCCAATGAACGCTTCATCGGGTACCTCAGCCTTATGGCAGGAGGCACGTAATTCCGATGGCAGGGTCTATTACTACAACGTGCAGACCAAGGCGACCCAGTGGACGAAACCTGTGGAGTTGATGACACCCGTTGAGGTGAGTTACTCTACGACCACTTTCTTTGAACGTGAACTGACTGTTTTTGATACTCATAGCGTGCTCTGGCAGACCAACCATGGAAGGAATACACCGCAGATGGAGGGCGCAAGTACTGGTACAACACGGAGAGCAAGCAAAGCACATGGGAGATGCCCGAGGTTTACAAGAATGCGCTGGCACAGGCTCCCCCCGCTCCGGCTCCCCCAGCTGCGTAAGTTTAGTCCTGGAAAGCCCATCTCGAACCCATACTGATGCCATTGAAGTGCCCCCGCTTTCGTGGCAGGCGGCGGCAGCTCCTACTCCTCGCAACCTCCGCAGCGCGAACGCGAACGTGAACGCGATGAATATGATCGAGGATACGGCGAACGTGAACGGCGTGGGTATGGATCCTTTGACACAAACGGCATGGTGGCTGCGCCAGCTGTGGACACCGGTCCCGATCCCGCCTACGGCTCGATCGAAGAGGCCGAGAATGCTTTCATGAAGATGCTGAAGCGACACAATGTTCAGCCCGATTGGACTTGGGAACAGACCATGCGAGCTACTATCAAGGACTCGCAGTACCGCTCCCTCAAAGACCCGCGAGACCGCAAGTCTGCCTTTGAGAAATATGCGGTCGAGGTTCGCATGCAGGAAAAGGATCGGGCGAAAGAAAGATTCGCTAAGCTCCGTGCAGATTTCAATACCATGCTGAAACGGCATCCTGAAATCAAGCACTACAGTCGCTGGAAGACAATCCGTCCCATCATCGAGGGAGAGACTACCTTCCGGGCCACCGACGATGAGAACGAGAGGCGCCAGCTTTTCGAAGAGTATGTCACCGGGCTCAAAAAGGCTCACGTGGAGCAGGAATCTGCAACACGTAAGGCTGCTATGGACGAGCTGGTCGGAATTCTTAACTCGTTGGATCTGGAGCCGTACACGCGCTGGTCGGAGGCTCAAGCGACTATTGAGTCGAGTGACAAGTTTCAGGGCGACGATAAGTTCAAGACCCTGAGCAAGTCCGATGTTTTGACCGCATTTGAAAATCACATTAAGAATTTGGAGCGCACGTTCAACGATGCCCGCCAGCAGCAGAAGGCCGCTCTGGCCAGGAAGGAACGCCGCCATCGGGAGGCGTATCTGGAGCTCCTGAAGGAGCTGAAGTCCCAAGGAAAAATCAAAGCTGGCAGTAAGTGGATGAACATCCGCCCGGTAATTCAAGACGATCCCAGGTACCATGCAATGCTGGGTCAATCTGGATCGACTCCCTTGGACCTGTTCTGGGATATGGTGGAGGAAGAGGAGCGCGCACTCCGTGGTCCTCGCAATGATGTGCTGGACGTTCTTGATGTGAGTGACTACCCTAATGGCGAATTTTCACGCGCTAACATTTCTCCAAAGGACAAACGCTTTGAGGTTACCTCCAAGACTACCTATGAAGAGTTCAACTCTATCATGGTTGCTGACCGACGCACCTCGAAGATTGATCCGGATATTCTTGAGCTCATATTCCAGCGCATTCAAGACAAAGCACTTCGCAGAGATGAAGAAGAGAAGCATGCTGCTGATCGCCACCAGCGCCGCGCAGTTGACGCTCTGCGCTCTCGGATCAAGCGCCTGGAACCTCCCGTGCGCATTACAGATACATGGGAGCAGGTGCAACCTCGAGTTGAAAAGTACGAAGAATATAAGGTCCTCGAATCGGACGAGCTTCGCGAATCGGCGTTTGACAAGGTCATCCGCCGTCTGAAGGAGAAAGAAGAAGACGCCGACAAGGATCGCGAGCTACGTGACCGAGACCGAAGCCGCCGTGACTACGACCGTGGCGACCGCGACTACCGCAGCAGCCGGGGTGAACGACGAGGTGGCAGCCGCGTCAGTCGCTCCCCAGAACCCGACGCCTACGAGGCAGACCGGCGCAAAGCAATGGCAGATCGTGAGCGATCTTACCGCAAGACCAGCGGTTTCTCACCAACGCGCGATCGTCGCGATGACCGCGACAGAGATCGTGATCGCTACCGTGAGCGTGACAGCCGCGACCATGAACGGCGTCCTCGAGACGGCGACCGGCGCGAGGATGAGCGCGAGCGCCTGTATCGTGCTCGTGGAGATCCGCGCGGTAGTCGCGATGAGCTTGACTACGGTGGTGATGCTCGTAGCACGGGCAGTGATCGCAGGCGCAGACGTGAAAGCGATTCAGAGAGCGTGGCTAGTCGGTCAGTGAAGCGGTACCGAAGGGATAGTCGGGAAAGAGAGCGGAGCAAGGGCCCGCGCAAAGATCGTGTCAAGGAGCCCTCTGCGGTTCCTGAGGAGGGTGCTGAGAAGGAGAAGGATGAGAAAGCCATCCACTCTGGCAGTGAGGAGGGGGAGATCGAGGAGGATTAGGTGCATTGTCTCATTCTACGAACCTATGGATTCACTAGCTTGGCTCGTTATCTTGCCAGTCACGCTAGGGTTAAATAAGAAGCTGTCTCTTTACCCCTCTAGTTTGTCTTGTACCTCGGAACATGTTGAAGTGCTTTATAGTATTCTGTTCTTAATTTGGTGGCCAAGTGGTTTGTAGTGCCAGGTGGGTCTGCCGCGATATATATAGTTGCAAGCCATGTAGATAATTGGCGCCTGTTTTGTAACCCCTATTTCGATAGAGCAATCGCGATAATGTTCAATTCGATGGTTACCCAGACAAAGAGAAGAATAAGTCTCGCATAACACTATTGACTTCGAACATGTGACCCCTTGTCTGTGCATCTGTGCTGCAGTCCATGCATCTCCCGTCGGAAGCTTCCTCAAAACCAGGGGCAGCGAGTGCTGCCCATTTAAATAATCATTCCGACCTTGATTCATCACGTTCGATGCTCACCGAAGCGCCACTCTCCACTATGGCGCCTATACTGACAAAGCGGCAAGCCGAAGAACTGTACGGATGTACTCTAAAACCGGGCGATATTCCGGCTAATGCGGACACAGACACAAAGCAATGGTCGGTTATCTATCGTCAATCAACGCTTCGAAAAGTATTGATGCCCTCCGAGAAGAGCTCGGAATAAGTGAATCTTTCACCGAATCCTCGGTCAAGAAATACGAAGGACTTCTGGAGAGAAAGTGGACCAGTAATGCTCGCTTGCAGAGAAAAGTACGACATTTCTGATATAAATCACCTCAATTGGCATGATCCAACTACAAAAACAAACCAAACCACTAACACACCGCAGATAATGGACCTAGAATCCCAGCTAATAACTCTCCAATCCCAACTCCCCCATCCAAAATCAGCCTCCAAACGCGACCCAAAAACCTGGCTCCCAGGCACAGCAACATACACCCTCCAATCCCACCGCAGCGCAATAAACGACATTGCCATCCACCCAGTCCACTCGATCCTCGCCTCCGCCTCCGACGACAGCAGCATCAAAATCTGGGACTACGAGCACGGCGAACTCGAAAAAACACTCCGCGGACACCTACGCAGTACCAACGGCGTCGATTTCGGCGGAACGCGTGACAAAACGGTTCTCGCATCCTGTTCCAGTGATTTAACAATCAAGATCTGGGACCCGGCGAACGGATATGCGAATGTGCGCACGTTAACGGGACATGAGCATTCCGTCTCCAGTGTACGGTTTCTACAGGAGGGAGGGAATTTACTCGTTTCTGTGAGTCGAGACGAGAGTATTAGGATCTGGAATGTTGAATCTGGATTCTGCGTTAAGGTTACACATGCCGGCGACTGGGTTTATGCTGTTAGTCCTTCGGTTGACGGGAAGTGGCTTGTTTCTGGGGGGAGGGATAGGGTTGCTACGATTTCGGATGTTGGGTCTGGTGGTGTGAGGGCTGCTTTGGATGGCCATGAGAATTATGTCGAGTGTTGTGTTTTTGCACCGGTGGCTAGTTATGGATATTTGGCCAAGATGGCGGGAACGAAGAGGCCGGAGGGATTGGGGGAGTTTGTGGCTACGGGATCGAGGGATAAGAGTATTAGGCTGTGGGATTCGAGGGGTGGGTTGATTAAGACGTTGGATGGACATGAGAACTGGGTTCGTGGGCTTGCGTTTCATCCGGCTGGGAGGTATTTGCTTAGCGTTGGGGATGATGGGACTATGCGGTGTTGGGATTTGGAGCAGGAAGGGAGGTTGGTTAGGACAACGGAAGGGCATGGTGGGTTTGTGAGTTGTATTCGATGGGCGCCGAGTGCTGTGGAAGCTGATGCTTTGGGGACGGTGAATGGCGTAGGGAAGGGTATTCGATGTGCCGTTGCGACTGGGTGCACGGATTCGCGGGTGCGAGTGTTTCGATAGATACTACAATTTGAACGAGAACAAGGATTCAATAGTGATATAAGAATGTGCAAATAGCAGGCCTAGAATCATATACATGATATCCAAACTGATGCAAGAAAACCTCAACTATTCAGTAGTGACCACAGCCTGGCCACTTCCCCAGCCATAATGAATCCATCTCTATCAATCATGTATCATGGAAGAGCTTTTTTGGGAACCGACCCTCGCATAACGATAAACTCCAGTGAAAACCATGCCAAGCAAATAAACCCAACCCATAAGATCTTGAATAAGATCGGCGACGGATCAGGTGTTCCCGCCCGGTTGCCAAAGACCCGGACAATTTATAAGACCGGAAACCGGGAAAGAGCAGGTTGCAGGGCGAATGGCGAGGAGGCATGTGATGAAATGGGCGATGAATTCAAGAGGCCGGAGAAGGCCATATGGGCTGAGGAGGAGTGATTGAAACCAATCACCAACTTCTAGCCATAGTCTTCATTGCCATCATGATCATCATCGTCCACATCACCCTCATCATCCTCCGCAAGACTTTCTCCATCGCCGGGAAAATGCCCGGCGCGGCAGCACAGTCCTCTGCCCCGAACCGTCGCGGTTCTGCAAACGCCTGGAAACGCCATTAACCACCCGACCCGTCTGTCGCCGCGACGCCGATTGCGCCGCCGCTCATAATCGCGGCCGTCACGGTTGTGACGGCGGCGGTGATACTCATGAACAATGCCCTCTTCAGTTCTCTTCCTCCAAGAAGTAGTAGTTGCCTGCCAACTTCTGCTCCTGGTCCATCTGACTCTGGTACTTGTTGATACGAGGACGGTAGCTGTTGGGGTCACGACGGAAAGTGACGTCCAGGTTTTTCAGGAAGCGGTTGCAGCCAGTGACCAGGGACTCGGGGGTGTTGGCGCGAGCATCCACGGACGCCTGACCGTCGAATACGATGACACGGTCAGCAAGGTAGGTGGCCATGATGAAATCGTGCTCAACGACGAAAGCAGTCTTCTTGGTATGCATGATGAAACGCTTGATGACACGGGCAGCCACGATACGCTGCTCGGAGTCCAGGTAGGCAGAAGGCTCGTCGATGAGATAAATGTCGGCGGGGATACCCAGAGCCAGGACAATGGCAACACGCTGCAACTCACCACCAGACAGGTTCTGAACCTCCTGGTCGATGAAATCGTCAATCTTAAGAGGCTTGTAAACATCGGTCTGGAACTGGGGCGAGAGGAAAGCGGCCTTGATACGCTTGAAGAAGAGCTGACGGACGGTACCCTGGAACTTGGGGGTGATCTTCTGGGGCTTCATGCTAATGTTCATCTTGGGGACGGAGGAACCGTGATCGGGCTTCTCAGCACCAGCCAGCATCCTACAGAAAGTGGTCTTTCCGGTACCGTTCTCACCCATCATGACAAGAATCTCGGAGTCAGTGAAGCGACCAGTCTCAACCTTCAAGTGGAACTTGCCCAGGGTCTTCTCCATGGTAGGGTAGCTGAAAGCACGGGCCTTGTCGGCAATGAAGTCGTCACCGGCCTCAGTCAGACGGAAAGTGAGGGACTCGTCACGGAAGCGCAGGTTCTCGGTAGGGATGTGACCGTCCAGGAAGATGTTGATACCTTCACGGACAGACGAAGGCAGAGTCACCACACCGTAGACAGCCGGGCGACCGTAGAGCACGCAAATGAAATCGGAAAGGTAGTCAAGAACCGACAAATCGTGCTCAACAACAATGACGTAGTCATCAGGGCGAAGGAGGCTGCGGATGGTGCGGGCAGCAGCCAGACGCTGCTTGACATCCAGATAGGACGAAGGCTCATCGAACATGTACACGTCGGCCTTCTGAACACACACCAGACCAATAGCGAAACGCTGAAGCTCACCACCGGAAAGGTGGCCAATATCACGGTCTGCGACCAGGCGCAGCTCCAAGACATCCATGATCTCCTCCATGTTGTCCAGACCGGCACGGGCCTTGATCAGCTCTTCCACACCCTGGACAGGGCCCTTCACAGCACGGGGAATCTGATCGACATACTGAGGCTTGACCACAGCCTTCAGGTTATCCTCCAGTACCTTGGTGAAGTAGTCTATACTTGATCAGCATTTTATCCGCCGAGAACTCGATATCAACTGGTAGGGCTTACTCTGCAACTCGGATCCACGGAAGTACTTCAGAATCTCCTCCCAGTCAGGCGGGTTATCGTAGCGGCCCAGGTTGGGCTTGAGCTTGCCGCTCAGAATCTTCAGCGCAGTACTCTTGCCGATACCGTTGGTGCCGACGAGACCAAGCACCTGACCGGGACGGGGCATGGGCAGACGGTGAAGCTTGAAGCTGTTGGCCGAGTAACGGTGGGTAACCTGGGTTTCCAGGTTGGTGGGCAAGTTGATAATGTGAATGGCACCGAATGGGCACTTCTTCGGACAGATACCACAACCAATGCACAGCTGCTCGGAGATGAAGGCGATTTTCGACTCGGGGGTCACTTCGATACACATCTTACCCGTGCGGACCACGGGGCAGGACTTCTTGCACTCCTGGCGACATTTCTTCGGCTTGCACTGTAGTTCGAGAAGATTTTGTGTAAGCCGGCTTTGAACGAGACGTAGGTGGGATGTGCGAATCGCGATTAGCGGGGTATTTGGGACGAACCTTATCAGAGTTGATAATCGCAATACTATAGAAATGACTCTATTAGCAATGCGCCATTGAAAGGGCCCTCTTCAAGACATACCGAGTGAGCTTGTCAGACATGGTGGCGGGATACGGTTCGAGGAACCAGAATCAGGTATCAAAAGCGGGTAACAAAAAAGATTTTCGAGGATGAAGTTGAAAGCCTGCAAAGTTCGAGCAATATGAGGCCGCCGCAGCCAAGTGAATCGGGTGCAGAAGAGCACCAAGTGTCGCAGACTCGAGCGAACAAAATGCAGGAGAACAATAGCAATGAGTGATGGGGGGGCAGAATTGAACTTCTTTCTTATTGTGGGCTGTCGCACCTGAGGCATCCAGTGACCGCCCGCGCCGCGATTCTTATTTAATGGGAATTTGAATGTTTCTAATTGGGTGGTCGGCTGAATAGATAATCCGACTCCCGGATTCGTCTCACGTGACCTACCACCTGTCCGACGTCAAGCGAATACGCTAGCCCCGAAGGGGGGGCCCTGTGTCTGCCTGACATCTCAGGCGGCAACAGATCGGCCGTGCAAACCAAACCAAACCGAATCAAACCCTCCCCCAACTCTCGTTCTTCATCACTCGTCTCGTCTACACCCACACCTCGTCCATCCTCCTGCCTTTCGCCCACTATTCATTTTACAAATTGATAATTTAGTTCCCCCTCTTGCGGGGTCACCACGCTATGGAATGTAAGTGGTTCTGATTTTTTTTTACCGCCGAGGCTCTGTCCGAACTCTTTGTCCGGGTACTTCTCCGCGTTCTTCGACCCACTGCACGAGATCCAGAATCTACCTTTTTTACTCGAGATCGAGAAGCTTCTCGACCTGTGTCCTATCAATCTGGTGCTGCCGTTCTCTCTGGGTGCGTGATCGATGTCAATTTCTCAAGGCCTCCCTGGCCTATCGTGCCCGCGTCTCTGCTACCCGTCATCAAAAACCATCCTTCCCCATTCGACTTGATATTCTACCCCAATATACTGCCTGAGAGCTTCGGTTTCCCCATCATCCGAGTCGCGTACCACTCGTCTACCGTCCTCTGCATATCTGACGTGCCCGCCTGCCGGGATTGAGCTTCAATGCTGACTGCCCCTCTGTCACAGCCTCTAGCATGGTGATCCCATCGGGTCAAGAACCTTCTTCTACCTCCATAATGCCGAACGGCTTCCCTCACTCACCAGCTCTCCATGATACACGAGCTGAATCCGATGTGGTCGCCAAGAGCGAGCGCAGCCCATCTGAGCCCGTCGAGTCCCATCCCGTCTCCGAGTCCTCCCCCGAGCCCGATGCCGCGGACGACTCATATGATGCCGAGTCTCTGGCCTCCGACGGCGAAGATGATGAAGTGGTGATGGAAAACAGTGGTGATGAGTTCGATGCGTCCAGCCGTGAAAACTCTTCATCACCGCACCCCGACCGAGGTATCAAGCGCAAATCGTCGCCGCCCGACGAAACCCAGTACATGAGACAGAACCCCGATTTGTATGGACTTCGCCGGAGTGGTCGAGCGCGCACAACGCGTCATCTCGCCGACTCTTCCGACTCTGACTCCGATGCCGTTGCACCTCGTGCAAAGCGTCCGCGCAAGGAAATGTCCCACCATCCTTCGAAGACCTCGCGGTCGGCGACGGCCTCGTCATTCTCGGAATCTGACAGTGACGAGTACGGCGGTAAAGCAAGCAAGGCGAGACGTCGCCGCGCGCTGAAGCAAAGCGCCGGCATGGAGCCTTCACTTTCTGAAGTCCGCTTCTCGACCAGAACCGCTGCCAGGGTGTCCAACTACAACGAAGATGATGATGAGGACGACATATTCGAAGACGGCGCAGATCAAGTTGCGGACAACTACTGGCCCCAGGATTACGTGGATACTCGCCCTGCCGTAGATGTGGTCCTCAACCATCGCTTGAAGGACGGCGTGGATCCCCGCGATCCTACTGTCGATCGAGAAGACTTTGAATTTTACATCAAGTGGCAAGAGCAGTCTCACTACCATGCCACCTGGGTGCCCAATGAGGCTCTCGGCGACTACCGGAGCACGCGTCGCGTTGATAATTATGTTCGAAAGGTACTTCATGAAGACCTACGTCTTCAACACGACCCTGAAGCCCCTCCTGAGGACAGGGAAAAGTGGAATCTTGATCGCGAGAGAGACGTGGAGGCGATTGAGGACTACAAAAACGTCGAGCGCATCATTGGAAACCGGGAAGGTGTGAATGGCACAGAGTATCTCGTCAAGTGGAAGCGACTCTTCTACGATTCATGTACCTGGGAACCGGAAGACTTGGTCAGTGACATCGCACAGCGTGAGGTCGACCGTTTCTTAGATAGGTCTGCTCGAGTCCCTGTCTCTGATCGGAATGAATCAAATCCCGCTACTCGCAAGCCGTTCGAGCCTATCCACGGATCTCCTAGCTTCTTGGAAAATGGCGAGCTCAAGGATTTCCAGATTAAGGGCCTGAACTTCCTTGCTTTCAACTGGGTCAAAGATCGCAACGTGGTGCTAGCAGACGAAATGGGTCTCGGAAAAACCGTGCAGACCGTCTCCTTCATCAACTGGCTGCGCCATGTCCGACGGCAACAAGGCCCATTCGTCGTCATCGTTCCCCTCTCTACAATGCCCGCGTGGGCCGACACCTTCGATAATTGGACGCCCGATTTGAATTATGTCGTCTACAATGGCAGCGAAAAATCGCGCGCGGTCCTCCGCGAGTATGAGCTGATGGTGGATGACAATCCCAAGCGGCCGAGGTTCAACGTACTCTTGACTACATATGAGTATGCCATGAATGACTCTTCGTTCCTTGGACAGTTCAAGTGGCAGTTCATGGCTATCGACGAGGCGCACCGTCTCAAGAACCGTGACTCTCAGCTTTATGTGAAGCTATCTGAGTGGAAATGCCAGGCCAAGCTTCTCATAACAGGTACACCAATCCAGAACAATCTTGCAGAATTGGCATCCCTAATGGACTTCCTCAATCCTGGCGAGATTGAGGTTGATGTCGACATGGATCTCAACTCCGAGGCTGCATCCCAGAAACTGGCCGAGTTAACCGATGCTATTCAACCTTTCATGCTACGGCGTACAAAGTCCAAGGTCGAATCCGACCTCCCTCCCAAAACCGAGAAGATTATCCGTGTTGAGCTTTCCGATGTTCAGCTGGAATATTACAAAAACATTTTAACCAAGAACTACGCCGCGTTGAATGACGGTGCCAGGGGAATGAAGCAATCGCTCCTGAACATCATGATGGAATTGAAAAAGGCTAGCAACCATCCTTTTATGTTCCCCAACGCAGAAGCAAAAATTCTAGAGGGGAGCCATCGACGAGAGGATATCCTCCGGGCCATGATCACCAGCAGTGGAAAAATGATGTTGCTCGATCAGCTGCTGCGCAAGCTGAAAGAAGATGGCCATAGAGTTTTGATTTTCTGCCAAATGGTTGGCATGCTGAACATCCTCAGCGAATACATGGAGTACCGGGGCTACAAATACCAGCGACTCGATGGTACCATTCCGTCTGCTGCTCGTCGCCTGGCCATTGAACACTACAACGCTCCGGAGAGTACCGACTTTTCATTCCTTCTATCAACTCGCGCTGGTGGTCTCGGTATCAACTTGATGACTGCTGACACAGTTGTCCTTTTCGACTCGGACTGGAACCCGCAAGCAGATTTGCAGGCCATGGCCCGAGCCCATCGAATTGGTCAAACAAGGCCTGTCAGTGTTTACCGTCTTGTTTCGAAAGACACGATCGAGGAAGAGGTTATCGAGAGAGCCCGCAACAAGCTTTTGCTCGAGTTCATCACCATCCAGCGTGGTGTCACCGACAAAGAGGCCTCGGACATGCAGAACAAGATGGCCCGCGTGATCGGCGAACCTAACTCGACCGAGGACATCTCCCGGATTCTCAAGCGGCGTGGCCAGAAGATGTTTGAGCAAACTGACAATCAGAAAAAGCTTGAGCAGCTTGATATCGATTCGGTTCTTGCCAATGCAGAGCTGCACCAGACTGAAGAATCAGAGCAGATCCAAGCCGACGGTGGTGAAGAGTTCTTGAAGGCCTTCGACTTTGTGGATATCAAGGTCGACGATCTTAGCTGGGACGACATCATTCCTCAAGAGCAACTCGAAGAGATTAAAGCAGCTGAGAAGCGTAAGGCAGATGAAAGATATCTCAAGGAGGTAATAGAGGAGAATCGGCCTCGCAAGCGTGGAGCGCCCATCGAGGAGTCTAAAGACTCGCGGGAAGAACGCAAAGCCAAACGCCAAGCTAGAGCGCAAGTTGTCGTCGATGATGGCGAGGATGATAGCTCATTAGATCCGAGACGTCCCCTTGGCGAGAAGGAGTACCGTGCTCTTTCTCGAGCCTTCCTGCGCTTCGGTGACATGGCTGACTGCGAGGAACTCATTCTTGAGGATTCTCGGTTGCAAAACCGTGACCGAGACACTGTGCGCGCTGCTCTTCGCGAGATGACTGACAAAGCGGCGTCCTTGGTCAACGACAACATGGCGCAGATCGATGCTCTTAAGCAATCAGGCAAGAACATCACGAAGAAGGAGCAAAAAGCTGTTCTGTTTGATCATCATGGGGTGAAACGACTCAATGCCTGGACAATTGTCGATCGACCACCGGATATGCGTCTCGTCAGGAAGATCACAAGCTCTTTGGCCGATTTCAGGACGTTCCGCCTTCCAGAAGCTACCAAGTTGGCTGACTATAGTTGCCCATGGGGTGCACGAGAAGATGGAATGCTTCTAGTCGGTATCGCACGTCACGGATTCGGTGCTTGGACCCAGATTCGCGATGACACGGACCTGGGCCTTGGCGATAAGTTCTTTTTGGAAGAGCACCGGGTAGAGCGGAAAACGCAGCGTGCGCAAGGGGAGGAGAAAACGACCAAATCCCCTGGCGCCGTTCATCTTGTCCGCCGCGCTGACTACTTGCTATCCGTTCTGAGAAACAAGTACAGCAACGGAAACAATGCCACCGCAAGACGTGCAGTGGATAATCACCACCGGAACAACAAACGAAATTCTCGCGTTGGAAGTGGCAGTGTCTCCGCCTCCCCCGCCCCATCTTCTCGCAAGCGCGAGGTCGATCGCTCACGACAGCGTTCCCACACTCATGGCAGCCGAGAGGGTGACCGTCACCACACACCCAGCCACGATCGTCCAAAGTCTGGGCATGATCTCGACCGTCCACGTCACCGTCTCTCTGATGCGGCTAACGAAGAGCTCCGGCGTCGCAAGGGCCATGAGAATGGTATTTCAAGCAAGGAGGACATGGCTTTCATGTTCTTCAAGCCTATTGTGCCGAAGTTGAAGGAAGCTCCCATGATCACGGCCAAGTACTACCCGAACAAGTCCGAACGAGCGCAAAAACTCCGCGAAACAATTGTGGACATTGGAGAATTTATCAACAAGAACCTTGGCGGAGGGTCAGCTATGGCATCCCTCGAAACACGCCTGTGGTAAGTTTATCGACTATCAGTCGACGTGCTCCATTCACTAACTTTTTTCGCAGGGACTACGTTTCTGTCAACTACTGGCCTAACAAGGAGGCCAGCGGTTCCAAACTCCAGCAAATGTTCAATAAGGTGAAGGAACACAAGGCCAAGTCTTCCAACGGAGCATAATGCGAAGGAGCCTTGCCCGTCGCGCCGTCGGCGGCTCACTTTGCTTTGAGATTATATTTTCACGGGCTTATGACATACTACATATAAAGCATCTTGGCCTTAGTCCTCAATGGCAGGATACCCCGGTTCAGTGATTTCCCTCTCGGTTACCTATCAGAATCTCGTCATCCGTCACCGAGATGACACCTCAAACGGATGACTATTGAAAGTACATACTGATGCAACTCGTTGCATGGCATTGCGAAAGGCGTCGAAATGAATTGCGCAACCCAAAAATTACCAGCACAGAAAGGAGACCTTCCGACTTGAATATGATTCGAATCAGACGATATTTGCATGGCGTGCTTGGGGTTCTTTTGCTTTGGAGTTTTCATTTCCATCTTCATTTCCTTCCCTGGCAGATCTTGCTGGACCTGGATCTTTTTGGCCTCAGAAAGGTCGGCATGGGGTTAGCTGGATCTGCCCTTTTCTTATTCTTGTTTCTTTTTACCATTTTGGCATCCTTGCATTCACTTTGGCTTCAGTGCTAGTGGTGCAGCTGGCATTTTGTGTTCTTGTCCCTTTCATTTTTTTTTTTTTTTGAAGCACATGTACCCTATGGAGTGGCTACCACGGCGTCGATTGATGTTTCTGGATCTGACAAGATCATTCAGCTGGTTGGGAGCTCGTTCGAGAAGTCCCTTTCTTTTTCTTCCTAGAACGAATCGAATGGATCCCCCAGGGGGTTTCTCATTGGGTCTCAAATTCAGTTCGATCTACTGTAATGTCCAGAATCATTGCTCTTGCACTTATACAGGGCTACAATTGGTAAAACAGAAAATTTGAATATAGTCATTAATATTGACAATCCCATCAAACCCAGAGTGGGTAGGAAAAAGCATCCTGGTTTGCAGCAAAAAATAGCGCACCAACATATAAAAGAGCTATTCGTACAGTTGATGTCCCATTCCCCTCACCCTTTCCCTTTTCAACCATGAGATAAAACAGACCCAAGGCCCTTCCGTAACTCCGTTCGCGCCATATGAAACACCCCCGAAATCAAGAACACGGCAGAGGTACAAACCCAAGTATATCGGGAGAATGCAGCCCGGGACTAATGTAGCACTCAAGCAGCAGCATTAACCTCAGCGGCCTCCGCAGCCTTGGCCTGCATCTGCTCCTGCTCCTGCTGATTCCTAAACTGCTGCTGCTGATGCTGCAACTTCTGCAGACTAGTTGAAAGATTCGTCGTCGGCGCAGCAGGACCGCCAATACCACCGACAATAGCACTGAACAGCCTCAGCTCGCCGTCAATGACATCGTCAAAGATAGCCTCCTTCTCAAGCCAAGACTGCTCGCGCTTTGGCCGGATATTATCCCATTCGGCGCGCAGCTGCGCGGACTCTTTCTCCGCCCAGTGGATCTGTCGCCGCAGCAGGCGGTACAAGTCGTGCGGGCGCATGGCCAGCTCGTGGTCGTCGAAGCCGAGCTCGGGTCCGAACTCTGGCATTGTTGAGTCCTCGTCATCGGCGGCGCCTGTGGATAGGATGGATTCATGAGGCTCGGACTCGGCGCCGGGTTCTTTGGGCGGGTGCGAGAGCTTCAGGCGAATGCGCTGCAGTTTCGAGGCCGGTGTGCCTGCGGCATTTCCGAGGGCGCCGGCATTTGCCTTGAGGTCGGATGGGCGTAGGGTATCTGTTTCGTGGACGGAGCGCATGTGCTTCGTCAAGGCGTCTGAGCGGGTGAAGTTACGGTCACATTCTGTGGTTGTTGTTAGCAGCTGGACTTGCAATTTTGGGTCAAGGAGCGATGTCTAAAACATACCGGGCAGGGTGCAGTAGAAGGGCTTCTCTCGAGTGTGGCTCCGCATGTGAGCGCGCAGTGCATATGCACTGGCGTGCGTTTGGCCTTTACGGGAGCAGTCGGTCCACTCGCACGAGTACCGCTTCTGTCGGCTGCCGATATGCTCGTTGTGGATGTGCTGCACCAGGCCATCCATGTTCCCCAGATCGCCTGCGCTGCATCCATCCCAGCGACATATGGTGACCTGGTCGGTGCTCTGGCCGGTGTAATCGTCGTCTTGGTTGTTACCCAGCACGCCCAGGAGGCTGGGTTCGTTTGGGACGTCTCCGGAGCTGTCGGAGGAGATGGAGGCTGTGGGGGAGGGTGGGGGGATTTCATCTTGGACGGAGGACAGTGGTGTCTGTCGGTCCCAGGAAGCGACGCCTGTGCGTCTGCGCTTGGATGCAGGCATGTGGGATCCTGTTGGTGACTGGGCGCGGCTTTCTTGCTTGATGGACTCGTGGTCTGACTCCTCGGCAAAGCCGACTGAGGAAAAGGGGGAACCGTCTCGGGAAGCCATTGTGATGGGGTTTCTTTGATCCCTGGTTCTTTGATCTCAAGTCACCGAGGGGTTTGATTGTATCGCCACGGCGACGTCAAGGGTGAAGCGTTTACTTTCCCCGACGCGGGTGATATGGCATCACGTGATGAGGAGACGCAGCCGCGACTCGCGCTTTTCTCGTTTCTCGGTTCTCTCTTCTCGCACACACAGCACAATTGATTTGCTGCCATGTCGCTATTTGCACTAACCTACAGTTGGCTGATCTTATGAATAATCATGGTAAGCTTCATTCTTTATTCTACCTAGTTTATGCACAAGATGAACAACAAAGAAGAATTCTGCAATTCTGACAGTCTCCATGCATTTGTTTCGGCTTATGCGTTGTGAGACTGACTGTTGACTCTTCTACACTTGATCTGACTCATGCAATCAACGTGACATTGTCATCATATTAAAAATCGATCCAAAGCTAACTGTCATGGTAACTGTAGAATTCTCTCTTAGTAGCGCGGCCCAGCGACCGTGTGCTGCTTTAGGATCGCATCGACCTCCGCCAGCTCTTCATCAGAGAGCACCTGCACTCCGCTCATATTCTGAACAACCTTGTCGACAGTGGTGCCTCCAGGGATGGGAATAATAGTGGGCATGCCGGGCTTGCCACTCAAGCTGCGAATCCACGCCAAAGCAATCTGAGCCGGGGCAACCCCCCTTGCGAGAAGCCAGGCTCCGGACTTCATTGATCAGCTTGAGGTTGTGCTGGAGATTCTCCTCTTGGAAGCGGGACATGTGTCGCCGCATGTCACCCTCGGGGATGTCGGCCAGCGAAGTCACGGCACCGGTCAGGACACCCCGGCCCAGAGGCGAGTAGGCAACGACGGGGATATTAAGCTCGGCGCAGGTCTTGGCGATGTCGTTCTCGAGGATGTCGGTGGACCACAATGACATCTCGACCTCCACGGCGGCGATGGGGTGCACCTTGGCTCTAGAGTAGTAGTCAGCATAAAATATCCAAATGGAGTTCACAAATCAGAAACGTACGCTCGCCGGATAGTCTCTGCATCCACCTCGCTCAGACCAATTCCTCCAATCTTGCCCTCCTTCATGCACTTGGCGAGAATCTCGATCGTGTGCTCGATGGGGAAGTTAGGGTCCTGACGCGCACACTCAAAGATATCAATCTTCTTCTTGCCATCTAGCAGACGCAAACACTCATCCACACTGCGGCGGATGTTCTCCTCTGAGCCATCGGGGATAAGTTGGCCGGGCTTGAGTCCACCTTTCACGCTGAGAACGACCTTGTCGGCGTTCTCGGGGTATTTGGTGAAGTATTTGTTCAACAGGTGCATGGAGTTGTACTCCGGAGTACCGTAGAGCTCGCCACCGTTCCAGAAATTGGCGCCCAGCTCCAGGGTCTTGTTCAAGGTCTCAAAACACACTTCCTGCGCCGGTGGCTGGCTGGCCCATGTCATTCCTGGCGTTAGGGTCAGCGTGACGGCTTCTCAATGATAGGTGGAGGGGAAGCTGTACTCATGGTGCCGTAGCCGGTGGCACCGACTTCCTTTCCGACGAGGGTAGGCATTACGTGGAGATGTGACGGGAATTATGTACGGCGGTAGGAATATTATCGGGTGTTGACGAAACAGGGATAATCGATGAAGTTTGAGCTTTGCGCCAGACGGGTCTTTTATAGAGGGGAAGGAGATAGAACCGGTATCGCCGGCTCTGTGGCCTAAGTCCAAAATCCGCTAGGCCCACATCGTTAACCCCGATCCTCTTCTATCGGCCTCGACAACTTCGCTTGCGCTTATTCAGTTACACGTGGACTGTTAGAAGCTTCGGGTCAATTCTTCAGACATTCTTCAGGACTTACGATCGGTGTCCGAGCTATATGCGTTGGCAGGTAAGGGTAGCGCGGCCACAGGAGCTGACGCAACGCCGGAGTTAAGGTTCCGCCCTCGGTCATGTCATTTTATCTCAAACTATGACCTGCGCGCAGAGTGTATGGATCAACCCAGCGCTTTAATAAAACGGTGCGAAATTCTGCAGACTACCTGGAAACTTTCCTCACTACCAGTCAGGGAGAAGACGACTCATAAGTTCTCGATTCAGAGACCTACAAGTTCATAAAGACATTTCCTGGTCAAAATTAATTCAGGTCTTGCAGTGAAATAGCAACGGCCGCCGCCACTCCCAAAGGTGCAGCAGTGACCAAGGCTTCGCCGGACCAGCAGCCCCTTTGGCTTCATAAAATTGAGATCAGCTAGTGCGTGCTACTAAGAAGAAGCGTCGTTTCAAACCTTGATATCGGCCGCCTTCGTCCTTTTGCACTTCGTCCTAGACTATCCTGTATTGTATACTTAACAGTCACTCTTCACATGGCAGAAGTCCAAAGTTTCTTATAGTATTCAACCTTGCCTAGGAAAAAAAGAATATCGCGATACACTAATACAGTTATGAAGATCATCACATAATACAAATCATATAAGTTCATCCCGAGAAACTCCCCTTTTTAATAATACCATAGTTTACCCCCTCATCGCAGGAACCCGATCTCAGAACGGAGATCATTAGAGCCGGAGTCATCTCCCAGCCCTCGCTCGTCAGAGCTATCGATCATGTTGCGGAACCGGTGGTCAAGTGCCTTGGAAAGAGCATCGAAGATAAAGGGCAGGTCTGACGCTTGGAGCTTATTTCCTCCGGTCCATCCGGATCCGACCTGGATGTTCTCGATGGGTTTGTCGTCTCCGTGACGAATGTTGGTGGTGTACATGGCAGGTTGCGTGGTTTTAGTCGCGCTGGCAGTGGGTGTTGCTGTGATATTCTCAGGCGTGTCTTGCCAGAGCGAGATGTGAACGGAAGTGAGAGGAATAGGCGTCTGGGAAGTTTCGGGTTCTGACACGCCTAGCACAGCGAAGGCATCGGCGAGATATCTCTCAGCAGCAGGGATAAGTCTCTGTATCTCTGTTAGCATCGCTCCAGCCTAGTAGGGCATAGGAAACATACTGGGTCACGAGGCTGGATATTTGTTGCCGGCTGAACCTGGCTCACAGTGCCTGATTCGCGGGTTGGGCGCGCGTAAACTGAAGACAAAGGCAGCATAGCCAACATCGCAATAATAGACCAGGTGGACCTGATTGAAAGCAAAGACATGTTGAATTGGTCGGTGCGGGTCGGGTTGGATGTCTCAGGTGAGGTTCAAGATGCGAACTTCGAGGTAATGACGAGGGAAAGTACCCAAAAGATGCGTCTGAGAAGAACGTTCAACACGCGAGGATAATTCAGGATTCACCGGTGATTCAGAGGTCTTATATTATTTGGGAGATGGGAATTTTTTGCAGTGATGTGGAATGAGGGCTGGACACAAATGCCAGCCATCGAATATTTTAACCACGCCTCCGGGACAGCCACTTAATTGACCAGCCATCAATAGAAGATAGCTTGGCCTCGGCCTCTGCTTTCAATAATGTTCTATGTAATTCGAAAAAAGCCAGGCGTTTTCCAGCAACGGTGGCCGTTGAGGGGGTGTCCTGGCGCGATCTAGGGATTTGGGCTGGATGTGGATCCCTTGAATGGCAGATCAACATTCCAAACACGCCACCCCCCGCGAATAAGGGCTGTCATAGCGATACCATAATGACAATGCCGAGAAATAATTACGAGAGTTACCGAGAAGATGTGCTTAGGGCAGACCCTGGAATGTCGGGGTGACACTCCTACCGTGCACGACTCGGTTCCAGGAAGCGATCAGATGTCAAGTCTCGACAATCGTCTTCGCCACGATACTTTCCCTCCGAAACAGCCCCACCAACTGGCCATATCCCGCTTGAATATTGTCTCCCTGCATCCGAGGTCATGACATGAGCACCTGGATGCGGCATTCAGGAGACTGAAGTGGTCTCGGGCGCAAAGTTGGCGTGCGGAGCAAGTCGAATCGGGAAGCTATCCTATGTAGAATATCAGGACCTGTGAAGCTGATGCTCAAGGTGACTGCTTTAAACCCCATTAACCTTTTCAATCTCATATAATCCATAAACCCGCCGGCCCGTGATAATATCACGTGGAAGAGAAGAGGACTAACGGCTCACTTAAAGTAGTGACCGTCTCAATTTTCCAACTTCCTGCCAGACTACCCTAGTAAACATACGGCCTCTCCCCCCACCAACACCCCGGAGCTGACACCCCATGTCCTGTCATGCATTGGGCCTCCATCAAAATTTATTCAATGAACTTCATATGTCTGCTGGTCTAGCGGCGCTACGAATGCCCCAGTTGAAGAACAGCATTTGAATACTTATTTTGGCCATGGAGAGCACAATTTCGAGTAAGAGTTCAAAAACGAGACAGCGAAAGCCACCTGGTGTGATATACATCATTTTCACCCGGAGCATAGGGGTTCGCTAATCTGGAAAAAGGTTGCTTATCAGCATACCGGAGCTACGTTTGAATTAAGTATTGCGCGTGGTCCTTACCGTGGTTTGGTTCTGTCAGAAAATGAGCTCAAAAGGCTATATAGTAGTTCTACATAGTTCCATCGCATCCATCATTGATATCTTACAACATCTGTTCTCCAGGCATTGTATGGTTCAACAGTCGCCAGAATTTTAGCATGAAATTTGTATTATATAGATGCTACAAGTACTCTAAAACTCTCTTTTGTCTAGATTCAATTAAAAAAACGAAGACCAAATACGTGGACGGACTTCAGAAATAAATGAGTTGCCTAACTACATAGGGGATGGTTAGCTAATCATCGAGGTGGAATCAGCCAATCAGGATTCAGATTTTCTCACTTCACCCGGAAATCTACCCCGTCGTGACGTTAACTCTGGCTTAGAAGTATGGGGATTCATCCCTCCAAAATGACATTCAGTTGGGGTGTCATGAAGTCCTATCTGCCTCGAATACGATTCCTCACAGTGCACTATGCCTACTTCATCGGAGTGTCCCTCGTCACCTCCGCTATCCTCTGGGGTAGCTCCACTCCGGCCTACAGCGTACGATACATTGACGCGTTGTTTTTGACGGTCAGCGCGATGACCCTCGCTGGTCTGAACACAGTCAACCTGTCTACACTAAACACCTTCCAGCAGATCCTGCTGTTTTTTCTGATAATGGCTGGGTCCACGGTAAGAGTCTCTGCATATCGCCGGTCCCCTTGATTGAGATAATGACATACCTGGCTTCTGGATAAGAAAGCTAATTACATTATAGATATGGGTCTCGATTGCAGTAGTTTTGGTCCGCAAGAGAGCGTTTGAGAAGAGATTTGAAGAGATCGTGCAAGAAGAAACTCTCCGGCGAAAGAGGCTCCGAAAAATGTCCAGTATTGGCCGTCGAATGTCCTGGACGCGCTCTTTATCGCGACAAACAATCGACTCGCAGCCGGATAGAATTCCAAACTCCACAACCTTCTCGCTCCAGCCCATCAAGTCACGGACCAAGAGCCTGGGGCAAATTTCAAGAAATGGTTCAGCTCACAGCAGACAATCTAGCCAGCAAGCAGATGATACTCAACCAATGACTAGATATCAAACTGGATCTGTAGGCACTGGCGAAAGAATACCGGATGAAGCCTCTCCTGGGGAGCCAGATGACGAAGCAACTGATGCTCACATCGCATTTACCCATGACGTACGGGATAGGCCCGAGGAATCCCCCTCGAGCCCAGTACGCCGACGCATGCGTCCTCCGTACATCAACGTCCAGAGCATGGCCGCTGCCCAGAACGGGCTAGAGGAAGGCGGACATGGCGGGGACTTTGATGGAGAGGCTGACAGTCATCTGCACTTTCTACGCAAATTCAGTCGCAATTCCTCGTTTCATCATCTGAGTGAAAGAGAACGCGAAAGGCTCGGCGGTGCAGAGTATCGAGCTGTGTCTCTATTGTCTATCATTGTTCCACTTTACTTTCTGCTATGGCAAGTTCTCGGCGGGATTGGGGTCGCTGCGTACGTTGCAAGGAACAAAGCTGCCGTGGCTAGGTCGAACGGACTGAATCCTTGGTAAGTTTTCATGTCAACTGATATTCTTGAGTTTCTTTCCAATTGTTGCTTGAATTTAGGTGGACGGGCTTCTTTTTCGCCATTTCTGCTTTCAACAATTCTGGGATGAGCGTGCTTGATGCGAATATGGTTAGTGCCACGCGGTTTCACTTCGAATGACTTGCTTGAGGTTTAATTTTGTGTTCAAGGTTCCCTTCCAAAGGTCAACGTATATGCTAATCACGATGGGCCTTCTCATGCTCGCTGGCAACACGTGGTAGGTCCTTCCCTGTTCTCCGAGTTGCTTGATCCGTATACTCATTATTCACTTGCAGTTATCCAGTATTTTTGCGGTGGATATTATGCGCTTTACGCTTCCTTCTGCCTCAGGGCGAGTATTTTCACTATTTTCGAGAGACCTTGACGTTCCTCCTGGATCATCCACGCCGTTGCTACACGACTTTGTTTCCTTCTGCACATACCTGGTGGCTTCTACTCTCTGTGCTCGTATTGAACGGAATCGATTGGGTGGCGTACGAAATCCTCAATGTGAGCCCACCACTTTCTTAACTTCCAGATCGAAAGACTGATGTATGTTTTTAGTACAACAATCCAGCAGTCGATATCGTCCCAGTCGGTCCACGTGTGCTGGACGGCCTCTTCCAAGCACTTTGCGTTCGAAGTGGAGGCTTCTACATAACCAACATTTCCGCCCTCCAAATAGGAACGCAGATGATCTATGTGGTAATGATGTACATTTCCGTGTACCCTGTTGTCATTACGATGCGCCACTCCAACATCTACGAAGAAAGGAGCCTAGGAATCTATGCCGACGACCCTACCGTGGGCGAAGCCAGCGAGACCTCTTCACTGAGCTCCTCTCTATCACACCAACCCCCCTCCCCGGGACGACTGTATTTCATCAAGCACCAACTCCGCGCACAGATGGCATACGACCTGTGGTGGATCGCTCTGGCCGTCATAATAATTTGCATTGTGGAAGCCGGCCAGTTCACCCGGGATCCAATTACATACTCGGCTTTCAACATCATCTTCGAGACCGTCAGTGCGTACGGCTGTGTCGGGATCAGTACAGGCCTTCCGAACCAATTCTATAGTTTTTCTGGGGGCTGGCGTACCTTGAGCAAACTTGTTCTTTGTGCTGTGATGATCAGAGGGCGTCATCGAGCTCTGCCGGTGGCTATTGATAAGGCCATTATGCTGCCTAGTGAAAAGCTTGCTAAAGCGGAGGAGGAAGATGCTTTGATTAGAATGGAGCGGACGATGACCCGAACGACTCGATGAGGGCCGTGAACAGCCCGAGAAAAAAAAAAGTATTATCTACCCCTGGTGCATGACAAGTGTTTGTTCTGCTCAGTCTTCATTGTATGTACTCTCTAGAAATGCTCTCCTTATCAAGATAGACCACTCATGAATGCCTTTCTTTTTTGATACCTTCCCCTGTTAGAAAAGATGTGAGAGAAGTCGGCCCAATCACTATTATTGACACGCAAGCCCGTGTGAAATTGGGGCAAGGTTGACGGCGAGCCTTCCCTGAGGCTGCTTATGATCTATAACAACCAGAGTTTGAATCATTATAGACTTGATAGTTGGAATAATCAATCATTCATCGGGCGTATCTGCCAGAAGTATCCATTCAAAATAGATACAATGGTGCATGAACAATATTACAACGATTTCGTAGTCAGTAACCAACACCAAGATCTCAAACACCATCATTGAAGGTGTAATAGTTCATCCATCGCTAGAAAAGATCAGCGAAGTGCAATATAAGGCTTCGATCAGTCGAAATAACATACCTTGTCATAGGGCTTCGACGAATCACAGAAACGTAAATCAGTCGCAAGTCGAATAACATTATCAAGATCATGATTGATAGTCGATGCATGAATCTGTCACTTGAATAAGAATCATCCAAGCCACATCACCCACGCAAGAACACATACCATGTGAGGCTTGTGCAGGACAACATCGCCAGCCTCGTATGCCGAAACCAGCCATCGCCGACCATGTTCGCGGGCAAATTCAGCCGGGAATTCTGAAAGAAGGCCCGTTGCCATCATGTTGGAGTTGAAAGCTGATCTGGCCTCTTCATCTGATAGACCGGCTTGTTTGCCTTTGATGAAAAATGCTTGCTCCATTTCGATGCCGATGCTATCGCCTGTGGGACATGAGTTAGCATTCTTTCGCAGACGGAGATGAAGTGAGGAGAAAAAACATACCACCTTCGAGATAAATCAGTCCGCCGCCGGTAAGCTTGATGTCCCCCATCGGGACCCATGCTGTGACACTGGTGGGGTCACCGTATCGCAGGAAGATCTGATCGTAATGAACCTGATTTCATTGAGTTAGAAAGGCTGAGGGTTTCAGAGAAGGCAATGGCATCTCTAGTCTTACTCCAATCGGCTTCGATCCTGGAATATTATTCCTGAGCAATGTGCGACGCAGGCTGAGTGTATCCTTGCCCCAGCCAGAAAACTTCGCGATAAAATCGTACAGCGCAGGGTGGTTGCAGAACTTCTCCGCATACCAATCCTGATAGTGAGCGTCCAGCGCGAGGTCGACGAACTGTGCTGCCTTATCACCGCCTGGCTTCCCGTTCCCATCAACATGACCGGCTCCAATGCCGGGGTACTCCAAGTGACTCTTCGCTGGATCGAAAATGCCATCCACGGGCTCAGTGCCAGGCTTTAGGACGCCAGTTGATTGTAGGGAGGTGAAGTATTGGCTACGGGCTTCGAGAACATCGTTGCGGGGGAGAACTTGCTTCAGGAAGAGATAGCCGTCTTGTTCATAACGTTTGCGAAGTTCCTCGAGAGGAAGACTTGGATCGGATGGGCGAAGGAAAGCTGCGTTCTCCGAGGTTAAGGGACCATCGTTGACGGCGAGGTTGTCTGCTGTGACGCCGACCATTCTGGAGTTGGATGGGATGTCCAGAGTGATATGGGGAGAAGACGGGGATGAAAAGTTGTTATCTTCAGGATGGATCTCAGGACGATTTTATATCCTGTCTTCTACAGTCGACTTCCATGATGGCGGGGTAAACAAGAACTAATCCGGAGAGATATCCAACCATATCATAAAGATTGTCAGCGCTGCCCCGCATGATCAAGGTATTCGGCTTTATTCGTGGAGCGTTCAATCGCGTGGAACAATTTATGGTTGTGTGATGCCACGGTCGATGCGCAAGGCACAGATTTGGGCATTTGTTTCCGCATTTTGAGCGGGGAATGTTTCTCATCCGGGCGAAGGTGGAGAAGTCGTTGATGCTCCATGCGGGAAGGAATACTCTTTTCGTCTGCCCTGCGGAAGTCGCAGAACACTGCAAATAGTTCAAACATGAATTTCATGTGCTTGAATAGCTTGGCCCTTTTTGTCTCTAGACCCCAGGGGGAAGAGGTAGACAACGGGCGGTTGGTTTAGGCACAATTGTTTTGTTGATTCGACTTTCTTTCTCTCATGGTAATTAAATGTGATACTCAATTTTTCATCTGGCTATAATTTTCAACCCCATAACAACTTCAATTGGCCCCTGAATATAAGGATGCCATCTTGGGTCCAGCACATCTGCAATGGACTGAAGTAATTTCGCTGGTCTCCCTTCAAAATACCAGCAGTTCTCCATATCTTTCAGAATAACACAGTAATACGCAAGTAGAATAAGCGCCCCGGGATGTCGCTCAGATATCAGGGAGATAAACGCTACCTCCAAACGTACCGGCCACACGCCGAGAATATTCCATGGGTTAGCATGGGACTTCCTCTTTGCACGCCCATGGAGGGCAAATGACTCAGTCAATGTATTTGCAGCAGACTGATAGATTTCGATAGACTCGTCTGACCAGGACCCGTCATCTGGAACGAGAGACTTGAAGTAGTCCAAGTACGGCAGGTCCTCGCGTTCATCTTCGAACTTATTCGCTCCGTACTCGTCCCATGCAAAAGCCAGTGCGCTTGCCGGGCCATTTTCGATTCGGTCCCAGACATCGCAGAGCATTGAACAACCGGCGCGAATGAAATGCAGCCATTGAGGAAGAATCAGTTCCGTTTCGTCCGAGTTATCTTCCACAATGAGAAGTGAGTTGATGGCGTTTTGGGTATCCGTCGCAAAGGAATAAATGATCAGTAAGTAAGCAAATGACAATATTGCGTCGCAGTTCTTTTCGTCTGGATGGTGAATTGCATGACGAAATTGTGGAAGTGCTGAATCTTGGTGAGCACAGGCGTGAAGGATATATATCTGTCGCTTTGTAGAATTTAGGTATCCCATATGTAATAGCGTACAAGCCAAGATGCCTTCGAGCAGGAATACATGGTTGTATGCCAGATCCGGCACGACGTCAAGCCAGATTCTCTCTGTCTGGTCATTTGTCACGAAGCTTTTGTAGGAAGAAGAAAAGTAATGGTCCAAAGCTTCGGCATCCAATTTGTTCAGGTTGTGCCTTTTTTGGATTCGTCGTATATGGTCTCGTTTCCTAGACATGCTGGCTATGTTGCCATCTAGTCTTGTTGAAGAATCCGTGTTGGTAAAGTATCGCAGCTTATTCCCTCGGAAGAAAGTCTGCAAGGGAGCAGCACTCCAGTCAAGATTTGAACACCCCTTTCGACCGTGCTGAGCAGACCAGTGGCCTTCCATTCGCTTGATAGATGCACAGAGGTAGTTGCATCCTGGCGCCTCGCAGCGCCACCCTTGCTCAAGCGGCAGGTAGGGCAGAGGGAATTCGCTAGCACTAGGTGGCCTTACTTCCTCCGGTTTCCTCAACTTGAGACTTTTTGCATAAGTGACGAACGGATGTCGTTTGTTGCTATAGATGTGATGGATATCCTTCAAGTGCCGAGGAATGGCTGCTGGCTGGATTGCGTAGTGGCAGGCGGTGCATATTAAGACTTGATGGGCGGAGCAATAGTGAAGTAATCTCTCTGGGAGTATAGATGGAATGGTGTCAGCCTCCATTCTGTCTTCATGGCTGTGATGATGATGATAATGAAAGTAAGGTGAGTGTGTCTCGCTTTGGATGATGCGGACTAGAACGGGACCGTTCAGCGCTTCATTCCGCGCTAACCCCGAACGGCACCGTTCAGCATTTCCCCACTTCATAATTCACTGGATTCGAGTCCATCATAGTCTATCCCGTGTGTCCGTCGGGCAGATAATTGGACCGATATGAAATGGTAAGTCATATGCTTGTCCGAGCTCGTAGGTATAAATCTAAATCCTACAGCTGCTCCATAATTCTCGTACAGTCCACATTCTGTTTTAATCTTCTACACTTCTTTTCTTCACTTCCCGAACACTTAGCAACCAATGTCTTCCGAACTCCAACGCAGCGTCCTCGTCACCGGCGGCACTGCAGGTCTAGGTTATCATTGCGCATTAACCATCGCTCGTGAATGTCCGTACTACCAAGTCATAATCGCATCCCGCTCAGACCCTAAGGCTTCCGCCGAAGCCATGAACAAACTCCTCGATCAAGAGAATGTTAAATTCCTACGTCTTGATCTCTCCTCTCTTTCCCAAGTCCGCGCCTTTGCAGAAGTCTGGGAAACCAACCAGTTCCCGCCAATCCAATCACTCGTCTTCAACGCAGCCCTACAGTTGCCCGGGAGCGTGGAGTACACTGAAGATGGATTCGAGAAAACCTTCGCAGTCAGCCACATCGGGCATGCACTCCTGTTCTCTCTCCTACAGCCCCACCTCGCCGAAACCGCGCGCATAGTGATCGTATCTAGTGGAACACACGATCCCGCTCAGAAAACCGGTCTACCAGACGCGAAGTATACATCCGCCGAATACCTCGCGCACCCTTCTCCTCTCTCAGCAAAAGAGAAAGGGCGCCAGAGATATGCCAGCGCAAAGCTAGCTAATATTCTTTACATGTATGCCCTACACAAACGCTTTTCTTCCGTCAATGAGAAGAGCGGGAAGCACTGGACGGTCACGTCGATGGATCCTGGTCTTATGCCGGGGACTGGCCTGGCACGACGAGCGACCAGGGTAGAAAAGTTCCTCTGGCTGCGTGTCTTGCCGAAAATTATTCCCCTTTTGCGGCTGCTTATTTCGCCGAATATCCATACTCCTCAGGAGTCTGGGGCTGCGCTGGCTAGGTTGGCTGTGGCGGATGATGTTGAAGGAGTTAGTGGTGTGTACTATGAGGGTTTGAACGAGATTAAGTCTAGTGAGGCCAGCTATGATCGAGCAAAGCAGGAGGATCTGTGGGAGTGGACTGTTAATGCTGTGGCCCGAGATTATCGGGAGAGGATGGCGTTTATGCTGGCTTAGGTAGTTTGTAAGGCAGTTTTGTCCTGTTACCACCTCGTGTTGCTAATGTTTATCTTCATCCCGAAAATATTGTGAAAGAAAACATGTTATTTTGGTCTTGAAGAACCAAATACCTAAACCGCCCTAATGTACATTTTGTTACGTCGTAATTGGTTTTTTCCAGTTCCTTTCTATTTCTGGAGCGCCTATGTGACGCGCAATACTCTATCTTAGACGAAATTCCTATACACTGCTACCTATATTCCCCATCCATGCTTGTCGATCTCCCAGGCCCCGACATCGTCTACAATACCACCATCTCGATAATTGCGGACTTTGAACTCTGTAGCACCGAAGCTAAACCGCCCAAAACTATACCTCAAGAGCTGCTAGTGAGGTTACTCGGGGAGGTTTGATCACTGCAGATATATATCAGGGACCTGGAATTCAACAACGTCCGAGGTCCTCGAATGTCGAAGAGTGACGAAAATAAACCAAAAACCGCAGAAGCAATGTCGGCCTAGGGTATTTCCTGACGTTCAAAATAAAACCAAGCGCTAGGGCCGAAGTGCAATTGAGCTCACTTTATACTTGCTGCACGGCACATGCTTCACAAGCCACTACATCCGATTCAGTAGCCATTCAGACTTGAGCATGTAAACTGATTAAACTGATCCAGGTTTCCACTGATCCATATTTTCAAAAATTCCCGGAAATACATTGAGAAACTGGTGACACTAAAAACCTAAGTTGATCATTCATAGGGTAGTCTAACGAGGGTTCAGGGGGTCTTCACCGTGAATGCTTCTGTACGTGACCCTTAGCCTGCCAAGCACTGATTTTCCAAGACGTCACCCCATCTTCGATATTCAGCCTCATGGTAGTAAAAATGATCTGCTCATACAACTCCCTTGCCGCCGCTCTCGCCTTCGCATGCCACGGTCCGAGGCCACCCAGCCTCGCATCCTCCCGGCTGCGCCAAACGCCTAACCCCAACATCAACAAACCGACTCTCAGAGAAGTTAAGGGATAACTTACAAGTAGCCAAATTCTCCCTCTTCCCATTCTTCGTCCCGAACCAATACTTCAACAACCCGCCACTGGTAGTAGCTTCCTGATGGGAATACGCATCCAAAGCATGCAGACGATCCTGGTCAACACCCGGCTTAAGCACCGATCGGAATTCAACCACGTAGAATGATTGTGCGGTCCAAACATGGCCTTCTGCTTGTGAGTACGCTTTCACCAGATCGAAGACTTCTTGCCAGTTGAATGAATCGAGATATGGTGCTGTGGCATAGTCGTCGCGGATGGGTTTGAAGGATGCCAATGCCAACGACAGCAATCTGTTCTGGGTGTCTAGATGGTTTAGATCTAGGAGATGGGCTGTTTGGTTGTATGGCGAGGAAATGAGGCGTGTGTCTGCGTCCGCTGAAGGATTGACGTTCTGCGTTTGCAACTGCCTTGATGCGGCGGCGGCAAATTTGAGTTGTTCGAAGTCTGTTGTAATCAGAGTGTGGTGAAGAAGCTGATTGAGTAATTTTTTTGTTTTCGTCTCATCGGTGGCGAGTCTGTCGAGTGCGTTGATGGTCGAAGGGGCTACGTCGACAGTCATGCTTGCGATGATTGAACGCCAGATGAGATGAGATGCGAGAGCAAGAAGCAACGAAAGGAGTTTTGCACGATAGCCCTTTATGGTGCATTAACTGACTGGAAGTCTAACAATTCTGGATGCACCAGGTGAATTTGAAGACGAAGAGAGTGCAAGAACAAGCCGAATTTAAGTAACTCAAGCTTTTTGCTCGGATCATGCCCATAAAGTATAAATATTCGTACATAATTCAGTACACCGCCACTTAGTTTTCAATCTGTAATTTGTACCATATTCCCCGGGATTGCGGAAGAGCTGGCGAGCAAAGGTCACGGCTCGTGCACGCCACACGCTCGTGCACGCCATACACCGAGTGCCGCAGTTGGAGTTGGAGTCCGGTTTGCGCAAAGACGCCTTGCATTGGATCGAACCCGATCCTTCCGCAACACTAATTTACCCCGATGTGATATTCCTTATGTTATAGATTGCTCACTGTGCGGAAAGTGCCACGCGTTTGTAAACCCTATTTGTTACGAAGATAACGGCGGCCGACTGCGCTCCGACATGCGATCCTGCAACGGGTTTCCAACCTGTCGGAATTTTCGAGACACGGTAGAGTCCTTCGGTCGGCAATGGATGGGTATTTTGATTTGTTTCTCGGCTACTTTAATTGGCCTTGATCGGATCTACTGTACAAAAATGGTATCGTTGAAAACTGCCCTCGTTTCTTTCCCGAACGCCGTCCAAATGCCCAGATCCGCAATAAGCAATGAATAGTCGTAATAGCAAGTGATCGCACTGCTTATGGCTTGGGTGGTGGACCCATCTTGCCATCGCCCGTGTCGACCTTTTTCTTGGGTGGGATCGCTGGCACCTTGAATCCGTCTTTCTCTTTGCTCTGACTGCCGACCTGAGTGAATGTTCCAGAGTTAAACCAGCGGTCCTCTTCGGCCTTGCGCTTGCGGTTCAGTTCAGCCTGCACCTTGGGATCAACGAGCTCGAGACCCTGGACTGGGGTGAATGCTATGGTACTAGCGGTACCAGCGTTCGCATTCAGAGACGTTCCAACACCCGACGAACGAAGTCCCCTGGAGTGTAGGGTACTAGCAGTGCCACCGACGCCGCCCTGACCGAAGCTACGCAGCGACGAAGCCGTGCCACCGGCAGGGGTGGATGCGCCCCAGCCCTTATTATTTTTGCTGAGTTTAGCGCGAGTCCGCTGATCGATCTGTGTTGCGCGGATACGGCCGTCGTTCTGTTGACCAAGCATACCCAGACCCACAGTGCCTTCACCGGTGCCGTAGCCGACTTCTGATTCCTCCTTGCCAAAGGCAACTCTGTTCTGTGCCTTGCGTAATTCGGTCATGGCAACAGCTTCCTTGGCCTTTCGTGCACGTCGTCCACCACGTTTCCTGGATGGCTTGTCGTCAGGGGCGGGGAGGGCCTTGACGCCGGAGTTCGGCGGGGGCTCCGTCAGCTTCTCCAGTCGCTGGAGACATTGCGCCTGCAAATCGTCGCCGAGAGAGCCATCCTTGCTGTAGTTGGAAACGTCTGCGCGAACGGCAAGAACCATCTTAGCAGACACAATGCGGATAGCCTGCTTCTTGAGATCGTTCGGTACTTCTTGGATGAGAGGCGAATCGTACAGGAAGCCCTGTGCACGGACTCCGTGATTCGTAGCAAATCCTAATCCCTCCTGTCTCTTTGAGCCTTGAGCTCCCAGATTACATGCAGGGATTTTGGCCAGCTCAAGCAGCCCACCGGTCTGGTTAAGGAACTGAGCTGCGGTCTCCGATCCGATCAAGGCTGCTAGATTGGGCGCAATCGAGTTCACACGGGACTCAATACTCTGAGTGAGGGCTGTACGCTCACGATCAAGCTTAAGAATCCTCTCACATGTATCAAGAACGAGCTTGAGCTCGGTCTCGCTCATCATCCGGCCACGAGTGGTGGTGCCCTCGACCGCAACAATCATAAGAGACGGCCCATCCAGAACAGTCTTGAGCGGTTCCCCAACCATGTTATCCGCAGACGAGGAGAGGGCCTTGATATCATCGAAAGGTCCGTTTTTGAGAATCGCAACGGTTTTCGCGTACTTGATTGGATTTGTGACCATGGTCTCGAGTTCGGGGAATCGAACGGAGTAGTGATCGCGGAGGACTTTGTGTAGTCGTGTCAATTCGTCCGTAGTCGTTACTGAGCGGTCGAACTCGTTGGTCACCTCCGCGCCATCTTGAAGGCCTTGGTCCTCCTCGGGCTCTTGATCAACATCCTCCTCGTTTTGGAAATCTTCATCTTCCTCGAAGTCGCGCAGGAGCTCCTCCGCCGTAGACATGTTGTTATAAAGTGAGAGCCGTCGGGATGTATATGGGAGGAAAGCGCGCAAGATAACTTTTCCAGGACGCCACCGGGGCAGTTGGAAAGTGGATGTTGGAGATGGGGTTGGAATTCTTCGAGAAGCAAAGCTGCGCTTAGTCAGGTGAGAGCTTTGCGGGTGGCGACAACGACCATAAGCGCAGGCCGTGGATTTCATCGGCGAATCGCGACACTTTGGACAGCATCTTAGCAACTGTTGGGTTGGACTGGGAAGGCCCTATCACGCCATTGCTCGTTTTGCGCCTAAGTGCGCCTGTTTTCACGTTTTTGTTTCGTCCACGTCCCCCCCATCCATCGCCTCTGAACCCGGACGCAAATTTCCCCCATCCGCCGACACCTTGAATTGAACCACACCTCAAATCCAATTCTCCAACCAGCCCACAATGGAGGCTTCGCGTGGCCCTCCCCGGGTCAAGAACAAGGCCGCCGCGCCGATCCAGATCTCCGCAGAGCAGCTGCTGCGAGAGGCTGTCGACCGGCAAGAGCCCGGCCTTCAAGCCCCGACACAGCGCTTTGCGGACCTGGAGGAGCTGCACGAATACCAGGGTCGCAAGCGCAAGGAATTCGAGGACTATGTGCGACGCAACCGCATTAACATGAACAACTGGATGCGCTATGCAGCATGGGAACTGGAGCAGAAGGAATTCCGCCGAGCCCGGTCGATCTTTGAGCGCGCGCTGGACGTCGACTCGACCTCTGTGGTTCTATGGATTCGCTACATCGAAGCCGAGATGAAGACCCGGAATATCAACCACGCCCGAAACCTCCTCGACCGTGCCGTGACCATTTTGCCCCGCGTTGACAAGCTCTGGTATAAATATGTCTACATGGAAGAGACGCTGGGTAATATCCCCGGTACCCGCCAGGTGTTTGAGCGGTGGATGTCGTGGGAGCCCGAAGAGGGTGCATGGAGCGCATATATCAAGTTGGAAAAGCGGTACAATGAGTTCGATAGAGCGCGTGCTATCTTCCAGCGCTTCACCATTGTCCACCCCGAGCCTCGGAACTGGATTAAATGGGCTCGATTTGAGGAGGAATCCGGCACGAGTGACCTCGTACGAGAGGTTTATGGCTTGGCCATTGAGACACTGGGAGAGGATTTTATGGATGAGAAGCTCTTCATCGCCTACGCCAAGTTCGAGGCCAAGTTGAAGGAATATGAGCGCGCGCGGGCTATCTACAAATATGCTCTGGATCGGCTTCCGCGGTCAAAGTCAATGGTCCTGCACAAGGCCTACACAACCTTTGAGAAGCAGTTTGGTGATCGGGAAGGCGTCGAGGATGTGATTCTGTCCAAGCGCCGGGTACAATATGAGGAGGAGCTCAAGCAGAATTCTCGGAACTACGATATTTGGTTTGACTTTGCACGACTCGAAGAAACGGCCGGCGACCCGGAGAAGGTTCGGGACGTCTACGAGCGAGCGATTGCTCAAATCCCCCCATCACAAGAAAAGAGGCACTGGCGCCGGTACATCTACCTCTGGATCTTCTATGCCATCTGGGAGGAAATGGAAGCCAAGGATGCGGATCGTGCGCGACAGATCTACCAAGAGTGCATCAAGCTGATCCCTCATAAGAAGTTCACATTCGCCAAGGTGTGGCTCATGAAGGCCCAGTTCGAGATCCGACAGATGGAGCTGCAGGCTGCACGAAAAACAATGGGCCAGGCCATTGGCATGTGCCCGAAAGATAAACTCTTCCGCGGCTACATCGACCTCGAGCGCCAGCTGTTTGAGTTCGTGCGGTGTCGCACCCTCTATGAGAAGCAGATTGAGTGGAACCCCTCCAACAGCCAGTCCTGGATTCAGTACGCCGAGCTTGAGCGTGGCTTGGATGATTTGGACCGGGCTCGGGCGCTCTACGAGCTTGGTATCGAGCAACCGACCCTCGACATGCCCGAGCTGGTGTGGAAGTCCTACATTGATTTCGAAGAGGAGGAGGGCGAGTACGACAGAGTGCGGGCTCTGTACGAGCGTCTCCTCGAGAAGACCGACCACGTCAAGGTGTGGATCAACTACGCACGATTCGAGATCAACGTGCCCGAAGACGAGGAGGAAGACGAGGAAGAAGAGCGGCCAGTCAGCGAAGATGCGAAGCGTCGGGCGCGGGCGGTGTTCGACCGGGCACACAAGGTGTTCAAGGACAAGGAGCTCAAGGAAGAAGTATGTGACGTCCAGATCCGATGCACTCTGAACTCAGCGCTAACTGCCATCCAGCGAGTGGAACTGCTCAACGCCTGGCGATCCTTCGAACACACACACGGCTCACCCGAGGACATCGACAAGATCGAGAAACAGATGCCCCGTCGGGTCAAGAAGCGTCGCAAGCTGGAGGACGACCGTTACGAGGAGTACATGGATTACGTCTTCCCCGCCGACGACAAGTCCGCCGCCAATCTGTCCAAGCTGCTCCAGAAGGCGCACCAGTGGAAGCAGGGTCAAGCGTAGTGCAGGACTGGTGTACGTTGAATCGCATGATTGTCGCAGGGCTGGAGAAAATGATATCCTCACGTGTTATAATAATTTCCCGAAACGCCGGGCTTTCTCCAATGAGAGACCGAAGCAATCTCTGGTCGCATCACACCCGATCCGATCGAATTAGATCGCGTAGAGAACAACCACCCGATCTCATCAGAGTTCCTACCGTATCGGAGGTCGGCTGGATAAAACACTCGCGTTGTACGACGGGCTTCTTGACGGCAAAGGGGGGGCTCGCGGGACCAGGAAGCATGGAAGGCGGTTCGTGCCGGCATTGTGCCAGACTATCATCGATCTATCTAGATATATTTGCAATCTATCCTATATATGACCTCGTATCTAGGGTGTACGCGAGTACTATTTGAGATAGGTCTGGTTAGAGGTAAATGAAATGACCTGATCTGATGTGGTATGCACCAATGGCCTGTCCACCGTTAACCCACGAGGGGCCCAAGTGGAGAGGAGTCGACTGGATTCGGGGCAAAAATTGGGGCCGAAGATTCCATGAAAATTCTAGTGAACTATTCTTGGCGTGTTTTAACGGTCTAGTGTCTAGATAGTGAGAGACGGTAACACCATGATCATGGTGGACACCTATAGTTGAGGAGCAAGTCCCGAGGCACGACACCCATCTATACCAACGGAACCACCAACCATCACATTTCCACAAACGGAGAGAATCGTCCGAGGCCGGGACGATCAACGCACGAGCCAGGCGTGTGACTGCGTGGTTCCATGGTTCCTGGGTCCGAATCCACCCAACCCTGAGATCCTCGTGTGTGAGAAAGGGGCAGTTCGTGTTTGTCTGTTACTCTACCCGACTTCCCCTCTCCTTGCATGGGCTCCAGTCCTGCATATAGTACACTCTTCTGGGGCTGTTTCTAGGGACACACATCCGAACGCAGGGACTCGGGCCTCTCCAGTGAGACCCGGTGGAGAAATAAGAGAGGCCCAAAATTTGGCCCGGTTCCTGAGAAAGGGGCTCCACATCAGGAGAAGCTCTACGCAGAACGGACGACACAATAATTCGTGAGGGTAGCCCTGCTAGTCGGAACCGGTACTCAAAATCAAGAAAAGGAGGACGATCGTAGAAACCAAAGTAAACGAAATGAAAAATGACGAAATCGTCGCGACCTGACGCCCGGGCCGAAAAGGGATGGCGGCACTCGCTAACCTCCGTTAGGGGGCTCCTCACTTGGTTTCACCTCTCCTTCTCGGCTCCAGGTCTCCCAGGTTTGTTCCCCAGCTTGCGACGTTGCTTCTGTTTTTCTCTCGTGCTGTGCACTCGTCCTTCGGTCAGTCCTCTGTGTTGGTGTGTCGGTGGGTGGTGAGACTCACATTTCCCCAGTTTTCTTTCCGCGACCTGTCGCCAACACCCCCCGTTCTCTACCCTCTTTTTGGCTTTCGCCTGAACTCGATCTTTTTCGCCCGTCAGACCCTCGACCGGTCCGATTCACGCCTGCAACTTTCAATCTCGTTCCTGGAGAAGCCCGAACTGCAATTCCCGACACTCCCAGCTCGACCCGCAATTCCGATATTGATTCCACCCCAATCCACCGCCGTCAATTGCTCTCGCACAACCTCTTTCAAACATTTCTTCGATCCCCGGATACTACAGTGGTGCTTTTAGCTCACCCGACCGATATGAGATAGTACTCTGGCAGTCACAATTCATTCCCCTCAACGGTCCGATTTCTCCTGACGGCTGGCCATCCGCAATCCTTTTTGGTCTGGTATCACCTTACATTTATTTTCGCAACTCATCATGACTGTTCCGACACCCCCGATCGAGCTTTCGGGGCACTGCTCTGTCATATACGGCAACACTCTATACGCCTACTCGCCCAACGGCTTTGTGTCAATCCCGCTCAAGGAAAATGGCAACTGGACAACGTTGGAGCCCCCGAAAGCGCGGGTAACCGGTGCAGCCTGCGTCACGGGTGCTATTGAGGGCAAAGAAAACGACCAGGGGCTCTACGTGATCGGCGGGGCCGGCGCCTCGTCCGATTATTCCGGTCTTCAGCGGTACTCCTTTGCGGACAAGAAGTGGACCACGCTTCAGTCCAGCGCGACATCCTTGACAAACCGTCAGTACCATGGGGCTGCGTACATCCAGTCAAGTTCGAGCATCTTGGTCTACGGGGGTAGCGTGGGCACCAATGCTCCCTCGTCTTCGACGTTTCTGTTCTCTACGGAATCCCCATATGCTATTGACTCCAAGCCCGATCAGGGTGCCCCGGCGGCAACCGATCCCATGCTTTTGCCGTGGAGTGATTCACAAGTTGCTTTGGTTGGTGGCTCCACCGATACGGCAATTTATGTCTACAGTCTATCAGGGGGCTGGGCAGCCTCAGGCGCGAGCTTGTCTGATCCTGTCCCGTCATCAATTCACTGTGCTCTGGTCAACTCGGGCAACAGCAAGATATTAGAAGCTTTCGATATGAGCGCCTCTCCTAATACCGTGACCAGCTACGCTCTGGTCAACGATGGAAAGCCTGAGAGCCCGGCAGGCCAAGTGGGAGCTTCATCTGGAAAGCGAAGCTTGAGCGACTATCCGACATATAACGGCACCTTGTCCCCGACTTCGACGCGATCAGATTACGCGCTCGCCCAAGGAGAGAATTTGGTTGTGCTCTCCAGTGGTCGCGGTCATAATTCACTTGCCATTTTCAACTCGACCTCCAACGGCTGGGTCAATTCCACTGTGCTCTTCTACGGAAGCGGCCAACAACATACTTTGAACACAACCACTACAAATACATCAACGACGTCGACGACGCCCACGGCCACATCTTCTCCGACAGTCACCTCTCACACCACATCGCCCACCCCTGCTGCTGCTGCTGCTTCCGGGAGTGACTCCAGTGATAACTACAAGACAATCATCGGTGCTACTCTCGGCAGTGTCTGCGGGTTGGTCTTGATCCTACTTGCCATTTTATTCCTGCTCCGACGCGAGAAGCAGAAGAGACAGCAGAACGGTCAGGCAAAGGGCGGAAATAGCAAGGACCGACTTAGCTTCCAGGACCAGGGCATAGAACCCCTGGCCGGAGGCGCCTACCCCATGGCAAGGAGTCCGGTACCCGTGGCTTCCATGTCGAACGACTCGCTCGCCATCCTGTCCGGGCGGGCTACAGGAGAAAAGTCCTTGATGCCTCCCCCTGGCAATGTCGGCTACGGACTTGGCAAAGGCAGGACCAGCCCGCTCTCCACAATACCATCCAGCGGCCTTGCTCCGTCAAGCATATACTCGGAAGATGTGCGCCAGTCAGTCGCCAGTACCGCCCCAGGCAACCAGCCCGGAGATCGCACCACGGATGAAGGATGGGGCAAATATTTCCAAGACAGCCGCTCGACGAACATGGCTGGAATGCAGTCCGATCGCTCAACCGTCAGCTCCGTCTACACGAAATCCGACTACCGTGGCAGCGCCTGGCCCATGTCAAACCTGACCCCGCTGAACTTCGGCTTCCTCGACCAGCCCCAGCCCCTTGGCCGTGTCCACAGTGGCAGCCCAACCACCGCAGACCCATCACCGGGCCGCAGCCTCGTGATTCCCGAAGGCCAGTCTGCACGCATCTCCAGCGCGGACTCGATCAGTGTTGCTTCCGAGGACGATCCTCATGACACGAACTGGACTAGCAGGGGCCAGAGCAGCTGGCTCGGCCGCCCGACCAGCAGCAACTATACAACTAGTTTCTACAACACCAGCACGCAAGATATCCCGTCACAGGCAGCCCGGCAATCAAACGCCCGCCGTTCCAGCATCATCATACGCGACGACATCGATGAGCTCCCTATCCAGGGCCGGTCCGATCAGGTCAACTCCGATATGAGCTGGCTTAACCTCCACGCTGGGCGATAAACATATCCATTCGGCATCTGCCTCTCCTTACCTAACCTAAAATACTCTCTCTTTTTCTCCGTCATCTCGTCACTCACTTCCCCGACCTCCAAATTTCTCACTGTCCCTATCTCTAGCTCTCTTTCTTTCCTTGCATGGCGTCTCCGGGTGGACTCTGCAAAAGCCACATGTTTGTTTCTGTTTCGGTGGTGCATCCCGCCGCATTTCTGCATTTCCTACTGTGTGCCGAGCGATTCTTTAGCGTTGTCTCATAGTTTCTGCTATCGCTGTGTCGATACGTCGATAACTTGGTTTCCCTCTGTCTTGCGTGCTGGTTGATCCTTTGGGTTCGCGCCATGTTGTATATACTTTTGAAATTCAGGGTACCTGGGTATCCCTATATCTGATCATTTCCAAATTTTCCAATACGGAACTGTATTATCGTAGTTTATGCAGTTTTTACCGGCTCTGTGTTGGACTCGTTCCAGCAGACAAGAAACGTACCTAACTGTATTCTCATGCTCATTTATTAATATTAATGTCGTGTATGCAAACTTTCGACAACCATGCATAACAAGGAAATGCTCAACTGATTAATGGATATCGTTAAACCTGAACCAGCACTTGGGCATCAAAAAACCCCTAATAAAACCTTGCCAACCAACTCCGCCTCTTCGAAACCCTCCTGAATTCATCAACCGCCGGACTAACAGCCTTCAGCCCATCATCAACCTCCATCTGCTGAAGCCCCTTATAACTCGTATCCTCCCTCCCATCTGCATAGTTCCCCGGGCTTCCCACATCCTCTCCTTTAGCGTGAATGTAATAATGCGCATCCAGCTCCTCCATCCCAATAACCCACCTCTCCTTTAACTGCCTGCCCACAGGCCCACCCCCACAAGCACCCTGCAGTCTCGAACTCTGTGGGCTATTAACCGCCAGCGCGAAGAGGTTCTGCGGCTCCGTGAAGTCCGTTATCTGGTGGCCCCTGGCCTCGACGATCATGAAGACCAGACACACGGCGGACGTGAGGAAGGCGAAGGTCAGGATTACGTAGAAGACGCCCTGCCATTTCTCTGTTCCGCCGGACGCGTAGTTGACGGCCTGTAGTGTGGCGGAGAAGTGTTGATAGGCTGGGGAAGATAGCATATCCGGTGGTGCGGTGTAATTCCAGCCTTGCACGAAGGGGGAGTCTTGGGAGCTGAGGATTAAGGTGCTGCCTGCCAATACGGCGAGGGCCTCGGAAACGGAAGGGAGGGTTGGGTTGAGGGTGTATGTGTTGCTGGAATTGGAGTGTGATGGCATCATCTGCATGATTACACGCTCTGTGCTGGCTTGGGAGGCTGTGATTCCCGAGCCGAGACTTAGAGCGCTGGCCCATTCTGTGGCGACGTTTTTCCAGTCGGGGGACCAGAGGCCTTCTACGAAGGAGGGGTCTTTGTGGTTGTATTGGAGGGGGTTGGATTCGTCTTCGCAGTGCGAGGAGAGGAAGGCGCCTGAAGAGGCGGTGTCGTAGCGTGTTGAGCAGACTCCTGTTTCTTTGGCGCGGATTGAGCACATGACGTAATCCGGATTTGAGATGGAGGGTTTGCCTAGGAGGTAGATTGCGTCCGTAGGCCAGATGCCTGTTGTGTTGAGGATTGTGTTGTTGGGTACGGGGTAGGTGCCGAAGACTGGTGGGCGTTGGCCATATTTTGGGCCGAAGCCGAAGAGGTCGTCGACGACGGTGCTATTTAGCCAGGATGGATATGTGGGGATGTTGGATGGCGGGGAGATACTGTATTCTGTTGCGCTGAAGTTGGAGTCGGGCCAAGAGGAGTATACTAGTGGGGCTAGTTCGGTTTTATTCATGCCGACGCAGAGGACGTTGACAGCGGGAGAGGGGACTGAGGCTTCGATGCTGTATTTGCCTTCGCCTGATGCGTCTTGTGGTTGACGGATGTTGTTCTTGGGATCCATTGCTGCGGCGGGAATTCCGGCGTGAGGCATGGCCATGGTAATGTTGTTGACCATGCGGTCGTGCTTCAAGGACAGCTCCGTGATATTCTGAATTTCGATCCAGGTACCAATGACAGTGGTGTTATCCCAGATAGAGCCAGTGGGCTTGGGTCGTGACTGTAGTTGATCGGATGTTTGGTTGCTACTCTGTATGAGATCGTTCCAAGCTGACAGCCACTGCTCGAAGTTGTGATAGGCCTGGCCGACATGTTCCATCTGGAGACATGTCGTGTTGCGATACACAGGATCCATGGTGATAGGAATTGGAGTTTGGCATCTGTATGCGAGGAACTCGGGATTGCCCCAGCTGGCATATACTTTGCCCCAGAGGATGGTTGGCTGTAGTGGACCCATGGAGAGCTTTGGTGATACTGGCGATGTGTTAGCGCTTGCACATGTCAGGCTGCATTGATGCCGACTTACCTAGAGCCTCAGCTGCAGTCGTGTAGAGCATGGCTACGAACGTCGCAATCAAGGCAATGAGACCGAGAAACGTGAGCGCTGAGTAGCGCAGTGTCTCCCAGTGGACAATCATGGAACCGGGCTGCATGATCCAAGCCCTCATACTCATATCTGAAATACTCACACCTTGTGAGTCTTTGGTCACTGCCCGACGACTCAACACCTGTCCCAGAAACGCAACACAAATAGTGACATAGGCCAATTCGATCGTCTTCGCGAAAAAGGCACATAGCAGATTGGCTGTCGATGCCGCCACAGACTCGCCGGACCCGAGATTCGGCCATCTCGGCTTTCGAATCGCAACGGCCAGGTACACTCCGGAGAAAACAGTCGCATAGAACGCCAGGACGAAAATCGTCACCGGGACCCACGATAGGCGTCGCTGCAGGACGGTCGTGCGGCTCGGGCAATTGCCATTGTGGTGGTGAGGAGTCGCCAGTCTCCCCTGATGTGTCTTCAAGAAGCCTGGCGTCGTCTCTGGACTCGTTTCGCTTGAGATGGAGTCTCGTTTACTCCGAGGCAATGTCTCACCAGACGGGTTGGTGATGCCCAATCCGAACTCGCGAAGTACCTCCTCCGAGAAACTCTGCCGATCCTCGCGATACGACGGGAGATAAGCGTACTCAGAGTCGGGTGAAGTACGACCCAATGGATTCCATGTTCGCTGAGGCTTTACAGTGATGAGGTCGGCCTCGGAGAGGAGTGAATGCTGCGACTCAGCCATGGGAGGTACAAACCTGGACCTGAGTACGAGGAACACGAAAAGGGAACGAAACATGCGGGGACCCTTCATTTGAAGGTCTCCGCCCAGGCTAGACTCCAGCTTAGCGCGACAAAAATAGCGGTCTAGTACTCATGCCCTCCAGCTAATTTCCGAATTTCCTACGGGGCTAAGTGCTCAGATCACCGGCGGGGGCTCTCGATCGAGTATAACGTTGTCCACTTTACGGCCCCCAATTTGCGCACTTACAAGGGTATGAACTGCTCGTCTTATTGGACACTACCTATCTTTCCCAGAACTAGACAGCCGCTAATCTGCTGGGTGTGACAGCGCTAGGCAATAGCTGCCAGTTCGAGCGAGCTTGCAAGGTTCATGCATCTAGAATGGCGTTGTTCAAATCAGCATTAAGCGCGAACAACCGGGAAGTAGGAAACCAACAATAAAGCTGACCGGCCATTGGTAGGCACGTGAGCATCTAACTTTCTATAATTATCATTTAAAGCGGACGAGAATATCTACTCTTCAAGCCCAGTTCTTTTTTAATAGTAAACTGTTAGTTTATGCAACATGTTCAACATGAGACTCGGAAATACATCTAGACTGCAGTCTAAAAGCATATCTTTTAGATCCTGGATCTCACGGAAAGCCGCGAGGATCATGGTAATTACGTACACGGTGAAGCTTATTGCTTGTCCTGTTCAGCATTAGAATTGTTGAGTGATTTGCTGATAGCCCTAGATCATAACGCTTTAGGTATTCACGTGTTCAATTATTCCAGAATAGCTTTGCGATCTTCTATCGACTAGTCCTTGGCCGTTATACTAAAATGCTAAGGATATACTGTTGGCGAATTGGAAGGATATGATCTATTGAAATTAGATATTCAAGACAAGGAATATTAACGAATTTTATGTATAGGAAGATGATAATACTCCGAGATCCACAGTTCTAGATTAGCAACAGCAAGGGCTTAGAGGAAGGCCGAGAAGAATAGACCTTTTTATAAAGTACCATGTTTTGACTGCTGTTTATGTTGAGGCGACAAACCAATAACTATGGATAGGGATTGACGGGAAAGTATCAACCCACAAAACCCCAATACGTTCTCGAGGTAATTCCACTATCCACAGACCATATCCACAGACCTCACTTGGCTCGATGTTCCTCAATTAACTGGCGCAACATCTCAGCCGCAGTGACCGCAAAGTCGGGATCATTGATCTGACGTTCTTCGCGGATGACTGGAATCCCAATGTCACGCAGTTCATCTTCCAGCGTAGCAAAGAGGACCTCATCCGCCTCAGGATCCCAGAATGCGTGTCCAGGCACATCAAGCATGCTCACTCCACCAGTAGGAAGCAAAATCCTCGTCCATTTCACGCCATCACCCCGTACATTCTTCGCAATAACCTTCCCAATCTTCGCACACTCCTCGCGTGTAGTCCGCATAAGCGTAACGGTAGGGTTGTGATGATGAAACACCCTCCCATTCTCCCCCTTCAAAAACTCCCCAGGAACACTCTCAGGCGTCCCGAAATTGACCATATCACAAGCCCCAACACTAACAACCCTCGGCAAATCCCTCTTCGTCGCAGCACACAACCTGCTCTCCCCAGCACTCAACACCCCCCCAACAACCTCGTCACAAATCTCCGTCGTCGTCAAATCAAGCACAGCATCCAACACTCCCTCCTGCACCAACCTCTCCAAAGCCCTCCCCCCAGACCCAGTAGCATGGAACACATAAACCTCACAACCAGGCATCACTTCCTCAAGATACTCCCTCGCCCGCGTAACCGCAGGCGTGGTAACACCAAACATCGAAATCCCAATCCGCGGCCCCTCTGCGGCAGACTCATCCTCGTCCATTTTTGACAAGTAGAAAGACGCCATCCCCGAGATCGCACCGGCCGCATTCCCAAGGACAGTCTCAAGCACCCGATTCCGCCCCGCGATATCAACAACACTATACATCATGCAAATATCCGTCTCCCCAACATAAGGCCCCACATCCCCAGACGCCATGGTCGAGACCATTAATTTCGGGAATCCCACCGGTAACGCATCGCGCATAAGTGCTGTAGCTAGTGCAGTGCCGCAAGACCCTCCTATACCCATAACACCGTGGATGCGCTTTTCCTGGAAGAGGGTTTGGACGGTTGCCGTGGCGTGGGGTATTAGCGCGGTTATGTAGTCGGAGCGGTCGAGGTGGGAGATGGATTCTTTGTTAGAGGCGTGGGCGAGGATGTCGGCGTGGGTGATTGAAATTGAGGGGTCGGTGGACGCGTTGCGGCCTATGTCTATTATGAGAGTCTTGCATGCTGAGAGGCGGGATTGCGTGTAGAGGAGCTCGGGGAGTTTGGTGTCGCATGTTCCTAGGAGGAGAATTGTTGGGAGTGTCATTTTAATATCTTAGGATGAGTCATTGCGAAGGAGTAAATGGTGTGCTTTGAGCAGTTAGGTAGGTGAGGGGTTGCAACGTCACGCGCGGTGGTGCAAGGTGCAGGGTGCAGCTATACTTCGCGGTGGGGCACGGGATGGGAGATGCGTCCGAGAGGTTGAGGATCAGATGTAAGTATGGGACAATTTGATTCCAAGGTTGCTGACTGAATATGAGACTTCCATGGCCAACAATTCTACATCTTGGAGAACAGCTTTTACATTACGGATGAAGAAAAGATTCAGAAGCGAGTTGTACTCTACTTTCATTATTTCAACTGTGCAGCCAAGTAGACCAGCACAGGACTAAGGTATCAAGAAAAGAAAAGGATCCCATCCGTACGCAGTGTTGAATGCAAGACCATCCCAGGTCAACCCACGCCAGTAAACAGAAAACAAGCACACTTCATCTCCCTCACCACCGAGGGAGCCACACTTTTATGCCGTTGAAGACAACCACTTTTGAGTTCAATGTTGATGAAGAACCCGATAAATGCCAATCGTAACATCGTCGAATCATGTTGAAAGTCTATATCTCAAGAAAGAATCATAGAAATAGCGGACGCAATTGGAGGAAAAAAGGGGAAGGTAGAGTGCGCTTAGTAGCGGTAGATCTCGCTCTTGAAGGGACCGTTGACATCGAGGCCGAGGTACTCGGCCTGGACGGGGGTCAGCTTGGTGAGCTTGGCGTTGACGTGGTCCAAGTGACACAGGGCAACCTGCTCGTCAAGAGCCTTGGGGAGAACGTAGACACCGACGTCCTTCTTGCCGCCCTTGCCGAACTCGATGTACTTGGCGCCGAAAGCGGCATCCTCGGCCTTGAACAGAGCGATCTGAGCAAGGACCTGGTTGGAGAAGGAGCAGGACATAACGAAGGAGGAGTGACCGGTAGCACAGCCCAGGTTGACCAGACGGCCCTCGGCGAGCAGGATGATGTGCTTGCCGTTCAGGAGGTAGCGGTCCACCTGGGGCTTGATGTTCTGGACGGACTGAGCGTTGGCCTTGAGCCAGGCAACGTCGATCTCAATGTCGAAGTGACCAATGTTGCAGACAATGGCGTCGTTGCGCATGGCCTCGAAGTGACGGCCGACAAGGATGTCACGGCAGCCAGTGGTGGTGACGAAGATCTGACCGACCTTGGCGGCCTCCTCCATGGTAGCGACCTCGTAGCCCTGGACGGCGGCCTGGAGGGCGTTGATGGGGTCAACCTCAGTGACGATAACGCGAGCACCCATGGAGTGCAGAGCTTGGGCACAGCCCTTGCCGACATCACCGTAACCGGCGACGACACCGATCTTACCGGCGATCATGACATCGGTGGCACGCTTGATACCGTCAATGAGGGACTCACGGCAGCCGTACAGGTTGTCAAACTTGGACTTGGTAACGCAGTCGTTGACGTTGATGGCGGGGACCTTGAGCTTGCCGTCCTTCAGCATGCGGTACAGGTGGTGGACACCGGTGGTGGTCTCCTCAGAGACACCGAAGCAGTCGTCGAGCATCTCGGGGTGCTTGGAGTGAACGAGGGAGGTGAGGTCACCACCGTCATCGAGGATGAGGTTGAGCTTCTTGCCATCCTTGAAGGCGAAGAGCTGCTGCTCAAGGCACCACTGGTACTCCTCCTCGGTCTCACCCTTCCAGGCGAAGACGGGAACACCGGCGGCGGCGATGGCGGCGGCGGCGTGGTCCTGGGTGGAGAAGATGTTGCAGGAGGTCCAGGTGACCTCAGCACCGAGGTGGACGAGAGTCTCGATCAGGACGGCAGTCTGGATAGCTGTAAAAGGGTCAGCTCGGTGCCTTTCTGTTTGTGTTTTGGGGCCACATACTCATGTGAAGACAACCAGCAATGCGGGCACCGGCGAGGGGCTGGTCAGCACCGTACTTCTCACGGATGGCCATGAGACCGGGCATCTCAACCTCGGAGAGCTCGATCTCCCGGCGACCGAAGGCGGCCAGGGACTGTGAAAGGTGTTGTTAGACAATGGGATGATGAGAGGTGAGACGAGGGGCACGTACGATGTCAGCGACCTTGAACTTCTGAGCGGGGGCAGCCATGATGTATGGTTGGAATTAGGATACTGGAGAAGGTCTGTCAGTATTAGGTGACGGGAATGGAAATGGAATTGAAGGGATCGTACGAAGAAATAAGAGGATGAGGATGAGGATGAGAATGAGAGAGGGAAAAAGGAAAAGAGGAAAAGGAGGGAGGTGCAGATCCAGAGGAGGGGGAACCTTGGAAAACTCTCTGCGGTTACTAAGGGGAGGGACCGTTGACAAGTAATGGTACCCACATTCATGTGGCATCAACCATACATAATAAGGTACCGGTACCTTGTGATCAGCCCCACCATAGCGGGGGTCTGGCGCTTAGTCACCTAGTCGGCATGCCCTCCGTTCGTTGATGCCGAGTGGTCTTTACTTCGCAACATACACGTGTTATCAAAGAGTACCATTATTCGTAATACATCATGGCCTCTAAAGGCAGAAAAGTAGAAGCCGTCGCTGTCAAATACCGCTAGAACAAGACACAAAGCTGCAACCGAATCGCTCGTGTGTTGACCCAGGACATGTCTCGTCTAGAAACGGGGAAACATTTCGGAGTAAGAATGACACGGAAACGAAAAATAGAGAAAAGAAAGAACAATTGGTGCTAAAGCACGGGTGCAATCAATTTTGTCATCAATCCATAAATCATGACCCATCGTACGCGAGAAAGTGCACTAGTAGGCGATCTGCGCTGGATCCGTGCTGGCCCCATACGGATTTCCATCGTGATAGGAAAAACCGTGAGCCGGGGACTCAGGGTACTCAATCTCATCCGGCCAGCGATTTCGGCCGGGCGCCGAACCCTGGCTGTGAGATCGTTTCTGCTCACGCTGCTGACGTTGCTGACGCTTGACAGCCCGTTCGACGCACTTGTGCTTGAAGTGACTGTTTTCCTTGCGCTTCTCATTGGCCTCCTTCCATTCTCCATAAGCACCCTTAATACCGAGGGCAGCAAGACCGACACTGAAGGCATCAATGGTATTCGCTTTCATGCGACGTTTGCGAGCCTCTTCAGTTGTAATCTTTCCCTCCTCCAATTCCTTCATGCGCTGCTTCCGCTTCTGCACGCCGCCGTACACTCCATGCGCCGCGTGGATAGTCGCCACAGTAGCAAGACCCGTGGTTAGCAACATGTCGCGCTTCAGTTTCTTCGATTGCTTCTTCTCATCATTACTATCACCTAAGTCAGAATTGGTGTCGGAGCAGTCGCAACCGTCGTCAGCCGATTGAGCGCGTGTGCCATTCGCGCCGCGCGGTGCACTGTTTTGATCTTGGGGGATTGAATTTCGTTCGTTCATGGAACGATATAAACCTACATCTCTCGAGCCTCTGCCCCTTCTCGTGTCCCTGCTGACTCTGCTGCGATAGTCGCTATCTGCGTCCGAATCAGAATACTCGTCAGACTGGGGGTCATGACGACGACGTCGCTCCCCACGACGATCATAATCGCGATCGTCGCGGTCTCGGCTCCGCTCTTTGGATTCTTCTCCGATGCCCAGGGCAGCCATGCCCTTGTTGATGTAGTCTGAAACGCTCTTGCTGCGCTTCTTAGACCCGCGACGGTCATCATCACTGTCTTCAGATCCGCGGCCGCGATGCCGGGATCGTGAGCGAGACACTCGGTCATATATCTCTTTGCCCGCAGCTGCCAGAACACCAGTAGCGGCGAGATCCTTGAGACCACCACCGGAGGAACGACTGCGGCCATTTTTGTTACGGCTGCGAGACTGGGATCGGTCCCCGTTGACGAAGTGGTTGGTGGCCAGGCCTGCAAGGGTAGATTCGATGATGTGACGAGTTCCGTGCTTGTTGGGGTTCTTGTCGACAAGACCGTCGGTGCCGGCCGCAGTCACAGCAGCAGTGAGGATGCGCTTGCCTTTGTCACCGGTCCATTCGCCGGGGTCTTTGCGGGATCGGAAGGCTTCGACAGCACCAGCCGTCAACGCGGCACGGGCTGCCTGGGCGATTCGTTGCTCACTGCGCTGGCGGCTCCGACCGGAGCGACCACCTCGATCACGGCTGCGAGATCTGGATGACGAATAAGATGATCTGTCACCGTGGCGCGAGTAGGATCTTTGACGGCCACGGCGATCACGGTCGCGGTCTGAACGTTTGGACGATGAAGCCGCAGTGCCGAGGCCGAGGGCACCAAGGGCAGTCTCGCCGAAAGACTTGCGGCGTCTGTGACGCGGTGGGGAAGGGCCGGAAGAAGAAGAAGAAGCAGAGTCGTATCTGGAGCGACGCGGACCTGCACCATTGTTGTCAGCAAACCACTCGTCTCTCATTTCAGCAATGAGATTACTTACGGCGATCGTCGTAATTCTTTGACCGTCTCGGACGCGAGTTATAGGGATCGTAGGCACCAACCGACGATGACCGTCGCACGTTTTCATAAACAGGGTGTCGCGATCGTCTGGAGTCATAGCCGCGCTCGTAGACATAGTCCGAACCCGGGGGATAATCGCGCTGGATTTCCTCGACGGAGTCATTGCCCGCGCGAGGATAAACCTCTCTCTCGTGGCGCGAGTTACCCCGCGGGTCGTTATAATAGTCTGCAGCATAACCTGCAGCCGGGCGACGGTCGCGCGGGTAGTACCGACGATCCTCGTAATACGCCATTGTGGAAGGGGGGGGGGAAAGAAAGCAAAGACAAAAGTCGGAAGTGAGAACTTTCCACCGTTCACTGGGAGTAGTTGATGAAGAACAAAGCAGTCAGAGTCAGGCGAGAGTCAGATCTAAGCGGGGCAGAGTGGCGTGACGTCGATTCGGGCGCAGGGATCAGCTGGGGCTGGTCGTCACTTGGCAGTGGCTGAGAGAATTCGGTTTCACGGGGAATATACCATCCATGTTGTGGTGAGACGAAGACTGACATTCGCGATCAGGGGCTTCCATTCATATATCTACCTGCTATGTGTTGTCAATGACGTCTGGAAACATGTCTTGGAGATATTCACCCATCGAATGAGACGGCCGCGCGCTCGAGGCCCTGTATCAGCCATAGCGCGCGACGTCATCCTGCAGTTAATGTGGCTGGACCATCAGGGAAGTTGCTAGCCCTACAGTCGTGTTCGCTCTTGACCGCTCATCGCACCTCTCAGGCATGCTGAAACGCAGTGTCGATCCAGGAATGTTTACATGGGGTTATAGATCCGGCAAAGTCCTCGTTCCACGGCTCAACCCTCGGCCGGCCCCGCGATTCCGTAGAATTCTTTTCCCTACGATTTGTGGCACATAAATGTCTCTTGGTGCAGCCAGAACTGGTCACACATGGTCCTTTCTTTCATGGTCATCCTTGCAAAGTACTATACATGAGAACATGGCAACACTTTCCCTTTCCATGCCGGAACTGCGCCAAATCTTCCCACACAGCGACTCAAAAATTCAGATGCAATGATACATGGGGAGTATACAGCAGGGAATGAAACACAATGACACCAATAAGAAAAAGCCGTCATAGAACATCTGGGGCCTGGGCCTCTCGGCAGATCTGAGATGAAATCCCGAGGGTGGGCCATCCGGGAACATCCATTGACGTAAACGTAGGTCTGGTTTCGGCGTATCCAATGGAGAATCCATGACAAGGAAATGCGCGAAAGATCGAAGAGTTAGATCACACTGCGCAGCAGTGTTTGAAAAGCACGGTCGTCAGGTAAACGAATCAAATTCGTATGCGGGATTTGAGGGAGAAGGAATCGGGTATTAGGAGCGGTATCGTTTGACCGTCTTGGAGCAACTTTTCATGAAGGATGCTGCTGCTGTTCACTGCCATGTGGAGGCATGACACTCGCATCTGTTGACTGACTGACGGTCCGACTGTGCGTGCTGGGCGCATAGCTAGACTCGGCTCGACCCATTGCCCACCTGCCATCCGTCTCGGGCTCAGAGGTTGACCGCATATCTTGGGAGTGGGTGCGATGAGTGCGGATGTGCTGTTTCATGTTGTCCTTGCGGGTAAATGCCTTGTTGCAGATGGGGCAATGCACACTCTTCTCGCCCGTGTGCTTCTTGCCGTGGCGAGCGGCGTGACCAGACGTCGTGAAAGTAGCGGAGCACCCGTGGCTTGCGGAATAAGGGCACGGATATTTGTTCTTTCGCCCGGTACCCCGGGATCCCCCCGACTGTGATTTCGTTTCCTGGGAGCTGGACGGCATCTCGGGCGGCGTCCTGGGCGCCGCGGGCCCGCGCGACGGATATCGTGAGCCATGTCGATGGTCCTGCTGCGCATACGGGTGGTATCCCGAAACTGACTGGCTCGTCAGATAGTCATAGACAGAGCCTTCCGAAGAGCCCGGCGAGGTGGGCTGCGCGGTTTCGGTTACCGGGTCCAACGTGTGCCGGGTGGCTCGCGGCGAGGTCATGGGCGACTCAGACGATGCATGCGGGCGGACGTACTGGGAGTCGATGGCGGGTGGAGGAAGCTCCTGGTCTGATTGCGAGTACAATGATGAAGACTGATTTCGACTAAGTCTGAGGTTGGACCGGACAGCAAACGACGGATGATCGTCATTGTTTAGGATCGATACAATGCTCGTCCTGCTACTGGACATTTCCTCTGAACCCCAATGAGCGGTCACCGGGGCTGGAAAGTTATACTGAACGGAGGGGACGAAAGTAAGTAATTTGATACGGAAATTGACTCGGTAGGCCCTCTCGGTCGGGCTGGAAGCTCGAGATGACTCGAGGGAATTGGGATGTGCCGAAAAGGCCGTTTGGGGAAAGGGAAAAGAGGGCAGAGAGAGGGAAAGGGAGAGGCTCTCATGTCTCCGGAGAGGCACTCAGCAAACGCACCAGTTCTCGAAAGATGTTTGTCCTTTGCGTCGTACAACACGTCGACAACATTAGGCCCTAAGTTGGCGCTTGCCTGCAGACCTGCCAGAAAGCCCGATGACTCGAGCTACGTTTCCCGTTTCTTTTCGAGAAACGGGAGGCCACCGAGATTGAAGGCGAAGGCGATAGGATGATGCCACAGTCTCACGCACGCAACTGAACAGTTCCGTACCCGTGCTGGTCGACTTCCACAGCCCAGAAAGTTCCGATACCCCTTTTCAAATGGTTGAACTTTCGTTCCTTTCTCCACTAATTTGACGTGGGGAACACAATCCTTAACGGCAGTTGCGAAATGGCCTGGGGATATTGCAGGGGGGTTTAGAATCCAATACCGGTCGTCTAACTGCCTGCCGAGCACAAGTCGTTCTCTCAGAGAAAGTGCACTGCGACACGAGAATACAAGAGTCGAAAAAGAAAGGCCTGCCAGAGGCGGGAGTTCGAGATGAATTTCAGGACCAGTGGGTGGTTTGAGAGCCGATGGGGAGATAAGAAGGTTGATTGTAGGGGGAGAGATTTCGTGACAGATAATCAAGGAGGGGAAGACGGGTATCAAAGTAGGCAAAAGAATACAAGAGCAAGAAGTGTAGTCGAGAAGGGGAAAGGAAGAAGGAGAGGAAATAACGAGAACCAGAAAAAAAAAAAAGGATATCTCAGGACGTGCCAATACTAAATACGCGAAGCCAAGCTTCCAAGATTTGTACGGCGAGGTTCCCCAGAAGCTCCATGTATTAACTGTCATTCAATATCGAGGGCGCTATCGCACTCCCGGGTCGTTGAGAGTGGAGCGGGCGGATCAGGAATCCTCTTTCAGGGCGTCGAATACGGAATTAAATAAAAAAAAAAAGAAATTAAAAAACCATATCAGGTATTACCCCTAGAAGAGTGGCGCCTATACTTTCGTCGTAATGTATCAAAGAGGGCGAGAGGTCCCTTACCCACCCTGGAAACTACTGTACGGCGGTTTCTGTGCAGACACAGACCCGTTTCTGCGCCGTCTGATCCGGCCCGCGCCATCGCGACCCTGACGGGGACGAAGTCGTCAGCAAGATCTGCTCTGGCACGTAATTTATTTCCCTAGCTTATCATCATCATCCGTTCTCTATACGTGTCTTAGAAGGATCCTCTGCTCCTCTGCTCTACGATTACGCATTGAACTAAGGGCTTCGGCCGCGCAAACGAAGCCTGCGCCTGTGGATCCACTTGTACAATTCAAGAAGCATGACGGTAGGAACTGCGGGCGAATAAAAGGCCGTTTGGGCCGGCCATTCGCTCCTGTTCCATGGACCCTGGGAAAGATAACTCGCTAATAGGCCGCAGGGATTCCGAGCCCGGATTTGCCGGACACTCGGGCAAGCCATTTATACCCACCCAACATGAAAAAACCTTATGTGCCAGGCCGTATTGTACGGGATACAAGCCTTGTTGCGTGCACTATCCAAGCAGATCCAAAGATTTAGAGATGCCGTGCCAGACTAGGAATCCTAGGGCTGGAGTCCGGGGACATACGTAAGGCGATGATGTTGCGCTTGGTTGTCCAGTCCCTATTGGGAACTAACCTCCGGCTCCGAGATTTCGGGCTGTGGAGAACCTGTATTTTTCATGATCCTCCTGCCGTTCTCGTGTCTTCGTCTTGGTATTGGGTTTTACTGCAGGGCCCTGGAAATCCGATCGTGGGAGGGCGGGGACTTTTTCCCCCCCCTTGTGCAATGAACTCATGCCAGAACCCTAGATGAGTTTTCCGGCGGTCCGGTTTTCCCTCTCACGACGTGGGCGCCTTTATTTCCCGATCTACACCGAGACTTTTGCAAACAGCATTCTGCACCGAGTTTCCGGCCGTGGCGGAGATGCCTCTGATCAAAATTTCAACCCCGAATCGCCGAAGTAAAACAGCATACGTACTCGGGCCCATACTAAGCTACGATAAGGCTAGTCTACTGTAGGACTGAAAGCTTAGGGTTCAGGAGAGCAGTATGGCTTGTACGACCCCTCGTACTCGTACACGCTTGGTGCCGCCCCGCCCCGAGAAACATTCGCGCGGGGACTCTCCGCTCAACGTACGTAAGAGGGCGACGTATGAATGATGGTGATTATCTCTAGTTGTTCTCCTTCTCTTTCAAGGGTGAATCTCCAGCTTTTTGACATCTGCCAATAGCTGCTTCCGTCGTGCATGGTTGACATCCGTAGTATTCCAATTGCGTGAATAGGCCACCGCCCTTGCCCACTCCTGGACCAAGACCCAGCCACGGACCCCTCGCGCGTCAGCCAAACTGTAAGCCCACGCATCGTGAATGCCGATCAGCAGCCAAGCTTCTGCAACCCGATCTCGACCCTGTAAGAAAAAAAAAAAAAAGGTTGTTCGTGGGTCGACGCAGACACCGTTTTGGGGCGTCTCAAGCCGAGCGATGATTTGCTCGGCGCGAAGCTCTGGACGGGGTATACGTACGCAGACTACGTATATCCACACGCTGGGCTGACCAGCCCGTCCCGATCCAGCAGTTTTGCTTCCGCGTTTGACCTGACTAGTACGCTAGCTTGCCCTCACCACTGTCATGATTCGTACATCCCAGCCCTGCGAGAATTACGCCACATGATTGACTTGTCAGGGCTCTACAGTAGTGCCGTCCGTGCCGCCTCCCTAGACCCTTGTTTTACTGTAATGCGTTTTTTTGCTCGGATTCGTTTCGTTCCTCTGTGCACCCGAAATGCAGGGACTCGTGGCCATTCCCCTCCCACTTGCTGGGATCAGACTAGCTCGGCTGCAACGGGCTCCGGTTGGTCACTCTGTTTTCCACTAGCGTATTGAAGTTCGCTTATTTACGGTCGCTGTGCCACGCCTGCTCATGCCTGCCCACGCGGCCTTCGGGCCATCTACGCCATTGAAAGGATCGGGTGGCTTGAAAAAGATTAGACCACTGGTCTATTTTTTTTGTTTTGTGCTTAGTGACTTTCGGAAATGTTAAACTACGAACATCCAGGGACTCGCTTTACGGCAACTCATTTTGGGGCCGCAATCTTAATTCCAAATTACACCCTTACATAACATTACGGTACGACAAAAATGTCGGTCGGAGAAATTTAAAAAAACCCGACCGACGATACTGCCCAGTCTTCTTTAGTCCAGGCAATCACGAAGTCCAGTCCCAAGCACAACTTTATGCGTACACAGCCACAGGCCTATTTGCCCTTCCTGGTTTTCTGTAGTGCTGCCTGGTTTTCCAGAGACCCAACGTACCGGAACTATTGAATCCTATTCGACAGCTAACCCGCTTCGGCACTTCGCCCACTTCCATGGACGATCCGGCACCCGTACTTCCGACTGCTGTCGCAGCCGATCTTGGCTATGGGGCCGGGATTCTGCCTTGCTAGCCTGACACGCCTACCTACCACCGCCGATCGCTGTGGCGCATGGCATCCAGAATTGGGCTATTTCTGGTTCGTGGAGTCTGTGCTTTTCAATAGTTTGTAACAAAGTGGTCTTGGGGATAGTAGGCGGACCCGCTTGGACTGCTGTAAATAACATCATGAGTTTCGACTACGGCGTTAAGAGAGGGGTACAATATTTAACCTCCGGAGCTGTAGCTGTCTTCGGCTTCTACTCCATTGTTATCTATGGAGACGGACGGGGGTTGTGGGAATTGTTTACCACTGCGTGGCTTCTAGACCCTGCGTGCATTCTACCAACGAATACCTTACCTATTCGGGTATCCCGTTATATTCGCTGACATAACGACGCTAGCGCCCTGGTTCTCGCTTGGTGGATCGACGTTCCAGTATTGGGGCACGGGGTACACGTACGTCCACCATCTGGGTTCATGTGGCGGATATCACGATCGAAAATCTACGTGTCTTATCCCAGTGCTATGACACAATGGACGTAATCCTACCGTGGGGTGAAAAATACGAAGTGCAGCTGTATCAAGTTGCATTTGACTTTATCCGCTGTTTCAATCCCCTTGATTCTGCTGCGGAGTACGGAGTACGCTCTGCGGGGTTATTCCTTGAAAGTGTTAAACCAGCCTCCTGCAAAATTTAGGTTTCTGATGGATCCGACCAAACGTGGAGGAAGCTACGAAGTAGATAATAATCGCGGACTCATTCACGAGGCTAGCGTACTCCTTGTCCACCAAGGCGACATGCTAGTTCCAGCTTCGAGGGCTGCGTAAGCGGAAACGTCATTTTGGGACGTCGCTTCTGCGCCAGGCTGAGTGAAATTAGCTGGTTGCTTGATAGGCTGGCCCCTGCATATTTAGTGGATTTTGAATGTGGTGCCCACGAACTTCTTACGTGGATTCATGCTTTCGCATGTCTTTGGGAAATTGGGCATCACCCCTACAGGGAATCGGTAGTTTTAGCTTGCGTGGGGCTTGAACGGGAGATGGATTGGGGTTTGTTTTGGTCTGGAAAGAGACTATTCATGAACAGGTCCAGCTGGTCTGTGTCTTCCTGGAGCAAAGTGTGTGGTCGATTCGCTAGGGAAAGCCCTAGCGAATCAATGGTCAGGGCACCCGTACTCATGCCCCCAGACCGACTTTTATTATCTGGTCGATGCCATGGTCTCTGCCAACAGGATACGGTCCTTGCAGTGCTCATGAGGATCCCATTGTTGAATTAACGGGCACAGGGGCAACAGCCATACTAACAAAATCAAGCGCAATTGGAAGTTGACTCTCGACCCTCCCGTCTTGCCATTCCAATGTGAACTCTCCACGAGTACAAGAATTTCCCAATTGACTGACAGCAGGGTTACAACATCAAAGATACTCAAATAAGTTGGCTCAGCGTGGGGCTAAATTCTTTTTCCAGTCAATCGACAACAGAACTCATACTCGACGTCGAACCATTCCTTAATCGACCCTACCACCCAAAGCCCTTCTCGAAACCCACCTTGTGTCGGCGTTACAACAAATCCCGAGACATATGAACGCCCGTTGCCCCAAGCAGCACTGAGCTAGGGAGATTCAGCTAGCGCGAATGTCTCAAGCCATTTGCCGTCTTACTGCTTCATCTAAATGAAAAGACCTGCTGTCATATCCATCAGAGGATAAGACCTTTGAACTACCATGACACAAAATGCCTCTTCGGCACGAATTTCCCCAAATATACAATCCATGACATTCGACTATTAGTTAGGGATCGCCGATCGATGATCAGCCGGGAACTTTGTTTGGTTTTGTCTCACGGGAACCAGGGGCCTAGGGGGTTTAGAGCTTCTCCTGTGTTTTACAACTGTTTCATCGACGGGTTACGTTTGTTTTTGTGGGTCGCTGGAAGCCATGGCTTGCAATGCCTTTCACGAGCGGTCTCGACGTGACTAACGTGATCGTTCTCAAGTTTGGGGCCTTTCCCAATTTTGAGGCATTTAAATTTAGACCACAGGGCAGAGGTAGCTTTTGACTCTACCAATCAGGGAACCCTATAAAATTAAAGATGACAATCTCAATGTAAATCTAGCCTCCTGGCTTTTACTTTTGGTCAGGTAATCATGGGACCATACTCTGCCTCTCTTGTATTCGAAAACTAAGGTTCCCGTTGTCATACGCCCAAGTACAATGACCGGAAACAGAACAATACGGAATACAACCTTAGCTACTGTAGCGAGAAAGTATGTACGGAATAAGAACAAAAGAGAGAGCTAGATAATAAATGTAGGCAGGGGCAGACTTCCAGGACATCCTCCATCAATTGATCACATCACGACCACCTTTTTGATCTTCGGCTTTCCCCTACTCATGGTAAGATCAATCTTGAATGAACTTACGACAGTGAATCAACGAAAGGGGTATATTTATCACCAGATGGCAATCCATGTTTAACTGGTTTGTTTGAAATTCAAAAACTATGTCTTTCGAGTGACAGTTCCTTAAAGTTGTGAACCGAAAACAACCAAATTGAGATGCAGATTTGGCTGTTCGTTTTGCAATTCAAATCACAAAATCAGCCGGGATTTAAAACGCTGATACTTGCAGCTCATCTCCTTAAGAAATGTCTCAGTGCCCTCGAGGGTAGCCGGATGTACAAGCGCAATGAGGTAATTCGAGGGGCAGTGAGGGGTAACGAGAGAACGAGCGACAGCTGCAAACGATTCTTCGGACATGATCTATAGAGCTTCCAACAACGACGCAGAATTTGAATCCAGTACTGTTTCAAATTTGGATTAATTTAATTGTCCAAAATTAACTTCAACCCCTCAACCCATCATACGTTATAGAATGCCACGCCCGACAACTCGAGAGGAGGTCCTCGGGAGACTCCGCAAGACTGTAGCTGATGGCTCCATCATCGTCGGTGCTGGTGCTGGTAAGACTGCCTACTCAAGCCATGTACACCTCCAAGCCTGAAACGATCCTAAGATTTTGAACAGGCATTGGACTCTCCGCAAAGGCCGTTGAAGCTGGCGGCTGCGACCTGATCCTAGTCTACAACTCTGGCAGATTCCGCATGGCCGGTCGAGGCTCCCTCGCTGGGCTGATGCCCTACTCAGATGCAAACCAAGTCGTCGTGGAAATGATACGTCTACAATCATATGTCCAACTACGCCCCGCTAATTCTACCAGGCCAGCGAAGTCCTCCCGGTCGTCGAGAACACACCCGTCCTCGCAGGCGTCTGCGGTACCGATCCATTCCGCTCAATGCCCGCTTTCCTCGAAGAGCTGAAGAAACTCGGTTTTGTCGGCGTGCAGAACTTCCCGACGGTCGGCCTGATCGACGGCCAGTTCCGGGCGAACCTCGAGGAGACGGGGATGGGGTATGATCTTGAAGTGGAGATGATCGCAACGGCGCATAAGCTGGGGCTTGTAACAACGCCGTACGTCTTCAATAAGGAGGATGCGGTCAAGATGGCTCGCGCCGGGGCAGATGTAGTCGTTGCTCACGCTGGATTGACGACGTCCGGCTCGATCGGGGCGCGGAGTGGCCGGTCCTTGGATGACTGCGTTGGATTTGTACAGGAGATTCGCGATGCGGCAGCCGGTGTTAACCCGGATATCCTGGTGCTATGCCATGGTGGGCCAATTGCGCGCCCCAAGGATGCGGAGTTTGTGCTATCGCGGACGGTTGGGGTGCATGGGTTCTTCGGCGCAAGTAGTATGGAGCGGCTGCCGGTGGAGATCGCGATCAAAGAGAACGCGGAAGAATTTAAACGATTGAAGGTGCGGTTGCAGTAGGAAAGTGGGCGCGATGGAGTCCAGGAGAACGTCATTTGAGAAAATTAACCGGGTTTCCCTATTGACACCCAAACTGGCAATTTTCCAGCGCAGGTGGAGACGTGGGGTTGACCTGCTTCGACCGAAGTCGCCTGTCGGCTAAATTGTGACTTGGAGTACAAAGTAGCACCAGTCTTCCCGACCTCTTCTCTCTTTCTCATTACTTGAATTGAACATCTTCGAAGAAATGGCACGCGTATTGGAAGGCAAATTCGGCATCGTCACCGGTGGATCGCGGGGTGTGTATTCCCCGCCATGCGATAAGAACGCCTCTAATCACGGCTTCAGGAATCGGCGAAGCTATTGCTCGCAACCTTGCCGCCAAGGGCTGCTCTCTGCTCTTGAACTTCACATCCGAGTCCTCACGCTCGCACACAGAAGACCTGTGTGCCTCGCTGGCCTCCGCACACGGCATCCGCTGCGAATCTGTCCAGGCTGACCTGAGCAAGCCCGAAGAGGCCGTCACAGCTATCCTCAACGCGGCAAAGGAGAAGTTTAGCTCTTCGGGCAAGCTGCAGATTGACATCCTGATCAACAATGCCGGCGTCGCGGGAGACCGCAACTTGAACGACGCTGCGCGCGGCCCCATCGCCCCGGAGCACTTTAACTGGCAGTATACGATCAACGTCCTTGCTCCGCTCCTCCTCACCCAAGCAGTCGCCCCATATCTCCCCACCGACCGCAGCGGCCGCATCGTGAATACCTCTAGTGTCTCGTCCTCGCTTGGCTTCGTAGGCCAGTCGATCTACGGTGGAACCAAGGCTGCACTAGAGTCTATGACTCGCACCTGGGCGCGCGAGCTGGCAGACCGCGCTACTGTCAACGCCGTGAACCCTGGTCCTGTCATTGGAGATATGTACTTCAAAGCGGGTGAGGATTTCTGGGGAGATATTCAGGGATTCCAGGATAATACTCCCATGAGCAAGTTGGTCGAGAGTGACCCGGACACCATGGGCCGATTGAATGAGGAGCAGATTCGCTTGATTAAGGAGAAAATGGGTGGGAGGAGACCTGCTTTTACTAGCGAAGTTGCTTGTACCGTGGGTATGCTGTGCACTCCTGATGGAATCTGGACTACCGGTAGTGTGGTCTGCGCGAACGGCGGTATGAAGATGGGCCAGTAGATACATTTAGATTATGAAAGCGATTAATTCAGTTCAACACCAGCACATGGGTGTCACCACAGAAGATTGGATAGAATTGCTAAGATACGTTACAACGGGCCCTTGTGCTTCGAATAATAAAGATGGCCATTTGTCTCTCAAGCAAGGATACCCTAGGCCACGAGGTGCTGAAGAATTGTCAGTCCAATACACCCTGGGACAACCGATAGTATCATTCAGATTTCTACCCAAATAAGAATACATCATCTTGTATCTTTTCTCCGGGAACTAAACGGTCAGTCTGATTCCACCTTTTGAGAAGAACCTCTCGCATTCTTTCAAAATGTTTCATTTGAAACCTCCTTTCCAGCTTTTGCAGTCGACAAAGTAGGCCGTATCTTTCGGCTTCGTGCGCGACTAAGAGCTCAGGTCCAATGATACCGATTGGCCACAGGAGGGTATTCTCGAAGCTAGAGCCCTCGCTCAACTGAGAAATAAGCAAGGTTGCATGGCAGGCTAGATTGGCCATATCAAACTCGAGCCGCGGCACGGTTCTGTGTGCTTGCCGTCGACATGCTATCTGTCTCATGTAAACCTTGGCCGCACAACGATAGATGGTTGATATTAACAACTTCTCATCCAAGTCCGTAATTTTGGCATCCGGGCAGGTGTCGTCACCTTCCATAGAAATGTTTTCCGATGGTATAGACGGTGACACAAACGAATCGGAAAGCCCGAAAGTAATCGAGAAACTCGGCAACCAATCAAGCCTTCCGTCCCAGGCATCAATGCAGATATCAGAAACAGTTTCACTCCCAGAACTGATTTGGGCAATCAAGTACGGAAAGTAAAATCGCCCTTGTCTGCGCATATTGCCCGATTCCTCAGGCTTCATCGAATAGACTCCATTTACCGAGAATGAAACGTCTGGTGAGCCGTCCAGTCGGGAAATGCGGAGATAATACTTCGACAAAGTCGAAGCACCAGTAGCCGTCGACTGGACAAGATCATTGTACAGGAAAATATTATGCAGGAACCAAAATGCATAACGCTGTTGATTCCCACGCAGGACCGACTCCAAGGTCTTCCTATTCGCCGGACTTTCCAGTCGATCAAACAAGTCTGCAAGAAAGGCCAGATGAGGCATCCAATTGGCCTTCCCATCGCCTACAATCTTTTCATAGAGGAGCAGACAGACACAGCACGCTAGTGTAAAGAGTATACTTTTTTCCCCCTGTGTAACCCTCGGATCTCTGCCGGGCGGCTGGGCATATGGATCGAAGATGGCTTCGGACTTTGCCACTAGGTTGCGACATCCTTCCAGTGCACGATGCCGGAGTTTAAGTATCACTCTGGTGATTACTAAGTCGTGATCAGGTCCAAATTGAGCCCCGCTAAGGGCCAAAACTGCGTTCAGAACGGCACGATGTTCCATTGCAAGAGGTAAGAGAATCGACAAGAAGGGGTTGGTGGGGTCGCAACGTGTTGGATAAGTGCGTGAGAATCGCTGGATGTAATGATTTAGAAGGAATGATTCGTTGGGGGTCAATTTATTTCCGAAGGGCAGTTGTGGCATAAAAATGATGTCTTTTCCCAGCGCCGTGTCATCTGCGACGGTTGGACGCCTGCACACTCGTCGGTCACTTGGCCTGATTGCTTCTGACTCGTTGGCTGAAGTCTTTTGTGTTATCCTCCGTGGGCCTCTCCTCTGCATGCCATTTCTCCGAGTGTCATCTTCCCACACCAGTTTAGTTCCCCAGTTACAGGTAATCTCAAGCCTCAGGCAGTTTTTGCATGGGAATACTTCTCCGTCACATTTCTTCTTGCTTTATTCTGATCAGTACATGCTCCATAATGGGGATAACTACCAAGTTTGTTCAATGGAACTCTCAAAATACTCAACATACCGAGTTCGACATGTCCAGCACCCCGATCGTGTTCGCTTTCTTTGACTTCCGAGCATATCCATCATAAAAGGAAGGTCCTCTGTAGCGGGCGGTCTATCGATCCAGACACTGAAACTCTGAAAGTCTTTCTTCTGCGCTTAGGCGAGAGACGAATTTGAAAACGCAGATTGTCAGAGAAGTGGAGAACAAGGCTGACGTTGGGGTAAGTAGCGGGGTAGCTATGCATCACATACCCGTAGTAGGCACTTACCAGATGCAACGGTTCAAGCTAGAAGCTTGATGACACAGGCACCAGCATTGTCTTCAGTTGATCTTGACCTTGTTAGCAAGCAATACAATTGGAGCTCAATCATATTAAAGTTTACACTCTCCGGATATCGCAAACGGAGTCCTGAAAGCGTTTCTCCAAACATGATGTCGGCAAAGTACGGGTGGTGAACCGCATAACATTCTATTCGGTATAGACTATTTGAGAGATTTTTATATCACTGTCTCTGGAAATCGGTCTTCACGGCCTCGGCAAACTCGTCATCCACCAGCATTTGACATGCGACAACGGCCATTCCAGCTGCGCAAGCGATAGATCGTTTATGGCCCTCGGGCGATCCGGCCCCGCTGGTGAATTCAGGTGTATGATTGACTCCCTCAGCTGGGATGCAGAAGATACCGTGGAATCCGGGAACGACGTACGATACATTTCCTGGGCATTGTTAGCTGAATTCAGATGATTGGCGTGGAAAGACGAACCCATATCCGTAGATGCTCCGGCGAGCGCGTCCCTCTGCTCTGAGTTGTCGAGAAGAGTGTGATGGCCCATTGCTCGCATTGCCGAGACATAGCTCTCGCAAATTGGTCTGTTGCTCTTTAGGTCGTCGTATGAAGGACCCCTACCAGGAATTAGCAGATTCAAGTGAATGCGATGCGTGCACGTACCAGTTGAATTCCACTTTACACCCCATGGCCGTCGCAGCAGCTTCGAAACACTTGATTACTTTCTCCGTCAGAGGTTTCAGTGTTTTCTTGGTTGGCGATCGAATGTAATAGTCCACCGTGGCTGTCATGGGAATAATATTTGGCCGATCACCTCCATTTACAATTACACCGTGGACTTTTTGAGTAGGGAGGATCTGTTGACGAAGCATAGAGATGCTCACATAGGCCGAAACCACGGCATCCAGAGCATTGATGCCCTCCCAAGGAGCCGCCGCAGCATGGGCTGGCTTGCCTGTGAATGTCACTTTGACTTTATCATTAGCCCGGGAACCACCTTCAATAACAGTCGCCATACTCAGAAGATCGGGATTTCCAGGTGCCATTGGGGTCGGGTGCACCATGAGACAAGCGTCTACATCTTTGTAAGCTCCAGCATTGATCAGATGCACTTTTCCGCCGCCTGACTCTTCGGCAGGTGTGCCCAAGAGACGGACTGTGTATCCGGTATCTTTGACGGACTTCACAGCCTCGCAAGTCGCGATAAATGCAGCGACGGAGCTAGTTGCAATCAAGTTGTGACCACAGGCATGGCCGATTCCGGGAAGGGCATCGTATTCGGCGTTGAACGCCACAACACGTCCTCCCTTGCCGTTAGACCATTCAATTTGAAAAGCGGTCTCTAGACCATATGCCTTGCGATGGACTTTGTACCCGTCAGATGAGACTGCCTCGAAGAAACTGCAGATTGCATCGTGAGCGTCATGCTCAGCGTATGCGAGTTCTGGGTTGGACCAGATCTGAGATGAGTTTATGATATAAGCATTGACTCGAAACTGAAAATGATGTACTTACTTTGTGATTGATCTCCTTCAATTTATCATCCCAATCGCCGAGCGACTCCTGTACCCTATTCAGGAATTGTCTTTGTGTTTCGGGAACGTGCATTGTGTATATGATATTCAACCAACAAGGATGCTAGATAGGCGCTATGATGGGATCAAGGCTCGATTAAATACATGAGACGGAGTCAAAGCAGCTCCGCAACCCTGGAGGTGCAACAAGACAAGCGCATCGAGATACTAGATGGGGTTGGCAGACTTGCCGACGCAGCCAATCGCCTCGTCGCGGCACTTATCGTCGATTTGCCTCCAAAATGCTCCACTCGGCACCCGATAGGCATTCCCCGCCAATTCCACACATAAACCTCCATTCCACTTCCCCCACGCAATCGGCAAGCGATAGGTTCGGCAATTGAAAACCCTCGTGTGGATTACTTCAGATCTATCAACTGGATCTGCATTCTCGGCCAGATGTAGCCGGGAGGGCAATGACACAATGCACCGCGGAAAGACACGTTCCAAGACAGGTAAGGATCCGCACAACTCCTTGCCAACGAAGCTAAGCAAGGGTAGGATGTCGAACCTGCCGCATCCGCAAGGTGAAATGCGACGAAGAAAAGAACAGCGTGCAAGGCCAAGATGAGCCGCAATGCAGGCGCTGTACATCAGCGCGCCTCCGCTGCGAGTGGAAGGGTGGGCCCATTCCGCGCAACTCGACTTCGGCATCGTCTCCTTCCCCCTCGGGGAACGAGAAACAGCATCATCCCGATGGTGCTGACCTGAGTACGCTCGTGCGCAAGCGACAACTCGCTCAGCAGGCTGCGAGTTCCAGTAAGGCGGCATTGCTTCCTTCCCAGAGACTGAGCGGTGCGAATCATGACCAGAGCATTCAGGCAGCGAATTCTCTCACTCTGTCTGCCTTTGACCGAGACTGCCTGAGCTATCTACAGAACTCGACACTTGTCATACTTTTGGGGAAGCGCTGGCCATGGTCCATCGTATCTTATGCGTACAACAAAATTGCCGTCAAAGAGCCCATGGTCATGAGCATGATTTTGGCCAGTACTGCGCGGGAAATTCATCGCTCACAACTCTACGACGAAGAGACTTTCTCAAGCAGTCCTTCGAAAAATGATTCCTGTGAACTTGATGGGCGAATGCACTATGGTCGGGCATTATCCAGTCTTCGCCATGCACTGAAGCAAGACGTCAAGTCCCCGCAGAAGATGGAGGCTGTGTTTATCACACTGTGGCTCATGATGGACTACGAGAATCGATTTGGTAGTGGGGCTGCGGCTATCAATATCCACATCCGAGGCATTGAAACCCTGGTACATAATCATATCGTCCCTTTGCTTCAAGGTAGCACCGCGTCCCATATATCATCTGCCTCTGCGATCACGTCCGATGAAGCGGGTACCGGTCCTCAGCCACAAACCACTCCGCAACTCTCGATTCCCGGCGCAGCACTCACCAGAGTTTCGAAAGATCGTGGATCGCAAGATTCACTCGAGGAACTCCGCTGCACGTCAGTACCTCTCTTTCTTCTGTGGACACTATACTTCTTCACCCCAGTCGCACTATTCCTCGAGCCCGATACGACTCAATTTGAGACGAACATCTACCAATTCTTCATAAATGCTGAAAACGGCAACACCGAGCACTTGAGTTTGCCCGAACTCTACCGAATTTGCAGACGGTCGCCCGCTCGCTTTTGGGGCGAGAACTACCCGATGTCCGCCCAATTGGATGATATAGAGAATCTCTCCAGTCTAACACTGTACCACCACAGCCATATCGTCCAGTTCAAGATCACCGAGCTATTCAAACAAGGTGTTGCAGATGGTGTCTCGGGCGCGATATCACCCTACCAGGAGCTAATCGACGAAATCAACACAATCTCCCTCGTTAGTGCCCCATCTCAACCCATGTATTTCATACCTAACAGAATTAGGAATACGACACCGTCCTAAAAACCGCGAAAATGTTCCCCTCATGCGAAACACCCGGCGACCGCCGCGTCCTAGAAACGGTCAATTGGTCCGCAATAACATTCTACAGCACCTTTGTATTCTTTCACCTCTGCTTCCAAAGCATCCTCAACAGACATCCCAGCACACAAGTCGACGACAATCTCATGTCTCTCCCCGATGCCGTGTCCCAGGTTCTCGAGCTGAGCCTGAAACTCCATCGCAGCCGACCGCATCTGATGGTCAGAATTACCTGGCCCTTGTTCCTAGCTGGGATTGCGACTTCGGATCAGATTTATCAGGATTGGGTGGCTATTCGGTTGAGGGAATTGGGACGGTTTGGGGAAAATTTTACGCGTATTAGCGAGCGGTTTGATGAGCTCATTCGGGGGAGTAGTACGGAACCCTTTGCGTATTGGGATATTCAATTGGAGGTTACCGGGGCCTGAGCGGTTTGGGGGGTTGGTTGCTTTAGACGCAATTTCTTCATCAAATAACCACGAATTCCAGAATGGGTAATCTCTGTTCCTATGCAATATACCGGGGCCAACACCGTAATTATCCAGTAGCTGCAAAGCAAAAAGAGTAATGCGAGTCTATTGGATCCGCCGACACCACATGTCAGCCGCGCGGGACTTGGAGCTAAAGTAGGCTAAGCAATTGCGGGCGCAGATAAGACCCGCCCTTCCCGATATGCTTGAATTTTCCCTCCGACACCACTCTCGCCATGTCTCCGGACGTGGAAAAGGGACTTCAGGTCCAAGCTGCCTCCGGCGATAGCAGGGCAGTCTCCGTTGATCAAACCTCCCAGGATGAGGAGAACCTCCACAATGTCAATTCTCCCCACGTCACGGACGGGCCTATGAAAGGATCTCCGGGGACAGTGTCGAAAAGTGCATTTGGCCGCTTCAATGAACGACTCACCTCAATCAAATTCTTTGAGGCTCGCGGTATCGAGCGCGTTCCACTCGAGGAGCGCCATGAGATCAAGGCGACGAATTACTTGCAGATGAGCCTGCTGTGGTTCAGCACCAATATCACCGCGAATAACATGGCGCTTGGAATGATGGGGCCGCTGACGTATGATCTGGGATTTGTTGACTCGGCGCTTTGTGCAACCTTTGGCGCGTTGCTTGGTGCTGCGGGTGTTGCGTATATGGGCACGTTTGGACCTGCTAGTGGCAATCGGACTATGGTACGTTTAGTCCTGCCCCACTGTGGATTGGGAGGTTTAATTAATGCGTGAAATAGGTCGTTGCGCGGTATTTCATGGGTTACTACCCCAGCAAGATTGCATGTCTTCTCAACATCATCATCATGCTGGGTTACGGCATGATCGACTGTTTAGTCGGCGGACAAGTCCTCTCTGCAGTGGCTGGGGGCCGAATGACCGTCGTCGTGGGAATTATCATCATCGCCATCGTGACGTGGGTGATTGTTCTCTTCGGCATGAGTCTCTTCCATATCTACGAACGATACGCATGGGTTCCTCAGCTCATCGCCGCCTTCGTTCTTGTCGGCAGCGCTGGGCCCAAATTCGACACTTCGATCGTTTCAAATGGAACGTCGCAAACTATCGCCGGCAATCGTCTTTCGTTCTTCTCACTGTGCTTATCTGCCTCGGTGGCGTGGGCACCTGCAGGCGCCGACTTCTTCGTCTACTTCCCACCCACAACGTCAAAGTGGAAGACTTTCCTTATGACATTCCTAGGCGTCGGACTAGCATTGACATTCGCCAATCTCCTAGGCGTTGGCCTGGGCTCTGGAGCACTGACACGTCCATCCTGGGAAACAGCCTACAACACGTCCTCCGGGTCCTTGATCCTCGCAGGCTACGAGGGTCTAGGTGGCTTCGGCAAATTCATGGGCGTCTTAGTCGCCCTGGGTCTTATTGCAAACAACATCCCCGGCACATATTCCGCCTCTCTCGGATTCCAAATCATGGGCCGCCAATTAGCCCGGATGCCGCGTTGGTTCTATTCTTGCGTCGGCGTGGTGATTTATACGGCTTGTGCGCTTGGCGGAAGGAACTATCTCTTCGATATCTTTGATAACTTCCTCGCGTTGATGGGGTACTGGGTTACTATCTACCTGATGATTGCCGTGGAGGAACATACTATCTTCCGCCGAAGGACGGGCTTTAACTGGGATGACTGGGCTGATCCCTCCAAGTTGCCGGTTGGGCTTGCGGCTCTGATGGCTTTCTTGATTGGTTGGGCGGGCGCTATTGTTTCTATGAACCAAGTGTGGTATGTTGGGCCTATTGCAAAGATGGTTGGTGAGGATGGCGCGGACTTGGGTATCTGGGTTGGTATCTCGTGGACTATGTTGGTGTATCCACCGATGCGGTGGTTGGAACTTAAGAGGTTTGGTCGGTGATGGCCATTTGACTTGCGTCGTCATTTGGACGTTCAATGAATAGGCTTATCCGTCTTTCTCAAAATTAAAGGTACCGAGATGAATCGCTGATATATATATGCAAGTAGGATAAATGCAAGGTAATGCAAATTAGAACAGCCTGTGGCCAATAAATTGTAGGCAATCTGACCCTATCGTGTGCAGAATGTTCGGAGAGTCAGGCATAAGGCGTCCTTGGGATTGGCTTCTCCTGCTCCTCAAAGATCCTGGTACAGTGTCAAATCTGTTACCGAAGTCTGCAAATTGCCTTCGGGCCTCTTCATGGCCTGTCGGCGCTTGGGCCTATGTTGAACGGAACCATCGCCGACCCACAGCGATCAAGGGCGCGAATCATCGCGAAAGAAACAGTAAACAAATGCCAGCCACACTATGTATTCCGAAGATTGAAAAACCAGCTCAATTCGGATCAATTGTTTATGAAGTCAATCTTGATGAACCCATGATTATCGTAATTTATCTCAACTCCGAACCGGGTACAAGACTCGCGCCATTCTCAGTTAGATTTACGGCTTACCACGTAGATAAGCTCCGAATGACTCACTGTCCCCGAGCGCGCTCGGACAACACAAATATATAGAGGCCTCCGGGACAGCAAAACTCCAAGCCGAAATCCAAGATATACATGACTATGGGCTCGGAATCATCCCCATTCCCTCCGGGGTTCTCAATCTCCACTCCGCGCCTACAAATCACACCCTTCGACCCGGCAAACCAAACCCACTGCGCCTTTCTCGTAAAGGTATGGAACACAGACGACTTCATCAGTTCCTGCGGTCACACATCCGTCGACACACCCGAAAAGGCAGCATCTTTTATCCAAGGACGTATATTGTCAGACTACGCCCGCTATCGACACGGGATATTCCTAGTATCGCTACGCGACGGCAAGCCCATCGGCACAGTCTCTCTGATGAAAGGCACTCCGCCTGATCCGTACTATTCTGCCCCGGACGTCGGGTATGCAATTCTACCCGAGGAGAGCGGAAAGGGATATGCGACCGAGGCTGCGAAGGGTATGCTGGAGTATGCGCGAAAAGATCTTGGTATTGAGGGTGCGTTTGGGTTCTGTGCTGCCGAGGATATGCGTAGTCGCAGGGTTTTGGAGAAGGTTGGGTTGGAGTTTAGGGGGATCGGAGACTTGATTGTATTTGGGGAGAAGAGGAGTGCTGTTTATGCTTTGCCTTCGATGGAGGATTTGACGGCTTACAATTTGACGGAAAAGCTTGAATTGTAGAGAAATTGACCAGCGATAATTTGGAGTGGACTTGATATTTCATTGCGATCATAGCTACATTAATCATTGAGTCGTTTCATGGCATTGCTTTGTAGATATGGTCCCCCGGCGCAGGAGGTTGGAGGAAATCTGCAGGTGGGTTCTCCGGCAGCTGGTTTTTCTCTGCCCATTCACGGATCGCGTCAAAGTTCTTGCATCGTTGGCGGGTGTTGAAGTCGACGAATGGTTCTGGGTTTTCAGGGTAGATCCAGACTTGGCCTACCACGCCGGTGTCTACCGTGCACATGAGTTGTTGGCGAAGAACATCGACGCATTGGGCTTGAAAATTAGTTAGTAAGGTTTGATATGATGAACTGATTAGGACACTGACCAATCTGATGCCGAGCGATAAAATCGTTGTTTGCGAAAGCGCCTTCCCCATTGGAGTGGTAATAGTCGTAGTTGAAGTAGAGGGATTGACGAAGGAGGTTCTAAGCCATTGGTTAGGATGTGGTAGCCTTAAATGCAAGGAGTGTACCAACCAAGCACTGAAGATGCTGAAGACCCTCAACGTTGGCAGGAAATCCGCCGCCGTATTTCTGGTTTATTTTGACCTGGTCGGGTGCGAGATCGGATCGGGCTGCTTCTTCGGGAGGTACTCGTATTCTTCGATCTAAATAAAAGGTCAGTGCCAGTCACGATAGGATTGATATAGTGGAAGCATACAGTTAACTCCCAGAGCGTCCCAGGCCGCATCTACCTCAGGACTCGCCTCTTGTCTATAGACAGTCTCCTTCAAGAGGGGGTTGTTAAATTTCTGGAGGTGGTATGTGACTCCCACCCCACTCATCACCGGTGCTGGATAAATATATCAGTCAAACACTTGGAAGATTCGAAGGTTTGCCATACAGTATTGAGAGACATATTCACTGCACTGGCTGTCCAGATCACCTTGCCACATAAACCCAAACAGTATTCCAAGTAGAAAAAAGACACCGAGGGTAGTCAATTGAAGGAGAACAGTTGCCCAATCGCCGTAAGTATCTATTTCTTCTTCGGGAGTCCAATCCTGACCCTGCTCTTCGGCCAGAAGGCCTTCGCAAGTCTCATAGTCCCCATCTTCTAGATCGGGAGACTTATCTCTGAACATGTCCATTGGGTATAGAGAAACTAGGAGTTGAATAAAACAAGAAGGTTGGGTGTTGAGACTTGGAAGAACAGAGACAGGCTGGGAGTCGGAGGATGAGGAGAGCTTTCCAATAGACAACAAACAACTGAGCAGTCCACTGCCAGCCAGAAACAAGCTCGAGACAGGCGCAAACTCAGACAGAAGCCAAAGCTCAAACCTTCTCAACTCAATCCCAGCCAGACCGCTACTCCAGCGGCCCGCGCATTCCTCGAGTATGTCAACCTTCACCCGGAACAAGCCGTCGTAATGGCAGTGCATTGACAGACTGTCTCCCATGCGTGTCTTACACGTTTTTATGATCCCATGAGCAGCCCCAGAGCGTGGTGCGTGGGTGATCGGACAGGCCCCCCTTGGGTGGCTGGAGCGGCACGACTTGGCCTGACAACATTTGACAACCCACGATCACGGCGACGTAACCGAGTCTTGTCAAAGACATGCAATCTGCAGCACGATGCAGATTGTAAGCGCCTGGGATCGACTGGAATGCGCTTAAGCCCCTTGGGGAGAGATCTACAGCCCGAGAAACAAATAGAGTGCGCTTCGATGCATCTCAATGCGAGGTTCATCATGTAAAGCTTAAGACCTGCAGTGTAAGACATTTGATGCGGGGGGTTCCTTAGGTTACGTAAGGTATATGGCTCATACTGACACCAGCCATCGTCGCCCTCTGAAATCATCTCGCAGCTGTTCTCTCGCCGGCTTGTCTCTCGCAAGGCAGGATGATTCTCTGCACGTTCGACCGCCGTCCCTTGCAGGTTCCCTCAAGTCCCAGCGAAGCTGGATGACGTGAAGCGCAAGTCGAGCTCAGACATCTGCATCAATAGCTTGGAGAGCTCTTCCAAGCTACGTAATGACGAGGCTTGGACCTCGGCGAGCTGCTCGACTCGAATATAAATACGGGGTGATGGCACTGTCTTGACTCTCATCAACTCAAGCAACTCCCGAGATCCTCACAGGTCAAAGAGTTCTTTCGATCAACCAAGTTCAATACTTCTATTTGTTTACCTCGATCCTCCAAAATGCGCTACACTCTCATCAATGGCCTGCTTATGCTGGCTATCTCTCCCTTCACCTCTCTCGCTCTCCCTGTTGATCCCAATGACCAAGCCGGCCAATGGGATCCTAGTGGCCAGTACCGCAAGGGCCACTACGTGAACGGCGAGTTCATCCCCAACAACGGTGGTGAGGTTGGCAGCTATGAGAACGGCGAGTACAACAACGGCGAGTACAACAACGGCCGCTACAACAACGGCCGGTACAACAACGGCCGGTACAACAACGGCCGGTACAACAACGGCCGGTACAACAACGGCGAGTACAACAACGGCCGCTGGCAGCGTCGCTGGATTCCCGGTGTCGACCTTCCTGGAGAGCGTCACCGTGGTGCTTTCCGTCTTCCCGAGACTCGCATTGGCATCCCCGTTAAGCGTGGTATCCCCGGCGTCCCTGGAGTCCCCGAAGTCGGTGTTCCTGGAGTCGGTGTTCCCGGCGTCGGTGTTCCCGGCGTCGGTGTTCCTGGCGTTCCCGGTGTTGGAGTCCCCCACATGGGCACTGCTGCTGGCGCTGGCAGTTTGACCGGTGAGCGCAGCATGAACGAGCACTCCGGCGCTGGCAGTTTGACCGGTGAGCGCGGCATGAACGAGCACTCCGGCACTGCCACCAACGGTGCTGGCATCCTCCGCCGTTGGATTCCGGAGAATGAGCGCTACAACAATGGCCAGTACAGCAACGGCGAGTACAACAACGGCGAGTACAACAACGGCGAGTACAACAACGGCGAGTACAACAACGGCGAGTACAACAACGGCGAGAACTGGAACAATGGACAGTACAACAACGGAGTTGACCGCCCTGGCGCCACCCAAGTCGATGGTCCTTCTGGCTCTATCACTGTCTCTCGTCGCTGGATGCCCGAGAACGAGAATGAGGAGTACAACAACGGTCAGTACAACAACGGCCGATACAACAACGGCCGCTATAACAACGGCCGGTACAACAACGGCGAGAACTGGAACAACGGAGTTTATCCCTCCCAAATTGCCCACATTGATGGCCCTTCTGGCTCTATCACCGCCCCTGTCCGCCGCTGGATCCCCGAGAACGAACGCTACGGAAACAACGGCTACAACAACAACAACGGCTATAACAACGGCTACAACAACGACAACGGCTATAACAACGGCTACAACAATGGCTACAACAACGGCAACGGCGATGACTGGGACCGTGAGAACAACGGTGATTATCAACTCGACCGTGACGCCGCCGAAATTGCCAGCGCAGTGACCCCCACTGTGGTTGTTCGCCGCTGGACTCCCGCTGAGGAAGGCGTGATTGAAGAGCAGAACAGGGAGGCCGAACTCAACGCTGAGCGCCCCGCCGGTATTTTTGCCCGCTGGTGGCCTTCTATCTGGCCCCGTCCCTGCAACCGCTACGACCTCAGCTGCAACCGCCGCCACAACGGCAACTACAACAATGAGAACTGGGACCGCTGCGAGAACGGCAACTACAACGACCGCAGTGGCTGGTCCTGCCGCAGTGATTGGACCCGCTACGGCGCCACTCCCACCCCCAGCGTGATTGTCGCCCGCAACCAGCCTAGCTACGACAAGACCGTCAACACCGACAGCTACAAGTACGGCAAAGACCACCACGACAACAACCACGGCGACCACGGCGACAACCAAGACAACCACGGCCACGGCGACAACCACGACAACCACGGCCACGGCGACAACGGCGAGGACAGCGGCTACATCAGCGACGCTGAGCGTGACCACCTGAGCGATGCCTCTGCTACCCCCACTGCCTCCACCTAGGTGTGCTAGAGGGTGCCGAGTAGCAGAACGATGCGCCCACAACCTAACTTGCTATGACGAGAACCAGAGGAGGAAGCATAATTGCATTTTCGGATTGTCTTGATGTTTTGATGTTTGATTTTTATGTTTTGATGCACTTCATGATTATTATGAGGACACGAACTGTATACGCTCTTTACATGACATGGATTTGATTTGGCATTGGAAAATGGAAGAGTGGTTAGAATAGTTCTAGCAAGAATAGGAAACGCTTTGATTTGCGATGAAACCCCTTTTTCTCTCAATGGACATACGTAGATCCAATATCACCCCACCTGATATTCGAAAATGTCACCGAAGTTCCCGGATGCTGAGCTTGGATCAGCTTCGGATTTCCTGCGGTACTGTTGCATGGCCCGGCGCTCCCACTATCCAGCCAATTCATAAAGGCCCCCGAGTCATTCCAGATACTAAAAATCAGGACCATCCCACGAGACAGTGCCTTGCCCATCTGCTTCAGCCCGCCCAACTGCTGGAAGCGACTCGCAGAAGTCGAACAAGACCCATCCGTCAACGAATCAATATCCGACCCTGACACCTCAACAACAGCATTCTGAATCACCTTGCCATCCTGCACATACAACCGTCTAATCTCCCTCAAACTCCCTCCCTCCGATCCATCATCCGTAACAAACTGCGTCACAACGGTAAACCTTTTGCTCGTATCCACCACCTTCCGATACCCATAATAGTCATGGTCCCCAAGCGCATACGGATTAAACCCACACCCCGACTTATCACAGACGCCCTCACTCCCACACTCGTCGCCACTGCACTCGTACAGCCGGGAAATATTGCATGCATGTGCTGTATACCCCGTAGAAACCGCATTTGCCTCCCAAAGATCCATCTCATTGCAACACGCCCCGTCGGCGTCAACATTCGCAACACCGTCAATAAACGCCGTAGCCGGGCACTGCACATCACAGTACCCAGTCCCATACTGCGCCCCGGCGGGGTTAAGATCACTGCGTCCTCCAGACCGAGACATCTCAGAAAGATACAAAGCACCGTTCATGCCACAGACGAGCGATGAAACGTCGACGTCGAAACTGAGTTCTTGGTTTAGGAGTCTGAGCATGTCGTAGTTCTTTCCGCTTTCATCAAGCAGGTAGACTCGAGGCGAGGCAACGGTCGTTTCATTGTGTGATTGAATGTACTGGTGCAGGACCAATTTGTCGTCTTTGGTGCTGACGCCGTAGCTTGCATAGTCGACTCCATCGAGGATGCAGTTCTGGGCGCAGTCCGAGTCTGTGGAGCACAGTGATTTGTTTAGTCCTGACCAGTCGCCGCATGAGATACCGGCGTTGCCCACGAGATGGAGTGGGTGGGAGAGAGCATCGAGGACAACGGAGGTTGCTTGTTTTGTGCAGCCGTGCTTTTTGGTGCATTTCCATGTTTGGAGTTTTGGGTGGATGTCTGGCGTCCCGATTTGTTGCGCGTGGACTAGGTGGAGGATGGCCACCGCGAGCAACAAAATTCGCGTCATTGTTGATGAATCGTGGTATTGACTTTCAGACCCTTTTGGCGACCTGTCTGGTGAAATTGCTATTTTGACGTGTTAATATGTCCTCATTTCGAAAGTGTAATACGGTGGTTTCATGTAAATCGAAGACATCGCGCTCCAATAAACTCCCAAATAACAAAACGCCATTTTTCCATTCCTTAGGTTTGGCGCCCCGGGAAAGTCTGTCTCAGGGGGACGGCAATTGGAATGTGAATGATGAGATCTGTTTCCCCTGTCAATCTGCCCCTGGGGAATGTAGCCGGCATTCCACGATTTCCATCACCGAGTTCCCCGGGGTAAAAGTCACTTAATTTGGCATCTACTATAGAAGATGGGGTTTCCTTTCATGGTAAATTGAAGTTGATAGATGAACTCAGCTGTGACGTACTAGAAATGCATTAATTGCTTGGATGTTTCACAGAGCCTCTTCAAGGTCCATAACGCTCACTGTCACACTATTGTTTGTCCCCGACAGTACACCCGCACCGTTCACGAGTAAATATTTGCCGTTCCCTTCGGACAGGACCCTTAGAGATCTGGAGTAGCTCTGGGATTCTGGAGATGATATTTCCGTCCACTCACCCTCGCCGAGTGCCTGGTTGATCAAGAGCGTGCTCTGCGTGCCGGAACTAGCGACGATGGTGCCATTCTTGCCGCCGTACGGTGTCCAAACGACGTATGGTGAAGAGGTTGGAACTGTGCCGCTTGATACAACCAGCTGATGGCCCTCGGCGGAGGCAAAGTCCTCGGGGTTGGATGACAAGCGGAAGTATAATGGGAAAGAGTAGCTTGAGGTGTTGAAGAATGAACCATATTCGTAGAAGTAGATGTATTGGCCGTTGGGGAGCTACGGCCATCAGTATCGTGGAGCTATAGATATAGATATTTTCGGTATAACTGACCTTTGTAACGATTGGCATTCCCGGTCGATCAGTGTATGTTGGATATGCGCTAAACAACGGACAAAGGTCAGTTATGTTCGGAAGAATTGAGCAAGTGTCCATACACATCGTTAACAACGGGTCCCCACGTCGTCAAATCAGGCGACACCTGGTGAACCAATTTCTGGCCATGGGTGGTATTGGCTCGCTGGTCCGAATAATAGCAAATCAACTTGCCATTGCTGTAGGCTATTAGCTTCCTCCTCAAACAATCTCAATGTTATTTTAATAACTTACTGAGCAAGCAAGAACGGCTCCCATACTGGGGTCAGCCCGTTATCCGGGAGAGCCTCTCCCCCAGCCGCAATCTGGCTCACGAACTCCCAAGTCAGCCCATCATCGTGCGACGCATACAGATCAATATGTGTCGAAGACAAATTAGTCGGAATACTATTTCCAGCCAACAGCAGTGTTCCAGCGCTAAAGGAACCTATGGTCTCGGGGAGGTAATAGAGAAACGGCTGGTATCGCAACCCGTATCCATTGACGGTATCATGGACTTGAGATATTTCCGACCATGTTTTGCCAAAGTCTTTGGAGCGGTAGATGGGAAAGTACACTAGAGGTGGTTCTGGGGAGTAATTTTCCCATGTGGCGAGAAGGTCGCCATTTGGGAGTTGCTCATTGCGGGCGTACAGCGTTCTGGGGATGTTGTAGTCGGAAGGTGGGAAGAAAATGGTTGATTCAGAGAGCGGGGAGGGTGATTCAGCGTGTGAGATGCTTGCTGCTGCAGCGAATGCAGCAACCGGAAGGAGATGGTGGAGCTTCATGGTTGCCAAATGTAACCGTAGAGATCAAGATGTCAATTGGATTTGCGTATTGTTACTACTGCATTTATAGTCTTGAAGTAAGGCCTTCAGAGATTTGTGGGGTATAGATGATGCAGGTTCATCCCACCGGAGTTGTCCTCGTTTGGGATTTGCGTGAGGTTATTTCTAGGCTGACGCTGTGGGGCCATGAATTTCCGTCAATCACATCTCTGCCCTGGCGACATATTTCACCATCTCTCTGGTTCATTCGGGATCGTCTGATCTTGTTTCCGTATTTGCAATTTGCGCTAAGCGAATGCTCCTGACTCGCGACTGGAAGTACACGCACTAAGCTGGTCGGCCGTTCCCCCGCACGGCTCCGGTACTATGAGAACTAATGCAAATTCTCCGACAGTCAATTACGAATTCAGGAATGGAAAATAAATCCCGGTGCAAGTGGCAAGGAAATGGTGTCGGACTAACATTCTTTCCCGGTACCCTATGGGACGAGTTCATCATACTACGCTATGCCACAATTGTTTATCTTCGTTCTAGTGTTACCACAGTCGTTGCCTCCAGAAAAGAGTGTGAACACCTTGGGTTTTCTGGACGGTCGTAAACCGAAGTCCCAGCTTTATAAAAGCCTCAGTCCTCAGATAAGATTTACCTGACCCATGGATCCTATTCCCGTCCCCGTTCAGTCTCATGAAGCTTGACCTGATATGGATCAACCATTCCGTTTTGAGCATTCAGTGCTACTAAACCAAATTGAAGTTCCTTGCGTATCTCTTCAGGTCGTGTCGTAGCTCGCTTTCTCCTTCACTTCCCAACCTGTCCTCCCTCACACAATATAACTGACCTTGAAATACCACCACTTTCAACACACTAAGCTTTCACAAGTCAAACGTCTCACAATGCAGTGCTGGCCCACCATGTGGTCTATCAAGAAATGGTTCAAGATGAAACCCGAAAAGAAGGAATCATTCAAGGTTCATCGAGTCGAGAAAGTCGTTCATAAGCAGGGCTCAGATTCACTGGAATGTCAGGGTCTAAGTCACGCTCCGTTAGAATATGAAAGTTGTGCCTTCATTATGGAGCCTCCAACAGACGAAGTGTTTCTTTCGCTGGAGGGTATTTTGTTTGGGCAGGAATGCTTTCATGATTTCGATGTTGGTATCTTTTGCTGATAGTTCTTTGCTCATTCCATTTCCAATGCAAGATTGATATTTGATCATAATCTGCCACATGTTCCAAAGTGTACAAAATATACTGTAATAGAGGAAACCCGGAAATGACAAAAACCCCATTTTTTTCCAGTCGAATCGTGATAAAGCTACGCAATCTCTTGACTATTAGAGTCAAGATAGACCATGTAAACAAATTTACACGTAGAATCGATCTGATCCATACTGCCAAGACCTCAACTGTGATTAATGCTGCTCTGCCCTGAACATCACGTGATACACACGCTTATCTTATCGCCGAGGTGACTGACGTCATCGTTATGGGACCCTCGCCTCAGGGACAGGGCCACCAAGGTGCTCTCTCAACTCTCCAAAATTTTGGCAATTACTTATCCTTTACCCCTATCAGTTACTCAACCTTCACTATAAAGTCATCATCCACAAAAATGGCCTCTCCGGCGCTTCGCACACGAGCATTGCACCTCCGCCTCCGCAACTTGCAACCCGCCCGACTAAGCTCGAGCTTCACACAAGCTCGCCCTCTACACAAAGTCATCTCCAGCAGCACCGTTTCTAAGAAAACTTCTCTTACCACACCACTTTCGACGGGCCCTATTACAAACCTCCACCATCAAACTAGACCCTACGCCGCCAACAGTGTCACCGGCAGACCACCAGCGGACCTCTTAGTTGAAGAACTGCAAGATCTCTACGAAATCGCTACCGACGAATTCGAAATCGCCACCGACAGTACTGACAGCGCAACCATCTACGCCGCCTCGGACCGGGAATCCGCGCGCGACGCTCTGAACCAGTTCATCGCTGTTTACCACCTGTACAGCGGGAAGCCCGGGGAGCAGATGGAGGGTGTTGGGGTCGGAGGATCAACCACGGAGGGGAGTCCGATCGTTGAGACGAAATACAATCCCAAGGGAGTGTCGGATGAGGTTCGGGATGAGGTTAAGAGGAGGGTCGGGCAGCGGGTTCGAGAGTTGAGGAGTGCGGTTGTTGTTTTGGAGGAGAGGGCTAGGGCTGAGTAGATTTTTGTATTCGGATTCTTGGTGACGAATTAGAGTGATGGTTGATTAGATGGTAGATGTGTATGTATCTATAGGAAGTGGTTTGGGAGTGGGTTGTGAGGTTGAGATGAAGTGTATATCATCCAATGTACGGGTTAGTCTATTCCATACGACAGGAAAGTACCGGGGCATATTTTGTAGCAGCAAAATCGAAACTCAACGTCTTCGTGGATATCAATTCCATTATTCAATCAATAGTAGGGGAACAAAGCCGCAACTCGTAAAGTAGCGCAGCAGTGTCAAACAATATATCGGATTAGATTCATGATAGCAGGTCTGGAGAAGGTGGAGTCCAGACCCGGACATAGTTCAAGTATATTTTAGTGTCCGCAAAATGAGAACGCCAAACTTGTCCCAAAGGGTTTTATAAATTTCAAGCCGTAACACGCCCGGTCACGAGTAGCGCCGTTTCCGTTTCCTCGGATAGTTGGTAGATCGTAAGAGCATGACAATCATACAGCAGAGAAGTGAAGGCTGGGGGTCGTTAGACGACAGCGAAGGGAGTGAGTGTGAAGTGACTTGGGCTGGGGGATGGGAGGGTAGACAAGGGTTCCTTGTGTGTGGTCCGTTGATGGCGTTTCAATTGGTCTAAAACAATGATGGATTAGTACTAGATCGCATTGAGTGCTCGGGCGCGGACGTACCAGGGCGAGTAAAGCTCTTGGTGCAGCCGGGGAAAGGGCATTTGTGTTTGCGCTCGCCGTGGGTCAGTCGGTGGCTGGACATGTTTGATGACTGTGAAGAGATCAGTGATGTTCAATGGGTGTGGAATGTATGATACTCACATCTCCGGTTTGGAAATTACATCCTGGATAGGTGCACTTGAATGGCTTCTCGCCGGAATGTGTTCGCGAGTGTGTTTCTGGACCCATTAGCAGGGGACCAAAAGCAATGAGAGGAAGAATACATACTCAGTTCACTGCTATCCGTGAATGTCTTCAAGCAGATCTTGCATTTATAGGGCTTGTCACCACGATGACTGCGCTCGTGTCGATCCAAGGTCGCCTGTCGAGCAAATGATTTGCCACACACGGAGCATCTGAAGTTCTTGTCTAGAGAGTTATGTATGGTAAGCCAAGCCGTAGACGTAATAGCGCAAAGGGAGTCTTACAATTGCTGTGAGTGAGAAAGTGACCCTGGAGTTTTGACTTTTGCGAGAACGGCTCATCTGGACGATGGCATCCTTCCCAGCAACAGTAGTATCCGTTGCCCTTCGCTCCATCCACTGTACTCATATGGCTGGCGACCAGATGATCTTGTAAAGCGCCTGCATCCGCAAAGGTTGCACCACAGGCAGCCTGAACCCCGTGGATCTTGGTTACCCACTTGCAAATATGCACGTCACTGTCCTCAGCAGAGAAGTCCGGGGTCGTCAAGACCGAGGATGCCCCTCCGTCCAGCGGAGGTGGGGTCTCTCCAGGGCTCGAAAGGAGATGTGAGCTCACGCTGGACCGTGACTGACGAGAGTAGGGAGAATAGGGATGTACGTGGTGGTGTCCTCGGCATCGGTGATGGTTGCGGTGTGGCCCTCGAGGGATGTGAAGGTTGAGGTCGTTAGGGTTTTTGAAGTAGCCGTGGACATGGTGATGTTCGGGGTGAACGCAATTCAAGGAGTTCATTGTAGGGTTATGCGTAGGTTTCTCGAGATGAGGGTCAAGTTGTTGTTCGGGAACATGTGGGTTCTCGCAAACAGAGTAGTCCGAACACATGCCCATCATATGGAAGACTTCTGCCGGGTTGACATCCGTCTGGGTTGGGTAGTGCTGGGTCGGAAACAGCACTTGTAGATCCCTCTGGAAGTCATGACATTCGAAGTGGTTGGATACATTCTCATCACAGTGGTTGGCATGAGACTGGTAGGAGTGTAAGAAGTCATGATGATAGCATGGGTCAAGAGGCCCCGGCATAGTATGCTCCGAGAATTTGCCCGGTTCGCCGGCATGGTGGTTCATTGTTGTCGAAGGCAGTAGAGTTGAAGTGTCCAGGGAAAGGGGGTTATTTAGGCCGAAGAAAGAGTCAAAGCCACAATCCTGGGCAGCAGTAGCATCGCAGCAATGGTCTTCGAAGCAGACGGGGTCTGTGCTTTCGCAGTTCTGCTCATCACAGTGGGCGTCATCGCAGTGAGGAACGGAACAGACGCTCGAAGCGTCGCAGTCCACGAAGCCATCGCATACTGATCCACAGTCTAGCGCGCAATCGTCTGTCTGGCAATCGTCCACATCACAGCAAGCCTCGTCGACCTCACACCCTAGAGAGTTGTGATGGTCAGGGTCCGAGCAGGGCCACTGGGGCTGGGATGTGCCCGAGGAATCCGTGGGGTCTTTGCCATCAATATGGAAGCCCTCCCAATGGCACTCGAGACAGAAAGGATCTGCCTGGTTTGGGGAAGTCATATTGCGCGCGGACCAGGTCGAAGGAAGAGCAAAAGAAAGGTGACACGGGAAGATTCAAGACCGAGGTTTCCGCAGCAAGCAGGTACCAAGGCAAAATTTGGGGAAAAGAACGGTTGAAAGACCGAGAGAAGAATGTGCGACCGCAAGTGAACCTGTGCCAGGCACAAAGTCCGTCAAGGCGAGAAGAACAAATCACGTAACCGGGCTAGTTCGATCAACAGTCTGCCGCGGACTCCAGCAGGGAAAGAAAAGTCAACTGCACTAAAAACGCCTCCGCAAATGGTCCAAGAATTGTGTCATGCGTTTAACTCGCGGGATGTGTGCTACGTCGGCCGGAGTTGGAACGACGTAATCGGAGAATAGACGAACGATCGTCATGCAGCACAAGATTGCAGGAGGGGGGCATGAGGACCTTGGGGACGTCGAAAAAAAAAAAAGAATAGCCGATTTCAGGATGTGAATGAGCGAGAATCAATGGGCGTTGCCTGCAGCCATCGGTCGAGTTTGTGGTGAGGACCCTTGGGACGACGGGGAAATGAGGACCTTGGGGGTGAGGATCATGGTGGGTCGGACGAATGGTCTTGCGTCCGTTATCAAGCGGTCAGATAGTCGATGCGACCATGGCGAAGACGGCGAAAAGGTCTGGATCTCGGCGAGAAGGTCGAAGTAAAAAGATCTTTGCCCATTCACGTTAACAGAGGCCGTGGATGTTTCTTCCACAATTTCTTCCACCGATGACTAAAAAGCCGGTTCCGCCCCGCTGCGCCGCCCCTCCTCACTGCGATTGTCAGCCCTATACTTGTCTTTCAAGGATTCTAATGGTATATGTACGCCATTAACTCTGTCGCATACACTAGGCGACTCGATCTATACGACTATATCACTGGCCATGCGGTATACCCAACGTTGCAGGATTTCAAGAATGCTGACATAATCCCACGTGCCCCGGATCGACCGTATCTTATCGCGCCATCGCAACGCTATTCCAACATGTCCGATAACCAGGCCACTTTCCAACACCTAGTATATTCTCTTATCAAATATCCCTGACACGCCTCGCCATCCAATATCGATTTCACTCTTTCATCCCAACTCTCAATTGACTCCTTCCCTACAACCCTAGCCTTCCAAACCAACAATCCCCTCACGAACACGCGGAGTTCCATCCCGTTACACCCCCGCTCTAGTCCCCCAAAACAATGGGCAACATCTGCTCCCGCTCCTCGAACGAACCCGAGGCATTCTCCGGCCCCGGCCGCGTCGTCGGCGCATCCCCGTCCTCTCCGTCTGCCGCCCCCCGAGCCCCGCTCCCCGCCAAGAACTGGAAGAACACACCCGGGCGGACACTCGGTGACAGCAGAGACACGCAAGGGGGCGCCGACGAGGCGCGGTCAAATGCTGCCATAGCAGCGCAGGTAGGCTCATCCGTCCACTGGGATTTCCTTTTGGTCTGAACCTTGCATTCTGGGATTCGACTAACATGCCCTCACAGAAACGAGCCGAGGAAGCCTCCTCGAACAAGGGCAAACTAGGCTCAAAACTCGCGGCGCAAAAGGCCAAGACCCAGACGCAGACTTTGGGCGAGGTTAGTCAAGATGAGAGAGCTGCGCGCGATGCGGATGGGGCCGAGGAGGCTAGGCGTTGGCAGTAAAATCTAGGTCTCTGAAGGGTTGAGCGTTATTTCATACTTGCGGGCATTGAGCTGGTTCTCTTTTTCTCAAATGATTCATGTGAAGCATTCGTTTTCTAGCGTTTGGCGATGATATTTTGAGTATTGCGATGCGTTTTACATTTGAGGGTTGGTTTGATATTGAGCTCTCTCTCCTTAGGCAATCTGTACTGACACTTTGCGGGGTCGTTTCCGAATGAATCGTGATGAAAAGAATCAGTTGGCATTTCCACTGCTCTTCTTTTTAGCACTTCTAATCTTGATGAAAGCCACACTATAATGATGGCCTAGATACAAAATACATTTCATTCGAGTTACATTAAATCCAATCCACCGGTGGAACGAGGCTAAACAACGTTATACCGACCACTGGCCGGCGCACGGGCGTCGCTATCAGCTGCTGCGATAGTTCCCTCCTTCAACAAGCGCATCAGCTCACGCATGGCAGTGGTAACGGAAATCTCGGTTTCGCCCTCGACCAGAATGTACAGCTTGGGTAGATCGTTGGGACCAGGTTCCTTTCCGGAAGCGTAGAAGTTGCCCTTGGTGGTAATGGATGTGCCGGTGGCTTCGAGGATCTTGGCGACGTTGGTGCGGTTGGTGACGGCCCAACGAGCTTTCTCTGTTCAGATAATAGAAGATTAGCAGCTGTTCTAGAGTGATAGATATTCAATGGGGTGGGTGAAAACTTACGGGGAAAGTCGTTGATCTCAAGCGTCGCATGGAACGCGCCAGCGTCAGGTCCACGGTTGTCGATGGGGACGCCTGATCTCATCACGCCTGCCTTGCTCAGGCGGGCGTGGATATCGGCCACGGCTGAACCGACTTTGTCCAATGGGTTCTTTGAAGCAGCGTTGGGATCCTTCTCGGTCCTGTGCACGGTGATTTTGCCGTCCAGATCGATGCCCTTGGGAACGCCAGCGAGGGGACCTGGTGGAGCCGAGGGGGCGGCGGCAGATTGCACCGACGAAAGAGCCTTGTTGAACCGATCCTCGTCGGCCTGTTTGGTCTTCTCGTCCTTCTCTTCTTCCTCGTCGCCTTCATCTCCGGTCTTGTAGGTTCGACGCTCACGCATACGAGCGGTTTCACGCTCCTGGTCAAGCCGCTCCAAGCCTTTACCACCGAACCCGGAGTTGCTGGCTTTCTCCTTACCGGCCTTGACCTTCTCCAAGAAAGCGTCCACCATCTTCTGTACAGGTTCTGGGATTTCTTGTCCACTCTGCCTGAGAGCCTTGGCGATATCCACGGAGTACCGTTCTTGGTCCTCGGTAAGGAATGTGACTGCAGTACCGGTGTTTCCAGCACGCCCGGTTCGACCAGCTCGGTGGACATAGTCCTCCAAGTGGTTGGGAGCGTCGTAGTTCACGACGAGCTTCAGTTGCTTTACATCCAGACCACGCGCGGCGACCGAGGTGGCTGTCAATATAGGGAAGATACCCGCCTTGAAATCTTCAATGGTAGAGTCACGATCGATTTGATCCTTTCCACCGTGGATGGACATGCAAGGATAACCCTTCCGCATCAGCTCCTTGAGCAGATCGTCTGCGGATTCTTGTTTTTCGACAAAGACCAAGGCCCGGGCATCCTCGTTCGCGTCATCTGCATATAGGTTGCCGAGGAGTTCCAAAAGACGGAAGAACTTCTGGTCTTCGTTCCGAACCTCCACGATCTGCGTGATCTCAGGGGCCACAACACTCCTGCCACCAACGACGATCTCAACAGGTTTCTTCAAAGCCTTTCGCGCCAATGCCTCCATATTGCGAGGGAAAGTGGCGGAGAAGAGCACCGTTTGCTTATCTGGTCGAATGTTGGCCATGATCTTCATTACCTGAGGCTCGAATCCCATGTCGAACATGCGATCTGCTTCATCGAGGACCACATAGGTGACACGTCGGAGATTGGTGACTCGGCCTCCATTAGCGGCAAGCAAATCGATCATCCGGCCGGGTGTGCAAACAACAATCTCAGCACCTCGCTTAAGTTCAGCAATTTGATCTTTGATGGGTGCACCTCCGTAGGCACATACAGCCCGGAGACCCAGTGCCTTTAAGAACGGCTTGCAGTCCTTGTGAATCTGTGTTGCCAGTTCACGGGTGGGCGTCATGATCAGGCCAATAGGGCCCTCCATGTTTTCGAGTGGCCGTTGGTCTTTGATATGACGGAACATTGGAATGAGGAAGGCGATGGTCTTTCCTGAGCCAGTTTTGGCGACACCGATCACGTCTCGACCAGACATAATGGCAGGAATTGCTTGTGCCTGAATGGACGTGAGACCTTCGTAGCCAAGCTTGTCCACAACTTCGAGTGTCTGTACACCCAGACCACACTGGGACCATTTCTGGATTGGCTTCGGAACGTCCAGACCACGAACCTTGATACCGTCAAGCTCGAGACGCAAGTTTGCTACCTCTTCTTCGGTCATATCGGCAAGATGGGACGGCTCGTTATAGAACTTTCTGCGGAAAGGCTCATATTCAATCTTCTTATGGTCAATCGTGGGAATTTCCTTTTTCTTTTTCTTATTCGCCATGGCAAGAACGTCGTCTGCATCTTCTTCACCGACTGCTGTGATGTCCACGTCATCTTCGTCTCCAAACATAGCTTGGGGAGCCTGTGATTCTTTTTTCTTGCCGGACTTGGCGCCAAATGCTTTCTTCGGCGGGGCAGTATCGGCAAGCTCTGACATGAATGCATCAAGAGGATCGACCTCTTCTTCGTCTACCTCCATCTTAGAGGGTTCAGGCTCTTGATTCGAGGAGTCGGTCATATCGATATCCCCGTTGGTTTGAGACTCTCCTTCCGGAACATCACCCTGAGTTTGATATGCCCGAGATTCGGTTTGAAGCCGCTCCTCTCGTCGTTCGGCGGCCGCTCGAGCGGCTGCCGCGGCCTCCTCCTCGGTATCTCCGTCTTGCATGTCAACGTCATCGTCCTCTCCAGCGTCATCATTCGCTTGGGCATCTTTGCTGTCGTCGAACGGAGGTGTCGGGAGGCGCTCCAGCTTTTTACGAGTCGACTCTTCCTCGCCGAATCCCAGGGTACGAGTGGCTGAGGGTTTCTCGGCATCAGAAGCAGGCTTTGCACCTAGTCCAAATCCACTGACATTGCCTTTAGCCTTCAACGGAGCAGGAGCGGGTGTAGATGGGGCAGAAGGGGCAGAGAGGGGAGCTGGTTGTTTCATGGATGGGTTGGTCGTTTGCGGGACGGCGACGTCGGTGCCAAGGACAGCTGGAGCAGCAGCGGTGTTACTTGTAGCATTCTTCGCAATTGCCTTTGGGTCAAACTTCCCGGCGTACGGAGTGCTAGCCGCAGTATCGGTGGGAGTCGTCGGTGTTTGTGGCGAGCCAACAGCAGGCGATAGGCCCGATCTCCGATCGATGGCGTCCAGGATGTTTCGGGGACCACCTGCTGCCTCCTCCTGTTGCTTTCGTTCGCGCTCCGCTGCTTGCTTCTGTTTCCATGCCTCTAATTTAGCACGTCTCTCGGCCTTCTTTTCTTCTTCGGTCTGAGCGGCAGGTGCGGGGGTCGATGGCTTGGATGTCTGGAAATATGAATCAGACTTATGACCTTTGCTAGAATCCATGGGGACAAGGGAACCCACCTCGAGAGCCCGAGAGGTGGAATGTCGGCTCGCGCCACGGTCACGGCTGTCCTCCCGTCTAGGCTTGTGCTTCAAGTCAGCAGAATCATCTGTGCGCCTGCGATCGCGGTCGCGTGAATCATCTCGCCTGGGTCGGTAATCTCTGTCGCGGCTCCTGCGGCGATAATCACGGTCATCGTCTCGGCGGCGGTCTCGGGACCTATCTCTCCGTGCGGGTCGATAGCTGTCCTCGTCGCGTCTGTCTAGGGAACGCTCGCGTCTTCGGTAGCCATCTCGGTCGCGACCAGCATCGCGATCGCGGTAACGCCGCTGAAAATAAGTGAATTGGTTAGATCGTTCACTTTCGATACAACGGAGATATTTGCCACATACCTCCGGGCTGCGGGATCTTCTGTGCCCGCGAATTTCGTCCCTTCTTTTTTCATAACGATCATCATCTCTGCGGCTGCGGCGAGATGAAGAGAATGTGCTGCCTACAGGAGATGGTGAGCGAGTATCCCCGTGGCGAGCCATTGTTGCAGGCCAACGATGAGTGAGTATTACTCTGCAGAGCACCGGGATATTAAGCTGAGGCCTGGAATGGTCACCACGCTTCCATATAAGTTGCGATGTAGCTGGGTAGTTCGGCCGTGCGGGCCACAGTTGGGATTGCCGCGATTGAGAGGCGATGATGCATTTTGCACCTGGGGGATCGCTGTCACGTGCGTCACCTGATACGCGCTAATCCCAAAGCGGAGAATACCAAACGAAGCTCGGACGCGACCCTTGACCAGCCTCCTTATCTCGCCGGTTGCGTCAGGATATGATCTTACACCCTGTCAATTCCTTCTTACTTGGTACTACACCCTCCAGGTAAACATACACCCGATCTCCAATGTCTCTGCAGTGGGCGACTCGCGCGGGTCCCCTGCGACACCTGCGCCTCAGCGCGGTCTTCTCTCGCCCAACTCGCGTGATCGCCGTGCAGAACCAGCTCCGCCGTGTATGTTTGGCGGCCAAGCCCCGGTTGGTGACCCCGCGGACCGGCTCTTTGTCTGCCCTCATCTCGCTACAATCTCGCTCCTTGGCAACCGCAACCGCAACCGAAACCGAAACCGAGACCCCAAAGGCTAAGCGTGGGCGCAAGCCCGGCTCTACCACCAAGGCGAAGTCTCCAAAGAAGAAGGCCGTCAAGGCCAAGAAGCCGAAAGTGAAGAAGCGGTTGACCGAGAAGCAAAAGGTCGTGAAGGCGGCTCGCGAGCGCCGGGAACAAATCAAGGAACTCAAGGGGATTGCGCTTGTCCCGCCCAAGAAGCTCACAGCGAGCGCCTGGCCCCTCGCGGTTAGAGAACAGGTTGCTGAGCTCAAGTCAGGATCTGGCACGTCCGTTGAGAAATTCTCAGAGGCTATCTCTAAAGCTAAGAGCCTCACTCCCGACGAGTACCAGGTACGTCCTATTCACAATACCGTTATCGACGATTCCTGACTGGCTTGCGTAGAAACTCGAAGCCCAAGCAAGCGAGAACCGGGCCATCAACAAGGCCAACTACGAAGCCTGGGTTAACTCATACTCCCCGAATCAGATCAAAGACGCCAATAGTGCCCGTCGCTTCCTGACTCGTCTCCTAAAGAAGCGCATTCCCCCAATTGAAGATGACCGGCAGGTGAAGCGACCCAGGAGTGCTTACTTTTTCTACATGTTGGAGCGCCGTGATAGCAGTGACCTCAAACCCAAGGGCGGACCCGAATTCACCCGTATCGTCGGTGAGGAGTGGTCGAAGCTGACCGATTATGAGAAGGAGGTACATATCACCATTTTTCTTCAACGTGCTTCTCTTAAATCTGACCATCTCTGTAGTCATACCAGAAGAAGCAGGTCGAAGACCGCCTGCGATACGAGCGGGAGCACAAGGAAGTGTACGGCGGGCCTGCCCCTGCGCCCACTCACAAGGAAGAGGCGGATGAGGAATAAGGGAGGTGTTTCATGTTCGGCCACGGTCGGTGTTTTGTTGGGTTGGGTCGGAAAAGAGTTGGGTTTGGATTCGTGTCGCGCCTGTGCTTCAAATGCCCTAAATCTCTCGATTCCCTATTTCCTTTGTCAATGTATTGTAGTGTGTCTGTCTGCCACTTGTATCTTCAACTTATCAGATCAACCCCGTTGTATCTCAGTTATACCTCACGAATTGCCACTGCGTTCCCAACCATTCTGCCATTGTGATCATGGTCAGATCGAAGACACGAGTCAAACATTTGAAGGCGCCACAGCTCCTCCACAGCGGAGAAACCCCCCGCACCGGTGGGTTTCGGTTCCGAGGATCACAAGTGGCGGTGAGAGTCTGGTGTTGCGCGTGCAGCAGCCTTTCTCCCTCCCTGCAGAAGATTCTAGAGTGTAATTTTCTTGCCCAACTGGATTCTACCTAGACATATTCTCTGTGAAGGTGTTCATCCCCCATATAGAGACATAAAGTTGTTGGATGTACATGCGCTATACTTGTATACACCCGGAACGAGCTTTCGCCGCTCCGGCCCCCGCATCGAGTCCTACATACATCAAGTACAAGTACCACCCTAAAGCACGAAGTACCAAGGCACGAGAAAAAGGATTCCTGCAACTGCAACCTGGTTGTTGATTCCATGCAGACGGGCCTACCCGCTAGTCGGGCACCCACGGTCCACGCAGCGGGAATCCGTGGGTGAGGGGTGCAGGTTCCTTGGTACGAAGTACGATGCGGTGTAAACAACAGGTACAAACATATTGAGTACACCATACACACCTAGGTAGGTAAAGAATGTAGGAGTATGCATGTCACCAGTATAGCACCCATGGCTAAAACCCAGCATGCGAACTCCCCTACTTCGCGGCCCCTTGGGCCGCTCAGTGGAGGGGGAATCTCGTTATCGATAGGACCGCCGTCGCTGCAACATGCGCGAAGTCTGTGCGACGATGCAGAGCTTGGTACTTGTGGCTTGCTTCCTACAGGTGGAATGCATCGTACGGTATACTTCAAAGTTTTTACACGAGTGCTCAGATTTCTTGGTTAGCACGTACGAAGTATATCGAGGGTTTTGCGAAAGCGATCACCCGTTCGCCCAGCCATCCGCTTTTTTAGATTTTGGGTTTTTTCTCTATCTATGTTATCAAGGGCCACGAGTCGAGCCGAACGGGTGTTCGTGAGTAAAAGATTATACGAACCTTTATTCATTTGGATCTTGGAAGGGGAACGTTAGGGGGAATTCCAAGCTTGCAATAGTCCATAGGAAGGAGTACTCAGGGAGGAATCGGGGAAGTGTACACCACTCAATGACGGATGATCAACCTCCACCGCCTCAAACTTTTTATCCCTGCCTCCAGCGCATCCCAAGATCCCTTTTCTTCTGATTACTTTTCCTCCGTGTGCTTCCATCTTTTGCTCTTGCAGAGATCCCTTATCGCGCTCTACATTCTAGCGATCGCCTCAGTCAACACTGCGATCCCTCCGATCCCTCTCGGGCACCTGATTTCGCGCCGGTCGTGCAGGGTGGCTATTGTGCTTTTGTCCTGCTATTTGCTTACGAATACGAGACCGCTAATCGAACGACGAATTCTTCGCAGCTATCGCCCTAGCCCAGTCGTTATCCTCCCGCCTGTGAGCCTGTCCTTGACTCTTACCCAATCGACGTCTCCCGCGGGGGATTCATTCCAACCCGCCGCCCCATGTGTTCTCTCCCCGCAATCCAGCGGACGGGTCACTAGTCGGCCGTAGGCCAACTCAGCACTCGCTATTTCGATATGGAGATAAGCGCGTTGGTTCCTTACGAATGCGTGGGACAGTGCGACAAGGGCATTGCGGAGAGAACCCGCTGGGAAGATGCAGTGAATAGGCACATCGATGATGTCTGGAGCGCTCTTGTTGAGGGACACCCTGGAGGTTCTGCGCAGCTGGAAACTCTGCGCAAGGACGAATTAAATTTCTGTTCTCCCGCGCTCCCGTTGTACGCCACTCCTCCGCCGTCATACGATGATGCGATTGCAGATCTGCCTCCGGATTACTCTACGCTCCCACCGCTTGCGACGCGAAAGATCATTGTCTCGGATGCTCCAGGAACTCCCGCGACCAAGTCTCAAGATCAGTCATCTGCGCTGCTGAAAGATTGCTCGCTGGATGTCTACATTGATTTCGAGAACCCTGTCGGGATTCGCGAACATAAGAAGAAAAAAGGCCCCACTGCTACGAAGAAGGCAACCCAGGCTTCTCCGCCACCAGACAATGGTGGTGGCTCGGACAATGCCGAGGACGATCAAGGTGCGGGTGATGGAGGTGGGCATGCCGGAGGTGGAGATGGAGGCGGCGGTGATGGCAATGGTGACGGGGACGGTGGAGGGGATGATAGCTGGAACGACTGGACTACGAGCGGCTCCAAAAAGAAGAATAAGAAGAAGGAGGAGGAAGAGGAGGAGGAGCGGAAGGCTGCAGAGGCCGCGGCTGGCAACACTCTCAGCTGGGCTGATGACGTGGACGTAGGAGGCGCCGATGATTCGTGGGCCGGATTCGCGACTGTAGGGAAGAAGAAGAAAGGAAAGGTAAGTCTAGAAATCCACGGCATTTTGAATCTGTCTGACCCCGACTGCAGTCCGAAGCTCCACCTGGCGGGTTCCAAGACGTGAGCCTGGGTGACGGGGCCCCGCAGCTTGATTTGAATTTCGACTCCGGCACCAAGACCGGTGGCACTGGCTTCAGTTTTGGTGGATGGGGCAAAGATTGGAGCACAGGCAGTGGTGGTGGTAGTAGTGGTGGTGGTGGTGGTGGTGGTGGTGCCAGTGCCGGCAACAAATGGGGCCTTGGAGCCATTGGCGAATCGGCTCCGAAAGAGGAATCCAAAGATACGAATCCCTGGGGCTCCGTAGGCTCTAAGAAGAAAACGACCAAGACGACGACTGGTTTTGATTTCGGTGATTTAGGTCCTACACCGGTCGAGGAGCCCAAAGTGGACGATGACTGGAGTGGATTCACCTCCGTTGGGAAGAAGAGCAAGAAGAAGGACGATCCACCTCCCGAGCCTGAACCGGCTGCTGAACCTAGCAACGACGACTGGGGTGTCTGGGGAGCCGCGACCAAGGACAAGAAGAAGAAAAAGAACTTGCTGGATGTCGACCTCGAGCCTGAACCGGCCCCCAAGCCTGCTCCTGAACCCGAACCTGAAGAACCGGATGAGCCTTTAGTTGAAATCCCTGAACCTATCACGGAGGAGGCTTGGTTCATAGGCCTTTCCAAGAAGGACCAGCGAAAGGAGAAAAAGAACTGGGAGAAGAAGGTGAAGGAAGCCGAAGAACAGCGTCAAGCCCAACTGGATGCCAGGCAAGCCAAGGCAGACGCAAAGAAGGCCAAAGAAGAGGAAGCCAAAGCCAATGAGGTCGCCCCTCCCGAACCGGACAACGACTGGGGCTTGAATGTCTCGTCCAAGGACAAAAAGAAGAAAATTGACCTTCTGGCTGACCCTGAGCCTGCCCCCGCTCCCCCACCAGCAGAAGATGACTGGGTCGACGGCTGGGGCACCGCATCGAAGAAAAAAGATAAGAAGTCCAAGAAGGAGCCCGAGCCAGTGATTGAGGTTCCACCACCAGAACCCATAAAGTCCAAGAAGGAGCCCGAGGATGACTGGGATGGCTGGAATGTAACTTCCACCAAGGACAAGAAGAAGAAAAAGGACAAAGAGCCAGAACCTGAACCAGCACCGGAACCCAAGCCTGAGCTTGAGCTTGAGCCTGAGCCTGAACCTGAACCTGAACCTGCGGTGCCAGATGATCCTTTATACGAAGGCTGGGCCGCTTTATCTTCCAAAGAACGAAAGAGGCGCGAGAAAAAGCTAATCCAGAAGGGGCTCCCTATTCCTGGAAAGGACTTTGAACTTCCCTCCGACAAGCCCGCCGAGCCAGAGCCCGAACCGGAGCCTCCTGCCGAACCAGAGCCTAAACCGAAGCCCGAGCCCGAGCTAAAGCCAGAACCTGAAAAGCTGGATGAAGACGATGCTTGGGGTGGTGTCTGGGGTACGACCAAGGATAAGAAAAAGAAGAAAAAGGGCATGGACATCGATGAGCCTCCGCCGCCAGCTCCGACACCTCCCGCCCAAGGTCTTACTCCTGAACCTGAATCTATAAACGACAATGCCGACGACATCTGGGCCGATCTTGCTCCCAAATCCAAGTCTACGAAGAAGAAGGCTATCGAGCCGGCCAAGGAAGAAAAACCAGCCGCCAAGGGCTTCTGGGCATCTTTGACTAGTGGCTCTGCCACCAAAACCAAGTCGACGAAGGAGAAACCGAAACCTAAGGAAGAGGATCCCGAGCCTATCCCAGAGGAAGATCTACTCATTGATGTTGATGATCCACCAAAGGAGGCTGAGCCGGATCCCGCACCAGAGCCAGAGCCCGTTGAGGAAAAGCCAAAGAGCAAGACCAAGCTGTCTGTGGCCGAGCGCATCAAGGCCCTGGAACAGAACAAGAAAGATAAGGCAAAGGAGGAGAAGCTGAGCTCTAAAAGCAAATCCAAGGAGAAGAAGGCTGAGCCCGAACCAGAGCCAGAGCCAGAGCCAGAGCCCGAACCTGAGCCCGAACCCGAACCCGAACCTGCGCCGGAACCTAAGCCAGAGCCAGAGCCAGAGCCAGAGCCAGATCTTTCTAAGATGTCTAAGAAGGAACTGAAGAAATACAAGAAAGCTCAAGCCGAGAAGGAGGCAGCTAAGGAGGCAGCTCAGGCAGAACCCGAACCTGAAGAGGAAAAGCACGATTCTGTGCCTGGGAGTTTCCCAGATGAAGAACCCGCCGACCTGGAGCCGGCCCCTGAACCTGAACCGGAGCCAGAGCCAGAGCCAGATCTTTCTAAAATGTCTAAGAAGGAACTGAAGAAATACAAGAAAGCTCAGGCCGACAAAGCAGCCGCCGCGCCTGCCAAGGAGCCTACTCCGCCTCCCGTCCCAAAGCCTGAGGAAGCAGGAGACGCAGATGGTGGTGCTCCTCCGACACCTGCCCCAGAGCCTGTTGAGACGGAACCTGCTAAGTCGTCGAAGAAAGAGCGCCCGCGCGTGGAACGCACTGGGACAAGCTCTGGCTGGGGCTTCTGGGGAGCAGCACCGCCACCGAAGAAATCCAGCAAGAAGGAAAATAAAGCCCCCGAGGAAGCCGAGCCGCCGAAGGATGAGAAGGAGGATAAAGAACCTAAAGAACCTAAGGAGCCTAAGGAAATCATAGAGGAGAGAAGAGCAAGAAAAGAGAAGGAGGAGAGAAGAGCGAGGAGAAAGGAGAAAGAAGCAGCACGCGAGCGGTCTCCTTCAGCCGCTGTACGATCAAAGTCCACAAAATCCCGACCCAAAGAATCCGACGCGGAGATGGAAAGATCATCGTCAGACAGAGAGAAGCGACGGGAACGGGAAGCGCGTTCCTCAAAACAGCAACGCGCTACGACCTTGTCCAACTTCGTATTCGGCGCGCCCCCGCCACGAAGCAAATCCACCAAGAAACCATCAGCAGCTACAAGACCATCATCGAAACCGGCGTCCAGACGTCCTTCTGTTGATGCGGATGGTGAAGCTGCCATGCCGACGCCACCCCCTGACGATAAGCCCGAGGTGGCTGATAAGGCAGCCAAGTTGATGGGCATGAGTGCGGCTAAGTCGAGGCGGGACAAGGATCGTCCACGTGCTGAGAGGAAGAAGTCAGGTAAGAATCACGTTTCACTATTTACTTTCATTTCCAGATCTAATTCACTTCTTCAGGCCCAAGGGACCCATATGCCATCGAGGATGATGACATGGTCGTGGTCGACATGGAAGACGCCGATGGACAGTCGCCGAAGGAAGGCTCGAAGGGATCGAAGCACAAGTCAAAACGAGAGGTTAGTAATCACCTCACTCGCCTACCTCGATATCTGCTAACGTTGATTTTTTCTAGTCGCGCCCTAAATCAGCCGATGACGATGCTGTCATGGTCGATGCAGAGCAGGCGCGCGGAGGGGCGGACGTTGCATCGGGTCCTGACGATCTCGCCTTCGCCGATCCCCCTAAAGAACGACGTGTGAAGCGGTCTAGCACAGTACCTAAGAAGCAAGAGACCGGTGGACTGATGGGACTATTTGGCTCCTTGAGAAAGACCACACGCCCTGAACCTCCGGAAAGACGAAAATCTCGCTCGACTCGCGATGGGGGTATGACTGAGCCAGAGCGCGAGGAGCGACGTGTACGACGTGATGACCGCCGCCGTCAATCCGTCCGACCCGAGACCGATGCTGAAGGATTTACCACCGATGCAGCCGGGGCAGCTGCAGGTGAGGCGGAGGCCGAAGACCTGGAAGCTCGCAAAGCTGCTCGGCGAGCCAAGCGCTCATCTCGCCAGGCCCCGTCTGACTACCGCGAGATAGAAGCTCGAGAGGCGGAAGAACGACGGGCCAAACGCAAAGAAAGAGAGCGAGCCCGTCTAGCACGTGAGCAACAGGCCCGTGAAGAGGAAGAGGCCAGGCGTCTTGCAGAGAAACAAGCTCGTCGCGCGGCACGCGAAGAACGCCGCGCCAAAGAAGAGCAAGCCGCGCGCGACGCCGAAGCAGCAGCCGAAGCCAAGGCCGCCGAACGACGCGAGCGCCGCCGCCTCCGTGAAGAAGAATTGGCCGCCAAAACCAAACGCCGCCGTTCTCGCGTCGAAGAGCCTGTTCCAGAAGTCTATCCTGACGAAGCTGACGACCGACGCCGTGGCTCACGTACAGCAGACGACAAAGACCGCCATCGGCGCTCCAAAGCCACCCCGCCAGAACGCACACGCGCTCCCCTGATGACAGGCGGTATCAATCATGGAAACACAGGGGGACCCAAGAAAGACAAGATATCCTCCTGGGTATACAGCCAATCCGATGACCCCCCAGACCCACCACCCGTCGTAGAAACAGTCATCGACATGCCCCCAGCAGGCACCGCGGCTGCAGAAGCAGCAAACGCCCACTCCCTCTCCTCAGACGAAGAAGCTCGTCGCGCTGTCCGCCGTCGCGCCCGCCGTCGCGCTAAATACGGCGACATTCCCGATGAAGAAATCGATGATCTTCGCTCACGCCGCCAGTCGCGCGTGAAAAGTAGCTCAGGTAGTGGTGACTACGAGCGTGATCGTGGGATGCGGTCTCATGGGAGTCGGCAGGGAGCCCCGACTGCTTCGGGAAATAAGAAGTCAAGCTGGTTTAAGAAGCTTACTACCTTTTAACACAAGGGCCTGACGTACGACGAATTTGTTGATACCCTGGCGAATACGGAGTATATGATTATGTTTTCTTTGTACAGTCGTTCTCGAAATCGCCCTGACCAATATATGCAACTTCCCGCGGCCTACGTAGCCCTGTAAATCGAGCCTCGTACTCTCCCGATCAGTAAGGACGCCTTTCCAGCAACTGCGTGATACATTGGCTCCACAGGCCCCGCTCGTCCCACCCAGGGTCTGTGCATTTGTCAATATCTAGACATCCTCGGAGCCTCCTACTCTTCCCAGGGTCTGTGCATTGCCTATATCTAGGCATCCTTACCTCCCGACCCTCCCATTCAACCCAACCTACTCAACCTACTCAACCTACCCAGCGGTCCCGAAGGTTGTGTGCAGTCTTCCGAGCCTGGATTTTCAGTCCGTAGATACAGCATATGCAGGACCTCAGTAGCCCTCTGATGATGGAAGAAGATAACGGGTCGGGACAGCAGATCCCAGAAAACATCACGGCACTCGCACAAGGCCAGTTTCTCAATGCAAGTCTAGCGTTGGGTTTCCACCGATTCCGAAGACCTTAACCTAACACGTCTTTTCATAACGCAGGACGCCCTCAGCTATATGGATCAAGTCAAGGTGATATTCGCGGATCAGCCTGATGTTCATACTCGTTTTGTGGACCTGATGAATGACTTTAGAAGTCAAGAGTGAGTTTTCCCGTTGGCCAATCTTCGCACTCTTAGCCTGATTTTATGACAGAATTGATACGCTCGGTGTGATTCAACGCGTTTCCACTCTCTTCAATGGTCATCCAGTCTTGATCGAAGGGTTTAATACGTTCTTGCCCCCAGGCTACCTCATTAAATGCGGCACCGGCGATAACCTGGGTGCCATTTATGTAACCACACCCTTGGAGACCAAGACATTGAGTATGCTTCGCGCAGGGCCGTCTTTGGAAAAGGGCTTTCCAAAGGGGTCGAACAGTGGTGACTCGGCGGAATAGAATAGGGGACTTTATATTAAATGTGCCACCTTGGGTAAGGGCGTCTATCTTCTCTCGAAAGAGCTGGATATCCTGTTTCGCATTCTTGATGTTGTTGAGATATTTCTCATATATTTGGACGATACTTCCAGTCAAGCGATAACGCTACCTATATCCGAAAGAGGATGCGTGATCAACAAGGCTTCTACAGTATAGGCGATATGAAAAGTAAAAGTAATACATCGCTAAGTATGGTAGATACAAGAGCGCCTATGCCCCTCAAAGAGAGGTAAGCCTCAAAGCGAGGCTAATAGTAAATTGGATCCTAACTAGCGCTTACCCCGAAACATTGACTCATATGACTAACACAAGGGTGAGAGATGGGGCCGAAAACTAGGCTCCAGGCGCCCTCTCGGCATGATTCGCAGAGATAGACTCTAGTTTTCTATGGAATTATACCGAGTTATCGGCTATGTTGCCTAATTTATGTTCAGATGATTCGGCTTCCTTTCCTGCCTTTGGACATTGTAAGCGTCTTTTCGGACATGTTTCTGCCGTCTTTCTAAGCGCTTCGAACTAGCCTTTGAGGGATGAATATTCTACTACCTGATAAAAAAAGTCGAAAGATCGAGCGAGGCACGCCGTCAAGCCAAATGCGCACGCAGAGTTGAAAGCACTGAGAGATCTCCACTAGATGAAATGCGACGTGGTGCCAGAACTATCTGCATGGATACGAATATGGCATTTTTCCAAGTGATCATATTGTATTTACTCCCTGAGAAAAGGTCAACGGGCAGGCTATCGATCAAGAGACATTCTGGGGACTCTATCCTGCCCCCGTGCCAGGGAACTTTCACGCACTTTCGTAGTCTACTCGTATGTTTGTTTATCCGGATTTTACCGTTTCAAGCGTCCATGTGTAGTAAATGTTGCTCCGAAGGCCCAAAGAGTTTCTAAATGGATTTTGTATCAGATGTCTAAATCAAACAGGGATCTTTACCTCTGCATTCCCTGCCAATATCAAACTCTACATAACGGCGTCCCCCTCCTCCGCCCCTCCGACACCCTCAATCTGCTTCCTCCGATTCTCCAAAAAGAACCGCCCACCCTCATACATACTCAAATACAAACTAACCGCAATAGCCGTCCACCCCGCCCGAATAGCACCACCTTTAAACAGCCCCCTCACTCCCTCTTTCACAAAGATCTCCCTCCCAACAGCCAACGCTCCCTTCTTCGCCTTCCCACCAGCCTGGCCTTGGCTACTTTCCGAACTAGCAGAAAGCATAACTCTCGTCTTCACAACATCAATCGGCGTCGTCACAAGCGACGCAACCGTCCCCGCCATACCCGCACTCATCCCCGTAACACCAGCCCTCTCAATCAACTGTTCCTTCACCTCCTCCCCCTTCCCTTTCACATCCCTCCTCCCCCTCCTCCAATCCAGAATCCGTGAACGCAGATACTCAAAAAGCGGAAACTGTAACCCCGTCATAGGCAAATTTCTCCCTACGAGCGCAGTATACCCACTCCACAGCTTCCAAGGCCGACCCTTGAATTTCCAGAGGACTTGTCGCACAGGCGCAATGTTCGAACCACTTGCTTGTCTATCGATCATCTGTGCATTCTGTTTGATGACCTCGGCGGGCGTGAGCATCAGACAGGACACCATCTCTCCAGCTGATGATGCGATGCCGTGGATAACGGGAACGGGGAGGGAATGGGTGAATGGGAGTGGGATGACTATTCGCGATCCTTCGTAGTATTCCGGATTGGAGTCTTGAGAGTGGGTTGATGAGGAGTGAAGGGTGCATTTTACGGCTTCGTAGGTTGTGAAGAATGCTCCTGCTGTGGATGGGGTTAGCAATTGGGGTTTGGTATGGAAAAGAGGCGGGACACATAAGTGACTTACATGATGGGATGGTGGAGAATACCACGCTCCATACGCCTTGGTATAATCCTTTGTATAGGACATTGCGTCGAATTGCCCCCGTACGCGCGTCCTTGAAGACTCGCTCATAGTTCGGGGATTGGATGCGCGTTTTGAGTGTGTCGAAGGGGTAGACGATGAAGTCGACTGTTATTGCGGCGAAGGCGCCAGCCTAGAGTCGGAAGAAGCTTGTCAGTCGGCTTGGAAAAGAGATACTTGGTTTGGACATTCGTGAACGATCACGGAAGCTCGGAGTATGCGGGTATCTAGGCTGGACTCACAAACCAAATGTCGGAGTGGCTATTGTACATTATGCATGCATGGGGAAGTGTATGACGGTAACAAGGTGCTGAAGGAGATCTGAGGAGTATAAGCTTTTAGGAAAGGGCATTTTCCTGACTTCATAACTGCCCTGATTGCAATCTTATCGGGCCGATCACTCATCCAGAATGAGGTCATATCAATATCACGTGATTGATAAGTGCCCTATATTGGTTAGGGCTGGCTGTACTCTGGGGTAAAAGGTAAAAGAAACCAAGATAGTGATTGCAGGAGTATGCAGGCAATGATAAAGTAAATATCTAAAAGGTCGCTGTTTTCTATGAGCTATGCGAGTCCATATATCTCATCAAACATCAGACAGGAAGACTCGACTCGTCATACAATAATAAAAAAGAGGAAGTCGTATTAACATCCCAAGAGAACATTTTCCCTCCCTACGCCGTAAAAAGGTCATGCAATCCCAAAATCCCCATCTCCATCTTATTTCGCAGTCTCACCGGGCAGCATGTTGCCCTTAACAGCGAACATCTTGCCGGTAGTCGACGAGACGAAGCTGTCGACCTGGCGCGAGAACTGCTCCACCTGGCGGGTGTTGAGCATAGCCTCCAGCCGGCTGGGCTCGGCGGGAAGCTTGAACAGACGCTGCCACTCGTCCTCGGGAAGGAGGGGCTGCTTAAGCGTGGCCCGGGTGGCGTTCTCCTGGCTGCGCTTCTGCTTCCAGTTGTTGATCTTCTGTTGCTCACGGCCGAGCACACGCTGGTAGTATTGGTAGTTGTTGGTCTCGGTGTTGTGTGCCTCGATGCTATCCAGGAGGAGGTCGCAGTTCTTCTCGAGGAAGGGGTCGATGCTGAGAGACAGGTTGTCGAAATTGGGGGTGAAGGTAGAGGACTTGGAGAAGGGGCTAGACTCGAGAGCACTGAGAGAGGGCGGGAGGTCGGTAGGCCCGGAGGTGCTGGGGCACTGCAGCTGGTGGATGAAGGAGGTGATCAGGTGCGAGTTGTGGATCTCAATGGGCAGCTCTTCGAAGATATCTTGGTAGCGGAGGGTGGACTTTTGCAGCCTGCAAAAGAGTCAGTATTATAACGTAGCATTCGAATTTGGCACAATAACATACTCCTCCGAGTTGAACTTGTTCTCCTTGAACGCCTCCATGAACTTGGCCGAAAGGCGGAAAGCCCGCAGGCTGAGGGCACCCTGGGCGCTGCGGCTAACATCGTGCACGAGAGCGACTGTCCGCTCGTTCAGCTCCTTCTGGTAGAAAAATTGGTTCTCGATCACGTTCATGTTCACGAAGTTGCCCATGTTGGCGCTGGTGTACCAGCCGACGTTGTTCGCATCGATGTTGACCTCGCGCATCATCCGAATCATCTCAGCCTGATAGACTCCGTTGGCCTTGGTGCGGGGAGCAGAGGCAGCAGGGTTGGGGGCGGCGTTGTCGAAGTGCGACTCGGCGGGAGTCTCGACCACGGGGAGCGGGAAAGAGTTGGTGACCTCGAGAAGACCCTCGTTATCCAGGCCGACGAGGGAACCGGTCGCAGTCGTCGGGAAGGTCTGGGAGCAGTGCTTGATGATTTTCATTACCACCTAGAGTGTCCGACATGAGTATTTCTCGCTGGCGAGGGTAGAGCAGATTTTCAAGATTCGGGGAGTTCGTACCAGGGCCTCGACCTTGACGGCCACGAGGGGGCTTTGGGATCTGGAAGAGTATTAGCATAGGGATTCCGCTAAGGCAGAGATCAATACATACTCGGCCATATTGAAGCGTGATGCACCGGAAGTGGAGGGGGTTGGGTTGGAGAACAAGTCGAAGCGTTTCGGAAGGTTGTGTGAAAGGATTCCCTTTGGGTTTAGCGTCGTATGTAATACCATACATGGTTGTGGGTGGGAATCGAGGGGTAAAAACACACGTTTTACACGAACCCTTTTCATCGTCCGCCTTCAACTCCGCATCTTAGTTCTTGACATTTTCGATACTTTCTCGAGCAAGTCGGAATGCTCCACACTGCTTCAATTGGTCCTTAAGACTGTCTATTCTTTAATTCATCTAATCATGTACTATTCTCACTAACTGCACCAGATCCACTGAGTGGCAATCGCAGACCTTAGTCATGTATAGCGGATCCTCCTCCGCATGTCCCGCTTCTGATTGCGATCAAGAGTTGACCTGTAGACACGCAACCCGACATGGCCTCCGCAGGAAAACGGACCGTGACTTACGGTCGGCATAGCACGCTACAGACCATCTCTATCACCGCCTTAGAACCTCGCAAGGATGCATACTGGGTGATGTACGGCACTTCCCCTCCACCACTCCGCTCGAGAGACAATGGACTGACAATTGACAACCAGCTACATCCATGGTGGCGCCTGGCGAGATCCCGCGGTAACATCAGAGGCCTTCGACAAAGCCGAGTCGATCCTCCGCGCATCAAATCTGCCCATCTCCGGCTTCGCATCTATCTCCTACCGGCTGAGCCCGCACCCGAAGCTCCCGCAAGCCCCATCGACCACTCCGCCACGAGAATTCCGCTCTGCAAAGCACCCGGACCATATCCGGGATGTCGAGGCTGCGCTCGCATTCCTCCAGAACACGTATGGGTTTGGCCCGCGGTACATTCTCGTCGGCCATAGCTGCGGCGCAACGTTAGCCTTCCAGTCCGTCATGGGCGCTATCGCAAATCACAGAGAAATGGCCTACAACGGAGGTGCAGATGGCTGCGGTCTTGGCGCTGAACCTATCTCTACGACTCCGGAACCTTTGCCGCCGCGGCTACGGGCGAAGCCTACGGCCATTGTGGGTGTGGCGGGGATCTATGATCTCCGACGGCTGGTCGATACCCATCGGGGGATCTCAGCGTATCAGGAGTTTACTGAAGGTGCATTTGGGGCGGATGATTTGCTCTGGGATGCGGTTTCTCCGGCACAGATGATGGGGTCCCGTGGTATTGAAGGTGGTTGGAAGACTGGCAGGTTGGTTGTCTTGACTCGTTCTCCGGACGATGAGCTTGTGGACCAGTCCCAGGATGAGGCAATGGTTGACGCGTTGAAGGGGTGGGAGCAGACGGAGGCTCAGGTTCCTCCGGATGAACTCACTCACAAGGATCGTCGTGTGCGGACGCTGTCGATTGGCGGTGCTCATGACGATGCCTGGATCAATGGTGATGGGATTGCTCGCTCGGTCAAGTTTGCCTTTGAGCAGTTGCAGGAGATGGGACTCGCTCCTCAGGCTTGATCAAAGATAGAGATGGACGTTATGTGTTTGACCATTGTGCAGAGGGGCATCGAGGCAGAATTATGTATATACGTTAGATTTTCAAGTATTTATCTTATAAAATGCTCATAAATTGGCATAGATGTGGGGGGGATCATGAAAGGTTGACGTTTCAACTAATATAATGAAGCTTAAGATTTCTTCATTCATATTTCAAAAAGCCTTAAAAGGTATGATGTAGGTACAATGTAGGCCTTGAAACGCCATTATTCGTAAACGCATAATCACGGAAGATCAAATTACAGGAAGTCCCTTGTACGCCAAATGTTTGCTCATAAGATCCCCGTATGGGATCAGTTGCCGAGATCCATCCGGCCTGATGCAGTCTCCGCCACCACCTTGTCAACTTTCGCGCCCTCCGGCTCTTCGACGTAATCAAAAGCGTCATCTTCACTCTCACTTTCCTCGATGAATTTGTGGGTCATGTCGAATTCAGCGAGGCGCCAATGCAGATCCTCGCGCCAGCCGTCTTGCCAGCGAGCGAGCGCAGCCGCCGCGTGCACTTTGAAGCCATAGATTCGGGGTTCATAGCGGCGCATGCTCTTCTCGGGGTTCAGGGCGGGATAGACTTGGAACAGGATAGAGTGAAAGGAGGTTCCGAAGTAGGCACCGTCGATGGAGGCATGTCGGGAGGATTTGGGGTTGTAGATGTCCTCGCACTTGGGACAGTAGAGCTTGACGGTGCTCATGTTAGGGAGATCGGACTGGCCCATGGGCAAAAGCGGGTGTCCCTCGCAGATAACGCGGGGGCACTTTCCAAAGTCGCATTTCTTGTATTTGTCAAGCTATTCAAACAATGTTAGTTGGAGCGCTGGGGAAAGAGTGCCGATGTCAGGTACCGGTGTGGACATACCATCTTAGCAAGGCCACGGGTAGTGACGATGTAGCGCGCATGGACAAGACCGTAGAGATGGCGGGCAGACTTTTCGATCTGCTCGCGCAGATCATCATCGGCATCGAGGTCGAAGACATCTGTGACAAGGTCGAGCGCATATTGATAGTAGGGGACCTCAGTGTTCAGACCAGTCAAGTTGAAGCGATCCGTCAAGTAGTCCTCGTCAATCTCGCAGAAATACTCATTTCCTCGGGAAGAGACAAACTAAAGAGCACATATGACAATTAGCGGCGTTCATGCGAAAAGTCGATAGCAATAGATTATGAAAGAGGCAGTCCGTAGCCCGATTGTCTCGCAGCACAATGTAACGCCGAGAGGTGACTCGCTCGGAGCTTTCTGTTCCAAGAAGAATCGAAGCAAGGGCCGAGTGTCGATCTGAACCTGGCACTGAAGCACAAGTGCACACCTCGTGATGCAGCCGGGCGGGACATCGCAGATCATCAAAAGCACAAAGAACCTACCCAGTCTCTCCAGTAACTCGTGTAGTCACTATCCGTCTCGCTGTTGAAGTCCTCCATCATGGTGAAGATTGTTGCTGGAAAGGATCCGTTCAGGCCGGGTGCGCACTCGGAGGGGTGGGTATGTGGCAACCACAGAGCTTGGGTGGATCAACCCCGGGGTGCTGGAAGCCCCAACTGCGGTGCTGCTGAGCAATTCCGGTAGGAGATCCGTGTCGGAGCTGGAGAACACGGACAAAATTCGCGCGATGTTGTGCGGGTCGATGGGCTGGAGAGTCGAGGGGAGACCAACTGCGCCCGCCATCAATTCGATAAAGTGCGGGCGGTGTTCTGCCAGATGTGGCTACACCGCCTTCACTGTGATCTACGGCTGTTTTGGGACTTTACTTTGTTCTTCTTGCACATGCATTGATAATTCTCATAGGGTGAACTAATATTGACTGATTTTCAAGTCGAAAAAGGTGTTTCATTCAACGAAATCTGTAAAATAACTATTGATAAAAAGAAAATCCAAATGAGTGGAGTGGTATCACGCTGTCGTTATGTGACCCGGCAAGCCAGGATAAAATCAAAACCAAGTAATAAAGCGAGAGAGAATGGGAAAAGATTGGTAAAAGCCCAATTTAACCGGGTTCAACGTCGAGCGCGATCACATTCAGCCAGGAACCTGTGAATTCCCCCGGCGCCGTCGTACTCGGATGAACTCTCCGGCAGACCAGCGCTCGAGAGTTCTTGGAAATACGCTCGATCACCAAGCTCACTGACGTTGATGCTTGAGTACGAAGACGAGGATTTCCAAGGGTTACTGCCGAACAACTCCTTGTCGTCAAAGCTGATAGCAGGACCGGAATCGAGACCAGAGTCTTTTGAGAATGGACTTTCCGGTGTGATCATGCCATGCCAGTCGAGATCATCGGAATACTGGGTCTTGTGAAGTGAAGCTTTCTCGAAGAAATACTCTGTATCGGACGACGGGGCAACGCTGGGGGCGAAGGGGAACAGAAGAGCCAGATCTGCGCCAGTGCGAAGTTCGAAGTCTTCGTCCTGCACAATGCGGCCTCTTTGAACACCCACCTCGTCGCATAAGCGCTCAACGGTGTCCGCATCACAGCCAGGGAACCGGATGCGAATGATGGATCGATCATGAAGCATGATCGGGAGGTCACCAAGCGTCGACAGACGTTTAAGATCGTTCATCACCATGGCAAATTCCTTCAAAGCGCGAGCAAAGTCGGCAGAAAGCAGGTCCATCAAGCCATCCGAGTTCAGGGTCTCGACGGCAGCGGAGCCAGACTTCTTGTTCAGAACGCTGAATGCACCGAAGGCGGTGATGGTCGGGGAAAGTTGGAAGTCAAGGTGCGATCCAGGGGCGTTGTGAGGGATCGCGGTCATCTTGCGCCCAGCCTGGTCCTGAAGAGCGCTGACAGCCTTGTACCGCTTCTCGCCAGTGCGATGATCAATACCGTCAAAGCGGACTTTCTGTCCCGAGAGGAAAAAAGCACGAACTCCCTGGGAGACATTCTGGATCACCTGGGCCGGAGCCGCAGGGCCATGGGAGAAATACCGAGCACCGCCGAAACGACCAGCTCCAATAGCATATCCACCCGCAGTACGACTGAGTGTTCCGCCGGTGAGGTTAGGACGAAGTGTGGATGCGAACGGAGCGCGGCTTGTCAGCCGACTAATGTTGGAAGCGACACGAGAGGTCTTGTAAGCACCAACATCAGCCTGTGCTCCACGGACGGCCGAGACGAAGGCATTGGCAGCGCGGGTCGAGAAGTACCGGCTGCGGGACTGGCGGATGGCCGCGACGCGATTAATCGGCTGGCGAGAGTTGATTCGCGCATATGCAGGTTGGTATCGCAGTGAAGCTTGTTGCGTAGGTTCCGGTAGTTTGGCTCTTATGGCCCTGGATGCCTTCTCATAGGCGAACCTGCGGTGATGTCAGTTGATGAGTCAAAGGCGATGAAGAGGGTGAATTAGAGAACGTACCTAGCTGCTCTCCATATCTTGGGGAGCAGCAGGTGCCCATTCGGAGGCGCCATACTGATGATCAATAGATGTATTTACCCTGAGTAAGATGGGGAAGATGAAAGGGAGTGCCTGATGACGGGGGAGGGCGCCTTATCGGATCGCCTCAGGCAGATAAGCTGTGGCGGTGCTTTGCCACGCATGTGACCCGGCCAACATTCTACCGCGTTGAAACGAGCATTGTGTAAACTTAGATTGGCATGGGTGGGATGGTGATGAATTCTACTGCAGAGATTACCAGGGCTCAATCTTGGTGGCTGGTGTATGCCGACCTCGGGGTGCATTGCTCTATAACACCATGCAGGTAGCAATTGCAAATATCACTTTGGAGGTATCCAGCAAGATCGGCTCGCAATACCCGAGGGAATCACCATAGTCTATCCGGGAGGAAAAGGATCCGGTAAGAATGATTATTTATTCGATATTGTGACTTTGACCGAGTTCATGAAAAGGCAACAATATGATAATGAAATTGTCGCCAACGTAGAAGTCGGTTCTTTCCCGCCCCTTATCATGGCTTCTAGGCAATAGAAGCCTAACTTTCAGGGTCCCCTGGAGTGACCCTACACGGAAATAATAAAAAAAAAGAGACGTGCAGGCGTTAGAGATTGTCTCAACAAACACCCTAAAGCTGAAACGAAGTATATCGACCCGGCGAGTTCCGGGGTTTCATCCTAACAAGACTAGTCAACAATGCATTTTCTGTTACAATCCATAGATCCACGGTTGTCTCACTCTTTATAATCATACACTTTGTTGGGAATGTTGGGAATAAATCCCAGAGCTTGTCATTGAAGAGTAAGTCGGGAGGGAGTGTTACATTGACAAATGCTCCTGGGCAAGACGATCTATGTTTTTTTTCACGTGCGCGAGCTAGAGATCTTCTTAATTCCCCTTCACGGGGTACGGCATCCCTAATTGAAGATAGTACGGAGGTCCCTACCAAGGGTCTTTCTTTGCTCACATTGCTTGTTCTCGTACTTTTGTAGATTACTAGCGTCGTTATAGGCTATACAGCACCTCATGGCCCCCCTCCTACCATGGTTTACCCCTTTTCCTACTCACGAACCCATTGAAATGCCTAAACACGATATTGCTATGCGCTCTATGATTGTTACAATGAAAGCTTGCGGTATAAGCACTGCTGCTATCTCCGAGATAACTGGCGTTTCTGCCCGAACGGTTAATGCGCTATATAACCGTGCTATTGAACGCGGTTTTGATCCTACCCAACGGCCGATGACGATGACGGATGCCTACGTCGCTGATGCTACTCGTTCTGGACGACCGACAAAGCAGATACCTGAGGCTAAAGCTGCTGTTTAGCTAAAGCGCGATATGCTCTGTATAGCCGCGAAAAAACATACGCCGGTATAGCTAGCGAGCTACAAAATGCGTCCGCTACGACAGTATAGCGGATGCTACGATGTGCTGGTATTTGGAAGACAAAACCGACCCCAAAACCTAGGAGAAAAGAAGCGAAAAAATAGACCTCAGATATGGCCTGCCCTTTGGTTCATCTGTCGGATGGAACTCATAGGTGACTGAGGATTGGCTAGTGAGTTGTTTATAGCTGCAGAGGCTGGCTGGGGCATCGGAGTGGAAGGGGCCAAGGCGGGGCGCAAGCATAGCGTTGCTGATGATCGATGGGTCTAAACGGTTTTTTGAGCAGTGGTTTACTGCCAGTAATCCAAAGCCTAATTTGATTTAATTTCAGACGTATTTCAAGTGCTTGTTGGACCACAGACAGGACCTACCTTCAATAAACAGCGTCACCCCGCCAGGTATACGAAGAAACAAAATTCGAAAACCTGCACGGTGGCACGAAATGGGCAAATTGCCCATAAGGATCACTGCCATCCACGATATTTCCCCTTCAGTAAGAAGACCACTTATCGGCCACCCTGATTAGTACTATACTCGCTATACTATCTCTAGCCTATTTATAGGGTCTAGGGAAATTTGGATGTAAAGTGGTTCAGGTATATACATATATTTGTAGTTAAAATTGCTAAATTACGCCGTATTCTATGGTAACATCATAAAATAATCAGTGCACTAACTCAAAATTAATATATACTATTCCTTACACCAAAAAGTGCTATTAATAAAATGATGAGGTAAAATAAGAGGTTTATTGTCGAGATATGAAGTTATAAAGTATAGCGTTTACTATGGTGTTTTGGAGATGACCACCCGCTTGGTTGGCTACTCGCTCAGGAATTACGTTACGTGGAATTAATTCGGAAATCCACTTTTACGACTGACCATTCGAAACGATAATGGAGTGGTGCTTTCCTTCTAGAGAACAACGATAAGGCTGTTTGTATGAGGATTCGTCTAATATGTATATCACCCTACGTGTGTGTATTTCCATTATACTCTGTTTCATCCCCGTACGGCGATATGTCAGAGTTTTTCATCGACTTTATAGATACAGGCGGTGCGTCATTGTGCGTGATGGGTTACATGAAACCACAAATCTGTGCTTTTCCACCACTAAAATGTGGCGTTCATCCACCGTGGAACCCGGTGCTCCTAAGGGAAACCAGTGGAAAACCCCCTAAGAAAATCGTGTCACACTTAGCATAGAGATACGCGAAGGGAGGGTCATGAACGAGAACTATGGTCCATAGACACCCCTATCTCTCCCGTAAAATATCACCCCATGGAGAAGATCTCATCTTCCAATTGGTGGCAGCAAACATGTCCCAACCAAAGGGAACTTTTTGCAATAAATGTAGACACCATATATTTGCCGTCCGAGAGTCAAGTGCATGACTTTTCTACTCAAGCTCTACATACGCCAAGCAAGCTGTCTACGGGAGCTGAAAATGACTAGGTCAACTAAACTTTGAATCCAGCTTTGGACAGCTATTCAAAGAGCGGAATTATGTGGAGAATGCTCTTGACCTTAGAATACCTGCGCCATATTCTCTTGCCCGCGCCAGCTTGATCCAAGACCCAGACACTAATGATTATGTTGTCTCATTCATTCCGGTACCATCATTCCCAGGGGACCTGACGACGATCGTTGACCAATACTTGCGCAGAAATTTACTGCCAGCTGCCTTCAAGCCAGTTCCAAATGCCCCATGTGCGTCACAAGTTCAGGGAACAGCGACCCGTTTTGTTGGGCTGCGCCTCCAGAAACCTGTGGGTTCGTTTATAAATACATTTCACAGAAGGCAGACTAGATTCATACTGGGCTCCCTATGGATGCTTCCCAGTTTCGAAAGTTGTCTAGATCCTCTTTGGGCGCGGCACGCCCAACAGAGACCCTGTGCTCCGGGTGCCGATCGCTTCCGGACGCGGTAGCCTGTTTTACCTCACCTAGATTACGATCCAAAGATAGCTATCTTTTTTAGATTGCAGCGAGTACCTATTTTGGCTGAGCTGTGCTACATCCTACAATAACCATTCATCGATGTAAGTTCTCTAGCATATGCCTCGATCATGAGTAGTGCACGCGAAGTTAGTATCCAGTAAAATATTCTGAACCGAGATGGAAGAATGAACAAAGGAGATTTTACCTTGGAGACTGTTCCCTCTGGATAAACCATTTGTCAACATTTGACCTCCCTCTTGGCGTCGACATCTAAATTTACTCTAAACAGTTTTCAGAACGAGGAAAATCGGCAAAAAGAGTTATTCTTGTACATACTGAAACTCGTACCGTTCTCCTTAATTATCCTCTGACGCGGACCCACCTGAAAACAAGCATTCTCCACAAAAACCTCTTATTCACGAACGGTTCGTCGGCCGGGCGCTAGGACATATTGGGTCCACTCGGTTAAGTTTCCGGACCCTGCCAAATACCTCACCTTTTGGTCGATTTATACCGTCAATCTTGCCCGGTTTACCTAATGAAAACAGTTTGTGGAGTCAGTTTGTGGGTCGTGGTGACTTGTGGGCTTGGAGGGACGCTGCTCAAGGCGATCCGGCGATCCGGCGATCCGAGTCTGTCTTGGTGCATCTTTTATTTCCATATCTGGATGTAGCTTTTATACACATTAGAGGTAGATATACCCCAATGGGCTGCTTTGTAGCCGCGGTCTACAATAACTGACTCGTACCCCGTGTAAGCCTGGGAATGAACATACACTCAACTATGAGGCACATAACGATGAGCTCATCGAATACAACCATATCATTCACGGTATCCTGAAACAGGGTGTACTAAGACACGGGCAATCGTGAAACCAATCTTGACTTGCATGTTAATATCGCCAGTGGATACCATGTACGAGCAGGGGCTCGCTCATCAGGAGCAGCAAACTCCTCGGCCCAGTCCTCAGGTATCCTTCTCGAGAACTATAAAGAAGGGCCGCTTCCCCAGTCCATCAGTCACTCATCAACCTACTATTCCATCCTTCGCTTCAGTTGACTGGCTCAACCTGACATTCTCTCGCTTCAGCATTTTTATATCCTCAGAGTTGAGCTCTCTTCTATTCAAGTTCTTCTTTTCTATCGTTAATCATGAAGAACACATTCATTCTTTTCCTTGCGAGCACTGCTCTTGCAGTGCCCGTTAGCAAGACCCTTGAGGCTCGCAAGCCTTGCCTCGGGCTTGATGGCATGCTAGTTGGTGAAGGCGAAAGTGGTATCAGCGATGCTCTCAGCGCCATTCCCAGCTTCGACTCCTCCGCCGATGCGTCTGCTGACGCTTCTGCTGACGCTTCTGCCAATGCATCTGGTTCTGTCTACGTTAATCCTGATGCCTCAGGATCTGCTGGCCTTGGTATCTCTGACGGTGTCTCTGGTGATGCCTCTGGTGATGCCTCTGGTGATGACTCGGGTGACGACTCTGGCTCTGGCTCCGGTTGGGGTTCTGGCTCCGGCTCTGGCTCTGGCTGGGGTGATATCACAGGCGGTTCTTCTGGCTCTGACTCCGGCTCTGGCTCTGGCTCTGGCTCCGGCTCTGGCTCTGGCTGGGGTGATATCACTGGCGGTTCTTCTGGCTCTGGCTCTGGCTCTGGCTCTGGCTCCGGCTCCGGCTCCGGCTCTGGCTGGGGTGATATCACTGGCGGTTCTTCTGGCTCTGGCTCTGGCTCTGGCTCTGGCTCTGGCTCCGGCTCCGGCTCTGGCTCTGGCTGGGGTGATATCACAGGCGGTTCTTCTGGCTCTGGCTCTGGCTCTGGCTCTGGCTCTGGCTCCGGCTCCGGCTCTGGCTCTGGCTGGGGTGATATCACTGGCGGTTCTTCTGGCTCTAGCTCTGGCTCTGGCTCTGGCTCTGGCTCTGGCTCTAGCTCTGGCTCTAGCCCTGGTTCCGGTGGTATCACTGGTGGTGCCTCTGGCTCTGACTCTGGATCCGCTGGAGCTGGAAGTTCCGGCTCCGGCATCAGCTCAGGGAGTGGTTCTGCCGGAGGGAGTTCTTCAGGATCGGGCTCTCAAGGCACCGGTTCTTCCGACTCGGGCTCTGCTGGCGTTGGCGTTTCTGGCTCTGGCTCCACTGGTGCTAGCGGTTCCGGATCTGATTCGTCTGGCACAAGCGTCTCTGGCGGCGTAGGCTCTGGCTCTGGCACCGGCACCGCTCCGTTCAGTTTCTCTACTAGCATCAACTTTTCTATTCCTGGCGCTACTGGTACCGCGGGAGGCTCGGCCAGCGGCTCGGTCAGTGGCTCTGCGTCTGCTCAAGAGTCTGCTGCTGCTCAAGCCTCAGCTGCTGCTAACGCCTCAGCTTCGGCCAATGCCAATGCCAATGCCAATGCCAGCGCCAATACCAAGGCATCTGGCTCCAGCTCCGCTGACGCTTCGTCTAACGCTTCCGCCAATGTCTCCATCTAAAGCAAAGACGAGTCTTCGCTGGTTTTACCCCATTGATTTAATTGGACGCTGTCGAGTTGCACGGGATTGTTGGAATTGTGGTGGAGGACTAGCATGTATCTGTTGTTGTTTTTGGGGTGTGAAAAAGGATGGACATTCCAGCGGGATTGTGCACATTTGTACCGGACTTTCTGTCATTACCAGCCTTCTTGAACCGTTCGGTCTGTACATTGTACGAATGTGTAATTAATAATACTTTTGTCTGTTGGAAATGTCACCTTTCATTCATTAATCAGCTTTCTTTTTTAATTTCGCCATGTCTCCAACGTGAACAACTTTATAGTTAAGACTCGAAACTCATCCAGAAAAAGGTAAATTGGTCTTGGTATCTCTAAAGCCTATGTACTCATAAAAACATCATATGTCTCTCCTTTTATCTACTCGTCATCGCCGAAGAACACCTTGATGGGCAGCCAGCCATCACCGCAGACCTTGAAGCGGTCCTTGAGGTTGTCAAGCTGGTTGATCTCCTCATCAGTGAGGCTCCATCCATCAATCTCGAAGTTGCCATCAATGCGAGACTTGCTGACAGACTTGGGGATAACACTCCAGCCCTTCTGGATACCCCAGACCAGCAGAACCTGCTGGGGAGTCTTGCCCTTCTTCTCAGCGATCTTGAGAAGAGTGGGATCCTTGTAAAGAGGAGAGTTGGTAGAGCCGAGGCACGAGTATCCAGTGGAGTGGATACCCTTGGAAGTGTTGTAGGCAACCAGCTTGGGCGAGGGGTTGTTAGGGTGGAGCTCGATCTGGTTCACAGCGGGAACGATCTTGGTGGAGGGGTCGTTGAGGAGCTTCTCGAGGTTCTTGATGCCGAAGTTGGAAACACCGATGTTGCGAACCTTGCCGGTGGCCGGCAGCTTCTGCATCTCCTGCCAGGTCTTGATGAAGTCCCAGTCGGGCAGGTGCTTAGACTTGTCGTTCGGGTCGGTAGAGCTGGGCCAGTGGACAAGGTACAAGTCGACGTAGTCGACCTGCAGGTCCTTCAGGGAGGAGGCAATGCCGTCCTGCACACAGTGGTGCCAGGTGTTGTCCAGCTTGGTGGTGATCCAAATCTGCTCCCGGGGCACGCCGGAGTCCTTGATGCCCTGGCCGACCTCGTGCTCGTTGCCGTAGGCGAGAGCAGTATCGATGTGGCGGTAGCCCTTCAGCAGGGCGTTCTTGACGGCCTCGCGCACTTCATTGGGCTTGGACTGCCAGGTGCCCAGGCCGATGGCGGGGATCTTATCGCCGGTGTTGAGGGTGTAGGTCTTCCTGAGAGCGGAAGTGTGTTAGATATAATCGATTAGGAGCTGATCTGTAAAGCTGACTTACTGAGTGTATTGGTTCGACATTTTGAATTAAATTGAGGAATACGGATTGAATGCTAGGAGAGGGAACAGGATAGGTCATTTATATGTGGCAGGTCAGCATTACAGCAAGAAACTGGGCAGGTCCAAGCAGCGATGATGTCGAGGGGTTGCCCCTCATCCCCGGTGGATCCTTTCTTCTTTGCTCTTCCTCTTGAGTTATCGAATGATGTGGATGTATCGAGTATCGGTGAATTCTCGCGGTAACGTGCACGCGCATCCCTGCCCCATTCTCGGTAGATATCCTTGCGAACTCATTGTTAACCCCGTTGCCACCCAGGGTGGTTGGATTGGACAGTTGTGATTCCGGCTAAATTCGGGCTCTCTTCTCCTGCCGTGGTAATTGGTCCACTTCACACTCACCAATGACGAAAATGAATCTCTAGTCTCCCAGTGAGCAACAATTCACATCCCCCACACCGATTCTCCAATTTCCAGAAACTTCGCCGAGCTCGCCGAGTCGCCCCGTCTTTCGGCCTCGGTTGCAACCCACTTACCCTACACCACCCTCGGTGCCGTCCTGGCGCGCGCTCGGGTAATTTCGCGCTCCACCCCGACCCCGTCTCTTTCTACCCGAGTCCTGGACCCGGTTTGCTCGGCAAGAAACCACGTCTTATTTTCCGGTGTCGTCATGTCTTCTGGATTCGTCTCGGCCGGGACTAACGAGCAGCCCGTTGAGCGCGACGATGAGTGGCTCCGCGCACAGCGGGAGCTGGAGGAGGAGCGGAGGCGGAAGGCGGAGATAGGCAAGCAGACCGACGGGAAGAGTCTGTTCGAGGTGCTGGAGCAGAACAAGAGTGAGCTTATCTTGCGTATCTGTGCGTTGATCGCAGAAATCCGTGGCTGACATGTTAGGGTGACTTTCTTGCGTCTAGTGGCCAAGCAGGAAGCATTTGAGGAGAAAGCGCGCCTGAAGAATCAGTTCCGCGCCCTGGACGAAGATGAGGTCGAGTTTCTCGATTCCGTTCTCGAGTCAACACGTGCTCAAGAGGCGGCCGTGAAGAAGGATACGGCGGACCAGCTCGAGATCTTCCGCAAGCAGCGTGAAGAGGCTGAGAAGGCTATGCTTGGACCGACATCCTCGGAGGTGACACCGGCAGAGGAGGAGGAATGGACAATACCTGCGCGCAAGAGACGGCGCGATAAGGGCAAAGACCTGCTGGTTCCGGGCAAAAAGCGTAGAGCTTCTGCTACGGAAGGTAGCGGGAAGACGGATTCATCTAAAGATGAAGCTCCGCAAAAGCCCAGTCAAGGGAGCGGAGCTGCGCCCAAGAAAGACTCTACGCAGTCTACACAAAGCGCTGCATCCTCGGGGATTACGAGTACAAACCCGGCTGAAAATGCTGCACAGAGCTCGTCTGCCAGCCAGGGAAAGTCGAAAACAGACAAAAAAACAGAAACCAAGCCACCGGCCAAGCCAGCACCTGTCTCGCTTGGACTGGTCGGATACGGGTCTGATTCAGACTCGGAATAAATTAATTGAGACCACGAAGTACAATTGCGCACTAGTTGCGGGGACCCTCACTCTACATCTCACACCTTGCCATCTACTCCACACCAGCTCAACCACGAAACACATGCCCCGCAGACCCCTTCAAGGTCCAATCAAAGACCCCCCTCATAGTGCACTTTACTCTGCTTAACCTCGTGCTCCTCAACCTTCCTCTCCAAGTCATGCGGCAAATAATTATCCTTCTTGGTGCCCGGCACCAACCACGGCGCATGCGAAAACATGTAATTCATCTCCTCGAGCGGCACCTTCTTCGTCTCCGGCAACAAAAGCCAAAAGAAGATAGCATTCGTAAAGTTGCAAATCGTGAACAGGTAGTAATACCTATATCCGATCGTTTCCATCGCAATAGGAGTAACCTGGCCAATCATAGTATTAAACGCGAACGAAGTCATCGTCGTGATCGAGACACCCTTGGACCGGGTCCGCGTGTCGAAGACTTCGGCTGGGATGATCCATGAGAGTGGACCGCAGGTTGCCGAGAAGGAGAAGTTGTATAGCCAAGTCATGATAATGAAGCCCCAGTGGGCGCCGATGCTGTTGGTTGTTGGAGGGAATTTGGCGAGGAGGGCCGTGGCGATTATGAAGGTTACGCAGTTGCCCAAGTTGCCGCTGATCAGGGTCCAGCGGCGACCGAAGCGGTCGATGAAGAGGATGCAGAGGAACTGGGCTATTAGCGCGATGATGGAGTTGATGGCTTGGTAGCGGAGGGTGGCCTCGCCGGAGATGCCGATTTGTTCGTAGATTTTGACGGAGTAGTATCTGTCGTTGTGTCAGATGGGTTGTGGATTGGGGATTGCGAAGAGGAACTTACTGGATTGCCGATACACCGGTCATCTGCACGGATGCTTGGAGAGCACAGCAGAGAAACAAGCGGCGGAACGACGATCGGCTCTTGAACAGCTCGACGTACGACTTGGCCTCATGCTCGTGCTCGTAAGTGATACTCTCCTGGATTTGGGCGTACTCGGCCTGAACCCAGGCGTCATGCTCGTTGCCATGGGCATGGAGTTTGGCCAACGTGCGCAGACCCTCCTCCGTTCGGCCGTGGTCGATCAGCCAACGAGGAGACTGTATATCTGTCAGTATATAATATAGGATCTGCAGAGCTGGAATCTCACCTCGGGGAAGACTACAATCAACAAACCCAAGATGACAGCAGGGATAATCTGGATACCCAGAGGCAACCGCCATTGAGCATCATTGCTCGGGTTGAAACCAATATACGTGCCGTATCCAATCCACGAAGCACAAAGAGCGCCCACGCCAAGCATGAACTGCTGCAACGCAGTGACTCGACCACGGATTTTGGGGTGGCAGATTTCAGCTTGATACAGCGGGATGACCATGGTGAGGAAACCGACGCTGTAACATATTAGTCACTGGGTTCGTTTTGGGTCTCTGGATTGAGAAGACGTACCCCAATCCGGCAAAGAATCGTCCGGTGTAGAGAAAGGCCAGTGTCTTTGCACCGGTTTGGAGCCCTCCTCCCAGACAGAAGAGCAGACAGCCAAGTGAGATGGTCTTACGTCTGCCCAGGTAATCACCAGACGGTCCGGCAAGTCCTGCACCGAAGAAGGCACCGGTTGTGAACATGGAGACGACCAGACCGCTGTCATTCTGTTAACATTACGGATTGACGAGGAACCATTTAACAGACCTTTGTGTATCATTTGCCTCGAACTTGTCAACAAAGGACTGGCACACAATCACCTCCGCAATGACACCCAAATCATCTATTGGCTGTTAGACTTGTGTCTCGGCCAAGGAAGGCTACGGGTATACACACATCCGTAGAGGAATGAACCAACAGAAGCAAAGACGCCGACTAGAAACTAAATAAGGAATTAGTGTAGGTTCTCACTCACTGCTGCATTGCATGTACATACCTGGTACCATGACGGAGAAAGACCCATGGTGGGCAATCTTAGACAAAACACTCAATGAAGGTATCAGACCCGCAATCAACAAGAACGGGGAAGAAGATCTGGGGAATCTCCACAAAAACACCGCGGGGGAGCCATTGTCTACATATACTCGTTCGACACGCGACCCGCATCGCTTAGGGCTTCCGAGGAACTTCCACCACGCCGAACGGACAAACTGATCCGCGGTCTAAATTAACTCGAGCTAGATCGCAATCAGCATAATTTCCAGCACCGATTGACCAGTGTACCCAGGCAGGCTTGTACCCAGCATCGCCGGGAAACACAGTAGCCCCCTGCGGGGCTTGGGGTTAGTTACTCAATCACGGCGCGTGCTGCACCGTGATTGACGGAAGAAATTCGCTGCCCGCACCGCCGCCGAATCGACAGTTTTATTGGCGAAGATGGCATGTATCTGATCTAGTGGCATGTTAAACGCCGGTCCAAGGGCCGGGTCTTGACTCTACCCCGCAGGAGATTTTCCGTTTCCAGAATGCTGCAGGGGTCGGCAGATAAATGGCCTTGAGCGAGGACGTCCTTCGCTATACGTTTAGCGTGACTCCTTTGTATTCAACCCTTGTTTCTTTTGGTTCGAATTCATCTCTATTTCAGCCACCGCATAGACTTAAAAAGAGCTGCTCAGGAATTTGTTGGCAATGACTACTTTTACCAAGCTCGGGGATCAGGAAACTCCTGTCATCTCTGTTCATCCTGCCAGGCGCATCTCTAAGATCAATCCTAACATCTATGCCGGGTTTACTGAGTGAGCAAAATGGTCCCTCGATTTGGTGATTCACCGGTCTAAATAAGTCACTAACTCCCTGATAGGCACATGGGCCGATGCATCTACGGAGGTATCTACGACCCTGGAAACCCTCTCTCGGATGAAAATGGATTCCGGAAGGATGTCCTCGAGGCGCTGAAGGAGCTCAACATCCCGGTCGTCCGATATCCCGGCGGGAATTTCTGCGCGACTTACCATTGGCTCGACGGTGTCGGTCCTAAGGACCAGCGACCCTCTAGGTAAGCTACTCATTTTGCTTAAAAAACTATTTGGTAGTCGACGCTTACAATTATCTAGACCAGAACTAGCCTGGCTCGGAACGGAGACTAATCAATTCGGAACTGACGAGTTCATGAAGTGGTGCAAAGTTCTTGGGACTGAACCGTACCTGTGCTTTAACTTTGGAACTGGAACTCTCGATGAAGGTGTGTTGAACTTGCGCTTTCTAATCGAACTATCATCGCTGACATTTCTCTAGCACTGGCTTGGGTTGAGTACTGCAACGGTACCGGCAATACATACTACGCCAATCTTCGCCGGAAGAACGGCCACGAAGAGCCATACAATGTATGCCCTACCATCCACAATCAACTTGAAAAAACCTATACTAATCCCTACATAGGTTAAATACTGGGCTCTCGGCAACGAAACCTGGGGCCCGTGGCAAGTGGAACAAATGACCAAGGAAGCCTATGCCCACAAAGCAATGCAATGGGCCAAAGCGCTCAAACTCCTTGATCCCTCCCTGATACTCATTCTCTGTGGCCAGGACGGCACCGCCACATGGGACTACTACACCCTGAAGCACTGCCTCCTCCCAGCGTTCTCCGCCCTCTCAACCAGCTCTGTGCCTCTAATCGACATGCACAGCATCCACGTCTACACCTGCTCCTCTTCGCACCTGCCCAACGCTACAGCCCCGCTAGCAGCTGAGCGCGCAATCGAGATTACATCCTCTCTTATTGACCTCGCGCGCATCGAAAATAACGTCCCGCCGTCCCAGCCCCGGCCCACCATCTGCTTCGACGAATGGAACGTCTGGGATCCTATCCGTGCAGAGGGGTCCAAGGGCGCTGAAGAAAGCTATACGCTTTCTGACGCACTAGCCGTCGCCGTCTGGCTGAATGTATTCATTCGCAAGAGCCGCGATCTCGGCATGGCGTGTATCGCCCAGAGCGTTAACGTAATCTCACCGCTGATGACGACCAAAGAGGGGATCACCAAGCAGACGACTTGGTGGCCGCTATATTTGTTCTCGAAATTTATGCGTGGATGGACCGTTAGCGCGCATGTTTCGTGTGCTACGTATGAGGGCGAGACGGCGCCGGTTTGGTTGCGGGGTGTTATGGAGACCCCATGGTTAGACGTTAGTGCTTCTGTTGGTGAGGATGGGTTTGTTAATCTTGCTGTTGTGAATATTCATGATGAGAAGGGGATTGAAGCGGATGTTCAGGGTGTGAAGGGGGAGGTGGCTGTTTTTACTGTTACCGGAGGTGATGTTGCGGCGACGAATATGAAGGGGAGTGAGGAGGTTTCCGTGAAGGAGTCGGCGTGGGATGGTGTCGGGACTTACGTCTTCCCGAAACACTCGCTTACTTTGTTGAAGTGGAAGGATTAGTGAGTAGGTAATTGGGAGCGTTACATATAGAATGCGAGGATTTGTCCGAATATTATCGCTTCTTAGGCCAGGAATAGCTGCCTTTCACCCGTAACTTGTCGAGTAAAGTGAAGGCTTACCACTTCCGAAACAATGGTCCATGTGCCTATAGCGCATAAGAAATCGTCACCCACGTGCTAGTGAGCTGTCCTGGACAGAATTATTTACGGCGAGATGAGCTGCGGAAGAGAGCTGGCGATACTTTTAGTAGCGAGTCAATTTGCTAAAAACGACTTCTTAGGGAATCCCAGTCTAACCACCTAATCAGTGAACGCAAGCAACCATTCGGCTGTGGTTGGGCCAGGACTTCTCGACGCTAGAGGCTTAGCGGGCATGCAGGGTATTCTCATCGAAGCTAGATAGAACTTAATAACAGAGTGTATCGATTAATCTCCGATTCGCACCGTGCCATTTTTGGTTCATTCAATTAATCATGCTAAACTATTTGTGACATTTATTCGTAATTCATCAAAATCGCGTCGGATATGACATCCTCTCACCCAAATCAATCCGAGTCCACCTGCCCTCTGCATTATCATTGGTCTACCTTGGGTCGAGTCCGTCCTAGGCCTTCTGTGTGATGACATTGGAGAGTTCCTGGGCTGGCGACTCAACATCACCGGCGTCATTTTCAGTTTTCTCGCCATCTTCATCGGCTTCATCGGCTTCATCGGCTTCAGCAGACTTAGGCATGCGAGAGCGCGAGTAAGACTCGGTGCCAACTATTAAAGCAGTCAGAAATCAATACCAAAAGCATCGAACCCACGGGAGAACTCACATAGCAGTAGATATGCATACTTGCTCAACACCGGAAACCAGATGGTGAGAGCAACGATTTGCCCAAAACCCCAGTCGTTAAAGTCGATCAGGCCAATTCTGGCGAACAAGCCAAAACACACCCCCTCGAAAATGAAAGCAACGATAAAAAGCGATTCAACCAGGAACGTGAGTAGACTTGGCAGCCTCCTGAGCCACCGGGCCCAGTTGAAGCGAGCAGTCGTCGAATCTTGTGACAAGAAACTGCCCAGACCCAGATGAACCAAAGCTCTTTCACAAATCTCGTTAACATCCACCATCTCGCCAATGTGACGGTGAAGCCACGTAATTATAATCAACCCAAACATAATCATGCAATATGGGTTGAGTACATGCCAGAAAAACGCGAGCGGAACCCTCTCATCTGTTAACTCGAGATCGTCCAGACAGTAAATCAATGGCGGTGCATAGCCACCACAGCTTTTTGGCCACCGGTTATAATCAATGGGAACAAGTTGACCAAGAGAGGGCGTCTCGTACGTCCAGTACAGCGAAAATTCAGACAGAATGACCGAGGCAAGGGACAAGAGAAAAATCCAAGGTTCCAACTCGTGCATCTTCTGGAGACACCACATACCCATGACAACCGGCAATACACCGGCGCTGGAAACTATGCCCGCGACACCGTTGTTTGCCCAGAGGGAGCGGATGGTGGTTGATGCGAAAACGGTATTTGAGTCCTTGGCCAGCAGAATTGCCGCTTGTGAGGCGATCATGAAGAAGCATTGGGCTTCTTGGAATTCAACAAGGATTACTCTTAGGATGCGGTCATTTTGGGCGATATAATGGCGAATTATCGGGATGATGGTGCCATTGGTTTGCTTTGTGGAGGAAGTGCCGCGACGCCGTTTTCTTCGGTTGAAGAAGGCCTTTATTGATGAGAAGAGACGGAATGAGCGGAGGAGGGTCCAGAAATAAAATACCATTCCCAATTGCATCAAGTAAGAGACAAAGACCTGTCGGTGTATGTTTAGCACTCGAGGGCGGATGTTTGCGCGGAGGATTGGAATGACCTACGCCAGGCCCACCGATATCCGAATTGACCCCTTCACTGACGCCGACGCAGGTAGCATTGTTCCAGAAAGACTGGTTGCCCTGTGTGTACACAGCAAATGGCCCGATGTCCCCTCCATTCCAATTCCCACAGCCGCCGAGATCAGGATATGGGTTCTCGCAGTAATCGGTCAAGCATGTTTCAACAACGTGCGTAAAGTTGGCTCCTGTTGTGTCCTCGTAGGTCGCGTAGCAATGGGCGAGATTATCGAAGGACAGGAAGACATACTTCGGATCGGAACACAGCGAAAGAGTGTCGTTGCCGGCCATCGTGAATACACCCCTTGACGAAAGGAAATACTAGAGGGGAAAAACAAGCTTTAAAATCTCGTAGGGCTAGAGGCCTCAGTTTTCTTCGCACTGTCAATTTCTCCCATTTGTCCACGGGGCTGGAACGCGGCTGGTGAGCTTAGACGCTTGGTGCCGTGTTTCATGCGCTGACTTCGGGGCGGCCGCACGGTTTGTTCACTTTGAGTGGATAGGAGCCCGCTAGCCACCAAATGACCTCCGTCAAGTTCTCCAAACTGCCCAGTCAGGGTCCAAACAGTGGGGCAGCTGAATCAAGCCCTATGCAGTCAGCACACTGTATTGGGTATAGAGTGGGGAAGGTGAACACTATTTCTCGTATTGGTGCTCTCCGCGGGATGGGAAATCAACACGTTTTCCAACGAACAGTTCATCCGTGATATTACAATACTTTCAACAGTAGATGTTAACGGCAGCTATGTGAAGCGTCAAGTTATCAAATTGAAACTAAAATTTATGAAGGAGACTAGACTCACGAAAACCGAGGATCCGATGATAGCGTAAATAAGGCTGAAGCTGATCAATAACATCGAAAACAACGTTTCCACTATCTATAAGAAGGTCCTTTCCAGTCGACTTGGACTTCATGTTGAATATATAGCCTCTTGCTTGTCCCATTCTAGGGCTCAGAAATAAGAACCATCCTTAATGATTTACAACAGGTTATTTCCAGCAGAGTATACGTCTGCGGCTCATAATAGCATGAACATCAATTCCAGCAAATTAATTCTCCAATAAAATGGACAACCGGCTATCCAGTATGTGACTAGTTGATTTTAGTTGACTAAGGATTTTTCCACCTTGAAGGTCAACTTTTGAGACAAAGGCAGTGTCAAAGCGGTGGAAGCAGGGATACTTGGTCCAAGCGCCATGACAGGGGGCTTCATTTATGAGTTCAAGATAGCTATGGGTATTGAATTTGATAGGTTTACTTTAGTCTATTATCTAGTCATTTACTAGATCCAAATTTGGACCTTGATTTGGTGTGATGATGATATTTTATTCAATGAAAGGTCTAGGTTGAGAAATGTTGTATAAGATGGGGATGGGACAAGTAGTTCGCTTTCATTCTTTGTCTTTTCTTTTGTCGTTAGTTTTTTGTACATCCAAGAACACATACGTCAAGCACTTATGATATAGATGAGTACTTGATTTAAATTGGTGATGCACTGAGATGCCAAGTACTAAAAGGCTATGTAAGAGTCAACGGTCAATGAGTTCAACGCAATATCACATAGCAATTCTTGACTGTACTGATCTCCTCCGATCCAAGCGGCCACTTGAAACCACCAACTTTTCGATCCAAACCTCATTGCAGTGGTGAATTCCCAGTACTCAGGCAACCAGCCAGCTGATTCCCAGTCAAGAAAACCTGACAAATGACCGTCATCTCCGACAAGGATATTGTGAGCCTTGAAGTCACCGTGGGTGAAACAAATTCGGTGTGGGAGTTTGCGTATTTCGTTCGCCTGGGCCAGAGCCTGAATGTATTCTGAGGTTGTATCAAAGCCGTGCCCTGAAGCTGGACTTAGTAGAAAATCGTGGAATTCACCGTCGTTGGCAAAGGGGCCCATAACATGGTTTGGTACGCGAGCGCTTCGCATCAAACTGCCAATAGCAGAGCATATGCATCCCGAATAAGGTGATTCCCACTCTCGCATAGACATAACGCATTCCTTCAGCTCAAATAGCCATGGTTCTTCCAATTCAACATGTAGAGGGTCAGTCGAGTTCACGAGCGGAATACCAGGCAGTCTTGTCATCAATATCGAGAAAAAGCGATTGTAAGGTTCACCAGAATGCTCTCCGCAAGAGAGTACTTTAGGAACAGGCATCCCAGCAGCTCGTGCTATTCGCATTGCAGCAACCTCCTCTATGCTTGTTCGATCGGACCACTTCAATATAAGTCCGAAAGGAAGCTGTATGATCTGGGCATCAAAGCTTATGCCATACCATTTACAATACCATTCAGATATGCAATACAGAGCTTTGTGCACTAGACCCCATACTCTTCGTCGAAGCTTTCCAGGACAAGGCGGGATGCAAGGAGTGATCTTGGAAATTGAAGGCTTCATTGGCTGAGGCCAAGTGAAATCAGGTCGAAGAATTGATAGTATCGACTTCATTTGGTCACGTCCGTCGGTTGCAAGGGAGGTAACAGGTTCTGGTTTGGGAAGAGTTGTTTACAAGAAGCGCCATGGACGGTCTGAGAGGTGGTTATGTAATGGCGCTAACCCTAAAACGGCAAAACTAACTCGGACAGGCAATTCACAGGCCTGCCGTTTACATTATAGATTGGGGATTATAGATAAGGGATTATAGATTAGGGATTGTATAGAGATCAAATGATAAATGACTCAACCGCTACTGACTTTGGTTAATTACATCGTCGATACATTAAGCAATATATGACATGAATTATGAACCGAGGTCCATATAGCAACGTAGATCTAGTCTGAACGGTGATCTCAGTTCTAATCTAGCCGTAAGTCACATCCCGGACGGTGCCATCATGGTCAAGGTGGACGTTGAGTCTATTTCATGAACCATTAGCAAATGCACTCCAAAACACTTGTTTAAACATATGCATATTGCCTCTTACCTATCAGGGTTGTGGTCCATGGTCTTCATGTCATCTGGCTTCAGCACGCGGTGAGATTCAGGCAAATCCTTCTTTGCAAATGACTATAGCACAGTATGTTAGCCATAAACTCACAGGCGGCGTTTCCTTTGCTCTACGGGTGACATACCAGCTCATCACTCCCCGAGTCGCTGATCTTCTTTCCCATCAACTTGTTGACCCACTCAGACTTGTCCCCCATCGAGGAGTTGACACCGGGCACGACCATAGGCATGATGAATAAAAGATACGTTTATCGCTTTCTGGATCTGGTAGAGGTTGAAAGTGAAGATGTGTTGAGGGGTTGCTACGTCAAGGTGTGCAGGCATCTATATATGCGACGCTAAACGATGACGTAGGTGCGGTCAGCTTGATTAGTCATTTTCTAGATCGGGGGATTTTGGGCTGTCCAGCCAGTCAAGGTCCCCGATTTATATTACTGTGCTGTTCGAAGATCATGGAGTGATGTACTTGCTTTTTGTGGTTGGTGGTGACGTTTGGAGTGGTGTGTTAGCTTGCCAGGTTTGGAATATCGGCGTTTATGAGGTTATCTACGTGCACCACTTCATGCTTTGATGTTGTTCAATCTTTCCGAATTATCTCCCGGCCTCACAGGCGTATCTTCTGGGCTTGCAGTTTGAACACCTACAAGGTGTTTCGAGTCGTCTTGATGCGGAAGGAAGTCACGCTGATACCCAACACTCGCCATGGAAACCTATATGGCGACTGCCATGTTTATGGCAGTGCTATCTTCGCTTGTTTTTGCTCCTCGAGTCCATCATTATTCTATTTTGTTTGATTTCCACAGACTTGTGAGACTTTATCAAGAGAGCCGTTCTATTTCCTGCATCTTCACCGATGGGGTCTTCTACGAAGGGCATCTTGGAACAACCAGTATCGTCTGAAATGATCACAACTGAGCTCCATGCACGCAGGCAGCGTATCATGGACAGTGTCTTGTCTCAACCCCCACAGTCTAACATCGAGCTTCATCACCCGCCTCCATCTGATATCCAACCGCATGATGCAGGGCATCTCGCGACCCTACGCATGTTGGTAGTCAATGGCCCACGAGCAGAGACGGTCCCGGATAGAAATCCTGAGACAAGAGACGCAGCCATCTCAATCAAACCCCAGAACGAAACAAATGAAGTCGAGCACCGCTTCTGGAACGAAACAACCTCTGAATACGCCGACTCACCAGCCCTACTCGCAAACACCGGCAACCTTGCGAAACCCTCAAATACCTCCCTGAACTCCGGACACCCATCCATCGCCGCAGCCACCATAATCGGCGTAATTATCTTTGGAGCTATCTGCTTCCTCCTTTTCTGGTACATCCGCCGTGAGCGACGACGCCGTCACCTCCGCCAGATCCAATCCCCAAGCCAAGATCTGTTCAACCCATCCTCCCTCAGCCTGGGACCAGAAACGAGCAAGACCCTCGACGATTTCCTAATGCGAGACGTACCCCCAGAAAGAGCCTCCCTCATGTTCAGCCGCACCCGCTCACCCTCCGTCACATACGTCGTCGACGAGGCAAACCCCCGCAGCAATCGTAACAGCTACGATGAATCGAGCAGCCTGACAAAACTGGACACGCTGGACACGCTGACAAGACTCTCGGTCGATGGAACCCGACTCAGTTTCATGCTTTCAGAACTCCCATTTTCATTGCAAGGTCCATCGCCTCAGTACCCCGCGACCCAACATACCTCAATCACTTCCAAACGCGCATCATTGGCCTCAACAGTCCCACCCTCTCCACGATCCTCCCAGCTCTGGACCACCACGACAGCCGCAACAACTGCATCTGGGACTACTGAGAAAAGCTCACTTCTAGCTCAAGAGACCGCCAGCTCGCGAACCTCGCAGTCCATTCACACCTCAAACGGCCTGCCCAGCCCGGCCAGTGCATCGATGCAGCCTCATTCCTCGAACGGCTCACGTGGGTCGAGCCAGTACTCTGGTGGTAGTGTTGTTCGAAGTTCTCCGCGTGAGATCATAGATCCCCGGGGCCCACAGCATGTAATATCAAGGAGCTCGCAGAGCGTTTCGCCTATTGCGGAGTCGACTATTTCTGGGAATTTGCCGTCTGGTCCGGCCACTCCGTCGCCTTTGTTTCGGTTTTCGGAGGCTTGAGGTTGCTTTGAACGTGTTCGGTGACGATCCTGTTCTGGTGCTTGGTGTTTTGGAATTGGCGACTATCCTCGAGGACGGGACTTTGGGTTTATGATTGTATTGTTTAGAGTGGATTCCACCTGTTATAGTGTAGGCACTGGGTCACTACGTTATACTGCAGACCAGTTTGGATTCAAGTTCAAGTTCCGTAATATCTTCATAAACTCGCTAAGCTAACTGGAAAGGTAGACCGAAATATGAAATGCACCCTCGCCGTCCCAAGGACGGGGGATACGCAAACTGCAGCAACGGAAAATTGTACCACCCGAACACATGTCCATCATGAAAATTTACAATCAAGCACAAAGGGAAAATGTTCTCTTGTAATCTATCTGAACCTGCCAAAAAGATAAGCCACCATTTATGATCACGGCTTCGCCTCTCGCACACTGCGCAGGCATCGCTCCAGGCGTTTGCCGCGCTCTTTCTCCCTTACGAGGGTATCCTTCACGAAGGCACGAATGGCATCCCGTCCGACCTTTTCGCGCCAGGTAGTCCACCCAGCCAATTCGCCGACAACGACGTCTTTGTTCCAGGTGACTTCCCTAGCGAGACGGGAGGCTTGGGCTTCGCCGTCCTGAATTTTGTGCTGGAAGTCGCGGACAGATTTCTGGCGCGATTCTTCGAAGCCAGGGAGGTTAAGGTTGAACTTGCGGGGCAAGGATGAGGAAAGGAGGGAGGAGCGGTTCCGGGCGATTGCGCGGTTTGTTGATTGGAGGTCGGAGATGAGGTACCCTGGGCGCGAGAGGGATGTGAGGATAGCGGCGGTAGTATTGTCGATTGAAGTTAGCGCGGCGATGTATTGGAGCAGTGGGGATGAGTCGGAGCTGGAGGTTGAGAGGTAGGTACCGTAACGAGTGAAGGCGTCTATGTAGATGGGTGGGAGGGCGTTGGTTGGTTCTTGGAATGTGGAGAGCACGGCTGAGCAGAGGGAGACTGCGTCTGCTAGGTCGGAGGCGCTGTTTTGCAGTGCGTGTCCGCGGCGGATTACGCTGCGCGTGTTCGCGTGTACACCGCGCACCATTTCCTGGGCATGTGAGACGAATTGCTCGGTATCGCGCATGCCCTCGATGCTCACGGGTGAGATTTCATCGGCAATTGTTTCTGTCAGAGCTGCTGCTTTGCTGCGGGACCGGTCGGCCATCATTTCGGGTTGCAGCTCTGGTACGAGGAAGAACTCCCAGAGCATCTCGTGGGTGGAGAAGGTTGGATGAGCCAGTAGAGTCTTGAGGAAGCGGTCGAGCTTCTCTTGGAGGTCGTGGAGAACGGACCGTGAAGGCTTGGAGTGTACTTGGAAAGGGTTCCGAAAGTCAGAAAGAGACGGTACATAGGACGCCGGATGTTCCACTGCAAGCCACTTGGCCAAGTTCTCAAAGTCAGTGAAGCTGCGTCGGCACGTCGTGACAGTGTAGGTTGTTGAACCCGGTCGTGAAGACGCTATTGATTCCGATGGCGGATATGGTGCACCAGACTTGAGGATAAAGCGAACCGTTGCATCCTCGACGAAATATGATCTGACTACTGTAGTGACACGGCCGGACGGGTCAGCACAGGAAGATGGTGGATGTGACAGTAGAATCAAATCATCAATTCGGTTTCGAACTTCATCATCCTTAGCGAGTTCCACAGCCGTCAACCCACGAGCCTCCTTGACGTGAACGTCAACCCGAGGATCCATGAACAAAATCCGGACTTGATCCACTCGTCCATATTTGCTGGCCATCATTAAGGGAGTAAACCTCTTGTCGTTTGTCGCGTTTGGATCACAGTCACTCTCTTGCAAGATCCGTGTCGTGATTTCGGGGTCACCAACGATATGCAATAACGTATTGCCCTTAGCATCGACATGATCATCAAGTTGGAGGGCTTGCCCATTGCCCTGGGCTCTCTGTGCTGCTGTCAAGGCTGTTTTAACCATGGCCTTGTATTCTGGATGATCATATGAGCGACACAGAGCAAACAACGGTGTTTGTCCATGTTTGTCACGCTGTCGCCACGGAAGAAGACCACCGAGTCGAGCCAACAGATCAGGCGTACTGAAGAGGTAGTGGGCAACGGTCCGACCATGCACATCTGATTTGGTCATATACATAGCGACCACACTCTCGTCTGTTTTGCTGAAGAGAAAGTCCAGAAGTATCTCGACAACCTCTGTATGTCCGAGCTGCACAGCCGCATTAAGCAGCGTTGTGCCATCTGCGTTGGTATCTTCAATAATATGCTCCAGGGGATAGTATTCTTCCAGACTCAGCAAATACTTCAACGCCTCGGTCTGGCGGCTTTCTACTGCCATCATGGGAATAGAATCTCCTGCCGGGTCCTGTGTTTTGGTTAGGGTCTCTATCGAACTGTCACCCTCGATATTGCTCGTCATGGACCCAATTGTATTCGTCCTGGAAAGGAACGAGACAGCCGATGACCCTGATAAGCTGCGAACGTCCATCGAGACCTTCTTGACCGGACGATTTCCGTCTTTGAGAGGCGCATGCCCGTCCCAGGTCTGGAAAGGAAAAACATGGGATAACGGCGGTGGTTGAGAAAGTGCATCCTCCGTCAATGGGTCACCATTGGTGATCACCGAGCTGCTGTACATAGAGGATGTCTCAAAAGGAGATTCGTCCGGCTCTTCAGTTTGAAAGAAAACGGATTTGCGCTCTGGCTCATGGGGAATGGCCTCGTCTATGGATTCATGATCTCCGTCAGGTTCCAGGATACTCTTCATGTCTGAAATCCTGCCAGCTTTGGTCGCTTGCCACAGGCGACGGTTTCGAGCACTTGCACGACGAAGACCAGCCGAGTCGGTCACAAGGTACATCAAAACCGCCTCCAATGTACTCAACGCATAGCCCATTTCACCGCTCTCCACATCATCTATGTAGATGAAATGTTGCATGTACAGCAAGCGGGCTTGAAGATGTCGAATTTGTGATCGTATGACGACGACCAACAGCAATGATACCAGAACATCGGCATTGATGGTGACAGAAGATCTTCCTTTCTCGGATGATAACCCATCCAGTCTGTCATAGCTGCCTGGGAAAGATATCACTTTTACTGTTTGTAAAAGGGTATTCAGCATCTCATGGGGGCTTCTTGCGTCGCCCATTTTTCGAAATTGGTCCACTCCTCGTCCGAGGCGGCGGATAAGCTCTCTCTTGCCTTCGCGCCCGCCCTCAACTGAGATTCCGACTTGCGTCACATCAATATTTTCCATGTGTCGGATTCTAGAGTCCAGCTCTGAATCCTCTGCCTGCCGGAAAGCACAGAGACGGGGAAAGAGAAGGGGCTCATGAACTTGCTCGGCGACATAACGTTCGATAAGCCGTTCAACCAAAGGGCCCGTGAGATCGGTGGTGGCGCCTAGCAAAGACAACTGCTGCTTATCAACCAGCCGGAAAAGATCAATGGCCGCTGTCACTGCGGTTTCCAAACTTCGGCGCATCAAATCTTCATCATCTTCAAAGTACTCCTCAGAGTTGAACGGCAGTCGGCCTCTATTGCGAGAAGACCAGCTGCGTATTGATGAACTGTCATCTGCTAGGGTCTGCGCGCGAGATAATTTGATCTCACTTTCGCTGCCAGACGCAGAGGGTGATCGGGAAGGTGGAGGAGGGAGCGGCTTTCCAAGTTCTTTGCCAAATTCTCGAAACAGCCGCTCAAGCCCGGGCTGCATCTGCCGTGCAATCATTGGGAAATTGGCTAGTAGCTCCCCAAAGGATTTGATCTCTTGTTTCGGCGGAGGAACCGATTCCCCGCTTGCGCCCTTCTTATTGGATGTAGGATGATCGGCCCTTTTTCCGTTTGGCGCGAGTAACATCGGTGTCGTGCCTGGCACTGCAGCTGGAATTATTCTGGCGGGGTCGTAAGAACCGACCAATGGCCGCGAAATGTAGTATATGAGCCATGGACGAGACTCGCTTGACGAGGACGAGGTGTAGTAAAGCGCATCGGACAGGAGCTGGGCCTGAGTAAGGGATTTGAAGCCTGGAACATTCGAGTCAATATAGACGATCACCCCAATGGTTCTTGGTTAACCCCACCTTTGTTACTGTAAACCGAGTTCTCTTTGATGATCACGGTCCTCCCATTGAAAGTCGTCACCTGCTTCGCCTTCCCACGATTATCACGCACGTTGGAGTCCTCCTTTCCATTTATCGATCCCGGGTTGATTGGGATCCGCAGTACATGGCTCCCTAGAAACTCCTCGGACGCGACGAGATCCGAATAGAACAGGTTGGATTCCCGGTCGCGCGAGCCGACTAGGCATTCCGTCGTGGGAACAAGTAGGACCTGGAAAGCAAGGAAGGGAAACCGATTAGCTGCTCCAGTCGATCCAAGGGGATACAGGCGCTAAACTCACATGGTTCTCCACGGGTATACACTGCCCGGGAACAGTGCTTCGGAAGAAGGCACGGAGGAAAGGGTTTAGAGGGTGCATCCAAACGGTTTTGGACGGCCCAGCAGAGAAGCTCCAGCAATCATCAAGTCGTCAAATCTGCAAGAACGCGGGGATTTTGTGCGTTGACTTTTTCGCGGGGAAGAGCTCCGGCGCATTCAGCTGCAGGCAGCAGGTTCCGGGGAAGCGTATCGGGGCGTAATCGGGGGATGTCCACAAGACGTGGGAGAGAGATTGAAAGTCAATCGAAGGAAACAAGGTAAAAAGATCGTAGAACAGCAGAGAAGACCGGCGCAATACGAAAGCTGAGCAGGGAGATCGAGAACGTGATCGCTGCGGGAGCTGAGGGGCGCTAGCCGTGTTGGGTAACCCGCCTTCGTCAACTATCAGATGGGCGGAAAAAAGTAATGGGATTATTTGAACATATTGGATATTTTGGAATAATTTGCTATTGTACAGATAACAAGTGATGACAGACATGTGACAAATGCCTGTATGGAAACCCCAGGGAGTCATCAACATCGGATGGCCCGGTGATAGCGCTCTGCAGAACAAGCGCCAACGTAAACCCGACCCTTTATACAGGACCAGTATAAAATACAAAATGGCCAATCAACCCAGTCTGCGCACCTTCCGGCTACGAGTACCACCGAACTTGACGCGAGTCGAGTCGGTCACTCGGCTGACAAGCCCCCGAATGTTACGTCCCTCGTTACCGAGAAGGACCTTGGTGAATGCCTCTCGGCCCTTTCCAAATCCACGGAAGATAACTTCCAACCGCTTGATCTCCATCAAATATCCCCTTTCTTGGATCTGCGACATGACGTGGGAAGACAATTGGTAGGCAGGGTCAAAGCCAGCCCGACCACCTTTGCGGAAGCCGATCTGACCCGTGCCCAGGGACATGAGCGGGTTTCCGTTCGGCCGTGTCAAGGTGAGGATCGTGTTATGCTTGTGGCAGTAGACGTGGAGGTGGTGAGGAGGAGCGCGGTCGGCGTAAGGGTTTCGCATCATGTCGGCTTCCAAGCTCTCGGCCAATCTGGCGTAGTCGGATCGAACGCGCGACGAGGAAGAGGAGGGCTGGTCTCCCTGCATCATCTTGGTAATGGCAGACAGTGGTGATGAGTCTTCTGAGCTCGCAGGTTTCCGGTCCAGAATCTGGTTCTCAATTTGTTCGGCCTGGTCCTTGGGGTTTGCGGGGGCTTTGGGGGACGAGGAGAATGGACGCATCGTGCGCGCAATAGCAGGCCGGGGCAGGCATTGCCGGCACACCGACGGGAGGCTCTTTGCGAGCACATTCATGGAGAAAGAATTCATCGCGGCGACGGAGTGCCGATGCGTCTATGGGGAACACGCAGGTGTCAAAAGGCGAAGAATGAGCCGGACGGAAGCAATGGACGGAGCAGTAATTGAAAATAAAGAGTGGACATAAACAAATTGAATATCAGGTTAGTCAAAAGCGGGCTCTTCGCAACAGCCGTAGTCGGACCGAGAGAGGCGGAAAGGGAAACACTGGAAGTTTTTCGAAGTCTTGGCATCTCCCGACTTTTTCCCTTACTCACCTCCCCGGTCCAATCTCGATTCCTCACTTTCACCCCGAACATCCGGGCTGGGCTGGACTTGTTTTTCCTTTCTGCTCTCACATCCTCTTTTCTTTTCTACTCGTCCTTTCCCAGAGCATGATTTCGACAAAAATGTCTGCCGCCGCGCGAGCGGCGACCCTCCGGTCCCATGCTCCGGTTCTCAGAGCAGCTTCGCAAACATCCCGCACGGTATCATACTCGGCCCTGCAGGCTCAGACATTGAAGCTCTCAGCACAGACTCAAAAGGGTCGTCTTCCTGTCTCCCAGCTGGTTTCGCCATTCACCGTCCTTCCCTTGACCAGATCTTTCCACGCCGCCACCCCTCTCTTCCAACAACAGCAGAAACAGCAGGAGGAGAAAAAGGGTGACGAGTCCAAGAAAGAATCACATGGCGAGGAAGGCAAGGAGGAAGGCAAAGAGGAAGGCAAAGAGGAAGGCAAGGAGGAGAAGAAAGACCAGGCTCCTCCGCCGCCTCACGGTGACAAGTCTCCTTGGCAAGTGTTCCGCGATACTCTCCAGACCGAATTCAAGGCGTCCAAGGAATGGAATGAGTCTACTAAAGCTCTTGCTTCCTCGGCGCATCAGTTCACTGAGAACGAGAACATCAAGCGTGCCCGTGCCGCCTACGAGGCTGCGTCAAGCGCCACCACCAGCCGCACTGGTGCGGCTCTTAAGTCCACTGGTCAAGTTATTGGAAAGAGTGCCGCCTGGACTTGGAACACTTCTGTCGTGAAGGGAGTTCGCAAGGGTGTTAGCGCTACTGGTGAAGGACTCGAGAAAGCCACGCGACCCGTCCGTGAGACCGAGGCTTACAAGAGCGTGAAGGATGCCATTGATGACGGTAGCAGCTCTCGCTACGGTGGCTGGATGGAGAAGGAGGAGCGTCGACGACAGCGCCAGCTCCGCGAGCAGGCAGAACTCAAATCTGGAAAGCGCAAGGTGGAGCAGATGGTTGAGGATCCCAAGTAAGTTTTGATTTTAAATTTTATCCAGACAACACCCGCTAACCTTCCAACAGTGCCGGTACCAACGTTACTCTCCACAAGGATGCCGCTTGGAAGGAGTCATGGCGCAACTTCAAGGACTCGAACCCTATGATGCAGAAGCTCTTCGGCTTCCGGGAAGTCTACGAAGAGTCCGAGAACCCTTTCATCAGTACCGCTCGGAGCATCTCCGACCGAGTTACTGGCTTCTTCGCCGAGACCGAGACCGCCACTGTCATCAAGAAGTTCCGTGAGGTTGATCCTAACTTCCAGATGGAAGAGTTCCTCCGCGAACTCCGTGAATACATGCTTCCTGAAGTCCTGGACGCTTATGTCAAGGGCGACATTGAGACTTTGAAGCTCTGGCTCTCTGATGCGCAGTTCTCCGTCTACGCTGCCCTCGCCAAGCAATACACCACCGCTGGTCTGGTTTCGGATGGCCGCATCCTCGACATCCGTGGGGTTGACGTTATGAGCGCCCGCATTCTGGACCCCGGTGACATTCCCGTCTTCGTCGTTACCTGCCGTGCTCAGGAAGTTCATGTCTACAAGAACGCCAAGACCGGCAAGCTCGCTGCTGGTATGGAGGACAAGGTCCAGCTGGTCACCTACGCTATCGGCTTGACTCGCATCCCGGAGGAGGTCAACAACCCCGAGACCCGGGGCTGGAGACTGATCGAGCTGCAGAAGGCTGCTCGCGACTACATTTAAGCGGTCACACGGTCTCGCCCTTCGAGCATGCACTTGCTCCTTTCAACCCATATCCCTTCTTCCTCCCAAACCTCGCACATCTTCCTCTCGACTGTACAATATGACTGTTTGATATCAAGCCAGGCGGAACTGGCGCTTGTTTACGGTTATGTCTGTCCTACTGACCTTTTTGACCTTGGACAGTTGATGGGTGATTATTTTATTTTCATGTATTAATGTTCATTTCCTCCTTTCTATCTTGTCTTCTTGCCATTTTTGTGGGTCTGTTGTTTCTGCCCCCTTTGACGGTTGGCACAAAAGAAAACACCCCATCATCTCCATAGACTCGGACTGGCTGCGCGTTGGATTTGAGCTGGTCTGATGGCATTTGGTCTTGAGGTGTTTTGCGGCGTCCTGTGCTTTGCATTTTCACTCTCCCCTCGTCGACACTGTCTGATCTGCATGTGGGCCTTTGGCCATTTGATTTCGGTGATATTCTTGCTCGTTGGGCCTCTGGTGAGTCGGGATATCGACCATGGAGTTGCATGAGGTCGTGTATATATATATAGCAATGGAGAATTTACTGGTGACTCGCATATCTGCAATTGTAACTTTTTCAACTGAGAATATTCTCCATTGCGATGTGACGTCTGTTCCGAGCCTGCAACTAAAGATGCTCGCCGAGAATCTTCAGCAAAACCTCCGGACCAAACTGTGCAGCACGGCCTTCCGATGCAAAGGCAAGATACCCAGGTACATAGCCTTCGACATGGTGCGACGAATACTCTTGTAATACAGGGCTCGCGTTACGTTATCATCCGATATGGGACGTAGGTAGGGTTCCATCTCCTCCGGGGACCAACTCCAAATATGGATTTGGTACAAAAGGAGATAGCACTTGAAGACTAACATAGAAACGATTAATGTCTAAAGAACGCTATTGAAAGTAGAGTAGCATCAGATCGTGTCTTCTTTTCCAATGTCATCCATCAGTCGTTTTGATCATTTACTGGCCGCCCCGTCCGGCACCGCCACCACCACCCATCATATTGCGAGCCCTGAAAGCCAGTTAGTAAAGTTAAATGAAGCCCTGCAGTTGTCAAATGAACTTACATCTCGGCAATGCTAGGGTCGCTCATCAGGCTGGACATGTCAGGCATGCCACCACCCTGGCCAAAGCTCTCGGCCATCTGGCGCATGCGAGGGTTGCTCATAATGTTGTTCAGCATATCGGGGTTGCTCATGAGGTTCTGAGCCATGCTAGCGAACATAGGGTTGTTCATCATAGAACCCAGGTCGGGCATGCCACCGCCACCGCCACCCATACCACCCATCAAACCAGCCAGCGACGACAGATCCGGCATACCGCCGGCTCCACGGGATGCGCCGGGAGCATTGTCCAATTCCTCGGAGGGCGGCTCGTTATTGCCGCCGGCCTCTTCGATCTTTCGTGTCGCAGTCTCAAGGCCGCGACGCATGGCATCGCTGCCACCGTTGCCCTCAGCCTCAATGCCCTTCTCGTAAGCTTCTTTGGAAGCGTGGTAGTCACCAAGCTCGAACCGGGCGAGACCCAGACGGCTCCAGGCCTTGGAGTACTTAGGATCCGCCGCGACGGCAACCTCGGCGTCCTCGGCGGCCTTGTCAGCCTTTCCGGATGCGGAATAAGCGGCAGCACGGTTGGAGAGGTAGATAGGGTTGGCGGGGGCGATCTCCAGAGCCTGGGTGTACTTCTCAATTGCAGCGGGGTAATCCTTCTTGGCCATGAGAGCATTACCCTCGGACTTCAACTTATCGGACTCGGCGGTAGGCGCGCCAGGCTTGGGCTGCTCGGTTTGCGATTTCTGAGCGCCAGCATCGGTCTGGGGCGAAGACTTGTTGCGCAGCTTCTCGTAGACGCTGTAGATGTTGGCCAGAGATTGCCCACCAACAGCTTCCTTCATGGCAGCTTGGTCAGTAGGATCAACCTTGAAGGTATCGGCGATACACGACTGGGCGATCTCGATCGATTCGGCATCGTCGGCGGTGAGGGTGCCGTCCTTCAGGCTGCCGCCGAGGAAGTCAATGATGGCCAAAGCCAGACGCTTGTTGCTTTCGTTCGGGGCCTGCGAAATGCGCTATTAGTACCATGCACTTGCCATCTTGACCGAACCAGTATTTACCATGATCGCAACTCAAGAAAATATGGATGAGTGATGAACTAGAGTCGCTTCAGGGGAGGAAAAAAGAAAAGAGAATGCGGGGGGGAAGCTTGCCGCACGTGATACCGCTTATCGCGTTCGTTGGCTGTGTTTAGCTGCGCTTGTTCTCCTCGCGCTCACAGCTCGCGGACTCGAGCTTCCTGTGTGACTTTCCATTGGAGCGAGATGACTTTGGATGAGCTCCATTGTTAATACTAACTCCCCGTTTCGCCAGCTGAGCCATGTACTGGCCTAATGGGGTCCCCCGGGTCTACGCGATCAATGGCCCGGACATCGCCCATGTCTCCTCCGATGGGTATCCCGAGAATACAAACCCGAAAACAGAACGGAGAAGCTCGATAGACAATAGCGATGGTTCTGAGTATGCGCAGTCTCTAAACACCGAGAGCAATGAACCCAAACCCGAGCCGTCGTCCGAATCGGACACCGCCAAGTGGGAGCATGAACCGATTAATGGCCTCTGTGTCTCCCGCTCAGGACATATGTTTGCGACGATTACCGAGTCTTCTATTTCACTATGGCAAACGAGGGTATGTTCATGGGTAGACCTGTGTGCATGGGATTGCAATTGAGGAGCTTCCGTACTAACTGTTACCACAGCCTACGGCCGTCGTGGCTGCGATAGTTCGGTCCTTGTACTCATTAAAGACGTACGGCTCGAATGCAGCGCTCCTTATGCATCCAGACTCGACAATTTTGGTCGTGCAAACCTCCGGGGGTTATCTCCTGACTTATTCAGTAGCGTCGGACCCAGGAACACACGTCTACCAGCAACGGTTCGATCACTCCACACACCCACGTCGCCAGCAACTGGCGCATTTCGCCGCCGTTGAAGAGTCAAATGTGGTCGGAGACATTAGCATCAGATTCCGAATGGCAATCAAGATCGAGTCTGGGATTGTCAAGGCGCTGGCGCTGGATCAGGAGCTTGTTGTTGCCACTGTGAAGCCGCCAGCTATTCAGTGCATTCGGTGGGCTCCGGATTCTAGTGGAACACAAACCACTTCGGAGCTGTTGAGCCGCATTCTAGACATACCGAAGAAGGTTGCGGTGGTGGATATGGTTTATGACCGTGCCATGAACCTTCTGATTTGGCTTACGAGCACCGGCCAAGCATATGCTGTTCAACGAGCGCATGGTATGCAGCATGAACCGGATGCACCTAAGAAGCTGTTCCATGGGCATTGCTTCCACGACCCCGAGGACGATGGCGAGAAGGCCGTGAAGGTGGCTGTGAATGCTAGGTTCTCCTTGCTGACTGTCTTCTGTGCAAATGGCGAGATTTTGGTATACACTGCCAAGGACTATATGGGCAACGTGCCGCTATCCCAGAAGTTGCAGCTTCCAGCATCGCCTTCTACTACCGGGTCCTTGACGTTCATGAACTATTCGCCGGACGGATACTGTCTCTTCGCTGGCTACGAAAATGGCTGGACAACATGGAGTGTTTTTGGCAAGCCAGGCGGGAATAGCTTCACAGTTGATCCTACCTTGGCCGCTTCAAATGGCGAAGACTGGTTGACAGGTGTCTCAAGCGGCTGCTGGATCGGCGGTGGGTCCGATATCATTCTGTCAGGAAAAAGTGATCGACGACTCTGGATTCTGGAAACAGCTCGCAGTGCACTTACTGGCTGCTTCTCTGCAGCGAACCTCGCTCGAGGCTTGCTTCAGACGGGCACCGAGCTTATTCTTTACCGCGGACATGATCTCCCCGAGCTAATGACCATCTCTGGCAAGGACTCGCTGTGGCATCACGCGCAGTATCCCCCGGCATATCTTCACTCGCAATGGCCAATTCGATCATGTGTTGTATCCCAGGATGGACGATATGTTGCGATCGCAGGCCGGCGCGGACTGGCACATTACAGCGTGAATAGTGGTCGGTGGAAGGTCTTTGAAGATTCGAAGGTCGAGAACTCCTTTGCTGTTCGAGGAGGGATGTGCTGGTACGGACATATCCTGATTGCTGCCGTCGAAAGCAATGGATCGTACGAGGTATATTATTTTCCCTGGCTACCGGGTTTGCAAACTAACTTCCTATCAGGTGCGTCTTTACTCGCGTGAGGCTGCATTGAACAACAACTCGATCATGTTTATCGAGTATCTTCCAGCACCTGTGGTGTTCATTGGCCCCTCTGGAGAAGATTCTCTCTTGGTCTATACATACGACAACATTCTCTATCACTACGTTATCAACTCCACGCAGCCACAAATTACTCTCGTGCCTGTTGGACAAATTGCCTTTAATGGTATTGTTCGGGCACCGACTCGTGTGAGGGCTATCAGCTGGGTTTTGCCTGAGGAACAAATGCGTATGTCATCCTAGTCTTTTGATTGACATTGAACAGATCTAATTATTGAACAGGGAACGGCGATCCCTCTCAGGATGTCAAGGTCGCATCCGTGCTTCTCCTCGTTGATGGAAATCTCGTTCTGCTGCAGCCGACAGTGTCGGATGCAGGTGATCTCAAATACGACATGCGTGTTATTTCGCAAGATGTGGAGTACTATATCCTGATGCGTGACCAGGGATCCTTCAACTTTTCCCCTTCAGTCGACGAATCCCTCCCAGCAAGTCCTTCCGCCGAAATGTCGCTAGCCCCTTCTCAGAGCAGTCTATCTCTAAGAGACTCGCTGTGGATGTTCCGAGGCAAGGACCTCCTGGCATGGAATGACGTCCAGGATGTTTTGCAGCAAGAAACGGTGCCGGCACCGCTCAACATCCCTCTGGACTTCTATCCGCTCTCCGTACTGCTGAACAAAGGCATCGTCTTGGGTGTGGAATCCGAAGTGACCCAGCGACGAGATGTTACCTTTACCAGCCTCAAATTTGCCATTCGAGTATGCCCTCCTTCTGGACCCCTCATCTTCCATAACTAATAATCCCAGACACATCTCTTCCTCCCCTACTTCCTCCAATACAGCCTCACAAACCTCGGCACACCGGCCGCCCTCACCCTCTGCCGGCACTTCTCTCATCTCTCATACTTCGCCCACGCCCTCGAAATCCTCCTCCACCACGTCCTCGACGAAGAAGTCGACAACGAAAGCCGCGCCAACAAATCCTCCGACCCAACCGCCCGCGAAGGCCCTCTCCTTCCCACGGTTATCTCCTTTCTCCAAGCAACCCTCCCAACACGCGAGTACCTCGACATCGTAGTACAATGCACCCGCAAAACCGAGCTCCGCTTCTGGCGCACCCTATTCACCTACCTCCCTCCACCAAAAGACCTCTTCGAACAAGCCCTCCGCCTAGACGCCCTCAAAACAGCCGTCGGGTACCTCCTTGTTCTGCAGGCCTTTGAAGACGAAGAACAGGGCCACGATGGCCGCATAGAGGAATATGTCGTGCGGCTCATCGGCCTCGCTTCGCAGAAGAGTGATTGGGAGCTCTGTGCTGAGCTAGCTAGGTTCTTGATTGCGCTTGATGCGTCGGGCGAAATGCTTCAGCGTGCTATAGGTCGTGTTGGATTGCGTCAGCGGCCTTCTATGAACGGGGCGAACTCGGGGTTGCCTTCTAGGACTGGCTCGGCCGCTAGTGTTAAGGGTCTCGGGCTGAGTTTGCCTGTGCGCACGCTCTCTTGGTCGTCGATCTCGCCGACGGATTCTGTCTCGCAACGGAGTGGGCGCGATGGCGATGTGTCTGATGAGAATTCCCATTCGGCGGATAGTTGAGATGGGTGATCTCAATGGTCTTGTGTTTTATTTTCATTATTATTGTCAGGATGTGGTTATTTCGGCCTGTCTTGTATATACTCTGGATCTGGCGAATGATTGTTTCAATATTGAATTGAGTTAGGTGGTGAACACAGATCTTATACCTGCGTATGCACCTCATGACTTTAAGCCTCGCAGAGTCATCCAAGCCAGGACGTTCATGATGGCCTCCTTATCTGCCCGACTAACCTTTCCTATTCGTACCTCCAGCATTCCGCATCACTCTCTTAAAATTTCCAATCATTTTCTCATTTTCAAGTCATCATAAAAACAAAGCTTCTGGGTATCCCTACTGGTATATCCCCTCAACTAATCCAAAATCATCCTCCAAAGCCCATCCCCCAAAAAGTGACCCTCGTCCATAACAACCCCCTTGCCCTTAGCCTTCATCTCCTCGGTGCCCTGCTTGAGCGTCCCAACAAGACAAACCTCATTCTTGCCCTCCGCCTTAACAGCAACAACTTGGCCCGCCTCGATCGCATGCTCCGAGTCCGGTAGCCGTCCACCAGGAGACGTCAAGCCGGGTGCCATGAGAGCAGCGCCGGAGAGCACGAAGCGGATAGCGCCGCGGTCGATTTGGATTGTTGGGAGGGCGTTAGGGTAGGCGTGGATGAGCTTGAGGTGTGGAATTGGCGGGCCGTCGAAAGGCTGGAAGAAAAGGGGTGTTGAGTCTATCGTGTACAGGGTTGTACGTTCCGGGCTGCGGTGCTCATTACGTTAGTTTGGTGGTATTGTATCCGGTGTAGAGATAGGTGGTGGGAAGTGGGTGTGGAAGATAGACAAGGATAGGGGGAAACGTACAGTTTCACGGCCTCTAGAGATGCCTTTTTGGGCATGATCTCTTCGATGTAGGGCTCGAAGCCCGGGTAGGTGTCCAGCAGCTTCTGGCGCAGGCCGCGCTGCACGGAGGACTTGACCTTGGAGCGATTGCTCGACGGGATCCTGTTTTGGGCAGCTTCATTAGCACCTTGCACATTTCCTCTTACTGAGAGGTCTTTTATAGGCTCCACTTACTCTTTCTTGAACATGATGCTGGTTATTGGAGGTCAATGAGTGCTCCGAGTGCGTGAAGTGGGATGCACGGGGAGTGTCACGTGATATTATCTACATTTTGCAGAGCTCGGTTTTCGGAGCTTCGAGCTGCCTTGCTACGACCTGAATTGAGTGGACGGATGGTCCATTCTATCTAGAGATGATGGAAACTACGGTAGTCCTGCATGTCACGCTTGAACAGATATTTTCATTTTATGAACTATCTAAACCGAGCGCTGGAAGGCACGGCTTGATGAGATGGTATCCTCAACAAAGCATCTAGCCCTTGGCAGCACCGGCCTTGATGAGGAGGATATCACCATCCTCGACAACGTAGTCCTTGCCCTTGGTCATGACCTTACCCGCAGCCTTGACGGCACCTTCATCGCCAAGCTCCTTCAGGAGAGCAAAGTTATACACGATGGCCTGGATGAAGGTCTTCTCAAAGTCAGTGTGGATAACACCGGCGGCAGCAGGGGCCTTGATGCCCTTGCGGATAGTCCACTGGCGGACCTCATCAGTACCGGTAGTGAAGAAGCTGGCTAGGTTCAGGGCCTGACGCATGGTAGTGATAACCTTAGGCAGACCGGACTTGGTGCCCAGCTTCTTGCACTCCTCCTCGGCGGCAGCATCGTCACCCATCTGTGTAAGACGCTCCTCGAAGCAGGCAGAGATGGGGAGGATGGGGCAGTTGGGAGAGTTGGTCTTGATCCACTCGAACAGAGGAGGCAGGTACTTGTTCTTCTGGCGGATGTAGTCCTTCTCGCTCAGGTTGACCAGGTACACAACGGGCTTGGCAGTGAGCAGGAACAGGGGGTTGATGACCTCGACCTAAAACCATCGTTGTCAGCATGATGTTGAGAACGGTTTGAGTGTTTTTCAAAACGAAAGAACTCCAAAGAATTCAGTGTAGTTTTTCTTCTCAATGCGCCCTCTACAGAATTAAAAAATGAGGGCACTCGACGAGCTGGGTTTGTTTCGCGCTCATGGCGCTTATTCATCATGGTAAAGGAGTGTGTAGGGGGGGAAAAAAGTGGAAGGAAATTTTTTCACATACCTCCTTGGGGCTCCAGTCACCGTCGCGAATGTTCTTGCCCTCCTTAAGCCACTCGAGGACCTTGCCAGTAGTGGCTTCCTCCTCCTTCATTTTCTTCATCTCAAGAGACTGACCACCACGGCGAGTCTGCTTAGACAGGGCGTCGAGAGCCTTCTCGACGAACTCGATATCCTTGATGCGAAGCTCCTCGCTGATGATGGTCAAATCACGTACGGGATCGACATCGCCCTCGACGTGGATAATCTCGGCATCATCGAAGCAGCGCACCACCTGGAAGATGGCATCAACGGCGCGGATGTGCGACAAGAACGAGTTACCCAGACCGGCACCAGTCGAGGCACCACGAGTCAGACCGGCAATATCGTAGACAGTCAAGTTGGCGGGAACCTGCGACTTGGGCTTGTAGTGGTCGACGAGCCAGTCGTACCGCTCATCGGGAACGATGACACGGGCCTCTTCGGGGTCAATTGTGGCATACGGGAAGTTGGCCGGGTTACCCAAAGAGGACTTGGTGATGGACTGGAAAAGAGTGGATTTGCCGACGTTGGCAAGACCAACCTAGAATCATCGTGAGTCCATGTTCAGATGATAGAGAAACCAGAGTTGTGGTTGAAGGGGGAAAAAAGAAAAGAAAAGGGAACAGGGGGACAGCTCGGCTTAAATAGTTTGTGTGGAATTAAAAAGTGGACTGTGCTGTGCGAAAAAAAGAACACAAAAAAGGGTGGGGACACTGCTCACATACGATACCGCTCTTCAAGTTGTTTCCGGGACGGCCCAGAAGGACCTTCTCTTGAACTTGAGCCTTCTTGGGAGGCATTTTATTGGACTTCTTTTTCCGGCTGGAGTAGAAGCGACAGGAAAGAGGTGGGAGGGTGGGGGAGGTGGAAAGGCGGAAGCGGGCGCAGGGATGGCGCGCGGTGAAAGCAGTACCAGCTGCGGATCGATCGACGATACGAAGGAAGAAAAGGGAGGTGGTCGGGAGAGACGTGATGATGGGTGCCCACGAGGATAGTGGGCAAGGTCAATTGGCTTGAGAATAAGGAAAGAAGACAAGGAGTGGCTTGATACGGTCGCAAAGATGACGAGGTTCAACCTGTCATCGAAGTTTTCTGCCCGACTTCGGTCACCGCTCACGTGCTGGCTGAGCCCTGCCCTTGACGTCAATTGTTTTCAACAGTGTTGTTTATTACTTCAGTAGACTTGTAGCCTTTTCTTTAAGGGTTCAAACATCTCTCATTTAGAAAGACACTTCTACAGCCGCTTTCGATCTAGTGACAACGTATAGATGTGGGACGGCTTTTCGGTTGTAGTTCTACAATTTACCACACCCGAGTAAACAATGATATAGAATGCTTTTTGCGTAACGGGCATTCGCCTAGCATATGATACAAATACAGACATAAATAAAAGAAAGGCCATAATTGCCTCTACAATGAAGGAAAAACCAATGCAAACCTCCCATAGCCCAATCCCAAACAGCACACATGTCAACGCCCAAAGACACAGGAATATCAGCGAGAGCTAATATCATCATAAGTCCATCGCATCACCATCCACGCGGTCGACCATGTCAAGAAGCTTGGCATACGGAACAGTCACACGCTGAAGCTCGCGGTATTTGCCTGGAAATCGTCAGCGATGTTAAGTAATAAAGTAATGGGAGACACAAGAACGTACCGAGAGCCAGTATCACCTCCTTTAGTAAGGTCTCCCGTGGCCAGCCACATAGATCTTCTGAGCTCTCACGCCAGTTTCGGCCTTCGCGCTCGTTGGCTTGGAGATTCGTTACGGCTTCAGAGCCTTCTTCATCTTCGAACAGGCCGCCGATTAAACCCTTTAGTAGTTCCTCGACCTTCATTTTCAATCCCTCCGCGCCGATTCGCTTAGCGTACATGTTCAGGTAGAGGCGGAACTCTTCCTTGGAGCCTAGAGACAATGCAGCAGCCAGGCGGTTCTCAAGATGGGCGATGGAAACACTCGACTCGAAGGTTTCGTAGCCTTCACGAGATAGTAGGACCTTAACGAGTCGCTGCAAGAAGTATGCACGGCCACGCAGAAGAGTCTCGTTGGTGGTGTTGCGCTCGAGGAAGGGGATGATACCGGCAGACACGGCTGCCTTCGCATCTCTGGTATCTTGCTGGGCATCTCTTGCCTGTAGGTTATTAACAGGGGCGTCTGTGGAGTTCCAGTACTGGCTGCCGACGGCCCACCAGGCTTCTGAGATGCGCTGCCATGTGTACATGGATGGCGAGTAGGAGTAGCCTTCACCGTTGGTCAGGGAGACTACTACACGGCCTTCGGAGTTGATGCGCGCATCTGTCACGGCGGGCGCAGCGGTGGGATTTGCGCCAAGTGTGTGGATTGCAGCGTCAAGGACGGGCTGGAGGGAGACGGGTGGGTGAGGGGAAGAGAGATGCTTCACGTTCCATACGTAGCACATGCCCACGGAGGAGATGCACAAGATCCACGGGCCATTGCACTCCAAGATTACGGGCTGCGCTTCTAGGACCAACGCGCTTACTAGTCGGCGGCCTGCTGGGGTCCAGAGGTAGACTGAGCCGTCCTCGCAGGCAGCGGCCCACATGCTCTGATTGCCTGTCACCAGGAGAACAGACCGAGGCAGGAAGTCTTGCCACAATGGCTGCTCTCCACGGAACAGCGTAAGGCGTACTGGCTCCCGATCCACAGCCCGGCCAGTCAAGCTGGCTATCGAAGGATTGCGAGCCTCGAAAACCACATCCACTCGTGACTTGGTACTTGAGTCTCCCCCTCCCGGGGCTGGCGGTTCCGTAGGCTTCCCACTCGAATCAATCGCGCGTAGGATGAGGGTGCGGATTTTGGGAACGGCCAGACGGAGCTGACTGACCGACATGCAGGGGTTGATGACGGCAGGACGAATGAACTCTGGGGTTTGCTGTTGGCCGGTGGCACCGGGCTGCACTTGTGCAGGGAGGAGTCCATCAGGAGTGTTGGCCATAATCGGCGTCGCACCATTCTGGCTCGCTACAGCCACGCGCTTCTCAACCTGCCCGTCTTCATCACCTTCGAGTTGGGCCAGTTTGCGCTTGTTGCCGAGAAGAAGAGCAGTCAGACCACCTTTAGGCAAGCCATCAAAGGGCTTCGAGAGGTCAACAAGAGATGTGGGTGCATCAGCTTTCACTTGACTGCTGACTGAAGCCATCAAGCGAGCTTGAGGGAGGGAAGATTCGCCAGCTCCAGCTCCAGAGACAAGCAGAGGTGCAATGCGCTTCTTGCCCTCTTTTGTGTATGTCGGGCGCTGCTTGAGTCTCTCCAGCTTAGCTTGGTACGGATCCGGTTTGTCCTTCTCAGATACAGAAACATTCGGTGTTGACCCGGTGCCGTTCGTCTGAGTCTTGTTGTTGTCTGCAGCCGGAGATGGTACTTGAGCGGGAGTTGTGCCGTTCGATGGCTGCGGCGCTGATCCATTCACAGCAGGTTCCGCAGCCGCATGGCCGTCACCCATCAGTGCACCCATACGGCCCTCAACTCCCTTGATTTCGCCAGCTTTGCTCTTCTCTTCTAATAGCAACCCGTCCGTGGTTTCCGTGATGCCGGCGCCCTTACGGTTCGTTCCAAATTTGGTCAGAGACTTTTCGTTTTCTTCCATTTCCACGGCATAACCCAGCTCGCCTTCCTCGAATCGGGCCGCGACGATGGTGCCATCCAGAGCAGTAGCAAATAGACACTTGCCATCCGGACTCCAGGCCAGGTCTGACATCGACTTAGCGGCCATCTCCTGTGCGACCACGATCGGGCGAGCATTGCTCGTAATCCAAACGCTAAGAGATTTGTCTGCACCCGCACATGCAATTACAGTGATGTGGTGCACTGCGTGGTTATCAGGCGGATTCTTTTTGATCGGTTCCCTCGAATATAGTCGAGGAGAAAACGAGCAGACCTCGACAGGAGCTTCATGGCCGATGAGATTGATATCACCGTCCCAAGATCCACGGTTGATAATCGCAACCGAGCTCACAGGACCATTAACCGCATTTGCAGCTGCAATGTGCATTCCATCAGGAGACCACGAACAGCGGCGGAAGTATGCAGTAAGCGGAGAGTTTGCGAATGGAGCGGAGATGGTCTGTTCCAAGATGAAGTTGTTCATTTGATCGTGGGAAGAGGAGTTCGGGGCCGGTGATGTGAATCGGAAGATGCGAACAGTGCGATCATCGCTGGCGGTAGCAAAGTACTTGTTTGCTGGGTCGAAAGTGATGCCCTTGACATGACTCTGGTGCACCGCTATCGTCTTCAGTTTTTCGAATGTATGTCCAGACCATACAACCACCTTCGAGTCAAGGCCGACGGAAACCAGAATCGACGAGTCGTGCGACCACCCTAGATCCTGAACATCGTTGTCGTGGCCGATCAATCGCCGGATAGTGCGCCAGTTCTCGACAGGAGGTGCCTCGTCCGAGCCTGCATAGAATTCCCAGAATCATTAGTGTCTGCCGTTGCTTTGTTTCCAGCGGTTGCAGGACCTACCGAATGTTGAGTGTGTTGGCGGGTTGGCATCAAGTGTGTAAACGCAAACAATCTTATCATCCGCTCCCGAGGCAAGGTATTTTCCATTTGGCGAAAAGCGAACAGTGTGAATTGTGCCGGAGTGGTTGCTCATCGACGCAAGCTGTTTCGGCTTATCGGCGAACTCGGGATTGCCGGTGTTGTAAATGGCCTCTGTAGACCAGATCCGAACGTATCCGTCTAGCGCGCAGAAAGAGCGAACATGTCAGTGGCAATCCTTCAAGGCATTTTTGCTGCTGCCCAAGCTCTACTCTCGCCCTCGGTATCCATGCGGGTATCCAGGAAGCTCACCTCCAGCGGCAGTCACCAGTCTCTTTCCATCGGGCGACACATCGCAACTATAAACCTCAAAGTCTTTCCGTTCGCCTGTCCAAACCAAAAAAATGTTAGCCTAGTTCTCGATGGTATGTGCTATGCCAGAACTGCAAAGACAGACACCTCATCTGACGCTCGCAGCAATGGAGAAAGGGGCCGTCGCAAAGAGCGTACCTCCGTGCGTGAGCCAGACCGGCTTGATGATATGCATTGCGCAGCGCGCGCAGAGTGCGCTCCCTCTTTAATCCTACACACAGATAGTAATGATTTGGTTGATTGGGATATGCTCCCGCGTTGCGGCTTAGCTCCGGGAGCGAGATTCGAGGAGAGCGTAGGTGGTGAGATGGTCAGGTGTTTATTGTATGAACATTGCACTCTGGCAGTAATAGCGAATCCGAGCCAGGAAGTCCTGCAGACACACACAAATACAGTGTGTGACAGCCGACAGATCGCAAGGAAATGGAGATGGAGGGGGATGGAAGGTGGAGGGCGAGGGACAGGGCGCGATCAAAAAGTCGCGATCTCCATTTAGCGCGTGGCCCGAGCTCCCTTTCGCGTTTGACTTCTTGCATACGCACCTTTAATACTTGAATCTACAAATTGAAGTCGTCTTGGAAGATATCAAGATTACACTTATCATACACGCTTTTCCTTTCTTCGCCCTTGGTCAATGCCCGCGGTTTCCCTATGTACACAATACAACTCGGGTCACAGATTCCATCCCACTGGGCCAAGTCAAGCAATGCCGACATGACTCCCGAAACAATGCTGCAAAGGAAACGAAAATATGAGCGGGGAAAGTGGTACAAAGATCATCGGCTGCTTTGGCGAGGCTGCACTGGCAGGATGCAAAAGAACATAGGAAATGAAAGGAATCATAGTTGTCGTTTCACTTGAAGAGATCAAGTTCACCTCTTCTGCTGGCTGGTTTCATCGAAGCTTTCCAGAACACTCTGTGCAACACTGCCCTGGTGCTCCTCGTTGGGCTCAGTCTCGCTTTCCACATGCTCCTCCGGGTGAGTTCTGCGGGTAGGCTCCGAAGACCGAGGTGCCTCCTGTGCACCAATAGCCTTGGCAGCAAGGGTTTTGGCCTGGGACTCGCTCACCTTGCCGTAGACAGACATGGCGCTGGCAATCATGCCACCGATGTCTCCAACGTTGCCAGGAACGACGACCGCAGTACCCTCACGAGCCAACTTACCGAAAGCGTCGACATACTTCTCGGCGACACTTAAGCTAATAGCGCTTTGGGCATCCTGCTGGCCCTCCTGGATCGCCTGGGCAACAGCCTCAATTCCGCGCGCGGTAGCCTGAGCCTTGAGCTGGATGGCCTGAGCCTCACCAGTAGCCCGGTTGATTTGCTCTTCGCGCAGTGCCTCGGACGCCAGAATGACAGACTGCTTGCGACCCTCGGCGATGTTGATTGCGCTCTGACGCTGACCTTCCGAATCAAGAATCTCAGCCCGCTTCGACCGCTCAGCGGTGACCTGGCGGTGCATGGCGGCAACGACACCGTCCGGCGCGTGAATATCCCGAATTTCATATCGAAGGCAGACAACACCCCAGTCTTGCGCAGCCTCGTTGATAGCTTGTGTAATATTCGTGTTGAGAGTGGCACGCTCCTTTAGGACATGGTCCAGAGTCAACTGACCGATCTCAGATCGCATAGTCGTCTGCGCCAGCTGCGAAATGGCGTACTCCGCATCCTCGACGCCGTAGCTAGAACCCGTCCACCATTAGTCACTTTCCCAACCCAGGATAGACCTTCAACATCTCCGGTGACTCACCTTGCTTTGTATGCGTCAAATACCCGCGTGTACAAAACACCATCAAGCTCCAGAGTGACGTTATCCGCCGTAATAGCATTCTGGCTCGGGATCTCGATCGCCGACTCCTTCAGGCTCTTCACATAGGCAATACGGTCCAGGAAAGGAACCAGAATAGCGAGACCAGGCTCCAAGATCCGGTGGAACTTGCCCATCCGCTCAACAATCCATGCCGTTTGCTGGGGCACGAAGCGGACAACGGTGTTCGCGGGAAGAGTTTGCCGGTTGCTGAAGTAGGTAACGGGGCCACCGCCCTGTTGCGGCTGGCCGGATGCGAAGCTGCTGAAAAGAGACTCGGGGGCGAGACTGCGAGGAGAATTTGAGAGAGCTCGTGTCTGGGTTGGAGTCACGACCGCGGCGGTTCGGGGGAGACGGCGGCCCTGGTGAAGCAGGGTGGAGCTGCGAGACCGTAATAGTCTCGAGCTTTGGCGATATGCACCCTCCATATTGGGGAATTTGATCGACGGGATTGAATGGTGGGGAGATGGAAGGACAGCTCGGTCAGACGAGCTAGCGGAACAAGGTTCGGCTTTGGAGATGTTGGTGCCTGAGGCGATGCGGCGACGCGGTTCTCTCCGCACTCGATGTACCGCCTTTTCAACACGACTTGAGATGCTAGAGTCGAGACACTTCATAGTCAATTTGCTAGAAAGGAAACTTTTGCAGTAATGCAAAGGGAAGATCACAGCTTCGAAATTGCTTTCTCAATAATTTGTTTTAATAGCATGTCGCGACAGTAGCTGGCCGGGGTGACCTATGGAGACAGAGCTACGGGTTCTACCGATAATGATAATAGTTCGCAGTACAAACTGATTGAACTACAGTAAGAGTACTATCCATCGCTTGGATGGACGTCCAAACAGCATTGCTTGGATTTTGGCCCTATATACGTCAAGGTGTCATGAGCACTGTTTATATGAGAGGCGAACCCCATTGGCTAAATGAGCTGCAATATCTGGAGGATTCAACAATTCCATACAGCATAGAATCCAATCTAAATGGCAGCAACTACACAAGCAGTCGTTTTATCATTAATAAAGAAGAAACAAGATGGACCACGGTATGCATGTCATTGACCCCGGCAAAAAAAAGACTCTGAACATCCTGATTTATGCACAAAAAAGGTACCCCAAACAAATAATGAATCCCTTGGAAAAAAGAAAAGACGTTTTCGAAGCAAAAAGAGCAAGTAAAAAATAGGGGTTGAAGAAAAAAGAGGAGTTCATCTCGCCAGACGAGATTCCTTCCAGCGCCTTTTATCAAGACCATACTCGAAATTGAAGTAATAGCCAGCCTTTTTGCGATTGTTCGTCTCCATCATCTCACTCGACATAGCCGAATAGAGAAGATCGTACATGACATTATCGTATTCCTTGAACGGGGCATGAGATAATCGCACCATGTCGTGGATCACCTCGTCGGGGAGAGGACGACGGGAAGAAAGGCAGGTCTGGTAGAAACCAGTCAACGCGTTGACTCCATAGTTATTGTGTCGTGTGAAAAGATCATCAATGGCTAGACGCCGAAATTCATTGTACAGTTGCAAATTGAAATTGCGTGTAAGGTACTGAGACCAGGAACGATAAGGAGGGCCTGTGTTAAGGCCATGCGAAAATGGGGTGACCCGTGGATCTTGAACCCCGAAAGCGTAATTGCGAAAAATCTCGGATTGGTTGCGGGCATGAACGGACTTTTTGTGGTGACGAGAACCGGGTTTTTTGGACTCGGACGGCGGAGCAGTAGGGTTGAGAGGGGCGTTGTCGGTTGAGTGAACATCGCTTGATAATCGACGTTGCATGTTTTCGGCATTGAAGCTGCCATACAAGAAAACATAAATCAGTCGCTGTTCAGATCCTATCCGGATGCTGACAAATCTCTTCATACCCAGTAGATTGCTCTGCCGTCCAAGAGCAGAGGGAACGCGGTTTCGGCCGATGCGATTTTAGTCGGCGCGCTGGAAAACAATCGTTAATATCCGGGTTGCCATAATACATAAGGGAAGAATCCGCCGGGATTGGGCTTCCTTCGGCAGGGTAATAAAAAAAATCCATGGGGAGTCCTACATTGGCAATTTCATTCTGAGCCGATGGCATTGATGGCATGAACTCGGGAGCTGCGGAAGACAGCGACGTTTGAGCTCCACGCGATCCAGTGCCGTTGGGGATGAATTCTCGCGACCCATTGAAACCATTGGAAGCGGCGTCAACGTGAGGGTTGAAAGGAACATTCTCGTGGTTCTTTCCAGCGTGCATGGCAGGAGCAGCACCTTCGTGCTGAGCAGAGGGGTCACGCTGGTCAACAGGGAAGACCCACTGAGCCCACCTCTCGCGGGGACGGAGGCGGTCGACGCCGTCCTCGCCAGTCTGATACTCGACGTTTCGGAGAGTGCGGGAGACGTGGCGGAGGAGCTCGAAGTCCTCAGTCAGAGACTTGACACGCTTGAAGTTAGCGATCACGCCCAAGGGGACGAAACCCTGGCCATCCATGTGTCGACGAAGGAACATGTCCTTGCACAGGTTGTCAACCGAGAAGTAGTACTCCAGCTGCATAGAGAGCATAGGCATGAGTGAGAAGGGCTCCATATACTGCTGGTAAGGAACTGCACTCATCGGCCCAGGGGGCACGTTCTGGTAGCCGTAGACGTTGACATTCATGTCGTTGGGGAAGTAGGGAACACCGCCATACATGCCTGCAGAGGCAGGCAATGAAGGTGACCTCAAGGGCATGCGGTTGCCCTGCTGAGAGCCATTGGGAACACCGTTGTGCGACCGCTGGCGGTCGTTGAAGCCAAACTTGGGGTTGCCGAAGTTGTTGGGCATGTTACCGAACTGGCCGTTCTGGCCACCGAAGGAAGAGTAGGGTCCACGGCCACGGTTTGAGCGGCCTCCGCGGTGGGAGTCACCACGCTCCCGGTTGAACTCGTGGAAACCAGCAGGGTCGGCAGACTTGGAGCCAGACTCTGTGCGGCGGTCACTGGCACGAGCGGCCGCCTGGGGGTCGACAGCCAGGTTGGCAGCGCGCGAATTGCGGGCCTCCTGGTTCTTGACGAATTGCTTGCCATCGCGTTGGGGCCGAGAGACGTTCTCGCCGCCATTGACCTGCTTTCCGTTCGAGGCAGCGGCATCCTCAGCGCCACGGGCTCCACGGCCGCGCTCGACAGCCTGGGCCTTGCGTCCCTCGGTGGGAGCCTCGGCACTATCGGACCGTCTGGCCTGAGCCGGCAAAGAGGCGGCACGTCCAGTGTTAGCATCAGTCCGTCCTCGCTCGCCAGCAGCCTGCTTGGCGGCGGCTCCTTGGGCAGCTTGTCCCGAAGCAGCCTTCTCGCCGGCAGCAGCGCCAGCACCGTGCGCACCTCCGCGGCCGCCATCACGTCCACCACGAGTGGCTCGCCGGCCACCACGGCCACCAGCCGAAGGGAGAGGGGTGTTGAAAACAGCAGTAGGAACGTAGTTGACGGGCATCCACTTCTCCTTGCCGTGGGGACGAATGACGGGGCTCTTGTCGGTCTTCTCCTGAGCCTTCTTCTTCTCCTCACCCAGAGCAACCTCGGGAGTGGGCCATGCGGTAGCATCTCCAACGGCGGGAAGAGCCTCATCGCGAGCCTTTCCACCATCGATCTTCTTGCCACCCTTGGTGCCCTCGGTCGCACCATCAGCACCCTTCTTCTTGGGGTTGGCCTTGGACGAATCCTGTTGGGTCTCGGTGGTCTTGCCGGAGGTGGCAGTTGTTGCTGGAACAGTCTTGGACTTGAGGTCCTGTGCCTCTTTCCGCTGTTGCCAGATGTTCACGGAGGGGAGAGGAGCAGCCTTCAGCTCCTTAGGCGGGGTGGTCTTGTCGGACTTCTCGGACTTCTCGGACTTCTCGCCCTTCTCAGACTTTTCGGACTTCTCAGATTTCTCAGATTTCTCAGATTTCTCAGACTTCTCAGACTTCTCAGACTTATCCGACTTGTCCTTGGAAGTTTCCGAGCCAGCATCGGACTTTTCGGCCTTTCCATCTTGAGCCTGTTTATCTGAGGCCTCTGCGGTGCCGTTGGGTGTATTCAAGGATTCACCCTCTTTCGACTGTGCGTTGGAGCGGTTGCTGACACTTGGTGAAGAGGTCCTGGAGTTGACAGCCTTCGACCTCGTCTTGCTGGTGACGGTGGTGAATTCGGCCTCCGTCGGCGCGTCCGCGGCGGGCTTCTCGGCATCTTGCGGTGTCTCGATCTCGGGAGCGGCGGTCACAGGTTCCGCAGTAGCATCATTTGTCTGCTCCTCCGCTCTGGGCTCAGACTTCTCTGGCTCTGTAGATGCTGCCTTACTGGGAGCAGGGGTTCCCTGCAAGCCCTTTGCGGCTTGCGCGTATGAAAATGTAGAGTTGGAGCTCATGGTGGCTCGTTGGGACAAAACTCGCGAATTTGAGTTCAAAGGATCGGTTCTGTTCAAAGGCGCAGGTGATCTGCTGTGAAACGGATTTAGTGCCCTTCGGCGAGCCTGGAGATCTCGATAAACGTCCACGCGCGAGAGACTCCGGCACCGGTGTGATTCAGAAGAAAGCTTCCACCTTCTTGCAACCCCACCAAAACAGCAGCTTCGGCTTTGTCAAATCACTCCCACTCTGCGCGATGGTGTGAAAGCGGCGGAGAAAGTGCGGGGGCGTCGGAGACACGTAGGGTTGAACTCGGATGGGTCGTAGCTGTTGTGTTGACAGTCTAGACCACCGAGGGCATCGATTGAACCGTCGGATCTCAGTACGAAGGAGAAAGGGACCGAAAAACTGCAAGTTGCGGAACACACAGATCGGGGACGAGGAATGTCGGGAAGGCAAAAATTCTTCACGGACAGAGAGAAGGCACAGCCTAGTCAATGTTGAAGTTCACGTCACGAAAGAACGAGTTGTTGGTCCGCACGTTTCAATTCACTCGGAATGTCACAAAAACTTCTTCCTTGTGTTGGTCCACCCACGTTCGGTTCTCGGAGAGGATGAAGATGGCCGAGCGACGTCCAGTCTTCGACAAGCGATATCACGTAGCGAAACAGGGATGCGAAGCACGAAGGTAGAAGTCGGAGCGGGTTCCTGGTGGGAGGGGAGCGGCCCCTTGTAAGCGAGAAGAAAAAAAAAAAGAGGTGACCGAGCACGAGCAGCGCGCAAATCGCACGAGGTGACAGAAGTCACAAGTGAGACAAGAGATGATCGGAGATCTCGGTTCTCTGGATCCGGAGGGAAGGAGAGGTACCGAAGGTGTAGAAGAAATCTCGCACGTGTGAGAACAACAACAACGGAATGGCGGGAGCACCACCACGAAACAAAGCGCAGGCCTGAAATGCTTCAGCGCGAGGAAATAAAGGAGGAGGGAAAGTGAAGAATAAACGCCCGGAGGGGTTGGAGGGGAGGGGAGTGGTGAAGGGTAAGGGTAAGAGAGGAGGAACGCAAAATTATTATTTGGGTAATTCAGGCCTGGCGGGGGGCCCTTGTGCTGGTACTTACAGGTATTCCAATTTCCTGTTGCAATTGGGGAAAACACACCCACAGTTTGCACGTTATTTGTTTCAAACAATGTTCTTTTCCTGGGGTGGATTTGGTTGTGGAATTTCGCATAAAAAATTCTCCTATGGAGACCTTGTGGAAATCCCTCGGTGCCGTACGCCCGCACGGAACGATTGCACACGGTCACACAGTGAGTATTCCGTACTGGATACTATACTGCAGTGACCGTTCGAAATTATCTCCTCCCCATGATGTTCTCGTTACAACCCATTACTCAAACTTACTGTAGTCTTACTTGGAGAACAGAACTAAGTAAGCTTTTTGTCCGCCATCCCGGCCTCGGCTATGAACCCTAGGTATACACTTCTATATGGTCAGTCACCTATGACGACTGTCAACGAGCCTCATAGCTATGATCCAATGATAGTGGATGATGGTTTGACCATGTTCTTCGGGCCTGAAGTGAGGGGAACTAAGCAAGTATCAGACCTAACCAATAAGCGCCTCCAGTACTAGACACGCCATTGACAGCTGGTGAATACCTACTTAGCTCGGTGTCCCCGGACATTGGTATGTGCGTGTCAGACTTTTCCATACCCTTTACACACCAGAGAAGAATCAACGGCACATTTCCATTTTTTTCAACGTTAGCACCGCGGGGTCCACCGGAGCCCCGCCGCCCATTGGCCATGGCACATCCGTCCGTCTGTGCAACTTTCCGTCAGGTTCGTGAACTCGTGAACTCGTGAACTGTTAGTGAACTTGTTCTCTGCCTAGATACCTGTTCAAGTGCTTTAAGTTATCCATGTCTCTCAAGCTCCAATCCTGGGCACATGTGGTACTTGACGGGCGTGGAGAATATCGGATATAGGCGCCGGCGAACCCTCGGGTACCTGACGGGTGTACCGGAAGATACGTAATTACGGCCCCGAATCATAAGATTGTATGAGGCTAGAGCAGAATATGTCCTCCTTGGGTAGTAGCTACAGCAGTAGCATGCCAAAAACTCGGCCTAACTACAACCCAAGGCGTCTGTGCTCCGTAGCTCTTTGTGCGACCGAATGTGATTCCCTTAACTCGCTCATGGCTCACGTAGAGACGAAGCATCTTGGCTAGCAAAAATCTACATCGTGGATCCGAGATGTAGTCTACCAGGCAGCTTGCTCTTGGCAGAATAATTACATGTCGTAAAATCACATTCGGCAGTAACAGGATTAGGGCTGAGGGCAAACGGAATCCGTCGGAAGGGAGTGGGTATATGTAATCAAAATACAGCAGGGGGACCTTGGAACGTGGGATGGGGTACCTGTATTACCCGATCGTCCGTGATATTTAAGATCTAAGTCGGTAGGTATCGAGCTTCAAACTGTCAGTGGTATATGAATAAATGGATATCCCGCAACGCCTGGCTTAACAGAAATGTAGTCTACCAATGCCGAACACTGATCAGCACCTGCTCCCTTGCATCTAATTCTACCGATCCGAGTGGCCCAGTCACGAACCCAAGGCGCGTAAGCACCTGCCACACCAGTTTCCGCTTGAGGCTCTCACGGACGGGAATCTTCTCCAGAGCATCAACGCCGTTGAAATACTTCAAGAATACGGGCCAGTACTTCTGCAGGATGGTCTGGATGTCCTGAGGCGCGATGTCCGGGCTGATTCCTTCGAGAGCTTGCCCGGGGCCTGTGTGGTCAGGGAACCGGGCCACGATTTCGTCGAGCCAGCGCGACTCGAGTGGAGATGCGCGATGTGGTGAGAGGATGAGGGATGAGAGCCGCAGTGCCGTAGACCGGTCGAGGAGCTTGTGGGAGGTGCGCAGCTGTGCCTGCGCATCGTATCGACCGGGCATGGGCGTCTCATCGCCACTGCCATGGCTAGCTAGTGAAGAAGATGAGGACGAGCTTGCATCATCCTCATCGTCGCTCGAGTCATCGTCAATGCCAGTGTTGGAGTTGGCTTTCGCGAGATACCGGTCCACCTCTTCTTTTCGGAGGGCCGTCTCTACAGCCAGTTTGATCTCGGGTGTCACCTTGATGCGTGCGAATGTTCGTAGCTGTGTTACCCAGCCGCCGCGGAGGAGCCAAGCCAGGATGGAAAAGTATGCCTCCTTATGATCCTTACTTGGGATAAAGCTGCCGTAGGGTCGCGGTGTGCCGCTGAGGGCGGAGAGCATCTTCGGCAAGCTAGGCAGAGTCGGGAAGGCCGTCTGATAGGCGATAGTCGCAACCTCCAGCTTGCTCAGGTCGCAATTGGGAGACACGATGTACGTGTCTCGCTGGTGGATGGGGGGAATGGCACGGGCACGACGCCAGTAGACCAGATGACTGGCCAGCATTTGGATTGTAGAAAGCGGAATCCCCGAGGATACTGATATCTGTGCAAATGACTTGGTGGGCGTTGAACATCGAATGTAATGGGCCAGTGCCGGGGCAAGAGCGCCTCCCGAGGCTTCCACATCCTTGATGATGGCTTCTTCACTGTCCAACAGCAGCAAGGCGAAGTGCTTTGCAAGGACTTGGTGAGGTGTATTGTTCTCGTCGGTACTCGGATCATCCATTGGGGTTGCACTGTCGGCGGTAGTCAACCAGAGACCTGGATACGCCTTGTCTGTCGGCCCAGCAAGGTAGGGTGTAGATGTAAGTGGAGGGATCTGCAAAGAGATGGAAACGTCGGGACTGAGCGATACAGACGCAATCTTCGATGCGGATATGCTTGAGTAGACGGTGTACATTGCCCGTGCCAAAGAAGACTGCTGTATCAACTCCGAGTAGAGATTATGGACCGATGTTTCTAATCGCAGTGTTAGCAGACTTGTCATGAAACAAGGAACTTGGAAACATACTTGTTTCTCGAGCTTTTCGTCGCAATTGCAAGATATGCTGTGATTCTCTCCACACATAACCCGTGCGAGCCTGCTCCCACTTAAGGGCCTTTGCAAACTTCTTGATGATATTCTCATAAATCTCCTTGACCCGCATCGAATACTCCAACAAAGGAGGGTCCATGACGAAAACCACATTAAACATCGTCATATGATCCTTATCCTCCGCATCATCCGAACCATCAGGGTGTTTCCCACATTTCCCACTGGCATATGACGCCCGCTTCGGAGTATCCGTTGGCGAAAGCGTCGAGTCAGCCAAAGAAGCAACACTGGTCATCATCTCAGGCGAAAGAACCATATCCTCATCGACCTGACCATCTTCAGCCTCATTATGCCCCAGCTCCCCACCTTCCCACTCAGCGCGAGGCTTCTTCTTCTTCTTCCTTCGCTGCTTGCGCCAACTCCCATCTTCGCGCACGAAAACCGGCCACCCAACCAGCGCCAGATCATTAATCCCAACCTCGAAACGCCTCTTATGCCACGACTTCTCCGGACTGAGTAATTTCTCCCAAACGCTCCCAGGCACACCAAAAAGCGATTCCCAAGGCGTCCGGAACAACCCCTCAGGCTCATCATCCTCAAAATCCGACCCCGCACCACGCTGCTTCCGTAAAGACGAGACCCGGCCTGAACCTAGAGACCCGGGCCGATGGGGTTCCGCATTGGGCGACGGAGACACCGACGCATGATCGTCGGGGCCGAAATTGCTCGCGCGCCGACCTATCGCGGGCCCCGGCGCAGCTGCGTGGATTTCTCGTTCCTCCTCATCTTCATCGGAGCTGAGCCCGCTCTCGGAGCTGGAGCTTGAGTCGGTATTCTTGGCGCCTTGTCTGCGCGTGCGGGAGATGCGCCGCCCGCCCTTGGTCGTCACCTTTAGGCGGTTCTCGCTGAGCGGGTTCGGGGGATAGTGGAAGACTAGGCGTGGGCCGGTACGGGAGCGCACGATTAGGATAATTGCCACCAGGCATGGGTCTGGTGGCCGTGCGATTGAAGACATTGGGGTGTTAACGGTGGTGTTGGAGATGTCAGGAAGCTGAAGCTGGGCGGAGAAGGGTTCCCCGCATGGAGAGCTCGAGCCGATGGAAGTGAGATTTCGGAGATTACGTTCGCGACAATTATTAATAAAAAAGTTCAATGCTCCGATTTCGAGAGTATATTACATTTTGTATGTACAATGCTTTTAATCAACGCCAATATGCCCGGTCCTTTCCTGGTGTAGGATGGCCGGTTTCGATATCGTACAAGTCATCCACTGGTTGCGATAAGAGCAGTCACAATTTCCTCGATGCGTTTCTTCGAGACCCATGACTTCCAAAATCCAATTTATTTCTTTTGTTCCGTGCCTTGTGCTCGTTCTGTGGCTGGCGCCGCGTTCTTTTCTTGGTCCTCCTTGAATACAAGTCCCAGGTTGTTGAAGTTGTCCGGTGCCATCAGGTTCCTGTGCGAAGAATATATCAGTCAATGTATACACTCCAAGATTGCCACGATGCCTCGATAACATCCTCCTGCAAAAAAGCACTGTATTCTGGGTCCAGGAGAGGTTCGACGTACTTATCCATCCGGCAGGCGAGATAATCCTTAGCGAGTCTGCGGCACGCCTCATCGTTGGTGCCCCTGTTGGATTTTATGCATTTCAAGTAGCCGGAGATAATATGCTTGCACTCTCCTAGAAGTCAAACAAGTCGTTAGCTGCGCTCTCTCTAGCTTCGAAGCTGCATTCGCAGGAACCATGGTGTCTGTCGGAGTCGAATTGCGTACCATCGTGGTCAAGGGGAAAGCTACCGCGCTCAGGCCTTCATAAGCGAGTCATATCATTAGCAAAACTGTCCAGAGATATTTCCGTCGGGAAACAACATGTTTCCCTGTGAGCGAACCGCAATTGCAAAGATAGCGGCGCGCAGCAAAGACTCACGGCGAGGGCTTATAGTTAACCGAGCCACCTCCGGGGGCTCCGAAACTCATCTTGGGCGTTTCCGACGAGTAAAATCTCAGTAATGGAGCACAATAGTCGAGTACCAGGTCGCAAGTCGCAGCAAACCGAGATGGAGGCGACGAAGGATCTCGGGGACAAACAAAGCAAACTTGTCAAACAGGGACGTCGGCCAACCAGCATTGCAGGATGCGGCCGATGATGTATTTCGCGGCCGGACAGCAGGACTCGGGCCTGTTTTTGGGGAGGATTGGGCTGGAGATAAGCGGAGTTTGGTATATATCCATCAATCAGGGTTGCTGTTCATTTTCGTTTGCATTTGGGGCATGCCTTGATGCAAATGCTCTGTTTGTAGGAAGAAGTATATATATCAGTCTTCGGATAGACTAGGCCAGATTACTTCCCATTTCCTGTTTCACTATCAGTTGACCATCTAAACCTCCCAAAACACATTGACACACCTAGTCCCTGATACTAAACCATATCAATATGCCTATGTATGTTCTGCTTATAGTCCTTCTTTTCTGACCGTCCGCCCTTCCCCGCACCTACAGCGCTAACAAGAAACCCAGGAAACTCGACGGAAGCTGCCAATGCGGCGGCATCGAATTCACCCTCCAGTCCCAGACGCCAGTTCCATACCAGCTCTGCGCCTGCAGCATCTGCCGCAAAGTCGGCGGATACAGCGGTAGCGTGAACCTGGGCGGCATCGCCGACAGCCTGCAGATCCTCAAAGGCAAAAACCTCATCAAGTATGTCTTATTTCTCCAACTCTGTATCGCTGAATCCACGAGATATACTAATGCATGTGTAGGAAATACTCCGGAATCAAAGATCGCGGCACACCGAACGAAGAGCGCTGCTCCTCCGAACGGAACTTCTGCTCTAACTGCAGTACCATGCTGTGGCTGTGGGATCACCACTGGCCGGAACTGATTCATCCTTTTGCTTCTGCTATTGATACCGAGCTGCCTGTACCGGACCAGATGGTTTGTGTTTTGGGCGAGTCGAAGCCTGACTGGGTGCGTTGGCCGGAGGGGAAGAAGAGTGTGCATGAGGTTTACGGGGAGGATAGTATTGAGGGATGGCATAAGAAGCATGGATTCTTCGTTGAGTAAACTACTACCTGGGTAGTTACTTGGGGTTGAGCGAGGTGTTGGGGTGGGAGGTGAAAGGAGTTGAGGTGAAGAGGGATTACGTGGGTTACGTGGGTTACTTGAGAGGAATGAGAAATCATAAAATGTTCTTTGCAAGCTATGATGGGTATCGAAAGAATCTGAATTGCGTATTAGCAAAGGTCACAATGGTTGATGAGTGAAACATTGTGTAGGAGGGTAGTGATCAGTTCTCCAAGGTGAATATAAAATTTGTTTCTTCAATGTGATTCGGAAAGAACACAGCGAATTTTAGGGTTCATCAGGCAATAAGGTAGGAATGAAGACACGGTCGGACTTACAAATGATAAACAGAGGTATCTACTGTGCGGTGTGAGGTCCTAGATAATTGATCGCATGGAGTCAGCAATGGCATTCAGGCACAATGCAAGCTTGCAAAGCGAATCAAAACATGGCAACTAAGTCAGGCTTGAAGAAGTCAGCAACGGGCACCATGGCTCAAGGTATCAGTGGCAACTCACCTCATTAAATCAGATTTTTGTATGTTAATAGTCATTCCCAAAATACCGAAGCATCCAGGTCCAACAGTGTGAATAACATGTTCATCATTATAGATAGGCCATGTTGGGTGTGTGCAAGAACGAGACAAGAGTAAGATACCTAGAATCAAAGTCAGATCGGTGTTCCATGATTCCTCGTCGACGTCAACGCGTTGTGACAATGGGCAAAGGATCAGGTGACGAGTTCTCAACAAGTAATCCAAACCCAAACGCCCACAGAGTTTGTACGCTCTGGTTTTATTGAGCGCAGGGAGATGGAGACATTATGTCCGCCCGTTCGTTCAAGATTTCTTCATGCAAGCTCATGCCGCAACGGGGAAGAGGGAATGAAGAGTTTGTATGTACCTGAACCGGAATACTGTTAGCATTGGTTCGACAATGTGCTTGATGCCAGTTGTAGAGTGAGGTGTAGTCAGACAAGGCTGAAACTTGATAGTAGACAGATTCCACACGGTGATTAAGATCGAGGAATGCCATTCGCATGTCACATTTTCATCATTCAAAAGGAGAGAAAGGGAGGTGGGCAGGGACCCAAAGTTTTTTCTTACCTTTTAGAAAAAAAAAAAAAAAAAAATCGATCGAGGGACGAATACCATCATCAAGGTTTTCGAGTATCCCATTGAGACTAATTTCACGACCTTGACAAGGTCTGGTCAGGTGCAGAGCCACTCATGACCCCAGGAAAAAATTGAGGAAGAAAAGCAGGGAGCTTCCAGCTCCTAGACTGGAGCTCGCATGCACGGGAGAAAGAAAAAAAAATGTGGGTGTAGCGCGGAATATAAATGGAGCTACGGTGGCCGTGCCGAGCCTGACGCGCAGTTTGTCTGCGCGTCAAACATGCGCTCCTGCTCCACTTTGGAACCATGAAGAAGCGAGGCCGTACACTTGAGGTAGACAATGATTCTTAATATTGCAAATAGTTGGTATTGAGATCTTCCCATCTGGATGCAATGCAGCGCCTGCATGACCTTTCTTGGCCGCTCTGTCCCCCGTAACCCACAATCACTTCAAGTCCCCCTTACTTGAGAAGAAGAACAGTACTCGGTAACAACACAGCCATGGGATATTATAGCAAGATGGTATTGGTGTTTGATGAGCCTTGATGGCCCAATGCCGGATTTCCAGGCATTCTGGATTGTGAAAAGGGGCCAATGGCCAATCACCTGCTTCGTTGTCGAGAGCGAGGGAGACAATGGTCGAAGCTGTCTCGAGCTGCTCGGAATCACCAGGCTTGGGAGCAATTCCATCACAGCTTTGCTTAATTTTTCTGACCTTGTTCCTGAGTCTATCAATACATTAAAGATGGAATGGTTAAGCAGGCTTTCTTCCTCGGGGCGCTATGTTCATTCATGGCACTTGGAGTGTTAGCTTCTGTCGGGACCGAATCGATAACATTATTTGCAAATATTCCTTTTGTTGGTAATTTGAGACTGCCACCATATGGCGAGAATATATGACGGGTGCTGTCGTTCTGGACAACGAGGAGGTGCGGAAATCGTGCGGCCGTTATCCTAAAGCTCGGCTGGTCGGCTTTGATATTTATCAATTTTTAGTTTTGGATCCTGCGACCTCATCCCGACGTCACCCACGCTGCATCAACCCATGGGAGCTATCAATAAACAAGTAACTAAATAACATCAAGCTGACGTATTCGCTCTCCATTTAAATTTGTAAGACGTCAAATGCTTCTTTCCACAAATATTTCCGTTCAAGTAAAGTACTTCCGACCAACACCTGGGCTATCCAAGCTACCCTAAAGAACTTCAAAATGAGCACCAGATTCAAGCTAAATACCGGAGCCGAGATTCCTGCCATTGGATTTGGAACCTGGCAAGATGCAGACTCCCAGGAGGCTGCTGTCGCGGAGGCGATCAAAGCCGGCTACCGACATATCGACACAGCCCGGGTGTGAGTGGCGTTCTCCAAAAACCCTTAATATACCCCTCCACTCTAACCAAATATCCGGAGCTGCAGCTACCTCACCGAGAAACCAGTAGGCAAAGCAATCGCGAAATGTGGTGTCCCGCGCAAGGACCTTTTCATCACCACAAAGCTATGGAACAACAAACACCACCCAGACGACGTGGCTGGTGGACTCCAACAGTCCCTCGACGACCTAGGTCTAGAATACGTCGATCTATTCCTGATGCACTGGCCAGTCGCATGGCAAAGAGGCGAAGAACTCTTCCCAAAAAAGGATAACCAGTTCATACTCGAAGACATCGACATTGTCGACGTATAGTTCTCCTACCCGTTGCTTTATATTATCTAATCATGCTAACACCCTAAAAAGACCTACAAAGCAATGGAAAAACTCCTCAAAACCGGCAAAACCAAAGCCATTGGCGTCTCGAACTTCTCTAAACCAGAGATAGAACGCCTCGTCAAAGAAGCATCCGTTGTGCCAGCAGTCCACCAAATGGAATGCCACCCCTGGCTCCAGCAGGAAGAATTTACCGCATGGCACAAAGCAAAGGGGATTCACGTCACACACTACTCGCCCCTTGGAAACCAAAACGCGTTATATGGCGACAAGGGCGGAATGGGGAAGTTGATTGAGGAGCCACTTTTGGCGAAGATTGGGGAGCAGTATGGGAAGAGTGCTGCGCAGGTTGCTCTTGGTAAGACTCCTTTTTTCTGGATGGATTTTAATTGAGGAGTTTGTGCTGATAATGGACTGTTTAGCGTGGGGTGTTACGCAGGGTCATTCTGTGCTTCCAAAGTCTAAGACGCCATCGCGTATCAAGACTAATCTGGAGAGCGATTTCAAGTTGAGTGCGAGTGACATGGAGAGTATCCGGAAAATTAATAAAAAGATTCGGTTTAATGATAGTAGTGGAGAGTTTGGGAGGGACTTCTTTGAAGGCTGTGAAGGGAAGTGAGATATACGTTCTGGGAATATGTCGCCCAGCTGAAAAAGTACTCATTTAGCTCCTTTCGATTTTTATTGTGTACCAATTGAGTATTTTATCATGTCAAGAATAGTCCTCGGGCTATATAGGTATCGTAAACTGCCGAGATCTAGGAAGAGCTCAACTAGGGGGGATGACATCATCAAACTAGACACATTGGGAGCCGAACATCACAGTTATTTACTCTCGCCCAATTGGACGACATAATCACAAATCACCATGGGCACAGCTTCAAACGGCTTTGCCCTAGTAACGCCCGCCTCTCGGGGAATAGGCTTCGCCTTCGCTCAGCAGCTCTTAGCACGAACAACCCTCCCCGTCGTGGTAACAGCGCGCAAGAACTGTTCCGAGGTCAGAGACCGACTTCTCTCCAGCAAGGAATTACCATCCACCGCAGACAAAAGACTGCGTATACTTGAAGTAGACGTGAAAGGTTGACCGCCATATCTACTACTCGACCGGTCCATCCCAGCTAACCTAACCACTCAGATGAATCCACCATCTCATCCATGGCGGAGACTATACACCGCGAATTACCGGATACACCACTACGCCTCGCCCTAACAGTACCGGGTATATTACACGTCGAAAAATCACCATCTCAGATTGACGCCAAAAATGCGCTAGACAGTTTCCAAGTGAACGCTCTCGGCCCGCTATTGCTCACGAAACATCTCTCCCAATTCCTCCCCACAAAGTCATCACCTGCTTTCTCTTCTGAAACACATGCAGAAGGTTCATTGAGACTACCATCTCATGCAATCTACGCCATGATGGCAGCACGCGTGGGCTCAATATCTGATAATAACTCCGGTGGCTGGTACTCCTACCGCGCGAGTAAAGCGGCTGTCTATCAAATAACTAAGACGTTTGATTTGTATTTGAGAGGCAGGTGTAAGGAGAGGGCGCTTGCTGTGGCGTTGCATCCTGGGACTGTGAAAACGGATTTCACAAAAGAGTTTTGGAGTGGGAGGGAGATGCTTGAGCCGGCAGATTCTGCGCAGAGGTTGCTGGAGTTTCTTATGGATTTGGAGCCTGGGGTTAAGGACGGTAGGGGGAGATGTTGGGATTGGAAGGGGGAGGAAGTATTTCCCTAGAGCTAGAACTAGACTTCACGTGCGGTGGCGGTTTCACAATGATATACGGAAGGTGATTTTGAAGAAAATGAATATGCGGGACTGGTCCAAGGTTTGCTGTAGATTATTAAACTTCTGATCCATAGACTAATGCGTGAACTGGCACTTTATATACGGTAAAAAGAAGATTCGTGCTTTTGTCACACACGTCAAGCATTGGATCACAGCTTAATTTTCCTCCCGATCCAAGTATCACGATAAATTAGCATCTCGCTGGAAAGCGAGATCTTCCTTCGGAACCGACATAAGTTCTGAGAAGATAGTTGGAACAACCAGCTGCTTGATCTTTACTTAAGCCCATACTTGACACTAAGGGCGCATAGGGCGTGCAACCATTCCAATCTTGACATGTACGGCCGAGCTCGACGTCAACGAACGGATGGAATTCGCCACGGCGGCCGAAAGAAGCTGTTATCGCAGCTATTTGTATAGTTACAGCAGTATATCTTATTAATGACAAGGGAGGGGGTACTTGTACTTAAGCGATGATTATCAAGTATCTCGCGTCGGATCTATCTTTGGCTTTAGGCGACGATCAGAGGCTGGCTTGACAAACATGCCAACACCACGAGAAGAGCGTATCCCGGAACGCAGAGATTCCAGAATAGCATCTGGAAGATAGGTAAATGAGTGAAGCACGCAAGGCACTTCCACGTGGTTTCATCTTATAAGGCGGGGTGAAATACCCGGGGGAAATACGTCAGTTCAGTTTTTGGGAGATAATACAGCCACATTCCTAGCTGAGTCAAGATCATGATTACGATGGAGCAGTAAACAGGACCTTATTAACAGCAACAGAGCCAATGCCACACGGCTCGGCAACGGGCTCGGCAAGCTTATCGGGGCTTAGTTTGCCAAAACGAGTGAAGCTGCGGGGATACCTCTGTGAATGCCACATTGAGCAAACATGGAGCAAGTTATACACCAGGGGTCTTCCAATGCTATCACAGTAGAGCGTCATGACGAGAACCGAAGAAGGACCATTGAACAAGGGCTTGGAGGCACTCGTAGTTGCCCACATAGATTGCGATGAAGAGGAGTGCAGGGGAGTGGAAGAGATAACAGAATGAGCAGCAAGCCAAGACACCCTGCCCACCTGTTTTGAAGACGGTGCTAGGGATGCAACTATGAGGGCGGGTGTTAGTAGTTAGTCGCTTCCTGGCGCTTCAAATGTAGGTACTGATTATTGCACGTTTTCGATATCTGGACACCAATCACACTAGCTGCACCAACTGTACCAGCCGCACCAACTGTAACGATTGCTGCCTGGGACTACTGAAACTTCAGTGACGGAAGTCTCAGAGCCGAGGCTCCGACGTAGCCGTAACTCCGCTAACCGGGTAGACAGTGTTCCGAGGGCGATGGTCTTTGTTGTAGCCGAAGCTTTCTTCTGGCGGAAAGAGCGGTCGGTGACCCTTGGTGGGGATACACGGATGTGGAAACCGGTACTGCGAATTGTCCGCCGGCGAAACTTCCCTTGGTTGTGATATAGATTGTCTTGGCGGATGCTGGACGGTTGGAAACAGTGGGAGGACAAGCAGGGATATGGATGGCTATCGTTTAAATTTCAAGATTCCTGACATGAATGGGGTGATGTTTGAGCTTTTCACTAAATTATCAAGGCCGGTCTTTGGCACACTTCTGCCTATTGAGGCTAAGTCTAAGACGATCCACGGCACTTGCAAGTAGGCTCTTTGCCGTAACGGGATTCTCCAACACTGTCTGCATCCCTTCTTCAGTCGCCGGGTTCTAGATTCTTTATCTACGTTTATGCTTATTCTTTATTGAACGCTCCGTCTTTCTGATTCCTGATCTTCTCATCTCCATTTGAAAACCTATGTTTGGCTTGGCTTTATTAACCCCATTTATTTTGCTTGTGCGGCTGGAGACGCAGGACCGTAGTTAGAATATCCTGGAAATTTTGATTTGAAATTGAAATCAGCTGGCAAAAATAGGCGAGGAGCAACACCAAATTGGAAGGAGAGAGTGACAAACACGGACGTAACCTCGTCATCAAATATCCATATCTTCTTTCATTAGGGTCCACCGGAGTTATTCCGTAGCCCGCGGAACTAGGTAACTGGGAGATCACGAGAACGAATAATAACAGACCAGGCTGTCAACCCCGGGTTAACCCCATTTCAATGTCATAGCAGTCTCAGCTTTGTCCCGAGCTACACAGCCCCCACAAGACACCTACCCCCTTTTCCAAATAGGGGTTCGTGGAACCCCCTTTACCAGACCATAGAAAATAGAAACCGGATTGAGGCGGGCAATCCCCCAGATCGCGGTGGAAGGAAAGCCTTCGAACAAACTTTAACCCGGCGCCACCGGGGTTGGCGGGTCTGGACAGTGTAACCCTTTTATACTTCCGGGCCACAACCATCTCATTAAGGCGACAAAGCCGGTATACAGCCGAATTTTGGAGCGCGGAATGCCGTATTTCGCGGGGATAAGCCTGGTCTGGAGGCGAGAATTGTTTATCCCCCGCACTTTCTCCACATAATACTTGCCGGGCCCGCTTGCCTGCCGAGGTCGGGGTGTTAGACCTGCCAATCAGGTCTTGCAATTGGGTTTACTGCAAGGGACCTCGGCTTGCTACTGGATCGCTGGAGACCCTTTGATGCTGAGATTGGCGTGCTTGTTGGGGGTGGAGTTACTCCGATGGCTTGGCTTTAGCCTTGGGCCTGAGATGACCGAGTTGGGGTACGGAGGGGATGATACGCGTATAGAGACTATAAGATGCCCAGCGGGGAATAGATCGTCATCAAAGGTCGTCTTTGAAACTTGCTTCATTATCCTTCGGGGCAATTTGCGGCCTCCTGTTGATTTTTTTGGATTTTATTCTCAATTCACATTCTCAATTAACATCCGCCATGTCGGACGACAACACCAGCGATAATAAGCAGGAGGCTTCTACCGTCGAGATGCTCCGTCGCATGCAGACGGCGGAGAGTGTACTCCTCCCCATCCCACGCGATGCATTCGAGAAGCTCTACCTGAGCCCCAAGATCCCGACTGCAGGGAATCTGCGACGCACCTTTGGTAACCCGACACCGATCTCGTTGTTGGGTTTCCTGCTCGCTGCGACGCCCGGAGCTATGCAGACAATGGGATGGGGAGGATCTGGTGGGAATGGCGGTGCCATCTTGTAAGTTCACTGGCGGAGAAGAGAGGGACGATGCTAATACGATGATTTATAGACCGGTGTATATCTTCTTTGGTGGAATGGTCCAAATCTTCGGAGCGGTTGGCGAGTGGATTATCGGGAATACATTTTCTTGCGCTCTGTTTTTCACATACGGAACCTTTTGGATCGTCCAGGGTGCCAGCAACATGCCTTTCTTCGCAGTCGGCACGAACTACTCGCCGACGGGTAATTCATTGGAGGGGATGCAGACGCCTGAATATAGTGCTACCGTCGGTTCGTTGCATTTCACACCTTCTCACTCGAAAAACATTAAAACTAACATTGCGATAGGATTATACTATGCAATCCTTGCGGTTCTAACCTCCGTCTACGTTATATGCTCCCTCCGCACCAACGTTTGCCTTTTCCTCGCCCTGTTCCTTCTGGTTATTACTTTTGCTCTCACGGCTGCTACTTTCTTCCAAGCGGCGCTGGGTAACGCTGTCCACGCAGCTAAACTACAGAAGGCGGCTGGTGCATTTAATTTCGCTCTTTGTATACCTATCTGGCATATCTTTGTTGCTCAGATTCTTGATGCTGTTGATTTCCCGTTCACACTCCCTGTGGGTGATTTGAGCACCGTCGTGCTTGGGAAATCCCAGAAAGCCCGGAAGAATGGGGTAGAGAGTCAGTGAACTGTTAACTGGTAATGGCAAATATGGATTGAGGCATGTGGATTTGAAAGGGACGAATATCCCGAGAAATATCAAAAATTAATGTCATCATCGAATTCCCATTTCGAGCTCGGTAGAACACGCTATTTCAACGCAGGTTGTATATGAACAATAATAGATTCATGGGATCGGAGACAGCGTAGCATCGTTATAATAAGGCGGGGGAGTATAGTCTCAACGCCAACCTCCAACTCTCCCCTCATCCCACCGTGCCTTCGCCTCCTTTCTCGCCGCAAGCTTCGAAGCCTCGGCCCTTACCCTCCTAACCCAGTCCGTAATCTCCTTCTCCGTAGCCCTGCCATGGTGATCCTCATCAAGAAAGCTCTCCTCCACCGCATGGCAAACAGCCTCCTGCTCCGCAATCGCCGCGCTCAATCGCTGGTACAAAGCCTTGGGCGACCACGGCGCCAGCGCGGTGTCCATCTCGGTTTGCTTCTTTCGCCAGGAGACTTCTAGGGACTGGTGTGTGAGAAGCATTTTCTCAGTTGAGCCGCGCAACTCGGCAACGTGGGTTTGCATTTCCAGGAGCCGGTTTACGAGGTCTTTGTTTGTTTGGATTAGGGATTCGAGATGTTCTTGGCGGGATGTGTGGGAAGGGTGTTGATTTGAGAGGGCGGTTATTAGCCTTGGGTCTTTGAGAATTGTTTGGAGGTCGATTGTTCTGTGGTGTGTTAGTTGGGTACGGGTTGGGATGTGGAATCGGCGTACGATTTGTCCTTCACGAGCTCCGGGAGCCAGCCTTCTTCGATCGTTGGTGGTGCGGGGAGGGATGCCGGTTGGGTTTGGTGGTATTCTAGTTGGTGAGCGGCTTGTGCTGGTTGTTGCGGTGGCATCGAGGTGTTCTGGGGGTGGCACCTCGGCTCGCTTCATGACTGATGGGTTTGGGAGGCGGAGGGGGTGGTGTATCGGCATTGAGTGCAGGGTTCGACATCGGAGGCGTCGAGTAGAATGACGACTGAGTAGGATATGGGGACGCGGATTGAGACATGTTGTGTTGGTGTTGGTGTGGGGTTCGGAGGTTGCGCGTTGGAGATGCGGAAGAGAGCTCGAGCTTGGCGGGCCCGAGATTAGTGAGCCCGATAAGAGCATAGGAACTAACAATTCCAAACAGGAACCGGAGGAACAGCAGGACCAATCATATAATATGAGTTTACTCATTCATTTCGTTATTTAATTACAGTACAACGGCATAATTGCTGAATGCAGGCTTCAAGTCAATGACAAGGCCAGACCAGCATCGTACTATCAGGTGGGAATGCGAGGCCTCTGAGTGGCGGCCCTAGGACTCCTGGTAGATAGAGCTCGGAATTGAAAGCCTTAGAAGCCCTGGGTCATATGTGTGCGACGCCCAAAGACATCCCAAGGGGTGTGGCTAACACAGGCCGCATCGATTGAGGAGTTGCTCTCGAAACAGTAGAGCCAGAGGTAATAGAGAATGGAAGATCATGGTGGTGAATGGGCTTTCGTACCATCCATCTTACTCAGTCCTCCTGCGCGACTCTCGATCCGCAGTCTCAATGCTGGAACCCGAAATGGCGTCCATAACCAGCTCCCGCAACTGAGCTTGCGTAGCCTCACTGTGGAAATCTTCCCGAGCCGCCAACTCGTCGATACGACGCTTGAACTCAGGATCAACCTCCGCCTCCCCAGCATTCGCCTCCTGCTCTGACATTGTGCCGATATTGACCTTCATGTTGTCCGGGATAGGCGGCGGAGCGTTCAGCGGGCCGACAGGGGAATCCGTTGAGCTGGTACGAGGCTCCCCGATCACTTCCCGCAGGTAGGCACTGACCTGAGGGAATTCTTCCTCAGATTCCATCTTCTCATGGGCCTTGAATCCCTCAAAGTTCATCCTTTTGTAGTCCACCCCGAGCTCCTCCACCAGACACCGGGCGATCTGGGGGGATTCGGTCACGAATAGGCAGGTCTCGCCATCTTCATCGAGGAGGTTGACATCGACGTTGTAGTCTTTGACAAGGGCACGGAGGAGGTCTGCATGGCCGTAGGATGCGGCAGCGTGTAGAAGAGAGTAGCCGGACTCGTCCTGGGAGGATGCGATCGAGGGATTAGTGCGCAGGAGCTCTAGAAGCGCCGAGGGGTTGTCGCAGGCCAACAGATAGGGGTTTGGTTGGGCCATAGTCACGCCGTGGAGTGAGTCACAAGGTATTCAGAGTTGGAATGCTGACTCTTATAATTGGGAGCTGGAGCTGGAGATTTGCGGTGGGGGAAAAAAATCACGATAAGGCTGTGCCGCCTTACCATTTTTGCTCCCCGCAGCCTGTGACACACTTTCGATGACTCTTTGCTTTCAACCTTGCACAGCGCAGTGAAACTTTGCCGCTTCTTAAGGCACCGGCGCGCCTGTCCAGGAACGCACAGCGCCTTCTCTTTTCCTTTTCCTTCCTCTTCTCCGCCCCGCCTACCCCTCCACCCTTTCTTCCATCCCACCGATTGACCCCGCAAAGCTGCAATTATGCCTGCGCAAAACCCCGGCCAGGTCGCGCAGCTTCTGCTCAGCTTGGAGGCTGCCCGGAAACAGGACAAAGGCGCGAAGAAGCGAACCTACACCTGCAAGAAGTCCACCTTTAACGTCGCGGGCACCAAGAACATGACCGTGGACTCGTGGAAGTTTAACGACTGGGATTACAAGAGCAAGGACCTCCCTACATATGCTCGTGGACTGTTCACCACTAGGCGCAAAGATGGTCAGGCCGAGATCGCAGTGCGAGGCTACGACAAGTTCTTCAATATCGACGAGACCAACAACACCAAGTGGGGGAATATTGAGAACAACACCAAGGGTCCATATGAGTTGAGTGTGAAAGAGAATGGATGTATCATTTTCATCGCTGGTTTGGAGAACGACAAGCTGCTCGTTTGCAGCAAGCATTCAACTGGTGTTCGAGATGATGTCAATGTCAGCCACGCACAGGCCGGTGAGCGCTGGGTTGAGCGTCATGTCGCGTCCGTTGGCAAGTCCTCAAAGGACCTTGCAAGGAAGTTGCGTGAGTTGAACGTCACCGCAGTCGGAGAGCTTTGCGACGATAGCTTCGAGGAGCATGTTCTCGCTTATGACGAGGCTGCGTCTGGTATCTACCTTCACGGTCTCAACTACAACCTCCCTCAATTTGCGACGATGTCTGGAGAGCGAGTACATGAGTTTGCGGATGAGTGGGGGTTCAAGAAAGCCAAGTTCGAGGTTCGAGATGACATAGAATCCGTCAAGAGCTTCCTCGAAGGATGCGCCGAAACAGGTACCTGGGATGGCCGTGAGACCGAAGGCTTCGTGATTCGATGCCAGATGAGTGAAAATGGTGGGCCTTACAGTGACTGGTTCTTCAAGTACAAGTTCGAGGAACCTTACTTGATGTACCGCCAGTGGCGTGAATGCACCAAGGCCGTCATCGCAGGGAAGCTCCCCAAAATCAAGAAGCATGAGAAGATCACCGAAGAGTATCTCCAGTTTGCGCGGAGGCAGTTCATCAGAGATCCCAAACTCGCCAGGGAATATAATCACAACCACGGCATCATTGGCATGCGAGAAGCTTTCTTGAAAGAGCGTGGATTGAAGGGATCTGAGATTATTGCCTTGGAAACCGAAGAGAAGAAGAGTGGGAAAGAAACAACCAAGAACGTCATTCTTGCTCCTGTCGCCTCGTTGGGATGTGGAAAGACTACTGTTGCTCTCGCTTTGGTGCACCTCTTCGGATGGGGTCACGTCCAAAACGACAACATCCCCAAGCAGAAGAACAAGCCTAAGAAGTTCGCCTTTGAAATCGCGAGCGCCATGTCAGAGCAACCCGTCGTGATCGCGGATCGGAACAATCACCAGCGCCGCGAGCGCAAGCAGCTGATGGAAGACATCTTCCCAGTCATCAGTGACTCACAGTTCGTGGCTCTTCACTACGTTCACGAGCCCAAGCGCGACCTACTTCCTTCCATCAAGGAATTAACCCGAAAGCGAGTCCTGGACCGTGGAAACAACCACCAAACCATCCGAGCGGGCACATCCAGCAGAGAAGAAATCATCGGAATCATGGACGGCTTCCTGGCCCGCTTCGAAGGCATCGACACAAGCCGCGACCCAGACGAACACTTCGACCATGTAATCGACCTAGACGTCTGCGCCTCCTCGCGCGAGAACCTCGAAGCCATCGTCCATGCCCTGCACGACATATACCCGCTCCTGGTCCCCGAGATCCCAACCCCCGAAGACCTAGACAACGCCATCTCCGCCGCAATGCACGACTACGAAGTCCAGAAGGACCTAAGTGCCGGCTACTCCATGCCCAAGAAGTCCGGACCCAGCAACCAAATCTCACCCGGCAAGCTCTCCCCTCCCCTCCTAGCCCGCAAAATCGAATACTTCGGCATCTCCGTGCCCTCCTCGTCAATCACAAGTACACTCCAAGCTCTATTCCAAAACAAATCCCCCGAAGTCGCAAAATTCTACAACCACCTCGTCAACTCTCGCCGCATCCAACCAGCCTTCCATGTAACACTGATCCACCGAGCATCGCGCGAGGACCACAAAGCTATCTGGGACCGCTACGCAAAATCCTACATCGACGTTCTCACCAAGAACCCCGTATCCGACCCCATCGCCACCCCTCCGTCCCTGGGTCCTGCGCGCGTCCGTCTCGAGCGTCTGGTTTGGGATAACCGGATCATGACGTTCGTCGCGCGCATTCTCCCTGCTGAAGGGGAGGTTGACGAGCTCCCTTGTGCCAACGCTATTGCGCATATCACTGTTGGAACGGCGAGTGCGGATGTTAAACCGAAGGAGAGTAATGATTTGTTGCAGAGGTGGGTCGAGGTTGGCTCGGGTGTGGAGAGTGGGATTTCCGAGGCTGAAGTTACCGGAGTGAAGGTTGTTGAGGGAGTTGTTGGGGTTACTATGACGCGTGGGAAGTATTAGTTGATGATAGCTGAACAGTACTCGGTTTTGGCTAAAGGATGCTTCTGGCTTTTTATGGGTACTGCATTAGATATATATCTTTAGATCGAATGGAGGTTTGCATGCTCCAAAACAATGAGATGAGTTTATCTACTTATGAATCCTAGTCACATCCATCTAGCAACATTGCATGTACAAAGGCTAACAGAGAAAAGAGGTTGCTGATGCCAAAACGCGAGACATGTCCAGTCCGTATCACACCTCTCCAGCCCTTGAGGTATCAGTTACCTACCCGGGGGCAGATCTAACCAGACACCCAGGCAGAAACACGGTTCGCGCCAAAGCGACCCATGAACTGTAGACCGGTGCTGCCCAAGGGGAAGTAGCTGACGAGGTACCAGACCAGGGCGACGAGTTGGCATATGGAAGAGATGAGGGTGAGGAAGAGGGATTGGAGCTGGGAGAGTTAGCAAGATGGTTATGGCCGAGTGTGACGAAAAACGAGGCTCAAGGCAGAAGGGAAGAAATGGGCTAGGGACACAGTGGACGTTTCCGATGGCTCTGGACTTGCGCGGCTGTGAGATGAACTCGATCATGTTCAAGGTCTTGCAGGGTCTCACATTTCGTGCCCGGTTGCACAGAGCCGATGAGTACAGGGTGATATCGAAGATGACAGTGCCTCGATCCCTCAAGAATCTGCGCCGGCGTGACAAAAGCGCGTCACGTCGTACTGCAAGATAGAGTAGGAGATGCAAGATCCCCTCTTTTCCCGACGGTACTGTGCTACGTGTCCTGGAGACGTGCGACAATACAATAAGGGGTGGGTGTGTGGGGATGGGGCGTTTGAAAATGATCGACATAAAAGGAATGATTTACGTACCCCGATAGCAAAGTAGAGCGTCAGGGCGATCGATCCGAAATAGGCGGCCGTGAAAGGTAGCCGTGATCCCGAGACCAGGTGCTTAGCGTACGACCACGGTCCCATGAGGACGGCCCATGATAGCAGGAACAGAACGGATCCGACAGACCACCTACGATCGATGTTAGCATGGAGATATCCTGGAGATCTTGTTTTTCGGGCATCTTGGCATGAGGCGCAGGCCATAGTTGCGGCGCTGGCGAATAAGATGGATGCAAGCCGGCCGCGAACTCGCACATGGCCCGAGCGAACGCCCGCTCATGACCAGGATTATGCCGGCTCGGGATTTGACTGGCTGGCATGGAGCCGGAGCCCAAGGCGAGCTGAGGGCACAGAGCGACAGTGGAATGGGAAGGGGGGCAAGGCCGCAGAATGCGGACAAAAGCAGATAGAAAGAGAAAGGCAACTTACAGGACGGCGAATTTCCGAGGCTTGAGCGTGAGGACGGGGAATAGGAAGAAGCAGATCAAGAAGCAAACGGCGGCGCCTAGATTGCAGGCGCCGAAAATGAGCATCCGATCCCATCGACTTACTATAATCGCTTGCAGTTAGCGTGGGCTGGGATCTTCTCCTGTCGGATTGCAACCTCGTAGACGAGCGGTCGGTGTGAATCCTTCCCGGCGCAGGAACTCGCACGCCGACACCTGGATCAGGCGTCGAGCAGGACGGGACGATCTTGGGATATCGGGTCACGAGTGATAGGGAGAGCAATAAACTTACAGGCAAAGAAGCCCTCTTCCTCCTCCCGTCGATTGGGTGCCGGTAGTGGAGCACCGGGTGCATCATTATGGGTGGGGAGCTGGACATAACCTCCTTGGCCGAACGGATTCAACGACTGCAGCCGCGAGAAGACCGAAGTGTCCTGAGGGGCATTGGTGCGCACGGGCAAATCCGGATCTCTGCGCGACCAGCCCAGGGAGTTGACCGAATCCCGGAAGGTGTTGTTGGCCATGATATCAGCCCTAGTGTCCTAGTCTAAAGATCTTTGTAAGACTTTTGAGTATTTCCCGATTGAGCGGTGGAAAGAAGAGGAAAGATGGGGCACGGCCGCGTCTGCAGGCAAGGCCCGTGGCCCAGGAAGACGAAACCGAGAAACGTCTGCAGGGACTATGCACGATGGAGTGCAGATGATCTGCGCCGGATGATGTACTGATTCCCAGAGGATTGGCTGGAAGTGGGTACCAGATCAAGCCAACGAGCGAGCAGATGACGCCCAGGCCGAACGCGTATTCGGCTCTTGCTAGAAGATTTGGGGCTATGTTCTCGAGCGCGCACGCTACGATGAAAGTTGAGCCCTACGGACTCAGTTCGCTTTCTAATACGAGCCCGGATTGGAGGGCTGGACGAGGCTGCTGATGATGGCGACTCGATCGAAACCTTGTAAGGATGATCCGCCCGATCAGAGCTGGATTGCAAGGTATTTGCTTGCTGTTCGGAGAACGCACCAGACCACCGGATCTTCAGGACTATTCGGGCAGCACCTTGTAAGCCGGGGGCGAAAGGGGGTGTTTCCGACGCGGCAGCAGCGGATCGAAGCGACCGACGTCAACGGATGCGCCGGATCGCCAAGCGGAGGAGGGGACGGTGAACCTTCCGAGCACGATCCAACAATGAAGAGGGGGAGGGGATCGATCACGGTCAGCAGGATGATGATTGGACCGGCAAGCGCAGCGCTATCTGTCGAGGAGGGTAGAGAGTCGAGGGGGGAACGCGGCGGATGACGAGATGGCGTGAAGCTACCGATGCGAGCAGCCCGGATCGGCGAGACTGGGAGAATGAGAGGTGTCAGATGATGTACCCAGGAGGAACTCGGGACCGAGCTAAGGTCTCAGTAAGGTAGAGGGTGGTGGTGTTCTCACATACCGTTGCGGAGCTGGAGAAGGAAAGTTGGAGAGGAAGGGGGAGCTAAACCCGAGCGGGTCGACACACGGACCATCCACGCTTTCCCCTCAACACGGTTTCCCTTTTCATTTGAGTATACGGGTTTCCGGTGGTTGAGTGGATTCAACTAGTCTTACTAGATACCTACACTAGAGCAGCTCGACCCGATAGCGCGGCAGGCCCGTTACGGACTGTGCGTAGATCTGCAGTCCCATAGTACCGAGTGTAGGGTCGTACATTTCCTACTTCCAGACTGTAGGTTCTACGCCACTCCTCCACTATACCCACCCACTCTCACGAGTCGTAGTGGTCGATCTCCCTCAAAGTTTCCAGGCTGGCCGGTGCGCACCCTGTGGCGATCGGGATATACTACAAGTGTGCAGAACTCCATCTGGGCTATCTTATCGGTTGCATAGTCTTCTGCCACTACCCGAGTGTACGACGGTGTCTAATTATCCGAGACTCCAATCAAGCCTACACTCCGGGCTGCAGCGGCTTTGGGTAACATTCTCTTCGTTTCGGTTTCCTGATGATTCCTCCGTAGTATGTCCGAACCGCATGAAGCCGGGGGAAATGTATGCAGACTCGACGTCATGTCAGGGCCCTGTGCACCTGAGACATCCTCCGTACAATCATCGGTAATAGTAACATACAGTAGTAAATGCAGTCCGTTTCAGTCGCGGTGTGTCTACCGTGTTTCCTTGCATCAACCGTGGGTAGTCGGCGATACCCTCCGAACCTTGACGGGACGGGACGTTGAGAGATCCACGGTGCTATCTTCCCCTCCTTCCATGCAAATCCCGGTTCCCTTCCACGACGTTGCTATCTACGCATTGTCGTGGCTAAGACGTATTCCCGCGCTGGAAACTTTGGCGATGTGGCTCAGTTCGACGAAACAGGTTCTGCATTTTCACGCGTCGCAAAGTGTGTGTAGTGTGCCGCATTATCGGTGCTGATTCGTTGCCGGACCAAGACACATTCCAACCTCTCCAATCATGAGGTCGCCACATTCCAGAGATCAGCAAAGACATTGCTCGCCAAAACCAAATCCAGCCCCGAGTATTACAGCGCTGGAGCCTTGTGGGGTCACGGGCCACGCTACGTAGGTGGGAGGATTCGCACGGCCCAAGCTCCCCCCCCCCCGTACGGCAGTCGATCATTGGGATGATCGCCCCCTCTGCACGACATGCGGAAATGCAATACTGAAATGCAGCAGAAAATGCAGACGGCAGATACCGAGATCGCTATAACGGGGCGCCACGTACATGCTCTCCCGTACAAGTACAAGCCTGCCTCCCCCGGATAGATCGCTTGTCGCTCCATGCGTTATATTCTCCGGATGATACTGTACTTGCGACTCCCCACGGCGATCTTACCAACTCCGGCCGTTACGCTCTACGGCACGGCATGCTTGCTGGAGATCGCCCCTCCAGACAATTTCCCACATGGTTTCATTGGCGGATCTACTCTACTCCCCATCCCTCCTTCAGCTTCTGGCTCGGGGACGCTAATGCATCTGTTGCCGGTCCTGCTTAGATTACCGGATAGATTAGGGTTTTCCATTGCTGAGAGTGTGTCTGTAACCACAGCGGACCATCTGATACATTCCTTCGGCCTGTGCTTCCAACACCCTTTCCTCTCTTTTTTTGCTCTGAGTCATGACCATGACCATGACCATGACCTCCGGGTGACAAACATCCAACGGTATCATGGGGCGCTGTTTACTGAATCCGGCTGTATCACCCTTCCCCCCTTCGTCGCAGTTTCTGTATTTCAAAAAGAGGCTCGGGGGTTCACCTGTTGCCACCCTTCACCCTCCTCACCCTCCCCCCCCCTTCTCTCCATGAAACCCACCCACACCCTTTGTGTTCTAAAATTAAAATAATAATTAAATAAAAAAAAATACGGGTAAAACAAGAAACCAGCGTGTCCGATCCCGAAGCCCGGCAAACCTCATGGATTTCCACCGATCGCCGGGGCTGCATGACCGATGTTGTAATATATCAAATGAGAGGTGCAGGAGGGGCTCGAGTTCTTAAAGTCTGCGCTGTCCCTTTCGAATCCTGCAAGTGCTTTTCACCCTGCACTGCTGTGTTGTCACTGCATCTTTGGCTCATCGAGAATCTCATACTTCCCCGCGCCCCATGATTCGCAATCCTTTTCCGGTGGATCGACAAGTCTTTTGTATCAAGATCTCTTCTACGCAGGTACGTTTATGAGTCTCGTCGTCCGGTTCCTGCATGGCTGCCTGCTCGTACGCACGTGTGGTTGGGGCTCTGCGGGTGTCGCTGTTGACAAGTGTCGATCGATGTGTTGTTGTATAGATGCACCATGTCTTCGTCTTGGTCTATACTACATGGCTTTGTGTTGAGCATTGCTGACGAGTCAAACAGAATCGTAGACACATACACTACCTGGCCACAACATAACAGGTAAGCACTTCTTTTCTCTCATCTCATCACATCACATCACATCCCAAGAGAAGCCTTACATGGAAAATGTGAAAGTCGCAGCCTCAATCGAAGGTCAAGGCGTCAATTCCATACTCCATTGCCACCCTTCACCGCTCTCCACCGCTTCTTTGCACTCCCCCCGCCTTTCTCCGCTTCATTTTTCCGTTGTTGCATGCACTCTTTTTGCCTCGATTGACAGAGAAACGACGGGAATCCAGAGCCTGTAACCAGGCCTTGTCCTCAGTCCAACTCTGTTCGATTGCCGGCTTCTCATCTACTTTCCCCCCTGCGCTTATCTGCTCCCTTCGAAACCCCCTCCCTTCTCACAAGACACGTTTCCGCTACCACTGCCTGTTGCACCGACTCCTCCAGGGCTTTGCTCATTGAAGGTCTCTGTTTTAGAGCGCGGTCGCTTTTTCCCTTTACTTTCCGAACTCTCCCAACCTCGGTCTTGGACGTGATCTTCACCCCGAACGTTTTCCCCGAGATCGCCGACTCATCCCACCTCGAATCTTGCTTGTCCTCGACCCGCGCGCACGCTGCGACCATAGACGTCTCACAATTTCTCTGTACATCTTGACTCGGAAGGTAATTATTCCCTCGACATTCTTGCCGATTTCCTGGTGGCCAACTCAGTTGCCTCCTGTCGCCTTGCGGGATGTCGGCGCATCTCATTGGCGACCCGCTGCTTTGCTGTATCCCCATTCAAAACTTTTTGATGCTGACTTCACCCTCGTCGCCAATAGATTTTCCAATCTCCCTTTGTCACGTAACTGTTTTACGACAGTCTTCATTGACGGCTGCCTGACACTGCCGATCATTATCTAGAGAGGGTCAGTAATCGGACGAAACGACTTTATCTCCACCTTCGCGCCGACCCCCACGTTACCCTCACAATCTCTTCTACACACCTCGTTAGTCCGTGGAAATGGCGGAAGCAAGTTTTTTCATCAAACACGAATCTGACGATCGCAGCAATCCTTTCCTGATGTCTCACTCCGGTTTCATGGGTAACCAATTTGGGAACCCCAACGATGGGGTAGACCCTTCCGACTTGACGATGCAGCAGGGCGGCTTCATGCCGTACTCCTATGGCTCGCAACAGAACATGTCCTCCAGCTTCAACTTTGGCAACTCTGGAATTGATACCGATGAACTTCTGGACCTGGAGATCAGCGGACAGAACGGCGTTCCCCGCGGTGATAACATCAACTACATGCAGGACCAGTCCGGTGGTATCGCCATGAGTCACCAGAGCCAGATGTCACATCTTTATTCAAACACCCCAGACAACGCCCCGATGGCCAGTCCTTTCGTTCACAACAGCTTTAACTACGAGCAATTCCGAATGAACCAGCAGAACAACCACCTCCAGAATGCCAGCTCTTTTGACCAGAACTACATGAACAACAAAGCCCGACCGAGCTTGCAGACGATGGACCGGACCTCATCGGATGCCCGCAGCCCCATGACCCCAAAGACTCCTGCCCTGGGATCTTTGACCTTGGGTACCCCGGACTCCGGCAGCTTCCCCGGTCAGCCTATCCGAACCGGTGGACTCCAGGCCCGTCATCAGAAGACCTTGTCGAACCAGTGGGACGGTACATCGGGCAGCGCACATTCATACGCTGAGTCGCCGATTTCCTCTCCCGGTCACCACTCGCACCATGCCGGCATTTCAGAGATCATCAAATCCGGTAAACATGCATCATTGCCGGCCAAGGTTGACCATTTGCCCGGTAGCGGCCAAGATTTAGAGTCACAAGAGGCCAAGCGCCGACGGCGCCGTGCATCACACAATCTGGTTGAGCGACGTCGCCGCGACAACATTAACGAACGCATCCAGGATCTTTCTCACTTGGTACCACAGCACCGACTCGAGGATGACAAGGTGCGGAAGCAGCTGGTGAATAACAGCACCCTTTCCATGGCTGGTGCTGGCGGCAATGCTGCGACCTCTTTGCTTGCTGGCGGCAATGGACGCCGCGCTACACCAGGCAATATCACCATGGGTCTTCCCATCGAGGAGAAAGAGAAGGGACCCAATAAAGGCGATATTCTCAACGGCGCTGTCAGCTGGACACGCGATCTGATGTGGGCCCTTCACATCAAGTACCAGCAAGAAGCCGAGCTGGCCGAAATGATCAGCAGCCTCGGTGGCACCTGGCCCTTCGAACCGACGGAAGAGGAGAAGCGCATGCGCAGTGAAATCCTTGAGGCACTCGAGAGAAACGACCCCAGCTCTTTCGCCTACACCCGCGGTCCTGGCAGCGGTCTCCGTGTTCCCAAGCACACAAACCTGGCCGGTGACCCTGTCGGACCGGGCGGCGACGGCCTCACCCCACCCAACCTGAGCCCCTCGTTCCACAGTGGAGGCAGCAGCGCCAATGGTCAGCCTCAGTACTGGAGTAGCGGCGGCCACGCAGCCCTGAGCTTCAAAGAGGAGGACGAATACGCCATGGACATTTAAGTTCGCTCATGCCTGCTTTCAGGTGACTCGTTGCATACACGGCGTCTACGAGGGAACCGTTCTCGGCGTATTGGAATGACAGGACTAGGCTTCCAAGATTTTCTACGATTTCTTTCTACGATACTCTTGCATTTTGTGTCCATGATTTTCATGCTGCTCTATGATCCTGGATGGCGCATCTTGGCTCCAGCCAAATCTCCATTCCTTTTACGGCTTGCTTCTTTCGGATCTGCTCTTATCTTTGTCGCGTACTTTTCTTTATTCCATCGATACCCTGTTTCCTTTCTTTCAGATGTCTTCTCTTACAACGGTTATACAGTTTGTGTTTTTGCATGCTGTCCAGGTGCTTATCTCGTTCTGCTTGACTTCCCTGTCTTGCCCTGCCTCCTTAATACCTCTTTCTTTCTCCATTTACTCTATTCGTTTGCAATTCCTCGGTTAGTCCCGTTTGGCAGTGCAGTTCGCAATTCATTGGCTACGCCAGTTATACTCCGCATCTTATCTTCCACGTAGATATTCCGTAACTCGATCGTCTATCCTCTATTGGGTATCAATAAATTTTGCTGAATACAGTCACATCAGGACAACCTCATCCCAAGCCCAATCCCATAATGTACCGTCGCGAGCAGCCCGATCACATTAATCAAGATCGAACTCGCATGAATCACCATAAACCGGCTGTTGCGCGCCACCAACTCCTTCGAAGGCCCATCTCCTCCCCTCCTCTTATCCCTCAATTCTGCAATACATTAACAATCTTCCATAAACCCTCCGATGATATCAACATACCCTGAGCATTCTTCGCCCTAACTGCACCCTGCGTCAAAGGCCGAAACACCACCAAATTAATCAACCCGGTAACCGTTACCGCGCCCATAACCCTCCCACTCTTCCAATTTAGCCCATTTTCCAGGCTTGTTGTAGAAGTCAACCCAACAAGAACAGGCAGAAAACTCTGCAGCGAGAAATAAACAGGAAATATCGCCGCCTGGTGAACGCCGAAATACGGTCGTCCTAGCGCTTTGAATGCGACAATGCCGTTTATAAATGTCTATCATTAATTAATACCCCATCATAATCCTCGAACACGACGGGTTGCTTTTTTTAGGTGGCATACCTGAAAGACCTGCGCGCCGAAAAGAATGCCATAGCTGCGATCGATCGATCGGTGTTAGTTAGCGCTACCCCGGCGGGGAGCGGGGAGCTTACCTCGACAGGTGCAGGAATTGCACTATCATAGGTCAGATTGGTGATCTGCGTTGCTTGGCAGATCCTGGTCTATATGCACCTATGTATATAATGTCTGCCAGGCAGGGAGTAGATGTGAGCACGGGCTCAGACTTTGTGATCGGGTGGAGTGGTCATGTGATATACGGTAATTCTCGGTGGTTGCTTAGTGATTGCTCGGCGATTGCAGCCGGGCTAAGAAGATATTGTAAGTGGGCCTAGTTAGGCGGTCATAACTATCTGTCCGGAAGGTTTGGAAAAGACGCTTAGAAAGGTATCCTGGAAAATGGAATCAAAAGATGTCTAGAAAGCCGTTTGAAAAAATTCTTAGGAGATTTAGAAGGACAGAGAGAATAAAGTATTGAGGCCCATTTGTGGCTGCAGACATTGACAGGGCCCACGAGGACCCCATGGGTCCCTGTGGGGCCTGTGGATATCTGATTTGACCTGATTTGGCTGAACATTTGCATAAATCGAGCTGACGAGTCTGCCAACGACGAAGTGTTTGTGGGGTCCGCGGAAGTGGTGCATGTATCAGCACCAGCCGCAACAGGAAGCGGTCACGATCATAGCTCGTGGACCAGTATGGAAGCAATGCTGAAATTGAGGACACATCCTTTCAATTAAATTTGCAATAACTTCTACACAAATAGTTCAGTACTTAGCCTGGTCCTCCCAATGCGCCATGGTTTTATCGTTGATTGGCGCGAACAGCCAGGCTCTTTCAATCATGCGGTTGACGTGCAAGATTTCCATAGGATCCATATTCCTCGTATTAACCCCGAAGGTAGCTGGACCACCGTCCGGCTTCTTTTTTTCAAATGGCCACCAATAGCATCTACGTTCAGGCAGAGAATTTCAGTCAGCCCATTAAGATCCACAAACGATGAGACGATCGAGACTCACATGCATCCGCAATTCTCACAGAAATTGAATGACTTCTCTTTATCTCCCCAAATGTACTGAGAGACTTTGCCGCCTTCTTTTATGGCAAATTTGACCTCATCCACTTTATAGTACGCCCAAGCGGCTGCGTAGCGCCGACAGATTGTACATTGACATTCGTTGATTTCCTCTGGTTGATGAGGCACGATCACGGTGATGGCGCCACAATGGCAGGTGGATTTAAGGGATTTGTCCGCCATCTTAATCGAAAGGTCAGACCAGAGCAGAGTGGAACAAAAAGGGTTAAGTTGGACGCAAGGGCTGGGGTCCCATGTAGTAGAATGTCATGGAACTTTAGAGGATCTCCGCAAAACATATAGGAAAGGCGGGGTCGCATGTTGTCGCACACTTAGTCAGCATATACTCTCGTCAAGTTTTCAGCGAATAACTTCAACTCGCCTTAACAACCCCAGCACCACCTCGCTGCTAAGTAACTCGGCGCCAAATATTTATAGTACTCTTACTATCCTTCCATTCTCCTCGTAATGTCCGACCAACCGATACCAAGTTCTGGCTGGTCAACTGCCCAACAGCCGGCCAATGTGTATTACTTCCGCCCCTACAGTTTCTATTGGCCAGGAGCCTTCATCTTCATTGGCGCATTTGCTTGCTCCGGCCTAACTGGGACCGTGAGCCGCAGCACCAGTATCCTCCTGTGGGCTGTCTACCTCGTCAGCTTCCTTATTATCTTGTTGATCGACCCTTTATGCATTTTCGAACAGAAACAGATCGACGAAAATGGATGCCCTTTCACCGTGCGTCGTCCGCTGGTCGGATTCCACTCCTGTGAACAGACCGTGCCTCTAGAAATCCTTGAGCGGGGGCTCTATCGTACAGAGGACGGCGAGGACCAGCCTCGTCTCCATGATGGATATCGCTACGGGCCAGCATTCTGGCGCATCTAGACGCCGCGGAGATGATTATAGCGACGATCCGGCTATGTGGGAGGATAACGATGTTATGGCTTTATGATCAGAGCCTTCGGGGTATTTAGTCGCGTGGTCCTGCCAGCGTTGGAATGGAATCCCTGTTAAAGACGACTGTGGTGACCTGCGAGGATTACCTGGGGCTGTCCCCATATATATTAGCTAGGATGGCTCCCTATTGAGGGTTACAGACCTTGTATATAAAACAATAGGCATATAGGACGATAAGTTCTCAATTTTTCAATTATAAAGTCAATACAGTATACAGTGGGACCAAGGAGATATTGCAAATGGGCCTCAATATTTCATTCTCTTAGTGCTTCTAAATCTCCTCCTGGGTATTTCTGTAAGCATATTTCTAGACATCTTTTGATTCCATTTTCCAAGCTACCTTTCTAAACGTCTTTTTCAAACCTCCCGGACAGATAGTTACGACCACCTAATTAGGCCCACTTACAATATCTTCTTGGTCCGGCTATATAGAATACCAAGAAAAGTCCAAGAATCTATGCCGATCGATCACTCACAATTCAATATAATAGGGTATCTGACTTTCCCGAACGTTCCCCGTTGGTTTGTGTCTCCACTTCACTAGGTCCGACGGCTTCTTAGTTTATTTCGTTATTTTGATGGTTCACATGCTAATTATTATTATTATTATTATTATTATTATTATTCTTAATTTTGTATCTCGATACGCGAAAATATCCTAGGGCACAGGGATATTGGAAGAGTGCACTAGATGTGCTTTTTATAGGGAGTTTCTCCGATCTCTACTTTGCTTCCCCAGTGGACTTTACCCCGAAATTTCATGGTATCCAGATTCGGAATTTAAAAGAGGCCGTTGATCAAGCTAGAGACCTGCATTAGGGTCACGTGTAACACACTCCCAACCATGTCCACATTGTGTCACTCGGCTTAACGTAAGGTGTTATAGGACCCTTTCATAAACCATCTGACTCACCTTCAACTTACTCCCTTAACACAACCGTATACAACCTTGGAATATGACAGACTCACTCGATATACTCTCTACAGCCGACCGTCTCCGACACGGAACACCATGCACACTCGCCAACGAAACCCCTCGCCAAGGCGGCTCCCACCGCGTCTTCAAAATCATTTTCAAAGACTCCATACAGTGGGCAGCCCGAATCCCCCATGACCCAAGTGACTGGACATACGAACTCCGTGCCTTGAAACATTTCCAACACATCAAACAGCAACATCCGGAAATCAAAGCACCAACCTTGTTCTTCGAGGAAGGACACCCAGTTCTGTATTCGGAATGGGTCAGTGGCACGCCGCTAGCAATCTGGAATTTTCAAATTCCTTTGATTAAACGGCAAAGTCTTTTGGATGACATTGCGGAGTTTCTGCAGCAGCTGTGGACGACTCCTACTCCTTCCCCAGGCAAGAAGGGCCTGTACTCAACCTGGCTCACGGAAAGTCTAGATAGAGGTCTAAGGAGGACCCTCAATGGTACTGCTAGATGGGGAAATGCTGTTGATTATCTCATTATGCGATCTATGATTCCGGAGTATGCCGAGTTTGACAAATATCCTGCTATCGGCTTTGATCACGGGGATCTGAATGCGTATAATATTATGACAGACGATTTCCACTTGACAGGGTATGTATAGCACCTTCTTTACCTTGACACTCTATGCAATATGGTTTAACTATGGACATACTGATAGGGTTATCGATTGGGACTGGATATCCACCGCACCACTACCAGCCGTTATCCACCACCCGTGGTTCATAGCGGATATCCCTGGATGGTATAATGAGGGTGTGGAAGAAGGTGATAACTTCGGCGAGGATCGTCTTTATCTTGAGTATTCTGTAAGGAAGAAAGAACTTGAGCAGAATATGCCGCCTACGGTGTCGACGTTGTTAAGGGACTCCGAGGAGAGATTGTTTTTTCAATCGGCTTTTCATTTTAGAGACATCCATATGAAGTTTGTTGAGATGTATTGTATGTTGACGGAGAGTAATAGGAGGGCTGCGAGGGAGCAGTTAGATGCGGTGTTGGAGTTGTATCCTGAGTTGGGGGGTGAGGAGGGTGTGCGGAAGGTCAAGGACCTGCTGGAGACAGACGGAGAGTAATGGCATAAGACTACCATTTTTGTCAGATCACAATAACTCCAACCCTAGCTTGAAACAACTCGAAATATAGAAGTCGACCATGTACTGTGGTACAAAAAGAAGCTTTTAGGATACCCCCGCGCTAAACCCGGAGAGTCTAAATACCGAATCCACTCGGCCCAATTCGCCCGTCAGCTTGTGGCATCACGGCTGAGCGGCTTACGCACCTTCTGACAGGGCTGATGCACTGCCACCGGGGGGTTCATTATTCACCTGCCTGCCACTACCTCCGTGGTTTAACGTCACCTACTCTCCACCCAAACAGTCTATCTCGAAACGAGCTTTGAGAACACATACCATGGAAACCTCCAAAGACGAACCGGCCCCGTCATACGCGGATATCTTCCAAGGACCCGCGAACTTTTCTTCTGGTGTACGTGCCCTATCCCATCCCAGCTACCGTCGTTTTTCATTCCCCATCAACTGACCGGCCGATATAGTACTCCCGCGTCACACAGGACGAACCCGACGTCGAAGCCGGCCCCGTCCACGAACATGGCGAAAGCGGCATTCCACTTAACCCCAGACCTGTGGACAGCCAAGGCCATGTACACTGTGAAGTCTGCGACGCACAGACGGCTAGACGGGAGAAGCAAAAAGCAGATCAACATACGTGCAATATCGTCTCGGTAACAATCGCTCTGATTTTCTTATTTGTTACGGTTTTCGGGATGGTTACTGTTACTGCTGTCACTGGGAGCAAGAAAGAATAAAGTAACTCTTCTGGAACGAGGGGACGGATGGCTGAATCTACACATGTTCCTAGGATTGACGTAACTCGTGGAATCTCACAGTGAATCGCTTTCTATCCATCTGGTCTGCTCTATTCACGATTAGAAACAAATGACAAGACTCGAGGTAGGGAACAGCTGGGTATATGGGCCATGGTACAAGGCAAACGGGTGCCCAGCTTGAAATCATTCGACAAACAGGGGATAATCTCTTCTTTTTATGTCCATAGGATATAGACCAGCTTATTGTTGCTCGCGCATCTTACGGAAGAAGTCCATCACTCCGGTAAAGACGACCAGCAGGATACCACCACCAGGTCCGAGACGCAGCACCTTGGGAATGAAGCCCTTGTACAGCGCGCCGAAGCCCTCCTCCTTCATGACGGTGCCGACGGCAGGCCAGGCCCAGTTGTACTTGGGAGTCTGGCCGGGCACCTTGGTAGTGTTCTGGATACGGGACTTGACGACGTCCATGGGGGTGTTCAGGAGGGTACCGGCGATACCACCGACAGTACCGGCGATCAGGTCGTTACGGGTCTGCTGGCTCTTGTTGCCGGGCTCGGGCTGGGGCAGCTGCGCGCGCACCTGGAAGATACACCCGAAGTAACCCGCGTTCCACAGGATGTGGCGCCACAGTGTGGACTCCAGACCGTTGTACATGGCCAGAGGGCCCTCCTGCGCAACAATCTTCTTCACCACGTCCAGCATGCCGTTGTACTTGCCGGCCGACGCCTTATCCTGCAGACGAATCTTGACAAGCTCGAAGGGAACCACCACGAAGGCCTCCGTCGCACCGGCGGTGGCACCGGTCAGGATGGCTAGGGACTGGGTCTGCTTCTCGACGGCGAACAGGTTCCGGTAGAAACTGCCCCAGCTGTCGTTGGCGGCGAACTTGGTCGCACGCTTGGGCGCCTCCATCAGGATGGGGGCCGAGATACCGCGGTACAGGCGCGAGAAACTATTGATATAGACGCTCGGTGAGTCTCGGAGCGAAAGCCGACATCAATGCCGAATCCGGAAATCTTGCACGTACCCTTCGTTCTTGACAATCTTGCTGAAGCAGTCGAACATGCCATTGTAGTGCTCAGCGCCTGCGACGGCGGTACCGGTCTGAAGCTGACTGTGCGGAGAAAGGTGTTCAGTCCAACAGGTCACCGGGTTATTCCGAGCGGGTTGCTTACACGCGTGTCTTGACGACGTCCAATGGGTACCTGGATGTCGCGCATGGTTAGTCCGGGCTAGTTCTCGGGCGATGAACGGCTACGGTTTCCGGGAGCCGTCTGGGTCAAGGGGGAGGAGCGTACATCATCAGAATCTGTTGGCGCGAGGATGGTCGCATTAGTCACTGGACCACTTCATAGTCGACATTCGACGTCGTGAATCGGCTCGTAGAGCATCTTCGGACCATCTAGAGTAGAAATGACTTACCTCAGACACACCAGCCACCGCACCGGCGGCGAATTGGTAGATGAAGGGGAGGGGTTGCTGCTGCTTGTCGGACATGATGGCGACCGGTTCTGACCTAGGACATTTCAGCAAACGCGAATCTATAAAGAAAAGACACGCGATATGGAAAAGGGCAATCGCAAAGACCTACCAGAAAGATGCACAGGAACAGAAAGCTGGAGAAAGCAGGAAAGAAGAGAGGAGAGTGGAGAGATGGGGTCACCGGTGTCGGCAGGAATCGGTGAATCGGTGAATCGGTGGTCGACTCCAACTGCCGTTTATTACTAACCACCCCGTGGGGTCGGGCATTTTGCTTTTCCACTTCCCTGGTTTGATTGTTTGATCATCATTGTTCCATCGTTCATTGTTCGTGCCGTCGTTGTTCATATCCATATCGCTATACACAATACACTCATCCCTAGAGCCCAATTTATCCAATTCCTTTCTACTCGACTTCCACTGCTCGTTCCAGTGGCCTGTTCCTTAGCAACGGTACTATGCGCCGCCGTGGCCGTACAACTCTGCCCGCACGCAAACCCGGACGGGCAACACCCTCCACCCACAGTATCAGCGCAGCTGAACCAACCTTTGGCGCACCTGCCCGTGATACCAGAGCTGCCTCCCGTAGTAACGGGTATCACGATGGTCTCGCCATTAGAGACAAACGTCGTCGACGATGTTGTCGGGCACGACGTAGTATCGCAATCTCGCCCCGTCTGACAACAGCCGCCATGATAAACAGCAGAACAAGCGTAGAAGCCAGTTGGGCAGACGTCCACCCGGCTGGTAGTAGCGTGAGTCGCAGTTGAAAGGCTCGTAGGCCGTGCTGGAGGTACCAGGCTATCAGTGGTTGTGGTGGTTGTGGTGTCCGTGGCTTTGGTGGTCGATGTCGACGTCGAATCAGTACTCTGCGAAACTGTGGAGTGCGTCTCTGTAGATACCATCACACTCGAATCGACCGTGATTGTCACGACGGAGATATAGGCACCTAAATGATCATTAGCTCCAAAGTAGAACCAACTAACGAATTGCACGTACAGCCCCCGGAAACACACTCATACCCCGGTATACAGCACCCGCCGCCCAAAGACTGCGAGCACGTCGTATACCCACTCTGGCAAGACCCAACGGTGCCAGAACAAGTCTCTCCACTCGGACAGCAGCCGACATCTCCCGATCCCGTATCCGTCACGATCTCGCACGTGCTGCCACTGCTGCAGCACCGATCGGAGCGGCCGATAGATGTGCATGGGTTTGTTCCAGTAGGGCACTTGAAATCCCTAGACTCCAGACCACTCCAGCCAGTCGATCGTTCCAGAGGAGAAGCAGATTGAAAGGGGAATGACCGGGCAAGGAAGGCCGGATATCCGTTCTCATCCACGCCTCTGCTCTCGAGAAAGTCTGCCGTAGAATTCCCCTCATCTCCAGCAAAACTCCAATACTCAAACCAGAACTTCTCCCCCTCATCCCCACTCATCTTCCTCACGCCCTGAACAGCGTCCTCCGCGAACCGTTGCGTAATCTCGTCATTACGACGCAAGATACTCTCGTAATCGGTGTAGCTTAGGTCTGATGAAGTGTTTCTTTCATGGGCACATAAAACACCCGAAACGAACAATGATACCCCGAATGGTAAAAGCAGCATAATGACTCAGGCCCAGACACCTAGGGCCACGTGCAGACTTCGGTAAATCTGAGTTCGAGGTCGGTAGGGTGTCGGTATGCGTCATTCAGATCGTGGCGTGGTACAGTGGATTGTGACACAGGTTGGGTTGGAGATGGGGCTGGTGTGGTCCCGGTGGTTGCCTGAGCTCTGATATTATTTGGGTGCCCAAAGGTATCAAGACCAAGACACCAAAATTGGACTTTGTAGATGGAATGGAAGATGATCAGGTACAAATATGGAAAGACGGAGAGTAGTCTAAATATTCTATGCCCGGATGGTGGGAACTGGAAATGCGGATGGCTGGGACCGGCCACCGACGTTTCTTTGTTATCCACATTTGTCTCAAACGAGAGCCCAAATAGACCTAAAAGGTTGGGTATCTATGACAGACCTACAAACAAATTGCACGGCAAGAGGACGCGGTGGTAAAGAAAGTGGTCGAACTAAATACCCGCGGGCCAACTAGTAACTCCATGCTGCGAAATGAAAAGGCATGTGGGAACAAGCCACGATTCGTGGCAGGGTATCGTCAATCAGTGGCATGAATGCAAAGGTACAAGATGTAAAACAGGGCTAATGTCTCAGGGCTATAGAAAATGCGCCACAGGTATAGAGGAAAATGGGAATTGGGAAATGCATGCAGACAAAAGGCCGTCGCAACGAACGCGGGAGAAATTCCAAATGCACGGGAAAAATTCAGCAGGGTAGTTCAGATCAGGAGTCGGGCGCGGATTCACCGGGGTTGGCATCCTTCTTCTCATCCTCCGCGTCTTCTTTACGAGGCACCTCTGGTTTCTGTTCATCAGCGTCCTCACTGTCAGGAGCCGGCGCTGAGTCTCCCACTTCATCCTCACCCTCGGGCTTCTGCTCTGCCGCTGCTGCTGCGGCAGCTTCGGCTTCAGCCTTCTCCATCTCGGCGTTGCGAGCCTGCTGTCTATCCCAAACTTCCTTTCGAATGCGATCATCCTTGGCATTGCGCAGTCGCTCGGCTTCTTCCACACCGCCGCTCTTCTTCAGTTTGCCTTCTTGGACGAAATTACCAAGTTCCTTCTGGAAGAGACCGATCCGTCGGGTCTCGAGCTCCTTCTTGCGAGCCTTCTCTGCTCGCTCGATAGCCTCAACTCGACTCTCGTGGTTTGGCTGCAGAGCGCGCACCTCGCCCAAGACGCCATCCTTGGCCTTCATAGGGTCAACAGTCGGGTCAATGCCAAGGGTACGCGAGGTAGCGCGCAAAGTGACACCGCCATCCTTGGCCTTCTCCATAGCCTGCTCCTTGGTGGCTTGCTCCACCAAAGCGAAGGTCTGAGCAGCCTTCTCCAGATCGTCTTGCAGATCGGCCGCGAGGTCCTCCTGCATGGTCAGTTGGTCTCGTTCCTCGCAGACCAACTGCAACTCCTTCTCCCAGATCTTGGTCCAGATAGGCTTCTCCCGGGCGAGGAAGTCCTGCATCTTCTTGATCTCCTTCATGGCAGTGCTGATATCCCGGTTGACACCCTCCAGCTGGCGGGGCAAGGGTCGCACGCCACGTTGGACTACGTCCTTCCGAAGATCCTCGACCAGATCCTGCAGGTCGTCAACACGAGCCACAAGTCGCTCAGATTCGTCACCGAGTTCCTTCTTGCCAGTGTTGACACGTGCACGGCCGGCGTCGCCTTCGTAGCTTGGAACAGCCACGTCCTCTGCAGCGGTCTTGATCTGGCTAGCCTTGGCGCGAACAGCGCTCATTGAGCCAGTGATGTCGGTCGTGAAGTTAGAGTAGGTTTGTCGGAGCACAGCAAGATCGCGCCGTAGGCTTTGCAGTTCCGCAAGCTGGCTATTACTTCCAGATATCGGAGCCTTTTGGCCGCTGAGAGGACTGGGCACGACTGCGGCAGCTGCGGGAGGGGCAGCAGCCAAACGGGCCATTTCCTTCGCTGCCTCAAGTTGACGGTCCGAGACGCGCTGGATAATCGTCCCCTGCCCAGCAAGGGCTTCTTTGACGCCCTCCACCATGGAGCGCACTCCAGACAAGCTATCATCAAAATGCTTCTTGACTTCGTCCAAGTTGTCGACATTCAACACGAGAACCGATCGATCCTTGACATCGTTCAGATCTTCAAGCTCGTGTCTGATGCCCGAGACAGGGTCTTGAATGTAAATCTCAGGCAAGTCAGCTCCATTGCTGTGGGTGTTCCAAGCGAACTTCTCAATGAAAGCCAATTGAAGTCGTCCAATGGTAAGATCCGCAATGCCTTCAGGCAGTACGTATTTCTTGATTTTAGTTTTGTATTGCAAGAAGAGCGTCAACTCCTTCCCTGGAGACGGCTGTTCTCCAATAAATGTAGGAACAGCTGGGGGTGTTTCAATGCCAGAAGGAACAAAGCGGTCTGCTTTTGGTGTTTCGGGGGCTGTCTCGGCAGCAGGGGCATCGCTTTTTTCGGGATTGAAAGGATCCTCGAGAGAAGGCCCCTTCGGCGGTTGTGGGAAGCTCGGCGGTGCTACCTCAAGGGGCTCCTCGGGCTGAGCTGGCTTCGCAGGAGGCTGCTTCAGAGAAGCCTTAGGGGTTGCTTCGCTCTCAGGTTCAGGGGCAGGTTCTGGGGCAGTTTCCGAGGGTGGCTTGTTCTGCTCTTCTTGGACTGCATCCGGAACATTCGCGGCCGCCTGGGCCTGGGAACTCCTTGAAATGTCCTGGGAACCCTTGGTGGACCGCTGCCGCGAATGCACGTACGAGCCTCGCAAGCGAACAGCGTTGAGAGACTCGCGCACATCACGTCCACGGTTGGGGATAGGAGAGTTCTGTGTAGGGAGGACCGGGACACCGTTGGTTGACGTCCCTAAGTGCTTCTGAATTTGATAGGCAGAGAAACGACGCGACGCTCGTCGTTCGAGCTCGCCGCTTCTTTGGAGAGCACCCAGGGCGTCGTCCTGTTTGGGAGGTGGGGGCGGAGCAGGGAAGTCTGGAGGCGCCCCCGAGGATTGAGCCACCCGCGGGGTCGCGCCATTGTCCTGAGTCGTTTGCGTAAGAAGCTGCTGTGTTTCTCGCCTCGATGCTTCGCGGTCTGTGTAGTTCGTGCCTCGCGTTGGGGATGTGAGCTGGCTGAGTAGAGGGTCCTCTAGAGACCCATTGCTGCCATAGCGACGAGGTGGCCGTTTTGGCGACTGCGTGCCAGGTTGGATATTAGGCATGGTCGAGGCGGCAGCTTCGTCATATAGTTGTCCAATGTTCGAGTGGTTACTGGACAGACTTCCAGCACTGGCCTGCCGCCCGGGCATACCAGCTCGTCCATCTTCACGCTGTTGCCGAGAGCGTAAACGAGCCTGTTTTTTCTTTAACCCATGGAGTAGGTTGATAATAATGTCGCGGATCTGAGGGAGATATCGGTCCAGACTTTGCGCGGATGCATCCTGGCTGAGGGTGTCTTCCAGGATTGTGCGAAGGACATCGGGGACGGGTCCTAAATCCGAGGTTTCGACTCCGATGGCGTTGAACGCCCGACATGCCAGGTTAAATTCGTATCCCAAGCGCACATACACGTCCGAAACGTCGTTCTCCGAGGCTTGTTTTCGAGACCATTGTGTGAGGGTTTCCAAAAGCTGTTTAGTCGCGACGAGGAGGTGTGTTACGCTCTTTTCGATCGTAGAAATCTGTTTATCGGGCTAGAGACAAAAGACCATCAGCGATCAGTCATTCTCACATGAAGGGGTTCAGTCTTACCACGTTCTTGGCTGACTGGGTACGCCCAGAGGCGGACGAGCTGCGACCAGAGTTAGAGGCCATGGAGTCGCCGGGGGAAGAATGGGAGAGATTAGTTTGACCAAAATCCCCAGGGTGCCTCGTGGAAGTCGACATGGGAAGGAAGAAGACGATAAGCGAGGAGGTAGCAAAAGATGACGCCCAGCCTCCCGTACCGCGGAGGAACCGTCACTGGTTGTGATCGGCGCGCTTAGACGGGCATAAATTACACGCGATACCGTCCCGCACGGTAATCTATGAATGTTACCATGGCACATGCAATTGCACTAATGTCCAACGTACAGGTCTGCAGCCAAAGGCCCCTTCGAATCCACTCGCCGAGCTTTCGGCACCACCCGCATTATCCACTTCTATGTTGGCTGATCGACCAGTCGCTTCTGATCGAAATGGAGGTTAGGACAGAACTATCTATCTCTCACCTCTTCAAATGCACTGTCAAGTGTCCTTTGATTATGTAGGTACTTAGGTACCTACCTACAGGTATATTTAGCTAGGAACCCTAGCTAAAAGAAACCCTAATGTACAGGTACCTTAAGGGGTACTTTAGGGTAGCCACATTCAACAAAGCAAATTTAGAGCCCACAAAATCAATGAATGGGGTTCCATAGAGTCCTGATGGGGCTGGTTTCTGATTGCATGCTAGGAGATAATCTACAGCTTCATCGATACTCTGTACAGATGATTGTAGATGCATCTTGCATTCGGATGATAAAACCCCACAGATCATCCTCGGCGTGCTGGAACTCATACGGGGCTGGGTGCCTGTACTTGGGTATTCCCAATACGCCATTGTCAATCGGGCTGTCTCAGGCATGGAGGCCCCAAGGTTACTGAATGAGAGATCGACAACTATTCGGTCAAAGGGATGATCTAGGGGGAGCTGGAAATACAGAAAAACAGAAGAAATAAACCAGCTAGTGATAGATTATAAAATTCCCAGTTCTCTTTTGATTAATGATGCCAAAGTTCCCAACTTAGGAAAGTGAACCTGTCAGGGTCGCACCGTACCCGTACAATACATCACCTTCCCCGTGACTTGCCCTTTCCCCAAACAATTCCCAAACCTCACTTACCTTTGCTCCTTCTCATCTCGATCCTCCCCCTCCCCTCTCATTTCTCCTTTCATTGCCGATTTCTGTTCGGCGCCTGTGTGGTTCTTCCCCCCTCACCTCCTTCCGTGTCCTGTTTGTGCAGGCGGTGTGTTGTGGTAGTCCCTCATCCTCGCGGCTTTCCGCCGTGCGAAGTTCCACGACGCCTGCCCTGACTCCCGAGTCAATCAATGGCTTCCACTTTGAACTCTGCGCCGGCTGCGAACAGCTCATCCGGCAATGCCAACTCTACACAGAACTCCGGCCGGCCCTCTCTGAGATCCAGCGCCAGCACCAAGGGGGACGGTCGCCGACAGTCTGGCAGCCCTGGTGATGGTGGTCAGCGGTATGATGCTACTCCTTTCCCCCACCTGCCCATGAGTTTGACACTCTTGCCCTCCTGCCCAATTCTTTACCTGTCGGAACCCCGAGATGCCTTTGGTTTTCATCCTGCCCGCATCAACTCGTACTCGGCCACCGTGTCTCTGTGCACGTGCCTTTGAGCTGGCGAGCTTGGTCCACGGGCTAGCATACAATTATGTCCGCGATGCAGCCAATTGCACGTCTCGGATTTGATGACAGAACCCTTCGTCCCGTCTTTATCCTGTGATTGTTGGTTGCACCTACTGACACAGGCAATGTTCTACCGTATAGGCGCACAAACTCCCAGAAAGCTTGGACCCAAGGCACCAACCCCATCACTCAACGCTCCTCATATTCGACGAACGGAAACATGGCTCGACAGTCGGGCTCTCCCCAGCCAGGCCAGAAGGAGTCGAACACCCCCGATAACCACGCGCATGATCGTTTACTGTTCTTATTTGCCAGTTTCATTGTAAGCCAGTCTGGTCGCGGTCGCATGGAGATCGGAACTCATTTATTCTCGTTCTAGGGCCTGCATACAACCATTACTACGAAAGGCGGAGACAAATATACCGGAATTTTCTCGTCTTCGACCTTGGAAGCGAGCGATTCATCATTTCTTCTCAAGATGGTGCAGCGCGCATCGCAGGAGAACCAGTCTAAAACCAATGGCGTGAGCGATGCCTCAACCCCATACCTGGGATCTGGACCGGAGCATAGCATGGCCTTTGATATCAAGGATGTGGCCGATATTGCCGTGCCAAACGTCTCACCGGCTGAGGTGTCCGCCAAGGAATCCAATGGTAAGAAACACCGGACCATCCAGCGGTTGGCGGGAAGTGCGTGAATTGACATATATCATAGGCGCGAGTGGATTCAGAACGGACAGTGACATTTCTGGAAACTTGGCAATGCGGGAGCGCACCCTCAAGCGCTGGGAGCCTGCTGCGGACGAGATTAATATGTCACTGGAGGGCTCTGCTGGTGATACAGCGAGCTGGGACCAATTCGAGGCCAATGAACGTCTCTTTGGGGCAAGGACAAACTATGACGAGAATATTTATACTACTCGCATTGACCGCTCAGACCCCACCTACCGTCAGAAGCATGCGGAGGCGGCTCGCATCGCGCGTGAGATCGAAGGCCAGGAGCACGAAAACCCCCACATGCGGGAAGAGAGAGGCTTGGTGGCCCCTGACTCTGGTGACCAAGACGAAGAATCTAAGTACAGCGGTGTCCAGCGGGAGGCCCAACCTTTCCAACCCCTCGTTTCTGGTCAACCCAACAAATATACCCCTCCCGGGCGTCGGCAAGCCGGACCTCAGCCTGTTGCCTCCACGAAGCAACCCTCGGCCCCTGTGTCTCAGGCTCCAGCTAAAGAGATCGCCCCGGCTGAAAAGCAACAGCCGATTGCTGCGACCAAGTCCGGTGGGGAGACAGAACAAAAGACCGACCTCAGCAAGGCCGCGCCTACTGCTCCCACCACAAAGCAGCGTCCTGTGCCCGAGAATGCCACTGCAAACGTGGAGACCGAGGTCCTGGATCAGTTCCGTCAGTTCGCCAACAGCGAGAAGCTGAAAATGCAAGAACGCCGTCGCAACCAAGCATCGCATGATCGCACTGTCAAGTTGAACGAGTTGATGAAGTTCTCAAAGAATTTCAAGCTGTCGACCCCCGTGCCCAAGGATCTGGTCCCCATCCTGGCCAAGGATCCCCACAAGCAAGAAGCTATCATCGGCCGGCTTCAGTCGCCAGATGAGAAGGCCAGTCCGAAGTCTGCTTCGCCGGTGGCTGATCAGAAGCCTTCGGCTCGTGCCGCCGGACCTACTGGTGCAGTGCCGCCAGTTGCACCCTCTGACCGCCAGAATTTCACCCGTGGTCGTCAAGGTTATCTCCCCACTGGTCCGCTTGCCGGTTCGGGTGGTCGCTTCCCCCAGCAGCCCATGCAACAGGGTCGTCCTAGTCCTGGTATGCTCAGCCATCGCCTCCAGGACAACCTCCAGCAACGAAAGGGTGCCAACATGGGTTCTATCCCTGCCCCGCTACCCATTCAAGATGCTCGGGTGCCTCCCACTGGCCCTGCCAGTGATCAGCCCCGGATCACCAGTCCTGTGAAGGCCCAGAACCCGCCATCCGCTGCATCAAAGTTCAATGTCCGCGCCATGGAGTTCAAGCCCAACCCCGCGGCGAGCACTTTCACTCCTGGTGGTCCTTCCGGGGCCTCTGGTATTTCCGGTGCCTCTGGTACCATTAGTACTACTTCTGCTTCCGGGGCGGCGGCTGCTGCTTCTAGTGCCAGCCCGCGGTCTTTTTCGCGGAACACCTCTGTTTCGCGTGCGACTACGCCTTCCGCATTCTTTGGCTCCAAGAAGCCCCAGCCCATCTCCGAGAGACCTTCCATCGACGACCAGTTCAACCCCATCAAGCGCATGAAGAAGGAGAGCGCCGAGGCGGCCGAGAAGGCCGACAAGCCTTACGTGTCATTCAATGGAGGCATTCCCCCTCCTTACAAGACTCTGCCAACTTGGGATGTGCCAGAAGCCAACCAAGAGAAGACCTTTGACCAGATGATCAAGCAACCGAGCGCTGTGTCATCGGTCTCTCCGCAGGGCCGGTCCGCTTCAAACAACCCCCATCTTCCCCAGCAACAGATACCCTACCCATTCCAGCAGGGCAATCCAGGCATGCCGACTTCCTCGGGTCCTCCTAATGGACCTCACATGCACCAAGGCTCTCATGGGCCCAATCCGGGTCATATGGACGACCATCACCGTATGCAGCTGTCGGCATCGTCGTCTCAGGTTTTCCCTTCACCCCGCATGGGACAGAGCCACATGGGGTATCCTTCTCCTATGGCCCCTCATGCACAGCTGGCATTTGGGCAGCCCATGCCCCAGTTCTACGGAGGGCCGCAGCCTGCCCACATGAGACAGTATCAAGGTGGCCCTCAGTTCATGAATCCGCAAGCTGCTATGGGAGCCCCTATGATGATGCAGCAGGCTTCCAACGGTCCTTATATGGGTGTGCCCCAGGGCATGTCTCCCTACACCCCGCAGATGCAGATGTACTCGCCTTCGCCGGCCCACGCCTATCCTCAACATGCACCCCCTCCTCAGCCGCATAGTGGCTACCCCAGTCCCAGTCGTGGTGCACCCATGATGATGCATCAGAACTCGCAGTCGGGCCAGCCTCCACAGCCGATGATGTTCATGCCTGGACAGCCTGGATATGGAAATCAGCAACCCGGACACAGTCAGTTGCCCTTTCATTACTAGTAATTTTTATCTACTGCTGACAGTTTGATTCCAGTGCCTCCCGGCCGTGGTGGCTACCCCCAGCAGCCTCATTTCTCCTCGAGCCCGCACCAGGGTCACCATTTCCCTCCTAATCAGCACCGCACGCCAAGTAACAGCTACAACCAGGTACCCCAAATGCCTCCTCAGGGTCCGTCTGGCACCCAGGCAAACGCAGGGTCCTCCTCGCATTCCGCTGAGCCCACTGATGAGGGCAAATGAACTGCATGACTTACGATCGATTGAGTGACTGTCCTGGTTTCAGTGACTTGAACTCAACTTTGCGCACCGTCGACAATGGCCATTTATCAAACCCCCTTGGGGTTCGACTGTATCTCCGTCTTCATCCCTCCTGCTAGCTTTGGTACCTATCGTGTACCATCTGATGAAGAACATGTTGATACGAGACTTGAAAGGTGAGATCCAAACCCAATACACTTGAATCGTGCGCTAATCATGTCGCAGATTCGATGAGCGGACATAATTATCATGTCTATTTATCGCGGGAGTGGTCTTGAAAATATACCTGCTAGTGAATTTTCTCTGAATTGTGTACAATTCAGCCACTGGCCTTCAAAAAAGTCCTCGTTACTTCCCACGGAGCTTTTTTCAGAGAGTTATCCATCACAGTTGATCTCGAGGCAGGGGTTTCCCAGGTCTGAAGATACTCCTTGTCAGGACATGTTTCCTTCCGGTTTTTTCCTTGCTTTTTTGCCCTTCCTTTCTTTTTCCAACTGTGTGGATATTGTGTGCCTGTGGGTGATCTGAGATGGATCTCTTGTGTTTCTCACTGGCTCCTGGGCTAGGCATCGCATCGGATGGGTTACGCCTCAGTGATGACCGTAAAGTGGGATGATCGGATACCAAGTGGCTGGCGAGGAAGTGGTCAAGCGCGGGTGTCAGCGCGGTGTGATGCAGTTGTAGGAATAGTGTGGCGCCCACGGTAGTTGCTAGCACTCATTCAGGTGCAATGTGAGATGACTATATCAAATAACTCTTCCTTTATCTGTAGATTCCTTTATTTGTAAACTGTATTCTAGCTACTAATAGAAAACCCCATCCAACACATTCCTCGGCACTGTAATCTGTGGCGGATGTTAGCACTCATCCTGTAAAATTATCCAAACTCAAACTTGAATGGGAAATCTCCTCAGGTCTTTTCAGTTTCTTATTGGTCTTCATTCAAGCCAACCGACAGAAACCACCATCTCCAACGCGGTGCTTCATTCAAACCATAACACCCGCCCACCGCATCAATCGAAACAACACGCCCCCAAGCGCTCCCAATCTACCACACCTTCACCGCAACACCTCCAATCCCCCTATTTCGTCCCCCATACGTCCCTCTCTATGCAGTGACAGAGCCAACAGCAGGGCGTTCAAATGAACGCACCCACTCTATCGACCGCAGCCATTAGTTCCTATCAGTCCTCATAGAAGAAAAGCGGACCCAGGAACTCCAGAAAACGGCCGGGCACGTCCATACCTACAGGTAGGTATAAAACATGCCTCAATGTACACATAGATTCTCCCAAGGTCCACTCTCCCGTAGGAAAGCCATGGACCTGAGGCTTGGACCCTTTTGCCTAGCCATGTGTCTGCAAAGAGGGAGATATGAAGGCGTGTAGGAATAGTGGAAATGGAGAGGTGTGGCGGAGATGGTCCGGGGACATCCTGAAGAGCAAAGCTCTAGGATTGGTGAAACTGGTAGAGGGAGCTGTGTATTGCGAATGATGCTAGATCGGCGGTATGTGTCGTGGGAAGCGAGTACCTTCGGTGGCACATAGATGGGGTTTCTTGTTGGAGGCGGCGCGGTCTGACCTTTTACCAGGTTTCGCATCTTTGGAGGCGACAGTGTCGCTGTCGGGGATGGGAGGGCGGGGAAGAAATAGAGCTCACCTGTATAGAGGCCGTTCGACGTGTAGGTATAGACATGTCGTGGTTGTGTTGGATTGACGAGGCAAGCTTGGAAGCTCTTAGCTCCGAAATAAACGCGAAGCCCTGCCTGAGGCTCCCGCGGGGCGTATCACCGCAAGGTGGCCAACAACGAAGATCCAAGTTCCAAAACCCAACCTTCAATCCCCTCGTTTCTGCATATATTCTCCTAACCTCCGCCCACCTCGTCCTCCTCCGCACCTCCCCTTCTAGCCTCCCTCCTCCACCTAGGCCATTGGCCAGCCACTCCCCCGGGCCCCTCCACCAAACAACAACCGCACATGGATTTCCTCAAATCAGCCGTCGCGTCCGCCATCGCCAAGGGTAGCTCATTTCCCTTCTCGCTAGGTGATCGAGTCGACATCGGCGACTCCATCTGGACGCTGCATAACGGTACGAAACGGGTAGGATGGTCTCCGGCTTCGGTGTGGGTTGTATCTGGTCGCTAACGGAGTTTCGTTCCAGGATGATGGTCAGGCATGCAGTGTCTTTACGTTTGATATCGCGGCGAACAAGTCGCGTCTTCAGCTCGCTAAAAATGCTGTACGCAAGTCGCGCACGCTTCGCCATCCCGGCGTGATCAAAGTTCTGGATACGATTGAGGTATGAATGCGCCAGGGAATAAGGGGTTGCGATAATTGAATGTTTGAGACTGATGCTATGGCAGACGGAATCGAATCTGTATATCGTTACTGAGCGTGTTGCCCCTCTCGACTGGCAGGTCAGGCGCCGGAGTATTAGTGAGGAGACCGCGAAATGGGGTTTGTATACTGTTTCGGTAGGGTATATTCGTGTCTGGTTATTGGGCGTATGCTGACTTGTTTGCGATGAACAGTCTACCCTCAAGTTTATCAACGAAGATGCATCCTCGGTCCATGGTGCCGTGCGTGCGTCGTCTGTTTATACAAGTGAAAGTGGCGAGTGGAAGCTAGGTGGCTTTGATATCTTGAGTTCGATGAAGGAGGATGATGCCATTATATATGTCAGTCATTGCTTATGAAAAATGGTAGTTGGCATGCATGCTAATCAAATAACAGACATACGGCAGCCTTGTCCCAGATGCAGCTCGTTATACGCCTCCGGAAATTGTCAAGGGCGGCTGGGATTCAATCAGGCGGCATCCTTTGGCAGCCGTTGACGCGTACGGCCTGGGTATTTTTATTTTTGAAGTATTTAATGGCCATTTTTCTGGCGGTGATCAGGTCGGCAAGACGACCAACATTCCTCCTGCCATGCAGCAGAGCTACAAGCGTCTTTGCACGGCTAATCCGAAGTTGCGACTCAGCCCTGCGCATTTTGTTGAGCAGGGGAAGAAGCAGGGCGGGTTCTTCCAGACACCTTTGATTCGCTTGACAGATGATATGGAGAGTTTAGGTCTCAAGAGTGATGCGGAGAGAGAGGAATTCATCAAGTATGTTTTCGTCTCGATTTCGATTGTGATACTTGGTGCTGACATGGATAATAGTGAACTTGATAATCTTTCTGACGACTTCCCCGAGGATTTCTTCAAAATGAAGGTATTGCCTGAATTGCTCAAGTCAGTCGAGTTTGGCGGTGGTGGGCCAAAAGTTCTCAGCGCTACTTTGAAGATTGGCGGCAAACTATCAGCAGACGAGTTTAATGCCAAGCTGACCCCGGTGGTTGTTCGCTTGTTTGGCAACCCTGATCGGGCTTTGCGTGTGTGTCTTTTGGACAATCTGCCTTTGATGATCGACAATCTCTCGCAAAAGGTCGTCACCGACAAGATCTTCCCTCCAATGGTCAGTCTGCAACTTGCTATTTGTGCTCTACCGCGGTCTAACAATTCATAGACCTCTGGCTTTACCGATGCCGCTCCTGTTGTCCGAGAGCAGACTGTCAAGGCTGTCTTGACGGTCATCAATAAGCTCAGTGATCGAGTTATTAATGGAGAACTTCTCAAGTTCCTGGCGCGTACTGCGAATGATGAGCAACCTGGTATCCGTACCAACACAACCATCTGTCTTGGCCGAATTGCCAAGAATCTGGGGCAAAGCGTATGTCTAACCACTGTGGCTGGTAATCATGATTCTAATATCCTTTAGACTCGCTCGAAGGTTCTCATTGCTGCATTCACGAGAGCTATCAGAGATCCCTTTGTGCATGCTCGTTGTGCCGGACTTCTCGCCTTGTCAGCGACCATCGATTTCTTCACCGAAGAAGACTGTGCTGTAAAAATCCTGCCTGCCATTTGTCCGGCACTTTTGGACAAGGAAAAGTAAGTTCGGAAATTTTTGATTCTGCGACTCCTTTACTCATATTTTCCAGGCTCCTCCGAGACCAAGCAAACAAGACACTCGATCTATATCTCCAGCGAATCCGAAAATTCGGCAACACTATGGCAGACTCGGTGATACCACCGGCCGCCGCTGCCGAACCAAACAAGTCCGATGCGCGCATCGGCACTTCAAACGACAAGTCTTGGGCCGGATGGGCCATATCCTCATTCACCAACAAGATGTCAGCTGCCGACGGTGAAATCCAGCCGACAGCCGGCACAAAACCCGTCGAAGCAGATATCCCCCGCCCCGCCTCAGTCCCTCGCCCGGCTAAATCATCCCCCTCTGCTCAATTAGGACTTCCCAAAGAAATATCACGTCCCGTCGCACACCCACTGAGCCGTTCACAATCCGAACGGCCGGTCCCAATCCTCCATGAGGAGCAACCAGAAGACGACGGGGACGAGGTCTTTGACGCCTGGGGCGCCATGGACGACGACGAAAACGACGACGACCCCTTTACCGCAGCCGTAGCATCTCCCAACCTCTCGTCTCCTGATCCCTCTGCAAAATCGCCCGCCGTGCCATATGACGATGGCGGTGAACCTGATTTCGCCGCCTGGTTGGCTGCTAAGAACTCCACCAAGGCAAAGAATCCCCTGCCCAAGGGCCTGGGTAAGTCTGCGTCTACTACTTCTGCGCCTACGAGGAGTACGGTGGCGAAACCGAAGACGGTGACACCGAAGAAGATTGATACGAAGCCGAAGGATGAGGATGTTGATGATGGTTGGGGTGATGCTTGGGATTAGCGAGTGTTCATTTCCACGGCATCTGTATATACTGCCAAATAATGTTGGGATTGGAACGCGTATAGAATGTCGCGCATAATCATAATTTTCTCCTGACTTCAGACTCGTATCTTGGTTTGCTTCATTCAAAGAAAGCTGTAGGTGTCGGTGCTGGATTGCTTGGGCTTGTTGTATTTACGGGCTCCCGAGGTCTGTAACAAGCTGACCTGTTATGACTTCCAGAGCTAAGTATTCGTAACCGTTTGGGTACTTGACGTGTCCTGCATTAGACCAATAAAACAGCATACAAGTAGACAGGCAAAAGAGCACCAAGAAGGACTTTCCTGAAGCTTCCGTCTTTGTTACACTGCTCACCGCATTCCGCGGAGCGCGGATATAAAACCCTCACCCCGCTTATCTCTTATCAGCCTCTTCAGCCTTGCACCTCTCGTGGTTTCTTTTTCAACTGCTTCGTCATCAGGCTTGGCCCTGTGAATGAACATCCCACGCCAAGTCTGACACATCCGCGAAGAGTGTATCCCCGCTAAGCCCTGTGCGCTGACATTCAACGGAATCTTGCTGCCTTCCCCTCGAACCGGCGATCTTATCACAACATGAAAGGTCAGCATTGACAGGCTGGTAATTCGCGATCCTTCAGGCCACTACATTCTTCCTCCCTGTTCATCCTAACAGCACGAAATGGACGAGGAGGAGGCCCCACCGCCTTACTCGGCTTCGGACCCTCTGAATGCACGGGCAAATAACAGGAACGGCAATCGTTCGCAGGCCGCCACTCCTCTGCGCGACAATGCGCCATTGCAAGAGGCCAGCAGCTCAAGGCTGGCGGAACTGTCTGGATCTGCGGTTTCCTCTGTAGTGCCAACCCACTTCACCTCCGCCGTCACATACTTTGAGCAACGCCCGTCATCAGTCATCGACGACGGCCGAGATATTTTATACCACCATATGACTATCTATCCCCGCAGCCAAGCCAAGGACTTTCCTCGGCGGCCGCGCTGCTGGAATGCCCATTTTGACGAGATTATCCAGCAGGACTGGGACACCTTTCTACGGTATCTTTTCCCGGCCCAATTGGGCTTGGCTGCTGCCTCGCAGCACTTGTCCCGACAGCTCCGAGCGGAAATCCAGCGGGATCGCAAGGACCGCCCACAGGAGACGGACGAGCAACGCCGCGCGAGAATTACGGCTGTTGTTGACGAATGGAATCAGTGCTTTTTCGAGCCCCCGCGGAGCTCGGATTGTCTTTATTTATGTTGGCGAGCCCGATGCTGCGCCTACGTCTGCACTATGTCCTCGGTGCTATCCGGCTGCAACGAAGGCTACCCAGGGAACCGGTACTCCGACCCCTGTGGAAGGTCAACGGGCTGTGAATGCCAATGCGCTTTCGTTAGTGGCTGAGCAACCTACCCCATCACCAAATTCTTGGCATATGCCTCATTTCTCGCCTTTTGGAAATGCCCCACAACCACATATGCCATTTGGCACTCCGTTCGGTGTTCCACCATTTGCAGCACACGGAGCACATAATGGCCAGCCGCCTCAATACTACCCACAGCCCCAACCACCACCAGGTGTTGCTCCATGGCAATGGCAGCCTTGGGGCTATACACCGCCACAATTTGGACCGTCTGGCACTTCCAAGAGCGGAGCACTTGGCTGGATCTCGAGTCTCACCTCACAGGCGCAGAAATACGGTGAGCGGTTTGCGGAACAGGCCATGCATTATGGCAGGCAGGTTGAAGAGCAGGCGATGGCGCATGGTCGATGGCTTGAAGATCAGGCAGGACTTCATGGCCGCAAGCCAGGTGCAGGCGCGTACCTGCCAGGATATCCGCTTGGATACCCCCCTGCTGCATCCAATGGCCAGCCTCCTTGGAGCCCTACTCAAACTGGCCAGACAGGCGGTGTTTCATACACTACATCGACACCGACATCACCTACAAGCAATACGACCCCTCTCAACAGTACAGAAAGCCATCCTCAGCCTCAACCTCTACCTGTATCTGAAGTTGAGGCTCAACCCCAAGCTCAACCTCTACCTGTACCTGAACTTGAGGCTCAACCCCAAGCTCAACGTCAACTCCAACCCCAACCCCAACCGCAGAAAAATGACGATAAACCCCTTGAGCGTTCTCGCCGCGCCTCTATCAGCTCTGTCTCTACCGGATCATCTTTCAGCTCGATTGATTCCCTCTCAACCACTTCTGACCTTGACGCCTCAGACCTAGCCACAGTCCGCATCCAGCTTCAATCTCTTCATGATCGACATGACCGCACACTCTACGAGGCTGCCGTTGACCTCCGACAACAACTATCCCTCCTCGAAGAATCCCGTCGAGAGGCCCGTATATCCGGGCGTCGAGACTGGCGCCGTGGACGCCAACAAGCTTCCCAACCAGACAGCAGCGACTGGGGACGCTGGGAGTCACCCGAACAGCAGCAGCGCGATGCCACAGAGCGACAAGCAATGAAAGAGGAAATGCGCGCCACCAGAAAAGCATTCCGAGACGTCGCCCGCCGCGCCCGCGAAGAACAGCGCGACAAGCGACGTGCCCGGAAGAACCGTCTGCGCCAGCGACCCCCGCCGGAAAGCAAGCCTGAAGATGAGATCTTGTTGGATGGACGGATGGCCAATCTCGCTCTTGAAGACACTACATTCCGTCCACCGGCACGGAGTCGAACTGAGCCCGTGGTTCAAGCTTTCCGTCCCCAGCGCACTCTTTTACGCTCCGGTGCGAGCTCAGAAATTAGTGTGCCGGGTGCTATAAATACTCCCTCGTCTGCGTCCCAGACAAGCGTGTATGGACCGGCCGAGGTTCCGGATAAGAAGTCGAAGCTTAAACAGATGCTGAAGTCGCGGAATGCGAAGAAGCAGCAGAAAGCCGAGAAGGAAGATAAGGATAGCAAGGCATCTAAAAAGGACGGCAATTAACCCGTCACTCTTCTACCGGGTTGACTGCAGGTGGAAGTAACCCAGATCCAGCCTGGATCAACGATTTACGATTTAGCAGAATTTAGCATTCATGTATCATGTACATTCATTCATCTCGCACATAGACCAGGGAATGGACATCATCCACCCCAAACCTCTAGCCCATCTCATCTCCTCTCAACCTTGAGAGAAGAAGATCAAGCCTGAGTCTCATTTCTCTCAACCAAATCACCCACCCCCAACCCCCTCCCAACCTTAACCTTGACCATCTTCTCCTCCTCCTTCCCATCCTTCTTCCCCATCTCCCCGACGGGTTCCCCCTCATCTTGATCATCCTCCTCACCAGCCTTAGCCTTATCCTCAGCAGCAATCCGCTTCTCAATCGCCTTCCAGTCCAGCCACTGGCCGTCAAGCTTCAAATGCATCGCGTAAGCGTCTTCTCCGTCGGCGTAGTACTTGCTTTCCACTTTCTCGACTTCGAAGCGCAGTGTGTCGCGGTATAGGCGCAATGCAGCGGTGTTGGAAACGCGCACGTGCAGAGAGACGTAGTTTGCGCGGTGGGATTCGGACATTGCGCGTTCTGTTTTATTTTCAATTAGCATTTTCCCTCCATTAATTCTTCGGCATTCCACCCTCAATGGGTCCTTAAAAAAGAAAAAAGAAGAAGAAAAGAATCGGAAGGGAGAAAAGGCAGAAGGTAAAACTCACGACTCATTCGCATCAGCCTCTCCGCAATCCCCAACCTGCGATGCGTGCGCATGACACTCAAACTGGTAATGTGCCCATGCTGCATCCCATCCGTCGGCTCCTCTTCCATCTTGGCAAGCACGTATCCCACAACTTTGGGGTACTCGCCGACGACGGAGCCATTAGCGTAGCCGTTCTTGGGCCGCACGACGGCAACGAAGGAGAGTTGGGGCCATGTGAGGGCGTGGTAGAGGTAGTATTTTAGAAAGTAGTTCTCGGGCAGGTTGGTGATGTTGCAGGTTTGGATTGAGGGGAGGAGGTCGATGTAGCTTGGGTAGCTGGAAAGGGGGACGATGTCGACCATTTTGATTGTGGTCGGTGGTGTCCGGAGGGTGTGTCGTGTCGATTGGGCTGGTGGTGGTGGATTGGTGGATTGGTGTTCGGTGGTGGGATGGTGATGCGGCGGGGTCATGTGATCGTGGAGACTCTTTTGGGATCAAAGGTGAAGTTGGAGTGCGATTGTCTACGCAATTGAGGGAATTGAAGAGTAAAGCTTGGGAAGAAGGTTCGATGCATATTTCACTCTAGATTATTCATATCTACACGCAATTCATGTCGCTTATCGGGCATGCGGAAATCAACTATAGTAAACAGGTATCAAGAAGTCGTGCACATTCGTTCGAGATTAGAATGCTGTCAACAGGAACTGAATGCCTGCTGCAACCATGAGCAGAGTCGATACGCTGGAAACGGACACTCCGTGCACGGCGGCAGAGGTTGAGCCGCAGCATTTCCAATTGTAGGTGACATTGTTCATCTCGGCGGCGACTTCGAAGACGGAGCCGTTCTTGGGGGAGCCGTAGTTGTAGTAGTCGACCAGGAGGAAGTTTGGCGGGCGGTCCCATTTGCCTGCAGGGTGTTAGAGGGTGTTAGGGGGTGTTATGGGGTGATATAGGGAGGATCGGGTGGGGTTCTTACGGGTGCAATTCTCCGCCATCCAGCCCAGACTGCCGGGGCCGCTGACGCCGTTGGTTTGGTTGAGCACGGCGGTGTTGGGAATGAGGATGGTGATGGAGCCGAGATCGACGGCCAGGTTGAGGTTGTGGTTGGCCATGTACATGCGGTTCTCGGCGTCCTGGACCGAGAGACCCGGGGGCCGCTGCTGCGTGCAGGGGAAGCTGTCGTTGGTCGGTGAGAAGGGAGTCTCCCACATCTGCGAGAACTCGTCCATCAACCACGGGATGGCGGTCTGATTGGCCTGATAGTCCAAGAAGAAGACGACGCGCTTCTGGGTGAGGATCATCTCGGATAGCGTAGGCCAGTCATGAAGCGCCATGGGGATCACCGGCGGGGTGTACAGAAAGTCCTGAAGCCCGGAATTCATGACTGGATCGGTGAAGTTCTGCGGCGCGACGAAGTCGAAGTTGCCCATCAGGATGGTGACCACGTCGAAGGGGTTCTGGCGCATCCAGGCGGCCACCTTAGTCAGGTAAGCCTCGAGAGTACCCATGTTGAGAAGTTCGCAGGAGGTATGGCAGAGCAGCATGGTGCCGTTCTGGTAGTGTGTTTGGAATTGCACTTGGAAAGGTTAGTTTGGGAACGGACCCGGGCACACGATTGACCTACACATGCGAATGCCGTTATTCAGCTGGGTCGTCACGTCAAACATCTGGTTAGAGGCAGCATTGCCTGGACGATCGAACGGGCTGTTGTGTGCGGCAACCATGGTGATGTTGGAGTAGTTGCGCCCGCAGAACTCGACGTAGCCATTGCAAGGCCGGGTGTTGATGACTGGTGTCGAGGTGGACGTGGATGAGGCAGTGGCAGTGGCATTCATGCTGTTATTGCCCAAGGTCGTGGTACCGCCGCCGCCGACCAGAACGGTCACGGAGTTGGAGGTGTGCGTGACAGTGGTCTGGTTGTGCATGGCCGAGGAGTTCCCGGAGATGGACGAGGTGACGGTTAGTTGGGAAGTATCGCCATCGTCAAGGGTGATGGTGGTGCTGTAGGTCTCGTAGGTGCCCGAGGGCAGAGCGACGCTGCCGGTGATCGTGGAGGCATCGGAGAGATCGAAGGAGGTGGTGGTCCCGGAAGAGGTGGAGGAGGTGGAGGTATGAGAAGTGGTCGTATCGTCGGCCAGAGCCAGGCCAGCAAGGATCGCAACCAGGGATAGCCACCTCATGGTGAATGGGAAGGCTGTAGTATGTACAGAGGAGGTGGAGATGAGCGCGAGATGTTTTCTGCCTAGTTAGCCTACTGCCAAGCATCGGGTCTTTTTCAGGAGCGGTGGAGTCGGGAGTCGGGAGTCGGACGCCGCAATGACGCAGGCCGCCACCAGGCGCCCATTATAGTTTTATACACCCTTCTCCACCTCTGACGAATCTCGCCCGTGCTGTTGGAACCCAGGTCCAGGTCCGCTTGGCTTGATTAAAGTTAACACGATCGTCTGACGTGGCTGTCAATTCTCCGGTTTTTTATCCCTCCACCCGGTTACCTCGGGTCCTGTCTTTCCACGATCGTAATTCAGTTGTCGTCCGCAGTCGACGATTACGGGGCGCTAAAAGCGAGCTAGCGGCAGCCACTGACGATCCCACACGGAGCTTCGGGACCAGGGATTTCACTCGATCTGATTAGAGCCTAGCCATCCTGTTATAACCTTCACGGATGCCTAAACGTCATCCCTTCCTCCCATCCTCCTTCGTCCATTCCTTCACTCCAGTATGGTAGGCGGAGTGGACGCTGTCAATGGCACTGGCCGAAAGCTTCCTTTCTTCCGTCGCGGCAGCCCCAATCGGCCTCTCGCTCGTCGTCGGGCGGCCACCGTTCACACCCACCGCATCATTCGGTCGCTGCTCTACCTGATCGCCTTCATCTTCGTGCTGCTCGTGGTGATCGGTAACGTCTCCAACAAGCCCGTCTTGCGAAACACCTACTTCCTCTATCTCGACCTGGCCAACATCATCCCCTTGTCCGTGCCGAATGCCGTCCTGATCAACTCCATCGCCCGGTCTATCGGTCTGCACGATTTCTACCAGGTCGGCCTGTGGAACTTCTGCGAGGGCTACTTTGGCGAAGGAATCACCCGCTGCTCCAAGCCGAAGACCTTGTACTCCTTCAACCCGGTCAAGATCATCCTGAGCGAGCTGCTGGCCGGTGCAAGTAGTAGGCACCCCCCTATCAAAGTCAACCCCAATCGCGAAAATTCAATGCTAACTCTATTCCAGTCGCTTTGCCCTCCGAAATCACCCAGCCCCTCCACTTGGCCCACGTCGCCTCCCAGTGGATGTTCGGCCTCTTCCTGACAGCCGTGGTCCTCAACTTTATCATGATCTTCATCAGCCCCTTGGCCGTGTCCTCGCGACCTCCCCAGACCATCAAGGCCCTGGCCGCCAATGGCGGACAACTCAATGGCGCCGGACAGCTCCCCCACCGTCGCCGCACGTTCGTGCTGTTTCGCTCGCTGCCCATGTTGCTCATCAGCTTCTTCACCGCCCTGGTCACCATCGTGGCATCCGCAGTGGCTACCGTTATGTTTGAGATTTTCGCCAATGTCTTTGCCACTGCTGACCCCAATCTCAACATCAAGGCCCATGTCGGCACCCAGATGATGGCGTTCATGTGGATCGGCTCCGGATTCAGTCTTATTGCCTTTATCGTCCAGTTCGGCTCCTGCTGTGCGTCTTGCTGTGGTGGTCACAAGGCTCGCAAGCAGCTCAAGGCCCAGGGTGTTAATTACAAGGATAAGGGCTCCTTCAACATGAGCCCGTCTGACACCAATGTTGAGGACCGTGAGATGGTTGAGCCGCATGCTATGACCCGGGATTAAATCTTTTCTTTGCTTGTATTATCTTCATTGGATTTTAGGTTTTAGACTTGGGCATTCGAGTTTCATATGTGATTTTTTGCTTTGGATATCTACTACGATTGGACGACTTGCCAGCGCGTGTCAAGGTTTTCTGGTTTCTGTATCACGACACTCTAGCCTAGTATCTAGATCTGCATATACGTATGGTTTATACATAGAGAAAATCGCTAATCCGGTCTCGTTCTAAATGAGACTGTCCCATTATACATAGATGCGACTTGATCGGTGAAACGCGTGCACTACGTCATGGCCACCACCCGCTAGGGAATGTGTACGAGAGCTTTCAGGTACAATAATCGGAAAAATCCATTTGATAAAAGACTGAATCAAGGCATATATAGAAGAAGTCTGCTCCTATTTATAGCCCGAACTCACGTAGATAATATCCCATTTCATTTACAACCGAAGGCGTCTGCTTGTCCATGTTATAAAGCACCTCGTTTAACCAGCTCATACATGAGCACGATCCGGCAACCGAGCACCGACGCCATAAAGCGACCAAAGACGTAAACTCCATCTTTAGCAGAAATGAATAACACGCTAGAGAACACGAGCGTCCCCAGATGCCATAACGATCAAAACAGTATTCGAGATCAAGAAGTATCTGTCCTCGCGCTTGAGTTTGACTGTCGGCGGCAGATTCTCTTTCGCGTACCTGTGATGAACCACTGGCCTAACTGCATATGAGCTGTCAATAGAAACCTCACGGATCCCGCGTGCTTGAGTACGCAAGGCCAACTGCATGGCAAGATGAGCAAGACAAGTACCCAAGGAGTTACAACTCGAGACATGACCGACTCGGCATATTCGGAAAGGTAATCCAATCATCGTGAAGATATTACCAACAGGCCCAAATAAAGACCAGGCGAGAAGAAAGTAAGAATAAATGGTGCAAACGCTATTATCGTATTAAACCCAAGCTCATAACTGAATTCTGCAACATCTGCGATAGCTTTGGCGTCTGAATACTACGAAGACCTGCTTCCATCTAGAAAGAAGCATTACAAGCGTTACCCATTCATTGCCACTCTGTAGCTAGTCAGGTTCCACCAGGTTAACAGAAACTAATTGAACCCTTGCAAAAAGTTCATTCATAAAGATAAGTACAAAGGTAGAAAGCCCAGTGGGAAGTTATCTCGAAATAGACGAAAGGCCTCAACGGACTGTCCTTCAAGACAAGTTAGAAATCACAGTCTTCATCACCTCCATATCCTCCATCTCGCGGTCAATCATCTCCTGAAGCATCTCATCCTCGATCATGCGTCCAAGATCATCATCGGTGGGGTTGTAGAAACCGGCCTGGACAGCAGCAACGGCGGCGGGGTCATCAGGTTCGGGAGTGTGAGGCTTGGTAGCAAACTCAACAGCAGTCTCGATGGCAGACTTGACAGAAGCCTTGGCAGCCTTAATAACCTTGATAGAAGACGTAATGGTAGGTTTCGTGGTAATCTTGGTCGTAGTCTTGGTGATGGCCGTGATGGTGAGCTTGGGGGTAGACTTGACAGCGGATCGGGCGGCAGATCCGGCGGCATTCTTTTTCATGGCAATGGCAGCATGAACGAGAGCAGCGTTGGCGGCGACATGATTCTCGAGGGCAGCACTCGCGGAGACGAGGAGATCGCTTGTAGGGTCGTTGAAGGGACCACCAAGGTTGCGACGAATGTGTTTTTGAGTTTCGAGGACGTTGTGACAGACTCCGAGCCCGTTTTCGTAGACTTTCTTTTTGTGGTGAGGGTTGAGGCTGCCGAAGACTTTGTCGACAGCGTCATGATCGCTAACCTGGTGCAGCCACTTGAGGTCTTTCTTCCTGAATTCACGGTGGAACTTGGTCAGCGGGGTGTCTTGAACATTGCGCATGGGAGCAAATCCTTGGGTACTCACTTTGTCTGTATCTAGATCGTCGATGGTCAGATCGATCACCTCGACTTCCTTGGGAGATACAGCGTGCGAGTGGTAGAGGTTGGCGGTAGAGTTCATAGGGTTGTTGATGGGACGCGCGTTGGCACCGGTCGCCCCGTGAGCCAGGTTGATGGTGAATGCGGTGTTGTTGTTCATCGTGACTGAGCCAGCAGTAGAAGGATGAACTGGAGAATTGGTAGGTGCTCGAGGAGCGAAGTCTTCAGTATGATGTGGCTGGGAATGCAAATCGAGAGCAACACGGTCTTCCGGAAGATCGGGAGAAAGTTGTGGAAGAACGGTGGCGGAGAGATGAATAGGAGAAGAAGTCGAAGTCGGAGGAGAAGGGTAGGAGATATTTGTATTCGAAGGGGCAGGGTGTTGAATGGCAGACGTCGATGGGTCACACGCTGGATTCGATTCAGGATGTTTCCAGGATTGTCTCAATGGGGCAATTTGAATAGAAGGGTTTAATTGAGCGCACATGCCCAATAGATCATTATACGCTTGACTCAATTGGGTGTATCTGCCTTCCCACTCATTCGAGACATTTGGCTTCTTAGCTGTCCCGGACGAAGTGTATTGTTGATAGTCCCGGACCAGTGAGTTATGGGTTTGAGCCAACTTGACATATTTGCCTTTCCACTCCTCGATTTCTGCCTTGAAATTTTTGGCTCGCTGCTGCTGAGTGGTACACACTCGACGCAATGTTGCCAACTCGGCCTCTTGGACATGAATTCCCAGCCTACCCGTTTTCGGATCGATGCTGGTGTACTTGAGCAAGGCATCACGGTACCTGTTCCGTTCAGCCGTGAGAACATCCACCCTGCGCCTGGAGTTCAGCAGCCTATTGTGAAGAGTGTCGTGTGAAACTTCGGTCGCAATTCTCATCGAGTGGAGACCGGGTGCCGATGGACGATATCCAACAGACCCATATGGAGAGATGTGCTTTGGGTAGGGCCTGTGGACCATTGCTTCGACAGCCGCATGATAGGCAATACTCTGCTGGTCAAGGCAAAACTTCTTCTGTATAGCAGAGCTTGCCGAAGCAGTGGCGTGAGAATCCGGGGCAGCGTGCGACAAGATCGACGCTTCATTCGTCGACCCAATGTTCAACGATTTGTCCCAAGCCGGCGAGAGTTGCTGATCTCCAGTGTTTTGCTTCTTGGGTTCTGGGGAACTGCATCCTTCTTCAAAGAGGTCATCGAGATCATCACGTGTACGCTTGTTCGAACCATCTAGCTGAGAAACCAGCTGGCCAAAGTCCGTGAAGGGGTCAAAGTCAAGGCCGATGTCGATACCGAGGTCGAGGGCATTCCCATCCTGCAGCCATGACTCTGGCATTTGAGACTGAGATCCAGGGGAGAGTGTAAGCCCCAGATCATCACCTGCGATGCTGTTGGGCTGGAATGAAGGCAACTCACATTGCTCCATGGCTCCGTCCATATTCATCTCGAAGGGATTCAGGATAGACCAGATCAAGCTCGAGACTTGACTTTAAAGTAGATATTGAAATATCATGATATGCAAGACAAATTATCCGTCGCTTGAGACTTTGAAAACGCGTAGAGACTTAGAGGCGGAAAGTTGAGTCAAGAAGTGAGGTCAGGTGAAGCCTCGAGAGGTACTTTTTCGTTTACTGTCACTTTTTCTGCCGGGCAAACAAAGCTTCCTCACCGCTCGACCCTCTCATATCTCACACACCACTTTCCTAAGAAGGGCTCCGCCTTTCTTTCACGTGACACAGGACACTCTTCCCGCCTTTTATACACGTGACCACGATGGCAGAACGACCCTCCGTTCCAGCTTCCGGGACTCCAGGTAGCACGACTGCTCCTGCCAGCGAGAATACCACTGGGTCGAACGAGAGCCGCGGCAGCCGCTACAGCTTTTGTACTTTCTACAGCTCCTCTAATTACAGTAACCACAGTCTCCACGCACCCGTCTCCGAGCCATTCCCATCCACGATGAGTGTCATCCTTTGCACTGGTAAGTGGGCCTTCACGATCTCCCCGCATTCTTTCTCAGCTTGAACTAATGAGTACTGTCGCACGTAACAGCGGGGTATGACCATACCATCCGGTACGTCTGAGGCAAGCTGAAGCTCATGAGCGGAGCTCTAAGAGTTGACATGCGAGTTTGAATCTGAATATGTGCTAATATACCCATTCACCAGCTTTTGGGAGGCGCTGTCGGGCATCTGCTCGCGCACCATCCAGCACCCAGACTCACAGGTCAATCGCCTGTGCATCACCCCCGACAAGCGTTTTCTCGCCGCCGGCGGACACAACAATGTCAAACTCTATGACATCAAGTCCACCAACCCCAACCCAGTCATGACCTTCGAAGGTCATACCAGCAACATCACCGGTGTCGCATTCCATTGCGAAGGCAAGTGGATGGTTACAAGTTCTGAGGATGGGACTGTCAAGGTCTGGGACACTCGCACCGGCGCCCTGCAGCGCAACTACGTGCACCGGGCAGCGGTTAATGACGTTGTCATTCACCCCAACCAGGGTGAGCTGATCAGCGGTGATCGCGCTGGCATGGTTCGCGTCTGGGACCTTGGAGAGAGTGTCTGCACTCACCAATTGATCCCGGAGGATGATACTGCTGTGCTCAGTGTGAGCGTCGCTAGCGATGGGTCTCTGCTGTGTGCTGGAAATAAGAAGGTATGACCTCCGCAGTGTCTTGGCGATTCCCCTCACTAACCATTGAATTGTCTACAGGGTAATGTCTACATCTGGCGCATGGTTCAGAATGAAGAAACCACTCGCATCATCCCAATCTGCACCTTCCAGGCCCACAAGGATTACCTCACCCGCGTTCTCCTGTCTCCCGATGTCAAGCACCTGGCCACCTGCTCCGCTGACCACACTGCCAAAGTGTGGAATCTTGACGCAGAATATCCCCCCGCCAAGGTCGCCATCAAGGAATTCAATGACCGAAAGGCTTCGCAGGGCACCGAGGAGAACCAAACTGAGGCTTCACCAACTCCCGCTGAGACTACCCGTAACCAGAATCGTGACCTCTTGCGCATCTTCGATGCCCCCGTTCAGGACAGAGACCTCCTTCGCATCAGTGAGGCGCCTCGAGATGAGACCCAAACACCTCAGCAAACTTTCACTCCTTCGCCCGATGGACCGCCTATGGACCCCAACAACGGCACTCTATTCCTCGAGACGACCCTTGCCAACCACCAACGCTGGGTCTGGGACTGTGCCTTCTCCGCCGACTCCGCTTACCTCGTCACCGTGTCCAGCGATCACTACGCTCGCCTCTGGGAGCTCAGCTCCGGCAACATCATCCGGCAGTACTCCGGTCACCACCGCGGCGCAGTCTGCGTGGCCCTAAACGACTACTCCGAGCCTCGCTAAGCATCGCATTTCCATCGAAAGTCATTTCATTTTCGTCTGGGAATCTTTCATGATTTATTAAGGTTTATGGCGTTTTCACGAGGAATGGCACATAGCATGGCGCAAACCGGGTTGAGTTTACACGATGGATATCGCCCTCGACGATGGATATTGTTGACGGAGTCCCTGGTTCATGGAGATTTCTTCTGGTAGTTTGGCCCCTTTTTTTGGCCCTTTGTTTCTTGGGTTTTGATTTTCGGATCTTGCCACTTTCAGATACCATTTGCATCTATTAAGTTAATGCATTTTCATGAAAATAATCTTCTTTATCTCTCGCCGTAGAGCAGTCCTCGTAGACCTCGGGATAGAGTACTCGATGACTACGATACAACGCCTCCACGCAACCTAACAATCATATACAAGTCCATTGACACGGCCTGAGAACCTGATATTCAGAACTAATAGACACAGCCATCGCTTAACTCAAATGAACAAAGAAAAAAAATCCCATATAGCTCCAAAAATCAGAGGAATAGGAATAACGAGAAAGCGTATAATAACAACCCTCACTCAAGACAAAGACACCTCAGGGCAATTGTATCAAACTTTACTGGTTCCCAGGCCCTCTAAGCCATAGCAAACCAAGTCACACTAACAACAACGTCCAACCCCCCTCTCCTCACCACCGGGGTACTTGAACGTCCACATGCCATCACGGTTAACGTCCCAAAACGCCCCGGAGGCGGAGTGCATCCCGCGCTTTCCGGCGTTGCTCTGCGCACCCTGTGCCGCGGCGCTCTTGTCGATCATGCCCTGCTGCACGATCGTGCTGTTCACGGTGAAGCGGTAGGGTGCTGGCTTGGCGGTATCTTCGGGGGCGGTTGCGGTGATGAGGGCTTTCAGGACGGTATTCTGGGATATGTTGGTTTCTGTTCATGGTTGTGGTGGATTGGCGGGGATGGTGGTGCTTACGATAATCGCGGAGTTCCACGAGCTCACTTGCGTGTGTTCGTATTCCGTGACGTCCTTCAGGGCGACATCGCAGGCCTGCGGTGTGTTAGTTTGGGGGGGTTGCGTGGATTGTAGAGGCGGGCTGGGACGTACCTCGTTGGTGATCTTGGTCAGCTCCGGGATGGGAATGGGCTATGGCGGGCGTTAGTGGGGGTATCATGGAGCGAGCGCGCGAGTCTGTCATTGCGCGAAAGTCGGTATATCGATTGCACGTACCGACACGGGAGTGGTGCCCTCGACAGCCATTGTATTCGTTTCGGGTGTGGTGGATTATTGATAGTCTGCTCGGGGGAAACGAGTCAGTATTCTGGTATGGCAAAGCGCCGATCGACCCCGTAGAATGCTCATCGCGCCGATATCGTTGTCGAGATCTCGGTGAGGCGCGTTCCCGGTGACGGTGCGGGGAGCGTAGAATGCGATTATCGGCCGTATGGGTGCTTGGGATCAATTTGAGTCTGGGGATTGCCAAGAGTGTGCTCACCGGAAGGAATTCAGCGGGGTAACAGGGGTTCAAGGTCGTGGAATTGGAGGATCACGGCAACTGGAAGAGCGGCTGATTGTTTGGGCGAGTGGCATCATCGCGTGGGCGCTGCGGCCGCTGGTTGGTTGCGCCCTGGCACTCTGCTTACTAATGATAGGTGTTGGGCGTTCTCGATTTGCTGGTGTGTTTACTTGCAGAGTAGATTTGTTTTTATTTACATTGTTTTGAGTATGCTGGCTGTGCTCTTTATGGCACCGAGATCTTGTAAATTTGGACATTCTTGGACTTAGCCGAAAGTTGAGAACTTGCAATGTTTTGTAGTGAAGTACGTATGGAGGCTGCAGACATGTGAAAGACTGTATATATTCGATCTAATAATGTACTCAACCTTGGGACTGTCACATCTACCTAGGCATGTAAGACTGATGTTTTCATGTCGCCCAGATCAGACGAAAGGACCAATAAAGTCTCTATCTAAGCAACAGAAGGCTCTTTCAGCGTAAGGATACCCGGCTGCTCCAAAATAATCAACGGCCCAGCGACAACACTCTCCTCCGTCGGCGCATCCACCTGATCAGCAATAGAAACCATAACGATCCCAGTGTCAGGATCGAACGGCTTCGGAATCTGCACACTATTTTTCGTCGGGTCATACGGCACACTAACCGTGTTCACCCCATGATAGAAAACCGCATAATAGTCCGTCCCATCCACGAACTTAGGCTGGTTCCCCGTGGGGTCGAAAACAAACTGGATATTCGACCCAGGACGGCCAGTTGTCCCGTTTCCAAGGAAAGCCATTCGAGGGAGGTCCTGGCGGGGAGTTGGGTACACGGGGTTCTCGGTGGGACAGCTACCAGGCACGATGAATGCGTTTGTCATGTCTAGGATCTGGTTTGCGTAGGGGTAGATGGTGTCAGAGGGCCCGGAGAATGGGCTTGTGTTGTACACATCGATGAGGGACCAGGTGTTGTGTCGTGTTTCGACTTGACCGATTGCCATCAGGGCGGACTTGGAGATGTTCGCCTCGGCTAGGAGTGAGAGACCTGTGAGGAAGGCCATGCTTGAGACTTCGATGTAGACCTGCAAAGCGAGGAATATGCTTGCGTTGTGACCGAAACCGTATTCGTATTTGCAGGGACCAGGTTTCATTGAGTTGTCAGATATCTGGTTTTGAAAGATGCGGACGTGGCCCGCTTCGTTGTCGCGGATCTCAGCGATGCGTTGGTATGTGCTGTTCGGTAGGCCCAGCTTGGTGAAGTCGCAGGGAGAGAAGGTTTCTACTGCTTGCTGGTAGAAGGAGTAGATGATCCATTCGGCGCTGAGTAAATTCTGGAAGAGGAGGTCGTCGGGTCCTGCAGGACCGGAGGCGCTTGGAGCAATCGCCTTCATCCATTTGGAGGCGAGGGGTGTCTTCTTGCCGGCATAGTTAACGAAGAGAGAAGATTCTCCGGGGACTGCATCAGCAGCAGGTAGTAGCTTGCTCTGAGTGGAAGATGTAGGTAGTGCAAGAATGGGAAGAATGATTGCCATGGAGGCAACCAGACCGCTGGAGAAATGCATTTTAAACTTGCAAAAAAGGCAAACTTGAAATGGATGTTCTGAAGACAAGAGAAACTGAAGATGCGATTGTTAGAGAATACGCTCGAGGATTAATTCATTCTTATATCTTTCAGGGAGTCAGTATAGAAATATTCCAAAATTTTGTGATCTACATGAAGAAACTGCTTTCTGCAAAGTGGCACACCAGACACTCAATCGGGGAAGTGTCGACTACGTAGTATACTCGATTAGACTCAATCAGCGAGCCGCAAACTGCGCCACACCCGAAACGCAACGGCAGAGACTGGTCGCGTCTCGAAAACACTGCCCCCAAGAGGCGTATTAGCCAAGGTTCGAGTTAAGCTTTGCATGTACCTAAGCGCACCTATCCGTTTGGAGTGCAATTCGCGAGCGGTGGTGAGGCACGGCTTTCAATCGGGCCGAGTGGAGCTGATCCGCGGGTTCGACGATTGCTCGCAGAATCCGCCCGAAAGGGTAATTCCTCATCACATTTGTAATGCATTTTGGTTTTAGTTAGAATTGATTATTTAAGTCGCTTAGATTCTCGAGAATTGATGTTCCTTGCACAGATATCGTGATCATCGTCAGACCAGACTCGTGTTTATCCCTATACATCCACATGGCAGTCCTGTACGATAGCAGCCATAATCATGGCTTTGCTATGGAGAGTGCCAGGGCACCTGAAGCGTGCCCACCTCCGCCGTATACACCCGAGGCTCAATATGCGATTGAATTGCCAGGGTCATACCCTGGATATCGACCCGTTTCATCTCGTGAAGTCTACATTCATGAGTCTCGGAGCCAACCTATCTCGTATGAGAGTCGACCGGAACCCTCGCCTCTTCCATACCAGAGTCAACAACAATACCAACTTCAAGTGCAATGGAATGGTCCATATCCCTATACCCCGGCAGATTACTCGGTGCACTACCCGTCCCAGCCATCGTTAGCTCAAATATCTCCCATGATAAACCCATCCTGTTACCGCGAACCCCAAACACAACTACAAAATCGCCCATCCAGACAAACCCCAAAACCATGTGTCATTCCCCGTAAGAAAGACCCTCTATATTTCCGTTTTATCCTATATCTAATATCTCAAAGAAATAACGAAAGTCTTCGGAGGAGCCCACATGAGCCCCTTCGCCCGGGCCCGCGCGGCAGACCTCGAGCACCAATACAACCTCCCCTCCACAGAAATGCTAGCCTTCATCGACGGCCTCAACGAAGCATTCATGGCCAACCCATCCTCCAAGCAACAAGCATGATCGGCAACGTCGTCGGCTTCGTCCCGAGCGCAACGGCCCAGATTGTTGGTTCCTCTATCAACCTTGCTTCGGGCTTGGGTATAGCGGCGACCTCTATCATCCGCACGAAGCAATATATGAAGAAGGCGAATGAGACTGTTTTCAGTCCGAGGGGTCTTCATGCGCAGATTTGCAAAACGGGGAAGATGTTGCTTCAGATCGGGGTGAGGTGTGATGCGTCGGTTTTTCGTGCAGGGGCAGTATGCGGCTGTGAGTGATGATACCAGACCCGAGAATGCGCAACCGGAGATTGCGAGCAAGGCCTGTCTTGTGAAGCGAATGAGTGCGCTTGGTGAGGAAGTTATGAGGCTTGATTTTGACGTTGGTGCTCCCGTTGAGCAGAGCAATTGGATGAAGAAGCTTGGTGCTTACTCGGCTCAACGGGCTGAGCAGAATCAGTTGAGAAAATTGGATAAAAAGCAAGGGAAGTTGGATAAAAAGCAGGTCAATTTAGATAGGAAAATTGCCAGGGACGAGAAGAGGGGTCGAAGTCCCGGGAGGAAGTCTGAGAAGAAGGAGAATAAGGAAGCCGAGAAGAGGCAGAACAAGGAAGCCGAGAAGAGGCAGAACAAGGAAGCCGAGAAAGTGAAGGGGTTGTTGTGGATTGTCATCACGGCTAGGAGGGAAAGCCTTTCTGGTGATGATGACTGGGATTCGAATAATGAGAGTCGAGTTCAGTGATGGGAAGGGTCATGAAAATTGCTCGGTGGGAATTACAGCCTTGGAATATGGCCGTGCCGCTGATTTTGTCTTTCGTTAGCCATTGCATTGATCCATAATACCCCCCCTTATGACTTGTGCTTCAAGAGATCTCTTACCATTAGAGTCTTCCGCGGTAAATTCTCCTTCCGCCCTATTTCAAAGCCATGTATATCCGCAACAACAGCCATAACACGTTCCAGCCAAGGTCTGGCTCCTTCACGATCATCTTCAAGATTAATGTACGCCACATTGACCGGGAAGAGGACCATGAGGGCCCCCGAGCTCCGCCTTAAATTGTGTAGATGATAGTTCACCATCCGGCATATCTCAACAGCCACATCGCGCCTACATCCCTGCATCGGCAAAAGTGGATCAGTTGGGTTCGTCCCCGACAAAGGAACATCCATATGTATCCCCGAAATCTCGAGCGCTCGTGTCGCAACCAGCCGGATGCTGTTGTAAAGAATCAACTCGGTGGCACGATTAGCACTGGCAAACCAGATAATGGACTTAAATGGGGCGGGTGGTAACCCTAGAACAGCTTCTCGATCGACATTGTCGGACGCGATCAAGTATGTCGAGTTGGGAAACTTCTGTTCCCATTTCCAGCGCCAAGCATAGACAGCCTGGAGAGTCGCAAAGATTCGCCTGCTGCAGGCTGCTTTGAATTCGTCCAGTCCTGGCTTGCCTGGAGGCCACTGGATGACACGATCCATATCTTCGAGAAAGCCAGGTAGGTCGCTGAGGTGGTCGTGTAGATGGCTGACGGGCATTTTCGAGTCGAGGCCATTTATTGCCCAGGGTATTGTTTTCCATTCTGGGTCTTCGAGGAAGCAGCGCTTGCGTTCGACGATGTATCCGAGGGCCTTGGAAGCTTAGCGGGGCTACAGAGTTGATGGAAATGAGTTTGGCTTACAATGCAAGATCGGAGGGAAGGGAAAAGCGCGTGCGCGATACCAGATTGGAAACGATGTGGCCCTCTCAACGCAGTCTAGGTCTCCGGTTAGAGAGCACAGACTTTCCAGGAGAGGTAAGACCTACCAATCGAGCAAGACCCTTCCAATGATGAAGCCATCCGTTTGGCTGATTAAAGGTGACAAGTTCGTATATGCCCATGCAGATAATGGCGACGAGCACCTCATCCTCCAAGACCAGATTGGGGTCTTGCAACTGTCTACGCAAAGAAGTAAGTGCCCGAGAATAGAAACCTGCACCCTTTCGCACGAGCTCTGAGTGACCGTGTGTTTTACCAAAATACGCCGTGGCCAGCGCACGAAGTGAAGATGTAGACAGGTCTCCCTCGTCCTCGGTATGACGGGTAAGCGAGAGGATCCAAGCTGCTGATTCCGGCGAAGTTGACTCTTGGTGCCAAGAGAAAAGCCTGTTTATGAGATGTGAGGTGAAGATGATCTGCTCGTCGAATGCCGGATTGCGAATCAATGGCATACAGGGCAATTCGATGACGGAGTCTCCTGGCCATGTACTCCCAGCTGGGCTAACTGCGGCCGATTTTTTGTCATTGGGAAGAGACTTGCCAGTCAACCGCGTAGTTACATCGATAAACTCGGCATATTGATTGTAACCTTCGCACTGAAGTTTGGCTTTGCGACAACGTTCACAGTGTGGCTTGACTTCATCTGGGGTACGTTAGTGGGGGTAGTTGAGGGTGAGCTACAAATGAATCGAACCGCATTTTACTCTGCGCCTGCGACAAGTCTTGCACCCTTTGCTTCGGCCTCCCACGCCGACCATTGTTTCAGTGTCATGAAACGGGAGATGCCAAGTCGAGGGTTGAGTGAGATGGAGATTGGGGGAGCCTGGCTGTGGGTCGTTATCTGACCAACCATATATGCAGGTCAACCAAGGCTGAGGCGTTATTCGCATGCGCCTCACCGCTTACTTGAATGTACACTGCAAAGATATGACACGAAATGTTTTCCATTTTGTTTGGAACTTAGGTTAAGAATAGAGATGAGTATTTTGCACCATCACATTCCTGAACGTCCCCTTTTTGTTCGTGTTCACTACCTCGAGAACCCCGTCTCGAATAATGTGCGAGCCGAAACGACTGAATGTCGGGAGAGAAAGAAGGATAAACCCAACTTTGCCACCGATAATTACGACGAGATGTACCAAACCATGTCCGATAGGTTTATCAGCGGTACTAATGTCTGAAGTGTATAGAACCCAAACTTGACTTGTGACTGGCGGAGCCAGCACCAGGGAAATGTTATGCGATATGTGACGACAAAACAACTCCTGTTGCCAATAAGCACATGCTTCATCGCCTGTGCGAGGCTCCAATCTGGGGTATCGCGTCTATGTAAAGGTGAATAGTGTCTCAAGATGGACAATTAAAGAGGATTTCTCACTTTCAGTAGACCTCGGACACGCTATGCCAGTCTCTTGATACTTCAACGAATGGCCAGGCGTAAAGGCTACTTTACCCAAGCCAGAAAAAAAAGAAAAACATACAACAGCAGGGATTCGCTGGTGGTCACCCACCCAACTACTAACCTGCCGGCGTGTGGCTTAAGTACGGCTGAGCGGACGGGAAGCCCTGTTCTCCACACCCTATGGTCGTATGTACTGAGCTTAGAAGTGTGATCATTGAAGATCTCAGCATCGAGGGGGCACCAGAAGAAACGATCCGCAAGCGTCACCTCGATTGGGTCAACCGGCATGGGTTTAATATACTTACGTCGCCTCACATGAACTATCATTTGGTCATGGATGATCGCTCCGTGCGATCAATTTTGGCTAGTGCAGAACCGGGCCAACTTGGCATGGTTGGCTACGTGAATGTGCTAGACGCGGAATATGAATATGAACCCGAGGACCCGGACGACAACACTTCTGAATATTACCATTGGTCTGTGAGACTTAATTTTGATCACTTACTTCGCTTTGTTCTTTCTTTCCAGGATGTCGGTGAACAGGCTTGGGGGAGTTGCAGCATCGAAAGCCCCGACGACGTTCTCTACACGGATGGTCATGGATTCGCGGTGAGGGACAAGACGGTATTTCTCTGTCCGTTAGACGATGGGGTGCACGGTTTATTCGAGAACAACATTGCCGAGTTTCAATATCTTGAGAGTCTTGAATGAGGGTGATATAGCGTTGGTAGAGGAAAGTCTCAATCTCCCTAAAAAATAATCGAGGTCATGAATCCTGTACCAGTTCATCCCACTTGCTCTTCTCAGCTCCCTCCTCTTGCCATCGCCATCCATGCATCGAATATTATAACCTCTTGGCTTTTTTTCCAGGCGTGCGCTGAGATTCTCGAATTCGGACGAGACTGTTACAAATATTCACCAGCCGATTCCAGTGACTAGTTTTGCCCTGTTAATAGCTCGTAAAAGCCTTCGCCAAGTGCATAACAAGCACATGGTTGGCGGAAATTTTGCAATCATAATCCCGCTTAGCAAAACTGCGGCCGGTTAGGTACAGTTGCATACTGCATGTTTACTAACCAGTCCTCTACTGCATCTTGGAGTTCCTGCAGGCCATCCGATAATGGTTGGTCTCCGTGTAGTCGACGGCATCACCGCAGGATGTCTCAGTAACTCGCGTGTAGCACCCGGCGTTGTACCCGTCCATCGCCCGACGTATCTTGTCGGCTGGACATCCAGACCAGCCTCGTATAGCCGGAATGAGCTTTTTGAGGAAAGACGACATGAATGACCTGCTCATAGTGGCTTGAGGCTTTCGTAATCATCTGGGTGGGAGAAGAGAATCACGTTATTCAATCTGAGCATTCTGTATAGATCCGATTATCACGGCAATGTTGAACCATCACTGAGTGATCAGGACCATCCAATCAGAGCTCGTTGAATCCATATCCGATCTAGGAATCACTCCGAGAGCTAAACTAAGTCTGGCTCCCTTGTAAAAGCGGCGCAGCCCAGGTACCTGAGACCCTGGGGGAAGCTTTTCCCGGAATTCAGGCAGCTGTCCACGAGTTATATGTGGCGATTAAGTGGAGTCATTGCCGTGTCTTAGCACGCCATCTTGGAGTGATTGTCTGGCTACATTTTGTTTCTCTAGCTCATAAAATCCATTCGGTAAAAGTGACTGACCCAGGATGTGAAATCCCACGGGCGCCAAGAAGCATGGAAATCAACGAAATGCCGAAAAATAAAGGAAATAAGCGAATCAATATGGATAATAGATCCCAAAAGCCCTCACTGGGGTATGTAAGCAAACAGGTCAAATACTAAATCAAAGTTTCGCAAGGGATTAAGTTCATGCCCAACAAGACCCGAGGTCACCGGGGTACACAGGGCCGTTCTGGCCAGGTGATAAAAATCCACCATCGGTTCTATCCGGCAGCTGTGGAGGCGAGCCGAATTCCCTAGCGTCTAGAAGCGCCTTGACCACAATGGAACCCACGGGCGGAAGCTCTTGCCGAGGCCAAGCCCAATATTTGGCGTTCTCCTCCAATGGAAACGGCGCGGTGGGGATGGCCGATAAGTGGCCCTCCCCCAACGATCAAAGCAGGTTTTAGACGAGTCTAATGGAGTCTAGTGGCACCACCTTTAGCTAAATAATTTGACTTTTCCAACCCGTTTTCTTTAGATTCGCCGCCCACGGCTTCGTTGGAAAGGCATGCCGCGGAGTGAAAGTCATGGATTTCTCGGGCTCTCTGGCCTTTCATCAACCGCCGTGTGATGCCGAGCGTGAGAGAATCCGAGAGCTGTCAAGGTTCGTCCTGATCAGATTTCTACCGCCGATTTTCGTGCTGACGATTGCCCAAACTAGGTATTATTGCGCCTTGGATCGACCGCCGACGCGGGATGCCTCTGCAGAAGGCTCAGAGGATGATGCTACGGGGGCCGATGAGCGGCCGACTGCTTGTGATCTTTCCGCAGATATTACGCTGAATGCGTTGGCTCAGCTGGGTGCTCACCGATTGACATGTAACCGATCGTTCGTTTCCCTCGTCGACGGGGCAAATCAACATATCATCGCCGAAGCGACCAAATCAGTATCCTTGCGAAACAAAGACAACCATCTGCCTAATGACGATATCTATCTGGGAGTCAAGTCGCTGGACTTGACGTGGGGGGTATGCCCCCATACTATCCGCCTGTTCACCGGTCAAGATCTGTCTTATACGATTGATACCGACAACATCACTGCCAGCAGGAACCGATATATCATCCGCGACTTCACCAAGGAAGACTGTTTCAAAGACCGCCCCTATGTTCAAGGATGGCCTCACATGCGATTCTACGCAGAAGTGCCCTTAATCAGTCTGTCTGGGGTCGTCCTTGGGACATACTGCGTGATCGATGACAAGCCCAGAGCAAAAGCCGACTTCGGCGACGAGGATGTTGATGTTCTTCGAGAGATAGCCGACGCTATTGCACATCACCTGGAAAACGTCCGACTCGTGCATTGCCATCGTCGGTCTGAACGTCTGGTCAGAGGCTTGACCAACTTCGTCAAGGATTACTCAGATTTCAATCCACGCGAGATTTCCAGTGGCCGTCGACTAGAATCGGCCTCACTGGCTTCCAATGCCGATAAACCCATCTCGCTAGGAGTCAATGTCACTGACGCTGGGGTCGTGGTGTCTCCTTCGACAGCATCCAGCCGCACAGAACAGACATCTGCGTTTTTCAACAGTCCACTTCCTGGATCCACCGAGCCCTCCTCCATTGTTTCCACCCTGTCAGTTTCCATGCCGACTCCAGACGAAGAGAGACCGTTGGAGGATGTCCACAACATAGGAGGCCAAGAAGGGATCAAGCCAGTGGACAACGATACCTCACAGGTTTCCCTTGCAGACAGCATTCCAATCACAGACCGTATTTCGTCAATATTCGCCCGAGCGAGTGTTTTGCTTCGAGACTCGATGGACCTAGATGGTGTCGCGTTCCTTGATGCAGCTCGAAGTAATCCGTCTTTGTGAGTTACCTGTCAACCTTTCGTCCTAACAACTCATCTAACATCGCTTTAGCCAACCACTTAATGATCACGCCAGCTGGGAGCCACTACCGAGAAGCGCGTCGCCAGGATCTGCATCGTCCAAGCTTCCCATCACACCATCCCTCAGTCCCCTTGGGCATTCAGGTTCAACTTTGGAAGAACTGAATGCGCCGTGTGATATATTGAGCTCTGCTTTGAAGAAGAAATCTCCGACCGACACTCCTTCCATCACTGAGATTGTCATCACAGAAGAGTTACTGAGCTTATTGATTGCGCTCTTCCCCCAAGGCCAGATTTTTACCTCGACCGATTCCGCCGAAAATGACGATTGCCTGGCCTTTGGAGGAGGTGCTAGCTCCGAAGCTCGGGCGAAAAAGATAAAGACCATCTGTCAACGGGTTCTGAAGCTTGTTCCTGGCTCCAGCTCGGTATTATTCCTTCCGCTTTGGGATTACCACAAGTCCCGCTGGATGGCAGGCACACTTGTCTGGACCCGTGACATTCATCGCGTGTTGGGCATGGACGAGCTGCATTACTTCAAAGTGTTTGGCGATTCCATCGTCTCGGAAGTCTCACGCGTGCACTGGATGACCACTGAAAAGTCTAAATTCGACTTCATCTCATCTGTCAGTCATGAGTTACGTTCGCCACTGCACGGAATCCTAGCAAGCGCAGAGCTATTGAATGCTACTTCTCTTCAACCGGCTCAGGAAGATATGATAAAAATGATTGAGATGTCTGGCTTGACTTTGCTAGACACCACAGATCATTTGTTAGTCCCCCGTTTATCCCGTTTATCGCTTTTGCTAATCGTGATCTAGGCTTGAATTCTGCAAGATCAACAATCTGACCCAAGCGAAGAAGTCCAAAGGCAAGCGTTCTGGAAGGGACGCCTCGAGCCTTCTCTCCGACTTCGATCTTGGTCATCTCGTTGAGGAGGTGACAAATATATTATACACCGGTCAAAGAGCGCCCAGAACAGCCGGCCGCGACGTCATCAGATACTCACCAGTTATTGACGAGTTCAAATTACGTGGTGCCTCTCCCCACGACATGTCATTAGTCGTTCGCATTGAACAGTCTCAATCCTGGAGAGTACGCTCTTTAGCCGGAGCCTGGCGACGCATTGTTATGAACTTGCTAGGAAACGCACTCAAGTGGACCAAATCCGGGTTCGTCGAAGTGTCGCTTTCTGTAGCAAGACCAGAGGATCCGAAAAGGTTCATCGCCCATCTCTCGATTACCGATACCGGCAGTGGAATTGCGCCTGATTTCCTTCGACACAAGCTCTTCTCTCCATTTGCCCAAGAGGATTCCTTGACAGAAGGCGTGGGCTTGGGTCTGAGCATCGTTCGCCAACTTGTGACTTCTCTCAATGGCACCGTCAATGTGAGGAGTGAGTTGGGTACCGGAACACAGGTCGACGTTTATATTCCCGTACAGGACCCGGACGGTTCGATCCCACCTCAACTCCTTTTAGAAAAACATGTCACTCGCATCGATGGGGTCAATGTGCCATTGCACGTGTGCTTGGTCGCATTCAACGGTTATCCTGATCTGAACGAAGTCCCCACCGGATTGTTGTCCGTCGATGCCAAACGGAGAATTTCAATTCAAAGTACGCTTGCTGATGTATTCATGTCCTACTTCGGATGGAGTGTCTCTTTGGCGGAGTCTCTCGAGGAGGCACAAGGGGATATTGTGGTTTTCGAGGAGCCAGTGATCAAGGCCGCAGCAGAAGGCTCCTCCTGTCTTGATATAATTAAGACTATGGAAGCAAAGTTCAAGTACTTTGTTGTTCTGGGCAGCAAGATGCAAAACATATACGGTCCGAATGTGATCTGGGTGACTCAACCGTATGTTGAAATTCTTTCCAGTGATCGGGTATATTGCTAACAATCACGCAGGTTTGGTCCACAGAAAATTCAAACTGCCGTGCGGAGAGCATTGGAGCTCAATGATACATCAGTAGAGTGTGAACCCGTTCCTGCTCCTGCTCCAAGCCCTGCCATTACCTCCGAAGACCCGTCATCGAATCCTTCTTCGAGCTCGCCCCCCGTTGACGATGAAGGGGAGACTACGCCTAAAGCCTCTGTTGAGATAGCAGCACAGGCTGCTCCGGTGACGGAGTTGCCAATTCACCCGCCTATGCAGCCCAAGGCCAATCATGTGCTCATAGTCGATGACAACGACATCAACCTCAAAGTGAGTTGCCACTGCCCTGATTCCGCAAATTGTCGACCCTGGCCACTAATACCCAGACCCTTAGATCATGGCTACATTCATTCGAAAAATTGGCTGCAGCTACGAAACAGCCTCCAACGGACTAAGCGCCTTGGAAAAGTACATGTCATCCAGCCAGCAATTCAACTTTGTTCTAATGGGTGAGTTGCTCCTCGCACATCAACCGTGAAGCTGCCGACTAACCGATTCCAAGATATCTCAATGCCCGTCATGGACGGCCTGGTGTCAACCGCCAAAATTCGAAAATACGAAAAAGAAAAACGCCTCAAACCCTCCTGCATCATGGCCGTGACTGGCGTTGCTTCAGAAACAATGCAGCAACAAGCCCAGAAAGTCGGCATAAACCAATACCTAATCAAGCCCCTCTCCCTTCATGAGCTGAAAAAGCTCATGGCGATTACATGATATCATTTTAACCACGTTAGCGAATGTTTTCAAAGCGCGGTGTTTGGAGTCCTTCTACTTTGCGCAATATATACAATTTTGCGATTGCTTAATTTCTCCTTTTTAATCTCTACTTTCTATTCCAGTCGCGCAAAGTACGGGAAGCGCACTTCATACTGTGCATATGCATCACGGTACTCCCCTCTTACAGAAACTCGCGGCTGTATCTCGCGATGCATTCCAATGTCACGCAGCCGTGTACAATAATGACCAACACTCACCAAACACACACAGGATCCACTCAGCTCAGAAGATTGGGCGGGTGTGGAAAAGGTGATGCGAGTTCTAGAGCATCTCGCAAGAATCTGGAAACCCCCTTTGTCCGCACAGCCAAGGCATAATCAAGAAATATATTCCACACCCAGTTTAATCGGTTCGGACCGATACGATTGATCGTGGCGTTGCTAAATATACTGAACTTCCTAGACCGAACAAATCCGATATCTGCTTCTATATACGAATCCTTACCTGAATCTACATCTCCTTGGGGGGCTCAATACAAATTCATTGCTTGATGAATAGTTCCCTGCACGCTTTACCAGAATACAGAATTCATTTCTTCATATGCCACTCTAGATACACGTAAGCAATACAGATTGTCCGTAGACATCCACTACCTCGAAACTATTTTACTTTCCAAGCACTGGATCTCAAAAGTAATATCCGTCGTACAAGATTCGCATCCGCTTCCGTCGGGAAGTCCGAAACGAACAGGCCACCACTACCAGCCCGTTTATAGGGATTATTCTACTTCGTCCGCAGACTTGATTCAGCGGATCCCTTGTTCTTCAAGGAACTAGCACGCACTAACGTCTCCACAGTTTTGCCGATCCATAGCTTATCTAGATAGTCCAATACAGTCTAGGAAGGGAAAAGCACAAATCCGCCAACGACGGAAATAAATTCAACTGAGTGCCCACTCAATGATACAGAGACAAGACCTATATACAAGACAAGGCGCCACCGACAGGAAGAAACCATAGCAAAAGCAAGCAACGACTGGATAGAACGACTTCGTTCAGGCGGAAGACCGCTAGCGTAATGAAGGGGAATCGTAGGAAGAGACAAGAGTTGGTGGTTTTGAGCTTTGCCTAAGGGGATGTTACTGGGTTTAGGAGAAACAGGGTAGGAATGTTCTGCATTGTCTAGCAGACGGGGAATTTGGTTTGGTCGCTCTATTCCTGGCCGAATCCAAGGGTTTCCTCCACTGCGATGGACATCTTGTGCTCCAGAGTGTCGTGAGTCTTGTATGGGGGCAGGTCGAGACGGTTGAAACAAGTGTGTGACTTGGGGAGGGCATTGGGATCGCCGGATTTCTCGATGGTGAATCGTCGAGGTCCATCGGAACCTTGCAGATCCTTGAAACCGTTGACGGGGATACGCGAAGTTCCAGTGGTGAACTGGAGAAGACGAGACTTCTGCTCAGCATCCCAGGTGCGGACGATCTTCCAGAAGTTCTGGATAACCTCGTCCTGCTCCTGGTAGCCGCGGTAGTCGGTGTGTTTCTTCCAGTCGTCGACGTCGATGTCGGCGATACCGCCGATCAGCAGTTCGAGTTCACGCTCATCGAAGACGTTGACAAGATCCGGTGGAATCAGCTCGTTGAAGCCGGACATGAACGCGTTAAACTGCTCCTCGACTCGCTTAACAATCTTCCACTCCGTAACCAATCTAATCTATAGTCAGTCCGCCATCCTGAATGATCTCCACCAGTGCGAACTTACTCAATGTATTGTGGCTTGTTCTCGTTGGTGACGGCAATATCCCGACCACCCGGTATCAAATCAATAGTGCAACGCTCGCCAAACTTCTCATCATCGACTGAGAAAGTAAGCTCCACAATGCCTTCGATGTCATTATCCCTGAGATACGTTAGTTCAGATCGACAGATCGTTTGAATGTCAAAACGTACAAAGTCCACGCCAGGTTTCGATGCAAGTCTTCGTCGACACCCTCCATATCCTGAAGAGTGACCTTCTTCCTCAACATCATTTTGTAGAAGGCTCCGATGAAGAAGGAATCCAGGAAACGGCGGTGGAAAATAGCAAGGCCGACGACCCGGCCAATGAACTTGAAGTAGTTGAGATGCTCAGGGTTGACCCCAGAGTGGGGATTAATCTGCAGGGTATAATTATCGTGCGCGGAGTATTCAAACAGACAGTAGAAGGGATTGAACATTTCGTGAGAGAGGAGGAAGAAGAATTCACTGCCTAGTTGTTAGTTTCAAATAGCCACAACGCTGAGTGTGTTAAACTTACCGAGAAAGACCGCCGTAGTCCAAGCCGTCTTCACCGTCGAACTTGATCATCAAGCGCTTCTTCAGATCAGATGCGCTCTGACGCATGATCTCGGCGTAAGAATCCTCAAAGATATTATTGCGGCGGACCTTGACGTGGCACTGTCCAGACATAATCCGCAGAGCGGGTTGCGATCGGAAGTAGATCAGCTTGCGACGGAAGTCACGCTTGTACTGCGGAACGCCTTGATCCAACGATGAAGGCAAGCGGGGGTCGTCCCAGGTGGTCGTCTTGGTATTGTGATCCACGAAGTACACCCGAGCAGTGTTGGTAAGACGCATTTCCCATCCACTCGGCAACGGCCCCAATTGAGAAACGGGCTGCTGCTGAATGGTAGTGTTGTTACCACCCTGGTTCTGGTTCTGGCCATACATGCGAATATACTGCTGTCGGCGGGGATCGACCCAGGTCGTCGTCCGGGTGTTGTGGTCGACGAAATAGGCGCGTCCTTCCGGTGTATGACGCTGTTCCCATCCAGCTGGAAGCTCACCAGTGCCTGCAGTGGTGGCCCCCGTCGCCATCATGGAAACGGCATTGGCATTGACTCCGGGCGCAGAGCCACCGGCAGCAGGGGCTGTTATGCCTGGAGGCGGTGTACTCGCTTGCTGACCATCCGGCAAGTTCGGCGAGTTGGCACCAGTGCGATCTTCGGGCAGCATTCGGCTTTGGTGCGCCCGACGTTCCAGCTGCATATTGGCTTCGCGCTGGCTGCGTTGAGCAGGCTCATTGTAATTGGCCGAAGGACGAGACCAGGTGGTGGTGCGCGTATTATGGTCGACGTAGTAGGTCCGGCCCAAATTATCCTCCCGACGTTCCCAGCCCGCGGGAAGTCGGCCCTGACTGTCTTCAAACGAGCTCATATTAGCGCGGGACGGGACATTAGCCCCAGGGGGAGTGCCGTGGGCGGGAGGCGGAAGAGCGGCTGATGCGCGAGGATTTAATGACGAGCTTGACGCGGCAGCGGGTGACATATCTGCATGACTAGGTCCACCTGACAAAGGCGTAGATGCCGCTGCGACCTGGGGTACCAGACCGCTGGATGTTGAGGCTTGGGCCTGTTGGGGTCGGAGGCCATTCTGCTGGTTCGGGTGTGGCGCAGCCAGGTTCGTGGACAGGTTAATGATGAGTTTTCCGTGGACGACCAGGTTGTCATTCGATTTCTTCAGGTCGCGGGTGAGCATTTCTGTCAAAGCGTAGAAGCGTCAGTTGGCGGAGCCATGACTCAAATCGTACCCATCGCAAACATACCATCGCCTCCCATGGAAAGATCGATGACATCGCCAATGCGCACATTGATGACACCCAGAAATCCCTGATCCTTCTTCTTGAACTTCTTCTGGTCGAAAATCTGAATCGCGAGAATGCTGTCCTCGTTGACTCTCCTACAGCGATAACTCCCGTTAATACCAACATATTCCTCTTATCACATCCACGCGGCGGGGAACCCATCACACATCACGTACAAATCGAACGGTTCGTTCCAGTAGGGGTTGAGAGTCTTCTTGATGACCGAGGTCGTATGGGTCTGCTCGCCTCCGACGGTGGCCACGGCGAAAGGGTCGGGGAAACCTAAGATACCAGTCAGCTCGAACCCGTCTATACCGACCCTGTCTAGACCAAGGGTAGTGAGTCGAAGAGGATCACGCACGGAACACATCGCGTTTGTACAGGCCATCTGCCGCGATAACTGCGAAAAAAGTGTCAGTTTCATGTCAAGCACGAACCCCGCAGCGTCCCGCCTCGCAAAGCGACGGAATAAGGCGATCTTACTCGTGACCCGGAGATTTGGCTGGCTGCAATTCGATACGTCAGCGATGAGAACCAGGAGAGTTACCGATCGAGGAATGGATTTCGATGTGAGGGAGTGGGCACGTACGCTGGCAGATTGGATGCCATATTGCCCTGGTTGCTTCACAGCACACCGTAGCAGGTGCGGAACGGCCGATCGATCAAGCCCGAGCCGAAATCACAGCACACATCCACAGGAGGTGGCAGGTAAAAAGAATCCACCTAGAAAAAGTGGAGGGGGAGGGGGAGGGTGGGTGGTGTTGAAGATGATGAGGATTGAAGGAGGAGAAGAGGGAGGGAACTGGGCAGGGTTGGTTCTCAGGTAATCCGTGTACGGGGTAGGTACTCGCGCTACGTATTGACTATGTATGAGGTACCTGGCGGGTACTTTAGCGGCTTTCTGGGGCTGAGCACCGGGCACAAAACAATCGGATTTGACTCTCGAAAGCCTTAGCCACATAGCCACGCTCGAACTGGCCTTGCGCGCAAATTCTCCTGGAATACGTAATACACGGTGCTGGCGGGTGCGGGCGGAGAAGTGGCAACGATAATTATAGTTGGAGTATCGCCTTGTCAGTTCCCAGCTAGACCAGTTAGGCAACGAAATTGTGTCTAATCCTGGTTTTTGGCAAACTGACGAATGTATTATGCAACTACTTTCTCCATCCATACGTTTGTGGAATTGCTTCAAAGCCAGTAACCTGATGCCGATTTCATGAATTACACAGTTCCCGGAAAGCCCGCAATCAGGCTCTCGAAACTGTCCGCTTATTTGTACATCCGGATGACTCTTACTCCAAATCCACTCCCTGAGAACCCGACGAGAGGGCCAATTCATTTCTTTTGGGGATCCGGCAGTCACGGCATTGCGGGACCGACGGAGTGGGGATGGGATGCCCCGGCTTGTATCTGCCAGTCGAGGACAAGAGGTAGAGAATGGTCTCGAAAGCATCGAGTCTAACGTCTAGTAAGGTGCATAGCCACGACCCCGGCCGCGATAGCCACCACCGCGATAGCTGCCCCGGAAGCCACGGCCGCCGCCACGACCACCACGGCCCCGTCCACGACCCCGGTTCATGCCGGGCAGATTGGTACGCTTAGGAGTGACCTGTTCGATTCGGTATTAGCGTTGTGGCTCAAAAGCGACACAGTTGATGTCGGGAAGGCGTATAACTCACCTTCAGGTTGCGACCGCGGAAGACACTCTCATTCAGAACCAAGGCCTGGGCCACGAGACTAGGCTCGGCGAATTCGACGTAGGCATAACTGTTCAAAATTTCCCGTTAATGTCTGTATCTCTTTGCTTGTCTGCTGATAGAGGACCTACCCCTTTGGCTGGCCGGAAAATTTGTCCAACAGGATAGTGACCCGATTGATAGAACCGCAGCTCTGGAAGTGTGCCTGGATCTCCTCAGGTGAGGCACCGTAGTCCACATTGCCAACAAATATACTCCGTGCATCGATGTCTTCTTTGTTCTCCTGGAGGCTCTCGGACTGCTGATCGAGGGTGGACTGCATCTCGCGCAATTTTGCGGCTTCAGACTCCATCTCCGCAACTCGACGCTTCATGGCGGCAATTTCTTCCTGAACGAATCAATGAGTTAAAACTGTTCTTCAGAGGGTCCAGGGAAGGAGCGGGGTTTGTTGCGATGAATTTCACGCGCATCGCAGCTTCCACGTACATCGTCTTCGCCGCCCTCCTCCTGGGGAGGGAGCTGCTCATCCTTGAGCTCGGTACCTTCGGCAGACATAATGATCGGAAAGGTAAATTAGAGGAGTGCTTGTGCCTGCGTAGCCGGTGCAAGCAGCTATGAAAACCGATGCGATGAGCACTTGGAGCTCTCTGGTGCGATCGGGCGAATCCGCGGGGGCCTGTGGTGGCAGAGTAGGAGGACCCGAGGGTGCTCAAAGAGTATGCGGGGAGTCTCTTAGTATTAAATAAAGAAAGACCGGCTCAATGAAGGTCTATTCAGTCTTGCGGGGCGAAAGAGAGACGAGGCGCGATGAGATTGGGAATCGGAGGCTTGCCGTTCCGGGACTAGCGGGGTTCCGATGAACGACTTCGATTCTTGGCGTGTACAGCATACTTTGACACCCAGGGAATACCATTCTCTGTATGAACAGAATATAGAAGGTATTAACGTCTGGTGTATTACCTGCATAGGGCACATAATGCAAACATTCATCCAATGGCGAGTCACGGTCCAAGTAGGGGTCAAGAAGTACCGGCAGCTCACTACGATAATGACTAGGCAGCATAGGTGCTGATTTGATTGAATGAAATGTTAAATCTATGTATTGCGTTGATTGAAAACTAGCTCAAGGTATCAGGGAAGCAGATTGGCAGGTGTAGAATCTGAGCTCGATGAAGAAATCAAAACACACGTGATGAGCGGCAGGGAGGAAACTATTTACACGGAGTGGGAGGAATGGGGGAGAACGACCAATGTAAAGGCGTGAATCAAGAGGCAGGTGCAGGCACACCGGCAGCAGCGGGAGCGGGAGCAGGAGCAGGAGCGTGGTTCTTGCGGTATGAAACCTTCTCGACCGACACATTCTCAACTCCATTGGCGTCCGTCTTCAGCTGGTAGACATACAACACGAGAACATCGCCTTGGATCTGATCGGGGTGTCAGTACAGTTTGGTGGATAGTAGTAGCATGGCTACACTTACGTCCATCAAGCAGAAGCTGGGCGTAGGCTCCTCAGTTTCTGGGGTGTAACCAGAGGTCATGGCACCAGTCGCACTACCCGGATTGATGAAGAAGCGACCCTCCATCTCGAATGCCTCGAAGCGATGTGTACCGCCCCAGAGCAAGATATCAACGTCCATCTGTCGGGCTGCGATCAGCAGCGCATCGGCGTCGCCGGGGGGATGATGGTGTGGCCATGGGTGAAACCAATGCGCAGGCTACCATGATTGACAATCTTCGAGAGCGGGAGATTCGGTGAGTCGACGTCGAAATCGCCCTTGACCATCTGCAGGTCGGGGGCTACCTGGCGAAGGAAGTCATAGGTCTCGCGGTCGGTCAGGTTACCCAGACAGAGGATCTGACCGATCTTTCCGGGGGTGAGGAGTTTCCGGAACTAGCATTGGCGGCAGAGGTTAGTTGAATGGGCACCGGTCATCGCAGGTGAGGGAGTGTACCTTGGCCGGAAGGTCCTAGCAGTGATAGGTTAGTCGGAGTTGCATCATCAAGCTCCTGGCAGGACTCACAGGAGCTCGGTCAGGGATGAACAGGTCACCGATGACCAAGACCAAGCGGGCGGTCATGCTGGAATGGTGGGGCAGGGGAAGATGGGGAGATTCAATGGGCCCTTCCAGTCGGAGTCCAAGAACGATTGTAGGCCGTTGATGCTCTTCGCGGGGAAGCCACGTCAGGCCCTATGCCCTATTTGACTGCCGTATCAGGATTAGCGCGATAAGGCGCCGGGAGCGGACCCGATCGTGAAGCTCCCGATAGGTATTGGCTCGCGAGACCGAATCTCTCGCCCGACTGATACTCGGCTAGAATAGTCCAATCCAATCTAAAGGTATTTGCGTCAATGCTTTCCAGAGCGGAGGTCGCCGCAAAACGTTGGGTTGATCAGGACGATGCATACTGCGAAAACACCAGACTGCATGAGAATACGATGCGGTGATACACCTGGGCAGTGAGGGGGTGGCATTGACACCGGAGGTATAGAGCTTTACTGCAAATGAAGTTTATAGAACACGGAGTGATATAGCTCAGAAGTTGGTAGGAAAGTTGTAAAGTCGGGCCTTCCTATATAGTACACATTTTCCAGCTACCAAAAATCACAATTTATACGGGAAAACAATTAAAACAACTCCGATAAGAAGAATTGATTAGACAAAGCATCCCCCAGATTTCCGTTGACGTTAATATAGAATGTACAGCGTAGGGCAAGGCACCGTCACGTACCGTGCCCGAAAGCCGGAAGGGTCCGCCCGCTCGTCTGGCTCCGACTGCGCCGACGAGGGTGGAAAAAATGTTGGGAATGGAGTCTGACAACTACAATTCTTTGATAAATAACCCATCCCCGGAAGCAGTTCCCGGTGAATTCTTCAGTTATCACAGCGATCAAACACTCGTGCTGTATACTTCCCGCCCCCGAGCCAATTGAATCCCACGCTACCACCGGCGGCAACCCCCGAACCTTCGCGTTTTCCTCGGGAATTCACAAGCCCTCCCCTCCAATCCAGAGTCTACCCCGCGGCCCGCCGCGAATCGGAAAGCTGGCTCCCACGTCGACGACGCAGCGCCTAAGCCTGATTTCCAGACACCTGGATCAGCGCCTGCCGTTGCCTGAGCTTAACACTCCCTTCTCGACCGAGAGAAACTCTCTCGCTCCTGACGACATCGAATATAAACCTATCGACCTCTCGATTCTTCCTTCCTTCCCCCTCCAAAGATCTCCAGCCTACCATGTCTACCCAAGCCCCTCACAACACCCTGCTCATCCCGGGCCCCATCGAATTCGACGATGCTGTCCTGCAGTCGATGTCCCACTATGCGTGAGTTGACCTCCCCCCCCTCCCCCTCCAACCTCTCTCTCCTCTACCTAATGTAGATCAATTGACCTGACTCTCCATGTTAGTGAGAGCCATGTCGCTCCCGGCTTCGTCAAGGTCTTCGGAGAGACCATAACCCTCACCCGCAAGCTGTTCCAGTCCACCAACCCCTCCGCGCAGCCTTTCATCATCGCCGGCAGTGGTACCCTGGGTTGGGATCTGGTATCGGCCAACCTGATTGAGAAGGGCGAGAACGCCCTGGTCCTGAACACCGGCTACTTCGGCGATTCGTTCGGCAAGTGCCTGGAGACCTACGGTGCCCAGGTTACACACCTCCGCGCCCCGATTGGCGACCGCCCCGCCTTTGAGGAAATCGAGCACGCCCTCAAGCAGAAGCCCTACAAGGTCATCACTATCACTCATGTCGACACCTCCACCGGTGTCCTCAATGACATCAAGACCATTGCCCAGGTCGTCCGCCGTGTCAGCCCCAACACCCTGGTCGTCGTGGATGGTGTCTGCAGTGTTGGCTCGGAGGAGATCGCATTCGACGAGTGGGACCTCGATGCCGTGGTCACTGCCAGCCAGAAGGCCATTGGCTGCCCTCCCGGTCTGAGCATCGTGATGTGCTCCGGCCGCGCCATCCAGGCCGCCACTGCCCGCAAGACCCCGGCCAGCGCTTACTACGCCTCCATTGCCAACTGGCTCCCCATCATGCAAAACTACGAGAACAACAAGCCCTCGTACTTCGCTACCCCTCCCACCCAGCTCGTCCACGCCCTGCACACCACCCTTAGCCAGATCACCGCCCGACCCATGGCCGAGCGCTTCGCCATCCACGTTGCTGCCTCGGACCGTGTCAAGGCCGCCGTTGCCGAGCTGGGCATGACCCAGGTGGCTCCCAAGCCCGAATGCCAGGCTCACGGCATGACCGCCATGTACCTACCCCAGGGTCTGGTTGCACCGGACGTCCTGCCCGGTCTGCTGAAGCGTGGTGTGATCTTCGCAGCTGGTCTGCACAAGGAGATCGCTCCCAAGTATATTCGCTTCGGCCACATGGGTGTCAGTATCTCTGACCCCAACCGCAATGATGTTGACAAGGCCCTGGCGGCGCTAAAGGAGGCTCTCGCCGAGGCTAAGCAGGCCAAGGGCCTGTAAATTAGGACGAATGAATAGTCCGATGCGAGAATACACTATACTGGTGTACCTTGGTGGATGCATCACGATAGATACTGAAATGATAACCTGTCCATAGACAAATTGATCCTTATGATACTCAATTATGTTCAAATTCCGAGAATGTTTCCGTCTCCACCCGACTAGACCAATGCCCGTTCAGTATTTCCATGCAGGTACCCGTCTCGGACGAAGTCATTCAGGCAGTTCATCTCGAGGCAGTAGAGCAGACCCTGCATTGGCCGTGACATTCCTGAACTGACCGGCAAGTATATTACCATTTTGGGTCAAAGAATGCACCCCTGGGCTCCTAGGGATGCACGAGGCACATGACTGGTCTACCGTATCTCTCCTAGACCTCTTTTACCAGCCACGGACCAAAATTTTCAGAAAAAACCTCAATATCATCCGGCTCGATCTAGTAAAGCCCTTGGTAGGAACAAGATACCCACCAGTCACCCTGGACTATCAAACCTCCAAGATCGAGGACTTGTATATAGACCTTTCTGCAAAATAAGCCTAGCCTCCGGTTCGGAGTAAATATCCATTGAGCCAAGCCCCCTCTGAGATCTTATCCCCGGATGACATTTCCCCGGATCTAGACCCGTTTACCGATGGGAAGTCAGTTGCTCCATTTTTTGCAATGCAATGGAATGCCGGGGGAATTCGTATATCAGTACACTCTTCTGTTCATTCTTTTCGCATAATTTCTACATCTGTTTTCTACTTCCAAGGCCAGCATACACACCATTACCCGTAACTTCCACTTGATTACCCCAAAATCAAGATTAACAATCACTATACGCTATCCAAGATGCGCTTCATCACCAAACTACCCCTTATCCTCGCCGCCTCGGCATCCCTAGCCGCTGCCAAGGATGCAACCACCACCGCTAGCACCGCTACCACCACAAAATGCGCTGCGCACAAGTAAGTTCTATACATCCCGCATGACATCTTTAGCATACATCTAACAAAACAGGGTCGTCGAACAATGCTTACTCGACATGAAATTCGAACTCGAGAACTGCATTTCCAACGACTGGGACTGCAAATGCACAGGCAGTGAAAACGTCGCTAAGTACGTCCCCCATCCACTTGACCCTCATAACCACACCACGATACTAACAACTTCAAAAAGCTGCTACGACAACTGCCCCGAAGACCCCAACCGCTTCGGTGCACAACAAATCCGCGAACAAAACTGCATCAACGCAAAGGCCTACGGCACCCACACCACAATGACCGGAACCGTCCAGTCCACCCCTGTTTCTGCATCTTCTATGCGTTCATCGTCGAGTGCTTCTGCCGAATCTACTTCTGCCACGCCTACTGGTACACACAGCGGACTTGAGGAGAATAATGGGTCTGAGTCGGGGCCGACTAAGTCATTGTCTGGACTTGAGGCTACAAGTACTCCTAGTAAGGCTGCGGCGGCGACGATCAAGGTTGTTGGGGGATGGATGGCATTTTTGGGATTGGGATTGGGGGCTTTGGTCTAGTTGCTCTTGTTTGCTTTGGGTGTCGTGGTAGCGTTTTGGTTTTAAGCATAGTGTATGAAGTTAATTTGGATTGTTCAAGATTTCCGGATAAAACCACTATAAAACAGAAACAGTCTGATCGACTCCAAAAATAAGAACATGATAGGGACTCAAATCTGTGGTCTCGTCATTTAACCAGGCGATAGGTTCAGGGACAGAGCTGTGCATCTTGTAGATCTCATGTCGATCGTTAGCAGTGTCCCACATTATGGTCTGTCCACTTTTTGAGGCCGACCCATGGCCCAAAATGTGGGAATCAACAAGCTCCATCACAATGATCTTCAAGCGAAAAAATACACCGGCGCCGTGCTTACATCGTAGATTTGGACCGTCCTGCCATCCGAGGCTAACTCAAGCCTAGCTCCACCTTCAGACCAGCCTACTAACCTGACATAGTAGACCTGCTGACAGTGGCGTCGTACACCCACGATGTACACCCCGCTTCTGCACCGGGCGCGGTCTTCATAGTAGATCGAGACGTGAACCAGAACCTGGGTAATAACCTAGCTTTGAGATACACAGCCTCTTCAAACGATACGAGATCATGCCTTTAACATTAGCCGTGGCGCATACCGATGATATCCCAAATATTACCGCGGCAGAGTGGAATGCTTTTGAAAACCCTCTCCAGCCCATCTTTCGCTTATACTGCCCTATCACTGACAACAACCGCGTCGCATCAATAGCCCGATACGCAAAGGAACTCCAGGGAGACCTCCAGGAGCAGCATACAAACATAGAAAATGTGTGGCTCAAGGTTGTTGATTCCGACAGAGCAGATGAGGACGTGATCGTTGGCGGCGCACAGTGGCTCTTCATCACCCAAGAGACTGCTTCCATCGAGCAAAGTGTCCGGTCACTGTCAAAGCGCTATCCCGAAGGTGGGGCCAAGATCTTTGCCAGCCAGGCATTTCGCATCCTCCGTGAAGCCGAGGCCAAACATAAAGCAGGACAGAGCGGACAGCATTCTTACGCTACCCTCGGTACCTTTTTCACCATACCGGAGTACCGCAAGTGCGGCATAGGCAATCTGCTCATGGAATGGGGACTGAAGCGAGCTGACGAAAAGGGACTGGAGGCTTGGATTGAGGCCGTGCCTCCAGCGGTATCGTTCTATCAACGCCATGGGTTCATGCCAATGGAAACTACTTACTTGGATCCGGAACGTCCAGTTGGTTTAACGGAGGAGGAGTGTGCAGAATGGGATGATACAGCGAAATCAATTCTGCCAATAACTGCAATCGTTATGTGTCGGCCGGCGAGTATCAACATTTCCAAATAAATATTGTGTTCGGGATACTCTCTAGCATGGCACGAACAGGACAAACAGCTCAGAGATGAAAAACGCACTTCTCTGGGTTGCTGCGCTTTCTACCCCCGCCTCTTTATCGCAGATACGGTGGTGGATATCTAGAATGGGCGCATAGGTTCACTTTGAACACTTTGCTGCTTGATCATAGCTGCACAGACCTTTTCCCGGTGTTCCAAGGTCTCAGTTGACTGCAAGACGGAACGTTGCTCCATCACAAGACTTTAATCATATATCGAACGTCCATAATACCAGATAAACTGGATTTGTATATACATAACTCTTCAACTCCTTCACTCACGGAATAGGAGCGTAGAAACTGAACTTCCCCTCAGGATCATACTTGCTCTTCAGCGCACGCAGCCGCTGCTGCCGCCACTCCGCCTCACCATACAGCTCCTCCGTCGTCTCATCTCCATACGCATAGTTGACATAAGCCCTAATATTCGGCCTTCCGCTACCCTCAAGGAGAATATTTCTCAACTCCTGCCCCAGATCAGCCGCTTTCTGGTCAAGTCCGGCGGCCGGGAAGTAGTTGATCAAAGGCGCAGCAAGAAGGTTCTCGCTGCGGAAGGCGAAAGCAGTAGAATCGGACGGCACTTCGTGCACACCCTCGGTGGAGTATCCCTCGAACATGAAGATCGAGTTGTTGAAGGGTGAGGAGCCCCGGACGGCGGCGGCGTAGACGTCCCACGCTGCCTTTTGGCCGGGGACGTTGTAGGACTCGAGGTAGATTGGGAAACGGGGGTTGGCCATTCCGACTTTCTGGCACGGTGGGGATGAGTTGGCGATACCAGTCCAGGCTGCGAGGTCTTTGTAGGTTCCTGAGTTTGGTGAAACAGATAGAGGGCCGAGGTCGTGGAAGGGTTTCGTGTAGATTGAGTCCACGGCTTTCACGCCTTCTTGGATAATGTACATTACGATGACGGGCTGACTTTTGTTAGTTTTGATACTGGGTACGTTCATATGGGTTGGAACTTACGTTGTTGGGATCCGCGTCCGGGTTGTTCATCCAGTATGACCAGTTGACGACATCGACGGGCTGCTTGCCATTCTTGGTGAGGTAGTCGTTGGCAGCTTGGTAGACAGCCTCAACCTTGTCACCGCTGAAGGTGATAGTCTCGATCGCCCAGTCTGTGTGCTCAATGTCATAAACCTTGGTGGTGAGAGAGGTGACGATGCCGAAGTTGTGACCGGCGCCCTTCATCGCCCACCAGAGGTCGGAGTTTGCGTCCACCTTGGTCAAAGTACCATTGGCAAGCACAATGTTCATCGACACGAACTGATCCGCGACGAGTCCGTGCTGTCCTTGGAGCCAGCCATGCCCACCACCGAGCCCAGGCCCGAGAAGGCTGACGCATTCGCAAGTTCCGGTCACCGTCTGCTTTCCTGCGGCCCAGAGCTCATCTGTGACGAGCTTGGACATGGTTCCACCGGCAATCGTGGCAGTCTTTCCATCACTGTTTACTTTCACCCCGCTCAACTGGCTCATAGAGATGCCGACGCCGTGGTCCATCTTGCCCAGAGAGGTGATAGATCCATGGACACCATTATATGCGAGGAAGGGCAGGTGTTTCTTGTTTGCGAAATTGACCTAAATTTACACAGTGAGCAAACTAGAAAGGTTTTCTGGTATGAGCGTGGGGGTTAAGGAACCGAGGACTTACAATCTCAGCAACGTCATTCTCAGTACCAGGGACCACAACGACGTTGACTTTAGGCTCCTCCAAAACCGACCACCGAGTAGTTACATTTTTGAAGCCGCTCGAGCCGGGATAATAGACTTTGGCAGTACTCGAAAGCTTAGCTCCGAGCGCTTCCAAATCATCGTCCCGAGGGCAGAGGCCATCAAGGTAGTTACAGACAGGGGGTGGGCTCGAGGCTGCAGCGAAGGCCCACGCTGCGATCGCCGTCAGAGCTTCCAGCTTGAGCCGATACATAGTTCAAGACGTGATCCCAGGATGTGGTAGGTTCCGAGAAAAAAGGAAAGGGAAGAAGTTAAAAGAACAGAACAGGGAGCTTTAAATGGACCCTTGTCGTTTCAGAAACGTGCCGATGGCTAAGCCGATGCAGGATCCCTGGCCTGTGCGTGCCGTGGCGTGCCTGAAAGCCATGATTTATTTCGACAGAACTGGAAAAGGTTAGACCGGTCCTCGTAAATTAGTTGAAGAATATTGTGGAAAGTACATGGCATGACAGAGTACTTGATTTAACGGAATTTCAATAAAGCCAGCCCCTTGTTCCCTTCCATCGCGCCGCTTTCCCTCTCCAATCTGCATAGCTATCTGGTATTGCGGCGCTGATTTCGATTCTCACTGGTGAATGGACATTCCAAATCTCGTCAAAGTTATACACTAATGCAGAACCAAACTGTGATGTTACATTCGTGCCCGGCTCGAATGCCGGTTCTGGCGCGGAAGAGGCGCCACTATCCGATCCGGGAATATCGTTTATGACGCTCCACTTAGAGTCTTCCACGGGTGGAACGAGTGTGGCTGCAGGTCCAATTGCAATGAACCAAGAAATCTCGCGTAGATTGGCGCCCAAACATGTGGGCCCGGCCATCACCCCGCCGTGATGTCGATGTATCCACTGGATTGCGTGACTTGCTATGTCTCACAGTGTCTCTGATCAACCTCTCTTCTCTATTGATTGCTATTGGAGAACTTGAAATTGAGGACATTTGCATTGTCTCAGGTGTCTCTGATCAATCTCTCTTATCTATTGATTGCTATTGGAGCCTTGAATTTGAGGAAATTTGTGCAGAACGGTATGCATTACTGATTACAGTATCTGATCCGTGAAGTTTAAAACTACCCGAGATACGGTACTCCCCACCAAAGTTCGCAGTGAATAGCCTATCCTGCACATCATGCCGCGTGGGCGCCAATGTCCGCCGAGGCTATTATCCCTCCTTCGGCACCCAGTAATCTTCAATTTAGACCCCGCCCCAAGACACTCGGATCCAGCCCAGCAATATGTGGAACCACGATGAATCCTGCGGCCGAGGAGTGGGGCATCGACTCTATGATCTCACTGGACCTTCTGCATTCGGCTGAAGTTAATCTAATGCGGCCTTGGCATTCTCATGTCACAGTTCCGTTCGTTGGATTCTAGAATTTAGGGATTTGTCCCCTGTTCACTAAGACGGCGCTTCCGAAAACCTTGATACCTGCAGAGAAGGTTCCAAAGTCCTGGAAAAGGGTTCGGGTCCAAATTTGAAAACAAGTTGGGTCCGACGGTCCTGCAGCTGACATTCGTGTAATCTCTTTTGTTATAGATGGTTTCCCTGTAATTCCCTCTCTCTGTTCCTGCACTTCACCTGCTGTGCGAAATCGTAGCCTGCGAAGAATAGCTAAGTGGGCTGGTAGAGCAATGGCAAGAAGTCTGCTTTGTTCGGCACATCTTTACTCTTAAGGCACCACCTCCACCTACTTGCCATGTCTACCGGGATTGAGCCAAGAGACGCGGCCTCGGATGCCGCATACAGAGTCGCAGTCGAGCTATGGACGCTCTATTCAATCGGCGTTACCGCCACCTTACTCAGAACATATGCGAGGGTGATCACCGTGGGCTGGAGGAACCTACGACTCGATGATCTCCTGATATGGATTGCAATTGTCGGTACCTTGTCCTCCAGTGCCTGAACGGAGTGCTAATCGTGATCTTTGCAGATATTCTACACCACACAGACAGCACTTGCCTACAGCGTGGGAAATGTCGCGCATGGCCTTGCAAATAATAGCATGACCAGTGCTCAGCGGGCTTCACTATCTCCCAGTGATCCCGAATATGGAGCCAGGTAAGACACACCCTAATTTGGATTGGGAAATGGTTATTTACGCCCTTCGCAACAGGGTCATAGGCTCCAAAATCCAGGTAGCGGGCTGGACAACCTACGTTGCCCTGATCAATTCTCTCAAGCTGTCCATGCTGGCATTTTACGTTCGACTCATGGTACGCTTACCCTCCTCAGCGAGCTATACTCCACCAACTAACACAACCCAGAATGGTCTAGGTCGTCGCTACCAACTCCCAATCTGGATCGGATTCGGGCTCGTGGTCGCATGCTTCCTCGCCAGTATAATCGCAATATTCGCCTCATGCCGACCATTCTACAAAAACTGGCAAATCAACCCAGACCCCGGCAGTAAGCCTTCCCTTTCCCACTTCATCACCATCCACCGCGCTAACACCCACCTAGACATCTGCCAACCCGCAATCTCCAAACCCGTCATCGGAGTAACATTCGCCTCCAACCTCCTCACAGACCCCTACATAATCCTCATCCCAATCCCAATGCTCTGGAAATCAAGCCTAAAACTCATCAAAAAGATCGCTACAACCATCGTCCTAAGCGCCGGCGTCTTCATTCTCGTCTGCGCTACCCTCAAAAGCGTCCTTCTCTTAGTCGTGAGTCCTACTCAACATCGATCTCCTTCACAGCCCTTCCTAACCATTATTGAACGTAAAAGGAACCAGATGATGGCGCTGAGATCGCCAACGAATGGGGCACCCGCGAAACCTTCGTCGCAGTCGTAACAACAAACCTGCCCATGGTCTTCCACCTTTTCCGCACCTGGTTGGCTAAGATTTTTGGTGGCGTGTTCCAGTCTTCGCAGAAGGCATATAGACCCTCTTCTGGGGCACTTCAGACTATCGGTGGAGGATCTAGTAGGCAACAGGGACTAAATTCAAACACTACAGATCGGACTATTAGATTGGCGTTTACGGAAAGCGAGGAGCGGATGATGGGGGAGATCAAGATGCAGAATCTGAAGCCGATCCCTAACGCGATTCTTGTTGAGAATCAGGTTGATGTACGGAGTGAATCTAGGGATGGGAAGGTTGGTGGGGAGCATGTTGGGGAGAGGAGTGTTGTGAGTCGAAATGTTTTATGATATATAGATTGAATCTGCAGTCCTTGATTTAGACTTAATCATCGTGTATATTTATCTGCACGCACACACTTAGACTTAGTTTATTCTCTAGTTTTATATCTTCGTTAATATGTCTTCTAGTGTTAAGAGCTACCTGGAGAAAGCAACATCGTGCTTGGGAGCTTTACCTAGGGTCTTGGGACGGCCTAACCAGCTCCTCGTGATGTAAGTAAATTTGAACACCTCAACTCCTGCTCGGTCTTTGTCTAGTCCCATCACCTGCTTGTTTTCGTCGGTCGTCGAAGAAATGGGTGCTCCATCAGTTCACGAGCCGTCTTCCTCTCTTCCGGGAGCCAAGCAAGCATCATCTTTGCAAACGACAAGAAGTTCTCTTTTTCCTTCTCTTCGAGCAAGGGGAGTATGTCCGTGAGCTTTCGATCGGGTATTAGTTCCTCATACAAAAATTTGCCTATTTATGTCCTATTAGCACCACAGCAAGATCCTAGTCCGATGTGATACACGGAATTGGGATGTTCCAAATACCATTATGATCAAAAAATGGGCCGCCAAAATATTTCTCGGCGTTTTCACAAGTCACACCTTCTACGTTTTTCACGCATTCGGGCCATTGATATCCCGACATCGAGTGAGATCTTGTGATCAAGTCCTGAGGAGGGTTACCGAGTAGAGCGATCATTTCTGCGAGATGCGCCTTTGCTTGGTAGTTACCTTGCAGATCGTGAACCTGGGAGAATAGTTCCTTCCCTTGGATGATATCCCATAGCTGGCGCAATATTAGCGATATGATCAATTTATATCGGGCCGTTACCTAGTCAGACGCACAAGAACACCCAGATTCCAAATGTCAGTGCTCATTTTCCAGCCACAGCCAAGGATAACCTCAGGCGCGCGATAGTGATCTGGTTGTATAGGATATATGCCCCCTCATCCTGGCAATGAAACCTTGTGGAACCTCCGAAGTCAACAATTTTTGGAAGAATATTCCTCGATGTCCTCAGTGGTCCAAATTCTTTGTGACTGCGATAGATAGGTCGGCCTGTGGAGTCAATTTTACACTGAGCCGGTTGATCGAGCTGGCAATTCATGAAATCTCCAAGCACAGCCGGATGTTCAAAGGTGACCATGATGTTTTCAAGTTTCAAATCTAAAAGACACATAAGTCTGTCGTCGGCAAAATCACCCAGTTTGGTAGGAGAGAGCAGCACCTGTATGGACAATCCCGCATCCTGTATGAAGATAATCAAGGCCTGCAAGAAGGAAAAGAATGTACGTCTTGACAATTGGAAGTGGAATAACACCGCCTTCAAAACGCCTCTGAAAAACCCAGAATGGCTCCCTCATGGGCTCATATGCGAGGCATAGATGTCTTCCCTCTGGGCCAGTGATTTCGAAAAATTTTGAACATGTTCGAAATAATGGGTAGCCACGGTGAGAGGGATCCGTCTTCGCAATGTGCTCTTCAATTTCGCGTTCGTCGTGAGCTACATGTTGACTGCTATCCGTATTTGTTATCTTTAGCGCTACGACGCTTTCCGGTTCTTCATCTTGACTGAATTTGTTTAATATCAGCAAAGAACCAGATATATTCATATCAAAAGGAACTTTACCCCCTCATGTCACGAGCAAGCCAGACAGTAGAGGTCGTCCCCCAGCCGACCTTGACCAAAATTTGATAGCGGTTGGCAAGTACCTCGCCCGGATTCGCTGGATAGAACTTTTTGGAATCATAGCCTGGGCAAACCTCTTCATCCACTATCTCGTTTTGGGGTAAAATGGGCTCCCGGGGAGGTATTGAAAATGGTTGCCTGCGGACTGAGGACAAAGAACGCATCATTGTATGTCTGAAAGATTTCATCCTTGGGACCCACTCAGAGTAATGGCGTCAGTGGGAGAAGCGGCTGTAACATCCTAAGGGCAAGGATGTGAAACAGAAAAATTGGAAGATCCAAATGGATAGGAGGGCGGAAATGGAGTCTAACGAGTCGCGACTCGCCGGGCCTGTAAACATCACGTGGTTCCCTACTGAGTCTATTTTGCGGCATAATAGATCGGGCGCCGACGCAGATGTCATGGTCATTATATCAGCTCTCAATTGTGTGAGACGTAGAATATTCACCATACGGGAGGGCGGAGGATACATTGGAGAAAACCAAAGAACCAGTTGAGGTGGCTAACTCGCTGGTCTACTGAAGCAAAAAAAAATGGGTTGATTAAATGTTCTGGAGACGGGAGAGTAGTCCCCCATCATCGAAGATCGGCACCGTGTGGCGGATCGTCCCTGGGATGTCGAGGAGGGGGTTGGGATAGCGGTCAGACAGGAGCTGGATCTCGCTCTTCGAGCGAAAGATAAAAATGGTTTGGACAGCAAGGGTCTTCGTCGGCAATTCCGTCCCTGCCGAGGTGATTCGGCACGGCTGTACTACACGGAAAAGGAATCCTGGCCGAATGCACCACCTCCCCGCCGGGGATTCATCGACGGTTTGGGTCAAGGAGCACGCTGCAGTGAAAGGTTGACACGCATGACCTTCCACGTCGCGAAAGTTAGGGAGGCCATCCACCAAGACGAAGGGCCACAATACTGAGGCAGAGGCACCGTTCGGAGACATCTTCAGCTTTGATGGGTTCGTCTAAATCCAGCGGTGGCACAACTAATTCAACAAAGCAGCGTCTCAAGCTTCCGTTATTCCGCGCGAAAAGAATTATCCTTTTTCAGGGTTGCATCACAACAAGGCAGCATTGTGGTGGCTTCTGATCCGGCAGCAAAACCATGGTCCCACTTCAGCCATTCTTTGCAGATGTCGAAATCCCCGCAGAACTGGTTCGCCCTAGTGGGACATGGACATGCTCCAAGTAAGCACTAAGTTGAATACGACCCGGTGGTTTCGTATTACCTGTATCTGTCGGAGCCGCAGCCAGTCGGAGCGCGCCGAAAGTGATTCATCAACAGGGGGCGGGGAAATTGATAAGAAAATTAGATTTCAGCCTTAGGTTTGATCGACGAGAACAATTACTGAGCGGTAATAATGGCGGTCGAATCTGCAAGTTATTGATCGTAAGCTGGTGCTTTATTCGTATTCTTTGATTTTAATTCTGCTCCCCCCTTCCCCTCATCAAAACTATACAAAAGAGTGACTTTACCTCGCAGTTTGTTTAACAAGATGGGTATGGAAAATGGCGGATATGAGAGGGCCGAAGAAATCCGAACTGGCCATCGTGGACGCCGTCAAGGATGACCTGGATCGGTCTGATTTCGAAACCTACCTCACCGATCTCGCCGGTATCCGAAAAAGATATCCTATATCACCTGGACAGCATAGATGCCCGGACGGCGGATGAGCCGACGGGAGACAGTTTCGTTGCAAGTCGACTCGGTGCGGCACGAATCTGGAAAGAGCCTCTTGGCGTCGTTCTCATCGTGGTTCATAGAACTTTCCGGTACTACTTGTACTGCAGCCGCTCATCACGGCCATCACCTCGAGCTGCTGCGCCGTCGTAAAACCGCCCGAACTGATAGTAGCGTGTCAAAATCTCCTCCAGGACCTGGTCACACGATATCTCGACTCCACCGCGGTCAGAGTGGTCCGCGGCGGTGTTCGTGAGACGACGAAGCTGCTTGAGCTCCCCTTAAACTACATCTTCTTCACCGGTTCTGCGAGCGTGGATCGACATATCAGTGCAGCCGCGGCAAAACATCTGACCCCTGTGGCCTTGGAGCTGGGTGGCCAATCTGCTGCTATCACCGGTCAATCGGCAGACGTGGATCGTGCGGCCAACAGCGTTGCGCATGTCAAGTTCCTTAATGCCGGACAGATCTGTTTCACATCTGCGGGCTATTGTGAGTCCCCCAAAGTGGTTCGATCGTCTGCTAGCGTTCAGATACCCGCCGTTTAGTGCGGCCAATAAGGCCAAGATACCAAAGACCAATGCTAGTTTCTAACATGGGGAACCGACTCAGGATTAACGGCGTCAAAGCACTAGAGTTTTCGGGTCTAAACTTGCTGCTGGGGTGGCTCTGTGTGGGATCATCGATCATCTATTATTATTACTCTTATTCCAAATGAGGGCGTGTTCGTCCTTGGGAATCTTAGTACAGGAGAGCAACTGTGGAATTATTGAAAGTTCTCATTTTCTTTCCATTCTTCATGAATGCCACATCTATTGTGGACTTACAAGACCAACGTCTAACTAATTCTACTACAAAAGAACAGACTAAATAGAAATACACAACCTCATTGTCGGTAGCCTCGAGTTTCAAAAAGTGGCAGAAATTCAACCATAGAGAGCGTCAAAAAGAGAAATAAGAAATTTTTCAAAAAAGAAAAAAGGTAGGACAAAGGTGAGGCAGGCAATATGCAAAGTCAGAGTCTCAAAAAAAAAGCGGATTCGGGACGGAGTAAGCCGTGACAGGACGGGCATCAATCGCACCAGACGTCCAAGCTCATCTACACAAGATCCCCGCTTAACAGACGCCCAGAAAAAAGCCTTTCAGTCCCCGCCATCTGCTTCAAATCCGGGGCTGGGATCTGACTAGAAACTTAGATGGTATCTCACTCTATTGGCTGAACATCCGACGTCCCGCTGAGTTCCTGTTGTATTAGACCAGAACCAGGGACGGACATACTCGGCGATTACAATTGGCTGCAGTTGACCACCGGGGGGCAGGGGAGGGGTTCACTCCTCGGAGAAGCAGGCAATTCGGCTGGCTCGGTTCCCCGAGAATAAATGCAAAGCGCCGCTAGCTACAGCTCGTCTCCGCCCAAAGCGGCCCAAAAAGGTAAATACTTGGCTCTGACCCCAGATTTGCCTCCCGATGTTTTTATTCGGCTCACCGAGCGTCTAGATCTAGCATATGGTGAGACAGGGATCAATCTCTAGATACCGAGCCCGACTCCCGATGGCTTGGCGAGTCGTCCCTAAGACAAAACAGGTGAGAATACCCACGACTGGCGGTCTAGATGGGCTGTTAAAGACGCCGTCGAAGATAATAGGCTGGGAACCATCCAGTCGATAGATCCCCCCCGGGTCAGACGCGTGCCAGAATGCCACAGCAACCCCCCTAAATACGTTACGAACCAGAAACCAACTATCCCAGCCTTTGGGACCGGCGGGATCCAGCAGATTCCAGAGAAGGCTGTTTCCTTTCTCGGTCTACACTATGCTTAAGTTCCCTTCTATGAACCACGGATTATTATTATGGCTCGTTTTCATATGCCAATCGCGAGAGAGAGCAAAAGCTGCTCGCCATCTGACTCGTGTAGGTTTGGATCGGCCGTAAAATACGGAGTACCCCAGGTTGTTTATTTCTCGGGGGGTGCTTGGGCCCAGTGGTGAACGCCACACAAGGTGCGCACTGTTACTCCTGGATCCTACCTCAACTCTCAGCTGCTTGTGCCGATATTTTGCCGGTGCTATTTCAAGCCTCTCATTGGGGTATGGGGAAAAGGATTCATGCGGACGGCCACGCGACGAATGGCAGCGGACCAACAGGATTGGTGGCGTTTCTCGGCACAGAGGCTTGTCCGCGAGGACGTGCCAACCATAGTAAGCGCCGAGACTTTATGCACCAATGCTTCTTTTCGGCTGCGAAATGTCGGTACCGTGCGCTAGCCTTGAATGGTTGATATGTCCGTTTCGCGGATACTCGGACAGACATCTATTTTTTCCACGGGGTCACCGTTGCCCCGGGTGTAACCAATCACATGCTTAGCGTCTTGTTAAGTCCGTCTGGCACGAAGAGTCCTATGACCCAGGGTGGTCTAGAGGGCATATTCAGCTGGGGATTTGGCACCATGAATACGAGAACGGTCGCTTATGGTCTGGGGAAAGGACTTTGACCCCGGACGGTAAAAGAAACACTAAAAAAAACGCTTGCCGGCATTGCTATATAATGCCACTGATCTTCCCATCTCGTGGAAAATCCTTCGCCTGTTGTTCATTTCTTCCTTTCTCACAGTTTACTTTACCTCCATTCTCCATCCTCCGTACTCAGAGATGGCGGTCAGTCAGTCCGTGGTTGGCCGCGCCAACGCGGAGAAGGCCCATGGTTTGATGGGTCTTCTGAAGAACCCGTTCGTCTTCTTGACCTGTTGCTTTGCATCCCTGGGTTGTATCATGTATGGTTACGATCAGGGAGTGATGGGCCCCATTCTCGTCATGGAGAACTTCCAGAACCACTTCCCACGCTTCCTGGGCTCTACTATCCAGGGTTGGCTAGTCTCTGCTCTCGAGCTAGGAGCGTGGGCCGGTGCTCTTATCAACGGAGTACTCGCTGACCGCATTTCGCGAAAATACGCCATGATGTGTGCTGTCTTCATCTTCACCCTTGGTACTGGTCTACAGGCGGGTGCGCAGAATCCCAATTACTTCTTTGCCGGTCGTATTATCGGCGGTGTTGGCATTGGTATGTTCAGTATGGTCATTCCGCTCTACCAGGCCGAGATTGCTCCCCCCGAGCTTCGTGGATCTCTGGTCTCTCTGCAACAGCTCTCCATCACCATCGGTACCGCGATTTCCTTCTGGCTCGACTACGGCATGCAATATGTCGGCGGCACTACTTGCAACCCCGAGGGTATCGCTAACCCCTACCTCGATGGCGCCTATAATGCCGCTGTGAACCACGGTCATACCTGCCTCGGCCAGAAGACTATTGCCTGGCGTCTTCCGCTAGCCCTGCAGATCATCCCTGCTTGGATTCTGTTCTTTGGCATGTTCTGGTTCCCCTTCTCGCCCCGTTGGTTGATGATGAAGCACCGCGAGGACGACGCCCTCGCTTCTCTCTCGAGACTGCGCCGTCTTCCTGCCACCGATCCTCACGTGCGCGCCGAGTTCCTTGAAATTAAGGCTGCTGTTATGTTCGACGAGGAGACTGAACAAGAGGCGGTTGGAGCTGGCGGGGCCCTAGCACCGTGGAAGGCTCTGTTTGCCCCGAACATGCTGAAGCGTCTGTTCCTTGGCTGCGGTACCATGATCTGTCAACAGTTTACCGGTATCAACGCCGTCCTATACTATGCCCCGCAGATCTTTTCTAGCTTCGGTTTCAGCTCCACCAAGCAGACCCTCCTGGCCACTGGTGTGACTGGAATTTTGCAAATCACCTTTACCCTGCCCTCTGTTCTTTATCTTGACAAGTTTGGCCGCAAGACCTTCCTCATCGTCGGTGCCATCGGCATGTTCTGCTGCCACATCGTTGTCGCCACAGTTGAGGGTATCTATAAGCCGAATTGGGACAAGCACGAAGGCCTTGACAAGACACAAGGCTGGGTTGCCATTGTTTTCATTTGGCTGTTTGCTGTGAACTTTGCCTACTCTTGGGGTATGTTCTACTTTTTTTACTCTTGTCGTTCTGACTTTGCAGCCCCAAGTTGCTAACCTTCAACTCCAGGTCCTGTCGCATGGGTCTTGACCCAGGAGATCTTCCCCAACAGTCAACGCTCCAAGGGTGTTGCTATTGTTGCCTCAACCAATTGGTAGGAGTCTTTCCTCAAGCTATCACTACTTTGGGATACTTACTTACTATTTAATCAAATAGGCTCTTCAACTTCATTATTGGATTGACTACGAAAGATATGCTCAATTCGATGAAATACGGCACTTACATCTTCTTTGCCATATTCAGCGGTCTTGGTGGTCTTTTCATCTGGTTCTTCGCCCCAGAAACTAAAGATAAGACACTCGAGGAACTAGATGTGTTCTTCGGCGGCTCTGAGGCCAGTATTGCCGAAGCCGATCGCCTACGCATGCAGAGAATCAACGAGACTCTTGGCCTTGCTGGCGTGGAGCGTCTTGAGGACCTCAAGGTTGCTGTCACCGCGGACCAGATTGAGGTCGGAGAGTCCAAGCACTAAACTGCTATCTGCTATCTGCTATCTGCGATCTTGAATTGAAATTCGGAATTTCATAGTAATTAATTCCACTATTTTTTTTTTACCCAACTTGATGCAATATATGATGATATGGATGTCCTCCCGCGCGTATATTCAAACTCGCGTATAAGAGCAACAAGCCCTTTATATCACCAATCCTCCTCCTTACCTCTTCATCTTCTTATTTCCCTTCTCATCCCTCTTCATCCCCTCCTCCCCACCACCATCAACCTCCTCGATATCATAATTCCTCAACACAAAAGCAACCCTCTCAACATCAACCAGTCTCACACGTCCTTCACCGTCCTTACTACTCTCCCCAATGTCCCCATTCAACCTCCTCTGCAACTCCCGCGCCTTATCCCACAACAACCGATACTCATTAGCATTATACTTGACATTCAAATCCCCATTCGGCTTCTTATACTTCGACCCCGTCTCACTCCCAGGATACTCTTCAGCACAGAGCCAGAAGAACGTATCGTCACTGTAGAACGGCACTTCGTATTCATCCCGCGCCGTAGCGATAGAGAGAACCACCGACGCAGTCGCTATACCCACGCCGCGGAGGGGCGCAAGGGCATCCAGGCTGGCTTTTGGAAAGTCCGGTGTAGCAGACGGGAGGAGGGAAATGGCCGAGGAAGTGCACTTTAGAACGAGGGGTTCCGGGTTTGATTTTATCATGCCCATCAGAGTTGGGCGGAAGTGGCCGTGTTTTCTAGTCCAGCGTCAGCATCGATCCTGAGACGTAAAATGGGGATGGGACGTACAGTTTCCACTCCATGATGCGGACAAGCTCTTCCTTGTTTAGGAATACCTCCTCCTTCTCTCCATCCTTGCCAGAAGCAACTTTCCGCTTTGAGATTGTCGCGGGCATGTCCTCGTATCGCCAAGTATCCAACTCGATGAACTTTTCTGTTTCATTGCGGATATGCTCTTCTTGTGAGGGGTCGATTTCGGTATTTTGGACTGGGTTTGTGTCTTTTGTCTTGCGCTTCGTGCCTTTCGATTTGGGTTGTAGCTTTAGAGTTGCTTTGCGCCGGTGGACTTGCTCCACGGTTTGGGGGTAGCGGGAGAGGAGGTGTTGGAATGTGGAGAGTGTGATTTGGCTCGGGTTGAATGAGGGGAGCTCGTTGCTGCCCTGCGCGATGGGATCGTGGCTTGCTTTGCTGGCTTGGGACGTGGAGGACTTTGCCGGCGCGGGGAGAGGGGAGGTTGAGCTGCTGAACTTTGTTGTCATAGTGAATGAATGAATGTTTGTCGACGTGTAGTAGAATCCGATTGTAGGTGATCCTGGGTTTATGCACTATGACTCTCGGGAATATCGATTTGGTAGTTGGGCAACTGGTTCAGCACAGTTGCGACAGTCGCGTGGAGTTGAGCTGGGGCGCGTTGATCGCTGATAAGCATATCGATAAGGGGTTAAGGTTACTTTACTGTAACTTAAAATACAACAGCCAAATTAACGTCAAATTAGGTATGCAGATATCCATCACACTGGTCTACATCTACACAACCAAGAACATTCAAAGTCCATTTCGCATTCTATGCCTCAAGCCAGACCGCATTTTTGGTCTCACAGCTATGTACACATTGGCCGTGGACAGGTCTTCATTAAACAAATAACAAATACAGCATCATCAAGAATCAGAGTCATCATCCGTCACCGTGGGCCCATCATCAAGATGGCCCTTAAACGCAGGGTGAAGTCATGGATTGTATGGAAGAATCCACTCGGGTAACGTTAGAGCCTTTTGGCCCATAACGTTCCCGGTACAGAGGGGAGAGAAGAAATGGAGCGAATACACATAGAAGGTAAAAAAGGGACACATCATCGAGGCTGAGAAGGATTCCGACCGGGGTTTCGCTGGGAAGGGTCCTCGGTTGGACGGACGTAGTTCACGCGCTCGTCTTGGCTGCGGTCGCTGAAGGGCATCATGGAGATGTTCTTCGACCGACTCTTCTTCAAGGGCTTGGAGAGAGTGGGGGCAGGTTGCGGTGCGGGACTTGCCAGCGAGGGACCGGGTTTGGCCTCGGCAGCAGGTGGCGCAGCAGTGCGTTCGTCATCTTCCACTTCGATGTGTCGGAAGTCCTGATCCTGATCACCGGCCTCAGAGCTGGGGCTGTCAGAGTCCGAAGCTGCCTCGTAGTCATCTTCGTCATCGCTCACCAAGCTAGGAGCTTGGTTGGACTCTATCGTATGCGGGCTGAGATTCGCCGGGTGGTCGATGCCTTCCCCATCACGGGAAGTATCGGCCAGCGACGGGTGGAACGGACGGGACAGCGAGAATTCCACGATGTTCGACTGCTGGTGAGACTGGGGTCGGGAGGGACTCATCTCATGCGACAGCTGAGGACCGTGGGTTGCTCTTTCGAGACCCTTACGGCTCTCAGTTCGCTCCGATGCTGCTTGCGCGGTGGGCATGCGCATCGGCTGTCGAGCGGCAGGAGTGGGCTGTTGAGAGGGCTCCTGGCTGGCTCTGCTGGTTGGTTGTCCGGATTCTTCGCTATCCGACTCATCATCGGAAAGGCCACTCAGATCCACAGGCGTCCTTGACTCTTCCACCAACTTGCTCATGTTCAAACCGAGGCCTCGGTCTCGCATGAGAGCAGAAAGGTGGGGAGTGGCGGGAGACGCCATGAACGAGGGATTCACAGCAGCCTTGACAGGCTCCGTATGGCGACGAGGCGACTGAGTAGGCTGGACGGTGGCGGGAGGGGTAGCGACCGCGGAGATGAATTCAGACTGTTTCCGAGGAGTGACTGCATACTTGGATGGAGTGGGAAGTGCATTTGAGGGTGTCGGGAGTTGAGTAGAGGAGCGTATCAACGGGTGAACATAACCCGGAGTTGCGACACTGCTGGTCGACTCACTGCGGCCACCGACGACGGTGCCAGCTTCGTCGACCTCGACTGGTTCACCAGATGCCATCGCGGCAGCGTCATGACTAGCGAAGTTCCGGTTGTGCGCAATACGGCAGTGGTTGATGAAACCCTGGGTACTGGAGAAGTTGTCCCTCCGACAGTCCAGACAGACAAGTTTGACCATAACCTGGTCCGACTTGCGTCGGACGATCATAGGGCCCGCCTTTTCCTTGACAACGGGATACCCGCTCGGCAGAGCCTGCAGCTTGGCACCCGTGGAATTCCGCGAAGGACGCGTCTTGCCCGCCAGGACACTGAAGTCGACTGGATTTCCGCGCGTGGACCGGCCCTCGACCAGCGGAAGGCCAGCACCAGCGGTCGCAGACAAACCAGACTCAACTTCACCGCCGTCAAACCGAGGATCCGGGAGAAGCCATCTCGCGTAGTGACGCGAGTAAGGTCCCTCGGTGACACCCCAGGGCGCAGGCGACAGCGGTGTTGCGCCATTTCCAGGCTGCAGCAACGATGCGCCCGAGCCAGAACTGACGTCGACCGACACGCCGGCGACCGCAGACCCGGGATACGGAATCTCTGAACAACGGCGCAGCTGCTCCAGCGCAACCTGGCACTTGGCGATCTCCTGGTCGATCAGACGCAACTCGTTGTGCTTCAACAGCACTTCCAAGCTGATTTGAGCGGTGACGGTCTCGCGCAAGCGATTCACATCCGGTTTGCCCGAGGCGGCCTGCGCCGGGGGACGGGCGGCCGCGACCGAGGGGGAAGGCGCGACGGGCGATGCAACGGGGTCAGACACGGAAGCGACGGTCGGCGATGGCGTTGGCTGTGATGAGAAGGCGACGGGATCTTCGGTGCGAATTTTGGTCGTGGTGGGAGCATCGGCCGTGGAGGAATCTGAACGTTTGCGCTTGAGCATCGGGGGCAGCGAGATGCCGTTGACCCCGGGCGCGCAGCTGGAGGGACCCAGCATCTTGACTTCCTCGCCCATTACCTTGTTCCCTCCGATCGCAGAGGGCCAGGAGGGAAGAAGGCTAAACATGCCATGCGCCATGCGAGGTACGGTGAAAACCGGGGAAAGGTGAGGGATGACGCAATGTTCAATTCGGTCGGCTCTCCATGCGATGGGATTATTACGGATATGTAGGTGAAGAGTGAAGGGTGGAAGGTGGTTGTGTAGCAGTGGAGATGTGGTGGTGTGGTGATGTGGTGGTGTGGTGGCGGAGATCAAGGGGTGAAGGAATGGACGTCGACGACGTGGGTGTCGCGCGACCGTGTCAAGTTTCAAGTTGGGCGGTAGTTGGGTTGGGTTTCGAAGAGAGTGGAGTGATTACGGAGAAAGGTGGCGAAAATGTATTAATAAGGGAGGTAAAGGTAAGGAGGGAAAAAGAAATGGAAAAATAGAAAGGGGGTAAGAGGAGGTGGTGAAGTGGTGAAGTGGTGGAAAGAGGGAGATGGAAAGAGTAAAGTGGTAGAAATCGAGAGAACTGGGAAGCCAGGGAAGGGGAAGGGAAAGGGGGGCGGATGGGGGGGGATCGGAAATGCCAAACAATCGTAGGAACAGGCAGCACATCGGGTGGAGACCCATGATGTGATACTCCTTCCGCCTTGCTCTCTTTGAGACAAGAGCTCTTTCTGACGTGGTGACTGGTAGACTGGTAGACTGGTAGCTCCGCGACACGTCATGCCCGCTGTCTAGGCACCAAAAGGGGAGACCTGGGGTAATACAGCCCCAAAGTCCGAGGTCTGTTGGTTGTTGACCATCAACATGCTAGAATCACATTCACAGGACGTGGACTTCCGGATGCGTGCGGCTCCCATCCATCATACTCTTCCCTGCCAAGGATAAGAGGTGGTCTGGGCCTCTGATCCCGATCAACTTTCCTGATTGGGCTCCGCCGCCCAATGGGGTCTTGCTGTCAACTGCCGGCAAACACAGCCAAATCACGGCTCGACGGGATATCGGTCAAAACGCCTCTGACTCTTTGATGCATCTGCATCCATCCTGGTCCCCTAGTCAGCTCCGTGGGCTGGTGTTGGAATCCCATAGAATCCGGTCGAACCGGTGCCAAACTATGAGATTCGGACAGCCCCGTTTTTATGGTCCTCGTCCCGATTTGTTCCTTGGCCTAAACAGACCACCGCCCTTGCTGACTAGTGATGTCTGGGCCTCGGACCTAGCGATATCCGGAGCCTGAATTCGAACCTATCGGGCTGTCCCTTGGATGTCCCCGCCCGATCGGGCTAACATGAAGTGTACAAATGTATAGAATCTGGGCACGGTCAACACCGAGGATGATCACAGCACCTACACACTAAATAACTTTGGTCTCTTCGGACTTTCCGACTTTCTCGGGAGCAGCCAACGCCCGCCGTGACGATGGTCGGGTCTGCCCTGACGATCTGGAAAGTCCGAGCGAATCAACCCCGGCGTGACCGTTGATCGCACTGGCATCCATCCTGATTCCTCCAAAACGGCTCACCACCCGCCGGACATTCTCCTGGTTGGCTATGAAGAACTCGGCCGGTATATTCCTATACGGACGGGGCAACTAGGCTTATCCGAGTGCTCCCACGAATGCGGAGAATATGGGGAAATGATAGTCCTTCGAACAGGGCCTTGAACCCATCTCCGATATTCTACAGGTCGTCTACCGGTTCTGTCTGCCGTGGCAGTGGCAGTTTTAATCATGGGGAAACCATGTATAAAGAGCCAGGAAGCCAGGACGAGTCCCGGAAACCACCCAAGTATCAAATCGCCGCATAGGCACAAACAACAACCATGCGCACCCTCGCAGCTCTCGCCATCCTCCTAGCAACCCTCCACGCAGTCTCCGCCTCACCACACAAACCCAAATCCAACTACATAGACTGGCACACCTTCCACGCCCGCGGCGTCAATCTAGGCGGCTGGCTCGAGCAAGAATCAACCATCGACACCACATGGTGGTCCACCTACTCCGGCGGCGCCTCCGACGAATGGACCCTATGCGCAAACCTCGGATCCAAATGCGCATCCGTCATGGAACAACGCTACGCAACCTACATCACGACGAGCGACATCGACAAACTCGCCTCCGCAGGCATAACCCTCCTCCGCATCCCCACCACCTACGCCGCCTGGGTCCGCGTCCCAGGCTCCCAGCTCTACTCCGGAAACCAGCAGCAGCACCTCCACCGCATCGCATCCTACGCCATCGAGAAACACGCCATGCACGTCGTCGTCGACATCCACTCGCTCCCCGGTGGTGTCAACGGTCTTGATATCGGAGAAGCCGTTGGCCATTACGGATGGTTCTATAACGATACTGCACTCGAGTATTCCCTGAAAGCAGTCGACGCGCTGATCGATTTCGTTCAACACTCTGGCCATCCGGAAAGCTATTCCATCGAACCGATCAACGAGCCTGCGGATAACAGGAACTTCTCTGCCTTTGGAACACCCGCTGCGCTCTCCGAGCGCGGTGCAGCCTGGTTGTTGAAATACATCCATGCGGTGCTGGAGCACGTTGAGAATGCCAATCCCCGAATCCCGGTCATGTTCCAGGGCAGTTTCAAGCCTGAGACGTACTGGTCGGGGCATTTTGATGCACGTGCGAATCTGGTGTTTGATTTGCACCATTATTATTTCCAGTATGATAACTCTACCTCTGCCAATCTTCCCGGGTTCATCTGTAAGGATGCCAGGGTGAGTAAGGGGGATGGGAAGTTTCCTACTTTCGTGGGTGAGTGGGCTATTGAGGCGGGCAAGCAGAATGAGTTGGCTTTGAGGAGGAGGAATCTTAAGGCGGGGACGAGTGCGTTTGCGCAGTTTACGCATGGGAGTTCGTACTGGAATGCCAAGTATGAAAGCAATGTTACTGTTGCGGGGACGGGGACGGGGGATAAGGGGGTAAAGGAGGATTATTGGAGCTATGAGATATTTATTGACGCGGGGTATTTGGAGGGACAGGTGCAGGTGGAGGATTACTGTAAATAGTTTGGATGGGAGGTCGGGATTGGATATATCATAAAATTTTCACGTTCATGATACCATCTGCAAAGAGATATCTGTAATGTAGGAGCGACGGGACGTCTTGGTAGCGGCCCCGAAGCAGCCACATGGACACCCAGCCTCGGCCCGAGTCAGTAACGCTCTGACCTTCAATAAGACAGACCACACTTTGCAAGATCATAAACGATTCAATTGAAGTATGGACACATGACCGAACTTGTGATACATAGACATGCAAGAGTACCCCCACAAAAAAGAAACCCCGGCGCCGAAAGCCCAATGGGATGGAAAATGAGGGCATGTACAAACGCAACCAAAATGTGTATAACGTCAACCCGGCAAAATGATCACACACGGCCTGGGAAGGGAAAAAAAAACCAAACGCTAGAGAACGATGGCATCAGGTAAAACAGGCAAATGCACGCCTAGTTACTCTGAGTGTCCTGCATACGCAGAATAAAGTTAACAATGACAGCAGCCAATAGCGCAATGGCCAGAATCGTAGGACCGAAGCGGTCATCGAACCCGCTTTGCCCCCTACGCCGGATGCTCTGTGCTCGCCAGTGGAATGTCACCACGGCATAGATCATCGCCGCCATGGCGATGATGGTGAAAAGGCCGGCGGAGATCCGACCGATGCGGTCGCCGAAATTCAAAAGGCCAACTGCGAGGCCGCCCAGGATGACGGTGAAGTTGAGCCATGAGAGGAAGGTACGCTCGTTGGCGAAGAAGACTTTGGGCTCGACGCGGGTTGGGAGGGCGATGCGCTTGCCTGGGATTTGTTAGCCATGTGTCTTGGGCATAGCTGGCCATTCGCCTGGAATGAGGGGAGATGGCTTACCCGGAGCGGTTTGAAGGAGAGGCTGGCTAGACATGACGATGGGTTCGGAATTGGCGTTGCACCGGGCAGGAGAGATTCAGCAACGGCGAACTGGAGGATATGCAGGTATCGTTTGAACGTGTGAGGCTGCAGAGAGGAAGATTTTTTGTCTCGGCGATTTGAAAAGGCGGGAGTCTAGTCGGAGAGAAAAGGCGAGAGCTATCAGAACGGCCAATCCCCGATGGCGGGCGAAGTCGAGACGCTAAGGCTGCGGCGCTAGGCCGGATATGGATTAGGGGCGGTGCAGCTCAACCTAGTTCGGTGCACGTGCGCCGTCCATTTGCTACCGTGACAGGAGTCACCTGACCTACTTTATCTCGGGTTCCGTGGTTTTTCACGTTTTCACTCGAGAAAAAAAAAAGTTTATTCGGTACAGTACATCTATATCTAGCTTATCGCTTTGAGGCATAATAAACGCTAATGTCGCTACTTTTCCGAGGCCAACACTGTTCCCATCCATTTTGGTGCCTCTGGTGTCCGCTAGTCGCACTCAAGTCACCTATCTAACTACCTACTCGTTAATCTATCAGGTTGATCCCCACCCAGCTTCGTTTTGTTCGCTTGCATCCTATTAACTGCATATTAGCAAAGTTAATTATATCAGTCCGTAATCATGTAAAATGTACCTTTGTCGATGTTGACAAGAACTAAACGCGTTTGCAGAAGCATAGCGGCAAGCGATTACCCGTTCGTTGCCACACTACGCAGCGGCTTCACCGAGGGTCATTATTCCATTGCCTTCACCGTCATTGCAAAGCAGAATAAATGCCGTAGCGCAAGCTGTAACTGCGATAATGATAAAGAATACCATAGCGACAGGCGATAGATAAAGAGTAGGTAATTCTCAGGACGAGCAGTAAAATAGGACGTTCGGGTCTAATTTAGAAGCGCGTTTTGGACGTAATAACGAACGACAAGTGGGAATTAAGTTATTTACAGTCATTCTCGATATCGCCTTGAACAATATGCACCGAGAAACTCTTTTTAGGCCCTACCGCCAAGCCTTAGCGCAGATCATTTATTGAGCGGCCCCAAGTTACCTACGCCGGAGATAACTTAAATCCACAGTAGAGACACTTCACCCGAGATATTCCTATTAAATTAACCATACATTCTTCATTCGCTAACAGCCAGCCTCGTGACTAGCTTCACCATAGGTCATATCTTTGGATTCTGAAGTTTTCCACTTGACTTCCGAGCAAGTCTTCTTAAAGTTCGCCGCGTTTTGTTTGAGTGTAACACAACCGTGACCGCAATAACGCCCTGACGCAGCCTGGCATGCAGCTTTAGCAATAGCGAATTTGTCGGTGCCACTGTAATTGGGATAGGGGCTGGGAATGTCAGGACCATAGGGATCGTAACAGAACATCCCTTTGTAGTCTCGAGCTAGAGCATTATCTTTGCAGCCGAAATATGTCGCATTTGGGTTCGACACAATATGGTATCTGCCTCCTTCACATGAATGTGCACATTCAACGTTGTCACCGCAGACTTGATTCGCGCTTAAGGAAAGCACGCCGGTGACATAGGCAAGAATGTAGTGAGGCCGCATTTTACTTGGCTGTATGAAAAGTCAGCATTTGATAAGCACAAAAGCCGGTGGTACCCACTGGACGATTTTGAATTGGCAAAATTGGGGGCGGGCTGTGAGCAGACCAAGATTGGAAGGAGATGACCGAGCCGAGAGACACATTCTGAGGAGGGAGAGAAGTCATTATATACATAATCCTTATATGGGTTCATGCGTTAATTACGGAATATGCTAAGCCCTATCCCCTCCTTTGCAGTCCTCTCATTGCGTCTTGTTTGGATCAGCATGGTTCATCCCAAGCACACTAAGGAATGCAGGCCGAGAGAGATCGGCAGCACTATTGTTAAATTGGATCCAAGATGCATACAGTAGATCGTTCCGGCCCATTTAATTACCCAAGGAAGAAGTGGGCGTTCCCAACTGGGCAATAGTAGAGACATTGATCGTCGTCGGAAGCTCCCATATAGATAGGATCAACCTGTGCAAATTATATGGCCTGCTCTGCAGCTGAGATGCAGCTGGGGAGGTCAGTGCCATTATTACTGTATACTATAACCAATCAAGTCATAATAGTACAAAAAATGTCTCAAGGAAATTGCTGGAAATGCTTGATAGAACTGACGATCTGGCAAGATCGCCGGCCGCTTTCCTTAATCCTACCTATTTCGTTTTGCTACGCGCGAGAGTTTGGTATAGATATTGATTCTCTGCCGACAGAAAATAAATGTGGCTCTTCATGTTGACGAATTACAAAAATTAACACTGACTGCGTGGGCGAAGTACAGGTGATAAGTTTGTACGGCGAAAAAATGGAATAATAGTTCAAAGGCTTAATACTCCTTGGCAGCGTATATTTCTATGGAATCTTGCGTTGTGAGCGGACCGTAGAGCCTGGTGTGGAGTGAGAGACCGAGGATTTCCGAAGCTAACATACTTTGATCAGCAGCGAGATCAGCAAGACTGCATCGGCCCACCCGGCTATCGAGGGATTATTGAAAGTCATTCCTAATTAAATGTTACACAACAATCCGCAAGTGGAGCTCGTACGCGATCTCAGCACGGTAGTCCGTAAGTATCCGTGCTTTCGTATGGCCCCCTTGATTCTCCGTAGATACTTCACAAAGGATGTCGTCTTTATTAGCGCTGCCTACCCTCAATTCCTGTGCTCTGGCATCTACTCGCCTCTAAATTACCGATAAAAACTCTCCACCATGAAGATCATAAAGACACTAATCTGTATTTTGCTTCAGCTGGACAGGTCTGGGGTATTCTAGGGTCATGTGGTACGACCCCTTGTTTCCACTGATTACCGGTGGGTCTATACTCATTTACTTCGGCCGGCGAAAATTAAGCAATTTGAGACAGGTTAAGAGACTAGCAAAAGAAAATGACAGGTCGGTCCCTTTAGATGATGATAATGGAGATCTTTGGGAGACTCGGTCGCCGTGTTTCCACTCGAGGCTCTATATAAAGGGGCTAGATACTCAAGCGTAGGTCTTCGGCATCCACTTTGTGCATAAATCGCAGCGAAGAACACAGGTATTTTGGTCAATCAGGCGTGAGCCGCCTTAACTAACCTTAATTGGCACTGAGATGGATTCAGACTTGCAGCTGAGCTGAGGGGTCGACAGAAATACTGAATAGGTCCATAGTGCCATTGATCGTCCACACCCTAAGGCGCCAACATCGGTCGGCGTCTCCCTGCCCCGATGGCTGCTGATTGGTTAGCTAGGCCCATAAGGATATTGAAATTGGGCTGCATGAACAGCCCGTATATGCAGGTTCCTCATCTATATCACCTTCTTTGCTTTTTCCAGAGGAAGTTCTTTCATGGACCACCGGGTAGCGGTGTAGGAGAACATTTTTGTATGCATTTTCCTTAGAAAACAGTCGAGGGGCGGGGTTAATAGTTTATAGATACTTCCGAATTGCCGTAGGTTTCTACGAAGATTAACTAATGATTGTAACTTTGCTGCATTTAGCTTCAGCGGCTATTCGAGACGTCGTAAGAGACTAGCTCTCTATTATATCACGAATAAGATTAAGCTTTGAGACGGGGAGTCTTAGAGCTATAACGTTTATATTAGGCTTCTGTGAATTCTTAGCTAGGGCAGTATAGTAGTGATTGAGTAGGGGTTGATAAGTAATAAGAGGGGCACGGGGTGTGATGTATAGCAGTTTCGTGTAATCATGGCCTGATGTTCGGTATCGTACTATAAGATACGTTACTATCTAAGTAAGCGGTCTGGGAGGCGGATTGGTACTGGTTTCTCCATATCGGGGCTAGCGCATATCGGAGACTTGTTCGGGCATCAAGAAGGATGAATGTTGAGGAATAGCTGATTTCGAAAAGTACTGTAAATACCCTAGAAGAGCCTTCGCTTTAGATATAGTATTCACTCAACGGCTGCCCTTTGTATTGCGGGACCACTGTTTTCGGTGTCTACATGCACACTGGTCCGCCACGGCTTTGGAATGTATTTGAAACATTTAAAATTACCTACACGGCTCCAACTAGCGGCTAGTGATTTAGACTTCAGACTAGCTTGCACCAATAGGGTCATCCATGGTAAATTGCAAGCCCAGGCCCCCCCCTATGAACATAAGTCGTAGCAGCGAATTTTTTGAGGCGCAAAGTAGTCGCGGTGATCCTGTTACTTTGACATCGTATCTGATCTAGTGTATATTTAAACTTCTTTCCCGCCATGGGCAGAGCAGAGCCTCTTTTCAAACTTGGAGAGCTTGGAGACTGTTCGCTTTTAAGAGGCATTCGCCATTGCGGCCAGACACCGGACTGAACCCACACAGCTACAGTGACACAGCAAAAGTATTAACACCCCCCTGGACCCACGCCTACACCGCCCTCTCACCGCCTACCTAGGAACACGCTAGTAGTAGCTCAATAATCTCGCGTTTTTGCGCGTTATTCTGTTTATACCTCCTGAATCTCCTTATTTTGCTATCTATTATGGCACCGCGGTCTGAATTGACACCTGCGCTACGTGAGCGTATATGTGAGCTGTCCCAAGCTGCGGGATGGGGCTATAAACGTATTCAAAAGCGCTATCCTTGGGTCTCTCTTTCTAGTATACGCTATACTATTAAAAAGGACCGCGAACGACTCGATGGTGTCTCTAAACCACGCTCTGGACGCCCACGGAAGCTTGATGAAGCTGATCGTGAGCGTTTGTTAAACGCTATTGAGGAAAATCCTAAGATTACCCGCGTTGATTTGCTTGCAAATGTGTCGAATAAGGTTAGCTATATTCCTTTAGTTTTAAATGCTTACTGACCTAAATTTTTGGTTAAATATGACTCGATCCGACGCCTTTTAAACGCCGAGAATATACGAAAGTGGCGCTGTAGCTGGCGGCCCTATTTGACCGAACAAAATGCGCTAAAACGGCTTCAATGGGCGCATCGCTATCGACACTTTATTGCTGAAGATTAGGCTCGTGTCTATTGGTCTGACGAATGTACAATTGAGCGCGGTATTGGTGTTCGTCGTGAATGGACTTTTATTCGCCCTCGAGATCAGCCTAAGGAGAGACAATGTCAAGGTCTTCCTATAAAAGGAAACCAAGTTAAGCAGATGTTTTGGGGGGCTTTTTCTGGCAGCACACGACGCACTGGCCTTATCCCTCTATTTGGAAACCCTGAAGCACCTCGCGGAGGCGTTGATCGCTTTATTATTCGAGATTTATATCTCCGAATGCTGCCTACATTAATGAATCATGAGGGTGGTATCTTTCAGCATGATAATGCGCCTACACATACTGCACACGTTGTCCGCGATACTCTACGCGAGCTAGGAATTGAGGTAATGGAATGGCCGCCTCATTCGCCTGATTTAAACCCTATTGAGAACCTATGGGCGCTCTTGAAGGCTAAAATCTATGAGTTATGGCCGGATCTTATTGATATGCGTAATAATAGCGCGTCCTACGCTATTCTAGTGGAGACAGCACAGATAGCATGGGAAGAACTAGAAATACAGCACCTAACGCATCTATCTGAGACGATGCCGCACCGGGTGGAAGCTATTATTGAGAGCCAGGGCTGGTATACGCCCTACTAGATAGAAATTCATGGAGTTTTAGGCCGGCAGAATATTAGGTAATAAGGGGGGTGGGTCTAGGGGGGTGTTAATACTTTTGCTGTGTCACTGTACTGGACCTGTAATACTCCCCGGGTACCGGATATATGCCCCCCTGCGACCCGCAGAATCCCACGGAATCTATCAGACCCATCCATATCCGCTGTGTGGGCTCGCCTGGTGTTTATAGAGTTTTAACTTATTTCGCTCCTGCGGTCCAGGCCCGGCGCACAGTCTCGGGCTCGGTTCTGAGCGCAATCATCGGCATGCCGATTACATTCTTAGTGTTCATTCCGATGAAATTCGATTATCACGCTACCTCTTGCCTCATCGGGTACCATGCTGGCTGCCACATGCGTCCCCCTCTATGTGGGGCCTGGAGCCCAACGATTGAATTGATTGCTCCATGCGGAAATACCGCCTCCACTACGATTATTTTCCCATATGGATATGCGGCAGTACAATGCGGGAAATGTTTGAACCAGAGACTGAATTTGAAAATAATCAACTCAACGTGAATGAATGGCTCAAAATCAGACCTGTAAAATAGGGCTAACTTATTTCAAATTCTCTGGTCATGCCATAGCCTCCTTAAGCGGCGCAAAATCCCAATCCTCCTTAATCATATCGGCCGCCTTCTCCGCCACCGCATAGACACTACTGACAATATTGCCACTCACGTTGTTCGGGAACACCGACGCATCAGCAACCCTCAGTCCCTCCACGCCCTTTACCCGCAACCGCGAGTCAAGAGCATCGCCCATCGCCACCGAGCCACAGACGTGATACTCGCTCGCAACGGCCTCGTGCACGGCTTTCTTGCCTTCTTCGAGATTCTGCAGGTCCAATGATGGCTCGGGGAATGAGCGGTTTGCGATGGAGGACTTGATGTGCTGGGATTGGGAAACGTTGTCTACCCAGCGGAGGGTGGCGCTTAGGACTGCTATGTCTGCGTCACTGCCGCCGTAGTTTGGGTGGATTACTGGCGGTTTGGTGGGATCTAGAGGGTATTAGCGACTGTACGGGTTTTGAGGAGGGTTGGGAGCATGTACCGGAGCTTTCGATGTGCACGTAGCCCCGAGCAACGGGGTATTGTATACACAACGCGAAGGTGATACCGGCGGGCTTGTCTGCGCCGCGAGGAGGGAACAGCTGGCTTTGGTGCTCGATTCCATCGATGTTTGCCGTGGCTGGGACGAGGACTACCTGGATATTTGCCGAGATGTCGCTTTGGAGATGGGCGATGATCTGTGCAAGCTGCTTCTCGTGGAATTTGCTGGTTGGCTTGACCTCACGGATGCTTTGAATCACCTTTTCAAGCTCTTCTTCAGACATGATTTTCTTGGCGGGAAAGAAGCCTTGCATCGTCGAGGTGCAGCTGAGCGGTCCGCTACCGGACTCGGTATACTGTTTCATTGCATCTTGCATGGCCTCGGGGACCTGGTGCAATGAATCCAAAGTGAAAGTCCCCGGCTTCATGTCATAGGTTACGATTGTGATCTGGTGGTCTTGCAAATTGGCGCCGATGGCCGGGTTCGCGACCTTGCATTCAACCCCCGCTGCCTCAAGGACAGCAGGGTCTCCGATACCAGATAGCTCGAGGATCTGAGGAGACTTAATAGTGCCTCCGCTGACGATAACCTCGCGCTTGGCGGATACGTTGCACTCCTGGCCTTCATGCGAGATGTTCACGCCCGTAGCCTTGTTGCCATCAAGATTGACCTTGTTCACCATCGTGCTGCAAAGCACTTTAAGATTCGGACGGCTGGCTCTGTTGGCCTCATAATACCCTCTGGCAGCATAACTGCGCTTGCCTTTGTTCGGTCCAGTGCGACAGATGGAGCCTAGGGTGTTGAAGAAGCCGATGTGGTCTCCACTCCAGGGGTCGACTGGTTTCTGCGGAGTGTCTGTGACTTCGTCGCAGGCTTTGATGACATCGTTCTCAATTGGCATGATGGTGTCGTTGAAACCGGTGCGGACTGGTCCACTGGTGCCGTGGAATTCTCCGACGAAAGGCATGGTTGTGGTGTCTTTAATTGAGGGGTCGATAGGCTCGAGGGTCTGGTGCTTGCGCATGTAGTGTTGCATGATATCCGCCGACCAGCCTTCATCCTCGACCAGTTCGGCCCAGTCATTGTAATCCTGCTTGGAACCGCGGACGTACATCATGTAGTTGATGCCACTGGACCCTCCGAGGAGTTTTCCTCGAGGAATATGGTGGACTTTTCCATGATTCCCTTTCTATTCACATCGTCAAAACTAGAACCCATCAGCATGAATGCTTACTCACCTGCGGCGCCGTGTACAAGCACCAGTCATATTCGGGATCCTCGAACAATTGGAACAGGCCCGCCGGCATATCCACAAGGGGATCACCAATGCGGTATTTTCCAGCCTCAATAACACCGACGGTCACCTCTGGGTTCTCCGTCAGACGAGCCGCAATGGCCAATCCAGCCGTGCCGCCTCCGCAAATGATGTAGTCGAATGCGGTGCTAGAGAATTCCTCAATAGAACACGTAGGCGACTGGCCCACTGCATCATTTTTTTCAGCCATGATGTTATTTAAAACTTGGGTATGCAATTTTCAAAATCAGACGAGAACAGACAGGCGGGAGATTGGGGGCTATTTGTACGTTTTTCCCTGCCGTGCAACTCGAGCTGACCACCGTGCGGGGGATAGATAGCCTTGCTCGAATCCAACGCACAAACTCAAATGCCTTGGCTTGGAACTAGTGTTTAATCCGTATTTTGGTATTCTATTTTCGTTGGTGGTGGTGAGCTGCTTACGGTCTACCAAGGTTTTCCCCGCACTTAGGCCGACCGAGGCAAATGTCATGGTCTAAAACGTCGATCTCACTGAGATCAACTAAAAGCCTTCCATGTGTTTGTTTGAACCATAGCCATATCTACCGAACCTATTACATAATGAAATATTTCAGCCGTCGTGGCGGTCCGTGGCAGTGCTCTGCATGTCTTAATCCTGATCTCCATCGCGATCCAGTCACAAATAGGTCCCGAGTCTCGTTTTTGCATCAATTCATCTGTGCACCGGACTACTGGAGATGATCTGCTAGTGAATTGCCTTGCAAGTTACCCAGAGTCAATGCGCCAGCGGATTGCCCTTCAGCACATCTTCTGAGCTGATGTTTTGCAATTTCAGTTTCTGTAGTACCCCTTATTTACCAAGATCTGCGAGGGTTATTGCGGTACCGAGAAAAGATGGGAAGCCTGAGCCTCATGGTAAATATCCTTGCTAATCTTATTTGCCGGTCTCCTTTGCATCCGTTTCGCATTTCAATGGTATCGATAACATTGGACCCACTGCAGGCCGCTGCGACTGAGCGTACCCTGCGGCTGAGTTGTAAATGAGAGTTGCTCCTTTTTTGGTACTGTTGTTTCTTTGAAATAAGGGACGGATTGACAGTACGTCCCGAAACTGCGGTCATCATTTACCCTCTGCGAGAGTTTCTCGAACCTTAATGCCAAGGCATACTATACTACATGAAGAACAAGAATCAGCAGTTAGTACATCCCTAGCTTGCGATGCTATACTAAAGAGCTTTCGCGTCTTCGCAGCCCAGTCAACTATATGAAAGAGTCAACAGAAACAAAGTTTGGTGTCTACATTTTCGAAGAAGAGGATATGTCAAAAGACCTTCGGGTTATTTTTGCTTCCTAAATCTGTTACATGCACACGCATAGGTCCGCGAGCGGGGTCGAGGTCGAGGGAGGCTTGTAGATCTCTTTCTCCAGCTGGTTTCCACAGATCGGACAGCTGTTAGTCTGGGCAGGAGGGCAGAATCTGCATACTTTGAGATAGTCACACGAATAGAACTCCTTTTCCTCCGAAAGGCGTCCTAGGCAAATATCACAAAATCCATCATCATCCTGTGCCACGGATGGGGACTCCACGCTTGATTTTGCTCTTGATTCTGCGCTTGATTTTGCGCTTGATTTTGCGCTTGGTTCTTCGCTTGATTCTGCACTTGATTCCCTACCTGCTTCTAGGTTTCCAATTTTGCCATTAAGGAGGCCCCTGATCTCACGTAACTTCCTCTTCCGGGCCTCGAGAGCAGGGGTCAGCCCCCAGATGTCGGGACGGGATCCGTCAACCCCTGGCAAGTCGAGTAACAGTTGAACCATGTCCGAATGGCCTCCACAGACAGCATTAAACAGTGGTGTTCTTCCGTATCGATCTGGGGTATCCGGCTTTGCTCCAGCTGAAAGCAAAAGTCTTGCCATCGATGTGTGCCCTATGGCACTCACCATATGAAAAGCAGTTCGATGATAGACATTGAATTGATCAGGGCTGCTTTGTTCTTCAAACAAAGCCCTCAGAGCTACTTCGTGGCCACCTTCGATGTTTGCCGAGGGTAATTGTTGGGGTCCAGAGCACGGGGGGTTGGGGTTGGGGTTGGCATCTTTGTTTAAGAGCAGCCCTGACACAGACTCATGTCCGCCCAAAGAAGACCAGAACAATGGAGTCTGGCCAAATAAATCGAAGACATTGACCTTGGCGGCCTTGTCTAAGAGCATCATCACTATGGTCTTATTGCCTGTTTTTGCTGCGATGTGCAATGGTGTTTGTCTACTTCGACTCATGGTATCAACGCTGGCTCCCCGGTCTAGGAGAATTCTGACAGTTTCCACACGCTTTTTCTCGACAGCCAACTGTAATGGGTCATGTTGTCGTTGTTTCTGGCTTCGATGTTGGCCCCATAGTCCAATAAAAGCTTCATCGGTATCTCCCAGCCTTTCTGTGCAGTTCGATGCAATGGCGTTTCCCCATCCCTGGTCTTGACTTCAGTGCTGGCACCCTTGTTAAGGAGAAGCTCGAATGTGGCGTTGTGCTGTTTCTGATTGGTCCAATGGTAGAGAAAATATTCAGAAACCTTAAGTAGCGGCGTTTCGCCTTCGTCGTTGGCTATGTCGGGGCTTACACCCTTCTGCAAAAACAGTTTGACGACCTCCCAGTTGCCGTTTAACGATGCATCATGCAACGGGACCTCACCAGCCTTGGTCTTGCTTTCGGGGTTGGCGCCTCTGTCTAGGAGCGCCTTGACGACAGTCACAGTACCGTGCATTGCAGCCGCATGCAATACCGTCCTACCATCATCGCTCATAGAGTCGACATTGGCGCCTCTATCTAGAAGCAACGTGGTCATTGTGTCATAGCCCCTGCCTGCGGCGAGGTATAATGGAGTATAGTTGTTTGAATTTCTCATTTCAATGTCGGCGCCCTTGTCCAGGAGTATCTGGGCTATCTTTTCATAGTCTTCTTCCGCAGCCTCATGTAATGGTGATTTGCCATCCTTGTCTGGAAGATCAACCTTGGCGCCCATATTTAAAAGCAGCTTTACCACTGATTCACGCCCGTGACTTGCGGCCAGGAACAATGGCGTCTGTTTTCTCGAATCTTGAATGTTCAAATTGTTCGGGTTTGTCTCAAGAAGCTCTTGCATCAGATGCTCCAGATCAAAATAGGCCGCAATGTGTTCTGCCTTTATATCACTGGTTTTGGGGCTGGGTTTCCAATTCAGAGGCTCAAAGCCGCAGCGGTCATATCCAATCAATTTGGCTTCGTTCTGAAGAAATTTCAAGAGTATCGACCGGTCTCCAGGAGCTTCCCGGAAATGATGTCCCCAATTCAGAGAGGAGTAGGAGTAGAACGGGTATTCGACAGGGATTCGTTCAACCTCTTCTTTGGCCTCAAACCGGTCTTCCTCAAATACGTCGTATGACACGTATGTCAAACAGCTGTTCGTGATATCTTCCAGAATCTCGGGATACCAACTCTTCAAGGTGCGTTCAAAGTACTTTTGAGTGGTGTAGTGGACAAGTTTCACTTCGGTCGTTTGTTCATCGACAAGAACTAGACCACAGCAATACGAAGTCAATTGCTCAGCATCGGTGATATTTGTCTCATCAAATTCGGAAGTCTCAAGCTCAATCGCCAGGGCATGTTCAAGCTCGGCAGTCGTCAGAGATCTTTTAGCGTTTATGATCCATCCGATGGTTTTCTTCGCAAGGGCTGACGCATTTGCCCCTTGACGCTCGATTCTGCTCACAGTTTCACTATAGGCATGATCATAAGCGTTGGACTGAGAGCCAGTGCGAAACACTTCTAGCATTCTTCGAATCCCCTTTTCGTTCGATTCGTCCGAGAGAATATTTAAATAAAGCCAAGCAAGAAGAAACCTAAGACATATTAGAACCTCTTCAATGCGACTGCAGATAAATTCGTACATCTCTTTGGCTGCCTCGGTGATACCATCCTTGATTGCCTCCTTCAATTTCTCTCTTTTTCGAACAAAAGACGGAAGGTCATTCAAACGAACGTCAACGTAGTACTGAATGTCTTCACTGCTCGCTTGTATTTCCACGGAAGGAAACCCCTCAAAGTGAGCCACAATTTCCTGGTCTTGTCGGGAAGTCGCAAGGAGATTAAACCCCTCTTCTTTCTGTAACTGAACAAGCTCACGAATAAATGAATGGCGAACGGTGTGGTTACCATCAGAAATTGCACATTCATCAAGTGCATCGATCACTACAAAAGCTCTTTCGCACGAAGCAAGAACAGATCGTAATTCACCGAGTATCGCATCCTCCGAAGGAATGGTTGCTTTTGTAGAGTACTTTTTGTAAAATGATTTGACACTTTCCGGTATCGAGCGTTTTCGTTGTACGGCTTGTCTCAGAAGAGCCGAGTAGAGCTGAACAAGTGCATGCTGCTGCCGAAAATCACAAAAGAGATATGCGATCACGACGTCGTCTTGATTGGGAAACGTTTGCTCTAGATGATCAATGATTATTGATGAGAGGACTGTCTTTCCAGAGCCTGGGATCCCAGGACAGAAGAGAACCTGATTTTGACTGCTGATCCATCGCTGAAAGTCCTCTGTTTTCAGAAGCCATGTCCCCGTTCCCTTTTGATGAGAATTGAATACTTCGCTTTGCCGTAGTGACGGGCTCGATGGACTCAGCCAACTCAGGATCCTGTCGCGCTCATGATCTTCTTGTTTTTGATTAAGAGTTTGGATTTCATGCCTACTCTCCGAAATTCTATATTAGAAATAGAGACTCCTGACTGGACGAGTTGGAAGAATAGAATAAAATGGACTCGACATACTGGTTGGCCTTGCTTATTATGAGGTTCAGTAGAGAAATATTCACAACGATTCGAGATCGAAAATTGTTGATCTCTGCTTGGTCCCATCGGACCCTTTTCCACGCCTGGCGCACTTTGTCCGTCCAGTCTGGAGTTGAGTCCTTTGCGAAAACGTGAAATTTTCGTAGCCTAGAGTCAAGGTCCTGAAGAACATTGTCACAGTTCTGGATGACTTGGCTCACATCATCTTTCTGTTGTTTCAACTGCTCTTCATCAAAGCTGTCGATGCGGTTGAGAACAATAATAAGGGACTCGACCCTGCCATAAGTCAATAATATGTAATTTAACGATCCAAAGACCAAAACATACTCTTCCGTAATGGCTTTGTACTCCCTCGGTGCTTGCGCAAAGCGGCCTCGCAAGTCATTTGCTAACTGCAAGACCGCGAGGAAATCACCGACACCGAAGCCAAAGCTCATACTGTTACAAGGAGTAGATCAAGCCTTGAATCGGCGGCAGAATCTGGGAGCGGCTACTGAGAGAAACAATTAATGAGAGGACTAGGCATCTGTGGGCACAAATATTCCACGAGCCGCTAGAAGCGGGGGCGGCTGAGTTGAGCAGCCCAACAACGATTACGCGACAAACCAGTGAGGGAATTGACCCAGACACTTTAAATAGCTCATCATCACTACAGCGACACGGACCAACGTCAACGGCCCGAACAATAAGTTAAGCAAAGCTACCAAGACTAATATCAGCAGAGTAATGAGTTATAAGAGAGGATGCAGTAGGAAATGTCAAGATTAGTGCTGCCACCCAGTGCTCTGGCTCCCAAAGTACAATTGGAAGTATTCGACAACTTGTCTACTTGACTGTCTGTATTTAACATAGCTCCCAAGCGAGCCGGCTACCCCAAAATACCACATGTCCACCTGTGGTGTCGTGACCTTATGATTGATTGTTAAGATCACCCACCCCGTACCAAGGGACGGTGGTGATCGAGGTGGGGTAGCGAGGTTTTAGGTGTACTAAAGTTACAAGTGGATACGGCCTTTTGTATAGTGTGATTACTCCTGTGTCAGGAACAATAAAAGTTCCGCGGACCGGGGCACTCCGGAAAACTTCTACTATAGACTGGTCTGTCTTGGTATTCAAAGATTGGAAAACTGAGATATGCTAACAAGTAATATTACACTAAGATAGGACGAAACAAACCACAGATACAACACGGAAACATGAAACGAGAGTAGAGTGATATTATAGCGCAGCTGTAGGTCATGTACAGTACCGCCTCCTCTTCATTGCAAAATCTAGCCCCATACGCCTTCCTTAAAGTAGCCCGCCATATCCCCAAGTCCATCTTTCTCCTCTTCCATCTCGCCATTCCCCAAACACCAAAGCCGGTTGACGGATGTATACTTGATGTGGAAGTCTTCACCACCGATTCTCTCCAACGCATTCTTAAAGTGGCTCGTCGTTCCTGGATAAACACCCCTGACTTGGCCGGATGTCTTGTTATTCTTGTACCAGCTTCGACACGAGTCTCCCCAGGCTGTGCGCTTGAGGTATTCCTGTGCCCAGATGTTGTAGTCTTCTACGGATTTTTTTTCGGTCTTCAATTGACCTATACTAATCAGCACGCGCCCTCAAAACACTCACAACTAAGTTAATACTTACTTGATACCTTCCGTGGCAATCCTCCGAGTCCATCTTATGATGTAGTCGCATGTAAAAGTGACCGCCGCTAGAAGAGACCCGTGCGATACAGGGAAATTAGGCCCGGTAATCCAGAAATAATTCGGCAGCCCATCAACCTGAACAGCGAAGAATGCTTCAGGGTCATTCTTCCATCGTTCCTCTAGACTGTTGCCGTCAGACTGTTGCCATCTCGCCCGATGAGCTTCCACCGGGGAAGCCACGAGGTGTTGAATCCAGTGGCGCACACAACAAGATCAAAATCTTCTTCTTTTCCATCGCTTGTTTGTCTCCCCGTCGTCTTTGATCTTCGTGATCGGTTCCCAGCACAGTGTCGTGTTTTTATTTGAGAATGCTTCGAGGTATCCGTCACCCGGAGGGATCCATCGACATCCAGGTCGAAAATCGAGAATAGCCAGAGTGGACACAGTGCCCGGTCAAGTTATGATATGGATACACGGCTTACTATGATCGTGTAAGGGAAGGGGACGATGATACGAAACTATCTAGATTGAGGATGGGCCTGATATGTATGAGACGGATCTTCAATGGGCTGGGCTGTTCGAGCCGAGTAGTATATATCACGATAGACACGCGGGAGATCAACATTCCAGTAAGCCTTGTACGCCGAAGTAATTGTAATATTTGAACAATGAATGATTGAATTATGAACAAAAATTTATCATTGGGTATCACTCACCCCCCAAGCAGCATGAAAACCATTATCCCAACCCAGCCGCAAACAAACCCAATCGTCAAAATCGAAGCCCCCGCCTTGTCACCCCCCGTAATCGTACTATAATGCGGCGAAGTGCTCGTACCCTCCTCGCCAGCATTCGGGTTGCTCTTACTATCTCCTCCCGTCTTCGCCGTAACCGGTCCCACGGTACCAGTCGCGTATTTCAGCAAATTCGCACTGAACACTTGACTGGCACTAATCTCCTCCTCCATGCCTGTCCATCCGTCCCATTTGGATTGGTACCAGCGCACGCCGCAGGTGTTGTTTCCGTTGCCCGTGCAAGACGCGCCGGCCGCGGTGCCGGAAGCTTGGAGTTTCGGCCAGATCTGGTCGGCGGTTTGAGGGACCAGGATGGCGGTGTAAGAGAGCCATTGGGATGTGAGGCCTTTGAAGAGGATTTCGTTGTTGTTGCAGATTTCGCGCGGTTCGCAGGTGATGTCTTCGAGGATGTTGTCGTGGGGGAAGAAGGTTTTGAACATGGTCCCCAATAGGCCGTTGGTTGCGTCGAGCCATTTTTGGTCGCTCGTCTGGGCAAGTCAGTAAATCGAGGTTCGGGGACGAGCTGGGACAGGAGACTCACGTAGTTGTACATATAAGCAGCGCCCATCAAGTAGATGCCGTAGTTGTACGTCCACTGGACGTTGCCAGCATTGGCGCAGTTGTCCGCACATTGTGTCGAATCGGCCACGTTCCAGGTCTGGTTGTTCACCAACGGTGAGGAAACAGACCAATCCCACGCCTTTTCTGCCCAGGTCAGATACTCGGCGCTGCCGGTGTATCGGGCCAGTCGCGCAGCGAGCTGGAAAAATCCACCGTTCGACACCGCGTTCTTCATCGTGTATCCGGCTTGGTAGACGAAGATTTGCCAGCGCAGTCCACCACCGCATGAGCTCGTATCCCATCTAGCCTTTTGCGTGTTGAAGACACCCTGTGCGAGGGAAAGCCAGGAATATCCGGAACTCCGATCGGGGAATTTCAACTCGGCGGCGCTCATGGCTGCTAGACCCCAGAACATTTGGTCGTCATTTCCCTGTCATGTAGTTAGGACACGCCATTCGTTTCTTCCCGTTGTGATATCCTCACCAGATAACTACTGTAGTTACTCGGCATGTAGTCTCCCTTGCTCCCGCCTTGCCATTGCAACCCGACGCTGACTTCATCGTTGTACGTGGTGTCTCCGGTCGTATGCCAATAGTTGAGAGCGGCGGCGAATAGAGCCGATCCTTCCCACCACTTACTGGGGAAGGCTCCGGGGATTTGGCCGGTCTCGTTGCCGTGGTACCACATGAACGCTCCGTAGGTCGCATCGCTGGCGGCACTTTTTAATGAATCTGTTGATGGAGGGTTAGCCAGGCCGGCGTCGGAAAAGGCGTCCCGGTAAAACACAACACATACCGGGCGAAGTAGCATCCACATCAATGGCATGGGCCTGAGGGACCAGCACCGACAGGTGCAGGAGAACTGTCCATAATGACTGTGCGCTTAACCGCATCGCCGGGGGAGAAAACGAGTCTGCGACGGCGTAAAACGAGGGTACGAAAGGCCGTATAGCGTGGAAGACAAACAGACCAGGGCGTCCGCGGTCATCAATCGAGATCAGAGAGAGTGGCGGGGAGTTGGAGGAGAGAACTGCATCTCCGACATTATGTCACCACATGGCTGGAAATTAAGAAGCGCACCCTGATTCTCCCTGAAAAAGTGGAGCAGAAAGCACAACGCCCACCCAACTTACAACAGGGTCTGTGCTGGCCCACATACGCGGCTGATATTGCTTGGTGTGGTGGAACCCCTGTCTCGTCGTACACATTAGTCGGTTGATGATCGGAGGGCGGTGCGATCACGTCAAAATTCGGCGATCGACAGGAGAGGCCCTTATTATCTTCTGCCTATTCACCACCCTGTGATGGTGTACTGTAATTATCCTGTGTCTTTCCTTTCCATTCAATCCCGAAACCACGGCCGGGCTGTGGGTGTGTCCCACTCATTCCAGCGACTGCAATTGCACACAATCTTTGAAATTATGGGTCGGCATCAGCCGGATGCAGAGACAGATCCCGGTGTGTATGAAATGCACAACATCGATATCGTGCTCGAGGACGAGCTACATGGGATTTCCGATCTACTCTTGGTTTACATTCTCCCACGGAGTGCAGTTCACGCGATCGAAGGTTGTATAATTCGATCGATTTTCCGCTGTCGATCACTTGCCCAATACGGTAGTGGATCCTGACATCATCCGGCGAAGCTTTGGACCGTGATTGGCGGCCTGCCCTGACGGACTTGGCAGTGGCCTTTAAAAGCTTGCGTGTACACTTGAAACTTCCCTGTGCCGAGATCCGTGGGGTTCTGGGGTTTCCCCCTGAGACCCCCTGAGACCCCCCGAGACCCCTATTATTAGCAACGATACTCTAGGGAGGCGAATCATTAGGAAATTACACTCCGACGTGGTGATCGCGAATAGATCGCCCATAGCCTTCGGGGAGGGCGTCTTCAAGAATCAGCGATCTGGCAACCAGCTCTGATGGATGGGCGAAAATCCTGTCAATGTGGTGGGGTAGGTCATCCGTGTGGGAAAGTAATCCCCCCTTCACGCATCTGCACTCGTGCGAACCTACGTATCTTCCGGTCGTTAAAAAACGCGTCTGGATGACCAAGTCACCGGTCGGAATGTTATCCAGGCTCATCGTCGACTCGGCAGAGAGTGTAGGCAATTGCGAGTCGGGTGAGATCACGCTCCCACCTCCTTGCATGGATCACGAGACGAAGTGCACCGGAGAGTGGTGAAATGATGCTCAGGGGTGCAGCCAATGGGATGGCCGGCCCTTCCTCTACTGTACGCTTATCCGGGAGCTAGATTGCTATCGGACCTCTCGCTTGTAGACAGGGCTCGGCCCGATTATTAGATTGCTTGGCACTCGGCCTTGGCCCCGAAGGATGGGCCCAGTCAAATGACCCTCTCTCGAAGTAGATAGACCGACACTCATTCTAGACTCATGGCTACGATTGTTTGAAGTGGGTCCTGTGGTGAATAAAATGGTTCCCATAAATACGAACGAGTCTCATAAATACAAACGAGTAGCTCACGAGAGCGGGTATCAGGTGCTGATGCTGCCGATGGTTGGGGAATAGAGCAGAACTGTTTTCAAAACCTCAAGACATTTCATCTGTTCGTTCTCTCAACTCAACTTTCCGTTGCCGAGTTAATCATTTCGTCGATGTTTTCTTTGATCTTCACGTAGCCCTCGTCAAGACTCGACCCGAACTTGATCATATCCCCATGCGTGGCATCGATCAATATGGATGGAGTGAGCCGTTGTGACATGGACGGATTGTCCTTCAGATCCCGGATCAGTAAAGATGAAATTGAACAGGAGTGGGTCATGTCTTACCAGGGATGGGGAACTGAGGCTTTCGTAGGCGTAGAGAGTTTTGAACTTCGTGCCGAGTGCCGAGTACTGTTGCAATACGTCCAGCATCCAGCGAGCTTCTTTCTGTGCATCAGTCTGCTCAGTCTCGGCTGTGACGTTGCTGTCCAGCAAGGCCTGGAGCCCGGAGAGCCTGGATTCTAACTCGGGCGTTCCCATGAAAATTACACCATGAGTTGAGAGGCTGATGTTGCGGAGACAGAGTGTCCGACCTTCTCGTGAATTGTGAGAGAACAAAAGAGCCTAGAGATTTTCTTAGCATGGACAAGACTCTCGTTGCAGGGAATGGTCCGTACGCTTTTGACAATAGTGCCCCCGAAACTATGGGCTATGAAGATGATCGGACGGGAGAGTGTCTGCATCTGTCAGTTTCGAGTCAAGGTCAGAAGTGCACATGGTGTATCATACTCCAGTCATTTTTCTCATCGTGAACAGCTCCGACACTAGTCTCTCGGAAGTGTCTTGCGATGTTTCAGGGTCGTCGGTGTATGTCGAAGCATATCCCCACGTGTGGATTCTCGTGTTGGGTAAATCAACGGGAAGTAGACTCTGAAGCCAGTTGACGCCACTCTCAGTCGTCCATGATTTCTCGCGGTGGCCACCCTGCCCATGAACCGCCACAATACTATCAAATATCAGCTCGGCTTCTCTGGGGGTCGGGGTGTTGGTACATACTCCACCTGTGGGGTTTCACCTTCGTATAACAGTTTCAAGCCATCTTCTGCGGTGTTGGAAGTTTGATTGATCTGCGAGGTGTCAATATCGGGCTGAAACCGGGCTTTACCCCTGACATGACTCTTACAGGTTGGTTTGTTGACTCGGACCGTCTGAACGGCCAGCACGTATATGAGGACATTGAGAACATCACGACACCCAATCACTCGACACGGAACAGAACGAGAATCTCAGCTTGAGTCAAAACTGCAAACAAGATAGGGAGATCGCCCGGAATGAACCACAACGTCCAAGCCGCGTTTATCTAGTCAGACGCCAAGACCCCGCTGCGGGGAGGCCACAATGAGCTATTATGTCAGCGCGTCACAACGGGGGAAAAATTGGCGAGCTTCTGACACTACATTATAATACAACCTCGGCTTCCTTTGTCGTGAGATTTCCTTATGGCTCCAAACCAAGTCGAGGCGGCATGTGCCCCCGACTCCAAAATCAACCATGCCGCTTCCATCAACTACTGGAGCAGTCTTCCAAGCACCGAGAGTAATATGCTCGGCATGCTCGGCACCTATCCCTGGTATACTCGCATTGAGCTGCAAGGGTCGAAGAACTTTCTCTCCAAGGTTCGTCGGCTAGTCCCGGCCATCACCGGTAAATTCAGTCGAGGCGTCGACTGTGGCGCAGGTGTCGGCCGCGTGACGGAGGGTTTCCTCCGCCACGTCTGTGAAGTTGTCGATGCGGTAGAGCCTGTGGAAAAATTCACCAAGGTTTTGGAGGAGGGCAAGTTGAAAGAAGAGGGCGTTATCGGGGATGTTTACACTGTCGGTCTGGAGAATTGGTTCCCGGCGAAGAAGTACGATCTGATTTGGACCCAGTGGTGTGTGGGTCATTGTACGGATTCTCAATTGATTGACTACATCGCAAGATGCCGTGATGCTTTGACTGAGAATGGTGTCATGGTGATCAAGGAGAATCTGTCTACCGATCCGCAGGGCCAGGATATGTTTGACGACGAGGACAGCAGCGTCACGAGGACGGATGCGAAGTTCAAGCACATCTTTGACGCCGCCGGGATGGATGTGATCAAGTCTGAGATCCAGACTGGCTTCCCTAAGAATTTCAAACTTCTACCGGTCAAGTCATATGCGTTACGACCAAAGGTTTGAGTGTCGATGAGTGCTCACCAATATGTACGTTTCACCTCGGCAACGAATTTGTGAAAGCATCTCTCCAGCCAGCCTTGCTCCATGAGACTCGGTCTTTGTCATCTCCGGCACCACACATTTGGTCTACGAGTATTCATCCGAATATCCGGGTCAGCTCCTCTGCCTCAATGGACATTCCATCCGAGTCTTGTCAGATGCCAGACCTGAATCTTGCAGCATTCAAAATGTTCAGTGTCTAGGGGAAATAAGGCACCATTTGCACGCTCTTTAATTCATGAAAGTGCCATCTATTCGCTATCAATGCATATCAAAGTGCATGGAAGCAGTTCGCAATGGACAGAACTTGAATCCGCGTCAATCACACAGTGACATTAATGTTAAATATCTACTTTTCATGGTCCGCGTAACTACTCGCTGCTCTCAGCCTCGCACCATACCTCCACAAAATGAACGGAAGAGGACACCCAAGACTCAAAGCCACAAGCGCCAAGAGACTATTGCCCCATCCATACCCCAAATTCGAATACAAAGTCGGACTAAACAAAGGAAAACCGAACCCCGCCAATCCTCGAACAATATACACACAACCACTCGCGCTGGCAGCGTACACTGGATAAGTATCCAAAAGGTAAGCATTCACGCACTGAAAAACGACAGTGGCGCCTAACAACGGCAGCGCAACACCGATATCAGGCAGTATCCAATGCGTCTTGTACTCCGCACACCAGCCATACCAGAGAAGCCCGATAGGAACCAGCAAAGATGAAGGAATCATCATGGGAAGTCTGAACTCGGGTTTCCCTACGCCGTTATTTCGGTTCACTTGGTACCGATATACACGGTCTGTAAGAAGGGCGCAAATTAGGGCTCCGAGGAGATACCCGATACAAGGCGCGACGTAGTTCAGTGTCCCTGTGCTCAGTCGCATGTGGTATCGGTCGTTCCACAAGTCGGAGAAACTGGCGAGGAGGAGGTAGACTAGTCCGAATAGATAGCCGTAGAAGCATGCTAGTGCTTGCACGATTGGCTGTGTGCCCAGGAAGTATAGACACCGGAATAGCGTTCGTCGGTAGAGCTGGATGAACGTCTCGCCTTCTTTTTCGTATGGTGTTTTCCAGACGAATGATTGTTCTTTTTTCATGTTGACCGCGTGTTCCATCATTGTCTTTTTCTTCCGCTGGAGGAGAATGGGTGCGTAGGTTTCTCGCGCTGTTATGAAGCTCAGAACTAGAAAGACTCCCACGGCTATGGACGTGGCATAGAATGCCCAGCGCCAGTCGGTGTACTCGGCTATGTATCCGCCAGCGAGAGGCCCTAGACATGATCCTAGGATTGGACCCATCTGGCACACGGCCATGGGTAGTCCGCGCTCTTCCTTTCGGAATACATCACCAACCATACTGGCTCCGACCTATTTCATAATTAGATATTGAACCGTCGTCTCGACCATGAAAAAGAAAAACATACAGCCAAGGAAGCACTCCCGCCAGCTCCACTGAGTAGCCGGAATACCAACAGCTGGGTCATGCTCCTCGAGAACCCAGCCGCAGTATTAAAAGCAAGATAAATCACGCTACCGGTCTGGATAATCGGCCATCTGCCGTGTAGCTCACTCAACGGCCCAACAAAGACCGGTCCAAGACAGTACATAAGCAGGAATAGGGATAGAGCCATTGGTCTCAAGGCAGGGGACGTATGGAATTCTTCCCCGATCACATCAGCAGCGGGCGCAACTATCGTCGATGATAGTGACATCAAGAACATTGATATCGCTAGTGTGATCATGATTGACCATTTTCGGAGTTTGGGCCAATCTTGCGGGTGGTCTCCCTCGAATTCAACCATTATTACTTCGGGTGAGGAAGCCATTGTGGTTGGATTTTGGGGTCTGTGGAAGAGACTTTGACGTGAATTTTCACTTTATATCAGAGCGATGGTGGTGATTGTCCCTGCCATCGGCGTTCAACGACGGGAGCAAGTAGATTGCAGGTTCGTGAAGCCAGTAACCTTGTCGTGCATATAATCGCTAAGAATTTTTCTGGATTGGACAGCTGGGCAGACAGATGTGAGTATATCTAGCTCCATCACAGTGAGACCTTGGGTGCCTAGGTTCGTTACCTTTATACCTTATCTTGGGCTGAGATGAACATCATGTTCACCCCTTGACGTGACGTGTGCTCGCAGAGACACTTCGTAAGCCCGGCTTCCTATCTCGGTATTGGATAGTCTGGTTTGCTGAATGAGGCATGATCGCCATTCTTCTAGATATCCCGGAATGCCACAAGGTCTGTGATGCACCTCTCAAGATAATCTTGGAGTTGGCTATGTTGACCAAATTGAGAAATATCGATCAATGCGAGGAAAATATAAAATACTGGGCTGGTAGAAATCCTGCCATTGAAGCGTAAGTACATGGTCGACTCGTTGTTGCGAGCAAACAGGCCTCATCTGGGCCAGCGGAATCCTGGCTCTTTCTCGGGTATGTGTCGTTTAGCAGCACGTGGCAATTGCTTAAACGACCATATTGAAGAGTATAAATCTTGAATTTAGATGCATTTGTTACGTGATATTGAATTGCCGTTTTTAGTTCACCGAGCTGGATCTTCGGATGAGTCACTTGCGGCGGCATCATGAACAAAATATCTTACAAAATCATCTTCGTTCTTCATATTCCGTTTGTTTTATGAGTAGACAATCTCTTTCTAAACCTACATCGGAACTCCAGTCATGAGCCAAGGCAATATCATCATTATCGGGTGAGCATCACAGCGGGTCATTAAGCATCAACAACACACTCACCATCCCAGCGCCGGCGTCCTCGGCCTCAGCACCGCAATCCAGCTATCCAGATCTGGTCACAAAGTAACCCTTATCGCCCGCGACCTACCCGGCGACTCAACAATCGACTACGCATCCCCATGGGCCGGCGCCCACTTCCAACCCTCCCCCGCAAAGACCCCCGCTGAACAACTCGAGCAGCAGCTCATGCAAGAAACCTACCGCGAACTCGATGCCATAGCGCAAAACCACCCCGAAGCGGGCGTGGCATTCATCCCGGCCGTGGAATACTTCGACTCAGCAGACCCGGACTCCTTCCTGTCCAAGGAAAACGGATACATCAACTGGCCGGATTTCTCCATCATTGACAAGACGCAGTATCCCCCGAACCATGACATTCAGATGGCTGTTACGTACCGCAGCTGGGTTCTGAATTCCCCGGTGTATCTACTGTGGTTGCAGAAGCTAGCCAAGGAACTCGGTGTCGTGATTATTCGATCCCAGCTCACGGCCCTCGAAGACGCCGTCCCCATCTTCCGACATGCATCAGATAACCACGTGGGTCACATTTCGGCCGTGATTGACGCAAGTGGCCGCGGCTTCAATGATCCGGACTCCTACCCGTCTCGTGGCCAGTTCGTTATCGTCGAGAACGAGTTCGATATGACTGTTAGTCACCACTGGGCTGATGGGTCGTCTACTGTTGTTGTGCCCAGGCCGTTTGGTGGAGGGACTGTTGTTGGGGGTACGAAGGAGCCTGGTAATTGGTACGTGGATTGAGGCATTTGCTGCGTTGAAACTGCTTAACGGACTAACTATGGCCAGGTCGGAGGAGATATCTGATTCTGATACTGAGATGATTCTTAAGAGGGTTAAGAATATTTGTCCTGGCATTGTTGGGCAGGATCCTGCAAAGGAAAATGTCCTTGGCTTTCAGATTCGTCAGGTCTATGTGGCCAGGCGTCCCATGCGGCGAGGTGGGTTGAGATTGGAACAGGACGTTGTGGGTATTCAAAGTCCTGGAGATGGTCGGCGTGTTCCCTTGATTCACTGCTACGGTGCTGGCCAGAGCGGATACAAGATCAGTTGGGGAGTAGCCAAGAGAGTAGAGAGTCTCATCGCTGATCTCAAATAACCGAGGGCGACAGACGGTAGGTTTTGAGCTTGACTGTTCACATCTGATACTTGCTTCGTAGTCCACATACATATGGAAGCGGGTTTGCCAGAAAACAGGGATCAATTGCTATATGTACCATCCATCCCATCTTCATTAATTGAAACACCTGGTATTATGAATAGAACATGCACTGGGCTATCACGTCCCCATTGCCACAGTAGAGCCTTTTTTTTCTCTTGGTTTTCTCTGTAATGGACGTCGCTTCTAAAAACACAAAAACTCCCTTTACACCTACATGTCGCACTCAATAGGTACAAATGCGAAGAGCGGCTACGTCTCGGCCTCGCCACGGCGCAGTGCCAGCAGTGCCCGGACGTCCGTGACATATTGCAATGCCTCGAACATCGGGATCAGATGCAAGAGGCCGTTGTCCGTGGGATCGTTGATCCAGCCCTCGATGGGAATGGCGTTGTCTGGATGGATTAGCAATGAGATTAACTTGGTTGGAGAAAGGTGACATACCCTCGTGGAAGATATAGCTCATCGGACTGTTGTCCAGGATCATCACCTTGCTCAGATCGGGTTCCACGGAACTCAGGTCTTTGATGTACGCGCCATTGCGGAGCGTGCAGTGCTGCCGGTAGTAGCGGGCCTGGAAGTACTTCCGCTCCTGCTCGAGCCAGTCGATCACGGGGTCGGCGTACTCCTGAACACTCGCCGTAAAAATCACAAGTTTATACCATTTGCAGATCTTGCGCAGGAAGTCGTCACAGTGCGGTCGCTTGTGTACATAGTACAGGATGGGGTGCTGCGGTCCCAGCGTAGTCTGCGGCCCGCCAGGTGTCAGAGCGGTGGTCATGGGCATCGAGAGCTTCACCTCAACCATGTGGCCGCTGGACATGCGGCCACCCTTGGCGAGCGAGTGGATGAGAGTCTCGTCGAGATCCAAAACCAAGGTCTTCTGCGGGAGCTTGGCATTGCGAGGGGCAGCTGTATATGAAGGCAATCGTTGAGGGAGAAGAGGTCGCGGCGGTGTTGGAGAGTGCGGGTATTTGGTAATGCGATGAACAGATGGAGAGGTAGGGGACTTCAGACTATCCAGGTTGACGCCGGCCTGGACCCGCGCCACTCCCTCGGGCATCGGATGCCCCAGGTCCGCGCTCGCCGTCCGCCGTTGTCGTTGCCGCTTGAGAGATTCCTCGTTATGCAGCTTGATCCGTATAGACCGTCGTGGTGTGCTTTCGTCCTCCGGTATGGATTCTACGTCGTGGTCCTGGGTCTTGTTCGGCCGTGCCTTCCCGCCGCTTGTGAGGCTTTGGGAATTTCGTCGGTCGCCGTCGGATTCGGAGGTAGAAGAGCGTATAGATTCTTGCGATGACCGGGGTTTCAACTTCCGGGTGGAGCCACTTCGTTGTCGTCCTTCTATTCGAGAGGCTCCTTGATTCGACCGGATCCTTTTATCGGTAGACGTTCTCCAAATTTTTCTCACAGGGGTCAGAAGCGAGTATCGTCCATCATCGTCTAGGAAGCATTGAGCCACGTATATGCCGGGGGCAGCAAGCGTTGATAGAATGAAGTGGATTGTTTCCGTGATCGCATCAAATATGCGCTTGGTGAGAAGTCGCCAAGAGCTCTTAGTTACGAGCGCGCTATCATGCTGGATTTCGTGTAGTAAAGGTGACTTTTCGTCAAAACCGTGCGTCGTGTCCTCGTCTCTGCTGTCTTCCGCGAGTGATACGGTACCATCATAGCTCTTCTCAGAGTCGGTTCTCGACCGGTAGTTGTCTGTGCTGTAGGACCGGTGCTTCGCGAAGTCGCCCGGTAGGGCGTCGCGTTGTCTTTCGCCCTGGGATCGTGATCGTGGACGTGGCGAGCTGGAAGTCTGGCCAATGACTCTCGAGGACAGGATGTTCAGTGAGTTCATCTTCCAACGAGGCTCACGGGAGACAGGGGCGCGGGGGATCTAAAGATGGGGCAGATGAGCGAAGTCGTCAAAAGCACTTGGATCGGTCCATCGAGGTTGGGTAGGATCGACGTCTTCAAAGGGAGGGGAGGGGCATCGCAAGGAGGCGTAAGCTGGACAGCTTGTGATTCTACTGACCTCAATGCGCCAGTCCACCCGTGCCTCGGGACTGAATCCGCAACTCCAGTCCAATTTCTACCGCGGATGTGCAGGGAGCGACCGCAATAAACCGAAGCTGACAAATAAAATCAGATCAAACAACAAAAACGAAAAGCAATGATCGTAGAATAGAAGAAGGCAAAGGCGAAGAGGATCCAAAGTGTGGGGAAGCGGACAACGTTGAAACGGGAGATTGAAACGGCAGAAAATCGGTATCTTTTTGAGTCACCCACTGTGCCCTCACGCTCTCTCCTCCCTCAAGTCTCACGAGAAAGAACCTGGTTTAGAACCGAAGGTACGTGGATTCCTTCTGAACTGCTCATGCTCATGTACAAATCCTCTTACCCTAACACTGCTCTACAGGACGGCTCTGCTCCGGTCATCCCACTTCCACATGCCTTCCACGTCCGTGGCCCTCACGCCGGGCCTGGCGTCTTTTCTCAAATCCCTCAATACGAATCCGATCGATACCTCTATCGAAAACCTGATCTCGTGCGTGTCTTGGCCTTGGGATTATTGTGCATCTACAAACAAACACATAGCTAATATAGGCATGTTTCTTTCAGATTGCTGAAGCGCCGTCAAATCCGCCATTCTCGATCATGCGCCACCGCAACCGCCTACTTGCTTTTGCGAGTGGTTTCAGCATGCCGTACATCCGATCCCGTGAAGCTCATTGAGCGGGTACAGAGCGTGGGCAGGCGCCTGATCGCTGCGCAGCCGCGGGAGATGGTGGTGGGGAACATTGTGCGACGAGTCCTCGGTCTCATTCGCGAGGAGGCAGAGGGTGACCACGATGCTGAGTTCGCACTTAGTGAAGCTGGGTCAGAGAGTCAGCCCCAGACCCCTCGAGGTTTTGACGGTCAGTCGCGATATTTGGATATGCTCGAAAACGCTGGCTCACCCAGTATGAACAGATTCCTCACTACCTTTGGACCGAGATGTCCTGCGGCCCGATGCGGATAGAGCTGCCAGTCGACCTCCCCTCACATCCATGTTCAGTCTCCTTTCTCACCCGGTCGAAGATGACTCCCAGCCGAGCACACCGGGCACTCAATCGCCAAGAGGTCTTCCCGGCCACGGTCCTGCCAAAGATGTGCGCGCAGAGGTGCTGGAGGGTATCAATGAGATCACCGACGAGCTGGACCAAGTAGACGACCAGATTTCGTCCTATGCATTGGAGCACATCCACTCCAATGAAATTATTCTCACGCATACCTCTTCAACAACGGTGCAAAAGTTCTTGCTCAAGGCCGCGTCCAAGCGCAAGTTCACTGTTATTCACGCCGAGTCCTTTCCCAACAATCACGACGCTACACATGCCACTGTCAGCGGTAATTCCCCCGCCGACGATGAAAACCTGAGCTTCGAAGCTTTCCAGAAGCCGCTGATCGCCCTCGGCATCACCGTCATCCTCATTCCAGACTCAGCAGTCTTTGCTCTTATGTCTCGCGTCAACAAAGTCATTCTGGGCACCCACTCCGTTCTTGCCAACGGCGGTCTCGTCGCCGCTGCTGGCACCCGGGTCATTGCCCGCGCTGCCAAGGTTCATCAGACCCCCGTCGTGGTCGTCAGCGGTGTCTATAAACTGAGCCCCGTTTATCCCTTTGACTTTGACTCGCTCATCGAGTATGGCGACGCCAGCAAGGTCCTTCCTTTCGAGGATGGAGACCTCGTCGACCAGATTGATGTCCAAAATCCCCTTTACGACTATGTTCCTGCGGAACTGGTTGATCTCTACATCACCAACCTGTATGTTTCATCCCAAGATTGTCTCTTTGATTGCTTGACTAATTTTTCTTTACAGTGGCGGCCATGCCCCGTCTTATCTCTACCGTATTGTGTCTGATCACTACCGGAAGGAGGATATTAGCTTCTAAAAAGGTCGAAGGAAGAAACGAAGTTGGAGTTGCTAGTTCATTGACACATGGAGGAATGGGAGTCAATGTTCGAAACGATACCCGAGGAACGAGCGCGACGATTGCTACGAGGGAGTCTTAAGGGGTTTCTCTAGGATTGAAGATAGACATAAAATTACATATCATATTCAAGGCTCAATTTCAACTTTCATGGTTTTCGCTACGTACCTAGATAGGTAGCTGGCGGATCCTATTTTTGTGGTAAGCATACTGCCTAAGTGTCCTGGTGTGTCCAGGTAATGGCCGATTTTTCAAGGGTATCCCAAGCAAATTATCATTTTATAACCTGGAAGGTAGCAGAGACAATGATATATCTTCCAATCTATCTATTTATCTTGCCTTCAAAGCTTAAATGCTGAGGCTTTGCTATGTATGGCTCGAGCAAATGGTTATATATTTCGGATCCTCGGAATATTTGACGAAACCGTCCAACTTCCAGGGCTTCCAACTTCCAGGGCTTTGAAAGAACAGGTTGATCTTGCATCATTACTAAGATAAAGTGTTGTAGTCTAAATAATAGAATGATGTTTCCTACCTTGGAAGGTTGCCTTGCCTGGCCACCTTGCCCATGTGGAAGGCAGGTAGGTACGTGCATCGGGAGATAGGCCGCCTCAAGGTGGATTGGGTGGATATAGTTCATCTGCACCGAGATCTGGACTCAGATCGAGTTGGCCCCAGCCCTGAAGAAGGCGCTAATGGTCCATATTTAGGAGTGCTACAGTCTACCCAGGTAGGTATAGGACCAACGAACATACTACGAGAACAACAGGTCGGACCCGAATATGAAAGATCATAGCGCCATCTTTTTTTGGAATTGTATCAAATCGTGGTAATTCACAACGTCATTCCAGACGAAAGCCCGCCCGGGTGGTATTCCCAAAAAAAAACTTTCATGAAATTCAGGCGCTGATGAGGCGGGCTTCCTGTCCGACACGGCTCCTCCCCAAAAACCCCGTCTGCATTTTGCTTTTGACTTTGACTCGTTTAAGAGCGGGGCTTCTCCTTCTTCTCCTTCCACAGAGCGGCGAGACCGACACCGGAGACCTTGACGACCTTGAAACGGACACCGGGAATATCACCCTTGGCCTTACCCTTACGACCGAAACCGGCCAGGAGGACCTCGTCGTTCTCATCGATGAAGTTCAAGCAACCGTCATTGGGGACTGTAGAAGCGGAGAGTTAGCACAATGTGCCTGGAAGGGATGGGGGATGTAGTTCATGACATGACCGTGGCTCGGGGCCACCAATCATTCACCATCCCCGGGTTCAGGATACAGGGTACGCACCGAAAGCAGCGACCTTCTTGCCGTTCTTGATCAACTGGACCTTGACACACTTGCGAATAGCGGAGTTGGGCTGCTTGGCCTCAACACCGACCTTCTCAAGGACGATACCCTTGGCGTGGGAAGCACCACCGAAGGGAGAGGACTTGTAGGCGGTACCGAGGAGGCGCTTCTTGAAGTGCAGGTCGGCCCAGCGCTGCTCCTTGCGGTGAGCCTGGAGCTTGCGGGCGGCGTTCAATCCACGGGGCTTTCCTTTACCCATATTGACGGATTATTGACGGTCTGAGGCGAGAAAAAAATAACGTTAGTTTTCGATTCTGTATTCCTCCGATAGGCGGCTGGTATCGTGGTGTGTTCGATGGATGGATGTAGGTTGAGGGCTGGAGGGAGGACGCTGGAATTTTTGTGCGTGCAGTGACAACTTGAGGGTAGTCGAGTCTCGCACACACAAGGGAATTCCAGGTATTTTCTCTCGATGCAAGGCACTGTAGTGATCAGGGATCGAATACGTACCGACGGAAAATGGGTGTTGTCGCCAAAGGCTGAGGGTCGTGGGGAGGTCGAAAAGTCGAAGGTTCGGATTCCTTGAATCGGCCGGCGCACTCGCTTGCTTGGGACGCTTTCTCACCTGACTTTGTGCGCTTGCCCTAAGCGAGTCACGGGATCGGACAAACCCCCACCCGCATTATGTCAGCCGGCCTTATCGCCTTATCGGTATCAACATGAGCTCTCTCTTCCGGAGGCTACATCATAACCTCTTTGCCGCCATGAATCCCTTGAAGAGGCAGACCTCTCAGCGGCTTCCACCGCCAGCTCTTTTCCAAGGACCACCGTCACATAATGCATCAAATATCTCCCTTTCCGTACCACAACCAGCCTCTACACTTGCGACTCCCTCGGGTGGTCAGCCTCCAAACCTCCAACGAAAGCGCTCCCGTGATGGCGACAGTGTGGAGAATCGTGGCTTTTTATCGCCGTTCATGTCAAGGCGCTCGTCCAAGTCTGAAGTGGATGGGTCCGATGCCATCTGGCAAGAGATGCAGACCGCCCTTTCCGAGGTGGAATTGAGCGCCGTGACAAGCGAGCATGTCTTCGGCGAGAAACACGCCGAAGCGTTGGAGGACCTGCGCATGAAACAATTGAGGCTCGCGCAGGCGTGGGCACGCAGTGAAGCAGATGAAGAAGTTGTCGACTCCAGCCACACCACCACTGAAGGAGATAGACGAGCCTCAATTGAAGCCAAAACTGCCGATGCTGCGACCGAGCAAACCCCGGCTAAAGACCGTGTCTCACAACATAAACTGGACGAGGAGACTGAAAAGGATATTAATCTTGCGCGAAAGCGTCGTGAGGCAAACGACCGCTACTTTGATCGGGTCAATCAGGGTGTACTGGACGTGGTCGCCAAGCTCGAGGAGGTGTCTCAGGCCATGCGCACGGTCGAGCGGGAGAGCAAGGATATTTGGAGCGACTCGGAGAGCGTAACGACAGAGGCACCGGTATCGGCCAATGCAGAATGATGGCCGGGCCGTGCTTTCTCCAAAGACAAAGGATTTGAAGGATCTTTAATATCCTGCTATCCATGACGCCCGTTACGAATCTGCGCTGGACGCACCTACAACATATCATGCCCATGGCTGCGCTCAGCAAATGGAGCACGTCCAATACTAATATGTAGAATACCAGAACGGACCAATCGAAAAGAATTGAGATTAATTCAAAGGGTATCCAAACTCCGCTGCTTCTCATGCAAGCCCAAAACGTAAATATGCATCATAAAAGTAGCCCGTTGAAGTGCAGACCGACAAGAACAGAGCAATTTCGCCGTTAGTCCTTCTTCAAAAGCTTCATCGCGGCCTTCCACGCCTCAGCAGCTGTGTCCGTCACATTCTCCCACCGAGTCTCATGTGCCTTTCGGGCTAACTTCTCTACCTCCTGGTTCCACCGGTGCTTCAAGACCTCCTTCATGTCCGGCTGCTCATCTCGTCGAGCTAGACGCTCTTCGAGGCGGCGGGGGGTATACTGAGGTTCGAAGCGGCGGTCGTATGCACCGGCGGAGGCGGCGAGATAGTTTATTTGGTTCACTTGTTCGCGGATGGCTTTACGCTGCTCGAGGCGGGTTTCCTTGTGGACTTGGATGGTGATGTATAGGATGGATGTAGTGAGGGCGAAGCCACTGAACTGTTCATGGGTATAGCTTGGTTAACCGGTTTCGGAGCATGCAGACGAGTCTGGACGTACAAATCCCGTGATGAAGCCCATGTCTGATGGAGACTGCCAGGCGCGTGGCTGGGTTGTATGCGTGGACTTGGCGGTGATATGCAGAATCAGCCAGAAAGAATTGGCTCTACCGCGACCACGAGCGTCAAAAGTAATTCCAGTCGCCAAAGTTGAACGTTGAAGTTGACGCGCAAAGTCGGGCAAGGCGGTGGAAGCGCGCCGATTGGTTGCGGGCAGAACTCGAATCTTTTGAGCCGAACTTCCTCTCCGTCTCGTGCTGCGTGTTCCGGGTGTTTGGACCTCAATTACTTTCATTCTTTTTCATCGACTGTCTCTTCGCCTTCTTCTTACCCCGCCCTTCTCCTTTCCCTACAATAATCTCCCACCATGGCCGGCGGCGGAGGAAAATACCGGCACTTGGGTCGCAAGTCCTCCCATCGACAGGCCCTGCTCCGCAACCTGGTCACCTCGCTCTTCGAGAATGAGTCGATCACAACAACATGGCACAAGGCCAAGGAGGCCCAACGATTGGCCGACAAGTTGATTACCTTGGGAAAGAAGAACTCGGAAGCTAGTCGGAGACGGGCCCTGGAGATTTTCTATGTACGTGCACCCCGGATTGGATTCACCAATGATCCGTATAAGAGACCAGGTCTTTCTATTTCCGACCACCCTGGCCACCCAATTCCTCGAAAGCCAAAACGGAGCCTCCACTAATAACGAATAGAAACCACACGAAGTCATCCCCAAACTCTTCGGCCCCCTCCGCGAACGCTACGCCGACCGACCAGGCGGCTACACCCGCGTGCTCCGCATCGAACCCAAAGAGAAATTCGAATATTACTCCGTGCGCCGCGGTGACAAGAACGCCGAACAGGAGCGCAAACCCGCCGATCAAGCCCCCAGCGCCATCTTGGAGCTCGTCGATGGGCCCAAGGACATGCGCTTCGCCATGACTGCGCGTGCTGTCTCCCGCCAACGTGAAATGGACTGGGACATGAATGAGATTACTGAGCGCAACATTCGTAAGGTCACCCAGTTCCGAAAGGGTGGTATTGATGCGCTTGAGGATGCGGTGAGCAAGTTGAGCCTTAGCAACAGCAAGGTTCTTGAGGATGTTGAGGGGGTTGAGAGTGGGTTGAAGGAGTTGTCGAATCCCGAGGAGGAGAAGGCCGCTGAGCTCGCGGGCAAAGTGAATGCTTTAAGGAACAAGGCTTAGATATGAAGTGCCGAGGTTAGACGTTGGAGGTCTGGTCTGTTCAGTGATGAATCTGTCTAAGCCTCAGATTCTCATTTTCTTGTCTGTTTTACAGGAGTTTTGCTGTTTTGTTCTGGCATCTTGTCTTCCATTGCAATTGCCCCCATGTGACATAGCCTGTGTACAGTATAAAATGTTTCGATACCTCTTCATATGTCTTTAACAACCGTATTGCGACTATACTTTATGTCTACCAGAAAGTCTAGAAACGCCAGACGATATGGATACGGTACAAGGAAAGCTGCTCAGGTGTAGAATGAGTGTTATACCACTCAACCGCACTTTCATTCCTTGGTATCACCAATATTCGTCTCAGAGCGCTTAGCATTAGCCATGGCCTCAGGATACTTCACACTGCGGTGCGAAATCGGGTACTTGGAAACACCCGCCCAGGCCCGAGCCGTAAACGAGCTGATATCTGATCTTCGAGTTGATGAGTCCGCCGGTCGTTGAACCGATCACCATGGATATCACTAGAGGAAGGGTATTGGTGGTACTGATTCTGGACTCTGCGGCTGTTGCCCCTTTGGTTGCTTAGAGCCGGACTCAGAGGAAGTGTTGCAATGGTAAACATCAGGCTGGTACAATGTCTATCAACTACATTGGATCTTCAACTACGGCAACGGGCTTCGGCCCTACACAGGCTCTTATTGAAGGGGAATGAGGTGGACCACGATGGATTGGAGCCCGATGCATCTTCGGGGGTGGTGAAAATATTAGGTTTATATGCCGTACGACGATCTTCACCTTGGATGCCGGGATTGATAGGCGAGCTGGAAAATAATCCGTCCATAGACTTGCAGTGGAGAAGCCGCCCTTCAGAACACTCTTTCAATTGGTCAATCGGTGATATCCAAAAATCGAACACTCCCTCGGCACTGAATTTGTCGAGGTTTCGGACTTTTATCCAATAACCTCGGATTTAGATATGTTGGAAGACAACCGGGGAAACCTGCAGAGAGCCGAGAGCCGAATACTGACTGTCACAGTAATGGGTATGCCCCCACGGAGTTCAATCTCCCCGGTTAGGGCAAATTGCTTAGCTCGAGCACGAACCCACGCCCGCGATCCCGGAATTTGCGGCGATCTCCCCGGGTCGCTTCGAGTCATTGAACGTGCAAATCGTCAAAAACAAAATAAAATAGAAAACAAACCTAAACCTTCCCTCCATCTTGGCACTCTGTAAAGACGCCTTCGCTATGGGCATCCACAGTATCCAAGGCGAAAGCCTTCAGCGCATGATCGCCGTGCTGGGATCTGTCGCCTTCCTAGTCCAGGGATACAACCAATCCGTAATGAACGGATTCACCACACTCCCCAGTTTCCTAGCGGCGATTCCAGAAGTCGACACCGTAAACACGACCGGTGCCCAAAAGTCCCACAATTCGACAATCCTAGGTCTGGTCGTGGCCATTTTCGAGCTTGGATCGGCCCTCGGCGCCCTTTCTTGCCTCGCTGTTGGCGATCGGCTCGGTCGTCCTAGGACTATGTTCTTGGCAGGATGTATTTGTATCGTTGGAGTTATTATCCAGGCGTCGACTTATTCGCTGGCGCAGATTTTGGTTGGGAGGATTGTTACCGGTATGTTTATAGACTCCTGACTGCTTTTGCATCTCATGTGGCTAACTTTTATGCCTAGGTGTTGGCATTGGGATGTACACGGGTACGGTTCCCATGTACGTGAGCGAGACCGCTAGTGCGTCGAAGCGTGGTCAGCTCGTTTTGGTAGAAGGCGTGTTCGCGTTGAGTGGTCTCGCGATAGCCTCGTGGGTTAATTTCGGCATGTTTTATACATCCGGTCCTGTGAGCTGGCGATTCCCCATCGCTCTACAGCTGGTTTTCATTGCCGTTCTTCTTTCCCTGACTCCCTTTCTTCCGGAGTCGCCTCGCTATCTCATCAAGAAGGAAAGAATCGAAGATGCCACGGCTATCATGGCCAGACTCATGGGCCTTGCACCCACCGATGTGGAAGTTGGAAAGGAAATCGCTGTCATTCATGCTGCCCTTGCAAGAGACGCGGGTCACCGCAGCAAGTACTCGGCCAATCCGTTCTCAATGAATGAGAACAGACATCTTCATCGACTCTTGATCGCTGCCAGCAGCACCATGATCACTCAGATGACTGGTATCAACGTTGTCGCGTTCTACTCAACCTCCATCTTCGAAGGAACTCTCGGCTACTCTGGTAGTGATGCTAGAATCTTCTCCGCTTGTTTGCAGGTTACCCTGGCGCTCGGTGGTCTGACTGCCGTGTTCACGGTCGACAGATTCGGTCGGAGACCCTTGATGCTGTTTTCCGTGGCCTGCATGTGTCTATCCCAGGGTGCAGTTGCAGGCTTGACCTCGGACAATTCAAACACCGCTACTGGTAAAGCAGCTGTATTCTTCTACTTCTTGGCCGACTATACTCTACCAATTGGCATGTTCATGAGCACGTTTATGTATGGTGCCGAGGTGGCGCCTCTTGGTATCCGCCATATCATCACTGCCTTTGGTGCTGCATCTAGCTGGCTTTTCAATTTTATGGTTGCCGAGGTTACGCCTGTTGCTTTTGACAATATAGGTTGGAGATACAATATTGTCTATGCTGCTACTAGTGCTGCGGGATGTGTTGTTATTTTCTTGTTCTACCCTGAGACTAGGGGAAGGTCTCTTGAGGAGATTGATGAGATATTCCTTCAGTCGAAGACAGTTTTCGACCCCGTCCGAGTTGCGAAGAAGCTCCCTGTTGGGCTTGATGTGATGGAAATGATCGACGCGTCGGCGAAGGAAGCTTCTCGGACGGATGATATAGCTTGAAAAGGTACCCAGGCGCTGCTTGTCACGGACACTAATGTATAATAGTCCTGCAGTATATCATTTTATTTAGACTTGGACGTTTAAACGGGAAGTCATTGGTCTGTGTGATTCGACCATGTAAGCGAGTCTCCCAACCACGAAAGGATTGATTGATCGACTTTTAGACTTTGATCACCTCTCTTAATCTAAACAGAGCCCTAGTAGCGGCGTATCATTTTATGTTACTAACTACAATTCCCGGCATAAAACCAATCTATATTTGTGGAGCAGGTCTCTTCCCCGGACCGAAACCTGGGAATCTCGGGGTAATGCCGAACGGCTAGACTTTCCTCTTCCCACCTCAACTCCAAATACCCTGCCTCATATAATTTTACCTTCCTCATAGCACCGCTCACACACCTCATAATGACCACCCAACCCCCCAATGCCTCCCTCTACCCAGGTGAAATCCTCGACACAATCGCGGGGTACCCCACGATCTACAACTACCAACCCAGCACCAATTCGAATGATGCCACCACAAAACCACTGATAGTGTGCATCCCCGGCGGAGTCCACCTAGCCCGAATCTACTACGGCGGGCATAGTGGCTCCTCCGCAAACAACTTTCTATCCTATCACCTAAATAAGCATGGCTTCAACGTCCTCTCAGTCTCATACCCCCTCGCATCAACACCCGCAATCATGCCAGCTACTGCACCACACTTTCGCATAAATGACTGGGGTCGTCAAACAGCGACTACGGCTAAGAAAGTCATTGACGAACACGCCCTCCCTGCATCCGTCATTTTGATCGGCTGGAGTATGGGCGGCCGCGTGCTCGTTCCATTCACGGTCTCCGCGAAAGAACTCGGTTTGCACGTGGAGCAGTTTATTAGTTTTGCGGCAACTCCTGGTATCTCTGGTTTACGCCCGAATCTGTACCAACACCCTGTGACGGGTTCTGCGGGTTGTACGGACGTCGGGTATATGCTTAAGCCGGCGCGGTTGGAGAATTTCGTTCTGCAGGTTGAGGAGATGGAACGGTATAATGGCGCGGAGATTATTCCGCGGGATGTTTATCTAAAGGAATATGTCGGCGGGAGTCCGATTAGTCTCACGGGGTTGAGGTTGAAGTACGATGGAACGGGGTTTGTACAGGATGAGATGACGCATGAAGAGGATTCGAGGGTTTGGGATTTTGCGAATTGTCCGCTTGTTTCGGGGCTGTGTCCGGATGGTGTGTTGGATGCTAGTCATGCGATGGCGGATCGGGCTACTTGGGGGTTTATTCTGACTTATCAGTTGGAGATTGCTATTGGGAACGAGGGGTTAAAAAGGGTGCAGGGGACGGGGAAGTGGAAGCGGTTGTTGGATTTTGTTCATGATGCGCCGAGGAGGTTGTGTTGGTCGGTTGAAGGGAATCATTTCTTTTTCGTTGGAAAGAGGGCTGCGAGTGAGATGGCTGACAAGGTGGTGAGGCTTATTGACGAGGCGGTGGTGTTCAGGAGGGAGTTTGACGAGATACTGTCATAGATATGCTAGACTACGGTCTACGAGGAATGGGTGGACATGAGTATGCGATTCATAGCCAACTGACTAGTGACGCTTCCAGCGCACAGTTCGCCATGTATGTTTCTTAACTGTACAGGCCAACAGTCGGACAACTTGTAATCATGAAACTTTACCATCTACAGCCATTTCCAAGGCCGAAGACATGCTCGGACAGTGTAAGGAATTTTTTGTCAGATCTCAGTTCGTTCTCGAGACGTTTGCGCCTCCGGAAACCACCAGCGGGCCATTCTGTGCCCCGGGGATTCCATTCCCGGGGTACGAGGATGCGGGAATCGGGGGAGGTCCGACTCGATGCTTCATGTCGAAACCAGATTTCACCTCGGACGGCGGGGGCTTGGGAGGAAGATGAGATGGGGTGCCCCATTTTGCGATGGAGTCTCGACTTGAATTAGGCACTCGCGCTGTGCTCGGTGCGGATGGGTGATCCATGCCACGGTTGTGGGCTGGCTCTGAGTATTGAATCCATTGACCCTGAGGCATGCCGGTAAACGGCTGCATGGGATGTTGCGCGCCTCGGCTCGAGTTGCGCGACAATGGGGCGCCGCCGGGAATGAAAGAGCGGGTTTGGGGGTTGAAGTGAGATCTAGCATAGTTGCCCGGCATCACAGGCGACCCCGGGTTCTGGATTGTAGGGTTTAGATGCTGCCCCGGGTATTGTGCGTATGGATAGGCCGCCATGTTGGAGGTCATCGACTGTGAAGGGTAGTTGGGCCAATGAACGGGAGGTTGGTTCCGCTGAGGAGAATGCTGATAGTTTCCAGAGTAGGGCGGAGATCCCCAGACGGCATTCTGCTGGTATTGGGCAGATTGAGGCATGGCAAAGTTGTTCATGGCCGGCGAGGAATTGTTTGGCGATGGTTGATTCATCATGCCCGGCTGGGTCATCGATGCGTATCCAGAGTATGGCGACTGTTGCGGCATGTTTCCTCCTTGCCACGAGCCATTAGAGGCCATCTGCGGAGACATGGCCATCGGATACTGCGGTATATTGTTCATGCCACCCATCTGCCCAGAGTGCGCGGCGTTGTTCTGACCCGCGGGCATATAGCCGGTGGTTGGCGGAGGCACACCTGGTCCAACCAGGTAAGGAACCTGTTGGTTAGAGAAGGAGCCATCGTTCCCGCTAGTATTGTATGGCACCTGATTCTGACCATTGTTGTACTGCATGCCTGGATAATAGGCGTTGAACTGCGATCGGGCTTCAAAGCTGTCATCATGGGGAGTTCGCTGCCTGTTGTTTTTCCTGCGGCCACTTGTAGAGCTGGACCGAGACAGATTCGGATTAGAATCGCCACTGGTCGTGTCTGACTTGACACTGTCGGGGAAGTCACGGAAGATCCGCTCCCGGACCTCTTGATATTTTGCCTCGCGCTCTTCGCGGGTAAGTGACATTCGATCCTTAGTATCAGTTGAAGAGTATGCGCGATCACCCTCTGGGCCACTATCACCAGCTTCAGAAGGAGCCTTGGATGGAACAGACGAGCTCGCCGCAATGCTTCCTTCGGCAGATGGTCGATCTCCATCATTTCGACGCATGATTTTCATGGCTGGAACGCTTGGTGGCGGGGTGCTACTATTCGCAGCATGCACTGCGGAGATAGGTTCAGGGCTTGACGGGAATTAGCTACTTGTTCTCGAAAAGGAAAAAGAGACTTGACTTACAGTCTGCAGAACGGCGTTCGATGCAGCCTGACAGAGGTCACATTGTTATCAACAAAATGTGTCAGATGATAGTAATCTCCTAGCTTATGGGCGAGGAGTCGTTGGAATCCATTAGAAGGAGGCAGCTCCAAGGATTGTTCACTGGTGCAATAGTTAGCGCCAGACCGATGTATCAGAGTTGGCAAACGCCTACCTCGACTCCTTGATGAAGTAGCGGATTCTTTCCTCTAGCTGGAGAACCGTCAGACGATCCTTTGGAGATTTCATAGCCTCCAAAAGTTTCTCGTCTGGTTCGAGAGGGAACCCATGTAGGCTCTGCCCATCCGGCAGGCCGTCAGGAGGGGCCGCCATGACAAAGTTGTTTGCGACCGAGTCCGGAGGAATAGTGACTGTGCCGCTTGCATTGCCACCGTTGAAAAGAGGGCCGGGTATAGGGAGAACCCCACGGGATCGTAGAGCATTTCCATCGCGGAATTGATCGCGGAAAAGACGTCCTCCAGCTTCAGAGCCAGCAATCGAATTTGGTGCGCCAGATGTAGCGCCCGAAAGAGACTCCTCTTCATCAATAGCTTGCACACTTGCGCTGTCATCGGGACGAACGGAGTCTTTTTCGTCCATTGCGAACGTGGTCACAGAGGCCAAGCTCTTCGAGTCGAAATTGGTCATTTTCGTGGATGAATTGGAAAGGTGAGTTCGATCATCCTCAAAGGAGTTTTCTCTCTTGAGAAGGCCATTTTCTTGGTCTTCGATCGAAGATCCAGACCCTTTCCGGTCTGCTTGCAGGGTGATGCCAATGTCCTGCACTGCTCTCCCTAGGTGGTCAACTGCAGGATCGCTCGAGGCAATCTTTTGCTTGATTGTGTTCAAGGAATGTGGGGGTGGTGGAGCGCCGGTGTTGAAAGATTCGGAGACGTTGGAAGTCATTGCGAGTGGAGAACTGCCGCTCTCAACCGATGCTGAGGACGATTGGGGTTTGGTGGTTGTGGGCATAGCAGCGATCTGATAGCCAGGTTAGCGATGGGACCGGGGTCGAGGTTGCAAAAATACATACCTTCGCAAAGGAGAAATGGGCGTCTCCCGGAGGAGGACTCTGAGATGCCATTTCAAAAAATACACCCGGTGGGATGTAAAGGTCGTTTTCAAGATTTCACAAAGGTAATAGAAATCCACGTCAAAGCACGGCCGTACTCAACAGGTTTCCGGTTTAATACAAGCGTTGACCGGAGTTTGAATGGAAAAGTAGCTGAAGAATCCCGCTTCACATAAGCCAAAAAAGAAAGACATATCTCTGGTTAAGGGTCTTCGCCATAAGGTAAAGCTGTCGTGAAATGGAGGTTAGCATCTGGAAGAATGGGTCTATTTGACCGAGAGAGGATGCGTCGAGAGCCAGCATCTAACACAGGGCTGATTTGGGAAAGCGGATCCTTACACGTTGTCAAAGCAGGTTCATGGTCTGGGTGATAAAGATCCCGAACTAAGATGGCAAGTAGGTCCAGCTGGGGGCGGAGTGATCGAGTGGATGATACCGCACGGTAAACCGAAGAGCGCCTGAGACTCCGCTGAGTCCGTACGAGGAATTCGAAAAAGGTGGGAGAGAAAGAGCGTTGGAGAGGCCGAGTCGTGATTATTCTTCAGCGCACGAAGGTTCGTGGGTGCAATTTTGCCGCGCCAGACCGCTTCTGCCGCGCGCCTACGATTCCCCGTTTCAACTGAACAGCCGCGGGGAGTTGGGCTTGATATCTTGATATTTCACTCGGGGGAGTTTTGCCCTTAACGCCATTCTTGCTTGACGAAAAAATATCTCTGATTACCCGCCGCAAGTGCATGATTCCATGAACCGCTACCGCAATGCCCCCGGGCTCCGAGGCCCATCTAAGGCATCGGCGACCACTTTATGCCAGAAGTGCTTGAAAAGAGATATGTGTTCCCGGAATCCCTTCCCATTGAGCGCTATGTTGACCTCAGTTTACGACACTATAGTTATGAGTGCCAGGCACCGGCGCAGGAGCGCCCATATACCTCTAGACCGTCGCGAACTCAACAGCTGCAGAACCCGCGGCTGATGCCTAAGCTCTCGACAGAGGTTCCCAGTGACCTGACTCGGTCGTAAGTCCCTCTCCTGCTGTTTTCACTGGCTAAACGTATCTGTCTGGAGATATGGATTCTAACTGAAGATTACAGAAACGGCGTGGCGGATGACATACTTGCAAAACGAGACGAAGAACGAGGCAGGAAAAGAGACCTTGATAGAGAGGATATGACAGACCGCCAAGGACGCTCTCCCAAACGGACAAGATCATTGTCATCCCATTCCACCAACTCGGTTTCCACAATTTCTACCAATCGATCTGCCTCTGCGTCGCCGGACCGTCGTAGCAAGCACGGCTCACAGAGCAATGGTCGCCAAGCCATCTCTGTGTCACCACCTCCCAAGTCCCGCAAAAGAAGATACAGTGATGCTTCTCAGTCTGCTTCGTCCTATTCTTCGGGCGCAAGACAGCGCTCAAGATCAAGGGAGTGGACCGAGGACAGGAATATCCGCCGACGTCGTCGGGAAAGCAGCCCCGAGGAACGAGGAAGACACCGTGATTCCGGACATCGCCGAAGCGTCCGGCGCAGTCGCAGTCGCAGCATCGACAAGAGCCGAATTGCTAAGGAGAGGCGCTCCATGACTCCCCCAGAGACCACCCATGACCGTCCTGGAAGACGGTCTTACCGAGACAGAGAGAGTCCTCCGGGTTACACACATCCCTCGGGACGCTCCAGGCAGGACCACAGAGCGCAGCCTGATCCGCCTCGAGAGCGAAGCCTAAGTCCGTTTAGCAAGAGACTTGCCTTGACCCAAGCGATGAATCATGGACGGTAGAGGGCAGTGGAAAAGGATTTTAATTTGGTATACTGGAAGGAAAATCATCGGCGCAGGCTTTGGATCCTGGGGGAAACTACACGGGGGCCAAATTCACGTTCCATTGAGAACAATTGTATTAATAGCATTCCATACATCCCAATGTGCAATCCCAATGCGCAAGACCTCTCCAACGCCTCTTTTTATGGCTGCAAAGTGCAGATGGACATGAAATAAAAAGTACAATAGCAGCAGAATAGTTGTTAGAAATTCCCGCCATCCTCGAAATAAAGGGTATCATATCAAATCGTTTCCTCGTCCTGGGCTCCCTCCTGCTCGCGCATATGGATTCCCTCCACCAGTGCGTCTCCTTCAATACCCACTTCCTCGCCTTGACCATTAGAAGCTCCTTTCTCCTTGGCTGCACGCTGCGCATTCTCTATCCGCTGTCGCACCAGCCGGGCAATCGCATTCTCCGTCCGCACGTTGAGGATCTTGAGTTTCTCGTCCAGATCGCGCCGCAAATCCCAGTTGGGTTTCTTCGGTTGTAGCTTGAACAGATCAATGGGTGCATCGTCCTCTTCTTTCTGTGCTTGTTCCTTCACTGCCTCTTCGATTTCGGCGGCCTGGGCTTCCACCGTCACTTTTCCTTCTTGCGGACCTTGTTCAAATCCCAATTTCGGTCCGCGAGTCTCCGGGTCGTAGTTGCGGCCGGAGATGTATTTTGTGGTCACGTCGTCGGCATCAGGTAATTCCTCGTCGCCGCCGGCTTCTGTCTCGGGTTCGGGCTGCTTGCGCTTCAGAGCTGCGAGCTTTGCGAGGCGGGCTTTGCGGTCGGTGGATGCCGCATCCAGAGAGGCGTGGTTGGACGACATGGTTCCGAGTAGAGCGGATGAGGGCGTGTGAGAGATAAAGGAGATTGAAAGCTCTCTGGAGAGAGAATGACGAGCGCGACCTTGAATATCCCCAAAGTCCGCTCGTTGAGAAAGGTTGTTGCAAGACGATGTTGGAACCGATGATGGGGTGCGCCACACACCAGCCACAGCAAAATCGGGCGGCTTTCCATCTTTCGGATTATCCTCCTCTTGATTTCTCGGACAACAAACCACGCCTTTTCCTCCTTTCTCCTCATGCGTCCGATCGCGGGTCTCTGAATGTCATTGTGTCCGCACCAGCTCGTCCGTTCCCGCCTTAACGGGCTCTCGCCGGCACAATGTAGGAACCCCGGCCGCTGGCCTCGGAGGTCGGGACCGTCGAACACTGGATACCGACTCCAAGATGTCTCGAGCTATGCGACCTCGGTTAGAGAGCCTGGCAGCGAAGCGCACGATTTCACGGCACCCTCGCGATTACAACCGACTGCCAGCGACGAGCCGTTAGAAAGTTCCGACTTCGGCAACCGTCAAAGAACCGCCGAGGAATCAGGCCAGACAGGAAACGAGCAGTCGGGCAATGCAGCCTCTTCACAGCAGCAAAAAGGTCGTCCACGAAAGCACACCACTCCGCCACTGACGCTGAAGAGGGTCCGCGCAATCATGCAGGCAGAAGGCCATAACATCAGATTCGCGCCCTCCGTGCTCCGCCGGCTCAATGCCCAAATTGAATCAACAGACCGATTTTTAAGCTCGAAAGCAACATACCTGGCGACAGTCATCAAGAGCAACTCGCTCTACACGCGAGAGCTGGGTCTCGTTCAATGGAAGTCGGCTTATGAGGAGATCTACAAAGCAAAGCACTACCAGCGTGCGGTACAAAATGAAGCCGTTATACCGGCACTGAAGGAGGAGGGACAAGCACTGCTTGAAAAGATCCAGGCGGACTGTTCTGGAAGCTTTCGGGACGCCTGGCAGGCCATGACACGGCGTGACAAGGCCAGTGCCTGGCAGCGCTTGGCCTTTTGGCTGCTGCAGAATGATCCAAAACTTTTTCTGGAATTCCTGGTTGTTACAACGGAGGGCACAGAGAAGCCGGACTTCACCATGGTTGCCGACTGCCTCCTGTACATCGACAACTTTTACTATGCAGATTGGCTGAAGGATTGGAAGAGCAGTACTCACACCTACGAATCGCTGGTCGAGTCTTGTTTGAACCCGAAGGATTGGCCCATTATTTCTGTGCCGCAAAGGGGTGTCCGACTTTATATTCGACGAGCTAGCCATGAAGACGTGACCTCGGCCCTTAATATGGCAAAAGGAAGATCTGTTGAGATGACAGCAGAGACTGCCCTGTGTTTCATGTGGCGGTTCACGGAATTTGAAGATGTGGATAATGCACTCAAAGCTCTCGAGTACATTCCCATCCTCAAAAACCCCGAATTTACATTGAACTCCCAGGGAGTCCTCCGGCATTGCTGCAAGCTGTTGACTCTCGACGGTGTGGAGGAAGGCGACAATGGACGCAATTTCAAGATTCTCCCACGACTTCTGAAGATGGGCGTTCGGCCTGACCGGGATATGATGAACCTTGTACTGTCCAATGCTTACAAGACTGGCGACTCGCAACTTGGTGCCGACATGCTTCAATTCATGAAGAGTCACGCCTACGACTTCGACTCTTACACCTACTTGACTCTTTTAAACGAAGCAGTCAAACGTGGGGACCGGGGCCGAGTTGACAGTCTGATCCATGAAGTCGAGGCAGAGGATGGACTCCGCAGCAACCCATTCATCGCCAACAAGATCTTCCATTCCCACTACGTTTTCACCGCCAAGCATATGGATGTGGACGCAGACCCCTCAGGAGTCTTTTACTCTATGCTTGATATGTACAACACCTTACACGACATCACCCCCTTGAAAGACCTCTTCATCATCCCGCCTCAATATACGCCTCGACCAGGAGGCTCTAATACCCCGCCTTCTCCCATCGCTCTGTACATTATGATCGCAACCTTTTTCCGCTGCCAGAACCGTCTCACAACTGTGCAGCGCATTTACAACCGATTCCGTGAATTGGTGAAGCAGGGTCACCCATCTATCGCTCCTCTCGCGGAGACCGACCACACTTACAATGAGTTCCTCGTTGCTATGCGTGATAATCCTCGCTCACTGCGGTTATGCGTACGCCTGGTGGAAGACATGCTTCATCCTCCTAAACTTCCGGTAAACAGCTCCACTGGAGAGGCCATGATCCATGCGAAGCCCAGTGTGCGCACCTGGACCATCTTGCTGAGCGCCTTCATCTACCATCGGCAAACCCAAGCCGCACAGAAAATCAAGGAGATGATGGCCAAACATCAAGTCAAGTATGACGATTCCACTTGGAACACCATCATCAGTGGCCACGTCAACGCGCAGAATGTGCCGGAGGCTGCGGCCGCCATCAAGGAAATGGAAGAGCAGGGCTTCTCCATGAATGCCTACACGATGAGGAGCTTGCGCTACCTCCGTGATCCGGAGCGTCTCTGGGTTGCCATCGACGAACTGGATGAAAGAGTCACCCAGGAAAGCTCTCAGCGGGTAACGCCGGAGCCGGAGCCGGAGCCCGAGTATAGCATCCCCGAGGACGAAAAAGCGAAAACAGCGCCGATTGATCGCGGATTACAGAAGCTCGCACTCAAGTGAGCCCAAACTGTGATGGATACCCTTGTACTTTTGTGTTTATAGAATTTTGCATGGCATGGGCCTGGTGCCGGAAAGGAAGCGTTGGTTGCCATTTGTGTAGATTTGGCTCTCATGTACTATACATCGAATCATTATGAAGTTTCTCATGCGCTTGAAGTATCTTGCTGTTAATAACTGAAGTCCGATCCGTAACACCGGCTTTGCCCTTTGTTGGCAGACCTGAGCTTCTCTGCCTGCCCTCTCCCTCCTCTCTCCCATTCTCATCTTGTCTTTGAGCTGGAGGTAACGTGAGATAATTACTCAACCACCGAAGAAGATAGAGACCTGCAAAGCAAGCAAGCAAGCTGTTAGTACTCTTCGTCCATGAACGAGGGGTAGCTCCCGGGGAAGACTTACTGCCATCAGGAAACAGCATATGCTGACATATGGACTGAGCCGTTCTCCCACTCGCGCACACTTCCAGAATATCCCAAATACCCTGTTCTCGTCAGTTCAGCACCTCCGCGAGTCAAGCTCAGGAACCTACCCGTTCTGGTTGCGGTCCATGATTCCGGGCATGATCGAGTGTGCATACGTGCTCGTACAGATGACCAGGAGGATCACCAGCAACAGTGATTGGAAGTTGAAAAGGGCCGACTAGGTGTGTCTCTTTGTTAGTGATCATGTCGCGGTCTCCGAAAGTACACAGTATGCTCAGGTGCGCAGCCTAAACAGCTTCGACCTCGCCCCCTCCATACACCTGCACTTTCATCTGCAAAGCATCTTCGACTCACCATCTTGAATCGCAGTTCCTCACGCCCCAGAAAGAGACGAATGCAGGCGCAGCGAAGAGGTGCAAGAGCAACGAGTCAACTCGTGTTTCTGCCCGCCATGTCCGCTAAACGCACGGACCAGCCGTGGCTCCGGCCTCAATCATCTCCGCGAGCGCAGCGACCTCCAACCCTCGTTCCCGATCCTCGTCGCCTTCCATCTGCAGCTGGCTTTGATACGCGGTCCGTCAATCCGCACCCGGCTTCTAGTGATCCTACTCCGTCGCGTTCTGCGCCTCCTGCCAGTTCGAGTCCGAACCAAGCTCTTCTCGGTCACGCATACGCACCGCGGGCCCGGCCGCCTACTTCGAGTCTCAATCTTGACGACCCAGGTCTTATCCACACGCTCGCCCAACCCGCACAAGTACAGGGCTTTCAATACCCATACTCCCGACCAAATCGTTACCCAACTGCACCTCCTGGAGGTTTCAGTCCTGAAGACCGAGCTCTTCTCCGCGCGGGCTTTACATCCGCATACGTCCCGCCAAAGATCGACCCAACGGTCGAGTCACCGTCGGAGGGTACAAATCCCACGAGAACAAATTCCACGAGAAGACGAAAGTCTGTCAGATTCGAGATGGCCGAGCCCCGAGCCCGTGCTGCACGGCACAAAGGCCAGATGAACTTCGGTCCTGAGAGTAAGCTACCATCTACCCCGTACAAATTCTCCAAACAATACTAACAAAAGGAAAAGTGCGCCACCTCCTGCTAGCCTACGGCGATCCAGCTCCCCATCACTCCTTCTCCGCCGAACCACTCCCCGAAACAATCCGCGTCCTCGACGAAATTGTCACAGACTTCATCCTAGAACTATGTCACGGTGCTGCGCAGGTCGCACACCACGCCCGCAGACAGAAGATCAAAGTCGACGATTTCCGCTTCGCGCTGCGCCGTGATCCGAACAAGCTTGGTCGTGTGCAGGAGTTGTTGCGCATGGAGCGTGAGCTGAAGGAGGCGCGCAAGGCCTTTGATCAGAATGATGATCAGGTTGCCAAGGATGCGGGGAAGAAGGGGGCTCCTCCTCCTCCTCCTCCTGAGGATGATGATGCGGCTTCGGTTGTTGGTGCGAATACTGGGAAGAAGGGTAAAGGGAAGGGGAAGAGGGCCGCTGCTAATAGAAGGGGCTCGGATGCTACTGAAGAGTCGGTGCCTAAGAAAAGGAAGACTATCGGGTGATTTCTCGGTTTCCCTTTTCTTCCCTTTTATTCGTTATGCATCTGGGATTCGGGATACGGATGGAAAAGCTACATCGGCGTTGGTTGCAACCCCTTTTTATGGTACCGGAGTTCCGGGGATACATGTCCAACGAGTTAAAAATACCCGTGGATAATACCACCATTTTTGCATTTTCAAACGCCTTTCGCTATCTTTTACTTTCTTTTTTCAGGGTATCTTTCTGAACTTGTCTTTGAAAACTCCCGGGCAGATAGTCATGACCGCCTAACTAGGCCCTTAAAACTTCTCCTTTGTCCGACTGTATCTTAGAACGTCAATTGAAAACTAGTTGTTTTCAGCGGTAGAATAGTGGTCTCCTGTCTTGAATTATGATCATGATGCTGGCTCTCCAGACTTCGGTCATTGCCGGAGGTGTATATAATTTGGGCGAAGAATATCCCGACATCGCTTTCATGCTTGTTGCCCCCTAAAAATTCACAATTTGATATTCCCAAGAAGTCTCCGATAATTCCTTTCAGATCCGATATAGTCCCAACGTCGTGACTGCTGCGCCATTCCCTATGCATCTAAAACCGAAGCAAAGCATCGAGTTCACCCAAAGAAAACCCCGAAGCCAAGTGTTCATTGTAAGGCATTCTCACATCGTTATTCGTCGGATTCGTTACTGAGACGGCATCCGAGGGCAACTCATTTTCTCGCCCGGCCGTGTTGTCTTTTTGATCTTGTTGTTCATTTGTGTTGTCATCGCTGTCGTATTCACCGTCGCCATTCACTTCAGGTGGAATCAATCGCAATATCTCTGAAAAAGCAGAATACACTGCAGCCCACCGGGGCACTTCGTGATCGATACCATGAGGCAACGGCAAATTCAACCCACGAGGGGAGCCAGGCCTCGGCCCTTGCGTTTGAGTTCTAACCACGACGTCAATTACCTACTATTCATCAGGTTGTTCAGTTTCGGGCAAATACCTAACTTGACGCTCCCTCGGCATACAATCCTGACCCTCCGTGCAACAATATGTGCATCGAGACTGTGCTGGCGCAACGACGCAGCGCTTTTTCCGCGTGTAGCAGGCTTGACAGGCCTTGGGTTTCATTTTATAGTGGCTGGATGTCGTCTTTTGGACCCTTTGTGGGGCTCGTGGACCTAAAGGCCGTTGAATCTCCGCACCTGTCCCCATACCTGCGTTTGTAAAATTCTGGAGGAGGGAATAATTGAAACTCGGGAATAGTTGGAGAGGACGGGATCGAGAAGTTGAATGCCATTCAAGAACGGGGCAAATCGGCGGTACCCGAGGGTCCCGGCGGGCTGGAGGTCAACTTTATTTCCCCGTTTACGGAGGACCCCGGCTTGGGAAGGTTTCGTGAAGGCCAATCGATGATGGAATTGGTGTTGAGGCCGAATGCTCCCGGCTTTGAGTTTTAGATTCGATGCAATGATTAATGACTATTATGATTATTAATCATTAATCAGAGGGTCCCCAGATGGGACGTGCTGTGGTCCCTGGGATGTCGGATATCTCCCCGATCCAAGCACTTTGGTCCCACAACGTAAGGTCCCCCACCCACTACATTTGGCATTGTCGGTGAAGACTTTGTACTGGGACTTTTCTATGTGACGTGATTCTAGGTTGTTTTCGGATGGGTTTTGAGCCGAGCGTTTATTGTTTGGTTTGAATCTATATGTCTACATATCTGGATGGATATCCTTGAAAAGTTAAGATCTGTACCAATTGGCAGTAAATATGGATTCAAGTATATATTAATAGACTTTAGACAACCACCTATTTAACATAAGATAGAACACTATCACGGATGCCTCTTGATCACCTGTTCATCCCTGTGAATCTGATCTTCAATGATACGAATAACCTGCCTCTTGGCATACAAAGCAATCCGTTCAGGAGCAGGCAGATCAGAAAAGTTCTCACCCGGGTTTATACCCCCCTGCTCATCCATGACATCCATGATAAATCTGAGATCATTTGCAATCTTCCACGCCCCAGAAAATAGACACCAAACAAGCAGCTTCTCCAACAATACCCACTTCCCATAAATAGCTGCCGTTCGGAGCGCAGAGCCATGCTCCGCCTTCGACAATGTAACGTACGCGCCGTGTTCAAGAAGCAAGTCCACGATCTTGTTCATTCTGCTGTTGTATGTATGCATTGATACGGCGGCTTGCAGGAGTGTCCAGCGCGGTCCTCCGACATTGACATCTCCTCCTTGTCGTAGATACTCCTCAACGAGCTCGACGCTGCTGTGTTCTACCAGGACGTGGGCAAAGGTGACTGTGTGATTGAACGGACCACCGTCACTAGCAACTCGTCGGCCGAGATCGGTGAGATACTTCCAAGCTGGGAAAATCGATTGTAGTTCTTTCAGTAAGCCCGGCACCAGACCTTCAACCTTCAATTGGGGCTTATCTTCCTTTCTGGACTTGTCAATAGTCTTCAGGGACCTGAACGTGTCGACAAGGGCTTTGGCAAGCGGAAAGACAGAACGGATCACATACTTGAAGAACGGATGATGGGCACTGAGATCACTATATAGCCGAGCAGCCTGCCGAGAAGAGAGATCTTGAGCCGTGGGATATTTTGCAGCGTATATCTCAACTTTCAGTTGTATCTCCTCAGTCTTCAGGAACCGAATGCAAGCATTCAATAATTCTTGTCTGCCTAGATGGACGGCATGGGACAATTCCATCTGCTGAAGCTTAGCAAATGAACCAGGACCTAGAAACTTCGACTCAGCAATCGTAAGCACAGTGGTTGGGGGAGGCTCAATACCAGCTGACACGAGAGCTTTCACGATTTTCGAGTCATAGTACGGAATTTTCGAGGATGTGACCTCAAGCACTCCGTTCAATTTACGTCCGATAGCTCGTTCCAGCTCTTCGTCATCCCGGATGAATGTAGCGCAATTCTCTGCGGCGCCTTGGCTCCTATGGGTCTTGTCGGCGAAGACGCGGGCGTAACGGATGTCTGTTAGGGTTAGATGAGCACCTTCTGTGCAATAGACCCATCGGGTAAGCCATTCAGCCCATCGCTCGCGCTGTTGTTCTTGCTCTGCTGGTACCAGTTCAATCTTCTTGAGCATACTTTGCTGGCGGGCTTCTTCCATTTCCTCAAGTTTTGCTTGTTCTGGTGTCTTCAATCTGGCTTTCTCTTCCTTGGTGTATTTAAACCATTCGTCTCCACTCATCGGCGGGCCATTACGGCGGGCTTTGAGAGGACTGGGCATTGTGAGTCGATTTTTATACAAATTAATTCTAAGAAGGTATAATCACTCGAGAGTGTAGCGTATTTGGCTTTGAAGAATGAATGGAGGAAACGGAGGACTTGAAAAGATAGGGACTTGTGTTATTTATATAAAGAATAGAGCAGTGTGACAGATAGTACTATAGTTTCACTTGAGACAATCGAGTCTTTCATTTCAAAGGGTGCTTTCAGTGTGTATCCCTGCTTGAAAGAAGGCTTATACTCTGCCTATACCAAGCTCTTTGTACATGTCTCGGCAAATTATCTACTATCAAGTCATGTTTCTGGAAACATGCGGAATATCCTGATATTAGAGTGTTTGTCATGAAAGACCGGGATTGTACTGCTTGGGGCCTTGACGACCAGCGCAGACGAGTTTCTCAGACATATGTACTGCAGGGCTTGGAAGATGTGCTCATTGATTAAAACAGATGACGTCTTTTTAGTTCAGAAGGCTATGATGGGGGAAAGTGAGCAAACTTACGACTACAAGAATACTATAATACTTTGCACTCGCCTACCGACGACCATGTCTAACAATTTTATGTCCATTTCATCATAACTAACGCCGCGCCCAGATAAGATGCGACTTCGTGAAACCGGGTCCAAGCCCAGTTCTGACTCTTCTGCAGTCATCTCTGCAGTGCTCCATCGCCTCAACCCCCACGCTGACTCTATCCGGACAAAGCCAGATACGACTCCGATGCGCCACATTGCTTTTTTTTTCCCGGCCAGGCTGTCTGGGCAGCCATAAGGAAGAACAGATATAGATGGTGTATTCGAAGGAGACAAAGGAAGAGAGGGTGCGCATGTAAGGGGGAAAGGAAAAGGGAAAAAATAGGAAGTAGATAGAAACAAACAAGTACGAACCCAATAGTTGTCGGAACATGGAAAACGAGACATAAGAAACATCAACGGGTAGGTTGGTAGCTCCACGGGAATAGGTCACATGCATCATTTCTCACCCTCTATGCGCGGGCCTCCTCGGTGGCAGCCCGGTCCTGGGGACGGTTGCCCTGACGGCCTCCCTTGCCGCCGCGTTGGTTGCGCTGGTTGCCCTCGCCGCCAGCGCTCTCGCCGCCGCCCAGAGTGAGCTGAGCGGTTGCTAGCCGGTTGGACAGCTCCATCTGTGTGCGGACGGTGTTGGCCAGGTAGGAAACGACCAGGACATCCTGGATGTGGTTGTTGCTGCAAATGCATTAGCACAGTGCCTTCAGATAAGATGAAAAGGGAAACGTACAAGTCCCGCTCAATGTCGGCGGGCTCAACCTTGGGAGCAAGAGCAAGAGCGTTCAGCAGGAACTGGCCCATGGCGGTCGAGGCGGGAGCCTCCTCATCGATAACTGACTCGACATAACGCGACACACGATCGATCATAGAAATAACCTCCTCAATCGCACGCTCCAGAGACTCAACGTCAGAGACAATGTTGGTCGAGCGCTCCTCGGTATCCTTGGCGTTGGCAATGGCCTCAAGACCGCTCTTGTCGGCCTCGCCGTACCGGAGCTCGTAGGGAACGGGGATGAAAGCGGCGCTGTCGGCAGCACGCTCAGCGGTGACACCAACGGGGGCGGAAATGTAGGCGCGAGTCTCGAGGTCCTTTCCGGGCTGAGTGGACACAGTCAAGTGGACGGCGGGGTGCGGCCATGTGCCGTCGCCCTGGCCGCTGTAGAAGTTTTGGATCAAGGCGGAGAAGGTGTTCAGCTCGGAGGCAGTGGCGTACCAGCCGACGAGGACCTCGCGCGGGTTGGCCTTGAGGTGCAAAGCCAGCATCTGCTTGTGGTACTCCATGTCGACTTCGACCTGGTCCTCGGCCTCGGAGTGGCCCACGGCGAATGCGGACCGCACCTCGACCTCACTTCCATCTTCCGATCGTGTTCCAAGCAGAGTTCCAATGACACGTTCCTGGTCGGCGTTGCGGCGAAGCGAGTGGTCGAGGATGGAGAAGACGGCCTTGAGGAGAGAGAGGTTAGCTGGTGCCCCTCCATACCCCCATACTGCATACGTACCTGCGGCTGGATGACCACGTTGAGAGGGGCCGTGGTGGGAGCGGTGCCCACGGAGACGGGGCCCAAAGGACGGGCGAGGTGGAGGAAGGAGTCGGCCATGGTGAATGTGGGTTGAGAGGATGTCTGAAGGAAGGCCAAACTCAGTCAACGCAAAGCTCGGAGAGACAATTTTTCCTTGAAAGTGGAGGCCGCCGTCTGATTGTTCCGTTTCTCTTTGTGTGTGGGAATTTTCGCGCTAAGATAAGATAAGCACTTGGACCTTCAATTCAACTCCAAAAAAAAGTCAGTTTTTCTTCAACATCGACAATGGCTCCCCCACGAGGACGAGGTGGCTTTCGTGCTAGAGGCCGTGGAGGAAGGCGCGGTACTACCAGAAGACCCAACTTTTCTTCTTCGCGGTTGCACGATGCTGAGTGAGTGCGCCATGAGAATTCGAGATGTATAGCTAACCCACCCAGATCGGAGGAATCCTCCGGCGATGATGCGCCCGGTAGCCCTCTCGATGAGACCATGGGAGATGAGACTCTGATGGACGAGGGGTCTTCAAGTAGCGACGAGGAGGAGGAGAACAATGGCCGTCCCTACAATGAATTGCTCGAGCTTCTCCACGCCAACTCCGACTCGACAGGCCCCGCTCGCAAGAGGAGAAAGGTTGCCAATGGCGCCAAGGAGGACGTTCCGACCATTCCAGTTGAGGAAGATTCAGATCAAGGCGAAGATGCCTTGCAGGAACAGGCCCCGTCGGACGACGAGGAGGAGGCTCAGGAAGAGGATGATGACGATGTCATCGGTCCTTTCGAGAGGCACTTCAACCTTCCAGAGAGCTCAGACCTTACCAAGAGAATCGAGTCGATTACGTCCAACAAATGGATCTCGTCCAAGAAGGAGGTGGAAGGTCTTCGGGTGGTGCATAGCATCCCCGACGTGGGAGAAAAGGCATCTTTCCTGCCGGCTATGAAGAGCACGGCGAATCTCAAGGTACGCAAAATATTGGTCTCAAAGCTGATCCAAACTAACGTTCGATTCCTGCAGCTCAAAAACAAGTTGAAGCCCCGTGTCGCAGAGCTCCTCCCCAAAATTACCGGCCCAGCCCAGCAAATCGCACCCTACGTGTTCGACTATCAAGATGTTCTTTTCGGCAATAGAACAGCCTCATCTGCAGATGATATGAGGGAGATCATGGCTGTCCACGCCGTTAACCATCTTATCAAGACCCGAGACCAGGTGCTTAAGAACAACGCACGCCTGGCTAAAGACCCCGACACCGACATCGAATGCCGTGACCAGGGTTTCACCCGCCCCAAGATCCTGTACATTCTGCCAACTCGGCAAGCATGTGTGCGGGTGGTCGATGCGATCTCGCGGATCTACCAGGCCGAGCAACAGGAGAACAAGAAGCGCTTCACAGATACCTTTTCTGCCCGCGAAGACGCATCGTTTGAGAATAAGACCGAGGACTTCCGTGAACTGTTTGGTGGCAACGACGATGATATGTTCCGACTAGGACTGAAGTTTACTCGCAAGACGGTCAAGTACTTTGCGCAATTCTACAACTCGGACATTATCTTCGCCAGTCCTCTTGGCCTGCGCACAATCATGGATCAGGCTGAGTTCGTATCCTTTAGATCCACCCTGATAGCATCCCTGCTAACTCTTATATAGTGCCAAAAAGCGCGATCATGACTTTTTGTCATCCATCGAAGTCGTGGTCGTGGACCATGCCGATGCCCTTCTCATGCAGAATTGGGACCACATGACATACATCTTCCAGCACTTCAACCTGCAACCCAAAGAAGCTCACGGCTGCGACTTCAGCCGTGTCCGCAACTGGTACCTAGACAACCAAGCGCGCCACGTCCGACAAACCGTCGTGCTAGCATCCTACATCACCCCCGAGATCAACTCCCTCTTCTCCACACACATGCAAAACACCGCCGGCCGCGTCAAAATCACACCAACCTACGCCGGCGCCATCACCGAGCTCCCCCTCCCCGTCTCGGTGAAACAGACCTTCTCCCGAATCGACAGCCTCTCCCCAGCGAAGGACCCAGACGCTAGATTCAAGCACTTCACCACAACCATCCTATCCAGCCTTGTGAAAAGCATCACTGGACGAAACAAAAACAGCGCAGGCACTTTGGTCTTCGTCCCCTCGTATCTTGACTTTGTCCGCGTGCGCAACCACTTCGCCACCTCCGCTCAAACTACCAACGTCTCCTTCGGCGCCATCTCCGAGTATACCGAGCCCCGCGATATCTCTCGCGCCCGCTCCCACTTCATGAGCGGTCGTCACTCCGTGTTGCTGTACACCGAGCGCGCGCACCATTTCCGCCGGTATCAGCTGCGGGGTGTGAAGCGCGTGATTATGTACGGTCTGCCAGAGAACCCGACCTTTTACCAAGAAATCGTCGGTTTTCTGGGTTTGGATCCGGCGGCTATAGTTGAGGCGGCGGAGGGTGGAGTCCGCGCATTGTTCTCCAAGTGGGACGCGCTGAAGCTGGAACGTGTGGTTGGTACCTCGCGCGTGGGGAATATGATGCGTGAGAAGGGTGGTGATACTTTCACTTTTGTATAGATGGAAGGCTGTGTGGATCCGTTGCCTGAGCTTTTTAAATACACCGACATAGGTATCTTTGTAAACATCGTTTAAGATATACCTTCCTGAACCTTATTCTATTCCAGATGTCTTTCCCAAACTTCTTTCTGGATGATGTCCAATTCGTATACTAGTTCGACGTCTATGCAGTACAACGTAGGGACTTCGTTCCAGATCCAGCAAGCTATCGAGACAACGATAACCTTCAAGTTCATAGAGCTATTTGATAGTAACATCTCACGGAGGACGAAAACCTGGCAAGGAACAGCCAACAGGATCTTGATCGACATGTCTCGGACTCGAGGTCGAATTGCGACATCCATAATAATAAACTCTCCAAGAGATATCCTCAGTTCCCTCTGAATCAAAATACCCTTCCACGAATACTTTTAGCAAAGTGTGAGTGGGACTACCATGAAACAGAGGCTCTACGGTGATGTTGATGTTGGTAGTTTGTGGGCCGTCGGCTGCCCGAACCATGACCACGAACCTCCCAGATATAGTCCATATACTAGCTCGACTATACAAGTTCCAAGTGACCTGCATAAAGCAGCAAAATACATAACCCCCCCGCATAGATCCAAAAAAGAAAAATAGAAAGAAAAACCGGAAAATCAAAAAACCAAAGTCAGATGTTAGTTACCTGCTAGCGGCCAACGGCTCCACAGTCATGCGCCGAACTCGAGCATCATAATTTTTCACCAAGCGACATCCTCTCGAACAAAACACCTCCCATGCATCATTCCCTTTCTTATCCCTTCTACATCCATATATAGACTCCCGCGGGCATCAAGCCCTAGTGAAAACCCCCCTCAGATGTCATCCCAACCAGGATCGGGGTGTCCACCCCACTGCTCCAATGAGACTGGGATCCGGTCTCCAGAACATCCAGATGCACCCCTGCCGATCGAGCCCTATCACGATGACCCGCTGGCGGAGTACGAGCCTCGTCCCATCACCGCAGATGAATACGAGGGGTACGAGGCTGTCCGGCCGCGCAGCAAGTGGGCCATGTTCTGGTTGAGAAATAAGGGCATGTTTCTCGTGCTGCTAGCGCAGATGTTCGGTGCTAGTATGAATGTCATGACGAAGGTGTTGGAGATGTATAGTTCCATGCATCCGTTTCAGGTGCGTTCTGCATTCTTCGAGAAAGCTGGGATGGTTTCGATTGGGCCAGCCGTTTTAGCTTGTACAGCACTGACGTGGAACAGGTCCTTTTCGCTCGCATGTCCATCACTGCTGTAGCAAGCTACCTCTACATGTGGTATGCCAAAGTGCCCTCTCCGCTAGGCACGCGCCCCATCCTTGGCCTGCTCATTGCCCGCGCCATGAGCGGCTTCATGGGCGTCTATGGGCTCTACTACTCCGTCCAATACCTTCCTCTCTCCGAGGCAACTGTCGTGACCTTCCTAGTGCCAATCATGACCTGCTACGCCTGCTCATTGCTTATCCCCGGTGAGACCTTCTCCCGTCGTCAGCAACTAGCCGGGATAGTTTCCCTCGTCGGGGTTGTGTTGATCGCACGCCCATTCCGCGATCGCAACTCACCCGATGAAATCGACGGTACGGACTCGTACCACCATATTCTAGCGACTATTGTCGCCTTCGTGGGTGTTCTCGGTGGAGCCGGCGCATATACTTCCATCCGGATGATTGGTCGGCGTGCGCATCCCCTCGTTTCCGTGACTTACTTCTCCAGCGTGACGACGATCGTTAGTCTCACGGCTATGGCGGTTGTGCCTGGTGTGCCGTTCCGGTTGCCCAGTACCCCGACCGAATGGATTCTGTTGACGGGCCTGGGGGTTTGCGGCTTCCTGCTGCAGTTTTTGCTGACGGCGGGGTTGTCGTACGTGCCGCCGGCTGATGTCGGTGACAAGGCGGGCCAAGGCTCTCGAGCAACTAGTATGGTCTATACGCAGGTGTTGTTCGCTCTGTTTTACGATAAGGTGGTCTGGGGAAGTACGTTGTCGTTGTTGAGTTGGGCGGGGTCGGCGCTGATCCTGGCATGTGCCATTTCCGTGGCGGTGATGCAGGAGAGTCCGTCAGACAAATCGGGGCCTAGGCCTGAGCTTGAACCTGAGCCCGAGCGTGAATGTGCAGAAGATCAACCTCGATACAAGGATGGTGACGAGGAGGCGTGAGCAGGGCAAGTTACAAGGATAGTCGTGCGGAGATGCATTGACTTTAGTCTTGAAGAGGACACCCCGGTCAGCTTCTACAGCGGTCATAGGTTGCGATATAGAGCATAGACCATCGGACCCGATCTCATCAACTTGCATCAACTAGCATCAACTCGCGCAGAAGTGAATCCGGAGCACACTGCTCCTGCTCTCGAAGCCGCATCGGTCCACGGCTCGACGTCATAAGGTTGCAGCGATCCCAACGCCTCCCCGGGTTCGCCCGACGCTCGTCATTGGTTCTTTTGCAGTTCAGGTTCACTGCCGACGAAACTTGATACACGGTGGATCCTTAAAAGCCGGCGATGGCCCCGGTTTTTAGTGGATTCTCCCCCCAGATTTTCACCGATCTTACTCGAACTGTCATCTCGAGAGGAATTGGCAAATCTCATTGAATGAATTGATTATTTACGTCTCGCATCTCCCCTAGACTGCATCTATACTGCATCTACACTACACTACCGTATACACTACAAGACCACAAACTTCAACATGCGCCACTTCGACACCTGGGTCGTCCGCGACCCCTACTCAATCTGGCACTACTACCCAACCAACCACCGCTGGACTGAAACCGTCCGCGACCTCATCATCTCGCGCGCAATCTGCTCTCCCAACGCCACCTCCTCAACCCCAGTCGACCCCTACACCGAGCACCTCAACCCGCAAACCAACTCCTCCCTCCTATCCCGCTTCCCGCCGGAAATCCGCCAAATGATCTGGTCCTACGTCTTCGGCACCGACACCCTCCACCTCGTAACAATCAAGAACAAACTCCGCCACGTCCGCTGCCCAACCCCAAACCAGCAATCCGAACTCACCCACCACCGCCACTGTTGTCCAACCACCCCGGCCCGCTGGCGCGTCTACGATGGCCGCGTCCCAGGCCACTCGGACAGACTCCTCTACCCACACACCCACGAACGACTCCCCGAGCTCGTCAGCAACAGCAACGCGGCTCTCCTGCGAACTTGCCGAGCCATCTACGCCGAAGCAGCAGACGTGCTGTACCGAAACTCCACCTTCGACGTCGATGATCTGTACACGTTCATCGCATTCAGCAACTCCGTCTCCCCGCGTGCGCTGCGCGCGATCCGCAAACTGACTGTCCAGTGGATGCCTGTCTGGCAGCCTTTGGCCGGGCTGGATCACAAGGGGTCTATCTATGCGCATACGCACAGTGATGCGTTGTGGACGCAGTTCTGGGCGCGGGTTGCCTCGTTGCCTGCTCTGGCGGAGCTGAAGTTGAGTATTGATCTCGGGCGCTTCACGGGGACGGTTACTGGGGGTGGAGCGGTGGTTGTTGCCGGGCAGAGATTGCCGCTGGTGTTGAAGGAGAGGTGGTTGTTGCCGCTGTTGAATGTTAGGGGGTTGAAGGAGTTTGACTTGGCTGTTACGGCGCGGTGTGATGAGGCGGCGAAGGGCGTTATTGAGGGTGGGTTGGTTAGGGATGCGGCGGTGCTGAGGGATCAGTTGAGGACTGTTATGTGCAGTGAGGCTGGGGTCGGGTTGGGGGATGTGCAAGGGTTGGAGGTGGATTTGGAGATGGTTTATGAGGAGTTGATGGAGGAGAAGGGTGGGATGGGGAAGAAGGGGCGGTTGATGATTACGGCTTGATGTTTTGCTTTCTTGTGATACCCATGTTTTTTCTTCTTTCTTCTTTCTCTCTTCTTTTTCTTTTCTTTTCTTTCTTCTTTCTCTCTTCTTTTTCTTTTCTTTTCTTTTCTTTTCTTTTCTTCTACTGATTGATTGCATTGGCATGAGATTTAGAGATAGATTCAAAAGAGCATTGACTACATTCGATATTGAGACCGTTCCTTGTAGACGTTTGTATGTATCTACAACACTTCTAAATCCATTTGCCCGAGAGATACAAGCGGAAGTCTATAATTCAGATCCAACCCCGTCTTCATTCCCATTTTTAAGCCAACGGCCATATCAACATTCAACAGCAATCAACCAACCTCGTCGTCCACCGGGAAAAGACGGGGCAGGTTCAATTTGCGGAGTATTAGGGCAACAGTGAACCGTAACATAAGACGCCGGGCACCCGAAAGATTATCGCCTGCAATTTGGGAACTCAAAAGCCCGAAACGGAAAAAGTATAAGACATGAATTGAATGCAAGTGGTTGGAAGGGGGGAAATGCAGGCGGCATCTGATCCTATCTACAGAGTCGACACGCCCTTGCCGACTCGCCCGCGGACTTCATCATCGAAGCCGTTGGTCAGCTCCGACTCGTCTTCGTCCGCGGGAGATTGCGGATGGCTGAACGGCTCCTGGAGGGATTGGCGGCTTCGCATCATCTGAAATGATTAGTTTCATTGTCATCAGAGAGATGGAAAACAAAAACAAAAGAGGGCTTACCCATGCGCGAACACCTCCGATCAGTCCCAGACTGTATCCGGTGGCAAAGTCCTCGTTCCGCGCTCCGCCAATTGGGCTCTCGGGGCGCGGTGAGTTGAGCGCCTCCACGCGGGACAGATGCGACTTGCTGCCGCCGGTCGGGCTGGCCAAAGGCCCGCGGCCACTACCCCAATCCATGCTGTTGCGTGCGCTGGGTGCCGGGCTGTTGGGCCGGCTGTTTTGCCAAATCTGTCGCAGCTCACGGCCCAACTCCTGACCCGTCATCGTCCAGTTGTTTTTGATGTTGTCGCGGAGTTCCACCACATGTCGCTTAATCTCCAGCTCGTTCTTCTTCAACCATGACACGTTCAATTCCTGGCGAGAGGCACCGCGCTTGAATTGCCGCGAGATGTACTGGTCGTAGTCACGGACAATACTACATAGAACGAGTATTAGCTTATGCCATTATACGCCATAGCGATGGGAGGTGTCACAAACCGAGTAATGATGCCCGTGGTGCTGACACCCTCTGTCCGCTGGGTGACAAGGAACTTGCCCTGCGCCTTGATGGGCTCGTAGATATCATCACCCTCCGCAGCTTGGTAGGGAAGGTCGTCGTGAGCGACGTAGTCGATTTGGTGCTCGGACAGGAACTCCGGGGTCACAACCCAGGGACAGTTGGGAATGACCTCGTCCACCCACTTGCAGTGACGGATAGTCTCAGCACGCTCCGCACCGCTGAGGACGGTCAAGCCCTTGCGCATATGAGTCTCCTCGTCACCGGTCACACCGACAATTAGGTACACGTCGTCAAAGGCCTTTTTGGCCTGTTCGAGCTGTCTCATGTGTCTAGAGTGGCATTAATAGGTCGTCCTCGACTTGAAAGATTTATCGGCCGGATACATACCCAAGGTGGAACAGGTCAAACACTCCATCAGCGTACACTCGCACCGACCGCCCCGTCGGCGGCGGGTTGGTGTGGTATCCAACGGGGTCCTGCAATTTACCCACCTGCGGCGGCGCCATGGTGTCCTGCTCGCCTTCGTCCGCTGGGAGCTTGATGTGCAAGCCGGGGCGGCTCCGGGGACGACTTTCAATGTCGCTGCTGGCCACGGTGGTCTCGGAGGGCTCGCCGGGATCCTCGTTGTGGACGGGGCCGGCTCCGTTGGTGACGGTGGAAGCATCGCCGGAGCTCTTACGAGCTCGCTTTGATGATGGCGCATTCTCGTTGGTCTGTTTCTTCGATTTGTTGGGGATGGCATTGGCTGGGCCAGTGGAGTCCTCGCCCTCTTCGGCAGACGCGTCGCGTGAAGATGGCTGGAGCTCGGTTGTGGTGGATTGGGGGACCGGGAGATGGGAGGCGCTGCGCTTGCGCTTGCCGGGGGGGGGGATGAGGGCGACATTGTGATGGAGATGGAGGACGATGAGGATGGGAAGGAAGTAAGCTGTCCAGAAGCGTCCCCGTAGTCATCCGGTTAGGGGTCCGCGTAATTTTCTTTTTGGCGCGGAGTGGGGGTGCTGCGCTTGGCATGACATGCTCTGCTCCTTGAAACAGGTCCGCACCTATTTGCATTGGCTCACAATTATGGAGATTCGTCATTTCCCTATGATGTAGTCCTCCCGATTGACTTGCATATGTCATGCAAGCGCTGAAGTAGTTACTTCCATTGATAGTTCAATCAATTGATGGCGCGATTTCGCCTGACTCGTCGACAACACTGCGACGAGCGACTATGCCTATTTAAGTACAGGGCGATCAAATGGGCATAGTGATATTTCAGGACCAGACGAGGAGGATAATCCAGAGAAGCGATAGAGATTATCCCAGTGCTGTCGCTCTCTGATTACAAGACGACCTTCGAGACATTTTTTCTACGTAGTTGAGAGTGATGACGCCTATCCGCAGCCATGTACCAGGCTTATTTTTAGGGCGTCGGGAGCTACGGTGGACACAACCTTGATGGGTATGGGGGTGTAATACCCGCGTCCCTCCCAGGTCCTACACTACTCACGCTTACTCCCGAGGTCAGTTCCTGGAATCCGTTGATTACCGCTGTATAGAGACGAGACACGGTGGCCTCTTTCCCCGAACTCCACTGAAAAAAACGTCTACCGACAAGGATTCTCCAAGTACGCCGTTCAGCCTGCATCCCGGCTCGTCTCTACCATCTACCGGTGGAGCTCGGGGTTGTGTCCAAGATCCAACGGACGGGACGGGGGTTGGAATAGTTTGAAATGGTTCGTCAAGGGCATTTTCTGCGGTATCTCGTGTGGGTGGGCATAGACAGATAAACGGTGCTCATGAAGGCCCGGAGGTCAGGGTGAGGACCTCCTGCCCAGACTCTTTCTCTTCTCTCCTCGTGTTCCGAGCTGTGACAAATATTCCATCAAAGGGAGAGCATAGAACGGACTCGAAACAGGGGGGATGGGGGGAAAGCCCGAAGATAAACGTGTAGAGAAACGAAAAAGGAAAAAAAGAGGACATCGATCGTAGACTCAGGAGGAAGGGGACGTAGGAAGAGTCGTTCTCAAGGCAAACAGTATGGGGATGGGAAGTAGAAGAAAGGGGAAGAAAGCAGTCAAAAGGACGAGAAAGAATGCACACTACGAGGCCATCGCCTTGTCTTTGTCGTCGGTGGAGGCTGGGGACTCGGATATTTGAGCAGAAGTGGCCTCCTGCTTGCCCTGGGGACCGGGGGTGTCCTCACGAGAGTTGCGGGTGGGATCGGTCGGCTGCACCTGGTGGTCTTCGGTCTGGTCGAACAGCTCCTCCTCATTCTGGTCGGGGATGACCTCGGTACCATCGCCCAACAGGATGATCCGGCCCGAGCGCGTGCTGAAAGCCCGCGAGCGTTCCATCTCCAGGTCATAGTCATCCGGGTTGTCCTCAAATTGGTTCCGGATCCCGGGGCCGCGGAACTCGGCTGCACAGATCTGACCGTCAGCACGACGAGGGAGTTTCTTCGGGTTCCTCGAGAGACTTGCCGTACTCGGGCGGAGCACACGGTCCGTCTCCGTTCGCAACCCGCTCCGCAACCTGGTTGTACCACTCCTCCTTGGTCTTGCCGTTGAGAAGGCCGATGACAATCATCGTCATGTTGTCACAGCCGACTCCACCGGTCTCGCTGTTGGAGGCCAGGCAGTTGTCCATCATGTTCTCGCAAATCTGATGAAGGTCCTGCTTCGCGGCGATACCTCTCCGCACGAACTCCACCACGGCTTGGGAGGATTGGCAGTCCCAGATACCTGTATAGTTATTAGCATAGGCAATCCATGGTTCGAAAGACTTGTCGTACCGTCACAGGCAATAACGAGGAATTCGTCGTCGTCGGTGAGCTCGTGAACCGTCACATCGGGGTATGCAGTCACGATCTGTTGTTCGGGTGACAGTTCAGGGCTCTTCTTGAACTCAAAGTCACCGATGGCGCGGGACAGAGCGAGGTTACCGTTAACACGGCCGAAATCGACGAAACCGCCCGCAGCGCTAATGCGAGCCTTCTCGCCTGTGCGGGAATTAGCAGTACCCCATAATCGTAGTAATTGAAGACTGACCCTCGTTCTGGGGCTTGTGATCAAATGACAGCGGCTTCGCGCGGCCCTTGACACCCAGCACTGATCGAGAATCACCAGCGTTCGCCTATTATAATAATGTCAGCCAACCCAAACCCCATTTCTCTCCCTCTCGTAGCAGTGGTTGATCACGTACCACCCAGATCTTGTGCTTCGAGATGATCGCTGTTGAGGCGGTGCATCCAGACACCTCCTCTTCGTATCTCGGGTCTGCACGGAACGATTGTCAGAACGGGATATCCCTCGAGTTTCAGTTCGAAGCCTACGAACCTTCCAAAATAGCCCGGTCGGTGGCCAGGAAACCGTCCTTCAGAGCCTGTTCAATATCACCCCGGGCGAAAGAGTCCTGCTTGGACACGATCTTGTGGAGGTTCTCGCCTGCGAACAGAGCAACCTTGTCTCCTCCGTGGCCGTCGTATACACCGAAGAAAGCTAGACGCTGGTCCGGATCTGTCGGTTTGCCGTTGTCGCTACCCGTGTACTTTGCTTGAAGGTCCAGTATGGCTGCGTGGGCGTCCTCCATGCTGATACGCCAGCCCTGCATGGCCGACACGCCGTACACACAGCAGTCATCTCCGCCTTCGGACGACACCTAAAGCAAAAGAAAAGAAAAGCACGTCAGCAACGGTTATAGAAGGATTCGGTGGTGTGCGAATCAAGGGAGGGTGTGTGAATGGCCTGAATAGCCTCCTCTTGGGCCCCAGTCCCTCAGCCCCTCCAAGAGTCAGCCGGACCCCGCAACGGCGATCAGCAGCGCGATACCACTTCAAAAGCATTCAGAAGTGCTCTCGGAGACGATACGACCGCTTGTCAGGCCCACCGAATAGCTAATGTGGGCACATGGGGGGTGGCCGAGGGCAACGAAAAACGGCCATGGCTGGCGTCACCTGGCAGTGTGGGGAGGGGCAAAGGAACAGGCAAATTGGAAAATTTCGCCGACTCACCTTCTCAACCACCGGCTCCGACAAGGTCTGACCCATAATGGCACGGATTGAAGTATTTCTGAAAGGGGAGGGGGATCGGAGCGAAGCACCAGATGAATGGGGGAAGAGGAGAAAGAGGTTGGAGTCAGGTGAGGGCGCAGGCCTTTCAGCGCGTCTGGTTCCCGCGATAAGTCGCCAGCCGAGTGGGGAACAACGACGATCTAGGGCTCGCCCGTCAGATCTTGGAGAGAACTGTTGAATAGAGAGGTGAGATATCGTGCGAGATCAGGATTGTTGGTGAGATATTTTTGCCAGGCAGAGATTTCCTTGTAATTTACCTGCCGGTCGTGTGCTCTATAAAGTCACCTGACTCACCGGACTGTCGGTTGTGGTTGATCTCAGGACGGGAGAGGATTCTATCGATGGAGCGACGGCTGTCGACCATCCTATCTACTGATCTAACGGTCTTTACGAACCCTCTTGGTCTGCCCGTGCGGAGTCTCTACGCGTGCAGCCTCGGGCCCATTGTCGGCTGTGTATGGTCCGGTCCGTACACGGGGGAAAACGTCTCCTCGGCAGCGGTCGGTGAAGGCCACGTACATCTGATTATCCCGATACCTTACTTCTGGTGAACGCACTCTATCCCATGTAACGTAACCTGTCAACCGAACTGCTCTGCAGCACGTGCCACTCACTGCCCTGAGTGGTGGAGGGGAAAACGCTCATTCTAATTCCATGACATTTAAAACTTAACTAGAGTAAAAATGATATAATGATTCTAAACGTACGGTGGATATCATGTTCGCCATGCCCAAAACTCCACAAACGTGACTGGGAAAACACATTCAATCAAACAAACGCTAGCTCGCCGCTACTTGCGACAGGGAGCCCCCGAGAGCTGGCGCTCTTCACTGGGGGTGGCGGTTCAAGCGGCTCATTTATTGTTTGCCAATCTCCACTTGTGTGGTTGGCAGATTTTTGAGGGGAGGCTTTTCGGGATAGGTGTACTTCAAGGTCGGAGACCATGGATGAGCTTTGCGGCACAGCCGAGCTCTCTTGGGCTCGGGGTCGAGGCTTGGGATGGGACCCGGACTCCAGACGCTGGGCACTGTTCAAGCTGGCCTCGCTCCAGAATCGAGGAAGCGGGGAGATCACTCCACGGTAGTCCTGTGCCAGACTCAGCTGGCTTTGGCTCTGGCCGTGACCTTCTGCAAGAGGGAAGAGATTAGGCGGTGCCTGGAGGGTCTGATATTGCGAGAAGCGGTTGTTTTCATCGCCGTACTCTGAGACAGATAACGCTGTAGAGTATGGCCGTCCCTGGATCGACTGTCGGAATTCGTCACTGAAGGTCGAGACTGAGACGGTGTCTGCACGACTGCGGATGCTGCGAGCTCGCTCAAGCGCGCGGATGCCAGAAGATGTACGACGGCTGATTTGAGCCGAAAAGAGTGGGTTGGAGGAGTTGCGGTGTTTGGCTCGGCTGTGGACAAAGGCCTCGAGGGAGTCTGCCTCGGAGATAGTCGACTCATCGGGCTCGACAGCTCTCATAGTCACTCGCCTGTGGTTCTGAGGGATGCTGGGGGTCATGCTGTGTCTAATGGGAGCAAGGGGTGGTCGAGGGAACAGTGGAGTCATATTTGTGAGGCTGCTTTCATCACTCATTAGAGAACCCTTGGTGGTCTGCCATGACATGTGCACCATTCCGTGTCCTGGAGGTCCAAATCCACCCGCACCATGCCCGGCGCCGCTGAGTCGAACCGGCAACCCAGAAGCAACAGATGAGATCCCACTTGACCGCTTGGAATATCTCTTGGACCGCGAAGACTGGATAGATTCACGTTTCGCAACTCGTGGCTGGCTTGCCTTCAAGGGTTCGCGCCGGGACCCTTTACCAGACCGACGACGCACGGGAGGGCTGCGCGCATACGACAGCCGTTTGCTTTGCTTCTTGCTGGGAGAAATATCGACTGCCTTGTCCCTTTCAATAATGGAGTCTCGTAGAGGGACAAAGGCACTGCGCCTCGGAGAACGAGGTGGTGGGTTGGGTTCGGGAATCACGTTCATATTCATAGTATCCTCTTGTTTGTCAAAGGACGACACGTTCCAAGATGGGCCGAGTTCAAGTTTAAGGAGGTCCGATGTAGGAGTGATCGGGCTCATCCAGTCATCCGAGTTGTCATCTCGAGAGGGCCTTTCGGTTACACCAGGTTGGCAATTCGGTGGCATGTCCGGTCTGGCAGGTCGGGGTGGGGGCGACGGCTTCGCCTTGAACTCTCCCTCTTCCACTGTCGATGTCTTTCTTCTCCGACGCCAGCAGCAGAAGAGGATTATAGCACTCAAAACGACTACAAGCGGGATGACAACGGAGATCGCGATGATACCCGCTTTCTGGTGTGAATGGCCAGACGGATCAGAGAATGGGTCGTGGTTTCCATTGTGGGTTTCCGCGGGTTCAAGAACATCGATATCGAAGTCCTGCGAGTCCGTGGTGGATCCCTGAGAAGCCTTCAGCGGGATAGTGAATTTTTGTGGCTTCATATCACCAGGAACATGACCGTAGAGTGTTTTGTTCTCGGAGTAGTAGACAAGCCATGATGACAGATCCTTATCCAACTCTACGTCGAGTTGCACGGCGTTGTCAGTTAGAATCGACTGGTTGAACACAAACATGAAGTCTTCTCCAATAGTCGCTTCACAGCCCTCCACCGTTTCGAGGAACAACTCCAAGAACTCCAGGCGCACCATGAGCTTCGCCTGGTCTTGGAAGATGTCTGTAGCAGTAATAGTGATATTTTGGTTCACTGCATCCTTCGGTGGCGTGCCAGCCAATGAGATTTTATCATCATCCATCGTCAGCCAATCTGGCAAATTGGCGTCCACACTCTTCACGTTGATGCTTGACACTGGCGAACTGTCCAGGGACAAAAAGCTCTGAAAGTCGGGGGTACTGAACTTGTCGCCTCTCGTGAGATTGAATCTCTGGACAGTCTCGTTAAATGCCAAGATGTGCGGGCCGATAGAAAGCTGGAAAGTCTCGTTGACAGCACTGTATCCGGCCACGTCCGAGGCAATGAGCTGGAAAGTAAAAGTCTGAGGACCGGCGCCAGGGAAAGACGGACTGTTGCCGGCAAATGTCAAAGTATAAGGATCGAAGCCGATCCACGATGGCAAGGGCGTATTGTTCGGCGAAGTTCCGTAGTATATCGTAGCAGGGTGGGTATTCTGGAAGGTATCCGGGTCAAAGGTGATGGAGAATGGGCGACCAGGGTGAATGAACAGTGTTGCCGGGTAAGAAACGGGACCCAAAGTCTCCAGCTGTGACACAAGAGATTTCCCCTTGGTTGGTCCCTTGTCCGAGGTCACGATTAAGGTGACATCCATGCTATCTGACCCGGATCCATTTGATGCCACAAGCTTGAAAGCATTGGAGCCATCATCGTCAGAGTGCGGTGTACCAGACAGTGTGCGGCTTTTACTGTCGACTTCAAGCCATGCTGGTGCATCAGATAGCGAGTACTTCGTTTCCGAATCGGCGTTGGCGAATGTGTCTTCGGCGAAGATGAAACTGAACGGCTGCGAGACTCGTGCGACCGGAGGCAATTGCGCGTTAATAGGGTAGTTGGCGGACAGAACTGCTGCGTTCACGGCAGACAGGAAAGCCAGAAGGATGACGAGAAATGAGGCCATGTCCGGTGGATAGATCCGGAACACGTCCGGAGGTCAGTGTATAGTTCGAGATACACAGCTATCACGACCACGATGGACGAAGCACGAAGAATCATCCAACGACACACCGAACGAAGCCTGGACCAACGGATAGAGAACGCGATAGGGGATGGAAGGAGAAAGAAAGACTAAGTCGAGGATCTGTCTCCGTGATCTCCAGAAAGGATGCCCCTCCCTGGCACTCGTGCCAAAGGGACAAGGAGTCATTCAAGGCGTGCCCTTTGATGAAAGCCATGCTTGGATATGCTCGACGTCACCGAAGTATGTAGCAGAGTGACAGCCGAGAATGGGGAGCGCGTCGGAGTGTAGGGCTCACGTTTCGCGGCAGGTGTTCTGCAAGGGATGCTCCTTTCGGTAGCCAAGGAGCGAAGGGCATGCCCAACCACGGCTGTCATTTCTCGCCCCTCCTAGTATTTCTACCAGGAGTACCCAAGAAGGCAAGGAACATTTCAAAAATGGTTAAGAAAGGGCCCGGTAGGGGTCGGATAGCCGCCGGAGGCTTCACCCGTCACGTTCCAAGTCCAGGACCATTCTGATGCCTGTCCGCCCAGGGGCATAGTAGTCAGGGATCACTTCACGCTCCTCGAATCCACTCCGGGCATATAATGTTCGAGCGGGCTCCCTGGCCCCATCTACCCACAGCTGAATGTATTGGCAACCCTCCTTCCGAAGACGCTCCTGAATGTAGGACAGGAGCTGTTGACCAACGCCCTGCCGCCGATAAGCTTCAACGACGCAGACCTTGTGCAAGAGAGCTGTTCCTTTTTGACGCACGTAGACCGCGTAGGCAATCAGATCCGACATTCTCCCTTCGACTGCACGAGTCATGTATAAAACCCGCGTGTTGGGCTTTTTTCTCCACAATTCTTCGCCGAAGCCGAAGGCCTCATTGGTGGGGAATGTCTTTTTCTCGACGCGTGAAATCCGGGCAAGAATCTCGAGGGCCTCGTTCCTCTTCAAGGAATGAATATCCGAGATGTTCAATGTTGGGGGCATTCTTTTCCGCGGGAGGCCCCAGTGGCCATTCCAGAGCGTTACAAGTCTGGTGACAGCGTGGTTGACGCGCCTTTGCTGGAAATTTGACACTAGAACTGTCAGAAGTGATGAGAGTTGACTGTGGATCGAGAGCTTTCTTTCTGCGGGACCACTTCTGCCTCAGGCATATACAGTACATTCAAGGCCGCCAACCAGTTCATTTACAAGTGACCTTGTTTCTTGACGCATGCTCGATTTCTTCGATTTGATTGACCGCGAGTCTATCCGTTTTTCCTGTTTTGAGCCTGGCGAGGACTCAATCTGGGTTAAGACCTGAAGTAGACTCGCCACTAGGCTCATTTTGGCTGTGGAATGTGTAGACCCCAAAGGTTTCTCCCAACGACAATTTTAGTAAAAAGTAGCTGCGCACATTCATTATGGGCATCTGTAGTTCTTTTAACGATCCGGATTGGGTCAGGTCCCCAGCGTGGAAGAGGATGTCGCCTGAAGGCAGCGCTATATTGGCGGTGCAAACGATGAAGTCTGGGGTTACGGTTAGGCTGGTGTAATCATTACCAAGTATGTAGTGACCTGGCGAGGAAGATACATGGGTGATCTAGGAACTGCTGCAAGGTACAAGGGGTGATCGGCTGATTAAAGCATCGAGACTGCGCCGATGGCCGAGCATGGCCATGAAGAAATTATACTCTCGCATAAACAAAGAAAAGTAGCAGAGTGATCTCACATAAAAAGGTTTCAATTCAACAACAGCTAAAATTGCAATGTAGAATGTTCCATCAACTCATCCAAGAACCCGAGTCCCTCACCAAAAAGCGGGTTAAGTCTGAGCTCGGCAGCCCCACAACAAACACAACCTCCTTCCAACACCAACCACTCTCACCACCAGCTCAAATGCCTCCCCAAACAGACGACAAGCGCCAAGCCGCGCGCGAGATCATCGACATCCTCCACGAGATCTCCATCCTCCTCGTATGTGGTGGCCCTTTTCCCCTGTCCAGATCCAGCAATGGAATGGATAGGACAATGCAAGGCCGAGTATTTGGGCTGACAAGCATTTAGAATACTCACCTGGATCGGACGGAGCTTTCCCTGTGTGTTTCTATGATTGAGAATGGGGTTAACCCTGATGCTCTTGCGGTACGTATTTGTGATTCTGAGCTTGCCTGGCGTTTACTGACTCATCGCGTGCAGACTGTGATTAAGGATCTTCGCAAAGAGGGGGCTGCGCAGAAACATGTGTCGAATGCCCCGGTTGCGGAGTAAAGATTGCTGCGTGTGCTGCTTGTTCTGCTTGTGGCGTTATGAGGTCGATATGACAGGTTTGAGAGATACCCTTGGCTTGGTTTGTACTTCCTATGTCTGCTAGGTAGGAATTCAGGAGTTTCCGTTTCTGAACTTGGGGTGATTAAGAAGTAATTGGGGCTACCTCTACTCAATATCATAAATTAAAGAAAAGAAAAAGAAATCGGGGTACTTGAGGGCATCACAATCGGGATCGTCTCTGGCTAGGAGGTGGAATCGGAACGACGGAAGGGAAATTGGAGGTTTAAGGGGGGAAAGAGATGCGGTTTCAGGCTTGAAGCTAATCTTCAGTGAATTATTTCGACTCCTCGGTCTTGCCGTCCTTGTCCTTGGAGGAGCCCATCTCGCCAGACATGGCCTCCTCGGTGGCCTTTTTGAGATGTTCACTCTCCGGCACGGTGGTCTGCTCCTTGGACTTGGTTTCCTTCTCGTCATCGCTATCACCAAGGCTGAACGGGTCGTTCTCGACGACGGGAGACGGCTCAACTGTAGCCAGAGGCTGCCATTTGCTGGATTTGCTCGTTGAGGACGAGCGCTTGCCGGTATCAATGTCCGTGGGTGGGCCATCCTGGAACGACACCTTCCGCCTATCGGGCGATAGCGACGAGGTCTTCTGCAGGTTCTGGTTCCCAGGGCGAGGCGGACGAGGCGGGGGAGCTGGTATTATGTTAACGGTGCCCAGCAATATATCAAACCAATCAGGCCTACCTTCAGAATCTCTCAGTTCAAGACCAGAAAAGTCATCGCCTAGCACCTGCGGATCTGCATCATAGCGCTCGCGATCTCCACTGCGACGGCCCATATCACCACTGGGTCGTGGGCGCCCGTAAGGCGAGGACTGCTCATAGTCCTGGTTGGGTTCCTCGTCCACCTCGTCTCCATCAATTCTCTTCTTCAAATTTGTGACCCACGAGTTGACCTTTGTCTGTGTATCCAGGAACCCCTTCCGGAGGTTTTCACGGATCGCAGGTAGATCATCTGCAAGTTACCTCGCGGTCAGTAATCGGCGTACTGGGCAAGAGACCTTGGATTATTACCGTCAAAGAAGTTGTAATCTTTCTCCTCTGAATCCTCGCTTCCTCTAGGCTGGCGGTACCGCGGATCGTTCTCCCATCCCGGAGCAGGCGCCCTGCGTCCTGAAGCATTGTAATGCTCGGCGAGTTGGCGCGCATACATTTCGTCAGACTCCAATTGTCTCTGGGTGGTAGAAGTAGCCTGCTGAGACGGACGGGGAGGTTTTGGGGGAGGAACCATATCCTCTTGCGCAGTTGGGTCGGTCATGCCTGTATTAAAGGTTAGACCGTTGTCTTGTCCCCTCCATGAGTTCCCTACGCACCGAGGAGCGCATTGAATGCCCGCTCAACATTCCAGTTACTCGCAGTAAGAATAGCTTTAATCACGCCAGGCTCAACGGTAGGGAAAGCCTCTTTAAGTGTGTTTTCAGACTGTTCTCTCGGGCCCAGAGGCCGGGGCGGCTTTGGCGGGGCAACTGGGGGCGTCTCGGTGGCGTTCTGCTGGGCGCTTTGCTGGGCAGTCGCGGCAGCGCCGGACTGAGCACTTTGATCCTGGGGCTCATCGTCAAAGTCCAAGGGCCGTGCAGTGGTCGGCGACTCGGCGCGGAGGCTGTTAGGCGCCACCGCGGAAGGTTTGCTGGGAGTGGACTGCATATTAAGGTGAGACGCCGCTTTAGGACCGCATAGGGTGTCTGCACATACAGTCTTTTCCTCCTCCGACATATTGAGTTATGTGCACGGTAATATAGGCAGCGGTAGCGATGGGAGAAGTGTCGGTACAAAAGAGAGAATGGTGAAATAGGCAGAAACACATCGGGGAAGCTCTAAACAAGTGACGTGGGGTGCACGTGATTGCGGGTAGCTTTTATAGAGACCGCAGCTCGCCGCATTCTTCAACACCGCGATGAATTGATGGAGTACCATTTGTGATATCGGAGAGGTATTTGATCTTCAGTATGCTATAGTTTGGCAAGCGCAAAGCTGTTCTGTTATAATCTAAGAGCTTCAACCGAGTCATATCATTGATCTTCGACACAATGGCTTCAGAGCTGGATCTCTCCACGACCTTTATTCCCGCGTTGTACAAGCCTGCAGCTTTGCTGCCCATTGCGCGACACAAGAAGAGTCTAACTTATCTGGTTGAAACATATCCGGTCACCATCGTCGTGGGCCAGACAGGAAGCGGGAAAACAACACAACTTCCACAGTACCTTGACCAGGCTGGCTGGTGTGAAGATGGCAAGCTCATTGCAGTGACACAGGTAGGCTCTCTCTGAATTTATCAACTCGGGATATCCAACTAACTCTTAACTCTAGCCTCGGCGAGTAGCGGCCACCACGGTTGCAACCCGAGTTGCTGAGGAGATGCGCTGCAAAGTCGGTGAACAAGTCGGCTACTCCATCCGATTCGAAGATTTGACATCGGCTGCTACTAGGATCAAATTCCTCACAGATGGAATGCTCCTGCGAGAAGCGCTCGTTGACCCACTTCTATCACGGTATTCTGTGATCATGGTCGACGAGGCCCATGAAAGGTCTCTGAGCACCGATGTCTTACTCGGAATTCTCAAAAAGATCCGAAAGAAGCGACCTGAGCTTCGAATTATTATCAGCAGTGCGACTTTGCAAGCTGAGGACTTTCTGCGTTTCTTTGCCGGTGATGAATACCAGCCCGAAGCTGAGCCAGGTGATCTCGGAGGGAGCATTGGAAGAATCATCAGTCTGGAGGGCAGAATGTATCCTGTTGACATGCTATTCCTTGAATCTCCTGCTGAAGATTACGTGGAACGTGCCGTCAAAACAGCCTTCGAAATCCACACACAAGAAGCTGAGGGCGATATACTTATTTTTCTCACTGGACGGGAGGAGATTGACCGAGCAATCCAGATGATCTCTGAACGGGCCGCAACCCTTCACCCCAAGGCCCCTTCTCTTCTTACACTGCCTCTTTACGCTGGTCTCACAACAGACCAGCAGATGTACGTCTTCGAGCCGGCGCCGGAGAATACGCGCAAGGTTATTGTGTCGACCAACATTGCGGAAGCTTCAGTCACAATTGACGGCATCGTCTACGTGATTGACTGTGGATTCGCCAAGCTCAGAGCTTATGATCCCAGCACGGGTATCGAAACCTTAACCGCTGTGCCAATATCCAAAGCATCTGCTACTCAACGTGCTGGACGAGCAGGCCGAACAAAACCGGGAAAATGTTTCCGGTTGTATACTCAGCAAACATACGAACAACTTCCCGAGGCAACTCTTCCCGAAATCCAGCGATCGAACCTCGCTCCCATCATCATGCAGCTCAAGGCACTGGGCATCGACAACATTGTCCGCTTTGACTTTTTGACCCCTCCCCCGGCCGAGCTCGTGATTCGTGCCCTTGAACTGCTTTATTCACTCGGTGCGGTGGATGACTATGCAAAGCTCACAAAGCCGTTGGGGGTACGGATGGCAGAGCTCGCAGTTGACCCGATGATGGCCAAAGTGCTACTCGCTGCACCGGCTTTCAATTGTTTGAGTGAGATTCTATCCATTGCAGCCATGGTTAGTCTCCAGGGGACCGTCTGGGTGCAACACGATGGCGACAAAAAGAACGCAGAGAGTCATAGACGAAAGTTTGCCGTGGAAGAAGGGGACCACCTCACCTATCTCAACGTGTACCAAGCATTTGTGACCAAGGGCAAGAAGGATTCGAAGTGGTGTCGCGATAATCTCTTGAATTACCGAGCTCTGTTACGAGCAGTGAGCATCCGCGGCCAGCTGAAGCGGTACCTCGAACGATTCGGGATCCAGACCGACGAAACCCTCTCGTCACGTCATGGTGCGGTTGATCTCAGCCGACAGCCGGAACAAATCCAACGATGTCTCACCATGGGCTACTTCGCCCACGCAGCCAAGATGCAACCCGATGGTACCTTCAAGACTGTCAGTGGCGGTCTTACGCTTCACGCTCACCCCAGTTCCTTGATGTTTGTAAGTATTCGGTTAATAGAAACGGGTTCGTGCATTACTGACTGTTTGCTACAGAATCGAAAAGCCGACTGGGTGATTTTTCATGAGATCATGCAAACGGGCAGCAAGACATACATTCGCGACGTCACCAAGATTGAGAAGAGCTATTTGCTGGAGTATGCTCCCGAGTATTACAAAGTCACCTAGTTTGTGCTACAGAGGGATCGAGATTTCTTTCCAAGATACCCAGGCGTTAGACTCTATAGATAATGAGAATATAAGATTCATTTTGTCAGAGCCATAGAAAAGTATCTAAAAATTAGTCTCCAAGTAAAATCAATTTGTGAAATCACTGTTCCTCGCAGATTTAGTTCACTTAAGGTTCTCCACCCCCATACATCGACGTCACGGGATGCGGAGAAGGTCCGCTCTAAACTTCGAGATATTTTTGTTTTTCAAGTCTCCATCTTCCGATATCTCCTGCAACTCGACCACATCTCTCTTTCAGTTCATCATGTCGGACCACCATCACCATCACGGTGACGGCGGCCACTGTCAGGGCGAGCACGACCACTCAAACGATATCACCCCCGCGATCCAGTCACTGCTCTATTCGCAGATCGATTTTGACGCAATCACCACTCTCAATGGTATGGTCAATTAATGGCCCCGCATTCCCATCTCGGCATGAACTGACCGTTTCCAAATAGAGGCGACCGAAAAGGGCGGTGCTGCTATTGTCCAGAAGACCTGGGCCGAGAGGCTGAACGAGAAGCCCGAGCTGGAGAGCGATGCTGATGAACAGCTTCTCATGTACATCCCGTGAGTACCCTCTGTCCTATCTTCTTTCACTTTGTGAAGCGCCGTTACTTTTTTGGACGCACTTCACAATATCTGAATACCCCGCCATGTGCCCCTCCAAAGGAAAAAGCTAATCCAGCACAGGTTCACCGGTCAGGTCAAACTTCACTCCCTCCTCATCTACACCGCACCTACTGCCGCCGCCCCCAAGACCGTAAAGCTGTTCAAGAACCGCGACGATCTCGACTTCTCCACTGCCTCCGAGCTATCTCCGACCCAGACCATCGAGGTCCCTCAGCCTGTGACAGGCGCCGATGTTTTCGAGTTACCGCTAAACCGCGCCCATTGGAACACCACTACCTCCATCACTCTCTTCTTTGAGGATAACTGGAGTGGTGGCGAGGACGATGTCACCAAGGTTGGCTACATCGGTTTCAAGGGCCAGTTCATGGCCTTGAATCGTGAGCCTGTCAGCTTCTTGTACGAGGCTGCTGCTAACCCCAATGACCACGTCGCTATTCCGGGTCTTACTGATCTTGGAGGACATGTCATGCCTGGTCAGTAATCTTGACGCTGGAGGAGAAACTATCTAGAGGAGAAATGATTAGAAGGATATGGTAGTTCAGGACGGAATGAGGGATCCCATGTACTATGAGTCTACACGCCAACAATAACGAATGATGAACAATATTCCAAAATCCAAGCCTCCAACGCCGTCCAAATGCAGAGAGATCACAAGAAACTTCTATCACGCAGCCAGGGCTGTTCGGGCCTTGGCTTTGCTCCGAGTTCTTTCGCCAGAGACCTGCTCGGGCTCGGGCTCGGGCTCGGACACGACAGGCTGCTGTACAGGAGCATCGGGCAGGACTGGCTGTTCAGGCACCTTGGGAGCGACCTCAAGTCGCAATGCCTCCAGCTCGTCCTCGACTTCGTCTTCATCCTGGTTCGACAGGTTGCCCTCTAGCATGCGGCTCACCTCCTGGAAAGCCATTAGAATCCTAATTTCGATACAGCGTTGATTGATACTCACCTCTTGATAAGCGCGCGCCTCCTCATTCTCCCCCATCAACCGCTCCACGCCCTCGATACCGCCCATCTCCCTGTTGATCGTCTGCAGCACCTGGGTCCCCTGCTGCAAGCCATACATGACATCCTTCTGCACCAGCGCAAACTCGACTTGGCTGGTAAGCTGCTCCAGCTGGAGGAGTTGACTGTTGGCTTTGTCTAGCAGCGATTCCTGATACTTCTTGCGCCGTAGCGCGAGCAGCGCTCGCCGCCGATCATTGTTCGCGAGACATTGCCGTGCGATCTCGGTTTCGCGGTCGGTGAGGACGGTGACGCGGACTTGGTATTGTTTAATCTTATCACGTTGGTTCTTGAGGTCTAGAATGGCCCTGTAGCCATGAAGAACATGGTATTAGCTGGGCGCTGTGTCTGGAGTAGGTCGTAGAGAGGTCTCGTGAGGGGCACACATCGCAGTCATCCCCTCCAGGAGGCTTCAACGTGTTTTTCCTGAGACGTGATCTTTGAAAAGTGAATGGACTCACCGATCCTGGGCCGAGATCTTCTGCGAACTGCCGGTGTTTCCCATCTCGCATGTTGCAAGTCAACAAGATCAAGTCGGGAGAGATGACGTGGGGCTGTATCGCGGGTCTCCGAAATACGCGTATTTTTCATTGCGGTGCTTCTTCCGCTTCCCCAATTTTTTTTCTTCTGATTGTGTTATCGCGAAAAACAGTCCACCATGGCGCCCAGGAATCGCGGGGGCAGACCGACGCTCAGTCAGAGCTTGGACCGTGATGTATGTTCTGCTTTTTGGCTTCTGCGGTTCCTGTACTAATTCCGAGCAGGTTTACCAGGTTGTGCGCAAGATTATCGACGACAACCCCGACACTCGTCTTTCGGTGCCCATGTTGTATGAGCAGATCAAGAAATCGAATTCGAGTTTGAAGCGCCAGCAGAAGAGATCTTTGGAGGACAGTCTTGAGAGAGTTCTGGCTGTGTTACAGGCCGACGAGGTCGATGACGAGGAGGATATAGTCGAAGGTGATTTTGAAGGCCTGGACGAGCCGCCGGCCACGGTATGCAGGGACTTGGAATTTTGCTCGGTCTGCTAGTATACTAATCAGAATTGATCCATTAGGAACCCAATGGTCTGAACCAAAGCATTGTCGGCCAGTGGTCGACTACGAAAGCAACGCCGTCTCGAAAGACGGATGACACATCCTCGGGCAAGCCCTCGAAGAGAAGGAGGGAAGGTGGAGAGTCTGCTTCCAAGCGACGAAAGGGTGAGGCAATCGATCGGTCACCGCCCACACATGTCAGTCTTGCAGACTTGGGTGGACTGGACGAGGTGGTCCAGGAATTGGGCGATCTGGTCATCCTCCCCATGACTCGGCCGCAGGTCTACCTGTCGTCTAATGTGCAACCACCGCGCGGTGTCTTATTGCATGGCCCTCCGGGGTGTGGTAAGACCATGATCGCCAATGCTTTTGCGGCAGAGTTGGGCGTACCGTTCATTTCAATCTCAGCGCCCTCTATTGTGTCTGGAATGTCCGGTGAATCCGAGAAGGCCCTGCGTGAGCACTTCGACGAGGCCAAGAAGATTGCTCCTTGTTTGATCTTCATTGATGAGATCGATGCCATTACACCCAAGCGTGAGAGCGCCCAAAGGGAAATGGAAAAACGAATTGTCGCTCAGCTTCTGACCTGTATGGATGAGATTGCTCTCGAAAAGACCGACGGCAAGCCCGTGATTGTTCTCGCGGCCACAAACCGCCCAGATAGTCTGGATGCGGCCTTGCGTCGTGGTGGCCGCTTTGACAAGGAAATCAACATGACCGTGCCCTCAGAGCCCGCCAGAGAGCGAATTCTGCGAACACTCACGCGCAAACTGCGCCTGGCAGATGACCTTGACTTCAAGGTTCTGGCCAAGAGAACCCCCGGCTTTGTGGGTGCCGATCTTAACGACCTTGTCTCAACGGCTGGTGCTGCTGCCATCAAGCGGTACTTGGCGATCTTGAAAGCAAACAGCGGCGAGGAGATGGAAATCGAAGAAGTGGACGATCTCAGCCCCAAGGTCCGGGAACTCCGTCGTCTGATTGAGCATGCTAAGGAGAATCCCATCGGCGAGGAGAACGACACTGTTCTCGTCTCCAATGCAGACTTCTTCACCGCACTCCCCAAGATCCAACCCTCATCCAAGCGTGAAGGCTTCGCCACGGTTCCCGACACCACCTGGGCCGACATCGGTGCTCTCAGCGGCATCCGCGATGAACTGGCCACCGCCATCACCGAACCGATCAAGAACCCAGAGATCTACGCCCAAGTCGGTATCACCGCACCAACAGGAGTCCTCCTCTGGGGCCCGCCAGGTTGCGGTAAGACGCTGCTGGCCAAGGCCGTGGCTAACGAGTCCCGTGCAAACTTCATCAGCGTCAAGGGTCCAGAGCTGTTGAACAAGTTCGTGGGTGAGTCTGAACGCGCTGTGCGTCAGGTCTTCGTCCGCGCTCGCTCCTCAATTCCCTGTGTTATCTTCTTCGATGAGCTTGACGCTCTCGTGCCTCGTCGTGACGATAGTCTCTCCGAGGCTTCCGCCCGCGTGGTCAACACTCTCCTCACTGAGCTCGACGGCTTGGGCAGCAGTCGCCAAGGTATCTATGTTATCGCCGCAACCAACCGTCCGGATATCATTGATCCCGCCATGCTCCGTCCCGGCCGTCTCGAGACTTTGCTCTTCGTCAACCTCCCGTCGCCGCTTGAGCGCGTCGAGATCCTGCAGACTCTGGTCCGGAACCTTCGCATCGAGTTCAACGATGACTTGCGTAGACTCGCTGAGGATTGCGAGGGATACAGCGGTGCTGATCTGGGCAGTCTCCTGCGCCGTGCTGGTTACATGGCTATTAAGCGCCGCGACAATATCAAGCTCGAGGATTTCGTTGCTGCCAAGTCTTTCATTCGACCCAGTGTCACTGATATGAAGAAGTATGAGAAGTTACGGCGCGACTGGGGTACTGGTGTTTGATCCAGTGTTGAAAGTACTGTCTAGACTTTGTTGGCTTGTTTGGGATACCTCTTCTATGGTCATATTTACCTTGGAGCCTTACGATAGAGATCATTTACCTCGTAATTAGTATCAAATACAGATAAAAGATCATGATCTATGAACCTTATTTGGGAACAACTTTTATGAATATGGGCTATACAAAGCGAACTATGCACACACATACAAGAAAAACAAAACGCCTGCAGAAGAGTATCATGCACAAAATCCAAGAGAAATAATTACATCCACAACCGGCACGTTCCATCCGCACCGGCACTGACACACCATGCTTCGCGCGGATGCCAGTCGATATCCAAGACACCAAGCTCGGCTGTAACCTTGTGGCCCTTGAGAACCTTGAGAGGAACGATGCTAGCATTGCTCAGCATGTCGCCTGTAACGCTGCCATGGAAGATCTGCAGCGATCCGTCGTCACTGGCGTCCGCGAACAGCGGGTACCGGCCACCCGGGTGGAACTTGACGGCGCGGATAGCCTTGCGGTGGTAACGGAGGGTCTTGTAGGGGCGAGCCGACAGGTCCAGATCGTGCCAGAGCAGGCGGCGATCGTACGAACCCACGATGATGTTGTCACCTCCTGAGGCGCTCGACGAGGTGGGGTGGATGTCGAACGAGGAGATCCAGCGTGCGCCGGGTTGCAGGATCTTGACCAGCAGCTGGCGGGAGAGATCGTATCCGCGGATCGAGCGCTGGTTGGCAACGAACAGAATCGGTTTCGAGGGGTGGAAGTGGGCTGTCTGCGGTGGGCCACCACCCTTAAGACGGCGTCGGAAGGGGAATTGGGTGAGGTGCTTGGAGACAGTGTGGATGGCGATCGCAACAGAGGCGGGCGTTGAGGCGCCGGAACAGACGGTAACGAAGTAATCGCCACGGCGGTGCCAGGAGATCGACTTGGCGATGTACCGGAGAGGGATAACCACGCACACACCGGCGTCGGCCAGTTCGGACGAGGGTCGGATCCATTTGGGAGGTGTGCTCTTCTTGTTGGCCTCGGCGGCGCTGGGAGGGGGTTGCGAGGCAGCGTATCCCCAGCCAGCGTCGATGATATCCAGACTGGCCTTTTCAATTTCGGGGTCGGCAATCGGAGGCACGGCGAGGAAGACGTCGTCACCCGCGGCGGCGGCAAGGATAATGGCATCCTTGCCTGGTCGCCAGCGGACCACATTGACTGCGTCTTCGTCGCTAAGCTTCGCACTCCACAGCTGACGGCCGGTGAGGATTTCCCAAACACGGATAGTACCATCGTCACCACCTGTCGCAAGCCAGATTCCAGTGGGGTCAACGTTGAGGGAGCGAACACGGCCCTTGTGTCCGCGGAACACGGTTGCGCAAGTAGTCGGGAACGGCTTCAATTCCTCGGGGCTGGGAAGCTTGGGCAGAAGGCTCTCAGGGTCGATGTTCAGCTTGCTTCTCCGCACACGGGGAGCAAGGTAGAGATCCAGACAACGCTCGAACTTCTCCTGGACGAAGTTGTCGTATCCAGGAACTCTGCGGAGGGAGCCGAAGTCGTTGGGCAGGTAGTCCTGCTCGCGGTCCTCGGGATCCATTGCCTCCCAATCCTTGCGCTCCTTGTTACTAGGCAGATACTCCGGAGGAGGGTGGTAACTCTCCTCATAACCGGGAGGCGGAAGCTTAGGCGCGGGGATATGCATGATGTGATCAGGTCGCTCAACCTCGTCGGCCCACAGGTCGTAGTTGACAAGATCATCTTCCTTCTCCTCCCGCTCCTCCGGCGGCCGGTAAGGCTGGATACGGCCGTCGCGGATAGCCTTGACGAGCTTCATCACCCGCTTTTGCTCGTGCTTGGACGGCACGAAACGACGCTTAGGCTCAGGAGCAGCGCTGAGGGGCATGATCTCCTGCTGGCTGGTGAACCATTCCACGGTGGGCTCATACGGATCGTAGCCATCAACGGTGGTCTCGTTCATCTGCACCTTCTTCAACAGCTCCAACTCCTCCTGGCTGAGCTCCAAGGGCTTTCCTGTAGAGGGATCCGTAAGACCGGTCCAGCCCTTGGGGATCTCAATACTATCCAGCAATGCATCCAGAGCCTCGCCCTTGGCGGGGCGCATAATCTTCTTGCCATTGATGTCGTAGCCGATGTGAGGGTACTGGTCGTAGAATGACAGCGGGATGTCACCAATTGTGTTGGCATTCTCTTCGACATCCGAGTAGTCGGAGTTGTCATCGGGGTTAATTTCGTCGTAGAGGTAGCGTTCGTTTCCATTGGCGTCCTTGACAATTCGAACGTTTGACTCGTGGTCGGCAATGGTGGCCTTTTTGGGCATTTTTTCCTCGGTATCAGAGGGAATCTCATCACTGTCAAGCTCAGGTTCCTCGTCTTCCTCATCTTCCGAGCTGAAATCGTCAATGAGCTCGATTTCAGATTCGCTGTCGTCGTCCTCGCTCTCCGACAGGTCATTGGCGCTGTCCGAAAGAGCTCCATCCAGGTTCTCCGGGCTCAGCTCATCACCAGAGAAGACACCCGCTTCCTCCTCCACATCGCGAGTGACAGCCTTGCGCTTCTTCGAGGCCTTGGCATCGATTTTCGCCATTGCGTAGATGTCGACTCTGTTGCGACTCTGTTGATCCCGAGATTTTTTTTTTCTTCGTCCAATTGGGTTCACCGCCCACATGACTGACCGCCCCTCTTATCGCCTATCGATGACTTGAGCACTGATGATCACTTTGATTTCTCTTGTACTGGTTTCAATGTTAGAAATTTTCAAGCGACAGACATGGCTGAGACTTTGGAGCCATCGTTGCTGAATGATAATCTTCTGGCCTCGATATCCGGGCCTAAACGACATGCAGCCTGCGACGAGTGCAGTAGGTTCTCTTCCAAATGCTATGCCCCATCTGCGCTAATAGTATACTCCCCGCAGGGAAACGAAAGCTCAAGTGCTCGGGCGAACTGACAGGGTGTACTCGCTGCTTAAAACAGTCTATAACATGTCACTACTCCGTACAGAAGCAAATGGGTCGACCACCCAAGAAGAGAGCCCGAGCTGATGACGATACGTCCGACTACCTCACGCAAGGCAATAACATTTGGCCCAGTCCTGAGGAAACCCCACCGAATTTTTCTTCTCAAAACCAAGATCAATCTATAATACCAGATAGGGCGCAACTCTGTCCGCAACTCTATTGGCAAGGTTTGCCAATCGCGAACCCTACGAATGATCTACTTGCCGGAGACGAAGAACACAACCATACCTGGCGGCCAGAACGTCTCAAAAATCCAAACCTCCCTATTCCACCATCTGAAAGTCCTTGGCCGGACTTCGCGACTGTCACAGAAGCAACAGCTAGCCTGTTTCCCTCTCAACCAAGCCTCCAAGACGTTCATTCCCTTCCTCTCACACCTCCCATGTCCAGTCCTTCCGACGCCGCCACGTCCCAATGCACCTGCTTGTCATATCTATACCTCTGTCTCAGCCATATATCCTCCATCGCCTCCTTCCCCGTCAACTCTCACACTCTCTGCTCCTTATACATCGCAGCGCGAACCGCGCAAAGCGTCATCCGCTGCCAAGCTTGTCCGAAAGTCTTCGCCACGGGTGTCCAGAATGTCATGTTCACCGGTACTCTTCTGACCGTTGTCGCGGACGCCTGGCTGCGCGTGTATAATAGCGATCCCGCAGAGCTGGGCATTCAATCCGCATCGCCTGAGTATGTCTCGCAGGTGCTGCAGAGTGAAGACCCGGGGCAGGCCTGGGCTTCCTGGCTGCGTCAGATCGTTCGCCGAGCTGTTATCGGCGGTGGTCTTGCACCCGAGGCCGCCATTAGGTGCTCTGATCAGCCGGACTTGCTGTCGCTTATTACGGAAGTTGAGAATCGTCAACGCCGCTGGCATCAACCGGGAGGGCACCCGTTCACGGGGTCCAATCTTTTAAATCCCTTGGCTCCTGGTGGTCCGCTTGCGTCCCAGAGCGAGGATCAGTGTCAACAAGATGAAAAGGAGCTCTTGTGTCTGAAGGTTGTTGGAAGTGCGAGGTCTGTCATTGCCAAGTTTAACTTTGATCCCTCGGAGTTTCCTGGTGGCATTGTTCCTGATGACTTGACGCCTGAATCTGTTTAATGGGTTCTTCGGATACAATGATTGGATGATTGGAGTTGTAGTCTTATTATTTTGTGTTTTGTTGATTGCATCTAGCTCGGATATCCGAACAATCCCCCCTTATATACCAGGAACGACTACAAATATACGACTCCTCGCTTCGTGGATATCGGTGAGATCATCGATCATTCATTAAATTTTTGGTGTGCAGGATGCATTTCCCAGTTGCAAAGTAACAGTTGTAAACTCAACCCTCAAATGCCAGCCTTTTTGTGACGCCCGGGCCATGAGACTGAATGGAAAAATAAGACCAACATAGTTTGGAGATCACTCGTCCTCATCATCGTCATCCACCACATAGCGGTTCTTCTTCCGAGCTGGAGGTGTGCTTTCTCGAGTCGCCGGCTTGCTTCGAGGCTTCGCAGGCGCGGCCTCCTCATCGGCCTCACCCTCAGCGTCCATGTCCTCGTCGAGCAGCTCTTCCTCATCATCGTCCTCGACCACCTCTTCCTCTTCGTCACTACCGACCAGGAATCCATCGTCCTCGTCGTACTCATCCTCGCGGCTGCGGGCACCACGGCCGTAATCTTCTTCGTCGTCAGAGTAGATCTCGCCACGGCGGTTGGGACGACGCTTTCCAGGTCGAGTAGTGCGCATACCACCACCCTCAAGGTCACCGACACTGAGACCGGATGCCATGGGCCGGGAAGCAGCTGCGCGGCGACCAGTTCGGTCTGCCTCGCGGTCCTCGAGCTGTTGACGGCGGCGTTCGGCCTTCATGGCCTCCTTCTCCATGAGTTCGGCCTTGCGCGCGGCCATTTCGGGATCCTCCTTCACATCGATCACAGGCGCTGAGCCATCTGCAGTCTGCTTGTTCCCGCGGGTGGCGGCAGCCAAGGATTCCTGAAGTCTCAGAACGGCTTCGTCTGACTCCAGGGTCGTCGGGAGAACGGTAAGACCGTGTGTGACATGCGAGGTCAATCGGAATACCGAAGCAGTCTCTACTGCAGCACCCAGGTAGACGTGAGAGTCAAGTTTCGTGTTGTACTCGCCGGACTTGGAGAGAGGTGCCAGCGGCTTCAATGCGGTGCGGTACTGTTCTTGCGGGGCAGAGGCAAGCTGTAGGGTAATGGAGCCATCCTCCCATTGGATGAATCGAGCATTCGACTGCAGCTGAGACTCGTCGTTCGGGTCTTTCCTCCAGCATAACGACGTAGCGGCTGTGGAATAGGGAGGCGCAATGTAGGTCTCGGGGTTGAACTCTTCTGACTCGACGGACAGGAACTCGGGTACGCGCATCGTGTAAACCTGCCAAGCACAATTAGCCCAGGCTCAGCTCTGCGACTGTGTTTCATGCATACCTCGCCATCATTGGTCGCTGGCACTGGCGCCCGCGCAAGCCCTACGTCCATGATGTTGACCGTCTCGCCGAAATCGTCCTCGTCAGCCGCTTCATCCATGCGGTCGCGTCTGTCGTAGCGGTTCTCGTCATCACCCGAATCCAATTGCTCATCGTCCAAGTTACGGTGAGCTCGGCTGATGATTCGTTAGTGCTTTGCGCTTTCACGGCCTGTGAAGGTATGGAGGAATGCCATACTCGTTGTCTGCCCCTCCATCCTCACCATCAGATCCAAATAGATCTGCATCATTGTCCTCATCCATCTGGTCATCTCCAAAGAGGTCTTTGTTATCGGCACCGGAGTCGTTGTCGCTGGGTGCAGGGCTTTGATGGCTGGCGCCGGCACGGCCGGGGCGTCGGACGGCCTCCTCATCGGAGTCAGACATGGTGACTGTACGCTGTAGACCGAAAGAAATAAAAGAAATGGAGAACGGCAAATAACAAAGTGGTGGCAGCGCGACAGCAGAAGTCGGTCGGCTTCCGCGATGAGCGGACTAACACGATGATCCGAGACCGAGAAGCCAGCAGAAAGGAGGCCAGCGCTTCTTTCACCGTCTCGCGTTCCACGTTGCTTCAGTGTTGTTGCTTCAGGGAATCGTGCTTCTTCTGTTCCAATTATGGCCACTTTCTTCCAGAGCGTGTAAGTTTTGCCGGTTTTGCTATTTATCCCTGAGATTTGTGTTGCCTCCTTTCCCCCTCATACTGCAATGCATTTAAGTACTCGCGGATACAAACACCTGCAGTCCCCTCCAAAAGTCTATTAGCCTGTTTTCCACTTCCTCACTTCCTCACTTTATCTCGCGGACTTCAATCCCTTTTCTTTCATACGTTTCCCTTCAGCTTCCCTTCATCTCCTTCATCTACTAACTCGCCCCTCGCAGTCGCCAAGGGTTTGGCAGGGGAGGAAACAACAAGAACCCTCCTAAGAGCCCCGCGCAAGCTCCTGTTCCCCAGGGCGCCATGTCCAACTCGCACTCGATGTCCAATAGCTTGTCCATTGAAGGTCTCACCGCCAATGATCCCGATTCCCCCAAGTACTTCTTCCAAGAGAAGTACGCCCCGTTGAATGTGAGGGGTAATTTCTTGACCCTGTGTGCTTGTCCGAAGAATGTGGAGCTTGGCGAGTGGCTGGCTCACCAGAGTGAGTACTCTCGATTCGACGGTGTGGGTGTGCAGTGCTGATGCGGGGCTAGTTGTTGAACAATATCGTCTGCTCCACGGCATGCTCCAGGTCATCCAGGAGGTGAACGGTGTCACCGGGTTCCCAATTTGCAATGAGAGCACATGTCCCACAATGTCGGCCGGACGGTATGTGGTATATGGCGGGGTAGATGCTAAAATCCGGGGTAGATGCTGATCATCATCTAGGTTGACCTACACCTGGCTTGTGGACGGCCGCGCAGCTAAGATCTCCGCTCCCAAATTCATCAACCGCGTCGAGAAGTGGATCGTCAGCAAGATTCATGACCCCGTCATGTTCCCCACCGAGAAGGTGGTCGGTACCCCCGAAACCTCCTCCATTAAAGACGCCGCCGCTGCCATCGGAGCTCCTCCCGCTACCCCTACAGACCCCTCCAATCCGACCGGATCGAATGGAAACCCGGATGAGTGGATCGGAAAATCCAGTGGATTCCCGCAGACCTTCTACAAGGACTGCCAGGGTATCATGAAGCAGATGTTCCGCTGCTACGCGCATCTGTACCATGCCCACTGGCTGAACCCCTTCTGGCACATCAACAAGCACGACATCCTGAACATGTGCTTCGTACACTTTGTCACCGTCGCCAAGTACTACCAGTTGGTCTCGGACAAGGAGATGGAGCCCATGCAGCCTCTGATTGACCTGTTCATCAAGCAGCAGAGGGTTCCTCCGGAAGCTTTGAACGGTGGCCACTGGGCCCAGCAGCCTACCAACTAGAGCTCCGCGGGTCGGGAGCGCAATTCCATTTCTATCAGTGACGACTATGACATGTTCTTCAGGCGTTATACCGCTGTCTCGTGTTTCCGCTTTGTTCTTTCTGCCATTCAGGAAAATGGACGAATCTGCCAATGATACAACTCAGATCCCGGGCTTTGAGCATTTAGCATGCGGTGTGAGTATTTTATCATGATCTTTGCATATCTTGAGGCTGGCATTAGCTAGTCCCGAAACCATCTGAGCTATTCTTCTGGTCATTCAAGCGTGATAGTTCGAGTGATTCAATAGCTTCAGTAGAACACAGGTGTTTGCATCTCTAACCCGTTCACAAGTGTAGAGATATCTCCTCGGGGCTTCTTCGGAGGTCTGTTTTAAGCCCATCCCGTATGCAGCCAGAGGTATTTGGCCATGTTCCATATTCCATAGATGATGGGGTTTCCAACGGGAAAGGTCGGGTGGGAAGGATAGCCCAGCGCCGCAGGTATCGTCTCAAGGACTGTTCACGTAGTGTACCCAGTAATTTTTGTCGATCTCGATCGTCTTGACCATCACCAGCTGAGTCCCCTCACAAATAAACCCCATCCTCCTCCTGCCCCGCATTCGCATCCGCATTCCCATTCGAATCCCGACTCTCCCCCTCAGACCCATTCGTCACCGGCACCTCAGTAGTCTCTTCCCCATTCTCTTCCGCTTTCTCCTCAACTTCAATCCATGGCTGCCCTCGATGTTCAAGCTCAGTCTTAAGCAACTCAACCCGAACACTCATAGACACGATCACCCCCTCATTCTCCGTAACGTAACTCTGCAGCTCCTTCTTCTCTTCTTCTGTATCATCCGATTCGGCCAGAAATAGGCGCAGTTCTGCGTTGGATCGGTGCAGGTGTGCGATCGAGTTGCGGAGCTCGAGGACTTTGCTGTGTAGAGATGATAGTGGGAGCTCTTTGATTGCCTCGGCGAAAGCAGCGGGGTTTATTGGGAGGCTTTCGGAGGACATTTTGGCGTGTTTTAGGTTTTTGGAGTGTGAGGATGGTATGATGGTTGGTCCCAGGGTCGGCTGGGGATATTGTGAGGTTGAGAGGGGAGTCTTTCTTGCGATCTTTGGTCCTCCGCGTATCTATCACGTGTGGGGTATACAGCCACTTGGATTGAAGTTTAACATCGCTGTTTGAGAGAAATTTTAAACTGATTATGTGCTTCTATAATGTCTCTTGTTGAGCAGCAGTACCTAGGTATCTAGCTTTTTATGATACCTATTTGTGAGATTTTGAAATTATTGAGAGTTCATGTTGGAAGAACCCGCCCATTGCATACATATCTTACGGTCTTCACTTCACCTCTCATCCGTTGATATTTCCCACAAATTCCTTATTTTGACATTATAAATGGCATATTGGCCAAGAAGCCTCCATATAAGCACATTTTTAGCCGTGAAAATCCAGAAACTGCAACATCGACTTTGAAGCATAAGAAATCCATCCCACATACTTCGCGGAGAGCCCGGGAGTCGGAACAACCCACCTCCGGTCCATCCACGCCGTCCAAAAAGTTGACCCAGGCATCTACCTCACTCGTGGCTCACTCCTTCTGAGGCCTTCCAGTGGATATGAGCAATGCGATTTGGGTCGCATGGCGGATCCCATGCTCGGGGCTCCGGCCATCGAGCGTGCTGCCCCCGGTGACGTTCCGCCCTCTCTGTCGCGATTTCCGCATCACACCATCTCTATACAACAGCACATCCAAACGCCTGCTTAGTTCGGTGAGCACGCTCTTCCGAACCCAAAATCGACCGAATACCCTCCGCTTCTTCCCCAGATACTCTCCGCCTGCTCCTATCCAGAGTAGATTAAAAAATACCGCTGCTCCCGCCCAACCCGAACCGAATTCGTCCGAGTCCTTGCTCGGGAAGCCCCTCTCCGATGCTGAGATCAAGGCTGTTTTCGGCCGCTCGAAGATATCGACAACGCTGGGTAACCGGGCCCTGGAGGTTCTGCAGGCTCGTCGGTTGGAGGGAACACTCGATCTGGACCTTCCACTCGACATCACTCGCGCCGTGTCCCAGTCCCAGCTCGATCTTGGTTTGGAATGGTTACGCGTGAACTATCCAATTGACGAAGATGCCGCAATACTAGAGCGCATTGAGCGGGAGGAGTACGAGGCGGAGCAGAAGCTCGTGCGCCGCGCCGAACAGCTAGGTCTGTACAAGCCGCAGAGTGGATCCTATGAAGCCGAACTCGGCGAGGAAGGCTCGCCGTACGGAAAGAGTGTTCTAAAAGAGGCTCGTGAGAAGAATGAAAAGCGGCTGCTTGCTGAAAAAGAGCGCAAGCGCCAGCAGTGGCTCGAGGGTGAAAATGAGGAGCGGGAGAAATTGCAGCGCCTGATGGAAGGCAACACCTCGTTGCAGCAGTACCAGGAGTCGGCGCTTACTGAGGGTATGTTGTTCTGTAGTATTCGTGAAGATCGTTGCTGATATTAGTAGCGCGCCCCCGTGCGGATCCTAATGAGCGGCCGTATCTTGCTTGGGTCCAGAAGCACCATATTGCTGGCACTCTTAACCAGCCCGAGGCTATGGAAGTTACAAATGTATGGATCCCTTATATTTCTGATTGAAAAAATATACTGACCATCTCATGTAGACGCAACGTATTGTTGCACCCGTGCTATTCGTGCTCCTCACTCTCGGCTTGTGCTATTACTTCGCTACGACCTACCAGCCTCCCACGAGAAAGGACCGCCTCTGGCCCGATATTCCTCCGGCTGCTGCAACCGTTGGAGCTATCATTGGTGCTAATATCGCGGTTACTCTGATGTGGAGATACATCCCGCCCTCGTGGAGACTGCTCAACCGCTTCTTCGTTATCGTTCCCTTCTACCCCAGCGCACCGAGTATGATCGGTAGTACTTTCAGCCACCAGTCCTGGAGACACTTGGCGACTAACATGATGGTTCTGGGTCTCATGGGAACCAGAGGTGAGTAGAATGACCCTCGCTGCTCACGATACATTTACTAATTAGTTCCCAAGTCCATGACGAACTCGGCCGTGGAAACTTCTTGGCTATCTATTTCGCTTCGGGAGCTCTCGGCTCCCTGGCATCGTTGTCCCGAAGTGTGCTACTAGGCTACCTGGGCATGACATCCCTCGGTGCCAGTGCCGCAACCAGTGGTATCGTCGCCGCATGGTGCATTTACCACGCCAAGTAAGTGTTTTCCCTAGTAACCTATTATTGGCCATGACTAACTTTTTCCACTAGCGACAAAATCACCATGTGGATCCTGCCCCATGAGTTGAGAGAAACTCTCTGGACCCAGGGCTGGGTCTTCCTAGCCTGCCTGGTCGCCACTGAGATTTTCAGTATGGTGACGCCGGCTCGCTTCTTGAGCGTCTTCCCTCTGTCCCGACTCACCAAGATGGACCACGCTGCCCATCTGGGTGGATACTTTGCCGGTGCTGGATGTGGGTATGCACTTGCGCAGAGGAGGAAGGCTGAGCGGATACAAAGGGCTCGTGACTCGAAGTGGTTTGAAAGACTTGTTCAGTGATGATTGTCCAAGGCGCATTAGACCTTGGACCTTTGTATATACTAGGTTAGGTGTTTATATCCGGTAATTGATCCGTCTCCACTGAATATTCTACCAGGGAAACACACTGTGTGAATGTGTAATTTGACTGTTTTTTTAACGTTTTGCTGCTAAGCACCATGGCATTGTTTGTTTCCCGGCTTGTAACCGAAGCCGCCCTAATCTGTATTTGATTAACTCTGAAAATACACACCCGTCTAGTTGTTTCATATCGAAGCTTTCAGTGTCAATAAAACGTTCCTTGCAGGAGGTTATGTTCTTTTCGAGAAAACGAGGGCGTTCATTGTCGGTTAGTGGTCCTAGTCGGTTAGCGGTCCTGGACTGTAAGATGCGAATTCCGGTCCCTGGCTAGACTATGTGATGCTACCAAGAGTACGTGAGACCAACTTCCACTTTGTTAGGTTAGTTAGTTGAACAGTACGTGATGAGGGCTTTCTTTGTTTGTTTTCAGATGACGCCTGCTCCGTGAGTATTTCCTCGTCGCGCATCAACCAACTCACTCTTTGTATTTTGGCGATTTACGCCGTCAGACCAATAGGTTTGGCATACTGCCTCCCTGGCCTCTATGAGTATAACTGGGCTAGGTTCGCACGCTTGAAGTCAAATGGCACATTGCCATGTTTCAGTCTGATGATATAGTTTCCCAGTCATTGATCAGTCGCGATACTTCCTTAAACGAAACAGGCTTCGTAAGGAACAGGTCCACTCCTGCGTCCAGGGCCTTGGTCTCATCGCGTACGCTGCTGAGTCCAGTAAAAGCGATGATTTTTGCGGAAACACCTCCTTCGCGTTCTTTTTCCAGCGCGCGAATGGTGCGTGTTGCCTCTATTCCGTCCATGATAGGCATAGAAATGTCCATAAAGATAATGTCATATCCCTGCAGGTTCCTTTCGACGGAATCAACAGCTGCTCTGCCATTCTCCGCCGTATCTACGACCATGACTTTCTGGTGCTTAATGAAAGTCAGCAGAAGGCGAATGTTGATCTCGTTGTCATCTACCAGCAAGACCCGAGGTCTGCTTCGGCTTCCAGATGAGACATCCACAAGAGCTGGGCTGTTAGAGCACAAGTGAGCGGACGACGGCGCAGGATTGTGGCCGAATAATTGTGCATCTGGGCCCAGTGCGGAAGAGGTATGGCCATTAGCGGAATCCATCCCATAAGCGTATGAGTCCAGCCCGGGATTGGGGGATTCAGCAGTCGGTGAGCCCAGATTTCCAGACGGCGGGAGTCTAAACTGTCCTGCTAACGGACATACGCTTGCAGGCTTCGGTCGTTCTGGGATCACAGATTCTTGTTCGAGATCAACTGCACTCGACGTGGGAGATGCCGCCTTCGGGTTAAGACAGCCCAAGATGCCTCTGGCGAGTCTTTGTGGACCGCAAGGTCGACGTAGAATCACCAGAGAGTCGGCAAGGTGCGACCATTTTGCCCTAGAATCACCAGATCTGGTCGAGTCGTTGCAAAACAAGAGCAGCCGTGGTAACGCAGTGGGGAAATCCTGCAAGTTTTCAGCAGACAAATCGCGTTCGTCCGCAAACAGAGCATCAACATCCTCATTGGCGGACCACGGCACAATCTGCAGGCCATACCAGTCCGTAACGTATTGAGCGATCGAAGACCAGAACTGATGCTTGATAGGACAGGAAGAGTCGGTTCGCCAAATCGCAGCACGCTTCCCTGTCAAGTCCAGATGACGCAATTGGGAGCATGCCGTAAGCTTCTTCTGTGCCAAACTTTCCACACGAGGCGTGGATGATGGAAACTCCTCTCCACCTGGACGCTCGAGAGGAAATGACACCTTGACAATTGTGCCTTCGCCCACTTGGCTTTGGATGTTAATGGTCCCGTCTAGCGTTCTCACAATGCCGCGAACAATTGACAGACCGAGGCCAGTCCCCACCGATAGCGTATCCTCCTGTGCAAATGGAGTATACAGACGCGTCCGAAGATATTCACTCGAGATGCCTCTACCCGTGTCTGAGATGGTTAACGTGATCATGTCTTCAAGCCCTTGACGTCGAGATCGCTCGCGACCTTTGGACCGCTGAGGGGCGTCGATGCAGACACAAATCAGGCCCTCTTTGGTGTACTTCAGGGCATTGCCAAGAAGGTTCATTATTATGCGTCTCAGTGATCCTGGCTGGACGTTGTACAACCAGTCCCGGTTGCTGATTTTGACGACGACCTCCACTTCTGGACCGGAGCCGGCTTGGATATCTTCGTTTGGCGATTTGGAATGCAAAGTTGGCGAATGATTGGTTGAAATTGTCGACCGTTGTATATGAGAATGCCCCAAACACACGCTATCCACGACGTCCTCCGTCAAGACGGCCAGATCGGTCGACACGAATGGATCCATGCGCGCCGGTGTTTCCTCTCGTGTTTTTCGTCTCCACGGTTCCTTTCTGCGCGTATACCTCCTCTTTTGCCTTTCCAATGACATGATTTTGCTAAAGTCTAAGACTTGGTTCATCGTATCCAAGAGTGTTCGACCACAAGCATTTATCGTCTCGATAAGGGATTCCTGATACTCATCTAAGCCGGTATCCCCAAAAAGTTCAGAGGCAGCCAAGACGCCATGCAGCGGGCTGCGTAGTTCGTGCGAGATGCTGCTTATGAAATCTCCCTTTTGACGATCTGCAATAACTGATTCGACACGGCTGTATTCGGTCATAAGAGACGATGCGAAGCCGAATGTTGAGCTCAGATCGACAGCACGACTGAAGATTCTCGTCGGCTGAGGGGTCCAACAGAAACACCCTGCAAACCATTGGGAATTGATAGCATTCCATAGCGGGACAAACATGACCTGGCACGCATCAGGGAAGTACGTATTCAATTTGCTGGTTTCTGAGGCTCTAGACTTGTTCCTCTGCTTCCGAGATGCGCTGACGGATTGCTCTTCATCCGAGGTGGTCAAAGTCCCGTCGTTGTGGAATGACCAAAGTCTCCCCTTTGGGTAGCGACCAGTCAATTGGTTGAGAAAGTCACTGTCAAGATTGACAGCCGGGGATGACGCCTTAGAGACTGCCTGGTAAAATAACGGATCATCTTGGGTGGACATTGCAAGAACAGGCGCGCAAGTGTTGGAGTCAGCGGGATCACAAGGGCTATCAGCGACATTGTCTGGCGAGTCGTCGTTGATCCTCGAAAACATTACACCACCAGCACCGTCCAAGTCCAGGCTTTGTCGTAAGAGGTTCGCGGCTCGCTGAAAAATCCAATCATTGCTGGTCGAGGAGACTGACGAATTGCTGTCACCTGCCCGCAAGTTAGGCAATGAAGTTGCTGCGTTGGCAGAGAAGCTCCTGTCCAACGCCTCATTCAAAACTGGGCTCAAAGATCGTGCGTCGTCATTTTGAAAGCGCGTGTCATCGATTTCAGCCTGTGGTAAGGAAAGTTCTGAGTCGCTCTTGTGAGAGCTCGTAGACCGGCTCGATCCAAGGTAAGGAGATCTCTGCGAGGACGAACTCGTATTTGAACTGTTCGACCGAGACGAATGACGATTATCGGCGAAACTGGAGTTGCCGTCAACGAAAAGACGGAGGCCCTTCGACAGCCGCGAGGCGCGGCGGCCTTCTACAGCCTGACGGCTGACTTGTAAATAGTCCATAACCATCGCTGCCACTGTCCCTAGTGCATCCTTTTCGATATCAGACAGCCCTTCGCGGGGCTGTGGATCCAATACAAACAAGCATCCTATATTGATATTGTTATCGGTCGTCAGGGGTGTTCCAGCATAAAAGCGGGCGTGCGGCGCTGCTTCCACGAAGGGCAATTGCCTAAAGCGATCTTCCTGCGTCAGGTCGTTGATAACCAAAAAGTGGTGTGTTTCATCTTGTGTGTCTGAGGGGATTGCAACTGTCTCCTGTTCGAAGAAATCGGTCAGTTTCAGAGTAATGACTGAGACGTGTATAACTGGCTGGGTGGTCTCACATTACATATATTCCAACTAGTTACCAATGTCGATGTTCCGGCAAAGAGTCTGTCTCCCTTCTCTACGGATGGTGTTGAGTTTCCACCGTTAGTGTTTCTTGTGGCCTCAGCTAAGATGAACTGTGAATCTTGATTCAATATACTAAGAGAGAGAAAAGTTAGCCAAAGGTCAACGCTGTAGCAATGGGCCAATGTACGTAATAAAGGCACGTTGTGCATTCAGCTGCAGTGCTGCCAGTTGTGCGAAAGACGTTAGCGTAGTATTCGGACTACAAAAGACGCCGGCTTCAACTGGAGTCGTCTCTGAGACTGAGGTATTGAGGATAGGAGAGGTAGTAGCCGTTGACAGATCTGTTATAGAGCCCGAATCATCGCCTAAAGGAAGCCATGTTGCATTCAGCGCCGCCGGATTTGCTGGCTGAAAATATCGATAGACCTCGCGAGCCTGTCGGTCTGCGTCATAGTCACGAAGCGTCTGCGCGTCCGAATCATTCATAATCTGCAGAAACTCCTGCTGTCGCGTTGCGAGCAAGAACAATGTCGTAAATGTGTGGTCGTTGAGCCGATTGTCGTCTTCGTTGAAAGTTCGTAGGAAGTGACGAAATTGAAATCATGCAGCACGTATCCTAGCTAGGAATCTGGTTTTGTCCCAGATACCACACGTGATGGGATTCACGCAATGACGTGGGAGTATAATCACGTGGGTGGTGTTGGAACATCAACGGGATCATTAGAGGTTGATCGCTCAAAGACGCAGCGTGTTAGGGCGAGTTGGGCGGGGCGCGGGCGCCACAGGTACGCACCATCACCTTGACAAGGCAAGATCGCCTGCCGGTTCCGCCCCCTTGAACTTTCCCGGTTCTGGTGCCCACCCTCACCGATGCCAGGCTGACTCACTGCAGAAGACACTGGGGATACTGCAGAAAAGTAACCCCGGTAAGTGAATGTATTTCTCTCTGGCCATGGCTTGTGTTATGTGTTGTGAAGTTAATTCATTACTAGCGTCTGTCACCAATTGGTACTCCCAAGCTGATAGGACTGCCGATGTGATTGCTTGTAGAGATGACATAGAGCCCGTATAACAATGGTCACATATCTTAGCTCGAAAGCTTCATTAGGCTGATGTGTGGGTAGGTCTCAAGTATGGATGAGATGGATTATTGTATCTCTCAAGAATTTACTTTCTCATCCTCAGTAGCCTTTGCCATTCGTGAAACTTCTCCAGGCCTCCGCCTAAGAGCCTTTACAGCCTCTCCAAGGATGGGAATCGCCAAGAATAAAAATTGCCAAGGATGAGGCTCGCCAAGTCCAAGTCGGATCTACTAGTCCGAAAGTACTTTCCCCCCGGGTCTTTTCTCTCCTCTTCATTCCTCCTACCTGAGTCATCCCCCAGGCAAAATCAAGCAACCCATATGCCATCAATTTGGCAGCATGGCAGCGTGGCGGCTGTGGATATTGGCCATTTGATTTCGATAGATATACTGCTCGGAGACCCACCCACTTCGACTGCACCGCATCTCCTCTCCTACCGTGCCGGGGACAAGATCATGGGCTCAGTCTTGATCCGATCCGACATCAACGCGCAATTTGATGCATTGGATATATGCATGATAGGTCTATATCCCCTAGCGCAAAATCCCCTTTTTTTCCATAGATCACTCATTATAGGTCTAGGAGAAGAATGGACATCGGTGCGGAATGAAAAGACCACCCGTCGGTTCCTCGATGTCAAGTTTGCATTGCATGAGTCAACCCTTCCTCCCGAAAAGATATTCAGAAAAAATCAACAATACTACTTCAAATTTGTTTTCGAAGTACCAGATCATCTGTCTGAAGCCTCCTGCAACCACTTCATCTGCAATGATCTCATCCGCAAGGCCCATTTGCAGCCTCCTCCAAGCTTTGGAGATCCAACTGTAGCCGGGCTTAGTGGCAGCTTGTGCAATGATTTTGCACCACCCGCTTGCGCGATAATCTATACGATTCAGGTGAGACTGAATCGCAAAAGCTACCTTTCTGCAAAGCAGCAAATCATGTTGCAAAAGAGTCTAAAGATACGAGTCAAACCAACTGGAGATGTTTTCAATTCGTCCTTAATGTACAGAAGGTACCAGTATTGCTTGGAGCAGTCGATCGATTTTCCAAAGGGTCGTTCAACATCAACTTCAGGTCGCTTGATTGCGACACTTATAGCACCTAGATATTTCTATCTTCCTCTACGCGGGATGGATGGATTAATGCACCAGACAATTCGTCTCAGTCTTCGGCATGAGAAAAACGGAGGACATGGAGACATGCCTCGGATCTATTCCCTAGAAGGACGTATCACAGCTACCACCTTTTTCACCAAGTCCTGCCACCACGATATTCCGACCAAAAGAAAGGACATTTTTGGGAAGGGAATCAATTTTTCCGACAGCATTCTCACCACCTTTTCTTATTCCATTGCATCGCTTCAATGGACATCCGAGCAATCAGATTGCTACTCCGCCACTTTGCTCGTACCAATCAAGGCTTCCCATCCGTTAATCATTCCGACTTTCCATTCCTGTCTCATCTCCCGGATTTACACCTTGGACTTACAACTGAAGTTGCACGGTGCTCGTTCAATAAAACTCACAGCTCCAATGCCGATATTATTCCGTGAGGATCAGCCCGTTCTACCCTCATACAGCGAGTGAGACGATATAACTAAGGATGTCATGGTCCATCGGTCTTGGTCATCTATGGAGAATTATATAGTAATAGTTGCGCGATTTCTTTTTTGATGTAGTTTACTAGACGTATTCTCGACCATCAATAGGGTTGCATATACGGAGTTCGTCTGATTAAAAAGAAAATGATGGGAAAATAACATGAATGACCCCATCTCCAAACCTGTCTTCCGGTAAATCCGGTCCACAACCGACAGATGCGAGGTAATGATGATACGACGCAAAGGCAGCGCCTTCAGTGGATTCTCATTCGATATGATGGGTACTATGCGAGGGCGGGTTGACGGAGATTCCGACAACAGCGAGCGGTTTAAGTTATCGCTCGACGTTTCGTGGTGGGTATTCGGAGCTAGGTCGAGAATGAAGAGGGCAGTGCCTATTTATAAAAATTTAGAATGAACAATCTGGTTTTCAAGTATTGAGAAAGTTATCTCCGATTAGGTAGGAGTACTTTGTGATTTAAGAGAGGGTGGGCCGCTGTAATTAAAGCTGTATCACATATCGAAATGTGAATTTGTTTTGTATTTACAATTACTAGGCCTATATCATTCTTTAGGGTATTTAGGAAAATAAGAGCAAGTCGAAATCTGTCAAGGTAGAAATTATCTAAGATTAGGTTATACGAAAGTCTACTGAATACCTAGGGGTGCCAGAGTATAGGATGCTACACGTGATCTTGATGTTGATTGGTTCTCAGTGGCCCATCGGTAAGTTGCGGTCCCCGCATTGATTGGTGACTAGCATATCCATAACACAATACTGTATACCTTGAGACAAGGCTTGTATTCCCTAGCGCCTAGTCCGAGCACTTATAACACTAGTATAAATGCTCTGCCCCTCTTACTACACGATACTACACTATTGCTTAGCGATACATTAGTCGTAGATCGATAATCTTTGCCTACCTTAGGGCTTCACTTAAACGTAGACCCTATCTCTTTCTTAGGCGGGAAATCATAACGGATTACTATATTCCATTCTCCCCATTTTTCACGTTAGAAAGATATTCCAATGAATCCTATAAATTTACGGCCTCCTTATGCCATTCAGCCCCCACGAACTAGCGCGTACGCATGCATTCCATCCCCGCGAACTGGACCTAGTACTCACCCGCCCCACAGGCCCAAAGTCAGGAATCTCCATCCGCACCTCCGATGGTTAGAGTCCAGCCTCACCGACCTTGACTCTGACCCTCCGACGGTCTCCTAAGGGTCACACGCGGAGAGTCCGACTTACCCCTAACTATATGCCACGCCTTAGATATTAGGGCACGCTTTGCCATTTTAGATTAAATAACTAAGCAGTTTGACACCTGAGGGTCACCTGCGGGTGAGTGTAAGGTCTAATGTGAGTTTATTAGCGCACTTCTAATATCTAATAGATCCTATGAACTTCGCAACAAAATGTGCTTTTGTTATGAACCCCCCGGGCCCCTGCGAAGGCCTGCGGTGCTCCGGTGTAATCACCGAGCGCTAAGCTATTAGCTGCAGATATATTAGACCACAGAGGTCAAAGCGACGCGTTCTAATTAGAGATAACGAATAATGAAAGCCCTTTTTCCTTATTTTTCCAAGGAGAGTTACCTAGCCCAAACCTTTTGAAAGAAGATGCTTCAGTCGCCGAACGGGTATAAACGCCAGCATCATTCCAAGCCCTAATAAGCCCCCAACGGCGAAAGTTGAGACGTTATAAGCACATGTTCCTCAAGGCTATCCTGTTCAAGAGTTCATGAAGTCTGCAATCCTTGTTCTGTCCCTTTTCACTATCCCAAACCTGAAATCAAGAAAACAAAAACTCTAAATCACCTAACATACACGAGGTCGGCCAGTCACGAGGCTCAGCTAATCACGGGATTGGCCTGCAAAGTCAACTTGTTCCTGGTCGACAATGCTATTTCTGCTTTTAATCACCATGGTTCTGAATCCGTTTCGACCGTGCGAGGGCTCGCCAACCTTTCAAGAAGAATATAGGGGCAGCTTCGTACCAACAGTTATCAAAACAGGATATGGCCTCCAGGTTGTGGCACCGGATACTCCATACGTGGCAGCTGCCGGCCCAAACAAGTTATACTTCATCGACACCCGCTTCGATGCCGAGACTGCAAAGCACGTGAAGGAACAAATCGAGAAGGCAACTGTACCGAACCCGGAGGAGTATGTCGCTATAGACGAGATTTCAGCTACGGCGGAATTGAAAAACTCTTTGACCGGCGAAACGACATTCGTGTTCGACCCCCCCCTATGCTAGGGTCCTATTCGCAAGGGGAATGAATAGGCACAACCCGGAGCTCAAACTGCCCGAGCATGAGCCCGCCGGCGATTGGCTAGTGACCTACGATTTGGAAAAAACACTCACGGAGCGATCTGATATGTTCTGCTACGATTATGGCTGTCACTCGAATCAGGACTGCATTCGGCAGACATATGGCAACTGTCGGGTTTGCCGCCGATACAGGGTTGACAACGAGTGTGAGGAACCGATGGTTAATGCCATCGGCGTGTGCCACCCACTCTGCTCGAAGGCTGTCGATATACCAAAGGAAGATGGAGAGACGGACGCCAGCTACTATGAACGGATGGACAAGTTGCACTGGGCATAAAAGAGCTGTGGCGGGTGCGAAATTGGTCACCGATTTCAAGAGGAAGGGCTAAGTGACTCTAGACCTTACTTGTTGGAATATAGATCAATGCTATATAGGTGATTAGCCTAGTTACCAGACTAACTGGGTCAGTCGGTGAATGGCTGAGCGCTATATGTCGTATGAACTGGGACAGTCGATATATATGTTGAGTATGCGCTCTATCTTCTTATTTCAACATAAGAAGGTTGAATCTTGCAAGTTACCCTTCTTTTCGTCATCAGACGAAAAGACTGGTTTACCCATTTTGATCTATTACATTTTGATCTGATTCTGTTCCATGTGACTTTAAGTACTTCTGTCTATAAATACGCGCGAGACATTAAGTAGAAATGGCAGACCTTTCACTCTCTTCTGACTACCCTTCTGACTCTTAGACTGTGACAGTCCCACAATACAGAAAGCTTAGATTCCGCATAATTAGTGCATTTTATGTAGACCTGGCACTCACCCTCAATTTGGGCCCGCCAAGGAGGGTCCAAATTTTGACCTTAGACCCTCTTAGGTAATAATTTAAGGCATAGTTAAATGGGTCTTAATGGGTAATTTTCTGCTTATAAATGGTGTTATATACACGTTTATGCAAAAAGGGACCCTCAATGAGGGTTCCCTTGGCGGGTGGAGGGTCCGGACCTTAGACCCTCCGGCCAGGTCTAATTTTATGTAGTATTTTAGGTATTTGACTTGTAAAGCTGAGGGGGAAAGTGTGAGAACAGTGAGCCCTTCTAGCCACGGCACCAGTTTTCTGACGGCCATCAGGAGTAAAATATGGGTTGTTAAGCTCTTACATTCGCTTTTCTGATAGCCGTCAGGATAAAGGCTTATTCGACGATATTGACTTTTGACGGCCGTCAGAAAATAGGGTGTTTAGTGGAAACCACCTAAATCTACCTTATATCCCTATCTCAAGTCTTCTTTTTATATCTTTAGTGCCTTTCTTACATGCCACCGTGTGATTACAAATCTCATGTGACTTGGCAGCTGAGACATACTGTGTCCAATCAAAACTTGTATTTGGTGAGGGGTAATATTTTGCCCGGGGCCAAAGGGGGCGTAAGGCTTTCCTAAGCTTAAAATTGAGTTCCCAGTTCCATGGAACTCATCGAGAATAAGTTGATTCAGGAAGAAACGTTTGCTGCATGAGTTTGGGAAAGTTCCAAATTGATCACCACTATGACATATTCGAAAACCGGAAAAGAAGGGCTTCGGCAAAGACTTCGCTGGCGCTATGATCAAATTCGAGACAAATCTCAAAATACCTCACAATCCTCTGAAGCAGGACAGGTACTTGCAACGAAGTATGTACTCTATCAAAGGTATCAAATAGGGCTAATTTGGTGCTTAGTACTGTTTCAAATTTTCGCCTAGCAACTCCTAGTTCACTGCCTCTCATTCAAACGAGCGATGTCACTGGAGAGTCAAACGATACTGGGAACAACGGAGCCATGGGCACTCCGCAACCTAATACTCTCGAACAAGACGTGACAGCTGATCAGTTATCTCTCCATGATAGCATAGGCAATGTTCATGCGTCCTCAGACATTTGGAGTGCCGCTTACCGTGAAGCAGTTGATAGTCTTGGAGAGGAAATCACTACTGCCCTAAGTGGAAAGACTATCGAACAGCTATTCAAAGAACTCGAAGAAACTGAACACGAAGCGACTCACGAATCTGCTTTTCTAAGAGGAGTGCAGCGGTTACGTTCCTTGAAAACGCCTCTCGACAACTTCAAGCTAGCATTGGATCTGGCGAGCCCACTGGCAAACCTTGAACCAACCGCAACCACGGTTTTTGGTGTAGTCAGAAGCGTGACAGCGGTAAGCTTGGCTCATTGAAAAAATTATATACGCCAATTTCAGTGAATATTATCACTTAGGCTGACCGACTCATATCTGCACAGATTGCCATTACGTTTGCGAACGCTGATTTGGACTTTGCGAAACAAATTGCGGATATGTTGGAACGGATCTCTTACATTGATGAGTGTGACACACTAGGCCGGAAAGTCGATAGAAAAGACATTCACCAGGTAAACTCACATGTTGATTTTTCTGTCTTTTTTCTTTCATTTCATGCAAAAATGGTTCTAATCATCGTAATCATCTTCAGGCACTCGTATCTGTTTACCAAAAGATCTTAGAGTTCTACAATGCCGCCCTTAAGATACTAACCAGGAAAGGCGCAAAATTGGTCCTGAGGATGGTCTTAGAGAATGGTCGCCTTCCGGACATTATCCAAGAATTCTTGACAAATGCCAATAAACTCCAAGCGGTTATACAGAAAGCGACTTTGGATATTCTGGATGATTTCCAAAACGTAGTCTATACCAACGAATGTAAGACCTTGTATATTGGATATTTTGCTTATATTTCTAACTGCTTCCAGTTGCTCAATGGTTCGGAAAAGACAAGCTTAGCCGGCAGAGCGAACTCCTCAGTGAATGGCAGGGACGTCGAGCTAATCAGGCTTGCCAATTCTTGCTGGAAAATCCAAATTTTAACAACTGGTATAACACTTCTGAATCTCAGCAGTTGGTGATTCTCGGTGATATGGGCCATGGAAAATCCTATGCAATGGCATTTCTTGCAGACAAGCTGATTCAAAAAAACAAATTTCGGCTACCCCGACCCGCACTATGCCAATACTATTGTCTGGATAAGGAGACAGGAAAGGCTACTTCTGTACTCTCTGCTTTGACTTATTCGCTTCTGAATCAATTTCAAGGTCTGCGGAAGCCATTCTTCGAGCGTTATCAACAGGCTAAGGTTTCTGATCTTGATCCTGTGTCAAACACTGCCACGATGGAAAACTTCCTGCAAAATATGCTAGAAACAATTGACCGACCCGTTATTGTCGTGATTGACGGCATAGATGAGTGCGATGATGACTCTCGAAACAGACTTCTCAGGTTTCTGAGAACTGTATCGCAAACCACTTCGGGAATCAAAGTTATACTCTCTGCTCGTCCGCGAGAAGAAATTTTGGAACAGTTAGACGATATGACTCGGATCGAAATGGGGTCTGACCCTGAGCGAGACCGTATTATCGTTGAGAAAACCCTTGAAATACTATCGTATTTATCACCAGAACTCAAGGCGCTTGTCGGAAAAAAACTGTCTGAACGAGCGCAAGGAAGCGCTATATGGACAAGGATGATAATTGAGCTTATCAAAGTTCGTCATCTCACGACAAAGCCTGCTATCAAAAAGTTTCTGGAAGAAATGTCCCTCCCTGAAAAGCTCTCGGAAGTCTACGTCTCTTTACTTTTACGTTGTACTTCAGATGATGGTGAAAATCGGCAACTTGCTGTTACAGCTTTGAAAATTCTCGCTGTCAGCCACAGACCTTTGAGCATACTAGAGCTATCCTGGGCGGTGGCGTTGAGCCTGGCTGACCGCGTCACGACCGTGGAAGCCCTTGCTGAGCTGGTGGACCATCAAAGGGTCATGGGTTTTATCTATCCATTCATTGCTTTACCCGATTACGATAAACTAAGAAAACCTCAAGTGCGACTCACACACAAGACTGTGAAGGAATGGGTCTTAACGTTGCCTGATCCAAAAGTTTCATCCTTGAAAGAGACTGATCAAATAGTCCACGTTTCAAAAAGTCTGGACTCATTTATGGTCGATATTTGCACCAAGTATCTGCTCTTGGATGATATTGGCAATAAAGATCTGTTCTCAGAGGAACAAGCAGCATTCGCAGAACTACCCCAAATATCTGAATTATCCAGCGATGATGAAGAGTCGCTCGAGTATGATCCAAACTGCACTTGGGAATCCTGGGAAGATGATATGGCTAGGTTTGACCCGGTTGATCGAGGCTTTGGCGAATTTTTCGTCTATGCATCGTGCCATTGGCTAGATCATTTTGGTTGCATCACGGCCGAACCTCTTCCAAGCCTAGCAAGTATTGAAAAATTATGCCAAGCGGGGTCCACTCGTCTTCGCAATTGGATTCAGCAGAACAGTCGCCCAGGCTGCACAATGATGCCCAGATTTGAATTTGATAGCAATCTGTACGATCCCCTAAGCATAACTTCGATATATGGCTCAGTAGCCATACTGATTGATATGCTGAGGAAGTCGGACTTTGGCAACGGTAAATTTCTTCAGGGGTCAGCTATAAAGGCTGCCGATCAGATTCTCCAGTGGGGTGACATATCAAGACTCCAGATACTGTTCTTTGATGATCAGCTCGGTCATCAACTACAAAATCTTGAGCTTTTTCGGCTTATCATCAAAACATGGGACAAAGCCCGACTTATCACCAATCCATGGCACAAAGGACGCCAAAACTGGGATCTTATATTTGACCTCGTCGATAATGTATCAGACCAAATGATTGAGCAACATTGGGGAAATGAACTACTGTGCTTTGCTGCCAGTGCAGGGTGTATGCCCATAGTACAGCGGTTGATGACAAGCGCTCAGCATAAGGGAGAGCTTAGGGATGAACTGCTACGTGAGACCAAGTTCGAAGAAACACAGTCATCATTTGACAAATCAGCACATCAATCGATCGAAAAGGCTGTTCTGGGGAAGGAATCACGTTAATGTCGTGGAGTACTTACTAGGCCAGAAAGGCATTGAAACGCACCTTCGATACCGAAATTCCCGCGGTGAGAATGTTCTGCATCTGGCATCAAGACTCTGCAACCCCAAGATGTTCCGTCTTTTGGTCCCCCGTTTTCCAGAAGGTATCAATGAGGAAGATGATCAAGGAGACACAGCCCTGGTGCGAATTATCATGAGCCCTGCGGCTTCGCGGTACGAGTCGGCAAGAATACTCCTTCGGCAGAGCAGTGCCGATTGGAACAGCCATTCTTTGGATTGGCAATGGAGCGCCTTGCGGGCGGCTGTTTTGTCTCGCGATCTAGATATGTGTTGCATATTGACCTTGGATGGAAACATTGATCCAGTCTCGACCTTAGCGCGTGGCTGTAAAAACGAGGAAGATATGCTGGGTTATTTGGTTGATCTCTTTGAATTAGAGACTGAGGGTAGTTCATCGCAGTTATTTGGCTCGGTGGATCAGGCTCTTCAATGTCTGGCTGAGAAACATGATATCTCACGCTTTGGAGCTTAGATCCAACGCCACCCACCCGAGGGTTTCCCTCACGACGGATCTCCAGGTTGTACATATATTCGTGAAATATTACACCCCTTGGCGAGGTAATTGAAGTTCTGCTATCAAGCTATACGTGGATGCCTACAGCAATCCGGAGTTAAACGAATGACCAGGAGTCTTCCTAGCCTTGTCATTTGGGAATCTGATAATGTCGCATCTAGCCCGTCGTACATTTCATCCATCTTGAAAAGAGCTACGTTTAAAGCCCATTCACCATCCTGTCTGTCACATGTTTTGAATTATGGTGGTCAGGTTTGTCTGTCCTTCATTACTTTATGCGTCTCTCCTTCTGTGGAAAGCCCTGGAACGTGTAGGGCAGCCATCGATCTCCAAGTGATCTGCCTGCATCTATTCCTCCCCTCTCTCCCCCCATTTAAATACTCTTGTCTCTACTGGATACACTGTCTTGAATAAAGTAATGCCCTCTCTTCCGAGATTGGTAAATGTTATCATTACTTCCGAGCATTTTCTGCATTGGGTAGAAGCCATGAGTCTTCTCGGCCTTACATCCGATATTCTAGAGATAATGGATCTAGTACAGTGATCATATTTGTAGGTTTCCTTAAGGATCTTAAAATTTCACCGATGCTTACTCGCATAGGAAGACAATGGAAATGAACTTGCAAAGTTTCTGCATAACGCAAGCCGATTTGTCCTCAAAAACAGACAGATTGTCGATGTTGCGTCTCTTCAACTTATTATCTGGCATTGTGCTTGCATCTGAACATTCAATAATTCGGGGCTTGTTCCGCGCGGAACTCCCGTCTCGGGTTTCTAGATTGCCAAAAACTGATGGAAATTAGAGGGCGAAGTTATAAACCCTGGAGGGCCACGCTGGTTCGATTGAGTCAGTAGCCTTCTCACCCGACGGCCGATATCTAACCACCAATCTTGGATCCTTCGACATCCATTCTAGTATCCAGTGAAACAAACTTAATTTCTTGGTCTTGGAGATATGTAGTTCAATATTTTATGTATTCTTTCCTGCGTTACAGAATCAACCAGAAACCGAACGTATCCTCATTTCTTGCATTCGAGATGTTACTTACATAACGCACATTGCGTCACCTCTAACACTCAGCCCTCAATTAGTCGAAAGATCTTCTCCTAATCCCAGCGATAAAGGTATGACCTCGATCCTCGACTCGGCGCTAAAAATCGCCAACGCTGAAATCAGTAGTCATAACTTCATCCTTTGCAGCCACGTTTGACCCTAGACAAGGGTACCGGCCTGGATACGTCTATTCTTCGAGAGACTGAAACCCTATTATCTACTTTTAGGCCGCGGATCCATCGTTAAATCCGAGTCAGACCGTGCACAGTGGCAGCCGTAGATCACATACCTCGCAAGCAAAAAGCTTGCCGTGGAGTCAGAGACGATTCTTTCAGGTGGTGGTAGATCAGCCAATGATGTACACTTCACTCCAGCTGAGAGGGTCAGGGCGCGACTCTCGCTCGACGGAGGGTGACTCTCACCCTTCACTCGCGCGACGCTAAAGTGGTGCTCACCATTTTCACCGACTTTTTTTTAGAAGCAGAATATATTTTATTGTCCCGTCAAATTCAGTACATACGACCATAGGGTGTGGAGAACAGGGCTTCCCGTCCGCTCAGCCGTACTTAAGCCACACGCCGGCCGGTTAGTAGTTGGGTGGGTGACCACCAGCGAATCCCTGCTGTTGTATGTTTTTATTTATTTTCTTCAAATTTGAGATGATCTCTATTTCTATACACGATGAATCTTGGACAAAATTTAGATGCGTTACTATTTTGCGATGGCGTTTTGGTAGTCTGAGCAAGAAGCGGAAAAAAGACACGAAGTAGGCAAAATGCAAGGGACCAGTCCACCTCTACCATACATAAGTAGGCGCACGGCAGAATTCCGATATCCCTTGATACGATGTTAAACTGGTATGATGGTATTGCCTTACCATGGGCATATTTAGGCATTCGACAACCCCGATGCAGTGTCGTTCGTATCTGTTAATAAAGGGCGCCCACCTCAACTCTTGCGGCCCAGCTCTCTTTGCCTCAATTTTGCTTGAAAATGAAGATTGCCATTTTAGAGCATGGCTCGCATCCTGATGTGAGTGCACTGTCAATTACTGATGGTTTATCCTAGCCCCCCAAAAAGCAACCCCTGAAATTAGACTGTACGCTGACAGAATTAAATTGCACTTTCACAGACCAAATTCTGGGCTGGGGTATCGCAGTATGTTGTTACGCGGAAGGCCGAGTTTCAGCGTCGAAGGCTCCAGTCTAGCAGCTGGAAGGATGAGTTAGCGTTCGTCAAAAAGGAAGAATTTGATATGTACTTGGTTACACCAGTGAGTAATAGAGAATTTTTTTCAGTTTCCCCTATAGCACAATGGAAGCGTATTCTGATGTAAATGAAAACGGCAAGGGGGTTTCATTTGAAGACCATGACTCTGCTGTTGAAATCACTAGGTTCCTGGAGAAAGAAGGCCACAGGATTCTCGGCCCGTCTTCACCTGTCATGCAATAAGGAGGCCTAATTCGGTCATTGTGCACTTGTCAAGAGAAACACCAAACAGAGATTGACTCGCAAGCGAGATACTTTGTGCTTGCTCTTGTGATTTCTAGCCAGTCAATCATCAATTTTGAGCCAGCGACCTGCCAACAGGGTGAGATCCTAGCCAATGTGTCAGAACCGGCTCTACGGAATAACTTAGTGGCAATTTGTCACTCGACGCTTAAGATTTTACAACCAGCGCAACAAAGTGGGCTCTTCCGTCTTGAATTCCGCAATGATTCTGAGACCAAGCAGCCCAAGCTTCACGGAATTGAACCTCAGCCACGCATATTCGCCCTGGATGGAGTTGGTTTGGACGATGCCTTGGTTCGCTCTACTGTCCCGGGTGGACATGCGGCCCTTTTCAGCTTTTTAACTATTCTGCAAGTATCGGATTACGGGGCACTCAAGGAGAAACAACAGATGGCGGAGTTCTACGCCGACTACGCAGTTTACTACGATGAGGAAATGACCGATGAAATTGGTTATTGCCGCCATCAGCAAATTATGGCATCTCAATTCGACTGGACCGGTACCGTCTTGGACGTGGCATGCGGCACTGGCGCTTTGGGCCGTTACCTTAGCGACGGTGAGCAAGATTGCAAAATTTTCGGCATCGATTTGAGCCTAGAGATGACAAATACATCCTCTATTCGCAAGTATTACCAGTTGCCGATCACGATCGGAACTATGCAAGCTGCCATGATGCAACCTGAAGAGTACGACCATGTGGCTTGCTTCGGCGGTCTGGACTATCTTGGAGATGACGACTTCAGAATCGTCTTGTCGCGCATGTTTTCGGTGGCCCGCAAGTCAGTCTCATTCAATGTGGAACAACCGACTTCTGAATACTGGGCAAAAATGGCTGAGAATCCTAGCATTCCACCGTCCTACGATCATAGTAAGAAGCTGTGGGATGACTTCCAAATCCCGGTTGGTTGGGAACTGGTTTATGATAAACGTGATATGCTCTACCACGACAATCAGCTGGATTGTGACATTGCAGGCTGTATGGTCCGATTGGAGAGATTGTAATTTCAAGTATCCTGATGTCTATTTTGAATCATCGAATATATCTTTTTGGTCTTATGCAAGGAGTTGGTATTAATTAAATCGGTCAGCGAGGACGCGTGAGCTTTGCTCCAAACAAGAAGATAGTGGGTTCCTCATGGACCCCAAAATTTCCAACAAAATCACTCGCTGTTCACATCTATACTTTTGCATCGTCAATTGTCTCTGATTCTTCGGTATGCCCAATGTTGCGTCCCCGCTGTCAAGTCTAGCTAGGACTTGATGGAGGTGGTTGATCAGAAATGCCACAGTTGCGACCATGACTCGATCGGAGGGCATGTTCGTCGGGCTTTGACGCAGCAGGCTTCGTTCTAGTAGATTTGCTAGCTTAAATGCTATCATGGAAACAAGAAGAGGGTAAAAATGCTGCAGGGCGCGAACCGGATGCGTAGGATTAATCGGACCGCGGCAGTCTTGCAGAGACCGAACCACTACATAAGTCATGTAAACTTCTTCCGTTGTAAAACATGGCCAGTCCAGAGATGTTGACATTGCAAATGCGGAATGCTTGGGATGTGTTGGCCGAGACAAGTCAAAAGGGAGTGGCATGACCAGCTCAAGTAGAGTATTTTCAGGGAAGAAAAAGCCGAACTCGCGAAGGACTGACAAATTTTATATTAGCTGATACTCCATGCCCCACTGGTGTGCAATGATACTTACGGAGAGTACTGTTATATTTAGAGACTCCATCGTCGTACGTTAAGAGTACCTCTTCTCCAGGGTTGAGATCGAAGGCTTGGGTCATATGAAACTGAGTTTTGTCGGAATGATATTGGAATCGGGCCACATTTCCGTGATTTATTGTGTCTTTCACCGGAACGAGAATCTGAGCAGTGTCTTCAATGTTGCTCCCGAGCATACCAAGCTGCTGGTACTCCTCCTTAAGATGGCCGATGTATGGTTTGAAGTCTGAAAACCAAAAGTGGCGAGAAAGAAAAATGTAATATGCCCAGAGCCCAAGTTGGCTAGATTTGAGAATGAGTGCTGGCTTTGGTTATATTGGGTTCGGGATTCACGAACAGGGTATAGCCAGACACGTTCCAGCCAGCGGTTTTTAAAGCTGTGATTGCGGAGGACCATCGATGCACTAATTTAGCCCTTTGTTCCGGGATATCGTGCTCTAGGTACGTCCCTTGGAGCCATTTGAGCTCTTCATCCGACCAAAGTAAGGGTATCGCACTATTTTGAGGGTCGTTAGGCTGAGGCATGGTACTGATAAATGGGTACCAAAAGCTTTCCTCTCCCAAGAGATATTGCTGGACGAGAAATACTGCGCAAACTGTTTCATGATCGGCCGTGGTATGAATGAACTCGTGCGGCAATTCAGGAGAGCGCGGAATATAGCAAGATCCTTCCTTGCCTCCGGAAACAGCATTAAAGTATGAGAGTGTAATGCTGTACGGGATGTGCATCAAAACTTCGTGGGCTTTAATGCTCGGCCCTTTGGGATCAATAATCGTCACCATCCCTCCATGAGGAGTTTGAACATGCTTCAGCGAAGGGTGTATATAAGCGCCATTATTTCTGGCCCACTCCAACAGACGCTCGTACTTTTGTTGCTGAGTGCCTGGATACGTGATTGTCATGATTATTTAGATAAAGAAGTTCACGAAGAAAAAAGAGGATGAGAGATTAGTATCGATCGTTGGAAGATTTTGGACATTTTTGGAGGCTGAGCAGGATCTTGAATATGACGACAGATAGACAGAATGGCCCAGATTACTGCATAGATCTGGAATGTGATTGCGGTGTGCATCCCTTGCAGGGTCTCTTTACGACTGCAGCGCACATAACAAGGGAGAAATTTGATTTAGCCATCATGCCGGTCGGCGGATCCAACTCGCACCGCCCTTTCTGTCGATTCTGTCCAGAACTTATGAGCGAACTGCCTGCAAGAGATCTATTAAAGTAATAGAAGGATGAGTCGGGGAATTACGACTACCGTTGAGAAGAAAACCCAGAGTACATAAAACGGGGCTATCTACATGAAACTTGTTACCTGACAGCTAGGTAGGCCAGCAAATCAGTTGAGCTCTTGAAATATGTATCACGATAAGTATCTGCCTATGTTTTACTTCTTGGTCAATCTCTAGCAATATCATTATCGGTTAAATTAATGTGTTTCTAAACGTGGCTTCTTCCACGCATTTTTCCCAGCTAACTCGCCGTAGTAAAAGCCACTGCGCAATAATGACTGCGACCAAGCCAGAGACGACTCCGGCCCAGATCCCCCAAATATGCCAACCGAAACCGAATGCTACCGTCAGGCCGATTGGCAGCGTAATGACGTTTTGTGCGACAAGTTGAACATATCCGGCGATGTCTTGTCTCCCTAGACCGCACAGAATCCCATTGTATGCGAGCGCGTAGCAATCCAGAAGTTGCGATACAGCGCAAAGGGGCATCACACTTGCCACTAGCTCAACAACAGCAGACTCTGTGGCAAACACTCGCGCGATCTCGTACTTGAAGGCCCATATTAGAATCATTCCTGTAGCTCCAAGGCCGGTCGCAAGATACAATGAGACCTTTGCAGATAACTGACCTGCCTCCGGGCGTTCAGCGCCAATGAGGTTCCCTACTCGGATGCTGACGGATATTGATAGTGAATAGGGAATCTGATACACGATGTTCACCACAGTAAATAGCACTGTTTGGGCCGCAAGAATATCCCGGCCAAGGTAAGACGAAGCTAAGGTAAGAAGCTTATAAGTGAGCGACTCTCCCTCCACGACCAAAAGTCCTAGGATAGCTAACTTGACTATTGGCCCCCAAGAGTGAAATGCTTTCTGGCTCCAGCTATTCCAACATTTATCTCGGCCGCTATAATAGACATAAATAAATAGGCAGCAGGGAAGCAGGTTATTAGATATCGTCATAGCTATCGGTGCCCCGATATAGCCCCAGTCCAATTTCTAAAAAAGTCAGCCATCGCATTTACCAAAACAGATGCAATTATTCATCAATGAGAGAAAATTCACGTACATACCCAGATTAGAAACCAATGCATGAACGCATTGATCGGAGTGCATGCCAGCAACACATACAACGGAGCCGAATACATCCCTTGGGCCTACACATAATGCTTGCCTGCTTCAAAGAAAGCGTATGCCAAGGTTCCAAATGATGCCACTCTCAAATATTGACCTGTGAGAGCAGCCGTCTCCTTGTCAGGAAGGATTCGAACAAGGATTCCCTCCGAGAATATCCAAAGACACATTATCGGAACTGTCACTAGTGAGAGAAGTACGAGCATCCGCTGTAGATGCAAAGCTACCAAATCTTTTCTTCCGGATCAGTATGCCTGGGCACATAAAGTATCCAGGCTTGTGGTGAGACCATAGTAGATATAATATCCCGAGATATTGGCGGTCATGCTCGCTAAACTTGTGGCTCCTAACTCAACGGTGCCAAGACGCCCGACAGCTATTATGCTGATAGTGGATAAAGAATGTTGTAATAGGAAAGAAAGGGCCATTGGTGCGGCATTTTGAGACAGTATCTTTGCTTCACCCTGCCAACTAGTCGACCCGCCAGGAGACTTGGACTCTGCATCGTATTCCTGCAGCGGGATATTGAGATTAAGATCCTGGCTGTCGAACAGTATTTCCTCTTCGGAAGCATGGAGGGGTAGTCTTGCATAATGCGCATCGGGTGTTGAGTGAATTTTGGGGAAGTATTGGCGCAGCAGTTGAATGAAAGCCATTGACTTCATGCCGGAAGAAAATCACGAGGATGACAAGGTTGCGCAGAATTAGCCTCGCAAAGAAACATAACAGGGAAACCCAGTGAGGAAAAGTTCAAACTTTGGAAATTGTTGTCGAAGATTGAAGTCGGGAGGATTCCAAAGTGAACCCAGATCAGCTTTACAGGGGCAAGGGGATGGCCATGTGAGACACCGATTGTAATTGATTATACATAGTGAAGAATTTCGTCACAAGAAAGCAGGTATTATAATCGAACCTTTCGTCTATTTTGCCATGCTGATCGAAAAATGCAAGCCCCTTGCTAACGAAGGTGTGGCACCTCGCCACAACCCAACGAGTCTGTACTGGCGACCGCGCTTTACCGGATATATTGAGCTCTTTAAAACTTGTAAAACCACACGCGTCTAGTCAAAATAAGAAGAGAGAAAAACCACTCTGCGTCAAAAACGCGAGATTATCACCAGCCCTGGAAAAGAAATTAGAATTTTTCCTTCTGTATCGATATTTCCTGACATTGCTTGCTGTCTTTAACGACCTGCAGCCTGACCGGGAAGATGAACTACGTAAGGGGGCCAAAAGGCTGTTCTTTTGGTCCTTCAAGATATTTTATTGAGGTCTTTTTAATTCAAACAACTATTTCAATTTTCTCGGGAAACATGACATGGCCGCTTATCCTGGTGTGTTTAAATCATTTCCTTGGTCGGGCTATAAGAGAAAAGAATGAAGCCATTGGCATTCCCTTAGTATAGAGATTATTTACATGACTGATTTGGTACATACGACCATAGGGTGTGGAGAACAGGGCTTCCCGTCCGCTCAGCCGTACTTAAGCCACACGCCGGCAGGTTAGTAGTTGGGTGGGTGACCACCAGCGAATCCCTGCTGTTGTATGTTTTTATTTATTTATTTCTTTTTCTTGTTCTTTTTCAATGACGAATTCGGCCAGCTATTCACCTCCTCTTTACCCTAAATAACCTAAAGCCTATGTGTATTTCACCTAAATGCCCTACACACCGCTAAAGCGCTAACGTGACCTATATCTTCCTATATTGACTTTTTCCTTATAAGTGCGTTCTAAACGCTACTATCTAGTCTGCACTTAAGTACACTCTTTGTCGGGGCGCAGTAAAATACATATTTGTATTGAATATTCTCCGTTCTATGCACAAGAAAACAGTCTAAGGAATAAGTCTCACAATTGATTCAGCGGAACTTTTAGTTAGGGCTGTGGAAGTTAAAAAGCGATAAAAACAGAAA